CAAGGTCACCGAGCTGACGGAAGCTGTCAAGGTAAATATCCCAGCACTGCCTTTCAATCATTGTAAGAGGCACAGTGCCAAACAATTGTTGCCATCTTTAATGATCTTCTTGGCAGTGTCAGAGGCCGAGCAATGCCAAATTAAGAACCAGCACTTTCAATAGTGCTTTGTAGCCCCTCTGAACTAAAATGTGAATTTAATCTGAATTTCAATGTAAATTTGAGTCGTGCCGGTGTGCAGATGAAGGAGCATCTGGCGGGGTTGCTGGAGGGCGACTCAAGCGCGGTAGCGAGGCTGGAGCGAGACAATGAGAATTTGGAGGGCCAGGTGGACCAGCTCACCATCTCCCTCGTGGATGCCACCTCTAAAAAATCAGACGCCGACAAACGCCTGCGCCAATACCAGCAGGTCTGCCCTCGCACCCCACTACATCCTTGTTCATGTACTTCTTCCCCTTGTCCCCCTGTCTCAGACTCTGCCGCAAATACCTCCTCCTGTGGCTCTTGCTGGTTCAAGATATAGACGTGGATTTTTTTCCTTCTTCCTCTGAGACCTTAGGCATACTCGACCAATCGTGCAGCGACTTGATCGAATTTTATGAGAAAATGCTGGCCGAGCAAGAGGCGCGATTAGTGAAGCACTGCGTGGCTGCCTGTGTGATCCAGTGGCGCATGCAAGCCCCCTTTCTGGAGATGTTCACCCCCTCCACGCCCCCCAACCTGCGCAGCTTATGACAGGCCGCCCGCTCGGCGCCGCTGCCCCGCCCAGCAGGCCCCCGAGCGGTATGCTGCCGCCTCCTGCCGCCCCGACACCCCTTGCTGCCAGACAGCTGTCACCGGAACACCACCTCGAAGCACCCCTGGCTGTGCCACAGGCTCACGGCTTCGCCACAGCCCTAGTCACAGTCTAGCAGAGTTACCATGATATGCCATTAGTGAAGAAGGGAGTGTGGAGTGAGAGGGATTTTGTTGGTGTGCAGGACTTGGACGAGATGGAGTTGCTGATGGCGCGTGCTGACGAGGAGCGGCGCGCGCTGGAGAGGGAGCTGAAGCACATGCGCTCCACCGCCTCCGAGGCCACCTCACAGCTCATGCTGGCCGAAGAAATGGCGGTGCGCATGCATCCCCTTACTTGAATGTACTGCATGCTTTGCCCTGCTTTAGTAGGTGAATGTTCATATACCTCCTCCATGCGACACATGGCCGCTGCCAGGGGTGTTGTGATGGGCAATAGGCCACAGTCTGAAGTGAGAAAGGGGCTGATTCTGTCATTCTGTGGTGTGCAGAGGGACTTGAGTCCAGAGGCGGATGAGACCGAGGCGGAGAGCCAGGCGCCGGGGGTTCCAGGGGCGGTGCAGACGCCCATCTCGGCCGCCCTCAGCCTCATGCAGAAGATGGACGGCGTTGCGCGCCTGCTTGGTGGTGAGCGCACTGCTGTTGAAACGCATATTGCCTGATGCCACTGCAATGGTTCTTCCAGGTATTCTTTGCCCAGCTATGTTTGGGATGAAGATTTGTGTGGAACTCATGCTGTCGCACCACGCAAGAAGGCAGCTCTCTGCATGCTTGCATGGTAGTCGAAGCGCTTGTGTATTTCTCACTGCTCGCGTGTCTGCAGGCAGCGAGACTCCCTGGTACTCGTCGCCAGCATCCAAGGCCAGTACCAGCGGCCGCACCAGCCCAGCCATCAAGTCATCTCATCTCTCACAGGTGCATCTCTGCTCTGTATCTCATTTTGTCTCCGCCATGCCTCCACTCTTTTACACCCCTCACAAGACATAATGTGCAAAAGAATATGAGTAAAATGCTGCGCAGCCTGGATCTTGGTGTCGCTTGATGTGTGGTGTGGTGGCAGCAGGGAGGGACTGCGCGCATGATCAACTTCATGGGCCGGGCTGCTGGAAAGCTGGGGACGCTCTCCAGGGGAATGGCAGCTGTGGAGGAGGAGGCCTCAGAAGGGGGCGGTGCGCGTGCGCCCAGAGAGCCGCCGGTACTCCCCAGCAGCTCTGAAGCCAGCCCCAGGGGCACCCCCGCCTCAATCCTCTCCAAGGTGCTCCTGTTCCCTTAAGACTTGCCACATAAATTCTGGTCTATTTTAAAATTAAAATAGAAATCTGCTTGCAGGACTCTGTCACCTAGCCCATGCTACATACAAGCCATGCATCGGCAGGCTGCATAGCGTTTCTTACCCTGCAAGAGCATTGTATTAATGCATGCCCCTTGTGCTGCGCAGGCCGCTGCAAGAGTGGAGTCAGAAATAATCCTGACTCGGGTGCTGAAAGCGGAGCTGAAAGGGGAGGACGCTGGATACGACAGGGTGCAGAAGCACCTGCGCAAGGGAGCAGCATCTGGAGCCGCGCTGGAAGGCGCATCTGTGAAGGCAGACCGGCTGCAGGGGCTCAGGACAAAGATGCATGAGGCCTTCAGGTACACATTTTCCCTGTTATCTTTTGAAACATGCCACCATCTTGCTGACCCGCCATGGGAACTCCGGCATATGCTTTGTCACAAAGCAGTTGGGTGGCGAAGCTCAAGTACCAGAACATGACCTTCTTCTGGAGGAGAGTCCGTAATCCCCCCACTCCCTAATTCCCCCTAGTGACACAATTTCTGGAGGAGAGTCAGACATACAGAAGGGCGCACCTTTTTGTTGCAGGGAGGCAGTGGCGCAGGAGGGCGCCATGCAGCAGGTTGCTGTGCAGGCAGCAGCAGCACAGGAAGCAGCAGCGGCGGCAGACGCAGAGTATGCAGGGGGACAGGAAGAGCTGGAAGTGCTGATGAAGGAGCGCGCTCAAAGAGAGACAGCTGCTGGGGAGGCCTCCGCCGCGGTCGAGGCCGCGAATCAGCAGCTGGCTGATGCTCTGCAGCTCAAGCAGGCTGCCGAAGCTGCACTGGAGGTGCAAATCTTTTGACCTTTTGCTTGCCTGTCATACTGCACCTTGTGCCACATATGTGTTGACAAAGCGTCATACACACAACACAACACACAACTCTCTCAACCTAGGTTGCTCAAGACAAATAGTACTGTGGGCACTGATTCTGGGCACCAGACTGATGTCGCAGCAGCTTTTTGGTCATTCGCCATAAGGCGAATGTCCTTTACGATCGGTCAACCTGGTACGGATTATCTCTATCTTTTGCACCTTCCCTATGCCATGTGGCTGCTCGCCAGGCGACCACGGCAGTTGAACGGAACGCGAGGCGCAGTTTAGAGGCCTTCCAGGGGGATTGCCCCGTTTTTGGCCCTAGATTATCTCTAAATATCTCCCTGGCGATTGGCTTTACGGGCCTGCGACTGGTTCTGCCCCCCAGCTCGCGTATGACCTCGTGGCCGCCCAAGTCATGTCCACTTGTCATGTGCACCATCTGCATGGTAGGCTCAGCCTGCTTTGTGTAGTCTTGCCTTGTCCACCTATGATGACGAGGGGCTGGAAGACCACATGGAATGCCGCAGAAGATTGTCCCCAGTTCTTGGAAAGTGAAGGGGTTCATGATGCGCCAGGAGTTTGAGGCGAAGGGGCTGGGGGCGTTCGGGGGCGGCAATGACAGCGCGGTGGTGTGGCGCGACCGCGTGGACGCCCAGGACGCGTACGCGGCCGCTGCAGGGGCCAAGGCGGCGGCGCTGCAGCTCAAGGAGGAGGCCATGGCGGCCAAGCGCACCGTGCTGGCGCGCCTGGAGGCCGCCATTTACGCGCTCACCGCCGCCGAGAACGGCTCCGCCGACGCTGCCGACACCGCGCGCGCTGTGGCGGCCGACCTCGACGACCACGTGGAGGCACGCTGCTGTCCTTTTTGTGACCGTTTTCTTGGCAACATCTTTGGAGCGAATTGGGTACTTAATACTCTAAGTGGCCTTGTCTTCTGTAGAATGTTCTTGCGCACATCAAAATTGTATCATACAACATGCCTTGTTGGTTGCCATAAATGCGAAAAGCCACGCGATTTCTTTCTTTCTTCGAGTTCCTTTTACTGCATAGGCAGCAATGTGGTGGTTGCTACTATAAGTTGAATGGTGCATGGTGCTGCAGGCGACGATTGAGGCGCAGAGGGCATTTCGCAATGCTCGCAAGGCCTTTGCAGAGGGCGTGAGGGCGCTTGCCGAGCAGATGGGCCTTGAGATTAAGCCGAGTGAGCCAGCCCTCCCTTGTGAGAAGTCTGGCAGAGGCACGCCAGCCGCAGGCAGCAGCCGGCCTGCTTCCGGAGCCAGCAGTGTGGGCAGTGCAGCCAGCGCCTCACGGCCGAGGCTCAGCATCGATGACAGCGCCGTGGCACCAAGTGCTGCAGTGCAGACGCCACAGGCACAGATTATGAGGGGCCCCCGCAGGCGGCACACAGCGGAGGCTGAGCCTGTGGGCGCGCCAGTTACAGAGAGCAACGGCGCAGAGCCTGCTGGCAAGGACGTTGTGGGAAAGGCTGATGCTGGGCAGGAGGAGGAGAGCTGCAGGCCTTTGGGCCAGCAGGCGCCGCTGCAGCCGCAGCAGGGGAAGCAGCCAGCGGTTGCGAGCGTGGTTGCCCATGCGTCTGTCGGGCAGCTGCCCGCACCGGTCTACCTCTCTGCTGCCGTCCTGCACGACTCTACTACTGATGCCAAGGAAGCTGCAGTGCAGGTCAGCACCATCCCCCACCTAACCCCTCCTGATCATTGCAAATGACAAATGCTCCATCCTCCTTCTTATTGTTGCAAAATGCGAAATGATACTGTCATGCCCCAGCTGCCTGATGCAAGGATTGAAGGCGGTATAACATGGCGTAGTGCTGAGGTGGCATCAATTGTGGCTGCAGGAGAAGGACAGCCCAGGGTCAGTGGAGAACCAGGCGCAGAGGGCGAACACGCGCGCGCCGCTACCGTCTCGGGAGGGGCTGACAGGCCTGCTGCGCGGCTTCACCTTCAAGCCGGCAGCGCTGGGCACCCACAGCGCGTCCGCGCCCTTGCTCAACAACGTCAAGACAGCCGTCAGCAGCACCAGCCTGGTCGGCAGCGACAGCAACCGGGGCGGCCGCGCAAAAAAGACCGGCCGGGCGCTGGTCCCCGGCAGGAACGCCCTCGTGCTGATGGATAACGGCTGGAGTGGCACCGGGAACACCCTGGACTGAGAGAGCGCGGCCTGAGACGGCGTGGGCTAAAACGACGAACAGGGGGTACTGGAGACTACTTAGTACTGAAGAACCCCTGTGACAGACAGCTCAGGGGTAAATAAATAACGGGGATGTGTGGGTTACATTAAAGCGGCGTGAGACACTCCCCACTGTGCTTTCGTGGCCATGCCTGTTGATCAGGGGTAAATGATGACGTCTGGGGATCTAGGGGTACAATGACAGTTGCGGAGGGAGGTGAAAGCAGAGGGATTGTGGAATGGCCTTGCAAAAACTCTTAAGGATGTGTGAACTTGCTGCAGCATGATCAGAGAACAGGAGATGATGCTTGTCTGTTCTGGAACACTGGACACAGGAATGCATATGATAAAGTGGAACCGCATTCTGGACAGCTCAGACATTCAAATTCCAAGACCTCTTGAGCGTCGTACTGTAGGTTGAAGTTAACTTGCATGAGTCTGTGGCATTGACTTGCACAGCGGCTTGGCTGTACAGCAGCATAAAGGATTTCCACTGCGTTCAGCAACATGCGCCATTTTGGCACAGTGTGTGCTTCTTGGTTCTAGCAATATATTAGTCAGCATTGTGGTAAAAGCGCTTGCACTCTTTGTAAAGCTAGCTACGAGCAATGAACAGAAGCCTCAAGGTCTCCAGCATCGTATTGCATTTGGAATTCCAGAATTCTGTGATGTCATCCGGTGACCACTTTCACAGTGCAGTCCATCCTATCTAGAAGGACGACATCATCAGCTGTCATTTCTTGGGCTCCTCTTCTTTCAGCACATCAATGCCCGCAGCAAGTTGTCGTCGCCGCTCACGATAGATCTGATTCAGTCGAGCAAACTGCAGCACAATCCAACAAGCCCATTAGATCCCAATTTTGCATCAAGCGCAGGTGTCAATACCGCGGACCAGATCAGGGTCTGTGTCCAGCTGTATTACCTCTTTCCTGTGATGAAGGCATTCCAGGTAGTCCTCGCGATATGCGTGGCATTTCCTGGGGTCGTCTGTGTCTTCCATGCACTGCACACCAGCAGAAGGAGTTAGATGCTGACCCCATCTTGTCACGGAAGGAGCGGCCCCTTCTTCTTTCGACGAAAGCATTCTTGTGCCTTCTCGATTGTGTAGCAGACTGGTGAAGGGATGTTGAGACAGCGGTGCTGTACCTTGGAGAAGTCCATCCAATTGGGGTAGCATCTGCACAGTCATCGCCATAGCACTATCAGAAGGATAGTGCTTGATGCATGATGCATGACGATTATGAGATCAGCTTCAAGGAGGACCAACGATTGAGGAGTCCTGATTTAGGTCAGGTCTGGACATACCTGCCAGGGGCTCCTGTGAGCCCAAAACCACTGGCCATGATGTGAAGGTTTTAACAGACTTGTGTCTTATATTGAAATTTGTGTATAGGGGTTTAAGGACAAGGCGTGTCACCAAATAAGTACTGATGTCAAGAATGTTGCTTCAGATTGACTACGTTAGAACAAGTGTAGATTTACTCCTCATCAAAAGTTTATATACTCACAATTGGGTGTGCTTTGAATACGATTGCTTTCCATCGCAATCCTTTCTCCTAAAAAAGCTTGCCTGCTTCAAGATTGGGGCCTGCCCTCACCATCCGCTCGCATGCAAATTTTGGTCTCAATGAAGAGATTTCCGACCATCTTTCACAAATGAGAATTGCTTGAATAAGAGGTTTCGAGAACCATTACAGAATAACTATTGCGGATTGCCTCAGGCAAAAAAGTCCGGTGTTGCCGACGTTCCATCACTGCTCAACAAACGTTCCAGCATGAATAGGAGACTCCTAGGTAATACATAATTCATAGTAGTCTGTTATGATGTCATCAAATCCAGTCAAATCATGTGTTGCGCAATCTTTGTGTCGCCATCACCAATCCAATAACCTCGGATTTGGCATTATGCCATTCCTGCATTCTTTCGTTATGCTGGACTATCACATTGTGCAAAATTCTTTTACCACCTTTCAAATTGCTTACTTCTTGCTCGTGAGCTAAATTCATGTCCGCGGTCACAGATCCCTTTCAGAGCGTTCAACTTCCAGAAGCTGTCGAGGAGGTCTTAGAAAGGGGCTCAGCAAGATGTGTGGCATTCAATGCGTGGGGAACACTACTAGCAGGTAATCAAAGTGTGCCTATGTCTATGCATCAGCGTGACAAAGACAGGGCCCTGGCTGAGGCCTGGGATGTGATTGCAGAGTCAGCAGGCAACTTCTTGGCTTTTTGCCCTTGTCTGTCGTGTTCTGCTGCGTCTGACGCATTAACGGTGTACGCAGTTGGGACTGAGAGTGGAGAGGTGGTCGTGTGGGACTTTGAGACAAGGGTGGTGGCCCGCACCTTCAAAGCACATGGCCAGCCGGTCACTTGCGTCACATGGGCACGAAATGGGCGATATGTGATGTCTGGCTCCCTGGACAGGACAGTGGTACTCTGGGACATCCTGGACAACAAGCAGGCAAGATTCCTGCCACTTTGCCCAATTACAGCTTCCTATTAACTCCATGTGCTCTCCTTTCCACTCCATCCTGACAAAATAGGCCCAAGAGAATGCTTCTGGGGTTGTCTTATACCCCCTTTTGTGTTGCAGGCTGCCAAGATGTCATTTGATGGCCCAGCAGTGGCGCTGAGTGTGGATCGGAGGGACCCTTTCCAGGCCCTTGTCAGCTTTTCCCAGGGACCCCCAGAGTTTGTAGACCTCCAGCAGGGCAATTCAGAGCCACTCCCCATCATCCAGCTGGGTGAGGCCATCACCCAGCTGTCCCTGCGAGACATCCATCCTTACCTGTGGCAACACCGGCAACAGTCTGAAGCAATGGCATCCTGCTACTCCCTTCCATGGTGTTTGAGGCTGTTCAAGGCATTTGCGAAATTGTGAAATTGAGCGCTGCAACTGCTACAGAGCCGGAGGGTAAGAAGGCAAGGGGGGCCGTTGCGCCGGTGCATGCAGTGGCGCTGCTGAGCAGAGACGGCGGCCGCATATTTGTCGGCCAGGCACGAGGCATTATCTCCGTGCTGGACAGGCACTCACTGCAGTTCCTGGACGCACTCAAGGTGGCCACCTCCTCCTCTGCTCTGTACCCTGAAAAGACAGGGCCTCATGCACCTATTTTCAAGCTGCTGCAGATTGCCCAGAACATGCCTTGTCATTCCATGCTATGGTTAAGGCATTCTTTGTTGGAGAGGTGGCCGTTCTTGACCTCACGACAGCCGCCTCCTCAAAAAATGCCTTAATTCCGTGCTGGCGAGGACAAGATGACACATATTTTGGACCCTGGTTTACAGACCTTGCAGAGAGCAGTGAGGCTCCCAGGCGTCAAGTTGGATGGCCAGGCGGGAAGCAACGTGGCAGAAGCAAGCAGAGCATGAAGGGCACGGGAATGTTTGCTGAGCAGGTGACTGGGGCTCCACGCACGACGCACCTGACGCTGAGCCGCAAGGGCGATCGGCTGCTGGCCAACTGCTCCGACCGTGTCGCGCGTCTCTTCGACGTCGCGGCCCCCGGAGGAGCAGACCCGCCCCAGCCCTTTGGCGCCGAAGCCGCCGCCTCCCGTGTCCGAACGCTCAAGGCACAGTACCTCTTTCTGTCGCTCAAGTCATGCAATTGTACTTTGCAGCACGGGGCAGGAAGATTTGTATTGCCGCGTAGGATGAGACACCTTCCGCCTGGCTGTGACCTTGTCTTGGGAGAAAGGCAGTGTGCTTTTGTTGGCATCCCAAACCCCGAATTGCTGAGGACAGCAAAGACCTTGTTTACCTCAATTGGAGCATGCAACAGGTCAGCGGCAGGCTCTGCAGGGTCTTGAATCGAGGCACATGCGCGCTAACAAGAGGAAGCGTGGCAAGGAACATCTTGATGTTTCGCAGGCGGCGAAGGCCGACGGCGGGGGTGCGGCGGAGGCGGGCGCGGTGCTGCGGCTGAGCCGGGAGTTCCAGAACTCGCATGTGGAGCGCAGCCCGTGGCGGGCGGTGGTGTTCAACCAGGACATGGAGTACGCTGCGGGCGCCACTGAAGACCACCGTTTCTACTTCTGGTCCCTCGTCGGCGCCAACCTGGCCACCATCCTGGAGTTTGAGGGTGCGCAGCCCCACCATCTGCTAATTGCGCCCCCTGTTTCCACATTGAAAGGGTCCTGCAAGCCCATCTGGCGATGTCAGAAGTACGCTGTCAAACCACAGCTACCTGAAGTGCCTGTGCAAAGTTTTGTCTTTCGCAGGCATGAGAGGGATTGTTGATAGGAACGGCTGTGAATGAGTTGGACATGGTCCAACAGGTGCCAAGGATGACTTTTTGGACATGGCCTGGAACCCGGCGCGCAGCTCGTTTGTGTCGGTGGGCACGTCGGGCAAGGTGTACGTGTGGTCGCGCATCTACAAGGAGAACTGGAGCGCTTTTGCACCCGACTTTGAGGAGCTCGAGGAAAACCAGGCAAGCCAATGCACCTGACATTCAATGACCGTGTCTGGAAGTTTTCAGCTCTACAAGATTGCCTCTGTGGCGCCACCACAATCTTTCTGGGCCCATCAGCCTAGCAAGTGCACAATCCTCTGTCAAGGGATGAGCAGCCTGCGCCGGGGCGTTGCCCAATCCTATAGAGATTTTCTTGAATGGGTTGGGCGTGAGTGGCTTGTTCCTTATCAGCTTCAGGGCGCCCGTGGAAGAAAAAAGTGCCAGTGGTTCACGATCAGCAAGTACTGTAGCACTCTGTGCAACGGGCGCAGGAGTATGTGGAGCGGGAGGACGAGTTTGACAACAACCTGCGCCCGGCTGAGGAGAACGGCCACGCGGGCGACGCCGGCAGCGACGATGATCCAGACGTTGACGTGGAAACAGTTGAGCCGGACCTGGACGCAGACTGGAGCAGCGACGACGATGACTATGAGGCGGCTGCCGCGCAGCCGCCGCTGAAACACCTGCCCATCTCCATCGAGCGGCATGTCTCGCCGGCGCCTGAGGCGCCCCCAGAGTGAGCATCTTTCCTGCCCCTCTGCCGGTGGCAGGGCCCTTCAAGGGACTGCGGGCCGCTTTCTTTGACAGGAACTGTCTTGCGTGCAGTAGGAGACCTGCCTCGCTTTCTAGGATAGCAGCATTGTCTGTTGGTGGACGTGTTGGCGTCACCACAAATAAACCCTTGTTGTACTTGTGGACTGCGGGGCACGTAATACTGCAGTGCTCAACCTAAACTGCGCACCCTGGAAAAAGTGATTTATTAAACAGCTTCCCGCAGGGCTATTTTCTTGATCAAAAACTTTGTTATGTGCATTAAGTACGTCCCCCAAAGATGCGCCTGCTCAAGAGCTTTCCAAATCCGCCTTCAGATCTAAAATAGGTTGAAGTATTTGAGGAGTTAGGGTTTTACTTTCGACCCTTTTTTCAATTTTTACAATTATTTTCCGCGCAGTTTAGGTTGAGCACTACAGTACCATGCTGGCGCAGAACATGCAGGTGCACTTGTGCGCAGCCTAATGGCTAGGATGAGGCAAACTTCCAAAAGCATGTGACTGCAATTTACTGAATGCTGCGGTGTGCTTTGTGAGCTGCAGGGATACGAGGGAGGATGCGGCGGAAGACATGGACACGGATGGGGTGAGCCTGTCGGCCAGTGATAGGGATGACGCAGATGATGAGCCGCAGGCAGCAAGCGAACGGCAGACGGAGGCGGAGTCCGAGGCCCTGGGCCGGGGCCAGCGCAACCTGGCGCGCAGCCGCAGCCGTGGAGAGTCCGAGGACGAAGCCGACCTGCGTGCGCCCCCATTGCCACTGCACTCGTCTACCTGGACCAGCAATCCCGAAAAAGCTTTCAGTTGGTCTATCCTAATGCGTCAGGACAGTACTGCAGTCACTGCATGCATGCGCAGGACTTCAAGTCCCGGAGCAAAAACCACACAGGTGTTGTCTCTGCGCCTGCTACTTCCAGCGCAATTGAAATCTCGGCCACGGTCACCGACTAGATTGTGGTGCAGTGCGTGCAGGGAGGCAGGAGAGTGCAGGGAGGATGCGGCCGCCCAACACTGCACTCCCGTCGGGCCTGGACGATCTGGAGATCCCTGATGACCTGCTGGGCGGCATGTGAATCTTGTGTAGTGAGAGGCATGACTCCTGTGTGCAGCTGCAAATGCATGTTGATTTTCTGCTGGATTCTGCAGCGTTGTGAGTGTGTTGGAGATTTTTGGTTCTTGTCTCCCCTTAAAAAGGGCTGTTTTGTATATGTAACCCTTGCAAGCAACAGATAAAACCTCGTTCACTTTTGTTGGCATTTAATTTGACCTTGGAAGGCCTCTAATTTGGAGGCTCTAAACAGTTCTAAGAAAGTTAAAAGGAATCCTTTTGCTTGCCTGTGAGTTCCGTTATATCTGAGCACAGTCTCGATGGCTTTGGAGATGCATACAAGGTGCAGCTGCAGGTAAATTTATACTATGGACCCCTGGCCTCAAATGGTAGAATTTTTTGTGGTCTAGTAGTCTTCTACCGTTTTCTTTGGGTGTCTGACACCATCGCACTGCATGTCGGGATGGTCACCAGCAGAGCTAATACTGCAATTTTCCGCAGCGTAAACAGAGTCGTGGTTTCTCTGGTTGCAGGATACTTGAAAGGCAGAAGCAGCATTCGTTTGCGGAGACCTCCTCATGTTGGGGTGCTCTTCCGTGCAGACCAGCAACTAACCGCATGTTGTTCAGAGAGAGTGCTAGATATCGACACCCTGGCCGCATTTCTGCGTCCAGTGCAATGCAAGAGTATGTCCCCAATCGCTGCTTTCATTTAGCTTTCTTTCTGCGCCGCTCGAGGCATACATTATAGAAAGCTAGGTCTAACAACTGTGGGTGTAATTGGGCAGGGAACCAGCCGATGCAGTGCCCATGGGCTTTGCGGCCTATGATCTGGAAGAGAGCCTACTGCAAGATCAGGCAGAGAGCCTTGAAGAGTACGCAGAGCTGAAGAGTCTGCTCTTGAAAAGGACACAGCGAGCCGGTGCCTTCCTTGCCGGCTACCTCTTCCTCACAGTCTCGGGAACGGTAGGGATTTTGACTGTCCTTCGGCTAACAGAATAACTCTGCAATGAGTTATTGTCCTTCTCTGGACTATAGCTGAAGACCATGCGCAAGTGGGTTGTAAGGGAGAAGGTGAATTGATGCAGGCGGCACTGTCAACGCTGATAGGAACGGCGGGCAGCTATGCATATCTGAGCTGGCTTATACATGACATGGACGGGCTCTCAGAAGACATGGTGGTGCCCTTTCGCAACGCCAGAGCTCTGCCGGGAGGCCCTGTGCGGACAGTCGCCCTTGGCTTTGCAGCTTACAGGTGTGCCGCAGCACCCGCATTTACTCACGGCGGTAAATTTCAGATTGCCATATTTCTGCCAAACATGCATGTTTATTGGTTGTACCATCTCACGATTGTCTTTGCTGCAGGCAAGCTCTGAAGCCCAGGCTACTGGTCGCTGTAGCATTGGCAGCGGCAGTGGCTGCTTTCAGCACTGTATCTGAGACTCCGTTGGGGCGTGTGGAGCAAGGCTCCTTGCTGGCTGGATTCCTGTCCTACAAGGTGACAAGCCTAAGACCCCATAGACTGAACACTGTATCCCCCTATGGAGTCCTGTGGGAGTTGTGTTGGTCAATCCTGATTGCTTCTGGCATTACTGCAGGCGGCCCTCCTTCTCAATCTTTGGGATACAGTGAAGCCAAGAGTTGACCCAGAGGCGATCAGGAGGCCCAAGCGGCCAGAGCTGGCAGTGTTGCCTCCTGTGGAAGAGCTTGCAAAGCCACAAAATCTTGCAAATGAAGAGTGAGGGTTTATTTTCGGAGAACACAATGATACATGAGCGCATGTACCCACGACTGTGTTGACAATGACAGTCATGAGTGCGCCAAAGTTTGCCGGTCAAACTGGAATTCTTTGACGTCATCACTGCAATTTTGCTTTCTGAGAAATCATCATGTGAGTTTGGAGAAGATTTAGTTCCGTATGGTGGCTTTGTGCAGAGTCTCCTTCAGCTTTGTTTTTGTGTTTGCTCCTCACGAGGTGCAGACAGCTTGTCCAATATGTTGTGTCTGCAGAAAAGATCTGGGTTTAAGATATTAATCATCCACGCTTTGATGATTGTAACACCATGGTTGGCTGACAGAAGCGCTTGCTCTTCTTAGAGAATTTTTTTTGTCTTCTAACTTCCTACTTTCAGCAGCTTTTTGCTAATGATACCAAATAGTCATGTGGTCCTGAGATGACATATCAGAGAATAGACTCCTGAAACCCCAGAATTCTCCGCATCAAGAAAAGAGCAGAATTGCTCCGAGCAATTCTGAGTCATGAGTCATTGTATGAAAATCAAAGCACCCACACTCCGTACAGGTGGCCCCGGCATGCAAGAGTCCTAAACTACAAGCTAACGTGTACAAGCGTCCCAAAGCATCAGGCAGCAGGCGCAATGGGGACGATCCTAGTGATTTTGGCCCGACAGAAGGGACACTGCGGTGCTCGTGAGGACAGACTGCAGACTGCCTTGGCGCAGGCGATGCACATCTTGTGCTTACAGACGTCGACTTCCACTTCACTTTCAGCATCCATACAGATGTGGCATTCTGTGTCCGGAGGCTCCTCCTTTTGCTTCCCATGTGCCTGCGCAGAGCAGCAGCAGCTCAACAGGAAGCCGCCTGACACAGCAGATTACTGGACAGTTGGACTTTTCAAATAGACATTACAACCAAAGCAAAGAGCAGACGTAGTGCACAGCATTCAGAAAAGCTGCCTGCTACTGTGGCATGCAGAACTGAGGAATGGGCAAAGCAGCTGCATGAGCAGTATGGCATGCCTGGGAATAGCTGTCAGGCAGGGGCGGTGCGCTGGGTTCGGCATGTTCATGGCGCGAAGACAGCGGCGGAGCGCTGGGCTGCGGATGCTGGTCAGCTGGCAGTGTAGAAGGAGCACTGGGGCCCGCCTCATGCGCATGTGATGCAGCCTGCTGCGCCCGTGCCTGCGCTGCCTGCCCTGACGGCCCTGTCCACAGACAGTAAAATGCTTTTGAGATACTCACGCCTCCGGCTATTTTGAAATGTTCAGAGGATTACACATGACAAATGGCTGGCAGTCCAAGGCAGATATCGACGGGAGGCAAGAGCACGACTTTGCAGAGCCTTGTGCTTTGGGAGAGCCAAGCATGCGAATGATGAGGCACTTGTTCGGCTAGCAGCACACCTCTCGAGGCCGGCTCTGGAACAGACACACGTGGCTCGTGTGTGAAGGCAGGTCGCCGGGCCTCCTGCTCCTCAAAGGTCTTCAGCGAGTCTAGAAGTGCACGCCGCAGCTCTGGATCTGTCTCAGGCAGCGGTGGCGCATTCTGGCTAGCAAAGAGCAGCTCCACAAGGGTCACCCTGTGTGTATATAAAAAATATACAATCACAGCTGCAGCTTGATGATATCTGTGGCAAACATTTATACTGCGATCATGTGCTGCAGAACCTGGCTGACAAGCTTACACATTACTGACACTCTCCATCCTTGTTGCAATGACACAGACTTGCGTGCAGGATTGCCCGGCTCTTACCGCCACTGGTCTACCAGGACTGGCGTTAGCTGGTAGTCGATCAGGTTCAGTGCTGCTTGTCTCAGCTCAGGAGGGACTCCTGCGAGTAGGCCACCCTTGTCCCTCCTGCTTCGCTCTGCATATTGATCCTCGTAGCGCCTGCTTCGGTGCCTTCGATATTGCGTGTTGTTCTCCCTCTCAGCGATTGCCAGCTGCAGCACCACAGCGGGTTAGTGGGGAACGGAGAGCACAGGAAACATATCACAGCTGGTATTTGGGAGGGATGGTTTTCGGGGTGCACCTGCCATCGCACCCACTGCAGAGCTCCCACAGATACTGTCAGAAATGTAAGCTTCAGTGCGTCAAACCAGCTCGCTGGACTCGACAACTGCTGTCCCATGGAAGTGATCTAAAACTGTCTAGAGTAGATGGCTGGCTGCGCTTCTAGCGCTCAAATTGAAGGAAACATTGCAGACAGGTAGAACAGCATAGGGAAGTATTGTTGGAGCTACAGACATAGAACGATGTCCCTTGAGAACATCGACTTCTGCTGAATGCTAAGGGTCGATATCCGTGAAGAACAGGGGCAGTTACGATGAAGCTGCATCAGGGTGATGTTTTGACCAAAGTCACCTCTGCCTACCGATCGCAATTCTGCAGCTACTCATAAATCGTCAAATATTATATAGGACGTGAAACTGCTCACTAGCGAACAGCGGTTGAAAGGTCGCCACATCTTTTCGCCTTCGTTCAGCTTCCAATCACTCGGACAGCCCGGCCAGCGACTTGACGAAGGGCATCGCTACATCGAATTCTATTCATCACGCTTACCATGGGTAACTGCAACTGCGCAAGCTCCGAGACGAAGGACGACCCTCTTCCTACAGGAGCTCCTGCAAAATTGCCTAAGAATGGCGATGCAAAACCAAACGGAGCTCCGTTCAGCTACTTGGTATCGTCATCCTTTCTATGCTGTTATTAGAAATATTTTACATCAGAAGGGGGCATTTACGCACCTCCCAGACCTGTACTAACAATGTAGCATGGCGCTTGCAGGCTTCCCACAGGGCCATCAAACATTTGGGCAGAGGGGCAGCTGCAGATACTTGGCTATTCGTAGACCGCAAAAGAAACCGTCTAGTGGCCATCAAGCTGTTCCCCAGGCCCATACCAGCTGGCTTGCGAGACAGCACCCTCAGCGAGATCAAGGTAGCCGTGCTGGGGGCTGCCCTCCAAGTCTTTCTATGCCCTCTGCACGACTCTCATGCGCTACCATGTGCACGCAGTCAGTCTACATGGCAATTGCCAGACAATGTACAAACTTGGCGATGGCTGGTGACTTTGCAGTGTCAGATGGAGCTTGGGCCAGGTCACATCAACCTCATCAATGTATACGAGGCGATCCTGACGCCTGATCACCTGGGCATCGTCATGGAGTATGCTGCGGGCGGTGCACTGACTGCCCATGTGGCAGAGCGTTGGGGTGCTGCCAAGCCCGGCGGCCTCATCTTGACTGAGGACGAAGCCAGATTCTTTTTCCGGGTGAGCCAACTGCAGCATCTGGTGGGGCAAGTATAGTGAGCCGCCGATCAAACAATGTGTGCTATCATGCAGCAGTGCCTGCAAAATGGTAAAAATTTGAAAAGGCTGAGTAGATTCATGCATGCGCAGCAATTCATTGAAGCCGTGGACTACTGCCACCGAAACAAGACAGCTCACAGGTGAGCAATGTGCCAAAAACTCACTATTGGCCCAGAGATGTCGCTTAACTGTGGACACACCACAAGACAAGACAACCTGACCGAGCTATGTGGTGCAACAGAGACTTGAAGCTGGACAATACCCTACTGGACGACCAGAAGCCGCCCTTCCTCAAGATCTGTGACTTTGGCTTTGCCCGGCACTGGTCCAATGACAGCCTCTACAGAACAAAGTCCCACCTTGGGTGCGCTTGGCCCATGCTGAAAATTGCCGACATTGCATCAATAGCCCAAAATGCAATGTAGCTGCAGAAAGTTCAAACAAGGTACCGAGCTCATGCACGGCCTCAAACACTTCATTGTGGCCTTAATCTTTCGCAAGACTTGTAGTCAGCATCTGGCAGTGAAGGGCTAGCCTGAACAGCCTAACACACACATCTTCAGGCACATCCCCACCAGATACTGATTAATGGTGATCTCCCAGAAGTACTAATAATGATACTAATGGTAGTAATATCAACATAAAATTACAGCCTGAGGTGGCCATGTGGTGCAGGACACCGGAGTACATGTCGCCGGAGCTGCTGCGCAATCAGAGCCGCGACAAGAAAACACTGAAGGATTACGACCCGCGCTCCGTTGACGTGTGGGCTTCGGGCGTGCTGCTGCTGGTGTCCCTGTGCGGCGCATTCCCCTGGGACCACACCCGCCAGCACGACAACTTCAACAATGACCAGGAACTCGACCTGTGGTGCGCATGGCCATGTCCTTTCCTGTCCTGGTGCAGGAATACAGCACCTCCCTGGTTGCATGGGAGTTTCAAGGCCTGCGGCCTGGGAGATTGCCAAGCAGGCCCCTTCCCCTCTGTGCCCTGTGCCAACCCCAAAAGATTCGCCAAGAGTAGCGTGATCTTGTGACCTGTCAGGCTGTGCATTGCATGTGGAGTGCTGGAGCCATGACCCAGAGGGCGTGGTACCCACTCTTCACTTAAGAAAAGCAGTCCGGGAAGAGGAGGGCGCGGTCTGTCATCTGTAATGTCATCTGTGTGGCGTGGCTGCGCAGGCTTCAGGAGGTGAACAAGCAGTGGAACGAGTCGCCGTTCATCGCGGACAACGTGGATGCGCTGTCGGCCGAGGCGCGCGACCTGCTCAACCGCATCTTTGTGCTGGATCCCAGCCAGCGCATCACCATCCCAGAAATCATGCGCCACCCCTGGTGCGCACACATGCCACATTATCGGCATCATGACTTCTCCTCGGTGTAGTAGCACATCAGTTTGGATAGTATGCCCACTACCCCACTTTATTTGATATTGTAAGGAAGACTCCCAGGGCGTTGCCAATCTTCTGGTTGTCGCTTAGGTTGGTGTTTAGTATGTAGATCATCTTAATGAACCATGTTTGGTTATGCTGGCCAACTCCCTGCTCTTTCGGTATATTGCTGTTGTTCAGGGCAGTAAGGATGAGTACTCTGCCACACGAGGCAAACCCCAAGTGCACAATGCATGCTGCGTGCTTGATGCATTGATAACTGCCTGGGCAGGTACACAAAGGCGCTGCTGCCTGAGCACCAGGAGGCGCTGGACAGCCTGCATGAGGAACAGCGCCAGGTGGACGAGCACCTCAAACACCGCAAGCTCGACCCGGTAAACATGCTATGTCCACTCACTGCTTGTTCCTGGTAGAATATCAGCGACACAGGGCCTACTTTGGTGATCACGTATTGAATAAGGTTTGTGCATTGGGAGCTTCACGTGTTCAGTAGGACGGGAGAGAAGGTGTTTGTCTGCAGAGCCTAGCAAACAGCAATGCAGTAGCTTTCACGACGTAGCGCAGGGCATAGGGATCCTTTCTCCCTCTGGCCGCTGAGGGCTGCCGTGCCGTGACAGGTGAAGGTGGCGGAGCGCTTGAAGAAGCTGGAGCTGATCGTGGACGCGGCCTGCAGCAGCGAAGCCTTGAAGGACAGCAGCAGCCACACCCGGCAGCTGCGCCCGCTGCACGTCCTCGACTTCAAGCGCCGCGAAATCACCCGGGTGAGACGACACCCTCCCAGCACTGAAGAATCTTACAGTTGACCGGCATGAGCACATCTCTGCAGCATTTATTGTGTATTGAGCAACTTTTGGCTGTCTCACGCTAGTGATCAGTGCCTGGGCAACAGTCATCATGATCGGTATTGTGGGGAAATGCTGTGCAATTCACTGCATGCAATGGTTGCCCTCAAATGCATTTTGCTATGAGGAAATGTAGGTTACTAGTTGTAGCTTCTAAGCTGCCTCTGCTGTTGCTGCAGCTGGACCTGACTGAGAAGTCGGTGCTGCTCGGCGAGTCATGCAAGTGCTCGGAGGAGCATGCGACCGTGGCAGACAGAGCAGCGGGTCTAGCAGAGGCCAAGAGCGGCAAGCTGCATGAGTCAGCCTCCATGAAGTCCTTCAAATCAAATGGCAGCAGCAGCAACGGGGGAGAAAAATCCAACGGGCACGCTTGATGGGCGTCTTATGTTTAACTGGCCAGCCGAGCTCACTGTGCAGAGCTTGAGGTTTTGATGGCCGCAGCAGAGGTGACCCTGTTGCAGACTTGTGTTGAGCAATTTTCCTGGATAGCAACCCAGGTGGTGTCAGTAAAATTTTCTGAGACTTGCTGTGACATTGACAGTGGTCCAAAGTTGTGTGTGAATGTGCAGTGCTTGAGTTGCATTGGGCTGTCTGTTGTCCCAGTATTTGCAGTCAGCACGCATGAGTTTGACTAGAAAGGTTGGTTCCAGTTGGTCTTTCTAGAGTATCCTGTGGATACTGGCAGACCCTCAGCATCTTATTTCATCGAGCTCTGTTCTGCATTTCTTGTCTAGAAGCTGAATGAGGGTTTTATGTTGTCCAAGAAGGGTAGGTGCTAATTCAATGCACACGTAGACAGCTGCAGTTCTCAACTGCATTTATGACTCCACTTATCTGGATGAACGTTTGTGTCACCCTTTATGTCAGGCTAAATGATGACCGATTTTGGTTGGTTCAAGGATGGTTCAGTGTGTTTATACCGATCGCATACACATTGGCTGTGAGACTTTGGTCAGTCCTGGTCAACTGTAAAATTTCCGTCCTATTTTTAAAAAAGGTTACTATTGAGCAAAGAACATGCCAGCAGATATATTGAGGATGAAGAGCATTACTAGATACAATCGACATGAACAGAACGGCCGCCAAACTCATCAGCATTGAAAACTTTTGATCTGCAAGGCTTGCATGCACAGCTCTACTACATGAGCAATGCAAGCTCTGTTGATAGGACAACTCCAAATCAGAGTGACTTTTGAAACGCAGTGCTTCTGTAATACCAACCAATTTTATCATCCCGTTGCTCTCTGTGGCAAGTGTTGCTCTTCTGGCAACACAGCAAAATTCTGCCAACATCACCCTTCGCAGCCTTGTGCACCTGCAGTCAAAATTGCCGCGTGCCTGCGTAGATCCCACCATCTGATGCATTACCCTGCCAAGGGCATGCGCGGCACCTTCTTGCCACTGGAGCCAGAGTGTGCTGCTCTCTTGAGGCCGCTGTCACGGTACAGTTTCGCAATCTCTGCGCCCAGCGCCGCGCATTTCGCGTCGGCCAGGGAGGCTGTGCCCTTCACCAGTGACAGGGAGTTGGCCAGCCGCTCCTGCCGCGCAGTCAGCGCCTTCACCGTCGCAGCACACGCCGTCGCCACCTGCGCAGTGTATTCAATCTTCATGGTTTGTAAGGAGGCTTTTGAATGCAAGGATGGTGGCTTAACTGTTTCTCCAGGTTTTGTGCCAGCACTTGTCAAAGACATTGTCTGAATACAAACACCCCGCCAGAAGATGCCCTCTGCATAAGGACAGCACATCATGACGGACTGGAGGCATCTGTGACCCGTTTCAGCTTTTAATCTTGCAGTTTTGAAGACATGCGCGCATCAGAGGTCGTTCTTAGATTTGATATTGACAACCGAGCTTTATCCGCAACGGCAAAGATGATTCTTGCTGTGCCCACGGGCGTCAAAAGCAAGACAGGGGCGGCAGAAGAAATAATCACCTTTTCGATGCGCCATTCAGCGGCCGCTATGCGCTGTTGGGCCCCCCGCGCGCAGCCGTTTGCATCGGCGGCTTCACCGTGCGCGCTGTGCAGCTGTTCCTCCATCGTGCACAGCCGCTTGTCCAGCGCAGCCGCCGCCACCGCATCCGTCACTGCCAGCTTTGCCTGCGTCAATGCAAACTGCACCAAGTTGCTTTGTTGCACTGTGATTTTCACACTGGAGCTTCTGCAGGCCATGCTTCTCTGTCATCGGAACAGTATCGGCCTCTCCATGGAGATATACATGGACACAACAGACTGCACCTTTTCCAGTTCCTAAGCGGCAGGAGTAGCCCTACTGTGGGGCCCAATTTGGTGTGAATTTCACACCATAATAGCTTGAGTTTGTTTTTTTGCAGTGCATGCACACTTGCTTGCATGCATCACAATGTTGCAGCTGCAGTGTAACCATGCATGGCTCGGCAGCACCTGCTCATCTTTGCTGATCTGTGGCTCATTTGGGCTGTGATGTTTCAACATGATAATAAACCAGAAAGTATGGCGCCGTTTTTGTGATGCGTTGGCGACTCAAGGTGGCTTGCTGAGAGGGTGGCTACCTACCTTGCTCCGGTCGGCAGCCATGAAGACTGTGTGGCTCGCCTCCAGCTGAGCCACTCTCTTGGCCAGATCTTGGAATCCCAGGTCGTGAGCTGCGCAAACAGCATAGCAATGTCTCCATGCAGCAGGTGAAACGAGATGCTTTAGTTGCGTGCTGATGCCTGCATATTGTTTCTGTAAGGTACAATGCACCGCACCTTTCTGGGCTGTCCCTGGATCTTTTTTCTGGTGGGCGTCTGAAGGAGCTGCTTCGAATTGTGTGGTAGGGTCTTCAAAGCAGGTGCCCTTCACAGGCAGCTCCAGCCTACACACCGAAACACCGAGCGTCACTTCAACTTTCAAAATTGCAAAGTGAGATCTTGAATTTAAGTACCAGATGCAGAATTTAAGCATTCTGCATGTGGCCTCTGGTGTTCATCAGAGCCATGAAAGCTGTGTCCTGACATCAAATTTTAGTACCTGGAGCCGGGTATCTCAGCAGTTGCCGTCCCAGCCGAGGCTTTTAACGGGCTGCCAGGCCGCGAGCAGGCCACCGCCGCAGCCTCTGCCACCGAAGCATGCAGATTGCCCTGTCACAGCAAAGAAGCTCACCGGATCCGCACTCATTATACTCTTACACACAAACATCTACTTCACATGCATCAGCAACACCAGCTATTGAAAATATACATCCAAACTCGTGAATGAAGTGATGAATGAATAGAACCTGCATTTCCATTGAGTAGGCTAGGTGAGGTGGAGCGGTGTCCTTCACAGGAAATTGAAAATAAAACATTGCAAGACCTTTATGGCGCTGATGCGCTCCTCATGCGCTGATGTCAGCTGGTCCAGCTGTGACGCCACACGGACCTCCAGAGCATCCAGCCGCTCGATAATGTCCATAGTGAATTGCTGATCCCAGCCTGATCCATTTTCAGCTGGAGTCTGTTGTGGCTGCTGCTGAGGAGGGGGTGCAATCTGCCACAGCCACGCATGCCCTTCAGTGCTCACTCCTTTTTTGATTGTGCTCAAATTTGTAACCATAAGATAATACGCAAGATATACAAGGCAGTGCGAACGCGGAGAAGGAAGAAAGGGCGCCCTTGCTTTGATATAATTGTGACAACACCATTGACAGGACTTTTCTCTGAAAGTCAAAGCAATCAGCTCCCCTACACATGTCCAGTTCTGCTCATTTTCTGCATCAATTATGGGCTTCATGTACAATCCAGGGCAGCTGGAAGCAGGAAATGCATGGGGCTGTGCACCTTGCGAGCTTCAAGGAGCTCCAGGCGGGCGCCGATGGCGCTGATGTCATCGGCGGTGCCTCGGCGCAGCTGAATCAGCTCGCACTGGATCCCCATGCACACGTCCTCGCTGCGCTGTGACCAGGCGCCAAACTTGGCGTCGAGCTGCTGCACGTCTGTCGCCAGGCCGGCAAACGCTGAAGTCATCGATGCCTGCACCGCATGCATGATGACGACCTCCAACGCATCCCTGTCCATCGCTCCCTTTGGCGCCTCCTGACCACTCTCCGCACCCTGACCGCAGGACAGACCAACATTCTGCAAGGTACCCAAGTAAGCCATCTTTCATTGAAATGCACAACATTCGAGCCAAATACAAGTACGGTATGTGGGAGCGTCTATACTCATGCAGGAGAATCTGTACCACAATTTTTTCTTTAGAATGGAAGGGGTGGCGCGGCGCACCTCGGCGGTTTGCTGGGTAGCAGATTGCAGCAGCTGCTCGGCAGCTTCCGTGCTGGCTGCCACTTGGTTATCATACACCTTGAACACCTCCTGATCACCGGGCGCATCAGTCATCCGGCCTTCATCCCGCGCCGCAGGACTCTCATTCTTCCACCGTGTCTCCTGTGCGGTATTCGCAAATTTTGCATTCAAAATTGGTCCGGCTGTCGTGCCAGCTGGCACACTCCTGCTGGTCCATGCCAGGGAGTTCCCCGTCGCGCGCATGGGAACACTGCCTGCACGCAAGATGCCGAGGCTGCTCCATGCCAGGGAGCCGGTGGCCCGCACGCTGCTCAGGTCCTCCATCTCTGCGGATGCGCTGGCTCTCACGGGAGGGGAGCTCCACATGAAATTCTGCTGCGCAATGGGCTGTTCTTGCTGCAGCGACAGACCCTGAGTGGGCTGCCAGCTCTTGCTGTCACCACCATATGGCACTTGCAATGCAGTTGGCGGGTATGGGACCGGGGTCAGCCCCTCTTGCTCGTGCACACTCTCCACGTTAGTCACAACGCTGCTCAAGTGGGAGCCCCTTCTGCTTGGCTGGGTTTCAACGGGCTCAGCACTGAGGCCCCTGGCGAGTTTCTGCTTGGTGGGTGGCTGTCTTTGTTCAGTGGCTGCCTGCTTCGAGCCAGCTGTGACGGCTGTAGGCGCGGAAGCGGGCTCTGATTTGCCGCGTGATCGGCCGCTCCTTTCACCCTCGCTGAGTGTGCTGACCCTCGTCCGGGCAAAGTTGCCCAGGCCGGGCAGCGCTTCGGGGAGGTGGGCAGGTTCCTGCTGCTGATGGGGCGCGTCCGTGGAGAAGGAGAATGAGTCATCCGCGCGCCTCAATAGCCCCTCATTATCCCTCTGCGCGTCAGCACCGCCGGGGGCAAACCTATGGACGAGCCATGGATGAGTCTGTGTTGGAGGCTGCACCTCTTCCTGTGCACTTGCCCCCTCTGCATGCGGCTGCATGGAAAATATTTGCTGCTGCGGAGCGAAGTCTTGCTCCGTAGCAGCATCCTCCTGGAATATGGACACATTCTCTTCCTGAATGCCGTATGCAGCTGAGAAGGCCGCAGGGTCAAAGCTGTCTGGCTCTGGCGGCGCTGCATCACTGAAGGGCTGCTCTGGCAGCGGTTGGGGGTAATCGGTGGTTGCTGGTGCCAGGGAGCTACGCCGGGAATGCTCGTGCTGCCGCTGCGGGGTGTTGGGCTGCATCTGCAAGGAAACACTGCTGCGTCCACTGCCGCTGAGCAAGGGGTGTGCCGAGCTCCGCCTCTGCATCACACATCCTGTCATGACTTTGCACATCACTTGCCTTCAGAAATCTGCACAACTCAAAGCAACGCTATCAAAATGCGCTGTTCACAGTCAAAGATTGTGGATAACTTTTAAGTTGCCACCAGGGATGCAGCACCCTTGCATGCAGTAATGCAGAGAGACAGATGGGCGGAGTACCTTAGCAAATAGCACGCCAGGGGTTGCGCCAGAGACTTGCTGAACCGGCGGCTCCTCGGGGATGTGCGGCAGCGCATTCACCGGCGCACTGGCTCGTCGCGCAGCCGCAAAGCTCGCGCGCGGCCCCGGCAGCAGAGAGAACGCCCCATCCGGCTGCCCCAGCTCACTGGGCGCGCTCAAACTCAGCCTGCTGGCCCTCATTTGGGGCTCAGACTGTGCAGCACTGGCAATGCTTCCTCTGCGGCTGGCCAGCACCTGCTGCTGAGGTGCAGACTGGGGTAACCTTGCCCCATTCGCCGCCACATTCTGGCTGCCACCTTGCCACACCTGCGTCTGCTCAGGAATCTCAAGATCCTGCTGCGTGTAGGGAGCCGTCAGATATTCCCTGCCGCCTGCCGCCATCTCCTGAGCGCCTGATTGCATAGACATGTTCTGGGGCTGCATCCCTGCTCTCTCTGGGAATACTTCTGCGGTGGCCCTGTGCATGTCCACAACACTAGCGCGCCTGTAAGCTGCACGGCCAGCGACGTCATAGGCAGGCGCAGTGCTACTGACCCTCCTGGTGGCTACCTGTGGAGGAACTATTGCTGCGCTAATGCCACGCTCCTCTGCAAAATCTCCACCGGCCCGCATGGCCGCTGCCTGGTATAAGGGAGGCTGTGCAGCCAGAATGGCCGGCTTATCGGCAGTGCGGCGCACAGGCAAGCCGCCTTGCGCGGAGCTGCCTCTCCTAGAGTAAATCTCAGCTGCAAGCGGAGTGGAATCCATGCGCTGGCTGGGAGGCATGGATGATCTACGCGCTGTCATTGGAGGGGCGGTCATCTGCTGAGCAGGAGTGGTTGCATGCATGCTGGCGCTCCTGCGCTGACGTGGCGTGAGTGAGCCGGGGCTGTCCCCGGTGAGCCTCGCCTGAGTCCGGATGGAAGCCCTGGACTCGCGTGGAAGCGGCCCTGCATGAAAACGTATGGTATGAGAAAAGCGGTCTGTCATGTACAAGCACTCTCTGTGGCACTCCTCTCAGCAGTCATCATCTTAGCATTAACATCGATCATGCAAGCGATCGAATCTGCGGTGCATGATAGTAGCTGACAATGACGGCAATTAGACGTTCCACAATGAAAAAGTAGACGTTCCAAGAACAAGAGACAATTATAGCAATACTGAACTGCTCAGGCGGGCATGTGGGAATCACCTGTGGCAGGCAGAGCCCTGGCAGTCACTTGCGCCTTGGCACGCCTCCACTGCTCATCGTCACTGTCGCTGGCATCAGCTTGGGCCGCACCCCTCTGCCCACCCCCAACCGCACCCCCATTTCTGGCAGCCCCTGTGGCAGCCGCAGCGCGAGTCGCCCTCACCATCGCCCACCTCTCATCATCGCTGTCAGACAGCACCTTTGAAGCTGCCTGACTAGGCGCTGAGTTTGGATTGTTTCTGCTGATTGACAGCCGGCCAGAGAGGCTGCCGCGGCCGCTTGGCACGGCCATCACCTTTGGTTTCTCGGTGGCCATATTCTTCATGCGCTGCCACTGCTCGTCGTCACTGTCTGAGTCTTCTGCTTGGGGCGCCTTTGCTGTGGCAGGGGGTACAGGCCTCGTGGTGAGAGACAGCCTCCTGGCTTGTGCAGTTGCTGCCACAGATGCAGTGGATAATACTGCAGGCGCAGCTGCAGAGAGCCTCCTTGTGACAGGGACCTGTCCAGCCTTGATCCGCTGCCACTGCTCCTCGTCGCTGTCTGAGTCTGCTGCGGCCTGTATGGGTGCAGCAGAGGGTGCTCGCAGAGGGTTGAATGCCAGCTGGCCTCGGAAGCTCTGCCTTGCTCCCGGCTCCTGTGCTTTTGCTACTGCCTTGGGTGCTAACGCCTTGGGCGCCTGCTGTTCAAAGGTCCTTCTTGGCAGGCGCTCACCCAAACCCTGCCAGAAAGATAGCTGGGGAAATTCGAATAGATGTAGTCTCCTTGCAGAAAGCAGGAAGATACGGATAGCAACTTGACAAGTGCATGGAAGAGAAAGGTGGCTCCACCTGAGAGCCAGGAGCTCTCTTGGCATGCCTCTGCAGCAGAGCATCATCGTCATCGCTGCTCTCCTCTGCGGCAGCTTTGGTTACAGCTTTAGCAGGCAATTTGGATTGGGGCGGTTTCTTCATTATGTCTCGGTGGCGGGCCATGAGGCGTTCGTCATCATCGTCACTGGAAGCCATTACTGTATTGGGCTACTTTCTTTGCTCAGAATAGCCTGCAGAAGGGCGCAAGACACCCTTCAGACCGTGTGCACAGTATATTTTTATGTGTGTTGGTCGGGATAGAAGCAACGAAGCGAATAACATGCTAGGTCCTCTATATAGCAACTCGGTTGACATCCACCTTATCACAGCGCTGTTGCAGCCGTGTGGCGGATATCGAAAATATCTGATTTCTATAAATGAACTTCAATCTTCAATATCATAAATACCACTTATAATCAGAATTTCCTGCATTACCCAGGAGGTCAATGCCGCTCGCTAAACCAAGTTTCCGAAAAACTCTGCCTAATGTCAGACTCGCGCAACTTTTCAATCTTAATAAATAATAATGATAATATGGTCTCTTCAAGTACAGGTTTCAAGAAGCGTCACTCGAGTGACGATGAGATGCATATTCTTGGCGATCGACAAATCTATTTTTATCTCGGGAATCACGTGGTGCATGCTGCATGCTGACCCATCACTTTCTCCTGTTGTTCTCTCAAAATATGGTGAGATCCCTCCTTGAAGACTACTGCATGCAAGGAACTTGTGCACCTAAATATCAGCGTCATTGTAATTGTTGACAGCCACATGGTGTCGCGCACACGGTGGGTGGCTTTTGCGAATTCAGTCGAAGACAATGATGGCCTTCAAGGAAAGTTTCCTAGGAGGCCTCCCAGGTGACACTGTGACACACTTTACGATGACATCTGGAGGCCTTCAGAAAAGCATCGTGACCATGCCGAACATGTCTGTACAGTCAGTGACATGTGCGCCATGGTTCTGGCCATGCACGCATCTCTACTAGAACGTGAAGTTCCCCAAGAAGCCTTCTTTGTATACAGCCCTTGTCGAGCGCCAGTGATAAAATGCCTTCTCTGTGATATCATCTTAGTGTTTCACCTCTGCTCATTGTTCCCAATTTCCAGGTTTGATTGCCCTATGTGACTAATGTACTACTATAGTATTGGTCTGCTCTCTTTGAGAACTACTGACACATAAACATGTTGTCCACTCACGGCTGTACACTGGAGGTCCCTTGCACCGTGAAACGGATTACTGTACAAGGTGTGGTCCGTTTTCTGCAAACGGAAGCTCCACTGATCTCAGAATGCTCCGTAACCCCCGTAGTTGGACTCTGCCGAGGGCGTTCTGGCAACAAAGAACAGCAGTGCACTCCCCAGTATGAGTGTGACCTGCACAACAGAACCAGTGCAGCTTTTCAGACATGGCTGCACAGATTGTGCTGTTGGGTAGGCCCAGGCCAAGACCGAGCTTACAGACCTGACATCGCTGACAAGCTCAATACCAGAGGTCAGAAGATCATTTGGGGTATAGTGAAGCACCTGAAATAAGCCTGCCACTCCTGGCCAGACATTCGTGACATCAGGATTGAGGGCATAGTGGCCCAGCAGCACCCACACCGCGCCAGCCACCGCTGCAAAGCTGACCATGTAGGATATGAACAGCCAGATGCGCGAGCGGCAGAACACACCCTCATCAAAGGGGTCATATTCCTGCAGCTCATCCCTGGCCAGCAGAACACATGCATGTGATTTAGATGTGAATTTTGATGGGAGACCTAAAGTGGGAATAACAACAACATGCTGTACTTCATTGCTGCGCAGCGAGGCATGCGCTTACCTTCTGATGGCATTGATCATGATGAGCGCCAGTGTGGCAATGATGCCCGGGAGATACTGCACGAATGGGACTTTGGTGTTGCTGGCTGCACAAGCATCAACCCAGAACCACCAGCCCCCACCGAACAGCGCTCCTGCAAGGCCTGGTCCATACGCCTTCGCCTACAAAGTCGATCAATTCCTGTCAGAGTAGGTTCAACAAGTATATTTACATTTTAGGGAAAAGTCAGGACGTCTTGATGCCTGACAGCAATCCATGCTTGATATTCATATTGCCTAAAAATGGGCACATATGAAGCGGCCTATCTCGTCGAATCACTATTTCTGTCGTATGGGAGGACATATAAGCCAGGACATTGGAGCACCTTTTCTTCCCAGAATTGCAGTACTTGAGGCGAAACAAGTAATTCTGCTGAAAAGCAGGCCGGACAGATACTGCAACCGTCCATTAATCGGTCCATTACTTTTATGAATCCTTCGACTATCTGTCCCAGAGATTGTCTTCCACCAGGTTGGAGATGCAGGCAGATGATCTGCAAGTTATGCAGCGCTTCTTTCACTGAGATAGATTTATAGCCAGTATGCAAGATCCCTCGTGTTCAAGTGATCTGAAGAGATGTATTGTCTTCGCTTTGACTGATATTATGAAAAATATTGGGTTTCTCAATGGGACGTTGAAGGAGGTGATGGGAAACCAAGCGATTCACCCATGCACAACTCCATCAACGTTGGACGTGATAAGCATTTCGAGGCACCTGCCACTGCATTAAGACTTTCACAGACGCAGAGTCAGAGATATCGAAATATACCACTTTCATCTCAATAGACCCATGCGTCAAGAGTGGCTCTCATTTGAAACCACATGGACAGTCATGAATAGTGATCACTAGTCACTCAGGGATATCCCTCGATACGTATAGCAGTGATGCCGCAGCAGAGGTACCCTGAAAAGAGTCAGAGGAATGGCGTTTGGGACATACAGTTCAGTGAAGCTTGAACACCAGGAACAACACACAAAGCTCTGCTGCATGTGACCCGGGCCAAAGTACAGTACATCCCAAACAGAGGGGAAAACCCACTGTTTTGCATGGTACATTCCAGCACAATCTAACGTTGATTCATGAGAAGCCTGCAGCCCATCAAGTGTTCAGGTCTCCTGCTCCACTGGCCTCAGCAGAATGTCATTTGTATCCACATGGTCTGGCGCTGAGAGGCACCACACAACAGCCTGTGCGATGTCAGCAGGCTGCAGCGCTTTCATGCTGCTGTACCTGCAGCACCAAATTGCCACCATTTCATTGCAGTGCATTTAGTTGCAGGGGTGATTTTTAGCGTCCAGGTTGGTAGCCCTCAAGGCATGTATTACTGTAGTGCCAGTGGCAGAGAGCTGTGAGCAAGGCTTCAGTCAGCTGCGAAATATTGTTTGGAGCACTACTACCTGTCCTTTGCAGCTGCTTCATCGCCAAACCCATGCACAGCCAGGAACTCCGTCTCCACCACTCCAGGAGATATGCTGGACACCCTCAAATCCACTTTCCTGCCACGAGCCTGCACCATCAACCACCATTTCCGCTGTGTAAGGAAATCATTACGTGCGCTCCTCTTTCCTTCATTCTCACGCAGAGAAGCTCTTGCCATTTCTCTGCAGGCCTCCCAGAGCACACAGCCGTAACGGCAACCAATTATTTGATGTGGACGGGTGTGTGGTGAGGTGGAGAACAGGAGAATTTGCAAAGACCGGAATTTCCAGTCAACAGGTGGGCTTAAGATTGCAAGCAAAAACGCCTGACCTCTTGGCGGAGGCCTTCGGTGAGGGCCCTGAGGGCGTGCTTGGTGGCAGCATAGAAGGAGCCGCCGGAGGCGCCGTTGGGGACGCGGTGGCCGCTCATGGAGCTGATGTTGATGATGTGACCAAACTGGCCCCGCCTCGTCATGTCCTGCATAGCACAATCCTCGCTTCCTCAGCCTCCATCTCACTCCATCTGAATGGGAGCTTTTTTTCAGCCACTCTCTCTGACCTATCATAGTCGCAGGCAGGAATAAGCAGAGCAGTCAAGTAAACACTGCTGAGCGGTCCCATGATCTTAATTGCATCTCAGCTACTGTTACTTGGCTCCTATGACACAAGGGCAGCAGCGATGCAAGGACAAAAGGCCATTACACATGATAACACCAAGAGCAGGCAACAGGCTCCTGAACACTGCGACACCGAGGGTAACATGCTCTGACAACACTGTGCCACCAATTGAGAGGAAGATGGATGCAGACAGCAAGGCAACTGTGACAGCAACTGCGGCAGCACCTTGAGGGCCTCGCGGGTGCACATGCAGACGCCGAGCACGTTGGTGGAGATCATTTCGACCCAGCTGGCGGTGCTGCCGTCCCAGAGCGCGGCGTTGTTGCGGCCGAGGCCGGCATTGTTGACCAGCACGTCCACTCCCGACCCCGGCCACCGCTTCACTATTATCCGCGGCAGCGCCACCACCTCCGCCTCCTGCACATCATCAGTGGTGCGAGCATCACAGGCAGGTCCCACATTTCGAGTAGACTGGGTAGACATTTGCACTGGGTAGACATTTGCTGCTTCCAAAGTTTCTTCCCTCCTCAGCTGATTCTGCTGGACTGTGTCATTCTTATTCTGCATAAGGGAGGGTAAGGATGGGGCAACATTAGGCTCTTGCTGAGCAGGAGCGGATGTATGAAGATTTGAGTTACATGAAGTGCATGCCCCTTGCATAGCTTCATGGGATACATCTGCACCTATGGGATACATCTGCACCAACTTGCAAAAAGAGGCAGATGAACTGCCCAAGCCTGCACTTCTGTTGTGTGAATTGACGCTGAATTGTTCCACAAGACCAAGAAAATATATAATCGACAGCTGCGTTTCATCTCACTCAGAACGGAAGACAGCGCGCCTTGGTGATGTCGCAGACGACGGGCAGGAAATCGGCGATGGGGACGCCGCGTGAGACAAGCAGCTGCTGCAGGGACTCCAGCCGCTCGCGCCTGCGCGCCACCGCCACAACGCGCATGCCCGCAGCCGCCAGCGCCTCGCACGTCGCCCAGCCGATGCCCGCAGACGCCCCCGTCACAATCGCCACCTTGCCCCGCCACCTGCACAGCAAGCGATACAGCAGAATCGTTACACATTCCTTAGGAGGGGCCAACATTCCTGCTGAGGACCTTCCAAGCAACCTGCAAAAGCCTGGCATGTAACAGAATGTGGGATTCTTGCAGTCTTGGAAGAAAAATAGCTATGCCATGCATAGCTTGCAGGTGGCCCCTTTCTGCAAGGCATGATATCCGTGCCAAGCTCTTGGGTCCTATGACAGAAATTGCGAGCACCTTTCAATTCCTGCCGGTTTTGAGGCGATTGCAGGATCTGTCGCAGGTGCTTTTTCTTCATCTGCAGATGCTGTATCTGGGGCAGCACTATTTTCCTTTGGCGGTGCTCCACTCGAGGCTGCTGGTGTCAGAAGGGGAGCACTCTCAGACACCTCCGCCTGTTGCACAGGCAAGGCTTCATTCACTCAAAATAGTTTTGGAGATGGACACCCAAGCCAAGTCCCAACTATGTCAGAAATAAAGATGTTCAGAGATTTCGCTGTCATTCCATCCATGGTGGTAAGTACAGACATCGATCAGTTTCGATTGTGCAACATCTGTGCTATCAATAGTTCAATCAACACCCCAGCTTTTGCACATACAGGGCAGAGGAAGTGGGCGCACATTGGCTTGATCAGCTGGGGGCTCTGCAGGAGGCTCTGCAGATGAAGTGCTTGCTGCGGCTGCTGGGTCCTCGTCAGCAACCAGGGTGACTGGCCCAGAGATGGACCCAGACCCATTGCCCACCTGGCCGGCCAGCGCACGCCGAGCCACCAGTGTCAGCTGAGCAAAGGCGTCCTCCAGGTCATCGTTGAAGATGACGTAGTCATACAGCCCCTGCTCCTTGATGCTGCAGCACACACAAACCCAAATCATGTGATATTCAAAGTTGTGCTTTCCTGGTGCTTGCCCCATGTCAACATGCTCCTATGCAAATGAGGTGGATATGTGGGCATGCATGGAGCACTGTTACAGCAGGGTTTGTGTGTGCTGCAGCATCAAGGAGCAGGGGCTTTATGACTACGTCATCTTCAACGATGACCTGGTTGATTGAAACGCAACAATTACTGACGTGTGTCTAATGAAAACATTTCTGCCGCATGCCTGATCAAACTGCATGAAAAGACACTGCCAGGCTTCTGGTGGATGCTTGTCGACCAGTGCTGGCAACAGAGCCCTGGAGACGTTTGAGGTCATGGAGATGAAGAGTGCATGGGATGGAGTACCTGGCAATCTCCTCCTTGGCAGCCTGCAGACGCTCCTGAACCTGCTCCTCGCTCTCAGTGCCGCGGCCCCTCAGGCGCTGCTCCAAGGCCTCTGTGCTGGGCGGGGCGACAAAGACAAAGATGGCCTTTTGGGCGCTGCGCCGCACCAGCCGTGCGCCCTGTACATCAATGTCCAGGATGCAGCACTTGCCAGAAGATGCAACGTCCTCCACGGCCTGTAGAGAACTTGATCATGTCATCCCAGCTGTCGATTGAATTGTTCAAGAATCAAAGGCATCCCAGCTAAGTCGTTAGGTATGCTCGCAGAATTCAGTATGCCTGGACGATGGTGCAATATGGTTGGGAAGCAGCAAGAGCACTGCGACCTTAGGACACACCCCCAACCTAGGAACACGATAAACACGCGTGTAAACAAAGTCATACGTGGAATACCTGGAATGATGTTCCGTAGATGTTGGAATGCACGCGTGCATATTCCAAGAAGAGTCCTTCTTCAATGCCCTTCTCAAAGTCCGCTTTCGAAACAAAATGGTAGTGGACACCATGCTGCAAGCAATGAAATATATCCGTTAATAAGAGAAGCGTGCCTGAGTCAAAAAACAATAGTACTAGCGAACTCAAACTCCTCCATCAAGAAAACAATCAAAGGACAACGTCGGTCACACTTCGGAGGGCATCCTCTGAAATTGCAATTGTTTTGGAATAAAATCACCTGTTCTCCTTCACGGGGGGCTCTGGTAGTATGAGAGCACGAAAAGCCGAACAGTGGGGAACCATCCATCAGCTTCTTGATGAGGGTTCCCTTTCCCACCCCAGAAGGTCCACAAATAACGAGGGCCGAGGGCCGCTCCGCAATTTTGTTGTTAGTCTGTTGGCCATTCTCCTGACCCTGGCCTTCGGCCTCAGAAGAGAAGGTGCCCCCCATGCCTTGACGTAGGACTGTCTAACAGGATCTTCAGTTCCACATTATAGAAGCCATGCACACTTTCAGTACGATCCTATCTGTTAAGCACTGTCTCTTACAGCATAGTTGCATGAATGAACTGTTCCTCTCGTGGGTGAAATTCCCTTGAACGAAGCAAGTCAGTGCATGAGCCAGATCAGGCGCTGCATGTATTTCTTGCCAGCTGTTGTATGTTGCAGTGGCCAACAGGGCAAGTGCTAATGCTGCCCTACACATAGATTAATGCTGATCCATACCAGGCAATGCCATCTAGCAATGCCATCTAGCAGTTGCAGGATGCGGGTCATGGGTTAATGCTGGCACTGTTCGCACCAATAATATTGGGCAATTAATTGGCAACATACTTATAATATAGTGCGCCAACTTGAAATTGGCCAACATCACTATGAATATTATATTTGAACGGTTCTTTGAAATCGTCTATGATACTTGCGGATTTTCATGTTATAAGTGCCTGGCATGCTGGTCAGACTGACATATTGGTACATTGGCTGCAAAAGGTAGCATTGCACGTACTAAATTAGATCACACCCTTGCCTCGCTTTCCCTTAGTGTACACTTTCCCTGCAGAGCCTCCATTCCACTCAGTGCCGATGGTCTCCACTAAAAACTTCTCTCCGCGTGTTGACACAAGCTGGCCGTCCCTGTAGCGCACCCCCTTTTTGGTTGATGCTGTGTCTGCTGCCATCCATGGCTCCACATTCCCTGCATGCTTCCCCCTGCCCTTTGCTGGCGCTGCTGTGCTCTCGGCTTGAAGCGAGAATCTGCATGCACAGCACACCATAACTGCTCCTTAACACTGGTGAACCAGCAATTGTCTACAACACAGATCATTAGGAATTTCAAAACAATCGAGTAGGACTGCTTTGTGCATGCATGAACGCGCACTTTGCCAGAGTCTTCTTCCGAGCTTCCTTCTCGGCACGCTTGGCAGCCTCTCGCGCCTCCACCTCCTTTTCGGATTCCCTCATCCACAGCTCCTGCTGGCGCTGCACCTGCTCAGGTCCAACCTCCAGGATCCAATTGGCAGTGGCCTGCAATGTAGAAAGAACGCCAATCATGCTGGGAATCTGGGTGATTTAGCCCTCACAGAACAATGGAGAATTGAAAGCAGACACAGTTGCATTGAAACCCAAATGACAAGGTATCCCCATGACATCCACAGAATGGTACAGGGCTCACCTCGATGCAGCCCAGTCCCTTTGCATGCAGGATGTGGGCTGCATATTCTGGACAGAACTGGACTTGTTCAGGCCAGAAATTTGCAAGTGCCTCCACTGCATGGCCGCCTGTATTCATGTCATCGCAACAGGGCGTCCAGCCAGGCGGTGCAGCACGCGCATCAGGCTGCGACCGTGGCCTCAGCTCTGCTGCATTAGGGCTGCTGGTGGCGTCCCTGCAGACAAGAACGGTACATGAATGAGTAGCAGAATGAAGCCTCCTTGCTGGGCCACCAAAGTACTGGGCAGAATAGCTGGTCTCCATAACACAAGTGATAGTCTGGAGATCTCACCCAAGGGAAAGGGACTGCAATTGCTTGATGGGCTCGATTCCCTCGTGTATCTCGATGGATGTTGGGGAATCTGCGTCCTCCCCCTCCCTGGCTCTGCCCTGGCATGTTTGGGCCTGCACACCGATCATGAAATATACTTCCAGCATTTGCAAGGATTCAATGCAATGGGGACGTCTTTGAGCGAATGCAATTCAACATTCTACTATTGCTGTTCCGAGAAAGCAGAGAATGAAGGACCTCGAATTTACCTCTTGCAGCAAATTCCACAGCACTTGATGCCTGCGTTCTTCCGGTAATGAGCTGAATTTTGGAAAGAACCCTGTCACAACGTCTTCGATCTCTTCCAGATCCACATTATCTGTCTCCGCGTCTTCTATGATGCCGGTGATATAATCCAGGACGGCATCATCAGCAACGGCACCGAAGCTGTGGCAAAACCTGACAACAGAATCTCGAATCTCCATGTTTCGAAATTGTATTTTGTAGCATCAGCAGACCTTGAAGATAGACTTGGGACTAATACGCGGGAAACAAGCAACCTCTCTTTGTGCAAATTGATCCTTGACTTTCAAGGTCTTCGTAGGATCTGCAGCCCTTGTATTAATTCAGCCATACTGATCTTGCTAGACATGCAGTGAACTCATCGTGAGATTTGGATTAAGAAAACCTCTGCCAATACATCTGATCGATGCCATCTTGCATTGCATGCTTTGTCGTGGGACCACGGTCGAACACCGGCGTGCTTTACTAGCGACTTCATACTTGATTCGCCGTCGATGGTGTGAAACAGGATAGAAAGGAAGCTTGAGTCTACAATAAACGTTTCTGTGGCTGCGCAATCACAGAGGCTGTGATTACCTTGTGAGAGCGTTGCTGTCTCGGAGGAGCGGAGAATACAAGTGGTATTGCTGTGACTGCAGAATTAATTCACGATGAATCAGGCCATGGAAGGCCTCGAACAGCTGCCAGAAGCGCAGAGAAATGAACTCATGCAGAAGATAGAGGAGATGCAGGTTCGAGATAGGTGAGGCGAGGCCTTGTGATCTGGCTGATCTGGATCTTTCTCACAAGCAGTCTCTTTCAATGACACGAATGTCACTATTTCATTTAACTAGATCTACAGAAATGCATCTTTGTAATTGTGCTGAGTCCTGTGTGGCAGTTTGCGCATGTACAATGGCTTGGTGGAGAGGTGCTTCAAGGACTGTGTAGAGTCATTCAGGAGAAAGGATCTCGACAGCTCGGAAGAGAAGGTGAGACATCCACATCAATTGCAGCATGTGCCCAAGTGACTGCTGTATGGGCAGCTGTCATCATGATCGGGACTGTGGTGCACTGGTGCCTGAACGGCTATGTGCCCTTCACGTAGTGTGTGGAGCGGTGTTGCCAGAAGTTCATGAAGCATTCTGCAAGGGTGGGTGCACGCTTTGCAGAGCTGACGAGCGCTGCAGAGCAGCAGATGCAGCAAATAGTGAATCAGAAATAGGCGCAAGGCATCAGCAAGCTTACAACACAGAGGCAGTCATGTGGCAACAGTTGGGACCCAACTGCTTATTGACACGATGATTGCTAGCAATCATGGTCATCAGCCACCCCTGCCTTGTTGCAGTGACGTGCCATACCAGCAATGTCATGTAGAGGCACATTTTTTCATGCACACCCTGGCCTGTATTTAAATGTGTCCTTGTTGAAACTCAACAGTTGGCTTTACAATGAGTGAACCTTGAATACTTACTGTAACACCCAACTCTGTTTGTCCGCATATGTGCAATGGATCAGTCAAACTTTCATATTGCGCCACCAACCACCAGCTGTCTTGAGTCTGAGACCATTCAATACACCTCGTTGCTTGCCTCACTCAGTTTGTTTGCCCAGAGCCTCTAATACCTATCCTGTTTGCATTAGCTAGGTGTTTGTCTAGCTACCGCACAGCAGCTGCACCCTCTAAGCACCCGCAAAAGATGCAGCTGCAGACCAGGCCAAAATGCATCAGGAGGATGGCAGGCATCCTCCGTCACCTGCAGCACTCCCAAAAGGGGAATTTGAATCTCCTGAAGCATGCCCATATGCGCGGCCAGTTGGAAAGAAAAGCATTAAATCAAGCCCGTGTGGGCCAGCGCGCATGGGGGCATGCCTCAAAAATCCATGTCAAAACATACTTTAAAGCTGTTCACAAGGATCAACAATATTTATTCCCTCACCGGCCAGTCTTACCGCAACGGCCTCCAAACGCCTCCCTCAGATCCTCTCCAAAGATGGGGCCATGAAAGTCCTTGAAAATGTTTCTTTGATACACATACGCAGAGCCCTGAGACAGTGGGCATCTGCATGATTTGCTGTACTCTGCTGCAGAAATGGCTGAGCATTGCTGCCTTGCCTGTCATGCTGGATGTCGGCATGCTGCAAGCCCGAAATGCGCAATACACTCCAATGTGAAACCCCTGATGAAAAGATTAAAAACGCCAGCCAAATGGCCGAGACAGGTGCCGGTCTCGACCGCGCAATCAGCGCATCTAGACCATGCCAGCTGTCGTCAGAGACACTCTGCACAAGTAAGGAAAATGGGTTCCCTTTAAGAGACACCTCAGCCGGCCGCGGGTTGTAAAATCTTGTTTAGTCTCTACTGCATGCCGACTCAAAGTGACCATGCCTCGGCCCTCCCCCTGCCATATTAGCTTTTGAGCTCACGAGGAGACTGACATTGTGAAAGCTTGTGAGACACATACTCAATCTGGCACCACTGGGACGAGGCCAGGACCCCAGCAGACGGGATTCTGGGGGTGTCAATCTGGGAATTATGTTGAACATCTCGGGGCATGACAAGAGGCTTCAGTTGTCGTCGTCAGACCAGAACATGGCGAGCAGCGCATGCAGGCGGGAGGTGACGGTTGCCATGTTAGGCCGCTGGGAGGGTTGCCTGCTCAGGCACGCCTGCATCAGCTCCGCCAGCACAGCGGGACAGCTGCCGGGCGATGGCATGTCCACGGCTTCATGCAGCTTCCGGTGGATGATCTGCTGCTCCGACAGGCCAGCATAGGGCGTCTGCGCACAGGCACCCACACAATCAATCACTTATGCACAAACAAAGCACATGAGGGGCAAGATAGAGCCGTGAAGAGTTGTCTTGACAAGCCAAAGTGGCCATCTGGGGACTATAGCACAGCGTATTTGCATGCGCGGGGTCTTGAAAGAATATACTATGCTGCAAAGGCAGTGACTCCTGTCTTGATGGGACAGGACTAGATACTATACTGCTGCTTTGCAAGGTGTTCATACAAGAATTGCATGCTGCTTTGATTGCGCCAGTGAGTCAGTCGGTCAATCGCATTACATCGCGACCTATTCAGAGCTGATCCAATGCCTGACTTTCAAGCAGGGCATGACACAAACATTGCGGTGCTGCGGCGGGCGCACCTCGGAGGCGATCATCTCCCAGAGCAGCATGCCGAAGGAGTAGACGTCGGTCGCGTAGGAGAGGATGTCGCTGGTGAGCAATTCTGGGGGCATGAATGCGAGCGTGCCGTGCTGCATCGCCACCGCCTGCTCCTGCCCCGGCTTGAACAGCATGCTCAGCCCAAAGTCAGACACCTGCACAGCGCATGCTCGCTGAGCCCTCTGCACCTCCTTTCAAGGGCAATCCTTGGGTAAGAGCTGCAACACTACAACATGTACAACATACACACGGCTCCAATACAGGACCATTTTGAATTTAATTTCCATTTGAAGGCTTCTTACAACCTTTGGGTTCAAGCAGGCACTGCCCACTCCTTCCTACCCCGAGACAAACCGGGGGCAGGGAATTTAAAGCAGTTGGCTTGATAGTTGTCTCGGTAATACCCTGCAAGGGGGACACTCAAACAGCAGCTGGGTGATACAGTGTTCCCATGGACTCTGATGGGGGCACCGAGAGAGCGCTAACCTTGGCGCGGGTGCGCTGGATGGCAGGCTCGTGCTTGAGCAGGACGTTGCGTGTGGTCAGGTCGCGGTGCACGATGCGGTGCGCGTGCATGTGCGCGACGCCCTCCGCCACTTCTATTGCAGTGCACAGGATTGCATGCAGCCGCGGCTGGCCGTCCGCCCGATGGTACGCCCCCTGCCTGACTGCCATCCACAGCGTTCCTGCATGCACCCCATTTCATGCTCAAGACAATGTCCTGTTGCGTGTAGTAGCGTGAACCGTGTACAAGAATCATGATAGTTGGGGAGGGGTAACTTTCCTACACAGGGCTCTTAGGTAAGGGGCATGCTCCAAAGCCCCATTATAGTGGTTTTGGCAGCTCGATGGGACTGAGCAAGAACAAAGATTGATTGTATCCTCGGCTGCAGGAATGTCACACTTGCACATCCTGCACCGGGAGCGCATCATTCCATGGCTGTGACTGTCCCTCTGAGCGGAAACAGCTTGGCTTCCTTTACGAGATTTAAGTGGGGAGGTGACGAGGTGAGGAGGTCAATATTAGGGAGCTGGTGGGTGGCAGGAGGGAGGCACCTGCATCGCAGAACTCCATGACAAAGATGCAGCGGAAGGTGACCATGCTGCTGGAGCGCGCTGAGCCCAGGCTCTGGCCACTGCTCCCCTCGGCCTCCCTCCTGTCAGAGCCTGGACTGACCTCTGCAGGGCTGCGCCTCCTGCACCCATACAAGGGGAAATTCATACCCAATAATCAGCCATAATGAGAGTGCCAAGTACATGCCAACACCCTGTGTGCACATATCCTCTACCTTGTATCTTCAAATGAAGTGTCAGGTGGGATGTTTTGTCTAGTTAAAGTGAGAAGTCAACGCAGCAAAACAAGACTGCTGATCTGATGGGCATCATCTGCTTTGAAGCAAAGCACGCACATCTGTTTGGCCTGCGCATGTGTGCGTGTGTCAATGGAGGGGAAAGAGAGTGCACCTCGGCAGTCGCAGGTGCAGGAAGGATGTCAGCATCTGCGTGGTGGATGAGTCAGCGCTGCTCTGGCGCTGGGGGGCCCTCGGTGGCGTCCCCTGGAACACCGATTTTGGCGGCGGGGGGATCCCATCATTGTCTTGCAAGGGCGACCCCGGCGGTGATGCCATGCCCTCCATATCTGAGCCGCCCACTCCCACCTGCGCGCAAATCTCAAAATCCTATCAGGTAATTGGGCTTGGAATTTCTTCGTCACTCTTAGAGGATATAGCATGAAAATGCATTGATGCAGCTCTGAAAGTCACCTGTCACAGATGCACAGTACAATCATACAATTCTATAATACAAATACCACCAAGTCATGCATTGATGTGTCTGGTCCCTTTTCATCAAGTATTCATTGTTCTGTGACACAGCAGAACAGGGAAAGAGCAGTAGATAAAGCAGGGTCCACATTGAACAGATGGATAGTCTGACTGTGTTACAGTGTGAGCACTTCCAGCCCGCTGTCCTGTCAATGAAAGGGAATATGAGTGTGCAGGGGTGACTCACGCTGGCAGGGGATGAGATGCGATTGTAGGACCAGGCAGCCTCAGTGCTAGAGCTCATGTTGGACAGCCCTCCAGGGGACATGCCACCCTCGCCCTTGGGGAGCTCTGGCGAGCTTGCAAACACCTCGCCCCAGTCAGAGGAGCCCTTGGAGCTCAGGGATGATATCTTCCTGTGCAGGCCCGTCCTCGCCGGCTTCACCCTTTCCACAACTGCCTTGTACAGATTGACCTGCATGACGGTCGCAATCAGTCACACAGTCAGGCAAAACAGGTCAACCAAACATCTGCAGAATTCATGCAGATGCAATACGAAGGGTGACCCTCCTCCAAGCAGCCCCTGATCTTCAAGCAACTGGATTGACCTGCTTGATGGCAGAATGTCAACCTGATATGCACACCAATGCACAAGGCATGAAATTGATCAGCAGTGCAAGGCCTATAGAGGTGTTGTGAAGAGGAGGGAGAATTGTCACTCACCACATTGGGATGTGTCAGCGACGAGGCAACCTTGACTTCGGTCAGATGGGTCTTCGCATGGACTTTAGGTACAGTCACCTCTGCAATTTTCACTGCCACAATGCCGCCCTGGTACTCCCCTGCGCATGGCAATTTATCTCTAATATCTTGAGGTGTCGCATGGCGTGTAGATGCAAGATATTGGCAGATGTACATGAGATGTTCAGGCCTTGTAGCTGGGCAGTTCACCTTTGTAAACTATGCCAAACATGCCCCGGCCCAGAACCTCTTGCGGGTTGATGCCATGATGCTTCAAGGTTTCCTTGCAGCCCCCGTCATCTGCCACTGTTGGGCAGAGATATAAATGTCAAGTCCCAGTCATTCAGCCAGAGATGTATACATTGCAAGTGGAGTGATAAGTATTAAGCAAGCCACGAGGGATGCTTTACGATGGGCCTCACCACTGTGGACCATAGGATTCCTGCCCTGCCAAAACTGCTTCTGAACCCAATAGATGCATCCTGCAACTGTAAAGGTGAGAAGTGCAGCTGCAGACCATGTCCAAAATGCTTCTTCTGCACCCTGTTGCATACAGTCGCTTCTCGTCATGCTTTGCCTTCCTATGGACATGACATTTATTCACTGTACCGAGGCATGTCTGTACACCCTCCAACAACAATAATTTTCCCAAGATAACATTTGTGTCTGCAACTATCTGCTTGACGATAGCCTGCCGAGGACCAAGAGGGACATTGGGAAGGGAAGACGAGTGATCTGAAGCGTCTACATCTTGCTCACGGAGGTCCTCACCGCTTTTGCCGTGACGAAATCAACAACCTGGCTCAATATGATGATGTGCAAGATGATGCCAGTCACGGCTGTCGCAAAGCACTTGCTGGATACCTCTGTCCGCATTCCAATGAGTGACCGAGCTATGCGTGACTATGTCGCACGGCAGTGCTTCCAACCTATCGAGGCAACCGATGATATCAGATGCCCCCAATTGTGCTTCTGCGATCCCTCAGGACGTTTCGTGCCCAACTTCACGAAACGTCTCAACCCCATACATTCAATCTGGCAGGACGTTTAACGTTTCCGGTTGGGTCTCCTAAGTCCATGCCTTCTAACACCGTCTATACATCTCAGAAAGTTGTACGACGGGCCGTTCTGGGGGAAACACATGCGTCTCTGTGCCCCGAAGACACCGACGGCATTAAGAGACTTCGAAAGAGCCGTGTCGGAGGGGAGATAATTTATGCATCGGGGCCAATTCCGCTCTCCTGCATTTGGCAATTGTGAACATGGCCTTTGCTCTTGTAAACTTCTTCTTCTTCTTCTTCTTCTTCTTCTTCTTCTTCTTCTTCTTCTTCTTGCTCTAGTTGCTCACTCCTGGCCTGAGCCGAAGCGTGGCTAGAAGATGCATGCATGTGTAGATATTTCTGCCAGCATGCCATGACAGTGTTCACCAGGGCCGACGCCGCTGCCGCAGCGGCAACAGCATGCTGGCACACAGCAGCACCACATCATGTCACATCAAGTCACTACGGTAGTGACTGTTGATCTGCTCAAGTCAGGTAGTCCCTCAAGCTGCCACCAGAAATCACACGGCTCGGTGCTTTTAACCTGGATTCCAATAAGAATTGTGCTACAATTCTTGAAAGTACTGTCACGGGTCTCAAGCAAGTTGCCACAATGGTTGAGAATGAAATCTCTCAAATTCTGGGTCACTGGGCCCATGCCCACCAGTGTGCAGATTCGCTTCTTACTAGGTCCATACCATACACTGTGCCAATGCCTCCCTTTGATGGGTGCTCTTCAATTTTTCAGTATTTCTCGCTAAAAGTATTGCGGTCAACTTGTTAATAGTACCTGAAACGCAGAACAGGCCGCATTTGTTCGCAATGCCAATAACAATTCACTGAACAAACCCTGAGGCCCGTCAGGCAATAATCATGCTCTGGTCATAAGTACCATTATGACCGCCCAGGCCTGCGCAGCTACCTCCTGTGCAGGCCTCTGAGCTTTGCCGCTCTCATAAGAAGCATCGGTGCATGCCACACCACCGCTAAACCAACATCATTTGTCCTGCTCTGGCGCAGAATGAAACTTCTGCCCATCTCATGGCCTTCAAAATTCCGAGTGAATTAGTCCCAGGCTTCTTCTCAAGCACCCCTGCTTTGAACTCATGCCCCACCTGGAGGGCAAGCTCGTGCCTGAGGGTCCAGTTGGTACCAAAAATGCCAGCTACTTTTCCTCAGGTTGCAGTCCACATGCAGGATGGCAACCTTCGCTGACTGCGCCCCTGCAGCTCATCGCCTCATGCATGGCAGGCCCCACCAGGCCCCTTTCGCAATCTGCCTCACTCCCTAAATAAGCGGGCGCAGAAGTCCTCGCGCAACATGGCTTTGACACCAACTTTGGAGCAAGGCTCACCGCTGGCTCAGCTTCCCCCTTTTGAGGCCTCAGCTTCTGGAGGCAAGAAGGTCGCCGTCAATTTACAGGCTATCTCATCGTTTTGGGCCAGGCAGTCCGCCCCAGGCGCCGGCCTTTTTGTTGGCCTTCTCTGCAGCCTTGGCGGCTGCGGCCTCTGCCTCCTTCTTGGCCTTCTCCTCCTTGGCTGCGCGCTGGGGGTCTGTGATTCGCCGGAAGGCCAGCGCCACCTTTGTGCCACTGTCGATGGTCTCCAGAGGGTCCTTCCTCAGCCTGCAGCATTGCGCCGGGCGTGATCAGGATAGCGTGACTTGTGATCATCATGCGACACGGACACAATTGCTTTGAGGGTGGAGGCCATGTCGTGATATATTGCCTTCTTGTTCTCAAAGAGCACCACATGTTCTTGCAACCCAATGCTGTTCAAAGCAAAAGTACAGGCTTGCTCCGTCCTGCGCCCGGTTCCCTATTCAAGATAAATTACAACACCCGCAGGACCACGTTTTTGTGTTACCCAGCCATTGCAAAAGATTCCAAAGGGAGACAGCGTCGCTCGGTGGTTCAGGAAAAGCCTATGGGGGCTGGCTCAAGTGCACAATGTACAGTATTTGTCCGGTGCAGCAGTTGGGGCGGAAGAGAGAAAAGAAAAGGGTCGACGCACCGGTGGTTAAGGCAGAGGCCGATGACGCGGCGCACGTGGTCGATGGTGACGGTGTCCTTGCTCTCAAAGGCGGCCAGGGCGCGTGCGGCCTTGTTGGTGGTGATGTCCCCACGGATGCCGTCCACGTCCAGCAGGGAGCAGATCTCGCTAATGGTCACCTTGAGCTCGCGCGCCATCGCGATCCCCGGCGCCGCCTCGGTTGCGGCCGTCAGCTGCGCTCGCAGCGCCGCCTGCTCCTCCTCCGCCTCCACGCAGAAGGCGTCCGGGTCCTGCGCGCGCATTACTGTCAATTATGACTGCTGACTACCTGCCACATCATCAGGATGGATGGTGTACATGCAGTTCGACACGGCTGAAGCGGTTCTGTGCTGTTGCTAGTGGACGTGAGATCACACAGCTTTGACGCCTGCAGAGGAGCCCCTAGGATCCCGGTGTACTGAGCATCATAGGTCTAGAGCTGGCGCCAAAATGCAAGGTCAGGGCCTCCTTGAGACCAGGACGACAGAAGCAAGCTGAGGATGGCTTCAAGTCTCCCACTGTGAAGCACATTGCCGGGTGGCGTGCCATTGGCTAAGTGAAGGTGACCTGCTCAGAGATCATGCGGGAAGAAGTGTGCTTATGGGAGGTTAGCTGGGTGCGGGGGTCGCACGTTCTCAAAGGCGATGCGGTCCAGCACCATGCGCGTCCTGGCCGCAATGTTCTGCATCGTGGCCACGTTGACGCTCATACCGAAACGATCCAGCAGCTGTGGCCTCATCTCCCCCTCCTGCTTCCATGCACACCCACACAGTTACACCCCTGCTGCCTTGTTTGCGCCCACCCATGACAGAATGGCTGCCTTGGGGTGGCAGCCCATCAGCTGCACGAGCTGCAGAGAGGAGCTTGAGATGACACAAAGCCACACACAATTAGCCAGGCAGACAGGGCAAGCATGCTTCTTAGCAGGAGCAAGCCAGCCTGCGCTGCTATAAATTAGCCCATGCGCTCTGTGTGAGAAGGTTTGGAGGTTGTGCCAAGCCCATCGTACTGTACTCAGCAGTTAACACGCTGCTCTATCAAATTCCATATTCCCCTTTGAAGCTCTGCATGTGCTCGCATGCTCTAAGCCACACGCCCATCCTGCACACGCCCATCCTGCTAGACTAGCATAGACTCTGTGCATGTGCCCGCGTGCTGTGAGCCACACGCCGGTCATGCTCAACTAGTAAAGCCCTTTAACGGGGGGCAGGTGCGCGCCTGGGGGTTGCCGGAGCCGATCATGATGAATTTGGCGGGGTGAACGATGCCGATACCCTCGCGCTCCACTGTGTTGACGCCGCTGGCACTGCTGTCAAGCACAACGTCCACCAAACCATCATCAAGCAGATTCACCTCGTCCACATACAAGATGCCCCGGTTCGCCTTCGCCTGCGCGCATTCCACAGCACATCAGTACTTCAATGGTATGTGCACTTCTTCTAAATGATCTATGTGCTGCCTGGCTGAGTCGGGCAGTGCACCCATTGATGCCCTAAGGTCGGCATGGAAACTTCACAATATGGACGTGCATTTCTCTGTGTGTACAAGAAGGCCCAGATCAAAATGCGAGCAAGCAAGTCTGGGACCACCACTGAAAAATGTTGAGGTGAAGAATGGCAGCGGGTAAAGCTCAAAAAGGGGGCTCACCAGCAGGCCGGGCTCGTAGGCCTTGACGCCCTCCTGGAGCGCCTTCTCGATGTTGATGGTACCGCAGATGCGGTCCTCTGTTGCGCCCAGGGGCAGCTCCACCTGAAATACCCCAAAACATGAGCCCCCTTGTCTTTCTGCTCTTCACCTCTGTGTACAGAGAAGAGAGAGGTGACACCCCACACCCAACGCAGGGAGATGCACGCTCAGAAAGGCTATGCAGAATGTCAAGTATGTGGTGGCAAAGCACGACATGAGCTGCATACCCATGATATTCTTGTGTGAGGGATTTGGCGAGGCTATTCTCACCAGTGGGGTTTTCACTCTAACCATTGGCAGCTGCTCGCCGTTCCTGTGGCGCTGCAGCACGTCTGGCCCCATCAGCTTTGTGTCTGTGGGGTGAGAGTTGAAGGCATCCTCTGCCACCACCTCTATCTCAGGCAGCAAGTCCACCATGGCCCTCACCTGTGCAGATTTTTGCAAACATAATGAGGAATGAACTTATACAGCTGAAGATTTACTCGTACAATGTCGCTAGTATGATATCAAAGTGGACGTTCTGAGCTGGCATAACGCTGTACACTCACCGCAACTGATTTGCCAGTCCCCCTCTCTCCCATGATCAAAACGCCACCGATTGTGGGATCGATCACGTTCAGCATGAGTGCTAGCTTCATGTCCTCTTGTTCTGCGACTTTGACGAACGGAAGCGAGGGCATCCTTGTGGCACTGGTTAGCTTTTCCAAGGTCGCAGCTGATGTATTTGCGCTCACTTTCACCGTTTGCCTTCCAGAAGGACATCTGTGTGCAATCTTTTCGAAAACCTGTATTCTATTCTGTTGAAGGGGCACCCTCTTTGGAAATCCATGCTGTGACTCGAGGACCTTGTAACTGCAAGATGCAAATCCTTCACGTAGAGACTGCATTTTGTTCGCTTAGTTTTAGCTATCGAGCTCTGTGAGCTTTACAACATCATAGTTTCTATTATCTGTCTTTTTCACGAAGGCATTCAAGTATATTGAATTCAGCCGGCCTTCAGATGGATTTGCCTTCTATCTATCCGATTTGACATTGCAGCTCCCTTTTCAGGGGGTCTGCAATATACCCTCCAGGGGGTGTAGCCTGGCCCCTTCAAGAAACCTTCTCCTGCTCTCAGATTGCACCCAAAAATTTCCACAACACAAACCAAAGCAAGGTAGATCCTCTATGTATGTACATGATGCCCATGTCACATGAATTTGCAATGGGACAACAGCCACTTAGGGTGTCGTCGCTGCTTTTGCAAGTTCAGCACGCCCGAGCCACAGGCAGGGATTTCCTGCAATTTACAACTTCTGTACAAGTTGGGCATGCTTCCCATCCACCCTCAGTCCATCAATCGGGCTCGGGTGGGCGCCTCCTTTTCCTGTTTGCCGCACGCTCCAAAACAGCAGAAGACCCTCTTCCAACCTCCCCCTTCCTGCTGCATGCCAAAAAGATGGACATTTTACTTCTTCTCCAGTAATGACAGCCAAGCAAGACATCATCTGGGCTCCAGCATGCTGCGCACTGGAGCAGACTGGGCGTCAATGTTAATTATCTGGGCTGATTGTCAGCCATCATCATACCATGATGCTGCAGAGACTGCAGCATGCAAGGAGCAGATGCAGGTACCTTCTTAGAGGTGTGCTGCGCTGTGTTGGGCACCTGCAGATCGTCCTCAGCATCGTGGTATACACTGCTCCCGATGCTGACCACATCATCTGGCATCACAGTTGGGGCTGTGGGTGAAGGCTCCTCCTGGAAGCTTTCCTGCTCTGCCTCTTCTCCCTTGGGCTTCGTGCCAACATGTTCAGCTTCCTCCCTCAGATCTGCCTCTGCAGCTTCTTGCTCCTGCACATGATGGATAACAGCAGTGAGATGCTATGCTGTTGCATGAGAATGTCAGCCGACAGACTGCAATGCATGGCACCTTGAAATCACAAATATGGCAGGGTGCACGCATGCAAAAGCTTGTGCTGTGCATGCGAGAGGTGCTCACTGCAGCCTCTTTCAGTTTGCACTCCTTCTGCCAGAATTCGATGAGCCCGTCGGCTGTGAACTTGCACTGAGCGCCCATCACTTTCTCGATGACAGAGTGCAGCGCCCACAGCCATGGAAAAGATACCGCTGTGCAGCTGATGGTCACATTCACCTGCACTTTCCATGAGTGAGGGCTTACCCTCGAGGAAGCAATCACTCTCCCCCAGAACACATGCAGCATTCAAACATGGAACTCGATTCAATCCAGCATGACTTTTCAGCTTTTGAATGAAACCCTTGAGGTGCAGATTGTTGACCTTGCAAGCAGGCTGCCCGCTCGGCATGATCAGATTAGTAAAGATGAACTTGACTTCGGCGAAGGGTATGTCTGGCTGCCCTTTGGGAGCAATGGCAGGTTTGGATTCAAAGATTACAGATCGCAGCGGAGGCAATTCATCCATATTGGCCTCCCCTGCCTCATCTTCGAGCTCAGCTGTGACACTATGCTGGTCATGAACCCGGATCACATCAGTGCCTGCAAGCAAACACACCGCGGTCATTGCATGAGCACAGAAGCACAGGAAAGCAGAGGCATGCACATGAAGCTACAATGGAAGTGGTTTGAAGCTCACCAATGGCTCTTTTCAGGATGTTTGGTCCTCTGAAGGGCATAAGGAAGATGACATCCCGCTCTGCAGTGTTGTTTGCCACATTCCATTCTGAGACGGTTATCCGGTTGTTGTGGTTATACTGTCGATGATACTCTTTGTACATGTCAGGGTCCTTGAGCCAAGCGCATAGCTCCTACAAAAATCATGCTCAGTCAGGACCTTTTTACTCAACCTGTCACGAAGTGGTGCAAGTACTAGGACGGCAAACTGAGGGTGAACCCAGTGAGACTGCAGCGAATAGAACTCATTTGTACCGTGACATCGACGCCAGGTATTATGGCTTCCCTGTCAATATTCTTGACCATCGGAAGCAGCCGAAAAGACCTACACAAACTGTTGATGCTGAGCTAGTGATGTCCGCAAGGTGATGTCAGTGGAAAGTCTTGTATATTCTCGGACACAATGTGAGCTGGTTGGATCTTCACACAATGTATTTGGCGAGCAATCTCAGCGACATCGGATGATTGACGAGACATTTTCATGCCTAAAACTATTGCAGGACTCCTAATCGACTGGTTCCACTCCTATCCATTCTTTGCACTGGGATAGCTACCCCACTACACAACAACGAATTGTTATCTTCAAATTGCCTCCTTACTGACACCTGGGCTGCAGAAGTTCTCAAGCCGTGCATCTTCTTGGACGGTGCACGTGCCAGAACAGGTCCAAGATGAGTCACCTTTCTTGGTGCAGTGTGGAAGAATGTGCCAAAGATTCCAGGCATCCAACACCCTACGTTGTGCCCTATCTGAAAAGAATCCAGCCAAATGTTGCATGGACAGTTACAGAAGTGGACTTTGCATTGATAAAGGCGATCTTAACATGCATGCCAGAACATAGAATGGTTGGAAACCCGCTTTCAGTATTATTTGTCTCATCTCCACTCAGACAGTTCATTCGCCCCAATGTCACCATCACGCACAGCTTCTTGCTCACAACACTCAAATGGCATGGTATGCTACGCATGCGTGCATGCCCGCTCAATTCACACCCTCCAACTCGTCCTCAATGTCATTCAGGATGGAGCGCAGCTGGTTCAGTGTCTCCTCGCTAGCATTCCACATGCCTCGCCCAGATGCCTCCATCATGCGCCTCACAACATTTGCAAACGCCTGCGCAGCGCATTGCAAAGTCACGTAATTGAAATGTTGATACTGCAAAACCCCAGCCCCTCCTTCCTCAGACCCCTGCTAAAGATCACTTCACCTCAGGGATGCATGCTTGTCATTCTTGAAATCTGAACACGCAACAAAGACCCCTCTCCTTTCAATTTTGCCCGCAACGCCTTGTATGTCTTGCAGCCACTCTTGACTTGTCAGTGAAGAAGCTGCATGCATGCAGAGGAAGACATGCATCCAGTACATTACATGCAAATCTCTGCACACTGGGGTTACAAATGCCACACCTGGGGGTTGTTCTTGCGCAACTTCTCGGCCATGGTGGGGTCCAGGGCATAAGTTTCAGCAGCCTGGTCCCACGTCCAGTCCTCTGTGAAGTTGGCAGTGGCCCCCCAGCCCACCATGGCTGTCATGCGCTGCGATATCTCAAAGGCTCCCCCCGACCCCTGATTCGCCATTGCCTGAACCCGCAACAGAAGGAATTGTGTCAGACAGCTGCTGCCTATATGCAGCTCACACAGCCCTCGCCTGCGATTGGCTTGCCCGCAAATGGCGCATTAAATGTATACTTGAGGGAAGTGTTTGCAGTGCTGATGCTGCTACGACTTCTGTGACCAATGGGGTGTGAACAGATCTGCTCACGCTCCATTGACCACCTGGGGCGTCGCAGAATCAGCTCTCCGCACGTCAATGCAATGGACTCTTCACCAGAGCATACCCCACACCACCCTGAATGTCACTGCCCCAGCCCTTCACAACAACAAGTCAGTGTCTTCATGTCTTTACGGAGCACGAACTCGCACCTCGGCCCACTTGGGGTTGAGCAGTTTGCTGCGGTACTCCAGTCGCAGGACCTCCTCCAGCTCGCGCGGCTTGGTGCTCTTGGAGAAGGTTTCCACGATGGAGCAGCCCACCTTCTGGCCGCCCCTCGCTGACTCAGCAGCCCGCTTCAGCGCACCTGTGTTGGCATAGTACTCCTGCGCAGTGGAAAATTAGCATATTAAGTGCACCCCACAGCATCCCTGCCTATTGTTAACTAGCATTCTGACTGCTTCATCTGTGATCTGTCATCATCTGTGCGCTTGCCAAGCTTGATGTCCACTGAGAGGGGATTTTTGACGCACTGTGATGACATCTACTACAATGATAGTGTTGGAGGGGTGCCAAAGCCCACAGGCAATGATGCAGGCCACAGGAATGCCTGTTTGATGACAATGCGACGAGTGATGATCAGTGCAAAGTTTGAGCTGGGAGACCGGGCATGCCTGGATATCGGTGAGGCCGTACTCCACGGAGTCAATCTCCTGCACCACCCTGTCCGTGGTCTTGAGTAGTGACTGCAGCACCTCCGGCCGCGCGGTGCCCCTCTCATTCCCCCTGCCGCAGCATATGAAACACTTCGTGCCCAAGCACCCAGCATGTATCCCCATGACGAACTCGGCTGTCAGAGCACTGGTATTGAGAAGTGCATTTGTGATATGCACAGCTGAGACTAACCGGCAGTGAAAGGGGCAGCCATCGGAAACTTGCAACCGTTCTCATTACATGGTCTTTTGTCAGCTATAACAATAGCTGCTTCTTCAGCACTGAACTTGTCAGAGGGCTGCCAGTGAGGACAACTTTCGGAAACAAAGCAAATACTGATATGGTTGCATTGCGCACCTGCCGTATGAGAAGGCATTGCGGGAGGCCCAGGTGTCTCCCAGCTCCTGGCCTGACTCCCAGTTGCCAGCGCCCACCCGCTCATTCACCATGCTGCCGTAGTCACCCGCGGGGTTGCTGAACAGCCGCGCCGCTGGATTTGTCAGCCCCGTGTCCCCCATGCTCAGGACGTGCTTCCTGCACCCCGCATCTCAGTATAAGTGAACACTGACGTTGAGGCTCTCTGTAGACAATCAGAAGCAGGGATGGGTGATCTGTCAAAGCCAAAATGTGTCTTGCTGCGCATCCTTAACAGGCTTTGTTCATAATAACAGCACCTGGGACCAGAGATTTAAGCAATCCAGAGACAAAGACAAGATCGATTATGAGCTCCATTCAGGTACACCATTCGCCAAGTTATTCACCGCACTAGGACGTTACAGGGAAGTTTATCAGAATACCAACGGCGTACTAAGAAAGCAGAGAAGAAATAAAGAATTTGATTGCGCACCGGATAAAGTTCTGCTCAGGCGGTTCATCGGCGGCGGCCGCGCGCTGGAAAAGGTCATCCAGCAGCTCAACCACATTCTGGAAGGAGTCTCGGAAGATGCCGCTCATGTTGCACAGCACATCCACGCGCGGCCGCCCGCCCATCTCCGCCAGAGGCACCAGCTCAAACCTGCGCCAGGCCGGGTTAGATTTGAGTTATGAAATTGCGCCCTCCATTAAGATCTGGCAGGTGCAGGTGCGCAAGGCTGTTGTCCCCAGTCAAAGGCTCTATGTCAGCCATCTGAAGGGCTGCAATGCCTGATTTGAGCTCCAAGGAAACATTAAAGAAAGTAGAGCTAGCAGGAGTCAGATCCAAAATACAACATTACTTCCTCCTGTCTCCTTGAAGCTACACAAATCCGCAGCTCACATTTGTCCGCGTCAACACGCGGCAGTGCAAGGATGCTGAGCTGCATTAATGTAAGTGAAGCTCTGAGGAGGCACACCTCGCAATGCGGCCTGTCCCCTCGCGCACCGGCCGAGCGCCCACCATATGCAGCGCCACAGCCACGCTCTCGCCCTTTGTCTTGATCGCGTCCAGGCCCCACAGGTTCACCTGCACTCCCGGCAGCCACTCAAAAAGGCATGCACAACATATGGGCTCATCAAAATGAGCTTTGTGGACAGAATATTATAGCAGCCAGCCCCAATCATTTACCTGCCCACCAGGCAGCCACTCAAACAAGCTTGCACTCATGGGAGGTCATCATGCTTGCGCTGAGCTCACACTATCTGATCAGCAGCCAAAAGGTATCTTTCGAAGCTCCAAGAGCACAAATCTGAGAGCAGGGAGAGGCTTCTGCTAGGTCTGAGACGGATTCTGTAAGTGGAAGAGCCAAGAGAGCTGGTTTGGGCGAGACTGATCCGCACCGCCACAGTTTCAGGCCAGGTGCCATTGTTGGCCTCACGATGCGCCTCCAGGATGTCCCTGGCGACTGCACTGCCGCGCTCCAGCGCCGCTTGAGAAGGCATGCGATAGGGGTCCAGCGCATGGATGTTCCGCCCTGCACAAACATACATGCATGCATGTGAGCCCCGGACATGCATGCGCTTGAGCTTGGGTCAGCTGGAAACTCTTCACTGTCCTCTCCTTAAACACTGACACAGCATTTCATGGTAGATGGGAGGTGTTACTGCAGAGAAGCTTCGTCCATGCTGGGTTTTGAATTCGTCATTGCAACGAAACAAGCTCTGTTATGAAGCCGCAGATGGTGCATTGCAACACGAAGGGCTGTGGAGTAATCCCAGGCATGCGCGACACTTTCCAGGTGAGCTTACGCAGTCTGTAAGGGTGAACCTCACCTTGAAAAATATCAGGCATGGCTGGGGTTACTTCACTGAAATGATCAAATCGCGTTATGTAGTCATATTCAACATGCAGATTTCACTACCATGAAGCGAACATCAAATTAATAAAGGGGACAGGGACCCCACCGGTGGGAAGGACGCCTGCGCCGTCGCGCAGCAGGTCTCCGCCGGCCTCCGGCAGGATATATTCCCCATTCAGCGCACGCAGAACGCCGGTCATCTCCTCGGTGTTGCGCGCCAGCAGACCCGCGATGCGCACACCCTCCTCCAGCCGCTCCCTCAGCTCCGACCCGCTCGTGCTTGCCTCCCCCGGCCCGTGCGCCGACGCCTGAAAAGCATCAGGAGCCCTTTTAGGTCTGCTGCCCTAATCTGCAGGCTACCCATCTGCTCGTGCTAGCCTCTGCGAGTGCATGCACAGATGCTTGTGTGACTGCAGCAGAGTGCCCCTCTCAAGCTCTCCTGCCCCAAAGTTGGAGGCGAGCGCCCGGGGACAGCAGCTGTCTGACTGTGGCATTTTATCATGTGTCGGTTTGCAAGGGCTATCCCAAGAGTGCCAGTCTGGGTCCTGGAAAATCGCTAAGCCAGTACAGTTCCATGTTCACAAGGCCAGCACCAGCTTAAAAGCGCCTGACTCCTCTGGGAGAGTGAGGAGCTTGACAAAGGGGGTCCACATGACGGCAGACGTGAGGTCAAAACCATTCATCACCGTGGTACTGTGGGTCACACCAGGAAGCTTGCCAATTGGGCTCCACATGAAGGTTAAATGATGAGAAGCCAAATTAGTGAATACGATGCGTACCTGGTCAAAGGTGCGCTCGAGTTGCTGGCGGACGGCCTCGATGCCCCTGTCGCCGGCGTCGACCACGGCGGCCACAGCGGCCTCCGAGAGGCCCTCGCCAAAGTAGGCGGATAGGTACTGACGCATCTGGTCGGGGCCCGGCGGCTGGCCCAGCACATGCAGCCCCTCCGAGAACAGCCGCCCCTCCACCACCTGATCCACCCAGTCAGATCCACCCCGCTTAGTAATTTGCTTAGTGATTCACAGAGCGACCTTTCACAGAGGGAGGCCGCCCCTCGACCAGTCTGATATTGTTGTTATCATCAAATTATCACGCTTTTCCTGCCAGAGGCAAGTGGTGCATATGCAGACATGCTGCATGTCAAGGCTGCCAAAATCCTACCCCTTGTTGGACTCGCCAGATCCGAGCTTGATCCAATCGACCGTGGACACAGTGAACACTTTTTGTACCGCGCTCCGCCAGTCAGATATACCCAGCTTGAGAGTTCACATTTGCAGCTCTTCAGAGAGAAGCCGGCCCTCACACCCCTAGTTCACCCATCCAAGCACACCTCATTTTGATCGCAGAGACCCCAGACCCGTCCTCAACGAGCATCAAATGGCTGCTGAGACACACTGACATCTCTACAGAGCCTAGCCACAGCCTGATTGGACACACTCAGCAGTCTTGATGGACACTGCTTGGAGTTCCTGCAATCCACTCCATGCCCTGAAGAGCCTAAAAAAAGCATGGGGAGGGGAGAAGCACACACCTGGAGGTATTGGTTGATGCGGCCAGCATACTCGGCAAAGGCTTCTGTGTCTATGCCGTCCACTGACTCGGCATTGAGATACTCCGCTTTGCCGTCGGCTGTGCTGCTTGCTGCTATGAAAGGGCAGTCCTCTTGCAGGCCGCTGGACATCAGGTTTTCCACTATTGGCACCTGCAGACACGAGGCTCACATGAATGCACCATGCATGCGTTGGGTGTGCCGTGCTTGTTGTGGGGTTCAATCTGTGCAAAGTAGCTTGTGCGGAGATGCTTACCTTAAGGGCAGAGTTCTTGGCAGGGTCCTCTCGGTACTCAGCCACCAGCGCCTTGAGCTCTGCCAGCTGCTTGTACAGCCCAGCCCTGTTGCATGCATGCAAAAACATTATAACAAGCCATTATTGCAATCTGTTGGTATGGTGCGGCCACTTCAGGATTCCTCAGCAGGAAAGCTTCAAAACCCAAGTCCAGCTGTACAGGTGTCAGGACACTTCTTTGCTCCAGATAGAAAGGAGATTTCAAGGGCCTTGAGAATGATCACACCTGCCATATGGCGGGACGTTGTGGGAGACAATGGTGCCGTAGCCGCGCCGTTTTGCAATGATTGACTCTGAGGGGTTGTTTGCGGCATACACATACACGTTGGGCAGGTTTCCCAGTAGCACATCGCTCCAAGAGAACCCCGAGTTGCCTGCAACCCCCAGACCACATTCCTTACAGCCCCCATGGGAAAGCCTTGCGGCTTCAAGCACCTGGCAGCATCTCACGCATGCTGAACAACAGTGATGCGTATTCCACGATAGCTTAGCGCAAGTCACCTACCGCCACCAGCATACACGCTTTCCGTCCAGAAAAATAGGGCACATATGTTTCAACAACTCTGCACTCTACTAGACCTTCTCCCGATTCATTTGCAGCAGCAACAACCATTTGTGCTGCAGTACATCTTCTCTTTGAAGCTTGCTGACAACAACTTTGCAGTCTGTTGAGGATGCAGGCGCTGCACCCAGGGGAGCGCCAAGGAGCCACTCCTAACATGCACAAACATTCCAAGAACATTGCATTGAGGCTTGCAAGTTTGTTTCAAGAGGGTGGCAGGCGCCGCACCGAGGGGAGCACCGGGCAGCCACTCGACGGTGCCATGCATGCCGAAGTGCAGCACGGCGTCGGCCGCGTAGTCGTGCTGCAGCCACTTGTAGAAGGCCGCGTACTGCGGGTGCGGCGTGAGGTCGCGCTCAAAGAGCAAGCGCATGGGATCGCCCTCCACCCCAAGCGCCGGCTGCACCCCAATCCACACCTTGCCCAGCTGCACGCCGCCCACCACGAACTCCCCTGCATTATACAGGACAGGGGAGTTACCACAGGCGCAAATGTTACAGGCATGTGCAAATATTACAGGCATGCAACACAGGACGGAAGATTTTCGACAGGTGCATGAAAGACAGCCCCGCACAACAGAAGGCCAGGAAAACTACAACAGGTCGATAACAGATGGCCACGGATGCCGGAATCTTCTGCAATCCATGAAGCTGCATTCCTCTGCCGTTCGTCTAAAGAAACGCAGACACCCACGTTGCCACATCAGGCAGTCAGACATGGTACACCAGTAGAAGGATCTTATTCGAGTGATGTCGCAAGGTGAGGCAGTCCTTTCTGTTTGCCAAGAGCAGGCAGCTGCAACGCAACAAAGAGAGCATCAACACAGATCCCACCTTTGGCGGAGGTCCCGAGGCCGCGGTATCTGTCGAGGTCGCCCCACTGGCGCTCCATGTTGGCCACCAGCAGGTCATGCTGGGGCAGGAAGCTGATGGGGCCCCACTCGGTTGGCCCCCAGGAGGCAGGGTACGTCAGCAGCTCCCTCAGCCGCTTCGGGCTCACATCCGCCGCCGCTGCCCGGCCCCCAAACTCCTCCGCCGCTCCAGCTCCCCTGCGATCCAGACTTTCCGTTTTTGAGGTTTTTACGTTTTGCCAATTTTCCACATCATTAGGTGTGCGGAGCCAAAGTACAACAGCAAGCTGAGTACACTTGCGCTGGGTGCCTAGGCAGTCCTGCTCTCATGCCAGGGTGACATTCCAGACGCACCTCACCGCTGCCTTCTCGTCATCGAGCCATGCTGCCGAGCCCATGCATGGCAGCATGCTGAGAAGGAGGCGGTAAGGTGTGACAGAGTGCTGTTAAAGTAAAATTGAGCTTTACGCCCCCCGCCCTTTTGGCGACAGTAGAGAAAGACCCATGGCCATAGGGTGGCTGAGTTTGGCACATTACTGGACAATTTGCGAAGGAGGAAATTATCAAGGAAATTGATGTGCGCACCCTCCCTCGATGCCGGCGGCGCCTTTGGAGATGGAGCGCTGGTCCTCCTGCAGGCGCAGAGCGTCGACGATCGCCTCCCCGTCTATTTTAGCGCCACCCCCGATCGCCTCCCCCAGATCATACCCCTGCTCCTGCAGCTGCTCCAGCATGCGCTCCAGGGACTTGGGCACGTTCAGCAGCGCCGCGGTTCCGGTGGCGCCCACTCCCGGCGGGAAGCCATACAGAAGCAGCGCCACCTTGCGCTCCTGCCCAAAAATACCACCGGCCAATCAGGACCACGTCTCTGACAGATCCCACATCCCTGACATATGCCATATCCCTGACAAATAGGTAGATTCCAGGGTCTTGGGTCGAGCAGCACTGCCAGACCAGAAAACAAAGCCTGTACTCAGCCTCTCATTGTTGGCGTGCAAAGTGCTTGAAGCCTTCGCGAATGACAGAGCATGCCTAGGAGATGTCAGAGAGACTGCCAGGAGTAAGCCTCTATAATGCTGGAACTGAAGCAGCTCTCTTGCTGGCTCGATAGTCCACATCGGGGCGCCTCCCGCTAAGCAATCTTCATGGGAAACCACTCTTCTTGTCGTGGGGGAGAGGTGCCAGACGCTGAGTCACCTGAGGGGGTGTGCGGCGCAGGTGCACCCACTTGCGCAGGCGCGCGGACAGGCGCTTGACGCGCTCGGGCACCAGGAATATGTTGTCGCCCACCAGGCCACCCAGAGGCACTGTGTCCACAGCGCCGTCCAGCTCCGGCAGGGAGTACAGCACCACGCTCTGCAGCCCAGCCACGCCGTCCCTTGTCCACGACGCCAGGTCCTGCAATATATTCAAGCCCTTTGACCTGCAGTCCTATCAACCGCATCGGCCTGAACTCCATGTGAGACCTTTTTGTGCTGGTTTTTTCCTTAAAACGGCACCTGATAGGAGCCAGTACGATGCTAGCAATGCTGAGCTGCACCCCAGGAATGTCACATTGCATGGCCAGCACTAAAAGGAAGAGAAGGCTTAAAGTGCATGAGACAATGCTGATCTGTTGTGGGGCAGCACAGCAAATCTCCTACCTGTATCAGGAGGGGTGCAGCCACCACATATGGGACGTTCTTGGCGGTGAGTATGGACTTTGCAACATCTGCCTGCCGCCCACCCTCCATGGTGCCTGCATTAGTAATGGCCAAACGCCTCACCAACAGAGCCAAGGCAGGACTCGTGAGAATCAGGGCCATAGCAACAGGCACGCATGACTGTCTACTGCAGAGGAGCTAACCTGCAGGTCCGCCCACAAGAGGGAAGCCAATCGTGCTGACGATGGCGTCCACTCTCACAGCATCCTTCTTCAGGCTGCTGGCTGGACCTGGCTTCCCCTGCGCCTTCAGCTGCTGCTCATGGTCTGTCGTGAGGAGGTCGCGCACCTGCACATGCCCCAGAATAGTACTTCAGAGGGTGTGGCATTCTTGCGAGAGAAAAGTGACCTGGGAAACGGCTTCCCGATAGAGCCCTTCAAACGACTGTGCATGTTCAGTGAGGAGTGTAGTGCACTTCATGCATGGCCGCATGGCGGCCACAACAAGCAGCTAGGTGCAACATGCTCATCATCATGCCATTGCTGTCGAGTCACTGGTTGAAGTGTCGTATTTTGGCAGAGAGCAAAAGGTCCATATTGAAACCTTAAGGAACGCTTCACCTCAGTGAAACAGTGCCCCTGACACCGTTCCTGGACAGGAGGTTCTCAAAGTCACCAATATGTCCTTTTTTTGTCCAGAACACAATGCGTTTCAACACAAGACTAGGCAGTGACGGCAGGATTTTGTCTGAAAGGCGCTTGAGAAAGCCAGAAATGTCATCCTGCACAGTCTCCTTCATGCCGATCCATCTGGCCAACTCCAGAAACTCACCAGCACAAGGAGACACAGATTTCCTACAAAGGTGGGGTGAAGAATGACAGCCTGCCCCCAGGCAGGGCAGTAGGCCTGGCATGCATGCGTGAGTGGGCAAAGGCCTCACCACGGTGTGCGCCTCGATACCATTGATGAAGATGGGCACCGGCCGAACGCCGTCCGCCTCGAAGCAGCGCACCAGCTGCGCGATGTAACCCTGCCCAGTGATCACATGCTTCCTGTACAGCAGCACTGCCACCGTGGGCGCCTCGGCCCTGTCCCTCAGCGCGCCATGCTTGGCATACCAGGCCAGGTATTCGGCTGGAGTGCTGAAATAGCCGTCGTAGTCCGGGTGCAGGCAGCCTGCACACAGCCAGACATTGCCATCTGAAGCCAGTGAGGATGTACTGCGGTTTTTAGCCCACAGAGCACCTGAGAAGTCTGCGCTGTGGAGGAAGACACTCACACGGTAGCGATGACAAGACCCAAATTAAAGTGCACTCAAATAGACAAAATGGGTAATCTGCAGGCGACAAGAGGGTCCGTAAGCAATATAATTCCCACTGGACATCAGGGGCCAGTTGAGAAGGGCCACAGGATTTTGGGTGCAGCTGTGATATGGCAATTCCAAAGCAAGGGTGTGTAGTAGGGAGGGAAAGTGTGAGAACCTGTGGGCGGTGTTTCCTGGACAGGCGCAGGGGCGATGCCGGTGCGGCCCAGATATTGGTCCACGAGATACAGCAGCATGGTGGCCACGTTGTCCTGGCCGCCCTGGTTCCAGTAGCTGTAAATGGTCAGCCAGTTGCGCAGGTCCCGCACCTTCTGCCCTGCAAGGCATTGCACATCCTCAGAAAATCTATCAGTTCACCTCAGCGAATGGCCCAGCACTCCTGTGCTCACAGCTGGGCGTTACAGTGGCGCAAGCTTCTATCCAGAAGAACTCCAGGAAATTCACATGATTTTACGTCACATTGCAAATTCCCTGTGTTAAGCATTGCGCCATATGAATTGCATTGAATAGCTGACCTGGGAGGAATTTGAGCAGCTTAGGCCCGATCTTCAAGAACGACAGGTAGCCGACCATGCGATCTTCCTCGCGTCCGCTGCCAAACAGGCTCAGCACCTTCTTCACTGCTGGCGGCGGCCCCTTTGACTTCCCTGACGGATCCATCTGTGCGCCAAAGAAAAACTCAATCGAACATGTCAGGTAGTGAAACACCTACAAGACAATGTACATTCCCTCCGTCCCTCACAATCTCTTGCATCCGATGAATGCATGCATCATGCATCATGCTTCTAGCAGTGTACCTTCACACAGGCTAGTACAAGCAACACCAGGAATGCTTCTGCAGCAAGGCGACTGTTCAGGAGTTGGAATGAGACCATCATGAAGTTAGTCACCTTGAAGCCACCCAGCTGTGTGGTGCCCATGAGCTCCAGCGCAGACTCAAAGACCAGCCGGATGGGAATCTGCTGGACGCGCTCTCGCAGCCACTCCACCTGGTCATAGTCAAATAGCAGGCTGCCGAAGAAGACATCTGCTCCCCTGAGGGCCTCTTCTATCTCCGGCTGCTTTGTCTGTATGTCCCTGTCGCTGAAGACCTTCACGCGCACCCCCGGGCACTCCCTAGCTACCTTCCTTGCGGCCTGTGACACACCCAAGCAAAAGCATCTTCTAGTTTCCTAGGTGGTCCAATAGTGAGCAGGACATGTGGAAGGACAGGTGACACAAGAGAGGTGCATTGACATAGAATCAGGCATAGACAAGGGAAGTGAGCCTTGCCTTCTTGTACAGGTCCACATTAAAGGACTCGAAGCCAGATATCAGAACAATGCGGCACTCCCTGTTCAGTCCTTGCAGTCCGCTGCGCACTGCTTCGCCATCATCTTCATCTGTATAGCAGAAAAGAGTTGCAATATCAGTCCGCTTTCCTGCATACTGCTGTGGCAATAATGCTCTGCAACATGCAGCACACAGAAGACTTGGAGACACACAAACAGCCCATGCGGAGGAGAGGCTCACCAATAGCACCCTCCTTCTGCAGGCGCAGGGCGGTATCTGCAGCAAAAATGGACGCCTGAAGATCCTCTGCTTCTCGCAGGGCCCTGGTGCGCTGGTTCTTCAGTGCATGCACGGCCTCCTGGAAGTCCTGCCATCCCCTTGGATCCGCTTTCTGCTTGGCTGCAAGGAGAGCTGATGCTGTCTGGGCATACCATTCCACGAGCTTCAGCATTGGCCCAGAAGACAAAAGCTTGGTACAGGGGGAAATAGACATAAAGGGTGACATTTTCCCTGCACATCACAATCGGTGCTGCTCAGCCAGTGAGCTCTGGTGATGGTGTATAGGAGCTTGCCTTCGGATGCGACCTTCCCAACCCTCCAAAGCTGGCTTCTGAGACAGTAGACAAATCCACCCCATCCAAACTCTCTGCATCCTCCGGGGGAGTGTCAAATTGGACCCCAGAGAAGCACTTGCTGTACGCAGCATCGATGTTGGCTTGCAAGTCTGCCAGCTGAACAGCACACAGAATCTCACGGTCAGATCATGATGGCAGTGGATAAATATGAATCCCATAGACACCACTTCATGCAGAATACAATCGGACCTTCTCCTTGCATTGGTTGTATTCAGCCTGGAGAGCCGCTTTCTGGGCAGTGGGCTCTTCAAAGCCTGCTGCAGCAGACTGCAGGGACTCCACAAACCTCTCTGCTTCTGATTGCAGCTGTATTTCTTCACCGCTTGCCACTGAGCAACTCAACGGTCGTCGACGGCCTGCATACATTCCCCAGTCATGACGCAGCCTTGGACTTTTGCCTCTGCTGCATTGACTCTTGGCCAGTATTTGCCCCAACGTTACTGTATGCATTAAAAGACAGCAATTTCCACGAGATAGAAATCAATTCTATTTCTGGGTATCAAATATACTTAAGAACCACGCCAAATAAGCAGCGGCTATTCCCAGATCACCTTTGGTTTTGTGAGCTTTTGGAGCACTATAATAAACATCGATGACAGGGCACCGTCCATGACAGAACTTTTGGTCCACTTGCGGTAAATCTGGTAATCTACCGAAAGATTTTGAGGCCGAAATTTCCCTGATACTGTTCCTCAGTAACATCGACATGCCGAACACTGATGCCAAAATTTGTAGAGGTATTCAAAGGACATGCACAGTGGTGTAGACACTTTTTACAGGTATATATTGATCAAACAGTGGTGCATAGAGTCCAAGACGATGTATGAAAGATCAGAAAGCAGAGATGTGCATGTGCATGCGACGTGTCGTGGGCCCCGGGGCGCAAACGGTGGGGCCAATGGATGAGAGTCGACTGGACTGCCCCACAGCTGCTTCTCATTCCCAGATTAACACAGATCAACTAGTATTTCTGAGCTTTCACGAACTCCTTTGTAATTGTTTCGGTGGTGTAATTTTGTTTTTCACACTTCTTATTGCTTGCCAGGGGCATTTTTTGTAGCCTCGAAAATCTCGTTCTGTTAATTGGAGTAGATTGTGGTGGCAGCTACTGAGAGATAGACAATTTGAATGGAAATTTTGAATTGAGAGCAATGACGCGAGGCACAAGCAGCTTGAGAACTCCAGGCAGGCATGTCGCTGTCATCACAACAGCCTCCCTCCCTTGGAGAACTGGTACCGCAGTCAACCCGCTCCTGAGGGCAGCCTATTTGGCACACATCCTGAAAGACAGCAAGGTGCGGCCAATGCTTAAGTCCTATTCCTTTCGTGTTTGTTTAATTCAAATTGTCCTCCGTCCTGCTAAGCAAAATCTGCATCTGATGCTCGTTTGATCATTTCTTAGATGCATGCTGGATGGCTAGTGAGAAGCCGTTGGATATCTGCAGGTGTCATTGCTTGTGCCGTGGCTGGCAAAATCAGAGCAGGGCATAGTGTATCCCAATGGCATTACCTTTGAGAACCCAGAGGAACAGGCAGACTGGGTGCGAGCCTGGGTGGAGGAGCGCACCAGCTTTCCTTGCAAATTTGATATCAAATTCTATCCAGGCACGCTCCCCTGCCCCGTCCTGAGGTGTTTCTATGCAGTTGTATGACATCAGTGTGACTCACTGAATTTTCTGCAGCTGAGTGCCTGATTTCTGTGCAGGTCGATATGACGCCTCATTTCTGAGTATTTTCCCAGTTGGGGACCCGACCATCTACATCCCAGATGAAGAGGTGATGATGCTTGAGGCCTGGTGCTATTCCAGCTAGTTCAAAATGACCTATGTCTGCTCAGCAAGTTTGGGTGCTGGAGGGTGCTCACGGTGCATGTGCGCAGGCTGATGTGGCAATTTTGGAGGAGCCAGAGCACCTCACCTGGTTCCACCACGGTCGCCGTTACACGGAGAAGTTCAATCATGTCATTGGTATTATGCACACAAACTACATTGGTACGCTTAGACCTTGCACAGCTATCAAGTTGAGGATGTTTCCACATGAGTCATACTGCTTTTTCTTGATTGCTTCCATCCGGGATGCCAAGTTGTGAAGAGAGACCCTGCATGTATTTTGTTGTGCAGATTACATCAGGCGAGGGGCGGGCTCTGCTGGGGGCCCCTTAGCTGCGCGCATTGTGAAGATGGCAAATTGGAGAATGTGTGACATTCACACGCACAAGGTGGGTGATCTGAGGGATCACTCAAATCAGAACACGGCTGTGTATGGGGTGCAGATTTGCGCTGGCATCTCTCCCTTGCTCTGATGGGTCTTTCTATGCTGTCCAGGTGATCAAATTGTCAGATGCTGTTCAGAACTTGCCCCGCCAGAGCACCCACTTTGTGCACGGAGTCTCCCCAGCATTCCTGGCTGTGGGTGACAAGATGGCTGCTGCTCTGAAGGTACGCTGCTTTGACCCTTGATTGCTTTGCCATACCAGAGGCATGGCACTGCCAGAAGTCTGCAAGCGCAATGCTGACTGGACAGTGCAGCTCAACTGGTGTCCTGCATCTTGGGAGTGCAGGAGGAGACAACAGACCATGACACATCACATATGAATGGGGTGCGAGAAGCTGGTGCCGGAGAGCCAAAGGCAGAAGAGGAGTCAGCTGCCGCGAGAGAGGAGGAGCCAGCAGGGAAGGGAGAGAAATTAAAGGACTCTGCAGACAGCAGCGCACCTCAGCAGAATGGCATGCATGCAGATTCCGCCGCCGGGGAGGCAGGCAAAGCACCAGAGGAGTCAGAAGCGGATGATAAAGAACAGGGCAGCGCGTATTGCTTCAGCAAGGGAGCCTACTTCATTGGCAAGGCGGTGTGGGGCAAGGTTTGACCTCCTGCACCATCATGCGCCTTCCCTGCAGTCTTCCTTTGCATCGAGGCCCTCCCAAAACAGGGCCCTTTATTGACAAATGGCGAAATTTACTATTGGCAAATTAACGCTACACTCATCACTTCCATCTAGAGTTTCTATGGTAAATGCCTGACATCCTGTGCCATTTTGCAGGGCTACACGGAGCTGCTGGACCTGTTGCTAGCGCACAGAAAGGCGCATGGCAGCAACCTGCCAGTGGATGCGTATGGGACTGGCGAAGACTCAGATGACATTAAGGAGCGGGCAGAGCGATACGAGCTGAATGTCTCCTTCCTCGGCGCGCGAGACCACCTGGACGACTCAATACACCCCTACAGGTGCCTCTCCTGCTCCTGCAGTTACTTATTTGCACATTTGTGCTTATCTCTGTCTAGTATGCCTTCATCTTGTGGGGTGTGATGCTTGATTATTAGATTTATTAGATGAGTTTGACTGGCAGCTGCAGTCAGAAAGATGCTGGTGTGGTTCCATGTTTTGCAGAACACAGACATACACTATTTCATTGTGCCTTTGTTGGACACGTGAAGCCAGTCTTTTTGAAGTTCTTGCAGTCCGTACTTCCATCATTCAATGGCAGCATGGGGGTTTCAGGCATGTAAAATTGTGGGCATTTGCATGGCAGGGTGTTTATCAACCCGTCCACCAGTGATGTGGTGGCAACGACGTCCGCCGAGGCGCTGGCCATGGGGAAATGGCTTGTGTGCCCGGAGCACCCATCCAATGATTTCTTCGCGACCTTCGAGAACACGCTCATCTACCACTCGCCCGCGGAGTTCTCTGAGCAGCTCGAGTTTGCTGAGGTTTGTTTGGCTTCCTTGCTTGGCTTCCTTGCTTGCCTTTGGACAATTGTCCATTCAAGTGCTGCGCATGACATGTCATATTAAACCTCATAGGCTCCGTCCAAAATGTCGGTCTGACTGACAGCTGTGCCGGTGCTGCTCAGAATAACAGCCCCAAGCCTCTGAAGCCTGAAGACCGCAAGCGGCTCACATGGTGCGCTCATTCTTTCATGCGACCTGACACTGAGAACTCCATGCTTGCTGACAGTATCCAGGTCCTAGCGCTTCCATCTGATCACTCTAAGCAGTCTCATGGATCGTTAGAAATTTCTTGCAGGGAGGATGCGACAGAGCGGCTGCTGGATGTGGCGACCATCGAAGAGGATGAGTGGCCAGGCTGGCTCACGCGCCTCAAGGACTGGCTTGCATGGCGCATCATCTACGCTGGCAACGGTAAATCTCTTGATCCCACATGCACCTGTGCCCTTTCCCACTGCCTTTTATTGTTTCTCTTCATCAGTAGTAGTGTTGTTAGAAGCTACTCCAGGTGTATAGGGCTAGGTGCATTCCTGCAGCATGCCATTTCATTGGCGTCGAACTGAATATCATTGCACGCTTGTCTGAGCCCTGAGGGCTAGGTGAGTTGCAGCAATTTCACCCCTCCAGCCTTCCCTATTTTGCTTGTTCGCTTCCTCCACTTCTTACGTGATCTTGAGCTTATGAGCTTTTTATGCAGGCATTGAGCCAGTGAGATGGTTGGTGGGCGCTGGCCGCCGCACGCGCTGCAATCCCCGCAGCCTGACAGATTTCGACCCCAGGGCAAAGTCCACCTATCGCGACGCCTGGGAGCCGGACCATGCGTCCCTCCATCTCTCGCAAGGCTACCCGGTGCCTCGCATGCTCTAATCGCGCAAATCCCTCTCACAATACGGTACAGGGGACTCTAGATCAACTGCTGATCTGGAGTCCCCTGTACGGTAGTCCACAAGGTCGTGAACTGCTGTCTGTCTAGAGGTCATGTAGAGGAGGCTGCATCGGGTTATAGCCAGCACAATGTTTTGAGGTAGTAGTCTTGGTCTCAAGTGCAGAATGCCGTTCTGTGATGGGAAGGGAAGAATTGTTTAAGTGTTGTGGAGCAGTATTATTGTTTCTTATGGCGTTACAAATGGCGCACCTGCCAGATACTGAAGTGGCGCCAATGCTGCTGATTGGCAGTATGTTGGAGCGGCGTTCCTGAATGTGTACTGATGGACTTGGGTTTTCCTTTTGCTCCTTGTTCATCCCCCGTTGGAGCTTCTCCGCTGCACAGAATGCTGGTTAATCCCCATGAAAGGATCAACCAGCCAATCATGGAGGACTCAGGACATGAGAAATTCGCCAAAGTATATTTGAGAGTTTGTTGAGGTTGTTGCTACTATAAGGCTGGATTGTATCACTATCGCAATTGCAAGGGTCGGCAGTAGGAACTTCTGCCGTGACTCATCAGAGGAGGTAGTGTTGAAACAGCCGTTATCAGGTAGACCTTGGTCAATTGGGCTCATTGTCTGTCCATTGATACCAAGATCTGGGATGGTAACAGTTGTTGCAGCTTCCCTGTCTCTAGAAGCACCAGCTGTCGCCCGTGGTTCATAAATCTGAAAGAAAGGCTACCTTGTTACCTCAGCCTTGCCCTCTCATCCAAGGACAAAAAACCTTCCAAAGCCCACCAGACCTTACAACATCTATTTGATCATTGCATGCCTGAATGACAAAATCAATTGTAGGAGTGCGATCCAAAGACGTTACCAGCTGAGGGATGCTCCAAACAAAACAGTGTTTCTGGACAGTGCATGAGGAAAATTTCTGTTTGCAAGCAACTATTGTGTTGCGATTATATTGTCATTCTTTTGAAATCAAAAACTCAAGACTAAATTGTTCTGATCTCCATGAGTTTTAAAGGAGCAACACCGACTGACATGGAAGTAGACACTCCTCCCGAGCAAGAGTGCTGTTCACCAACAATACTGGAGATAACCAGCGATGAGATGTTGAAGATTTTCAGCTTAGTTCCCCAGCACGAGCGCTGCAGAACGATACCTCTGCTGTGCAAGGCGTTCGCAAACGCTTTGAGGCAAAGTGGTAACTATCACCTGCACCGATCCATTTAAATGCATGTTGAAATTGCTTGCGTTGTTTGGTTCAATATATAAGTACGTGTTAGTAAGGTCTGGAAGATCTGCTTCTCCTTGATGCAATGACACTCAGACTATCCCTCTGCGGACTTGCAGGAGATCTGTATCAGCTCCTAGAGATTGATCTGACGGAAATGGACACCATCATCACCAATCCAGGCGACAAGGCTTGCGCGGAGATGTCCTTGTCAGACATGATGTGCTGGCTAAGGGTATGTTTCTAGTGACCAGAAAGCGCATCAGAGGTCATTCAAGCACCAACAAGTGTGCCTAGTCGACCGCAAGTAGCTGACTGAAGCATGTGTTCCCCACCCAGCCGAGAGCACCGTATGTCAGAGACCTGAGAGTGCACCTCATGGAGGGCTGGGAGTGCTTTGCAAGGGAGACAATGACGTCTGCGCTGACCGCCTGCTGGGCAACTGAGCGCCTGGAACTGTCAGTCACGGGCAGGTACTGCACTCTGCCACAGCAGCCATCCCAGGCTCCAAGTTACCGCATGGCCCAGTGTGTATTCTCTGTCCATGATGGCACATGATGAAGTGCATGTGAGCTGTTCTGAGCGCAGCTGGCTGCAGGCTGAACATGTGGCTGCTGGCCATCTTCAGCCTGACAAACCTGAAGGAGCTGTTCCTGACGGCCAACAACACATGGGTACGGATTCCATCAGCGCTGGGCAACCTGACAGCGCTGGAGGTGCTGCAGATCAAGATGGACATCGACGGCGGGTGAGGGCCTGCAAGCCACGAAATTATCTTGATTTTAGTCAAGTATACAAGCATACATGCAAGTAAAGTGATGTGCCACAGTAATGGTCTTGTTGAGTACTCAACCGTCTGACTTGATAGAGCGTATTGCGGCATGCTCGCCTCTGGAGCCATGCGTGCTGGAGCTCGAGGCTAAATGCTCTCTCATGCTGACTGATAGCCCCTGGAACAATCAACATATATCGCATCACATAACAGGCAAAACTCCTTAGACAGCTGAGCCTCGAGAAGAACACTAACGTCATTGTAAGTGATGGTGTGGGTGCAGGCGCAACATGGCGGAGAAGTTTGTGCCGTTGGAGATGCTGGGCTGCACGGCGCTGCGCCAGCTCAGCTTCCTGGGCTGCCAGGGCCTCGTGGTCTCCCCTGTCATCGGCGAGCTCATGTCGCTGCAGGCATGCACTGCATATGCAGATATAGTACTAAATGTATGAGTAATTATGGTATGATATGTGCACGCCAGTATTAGATATCTATGATCACGATTGTCTGCTAGAAGATGGGGCTGCCGGGTCTTTGCCCTATTCTTCCCAGCCAGGGTGTGGCTGGCTTGAACACCTGAGTCAATGCTGTACTTGCCAGAGGAGTGCCAAAGACATTCTTGAAAGGGCCAATTGGAGTTCAGTGCTTTGTCATTCTCACATCACTGATTCTTATATCGCTGCAGGCGCTCACGGTGCACGGCACCAACATGCGGCCGGGGCGAGACGCGATCCACCCCTGTGCATTCCAGCGCGGCTCCTTTGCGACCGCCTCGCTGACTTTTCTGCAGCTCACCGCCTGCAGTTTCGACGTCATCCCCTTCCAGGTGCGGGGTCCATATGCACTGGTGCCTGCCAAACTGTGCTCTCTACACTAGAGCCGCAGCGCAAAAATGTCTGCACTGATTTGCATGCCATGAATCACCACTGGTGAGAAGTGAAAAAGCTTCTTGAGGTCACCTGACATTAAGAGATGCCGGTCCTTGGGCACCTGCACAGTTGCTGCAGCGTCGTCATGGTGAGATGATCAAATGCTTGCGGGCTGCAGGTTATGTCTCGACACGCTTAGGGAAAACGTGTTGAATGGGCCCGTTGTATCACGTCGTGCTCATATGAGCCTTGCGCTGTCTCAGCTTGCATACTTTGAGTCATCTCTAGCAGACATGTGCTGCGCGCAGATATGCCATCTGCACAGCCTGCAGAGCCTCAATCTGAGCCAGAACAACCTGAGGAAGCTGCCCAAGCTGCTGGCGGCCTACCTGCGCAACCTGTCCTCGCTGGACCTGTCGCGCAACGACTTCCGCCGCATCCCTCCGGTTCTGGCCTCCCTCCACAACCTGCGCCACCTCAGCCTCGCAGAAAACCCCGACCTGGAGGTGTGGCCTCCCCTCCCTGCACTCATTTAAGACACAATTGCAACGATGCATATGTATTTCTGCCATGTCGGTGGACCTACTTATTCCAGAGGTTGTGACCGATGCTGGAATGTCATCCGAAGACATCCATGAATATGCCAAGCATATCTCTACCTGATCGCGTTTGGCTTTTCCGACCCAATCAAGTGAAAGCATCGGTCACAGATTTTCCGTCCACATCCTTCCATGCACACAGGAAGCCTTGATCGGCCAAATGTAACAGCCCATAAGAGTCAATAGGGGAGACTCTTTTGTCATGGTAAACCTTGAATTCCCGAGGGGTGTGCTGTGTGAGCAGCCGTGAGGCTGCATGCCGGCAGAGGAAGGGTACTTTCTTCCGTGAGGGTGAAAGTATATCTAATTGGCAGCGCAAGGGACCACAATTCTCAGTTGCACCATTCCGAATGACCGTCGTGCGGCAGGTGTGCGGGGCGGCGGAACGGGCGCAGCTGGGGTACATCGGGCGGGAGGCGGTGGCGGATGACGGCGTGGCGCTCACCTACGTCGTCTGCTCGCTGCCTGAGCTGGAGTGCCTGGACGTGCGCAAGCGCGTGCGCAGCAACCCCCAGCGCGATCTATCGCCCCCTCAAGACCCCTGGAAGCCGGCCTGCCGCGCCACGCTGGCCGAGGTCGCGCGCGCCGTCCGCGTCCGCTGCCGGTGGTGCGCCATCCAGCGCTTCCTCTACGACGATGCGCCCCCCGGTTTTCCCCCTGGAGCGACCACCGGTCCACCTTGCGGAGCGCCCTCCAGTTCACCCCCTGGGCAACCAGGGTCTGGCCCCTTGTGATGAGGGTCCACCCCCTCTACACAGGGTCCGGCCCCTTGCGATCAGGGTTTGACCCCTCGCAATGAGGGTGGGTTTGCCCCCAGGCCGATGAGGGCCCGTGCTGATGAGGGGTTTATACCCTGGTCTCTGCAAGGGAGATTGAGCCAACCTCATCCGCGTATGTCACCAGCCGCAAGCCTTTGCAGTGAATGACTGTACCGCCTGAGCTTGCAGCGTATACAGAGGGGCCAGTCTCATCTGTATGCTAGGGGCAGGGCTTGTGCAGAACGAATGTGGTGTGTGTCTTGTACCAATAGGCAGCCATTGTTGCGTGTCAAATCTGCATATAATATGTTCCACGCGCCAGCCTAGGCTGTGTGTCCGCTGAGTCAGTATATGCTCTGCCGAATGCGAATATTTAGTATACATTATAGTGTTGTACTGCTGGTGACTGACTTGAGCTTGGTGTCCTCATTGCATGACTATCAGGCATGTCATGTCATATTTTTGAACTTCATGGTGTCCTGTGCCTTGATCGTGTATTTCAGTACTGTGCATTTATCAGAGTTGCTTAGCAAGGAGCTGCATGGCGATTGGAGGTCCCATTTTGTGATGCCCACTGCGAGATCAGGAATGTGCAATATTGCGAGACCAATGGATGCATCCTTATGGCCATCATAAGGAATTCCAGAAACTTTAAACGAGCAAACGTCCTTTCAAATTATTTTGGACAAGGAATCTATGCAGTGGGTTTAGCTGCGGCAATGCCTTCAAAGGGCTTGATGCATCGATTGATATCAGACACTCTAGTCTCTACATGTATGATTTTGAGCGCAAGGCATCCTTAGTGCAGCGCAGTCACAGAGCAATGCACCGCTTCCAAACATGGCTGCTTGTAAATCACAGAACCAAACAACCAAAGGGCTCCGGAAAACCCACCAAAGACTTGCTCAAGAACTTGAAATCTCATGAAGAGTTGAGCACTTCCCTCACAGAATCTCCTACTCGCCTTGGACCACCATAATGACATGCCAGATCTTGTCTAGACAATGTGCATCTCCCCGTTTGAACGTTTCTCGTTTAGGGATCATCTGTTCTAGGAAAGCACTGCTACCCACTCCTAATGGAGTAGAGCTCCTGTACATTCCAGCATTAGTATCACATACAGCTACTGTGAAGCAGCGCTGCTGTCCTGTCTGGCAATCCCTGAGCGCAGGTGAATGCCCACTTCTTGACCATCGAGCATGGCAGCCGCGTCTTAGCTGGACAGATCTGTGTCCACGCTGACGCCTGTGCCCTGCCTGTCCAGTTGCTCCTCCTCCATTTCGTCCCCGTTGACAACTGCCTCAATGATGCCCTGCCCAACAACGGCCCCTCATGAACATGAGCATGCAATAGACACACCCAAGCTGCAATTTAATCACGTTGTCACCACATTGAAGTGCATAGTAAAGTCTGCACGTGCAAGGGGCCCAGACAAGCGTTCAGTGTACTTCTGACGCCAAGGATCAAAATTAGAATAAGAAAGAAAGAAAACATGTAAGTGCTCAAAAACACAGAGGGAACCCAAAAAAATGACAGGAAGAGAGGCGGAGCGCGCACCATGATGTGGGCGGAGTGGGGGTGTGAGCGCGCGAGCATGACGGCGACCTGCCAGTCGGAGAGCACGCGGCCCAGGAAGAAGGTGGAGAGGCGGCAGATGTTGTCGCACTCCTCGTCCGCCGTCCGCCGCACCAGCGCAGCCGCCTCATGCGCCCTGCACATGTGACAAAAGACATCTCGAGCATATCCTGACATGAAAATCCCCGAGTAACATGGTGAGAGTATGCCCAGGCATGCTTGCAAATGTTCTGCGGCACCAGCAACTGGACAGCGCTCTTGGTGACCCCGGCCTCCTACAACAGCACTTACAGCTCCTCCTTGCAGGCAAAACAGACGACCAACTGCGGCAATCGTGGCAAGTTAACTTCAGCAGCCCAGAATCTGAGCAACGCAGACCTGCCACAGGGTGTCGTGCGCTTTCTGTGCTTCTTGATGTAATGCATGTCCCCTTGCACACGGCGGCGACAATAATCGCCAATGTTAGGCAAGGTACTGAAAGGTGGGTTGCAGAGGGCATGGAACAGGAGGCACGCGCGCACCGGAGGCAGGTGTGGGTGGAGGGGTCGGCGGAGGTGTAGAGGGCGGCCTGCAGGAAGGGCAGCGCCTGGGCCCGGTGCTGCGCGAGCGACTGCTGCCGCGCCACAAATTGACCATGTGCATCCCTCATAGCCAGCTCCTGCTCCTCCGTCACCCTCATCGCCCTCTGCGCGCGCACCACAGCCCCACTCTGTCAGATACTTCCTGCGATCTTCATGCCACACTTGTGCTGTTCTGCGTGAGTGCCACCCCACGATCTAACACCATCAGAACCATTGGCAAATTCGCCGCCACTGTCATCCGAATGGCATTCCCTCATACACCAGCCCTGCTCACAAGACTCTCAAGAAGGGCTGTTTTGCCCGATGCCCCTCGATGTGGCTTATGGCTGTTCAAGTCATGCTGTCGATGCGCAAGGTCTTGCCCTGTGTGATCAAGATTTCTGATTGAACTCAAGGCGACAGCGTGCCGTCCTGATGACGAGCTTGCCCAGGGGGCTGGTCAGCTGATGATTACTTAGAGAAAGGTACAGCTCAGGAATCGCAACGGCGTCAACAACGGCTTGATCTGTGAATCATGCAGGCGGGGGTGCGGCTCACCAGGGCGGCGCGGCAGATGCGGCGGTCGGTGTCGGGATCGACCGGGGACCAGTCGTCGGCGTGGCGCAGCTGCTGCAGGGCCGCCTCGCGCGCGTCCGTCGCCGCAAAGCAGCACATCACCGCGCGCACCTCCCTCACCTGCCCCATGAGTCGCTCACTCCTCAGCACGTGCAGCATTGTGACAGACAGAGGAACGTATTACACCTGTTTGTTCTGATACACGTGTTGCTGGACGTACCTACATCCTAGTTGCCTAGGAACTGAAAAACGTGTAATGATATAATATTAATAAAAAATAGTAAAAATTGAAAATTATTATGCTGTCCGGTCTCCATTTTCTCACATGTTGCTTTTGAAGCCCTTCAAGTTGCATGTTGTGCCAAACGAAAGCTTTCACCATGATTCACCAACGCCCATGCTGCAAGGCAATGTCAAATGGCAATGCCGCATGGGCAGCTTGTGATTCTGAGTGATACCTTCATTCGCGGCGGAAAATTCAACATTTTTTGTTGGAGATTTTGCGCACTGAGATGCTGGCTCAAATCAAGCCATCCATTCACGGCCCCTACTGACACGTCCTCTCACTGCTTGAAGCTGCATAGACTGAGTCTGCCCACAAAGCTCCAGAGGCATCTGAAGCTTTCCTACGCTGGTGTCAGCATAACAGGATGGCCGGCGATACCGCACCAGCTGCCGCTGTGCTGCGCCATACAGTGGCAGCTGGTGCGACGCTGGCGGCAAATCTGTTTCACTGGCTTTCCGTTTCGAGTCTTGCAGCCACCATGTGAAATCCGCTGGACTCACTCTACCAGCTTGACGTGCCTTGTACCAAGGCACATGGCGTGATGGCAAAGTGTTCAAGGAAGTCGGTGTTGGTGCTCACCAGGGATTGGACGCGCAGTTCTGCCGGGGTGATGAATGCGCCGTGGGGGTCCTCCAGGGCAGGCTCCGTCTGGGGGCACTCCTCCAGCAGCGCCACCAGCTCCTTCACACACGCCGCGTACAGCGTCAGAAAGCTCTGCGCAACACACCCCACATTCCTTCAGGCCTTGGATTGGATATCACCCTTCTGCACCCATTGCTAGGTGGACAAGCAGAAGCCAAGAGAAGGGACATGATATTGCATTCCCATGCCCTGCGCCGTCGTGTCCGCTGCATGGGCTCATCTTCATTATTCCATGAAGGTGTCCAGCACCACGATTGCCGTAACACATGCCTGCTTGCCACCGCTGCCAATCCTTAGGTATGTCAATCATGAACCTGGGCCATTGCAAGACAAATTTTGGACTGATGCAAAATGGCAGCGCACCTCTCGTGGGAGATTGATGAGGTCTTTGACGGTGACGATGGTGCCTTCCTGGGAGCGCGTGGCCTGCAGCATGTGCGAGTTCAGCCGCAGCGCCTCGCACCGTGACCGGCCGTCCGGGCCCTGCAGCGCCGCCGCGTCCGCCCCCTCAAAATCCTCCAGCTTTATGTACTCTAGCACCTGTCGCGAGCCAGCGCATGATCAATCGCCCGCCCATGCCAGCAAAAGTATGCCAGACCGAGAAAGGACTACCTTAAGCATCCCCTTGCATGTCCTGTGGTGCTGTGCATGTCTTGTGATACGTAAGCCGCACCTTTGAGGTCATGTGAAAGCATTGAAACCCTATGGGTCAAAAAAATTCACATGATGACTCACTGACCAGATAGTTTTAAATCTGCTTGCAGATAGACACCACATCAGGCACTGAGCTATCCATAACATGACACACAGACAGTATGGTCAAGAAGAACCGATGTATCACAAGGGCAAAGGAGGAGCAGCACCTTATCGAGGATGGCGGCGGCGGCATCCGCGTCCCGGCCGGAGCGGACGCGGCCGGCCTCGGCGGTGATGGAATCGAGGCACTGTGCGCGCTCGGTGGGGGACACGCCCGACGCTCGCGCGCGCTCCAGCTGCCCCACCATGTCCACCAGCCGGCTCTCCCGCACCTGCCCAGACAACACACCCCTCCTTTTCAGTTCAAGCCAAGAGAGACTGCAGAGATCAAGACAGAGCAAGAGCGCCAAGGAAGGGAGGCACATCTTTTTGATAGTCTTGCTAAATATCAAGTGATTGTTTGTCTATCTGCAGCCCTCATGGATTCCTATGGGTGGAGAACACATGCAACCAGTGTCCTAGGATTTCCATGGAGACCTTGGCTGCCTCAGCAAAATTGGACAAGTAGCAATGCATAGCCATGGTCAGTTCTTGCACACCATGCTGCTGCACACGCAGAACAGTCTACGTGTAATGAGTTCCACAGACAGGACAATTGCGGTCAGGATATCTGTGTTCCATGAACAGAGCACTACTGGCAGGATGCATATACTCCACACAAAAAAATATGGGGGGGGGCCTGTGTGGCGGACCTGCAGCATGGTCTTCTCGAGCTGCAGGCGGCGCAGTTCTGTGGCGGTGCCCTGGAGGCGCTCGTCGGAGTCGCGCTGCAGGCGCTCCAGGCGGCGCCTGTACTCCTCCACCTCCGCCTGTTTCTCCTCCAACTGGTCCAGCTTCGCCCTGCACCCCACCCGCTCACACGCCTGTCAGGCCCATGTATCATCCCCCACATGTGCATATTGCTCTTGTCATTCTGATGCAGACGCCTTGACAGCATGGACGACCAGGCAGATGCGACCATGTTCAGAGAGTAACAGCCCAACAAGGAGGCAAGCACACAGTCCGCAATAGCCTCTCCATTACCAAACAACAACTTCTCACCAGAGAAAACTACCCCAGCCAGTGAGAGGGGCCCTGCAAGTGGGGAGGTCACAATTCAAGCAGGGGCGAGTGCATGCGCTCACTTCTGCTTCTCGCGGAAGCGCCTCTGGGCCTCGCGGTTCTTGGAGCGCAGGTCGTCCTTCTTGCTGGCCTTCCGCTTCTCCCCAGTGCCGCGCGTGCCCGCTGCCCGTCGCTGCGGCCGGCTCGACGTGCCGCCGGTGGCCGCCATCTCCGCGCCCAGCGTCATCTCCGTCCCCAGACTCCCTGCACAACACAACTTTTTTTGAGCAAAACCTGTGTGTGCGTGCGTGGCGCAACACAAAGTTGCAAATCCATTGTGCACGCCAAGTAGTTTCCCACCACCACCACATCAGCACAGTAGAAAATGTGAGACAGAATGTGATTTCCAAGAATTTCCCAACCCGCCGTGCCACCTGACATGCGGTATGCAAAGCCACGAGCTGCGTGACTGCAGCAGCGCACCTGAGGTCTGAGGGGTCGCGCCGGAGGTAAGCTCGGCTTTCATGAGCGGCTGCGCCGCGGGCGTGACGGCCGCGCCGGAGGCCGCGCGCATGCTGCGCCGCGCGATGCCCTCCGGGAGAAGCCCCGACGATCCTGCGCGCGCGCCCCTTGCCGAGCGCCCTAGCAGGGGGTCTAAGGAGTGGGTCCGCGGCCCGGGCGGCGACCGCGGGTGCTGCTGCGGCTCCTGCAACGCGAAGGCCGAGGAGGGGATGGGGCTGGGCATCTGCGTAAACAGCGGGTACTGCGCTGGCGGCAGGACTCGTCCCGAGGGGCTGCACATCTCGGCCATGGGCGGCTGCAGCGTCTGCGGGGGGTCTGCCAGCGGGCCCCCAATCTCCACCAGCTGCGCGGGGGACTGCATGGGTACTGGATCAGGCAGGTTCCTGATGGAGAGCTCCCGGTCCAGGCCTGCCAGCGGGCTGGCTTGCTGTGGGCTGCGACTGCTTGGCTGGCCCGCCTCCGCCTGCTCTGAAGCTGCAGGTGCAGGATCGCTGCAAGGAGGACTGGATGGCCCTGGTGGTTTGGCTGCTAGGATGTCCAGGACCGAGAGCGCCATCTGCTTGCTGGCCAGGCTGACTTTCTCCCCCAGGCTCTGCTTGGACTGGATGCTGCTGAGGCCGAAGGATGCCTCGCTCAGGGGCAGCGAGCTGAGCGGCAGAGAGCTGTCTGGCTGCCAGTCCATGGCCGGTGTCAGCCTGTCCTGCCAGGAGGGCACCCCCTGCAAGCCCTGGACTTTCCATGCCTCGCCTGGGACGCTCGCAGGATGCTGCGCTGCTGAATTGAACGGCTGTGCAGCTCCAGCAAAGATCGAGGGTGGAATGTTGACTCCGGTCATGAGCGTCTGCTTACGATTGCCCCCTGATTCGATGTGCCTGCTCCAGAGACATAGGGCACAGACGTAAAATAAGAAGGCAAAATGCAGTCACCAGAACTAGTCATGAGTTGTTGGGAAGCGTTTCTGATATCTTGATGCAACCTGATGATGAGGCGAGGTGCTCTAATTCGCCCCTTTCTTGATGCAAACATTCATTTATAAGAAATCCACACGGAGCTTCCAAGCTTGCACATCGCCCTCACCTTGCCGCACCGACGCAGCAATGCCAGGTCAGAGCCTCTTATTTTCGTATCCTTGTTTCCATAAGTCCCAGGTTTTCAAAGGAAGCGTCAAAAAGTCGCAAACGCGTCTGCTGGTACCAATCCTGCAGCTGACAAAGACCCGTTTCGGTTTGCGCCCAGCCAACAAGCCTTTGCGAACAACCCTGTCGGTGACAAGATGGCGTGCGCAATTCAGTGCCGCCTTGACCAATGCATCGAGGCACAGGAACGTCCTGGAAGCCGGGTTGGCAGGTCGATGTTTGGCTGTTGCCTCTACTCAGTATTCCTAAATTGGATTTCTGAAGCTGCATGGAAGCTGCTTCTGTCCCATGCTGGTTTGGGTTTGGGCTTGTGGGCATTTTGCAACGGCTTGGCAGGGCTCATCAGCGCTGATCATAATCATTAGGCTCACCAGCTGGTTCTCATGTTGTGCCAAGCGGCATGCCAGCTTCAAAGAAAATTCCCTCAGTGAGAAAAACTTGTGAGCATATATATCATGATGATCACGATCAACCTGCATGCGCGCTCATCGCATTCTACTGCCACCCTGGCATTGCCGGCCCAGCATTGCCAGGCTGGCTTGCTAGCGTACCAGGATTCAGGCGGGCATTATTTGATCAACCATCACGACCATATTGGTGAACTTTCATGGGATACATATATACCGTAGCTTGTGGAGTGCCGCACTCTTTACAATGCACTTCAGGATTACTGGTTCCATAAAACCTTTGCAGGGCTTACCCAACTCTGCTCCATATAATACTTTGCAACTACTTGCGGTAACCAAAAAGTATCCAGAGGCTGGAGTCCAGTCGTTCACAGGCAACCTATATACCCATCCTCTTCGCTTTCCCTCCCTGTACAGAGCCGCTTCAAGGCGACAGCGTTATTTGCTTTCCAGGCTGTAGCGTCTCCAGAAGGCTTGCTCTGGGGTCAGTGTTTGAAAGCCATTATTTTGACACAGATACGCTGGCTTTATTTCGACATTGAGCCAAAACCCTTGCTGCAAGCAAAGGGACAAACTGTCCCGACCATAATACTAGTGGAGGCTCGCAATGCAGACGGATGCTGGTCCGACATCATTGCATAGAGCAAATCCAAGCGTTGAAACATGTACAAAGCTGACACAGAGCGCTTGGGTATGACTGCACTGTCAGCACGTGCCGCCTTGGGGCTTCACTTGTTGGTGGTCCGCGTTTCCAGGACGGTCTTGGGTTTACTATCCGACTTGCCAGCTGGTTTTGTTACTTCCTGGCTGCAGATTGGGCAGACCTGCACCCAACAAGGCAGTGAAACCGAATGAGAACCTCTCAGTAAGCACCCTTCCTCATTCCATCCAACATTCAGCTGACATGCAGCCATCATGAGTAGCAATGGCATGCACACAACTCAGCACATGTTGATTGTATTCTGCTGCCTGCAACAAAAGAATGAAAGTAGTGTGAGGGAAACATATGCATTCTTGGCAGTGAAGAGAGCAAGCCAACAGGAGCACCTTGTTGATGTGCAGCCACTGGCCAATGCAGTCTGGGTGGTACACATGGGAGCAGGGCAGCAGCCTGACGTTCTCCCCAGCCTCAAATTCCATCCGGCACACCGCACACTGCTCCTCCTCTTCTTTGCCTGGCGCATGTCCCAGACATGTGACATCAGCAGCTGGCAATGCCATGCACTGAAGGCACTTCCTTCCTCGCTCATCCCAATCACGCACAACAATCGGCTCGGCTACAACAATACCATTAATAAAATACCCTGATTTATGCCTCAAGACTCTTGTAGTGCCATACAATGTTGATTGCAAAGTTGCCTTGACAGGTTCGCCAAGATATTCACTGAACAGGAGAATGCAATTTCATGAGCGCGCGTACCGTCAGCCGGGTGCGCGTCTGAGAAGCGGCTGGTGTATTTGGCGTTGGGAAGCGCATCAATGATGTCCTGTGGGACGCCGCGCGAGACCGTGCCCACAGCCTCCCCCAAGGCTTGCAGCTCCTGCACAAGCATGACAGACAGCCCTTTAAGATCCGCAAAGCCAGCAGTTACTCGGTTGTTGCACTGGAAGGTGCTTTCCTAGACAACAGAAGGACCTTGCAGCAGAGCCCAACAGCCCAAATCAAACATGGAAACAGTGGCTCCCACCTCGTAGGTCATGTTGTCAGGGTCCACAGAGTCATCTGTCATGTAGCCATCCTCCTCGTCCTCATTGTACTCCTCCACCAACCCGCCATCTGCACCAAAAAGTCATTATCATCATAAGCCTAGTAAGGCAAGAAATTAGATAATTGCATGGTGTCTCAGATTCACTAGGCTGGCAAGGCCTATGGCAGAGTGTAGGCGTTTCTTTTACTGCTCCTCAAGATAGAGACCATTGTATCCTTAGTGATCGTTGTTCTTTTGCAAGGTAGCTCTATCTCTGGCGCTTCCTCTGCCTTGATGTCTGCATGTCTTTGTGTACAACGAGGCCAGACAGGCAGGAGTGGCCCCACCTGCGCCAGTCAGTTCCAGCAGCCTGCGGTAGTGCTCCCGGTCCTCTGCCAGCTGCAGCCGCCGCGCCAGGGCTGCATCATCTTCTTCCCCCTCACCCCCGCTCTCCTCGCCACTGGCATCCTCCGCCGCTTCCCCGTCGTCCTCCACCCATCCTTCCCCATCCTCGTCGTCATCCTCGTCATCATCTGAGCTCTGGTCTTCTTGCCACCCATTCTCCCTGCAGTAAAGGGGCATTTAGCATTATGTGCATGTAAGGGATTCGTTCCTGTAGCATGCGGCCCTCTGCTCACCTAAAAAACCTTAGTCATATTTGTAAGAGCTGGCAAGTGCTGAGGAGTTGTGGCTCACCCTCCATAGGCATTCAGCAGCATGAACGCCCTCTCTTGGTCCTGCAGCGCCTTAGCAATGGCACGATCGGCATCCTGCAAACGGTATGTGCAGGAGAGGTTCAGACCCAGGAATGGCTAGGTGCAGCACTTGTAGAGCCATAGAGCAGCCACTGGCTTCTGGCAAGGAAACCGCACACTGGATGAGTCACGTATAGGTAGCTTTGCTTCAAGTGGGCAAAAAGGCATGCGGTAAACATACACGTAGGCCAGGACCTGAGCTTTACACGCCCTGCAGAACATCGTTCCTGATCACCCAAAAATAGGCGAATGCCATTATGAGGCAGATTAATAGGTTCAAATATTTAGCCATCTCTTATATGGCGAAGCAAGGTGGGCAACTTGAGAAAATCAGCCTCGGGTACGTGTAGTTCTTTCACCAGAACAAGACAAACAAAGCAGCCAAAGCGCCCGAATAATGTGCATAATGGATAATGTTTCCTGTCTAAAACGAGGGGAGAAGTTTGCAAATACCTCCGCGCTGGTATTTCCTTCAACGTTGTTCTCACAAATGTCCCTAAGAACCATTTCGTCCGGAGCAGCTCCTTCAGGTCCTGTGCCAAGCCCGTCACCAGCCATTGCAGTCGGCTAAACGCCTACAGTTCCGGACGAACCACAAATAATTCCCTATGGTGGTTATTTGTGCCTCGAATTTCTTAGCTTGGTGGTTCTGGCAACCTTGCTCACCTGATTAGGCTGTTGGGTGCAGTTCCATCATGGCGATGGTGGCAAGGTTGGAACCGCTCCATTGCACTCACAGTGTGTCATGATTGCAGCCTGGGGCCTAGATATAGCTCACTGAGGCAGTCCTGCAGGCGCCTGTGCTCTTTGAAGTCATCCGTGCGCACGTGCACGCACTCGGGCACACCAGGCCTAGGTACCCGCATGCGCAGTGATCACTGCCAGCTGTCATGACTGCCAGCTGGCACTTTAATGCAATGGCTGGACTTGCGTGCTCTTTCCCTTTTTCCTCGATGTCAGGGTCTGTTCTGTCCTGGTTACAGTTCTGACGACAAGTTGCATCAAACGTGCACCATGTAGCTGTTTGTCTTCACCATTAGCAGCAGTACAGTTGCCTGTAAAACACCTATATCTTGACTTACTGGTCATCATGCCTTCAGGATGCTGGTCTTTTTTGGCATGTCTGCACCCATGAAGAACACAGCCGAACACTTACAGTCCTCTGAATATAGCATATGGCATACTGCCCCATATGCCAGATATACACAGGATGCTAAATCGTGAATGCCACTGCGGTCAGTACAGCAGTCCTTAAAATATTACCCTGATCAAGGACCATGGCTTCCTTAAGAGACTTTGGTTCACGAATGTACAAAAATGTGTTACATTCTGCGTTTGCTGCTGACCCGCAAACATGGTGACTCAAGACCTTGATGCCTGCCTCCTTAGAACAGGGGCAGCGCACACATTTTGAGGGGCACAAATAAGATGAACAGACCACTGTACCACTTCAATTCCACTGCTAGAAAGCAGCAGAACATCATGCTGGCAGCTGGTGTAACAGTACTGACCAAGACATTGCCACGTCACTTGGGCTGCCGTCTGCATGCGCAGAATTCCAGGCAGCGCTCCTGTGCGCCATCAGTCTGATAATTGCTGACATCATTCTGCTGCCGATTGACTGCATCATTTTGTTGCCTTGCTGGGGCAGCTCTTGAGGCCACCGCTCCAAGACTCTTCTATTGGCCCTCCACCCCACACTTGGCTTATGAGTCACACTGATTCCGATGACTTGCACCTGAACTGCTGGTGATCTATCATCTGAATGCGCGTGCCCAACTTCCCTTCAGCAGCTTCCTTGCAGGCCCTACACCCTCGCCTTCCTCACCCTCATTATCTCCCTCGCCCTCCTCTAAACCCTCCTCTTCCCCTGCATCCAGCGCTTCATCCGCCACCTCAGCGCTGACATCAGCCTCCTGACCCTGCTCCACTTCCTTCTTGGACGAGACTCCAGCAGCTTCCTCCAGCTTCTTGGCCAGGATGACCTGCTCTTCCTTGACAGGTAATGCTTCCTCTCCGGCAACTCCATTTGACATTTCTTGCGCGCTGGCCCGCTGTTCCTCGTTCAACATGTCCTCATCTGGTGCATCATTGTCTTCATCCGTTGCGCTCACATCCGCCACAAGCTCCTTGGGCTGCTGCGCTGCTTGCGCGCCCCTCTGCTGATCCTCCGAGGCGCCCTGTTCCACCAGTGACACATGTCAAGTCACACACGCTCACATGCAGGCATTGATGCTACCCTCCGAACGCACATACATGCACATCAGCTCTGGAGCAAATCTCAACAGCACCAGAGGCGAGTAAAAATTATGGGCATGAGCTGATCACCTGCTTTGAGGCGGGTTCATCCATTGTTTCGTCATCATCGTCCGCATAATACTGATACTCCTCATCTTCAGCCTCGGCGTCTGTGTCTGCACCCTGCAGGGCCAGCATTTCTGAAGCAGCCAGCTGCTGGATGCCAGAGGTGTCCTGCTGCTCTGAGTCCTGTGCAGCGTTTGCCAATGAGGTGGGGTCCAGCGCCTCTGCTGTGCCCAGCCGCTCCCCATGCTCGTTGTACAGAAAGCCATCCTCCCTCTCCTCCAGCGCCAAGGGCAGCTGCACACCAACCGTGTCCTTTAGCTCTTGACAGAGTGTAGATTCAACAAAGAGCGTGCCAGACCCTATGAAATCTTACAGATATTGGTCTTGGCCATCCAATATGCTGCAAGGCTCCACAGGCATACAAGGGGATTTATTTCTTAGTCAGAAACACATCCCTTCGACACATATTACTACAGAGTTCCAAGTGTTATAAAAGACTCTCGGGAGTTGGTACCATGTCATGGATGGGTCTACTCACCGATGTGGCCCTATGCTTGCTTATTACGGCGGCAGCAGAGCCCGTCAGTCCGGCCAAGGCAGCGGCGGCGCCAGCGTTGCCATTGAACTTGATGCTGTTGTCGAGCACCCAATCTGGCACCTGCGGGCCGGCTTCTCGCTCCTTCTTGGCAGCTGCAAACAATCAGACCTCCAACTGTCAGCTCTAAGTTAATGCAGATTGTTCCTCATGTCACAATCTGTGGGAGTCCAGCAGCATAAGTAACTATTAGCTGGCCACCCAGATGCAGAGAGCATGATGCACTCATCAGGTAAAGAGTGATATGCTGAGGTTCGGCCTGACATGCAGCCCTCCCAAAGGACAGTATTGGCACTAGTGTACAAACATCACTGAGGCTAGTGTAGTGCACTGATGCTCAACATGGCCTCAACCAGCAATACCCTTGACATGGGCACCTACGCTCGAGGTGTCTCAAGTCTTTCCAATGTGCCCTGAAGGGTCCCACAAAGATTTCAGAGTAAGCTGATAAAAAGGAGAAGGGATCACTCACCCATGGAAGCCTCCAGGGCAGCCTGGCGGCTGTAGCTTGTGCCGCCGTACATGACATCCATGGCTCGCTGACGGTTGCGCGCGTGCTGCGCATTGTCCTCCCTCTTCTTGCGCTCCTCCTCTTCCCTCGCCTGCACCCCACAGCAGCCCAAGATCAGCGAGCGCATCACTCACAAAAGCTCTACTACGCTAAAATGTGCACCAAGTCGGCCATCAGCAGCCTGAACACCCAAAGGAGACGGGCGCGCATGTCGGTGCCTCATTGGCAGCCAAAGACTAGGATAGCACACTTTCTGCTCAAGCAGCTGGAAATGGCACCTGTAGTCACTGCATCTCTCGCACGTGGCGGCCTGCATGGCCCGCACATGTTCCAATACCAACACCATGTTTATAAGAGGTATTTAACAGGTATTTAAAGGTGTGTCACAGGTACTTAATAATGGGACTGGCATGGCGCGCACCCTCTGCTCGCAGACGGACTTGTCGCCGTCCTTGGCGAGGCGGTAGAAAAGGCCGTCGCAGAGCTTGTCGCAGGTGTACATCCCGTCGCACGCCGTCGGATTGATCTCCACCTGCCGCCCTGCCAGCAGCCGCCGGATGATCTTCTGCTCCGCATCCATCTTGTGCATGAACCAGTTCTCCTTGTTCCAGTTGAAGCCAAAGATGCGCAGCTTCTGGTCCGGCCGCAGGCATGCCACCGTCGTCAGCACGCCTGTATGCGCAAAACCAACATGTTGAAACACACCAGCAATGCTGCAGTATGCCTGTGAGGAAAATGTTTGTTTCCAGAGGCAAGCACTCAGACAGCCATTCGCACAGAAGAAGGTCATAGCAGTTTTGCATCACAATGGCCGCCTGAAGAGTTGATAACCCATTGATGCATGCAAAATAACCCCTCCAGGGGGCAAAACAAGCCTAAGACTGCAAGAATGATGAGCATGTCTGCATCAGGGAGATGCAGGGAGACAGCGAAGATGTAAACACGACAAGGGAGGCGCACCAAGGAGACCAGAAGAGGGCATGGCTCCCGCCCTGGCCAGGCTGGTGCTGTCAGACAGCACTCGGTTGTACAGATCCCAGTACCCAGTGATGTTGATCTGCGCCATCAACCAATCGTCAGTTCAAACTTTGCCGCTCTGACAGATTATCAATTCAATCATACTGCATGCACAGCGCACGGTGGCAGTTTATGCTGGTGAAATTTAACGAGCAGGTGGTGCAAGAGGAACAGCTGCTGGGCCAACCTGCATGGCCTTCTCCACAGGCACAAAGGGGTACCAGGTGAGCAGCTCCTCTACAGCGTATGCCATGAAGCGAGTGGGATGGCCGCCCAGAAACACCACACCAGATGCCTGCCGCACCACCTGCACAAGATGCAGTCTAAGCTGGGGAAATGCTGCTGAGATGAAGTAAGGCTACTTCACTTCATGAGCACTGAAAGATGCATGCACGCTGCTCTGAGACAGTGATGATTGGCTTTCTTTCATGTGCAAGGAGATCCCAGTACTGAGACTCAGTGTACACAGGTTTGAGAGAGCATGTGAACAGAGCCGCACCTCCTCGGCTTCAGTGTAGCGCAGCTGTTTGAAGCCCCAGTAATTGGCAGGTCCCATGCCATTGTAGCGCACCAGCCAGATGTCTATTCGCTCCCCAGGTATCCTGCAACACCAATCACACTTTTCACCACTCATCAAAACAGACACACGGCGTAATGCAATGCAATATATGCAGATCATGTGCTGGTGCATAGAGACAAAAAGGTTGATGTACCTAGCTCTGTGAACACAGCACTTGTCATTGAAGTCAGCCCACAGGTGACTTGCTCAAGGTAAAGCCTTGCAGGTGTCCTGCGCACCTATTATTGAGGGCGTTGAAGCGCACGACCCTGCCGGCCCGGCTGATCTCCTCGCGCTGCTCGTCGGTGAGGGGCCCGTTGCCCACGAGCGCCACGTCATCCGTGGAGTTCACAATGCTGCACAGCTGGTCCGCCGACCCCCAGGGGTACTCAGCCACCTGTGGCCCAAACGTTTGCGCATCCCACAGTGGCGCTGGGTTCCTCCGGCCGTGCATGAGCCACCCGTATGTCCACGCCGCAGGCCCCGGGGAGAGAACGTATCTGAGGACGGGGTCCTTGGCTAAAAAATCCTCCATGGCCTTGAGAGCCCTCCGTGCCCATTTGGGCAGCCGGTCGCGGTTCCGCTCGCGCATTTCCTGGTAGCTGTGCTTGTGCAGCACCGCAGAGCTGCCGCCGTCCAGGAAGGAGAAGCGGCCGTTGCTGCTGCTGCCCTGGCTGCTGGCTGAGGGGAAGTTGTTGCTGCTGCTGCTGCTGCTGCCGCCGCCTAATCGGGCGGCATTGAACCTGCCCGGGGGCGGCATGGTGTCGAGAGCGCTCTGCTCTGCCTCTGACATGCGCAGCCGCACCCCCATCACTGCCAGACCGGTGACCGCCGGCAGCAGCAGAAGCATGAGCAGGCATGCATGCCGCTCCTTGCCCCTGTGGCGTCACACAGAACTTTGAGACTTATCATGATTTAAAAAACAAAAAATTAAAACCAGAATGGCATGTTCTTTGCAAGATGAGAGACAGAAGGCAGCTGGATTGCCAGGATGAGTGAACTCTGCAGTCACAAATGAATGCTGGTTGCAGCTAGTGCAGGATCAAGCAAGAGATAAAGAGCTTGTCGTACATGAGATTCACAGGAGCAGGAAAGTGGTTGGTACCTTGTGCCAGGCTTGGTGGGATTCTGGCTGGGTGTGCTGCCAAACAGCACATTGCCGGCCAGTAGGGGCTGTGTGCGGTCCGTCCTGGGGCTACAGAGCTCCTGCCGGCTGTCTGGAGAGCAAACGGAGGCTCCAGCGCAAGGACTCGAGGATCTGGAGCTGCTGCGGAAGGTCAGGCCTGGCACTGGCGAGCCAGACATGCCTGCCTCCAGGTCTGATGAGCCTCCAGACTTCTTGCCTGGACTTGTGGGAGCTGAAGCTGCGGCCTGCTGCCTGCTTGGAGATGCTGCTGGGGTATTTGTTCGTCGGAAATATTGCATCATGTGGCCTAGAGCATGCACGGGCTGTCTGAATGTACGCTGCAGCCAGAATGCCTGTTCAAGCCTGGATGGAGCCAGGCACCCTTTCTCGGTAGCGTGATTTCATTGCTCGAGCTCACTTTTCCCTCAAATATGACACCTCTGCGCGCCACTGACACCCCTCTGCGATTGGAAAGGAAAACGCCTTCCTCAGACTATTGACTCCGAGGAACACAAGGTTATGGCTTGGGAATCGTCGCGTCAATCTTGCGATGCTCAGACTCACGTCCACAATATTTCCGTTAAACAAAAGTTCAAAGCTTGAGCAAGTGGGAGTGCGCGTGCTGCGTAATAATTGTTTCAACGACGCTGTTCGATGGTACCTAGATTTGTGCACGTTAAAATACCCACCATTTCTTGCGCGATATTCTGAGTTGACTGGCGTTTCTTATATGATCAGACCATTCGGGCGCTCCCATGCATGGAAGCAACCTCAGAGATCACCGATCGACTTGTGTTGTCGCTGCCTTGGGTGGTGTCAGTACCGAGTTAGTCACCTGCCACCTCGTTCACTCACTTCGTGTAGCAAGACATCGACGATCTCCATTACAGATATATCTGGCAACACTTCACGCAAAGAGCGTTTAAATCGCGTCTGTAAACCTCGTGCTCTCCGCCCACCTGTACTGATCGCGTACATGGCTGGCCTTCTCTAGATACATTACGGACCCTTCATGGAAGCCGACCGGAAGCCACATGCCCTTGCCCTGCTGGCACCATGTGATGGACACAGACCTGTGACTGTATTCCTCTTTATCTTAGAGCATACGGATGAGCGTAGGAATGGACTGGCAGGTGAGGCTGACAGCAGCCAATTGCAAACATTCCATTGGCCAATTTGGAGCGCTTGGGCTAGCTGCAAATGCCATTCGGGCAGTGCCTTCGTCCGCTTCAACTTGAAGCTGGCCGCAGGCGCACTCGTTGAAGTGACTTGCACTGCAATGTTCACTTAGTGGATTGAACCTGGACTGCATGCATGTGCACTTTTTATGACTGCCAGTCAGTGATGATCAGTGACCACGTAAGAAACTTGGACCAAGCCATATGACCAGGTCTCCTGATTTGCACTCCAGCAGACTTGCTAACACTATACAGAATGTACATACATACGGGCAGTGTCGGTTCATCGAGACAGCCCTTAACGGTGATTACATCTTTCCAGCCGTCTGTTGTTACAAAATTCAGCGCTTGATTGCAACAATTGTACATTTTCTGGCGCTGGACCGTCCTGAGGTGACCTCCAGGACTGGAGCTCTCACTTACAGCTCTCACTTTATGACCCACCAGATGCCCAATTTGACACAAGACATTTCATGCAAAGGAGGTTTCCCCGGCGATCTGACACAGTGCCACGGTTGCTTGGGCAATGACAGCCATGCTTTCGGCAACTTCATGCAGAGGCTGATGTGAACGACCTTGCCGCTGCCTCCTTCCAGACATTGTATGTCCCGCTGCTGAACAAGACAAAATGCACCTCTTGCACAGATCCTGCTGCCTCCTTGCAAGCTTCCAGAGCCACCTGCCACGCACAACACAGTCCTACAATTGTAAACTGCCAAGACAGACTCTTCTTAAGGTAAGAAGCACATGCTATTGAGGAGTAGATGGCAGAAATGCTTAAGGAAGGTGTTCCTCACCTTGGCAGCTGCCTCCAAAGGGTAGCCATAGACACCGCAGCTGATGGCTGGAAAGGCAATTGTCTTGATGTCATGCTCCTGAGCTAGCCTCAAGGAGTTCCTGCGACAGCCATTTCCCCACCTAAGAATCACATTCTGCGGTAAAGAAGAGGCAGCTAGAATGATTGCATGGTGCATGAACGTTGCGCGCATGTGGAAGCTGACCTGTGAGCATTGGTAAGGAGTCTTGCTGCTTCTTCCGTCGTGTGCCTGCTGTATATGGGCCCCACCGTGTGTATGACATTTTTAGCAGGAAGTTTGAAACCCCTGCAAAGCACCCATTATATCTTGAAGAAAGTTGCTCACAGCTGACAGCTCCCATGTATTCCAAAGTGGCACAAGCAACAGCAGCGGGCAATCTTATTGGTATGAGCCTCAATGCATCTGGCTATCATCCCCGGCAATGCCGAATATGCAAGTTGAAGTGGGCACCCACGGTGTGATATGTGCTTCACCAGTTGGACACCGCACAGATCTCCCCTGCACGATCGGCAGACGCCTGCATGCCTCCAGAAGTTCAGGTCCAGCTGCCGCATGGATGGCTGCGAGTACAAGATCAACCCTTTGGCTGGGCTGCATGCGACATGCGTGATTCTGGTCAACTGCACGACTTTGTTAACACTGCAAAACGGATTCTGCGTGAACAAAAAGCCTCACCTCCATCCACACCACCTCCACCAAGGAGCTCTGGGGCAGCTGCATAGTCAGTCCAAGGAAGATAAGCATCCACCAAGCAGTCAGTGTAGAATGGAGCGTACAGCTGCTACGTTGCACCCCGGCAACAACCTAGTCGCGTTCCAGAATGCAAGAATTGAAAGGGGCACCAGGATCTGATAAAGGTGATTAGGAGTGTGGTCTGAGTGTACCGGCATTGACGATGGCATCCCCTGAAAACCGAGTTAGATCGCCTTGACTCAGAATGAGTCGACTCTTGGACGTCAATTCAAATTGTTCTTGTGGTGATTGCAATCTCGACATGATGTGCAGGCGTCTGGACTTACTTAATTTTGGGCTAGACGGAAAAGTGGCAAAAAGAAAACCCTTTTTCAAAGGATGGAGAAGTGACAATCGATGCTGCATCTCAATCTATCAAGCTTTGTAGACACATTGTGTCGTGACCCCTGCCAGATCGGCCAAGTACTTGTGACATATTCACAGATGCACTCAAACCCTTTGCTAAAGCATTCCCCTTGCAATTTGGGGGATATGCTGATGTGGACACATCTCTTCCTGCAAGAAATCCATGGCACGGTGTTATTTATAAATAGAGCTCTTCTTGTGCTGCAGCCAAGAAACATGTCCTGCAGCCCAGATGGAATGCGTAGCTCCATCTGTGCCCCATGCAAAATATCATCCTAAATAAGAAAATAGCAATCTTTGGGCAAATTCCATGGAACTTCTACATCTTGAAGACTCAATGCAACTCAACCGGAACTGCGTACACTGTACACAACCATTCCCAGCTTTGAAACTAGCGCGTGCAATTGACCGGCTCGAATCAGCCTCGCACGGGTGCCAGAGGCGGAGGGGAGAACGCCCCCGCGCGGTGGCCGCCCCCAGCCGCCAGCCGCTGCCCAGCCGCGCTTTGAAATTGCACGGTGCCGGTGTACCCTCTGCTGACAGGTGCACTGCCGGCGGCAGCTGCTGCCTGACTGCTGGCATTGCCAACCGGTGCCAGGGAGGCAGGCATGGGCAGGGAGCTGGGTGCATTGCTGGGAAGCGCTGCAGTGGGCACGCTGGAAGCTGCTGGCGCGGTGCGCCGTGTGGGGGAGTCGCAGCTGGCATTGGCCGGCAGTGTCTTGGCCATCTGCTCAGCGTAGGTGTGGGGGAAGGATGGCGGGTTTGTCACCCTGCGCATGCACCACACCTGCATGAGACTGACAGGGGTCGGTAATGACCGCGCATGCATGCGCCCCAGATGTCTTGGCAGGGGGAGTGGTGAATTTGTAGTGCTCACCGCAGAGGTAGCCTGGTGCTGACTCCTGTGGCATAGGAGTTGCTGGCACCCGTCAGCGCTGGTCTGTAAGTGGAGTATTTGGAATTGACTGCGCCGTGCAGCTGCGCCTCATTGACCTGCAGTGAACAACAGAAGAAATCATAACCTATCTGCATATCGCATTGCCAACGCAATGCTGCCATGTGATATCCTTCTTCTAACTTTTGTGGAGGAAAAACATGGGTGGACAAATTTGATAAGGAACGAAGGATATACTGTACCTGGTTGTTGAGCCATCTGATCATCTGATCATTGCTGTCCAACTGCTTCTTGCTGTCCTCCACTTTCATCCTCAGCTCCTCACACTCGGCCTGCGAAATACCATTAGCTTCTTCATGAAGGAACTCCACCACCACACCGATCACGAGTCATCCACACATCCTCCTTGCCAAGCGGCATGTCCTGACAGTAACAACACGCAAGATGGAGATGATCTGCACATGATGTGCGCTCTCTCACCTGGTGCTTGGCCGCGTCCGAGCGAGCTTGGTCAAGGGCGTGCTGCAGCGCCTGCGCATCCACGGCAGCCGTCTCCAGGGCGCGCTCTTTGGATGTGACCTCCTCCTCCTGCCGCGCCACGATTGCCGCCTTTCGACGCAGCCGCTCTCGCGCAAGCCGCAGATCCGCCTGTTCCGCAGCAGGCGCCACGGTGACTGAGATGAATAGAGTGTGTCATGCAGCACGACATGTGGTGGTCCCATACCATGCATCCGATTGCCACCTAATGCCTTCTCTGTCATGTCTCCAGAGCCGTCTGACACAGGGGCAACTTCAGGCACATTGCAGGCTTTGGCTGGCCTCGCGAACGACATGATCAAGGGCCTCAAAGGAGGTCCTCAGGTCAGGCAGGCGTTGGTGTTAGAGACGGCGCAAAGGGCTTCCAGGGAGGTTCTCGGGTCGGGCAGCCGAGGGCTGAGCACCCATGCATGCTCACCATGAACTTCTCAATGATGCGGTTGCCTTTGAGCACTTCGGCGGCGGCGGCACGCGCGCGTTCGTCATGGCCGGCCGAGGCCTCCTTCAGCTCGGCGCACCTCTCCCCCAGCTGGCGCGTGCCGGCTTCCAGGTCCTTGATGCGCTCGCGCTGCTCTGCCACCACCTCCTTCTGAGCCGCCACCTGCCGCAGGGCCATGGACACAGATTAGCTCTTCTCGACATGCTCAAAATTGCACAAAGCTCCGCCACTCAGCATTTAGACATAGTCATAGGCAGGGACTGTACTGTGAGGTCGCTGGAACAGCAAGATCGCAGACTCACAAGGACTTTGCACCTTGACATTGCAAAGCTGTCTGTCGATGAGTCTTTAGGGAACCGACTCCAAATCAGTCACACTGCATGCCCCTGAATTTTCACAAGGTTTGAAGGGCATCTGACATTCAACACGCGTGGAACCAGAGTACTGGACGGAACCACACCTTCTCCTCGGCCGCTCGCAGCTTCGCGCGCAGCTCTGACAGCTCAGCCTCGCGCTGCCCTTTCTCGCTGCCGGCCGCCGCCGCAGCGGCGCGCAGCTGCTCCGCCTCGGTCTCCAGCGAAGCCAGCGTTCCCTCCACAGCCGCCAGCCGGTGGCCGAGCTCCGAGCCGCGCGCCTCGAGGCCAAACTTCGCCTCGCGCAGCTGCTGCGCTTCTGCCTCCAGGCTGCTGTTGCGCGCCTGCAGCGCCTCCACATGCTGCCTGTGCCTCTCCTCCACGTCTGCACGCATCCTGGAACGCATGCACGAAGTGCTTGATGTGAAGGCCCCATCGATGCAGATATTGTCAAATCCATGCACTGATGTAATGGTCTTTTTATTGCCTAGTAACAGGCAGAAATCATCTGTGCTATTTGCAAGATGAGTTCCAAAAGATCACAGGTTTGGCACCTGTCCAGGGCTTCTTTCTGTTCGGCCAGCTCCCTGGTCTTGTCATGCAGCGCAGCAGCTGCGTTGGCCATGGCATCTGCTTCCCTTTCCATCACATACCGCTGATGCTCCTCCCTTGTTTGAACCAGCTGCTCCTCTGTTGCCCGGAGCTTTGTGCATGCAGCCTCCATATCTCCCTGGGACGACGGCATGACTATTATACCAGGACAAGAACGACTGTCATGCAGCAGAGCAGGAGGCATGCAAGGATACCATTTCATGACACTTTCATGATGGAAAGAGAGCAACATTTACCTGCATTTTGTGGAGGTCAGAGCTGAGCTTGTCATTGCTCAGCTTGACTTCAGACAGCCGGGATGCCAGATACTGCTTTATGGTGGCATCATTGCCTGGCCTGAAAGCCAGGGTGATGTGCGGCAGCTGATTGAAGTCGTTGGTCTCCACAATCTTGAAGACAGATGTCGCTTCCATTGCCAGCAGCACTGCTTGAAATCTGTCAGCATGTTTGAGAGGTTAGTTCAATGTCCTTAAACATGCAGCTTACTAGAAACGCTCATCTCCCCAAGGCACACTGCCAGGAATTTTTGCACAATAATAACGCTGACCTTGGTGCGTCCTCATGACGTGAAGCGATGCATCGCTCCAGCAGGCCGATGATCTTCCCTGGGAAGTTACCAAAATCTACAAGAATGCCCTGCTCCGCTTTCAGAATCTGGAACTCTTCTTCAGTGAACTCCAGGGTGTGCAGCAAGAAAACATCATCCTCACTCGACAGATGTATCCGTAGCACCTGTGCAGGCATGGGAGTTCTTGCTCACTAAGGCTTCAGGCTATTTATGATCCGTGATGCCATATGTGATGTGCCCTTTGTCCAGGCAGACCAATACAAGCGTTGCACAAGTAAAGATGTATCCAATGAGATGCACGCATGACGTGGATTTGCTCACCCTTGAGTTGTGGTTGTTCCTCTGGACCCCCAAGGTGATTCGTACTGTCAGCTCACACAAGACCTCTTCACGATCTGGCTGCCGTACTAGGAACTTCACTCCTTTCCAATAAAGCGTGGAGGTTGTCTGCACATCAAAGCTGTCCCAACGCGTGGCTAAGCCATCCAAGACAGGGAGCCTGAGACCCACCATCTAGTAAAAATGTTCAGCGCCTCGTTAGCTGAAATCAGGTATAATCTGCCAGCCGCTACTGCGAACTTACAAGCGTATAGCACGCACACTCCATGCAGTACAACATCTCAATCGCTTTCTGTGCCCGAAGAATGCGTTATCGATTTCGCGCGCAATTCAGGCTTCTTAACTCCCTTTTTTGAGGGGGTATAAGGAAACCCTGCGATGTGGCAATTGGTGCAATTTGCGAGGCAGCCCTTTCTCCTATCTCCTGGCGCTCGCTTTGTCTTGATGTCTGCATACCTCTTTCTCTAATTTGGTGGAATCTCTTGAGCAGGTCCCATTGGTAGGTACCGTACTCACGCAGATCTATGCTAATTTTCTGAATTCTCCGCGCGGCGCCCCTTACAAATTGAATTGGCGGATCTGGACCACGCATGCACCATAGCCCGATTCAGCAGGTGAGTACTAGCCGACTAGTCACCGGTACGTACCGTATATGCCGCCGGCCGGCGCTTTCAACATTGGGTTAACCCGTATTGCGAGGACCGGCATGCCGCGCATGCGCATGCGCATGCAACTGCGCAGCTGCGGCCGGTCTGGCCAGTGGTAGGTCAGCACGTGCTGAGCTGCACTGCCACTCGTTGTTACAAGCATGCCATTCATGCCGTTCAGTCTCTAAGCTTGAAGCTTCATGAGTACAGGCTGACAGTGTCAAGAACTGGTAATAATCTTGTGAGCTCAGCGCCAACAGCCACATGCCAGTCTATTGGCCAGGCCCTGTGGAGCTTATTTGTGCCACATTTGTGTACAGGAGAGCGTGCAGCTGGCATACTACTAGTCTAAGCAGGGTCCCCAATATCTTCCTCATGCAGAATTCTGTTCCACAGGTTGGCCAAGGCAGCGGGTTTGAGCTTAACTTTACTCATCGTCCAATTGATCAATGAGTCACTTCTTATGCATACCGTACTATAGAGTCGCCATCATTCTGATAGGCAACGCTGTACTGCACAAAGCAGGATTCACAGGACAAGCTTGGCAAAGCATTGACAACTTGTTGAAATGTTTGAACCCCACCAATCCTCCTGACAGTGTCCGCTTCTCCAATGTTTTGAGCTATGTACGTGGACATGCAAAAATTACTTGCATCTCAGATCAGGTGCAGGATTGCGTCTGCAAGCACACACTTGCCTGAAAGATGTTTCTTGATCATACTGACTCCTCGGAGGGACTGACTGAGCACACCTCATGTACGCCAAATTGACACGGTCTGGTGACTTATCGTACCTGCAATTTGGTCGTCCCTAGAAGCAGAGGTGTTTCCGATGCAGACGGTATTTCATTCCCACAATATCTTTGTCACGCTTCTGCACACCTGTGTAAAAAGAGCATTTCAAATGATGATTCAAGGTTCATGATCTTGCAAATTCACCGAGACCTAAAGTCAGGTGCATTCACACTTACCACATCTTGGGGCCTTGTCATGTCAAGTAATCATGGCTGGCATGCCAGTGGCATCAGAGCTCCAGAGCCTGCAGTCTCTCTTCTGCCTCACTGGCCAGCTTCTGCTGGGCCTGGGTAAGGCGCATTTGCTGAAGAATAGCCCTGTTGTGCTCGATCGCCGCCCTCTGGCATGATGCCAGGGTGCCACCGTTTTGCAACAGGTGCATCATCACGGTGCGATATCGAAAGGTTGTGATGGTAGTCATGGAGGCCAGCACCTGCTTGGGACAAGCCAGCGAGCAAACATTCATGCATGCACTCACAGCCAAGTACAACTTTGCTTTGCAATCGCATTTTTAAATCAGATGCCTTTTTTCATTGGAACGGGCCACTATCGACACACCTCTTTGGACTGGTCACGGCCGCAGCGCACAATGCATAGGTTTGTCAAAGGATTGTAATATTTCACTTGCTGGGAAGCGAGACAAATGCCCAGGCCATAGTCCCCAAAATTAGTAGCAATGCTTTCGCGCAAGACAGCCTGTATATTGGCCTCTGTCAGGGTCTCATCTGTGCGCCCATCCTTCCAGATCAACTCTACCAACAAGAACCTATTCTTGAAGCGCACCATCCTTAATTTGAGCAACCTGGTCGACTTAATATCACAAAATGGGACTTTCTGCTATCTTGAGGCTGAAAGCATCATCATCTGGATAAGTGAGACGAAACTGTGCCATGGTGTGCCCAGAATAGGCATTGCCAAGGTTCTCATGGCCTGGCGATCTCAGCATCAAAGCACGTTGTGCTCCTGCCTGTGAGACGAGGATAGTCAGATATCTTGTAATTTCTCATTGTTCGATTATTTTTGGGATTTTTCATTGACACAGTTCAAAATAAAAAGGGCCTCATGCGATGCCCTCACGGGTGGGTCCTTCCCGCTTGAGTACGCTGACAGAACTCCTTTTGGATTCAATCGTTCTTGCTGAATTATGACGTGGGTGGAAAGAAGGGTGAGACGCTCAATTCACGTATCCAAAGGCTGCCATGTACACCCATGTGTTGATCCATCAGGAAGCGATCGTCTTTTAAAATCCCTGCATTGTGCTGTAAATAAGCTTGAAGTGCCCTAATTTGTCAATTCTGTAGCACCGTAGATGTTATATACTCTGATCATCAGACTTCCTGTTCCTCTGCTCACCTGTGGAATTCCATCTCGTGCTTTACAGACCTACAGGACGTATCGCTTCCGCAAGCGCAGCCACAATGTGTCAGAAGCAGCAGAAGAGGCATATCTGAGGGATGACATTCCTTGTGGCAGTGACGCCTGCTCCACTTGCCAGCATGGGCTGCCAGCTGTTTCAGCTGATGCGCCCCACTACATCATCCCAGATGCACAGGCCCTGGATGACTTCCTGGAGATCTTTGAGCTGCCCCAGCTTCAGAACTTCATCCTCCTGACCAGTGTCCTTCAGGAGGTATGATCTCATGCATAGCAAGCTGAGTGCAACTCTGCATTCTAGGCCCAAACATGATCTCTGAAATCCATCAGCATCCCTCCCCAAAATGGTCATAGCAGTGCATGTCAGGGGCAGAAGGAGACCCGACTCTGTTTGCATGTGCTTTCGAGTCAGAAATGTGCTTGTGTGCAGTTCTGGCAGCACAGCAACATCCGGAAGAATGCGCGCCTGAGATCTCTGTACAGGGACGTGCGTCGCAAATGCACTGTCTTTGACAATCTTCACTATGCTCCAACGGCTCCTGGGCCCTCTGAAAGGTACTGCATCTTCTCATGCACCAGTTGAAGTTTGCTCTTACCACAATATTGTGATGCAAGCTGCCGACATTTGACATATCCTTTTGAATGTCTGCCCAATCTTGCCAGGCACACAGACAGGGAGATTGACAAGGCCGCTCGTTGGTTCTTTGGCCACTTGGATTGCCGCATCCCAATCGTCGTTCTGAGCAGCCACGCTGATCAGCAGCAGGATTACGCAGACGGTGAACAAATTTGTTTGTCTTATGCCAGCTCCTTGGATGGAGAAGATGGCGATGGTTAACAGCATACTGATCGCATGCGTACCGTTTCCTTGTGCTTCATAATGCTTGTTCTTTGAAAGATAATGCTGCAATCATGCAGGAGATGTGGCACATGCCGGACATCAGGCCACCAATTCCATATCAGAGGGGGATGCAATCCTGATGCAAATCCTGAGGGATTGTGGACATGACGTTGACTTCACCGCTTTCAGTCAACCAGCTGCGGCGGTGAAACCACAGCGGGTACAAGTCATGTTCACGGGTCTCAGCCCTAGCTCTAGAACAGTATGTTGTGCAGATTCATCAATTTGCTTCGATCACATATTCTCTGCCTGGCCTTAGCCTATCGAATGTAGCACTGTGCAGACATTGCTTTATGGGCTTTGAGCAGGTCTTGGAAGGAGTTGAGCACATGCACCCAACCACCTACTTCAGCCATTTCTGGGCTGAGTGCATTCCGGTGATGGAGCTGTTTGAGTCCCTCGAGGCTGCCAGGCAAGCGGCTGCAGATGAGGGAAGCACCCCCGCCAAGGACTTCCAGTATCCTGCCCACCTTGGAGCGTCTGCATTGGACAGTGCTCTGTCCTCAGGCGACGTGCTGCAAGTGAGTCTATCGACACGCCTCTTTTATGCTTGCAAGAGAGCTTTTGAGCTTGCCAAAGTTCAAGCCATTGCCAGACTTTGTACATAGGCTGACTCATGACTGGTCCCAGACCTCTTCCCAGCGGTTGCATGCAGTAGCTAATGTGACATGCACTTGTGAATGTGAATGTAATGTATGTTATGATTCTCTTGGCAGGGGGTCTTGCACATGGGCCGCAGAGGTCCCAAGGACGGCGTCGTCCGTGTGGGCCAAGGCATGGATGCAGGAGAGGTCCAGATCAGTGGCATGCAGGCCCTCAACAGGGCCATGCATGGTGATGTGGTGGCAGGTGACCTTCAAAAAACCTTGGTTGCGCCCCAGCAGGGGGCACACTATGCCTTCTCAATATAAAATACACAAGTAAGAGTTCAAAGCTGTTTGTTCCAGTGCAGAGCTGAGTGGGCTTATTCATGGGTGATAAAATTCCTGGTGAGGTGTTGCCTGGCGAGATCAATATTGGTGTTGCGCAGTGCGGCTCTTGCCGAGGGATCAGTGGCCGGCATCCACTGCAGCCATCTTGGAAGAGGATGTGCAGGAAGCTTCCCCTGAAGGAATGGACGAGGATGCGAGCTCTGGAGCCCCAAACGGCGCGGAGCACATCAACAGGACAAATTTCCTTGCTCAGGTCTCCTTCGCCATGTGCTTGAACACCAGCGTGATCGTCATAGTGAGAGCCACTCAAATCCTCTGCACAGTCACAGAGTCCTCCGCTGACGGCCTCAGTATGCGTGTAGGCGGGCGTGAGCTCCGATGGGAGGCTGCAGCCCAGCGGGGAAGTGGTGGCCATCGTGCAGCGCTCTGCACAGGACGTGGCCGCGTGCCTGTCCCAGCAGGACGAGGCTGCGCTGCTGAGCAACCCAGACTCCCTCCGCTCGGTGCGCCCAGTGCCCCTCTTTTGCAACAGATGGCAACAAAGCTGCTCACTCCCTCATGTCCAGAGTCAGGATGCAGAATCAGCCATGTCATGCTTTTGCTGCTGCCTGATGCTTATGATCCGGGCCTCAACTGGAATGTCCTGCCTTGGTGACATTTCCGAGCCCATGCAGACTTCTATATGCAAAAGTTGTTGGTCATCGCTGGATGGTACATCTCTGAGAAGGGCAACTTTTGGAAGAATCATGATAATAAGAATAGTAAGTTCGCTGGAATATGAGTGCGGTGACTGTGCAGGAGGCGGTACTGTGTGTGCCCATGGACCGCCGGCTGCCGCTGCTGCGGCTGCGCAGCCGGCAGCTGCTGCAGCTGGTGGGGCAGCGCTTTGTGGTGCGCGTGGACTCCTGGCAGCGCGAATCCAGGCACCCCTCCTGCCACTTCGTGCGCACCCTCGGCGCCCTCAACGACATGCGGTGCGCGCCGGCTGAGTCCCAAGCTTCTCCAAGCTGCATGCTCCCTTGTACCATTTTTGTTAAACGCAATTGAGTCCTAGTTGCGGTGAATACTGTTATGCTTTGGCTCTGCTGCATCGCTTCAGATCTAAATGCATCAATGACATGCGGTGCGCGCCGGCCGAGCCACATGGCACCACAAGCATCGAAAGTACCCTTACAGTGTAGGTCAGGAGGTTGTCAGGAGGATGTTGCTCTGGCATGCAGTCTACAGGCCTGAGCCAACACATTTTTGTGTTGAAGGCAAATATAGCAAGTGCGGTGCTTCAGCGTGTGCTTTGGTGGTGCATGCAACATTGTCCTTTGTGAGGGCGATGTGATTTTATGTGATCTCGTGGGTGGCGGCAATGAGGAAGAGTAGGCGAAAGGTGACCTAAAAAGGGGCGAAAAGAGGTGTTGAGTGTTGCAGGGCCGAGACGGATGCAGTGCTGGTCAAGGCGGGCATAGAGTGGCACCCCTTCAGTGAGAGCGCAATGGCAGAGCTGCCCAGAGTGGCAGACCCCTCTCACTGGAGCGTGCCCGACGCCGAGGCGGCTGTGAGGCGGGACCTGCGCTCTGCGGATCAGCTGATATGCAGCATCGACCCGCCCGGTGTGGTCTCAAAATCTCCTACGTCTCCCATGCACACAGAACAGCACAAGTGATTGAAGGTCTTGATATTCAAGAAATAACGTGCATGGAGCTGCCGTTCTTGTTGCATCATACACTTGTAAAGGAGGCACAGGGAGGGTCCAATGATGAGATACACAAAAAGCCAATTTTATCAGTCCGATTCCCATGGGAGACTGCGGACACTTTTTGAGCTGAGGGCCGTCCCTGCTGCTTGCCTCATGTGGTACATGCCTTGGATTCAGCAGTTGTGGCATCGTGAATCATCTGCCTTGACACCAGAGATATGCCATCTCCGATTATGAAATGAAATGGGTGCAGGTTGCACTGATGTGGATGATGCTCTGAGCGTGAGGGAGCTGCCCTCTGGCGATCTGGAGATTGGCGTGCACATTGCGGATGTCAGCCACTTTGTGCGACATGTAAAGATCACAACCTGACCGATAAAAGCCAGAGATTGGCCTTCACCATTAAGCATGCATGCCACGTGGCGTCGCAAATTTCCAGAATCACTCCAGAGCGTGTAGTGCAAATGACGACATCTCAGAAGGCATGATTGTGGCACGTGCAGGGAGGATTTCTGGATGGGGAGGCTGCTGCACGGTGCACAACAGTGTATCTGGTGGATAGGAGGCTGGACATGCTACCTGCGCTGCTCAGCGAGCAGCTGTGCAGCCTGCGCTCAGGCACTGACCGCCTGGCTGTCAGCGTCCTCTGGACGCTCAGCCCTGACCTCCATGACCGAGACGTCTGGTTTGGTCGCACAATCATCAGGTGATGCATCTGCACAGGACACAATGGCACTCAATGCATGCATGCGCAGCCCTGCTCTTTTACGCTGTGGCCCAGATTCTCCTGCAGTTCACGCTTCAAACACAAAGGATGTGCAGCCCTTTGTGCATTGGCGCTAAAGCATGTATTTATTGGACATCATGTTGGTTGTATGAGTATGGACATTTATCTGTTCTTGCTTTCTTGCTAGAATTCAGCCTAAAATTCAGCCAATCGACTTTGCTGCGCTTGTCCCCTGCCTCAGTCTCGTCAACCAGGCATACAAGCTTTCTGTGTGAACTTCATGCTCTCAGGTCGAGGTACCAGCTGGAGTACCAGCAAGCGCAGGACATCATGGACGGGCGGCCGCCGCGGCCTGAGCACGATCACATCGCGCCCCAGGATCGCCCCAGGCTGCTGCGCAACCTACACACCCTGGCTCGCATTGCAGCACACCTCAGGGCAGGCCGCTTGCAGGTACACTCTGAAGCTTCTTGACCGCTTGTATTGTCATACACATTTACACTCACTCTAAAGCTTTTCTGACAACCAGATTTTCTGATGACAGTGCCTGTCCTCTTCGCTGACTAAGCTCAATCTTGTGTCAGCCTTCTACCTTCAGCAATAGGAGCCATTAGAGACTAATGCCTGTCCCAGATCTGGGCTGCACTCTGCCTTGAGCAACAGAAGCCTTGAATCTCATGTGGTTGTCCTTGATAAGGCCTGCACTCTGCCTTCAGCAAAAAGAGCCGTGAATGACACCCTGTATTGGCTGTCTTGGATCAAGCCTGCATTGCTTGTGTGCGCGCCTTTGCTTCCTTTATAGTAGAGGGAACGGCGCAGGACGGCGCACTGGAGCTGGAGAGTGCAGAGCTGCGCTTCGAGACGGCGGCGGAGGGGCAGCCAACAGAGGTGATGGGCAAGGCCGAGGTGCCTATGATGGCGGTGGTCGCTGAGATGATGATCTTTGCCAACTCAGCCGTCGCCAGGCGCATCCATCAGGCCTTCCCCAGTAGCACCCTGCTGCGGCGACACCCGCCGCCCAGGCAGGACGCCTTCAAAGAGGTGCACCCCTTCATTGCACCACTAATCTTTTCTGTTGTCCATCGTTTTGTGGAGAGCTTTGTACTACCAACTTTGCATGAAGATTGGATGATTCAATCACCACAGACAATTCCATGGAGGCAAAGTTCTGTCGCGCTGCATGCAACTGAGCCCCACCAATAATCCATGGTGAATTGAGTAGGCGTGTCATAACAATAGCGATGAGTACATCTGTCATTGAGTTCATGATGATGTGTTTCATGGCCAGGTGGAGGCGCTGTGTGAGGCAGGGGGATGTCCTTTGGACACTTCATCAAATGCGGCCCTGTCACGGTCTTTGGAGGCCGCGGTGATGGCCTCGGGAGACCCGGCAATCGGCAGCCTCATCAAATCGCTCGTGACGCGCGCCATGTCGGAGGCAGAGTACTTCTCCTCAGGTGCCCATCTGTCCCTTGACCATAGAAACATGCATTGACATACAAGTAGTGCAACCGCCGAGCACGAGGAATGGCTGTGTGTTTTGTGACATACAAAGCAGGTCCAGCCTATCAGCATGATCGATCATTTTTGCATCCTGCATAGCGGCAGCAGCAAGGGCTTCTGAAAGCTGCTGGCATTGCCTGGTACACTAGGATGACTCTGTTTTAAGCATATTACGTTGTACATCACCGCTTACTGAGGACCTTGGCACCATGATAATTTGTTGCTGTCTTTTGTCTGGCAGGTGATGCCAGGCCAGGCGGCGGCGGCTTGAGCCATTTTGGGCTGGCCCTGCAGCACTACACCCACTTCACATCCCCCATCCGCAGATATGCAGACGTGGTCGTGCACCGCCAGCTAATGGCTGCCCTCAACAGCCCTGACATGGCCCCACCCGTCCGCCACTCAAAACTCCAGCAAGTTGCTGGTGAGCATGCCTTTCCCTTCTTCTTTCGATACTCCTGGACCCTGGAATCCAGATGGACTTGAATGCCTGTGAAGACAGTTGTGCAAGGCAGGTTTGGCTTGGTTCATTCGGTTACTCTGGACAATTTGTGCTTTCACTGGACAATAAAATCCTCATGGAAACAGAGAATGCTTTTTTCGTTTTGCGTTTTCAGTCAGTGAATGAGATAGCTATAGCTGTTTGACAGCGCATGCATGCATGGCAGGCGTCATGAATGAGCGGCACCGCCAGGCAAAGCGTGCTCAGCGGGAGTGCGCTGACCTCTACCTGCTCCTTCTGCTTCACAGGTGTGACCTCCCTCTCAGCACATCATGATTCTCTGACACCGCAAAGCCTTTGTTCGTTTCATTTTCTGAGCCTGCATGCATGCCGATAAGGTTCCTATGCGAGTTATGTAGTCTTACATGTTTTAATTTTGTTGCAGCAAGCCGCATGTGGAGGCTGCGATTGTGTACGAGGTCCAGCCGTCCGGGGTGCTGCTCTTTGTGCCCAAGTACCACATCAAGGGCGCTGTGCAGCTTGCTGACAGGGCAGGACGCCCCATCCCCCTTCTGAGGGAGGGATTCGTCGAAGATCTCAACGACCCGTTCCTGGTCGCAGAGCGGCAGAAGCTGATGCTTCACCATGGTGCGTCCTCAGCACTACATCATGGCTAATTGATATCTCACAGATCTCTCACTGCTGCCTGGTTGGAGCATTGCTACCAGTGCTACTCTCAAAAGCCCAATTTGGCACGAGGAGGTTTCCTATTGGGACGGAGAAAAAGTCGGAGGCTGCCCCTCGCATGTCTGGCACCCTGTGTGTCTCGTTCTTGCTGACATTTACAGCAATGTCGTCTGAATGGTGTCGGTTGTGTAGGTGAGAGCTACATAAGCATAGTGGACAGGGAGTCTGGCGCAGAGAGGGACAGGCTGTCAGCCATGCAGCGGGTGTGGGTGATGCTGGGATCAGACGGCTCCCGCGCCCACGGGCCGCGCCTCAGAATGCGCATCCTTGCTCCCTCACACCCTGCCACTCCTGCCCTCGACCATCAGGTGTGCCCCCAAGCACTCCACAGTCTGTGGCCATGCAGATGTGCTACTGCTAAAAGGGCATTTGCGACAGTGTGCTGTGCATCTAGCGAGTGTTCACTGGCGGTTTGGCTGGGTGCAGGCCGCACAAGTGACTGAGCAGTGGGCGCCAGCCATTGCAACTCAGCGGCAGGCGTTGGCTTCGCAGAGGGAGGAGCAAAGCACCACAGCTGAGGTGCAGAGTTGGCTCTTGCTGCTACTTAGTGAATTCATGCAGGATTTTACATGCTGATGTGATCTTTTGATTTTCTGTGATGTGGCTGCTGTGCGCAGGGACCCTCTGAAGAGCAGGCAACATCGTTGGCTGGGATCCTGCATGACTTTGGGTCTCTTGATCTTAGTCGCAAAATAGTGAGATCTTCTGCATCGTCAGCAAATGCAGTCCAGGGTAAGGATGTCACTGGCTTGTTTGTGCAGCTGTGGCAATCAAGAGAGATGCCATCTTGCTGACTTGGACAAGATTTTCAATGCTGTTGAGATGACAGTGTCATTTGCAATATGTGTGCAGGTGTGACAGAACCAACGGTGTTGAAGTGTCAGCCAGAGGCGGCGTGTTCAGAGCGACACAGCATCCTAAAGCAGCAAGTGTGGCATGCCTTGAAGAAGGCCAGCCGCTGTCAGGTAGGAAGAGAGCTGCATCTCTGCTCAAAAAGCCTTGTGCCCATGCTGTGTGCACTTGAATGGTCGACGCCATATTTGATTAGATTCTCTGCTGCTGTTCGACTCACAATGATATCCTGTTTTTGTTCTGTCAGGTGCGGATGAGCATGAGTTGCTCGCCAGATCATAATCCCAGGACTAAGCGCCGTGCACAGCAACTGGCAAGTCTGAAGGCTACAGTGCTCAAGCTCCAGAAGCAATTGCAGACTCTAATCACGGTGTAGTGTGCACTTGTCTGCAAAACTTCAAGGGAATATACAGTGTCAACCAAACAGACTCGTGATCGTGAACATTCGAAATTTGAGATCTTGTTAATTTCTGAGCAATATTCAGCTTGCTTGCTTGTAATTACAAGTACTGTTGTAATTGAAAGGCTACATGCAGTACAGCGCCTGCACCGTGAGCTAGCTGCCTGAACAAATGTCATCACACGAATACAGGATATAGCAAAATCCCCCTAATGTAATACGAGGAAACACGCCGAATTCGAAGTAGCGACAATGCTTCAACAATCGAAACAAAGTGATAATCGATATCGGTAGGAAGCCGCCACTCTGAGCAGCCACAGAGATCGCAACTGCCACAGCCGCCAGGTCCAGACTAGAATTGCAGAGCCATCACAACGATATAGTGACCAATTACATATAGCTCAATCCGAGATGTGGAATTGAACTTACGAAGCTGGTGACCTTGCCAAGCATCATAGAGTCTAGAGATCTTATATTTTGTCTGTTCAGAGCGGTCGGGTGACCTAAAGTAACAAGGATGTTTGGGCGGTCACCTCTCTGGAACACGGGGTCCAGCAATCGCACTCATCATCACAGGTATAGAACTGGAAGGATCTGCCAGGTCTGTGCGTCCTTAGCGCTTATATGGTTTCTCAAATACGGATCGCGATTAGCAAGTACGTAGATACCGTAGATTGCCGTGTTGATTCCCGTAGGATGGCCCTTGGCAAGATTCAAGTCCAAGCCCAAGCCATCCGTGGTCCCAACCTTAATCTGGCGGCCTCTGTAATATAGAGTCTTAGGATCTATCTAATTAGTCATACTCGTATCTGCAATTCGGGGCGAAGTGTGAATGCTGCAGAAGGCGTGGTTATACAGTCCATTCGTACTAGGGAACACCCAGAACAATTGAAAGTTTTCAAGAGATTTTGGAAGGTAAGCGAAATCCATTACTGTCTTTTCATCCAACAAACACAGAATACTAGGTCACTGCGAGCCTCGTGGCGTTCGATCTCTCAAGAAGGCAGTCACGTGCAACATCTGCCCTCTTTGCTACGTGGTCAGTCCACTTGGAGCTATTTAAGTAACGTTGAGCATTTCTGACGATTTTTGCGCATAGCATGGGTTGGCTGATTGGTCCCGACGGTAGCGGTGTTGTCGAGGGTTGCCAACTCGTTATCCTCGTGGGACATTTGAGACACAACACAGCAGTCTGAGCAGTGGTTGTGAAGAAAGAGCATGTCACAATTTACCAAGTATTCTATGTCCCTGGAACCACAATCAGGATGGTTAATATAGTATGCAAGGTATCTTTCACGAATCGTGGCGCTGCTCAACAGGGAGATGAACAAGTGGAATTTTGGAGTGAGGGAGCGCTTGAGAGTACATTAATAGCCAGATCGGACCTGTATTGATCTGAGATGGAATGCCTCCAACAGGTAGATGCCCTTTCACCAAAATATCGTGGCGCTTCTGTGATATTCACACAAGCAGCACCTGAAGCGTCAAATTACTGCAGCAAACTCTGTTTGTAGAGCCTCATGCGAGGCATGCAAGATCATGATAGATGCCTGCCTTGCTGATGCTGGCCTGTTTGGAATACAGGAGACGAGTGCTTTACGCCTTGGCCACCTCAGCTTTCCTTCTCAGTCCGGCAATTTTCTCAGAAAGCAGCAGATCCAGTGTTTCAGACCGCGGCACAGACATCCTGCTCGCCTTCGCAGAGCTGGATGCAGGTACCAGAATGACTCCTTTGCCCTGCTGCTCTGATCTTTGTGGCTGAGCATTCCGGAGCTCCAGGAGGGAAGAAAGTACATGCAACCAATATGTAATGAACCGGTATGGGTCTGCAGGGGTCAAGCTGCACCGGAGGGAGGGGCCGGAAAATCACTGTTCAACTTGCGCGCTTGGGGTGCAAACCTGGTGAACAACCTGCTGCTAGGGCAGGAGCAGAAGCAGCGGCCTGAGCAGCGGTCCAGCGATGGCACCACTCAGCAGGAAGGGACAGGGGCGAGCGAGGGCGCTAGTGCAGAGCTGCGCATCTTGCCAACCACAGCAGAGGAAGAGTCGTGGGAGCTCTGGAAAGAGGTCCGCCAGCATCCACCAATGCTGAACTTATGCTTTTTGTGATGTCAAGCAATGTAAATTGACTTGGGCCAGCATGACGCATTGGGGCATTGGGCACAGCGTCAAAGACATCCTCGAGCACCACAAGGGGCCGTTTATCTGGGCGGCGTTAATGACATGATGAGGCTGACTAATAAAGGGGTAATATATGGGCAACGAGTGATTGGAGTTGTGTGGGCATGCAGTATTTCAATGACATGGACGACATGTACGAGCACGCGTGCGAGATGGAGAGCGACATAGAGCTGGCAGCGGCAGCCGAGCAGTACGAGGAGGCCGCTAAGCTCAAGAAGGAATACGATGAGCTGCGCAAGAAGGACCTTGTGGATGCCTTACTCACCGTGAGTCACTCCCTAATTACAGTCTTACTTCCAATTGGCTGACGACTCCTTGTTGGATACTTGCGAGAGGTGCTTGCAAACAGCCTGGCGGTTGTTTGGGGCTGAGGGGTGTTGCTGGGGCGCAGGAGTTGAACACAGCGGTTGATGAGGAGGACTATGGCACTGCAGCGGAGTTGAGGGACAGGGGGTGTGCCGGCCTGATCGGCTGGTGGCACTCGCGCACAGAGAACGACCCCTGCGGGCACCTGCTGCGCTTCGCGCCAGACTTTGGCCGCTACACCGCCGTCATGTACACGCCGCGGGACTTTGCAGAGCTCAAGGTGCTCCTCTGTCCCTTTCTAGAGTTTCTTGTACCCTGCAAGATGCCTGCTGCACGGATACATAAGTCAATGCCGGTGTCAGGAAGCCAATTTGCTGATTTACGAGAACCACACTTTCAATTAGAAAAGGTTGGCTGGCAGAGGCAGTATAAGAAATGAGGGCCGTGCCCACGCTTAATTGGGTCATTGCATGCATTTGGCGAGTCAACAAGGGGCAGCATGTGTGTCAGCCGTTAAAATGCAGCTAGCCTGCAGACGCCCCTTGCTTTTAGCAAAACTAGCTTGCAGTGACAGTGACAATGGATGTTTTAATTCGCTTGTTGATCCCTTGTTGTGAGGTGCAGGGGTGGACGAACGACAGCTCGCCGTACGGCCCCTTTGGCGGGATGGGATTTCAGGAGAGCGTGCCGAGCGATGAGGTGGAGCCGACGATGGCAGAGCTGGGCATGCCCGTGATGGAGGTCTTTGTGCGCAAGGACTCAGCCGGCCGGTTGCAGCGCCAGGCATGCGTCGTGAGGGAGGCCGACAAGCAGACCGATGCAGACGGCGCTGCCAAGAACCCCCTGGAGCTCCTCTCTGCAGGTGCCCCTGCCCTCCTTGCAGGCAGCATTGTCTAGACCTTTACATGCTTGGTGTCAGGTCTTTTGACAAGCCATCGCATGTCCATCCAAACATGTCCAGCCCTGTCTTAGGAACCGCCAGACAGTCCACCCTCAAGCGTGGCACCTGTACTGGGGCTCTCTGTGCAGTGCTTGAAGAAGAGTGCTGTTGGGGAAAGCGGGGTCTAGACCAGAGGGTCATCAGCGCTGAAGCAACTGAGAGTTTTTGGGGCATGGAAGCTATCACATAAGGGGATAGCTTTCATGCTATCATGCATCAATCTTAATCCTTATTGGATTGATTTGGACTTCTGACATGTGAGCGAGGTATTTTTGCGCGTCAGCAGGTGCGCCGGCGCACATGGACATCCACATGGACACAGGGGAGGCGGGCAGCGGCTCCTTCGCAATGCGCATCTCGCTCAACCCAGACGGCACGCCCGCCGATATCTCCGAGGCGCCTGCCATCATTGACCTGGAAGCCCTCATGGCCGCGCCCAGCAGCGATGCCTCCGAGCAGGCGGATGAAGACAGTATTGAGGAAGCAGCCTCTGCCATGCAGGTGAAACATGATCACATCTCTCAGCGCTGTGTGTGGCCCTCGGTTGATGCAAATTACTCACACATGCTGATTAAGGCAAGGAGGATATATAGAACTCAGGAAACGCCTCTTGCTCAGGTCTCATTTAGGCGCGAAGAATCTATGAAGATTTGGGAAGGCCGCTTGCTCGGGTTGGCTGTGCTTATTGATGCAAGGAGGATTAAGAGAGCTTAGAGGAAGCCTCTGGTTTGCCATGAGTTCCAGGACATGCAGGTGCTTGTCGCTGAGGAAAGAGCTGCATGTGAGCCTGAGCTGATCTTGTGTGTTTCTCGATGCTGCAGCACCAGTTTTTGCGCACGCCGGCGACGGTGACGCGCATGGACCACAACAACTTTGTGCTCAGCGTCCCGAGCGCGTCGGGGCTGGCCGAGACGGCTACTGACGACGACAGCCCGCACGCGGCGGCGCAGAGCACGCTGGACAAGCTGCGCGAGTCGCTGGCCATGTCATCAGACAGCGCCTTCACCGGCATCGTGGTGCACGACAGCTACCGCAAGCTTCCCGACCCCACCGCGCAGGTCAGGACTTCACCCCACTCCACAACCAGGCCTTCCTGGCGAAAGTGGCCCATCACATGTTGCCATGCATTCCAGACTGGCTGTTGATGGCTTCTCTGCGAACTGAGATAGGTTCACCCATGGGAAAAAGGATGGCGGCTTTGCGATTGTCCTGATATCTGTATGCTGCAGTGTGGAAGGATTGCTGAAATGGTGGGCATCTGGTGGACGCAGCAATTGCAGACGGCTTGTTCTGTAGTGGAAGTGAGTGACTAAAAACGAGTAATCCATCCTGCGTGCAGGATGGCGACGCAGCATCGACGAGTGGGCAGGAGGATGGTGAGGTGAAGAGCAATGACGCGTGGCGCAAGGCTGCGAGCGAGGTGACGCGCATCCACAACCAGCGCAACCCGCACCAGCCCATGGCCCTCTCCGGCGATGAGCTGGCCAAGGTCATCCGCTCCGCCGCCACCGGCGCCCTCGACCTCCTCCAGCAGTCCCTCAAGCCCAACTTCTGTGAGTCATAACCTCCTCCTGCTCTGCATGCACTACGCTGCGTTGTCCTGTGCGTGTGGCATTAAATGAAACGGTAACAGATGAAGAGGGGTGCAGGGGCGTGTGTACTTTCTGGATCCCAGGGTACTAAGTGAAGTTGCTCCCTAGTTGTAGCAGTGGTAGCACGCGCCCCATTTGCGGGCACAACAGTCGAAAGATGTCCGCAAGGTATTCTGTACAAGTGAGAGTTACCGGCAGGCATTATGTGTAGCTACATGGGCTGCGAGCTGTGCTTCGTGTCTTTGACGAAGCTGCCGTGTGTGTGCAGGTTTGGAGGGCACGACGCTGTACAGCCGTATACAGACGGATGTGCCAAAGACAGACCCCTTCACCGGCCTTTACCTGGGCACCTTTGGGCCGCACGGGCCAGAAGTGCTGCACCTGCAACGCTCCCTGACTGAGGTGCGCACTGCTGCAGCTTGTCAAGACATTTCATCCTTTGCTTGTGCTCATTGATCAGGATACCTAAAGAGCCTGTGCAGCATACATCAAACACAGGTTTCCATGCATGCATGAAGCAGACAGCAGAAGATGCCATAAGGGAAGGTCTGGCACTATGCAGTGCTCTTGCTTGCTGATCTGGTTGTGTTCTCCACCCGGTGCTGCAGTCCCTGTGCTGCTCCGCTTGCACCTGTCCTCTGTGGGCTTTCGGTGCAAGCTGGAATTAATACCGCAATGGCTGGCTTGCCTTCGGTGAGGAGTTGTTCATTGAATTGATGGTGCGGCGCTGAAGGATGGGGAGGAGTGCGTGCTGGGCATCAAGCTGACGGGGGACGCGAACGTGCCAGCGGGGCATGTGTCGTTCCGGGCGCGCATCGGCCGCAAACATCGGCGCAGCGGCTACGATCTCATGTACCCGCCCGAGCTGGACATCAGCGCGCGCTACGCTGGCGAGGGCCGCGTCGCCCACAAGGGCTTCAAGGACGCCAGGTCAGCCCCTCCTGCAATCTACTCTCTCTCTCTCTGTTCTTTCTTCTTGCCTCTTGCCTGAATCGGAGGAGGCTATCACCCTCTCAGATGCCTCTGGCGCTGCCCTTCTGAGACCTTGAAGTGCCTGTTGCTCGCTGCAAGTACCTGCCCTCATCTGCTGTCAGCCTCGTCTGAAGACAGCCCCTTGGGGGGCACAATTTTTGTGGCTGCCTTCACCAGCAGGAGACCTCCAGGCATTGTGCATAGGAGGCAGGGGCTTTTCCTGTCTAGAGCAGATCCTCATTTGCACTCATCCTTGCGCGGAAGTAATGACGTGGCAGCACTGACGCCATGCTGATGTCATCAGAGTAGAGTTTGAATGATGTGTGATCTGTGCAGGTGGGTGGAGGGTGAGCTGCTGCACTTCAGCGGCAGCAATCCGGTGACGCGGGGCGCGGAGCTGGGCTTTGTGTGGGTGGTGCCCCACGAGCGCCGCTACCTCATCCTCCTCTCGCGCATCGACCTCGACGACCCCCGCCTCAACCCCTGAGCCATGCTATCCACCCTTTCCTCGTGAATCTGAGGGTTCCCATCATATGCTGACAATTCCCTCAATTGCTCTGGCGCTTTAGGGGGTACCAAAGATTTATGAAGGGGGTTGTCTTTTGTACCCACATCTGCAGTTCTGATCAGGCAGAAGGCAGATGCAGGGCATCCTTGGGGCTGCAGTCTTGCATGTTATAACCCTGTGCGCTTGCAATAGATACCTTCTGCTTGAAAGAGAGTGATGTTGGGCCTTTAGTGATGCAGCTGCTCAAGAGGTCGGGCACAAGCTTAACGAGGGACCCCCGAGCCAGGCGCTTGCAAGAAAGTGATGTGGCAATCAAGTGATGCCGCTTCGTGCTCAAGAGATGCGGCACATGCTTTGTGTGGGGTGCGACTTTTGCTTTTCAGTGGGACTATTTTGCGGCGTAAGGCCGCTGTTGCTGTGCTGCGCAGCTGACTGGCTTCTGCAGGGTTCCGTATCATTATGGCTACTTTGTCTCAAGGGATCTGTACTCCTGCACTAAATTTGCATGATTGAGCTCATCTCGTCCCTGACTTGTAGTCATTTTGTATGCACAATCAGAAAACAACATTTAGAGAGTTCTTGTGGGTTCTCTGCAGTAGTTTTTGGGACTGGGGCACTGCTCAAGACAACTTTTCAACATGTGCTTCAGCAGAAGAGCGTTACACATTCTAGGTAGCAATGAGTAGGGTGCTGTATGGACGCGAGAGTGCATGTTACTATTGACATCACACACTGACATGAACATCCAAGTGCAAGTGCCTGTTTCAGCAAGAGGATGCTCGCTGTAAAAAGCAAGGGCTGATAGCGATCATCATTCAGGCGTGCACATTCACCTTCAATACATCCCAATACTATTCAGCTCAACGGCTGAACATCAAAGTCCTCCTTAAATCGGTAAAGGTGGCAAGCATTGACGTGATCTGGTTGGTGCTCTTCGACTTCATTTTGCGGCACATACATATTGCCAAGGCACTGGATGAGGTGTACAAAATTAAATTAACAGTCTTTTGACTGTCTTGCATGGGATCGGCGAAGAAAGGTGAGTAAAATCTTCAGTCGTAGCCCTGTGCATGGTCCTTCTATCGGGCTTTAGCCCCCGCATTGAGAGAGCTCAGACCCGGGACCATTGCAATCCTGCCTTTGCAGTGGCTATATTTGCGCACTCGCGCATGCGCTCGCGCAATTTACAGCATACATCAAATTCTTGGACCATTAGAGGACCACGTCCCGGAACGGTCCTATCCATGACGGGCTTCCACGGCGCCGCTGCCTGCGGACACTAGACGTGGGAGTACCTTGAAGCTTATTGGGATCCCAATAATGTGAAGCGTGCCCTTGGTGGGTGCTACGCATGCTTTGTGGAGAGTACAAGTCCACGTTGTCAACCGAATAAGCTGGCCCAAAATTCTCCTCTATATAGACTGGAGTCTCGTGCACTGCATCTCAAAACAATCCCAGCACAAAGACACAATTGACCTTCTTACAACAGAATTCAATAATCGATAGACGCCACCACACAGCCACCAACAATGTCTGACGGAGAGGTCAACCGCAACACAGTACGTCTTCAATGCCCCGCCATGCCCATTTGTTGCTGGATGTTGACGTTGGAGATATCGAACACAGGCCTTGTATAAACACTTCTGGGGTCCAAAATTTGCAATGTGCTCGATGTCAAGTGCTGCACCCATAGTATTTTCGTTTCCCGCCTGTACCGAACGCTAGGTTTCTATGATCAATCCAGAAGTGCTGAGAAGTGTGCCGATGAGGATTCCTCTTCACAGTTTCAGCGTGAATCGAGACCTGGGTGACTTGATATTTTGTCGGCAGCTATTCATGTTTGACTGGCTGCGCTTACTTTTGGTCGCGTGGTTCGTGATTGTGAGATCGTGAGCGTGTGCAGATCGAGGGGCAGACCACCGGCACCGGTGCTCCCAAGGAGACGTTCGGATCCGGACGCGCTGCTCAATCAGAAGCCGGCAAGAAGGGTGCCGAGATCTCAGGCACGTCCACCCCTCAAATCTCCATGCGAAAAGTGGATCCTCAGGATGTCATCTTGCGTCATTTTCTGCACAACTGCTCATACTCTCTCGGGTATTGCAGCAGTATTCACTGTTCACGTGTTGTTCACGTATAAACTGATGCTCCTGCTGGCTGCCTTTTACATGAATGAAAGAGCTTAGGGAGTGGAAGAATTCAGGTAGCTGGTGTTGTGCAGCAAACCGCTCTGAGGAGGCTCTGAAGGAGGCTGGCCGCAAGGCAGCCCGCACTCGTGCAGAGCGTTATGGTGAGGAGCTGAAGGTCTCTGCCCCAGAGAATGATGACCTGCAGGTGGGCTTTTCACAATTATCTTCACCCACAAGTTGACATGTGCTGAAAAAACACTGCAGTCATGTTGCTGCAGGCCCGTGCATGCAGCACCAGAAATTTTTCTTGCTATTCTATTACCTGATATTTGGAGTAGCAGTGAACTGTGTGGACATTCCATGCACCAGACTTGATATTTACACATTGCTGTCTTGTCTGCATGCAGGGCACCAAGACCACTGCCTCTTGAGCATCTGCTGCCACGCCAACCATCCTCATGCTAATGACTGGCAGTTTCCATTGAGCATGACATGGCCCAGCTGCTACCTGAACGTTGGCACATGTTGAATGAAATATGGTGGATTTCGTTTTGACGAGTCTGTTCAGTCTCTTGACAAACGTCTTGCAGTTGATGCCACCATTGTGACTTCATGTGTGCAATTGTGTGGATGGTTGTGACTGGTTCGTGTTGTAACATATTCATGATCCAAAGGAAGAAATCTGCATGTCCGCACAAGCATTATACCGTGCCTACTATCAGCTGTGTAAAGTATCCAGTCAAAATTGCATTCTGCCATGTTTTGGTTTATTGAAGTCTGCAAGGCAACTCAGGATAGCTGTGCAGACACCATGCATTTCAGATGGCAATTGACAATCATAGAAATGATATGTGTGCATGCATTTTCCCTTGTCTTTTGTAACCTGCAACATCACAATATGTCCCTGAACAAAGCTGGGCAATTGCTGTGTTGTTGCTTGAAATCTTCACTTGCAAGCCTGACCTTTCATTATTTTCTGCTGCTCGGTCTGACTTAATTGTTTGCATCATTCCTGATCAAAGCTGAAAGTCAGATTTCTAATCAGTTTCTGAATGTAAATGACTCCAAAGGGTATCTCAACATGTCCGGCTGTTATTTGACAAGTTTATTGACATCTTCCAGGCTATCACTCTCTCCTCCTCTTTGTTGTCATAGCTTCCTCTGTTTGTAACCCATCTACATCGCTTCCGTTGTAAGTGGGCCCCTGAGGTGCATCCCGCCCTCTATCTGCTGTTGCACACAGCGCGGCAATGCGAGCCTGCAACTCTCCTGTCGTCAAACCCAGCACACGCCTGTTCTCCGCGCTGCTGTTCTGACCTTCAGCACTTTCTGATCGCGCGAAAACCCCTTCATCCGCACCTTCATCTCCCTCGATCTCCCCCAGATCTGCACCCCTCCTCCTGAGCCTAAGAACCTCCTGCCCGGGCCACAGCAGCCCGCCTGTCTCGGGAGGGTTGCCCAGATTATCACCCCTGTATGACCCTCCACCGCTGCCAAATCCCTCATGCACCACCAGCCCCAGCAAAGCCTCAGGGCCTCTGCTGCGCGCACCGACACCGCCGCGCTGCTCAGACTCATATGCCGCCCTGATCTCCTCAGCAAACTCTGCGTCCTCATCCTCATTGGACACAGGGTGCTCCAATGCTGGCCTGAGTTTAACATCCAGGGGACTCTTCCGTCCCTGGTTGGGTCCCACCACCCGGGTGCTCGCTCTGCGGCCCCTGTGAAAGGCAAAGAGAATTTAGAGAGGCGATGCCAAAAGATCAAGCAGGGCAGTCAGCATATTATTTGGTTGGGGAAAGGTTGAAAGCATAGGTTTGCCATCCATGCATGGACTTGTACTCCTCACATGCTGAGAAGGGTGTAAATCAGGTAACAATGAAGGGTCAGGAATTCTCACTTCATGCGGGAGTATTGCCAGTAGATCACAAATGCCATTACAATTGCATAGAGAGGCCGCCTGAAGCTGTCTGTCTGCAGGTCAACCGGCTCTCTGAAGGGCAGCTTGGACTTGTAGATGCCAACCAGGCCATTGCCCAGCGCAGCCATGACCAAATTGTACCTCGAACTGGCCAGGATTGGCGTGAACCCCCGCTCAGGCAGATCCTGCATGGGACAGATCAAGTTGTCAGACTGAAACACCGCTGCCTGCAACACTCCTTGTACATGAGCGCAGAGCATACGAACAGGTGCAAGTCCACGCGTGTGACAGTATAGAGATGAAGTGCAGCAGACAATATCAGTTATTTACCTGTCTACCACCCTCCTGCGCAAGAACCTCCAGGGGCTGCGATATGATTGCATGCAAGCCGGTGCTGTTGGCCTTGAAGACTTGGATGACATCTCGTGAGGCCAGCAGGACATAGCCCCTGATGGACTCCATCTGTGCTACCTGTGGGGACCCCTGCACGTGTGTCCTGTGCCAGACCTGCAGGCATGAATATGTTGCTCGCTCTGCTTGGTGCAGGAGCAATGATTTTGTGACACATCAGATTTTAAGGAGCACAACCAAAGCTCAGCACCCATTTGGAATCTCACCTTGCACTTTGGCAGCTGACTCGACTGCGATACAAAAATGACGATAAGATGCCCTTCAGCTGTGAGAGCATACACCTGTAAGACACAAAGCGCTAAGATTAGGAAGGAGCTTGCTGATGGCTTCAAGGTAAAGTAGCAAAAGCCGGGGCCATGATGAGAGCGTGAGAGCCGCTCACCCTGTCATACTGTGGTGCTCCTTGATCATTGACTGCCCAAGCAGCGCTGACGATGGTCGAATCATCCATTCCTTGGCAGGCTGCCTTTACGAGGCCAACCAGTTCTGGGGTGGCTGAGGGCTGATCCTTTGGGAATAAAGCTGCAGCAACTCCCCAAGAAGTGATGAGAAGAGCCCCCTTTGGGGTCACTTTCACCAGCATGATCTTACCCTCGGCTTTTAAGCGCAACCGCAGGGTCCCTGCAACCAAGCTGCATGCTTATGACATCCATCCACAATACAAACAATTGAAAACAATTTCAAATTCCTGGCTTGACAGGTCTACTGTGAGACTCACCGTCGCTGCGCCACAAATCCACATGGCCAGAGCCTCTGGCAACCACAAGCTGGTGTGGCACCCTGGGAGGTGCCAGAAAGACCAGGTGCGTTACCGTGCTGTCACTGGCGTCACTCCCTTCAGCACCTGACAGCTGGCGCTCAATCGTGACACTGTGGATCGTCCCCCTCTCAGCAGCGTTCCTGTGCGCCCTGAAATGCAGCCTCGCCATCTGCTGCTGTCCCCAGGGCAATCATTTTATGCTGTGCAGTGCTTCAGCCAGAAGGGTGTAAAACATGTCGTGAAGTCAAAGATCTTGATAGGAAGCACCTTGAAAGTGAGTAGCGTATCCTGAGTATGGACACGCTCCCATCAGCTAGCCCCACTGCCACGAAAGACTCATTGCGCGAGACCCGGTGGCTTGCAAGGGCAGAAATTCGTAGCCCGAGGCCTGCATACAGCAACGCTTTCTCAGCGCCCCGTAAATTGCGAGTACTGCAAAGCGTGCTCTGCCAATTGCTAAGATGGGGCTATACATTCTTGGCACATCTCAATCGGGTTGGTGTGATGATGGGGGCATCAACCTGTGTCATGGGCGGCAATGACTTGGCCCGCAGGGCTGAGGAACTGCAGGACACCCTTTGCAGTCCCAGCCGCTGCAAAAAGGGCCAGCCCATCCATCTTGGAAGGATGCATGGCATGCAGCGCTGTCACCTCCGCTCCGGTCTGCAGTGCAGCCAACTGCTCAAAGCCGCTTGCCCATGCAGCCTCTCCTGATGTCATGCTCCCTTTCCCCACTCCCCTGGCTGATTTTGTCGCCTCCTTATTGCTGCAAAATCCTGCGGTAAAGGTGCACATCATGCAGTCGATTCAGTGGCGGCTGGAGGTGTATGCTTATCCTTGAGGAGCAGGCTGCTGGAAATTAGTGCCGTAAGGGTGTGCTGAGCTGACCTTCAGGCGGTACAGTGGCACTGCCACCCTCAACAATGCCATTGGTCTGCTGGCCATCCTGCTTGAGGCCTCTCTGGAGGGCTGTGAGGTCTCTCAGCAGCTGTGCATGCTGCTGAGAAGCTAAATACAGGGCGTCTTGAATATCCCGTGCCGCAGAGATCAGGGTCGACAGCTGCTCTGCAGCATCCCCTATTCCAGCAGTATGCTGGCCAATAGACAGACCCTGATCGCTCTCGTATGCTGCTTTATTTTTTGAGTCCCTGATTTGGGGTTCAGGTGGGCCGGTGTTATGGTCTTCAAGTTGAGCTTGAATACCACAATTGTGAATGATCAACAATGCGAACGAAGCAATTGAAGCACGTCTGAATATCATTCTGCTCTAAGATGTTGGCAACAAATACTTCTTGCAAAGGGAAGCATCGTCTAGCTCACTGATCTGACTCTCAAAGCAACCTCAAATTGATCTAGCACACACAGATACAGCATCAGCGATGTAGGAGATGATTTTAACGATCCAGCATCGCCGATGCTGGATGGCAGTTCGTGCAATCAATGAGGGACAGAGTATTTTCCTTGGACTGATGGTAGCTCCGCCCGGAGCGTATCGCCCAACTACGTTTCTCAAGAAGCTCCCTGCAATAGCACACTTTCCTTCTTCTCAGCACCCTCATTTGCGGTGTGTCTCAAGCACACAGTCTGTTAAGGTGCTGAAAGACCCAGATCTGTTACGGAGCAGGGCGAAGTGCTGTTTGGACACAAGGGAGGGGAGGCACTTTGGCGAGAGGTGCACCATGGCTGACGTGGGCTCAATTCAGCAGGCTAAGCTCGTGTTGCTAGGGGATATGGGAGCTGGAAAATCATCTTTGGTTCTCAGATTCGTCAAGGGCCAGTTCTTCGATTACCAGGTGCTCAATATAAAAGTGGCTCCAATTTCGAGGGATGCCACTTTGCCATATTTGGCCCTCCAGGGAGCCAAATTTTCATGAGATCGTGAGTAGCATTGAATGATACCAGTGTACGAGAGTGAGCTTACGACAGCTGGGTTTGTTGATTTTAGTATTTCGTTCAACTTGCTCTCCTGGGTTTTCTCGCCTGTTCTTTTGTGCCTTGATCTGCGCGTCTCTTGTCTGAGACCCTCTGTGATGCCTCGTGTACCGCTTGATAGTGATGTTGCAGAGCGTAACTGATGGCTTAAGGGGCGTCCTCTGAGGATGCGAGTGGGCTTCTGGGCAGGTGCCATAGCAACTGTTCTTACTCATGTGATGCATCCTGCAGGAATCAACAATCGGAGCAGCCTTTTTGACAAAAACAATCCCGGAAAAGGGTGTCAAATTCGAGATTTGGTGAGTCCAACATTTCTTAGCCAGACTGATGCTGTCAGTGTCGTCCTGGGAAACCAACCTTGGTCCTTAGTCTGCTTCTCCGACCTCATGTTCACATTATTGCTTCTGGTAATCACAGGGACACAGCAGGCCAAGAAAGATATCACAGCTTGGCGCCTATGTACTACAGGTACCTAGTTCAAGTTCTCCTCTTCTGCTCAAGTTATGCAACCAATTGGTGCCACACATCTATGATGCAAAGTGTCTGCCTCTCTGGAAGTTTGTTTTGGTAAGGCAGCAAGATTAGAGGACCTTGGATGAGCTGCTGAATGACAGACTTTGGAATCGCAGGGGGGCTGCAGCAGCAGTGGTGGTCTTTGACATCACCAATGCAGAGAGCTTTGCCAAGGCCAAGAACTGGGTGAAGGAGCTGCAGCGGCAGGGCAACCCCAACATGATCATGGCCTTGGCCGGCAACAAAGCCGACCTCGCAGCGCAGCGCGCTGTCACCTCTGAGGATGCAAAGGTGTGTCTCTTCATCATGCTGCTGCTGTCAGATCTTTGCATCATGCTGATGACAGTTGGCCATCATCCTTACTCTACCTGCACACATCACTGTCACAAGGGTCAGGTTCAGGGCAGGAGTTGGACTCTGAAAGGTGCGAAAGTGCAGAGCCTGATGCGTGGGACTGATACTACCAAGCCTGAAACATGCATGCATCCCCTGGAGCTGACAGCACTTGAATGCCCCAACGATGCTGTGTGGGTGCTGCAGGCGTATGCGGACGAGAACAGCCTCTTCTTCTGGGAGACAAGCGCGAAGACGAACGTCAACGTGGCAGAGGTGTTCCATGACATTGCCGAGCGGCTGCCGCGCGCGTCGGCAGCGCCGCAGCCGCCAGTGGGAGGCATCACTCTTACTGAGACCGTCCCCGAGCGCGCCAAGAAGTCAGCCTGCTGCTCCTGAGCTTCATCTCCACAGTCTGCTGTGTCAAACCTAACAGTATGTCAGTTGTGAATCACCCTTTAGAATGGGATCACACCGTGCTTGCATCTCATGCGTGCGAGCAGAATCCACAGATGTCTCTCATTTGGATGGTTTCAGGACAATCCCTCATCCCACGCCAGAAGCTGCAGGATGTCACGGGTTTGGTTGCGTGAACACGTTTGCAATTGGTTGGATTGCAGAGCCAGGTCTTCCTGCTTGGCTGCACTGCTCAAGATCTGTGGGGGTCGTTGCCTTGATGCTGCTCCGCATCTGAAGTGTCGGTCAGATGGGGCTGGAAAGGACAAGAGTGTTGCCACGTCTGCTATTGCTGCTTCATAGCCGCTTAGATTTCTTTGAGAAGTTTCTTGGTAGTTTGCATGAAACCTCCCATAATATATATGTACATGTAGAAAAGGTGAGCCTGAAATTAGTTAGGGCCTGATTGTGTGGACGAATTGTGTGCGCTTCACACATCACAGCCCCTGTACTGTATATGCTGCCGAGTGTATTGTATGTCCGAGTAATTTTCAGAATGGTCTGCCGCGGCTAATAGATATTGCAGACTTGCAGTGCATAGATGCATGCCCAACAAGCATGTGCATTGGAAACCCCAATTGCTTGCATCTGTGTTTCATGCTCCCGTTCCTCCGCACTCGCATATTATGGTAAAATCTCTGTCATTGGTCATTGTCACTCGCCCAAACTGGATTTTTTTACTATGGGCTCTTACTAAAATTCAGCCAGTAGCGCCATTGATGATTATCATCTACTACCAAGAAGAGGCTTTGCATGCCATGCAAGCCAAGCCTGCTTCTCTGTTCATTTGAAATGGAGCCTGAATGAGGGCTGTGCAGACCTTGCCTGAGCTTTCCAACTCACAAGTGGAGCTGGAACTGTATTTCCCCTGGTGCTACAAATGTGTTACACAACCTACAAGTCAACAGAGCTCAACACTATGGGGGACAAGTGAAGTGGTCTGTGGACTGAACCCTCTATAACTAGGCAAAGATGTATCAAAACCTGGACCACTCACTTCACATGACAGAGCCCACACCCCATGTTCCTTCTATTCCGCACTCCAGTTTCCCTCAACGCTTGAAGTTCCTTTGTTCTGTTTTGACCTTAGGTCTCTGCAAGACATGCGAGGTTCTGCTGCATGCAGAAAGTGCCCCCACGGCCTTATCCCCGGAGGTATCGCAGCCTCCAAGCAAGCCAGAAACCCGTGCAGCAGAGGCCGGCCCCTGCTGCTGCCCCAGTCAGAAGCAGCTCCCAATCTGCCATGCCGCAAGTTCCCATTGGCCGCCTGTGCTGCCCTCTCTGCTCCACAGCTGCCAGTAGACTGTTTATATCTCCCTCCACCTTCTGCAGCCTGCACATGCAAAATACACCACAGTCAGGACAACCCATAATATGTCACTTGCACGCCATAGGAAGGATGACACGAGCTTCTGTGAGAGGCAGACAAGGTAGCTGAATGCACTTCAGAAAGCCGTGGGCATGAACACGTAAAACGGGGCCAAGAGAGTAGTAGGGGCGCACTGCTGCTCCAGGGCGATCAGTGTATCGTGGAGTGTTCTGGGATGCCGAAGCAGCACATCCGGCTCTTCAGGGGCGACACCTGTACAGGCAACAAACATGCCTCAGCATTTTGAGCCCATTTTGCTATGCATTTGCTAACCAAAGTGTGTGTAGAATGATATTGTGACTGCTTTCTAAGCAGGAGCATTCAAGAAAGAAGCCAAGATGAAAGCTAAAATAGACTGTCTTGTCAGTGCACAGTCTAGAAGAATGTATGAAATGGCAGCTGATGAAAAGGAGCTGCTCAGATGGTCTGCAGTCCTTCGGTTGCGGTAATCTGCCGCAACAGTACTTGTAAGAAGCCAGAACAGGCGCAGTATATTTTCAATCTCCAGAACGCACCCCTCGGGCACGGCGGGGCTTTTGCGCAGTGTTGCCGCCCTCAGTCTGGGGGTTTTTGCCGTGGAAGAAGAGCTCATCCAGGCTCTCAAAGCGGCGGTGCGACGTCTGAACTCCGGCGTGCACCATCATGCTGACGGCGTTGCCTCCTCCCAGCTTGGAGGGAGACGCATCGGGGCTCTGCCACCGGCCTGAATCGGCACCGACAGCTACAGAACATCACTGGGGCCCTTGTGCGGTGCGCAGTCTCTGAGCAGAACCCTCAGAACAGCTTGGGCTGATCGGTCTTATGGTCACGTTGCAGGGATTGCTGGGGAGATGATGCATGGATGGGACCGCAGTCCTGGTCTGGCGGGGGAAGAATTATGTACAGGCCTATAGGTGAGGTATTAGCTAAGAGGTGCACAGAAGAATAGGAGGCAGGACGGGAGAGGCAGTTGGGCCGTGGTGTTGGGAGCAAGTGCTGCATGTGGGACCGGCAGCTCGACCATACAGGGAGGCCAGGGGAAGTGTGTCAAAGGTGGCCGGGGGAAAACGGGCGCTTATGGGTCTAGGGAACCCTTACGGTATTTCTCTAAGGTTTATATTATATGGCCTGCCCACATCACCATCTAAATCTGGCAACAGAATGCGCCGGACGAGAATGTCTGGGAATGGGTCTAATCTGGGGATCCTGCGGTACCACGAGGGGAACGGGCCAGGGAGGAGGGAGGCTTGGAAGGGGGCACATTACATTCCTGCAGTGAGTACTTGAGCTCGAGGGAAGGTAAGGAGCGCACTGGAGCGCGGGGTGGCACCGTCCTCGAGGTCCTCGCTGGCATCGTAGTAGATCGATTTGCAGGAGGCGATCGAGAGGGAACGTGCGGTGATGCCGCCCCCGACGGAAGCTTCCCCGGAGCCGCCGCGCGCTGACATGGCGGGGTCCGTGCTGCGTGAGCTGAGTGTGATATCGCCGCCGGAAGGCAGCCGCCCCAAATTTAAAGGCTTCATGTCCTTCAGCGCCTCTGCCCTCTGTCACAGAACATGCACCAGTCCATTTCATGCTGGTGTGAGAGAAGCAGAATTCCACCTTCAACGTTTCTAAAGAGCCTAGTGCAGTTTTGCGCATTGAAGCATTGCAAATAAGTGAGGACATGTGATACTATTTTGTTTGGGAGATGAAGAAAAATAATGGGCGCAGTGTGTACCATCTGGTCTGCGCCTTCTTTGGCGGCACGTTTGCAGTAGTCCACGAATCTGTCGGCCACCGTGCGGCACTCCCGGAGCATGATCTTCTCAACGATGCTGCGGATGGCCCACAGCCACTTGAACTGCTCGGCTGAGCACTTCAGCTTGGTGCAGACCTGCACCACCAGCTTGCACGTCTCACCCTGGCAGCTGGGCCACCTACATACTAACCAAGCAGACTGCAAGGCCTACTTATGGCTTGCTGCGTTCCTGTGGCAGTGCACGCATGCATACAGTGGCACTTGCAAGGCTTCATGAGGCAGTGAATCACCTTGCAGGAGTCTCCGTCCTCTCCTACGGCAGTCACATGGAAGCGCACATCCCCGATGGGCACATCCCCCATGCCCGGCACAAACAGGCTGGGGTGGGAAGTCATGGTCATGCTCTTCACTGTTCCCTCCTCCCCCTCAATCTCCAGGTGCTGCTGCTCCACCACCTTGACCACCTCGTACCCTGTACGCAAACGACAGGAAAGATTAAAGCAATTCATATGCCTGTCCAACTCGGATTTGCATAAAAGTAGGCGGATGCTGCGTTTATCTCTGTAGCAAAAAAAAAATCACTAATTTTGCTGGTATCGAGTGGTGCAGCTAGCACTAGCACTGGGTGATTAAAATACGGCGCACCGATGGTCTTCTTGACCCAGCCTGGGGCCTGATAGGGTGCTAGAAAGGCAATGCGTCGGTTGGGGCCATCCCATGCCGACACACGGATGTTGTCATTGTTGTACGTTTCTCTGTGGCAATTGACGATTGTGTCTGCTCGCTTGAACAGCTCACAAAAGTCCTGTGATGCAGTCACCCCATCCATGTCATGCTTGGCCTATGTCTGTGAACCTGCCTATAAAGACACAGGACTGGGCAACCTGAAACCGCTGTCCGTTTCTGCTATTCGTCCCAACAATGTAAAATCTGCTAAAACGACGAGCACAAGGAATCCTGGCTAAAAAAAAGGCGCCTTCATACGGGTAGTGATACTTGGCTTGTATGCATTTGAAACAAGGGTGTCACACTGCAAGTTGCCCAAGTACCCAGCTTCGCACTGGCAGGACATTATCGATAGGCTTCTTCGTCAAGAATTGCTAGGAAATAAAAAGAAACCAGCTAATTGCCAATTGGTTCAATTTGGGTAGAACACATCAGTTTGTGGATGGGAACATAGGAGCTATAGCAAAGCTCATAGATGCTCACCGTCACGCTGCAAGGGATATCCATGTCAATAGTGTCTTCCTTCACCATGTTAAACGTTTCTCAGCCAATTTTGTGCTTGAAAGCTGGTGCCGCAGGTGTGTCAACCCCTTGGAGACCCCAAGATGGCCTCGGAAGCTCTTGCGCGTCACTAACTTCCCGCCTAGCTCCACGAAAGCAGCATCCAAGGATCTCAGGTATTGCCGACACACTCCCGATGGGCCAACGGGACACCGGTACTGCTTTCAGGTTACAACGACAGTACTAGCAGATCTTAAGGGGCACCGAAAGCGTCCAATTCAAAAGCCGGAAAAAATACACTCGGTTTGGGACTGGTGTTTACAATACACAGTGTTTCGGTGAATTCGGAATGAAAGGAAGTACTTAATATTCAAGGAAGGGGATGCTGTCGGTGACTGGATTGAGTTGGGGACCCCCCTCTCAACCCCCCGATTGCAGTCACGGAGAAGCCAGAGCCGGTGGCCCAACCTGCCTCAGGAGGAATCCCCAGCATTTTTAACATCATGTGCTGTTTCCTGGTGCCCTGCTCTCCTCTAATTATGACAAAACACTGAAGCATGCATGCATGGCGTTGGCATGCGCTTTTGTGCCTCTCAAACTTTGAGAAGCAAGAAACTTGAATTCGAATTTGCTCAACAGAGGCTCTTTTATGCCGTAGTGGAGCACCCGGCGAGTGCTCTAGTCAGTGTCTGTCAGCTTGGTCATTTGAATAGGCATAGAATGCAGGCACTCATTGCATAAGGCCAGCAATAATATGGCGTGGCGAATTACTCTCTAAGACTCTTGAAGGGAAGGCCTTGCCATGCACACTCAGTGACAGGCTGTCAAATGGTAGACACTGTCAGTTTGCCAAATGCGCATAGACCAGTCTTCCGTTCCTGACACTAATCACACAGACATGCATGATACAAAAGGAGCAGCATGGTCCAACTGCAGTCAGCGCGGCGTGAGTGAGATGCGCCCCCCTTGGCAAAGATTTAAAGAGGGGGCGATTGTTGGAAAATGCACTGGTGAAAGCTGAGGAGCTACTGACATCAATATGTCAACCTCTGCTAGCAATAGTGTCCCAACAAACGCACCCAACCGTACAGCATTTCAAATGCGTTGCTATATTAGCTTTTGAAGGTTCTCCAACAAAATCTGCAGTGCATTTGCAACGAACCTAGACAAGCCAGCACAGCATTTCAAGTTCCTGCAAATATGCAGGCCCAACATATGTTTCATACATTGGATAGGGCGCCAGCCCCATTTCAATGCCAGGAAAAGGCTGGACAATTTGAGAAATCTCATCAATTTGGCAGCTGACCTTTGCGTCCCTCCATTTCAGCGGAATAGACCGCATGGCATTGTTTGGCACCAAATGTTTGTTGGCCAGCCGTTTGTTGGTCATGGGTGAAGTATTGTGGCCACGGCGCAGCCACTCCTCAATGGCTGCCCTCGAGTAGGTGAAGCCATCCGCAGCCACAACAGGATCCTTAAGCAGGTCCTACACAGGAACAGCAACTCAGTGATAGCCAACTCCACGAGTAACAAACCTACAGCACTGGCTTGCTGTGCGAGAGTAACAGGGTTGGTGTCCCCGGGGGGACAGGTGCACCTGCAACTGCAACTGTGAATTTCAGTCTATGATATCGTCCAGCTCCTCCCAAGCAGGCCAGGTAGATCACAGGTCTCTTTATTGTCTGCTTTCGAAATTGCCATCAGCTTGATATGAGATCAGCACCTCAAGTTGTAAGGTTTTCTTGCAACGAGGATAAATATTGCTCGAGCCATCTCAGGCCAAATCTTCCTGCAGACACACCGGATGTTGGGAGCTGATGTGCATAATTTACCAACTTGAAAGAGCGCTTAAATATGCATAACAGAAGAGGGAGGAGCACAGATGGTGTAATGTGTTGGAGACTGCTTACCCAGACATTTCAAGCGCCTCTGTCGCTTCTTTTCCTGGATGGTGAGCATGATGCAGCAACTGTAGCGGTTCAGTTAACGGTATCGGATGTAGCCTTTACAGAAGCTCACAACATCTTTTGGCAGCGTTGGCTCACAGCGGTCGAGCGCATCCTTAAGGCCACGCATGGTGCCTTCAAGAACTTTTTCACTGTTCACTGCAACGCAGGCATGATCTTATAACACCATAATGACTTGATCTCCTTTGGTTGCTGGCAAAAAGTCTGGGGGGAAGGACTCACCAAGTCCTTTAGGCTTTTGCAAACATTGGATACCACCTCTCTGATGAGAAACGGCACACTTCTTTTCTGAGAAATGGTGAAAGCTTGCGCAGATCATCCTCCAGGTTCAGGTGGCCTTTGCGGTAGTGCGTGCTTCTTGTTGGCCAGTCTAATCTTCGCCTGCGGTGCGTAATCGTCTGGCTTGAACATGATGGGGCTCATACCTCAGGAAACCTCAGAGGATCAGACCTCGTCGACTGCTTGATCACCTCCTGCCACTGTCAAATATTCCGGGTTTGGAGGCAGCACACGATAAGGGTTGTACTGGCAAGGCCCTCCCTTTACGTGCCACATGACTCTCGTTGGACTGAAAAAGAAGACGCAAACAAACGAACGAAACCCGATCAGAAGAAGACGTCCCGCTCCCCTTCAAGTACAATGCATATTCATCAGAGAGAGTGTGCAGAGCCGTAGTGAGGTAGCCATAAGGTACTTATTTCAGATGGATTCCCTGCGTGATTAGATTCGAATAGAACAATGAAATCTCGCCATGGATATCATTGCTGCAGAAGAATCAAACAATTTGTTAGTCATCACGTGAGTAAAGCGATGATGAAGACAAAGAGAGCATTAGAGTTGCGGCTATTGCATATATACTATGGTGCATGGTACAGTATGCACATGCACCATCAGTGAGCAATGCAGAGGGGTGAGCACCAGGAACACCTCAGCCTAGTAACCTGCAGGTACTGCAGCTGACAAGTACTACCGGCTCCCCAAAGTGGAGACCTGGCAGCCAGCACCTATGGGCGACAAGGCTGGGTTGTGGTACAGCTGAGAAACAGCTGAGGTGTGAAATATTTCGAAAAGTGTTATCAATCATTGCATGTTACCCCTACATTACACTCCTGCAATCCGCCGACCAGAGCTAGGCCTATTGATTGAAATCAACCATGCTCTCTCGTACAAATCACCTCTTAATTACATTTCATAAATTGAGCAAGTTGCTCAACTCGGTAGAAGGCAATCAACACATCACTAGCATGCCCAAGAATACTGTCCTGGCCACAATCACCATTGTGGCCAGCAAGGCAGTTGCACATGATCATGACCACAGACCAGTCATGCATTCCTAATACTGTTACAGAGACATGCGTTGTTGGAAGGTCCGATATGGTACAATCAACGGCGCGCGCGCGATGCGCGTCCCTTGAACCCCTTCTTGCCGCCCCCATTGCGACCGCCCTCCAGCCGCCGCTTCATGACCTGCGCGCGCGCCGAGTCCGGCAGAGACTTCTTTTTCAGCTTTTGCTTGTTGCTCGACCCACCGGTCTTCTGCTTTCGCCGGCTGGCCGACGCGCCAAACTCGCGGCCCTCCCGGCCCTCCAGCACGCTCGCCATGCGCTCCGCCTTGTCCTTGCGCGACTTCTGCTTGCTCGTCAGCGCGTTCGGGTCCACCCTCCTCTCCCCGATGGTCGCTCGCGCATCCTGTGGGACACCCGGCACCCACGGCATTCATACCATTGCCTGCCTGCCGCTAAAATGGTACGGAGTGGAGCAGTGTACCCTTAAGGGATATTGGTCCGTCAAAAGGGGATTGTGGCACAGCATTGAGAGTGACAGGTGAGTGCCGCAGCGCACCAGCACCCAATCTTGTGCGCCAGGGTTGATCTTGCATGGGTTACACCAAAGCTCGCATGCAAGGGAACATGTGCGAGGAGCCTTGACACCCTGCGATTGATTCCTTCTACACATGGCAGGCAACCAGAGCAAATTGTATGCAGAGCAGGCTCTAGCCCATGCGAGGCACAGGACAGGTGCCTTGCCTGCTCTGCCATGGCTTCGTCTGCCTCGTCCTCGGCCTCTGCGAGGAGGCGTTCCCGCTTGGAGGCGCTCTTGAGGCCGTGCTTGCGCATGACGCCCTCCACCATCTTCCTGTGGCGCAACTCCCGGATGCGCTCAAAGTCCTCCTCCGTCAGAATCCTGCCGTACTCTAGAGGCTCCTGCGCACAGCACGTCCGGATGTTTGGTTTCTCTCCAAATATCTTGGTTGCAAACAAGAGACTATTAGCGACAAGGTTTGGTGCAGAGGGTGTGAAAGCAGGTCAGCAAAGGTGGAGAAGGAGCAATGCTTTTGTCGTTGAAACAACCCTGACACGCAAATGTTGATCAGCTGAACAGAGGGCTGAGCATGGAAACAGTTGTTCTGATCCGGCAACTGCTCACCGCTGGCGGTGCTGTGCCGCCCGCGTCGGACACTCCTGCAGTCGGGTCCGTCCCGCCGCCGTCCTCTGCAAGTTTCAAGCGCTTCTTTCGCGCGTCCTCCAGCTGCTTCTTCAGGCTCTGCATGCTTTCAGGGTCCGCAGCCTGCTTCCTCTTCCTGTCCTGCCTCTTGAAGGCCGTTGCACCCTCTCCTCCCCTGCCAGAAGGGCCGGCCTCACCCCCTCGGCTGCCCACAACCTCAGCATCTTCATCATCACCTGAGCTGCCCAGCTCCAGGCTGCCCTCCTCAGCATCTTCCTCTTCCCCTTCAAGCTCGAACTCCACATCGCTGCCGCTGGCAACGTCACCCTCTTCCGCCCCCTCATCATCCAGATCCAACTCACTGCCACCCTCTTCTGCACCTTCCTCGTCAGACGCCGCTGCTGCTGCTGCTGCTCCATCGTCCAAAGCCTCAGCAGCATCCTCATCTTCAAATCCAAGGTCCTCTTTCTCACTGCCTGACTCCTCACCCTCACTTCTTTCTTCCTCCTCATCACCTCTCTCCTCCGCATCCTACACAGAAGGTAAAAAACTATACTTATGTAACAGCAAGAGGAGGTCGAGGGAACGTTTGATCAGCAGGAGATCCAGATTTCTCTCAATGGAAGCAAGAGAGGCCACAGAGAAAATCAGGATAGAGAAGCCTGAAAATTTCTCTCAAGGTTCAATGAAAGAGCAATGCCGGACCTGCAGCAGCTGGGCGCCCTCCACGCGCGACTGCACTCGGGAGGCGCCATAGGACAGCGGGGCGGCCTCCAGGTCGGCGCCGCGACCGCGGTCCTTCTTCTCGAGCATGGATGGGTTGAGCTCCCGGAACAGGCCGATCAGGCCGCGCGCCGCAGCCGCCACCTCCTTGTTGCGGAACTTCTTGTACAGCACAAGGTCCTGCACAGAACACCACCCACAGTCCGCAATCAGGCCCACTTCCCTTTCAGTGGACTTTGTCTCCATGCTGCCACAGGCCTGGCAAGCAAGCGGAATGGCCTGTGTTGCTCTCAGGATTTGTTGCACAGGCGTCCTGGACAGGCAAGATCCTTGCATGTGAGGCAAGGCATGAAGCTTTGACAACGCAATGCAAGGGGGAAAGGGGGCATACCTGCAGGAGGTCGGGGGTCATGACGAGGGGCGTGCGGGTGCACAGCTCGCGCACGGTCTTGAGGCCGAGCGTCATGACCTCGGGCCGCGCGCGGTCGTGCACAAAGGAGTCTACCAGCTGACGCAGCACCGGCGCCAACACGTCCGGTGGCACCAAGTCGTGGCATGCCTGCAGCGTGTGACAAACATATCAGGTACAACTTCCTGGAAGTTTCTAGAAAATTTTTTGTAGAAAACTATTGTACAAATCACAATGAAGCCACTCCAAAGGCTCCGGCGCAATCTAGGTGGGTGGGGAAGGCTCTGCTACACCAAGGTTCTCTAACGCTGTGGACAGCACAGAGGGAACAGTTCCTTACTGGGGTTGATTTGATAGCCAAGAGACGTGACTGACCTGGACGAGGGTGGCCAGGAGCTGGGGAACATCGCGCTGGTGGGGCTGCAGGTAGCGCTGCATGAAGGGGTAGAAGTTGAGAAGCAGCAGCTGGTGCACGCCGATGACCCGAGACACCAGGGCCATGATCGCCATGCGCGTCTCAAACTTCTCTCCGGAGCCCTTCTGCAGCCGTGCAAAGAGCTTCTCCGCGAATGTCTGCACGCAGCCGCACACACAGAGGAACATTCATTTAGCGCACACCTCTCTGATGATTGAGGGAGATCATAGGGACCACACAGTAAACGTGGTAGCTATGAAATGTGACTAATGTATTCTTGACATTAGAAGGCAGTTTACATGCAAAGCATCTGTGCCAGTCAGTCATCATAAGAGCTAATAATCAGTCCCCACTCTTTGGAGAGGTCATGAGGAAGGCAGCTAAATTGTCATCATCCTGGCAGATGCTCCTTTGCAGTTTCCTACTTTGCTAATCCGGGTAAATGCGTGTACACCATGACTTAGATATCACCAAAAACACTCCTGCAATCTATTTCATTGTCAGTCTCAGAATGGCCGGTCAGAAATCTCGTGTGGAATGTCACAGCACCAAGGCGCTCCAGGTACGAATACATTAATCATCATTCCGGCCATTCAGTACACCTAAGCCCTCCACAATCACACCTGCATCCCACTCTGCAACTATTGACTTCTACAGGATGACCGATGGGAAAAATAAATCACCTGAGGGTCATGCAGCAGCTGGATAGCTGCAAAGCCCTGGGTGGAATCCACCTTCTCTCTGCGCTCCTGCTTCTTCACTGTTGCCATGACCCGCTTCAGCCTGGCCATCTTCTTCTTCTTGCTGGATGGAGTCCCCTGCCGCGCATGCATGCACACATCAGCACCAAAACTTTCGTGGGCGCTTACCATGCAGATAAAGTGGCCTTCCAGAGGCACAACAATCAGCAATGCCTTTTTCTGAAAATCAAGACCAGTTTTGAAGACGAGGAAAAGACAGCATGTGAGTGACATGAGCAGCGGATCACCTTTTTGGATGCGTTGTAAACTTCTGCTTTGGAGGGGTTGACAGCCTTGACGCCCTCAGCGTCAATGTCGTCTTCCCCATCCTCTGAAACCTCGTCCTGCCCCAGGAAGAACTTCACTGCCGCCAGCAAGATCCTGGGGCTCTCATGCAGCGCCGCGCTCGCTGTGAACAGAACAGACAACTCAGCAACCTACACAATAGCAGTATTCAAATTGCATGACAATTGCAGGTTTATTGACTTTGTCTCTGTCCTGCAAACTGGATTGCGCAGCATAAAACAATTCCCTCGCATTTCACCACAGCAAGAACAGCAGGGCTGCAAGCAATATCAGGCGGTGGACAGTGGGCGCACCTATGACATTGGCGGTGCGAGCATCGCGCCAGACTTGGCGCCTCCACAGCTCTGTGAGCACAGCCAACGCCGGTTTGGCAGCAGCTTCGCCCTCATTGGCAAGGCAGCTGTAGAGGAAGTTCTGCAGGGACCTGTTGAGCCGCTCGTTCCGCTGCTTCTGATTCGCGCTCTTTATGTCTGCAGAGCATGAACACATACCATCAAGCATCTCCAAGAAGTAATACTTCTCGGCTGCATGAGCTCATTTTGGTCCTGGGGTGATGCGGGTCGCACCTGCAATGATGTGGCGAAAGAGCATCTGGCGCAAGTCCTTGTCCTGGCATCTGAAAAGACGGAAGAAGAGAGGGTGCAGGTCGGTGGCGGTCAGCTGCCCTTTGTTCCTGAGCAGGATGAGGGCCTTCACCAAGCCCCTGCGCAGTGCTGGGTCCAGCACTGCATAGTGGGTCTCAAGGAGCTGTATGATCTCGGCAGTGAAGCCCTGTGTATCCTTGGGATAGCATTGGCTGACCTGCATCCAAACGCAGCATCGTTAATCGCAGAGACTTCAAAAGCTATCCTCGAAAAGCGCAACATCAGAAACCAATTCCATACATACCTGTGCAACGAAGTGCACCAGATCTGCGAACTCCCGAGACTCTTTGCTGGGCTTGAGATTGAAAATGTCCAGGGAAGCTTTGTAGTGGCGGAACTGTGCGATCACAGCACTTCAGTCACCTCACAACATCAGGGGAAAAACTCGCCGCCTCTGACTAGAAAAATTAACGATAACACATTTCGCACCTGCAATTTGAATTCATCAGCATAGCCATCCGGATCGCGCTTAATATTCGCCTGCAAACATAGCAACAACATCAAGCTCGAAGCCAATTTTGAAGCAAGCCGTCAGTGGCTAGATGTGCAGATAAAGCGAAGACTGGGAAGATCAGACGCCGTTGACACATTCCTTGTATAGCTTCAAACACAATCGTAATGTCTGTTAGTGTAATCATATCCTAAAGTACTTTCTGCGGACCTGCAAAGCAAGCAGATCTGCCCCACTTCTGGCTTCGGCGGCCATTTGCTATGTTCCTGCCTAAGTGCAAGCCTATGTTCGTATAGACACAATCCGAGAACCAAACATCTCTGACGGACTTGAGCAAGGCGCAAGAATAGCTCAGCTGCCAGACGCATTTGCATGTTCTTGCCAAGTTGGGCCTCGCCTGAATAGGCAGCTGCAGCATAGCCTCTGTCCCAACGCTTGTCCAATGCGAGGCTGCCAAAACTCGCCTTCAGGGACGAGCAATTAAGCTAATGCTCGAATGATTACTAGCGATGTAAATGGTGGAAAGTGCGCTGATTTTGATCGACACAAGAGAGTGATAATTCTTTACTAGGCATTTCTCACAAAGTGATCGTTGGATTCCAGACCCTTCTATAGTGCAATCGAGGCGCATAGGAATGATCATGTTCGGCAAATGTGATATATGGAGATCCCGAAGCTCAGCCTGTTGACATGGAATATCTGGTAAGCAATTTCCTTCATGCAGGGACGATGGTTCATCCTCTGGACAAGGTTGACCAGTTACTTGTGCATTTATTTGTGCATTATGTTAAATTCTATCGATTAAGATAATAATAATAGATTTTTTATCATTGCTGGAATTGTGGCGTTAGATCATGAGAGCTTTGGCATTTCCAGGCATACTGGAGCCTGTGAGGCGCATAGGATAGATGCAATCTCCAAGATCATTGCGCAGCTCGGCTGCCCAGATGTAATTTGCCTGCAGGTAGCTTACCTTTTGGTCCATTCCTGGCGTCACAACTGAAACTCCTGTCGTGCATGCATATGCCAACCCTGCAACACTCTCCCACTGCTGCTCTAGGAAGTCACTCATGTGACACTGGAGCAGCTCTCAGAGACAGCATGGTGGAACAGCTACCACAAAAGCAGGGATGTCAAAGGCGCCCAAAAGCGCCAGGAATGGTACTTCACAGTTCTGCTCCTGAAAACATCCACATTCGTCCTGGAGAGCCGTTTTCTGGAGAAGCTATATCCAAACACAACCATGGGTGCGCATGTGCCTAAGTCCAGTGCTCAGCACTGTTACACAAATGTCGTGGGACTGCTAGATCATTTACAAAGTGTCTGCATTGTGGGGAGAACATCATCTTGCTGGTGCAGGTAGATATTTGCTAGCAGCTCAGGCAAAGGCGTATGGGACCAGCTTTTGCTTTGCATGCTGTCATCTTGAGAGCCCCGGTGGCGACAGGGATACCAAGATGGTCCTTGGCCGCACACGTGTTGAGCAGGCCAGTCAGGTGACTTCCTGCTTTCATTTGTGCAACTCTTTGCAGTAATCTGCTTCAAATTGCACAGATTGTTGCTGCTCATTCGTCAGATTTGTTGAGTGGGTTCATTGGTTGCAGGGTCTCAAGTTTCTGGAGAGTCACTGCTCGGGTGAGATCTTGGTAGCTGGAGACATGAATTGGATTGAGGATGACCAGCCTCCCTGGAAATTGCCTGACAGCTGGTGAGCGCTGTTGTCCTTCCCTTGGATGATGTGATCAAGTGGCTGGATCGCTAAAACGTTGAATTGGACGGGGGATATGCTCAGTGGCTTGCTCAAAGGGTGATGGATGCCTTTTTGCGCAGGTGTGATCCATGGGAGGTGCTGTGGCCTGAGGACCCAGGCTACACATATGACTGTCACAGGAACCAGATGCTGCCCTGGAACGGCTACCGATCCAGGCTTGACAGGCATGCCCCTTGCAATTTTCCGCACGCAGTTGTGGTTCCAATTGCTGTCTACTTTGCTGTTGACATCAAGACTGGAGTGCTGGAAAGGAATGCCGTAAATGTGCACTAGATTCAGCAATGTCTTGGTGGTGCAGGATTTGGTGTAGGCTACGGGAGTGGAAACCGATGCACATTGAGCTTGTGGGGTTATCTAAGCTCAAGAACGTCCGAGCACTGGACAACAAGAGAGTCGTTCTTCCATCTGACCATTTTGGCATCTATGTTGTGTTTGTGAAGCGAGCAAGCCCTGGACGGCGAAAGGCGGGAAGTCTGATGTCTCCTTGAGCCTGTTTCCAGTGCTGTCACATCTCGAGCTCATTGCTATCTCAATTTGCAAGGGGCACGCCTCAACTGTATTGTGCCTTTCTTTTCTTTAGCTGTGGCATGGGATAGGTATCAAGGCAGGGAAAGTACAATCAATTGTGTGCCCTCATGCCTAGCTGTACGATATCCATGTGAGCATTTGAGCAAACTTTGCTCAGGAAAGGATTCCTCTGATCTGTGCCCCCTTCCGAGGTAAATCTGTCTGTGTGTCTTACTACCATGTTTTGCAGCACCAATTGAGAATCTCAGCTCACAATTGACCCACATCAGGTCTTATCCAGTAACAAGCAACATAATTGGGAAGACTTATATGTCCACAGCCTGTGAGAGCAAGAGAAACAGTCTGAGATTTGTTATCTCATGTGCATACGTTTGACAACTGACTTTACCAAGATCTCTGGTGTTCCAGCGTTCCAGACAAACAGTCACACATGCTTCGCAATACCGGTACCTCTCCTCTCACGCTCTTAGCCTCTCATGCTGCTGATGTCAACACAGCGCTGTCCTCAAGAATACCCTCTGGGATGTCAACAAGTCACAACGTGGCAGAACGAGCATGACAAGCATTCAGAAAAGCTCTCAGAAGTACTGCCACCCAACAGTGGTGCGTATAAACATGTTCAGTTACTTATTGCTCTGGACAACAGCACTCTCTCAAACAATGCACTACCTCTCAAGGGTCCTTGCGATCTCGAGAGTCTCTTGTTTCTAGATCTCCGCTCTATGATAGGCTCAGAGATCACTGGTGCACTGGATGCACACAGACTAGCCCAAACCCATCAGAAGATGTAGGGGATCATCTTGTAGGGGACAGCCTTGGTGTACTGCTGCCAGTAGGCGCCATACTTGGAGGAGCACCGGACATCATCCCTGAAGGCCCTGTCTGTGAGCAGCAGCGTCAGAAAGAAGACATAGAAGTAGGGCAGCGCATGGGAGATCCCAGCTGGCAGCGTCCAGAAGAATGCTGCCAAGATCTCTGGAAGATAGTGGAAGTGTCTCGCCAGGCCCCACCATCCTGCACACAGCCACTCACCATCAGTGGCTGACATCCGATAAAATTAAGGACAGTGTCATGTCCATCTCTAGAAAGTGCATGCCATGTGAGCAAGACTGCCTCAGGCGGAGAGCTGCCCAACCCCAGATAGGCCAAAGGTGCAAGGGTATTCTCACTAGGCAATACAAGTTCTGCAAGAGGAAATTGAAACAGGTGTGAAAGGGTACCTGATGCCAGCAGCAGGGAGGTCTTCTGCTTGCCGTCGCCTGTGATGTACTTGGCAGAAATGATCTGAGGAGGCTTGCCCCACACCAGCGCCTTCCCGTTGGTCGCCCTGAAAACCTGCATGTTTGCCGAAGGCATATCAGCATACTATCTACGGGGTGTCAACTAATTGGCATACACCACTTGTTACAGGACCTCAGCTCACTAGTTTGCAAATTTTAACTCATTAGCATGCATGTCCAGCAATGTGCACCTGCCCTGCGAGCAGGATTTGTGCAAGATAGACTTTGAGCTACACACCTGCCGTTGTCTGTCAGAGTCATAGTTGATGTAGATGGCTAGGGTGCCAGCCACGGCAATGGCTGTGGCAGCAGGCAGGCTCCACTGAATGGGGTTCTCCACCAGGTAGAGGGCGGGTGAGGTGTAGATGGCTGGCACCCAATTTAGGCAGCCCCAGCACAGGTAGTAGCCTGCCCTGTCGTGCGCAATGTCCATTGTGCCCCAGTAGCCAGTCTCCCACCTGCAAGGCAGCGATGAGCTTTGTTACACCTCTCTGGCTTCGAGGATAGCTACATCCGTGCGTTCGGGCGTACTCTCATGTGCGGCCACATGTCACAAGTACAGGCATGCATATATTTAGTCAAATACATGGCAGAAACTGGGTTGATACATACCAAGGCATCTCATTCTGCCTCCTCGAGCACACCAGTCAATTTACATGCAAAGTATCAGACTCCATTGATGACTCATCTCACCCAGCACAGAAGTTTTGCTTCCAGCATCAGCAGCAACCACGGTGACGTGCTAACACAAGGGGAGGGGCCTCACAGGAAGAACTTGAAGATATAGAGGTGCATGAGCAGGATGGAGACGGCCATGGAGTTGGAGAGGTAGCCATAGAGCTCGTGCTGTTTGACTGCGTAGCACAGCACAAGCACGCCCCAGCCCATCATGCCCATGCGGCAGTTGGTCCAGGTCTTGAGGTCAAAGTGGCGGCCGATGCGCGGATAAAGCTCCATGCCCCAGTAGTAGTCATACATCAGGCTGCCCGTGCTGCCCGAGTCGCTGCTGCTGGGCGCATACTTGCCCTGCGCATTCCATTGTTCAATAACTAAAAATATGCTGTGCACTCATGATTAGCAGGCTGTGCACTACACCCTTGTGTCCCAGCAACAGCAGGAAACAGGGAAACTTTGCAGGATAGTCAGACTGAGACTTTTGCAAGCATAGTGGACGGAACATCTCTTCTTGCATTGAGTAGACAACTGCTCAAATGGATACTCAATCAGATTGGGTTCACGCTAACAACGCAAGAGGCTGCGGCATACGCTTGGCATATGCAAGGGCCTTCAGCCATTCCTGTCAATGCTTGCAGTACTGGAGTTTAAATTCATAGGTAAGAAATAAAGTCTCACCTTGAAGTACAGGAACAGGCAGAAGAGCAGGCTGAACATATTCAGCCCCGACAGGATCTCGCCAAAGAGGTCGTACACCCTGGCAGGACTGAAAAGCTTGAACTGCCACCCCAGGACAAAGAGCGCGAGCGTGGTGAAGTATGCCAACACACCATTCGCCTGCGCAAGCAAGAGCATCAGATTTTGCGAAACTTAGCTGACATAGCTGCATGATCGTGTTGCGCATTTGCTGCGTCAATTTGAAGGCATAGGGTGGTACCATAGTAGGTTGAGCATCAGGGTTTACCTTGTAGACAGGGACGTTGCCCTTGGGTGACACTGGCCCCTTGTGGACTGCACCAGGAAGGGCCAGCTGAAGGAACGCCTGGAGTCCCCCAAAACTAGCAATGATTGCCCAGGCCTCCTGAGATGGCCAGGGCCATGAGGCGCGTACTCCCTGGAAGCCAGCCTTCTGGGCAAACTGCACCAGTTCCACCAGGGATCCGTCCAGGTGTGTAAGAGTGAACCACCTGCAGACAGCAAACTAATTCGTTCAGACAAGTTCAAGGTCAAACACTGGATTCTCCTCCCGTTGCAATCGCTTTCTTACAGTTAATCTGCAAACAGATATTCATCACCTGCCTTTTTGGTGTGTAAAGTCGCACAAAATTTACAGCAGACATATCTAAATATCACATCTTACAAAAGAAATGGTCTTGGTGCCTTGCATGGGTGCATTGCCAGACTTATCGCGTTTTTGGTGGGACAAAAAGGTTGGGTTACAGAATCAGTGATGCCCAACAACTGCTCTGTTTCATTTCAAGCTTTCCACAACTGTGTGCTAAATAATTTAAATATTGTCGGAAGGAATTTTTGATCGGAAGAAAGCGGAGCCCACATGTATATCGCAAAAGCTGGGCATCCGATCATGAGCGCCAGCGTTCCCAGGTATGCCAACACGTGTCCAGCTGTGCCTCCTATTCCCCACGCTCCTATATGCTCGCCCGCCCCAGCAGTCTCCGCCCATGTCTTTTTACCATTCTGCGTTGAAACAGAGGGTTCAGAGTGTGAGAGATCACTGGGAGGTGCTTTGCCTAGGGGCGTCTGGGCCCGTGCAGCGGCCCTCGTGGTCACCATCGCTGCGGGTTCAGCCCCAATTAATGGCAACTTTTGGTCATCGCATGTCTGGAATGGCCAAGCAAAAATGTCCAACAGACGTGCGCTTGCGTGTCACTGGCATGCAATTCAAATTGTACCTTATCCTATTCTGGCAGCTGTCTAGCAGGTGAGTGCAGGGAACTTGCACATTGTTTTTGCCACCATACCTTACACGTCTGATCACCTCCAACCTCCCAGAATGTCCTTTTGAAAGGCTGGCACAAGAGTCAGCCCACGCCCAATAGTTTCAAACCGCATGCGCACGCTCTGTTCAAAGGCCGCTTGGGAACTTCTCTCCTCCCTTTCCCAGGTCTCTATTGCCCTCATCAGCTCCCGTGCAGCGCTTTCAAATCTGCACAGCAGTAAAACACATGCTGTTGGCATGAGACATGCTGGAATACTTGAAGTCCCAAGTTGTTGGCAGGTCAACAAGCCTGTTCCAAACGGCTTGTTTTGAGTGTGCTACTGTTTGTCTACGTAAATCACACCTGAGACCCACAGTTGAGAACAGATCAGTGGGGATGCCAGGCTTCTGCAGCCACTTTGTCCTCAGATCTGCAAGTGTCGCTGGCTCGATATAGCTCCTTTGTAGCAGCTTGGACACCGGCTTTTGTAAGGGGCGCTCTGCATGCTGTAGGGCTGGCAGTGCCGAGGCTTCTCCTCCAAAAATTGTATCAGGGGAGTGCCATACTGTTGGCACATGCATTACTGACTGCTCTGCTGCCTGCCCAGAGACAGGTGTGCGCCTTGCATGCTGATGCGCCTCTGGCAATGCGCGCGACTCAATCAAGGCATCCTTGCCCCCATGCATATCGTCATAATTCGAGCGCGCTTGTGCCGGGGAAGCAGGCATGCTGAGGTGATGTACACCATCTGTGATGCCCTCCACGTTGCTGCCTCTCACATAGCTGTCTGTTGTGGGCTCCGGGCGCCGGCTTTGACCTGTGGAAGCGCTGTTGAGGAGGCCTCCATCTGCCTGTTGCAACGGGTACATGGGCTTGTCCTGAGCGTTGACTTGTGGGCTGAGAAGTGCCTCTATCTCAGCAAGCTCTGCTGAGCCCGGGCCAGCTGAGCCGGCCGCCAGTCTGCTCTGCACCCTGGGGCTGCTTTTTGCGCTAATCACCATCGAGCTTCTCCTTTCCTGTCCCACTGGCGTGCCCGGGGATGGGATCCCTTGCGGGGCAGCTGCCTGGCTGGACAGGCTGGCATTGATCATTGCTACAAGGTCCTGCGCCGCGCCCTGTGCTGCACTGGGTGGCTGAGGGGTGTACATTTGCCGTGAAAACTCTGGGCTGGGTGCACTTCTGGCAGGCGCAGCATCACCGCCAGAGAGCCAGGCTGGCTTGGTGGCTTGCCGCACGATGTCTGCAAAGCGCTGGGTCAAAGCACCGCCCGCCATGCTGCTTCGCACTGAGCCCCGCCTCAACTGATTCTCTAGAATGCTGCCCTGGTCCATGGCTGCACTTGATGAAGAGCCGCTCCTCATTCTGGCATCCATTGGGCGGGAAGCTGATGCCCTCCTGCCTGACGTTGATCCTCTGCTATCCCTGGAATCAGGGCCTGAAGATCCTAGCTCCGGGGAAGCCAGACTTGGTGAAATCCTTGCAGCAGCAGCACCCATCTGATTGTTCTCTGCAGGCTTCATCTCCCCCAGCCATGTGGGCAGCTGCTTCTGAAGCCCCTTCAGCCATGTGGGCAGCTGCTTCTGAAGCCCCTTCCACCGTGAAGGGCTCAGATTGACCGGGGACATGCTGCTGATTGAAGCTTTATTGCTCTGCGGCAAGCTGGATTGAGTCTGCCTGTTTGTGTCCCCTGGGCTCTGGTGGAGCCTGACTGATGGCCTCCTGACAGAGCTGCTCCTTCTTGCCTTGGGTGCAGGTTCCAGACGAGACGATACTGATGGAGAGGAAGTTCCCAGGCTGGAATTGATCTCCGCCAAAAGATCACTGCAAGCAATCAACGAAGAATTCAATAGCACTGCCTGCTAAGAAATCCCTTAAAGCTGCAAAAAACTTCGCAACTGTTATAAGGAACATCTGCATACCTCGCAGCTTGCATTTTGCGGATGTCTCCTTCAAAGCACTGTGAGCTCGTGGTACGCAGCCAGATGTGCCTCTACAACAAGTATCAAACTTTCCCCTGACTTTCAAGATGGCCTCTGCTTGGAACAGTGTCTAAAAATAGCTTAGTAACGTGGACAGTAACGAGGCACTTTGAGCGAAATCCATTGGATCTAGCAAGTGTCTCGAGGGCAGAGATTGTAGTTTACATCCCTAAGAAGCACAGTGATCCGCTCAATGCTGAGAGGTGCCTACCTTGTGCATCGCTGCTTACTGGCAGACCACAGGATCTTCAGTATAGGAGGTGACCCCTTGGTAACAGCCTCTATGGCAAGAAAGCATGGAAGCTACTCTGGATTAAACTTGAAATGATTGATGCTGACAAATTGATGAAAATCTGCTAATTGTGCGCCTGGTGCATTTGGTCCAGTGCATCGGCTGCCACTATGCAGTGGAAGGACGCCTGTGATTTCTGATCAGAGAAGATGTTTAGCGGTATCATTGCAAAGGTTCGATTTGGGGCATGCATGTGTTTCCCTCTCTGAAAGTGTATTCCAGAATGCCCAACAACCTGATGTTGTGCATGTGCAGGACTGCTTCTGATGGCCCCATTAACACAGAGCAGCTCGAGCTCTCACAGAGACTGTACTCGTACCTTCTTGCGCACACACCAGAGCATGAGGTGATAGTCCGCCTATTTGCCAATTTCAACGCGAGAATGCATTCTCCACACAATTGACATATGGCGTGTTGCAGATGTTGGCCACCGTCGGGCCGCTGTCTTTAAGGTGACTTGCTTCCTGTGTCCTGATGCAGGTGCTTAGAGATCTGCGCCATGAGACAGCGCTGCAGCATGCAGGCAGAGAACGAAATCAGGTGGCCCCGGAGCAGGGGCGATTTCTCGCATGGCTCCTTGAAACATTGGGAGCAAGGAAGGTCATCGAAGTGGGGGTGTTTACTGGATACTCCTCTCTAGCTATGGCCTTGGTGCGCGCCTGTTCCACTTCAGACACGCGCCGTTTGGGTACTTTTCCAGCTCAACCAATCAACCCAGCGTCCTGCTTTGATAAGGGATCTGCATTGTTCCAGGCTCTGCCAGGAGACGGGTGTCTGGTGGCTTGTGAGAAGGATGAAGGGCCTTTGCAGCTAGCACGGGACTTTTGGCGGAGAGCCGACATTGCTCAAAAGGTGACAGGGGGCGAGCGTGCCCATCGGCGCTTCAAATTGAGCTTGCTCTTCCGCAATTTGCAGAAATCTCATGGCGCATAATGGCTGAGTCAGCAATGCCATGGACAGATAGATGAACGCACTGGTCCAGCTGTGGACTCTTTAGAGGCGCTCTTGAGGGAAGGGCATGCAGACAGCTTTGATTTTGCTTTTATTGGTGCGCTCTTGCCCTTTTCCTGTGTGGCTTCAACATGTCCAGCTTTGGTTTCTTATGTGGTCACTTTGTCACGGATGTAGCCAAGTGCCTGCTGTGGGGTGCTTGCAGATGCTGACAAGCGGTCATACCAGCGGTATTTTGACTTGCTGTTGCAGCTGGTCAGACCTGGAGGGGTAATCGTTGTGGACAATGTCCTGTGGTATGGAAGAGTTGCCGACCCAGAGGTGAGCAACCTAAGCCTCAATAAACGAGCTCTCACATGACATAGATCTGATGTGCAGTTTCCAACTATGGTATTGCAGACGTCAATCAGGGCTCGGTAAAAGAGCAGCTCAGAAAATAAGAGATGTGGCGCAGGAGACAGCCAAGGCCACTGTGGCGCTGCGGGAGTTCAATGCACGATTACTGAGTGACAGCCGCGTCTCCTTCAGCACAGTGCCCATCGGGGATGGGATGGCGCTCTGCCGCCGGCTGTGATTGTCGCTTGAGGCTATTCGGATTGGTTCATGGCTTCTGTCTCTCCGAGGCATGCTCAGCATTGTCCGACACAGAAGTTGACAGAAGAGTAAACTTGAAATGCTATGTAATTTCTCCCGAGGGCACTCCAAGCCGCCTGTGAGAGTGCCCGTGCAGAATTATCAGCTTTATAGAGTGGTGACGTGAACATGGAATATTGAATTTAATCAGCTTTCTAATATTTCAGAGGTCCTTATTGCCCTGTAGATTTGCCATCTCCAAAGATGAGGCTGATCTTTTCTGCATTGCACTGCTTCTGGAATTCTAGCGCTCTTATGCGCTGAAGCGTTGGCGCTATATTTCCTTCTGCTTCTGAGCATTCTGCAGAAATGGCCTTCATCGCTCTGCTATGACTTGCATGCAACTCCTGAAGCTGAGCCTGCATGCATGGAATGCATCCCATTTGCCAGAGCAACCAAAAGTGTTAATGTGGGCATTTGGAACCCGGATGTCCAAGCAGACGGCTACATGTCTTATGGCATGGCTTGCTACTGTAAATATCCTTGGGATGGGTGTCACCTCACAAGCCATTTTTTCGCCTTGCCAGAATCTGATCTCAGCTCGACAAGCCTCAGCATCTTCATCAGCATTCTCAACGCAGCTGCTCAGCTGGCCAGCCAACTGCAACGCACTTCAGAGTAAGTGCTGGCAATCGGGACTGAAAACGGGACTCATTAAATGGAACTGCACACAAAGGAGCTGCACACAAGGAATCACTGAAGAATGGCAATCACCTCATTGACACGTACAATGGCAGAGCACAAATCCTCCATGCTGAGTGTGTCCTGATGGTTGCCATTTGAAGCTGGTTTTCTCTCCTGCTTCCATTCAAAGCCAAGGTAACGAGACATTATCTCTACGTACACAGTAGACTTGCACGTATTGCAGTACATCTCAAAGTCTGACAAGAAGAATTTTTATGGTGCTTGAAAGAAGAGGACCGTTTGCTTATCAGCTCTGCTGGGATGTTTCGGTGGACCTGGGCCGGACACTCTGGGCACATCTGATGTGCTAGATGGATTCAATAATGATGGTAAATCAGCAGGCGCTTGTGCCAATCCGCTGGCAGCCTGTTGGAAGTGCTGAGGCGCGCTTGCTTTCAGCGCTGCCTGACCCAGCATTTGCAAGAAGATATTTGTCTTCTCTGGCTCCAGTCCAGCCACTACCTGGGAGGAGCACATGTGTATAAAGGAGTCAAGTGGCCTCACAAATTTTTTGATAGAGGCAAGCTGCCGGGACTTCCAAATGTTTCAGCCTTGGTGTAAGGTCTACCTGGGAAGGATCAGCTGGCACTGGCTGCTGAAGCGTAGTGCTGACTGCACCAAAGATCTTCTGAAGATAGGCAATCTTGCCTGCACGGTCCTACATGTGTGTGGCAACAAAGGTTTCTGCAACATGAATCTTCATTTAAGTTTTCAATCTTCTCTGACTTGACCGGGAGGTCACCTGTATCGCTCTGGCATCCAGCTCACTGCCTTTGAAAAGGTCGTTGGCAAACCCTGTGTTTCTCTGCACCTGTAGATCCCACGCAGCACGATTTGTTGAAAGATTTAAGGAAGCAACTCGCTGGATGACTTTTCTCAGAATTTTGAGATCACACCTCCGATATAACATCGTGAAGAAAACGGAACGGGCTCTTTTGGAGCAGAGCATCTGTGAGTTTGGGCTTTCCCACTAGGGGTTGGGGACCTTGTAAGATACGTTGTGTCGTTTGCCAGTATTTTACTGACATCTTTGAACCTTTTGCGCATGTATGAGTGATGCCTCGGAATCAAGCACAGGCCGTAAAGGGAAGCGAGCACGATATGTTGTTTGGTACAGACCCACCAAATTTGAGCTGCTGTGACGCAATAGCAATACTTAAAAATTCTCTTAACTTCAATTTAGCCATGCGATCCTGGGGAGAATCTGGAATTCAAAGGAAGCAAGCCGTGTAACGGCTATGGCAGGAGGAGCAGCTTCCAGCATCGCTGAAGCTGCTCCTCCGGAAGCTGGCCACATCAATCCCTCCACTTCTTTCCCATCACACGAAGTGCCCATCATATTGGTGATAGTTATGGCAGTCATGAAATTGAGTCCTACATGAATTATCTGATCGCTGCTCCCCTGAAAGCTTACTGCCACGTTCGGCATTTCGGATATCCCTTGAAAGGCATCGGTTTCTTAACGGGACTGCACCCGAGTCATCTGCGCAGACAAGAAGTATCCAAATCTAACCGTTGCATATCTCGTTCACGCGCACGTTGGTGAGCTGCCATAATTCTGTTTCTGGTTTGTACAGATGCTTTTGTTCCTGCTCACAAAGAGATTTCCCCAACTTTTCCGCAGGGTTAAAAACATGGCATGTCAGGGAGAGGTTGCGGTTTGTGCGCCTTCTGACGGAGTGCACTGCACAGGGTGCTCCTGGTCAGACGGTGTGCACCCAAAGCAGTCCATGGTTTGAGTGTATGAGGAGATGAGCAGGCAGGCCAGATCCCCTCCTGATCATTGCAGGCACATGCTATGATGGCGAATGCGAGGGACTTCATGAGAATGTCGATGTCCGCAAGGAGCAGAGGCTTTGGCAGAGGCCCACCAAGGGGAAGCTCATCATCGCAGCAGGTTGTACTTCTCACGCAAGCACTTGGCGATCCAGGAATTGGGATCAACAATACAATCTGCATAGATTGCCTCAGTTTTCTGCTCGTTGGCAGGTCCTGAGAGGTCCGGCAGCACATGGCTGTTCAATGCCATCCGGCTTCTTTTCCAAGAGGCCCAGGAGCCACTGGACCCTTTCTGGATAACTTCTCTGAGTGATGAAGCCCTCACCCAGCGAGGGGCAGGTGAGTATAGTTGAAGCCTGCCTGCATCCTACGAATGTCTCAAGTGCTCACGAGGATTTGGAAGCACAATGTGAGCCATGAGAACCTCTGAGACTGTGTGATGAGCCAGCATTGCAGGCAAGGCACAGCACCCGCATGTCCTGGTGAAGACACACGACTGGAGTGACAGATGGGATCCAGCATCTGCTGATCACATTCTCCTCACACACAGAGACCTGAGGGGGGTGCTGGCCTCATACCAGCGTGTGGGATGGGCCTTTGACATCCCTGACTCCTATGTTGATGAGCACATGCGCTGGCGGGTGGAGTTCTGCCTCCTTGAATCTAAAGACTCAAACACTGATCCTCCCTTCTACTGTAATGCATGCAAGTTGCCAAGATTAAGACCGGTCTGTGCTGTAGGCTCACAAAGTGCGATTTTGTGCTTGCAGGAGATAGCTCACCATGATTTTGCTTGTGAAGACATCATTAAGGATTCCAAGGAGCAGATGAGGATCCTGGCGGAAGCACTTGGCTTGTCACACAAGGCACGTGTCTCAGTCCCTTGGGGAGTCCTGCTCAACATTGTCAAGTTGACAAAAAGATGCGTCACAGTTTTGCGATCATTTAGAATCCGGATTTTAGGCATGCACATCTGGTGGGACATGCTGAGCCACATGTCATGCAGGTGGACACAGAGAGGGTGGCTGGAAGGGTTGATGCTCTGAAGGCCCCGGCAGCAGGCCCACCCGATCCTGTCACCAAGCTGTGGCCGCGGCACATGAGCCAAGCAGTGCAGCAGCAGCAGAAAGGCTTGTCAGCCACTGGCACCGCTGAGCCAGCGGGTAGGAGCGGGAATTTGAAGGACAGATTTCCTGCGTACTTTGAGGCCTATGGCTACAAGTGAGTTGCCATCTTGCTAGAAACCCAAGCTGGCACAGCTGCCTGCAAGTGAATGGTAATGAGGCACCAATGTTCCAGTGAAGCTGCAAGTTGAAACATCAAAAATCTATAATGAGGGTTTCAGACTGGCCAGAAGGGTTTTCAGCTCCAGTCATTGCAGATCCAATCCAGAGAGCTTTCTGAGAAGGGAAGGAGTTGGGAAATTGATGAAAATCTAGCATTAAGTCTGAAAGTGAAAGAGAAGTGACGGACAAAGAGGAAGTAGTACACTTGCTTCTCCTCAAGACCTTCTTGTCAAAGTCTTGGTCTGCCAATGAGAAAGCCCAAAACATAAATCAGGACTTGCAATCTTATCGCATATTTTCTTTGACAAGACGTAATAGCAATTTTGGGACGTAGAGCATTTTCTCTTGGAAATTCTCTTCGGCTCGCCTTGGCATCGCTGTTGACATCATATACGCCATCGCCCTTCAGCTATCCAAGAAGTGCACAGTCATATGTGCTTATGCGATAGCTTGAGGCTTTTGAGCTTGTGGGGTGCTCACAGCCCTCAGCAGCTCAGCGCTATCGGTTTCAGGTCATGCAGATCACTCATCGGCTCCCAGATCAAACGACGGTCAATACAGTCATCCAGGGTCTCGTCAGCTAGACAGACACCGCATGACAGGCATGTTTACAACACAGATCCAGGAGATTGGGAGTACTCCCCAGAATGGATGGGCAGCCAGGGAGGCAGCTGGGGTCGTGATGCAGGCACCACAGTCTTCAGTCAGCTCTCTCACTGTGGCAATGGGCTCGTGACAGTCACGTCGCATAAAGCATCTCATCAGGAGCCGGCTCCGCCAGGGTGTCGCTCAGAGGGCAGCATGGCTCAGGAATGGCGAGTCCTGCGCTTCAATGAAGTCACGCGCCAGAGCGTTGCCAGAGTGTGGCAGCCTCTGGATGGCAGCAGCGGCGCGCATGCGCAGGCAGACTGCCTCGGCATGGAATACCTGAAGACCATGGCCTCAGCAGGTGAGCCTGACCTGAAGTGTGCTCAAAAGGGCACTTCTCGACGTCGAACTTGCATTTATGCGACAAACCATGGGAGACATGCAACACTTTGACTGTGATTTGGGGCAAAAGCACTCACCAGGAAAACGACAGGCATGTCAAAGCCTTGTGTTGCGTCGCAGCGCAGCTGCATCCGTGATGGGCATGGTGAAGGATGACCCGGTCTTCCTGCAGCGGTGCCTTACAAACAGCAGCAGCCAACAGGCGCACCAGCGGCCGTCTGCGCTGTGCATCGGCATTGGCGGAGGCAGCATGCCGTTGTTTTTATCGCACCATTTCCCCGGCATGCTGGTGGAGGCAGTCGATCTGGACCCGGCTGTGCTTGCAGCTGCCTCGCATGCCATGGGCTTTCCACTGGACAGGTGCAATGCTGCAACTTGTCACCGTATCACACATGCACTCAACCTGGAGAACACAAATGCAGTACATCTTGCTTCCAGCAAACATGTCATTTGGGAATTGAGAAGGAGGAAAGACGTCAAGAGCAGCAGCAATGAGGCAACACTGCCGTCTCAAAATGATGGGAAATCTGTCTTGTAGAGGTTGCATGCACCTGTGGGCAGGCCAGGACTTGCGGTGCACGAGCGGGACGGAGTGGCATTTCTTGCAGAGAGGGCAGTGCAGGTTGCCAGCGGTGCAGCTGCGCCAGTGGACCTGATCTTCCTCGATGTCTTTGACGGGGACGACCAGATTCCTCAGGCCTTCACCGAGCCAGGTCAGCAACTTATCTCTCCGTTCTCCTGTGTCAAATTATGCTTTGTGCTGCTTCTGGTAGTGCAGAGATGAGATGAGACAAAACAAGGCCGCAAGTCTGCAATGCAGACTGCAAAATTGCAAGCAAAAGTGTCCTCCCAGGAATGTGACATGTGCAGCTTTGCCTCAACATTATAAGGTTTCTCCTGGCGTGCCAGGTGGCCAATTTGTGCAGAGCATGGCTCGGGCACTGCATCCGGCGCATGGCACTTTGGTGGTCAACATGCACAGCGGGCCGCGGCCGAGTTTGGGAGATATGCTGCGCTGGCGGTTGAGAGGAGAGCCCCTACTCACTTTTGACCTCTCCTCTGATGAGGGCCGGAAGCTGCTCCAGGTGGCGCGAATGTACAGGTGACTCACCTTTTTCAGCCGACCCTTTGCTCACTGCATGCAGGGAGTACAAGTTGGTAGCTGATATATTCATTTAGCAACCCCTGCTGACAAATTGTTTTATACTTGCCTAGTACTCTCAAACAGCCCCTGTCTTTTTAGCATCGGTCAGTTGCACAGTTGGAAGCAGAGATATTGGTCGTTACAGACCACAGAAGCCTGCACTGTCTCATGAAAGCTTCGGCATGTCCTGAGGGACTCTCATGTAAGAGCCATTATGCTGGTGTAATCAGCAGCGTGGTGCTGTGTTGTGTGCGCAGAGATGCGCTGCTGACGGAGGCTGATGCAGAGGGAGCAGCTTGGGTTGTCTGCGTCGAGCGGCAGTACAATGCAGCAGTGGTCATTAGCAGGGGCGCCTTCTGTGGGGCAGACAGAGAGACTGCTCTGGCAGCATCTGCACAGTCTGTGGCTGAACAGGCTGGGTTTCGTTTCGATGCTGCATCTAGGGCTTCACACCGGCTGTTGTGGCTTTGAGAGGACTAGCTCTTCATACTGGTGCACATCGTATATATTGTGTGGGGCACAGCGGAGTGCGCATGCCGTGCTTGAGCACTGCTGCCATCCCATCAGATGTCTGCTAGATACTACCAGTGTGGTTGCTGGGTGTTCAGCAAGGGCTGATTGCTGGTACTCACAGCTTCCAAGTAATTTGTTTCAGCCATGACGAAGTTCTTGGTGCATTGTGAAGTGTTTAACTGCCACATGAACCGCTGCATGATGTTTTTGAAGGTTGTTTTTTCCTGTGGAAGCACACTACGTGCCGTGCTTGGCACGCGGCCACCTGGTGGGCCATGCATGCACTGGCAAATCATACGTAGTATACTGGGATGCATGAGCCCTCTACTGTTTCATATCAATACATTCTCAATGCCCACCCTCCCAGCAGTCGAAGATCTGCTTCAACGATCCATGGAGGAGTTGTTCGTCTCCTGTGGAAAGTTCCCACAAAGGCGATTGATCATAGCTGTCCCGAGATAGTGCGTGACGCATTTCACACGTGTCACAGCCAGGGAAAGTGCATCATCAGGCAAGGAACAGCATTTCTAATACAGCAGGATCGCGTGAGCCTGCCTCGTGCTTCAACCAGAAATCGTGTCTCAGCAACTGCGTACAGGCAAGCTGGAGCAGGACCGCATCCGGTCACAAGGTGCACTGTCTTTGCCAAGCTTAGGAGCCTTCACGGACCCTGGTGCTTGAATATTTCCTGAGACTAATAAGAGATGAAATCTTACTGTTTATGATCAATTAACGCTAGGCATCAGACGCGTCGTGCTCTTCACGCACTGCTGAAAAAGTGCCACCTTCACTGCCGTTCCGGCACTGCAGGCCTCTTGCAATGTCAAGCGTTGCTGACCAGCTATTTTTGTGTCGCAGACCTTTCTACAGAGCGCAATTATGCTTAGAAGCAGGACGACGGGCCTGTGGGTCGTTGCTGTTGCCATACAAGGTGATCTGCCCGGTTTGACGATGTGACCCAACACGCCGTGAGGAAGAATAATGTGTTGCTCAACCGGCACCTTAGTTTCCTGCGTCCTTGCATACATACGTACGCTGGCGCTACCACTGAAATGGCACTCTTTGTAGCAAAAGGTTTTACTATTGGTCATCAACTTCTGATGCAGCTACTTGGTCTGTGTTGGAGCACAAAGGACAGTCGGTTGAAGGCATCTTGCGCATTTCAGGACAATCACAATAATTCTTGAAGATGTGTTCGTCCAGGATTATGATGTGAAGGTCAGGTCATAGCAATGACAAGTGCGAGCCACAGTAGTTGATCAGGTCCAGCAGCGTGGCTATCTTTAGCAGCGTGGAGGCTGATGTCAGCGTTTTAATGCTGGTACTATGCAGGGATGATGCTCATGGCGTCAGCTCAGCAGCCCCGGGCAGGCGCAGTGTACATCATAGAAGCAGCTAATGCCACCTTCCTTGACGCCAACACCCTGGTCTTGAACGGAGCTTCTGGCAGCACAGCTTTCAAGTGAACTCCCATGGCCTTCTCCTTGCTGTTCACCTGCATTTATTGCAGCACCTTAGGACCACCGAATTTCAATAATGTTGAGGGACTGTAGTGTGGAAGCCAACGCAGCTCTCTGGCGTATTAGGCAAACGGCATCGTGCAACAAATGACTTCGAGCCGCAACGCTTGGGGGTTGAGAGGCCATGACTGTGTTGCAGGGTGGACTACCCTTACAGCGATGCCGGGGTCATGGACACAGGTATGCTGCTGCAGGATCCTGTGTACTCCCCACAGGGAGTCTGGCTGGGCAGCCCCATGGGCACCATCTTTGGCACTGCCGCCAACGGCAATGCCACTGCAGTCATCCTCCTCATCAACGTGAGCATTTCTCATGCACTCAGCGCACTCTTGAATCACAACAGCATAGAAGCACCTTGCTTGAACAACCTGTCTTGTCCTTGAAGTAGGAGTCCTTATTTCCTTGCAGGGCTTGTGATAGCCAGAGCTGCATGGACACTAGCCGGGCACGAATGCTGAAGGACAGCTGCAAAACTTACCTTGAAACCTTGTGCAAGAGCATGTTATTTGGGCAATGAGAGCTGAGGAGATTCTCTTGCGCAGGCTGTGCCAGTCTTTGACGCGGCGGCGGGCACGCTGACATTCAACATCACCATTGTGTCAGACCCCAAGTACATCAAGTTCCCTGACGGCATCGCGCGCCTCACCTATGCAAAGGCCGTCACGCCCAGCGCCTACGCCCGGGTATGCCATATCCTTCTGCCTTCATGTCCTGCGCATTCTGCCATTTAGCATCCCATGTCTTGCGCGGCTGTTGTGCCGGTGCAGAAGTGCTGGTGTTGTAAGAGAGTAGAGGAGCAATGGCCCCATTATGCTGCAAATATGTGACTCATGCCAGTGATGCAGTGTCAGATGTTCAGAGGCCCATTATCACCAATGCCCCGAACTATCCTGCGCTGAACAGCTTGCAAAGGACAGCACTTGGGCCTTTCTGTGCGCAATGCCTGCGTCGTCAGCAATGCCCCTTTGGTCTATGCGCAACCCATTCTGGACATTAGGAAGCGCACTTAAGGTGAAGAGAGCAGCCCAAGAATGTTTGCTTTCAACTCAACGTAGGACTGACGCAATTGGTGTGCTGGCGCAGCCCCTGGTGGTGACAGCCCAGGTCAGCAACAGCGCGCTGCTGACAAGCGTGGCTCTGTTCCTGGATGTTGACCAGACCACCATCAACCCGGCCTCCGCGCCCACAGGTGACCTTACATGCAGCTTGCACCGTATCCGAGATATTCCAATCATCTTGACACTGCGGCAGGGACAGGCCTGAGACTCTACTGGAGTGGCCGCTGTGATACGCACCGCTGAACTGCATGATGCCATGTTGCTGTAAATTATGGCCTACCGCATGCTGATATGAGGCTGGAGGGGGAACTTGCCCCTTTTTGAGCGCTGTGCTCGCAGGGTTATACTGCATAACAACCCTGCATAACAACTCTACCTCCTCTGTGATTTGCAAGACCAGAAGTGCTTGAATGGGAGCACAGGGAAACAGACTGCATTGTCAGCCAGGAGTGAAGTAAGTGCTTGTGTATGGCAGGGATCACAAACAACAACAACAATGGCGGCGGCTTCACAAATAACAACAACAACGGCGGCGGCGGTATAACGAACAACAACGGCGGTGGCTTTACAAACAACAACAACAACAGCGGCTACACAAACAACAACAACAATGGAGGAGGTCTGTTCCCCTCATGCATCTCCCTGATGCAACTGCACAGCAGAAACAATGTTGTTGCCTAGAAAGATTGGCCCTGAAAAGGAGACACAGCCTACTTTGTCAGTGGCAGCGGTGTGCTGTGTGCTCTACTCTGTTCACTAACCTTGATATCAGAGATGTGGTGAAGCCTTTCGTTGCTAGTGAAGAGATCGCACTTGCAGAAGCGCTTGATTTATATCGATGAATGCTTTGCAGGCTCTACAATCACAAACAACAATGGCGCTGGCTTCACAAACAACAACAACAACGGAGGAGGTGAGACACAGCAACTTTTCTAGCTGCTCCTTGCATTTGAGGCACCCCTTTCCCCAATGTTTGGCCCTGGCTGTGCCTACATGTCTGCATTTATTCTTTCCCACATTCTTTCTTTCGGGGCTGCAAGCAAGTGCGTGCATGTGTTCTAGGTTTCTTAGAGGCCTATGTGCATTCCCTGCGACAAGACAGTTCTGCTGACTGGGAAGCGCTTGCTGTGCAGCGGCGATCACAAACAACGGGGTGTCCAGCGGGGTGCCAGGCACAATCACTAACAACAACAACAATGGCGGATCTAGTGTTGTCCCGGCGGCGCCCGGCCAGACCCCTGTTCCTGGCACCTACAATGTGGTCACCACAACAACAGACTGTAATGGTCACGTGGATGTGCAGTATTCTTATGTGCCGGGGCTGCGCGGAATCTCCAGGAATAACAACAACAACTGCGGATGAGGGTTTGGAATAACAACAACAACTGCGGCTGAGGGTGTAATGGGTGACAAGAATGAACGGAGAGAGATGAAGATGCAACGAGGGCAAGAATGAGCTTGTATTGTCAAGGCTGTAACACATGGACGAATCCTGTTCTGATGAGTCAGGAAAGGTTATCTCTTTGAGCTGATACTGTGCTTGCAAAGCTTGGAAGAAATGTTGAGGCAGCGATCTTGTATTTCATTGATTGTACTTTTTGTTTCAGAAGGCATTTTGTAGAATGCTGGACAAGCAATGATCTTTGTAGTGTACTGTGCATGCATGTCCCTACATGGAGGCTCTAAAGACTGCCAGACCCCACCAAAATATTAGGTTGACATGTGTCCTTACTCAGGCAATGCATTTCTCTTTTGGCAGTGTCATTTCAAGACTTGTAACAGAAGTAGCTCAAGACCACCGTCAAGTGTTCACTTTTGCACCGCACCATTCTTCAATCGGTGAGCATTGTTTCAAGTTTTGCCATATCTGGCCCATTTGCACATAAAAGCCCACCACACGACACAAGATGTGCTTGACACCATATAGAAGAAACAACCTTCCTGGCTCAACACATCATCCCAGAAAATTCTGCACATTCTTTACTTGAAGGAAGCATGCACAAATCATCTCTTAAACCCCTGGCCACCCCCGCGCTCAGCGTAGTACTTCCTGCGGCCCACCCGGTCCTCTAGGCTGGCCACATCCCCAGCCGTGCCATATACCTCCTTTGTCGCGCTCTTCAGGAACGCCGCTGTATCTCCTGGCTTCTCACCTGCGCGCATGCTTGCGCACCTCAGCAGCCGGCCGTCAATCAGGACACAACACAAGCAGTATACATGCAACTGCTGCATGTCCCCAGGCTAACTTATAAAGGGCGCAGAATACTGTGCCAGAATACTGTGCCAGAAGTGCGTCTGGATGACAGCAGCATTGGCACCATGCACTGCCATGAGATGGTGTCGTCTGCGAGTCACGCACTGCCAACACCTCGATACACCACCTCTCACTGCGATCAGGTTTTGAAGCTGCCTAACCTGCTGTTATCAAAAGGGCTGAATTCGAGATGCTGTGAATCCCGATGGTTGGCATGTTCTGTACGTGACAAGGCTAGCACACCCAAAGCCATGGGCCGCGCAGGGCATGTGCAGCCGCATCTGCAGGATCACCGCAGGTTTATACAGGAAAAGGGGGAAGGGCACCTGTGGCAGCTGGCGCGTTGGCCTGCTGTTCGGCGGCGTCAGCGTCGCGCGCATGCTTCTGCCGCGTCCACCGCGCCTCCTCGTGCACCTCTGCGTTGCCGGCCATCTCGGCCAGCCGCCTGTGCCGCTCCTCCTCCGTCATGCGCCCCGTCCTGCACCCCACACCAGCACGCCTTACTGTCCGTGTCTTCTGCTAGAGCATACCACATGCTGCTGTTGTAGCTGCAAAAGAGGCTTCAACTTGAGTTGTCGATGGTTGACTCGTTTTCTCAGAGTGCAACAAGATGCCAACAATGCCTGGCAAGAGGACATGACAGCGACTGCCAATTATTCCTTCCCCTCTTGCAGCTGGAACACAGGCGGCTTCACGACAAAATATCATACTTTCTTGTCTCTCCTGCTTTGCAGCTGAAGCCAAAGAAGGCTTCACAAGAAATTTATCCTGGGATGACACACATCCATCAATCATGGTGAGGTCATGATTGTGGCAAGTAGAGATGTTACAAAGGCACAGGGCAGGTGGGCAGGCAGACGCACTTGTACTCCTTGCGCACATGCCTTTGCGCGGCCTTCTGCCGCTCCTCCTCCTCCTTCTTCGAGGCTGCCTCCTCCAGCCGCTTCTGCGTCGCCGCCGCAAGCTCACTCCTGCACAGGCAACCTCAGGGTCACACACTTTCTCTCCCTCTCAAGTTCCTCATCCGCTTCACCAGTTCACAGCTTGGTCAACAGCAGGTAACTGCCTCTTTTGATAGTGAACAAAGAAGAGCGCATGCGCAGCATAAACGGCAAGCTCCCAACTCCTTACCAAGCTGAGCTCCTGAGGCAAGTTGCGCCAGGAGAGAGGCACTGGGCGTGCCACCAAGACCAAGCCTCACTGCATCACTGTGAAATTCTGCCCGCGCACCTGTCGTTGTTTTGGAGGGCCTGCGGCGCGGAGCCGCCATAGTTGAGCCCGTATTTGAGGTCGGCCCCCTGTGCGGACGCGCCGTCGGTGTACACCCGCGGCCGCTCCCCGTCCACGCGCTCGCTCCGGTGGTGCCCATTGCCATGCGCGTCCTTGTTTTCCCCGTCTCTGTGTCCGCTCCTGTCCCTGCCCCTATCCTCCTCTGCAGCACAGCCACAGCACAATCCTCAAGACACCATCAGTGCAGCCTATGGACACCCCCCTGCAGCTGCTCAGAGATCTGCAAAGTCCTTCACTTGGTATGTGCGTAGTAGTGAACTGCACATCACAGGCCAAGCATGCTTCAGCCAGAGGCTTGCGCGCACAAGGCTAGATGACTCTGGCTGACTCACCCTTGGTCCTGGCGTGTCCGTCACCTTGTTTGTTGCGGCTCCTGTGGCTTTCGTGGCCATGGTGCCTGTCGTGGTCGCCATTGCTGCGCCGATGCTTCTCTGCATGGTCTTCACCGCCGCCCCTCTCCCTGTCCCGGTCGCCTTGCCTGCAAGCCATGAATACAAAAACGTCAGACCAAATGCTTCTATTATCGTTTCTGGATCGATTGAGGTCCCTGAATTGAGCTTTGATTATGATGAGACTTAAGGACGGGCAGGCAATGCATGGAGTCCAAGACATTCTTGTCTTTTGCAGTCATCACAACAGGCAATTAAAGGAATTGGGCCTGGGGCGGTACCAATTGATGCCTGGCTTTCTGTCAGGAGATGCTGTGCGAGCGCGCTTGCGAGAGTGCTCGCCGTTAGGCCGTCCGTCTGCTTCCTCAGCCTCTGCTGCAGCTCCCTGCAAAAACATCATTTTATAAATACACTTATCATCAGAAAGCAACACAAACACCAGCGCATGCAGGACAGGAATAATTTGCAAGACCAACTGTGACCTTGTGAAGAGGCAGTGCTAACCTTGAGCTTGGCGTGCCGCTTCTCGGCCTTGCGCTCATCCTTCTTGGCGCGCTTGGCGTCCTTCTTGGCCAGCTTGGCTGCTTTCTTCTGCGCCTTGGCCGCCTGCTGAGCCGCCTGTATCTGCGCTACCTCCCGCTTGATCGCATCCATCTTCACAGGATTTGACGCGATTTTCTTGCGCGTGGCTATCTCCTGCTGCCGGATCTGCACCCCCGCCCACACCCAATTCCTTAGCCCTCACTGTTTATGCCCCCACCAAGCGCTGCTCCTTTAATGAGTGCATGCTTATCTGACACACAACACAGCTAGGCATCCAAATGAGTGGTGCCTTATGGTATGACAGTTAAACCCCCCTTGTGTATTAGTGGAAGGAAACATACCGCAAACAGGGGATCACTGTGGATGCGCTGCCAGACTTCGTTCGCAGATGCTGCAGTGTCCTCTGCATAGAAGGTCGGTAGCTTGACTGCTGCATTGCCCTGCATACCCCAGCCACGCACTGACAAACATTGTGATGAGGAGGGCAGTTCTTTGACCCTTTGCAACCACAAAAAGAGCTGCTTGGGAGAACAGTAGCTGTCAAGGGAGGGGGCGTACTGCGCTAGGAGCTGCAGCATCTTGGAGCTGCAGAGGCTTTGCCCCAAGCAGCTGCTCATCATTGCGCTTGTCGGCTTCCGCTTTTGCCACCATACCGCCTTGGTACATCCAGTCAAGCTTGTCGCTTTTGCTGCGGCACCATAGCTCATTACTAGACAGTCCTACAGGACAAACTTTACAGCACCGCCACCATTTGAAATGATGTCAGCACAACACGCTATCGACTTCATGTGAAACAAAAAGGTTGGGTCTTAGCTACAAAAAGTCTGGGGGCTTACTCCTTGACACCTGCGGCGTGAGCGACTGTTTCCAACTCCTCACGCTGCCGTTCCTCCGCGATCTGTTTGCGAATCTCATCTAGCTTGCGAGTCTCCTTCTCAGCTGCCTGTTCTCTCTTCCACTTCTCCTCCTGGTTCTGGATCCTCCCGGGGTGCCATGTTTTCTTGTTGAGAAACGCGAGACCCCCACCTCCCATGGTGTGAACCTATTGACTAACTTTATGTATTGTTTTCTGTCAGTGAAATTCCAGCTCTTCAGCCACACCTCTGCACTTTGCCACTAAGTAGATCAGTATTTCACGGTGGCGCTGGACCGAGCGTCAAAAGGGCAAATGCGCGCAGATATTACGCTACTTTGAAATCTCAGAACGCATGTGTGCTGTGTCTCTTGCGCTTCCTTCCTGTCTCTGTGCCCCAATTTGGCACGTGGCTGTCAGCTGCGTGTCACGTGCCGATCACCCACGAAGAGCGCAACTCAAACTCCTTCCGGGGCCTAAGGCGCTTCAGATGTCCTTTAATGTTGACTTTGCGGTGTGAGTTTGCCGCGAGGCAGTTTAGTACACCTAGGACTGTCAATCGAGGGTCATTGAGTCCTCCATCACTTAGGAAACAAGGTTTCAGACAGTCTTATGTCACTTGCACACGTATCAAAGGACAAAAGATAAACACCATCTCTGTGAAGACTTTACCAGTGATGTCGAGTCCAACAGCAGAGACGCAGAGTGACGTGTTTTCGGCAGTCATGCCCAAGGAGGAGATTGGAGCCCTGCGATTTCTCAAGGTGTGATCTCGATCTCTATGTCCATACATTCTTTCTAAAGTGTTTGATGATTCATGTGGCTCTCATTTAGGTGATTGGGTCATTTGTTCGATCCATGACGGTCTGGCATGCGGTCTCCACACGTTGCTGATCTGAGGGATACCGGTGAGCACATACATCGCTGAAGCCGTGTCAATCGCATTGCAGGACCATCCAGAGTACGACGGAAGGGGAGTGGTGGTAGCTATCTTCGATACAGGGGTGGATCCAGGTGAGTTTTGTCATCTCTCTCAAATGTCTCTCACAGCCTGTGTTGAGCATCCTCCAAATGCACTCGCCACTTACATAGTGACAATTAGCCTGCCATGAACAGGTGCTGTGGGCCTCCAGACGACGTCTGATGGGAAGCCAAAGGTGTGCCTAACAGTTCTAGCCTTGCAGTGGTGGTTGCCTTGAAGGTGCATGCACGTGCCCGCCTTTGCTGTACCGCTATAGCAGTATGCGAAAATTGAATCAATAATTTGGTGCAACTTGCAGATATTGGATCTGCTGGACTGCACCGGCAGCGGGGATGTAGATACTTCAAAGGTTGTGAAGGCGGATGACGATGGGTGCATCCTTGGCTGCTACGGCAACAAACTGAAAATCAATCCTGAATGGAAGAACCCTTCAGGTACACAGAGTACTCGAGAGGATTTGTCACACAAGAGTGCAGCACCTGCAAATGTCCCCCTTGTGTGCACTGCATTTCTTTTGGATTTGGGGAATGTCTGCTTGCATGCAGATGAAAATATCAAGTCCTGGGTAAGGATCACGTGATAACATTCCTTGGACAAGCAGGCGAGTGGCATGTGGGTGCCAAGCGTGCATTTGAGCTCTTTCCTGGAGGCCTGAAGCAGCGCAGCAAGCAGGAGAGGAAGAAGCGCTGGGAGCAGAAGCAGCGGGGGGCCATCACTGCATGCACTGCTGCTGTGGTCAGCCAGAAGAAGCAGGTGCAGTCTCAGAGGCACTCTTCCTCCCTTACATAAACGTTAGATTCTCCATCTGCTGCAGCTGGATTTGTCCTCTCCAGCTGTTTTCTTTCTATGAAAACACTGCATGCACTTTTATGAAAACTCTTCCCAACAGCAATCATGATCAGGCGACCTCCGCCTTGTTGAGTTCTCGTGCATGAATTGAAATCGTAATGCTATTTGAAGGGAGACTCAACAGCTGAGGACGGCAAAGAAGCACTGGAAGAGCTGGAGCTGCGCTCAAAACTGCTGGCAGACATGGAAGAAAAGTTTGAGGATCTTGGTGAGCCTCCTCTTCCGTTCAATATTTTGCTATCTAGTAGAGCAGACAAGTCATATTGCATGCAGACTTTGTGCACAGTCAGCATGCATTGACGTGAATATGATGGTAATTTGGTCCTTGATTTTGTGCAGGCCCAATGCTGGACTGTGTGGTATGGCACGATGGGGAGGTGTACAGGGCTGCGCTGGACACCAGCGAGTTGCATGAGCCTGGCTCCACAGCAGGCGCCCTGGAAAACTTCAAGCCACTGACCAACTTCAGGAGCGAGCGGCAGTATGGCGTCTTCAGCTCCCGTGCGCTCCTTTAGCTGTTTATGGTGGTTTATTATTCATCAAGCACCAATTTCCACCATTTTCATACGAGGAACCCTTCTGCAGGCATGGAATCGGTCCTTTGCAGGCTGGGTAGCCTCTCTACCCCCTGGCAAGTACCAAATTTATTGGTAATCTCATGCATGGAAATCTGAACGATAATCATTGCTATTGCAGAGGACTCCTGCAACTTTGCGCTGAACATCTATGACGAGGGCAATGTGCTGTCCATCGTGGTCGATGCGGGCTCACACGGCACACATGTTGCTGGCATCACCGCCGCTCACCACGAAGACAACCCTGAGCTGAACGGCATCGCCCCAGGTATGCGATTACTACACTGATGTGTTTTCTCTTTCATTCATGCATGTGGCACTTGCATGCACGAGCAAAGTGTATTCTTAATGCATGCGGGTATTTGCATGCATGCGCGTCAGCATCCTGTGTGCAACCTGTCCTATTTGCTGAAATTGCTGATGCACAACGAGAATATGAGAGAGCAGCAAGTAATTTACCAAGTGGCTGCTGCAGGTGCCCAGATAATCTCATGCAAGATTGGGGACAGCCGGCTGGGCGGCATGGAGACAGGAGTGGGCCTGACAAGAGCTCTGATAGCGGTCATCGACCACAAAGTCGACCTCATCAACATGTCATACGGCGAGGCCACTGCCACTCCCAACGCCGGCCGCTTCATCAAACTAGCCAATGAGGTAGCGCTCAGCCTTACTCTAGACCAGACCCTTGACACATGAGCTGCACCATGTGGGAACTGGCAGCCCCAGTAGACCTGCAGAGTCTTTGGGCAGACCTTTTTTCAGCGCCTCCACCGCATGTCAGACAGCACAAAATATCCTGTCATTTGGAAGGCACTTTGAGGGTGGTGATGCGTGCATGCAGGTTGTGTACAAGCACAATGTCATCTTTGTATCGAGCGCTGGCAATGCCGGCCCGGCGCTGTCTACTGTGGGCGCTCCAGGCGGCACATCCTCATCCATCCTCAGCATTGGCGCCTATGTCTCCCCCGCTCTGGCAGCTGCCGGCCACTCTGTGCGTGAAACTCTGGACAAGGTGCAATGCTCTCTCACACTCCTCCGATGCTCATCAGTGCAACAGGACACAATAAAACAAGCACACATTCTGGTAGTGATCCCCTTGCGGAATTGGTCGGGCATGTCATACCCCTGCAATGCAATGCTTGACTTTAAAATTCCAGAAAGTATGATTGGTGTGTATAGCAAACACCAAGCTGAAGTGGCTGATCACAGCTGCGTCAGAGACCATTCAGGCAAAACATTGTGCATCTCAGCATGCATTCCCACCAGATGGTGCAGATGCATATCGTCATGTCAAACGTCCAAGGAAGCGCAGAATTATGGTGCGTTATTCTGCCGTGTGTCAGGGTCACATTCCCCGACCCTCTAGGTGGTCCTCTCAATACATACATGGTATGATGAGCGCTACAGACAAACAACAATTACACAACCCCGTTAGCTAAGACATCAGCTGCATGCGAAGGAAACTCACAAACAATCACCCACTTTTGGATACCTCTTGCCAATGTAGATCAGGCCTGGAGTGCTGTGGCTGGGCTGAGACCTGAGAGACCTGTAAGTCTGAAAAAGAAAGAATCAGAAGTGAATTCAAAGCATATACATTGTAGTTTTCCCATTAGAAATAAGGACTTAACCTTTCTTTCATGGGGGGACAGGGCCAGCAGTACACATGGTCGAGCAGGGGCCCAACCCCAGATGGCCACATCGGCGTCACACTGTCGGCTCCGGGGGGCGCCATTGCACCGGTGCCCCAGTGGACGCAGCAGGGTCGCCAGCTCATGAACGGCACATCCATGGCCTCGCCCAACGCCTGTGGCGGCGTGGCGCTCGTCCTGTCTGCTGCCAAGGCCAAAGGATGGAAAGCCACCCCTGTCAGGTACGATGCTGCCCCATCCCCCTCGTTACCCTGGTTTACATCTGTGACGCCCGAGGGGGATGGCGCAGGCGACCTGGTCTGGCACCTGCTATAGCTGAACAACTGCTATTGGTGGGTCTGAGATGCATGATGGAATGGGGTGCTGTGCAGTAAGACAGCATGGGCAATTTCTGACCCGTGTCACGGTTGGTTGCAGGGTGCGGCGTGCGCTGGAGAACACTTGCCTGCCGCTGGGTGGGGACGCCCCAGACGCTGTGCTCACCTATGGCCGCGGCTTGCTCCAGGTGCTGTGACACCGACCAGTCATATTCATGCCCAGTATTGATCCGGAGAGTGGGACTGCCATGCATGTCATGTGTATCTGCCTCACTTCCTTTCAGTGTGTTGTTAAGTTGCAAATTTTCAATATTCACGAAGAGGTGCATCAAGGCAGCAGCACATCCAGTCGGACATGCAGCAATCCTTAGGCCAAGTATGAAATCTGTTTTGCACCGATGCAATCCACCGTGCAGCAGTACAAACGGGCCTCAAATACTTCGCAGCAGCACACTTGAGGCTGTCAAATTCCATTCTGCGAATTGAAAAGTGTGTGGGGATTGCCCTCCAGGTCGACAAGGCCGTGGAGTATCTGGAGAAGGCGGCAGCGCAGGACGAGAGGGACGAGGTTCTGTACGAGGTTCGCGTGCGCCGCAGCGACGGCTCGGCCGGCGGCCGCGGCATTTACCTGCGAGAGCCGCTGGACTCACGCAGAGCTGTCACCTGCACTGTAGATGTCCGGCCCACAGTGCATGAGGTCCGCGCCAATACTTAGTTTCTCCTTCCCAGGATTCTTTTGTCACTGAAGATTGAAGTGCGCAAAGTTTTTGCTCCATCAAGCAAACCTATCTCATGTTGATAAGGCGTTCCTACATCTTTTGAGCATATGAGGCACCTCGATTCCCAATTGTTGGGGCATTTGGCGGTTGGTGGCTTTGGGTATTGATATGGCATGCACAGGGTTCCATGCATGCCAGGCCCAGAAAGCACAAAGTGGGGATGGGCCTACTGAGTAAATGTGATGTCTCAGAGAGCTTTTTTTGTTGCAGGTTGATGCTGGGGCGGTTGACTCCACTGAGACGGAGGCATCTGGGGAGAAGATCCCAGACAAACAGGCCAAACTGGTGAGTCCTTTTCAACACCTCCTGCAGCATGACCAATCATGGTTCCTGAGCACAGCCTTGCTTCGCCACCATTTTTGCTCCACCTTAATAATATGTTCATGACTTGTGTAATAGGATGCCGACGCTGTGAGGACACGGCTTTCAATAGAAGACAAGCTGCACCTGGAGCCGACACAGCCATGGGTGGAGGCGCCCTCTGCCCTGCTGCTGCACTCCGGCGGCCGAACATTTGAGATTAAGGTACCTGCATCCTCCTGCCTTGACGAGTGCTGTCAGCAGACACAATGCACGGCAATTATACACACCTGCTTCGGCTTCAGACTAAGCACCGAATTGATGAGTCCTTAGGGGGAGGCAATGTGTACCAGAGGGGGTTCATGCTGCCAATAGAAACAAAATGGATGAGTCATGTTACTTGTGAAAGGTGGACGCTGGGAGTCTGCCCGAGGGACTGCACTTTGCGGAGGTCTGTGCTTACGACAGCAGCGCTCCATGGCGTGGACCCCTCTTCAGGTGCAGTGCATTAAAACGTCATGCTCATCAACTACTTCAATGCTCTCCGAGCAAGTTAATATACTATGGAATCCACTTCCTCATCTTTGACTAGTGCATTGAGTGTGTGGAACTCTGGACGGCATGATTCACGCAATTTCCTGATTGCCTTCTGAGGCATTGGTCATTGAAACGATGGGCCTTCATTTATGGCATGTTATGGCATTTAAATATGGGCTGCTGGTGGCAGGGTGCCAATCACAGTTGTCAGGCCCATGCCGGTGGAAACACCGAGCACCTCAGGCACGCCTCCATCACCTGCAGGTGAACCCCTGAACTCGCCCCCAAGCACTTCTTGGGGAAATCTGACATTTCCATTGGTGGACGTCCTGGGCATCCATCTGCATCATCAAAGATGCACAACATTTGCAACATCCCATGTTTCTATCCGTATGAAAAATGCGCAAGCAATGCTCTACCCTACTCCTCTTCCATCCTGTGCCTAATGAAGGCCTGCTAAGCTGCAGCATAGTGTGTATTCATTCTGTGTCATATCTGTCACAGCCGCCAACGAGGATGACAGCAGCTACGTAGCCCGTCTGGGCTGGGTGGACTTCACGCCCGGCCAGGAGGTTCGGCGCTTTGTGGCTGTGCCTGAGGGTGCCACGTGGGCAGAGCTGCGCATCACTGCCGGCGACCACGAGCAGCCCCGGTAAGTCATCTATTTGTCAGCCTGCTTTCATTCCAGATCTAAAATCGCCCATCCATGGCGGGCTCATCCAGTTTGTATGACCTACCCAAGCTCGTGCATCCTCCACGATTAGCGTCAGAAATTGCATCTCAAGGTCACACCTCTAAATCAGCTGAATGCGCATCTAGCATATGTGTCCGCGATGCATATTGCAACGTTAGTACCTGATCTCGATAAGAATGCATCGTTGTGGTTGGCAGAGACTCTCCAGTAATATTTGCATCTAGCAAGGCTCTTGTCTTGTGCTAGAGTATTTTCCTTGACCACAAGCCACTTACCATGGCTACAAAGTTTTAGTGATCGCATTGAATTTGCATGCACAGGGGCTTCATGGTGCGCGCGTCGCAGCTGCTGCCGCACACGCGCTACTCGGAGACGGAGTCCCGCTCCTACCTGAGCCTGGCCGCGCACGCAGAGGAGCGCCTCAGCTTTGCCACGGTGGCGGGGGCCACGCTGGAGGTCACCCTCGCGCAGTTCTGGAGCAGCCTGGGACCGGGCAGGCTCCGCGCGGAGGTTGTGTTCCACGGCCTGGAGGCCCGGCGCGAGGTGCTCCTGGACGGGAGCAGGCACAACACCAAGCTGCATGTCAGGTGCGCTCCGGACCAGTGCGCTGTAATATTGGTTGGGCTCTCATTGTGATGACCAGGGCCGCACTATGGAAGCTGAAGCTGGCAATGGCTTGGAAATCTTCAACAGACAGTGAATAATCAACTCAAAGGACTACATATTGGCTCTAATTGGGAGGTTGCAGGTCGTGACCTCTGTAGATCCTTGCATGCCTACGCGCAAGGATAATCCTCCTGGAAACCCTTGCATGCAGCGATCAAGACACTGTCCATCTACTTCAAGCTCCAGGAATTGTGGCGTTGGATGAATTGTCTCACTGTTGCAGGGCGCCGTTCCGACGGGAGAAGCTGACCCCGGCAGCAAAGTTGGAGAAGGTGCGCATTCCGCTGCGGCCGACAGAGGCGGTGCTAGCGCCGCTGCCCGGTGCCCGGGACGTGCTGCCCAACGGGCGCACCATCCACACGCTCACCCTCACCTACAAGCTCAGCGTGGCTGAGGCCGGCAAGCACTGCGTCACCCTCCCTCTCCTCAACAGGCAAGCCCAGTCAGCGCCTCTTGTATCCACGAATCCCTCAGTGCCAAGTATAAGCTGAAAACTGGTTAAGAATACAAGGTTGGCAAACCCAGAGCCAGCGACCACAGGGCATACATGCAGGGCGTCTGCAGCCAGATGTGCGGGGCCGAACAGAATCATTCCAGGATGCATAATTGCAAGCTGAACAGTTGCTTTGTTCAGTGATACAAGAGTGTTGTTGTTTGTTGTGAAGCTAATGAGGCATCGTTGCGGACAGGTATGTGTATGATGGAGAGCTGGAGGGGCAGATGACCTTCCTAACGGACGCCAACGAACGCCTGATCAAAGTGTCTGACATCTACCCCGAGGACGTCCAGCTGGCCAAGGGTGACTACATCATCCGAGCCCAGCTGCGCCATGACGACACAGGTCTCGCTCTACTCTCCCTTCTGTCACTTCACTTTCCTCTAGAACCTCACGTGTGTTCCCAAACGCTACTTGTTGCATCACATGCAGACCTTCAGAGGTTCAATGTCTGGCACCCAGTGAAGCGGATATTTCCTCGTGTCCTAAGCTGATGCATCCAGCTTCTGGCTCTTTGATTCAAGAATTACAGAGAGTGAGCTGCAATGGTAGCATGTAGTTCAATGTACCACAAATGTGCAGTTTGCAAAGATGGCCGAATGCTATCATGCAGGATGTAAAATGACTTGTGTGGCGCACAGGTGTGCTGGAGAAGCTGAAGGGCCTGGCAGCGGTGGTCGAGAGGAAGCTGGGGGACAGCGTGAGTGTGCCGGTGTACGGCAGCCATGTCGCCTCGCTCAAGACGGCAAAAGACACCGTGAAAGAGCGAGGCCTGTATGCTGGTGTGCACTCTCTTTTGCCAACTGTGTCACTCTGCTGACAGAAGAGCCTTAAGCCATCATAGGTCTTGCCAGTGTTGTGTGTAGATAAGCTGATGTGTTTTTGTTGGAGAAGTCGGTTTGCGTTGAAGATGAAGGAGATATTGAGCAATAAGTTTTACAAGTCTTGCGTAGGTGACGGATGAAATGCCTTTGTTTTGAGGCAGATTTGTCGTTGCAGGTGAAAGAGCTGCGATTTTCCTGGGTCCAGTCCCAGAGGACAAGCTGCCCAAGGATGCCACTCCTGGCCGCCTCCTTGTAGGCACTCTGTCCCTGTCCAAGAAGGACAGTGGCAATGGCGAGGCGCCCGGGAAAGTGTTTCTGAGCTACAGGTAATCCTTTGATCCTCACCTTTCAAAATCTTTAGATAGCGCACACTGCTATAGACCCTGCTCGGGCATGGTTGTCTGGTGCCTCATTTGACCCTTGTGCACGAATCTGCTCCTTAAAAGACTGAGTTCAGCCAGGCACGTCTTTGCATCCATGCGCTTAGATTGGCTTGTCACAGACTGCCCCACCCTTTATGTCAACATGGTGCCTAGTGGTCCAGTGGACTACAGTTGCTCCTAACTATTGCTCCTGACCATGAGATCACCAGAGGTTTCATCATTGTATTTGGTGCCCCTGCAGTGTCCCTCCTAAGAAGGAGAATGGGGCTGGAAAAGATGCCAGCAAGGGGGAAGAGAAAGACAAGGAGAAACCCAAGACGCCCGAGGAGCGTTTGAAGGACGCCGTGCGCGATGCCCAGGTATTCCAACACATCAAATGTTGTCTTGCATTATTGCATGTGCCCTTTCCGCACACCAATGATTTGGCATGCGTGTTTCTTGATTCCCAATTGCTGAGCCTTGCCTTCTGCAAGTGAGGCATCGGGTGTGTCGACAGGTGGGCTTCTTGAAGCAGCTGAAGAGGGAGACGCCAGAAGAGGACGAGGCATATCTTGCGCTCGAGAAAGACCTGCTGCAGCAGCACCCCAAGCACCTGCCCCTTCTGTCTGCACGGCTGGCAAGCACAAACAGCCTCTCTTCTGAGTCGCACCCCAAGAAGCTCGAGGTAAGCTCTTTCTTCCACATGCTGTTGTTTGCAGAAAAAGCGATAACATGCACTGTGCAATTTTTGTTCCAGAATGTGATTGTATATGTACCTGTCCCAAATGGAGCACCATTCAAGCTATTATTCTTCCTGCACCCTTCAGCACAGTATATATGTTCTTTGTGCTGCCAAACCTGAACCATGTCCTGTACGTGATAGCAGAAATGTGTAATGAGTCTTCCGACCTGTCGCTGGATGGTTGCAGTTGATGTGGGGTTGAGTGATGTGTCATCATGAACAGGAGGTTGTGGAAGCTGCCGATGCAGTGATCGCCGCGATAGACGAGACGGCTCTGGCAAAGCTTCTGGCGCGCAAGACACCCGAGGAGGGCCCTGGGGCAGCTGCCAGGAAGAAGGAAGCTGAGGAGCAGAAGGCCGCACTGCTAGATGCCCTGGAGAAAAAGGCCAGCGCTTTGCTGGAGCTGCATCCCACAGCGCCAGAGAAATCCCCGTCAGCTGAAGCGCCGGCAGAGCAGGTCCCATGTTTTCTTGCTCATGCTCTTGCTCTTTCTTGCTTTCAGTACAGCACCAGATGCCTTCTGCTCACATGCATCTCTCAAATCACAGCCTGCCATTCATGCTTATGTCAAATTAGTGCAACATGCCCATTGTGGCTGCATGCAGTGCTGCTCTACAAGCAGCTCTGCATGCATGCATGCATGCTTTTGTCAACCTAGTGCATGCATGTATGCGAGGAGGTCGCCGGGAATGGGCCACTGACAGCTGTGTCACATGCAGGTGCCTGCCAGGGAGGCGGGTCCAGATGCATTTGAGGCGGCTTTCCTAGAGCTGCAGGCGTGGGCGGACACCACAGAGGAGAAGTATGCTCTGCTGCACGCCAAGCGCCTTGCTCGCAAAGGCCGCTACGCTGGCGCCCTCAAGTGCGCTCTGCCTCGAATCCCTCTCTGTTTTTCTCTGCCCATGAGCCGCACCGTGGGGAGAATTTTCCCGCTGTTAATGGATCCATTTTCTCGCTGCATTAAAGAGAAGCTGCCTCACGCGGGGCATGCTCCAGCAGCAAAATTGGAATAAAGAGCTTCTGTGGTAGAATGTGCAGCAGTGTTGGTCATTGTGCATGCCAGAGAGGACTTCAACTGCATGCATACCTTGACGTGTGGTTTCACGCTGGAATGCATGCATGCAGGGCTCTGGAGAAGTCAGCCAGCCCAGAGGACAAGCCAGCAGCTAAGGAGGTGCTGCAGTTCCGCAAAGAGCTGTTTGAGAAGCTGGGCTGGCAACACTGGGCGCTGCAGGAAGACTCCAAGATCAAGGACTGCTTCCCCCCAGCATACCCGCTCTTCTAAACAGACATGCGCCTAGGACTTGATCTGAGCAGTTGCGGAGTGAAGTGGGTGTTTGAAGTGGCAATGGAAACACTGCAGCGTGCTTGTGAGCAGTGTTGTAAGTGCAATAGTGTCATGAGCAAGGGGCGCTCCAGTAAACGGGAGTCTGCAGTTCTACCTGAAGTTGCACAATAGGTATGTAGTATGCGCCCAAATTCTCTACTGCAGCTGGCTTAGGCAAATCTTCTGTGGCAGAGTTTCGGTGAAATGCAGCTCCAATGGCAGCAATGTAAAAGCTGCGAGACAGACACACAAAAGAGAAGAGAATAGGATGGAGTCCCCCCCATTGCCATTGACACGTGGCCGACGTTGGCCAAGATGTCGGCTCAACTACCTCGATCGCCTTCTCATTTACCAATGTGAGATGGGCTGCTCAAGTTGACTGCATCGATGAGGCTCATCGTCATGTCTCTCACAGCAAAGTCTGCAAGTGATGTGTGTGTGTGTGTAAGCTGCGAGACTGTACGGGTCGGCGAGTCCAAGGGATTCCCAATATCCTGAGCCTCCAACCAGCAGCTTGAGTAAGCCTTGAAGGGGGATCCCGAAGTGCCTGCACCATGGTGAAAACGTTCTTTACATCCGTCAAGATTCCCGGCATCACTGCTATGGTAAGGGGCGCTGATGCCTGGACTCAGCGCTGTTGCTGTTTTGACAAGGCCAAGCAGCCTGTCATGCATTGTGAGCCTCGCCAGCCTGGATGGCATCACCTTATTATTATCTGGTTGCTGGTTTCGTTTGGACGAGATCCTGGTCCGATGGAAACAGCTGCTGCAATACCTACGAAGGCAGCTGATTGAAGTTGCCCTGAAGTGCATCGCACTGATTGATCTCAGTGAAAGTGGGATCGTGTATCACTATAATACATGTGAGATTGTAGGAGCACACTCACACGTCAGAAACACGTCAAATCTGAGCACCTCTGAATATCAACTTCAACTTGTGCAGGACTTTCATCTTGTAGGAGGCCTTCCAGAGGTGTACATTGATTTCCAAAAGGACCACAATAAGGATGACAACGCAAGCTGCACAGCCTGGGAGCCAGCTACCTTTGATGCTGCAGCAGATGGGACAAAGCATCGCACAGTGAAGTTTGCTTCGCAGATGAAAGCCCCTGGATGGCTGAAGAAGCTCATTGGTTGGCTTTCCTCCGTTCTGTTTGCAACACAGATTCAAGAACCCTGGGCAATTAGCGAAAGACTCATGTCCTCAGCATGCTTTTATTAGAGTCTCGTGCTTTGGGCTGCTGCAGGAAGCTGCATGATGCCTGCTGAGGCCTTCAGCATGCATGAGTGCACATCACCGGGAGGCCTTCTGGATGCCTTTTCAGATTGTCTTCTGGTCATATTCACTCATGCATGCCTGCTTAAAAATAGGCTGGATCAAGTGTGCTATTGCCGAGTCATTGCTGAATCAGCCTCTGTGCCTGGCAGGAAGGCCAACACTGCCGATCATCGACCACCAGAGCACTGCGTTCAACACTAAGACAGGCAATCTGACCTTCCACTCGGCTCCCATCATCCAAAATGGCCCCAACGGCGAGTTCTCCATTGCAGACATGAACTGGGATATCTTGAACCGCGTTGAAGCAGACGGCACCCCATTTGTCACGGTGAGCCGTAGACCCCTGTTTCCTGATCAGATCTTCGGGCTCAAGGACTTGCCAATAGCACAAACCCTGATGGCTGCATCTCCTCAGACTGCCGGTATCCGCAGCGAGTCCTTGCGGCGTGTGATTGGCCATTGCAAGATGCCATGCACATTGCCTGGAGTTGCATGCAGCAGCAGGATCGCTAGGAGTGCTGCCCTATTATTTTGATGGCACTAAATGCGGGTTCTTGGGTGCAGATTGATGTCACGCTGACAGCAAAGGCGGACTACGCATGGATGTGGGGCCTGCAGACAGCAGTGGAGTCCATCTTCATATCCCAGGCAAAAGATGACATCGCTCAGTACCTGCAGCACAATATGAAAATCTTCCGGGACATGCTTGCTGCTGGCACGGTGAGCCTGTCTGGAATGGTGTTGCTCCATTCATTCATATTTTGTGAGCGAGTTGTGGGTCAATACTGATACCTCATGGCAGTCCGTACAGCCATGCCATCAGTTGCATCAGTATGCATACCGAAGGATCACTATGAAGTAGTTGATTGGCCAAAGGACAGAGTTATCTCAAAAGATGCTTCATTTTCTGTTACACCGCTGCATGGTCACATCAGCGCTGTCCCTGGGTTCTAAGGGAGCGCATGTTGTTGCGCAGGTGCCTTTTCAGAATGGCATCATCACAGATGATCACCTGGGAGAACCTGCCCCAGCAGGGGAAGACACACAACCCCTGCGCCCATTACCCAATGGAAACCATGCAGCCGCTGGCAGAGGCACCACATCCAGGCCCACAGTGCGATCCCGGCTTTTCACCCTGACTTCCCTGTGTCTTGTGATGTATCTGCCCTGCGGTATAGAAGCATTCACACTCAGGTGTGCTGGCTGGAATATCCAATGTGGATAGCAAACTGCCCACTGCTCTTGCTAGCGATGCATATCTAAACTCCCCATGAGATCTGTGCATACTTGAGAGCTTGCTTCAGCAGTAGACGGAGTTCTATTTTGAGTGAGCACTTAGCATGCATGAACTGAGGTAGGAGGTCCTTTCTATCAGTCAAGCGCATGCTTGGTGCCTTTTTACTGTCATCTAGCATGAGTTTTGATTCTCTAGTGTGCTGTCAAACAGAGTAAGGCACCTGGCAAGGGAGCGCTGTACACCAACGACTCAGTCTCTGTGTACTATGATGCCTCTGAGAAGCTCCGCCTGCCTCGCAGTGAGTGCTCAACCTTATCTTCTCTTAGTTGAAGGTTAAAACCCACAGTAGGTACTTGTTCATATCGCCCTTGAGTATTGTGGGGTCATCCGGTGAGATGAAGTTCGATTGCACGCAGCAAAGACTAAGACTGTGACTGACTAACGCTCCCGGCCGGGTTGCTTGTTGCTTGTGCTTGCTTGCTTCGTGTTCTGAGAATGTACATCTGGCAATGCAGGACGCTCAGTGGACAGCCAGCTAGCTGCAGTGCCCAAGCCTTTGCCGAAATTGGAGCTGGAGAAGCAGCAGGGGCAGCAAGTGCTCAGCCCCAGGCGTCCCTCTCCCAAGCCGGCAGCTCCTGGCGTCCTGTCGCTCAGAGGTGCGCAACTAAACAGCAATGCATGATTGCTTGATACCTGTCACTGAGACTATGTCATGTCGAGAGGCCCAGATCATTCACTGCTTGACTGCTCCACTGAGAAGTCCCACAACAGTATGCAACCTCTGTCAGCACATGAGATAAAGCCATCGGCATGCAAGTCAGCTTGCGCAGCTTAGGAGGCAGCTCAGGGGAGTTCAGTTTAATGAGCAGGTAAAGCACCATGCGCAGGTGGAGCCATGCAAGTGAATGGAGGAGCCTTCTCTCCCAGGACGCCAGCCAAGACAGCCTCCATCCTGAAGGGCGCAAAGAGCCCCCGGTCCTCCCAGCGCAACATGGCTGTTCCAGGCCCGAGCACAAAGCCAGCTGCTGTCGTGCCAAAGGCTGCACCTGTGCCCTCTGGCAGCCAGACGGAGCGGCGCTATGACCAGGTAGGCACTTCTCTCGAAGTTTTAATCCCCTGGTTACTCTAATGGGTGCGAAATGTGTTCTAACATGCTGCATCAGCCAACTGACAGCTACTGGTATTCTGGGTCTCCTTTCACAGATCAGCACGCTGTGTTTCTTTAGCATTTGTGGATATCTTCGTGACTAAGCACTGGGTGAGCACTGATCTAGCACTGATCTAGGATGAGATAATTCTGGTAGTGTACCTGTTAAGTCACTTTTCAGTCAGCACTGGGAAAGCACCGAGTCAGTACAGCGGGGCCACGTTCAAACCGGGGGTGTTGTTCTGTCCGGCCGTGCAGCGCGATTCGGTGCGGAGGATGTGCCAGGAGTGGGCGGATGAGAGCGTGCCCCTGCAGCAGCCGAAGACGGCCCGAGCGCGCGTCAACACCCGCCGAGCGGCCGATGCTGCGGCCGATCCGCTGACGCCGCGCAGTCGCGAGCGCGAGCGCATCCGCATTACCACCCCTGCCACCCCCCAGCCAGGGGTAACTAAAGACTCATCCCTGCCCAAGCAGGCACCCTGGCCGGCGGTGGCCGATGGTCCCCCCGCTGCCAAGGAGGCCCCCACCAAACCTGCTGCGCCGGCTGCAGAGGATCCTGTGCCAACTTCCGGGTGCGCAATATAAATATAATTGTTATTATTATTACACGCATTTCCTACCAAAAGGCAAGGTACATCTGTGCTCAGAAAACGCTGGATGTCTGCTGCTTTGTGCACATGCACTCTCTTGTATGTGAGACTGCAGTGCAAAAGGTGCACAGGCATCCACAAATCGCAAAGCTATATTGTGCACAGCTTTACTGCAGCTTGTCTGCAGAGGGAGGGCACATGATGTGCGGTAATCAGCTTGCTGCTCACGTGCAGGCCTCCGGAGCAGCTTCCGCCCACGATTGACCAGGAGGGGAAGTACTACATCTTCATGCCTTCCAGCCAGGAGCGCTTCCACACCCCGGCAAACAGCATCCTGCCCGTCAGCCGCCAAGAGTGAGCTTTTATGCTGTTCTCCATCAGCACTCTGCCTCGGGGAATATTTCATTTATCACTTCCCAGGACGCAGGCACCCACAACTTCTTCTGAGCTAGTGCATCTTGGACATGCCGCTTGCGCCGTGACCCTTTGGTTGTTTGGTTGCGCTGGTTCTGCATGATTAGGATGTAAGGCTCGTCACTGCCAGCACAGCCTTTACATCTTGTCTTGCAGACCCTGCGCTGCCAAAGAATGGGAATATTTTACACATGCATGCTATGGTGCTGGCAGGTGCTGGCAGAAGAGGTAGACCTGTCAAGTCCTGGAATGATTATGTCAGACATGACCTGGCTTCTCTTGGTTTATCTCTGACCTGGTGGAGGAGAGCTCAAGATAGAGAAGGTTGGAAGGCCGTCATAGAAACGCTGCTGCGACGCACCTGATCCTCATGGATTGGAAAGGCGTGTAATAACAATAATGCTATGCATGCTGTAATAGGGTGCCCCGTCTAGAGGTCCTTGTTACTAATAACCAAGGAAATACAAATCTAGCATGTCAGGATGGCAAGCCCTGCGAAGAGAAGCAGCTGCATATGAACCTACTGCAATGCACCAACTATGCTTCTGTGGTGTCATGGTGTCCTCAGGGAGGAAATGCAGTTTCCAGTCACTCCTGCGCCAAAGGCCGCCGCCGCCGCACCCATGGCCATCAGGAGGGCCCCAAATCAGTCCCCGTCCCCCGCGCAGAGGGCAGCTGGGCGGCCCCTGACTCGCCAGTCAGCCGCAGGTCCCATGCGGCGCAACAGCGACCTCCTTGCACAGGCCTCGGGCGACCCAGGCCCCGGCATGGCGGCCGTAGGTGACTTTCAGACCCTGACAACACTATTCTGTGCGCTATCAGTATGGGATACCTTTCTAGCCCGTCACTTGCACTCAATGGCCATCAGGTTTGCATGCAAGATAGATGCAAGATCAACAGATCAGGCACTTGTGAACGTCCCTTTTTTTGTTCAAGTTATGTTCACGAGTGGAAACGAGAGAGATGCCAACTTTCAAAGCAGCGAGGAGAAACGGCTGGCGTGCGGTGTATTTGCAATGCTAGTGACGCACAAGATGACAGCGTTGTCGTTTCTGTGAAGTGGAAATTTTCTATACATTGCCCCAGATTTGAGAGGGCGATGTGCTGTTGGCAGAGCTGCTGACGCCTCAGAAGTCTGTGTCTGCACCCACAACGCCGAGATCCAGGGCGCTGAGCCCCAGGCAGCGCGCAAGCAGCCAGAGGTGGGCGGATGATACCCACGACTACAAGCCTCAGGTAAAGAACATACACAATTTCACCACCAGCATTTTATAATTCAGGTGTTGCTTGGCGTACCTAGTCCTTGAGGACTGGAAAACGTGTAGCAATAAAATTAATTTTATCTGCCCCTCTGCCATTGTGAGTGCGAGCATGCCCAGAGCCCAGTGTGTGCCTGTGGTGCTGTCACCCTCTCCAGCAAGCCTTCTGCAATGTCTCAAACACTTTTGCACAGAAACACCTTGCAGTAGTCCATGTAGGTGGTGTGCAATACGGGTGACGGTACAGTATTGTAATTATTACACGCTTTTCGTGTCATTTGGCAAAGTGCGTCTGCAGACAAGCTGCAGACAAAAGCTGCCACAATCCTAATCCTTGTTGGACTCGCCACATCCAAGCAAGATCCGATCAATCGTGGGCACGGTGCTCAGTATTTATACCGCCCCCCCCCCCCGCAAGCCGGGGTACAGTGGATTGGCCCGTACAAGGATGTGCACGAGATTCCAGGTAGAAAAGGGACAGCATATGAGCTGGGTTTTCTAAATGGGGGAGTAGTCTTAAACAGATTACAGATTTAACAGATTACTATTTGTTACTAAGTGGTTGGGGGGCCTGCCCCCCACACTCAGTAAATGCTGGGCTCCGGGGTAGCCAATTGCCACTTATGATTCGGGTCCGGTTGCTACGGATCAAAGACTATAACTCCGTGAGTGATTGCGGCTGCAGAAGAAGCAGCCGGCGCAGCTGTCGCGGCTGGGCTCGGGTGTGCGCTTCGAGCCGGGCGCCGCTGTGAGGTGCGGCGACGCGCGCTGGCCGGGGCACATCGTGGTAGTGACAAAGGGTGACAAGCCCACCAGCCCCAGGACCTCATTCCCCTCCGCCAAGAGGTACAGGCCAACCGCTGATAGAATCTTCTCAATTTAATCTGTTGAGGGATTACATCCTGGTGAAGGAACAATTGGACCCCGGATGCGCAGAAGTCTATTGAGTAGGCTCTGACGCATGTGAAGCATGTAGTATTTGATGCCGCGGCCATAGATGTCTCCTTGCGTTGGTTGTGGAGGCTCATGCTTTTGATCAGCGTGCAAGACAGCTGCATGAAAGCGATGTCGTCTGTTGGCGAAGGAAAGTACAGAACAGGGAGCTGATGAGGGGAGGTATCTCATTGTGCAGGGTGGCTCCCATGCACGGGCAGGAGGCCCGTAACGGGCAGACCCCGCGGTCAGCACTGAAGACCAATTCCAAGAAGATGGGAGCAAACGGTGCACAGGTCAGGTTTCCACGCAAGTTTCCTTTTTGGCGTGGATGAACAGGGCACTTTCTTCAGATATTTGCGCATTGAGTTCACTAGGTGCACGTTGTGCAGCCTGTAAGGAACAAGTGGCTTTGTGGGTGCAGGGAATCAATGGAAAATCTTTGGAGCAAGGAGGAGTTGCTGCAGGGCATCTGCCGACTCCCAAGAAGACTTATATCAGCGATGGTGAAGTGAGAGCAGAAACTGGCGCAAAGAAGCAGAAGGCGAGCTGGTTTGCCAAGTTGTTCTGTGGCAGCAGCTCTGCAGCAAAGTAATTAGCAGATTGAGGAATTCAACTGCAAGTTAGCCTGAGGGGACATCATTTTGCAGCACAGTAATGAGCTCAGGAAGTGAAATGAATCCTGCCCAGAGTAACAGCGACTGGCCTTCGAGTGCGTAATTTCCATCAATTCTCAGAGCTGCTCAGACTCTCGCAAGGTGCATGATGCATTGTCTCAGCTTATTGCAGCGATGGCACGAGCCTGCAAATGCAGCTCTGCCATTGAATCATCCACTGCAGCGTCGAAATATCTGCTAAGCGAGTATGGCTTGGGTTTTAGAAGTGTGTCGGTGTTACAGAAGCATCCAGGTGGCGATTTTGCCTAGGAATGAACATGTTAGAAATGCATGTGCTCCCCAATCCCCAGTGCCATCAGCTTTCTTGTCGTATGCGTGTGCAGTGTATAGCTGTGGACAATCCTGGTTCTGTTTCAAATACCCACGGTGAAACAGAAGCTTGCACTTCCTACGCTCTGATCACGGTTCCCAGGGGCACACGAGTTTCAGCACAAACAGTGTCACATGTACATCACTCTCAATGATAAGAATTGTACCAGCCAAGCAGTCCAATGCATCATGTGTAGATCCATTTCAGCTTGGTTGAGATGAGGAAAATCTGTCCTTCTGTACCTCATTACAACATTGAGCCGCGTAGGTGCATGCAACGCGGTAGTTGCTAAAGCAGGTGGTGAGTCCAAAGCCGCCTGCACTTTCATATCTGTGCTCCAACTTCAAGCATCAAGATGACCGTCTTGGCAGACGTAAGAGGCGGCAGGTGTAAGCCAAGGCCAACAGCGTAAAGATCAGCTGTCCTTGACGCGTTGTAAATATCGGGCCGTGACGGTCCTTTAAAGACAGAAGCAGCGATGGTGAGGCGTAAGGAATTGCCAGCCATTTATATGCCATGGAGCGTCCCGGTGAGCGCCAACTTCCAAGCTGCAGGGGCCACCTTTTATTCTTGAGTGGTAGCACGTTCAGTGGGAGCCTCTAATATTTACGAATAATTCGCTGCGATCAAGGCTTTCACAACTGCAGATAATTTCTGCGTGAAGGTTTTGGTAAATTCGTGCTAGCTATATTGCATTTTGGGAAGTCCAATGAGCCTGTCACCTTATGCCGTCCTGGCCTCAAACGCAGCCGATCTCCTCACCAACACCAAACGTCGGCTCTCCTTGAAGGAAATAGCATTGCAGAATGCAGATGCGAAGGCAGGCAAGTGAGCTGGGTGCAGACAACGCCAAAGTGTGACTGGCACAAATTTGTCTCACAAAGCCTTCCGTGTGTTGTGCAGCAAATCTACTCGGTGCTGGCAGACTCAGACTACCTGGCAAAATTCCACAAGGACTCGCATGGCAGCTCCAGGGTTGAGATGGAGCCATGGGACCCTCCAGGCTCAGAATTTGGGTTTGTGAGGAAGCGGAGATGCCTGTACACTGCGCCACTCCAGGGCCCTTCCTGGTTCAAGACAATGCTTGGTGAGGAGCGCAAGCCAAGTACTGACTTGCCTGTGGGGTCTTCATTTCTTATTCTACACCTGCATGTTTTAGCTTAGGTCTCTGGTGGTGCAGTGACCACCACTGTGTTTATAGCAAACCTTGCAAGGATTGAACGGATGAAGTGTGTGGCTACAGGTGGTCCCAAGCTAGTGGACATGATGGACATCCATGAGATGATGTATGACCCAGAGAGCGGCTGCATGCTGGTGCAAGTGGACAGCTACATGCTGCTGGAAGATGGCGCTGCCACCATGCGCATGCGGCATGTGCAGTGGCTCTACAGACCTGTTGTGGCTGAGGACTTGACAGGCTGCGAGGTGAGATCCTTTGATGCTAGCTTCCTCATGCAGGCATGCATGGATGAAGGTTCGCATGCTCATGGGTTCTTCATCATGTTACAGGGATACAGCCTGCAGCCTCTGTCATGCATGCCTGCACTAAAGGCAATTTCATTTTAGCAAACCTCAATGCATGCATTGCAGCATGCATGCCGTTGCTGCCTGACCAGGAGGTCATCAGGAGTCCTCGATATACATCACAAATCTGTGCTTGCAGGTGAAGACAACACTGACAACCTGTGCAGCGAGCTTCAGGAACGCACAGCTGCAGGATCTGCCACAGCAGGTGGAGAATGCCCTGGCCAGCATAGCCGCAGAAGAGGCCACAATCCTCAACGACTTTGCCCTGTGCTACATCGGCGCGCTTGAAGATGCTGGAAAGGTGTGAAAATTGCCTCACCTGCCTTGCTACAGATAACATGCACTTGCATGAATTGCCATGCATGCATGCTATGTGCCTGTTGGCAGTCAGCTCTCGTCATGTGTCCATGTGAAATGGCCACATTTGTTAGACATAGACTTATCCTAGGGAAGACATCCCTGCATGCTAACATCTGAGTTTTATACCTGTCCAGCTGACGACACCTGTGCAAGCCCTGTCTGGAGTGATGGACGGCAGCAATGGGCGGCCATCCAATGAGGGCCCCAAGACTCCTGGCAAGCTGGCGGACATGCCTTTCAACCTCGTCTCGGGTGCACTGATCTATCAGGACCCAGATGTCTCCCAGCACATGGAGTTCCCTGCAGGTACTGGTCCCGTTGCCAGATGCAACCCTTGCGGTAGTGTTTGATGGTAATGCATGTGCACAGCAAATGGCACGATGCAAATTGCATCTCCTGTAGTACATAGCACGCATCTGATGGCAGGCAGATTGACAGCGCACCGCCATATTGCTATCAGCAACTTACTGACAGACTCGTCCTTCACTTCGCAGGTCACCAGCATGGCAGCAAGCTGTCCTCCACAGAGGGCAGCGATCAGTCAACGCCGCTCTACCAGCGAGTGCACGCCGGTGTGCAGCAGCCTGACATGAGGAGCGCACCGCTGCCGGCAGAGCGGCTCTCCTTGACAGACTCCGTCCTGGAAGGCATCCCTGCAGGGGGCAAGGAGGTGGATAGCCTGCTGGGCACTCGGCTCAACTCCCTGGACCTGGCCACAGAGGGCCACGCCCTGCGCATCAAAACCTGGCGCTCCCATGCGCACCACTCCGGCATGTCCATGCGGCCCCTGTACAGCCAGCGCAGCTCTGGAAACTCCGAACAGGTCCACCCAGCTTCTGCAAGCCACCCCAGGACAAAGAAGCCGCCGCCGGCAGAGACTGCCAACGGCAGCATCACTGCCGAGGAGAGGGCGCTGCTGGAACGGATGACCAACAAGCTGCATGACAAGGGAGACAATCTGCAGTACAGGCAGCCCGGCAAGCTGAGCCCCAAGGAGCTCAGGCTGGTGGAAGAGATTCTGGATGCCAGCATGGAGGCTGATGACCTCGAAGCCGAGATGGAGGCAGCGGCTGGCAGGGAGGCACACTTCCCCAGCAGCTACTATGGGGGCGAGCACCACGGCGGCGACGCACACACAGAGGCCGCATACAAGCCGCGCGGCGCCGCTTCAGGGGAGTGGGCCAGGGAGTCCCAGCTGGAGACCATGGACAGCTTCTCTGAGTACAGTGTCAGCACCGTGGAATCAGCCAGCACCTGCGCCGCGCTCAGCCCCTCTACCATCAAGATCAGCCTGACGCCGCGCGGCGGACGCTCTCTGGAGATTGTGCGCGCGGCAAATGCTGAGCAGGGCTCCGTCCTCCAGGGCACCAGCCTCCGCAGCCAGAGATCCATCCACAGCACAGGTGAAAACATGGTGCACACTGCGCACTGGAATGAGCAGGGCAGGTCTGGATCCATCAGTGAGCAGCAGCCATTCTCGCCCATTCGCTGGACGGCCCTCAGTTCTGTCATGGAGGACGGCACAGTGACTGTGCAACAGCAGCGCACTGGGGCATTCAGCCCCCGCTCCAACTTCAGCTGGCAGCCGCTGAGCGAGTTGGGCAGGGGAGATGACGAGGAGCTGTTCCCTGAGAACCTGATGCTGACGGAGCAGTCGGACCTGGGCCTGCTCAGGAACCGGCTTGCACAGGTGAGCATGCCCTATCTGACGGAGTATATTTATCTCTGCTTCAACTGTGTGTTCATGCAGTATGAAGCATGCATCTTGCATCAATGATTATGACATATGCAATCTGAATTGATAGCAGTCTAACCCAATTTTCAGTGGCGATTCGATGCCAGATTTTCAGATGTTTCAGGTTCATGTACCCCTGTTCACGTCCACTTTGCTTATTCAGGTGCTGCCCAAGGAGAATCTGAGCCAAGGGCTTGGCTCGAGGCAGCATCAAGAGCACCTCAACATCGGCGGCGGAGAAGCTCCGGTGCGGAGGGGCACACCGGAGCAGCAGACGCAGCAGCAGGTGGACAGCTTCACCATTGGGGTGCATGCAGCGATGCACAACCCCTCTGCTGCAGGGCTGCGCAGCGGCGAAGATGAGGATCTGGAGTCAATGGACACCAGCAGGTGCGCAGACTGCAGTTTTAGTCTTGGATTTTGTCGACTTTTCAATTACAGGATAATTGTAACGCAGCAAAGCGGAATTAGGTGACTTTCATAAGGCAAGCAATTTTGATTGCTTGTTGGCAGTGTGATGTCTTGGAAATGTCAAGGATCCTGCACTTGGCAACTTAACTTTTTGTTTGTCTGCTCCGCAGTGAGTACTCCTGCAAGCCACAGAATGAGAGGTTTCAGGGTGCAGCTGGACCCATCTCCACCACCACAATAGTGGAGACCATGTTCTTTGATGCTGAAGAGGACTTCGAGAACGATGGTATGGGCAGCACCCTCTCCATTCAACAACATCTCATTGCAGCAAGATCTAAAGCAATCTTGGGCTCAATTAGCAATTGGCAGCGGCTCTCAGCATCAAGCCAATTCTCATGTTCTGTGCAGGCGCCACGCTGGATGCCAAGCTCCTGAAGACTCTGGAGGATGCCGAGAAGCATGACATGCATGTCCCAGATGCAGGCGTGCTGCACACCTCCAGCAGCATCCATCTGCCTCACACGGTACGAGACGCTATGTACTGCAAATTTGCTCATGTAAAGTTGTGCTTGACATTTGAAAATCGAACAGCAGATGGGTACAGGGGAAAGTGAAGCGCAATAATGTAAAGGATTGTGACACCCACTAATTGCAGACATGGTATCCCTGCATTAACGTTCAGTAGGAATATTCACCCAGCACTTGCCAAATTTGGCGCCCCTGCATGCATGCAGGATTCCACAGACATTGCCGCGGCGATGGCCACAGTCATGAGCGTGGCAATCGAGACCGTCAACGCGGTGGCAGAGACGGCCATGAACACAGTCAACCGCATCACCAAGGTCTCCCTGGAGCAGCTGCAGTCAGCCAACGGCCTGACCAGCCACAGCAGCGTCCCTGTGCCCTTCAGCCGCACACACCAGAGCCCCTGGGACGAGAGTGTCCCCCTGTCCAGGCAGCGCAGCCTTGCCACCTCAGCAAACGCGCGTAGCTTCCGAGCGACTCCTGCAGCCGGCCAGCTGGCGGCCTTCCAGCAGCGACCGGCGGCCGGCAAGCAGCCCAGACAGCAGGAGGCGCTCCCGGGCAAGGGAGTGTATCTTCGAGACATCCCTGTGTCGTCGCTGTCGCTGTCAGTTGAGGGGCAGCAGCACGGCGGCTTCAGCATCAAGGGGGAGCTGCAGAACCTCCGCCAGGCCGGCCTCGGCCGCAGTGGCGCCGGCAGCGCCCCGGCATTCCTCAGGGGTAAGCCCCAAGTTCCTGAACGATATGTTACAGAGCAGATTGATTGGCTGTCAGCTGGCTGCTTCGTCAAGGTAGGATCCTGCTCTGATTTCTGTAGATTGCCAAGTCCTCGAAACCACTACCAGAAAGCATGGTCCACTATTGGGCAACGCACATAAGCACTCATATCGGAATCCTTTGGGGCCCGGGAGGACAAGATACAATGCGATTAATTGTGCTGCATCATCACAGGTCCCCATGGTGGACCCCTCAGTTATGGGGCGGACATCGCGCACCCGCATGTGGCGCTGGCCAATGGAGAGGCGCGGCGGCGCATGCTGGCACCGCCGGTGCAGCAGGATCAGGGGCCTTTCAGGGCTGGCGCACTGGCAGATGCGCACAAGTCTGCGCCCCCTTTTGCAGGCACGCCTCTCCTGCACACCTCGAGGACAAAAATTTTGAGCGACAGAAATATGAATATGGTACCCCTTGCTCAGGAAGGGCTCCAAGATGCATAAAGCCAGAACGTGTTTGTGTCACATGAGATGTAGATTCTGCTTGGTTCCGCTTGCACAACATCCTTTCTATTAGTCGTGAGGTCCTCCATGTATTGGAGTGGTGCGCAAGCTGAGGCAATGCGGTGGCATTTTGCAAGGCTTTTGAAGTTGGCATGGTACAACCCTGGAGCTGTCACAAAGGGATCAAGGAACAAAGCTGGCAACGTCCTGACAGGGGTCTTTGCACAGCAACTGTTCAGCGTTTCTGATTGAATTCCTGCAGCCACCATCATCATAGAAACTCCCACAGGCAAGACTGCAGACAAAATACAGGAAAAGGCTACCAAAAATATCCTAGGCCTTCAAGGATCCGCCAGATCCAGGCAAGACCCATCCAACCGTGGGCGTAGTCCATATATATACTGGTAGTCTAATTTGAGGGGTGGCATTTTTGTGGAAATGCAGGGCGCCCGAGGGTGAAGGTGCCTCCTCTGTGGACTGGCTCGTCGCCATTTGAGGGCCGCATCGACGACACGATGAACAGCGAGGCCTTCAGCGAAGCGCAGGAGGGAATGCAGTGGGTCAACGGCAAAGGGTGGGTCGAGGCGGAGCAGACCTTCCTCCAGAGCTTCAACTCGGCACCGCCCCTGCTGCGCCGCAGCGGCTCCCGGCCCAGCACCGCGCCTGAGCTGGTGCCTGCAGGTGATCCAGAACTTCTCAGTCAGTCTCACATTGCTGCAGCTGATATTCGTGGGACTGAAGTGCAATGTGCAAGTGGGATTTTGCCTTTCATTTCAAAATTTTATTTCACGCGTCCTCCAAGAGGGATTTCGCTTTTTAAGTTTTGACTTGGAGCTGAAGTATTTGTGATTGATGTTGCAGGCGTGCGCCCCAGCCCTGTACCAGAGAACCGCGTCATTATCACAACAGCATCCATGCAGGTGAGCACAGAGTCATGCTTCTGGTATTTTCACCACGTCAAAATGCATCATCATGATGGCCACTGAGTGCAGGTGTATGTGCTGTTGTACCAACACATGCACCTGAACCAAGTCGTCCAACATGCTGATGCATCTTCCTGCCCGCACTTGATGAGGAACTCCTTCATCTCTGTGTGCTCGTCATGGCTGCGAATGGAGATATTAAACACACAGATCTCTTCTCGCCAGACCACCTATCCTTCTTGCTTCACCCCTTGATGGCGGAGTGCCCTGCAGCAGGTGGCTGCCACGGCAGGGCTGGAGGACACCGGTGTGGTGCAGCGCGCCACTCGCGAGCACCTGCTGGCAGAGCGCCGCCGGCGTGCCGTCCGGCTGGCCGCGCAAGGGGGCCCCCCGGTCTCCACCGACATGCCACCGCCGCCTCGGGACCTCCCGCCCCGCCACCTGCCCACCACCGCCACGCGCGCGGACGCCGCCAGGCGCCGCTCCTCCAAGGGTGCGTACAAACTAATAAAAAAATTCAGTCTATTCAGCTTCTTTAAGAATGGAGGCTCGGACAATTTTCTACTCCGTTCATGCAAGGTGTGCCGCTCTCCCAAGCAATCTGCTTAATTGGTTTTTCAGACAGGCCGCAACTGTAGTCTAAAGGTATAGGAGTACTAGTAGTTAGTGGCGCTGGCTGTGGCGTGGGGTTGTGCCTGGGACAGATGAGGTCCAAGGGAAAGATTGACATGCAGAGATGAAGCTTACGCGCAGTCTTAAACATCTCATCATATTGGGAAGTGGTTGTAGACAGGAAAGGAGCTGATTCGCACTGTCTGCAATGCGTGCAGGTGGCCTCTGCGGCAAGCTGGCGAACTTCCTGCACGGGTGCAGGTCTGGAAAGGCTGCTCGCACCACCAGCTACACTGAGCACAAAGTGCCTATGACCTCACAGCAGGCTTCCTGAATAAGCAGTGCAGAGCCATCCCATTTGAGTCCTGATCGATTGGGGCAGACAAAGTATGTCCGTGCAGCAAAGTCTGTCGGGCCTGGTAAATGCAGGGTGAATGAACAGAGGGAAAGCTTCCCAGACTAACAAACTCTGGAGCTTGATCCCTCTTTTCACTTTCATTGAGTGTGCCTCTTGAGGCTACTGGCAGAGTTAATGGTTAGTGACTGAAAAAAACCAAAAAAAAAGTCGGATCTGCTGAGGAGCAAGCTGTCCATGACGATTGCATGACCTTGGTAGCCGTTCAGCGATCATTCTCTTTTGCCTTCTCTTTTTAGATGCACACACCTGGATACTTATGCAACAGGTATTCGGATTAGGGCAACCGGGGTATTGGGCCAATAACCAAGCAAGAAGGACATGTAACCTTGAGTGATCTGTAATGAGTGCTCTTTCATATCAGGATGCCTGATGTTTAGGAAGTGAGGATCAATTCCACTATGTAGTAATCCAATGTACAGTGCATGCAGTTCTTTGTTTTGTCCTGATGCAAGCCAGGTACATAGGACTGGGTCACTTCAGCCAAAATATGCTTTCTTGCATCGACTAGGCTAGGAGAGTGCTTGCAACTGCCTACCTTTAGATTTCATACAGGGCTGCATGGAAGTCATGCACTTTTCTTTTGGTCATGTCATGCAGGGAATTCTTCTTTCAATGCTGGAAAACTTGAATGAAAGGAATAGCATCATGCCAGGCAGCACCCTTACACAGGTGTACGCATAATTATGTAATGAAAATGAAACTAAATCTTAGTCACTGAACAATGGCAAGCGTACGCATGATCTCTTATGCGCGTCAGAATCCCTTGTTACCCTAAAATCAAAACCCGTTTTCAACCGCTTGTGCAGCAGACAATAATAATCACACTCCCAAGACCACACCAAAGCCAGCAAGCGCTCAAATGTTAAGACTGGACAAAAATCAATCCTGCCAGAGCCAGTCACCCGGTTTGATTAATCGAGACAGCAAAGCTTCACTACACTGATATTTCTTTCAGCAAACAGTACTCGATCGCAACCATTCAATAAAATGACTGAGGCATGCAGGACAGATTGGCACTACGCATCATCTGCATCTACCAGAGTTCTTGCCCTTGTATTTCAGGGCACCTGTGGAGCTGATTAAGAATACTCGCCACATAACTTTGTCATATAAGCTGCGCATGGGCTTACTTCATAACATTCGATATCTTCATGCTGCCAGCCCTTCTGGCCTGCAGATGTGCAACCAAACCCAACAAACCTCATTACACACTGTGTACCTTGACAGGGTAAATACACACTAATACTGTGCAGCACCCGCATGGACAATTTTACTGCTGCAAAGCTAGTTTCGTCACAAACTGGGCCACAAATTCCTGGTCAAACAGGCATGAATAGCATCTCGCTCAGGTTTTGCCTTGATTACCCCCAGCAGGGGAGTTCCCAATACCCTTTGCTAAGGAGAGGTGTTCAGAGTATGACTCTGACTCTAAACACCTGCAGAGGCGCACTTCTGAAGCCAGGAGCTGTGACACAATTGAGCACAGACTCTGGCAAGAGGTCATCTCCTTTCATGCGCACAGGAACCTCAGGGAGTCTCAGAAGGCAACTCAATGCCTGTTTTCATGTCTCTCTTCTGTACATAACCCCAACGTAGAACAGTGAAGTTTCAATGCTGCCCAGGCACACGCTGCAAGCAGTGTGCGCCCAGGGACTTGACCGCGAACGTCAAAAGGGTGCTCAGAGTTCTGGGACGGAGACTGCAGCAAGTATGCATCTCACCAAAGTCCCAATCACAAGGATCAGCCAGAAATAGTCACGCAGCAGCACGAATAAAGAATCTTTGGCAAAAAAATTGAAAAACAGAGAGCAGTACTTGGTAATATGTGGCAGGCTTTCGCTGTGTGTCTGATAACATTCTTCTGATAATTGCCTCACCACGGCAGCGTCATGACAGCAGACTTCGCCGGGTGCAATTGCGCGGGTCAACTGGTCACACCACTGCGCCTGAAAGATCAGCACAATTCAATGAAGCTCAATGCTCCATCTGAGTTTTAATCTTGACAACGGTTCCTAAGTGGCAATTGGCGGGCCATGGTGGTGGGGAAGCTTCGTCAAGTCTGCCTGACACGCTTGAGGATTGGACGGGGCTGAGCAGGGGTGGGGGAGGGTGGGGCCATCGGTTGATCTGGAATCACGGTTGGCTCCGCATCGATGAGGTCAGGGGCGGGATCAAGAAGCTCGGCTGCCCAGCTGTTCAGTCTGCGTACATCCTCCACCTCTGCTTTCAGATGCTTGTTCTCCTGCAGCAGCTGCACAGCCGCAACGCAAGTGAGCGGGTGAAGATATGATGTGCCAAGCTTTAAACGTTTCCAGATTTGCCAAGGCTGAGATTTGGTAGCCCTACTTGACACCTAAGACTTGCAGCTCACCTCACAGGCATTGCCTCACGTAAAGTCCCTTGACCGGCTCAAGACTGAGCTTTAAAGCGTCGAAGTGCCACTGTGGGAGACAGGATGGCATATTCACGAGATAAGAACCTGCCGCAACGACAGAGAAGATCATCCTTCACTTTGCATGCCCCACGTACTTGTTTCAAGGACGCGCGCAAGTCGGCCAAGGCGACGTCATCCTCCACGATCTCCCCACTTTCTGGTAGCGCATTTCCTGTTGCCGGCATCCGATCCTGGAAGCCTGGAAGAATGCGAAAAAACTTGCAACGTAAACGATTAGCGACCTTCTAATGCGTTCGGAATTGCCACATCCCCCAGAGATACACAACCCACGGCCTCGTGCAGGAGACTTGATTTGCAAGAGCAGTAATTTCACCAAATATAGTCATAGATCTGAGCACGGGACCAGCGTGTGCTTTTGGCGGGATCGCTCATGCTGGGCGTTCCTCCAGTAGAATATCAATTGCTGTCTGTTCCACTGATCCCGGGATCATCAATTTAGCACAATACCACAGTAACCACCGCTGAAGATTATTGATACAAGTTCTCGAGAGGAGCCTTGCCTGGATGGTTGTCGGCAACTGATGGAGTCCTGCGCTCAGACATGTTGGCGGTCCTGCCGAGCGTGTCGGTGTCTTCTCGGACAATTGTGCACGTCCGATATATAGGATAGACAATAGACGATGAGTGTGAGTCGAAGAGTTTGATCCCACACTTGGGTGACTGATCCTCCATAGACTTCCAGTCAGCAGGCACGTAATCCCTCGTGCTCGCACCTGCCTAGAAATGGAGAAGAGAGAGTCCTTGCGCCCATTCAGTGCTTGAAAACAGGAGCAAAGTTCCAGGGAAGAATACCAGCCGTGTTGCCTGGTTCCCAAGCACGCGTACCACACTCGATTCTTTTGTGAGCAAAGGATGCTGCAACAGTGGCTCAGTGTCTCCGATGCGATCCATGATCTGACCCTCTAAAGTCAGTGTTCATGCAGATCAATGATGATGTCATCAGGTTTTTTGGCGTCGGCCGCGTCTTCAAGGTGGGAGGGCCTTAGAATTTTGCTTCGTTAACCACAGCGTCTTTGATTCCAGGACAAGATGGAGCCACAGCCAACGATACCGATAAAGCTGTGCATTGTTTGTATGCCGTAGGACAACTCAGCGCGCATCAATTCCCTAGACTTTCACAGAAGTGAAGACCTCCTGGTCACTGCTGGCGAGGACGATTCCATTAGAACATACAACACCCAGTCGGGTACTTCGAGCAAAGTCCTTTTCAGCAAGAAATATGGAGTTTCCCATATTTGCTTCACGCATGACCCACAATCGGTCATCTACGCCTCCACCAAGGTGAGTTGTGACGTGTATCTCTGTGCTTGCTAGCATATTATTGCTGTGCTTGCATTCCATTGGATGGCCTGCCAAGCGTTTAAGTTTTGCTTGCAGGGCTCAGACCATAAGATACGGTATCAGACAATGCACGACAACAAGTACATCCGCTATTTCAGCGGCCACACAGAGAGGGTCACTGGGCTGTGCCTGTCCCCAAAGAATGACATGTTCCTGTCAGCATCGCTGGTGGGCACCCTCTGGCAAACCAGGCTGCTGGGACACTGCAAGTTTCTAGGGCTGCATGAGCCCTCCCGCTCTCAACACCTGCACCATGCGTACTGTTAGACTGACATGTCTCAACTCACTGGGATGCCCAAATGATGCCAGTATGGATGTGGTCCTGGCAGGATCGCAAGGTGAGGATATGGGATTTGAGGGTGAACAAGAGCGAGGGTGTGATGGACGCTCCTTCCCAGTCCTGTGTCGCCTTTGACCAGCAGGTGCAAATGCTCCAGTCTACCAGACACTGCACCAAGACTCTTTGCCCCCATGTGTCTTTGCAGAGCAGCCTTGCAGAGCACTTGCCTGGCATGGTGGGGAAACTCGACAAGCAGGGAGATGTGCGCAGCGCAGACTGGGCGGGTGGTGAAGATGTGACTGTTGTTTGGGTCCAGGGATTGGTGTTGTGCGTTGGGGGCGACCGGGGCCTCATGAGGCTGTACGACCCCAAAGGCTATGAGCACGGTCCGTTCAGCACGTTCACGGTAAGGCCAGTTCCTTCATATTTTCTGTTGTATTCTGCAGGAGTTGCAATGTCAAAGTGCAATCACCTTGAGTAGCATCACACAACACAGTCAATTACCAGATTAAATTCTGCTCATGCTTGACTCCCCACCACTCCCACCTCATTGTGGGAGATCTGTTCCTGCTGAGGTGCAGATGGGTGCAGGCATGGTCTGATTGAATGTAGAGGGGCAGAATAATGACCGAAGAATCTGGCCCGTGCATGTGTGGCGGCCGCGCAGATTCCCTCTGAGACCCAGTGCCTGGAGTCCATTTTGAGCATCAAGTTCAGCGCGGATGGGAAGCTGCTGGCGGCTGTGATGGATGGGCGCATCCATTTGTTAGATGCATTCAATGGGAACCTGCTGCAGACCTTCTACACTGGCTCTGCCAAGGGCGGCCCTGCCTTGGAGGCGACCTTCTCCCCAGACAGCAAATACCTGCTCTCAGGTGCGGGTGCTGTGAGACCTCATTGGCCTAGTCTCCAAAGTCTGAAGGCTGTGTGCCTGGCTTAACGTCCACGAATGTGTGGCAACAGCAGTGTGGCTGGTCTTACACGAAAGCAGGGTGCAAGAAAGTGTGAGTGTTGTGAGCAAGCGAGGATGTACGGTGTACACCTCTTCATTCGAGTAGATGCATGCAAGTGTGGGTGCTTCAGTGGCAAAGATATGAGCAGGAGTGGAAGTACAGGTATGATCAGAGGCATGACAAGGTGTGTGATGGTCTGACGGCACAGGATGCGAGGACAGGAGCATCGCGGCATGGAATGTGAAGACGATGCAGGAGGTGGCGCGGTGGGGCGGCCACACAGGGCTGCCGACAGCGCTCAAGTGGGCGCCCCGCCGAATGCTCGTGGCCTCCGCTGACACCAATCTGGCCATGTGGATCCCCAACATCCAGGAGATGGAAGCCAGGGGCGTCAAGTGGCTGCAGTGATCTAGTCTTCCTCAACCCATCTGAAGGCTTGTGCGTGGCGTGCCATGCGGGGCATTGCCTGGCTGGCACCGGTGCCGAAATGCCTAGGGGCTGTAAGAAGCGAGAAATTGCGCAAGAGCGGTGTGTGAGGACATGGCTTGGTTAATCTGCCATCCTGAGACATTTGACACCTCGGCTCTTGATGGTCAAGAATGCGTGTAGGATTGCCACCTCGTCGGGCACTCAGAATGTACGCTCAGGTCTGTTACTAGGATACTAATAATATTAAAGTAGCCAAGTTCCTCTGCTGTTTGTTGTTTTGAGGTGCCCTTTACCCTAGCAGATCGGAAAATTTACAACCAAGCCAATGGCTTCAAGCAATCGAGTGGTTCTGACGTTCAGGGCATTGCTCTCAAAGACTGAGCTCTCGGAAGGCTAGTTGTAGGGACACATTTGAGAGGAGGTGCTGGAAACTTGTACAAAAAGCCATATGGGCAGCATACTCTTAATATACGGAAATAATTTCCAGCACAAAGGCAAATCATCCCATGTTCTTGGGAACCAAATATGAACACCTACAATAAACCTTATGAGGAGATGTATTCCACACAGGTCAGGTTGAAACAGACATTTACTGCATCACCTGGCAAGCAATATAAACAGTGGAGACTCTGCTAAAAACATAAGAATTTTAGCATGAAATCTCAATCAACCTATCTAATATACCGGTGGTCAGCATTTGTCATCAAGAAAGTATGCACACATGACCACGGGACACATGACACCCCTCGAATAAATAGAAGGCACATACATCATGTGATTCGAAAATGCAAGTGTGCAGAACATCAGTACTTTTTACACTCCTGCAGCACAAACAAGCCATTGACCACCCTGAAAGCAGAGGTTCGCCTGGCCAACACACATGGCAGCCCCAGCAGCCCTCCATGAAGACAACAGTCTCAAGGGACTCCTCTCATTCCAATGTTCTCCCCTTGTCACATGAAGTCTCCGCCAGAAGTGTCAAAGTCGCCGCCACCCATGTCACCACCCATGCCGCCGTACGGATCGCCACCACCACCACCGCCCATGTCACCTCCACCACCCCCACCACCGCCCTCGTAACCAGAGTCCCCGTAATAATTGTTGGTTACGGAGTCAGTTCCGCCGCCGCCGCCGCCGCTGCAGCAGATGAATGTCATGAGCACATGCGCGTATTCACCAGTGGCACAACATACCGTTTTGGGAGTATTCTCAAGTAGCAGCCAACTTGAACAAGCACCAAAAGCTCGTAAGGCACTCAATATCTCATCCAACCAAAGTTGTGTGACAAGAGGCTCTCCAACTGAAAGACGCTCTCTGCAAGGGAAAGAATGAGTGGGCCTCACCCATGAGAGTCGCTAATCATGTCCCCAATGAGCATGCCTCCTAGGAGGCCGCCTCCCGCGCCCAGCATCATGCCTGTGCCGGCACCCATGCCTGGACGGCCCTGCTGCTGCCCATACACTGCAGCACACAGCGCACAGCAGTAATCCATTATTTGTCATTATTGTTCACGCTTTTCCTGCCAAAAGGCAAGGAACGTCCTGCAGACAGTCAAGGCTGCCACAATCCCATCCCTTGCTAGATTTGCCAGATTTGCCAGATCCAAGCGAGATTCAATCACCCGTGGACACAACATTTGCATTCAACATTTGCGCCCCAACACATTACCTTTTGTGCCGCAATAAAACAATAGGATAGAGCAGGATGCCGCAAGTGTGTGAGGTTGCGCTTGGAGTGACAACAGTGCTACAGGCGCAAGGGTAAGCACTGGCCAGCACGTAAGGAAGGAATGGGGTGTTAGTCTGATTTGGAACAAGCTGGCCAACTCACTTTGTTGCTGAGGGTAGCCTCCACCTCCATACCCCTGCTGCTGTGGATAGCCACCACCTGCAGATGAAGGCCTCAGTCAATACAACCACAGCAGCTTTCTCAGCACACTACCACAAAGCAACCAGGATCACATGTCAGAACTATGCTATGCAGAGCTTCCATCTTTCTGCCAGGAAGAGAGACTTTAAATTTATCTCAAGAACGAGGAGATCATAGGAACACTGCATACCTCCATAATTTGGCTGGTATTGATGAGGATACCCACCACCACCCTGTTGGGGATATCCTCCTCCTGGGTACCCTCCATATTGCTGCTGAGGGTAGCCTCCCTGCTGGGGATATCCGTACTTCCCCTGCTGGGTTGCGGGTGACCCTAAGCAGCCTCCCATCTATTGCTCGCTTGTGGTCCTAAGGGTTTACTGCCTACAGCATACATAGACCTGATCAGGTTGGAGACCGACGACAACATGCAAGAGCACAATTGTGCTTTACATGTCCGACGTCAAAAATCGCCACGAGCAGAGCCCAGAAGCTACCCAAGAAGCACCCTGACACTGCAAGTCCCTTCCTTCGAAACTGTGTGATTAACGTGCAATCGGCTATGAACAGGAAGTCTCTGTAAACCAACAACCAAGTTTGCCATTCAATACAAAGAATACTCGTACAAAGGAAGGACATCCAAAATATTCGAAAAGAGGGTTGTGTACAGGATGAGCAACTATAATGCTCTCCCGTAAATTTTGTCGCAATTTTCGTGTCACAGAATACATCATTTGCCATTAAATCTACGAAATACAAGGGCCGAGGCTCATGAGACTCACCTTCTGCGGACTTCCCTGTGCTGCCTCTTAAAATTTTCGCCTCTAGCGCTGCAAGTGACCAAGAACGGTGCGATATTGCAAAGTACTGCAATGTATGAGCGTCGTACAGGTCCTGAAATACCGACAGTACGATTTATGGGAAACTTTTGCAATTATGGAAGGTGACAAACCTGAAGGTGACTCGACTCCACGTGGCCTGCTTTTGGCCCTTCCTTGCAGCTTCCAGCCCCTCATCGAAGCTTCCTTCCTTCTGAATTCGAGTTAAGAATTTGAGCCTCGGATATCTAAAATGCATGTTGACCAACCATCCACCCAACCGGCCTGTCAATTGCCAAGCTGTACAGCGCACATGTATTTGTGCACCAGCAGCCGCTGTTGAGCGGCTCTAAAGCTGCACAACTTAAAGCCCCATTGGGGGCCGCCTGGCGGTCTGTACTTGCCAAGTGCCACTGGCCAGTGGCACCATAGGCTATGGCATGCTAGACGTGCATATCAGATGATGCGGCCCGCAGTGTTGGATTGCGTTCAGATGAATGCGTTTACACTGTGTGATACTCCATAGTAGCTACTAGGTAAATTACGTAGTACATCGTGTCAGACATCACATGATGTGTACGGTACACATGATGAGCCCATGCAATGGCCCAGTATCTGCATGTCAAATGGCCCACGTTGGGCCACTGAGTACATGATCACACTGTGGCTACGCTCCTGGAAACGGGTTAGTCCGGGTTAGTCGTGCAACCTCCAGATAATCAAGCGCTTAGCGTGGGGCATCCAAGACACTCATAGCTGGCATCACGACAGGTCAAGCCGCGCAGATGGCCTGCTGGGCGACAGAGGCCACGTGCAGGAGCTGCAGGAACTCGTCCGCCCCATCCACCAGGCACTTGTCCGCCTCTGCCAGCACTGTGCAGATCCGCGCTCTTTGTGGATCTTTCAGCGTCTGGTCCTTCAACAGACCCGCCTGGAACTCCAGCAGCAGCTGTTGTGCCTGCGCAGTCACCGACCTCTTACTGGCACAGCTTCAACTAGAGGCCACCATGCTGTCAGGGACAGCATGCATGTCGCATCCGTGTTCAGGCTTCAGGAAGTCTGAAACAAGAAGTCCAAGGAGTGGTGAAGAAGTCCTCTTCACCAGCTGGATTGAACTCTTAAGAAGTCTTCATCAAGAAGTCAAGCAGCAACAATGCCACCCCTATTCTAGGGCTGCACTGGAATCATCGGCCCTTTGTGCAACTTCAGGTCCGTATGTCCAGAGAAAATATATGTGAAGGGCACATTCACATCTGCCGCTGCGGTAAAAAGCAGACAGGATAGGAAGCAGGCGCGCACCCCCCAGCCGTCGGCAATGGCGTCGGTGATGGCTGCTTGCACGCTGGACACCGTCCTGGTCCTGCATGCCTGCAGCAGCGACTGCGTCACAGACTCCGGCACCGCACCCGACACGTCCAGCAGAGTCTGCGGCTCCACCTGCAACCCCTGACGAGCAGAACACCACCCACTCTCAGCACATAAAACACAGTCAAATGGCCATATCTCGAAGAAATTACACAGTTTGGGGCATGCTCAGCTGCCAGGAGTTTCTGCTGATGCTTGGAGGCTCTGCAGGCAGCAGAAGTGCAGGGGGAGGTGGAAGAGACCTTCAGGCGCACGGCTGACTGCAGGGTGGTGATGGCCTTCCGCAGGTCGCCGCCTGACACCTTCCCCAGCGTCTCCATGGCTCCCTCCTGCAGCTGCACTCCCTCCTCTGCACAGACACACCTCTTTTGATGTTGCCACCAGTGCAATACATAATGTCCACAGTCTCACAGCCATCCAACACCTGGCTATCTGTGCATGGATTCTTGCATGAATTCTTGCCACTGGCACTATGTCCTGAGCAGGCTTTCTTTCCTTTTGTAAATAAAATTCGATTATGCAAAATTAGGGTCTACAGACCAAATTTGCAAAGTTGATCTAATTTTGTCAGCAAAGACACAGTACATAACCAGCAATGGCACCGAGCCGCACCATTGCAGATGTGGGAGATGCGCGCGGACATGATGCCACCGTGCAGCGGCCGAAACCGGAACTTGGCGCATCGGGACGCGAGCGGCTCAATGATGCGCGAGACGTAGTTACAGATGAAGATGAAGCGCGTCACCTTGCTGTGCGCCTCCATCGTCCGCCTCAGCGCGTTTTGAGCATCCTGCGCACTGCCCACAATTTCCTCACATACATGCACAGAGAACTACAGTATGTGATTAAGGACAGATTTCCATGCATCTGAGATCTTCTTTGAGCGCTCGCAGGTGCAGGCCAGCCATGCATGGCCTTAGTCCTCCATGACTGTTGGGTCTGGCACTGCAGGAAACATCAGAAAGTAGCAAACAGGAGCTCAGTGGCACGATAGGCACAGGCAATCAAGGAGACATAGAGATGAGGGGTGCTGGCAGGAGGAAAGAGGGGCTCGTGCCTGTGTCATGGCATCAGCCTCGTCCAGGATGAGCAGTTTGAAGGGTGGGCAGGGGTAGCCAGGGACAGGCTGCCCCACCGACGTTGCTGCAAATGATTTGATCTTCTCCCGCACCACATTGATGCCTCGCTCGTCACTGGCATTCAGCTCCTTCACCCTTGCCTTGGCTAATTCTGGCCTGGTCGACATTACAACTTCAACATCAATTCTGGAACATTGAGATGGTTTGGGTGACTGATACATACAAGAGATACCTTGGGTACAACAGGAGTTGTCCAAAGGAGATCATACCCATAGAGTTGCCTGGCCATAGCCAGAGCTGTGGAAGTTTTGCCAGTCCCTGGCGGCCCATAGAAAAGCAGGTGGGGCAACTGCACCAGTAAAGGAAGGTCTTGATGGTATCAGAATCCTTGGATCAAACTAATATCGTATGTGGAAAGCGTGAGACTCACATTTGCTGATTCAAGCGCCTTTTGAAGAGTATGTACTACTTCTTCTTGATGTGCCACCTCATTCACGCTTTTTGGTCGACTGCAATCAAACATCCTGATAGTGAGTTTCTTTACAGAATTTTATACATTAGATCGCACCACTCAATAAAACTTTATCATTGCAGGATTCAAACAACGAGAAAGGACGGCAAAACTTACTATTTATCCACCCACGGTTGAGCTAAATGCGCCATTATTTTCTGACCGCTACAAAGCTCGCAGAAGGTCACACCGGGATGCAAATTCCGGTAAAACAACCACGCTGATTATATTTCGCCACAATCACCGCACTTATATTTATCACGAGCGAAACATGCACAATGAGTTGTGCTGCCTCTTGAAAACTTATAGAATGCTCTGCCAGATGTCTGTGCAGATGTCCAAGCAATAACTGCCCATTCAACGTGGAGAGTATTCAAAGAGCGATAGAGGATTATTTTGATAATCTGGAATCGTGATTCTGTGTCACCAACTCTGCCAAGAAATCGAAATGGCTTTCAGGTATGGGCAGCCCGCTCCCACTTTGGGCAGCCCAAAGGGTCTTGGGATGCCTTGGTGCCAGAGGCAGTCTTCCGACGAGCTGCAGAGCCACGCGTGAACAGCTGAACATCTTTGTGATCCGGTGGGGCCTGGGTCCTTCGGGATCCGGCTCCTCGACAATCATGGCAACATATATAATGGCTGGGCAAGGTGCTTCGATAGAGGCGGCCCTTTACAGTTAACGGCATCACCATAAACCACTGATCAACTGGGTCGGGCTTCAGCAGCCAGGCAACATCACAGGTTTCAATGAAAAGGATGTAATTTAACGACATAATCGCCGGGCACAAAGCGACGCTTCAACAGAGGCGGCCCTGACAGCAACAATGTGGGTATACAAAAGAGGAGCAGACAGAGGCCAGGCGATAGCGGCTGGAAAGCATAACAATAAATTGATCTTAATGACGCAGTAGTAAAAATATCTAGGACGGCCAAGCTTTGGTTGGGGCGGAAGAGGCAACAGCCGCCAGCCGCCATTACCAGTAAAAGAAGGATGCGACGGCTATTTGCATCATTGTCTGACGCGAAGAATCGACCGCAATAATAGAAATGGCCATGAGACCTTTTACAGAACAAGCAGATTTTGCAGTGTTGCGTTCTTGTGTGTGCCCTGCCAAACCCAGGCAGGATGTTCTGGGTCCTGGTCCAAACCTAGGACAAAGCGCGTACAAGCTGTATTGGGGCTTTTGAGGAGATCTCAGTCTAACCTCCTGCAGTTTTCACCTGATTGCAGCTCCTTGAACACCTGCCAGTCCAGGTGTGCCTTTGCAAACCACTCAGCTGTGGTGGTAGTAGCTTAGCAATACAGGTGGCGGCAAGCATTGTGGGGCATTGGGTACCCCCCTTGCTTGTTTCACCGAGAAGCGCTGTTATTGCAAGGATCTGGGCAGTCTTTACAATGACAGCAAATGGCTGGACCCACCCGCAGCACGCACAATCTGTTTGGCCTGTGATTTGCGTCCATGTCCTGCCCTTGACTTGTCGCTGATTTGGACCGACATACATCCACAAGCAGCCTTGCAGTCCTTTTTGGCAGTTGATACTTGTCTGCGTGCTGGGATGCATATTTTCGAGTATTCATGACGTGTGTGCCACTGATGGTTTGAGATATGTGGGACGCTTAATCAGCCCTGTGTGGCTGGAAAAAGTGTAATCTCTCTCTCTCTCTCTCTCTTCCTGAAGGGCATTCATCTTGAATTGCCTCCTTAATGAGCCACATCTGGAAATAAGGGCTGCAATTGAGATGCGATCATGCATGGCGCCAAGATCGTGACTGACGTCAGTCGACTGGCCCAGTCCGGGTGCCAGCCGATGCGGCAGCTGCAGTGACTTCACTTTACAAAAGATTTTGATAGCTGCTATCACACGACGTTGCCAGCAGAGTCTGAGGAATCTGAAATACATGTGGGTCATTCATCGCCGCATACAACCGGTGCACCTGTCATGATGTTCATGATGCAAATGATGATCAGAGCACGTGCTGTCACAGTAAACGGTTTATCCACAAGGTGCAACTGTAGAAGATCTCATGCATCAGCACTGGCAGTCACAACGCACCATAGAATCAACTTGTGCCAGCAATGGATATAAATCCCATTATCTGCAGTATTAGCACACACCATGATCTGCTGCGGTTGTGGTCCTGCAACGGCCCACAGGGCACTTTGCTCTGGAGCTCTCTTGACCTCAGAGAGCCTATTTATATTGGTACAGACATCACATGTTGCACAAATTCTACAGAGAGCAATGGACCTCTCAATTCCCATCAACAAATAGTAATTGATTTTGCCAAAGTCCATGGGACTACCCTAGACTACAGTGACTGTGTGCGAGATGTCTTTTGGTCAACCTATGCATAGGTATCAGTGCCGTCCCAAGAGAACTTCCGGTCAGGCTTACCAATCTCCGTCTAAGTCCTATTTCCTGATCAAGTGATCATCGGACTGAATTGCTTGCCATTGGTTGCGCCTCAGCACCATTTTTTCAGAGCTGCTGCTGATTCTTTGGGAGTCATGGCAATGACCCCAAGACTTTCCAGGTCCTCTGCCAGCAGATCATCCCCAAGAGCCTGAAAGAGGTACCAGAGCCATCAACTATCACAGCCACATGTTTCATTTCAGTTGAAGTCATCGCGTGGGAATTTGTGTGGACCAGGTGAGACTGTAGCAGTCCGGGGGAGTCTAGTACTTGCCTGCAGTACCAGCTTCTCTCTTTTCTTGGCAGTCTTGCCTTCAAATGCTCCAGACACAACTGTCAGCCTTATCGATCCATCAACGCTCTCACATGTACACCTGCCGAATGATACAACTTTCACCTCCTTGCTGGTAAGCATTAAACTAATTACACGGCGGTGTAAATTTTATGTAATCCATAGCAGAGAGTCATGGCATTCCAGGAGATGCTTGCGCACTTTTGAGGCTTGAGAGACTCCTTAAAGGACTGTGTCTCAGTTGCAGTAGTTAGTCTGTCCCTGCTCTGCGCTGCGCATGCTTGCCACTGCAAGAGAGCATGGAGGCCAGGTCAAGAAGGCCCAACAACGCACTGATAGTGACTGCTGATCAGAAATGTCGATCTATACCTGCCTTGTTGGCATAGAAGCAAGGTTGCGACAACAAGTTGCGTGCAATCTAAACAAGGTGCTGATTCTAGGCGGGGAAATGAGGCCAATCTTCGTCTTTGCATTGTACAGATGCATTAGACCGGCATAAGTTTTTCCGAATTTGTCGCTTGATGGCCAATCGCTTGCGAATCAACGGCAGATCGATGCCTGAAGTGGGTTCACCAATGACCTCTATATTCTCTTGTTGGACAAAGTATACTGGTGGATCATATTGATACACAGATAAGGGCGCCCTGATACTATGTTAATGACACAAAGGACGTTGGATCACCGTCCGAAAGCCTCACTGATGTTGCTGATGCTGGCTTACTACAGATCTTTGCGACGGCGTTGCCGGGCCCACACTCAGCTGTGCGTCTTGATTGATCGATCCCGGGAGGTCAAAACGCACGTTGCACTGCGGTGAAAAGTGCTACCTAATCTTCCAAAGTGCTGCTGTCGGCGTTCGTGCGGACCGAGACACAGAAAGCAGACCACCCGCACTCGATTGACAAGATTGATCAGGGAGCATTAGGGTGCCATTGCTCTCCCCTAGATCGTGTCTGGGATGCCATTGGCACGATCATGAGCAAGCCGTCTAAATCTACGTGTCAACGAGCGCTTGCAGGGCCTAACAGGCGAAGGTAAGGCTTGTTCGAGAGCTCTCAGCGCTTTGCCGCCCAGCACAGAGTTAGTTTCTTGGCTCCCCAACGAGCAATCACTCAACCGCTGTGGCCCCTGTGTCATGCGAAAGTAGGTAATGGTGTACTTACCTCCACAGTTTGTAGTCAGATTGCTCAGTACGGCTCTGCGTCTTGCCGGGTGTCCTTGTCCTGTTTGGAACGCGAGCTCGAGGTTCGGTGTGCAGCCGACCTTCAGTCTGGCCACAGCTATACTGATCAGGCCATTTGCTGGCGTGCCCAGACCATGTTTGGTGATCGACATCTCCCACGCTCCTGTTGTGATGGCGATTTGGCGGAGTTCAGGTGGAGAGTGTGTTCAGACTCCTAAGACCTTGCTTGACGCTGATACGCCTAACCAAGGGCGGCCAGAAGTTCCGGCGCTTCGTATTGGCCCTTGCCTAGAGGTTTGTTGACATCCGGTAAAGGCTCAGACTTGAAGGAGAAAGTATTATTAGTGCTCCTGAATGCTAAGCAAGAATCGCCATCAAGAAGGCGGGAGGTCAAGAAAGGGAGGGCAGCAAGGGTGTTGCTGTGCTGTTCGATTTGAGGTAGCTAGTTCAATGTTCATCAGCTCATCACATGCAGGATCAGAACCGGGGAAGGGTCCGTAGAGGGTGCATGTCGGTGACTTCAAGGATCAAGCCGTTTAACATGGCCTTTTTGACTGGACAAAGGAGCCGTCTTCTTGACTAGAAGCCTACCGTACTGAAACTAGAGTTGGTGCAGGCTGTCCTCGTGCAGCCACGGACAAAAATGAGTTCCCTGGTGTCTAGCTCCTGTGCGTCTCTGTTCATCACATGAAGCTTCCAGTGTATGAATGCAGGCTTGGGAGGGAGGTGACAGGGATGCGGCGACCAAGCTGATCAGCGCCCAAGTACCAACAGAGCAGACAAGAATCACCCAGAAGCAACAGAAAGGGAGGCAGGCTCGCCCCATGTCATCCCCATTCGCAGCGGCCGCGCAGCAGGAGTACCCCCAGGACGGCTGGGGCGTCAGGTGGAACGAAGAGCTGAAACGATGGGAGGCCCAAGCAGGGCCGGGGGCTGCGGCCGCGCTCGATGAGCCGCCGGCAGAGGCCGAAGAAGAGGAGGCTGATCACTTGGACCGTGTCGGCTCGGGCGACGCGGCCGGCAGCGCCTGCAGCGACCCGGCCAACCCGCGGCCGTCGCGGCGCCGCGCGGTGCCATCCCGGCGCTACTCGCCAAGCGCAGCGCAGCAGCTGCAGGACGAGACGCGCGGGCGGCCGGGCGGGCCGTCGAAATACCGCGGCGTGATCTGGCACAAGTCCAACTCCAAGTGGGAGGCGCGCATCTACGACAACGGCAAGCAGCGCTTCCTGGGCTACTTCACCTCGGAAGAGGAGGCAGCGCGTGTCTACGACGAGGCAGCCATGCGCATTGGCGGCCGCGGCGCGCGCACAAACTTCCCGGCTGGGGAATGCCTCAGCCGCTCTAGTTCGGCGCCCGCGGAGCTGCTGGACATGGGGGGCACCTCAGAGGGGCCGACCGCGGCTGCGCCGCCTGCCGCGCTGCCGCCCAAGGGCGGTCGACTGCGCAAGAAGGCGAGCAGCTCCGGCACCGGCGGCCTCAAGGGCTCCTCCAAGTATCGCGGCGTCAGCTGGAACAGCAACTGCTCCAAGTGGCGCGCCCAGGCATGCACCAGCTCTTTTCACTCACCAGCAACACGCAATATATCCTCCTGAAATTATGGTGACCGCCATAGGAATGCTGCTCTAACCTCACCAGCATCCGATAGAGCCCTCTGCCTGTCTATGGTGTTGACATCTTGTGTTATCTGGGATTGGAGGGCATGCATGCTGAGGTTGCTGCCATGCATGCAGGTGTGGAAGGGTAACGACGTGCGCCACCTGGGCTACTTCGAGGATGAGGTGGCGGCCGCACGCGCGTACGACCGCGCGGTGCTGGAGATTCGCGGCGCGCACGCGCCGACCAACTTCGGTCCAGAGGATTACGGCGTGGCCGTCCCCGGCCCCGCCGCGGCCGCCACCGACACCGCCGAGGTCGATTCACCCTTTCTGGGGGTCAGCTGGGACGCCGCGGCCGGCAGCTGGAAGGCCGAGCTGTGGGACGGCCGCGAGTACGCGCTGCTGGGGCACTTTGACAGCGAGGAGGCCGCTGCGCGCGCGTATGATCGCGCATGCCTGGCGCAGCACCGCGAGGCTGCCAACACAAACTACCCGCCGGGGGACTATGAGGAGGAGATGGCGGCTGCCGCACTGATCTCCGCCGTGCAGCGGATGTCAGACGATGAGGAGGAGGCGTCTGACCTGGAGATGTCCGCCCTGGAAGGTATGCGGCTGATCTTTGTTGACTTTCTGCACAGAACCTTATTTTGATTCCATCAGAAACTCGCTTTCCAATCTGCAATTCTATGGTAATGCTCAACTGTCAAGGTGTCTCAGTTGCCGGCCACAGGGTGACTGCCTTTCGCTGATGGACCTGACAGACAAGATGCACACAAGTATTATTGGGCAGTCATTGGGGGTTCTAATGTCTGATGGCTGGTCATGTGCTGTGCTGCAGCGCTGGCGTCCATCTCCAACGAGGCAGAGGTGGACTGTGAGGGCGACGACGCCGCCTGCACCTCGGGCCGCGGCCAGGGCGGCCTGCAGCGGGGGGACCAGTATATGGAGGAGTCCCCTCCCCCGGAGCTGCGGCGGCGCGACAGCGGTCCACCGTTTGAGCGGGAGGCGCCCCCCTCTGCGCGCCTGCGCCGCGCCATGTCGGACCCTATCGAGCGCATCGGCTCCCTTTCCCGGCGCCGCTCCGCCCGTCTGTCCGACGCAGATGCAGCCACCGCCGCGGCCGCGCTTGCAGGTGCTCTTCTCTCCAAGATTTGATCAGCATTAACTGCATTTGTGCGCCTGACCCGGTCAAATCCTCGCAGCAGTGTACAAACCTTTGGGTTCAATTTGACACCTGTTTGTGATTGTTCCTGTTTGGTGGCATGTAAATTGAATAATTGTGTGGTGCGCCATCATGGCTTGCCTGCGGCCTCATGCGTGCCCCAAGACTCCCAAAGAAGTTCCATGGGTGTTGTCACCACAGAAAATGCAGACCAGGATGCCCGTTTAAATGCTTCAACATTGTACCAAGGTGACTGACCGATGCTTGGCTTGCTGGTGCGCCAGGGCTGTTTACCAAGCCGGCATCCTCAGAGGAGCCGGCACCGGTGGTGTCGGCCGCGGCTACGAACAGCCGGGGGGCGCGCAGCGTGCGCAGCGGGGGCAGCGCGGACGCGCCCAAGTCCTCGGCCTACAAGGGCGTGTCTTGGCACAAGCACAGCCAGAAGTGGTACGCATATATCCAGGCCGCCGGCAAGATGCGCGGCCTGGGCTACTTTGACCTCCAGGAGGACGCCGCGCGCGCCTACGACGCCGAGGCCCGCAAGGTGCGCACCTTGCACATCCACCTGTTGTATTATGAAGATGCCACTCTCGATCCAGCCTCAAACCTAGGTGCGTTGCAGCATCCTCTCCAGCCTTCCCTGTCGTGACACCTTCTCCACCAATGGCATGTCAACTGAAGGGAGCCCAGGTTTTTCCTGAGTCAATCATACCAAGATTTTGACAGGCCTGCCTTTTCTCCCAGATCCTTCCCAGATCCACCTGTATTCCTAGTATCAATTCGCACATGTTCAGCGCATGTGCTGGGCAATGGCGGTGATGCGTCCTGTAGACTCAGCGGCATGCTCCTGGGCGCCATAGTTGAGATTTCTCCTGTTCTGAACAATCATGAATCGTTTTTTTGTGACGAGCTACCGTTGGCAGAGAGCTGCATCTGCTGTGGAGACCCCAGCAGATTTTGAGTGCCGAAGCACCTTAAGAAGATATTGCTTGTTGCCTTAGAACACATGCATGTTGACTAAGATGCATGCATGATTACAGGTGCATGGCAAGAAGGCGGTGGTGAACTTCCGTATGTACCCAGACGATGTGGTGCGCGAGCCCAAGAACAGGGGCGTCAGCAGCGGCAGTGCCGACACTAGCGGTCCCTCCCTCGGTGACCAATCTTTGCATCGTGCTCTAAAACACTCATGACACCTGACACCTTAATTATCCACATCACTGCGTGCCTTGCAGACAAAATGCTTGAAATGCAATGAAGCTAGGAGGTGGAAAAATATCCGCAGGACAGTCAAAACCCTGGCAAGACATTCTCGGGATTGAAGGTCTGCAACAGTTAGGTTGATCTTGCACGATTGCCAATCAATTTGCATTCTGCTTGAGAGGATCTGGTTGCAGAGACTGGTTAGTTTCTGGTGCTGCAGAAGCACTGCCGAGCGCCAGCATCTCGATCGGAGAGGACAAGCCGTCGGCCAGGCCGGCGTCGGGGCCGAGGTCGCGCGGCGGCCGCTCCGAGAGGCTTTGCGGCAAAAGGGATCGTGCGGGCAGCCCCACCTCGGAGGAGGTCTCCAGAGGGACCCCCCGCGTCGGGGGGCCCCGCAGCTCCAAGTTCCGCGGCGTCAGCTGGCACAAGCACCGGCGCATGTGGCAGGTGCTGTACACGCATGTCTTTGCATTTTTTTTAATATTACATGGTTTTCAGTCCTTAGGACTAGGTACGTCAAGCAACACCTGAATTACTGCTATCCAGTCTTCTCGATTCTTGCACTTGCTCCACCAGTCATATGCATGCCCGATAGCATCAAGGTCATCGCTCACATAGTCTGTGCCTTCGGCCTTGCTGTGTTGAGCTTTGCCACCGTTGTTCCTTCTCAGCAACTGAGCTGTTCCTGCTTCTGTGGGTCACAAGGAAGAGGCAAGAAGAGCCCGATCACCAGGAAGGGAACAACAATGTTTCAGCCAGGCTCTTTTGGAAGATTGACCTGGATCTGTGCAGAGGTGGGATGGCTAATATGTGCAGGTGTACATCCATGTGCAGTCGCAGGCGCGCAACAGCTACCACATGGGCTACTTCGCAGAAGAGATTGACGCCGCCAAGGCTTACGACAGGGAAATCCTGAAGGTGAGCACGCCATACAGAATGGCGCCTTGTAATATTTGATCCTGCATTGATCAGGGTGTATTTTGTGACGTGAATTCTTCCCGCTGTCATCATATTGTGATTGGCTGGGGCTGCCCAGGTTCGTGGCAAGGATGCAGTGACCAACTTCCCCGACAGCGAGATGAGCGGAGATGCGGAGTTGAAGTCTCTGGAGCACGTGGCGGCCGCTGCTGGTGCGACAAAGCTGCACCTCACACATTGACAATAAAAATATCACCTAGTTTCAGCGGAAATTACACATGAATGCATGGCTGCCTGAAGCTGCATGCTGCAGTGCGCCGCGTGGTCTGACAAGCATGACCCGCCTCAACATCAATGTCCTGCCTTTCATCCAAACGTGCGGTGTGTTGAGTGTCCCACCTGATGTATGAGCCTGTGGATGTCCAACTGTAGGCGATGGGCACATGTTGGGAGAGGATGACCAGGCTGGCAGCCCCACATCGGCGCAGCCTCTCACCATCACCTACAATCCAGCCTCCGCTGACCAGGTCAGCATTTTCCCTTTTCTTTGCTTGAATGCCTAAAGTCCTTTGCTGTCTGCATTCACAATTTCTTCAGGGCCTTATCTCCAATGCAAGCTGCACCTAATTCTTGTATTTCTTCCATGTAGTTCATGGCTCCTCTTGTCTAAATGAGGGCGGCCAAGACTGGCACTCACTCTGCACAGGGGGTGCTTCAACCTGCATTGGCAGCGAGGATGTGCTGAGGGGATTGTGGTGGTAACACAGGGGGCACCAGAGGATGGAGAGGCGTCTCCAACATGCTCCGCCTTCTCCCTGGGCAGTCTGCCGCTGCGCAAGCGCAGCCGCAAGCCAAAGCATGTGCACAGCACCGCTGAAACTCGCTCACCCAGCCCCCCAAGACACCCCAAGCCGCCCAGACATGTGCGCACCCATGACCCGACATGCACAATTGCCACCATGTTCCCAGAGCTGATATCATGACACTGGTAGAAACCGCTGGCTTATTGGAGGATAGAAATGTGCCACCGATGCAAATACTTATGCAGAAGAATGCATTATGATAATCGTGCAAAAGGGGCGTCGCTCGTTCAAGACGTCAGGCAGGCAGAACAAAAGCAGCAGTGCGTGTGACTTATTCACAGGATGCTCGTGCTCTTTAGCTGCATGCTCAGACATTAAATTTTGTGGTTAGGACACCCACAGGCCTTTCAGCAAGAAGGCAGGGCTGCAGGAGACCACAAGAATTCGCAGCACCAGTGCAGCTGATTGGTGCAAGCGCCATTTACTGAGGAGTTTTGATGCGTGCAGGATGCTGCGGAGGCGAAGCGGCGGCAGGGGACGCCGCTGGCCGAGGAGGGCGGCATGCAGCTGCGCAACGGCGAGGCCGGCCGGGGCCGGCGGGTGGGCAGCCCGCAGAAGGAGCCCTGGGCAGCCCCGAGCACCAGCGGGGGAGTCAACGCCGTCGGAGAGGCCGGGGGCGATGTGCGTGCGTCGTTCAGGGGCGTCACGCGGCTGGAGCGCGAGCGCAAGTGGGTCGCGCGCGTTTGGAACGGCCAGAAGCAGCTCACTCTCGGCCGCTTCGACACCGACGTCGCCGCCGCGCAGGCAAGTTTCCATGCATGCATGCACCGAGCAGATTTTGGAGACACTCACATGCCGCAGTCTGCATATAGAGTCATCTCTATAACCATCCATGATGGAGCAGTGTTGGATGGCTGGAGAGCAATTTGAGGCAGTCGCATAGTCCTTGTAGTATATATGCATCACCTTCAACATAGCATGAATACGCATGGGAATCTCTCAAGATTGGAAAGACTGTTTATGTGGACATGTGACCAGTCCAGTCCCTGCGAATACAATGAGACATGGCTGCACGCGTGCGCAGGCATATGATCGAGAGATGCTGCGCATGAAGGGCCGCGCTGCCGTCACCAATTTCCCCGCCGACATGTACGGCCCACTTGTCCAAGTTGGGCAGCAGACAGGCAAGCGCTCTCCTCCACCTTGAAACACAGCCTACATGAATTTGATTGCCGGTCCTGCATGCAACACATCTCCAGCCCAACATGCAGTGAAGCAGTAGGGCACATGTCAGGCGTGTATCAGTAGGTTCAAACAGCATGTGCAGTGATTGCCTCTGAACAACTACTGTTTGTGCATCAGGAGGTGAGCCGCTCGGCAGTGCTGGTGGTGGCTTGCATCCTCAGGGCAACCAGCAACATCCTGCTGCAGGTGAGACTTCCGCCTTCATGCATGCATCTTCCTTCCCTACATGCAAGCATACTTGCTGTTCAATGCAAACTTTCTGTCTCTGGTCCATACGGCCAGGACCGGAATGTTTACTGTGCTGACGCCAATTTGCATCAAGACAGTAGCTACTATGGTCATCGTCTTCCAGATGAGTACCAGCTGCTTTGGACATACACAATGCAAGTTCTGTGAATATGTGACCATGATAAAGATTGCCCCACTGCCCCGGTCATTGTGTATGGTTGCTGGGGCATAGGTGAGGGTGTGGTTGGGGAGAGTGATGTGCCGTCTCCGAGGAGGCCTGTGGCCAAGAGTAGCCCTGCTGGAAGCTTCGCCCTCACAACCATCAGGCCCGCCAGCGCAGCCACCGTGGGCAACGGAGATGCCGCCCCAGGGTAATTGCCCCATCCCTAATTACCCTGCTACTCTGGTACCTGATTTGAAGATCTTCTTGCAGAAAATTCTTGTCACTTTTCTGAAAGCAAAAAATTTCAAGGTCGAGGCGGCTCTCTACATGCTGTATGTAGCCTTGCATGCTTGTCCTGCTCTCCAGGACATCCCTAAATAATCGGATGGCATTCAGATGCATTGTTGTATCCTTCGTAACGCCATTCTGCTTGGGTCAATGCGCAGAGGGTCGCAGATGGCGCTGCCAGGCAGCAAGTCCACGTCACAGTACAGGGGCGTCACATGGAACAGCATCATCAGCAAATGGGTGGCGGTCGCATGGGACCGGGATGCCAAGAAGGCTCGGGCAATCGGCTTCTTTGACACAGAAGAGCAGGTGTGCCTAATGACCCCTCATCGTGTGCAATGCATCCAAATTCTGCTTCTCGCCACCCAATCAGCTTTTCTGTTAAACTGCCCAAGTGCATGGCGCACTCATGTTCAGGATCTGAACCTGTAGATCCTGGTAATCAACAAGGGGAAAGAGACATGCAAGCATCAAGGCAGGGTGAGCGCCAGAGATAAGAAGGGCTGCCCGGCAACCTAAATAATGGGGCAAGTCGAGGTGATGATGCCTGCTGTGTGTATCTGCAGGCAGCGCATGCCTACGATGTGGAAATCCTGGCATACAATGGCCCGGCAGCGACGCTGAATTTCCCCCAGTCCAAGCAGATCGCTGCAATGATGAACAAGGCCCCGGACGCGCGGCCAACGTCGGCCGGGAGCGCTGTCTCCTCCACTGACGTGGTGCTGGACCTGCTCGCATCGATGACCCCCCAGTCCACCTCGCAGACCCCTGGGCAGCCGCCTGTGCGCCAGGTGTGAATGTGTCCCCTTGCCATACTTTCACCAGGCCTGCTTTGAAGGAAAGCGCGTTTACAGCCATATGGCAAGGTACCTTGAGTGGAAGGCCGATCTTTATTGAAGGCTTAATCTGAGTGCCCCTGCACCTCATGTGATTAAATGGTTCCCAAAGATCTGTGCGCTGGCCGGATGTCTGCAGCTGGCAGGTTGCTGGCAAATCCATGATGCACTCAAATACCATTACGTCCCATTAGGCTTCTGTGACAATACTGTATCTATGGTAAACGTTATATTTGCTGCAAAAACCATCATGCGATCCTTTTATTGCTCCAGAAACCGGTGGTTGAAACGCCACGCTGCGCGCAGGCGGCGGGCATGGACCAGCTGGCATCATTCCTGCGCTCGGGCGCGCCGGTGCCGCCGGAGTTTGCGCAGGCGTTGCAGATGATGTCGCGCGGCCAGCAGCCGGCCTCGCAGCCGTCACGATCCCCCCTGCAGGCCCCTTCCCCCACCTCTTCCCCCAGTCACGCCACCGCCGGCGCCCCCCGCACAGCTGACAGCACCAGGTCAGGGCACCGATTGAATTTGGAGATAACTCGTCCACTCATGTGGGGCGTGAAGTTCCAAAATGCATGTTGGGCTGCTCTGCTGAGGCCCCAAACCTTGTGCATTCAGCGTGTGCTCTGAAGACAGGTTGTGTGATTGGGTCAGAGTTCAGCCTGTGTCTCTTAACACATATGCCGAGATTCTACAAGATGCTGGATATTTAGTCTCGACAGATTTTTTGAGTTAAGTGAAAGTCGACACACACGATGCGGCCATTTGCTGCAGTGCGGCAGAGCTTGAGCATCCTGACAGCGGCTGTCTGCTTCCAGGGCGGAGAGTGTGCCTCCCGGGAACGGGGCACTGCCCGCGAACGCAGACGCAGAGGAGACACCTTCGCCAGTGCCCAGCCCGCTGCAGAGGCATGTGGCAGCAAACCTGGCTGCGTCAGTGGCCGCCAGCCCCCGCAGCGGCAGTGCAGGCGATGGCGCTCCCTCCATGGAGAGAGGCCAGCGAGTGGCCGCAGTCAACCCCAAAGCTCAGGCGCGCCAGAGATCTTGAATCCCCAACACTGATCATTGCCCGCCCCACTCTCAAGCAAAATCCTGGATGCCAAGGCAGATCTCCAAGGGAAAGTGCTCATCAATCATGACCCAAGCTGTCGATATATGTACAGATGCACCACACTTTGGTTTCCTGCACGCTTTTCTGTATAGCTTCTTCAAAGGTCGAATCTTGATCTTCAAAAACCGACTTTTCTAGATCTTCTGGGATGAGAGCTTGGGCTCTGGGATGTCTCATGCACCGCTTGAAGGGTGTGTGATGGTGTTCTGGCGCAGAGGGGGGCGAACACGAGCCGCTTCCGCGGGGTGTCGCTGAACAAGGCGAGCGGCAAGTTTGAGGCGCGCATCCGCGAGGCCGGCAAGAACCACTACCTGGGCTCCTTCAGCGACGAGGAGGAGGCAGCGCGTGCATTCGACGCCGCCGCACTCGCAATGCGCGGCCGCAACGCCGTCTGCAACTTCCTGCTCGACGACGGGCCCGGCGCTGCGGTGCGCAATTTCCAGCCCTGCGCTGCATCTCATATAAAAATTTCAATTCTTTCCTGCTGATCGCTCATGGGCTTGAGAGCACTGCATGATCACTGCTTGACAACTCTTTCCCTGAACAGGCTGTTGGCTCGTGTGAAAATTCTGCATGCCAATGTGTCCAGCAACCTTCTGCACGAGGATTTGTTCAAGGTGGCCATCCTGCGGCAAGCGCTTTGCAAGCGTAGCCTCCTCTACTGGGTTCCTTACAGGGCAAGAATTGACATAAAATATTGCATGGTACAGGCGCAGGGTGCTTCACCGAGGCACACGCGGCAGGTGACGGTGAGGACTTCGCCGACGGCTGCGCCGGCTGCGGCGGCGTTCCCGGGCCCGCCGAGGTCGGACGGCCCCGCGCCAAACCAGGCGCCACAGATGCGCGCTGCGCCTCAGGGCCAGGGAGTGCGGGAGGCAGAGCTCAGCAGAGATGACATCGTCGCAGGGGCCCGCGAATCTGCCAGACTTCATGCGCCCCATGGCGAGGAGGTGCGCCTCCATCAATTCTTTTAAGTCTTTTCTCATCCATAATTTCCTGCAGCCAGAGCCTCAGCAGAAATCATCCTGCATCCGTGTGAAGCATGAATTTGCGGAGACTGTGACTGTTGCAACGAGCGGTGTGACCACTTGACGTGTGCTTCAGAAAGAGCTGAGATATTGAGGAGGTTTGTGTATGCAGGCCATCAAGAGCGATCAGCTTGGCAGCCTTGCTGAGGCAGCGGTGGCGCAGGAGAGGGCTGCGGGCGCCTCTCCCTGTGCGGCCGCCGCTGGCGACACCTGGCCCGGACTCGCACCTCCGGCAGGCGGCAGGGTGCGCCCTCACAGTGCCTTCAAACACCTCCAGAGACACTGATTTCACCTTGCCAGAAACAACAAGCTGCGGGCACAGTCTGACAAGCAGGCTTGCCGGATAATCTCGAGCATCGCTCATTGCATGGGACGTCACTCTGGTGGGAGTCGTCAAAATGCTCTGCACCAAAGCGTGGTACCAGACTGTCCTGGTGGGCTAGGGGCACGGGGAGCTGATTTTTTTAGTAAATTACGGCACAGAGAAATGATATGAGTTGCTGTGAGCAGGTGGTGGGGTCGACGGTGGCGGCTTTGCGGGGCCGAGTGCAGCAGATGGGCGGCGCGGATGCGCGCGCGCACTGGCCGGGCCCGGGACGTCGCAGCAGCCAGTACAAGGGCGTGTCCTGGTCCGAGGCCTCCGCTAAATGGCGCGCCCAGTGCTGGGACGGCAGCAAGGTACATCTATGTCAAGGGGGACGGGTTACATTGTCTAATTCTGCCGGTTCTGCTTGACATGTGTGTGCACCATCTCTGCTTCCACGGGTCATGTCTGCATGGGCTGCTGCATGTTGCTCTTGATGCACATTGCTCAAATGTCAGCGTGCCTGTTCAGAGCTTGTTACAAAGGTAGATTATCTTTGTCCAATGCTGGCGTGCCTTGCAACTCTGTGGCATGCATGAGAACGTTGGCATCCTGCCATCATCCACTATGCAAGACTAAAATTTGTCTGACGATGCTCTATGGACTAACAGGTGAAGTACATCGGCTACTTTGACGGCGAAGAGGAGGCGGCCAGGGCGTACGACACTGCCATGCTGGCCCTGCGGGGCAACTCCGCGCAGACCAACTTCGCGGCTGCCGAGTACACCGGCGAAGCCATTGCCAAGGCCGAGGATGCTGTGTGGGGCCAGCGCCAGCACCGAGTACTGCTCTGCGATTGCTGATAAATCAGAGAATTGTCTTAGCCTGCAGGCTCCTGCCATGGATCGGTCATGACCTTGTGGGAAAGTCTTCTGCTCAGCTGCGACCTGCATGAGCTCTGGAACAGAGTGCCCCATTTGCTAATTGGGACTCTTGCGCTAGGAGATTTCTGAAGGCGGAATATTGTGGCCAATGCCCTTCATGTACCAACCCCTTCAGGCATGTATGCTGCAGCGCTGTGAGCGCCTGGGCCATGCTTGCAGGCGAAGAGCGAGGAGCCGACAGGTGTGGAGGGCATCAAGGTGGAGCTGGCTGCGCGCGTGCGCGTTCCCTCCCGCCGGGTGACCAGCCCCACCAACGCGGCTGCGCACAGCGGCCGCGCTGCGCCCCCCAGCTTTGCATACCACCAGGGGACCTCCCAGTACAAGGGCGTCTCCTGGTCCGAGCGCTCCAAGAAGTGGCGCGCGCAGCTCTGGCACGAAAACAAGGTGCTCCCTCTCTGAATGCTCAGGTCAAAGCCTTGCAAGCCTTCGGTGGCTGGTTTATATTTGTCGTGGCCAGGGTGGCAAACAGCCTCTTCTGTGGTGCCTGCCCTGCCCAGAAAAAGCTGCGCACCAAATTCGCAACACGGAATTGTATGGCCCGAGAGCAGGGCAATCAGTGTATGTGCTTTGGTGCTTGGTGTGGGTGATATTGACAGGAATTCGCCTATCCTTTAGAATTGGAAAATTGCAATCATTGAAATGAAGGTGCACCACTGCAAGGTGTGGTAGCAGGCCAGTGCAAAGCTCAGCACGGTGGGGTTCGCAGGTGAACCACCTGGGCTTCTGGGAGCTGGAGGAGGATGCGGCGCGCGCGTACGACGCGGCTGTGTCCCAGCTGCGCGGCGCGGGGGCGGCCGTCAATTTCCCGGCGCCCGGGACGGTGCGGCCGCTGGTCAGCAGCCGCACAATTACCACCTGCCCGGCGGGGGGACCCTCCACCACCGTCGTCGTTGAAGCCATCCCCCGCATCAACGTCAACGCCAAGTGAGTCCCCCTCTTGCAGCAGGTTCTGGCCAGCGGATTTCTGTGATTTTTAAAGGCCACCCATCAGTCCTCCCCTTGCGGTAGGTTTTCCAGCGGACACTAAACTGATAAGTTGACTCAGAATCCCCTGAATTTCACTATGAGCAGATTCTCATTTTTGAGCGGCCCCACATCAGTCGTCTCCTTGCAGCTGCCTTCCCGACCCTTCTGCATGCGTGCAAAAGATGCTATTGTGGAGAATTTGCCACCCGCCTAAGTGCTTCGCCACCTGTGGATGCTGTAGCATCTGGATTGCAGTGCAGACATGCTGTAGCAACATGGGAAAACATATTGTTTTCTACTTCAGAGTAGTCAGCCGTCTTGATGTGAACGTTGACGCATGGATGGGAGTGGGGGTCTATGATTAAAAGTGGGCGAGATATTGTGTATTCCTCTGGACCCGAAGGCTACAGATGACCTTCAGGTGGGGCAATCTATTACATGACATCTGCTGATACTTGCGCGCAGGGGGTCGTCCAAGTACAGGGGCGTGCGCTGGCACGAGCGCAACGGCAGATGGGAGGCGCGCATCTTCGACAACAGCACAGGGAAGCAGATCAGCCTGGGCTACTACGAGGCCGAGGAGGAGGCCGCACGCGCGTACGATGCCGAGTCCATCCGCATCCGCGGCATCCACGCCCACGTCAACCTGCGGGCGCCCTCTGCCGCCCGGCCACGCCGCACGCGCCGCCGCGCTGCCTCCAAAGGTTTTATCTTGGTCTTCATGCTTACAAGTGACCGCCAGGGATATGAATCTGGGGCTCTCTTGAGTTTCCCAGAGTGCTCTCTGTATCTCTGCAATCACCTGGCCTGATTGATCCTTGTACTTGGGAGAATTCAAGCTCAAAGCAATTTCTGGGACTGGCTTAAAGAAGCACTCAATTCTAGAAACGTGCCTTGACCTGAGAACCGCGTCCTGATTGGAGTAAGTAGTTCAAAGGACCAAAATTAGAACGCCAGCATGGCCTTCCTACAATCTTTGTATGATCCAGCAAATGAAGGGTACTGATTTGTACCAATTTGCGTTGCGTCCTTTGCTTGTGTGTGATTCTGAGAGCGTCTGCGCGCAGCCGTGTCATCTGAGGAGGACGACGAGGCATCGTGGCCGGTCAAGCGGCCGCGCGGATTCAACCCGGCCATCGCACGGCGTGACCTGCAGTCCATGGCGGCCGCAGCAGCCGCCATCGCAAGCGCGCGGCCACCCGAACCCGGCGCCTCCAAAGCACCCCGCACCTCCTGCTACAGGTCAGCCCAGACTTTCCTCTGTTTCTGCTCTGTTCTGATGAACTGCTCTGCTCTGTAAATCCGCTCTCTTCTGTTTTCTCTGTTCTGATCTGATCTATTACGTGGGTTCTGTTTTTGTTTCTTTCATTTTCTGCATTTCAGTTTCTGTTCTGAGTTTGTTCTTCAGTTGTTCTGGATTATTTTGTTCCGTTCTGTTCAGCATCATGTTACTCTCTTCATATCTTGCCACCTGGAAAAGTTGCATGTGAGCGTGTTCCTGCAAGGATGCACCTTGGAATGCAGTTTGCAAGCAACTGAGCTACATATTGAGCTTTTGTGGTTTATCGTGGACTGCCCTGGCTCAATGGTGCCATGCGTGCCACCAGGCTGTCGGAAGACCTCATCTGATGCGGCATCTCCTGCTTTGTGCTCTCCTCCAAGTTCTCTCCAAGGTGCTTTTTCTTCTTTTGTTGCTTTCGTATCTGTGAGCAGCAGGTTCCTGGATGTGGCGCTCAGAAGAGTCTGTCCTCTGCCGAATTTCCCCTTGATTGCTTGTCCTTGGTACCAAGACTTGTTGGCCCACAATTGCCTGCCCACCTCCTTTGCCCACCCCTTGGCCCACGTGCTTTTCCACCTGGGGCGTTTGATTCTTCTTTCTCTCGTTGCCCGATCTTCATGTGCATTTGGCTGATCTTGCACTGCTGAAACCTGTGAGTTTAACACTGCAAATTAGCTGGGATGCGCAGGTGGCCCTTTGCGCAGCTGTTTGGGGTACTGAATGCTCTTGCGACAGACAAGCTTTGCTGTTGCTCATTGTTTCAAGCTTTTAACTTATCCAAGCTTTGCGCGGCTGAACAGGGGCGTTGTCTGGGACCCAGACACACAGTACTGGGCGGTGCGTCTGGCCACGAGGGGCGGCGAGCGGCGGCAGTTTGGCATGTTTGACACTGAGATCGAGGCCGCAATTGCGTACGACGCGGCAGTCCTGGAGCTCTTTGGTTCGCGCACGCCCACCAACTTCGACTCCGAATACGGTGCGCACACACTATTCCGAGGAAGACATGTTTTGGCTCTTTGCTGTGATGCCTTCCATCATGCAGCAAGCGCTTAGGGACATAGGTGCCACAGATCTTGCTTCCATACCTGAGTGCTCATGCTCCAAGCATTGCATTTCGTTCAATGCAGCAGCCGAAGGACAGGACCGGCGTGCACCTGTCCTCTTCTGATTTCATGCCCACAGCGCATACCACTCTACAAGGTGGCGGCAACAGAGAACGACAATGAAAGGGTCTGTTTCTGTGTAGGTCCGGCGGGCTCACCGTTGGTGCCGGTGCCCAAGCGGCCGCGAACGGAGTCGTCGGCGGTGGCGCGCGCGAACGCAGCCCTCTTCCTACTCGACACAGCCGTCATGTCGCCCTCCCTCATGGGGCCCCTGGCCGGCAACCTGCAGCACCAGGCGCAGTCAGCTGCCAATCTTGGCGCGGAGATCCGGCGCGCCGTGCAGGCGCGGCTCGGCTTGCCGGAGCCGGCCGCTGACTCAGCACTTACAAGGCAGCTGCCCGGCGGATTCGCCCCGCACCCCCAGGGATCCAGCCCCGACAAACAGAGCTTCCTCAGGGGTGCAGGAGCAGCGGCAGGGTCACAGAGGCAGGATGAGAACAGCGGTGTGGATGTCCCCGTGCGCTATGGTGTCTTGGCGGATGCTGCGCAGCAGCGCATTGCAGTGGGAACGCCGCCAAAGACAGGCTGGCAGCCGCCCGCCGGATCCACCCAGCTGGGCTGGCCGCAGGGTGGGTCAGATCCGCTGCAGCAGCCCCCGGCACTGTTTGCGGGCGCGGGACCTACTCACAGGTATATCGCAGGAAAGGGGCAAGACATTGCAAGGGAGCTGCAGCTTCAGAGCGGGGCAAAGGGGCCGAATGCAGGAGGCGGCGCGGCCGATCTGCATCTGCCGACCCCGCTGAAGCTGCCGTTGCTGCCTGCGGCGGCTGCGAGGGACCGACCAGACTCTGCCGGTATCGCCACAAATCACTGAGCCTCCAGGTGCTAATTTCAATGAACATTTAGGCTGTGCTGTCAAGAAGGAGGCTCCCAATGGGAAATGGCATGGCGTAGCTGTGTGGAAGGGGTGTATGAGATCAGCCTATTATTGAGGCTGGAGAGAGCACAAGGAGATGCAGAAGTGTCAGTTGTGGGAACCGATGAACGGACGAACAAGATTCGAAGGAACTCAAGAGAGAAGTCCCTCTATGAAACAAATGCCAGGAAGCGTACAGGGGCTCAATGAAGTCAATTGCAATGGCATCTTAATCATAGTAAACCATAGTAATTAAGGAATCGCACAATGTGTCGCAGTGAGCGCCTCAGGCTCAGGATGTTGTATGCTTGCAGCTCCATGAATCCCTCTCTGCAGGGTAGACTATTTCATTTAAGGGATACCAAGCACCAGCTTTGCTTCTGTGCAGCACTGCGAGTGGCAAAAGGATTGCTGGCTTTTTGCTGAGCGCAGTAATGTTTAGGCGCGTAAATGTGCAAGAGAGAAAGTCTTACGTGTAGATATACCTGCTGGGAATTTTGATGAGGCCCAGGAGAAGCTTAAAATTGTGCTAAAACAGATGTGCATCGTCTCAAGTAAGAATGGGGATGTGAAGTAATAGCGCAGACGGATGCTTCTCTGCAAATTGGGCCATGTTTGCAGCCGCGCAAGCTCTGTTCAATGCATCTCAATCACCTAACACAATGACTCAAAAATCCTGCCCCTTTGACTGCCGTTCTTTTTTAACAATTGTTGCAACATTGGAAACGTCCCCACGTGTGCATGAACAAAAGTATACGGCATACTGCAATGCAGTTTCCTAGTTAATACACATTGGGGGACCGTGATCCATCAGTCACATAAGCATCAGTATCGGCCATATGGCCTGCAACAATAGCCACGGCATATCTCAAATACTTGCATGGCCCTCAAAACCACTCGAAGAACCATCCCAGGATGCTAGCCAGGCCAATTCAGCTTATCAGAGAGCAGGCCTGCCCAAGGCCCAATTAAATACTTGCCGCTTCACAGAATGTCAAAGGAAATTTCAAAATTTGCGCTCTTTTGGCTGTCACGTCTGGCTGACACTTCTGGTGCTGTCGTGACTTGTAATCATGATGTAATCTTGCATATACTGTGTTTCCGAAAATATCATAAAAACATTGCAAAAGCATTCTTTCTGTGGCATCTTCATAGTGTCACTTCTGGCGGTCACGGTTGATGAGGAAGAGGCTGGCACATGCAAGTGCCCTAAACAGGACGCCGATGAGCGCCAGCATGGCGAGGCAGTGCGGCTGGCGCGCGATGCTCATGCCCAGATACTCCATCGACGCGCACCGCGCTGCCAGCCACACACCTGTCAGCTGCGCAGCCTCCGCCGTCTGCAGCCCTGCACCAATGCAAACAAAAATATCTGGACGCCAATTGTGACTCAGCACTGCTGAGTCAGCAGGGGTTCAACAAGGACTAAACTATGGTGTGATGCAAGAGTCGAGATCCTTGAATTTTTTTAGAAATTTCAGAATAGAAAATAAGCTTGCATCACAGTCCTTTCCTTGGGCGAGTTGTTCTGGGCGCGGTGTCAGGGTTCCGCGAGTTGCCGCTGCATGCAAAATGATGCAGGACAATTTTTGGTAAGCACCCACAAATATTGCGCCCATGTCTATCTACCTAGTGCTTTCTAGTTGAGCATGTCAGTTTGGGCACCTCAGGCCCTGAGCCTCACGGTCCACTGAATGAGAAACACGAATGCCGAGAAAGGACAGGAGGATGCGGGCTCACCTTCGAGGCCCCAGCGCGCAAAGTTGAGGCGGTAGAGGACTCCGACGTAGCCGGGGCCCTCGTGGAAGCGCGCCAGCATTCCCCCGATCAGTGCATACACCGCTGCGCTCAGCTGTGCCGCCACCGACTCCATGCACTGAACAGCGCAGTCAGCATAAGTCAGTGACAGATAGGTGGGCGCAGCCTGCAGTGGTTGACATCTTCCTTCAAAGTCTCAGCTTCAAAGTTAAAGTCAGAGATAAAGACTGTGAGAGTCATCCGTGCCTTCGGACAGCAAGGGCCCTCAAAAGGTGTGTTGAAGCATGGCGGTGCTACCACAAATCTTCTTCAGCTGATGTCAAAGAAGGGTCACTGCATTCTCTCTGTGTCTCTGCGCATGGGACTCTCGAGGCAACATACAGTTGACTCCACAGAGTGCATGTCAGATGATCTGCACTCACCAGCGAAAGCAGGTAGCCTGTCCCGGTGCAGGCGTAGACGATGCCGACACAGACGATATACATCTGCCACAGCGCCGCGTTGGGGGTGGCCAGGATGTAGTAAGGGATGAGGTAAGCGGCCGCGCGCATCGCCACTGAAAACAGGCTGTGGAAGTCCACCGCCAGGAAGAACGCCAGCCTGTCACAGGAGGCTGCCATATCAGGGTTGCTCATCTGCGTGCTTGGGTATTGACAATTCCTTCTAACATTAATGTGAAGATGTAGGAGTATTGCAGACAGTGAGCAGGTGAGTTGTGATGAAGAGTGCAGCTTGTTCCGGAACCAGGCTGGTCTTGTAGTAGAGCAATTCAGGGTCCGAAACATATTGCTCTCAACATATGGAAACACTTATCATCTGCCTTGCTGCACCAACACCTAGAGATGACTAAAGGAACACAGAACCTCTCAGTACAGGTAAATTCAATGTCCAGATATTCAACGGGAAGGCAGGGGCACCTGTTCAAGCCGGAGGCAGCTTCGCGGAAAAACATGAGGCGCGAACGGCCAAATGCTGGCAGCGCAGCAACTGTTGACAGCAGTCCCAGCGCGATGCAGCTGTAGGTGCTGTACATGTCATACTCCAGGATCGTCCCCTTGCCATGGTCCGAGAACGCCCCCAGCAGCAGACCTACAGTGCAGCAAGGACAACTATTAATATTAGAAATTTGCACGCTCGGGGCATCGATATTACTGGGATGGTATTAGCTTGTCATCCTGTAGGTCAGAATCAGAGCTACATGGGTAAATAAAGTAGAATGTGAGTAGACTGTACTAAGCAGAGGCCTCGGACACAATGGCTTGTACACGCAGTTGCAAGAAGCACAAATGATCATGAACATGCACTGTGCGCCAGCACTCATGTGTAGTGTACACTACCTCTGGCAGGAAAACCAGAGAGCCATGTGTCAACATGCGATAGTAGCAGCAATGCACGCGCACCGGTGACAGCAAAGATGGCGTAGCTGAGGAACACAGACACCGGCTCGCGCGTGCGTTGCAGCAAACAGCGGCCCAGGCACCAGGCAAACTGACGCCGGAAACCGGGAGTGGCGCGCCTGGCCGCCTTGACCCGCGGCGGCACGTACGGAGGAAAGCTGTCCTGCCTCCGCGAGGGCTGCCGCCGCGGCCGCCGCAGCGCCCACGCCCTCAGCAGCTTCACTGCACGGATCGGAGCACGCCTGCGGCAGGCGGGGATTCTAAAGGTGATGACTAACCTCATTGCAGAATAGAAAGGGTGCATCGCGACATAACATAATGATAATCTAGTTTGACTTTTCCTGGTGGCTGTGGCTGTCACTAATCTGCATGGAACTTTTGGGTTGTGGTAAATCCTCCACTGCAGTTCTTCGAGTGGTGGGGAAAGCTGCATGCAACAGAGAGCTATGGCCTGCATATGCAGCTTCACAGTGCATGCATGCATGCATCCAATCACATGTCTCAAATGGGATGTGGGATGCAAGCTGCGCTGTTTGTGTATGTCTATCACCTGATGGCATGCAAGTGCGTGTGCAAGGCGCGGCGAGCGAGGTAGAGGTAGTAGGACATGGGCCGGTGCTTTGGGTCAGAGAGCGCGCGTTGCAGCTCCTCTGGTGCGGGCGCCACCGGGTCCTCGTCATCGGACAGCAGCAGCTGCGCGGCAGCTTCCTCCACGATCCTGTCCATGTGGCGATCCCATGCGCTCGCCAGGTCCTGTGGCACCAACTCAAAATTTCAAAGGTTTCTGTTACCTGGCATTTGACATTCATTCACCCGTGCAGCAGCATTTCAGGCCCTGTCGCAGACTAGGAGCAATTTACAATCCATGGACCAAGTCCTAGGCAGTAACTTCTTTACAATTAACCCATGCCTGTGAGCTCATACTCTTCTAACTCATGAGTATTGATCAGCTGGGAAAACGCTATTACCCAGGGTTCTGGATTGTGGATTGCTACTTGCTGTTGCAACGCGGTTCATGCCCACTATGCAAGAAGTGCGCTGAAGGTGGACCATACCTCGGCAGCATGCTGAGCAAAGATGGCCCTAGAAGGAGACATGGTGCCTTGCACATGCGCGCTGCCCATGGACGGCTGCTTGCTGCGCGCTGCAAGGCCGGCCACAATGTCCATGAAGATGTCCGCTGGGTTTGCATGCACCGGCACGCTGTATCCCAGTCCCTCAAAGTAGCCCTGCCAAATGAGCCAGCATGCCCTCAGACAGGAAGCACCTACCTTCTTCACAAATTTCTGTGCCGTGCCATTTGCAAAGTATACATCTTCTGGTGACAATAATTTTGCTATACTGGTGAGTGACTCTTGAAAGCTGGGGATTGTGAAGATCAGGTTAGGTGAGCGCAGGAGGGCATGAAAATGTACCTGCACAGATGTGACACCGCCATAGAAGGCAGTGCGGCCGCCCTCACAGAGCAGCAGCAGGTCATCAAACATGGCGAAGATCTCATAGCTGGGCTGATGCACCACTGCTGCCACAGTAACTCCCATGCGCGACACCTGCCCATTCAACCCAACACACCCTGAAGATCCCATTGATCACTCATCGTGACAACATTGACGTGCATGCATACACATGCATCTGCTGCTGTAGGAATTTGTAAAGGACAGCCCCTGTGACAGCATTGACTTGCTGCAGCATGCAATTGTATCCTGTAGCATGCATTTGCATCTGCGCGATTGTCAATGATGTCACAGGGCAGTCAAAAGTACAGGGCAGGTTGAGCAGATGTGCAGGTCACCTGCTGAAGGGTGGCAACGACAAGTTTGGAAGAGGTGGAGTCGAGGCCGGAGGTGGGCTCGTCCAGGAAGAGCAGGGCGGGGTCGGTGACTAATTCAATGCCGATATTGACTCCCTTGCGCTGGCCGCCGCTGATGCCTCGAACCTCTGTGTCGCCCACCAGCTCATGGCGCACCCCAGACAGCAGCAGCACCTGCAAGAAGCCATGGAAAGCTTACTATTGCTCACCAATCACCTGCCAGGCTTGCTTGGATCTGGCGCATCTGACATTGAGTAGGGACTTGGCAGCATTTAATCGCAGCTTGTCTGCGAACGCACCTCGCCTCTGGCAGGAAAAGCGTGTGAGATAATTTGATACCTGCCATATGACAACACATGCATGCAGATATGGAGGCCCGATCCCCTGCTTTGGGTATAGGGGAGTATGTATACCGGAATACAGGAAGGGAGACTGATAAATGGCGCTCACAAGGATTGGAATAACAAGCAGACATCTGTCATCATCGATGCCTCCACCTGTCTTCCAGACCTGGTGAAGGCCATCCAGCCGCATGCAGGATATCACAAGTCAAAAGCTTAGTAAGGAAAAGGAGGCATGCCTGGATGGTGCGCTCAACAGAGAGCAGATGCTCGGCATGGCTTGTGGTGGCGGGCAGGCGATATCGCGCGCTGAAGAGCAGGTTCTCTTCGACTGTCAGGCTGGCATGCACAATGTCGTCCTGTCACAGTCATGCAAAGGTCAGAATCTCCCCATTACTACACACTCCACAGATTAGCGTGGCGCAACATTCTCTTAAGTCTGCTCAAAACAGGGGCCCCTGCACTGTAATCAAGGACCGCATTGTAGCATGCAGCATTATGTAGGTGACATGCCTGGGGAACAAAGCCGGAGATGTTTCTGTAGCGCTCCAGGCGATCCGGCCGCCCATTGATGCGCACTCTTCCTGTGACCTTCCCATTGCCCATCTTGCCAGCCAATGTGTTCAGCAGAGTTGTCTTGCCTGCCATGCACCCAAACATGCCCTCGTGTAAGCTGACAAAGCCACCTTGGCTAACAAACATTGATTGCCTTGGCAGTGACAGCCTCGCACATGCCATCACTTCCACAATAGACTCCATCAAAATCATAGTGCAAAGAAGAGGCAGAAAGAAATTCGTAGGGAGCAAGAGTGCATGTGGCGACAGAATCATGTTTACCTGCGCCACTGGGTCCCATGATGGCAGTCAGTTTGGCAGGTCTCAGCTGCCCAGTCACACCAGCCAGCACCCTCTTCCCAGTGGCCCTCAACACCACCCTCAAGCTGTCAAACTCAATGTGCATGTCCACCCTGCATCCCCAGCACAGCATATTTCAGACCTGCTGCTGTTATGCTTCATTGTGGACCTATGTCAGACCTGCTGCTATCATGTTCAGGATTGGACCATCCAGCTTTGTTGTTCAATATGTTCATAGGGTCTGCATAGCTGCTATAAGAGGCCCACCTTTTCCTCTTCTTCCGGATGGTGTCAACAGGTTGGCTGAAGAGATTGAGAGGTCCAGAGAAAGCACTCGCTGCACATGGGCGTTCCTCAGAGGCCTGCCGCAGCCCTTCTTCCATGTCAAAAGGAGTGTGCATCCCTGATGGGCTGGGAGCAACCGCCCAGAGAGACTGGAAGGAACGTGACACAGAACCGCACGTGGATGTGTCATCACTGCATGGCAGACACAGAATTCTCATGTTGACTGGATTGACCACAATCAGTCCAGAGCAAATTTTCTTGCAAATGCACATACCGTAGCTACAAGTCATCCACTCAACATGCAGAGGATTTGGTGAGCAGGAGTACTAACGACTTACTTGTCAGAGGTGGAATCGGTACGAATGGGCCGCAGAGGTGTCAGCAGGGTGTCCCGTTCACTTGGTGCCATTTGGTGAGCGCCTCCTCGGTCCTTCTCCCCAGCAGTGACCATGAGATCCTCGGCAGTGCTGCGCGGTGACAGCATCAATGAAGGGAGCTCCAGTGACATGTTTGCATCCTCCTGTTGGCCAATGTGCAACCCAAAGTCAGTCCCAGTGATGATCATCACCCTCTTATAAAGATATGGCTACATTTTGAATATTGCATGAGGCACTTCAACCATGGAGAACACAGGCTCATCCTTGACTTGTGGCAGAGTCCATGCTGTTTGGCAGTCCAAGCAAGACTCTTCTGCAGAGCTGCGGCAATTAAATCAGAGAGGTTTCTTGGTATCAGAGCCAGCCGCACCTGTTCATCCAGGGGTGTGAGCTGGTACTCTTCCAGCAGCTCAGCGCTCTGCGCGCGCCTGCGCCGGTTCTGCCATGCAGTGGCCTGCCACAGGGCTGACAGGGCGGCCATCAGCGCAGCCGCCATAGTGAGTGCGGCTATGAGCTGTGAGTGGCCCTTGTCCGGCACATGTGTCCCCTCTGGGCACCTCACCAGTGGCGGGCAACGCCTCGGCTGGGAGGAGCCCTTCTTGCAGTAGAAGCCCCTTGGACACACCTGGCAACCAAGCACGGATACATACGTAAAATCATCTCAAATCCCTGTTTTCCGCGGCTTCAGACAGGTCTGTATCAGAGACTGTGTTCCTCCTACCAGAATAGGTTGATATATTGACACCAAGAGTAACTGTATGGCATGAGGCTGAGTCCATATGTATGTCACCAGAGGGTATCAACATTCAATGTACAAGCGGCTTGGATAGACATTGACTGCAATGTGTGAACAAAGTGAGCAATTAATTGGGTGTAAGCATGTGCATGTGGTGGCACCTTGATGGAGGTGGGAGTGGGGCAGTAGTGAGAGTCAGGGCACCAGATGTCGCCGCCACCAGCAGTCCAAGTGATCCACCCTGGAAATGCCCCTCCCGGTATGATGTGCCACCTGTCTGCTCCCCCGCACCCCAGGCCCTCCTTCTCCTTGTATGCATATGGCGCGCACCACCTGCACAAGTGCTGCCATCTTGCCAGATACTTCTGCAGCACTTTCATACCTGCATTTCATGCCATCATCTCCTTGAACATCAAAGCATATAGGTAAATGCAGGTAAAATTGCAGCACTGTGGCACGTGTAGGAACAGAAGCAACGTGGCAACAATCAATGTCCCGGCATGATCAGGCATGCAGCTGACTTAATTTGCAGCTGCATGCTGGTGAGTGACCGGACCTGTTTTGAGATGGAGCGTCTGATGCAGCTGGGGGCACCCAGTCTGGTGGAGGAGCCTCTGCATGAGACCTGCATCCATGACCACATAATCTTGAAAGTGAGCTTTCTCACCCTACTTAGACATAGATTGAGGGTATGGCAGCAGTCATTGCCATTATGGTAGCTGAGCACCTAATCTACCATGGGGTACAAACAAGCAAAACCAGCTCTGGCTGCACGCTGTTGTGAAGTAGCTCTGAGAGGCACCTGGGGCAGTAGGCTCCCAGAGGGCAGGGAATCATGCAGGACAGCATGGGAGGGCAGAAGTAGCCCTCGCAGCAGGCAGCAGCGGCAGGCTCTGACATGTTGAGGGTGGAGGCCGCCGGATTTGCGCTGTCAAAGAATCCTGAGCCGCATGCTCCCGTGGCAGATGAGCAGGTGCCAGTGTCTGGCAGCTTTTCCACATTGTCTGTTCGTAGAATATGCTGCAATCGAAAAGGACCTTGTCAGTCGAAAGATAGCAGAAATAGAGTAGCAATGAAATCTCTATTGTTGCAGCTTGTCTTGGGTTGTCACTGCCAATAAAAGCAGCACAGCTGCACCCAACGCTCTAGGAAAAAGAAGGTCAGTGTCATCCTAGTGGTAGACAATAAATCAACAAATTTAATATTGCCCTTGACAAAAGCAGAGCCTCATCGTGAATTTGCAGTGTTTCTGAGGATTTCGAGGACCTTGTAGTACTCGCTGATTTGCTCCGCCTCGCACAAGTGGGGCCCAATGTGCTGCTCATTGCTGCAGAAAACATCCTGTGGAGGCAGGCCGGTGGGCAACGGGGAGGGAAGGCTCCTCTGGACAACCTCGTACGCCCCGCGCTCTGTGCTGCCAAAACACCACGACACCTCGTCCCTCTGTTCCAGCCAGAGTGTGTGGAACAGGTGCAGCCACTCTGCCTTGATACTGTCATCAGCAGAGCTTAGGACTGCTGCTATGAGACCGCCTGATTTCCGGAGCGATGTCACATCCTGCTCGGATGAGGCGCTGCTCAAGACTAGACACAGGATCAGGATGGAGCGATTGAAAGCCCAAAGCGACGCTGCCATAACATAGCAAGACCGGACACAAGAATTTCCGCTATACAGAGTCCTCTTTTCTCTCTGTTGATTGTCAGATTCTACAAGGATGCTCTCGTCATATGTATGCCATCATCTCGTCCGAGGAAAAGGGTGAGCTTTTTTAGGCAGGATGGATTATGTCCTTATTGATTATGGCCTTCCCTCAGCGGGCAGCTTCCGGATTCTCACCCATGCAAGGAAGCTGATGCCGAGTATAGAGGACGAAATGCAGGATAGGATCAAGACATTGTCCAAGATCGCTTCTAGAAGGCTTGTGTGAAACATAGAAAAGCTTCGTCGAAATTCTGGTCTGCGAAGGGCAAAGATGATGGGGTTTACAATTCCGATGTACGTCTTGCTGGGCATGAACCTTTCTATGTCCGCTTCCTTGCTGTTGCCTCTGCCAGTTTCAAGGCCTGCAGTGTTTCTTGTGAAGTGGAGTAGATCGCCAGTGGGCCAGGCAGTCACTGGCACCTTCTGTTTCTTGTTGGTTCTGATGGCGATGAACCCCCTCTACGATATCTACACAATTCACCAGCACAAGGACGCGCAAATAAAAAGCATCACGTCGAAGAACCGCAGGTGAGACAGTTGAACGGTTATTAGCAGGGTCGATGGCTTTTCCTGACTGGTGTTTCTCAAGCCTGAGGCGCACCCCACCTGTTTAGTTTGTGTTAGCAATCAATCTTTAGATCGGCGACAATGCTTTTTGAACCATCTATGCCGTTGGAGCTACTTAAACGGCAGATTGCAGCAAGTTGATGCAAGAACTGTCTTGATCCCGCAGGGGTGTTGAGGCGTCAGCGCAGTTGAGTCTCCTGCTGACAGTGGGCAACATGATCTTGCCACTCATCAATAGAGGCTTTGGCTTGGCGCTAGCAGAGATTGACGAGATACGTTGCAAATTTGGGGACGGTGCTTTGAAGTCCAGAAAGAAGTTGTCAGAGAGCGAAGAGTGAGCGCTACAGCTGACTGCTCTGACTTCCAACAGCAATGCAGGCTGCAGCCTGAGAGCCAATCTATCTCAGTCAACAATGTTGCTGGGATACTGCAAACATTTAAATGCCCTAGTCGCCTATGCAAAGGATGGACAACTTGTTCCGGAAGTTCCGCCCACTTGAAGTGATGATCAGAGCAGTGGACTTTGACTCCGGCGTACCCCAATCACTGCTTTCCATGAGTTGATAAGCTGAAAACATTTTGAGTCTCCTCCGGGGCCAATGTACAATACCGTGTCTGGCTCGTCTCTTGCATGTCTGTAACTTGAAGTTGGCTTCAAGCAAGAAGTTCTGTTGGTGCAACGGTTGGTGCAAGTGCACTGCAACCAAGACTCATTGGGCGTCATTGGTTGCCAACATCGCATTTGCTGGGAATGCAGTCTTCATATTTGAGGTGGCATTGTTGATGGCCCCGTCCTCCTGAAACTCGAAGCCCACCGAGCCCAGAGAGGTTCCATTTTTAGGTTCCCAGTATGAGTCATCAATAGCTTCCGCCCAGGTCCATCTGTGCTGTTGCCTTCAATTCGCGATTGGGAACATAACCAAATCTACGTCAAGAGAGGATACCAGCTATTTCAGAGAAGACAATACCTGAGCCTTGCATACGGATATAGAACACAAACCGCTCGTCGTCGTTCAGCTGTTGTTGCAGGATGATCGGATTTACTTTGCCACTTTATGCACTCCTAGCAGTGGAACTCGTCCTTGCAGCAAATCTGATCATGCCATTGCCTGTCTCGCGTCCAGGTGAGATTTTCCTCAATCTTGGTCCAATAGTTTGGTCGGCAAGGGTTGTGCTTTTGGGCATCATCATGAGGGGAGAGGAAGTACAAATAGATCGATCCATGGGCGTAATGGGGAAACTTGGGGTCAGTAAAAATATTCCAAGCTTGTATATCTCGGCAACGGCTTTTAGCCTTCATACCGGTTTGTGGCGTGAGTGCCAACACTCACTCGGCATGTCAATCAGCAAGTATGGCGTCGCAGCTGTTAGGCAACTTTGCGATCGCTGGAAAGCAAGCTTTACCCCACACACTGGTCTGAACTATCTACTTTCTAGAAAGTACTTCAGGGAACGGGTCACAGTAGGAGTCTATGACTCCAGCAAAATCTTGGCAGCATCTACTTTTCAAGCCATCCGTGCTTAACGAGAGGTGAAGATGCCTGTGATTCTCATCTCGAGTCAGGTAAAATTCAGTATCTTCACCATCACAGCGTTTAAATGGTGAAGCTGCACATGCATGGCAGGTGTGGCACTCATCAAGGCAACCAGGACAGATGTGGGCAGGACAGTGGTGGTGACGATCGCTGGATTCCTCAGTATCCTTCTTGCCAGCCCGCTCTACGATGTCTACTCCCTGCACTCTCAGAAAGAAAAGTCGGACTCTGCTGAAACGCTGATGTCTGAGACCCGCAGGTATGACAACTCTTTCTGCACCAAAGAGTATTGTAGTGTCATCAATTTTTGTGGCAATGCATGGGGCTTGGCATTCCTGGGCAGGCATGACCTGGCAAGTAGGGCCCCAGATGACATTTCTTGTGAATCATTTCTTATGCGCATGCGCCTGTTGTAGAGTCTCTTGCGGCTACTTAGAGGATCCAAAGAGGATGGCAAAGTAATCATATACGAGCTCTTGTTTTTTTCTGGATGTGGATTTGCTATTGTCATGAGCTGTGTAGCATTTCCTTTCCTTTCTCAATTTTGAATTGGTAGGCCATATCACCTGGACGCACGTAACCGGTATCGTACGATACTGGGTGGACTCACAAGGGTGTAATAAGGAGTAAATGTGGGGGCAGGGAGACTGAGGCCAGCGCGAATCTGAGCCTGACGCTGACAGGGATGTGCCTGGCGCTGCTGGTAATCGTGCGCGCATGGGGCCTGGCACTTGCTGAGGTGGATGACTTGCGCACCAAGTATGGCGTGGCAGGCGTGACAGACCCAGAGCCCCCCAAGGTCGAGGCCAAGGTGGAGTGAAGGGAGACATGGGGGAAGCTGCCAGATGACTATTGGCAAGTTGCTATTGGTGAAGTAAAGAGAGATTGTGTGCACAGCGCTCCAAGATGACTGCTGACAAGTAGCTTCATGCCAGCCGGTGTGCATGCAAAAAGGACACTGTGGAAGCTGCCGGCCAAAGAATGGCAAGTTTTGATCGATGGAGTTGAGAAAGACTGTGTGCACAGCGCTCCAAGAAGACTTTCCACAAGTAGCCGGTGTGCCAGCAAACGCATCGAAAGCTGGCGCACTTGTGCTCCCTGTTTGGCTATGCATCATTGTGTGGCCTTTTGGGGTTGGTTTGGAGTGCGATCCTCCATAATGGATGCAAGATGATTGCAAACAACTGAGTTTGGAGTGTGACAACTTCATGGCACATGCCAGAACAACTTGATGCTATTTCATACAGTGGTGAGGCAATGACATGACAGTGTCTGTACCCTCGCAAATTACACTCTTAGTTTACATCAAAAGTTGCCATTGCGACTTGTAGCAGCTTTCGATGGTGCAGACACATGTTTATTGTAGTTATCAGATGTCGCTGCAAATTCTCCATTAGCACAATCTGTCAGCAATCTCCAGTACCCCCATCGGACTCGAAAATCACCCTCAAGAAGGGTCAGAGGGTGGCATCACAACTTTCAATACTTGCTCAGTGTGGCACAAGAGTTGACATGGCTCCCTAGCACTGTCCTCCTGCACAGCTGATGTGCGCTGAGTGTTTGCACCTCCTGCCTCTGAGGGCCCAGCTTCATCGCCTGTTCCTGTGACTTCTTCCACTGGTACACACAGTCATGTATAAATAACACCTCTGTGGTATCTCATGAGTAGCTTTCCACATACGTCCAAGACATATTGAATGCAGTCTTATTGTGCTTTACCTGTGCCTTCTGGTATTTCCATTGGCCGGGAAATTGAGCTGGGCTGTGACTGCTCTCGGGCAAAGAACATCAGGGATCCTATTGAGTCTTCATACTCTCCCCGCAAGACTTTGCCGTCTCCCAATTCAACCTCCGGTGTGGCAGTGTCTAGTCCCTGAGCAACCAAGTTCATGAGACCCTGCCGAAGCAAAATTCAGGCAAGGTTGACAAGCTCTGACTTGCTATGCATCTCACCCTGATGGAGATCCGTGCTCCAACAGCAGGAATCAAGTCGTTCTTGATCCCGCTGAGGTCCACATACACATAGGCTGCTTCATCACCAGCACCTGCTTCAATGAACATTATCACTCTTATATGGGCATGTCGAGATCACGCTCTTTGTACCGTCAAGAATTTTCATTTCACACATGAAGAATTGCACTCTTCATATGAGGGACACAGGTCGATGTGGAGAAGAAGCACCTTCTTGTGTTTGGTGAATGTGCCCGTCTGCAGGATCTGCTGATGAAGCTGGCTGGTGCTGCATAAAATTCTTAGGTCACATCGATTTGAGGCACCTCATAGCGTAGGTTGCTTTTAATTGAACTCCAAGAAAGACAAAGTGGCCCGTGATCCAAGCCACCGACGCAGTGGGATCCTCTCACGCAAGGCAGAAACAGCTCCTTCACTTCTTTTACTCAACAAATGATTTCTCAATTTGGAGATCAGCTGTAATCCAGATCAATCCTGCTATTCCGAAAGAAAGAAACTTTCTCCTTGGGCTTATCGAATTAGTGACTGCCAAATTTCCGAAACAAAAGTTCAAAGCCATTTTTGATTTCGCACAGCTTCCGTTAGATGAAGCAGAGCAACAAAACATAAGCAATATCTGCGATTGAGAAAATGACGCATGATCAGACAGGGAATGCATTCACTATCCCTTGAGAAGCTTTCTAGTGTCAGTTCATCAGACTCGCTTTCGCTGCCTGCGTTGTGGTCAATACTTGAATGAAGCGTGTGCAGAATCCACAGATATGTCATGGCCATTCACGTCCAATTGTAGAGCTCGCTTATAGGTAAAAGTTGGGATGGACTACAATCCTACACCTTCCTTTCCTTTCTTCAATTCGGATGGAATCTCTGCATGATCAATATTTTAATCAGGTTGTGCTAAAAGGCTCAATCTTGTGCGTGCAGTCCGGTCACTCCTGATGGGTACTTCCTCACAAGCGCAAGCAAGGATGGGTTACCCATGCTCAGAAATGGAGCCAACGGAGACTGGATTGGCACTTTCCAGGGGCACAAGGTAAAATCTTGATGAGCATTTTATGTGCGCATGGCGCTAATCCTTCTGAGGGCCACGCAAGATGGTGATACATTGACACCCGCTAGCAGCAACAGGCCAGATGGGTGGTGTGCTTCCTTCAGGAATAGAACAACACACTCATGAATGCTCACTGTTGTTGCAATACATTTACTCTCCTGAATCGTTTTGCTGCAGGGAGCAGTCTGGTCATGCAGGCTCAACAGCACAGCAATGCTGGCAGCCACGGCGTCTGCAGATTTTTCGGCAAAGGTGTGGGACGCCATCACGGGGGACGAGCTCCACCACCTGGAGCATGGACACATTGTGCGCACAGTGCAATTTGCGCAGCAGACGTCCAAACTTGTCACAGGAGGTGCTGACCCTCTCATACCTCGCCGACAATCTCAACAGTGCCGGGTACAAAGTTTGTCAGCTTCAAAATGAATAGCCCTTTCAACTTACCCTGGTCAGACTACTCCCGACGCCTTATCCGCTCTGCCTGCACTCTGCCTATGGAATCCTGCTGAGCATCAGCCATTGAAAGTTGAAGGGTGGGAATTCCAGAGGTGGTGTGGCTTGCTGCAGGGTATTTTCAGCAGCGGTTGCGAATCTACGACTTGCAGAAGATGGACAGCGAGCCGGCGACGGTCAGGGACGTGCCTGACAAGATCCGCTGCGCGGCCTGGCACCAAAATGACGCCCTGCTGCTCACTTCCTACACAGACCAACCCGGCATAGGGTGCGCTAGCATGTGCTCAATTTGCTCGATGTGTGTCTCTCTGAAATTCACTGGAAGCCTTTCAAAATACTTTGATGAAAGACAGCGCCTCTGACACTCACACAATCAGAGTTGCAGCATGAGTCAGATGATCATATTCTTGATAAATTTTATATTTTCCGCTCGGTGCAGTGTGTGGGACATCAGGACAGCCGGTCTGGTGAAGACTCTGGCGACTGGGAAGGAGGTGACATCCATTGAGATATCTCAGGATGGCCGCTACATCACCAGCGCTGACGGCACTGAGGTGTGCACCTCCCATATCACCGAGAAGCTCAAGGAAAGTCAGGATCCCTTCCTTGTCCTATTGGATCCAGCTCTCAGACTGGGTTGCACCCCTTGCATGTGTTGGAAACTGCATGCATGGTGGACACCAACGTCTCGTGCTGTCTTCCTTCATGGCTGAACGCCAGGGGACCCCAAATTGACTTCTAGAGTCCCCTGTGAACGCTTTGGAGAAGGGTACATTAGGCAAGCTCCAATTGTTTGCAAGAAATGTGTCTCAGTATCATTTCACTCCCCACCTGGGGTGCTGCAGACTTGGGGATGTGGGTGAATCTGGACCTCATTTCCTGGTGCAGGTGAGGTTCTGGGATGGGGAGAGGCTGGAGCCAATAAAGGTGTTCAGCCAGCCCTACAGCGTGGAGTCGGCCAGCTTCTGCCCGGAGAAGGGGCGCTTTGTGGCGGGCGGCGGCGACATGTGGGCGCACCTGCACGACTACGAAACTGGCGCTGAGCTGGAGTGCAACAGAGGTGCGCCCCGTCCAGTTGGCTATGTCAAACACTGGTGCTCGCCCATGCATAGTTCTGCCCAGGGGATTTTGAATCTCTTCACATGAAGTGGAGATCCCTTAGGCTGTGCCCAATCTGCTGGGTGACGGCTTGGGGCTAAACAGATAAAATCCATATCACGGCACACTGGCATCTTGAGAGGAATGCAGCTGGCATGCAGCTTCTTCATTTGTTTGAGTCTCAGCCTTTGCATCTCTGCAAAGGGGCGTAAGAATCTGTGCGCAGATGTGAGGAGCTTGCGCAGTGTTTTGTTTAAATTTGTTCACAATAAGAGCTTGCACAGTGTTTTCTATTTTTTTTTTCACAATGATACCACGCAGTTCTTTACAAGGACAGAGGGTGCGCAGGTCACCACGGACCGGTGCACACGATAAGGTTTGCGCCCGGCGGCGACTCGTATGCCTCTGGCTCAGAGGACGGCACCATCCGCATCTGGGAGACAGACTATGCGCTGAAGACTGAGAATGGGGAAGCCCCTGCAGCACCTGCTGTGAATGGCTCATAGCGACAGCAAGCATGCAGCTGATGGGGAAATGCAGGACGTGCGCAATTCCTTTGCCTCAAATTACTTGCCGTCAATAATGCAGGCAGTCTTGTGGTATGTGCCCATCTGTGCCATGGGAACCGATGAAGCCTCACTGCTTTTTGAGGGCCACATCACCGGTGTGTGAGGCTTTCAAATCAAAAGAGAATGAAGTTGTGCTCTAATAAACTCTCTAATAAACTCCCAGACATAGAGGTGCAGACGGAAACTTCCGCTGTGGAGGCAACACGGATGCGAGAATTGCCTCTTCCTGTGAGGTTGAATACAGAAAGTCTAGACCATCGCATACTCACAGCTGTTTCTTCAAGTTGAATGTAAAAGTAAACTTGATGTGGCTGCAGTCGCTCCACCTCACTCAATAATATTTTTTTACATTGAACAATGATTTGTCATCATGGGCTACAACAAGACGCCCTGCCGCAATGGGCTCAATCCATTAGCATTCCTCATGAGGGTGCATCACCGCACCGGATTGTCACATTGTTGAGCGCCCCTGCAATCTTTCTAAGCAGTCCTAACACCTCGCCATGACAACAGAGCAAATGAGAGGCATCAATGCGAATGCAGATGACAAAATCTCAGTCATCGGGCTCAACATGTCCATAGTGCGAGTTGCGGTCGAAGGACTGGTGGATGGTGAGCCCCTGGCTGTCCAGCCCAGGGAATTCCACGCCAGTCATCCACGGCTGGTCCTGTGGTCCGTACCGCACAGGAGGCAGCTGGTACGGGAGTAGGATCTCCAGCTTCTCTGCTCCTGTAGAAAGTGCTTCACTGCTGCCTGCTGCTGCCCCATCAGCTGCCCAAAACTCCACTCTGGAAGGCTGAGCGGCTGCTGCAGGCTTGTGGGAGGCAGGCGCTGTGCAAGAGAATCCAAAGTGGCGATGCCTCCGGTAGCTCTGCATATATGTAAAACAGATGATTAGCAGATCTAACGAGCTGCTCCAGATGACGTCAGAGGTCTCGTGATAATTTGATGCAATGTACAGCATGGTTGAGTGCGGTTAGAATGCACCGGGAAATTGGCTGAGAATGCACTCACCTCCTCCAGGGAGGGCAGCAGCAGCACACCCAGTTCGTAGTGCATAATATGAAGCTGAACACACACCAAGAAAAAGTAAATTTCACTCACCCCATTTTTATAGATTTCCACATGCAAATATGACTAAAAACCGGGTGGTGTTGTGTTTCTGCAGCCATGATGCATCGTTTCTGACCTTGCATGTCAAGAGGCAAGTACTAGCGCTCTGAACATTTGCATCATGGAAAGGGTCATGGCCCACCTGTGTGTTGTTCTTCTGAAGAACTCCCCACGCTGCTTTAGACAAGTTGTGAGATGTCAGGACGATATATGCCAGCCTCTGCCCTCTGCATATCCAACACGCATATTAGCTGCCGAAATATTACCGTAATCCTGGAATATCACAGGCACATGAGCTGAGCTCAATCATTAGTGCCTGGATGTAGAGTACTGCGGAAGTATTGTGCCCAAACACTTGATGATCAGTTTTAGAGCGCACGAGTGTCGCAGGTAAGACTTGATGTGTGGCATGGCATGCTGGCGGCCAGCTGTAGCAGGAGCGCCATCAAATCTGCACCAGAACGGCTGCAGGATTGGCGTGCTCAAGCCCTTGTCAGTCTTCAGCACATTGGCGTGTGTTCCTGCAGCAAAAGCAGCCTCTCTGTGTACTTGCATGCACAACCATGCCCTCAAAGAGTAACACAAATGGCACATGCCAAAGAATCTGATTGGAGCAACACGCTGTAAAATGAACTGAAAGATGCTATAGAGGCAGCACAGGGCACCTGGAATGGAGCAGCCTGCAAACCAGCCCTCGACGCTGTTTTTCACCTCCTCCACTGTCGGCCAGACCACCCTGAAGTCAGCAGCCGGCCCCAGCCGCCCTGCACATGCGCAAATACATAAAGAGGTCGTGTGTTGGGTAGAGCACAGATACCACCATACCTGATGATCATGCATGCAACCTCTGACTTCTGACTCAGCATCTCTCTGCATTCAGGAAAGTACTGCCAATGCAAATATAGATTTTTCGTGAGTTCCCAGCAAGATATCACATATTACATAACCCGCGCCCTCAACGCACAAGAAAAATCAAGCTTCTTCCACAAGCGACACAAATCCCTTATTGATGGGAGGAGCTGAGCTGACCTGCGCTCCCACTGGGATTGCTGTCCCAGCAGTCGCCTGCAGCCAGGCTCTCCCGGAACTCGCTCAGCCATGCACCTGTGATGGACCCCAGGGACGAGAACTGCGCCACGATGGGAGACCTCCTGAACACCGGGTCAAAGCGCTGCCGCGCCAGCAGGCTCCTTACCAGCATGTGGCCGTACTTCTGCTTTGCTGCGCCTACACATGCACCATCAGCATGATCGGGTGATAATCACCAGCCACCTTGGAAGCACAGGCAGGGTGACATTCGGTTTTCTTGCCTACGATGGAGTTGTGCTTCATAGCCTGCCGAAAGACAATATCACATATCAATCGGCCAGAGAGACTCAGACTAGTGACAGAGGGCAATATGCAGGACTGGGACTGGGAAATTCCAGGACATTTATTATTCAAGGGAACCCGGGAATGTGTTAGATGTTCCAAATTTTAGGCAGGTAATAGACGAAAGGGGCTCCTGATGACAGCGTGTCCAGGCACTGGTGGCGACTTCGCACCCTGATGGTATCCTGGTACAGAGGGGATGAGGTGTGCGCGGGCGGAGGAGAAGTCATGCTGCGCTATGACCTGCTGCGCATGCTGCGCCTCCCTGGCAGGCAGCCGCAGCGCTGCAATGTAGTCACTCAGAGTGGTCTCGAATAGCCGCGAGGCATTGTCCTGAGGAGACCGCTCATCCTTCCTGTGCATGCATGCACATTGCATCAGAACCACAAAAGTACTGTTGGATGCAAAACAGCGTGTCTTGAGGATGGGCACCTTTGTGTCACCCCAATATAGTGTCACTGCACAAGTGTCTCCCTATGACAGCACCGGCTGTCTACTAGGTCACATTGTCATGATCCACAGCAGCTGCATGCATGCATGCAAGGAGCAAACAGCAGGGGCGCACACCTAATTTGAACCAGCTTTGTTAGATAGTTCTCATTGGCACATCAACAGCAGTGCAAAGCAAAACATGACTGCCCAAGAGGAGGACGGCAGCATTGGAATCTGTATGCATGTGCATGGCGAGCACACCTGGGAAAGTCCTGGTACCAGAGGCCCTGCGTCTTGCAGTTGCAGTCCTGATGGATCAGATTGGCAGTGTGCACGACCACTCGCAGGCCCCTGTCGAACTGCACCAGGAAGGCCTTGCTGTGGTGCACGCCGTACTGGAGTGGACATCGCGCTTGGTGGATGACCCATGGCCTGCCCGCTGCAATCTGCTGCATCCACGACACGCTGTGCACCACGAATGCAGCCTCAGCTTGCCACGTGAAGCAAGTCGTGGCTTTCTGGCATCCTGCACCCTGTAATGCAGGTAGCACATATGCAAGATGCAAATGATGCACAGGTCAGTGTCAGTCCATGCCACGCTCACCCTTCCTGATTGCAAAGGACTTGCTGGCATGTTGTGACAAATTGATTGTGGCTGGAGTGTCAATGAGTAACCACCTGGTGGGGTTGCTTTTCTCCCCATGGACAACTGTCACGCGGTCTGCATCCAGGACAGAGGGCGCAGCGGAGACAAACCACCTCATGTCAATCATAAAATTGCTGATGAGCAGCCACCTCATTGGCCCCCCGCTCAGCAAGTCCTTCAGCTGCGTCCCCAACGCACCCCTGCATGCCTCAACCACCGGTGCTGTCAGTCATTGCTCTCCTGCGCATGCATGCATGGGTCTTTGCTCAATCCAGGCAGTGGGAATCTTGGTCAATTCTTTCCTGTATCACACCTGCTGAACTGCTCTGGGAGGCCTCGCACACGGAGCAGGGAGGCCACTGGTGGGATCATTTGTTTCTGGGTTGCCTCCAGGTGCTGGTCAGAAGTTGTTGGTGCATCTAGACGGGCACGCTTCAGAGGACGGTCATCGCCAGCAACAACACTTCTATCACCTGCAGCCATCCCTGAAGCCCTCAGGATTCATAAGTTCTGGTGGAAGTACCGTCCAAGGCGTTTGTTTCAATTTAAAGAGGAGGGCACGCAGACACCCTCACCAGCCTCTCCGTTCACGATCTGTTGCATGCGGCTTGGCTGCTGTGTTGGCCGTGCACACAGTTTGAACGTGGCATTAGACCTGGCATCTGCTACGTCAATACGAGTGCCGGCAATGTGAGGTATGTCTAGCACCTGTGCACATACACGGGTGTCATGTCAGTACATGAGCTGTTAAACATTTGAGAGCAAATAGCGGTGCTTTGAATGCAAACGTCATGAAGCACATGAGGTGGCATTTACTCACATCCCCCTCTTCGAGGATCGTGACAGACTCATCATGAGCAGAGCTCACTACCAGGGCTGCACAAAACAAGATTGTGAGAAAGAAATGCTGCGCAGAAAGCATGGTGTGTAATATGAAACATTCGGGTGAGAACACTGATAACATCAGAACATCAGGCAAGAACGCACGTGAAAGACCCAGGGAGTATAGCTGCAGCTTGTTCTCGTCTGTGCCAGCTGATAGCATGAATTGATTCTCACTGGCAGCGGCATCAATGAGACCACGTGACCCCTTGCCAAACATCTCTGCATTTTGAAGGACTTCTTGTAGACGGATCCAGGTGCTGTCAGGACACAACAGACCAAGCTCTCCAGCATTGGAGTTCGACATGTCACGAGACGAGTCACATAGCTGCCTACTTCACAGCAGTTCCTTTGGAAAAATTCAAAGGAAGTTACGTAGCACTCTACGTGGTTTTAGTTAGTTTATAGAGCTCCGATGTAAGCAGGCATGGTTGTCCAAGAATCTCAGGAGAACTCACAAGTAAGCTTTTTTGATGGAAACCACCCAGTCACAGCACAACACTGTATCGATCAATACTGAAATGATCTTTCGATGAAGTTACATGTGTGGGAAGAAAGAATAACGGCATTGAATTCAAGGGACGACTGCCCAGCGGGCTGGGCAGCTTCTCATGGTGTCGGAAGGTGAATCGAAGATTTGCATTTAGTATAGCTTATGCTGCCATGAAGACCGTGAACCAGGCCATTGCTCACATTCGATCGGTTTAATTCTTTGTATTGATGATAGGAAGCTTGTGCTACTCTGTGAGCGTTCATCCAATTCTCCTTCAGATCAGCTTTCGATCCTGCAGAGCTGATCGAGCGCTCAGGCTATCTATATCGAGACGCAAAGTAATTGTTAAGAAGGTAAGAATGGTTTGAACAGCTTTCCGGCTCTAAATCAGAAATAAAGAATTATGTTGGGTGTTGTGTTTGTGTTTTGCCAAATCTCTGAAATCTCTTGCATGTGTGAATTCTCGACCGTGTTAGGGAAAATTTGCTGCGCTTTGTTCATCATTACTTGAGACCCGCGGCAGCGGGTGGCAGAAGCCACCACAATTTGAGAGGCAGCGTGAGGGTGATGATGTCATCATCATCCGCCAGCCGGCTCCAAGGGAGGGGACGCTGCTAGAAATTGCCGCTGAAGTCTCTGACCTGACCCTGGATGTTGTCTCCGGGCTGATAGACCTGGGTGCTGTCTACTATGGTGAAACAGAAGCGCCCGGTCAAGCACCCAAATGGCGCCGGGCCAACAGACTGGCAGAAGCAGCACCACACCACCCCATAAAGCAGGTCAGACTCTGCTTGCCCTTTCTACACTATCTTGGCAACGTTCTGCCTGTCATATCCTCTTTCCTCGCATCAGGACATGCATGCCGGACCCTGAATCAATGCATGTGATATGAGCTCCATATATTGTCACATGCAGGGACAGTGGGTCAGGGTGCACCCCAATCCCAAGCGCTATCCAGCGGCACAGACCACAGACTGGGCTGCCAGAGTAATTCATCTGGATGCTGACTTCTGCGTGGTGAACAAGCCTGCGCGCATCCCTGTGCAGTCCCATGAGAGCAACTCTGTGGAAACGGTCCCTCGCTGCCTGGTAAAGGCTCTGGGCCTTGAGCACTTATGGGTGCGACTCATGCTTGCATGCAGTAGTGTGTGCAGATGCTCACCTGATCATGTGAGACCCTGCAGCGGACGATTGCATGCATGGCATTCCTACTTTCTGATGCCATGTCTGCATTGTCCGTTGCAGAATCTAACGTGAGCAGTGGCAAATTCCTTGCAGCAGCAGGGTTTGCATGTGTGGACTGCTTGGCCAATGCCATGGAGCAATGATTGAGTGTGGGTTGGTTTTGGTGAGCAGATGCTGCATCGCTTGGACTACTGCACAACAGGCGTGCTGCTGCTTGGGCGCAACGAGCAGTCCAGCAGGCGCTTCATGCAGGACATGGAAGCCCACAAAGTGCAGAAGCAGTACAAGGTCACTCCACCTCCAAGACACCCTTTTTCATGTGTCTTTCACTCTGTTGTGGCGTGCCTGCCCCATATTCACCCTGATAAGCTGGCACATGAGATGCAAGTAGATTACCAGTGCCACTGATCAGAATTTTGTATTTGGTGAACAGGTACTCACCCCTGTTCCTGTGGAAGCTGGATTGGAGGTGGTCCATTACATGTACCCAGGCCCCTTTGGGTCCAGCCTGGAGGTGATGGCTGGCAAGGGGCTGCGGGCAAGGGGACCTCGGCTTCTCAGCCAGCAGCCCATTTCCACAGGCAAGGAGTGGAAAAAATGCGTCCTCAAAATTGTGGACACCAAGGTAATGCTGACGCCATTGTTTCCTGTTTCATCACATCTGCGAGTTTAGCCCAAGTCAGAATTCTTGGCATGCATGAAACAAGACATGTGATCAGTGGGCTGCATGCGCCTGTCGTCTACCGCTGACATCACTTTTCCAGGTGCTGATGCAGTGCAATAGCATGAAAGTTATTCGTCCAATCTTGGTGTCATGCAGGAAATTGCAGTGTCGCAGGCTAGCAATGAGTGGCTGCACAACCTGCTGCAGAGCTCGACAGGTTCTAAACATGCTGCAGCTCTTGATAGCTCCCCGTCAGAAATGAGCATGGACACATTTTCAGAAAGATCGACTTTATCTGGGCAGCTTCCACTGCAAGTCTATGAGAGCACAGTGAACCTGTCATTCGGGGGCAGGACACACCAGATCAGAGCCCAGCTTGCCGCTATTGGGGCGCCAGTGATAGGGGACGTGATGTACGGAGCGATTGCCGGTGCGACAGTGTCAGACTCAGCCATTGCAGACAACGATCTGATAAGGCGTATAGATGATTGCTCTCAGATTGACGGGCCGATCGGCCTGCATGCTTACAGCATGACATGGGAGGACAGAACTTACAAAGCTGTGGCCCCTTGGGAAGAATGACCCACTGTTCGTTACATGTCAATATGACAAGTGCGCAAATAAGAATAGCCTAGTATTGAATCATGAAATTATTTAATGGCTTGCTGTAAGTCTGAGAATCCCTGGAGATTTCTTATTCGAGCTCTACCTATTCACTCAACACTGTCCGGCACTTGAACACCTGGATCTGCATCCTACATGTACTAAAACTCACATCATATCGGTCTATCTGGAGCTGTGGCAGTCTTCTCAGCCAGATGAATGTGGAACAAAAAATAGCATCTTGCATGGGGCTTGCATGGAGCATGCACATCAAGGCATTAAGAACAGACTCTCCGATACGGCGTCCAGGGCAAGCTCAGACGGGGCAGCCGACACATAAGATTGCAAAGCTGTGGCCACGCGACTGAGCGCCTCTGGTACAGCACCCAGCTCTGACGGGACACTGTGAGCGCCAACAGCAATCCCTTCTTCCAGTTGGATTGCCTGGGGAAGTAGCATTGGTTGTTGGCCGGATGCGCGCATGCGGTTGGCGCGTGCCGCCATTTGCATGTCTTCGTACGCCTGCCGCCTGTTCACCAGAAACTCATACCTCTCATAGAAGAGAATTGGAGATGTTTCCTCAATCAGCCTGCTTGCCTTTTGCATGAGGCTCGAATATTGCTGCCCTTTGGAATGTGTTGTACGTGGGGTAAAAGATATTCAAGCACTCACCAAGCTGATGTGATCACTGCTAGCCACACGAGGCGGCCCCAGATGCTTCAATTGCAGCCAACATCATAATCACAAGTGTCACTCCTGTGAAGTGCGGCGCTCACCTTTGCTCCAACGTGAAAGCAGGAGTTGCATCTCTTAAAGCGGGGCTGCGGCGGCTGCCCTCGTCTTGAGCCCTCCTTCGAGGGTCTGCCACGGCACCATCGGCGCTGATGCTCCGGTGCCTCATTAGGCCCCTGCCAGCTGTCGCTCGTGGCCCCTTAGGCAGCTGCTCTAGGGAGTTAAACTGGGCAGGGTTTGCTCTTCCCTGATCCGCCTGGCTGACTTCCAGACGCCTGGAAGCTGATGGGAGCTGCGGAGAAGCTGCCGCGCCGGCGGGGCGGCTGGCGGCGGAGGGAACAGCGGCGGTGTTGTGACTGCCCACGCTGTAACTTCGCTGCCTGTACAGGGGCTCTGGTGCATTCTCTCTCTCTGCTGGCCGCTTGTGGCCCAAAGGCGCTGCAAGCTCCCGCCCCTGAACTTGTGAAGGTAAAGGGTCGCTGCGGGTCACAGCGCCAAAGCGCACCAAGGCGGCTGCACCGTCCAGGCTGATGCTGCGCTGACGTGGCAGCGGCTTCCTCGCCAATGGCGGCCGCCCACTTGGTTGCCTGGCAGCTGCCGATGCAGCCGGCCACGCTGCCGGTGACTCACCTGAGGAGGCAACGCCCCCGCTAAACGGGCTGCATGGAAGCTTCGCCCCCGCCACCCCTGGTGATAATTTCATCCCCTGCTTTCCGGCTACTAGCCCCTGATTTGCTGCAGACTGTGAGTCGTCTCGTGGGCTGCTTGAACTGGCTGCGGGTGTCTCGGCAGCAACCTCCTGCAAATTGCTGCCTGGGATTCTGGGCGATCTTGAACGCTGCACTTGTGGCTGGTAGCTGCTGCCATCAGCGCTGCGGCTGCGCTGCCTGACTAGGCCAGGTGCCCGTCTACCTGGTGTTCCTGCAGCTGCGCCCGGCCGGGTAGGAGCTGCCCTGCCCGGCCCGGGCAGCCTCTCAGACAGCTTCGCCGGTACATTGCTGACCTTGTGTGACAATCCAAACAGTGGACTCTGGACTGCAGGCCCTCTTATGGCATTTTCACTGGAGCGGCGCTGTTTGTCCTTTGAAAAGCCGGGCTGGCGTGCTATTGCTCCTGGAGCCTGAAGCACACACTGTTAAATTGAATTAGGTCATCCCTTGCGCTCCTTGCTGGTCCGAAAGGTGCTCTAGCTACCATCCACCATATAAACATGAATGGTACATTACATGAAAAAGCATCAGGGAATTTAAAAAAGTACTCCCACGTCAGCCATATTGCAGCAAAGGGAGGCGTACCTGGGAGGATGGCTCTGCACCCATGAGAAGCTTCCTGGGGCCTCCAATGGTTGCCAAAGCCGCAGCAGTGCCTGGCCTGAGCACGCCATCATGGGAGTGTCTGCGGGCATGCCCACTGCTTGGCTGCTGTGGGACTGCCGCTCGCACTGGTATATCTCTGAAGCGTAGCAGCGGCCCACCAGCCTCCACTCTGCTGCGCTGCCGCGCACTCAAAGGAGCATTTCCCTAAAGTGCAGCACAGTCAAATAAAAGTCCACCAATTTATGTGCCGGTCATTAATGTATACCAATGCTTGCAAAGGCCCTGTGCTGTTAAGTGACACGCCTTGTGGGCCTTAGGCGGCCCTCTATTGCATGAGCACTTGTGGTGCTCTGACAATTTTTTGCATGCTGAGAATTGCTGGCATAAAAAGGAGGCCACCTGTGAAGAAGGCCGGCGCTGCACCGCGACAGTTTCCGGCTGTGGGTTGGAAGCCGATCGGCGCGCCAGCAGCTGGGGCTCTCTGGCGGGGCCTTGGGACGGCCCTGCATCTGGTGACGTGGGAAAGGCCTTGGGCGACGGGTTTGCTAATTGGTAGACCTGCCTCAACACTGAGCTGGGGACGTTGTCCTGTGTCATGCACATACGGCAGTGGTCATCAAATGCCGCGGCACCGCTCATAAGGTGGGCGACAGATTAGCACACATTTTAAATTTCTCATATATCTGCTTGATCCGATTCTGAGCCGAAAATCTCCTCGCCATTTGCAACATTTTATGCAGTAGCTACAATGAAGTCCCTGAAGAAATGGCATTATAATAAAGGGGCATGCTTCCGTGAGGATAGGCAATTAGTCATCTCCTCACCAACACGCCCATTTCATATCCGTTACTGTACTCATCAGGTGCCAGTGAGGACACCTGTGGAGTGCTGGTGGTCCTGCGGGCTGCGAGCCGGTTTAGCCGCTGCCGGATTATGGGCAGCTGCAGGATGGCTGCCGCGCTGGGACGCATGTGCGGCGCAACTTCCAGCAAGCTTCCCAGCAGATCCCTCAGTTCCCGGCTGTACCGCGCGCTCACTGGCGCGTACCTGCACCACATGGTGACAGCAATTTCAAATCCAATTGCATTTCAAATATAAATTGCGATGGACGTCAGATTCTGTGACGGTCGGTGTCTACAGACATGCTTGCTGCAGTCTGGGTATGCTTGCCAGTGGCATGGTCCTATACCTGAGTCAAGCCTTGTCAGCCATGCATGTTTCTCAATCTGCTTAAAGCGTTGCTTTTGTCAGACAGCCTTGCATGAAGCAGAGGACATGCAGTAAGCTGCGGGCATCGATCAACAGCATGCAACCGAGGGGTAAGATTGCATGGATTTTCGGGGAGCTTGCCTGCCCTGGACGATCTTCTCAGCGAGTTTGTTGATGGAGGCCGCCTGGAAGGCGTGCCGCAGCATAAGCATCTCGTACACCACGCACCCCAATGACCATATGTCCGTCTGCATGCCAACACTTGCCCCACTTACATTTCCTCCTTCACAATTCTTAATTCATTTGTTCAGATTCAAAAAATAAGGCCCTCCAGGAGGTTCCTTTCGAATCTCCATGGTCATTTTGTGCCACAGTGTTGCCTGGATCTGGCGGTGACCCATACTGTAGACAAGATTTAGGAGAGTGACGCTTGATGTAGGTAGTGTGAAAGAGAGAGGGCTGACCTTGGCGTTGTAGGGTCTGTTGAGACAAATTTCAGGGGAGATGTAGTAAGGGGTGCCGATGGTTGTCTTGGCCAGCGCCAGGGTGCTGCTCAGAACCTTGCTCACACCAAAGTCCCCCACCTTCAGGAGTCCCCCCTCCGCCATGAACACATTGGCTGTCTTAAAATCCCTGTGCGCACAATCAGAGTGCTGTGCTTCAGCGCTTGTATAATGCAGAGATGGGACCCTCAGAAATGCACCATTAATATGACTGGAAGCAGGCCTTTCTAAAAAAGGAATGACAGTTTTTGTACCATGCACAGGAGAAAGTGGAGAAAATCTTCAAGAAATCCACATGAGGAGTCCTGTGTCATGTCACATGCAGCCTGATGCAATGATGCAATAAGGGACCTTGACAAGTATGTAGGGAGACTGCTACCTGTGGAGAATCTTCCTCTCGTGCATGTATTTCAGGGCAAGCACCATCTGGATGAACCAGTCCAAAATGGTCTCCTCTGGAAGCTGTGTTGATCTGCACTCCTTAAGGAACCCTTGCAAGTCGCCTGCACACACCAAACAGTTATCCTGCAGCTGTGCTCATCTAAGGTGACAAGCAAGGCCGATGCAGCAACTCTCAAGAGCTGGGCCTGTCATTTCAGTAACACCATATGAATTTCAACCGTGGGACATTTTCAGAGGCATGAAGAAGTTGCACCCTCAGAGCAATATTCCATGACAATATGGAGTTTGCCACGCTCCACCCAACTCAAGGAGCAGGCCACGATGTTGGGATGGTGCAGCGCCAGAAGAATCTGCGAAACAATCACGGTGTTCATGGTATGTCCATTCCTGCTCAGGCCCGTCAGCAGTTGTGGTTGTGGGTTGCACAAGAACTCTTTCACATCATTCAAAAGCAAGAGGCAATCTGTCTCTTGTAAAAATTAACATCTGTCAAATCATACTTTTATGGAATGATGCAATCAGTGATCCACCTTTGCTTCCTGCTCCGCTTCTGCGGCATCCTTTCTGTTCATCCGGGAGATGTCTACCTCCTTCACCACATATTCCCGTCCGCTCGTTTTGCTTCTGACCAATATTGCCAGTCCATAGCTTCCTTTGCCTAACTCCTTTATCCTATCGTGAGATTCCCAGAAGTCCATGATTCAACCTCTGGTAAGGAACTGCTCTCAGTTCAGAACATGGTGGGTACGGCTCGTCCCTGATCAGAAGGATCCATCCTCTACGACTCAAATTTTGTATATTAAAACCCTGATAAGCACTACAATACGTTGCGGGAATATGATGAACGACAAATCTCTACTGAAAGGTGCTTACGAATTACGACGCCACCCGTTACATAGTAACGTGCCGAGCACCCTTGACGTGGCTACATTGCCAAGCTTCAGCCCGGATGTGGAGGTTGACATCAACATCAGGAATGCATGAAATGCTGCTGCATGTAGTCTGTTGTGAGTACTTCCTGCAGTGCCTTATTTCTCAAGCAGTCACACATCATGTGCTGTCCTCAATCCTCGCCCTCTAAAAACTGATGATGATCACACACTAGTGGGGAAGCGTGGCAGAAAACCCCAAATATTCAACTAAGAATGCCACTGCACATAACACCGAGTGTCATTGATTTCTAGTTCAATTCCTGTCCATTCACTTCTGGAGGTGTCCAATTCATTCCTTAAAGGCTGTTCATCTGTCCTAGAGCTATGGAAACTATCATATTGACATCATGCAGCAGCGCTTGCCAACTCGATTTTCTTTGGGCGGCCGCGCTTTGCCTTCACCGGCGCATCCTCAGCAGCAGCAGCAGCCTCATCCTGTGATACCTGACCATTCGGAGCTGCTTTCCTACTCCTGTTTGCCTTGGCTTCAGAAAGATCGCCAGCTGCTGCTTGGTCATGCTCAGAACCCGCCACCTTCTTTGGGCGGCCGCGCTTTGCCTTGATCGGCGCCTCCACCGTAGCAGCAGCCTCATCCTTCGACACGTGACCATTCACAGCCGCTTTCCTAGTCCTGCCAGGCTTGCTGTCGGAGAGGAGGTTGACATCAGCCGCTCCTTCGGCATCCTCAGACGCAACAACCAGTTTCCTGGACTTCCTGACAGGCTTGTCAGTTCCACCATCTGCCGCTGCCGCCTTGCCGCTCTTTGCCTTGGCCTTGCTGCCGCCTGCTGGATCCTTGGCAGGTGCCTCCTTGCTGGAAGCAGCCTTGGTGCTGGCTGCAGCCTTCTTGGCAGCCGGCTGTCTGCCCCTCCTTGAAGGCCCCTTGGCAACCTTCTCTGCCAGCAGCTTAATTGCGTCCTCAAGTCCAATCTCCCCTGGACTCAAACCCTGCAGTACAAGAATTACCAGGCCTTAATCCAGAGAAGTGCACATTAACGCCTGATATTGCGTGAGGCGTGCTCATGTTTTGTGACGTTCGTGGCCATCACTTGGTTCCGAGTGTGCACGCACATTTCCAATAATGACAAAAAGCATGAATTGCGCATTGACGGCTGCACAACCAGTCTGTTGAGATGCATGCTTTCAGTACGCTGGCGTTTATTACCATTATCGTGATGAAAGTGGAAAAGAAGTCAAGATGCACCGAATGAACATGCCACGCTGTGCCACACTTGCAGAGGCAGGCTGTGCACCTTGGGGAGGGATGCGTTGATGGCGTTGTGGCGCACGTATGGCCCAAAGGGTCCCATGGCTGCAGTCACCGCCTGACCATCCTCCGGATGAGGCCCCAGCTCCTGCGAATGCAGCTCCACTTCACACCCACAATTCTATAATTCTGGGCCATTGATTCCAGTGATGCAGAACACCTTGAGAGCACACTGACAACGGGCAGCGTCGGTTCATTGAATTAACCTTCGTTGGCTAGAAAAATGTGCCACCTTATTCTTCTTCTTGACATTAGCAAATAATGCAGCAGCAGCTGTTGAAGGTAAGGATGAGCACACATGCGCTGGCTGCTTGTTTTCAGCATGGAGGCAATAAATAGTGATGCAAGCCGTTGCTAAAATGCACATGCGCGGTTACCTTGGGCCATTGCAGCAAGTCCAGGGCTTCAGCAAGGCTGATGTCTGGGGTCTGGGGGCTCTTTCCCAGGGACACGCGCTTGGGCTTCGCTGTAGCGCTCTTCCTCCCCTTGCCTGGTGGCTTCTCCTTTGGCTCTTCGGGGCCTATTGCCTGCTCTAGATACCACCCATATGGCCCATGGACCAATCTGATCTCCCTGCCATTTGCTGGGTCCGCACCCAATACCCGCTCACCCTCACCTAAGCATGCACAACACGCAGCTGATCAGCATGTGCTGCAAACAGATCATGTTCAGGGCCATAAAGAACAAGATGCCATTAAAGCTGGAAAGGTCAACCGTTGTAAGCAGACCAAGCTTATGCATTGGCGGGCAATGCGCCTCACAATGTATTGTGCTAGTAGGTGCAGACCTGGCAGATCATGACGGCAAAGGCAACTCTCTCTACATAATTGCCCAAGACTGGGCAGGGCACAATGCACGCCGATGCATGCGGTTGCATTACCTTGCAGAAACATCCCTCAATCGCTATCTAGATTGAGGCGGGACTGGACAGTGGCGTGCAACCAGAATGACTGGCAGTAGGTATATACAGTCAAGGTATTGCAGGGCTGCGCAGCGCACCGGGCCCCGCAGGCGTTTCCCCGGGCTCGTGCAGCTGCAGGGGGCGCAGGTAGGTGCAGGCCGGGTAGCCGCTACAGCCGATGAAGCCGCCGTGCTTGGCCAGGCGCAGTCCCAGCCGCCCGCCGCACTCCGGGCACCTGCGCGCATCCTCCTCGCTCTGCCCCTCCTGCACAAAGACACAGGCGGCGCTGATTTAAGTAGATGAAAGAGGGTTTTACAGCTTGGATTTGAAGGGGATTTGATGTCGCAACCCCTTGGCAAAGGCCAAATACAGTACTGGCAGATGGCCCTTCCCAGTTCCCTCTGCCAAACACCCTCAAGAGTGGGTGAGCGGGCAAGGAACCAATCAGGAGGCAACAACATGCGGGTCAAGCGCTTGGACTGGCAGAGAGAAGCGCATGCTGGTCAGGAGACAGCCCAAGATGTCGTTGCTGCATGCCTGGCAATGATGAGCTGCATTGGGAGATGGTGGGTATCAGTGAGAGGAACAAGGGTGAAAGGTGTTGCCTGGACTGTGAAGAAGTGGCGGCCGATGAGTGGGTCCAGCACATCGATGACCTCAGTGATGCTGATGTTAGACGTCTGCTGCACCAGCTGCTGGAAGGGGCCCCAGAAATCCCTCAGCACCTCCTTCCACACCCCGTTGCCACCTGCAGTCAAGCACGTGTTCCAATTCTAGTTCCAATTACAAGTGAAAAGGAAAAGCATGACCAATTCCCATGCTCAGCAAGCAGAAGATATTGGGGTCCTCCCGTTGTGGGAGCAAAATGGACTCCTACTACCATATCCCACATACGTTAATAATAATCACAGATGGCAAGTAGCGTCAGTTCACACCAGAAATTGCCCTCATGTGACATGCATTACCTGAGACCTCATCAAGGTCATCTTCCAGGGAGGCTGTGAAGCCGTAGTCCACATAGCGGGGGAAGTAGGCCTGCAGAAACTCCGTCAGCACTCGGCCGCGGCTCTCTGGCTTCAAGGCTTTGCCCTCCTTCATAACGTAGCCACGTTCCTGAAGGAGATTCACATGACGTACACCTAAATTTCAGAAAATGGCTTGCCAATAATATGGCATGACATGCAGCCTTGCACAATTGGGTTCAAATATCCTGTCTGGTGTGATCTGTCAGAATCTTGCTGTCCAGGGCTTTCCTGACACACACTAGATAAAAAGACTACTTGCATTATTCATCCAAAGTCGATGACGCAGCTGATAGTGTAGACGGGAGAGAAATATGGAAAAGGCCTCAGGACTCTTCTAATGGTGCATTGGCTGGTACCTGCAGGACTTTGAGGATGGGGGCGTAGGTGGAGGGCCGTCCGATGCCGTGCTCTTCCAGAGCCTTCACGAGGGAGGCTTCTGTGTAGCGCGGCGGCGGCTTGGTGAAGTGCTGCTCTGGAGTCACTGACAGCAGCCTCACTGGCTGCCCCTGTGCCAGACCCAGCAGCACTGACTGCTGCCCCTCCTCAGTCGAGACCTGCTCTGAGTCAGCCTCAGCAGCTGCCTCACCTGTGAAGCATGCATGATCCAGTAGGAAGTCACCAGCCACTCAGGTCAGTAAATGCGTGCATTGCTCCTGACTTGTCTTCATGGTGATGCGATGGCAGCGCCATACGAACCTCTCAGTATGTCTGTGACTGTATGGAGGATACAGCGAGACAGTACTGTATTTGTACCGCAGGAGAGGTAGGAAGAAGTGCTAATATTGGAAAAATGCATACCTGAGGGGCGCTTTGGGGGGTACACTGCCAAGTATCCAGGGAACTTGACTGATGTGCTAGTGGACCTCAGCAGAAACCCCAAATCTGAGCTGTCCGCCACATCAGCTGACACCTGTTGCCAGCAAGCACGCAAAGTTCAGCAATGGCATGCACACCCCTCTTGCATGACATGCTTCACCGCAGCGCCTGTGTGGGCCAGAAAGCAAACTGCAGCAGGGTGACACTAGGAGATCTCAGCACCATTGACAAAGCTGGAAAACGCACATGCTCACAATGCCAAAATTCGTTCAATATAAGTCCAAAGAGTCGGTGCTCATACATGGGTGTGACTATGTGACAAAGCATGATTAGAGGATTGCCTGTCGAGGTTTTGCTCTAGGCAGAGCCTATTGTGCTTCAAAGGAACTATTTGTGCTGAACACGGAGGACATCTAGCAACCATGATCTGAGCAATACTTGGAAAACTACTAATCCATTACAGACTACTGAGCAGCAGCACCTGTAGAAGCTTTGCAGAGGCCATTTGGGAGGCGATGGCGCGTGCCCAGATCAGAGCATACAGCCGGTACAGTTGCGAGGCCGGCTGCAGCGCGGTCTTCTGCGGCAGCAGAGCCGCCTTTGTGGGGCGGATGGCTTCATGCGCCTCCTGAGCATTCTTTGCCTTGCTCCTGTCCGACACACATTATACGACGTCATGAAAGCATGTCAATGTGCCCATTTAAAATGTCAGAAATCAGAATATCATACTATTATAATACATGTTTTCCACTTCCTAGGGATCTAGGTTCTAGGCATGTCCAGCAATACATGTATCAGATTTCTCAAATGTTGGGTGGTTTAACGTGATGTGGGTTTGGATTAGCGTACTTGTAGATGCGGGGCTGTGCTGGCAGGTACTCCTTGCCATGCATGTCCTGGACAGCGCTCCTGATCTCCTGCACTGCCTCTGCTGACATCTGCAGCCCGTCCGTCCTCATGTATGTGATCATTCCCTCCCCTGTGCATCCCACAATGCCCCTCAGCAGCAGTCATGGACAATACTGTACGTCTCATGGTCATTCCATGAGATTGTTACCAGCTCACTGTACGCAGTCATTTAATCGAAGGCAAACAGAAGACATGACGGCATTGCGAGTGCCAGAGTCTGAGAAGAGGCTGTGCAAAGGGAGTGCAGCGAAAAACACCAAGTCACTTGAGTAATGAACATGTGAGCTGAAAGGAGCACCTCCTGAAGCCTCAGGACCCTCATAGAGCTGCTGTGCCAGCTGCATGGAAGTGGACGGGTTATACCCAAGCTTCACAGATGCATCCTGCTGCAATGTGGATGTGATGAAGGGCGGCTGGGGATTGCGCGTCACAGTCTTCTGGGACAGCGATGCCACCTGCCATGCAAAGCATACCTCTATCAATGCATGCAGAGTTCGGCATTGGGATGTCACGCCTCATCATGCATGCAGCATTCAGCTATGCCACCTTTGTTGGGGAGCAAAGCTCTAATACCACATGCAGCAGTGGATAATAGCCCTGCTGGCACTGACAGATGACAATGTTTATAGAAGGGAGTGAAATGACAAACAATACCTGTAGCGGCACGCTTTGCAGCTTCTCCACAGCAGATGCTGCAGCCTCCTGGTCAAGGCCCTCTTGTGGTATGCTCTTCCCAGCAACCTGCATGTTATTGCACAACACAATTCTCTCAGCCAAGACGGCCATAATCAATAATAGAATCATCATGCACAGAGCTCACCAAGCCTCTAAGAGCGAAGAGAGCAGCATGAAGGAGTCAAAGATGAGGCTTGCCTGCACCAGGCGGGCCTCAAATTGGGGACCCTTCTCAGACTGCAACTGCGCCGTGACGCTCCAGTACTCCTGCCGCGTGAACACCTCAATCTGCGCCTCCCTCTCGCACACCAGCCGCAGCGCCACCGATTGCACCCGACCTGCCCCCACAAAGCCTTGTTTCAGTAAACACCTGGCAGAAGTTGCTGTGTGCTTCTCAGTAGCACTCATGAAGGGGTCTGCTGTCACAAAATTCTGCTGTCTTCTGCACCCCAACAATTCAGTGCGGTGGGCCGCAGCAGGCGGCAGATGAAAGGACAGAGCAGTCTCATGACCCTCAGGCGAAGCAATCCAGTGACAATGGCATGCCGAGAACGGGCAATTTCATTGCTGAAAGTGGATCCCTCAGTCAACACAACATGCATTTCCGATGTCGTCCCGAGGCCTTGTCATGAAAGGATAAAGTGATACCTGCAGATCGGGAGCCCGGCAGCTTGCGCCACAGCAGCGGAGACAGCGTGAAGCCGAACAGGTAGTCCAGGGCTCGCCTGGCCAAGTAGGCGTCCACCAGGGCCTGGCTGATTGTGCGCGGAGCCGCCAGCGCATCCTGCACGGCCTTGCTGGTGACCTCTGTGAAGGTAATCCGCTGCACCGCCACCCCCCTCAGTGCCTTGGCCGCCTGCGCGCCGTGACACCGGCGAGACTTAAGCATCGATTGTTAAACGTGTGCTGCGCCATGATCGCAACATGGTGTCCTCCCATGGGGGAAACACGACCTGTTTGGGATGCTCAGGTGTGCAAATGCAGCATGTCTCTTGCTTATGCATGTGCACATGGTTCTGAAAAGAGCGACATGCACCATGTCAAGAGTCTTGCAGTTCTCAATGCGACCTTCTTCAAGAAAGCCAGAGAATGACTTGCTTCTTCAGCATATGGACACCGCTCTGAACATGACAATGGCAGGTGCCTCTCCAGAACTGACCAGCAGACAAGATTGACAGGGACCTTGTCTTGAGAAGTGCAAAGGAGTTTGCTCTGCAGGCACCTGAAGTTCTTCCTGGACATGCCAGGAGATGGCCTCGCCCTCTCTGTCGGGGTCGGTGGCCAGCACTAGCACGTCCGACTGCTTGACGGCTGCGGCCAGCTCCCTCAAGCGTGGCCGGGAGGCCGCAGACTGCTCCCACAGCATTGTGAAGTCCTGCTCCGGAAGTACGGACCCTGACTTGGCTGGTAGATCGCGGACATGGCCGTAGCTCGCCAGCACCTGCCGACGAGGTGATCTGTCTTTCAATATGCATGCATGCGCAAGCTTCTTCGGCAGGGCTACAATGTTGCCCTCGACAGAGATGTAAGAAGCAAGAGGTTCAAATTGTTAGATTGGACTTGGAGGAAGGAAATTGACCTGGTATTCAGTGCCCAGGAATTGCTGAATCTTCTTGGCTTTGGCCGGCGACTCCACAAGAATGACAGTCCTGGCTGCAGCTGCGCTGGCAGCCCTGCACTGCAGCACCTGCCAGGCGCGGCCCGGAAGAGATGCCTGGAATGGTCCTGGACGATTTCTGTTAGCCGACCGAAGGTCCATATGCCTGTTGCTGTGCCGGCTGACTGGTGATATGGCCGGCTTGAAAGCACCCCCACTGAAGTGCAGTGCCTGCCTCCTCAGGTGCTTGAAGAATAGGTATTGCATGATTGTCTCCTCCTTAATGTACGCAAGCTACCACAAGCAATAGTTGCTGATTGCATTCCTTGCTTTCCCAGGCCTATCCTCAGATCTGCGGTAGTGTTCGGCATCACAGGCGGAGGACTGCAGCATCACCTGCTGTCTATATGCATTTAAACAAATTCAATGGAGCTGCTTGCGATGTGCAAATGTGGATTGACGAGGAACAACACTTCAGAACCAGTCCCATGTAATGAGAAAATAGAAGAGAAAGATCGGTTCATTCATTTGCATCATTTATTCACAGACCGACAAATGATTTTTGATTCATAAATTTGCATCCAGCTGATGAATCCCTTCCAAGTGTCAATGTCCTGAGATCAGGATGAGCACCTGTCGGCACCTGCTGAGTCACTCATCCCGAGACTTTCTATCTTCCATTTCCAAATCCATTCAAGAGGAGAAGAGATGTTGATATCCAAACTCTACCATTTCCAATTTCGTATATAGTTCATATCAGGAAGGATCGACAGCGACGTCTGCCTGGGCCAACAGAACTAGGTGCCTGACATGTAACGGTTGCAGAGATTCGCGTTCGGCTGGTCGTGCTGTTTCAATTCCATATCTTTCACCGAAAGGAATTATGTGAGTCATGGCTGCATTGGAGGCTGCATCGCACGAGCTTTGCATCAGCCTCCATCAGGTTTGTTCTCTTCCAATGTGGCTGTTGTTCGTGTTTGGTGCTTTCGATCCTGATGATCGCAAGCCCTCACATGTGCAAGAGTGTCTAATCGTTCCATAAAAGCTCAATATGGTCTCTTCATGGGATTGATCAGACTGGTTTGCCTGTCCATCTGCAGCCCTGGGCTAGTCTACTGGTGTATGGGATAAAGCGCATTGAGGGTCGAGATTGGCCAAGCAAGTACAGAGGGAGACTATGGATCCATGCAACTAGCAGACGACCTGATGCGCAGACAGTGCAGGCACGTTTCCTGGCACACCTGCTGGCAAGCAAGGGTTTGCTGGCAAAGATACCAGAACCTGGAAAATCATATTGGTATTGCGCCCTGTGAGGTGTTCTGAATGTATGTCTCGTTTGATTGATGCGCAGGAGCTGGAAGACTTTTACAGGAAGGTGCATGATATGGATGGCCACAAGCCAGAGTTTCCTGCCAAGTATCCCACTGGTGCACTCATTGGCTGTGTCTCCCTGGTGGATGTGCTGACGGTAGGTGCACCTTTCTTGGTCGGCTCACTTTCTGAAACCATCAAAATCTGTGACAAGCGCAGACAACAGATATTCTCTTGTGTACAGCTTGCCATGATCAAGAATTCTTCCAAGCAAGCATGTGAAATGATGACTTGCAGGCAGAGCAGGTGGAGGCTTGGCAGCTGCCAGCATCAGTCAAGGAGGAGGTTGGCTCGCCCTTTGCCTTCCTCTGCGAGGATACCAGGATCATGACGGCTCCCATCTGCATGCGTGGATGGCCCAGACTGTGGCCGCTGCCTGCTGAAACTGTCAGAAGGGCAGAGCTATTCCTCTTGACCCCACCACAGGTGGACAGATTCTGCTCATGTCTGGGCCAGTCCCCACTTGTCTTCCTCCTGTGCCAATGCTCTTGTCCTCGATTGTTCTGTGAACATCTGATGCTCCAAGGCCCATTGCACACCTGGCAATTGAGTCTGAAGTGTTGTGCTGTGTGCGCGATCAGCTGGGGTGCAAGGGCTTCCGATGGTCAGCATTTGAGCGGCCGAAGGACTTGCTTCAGCAAGATCTGCCTGTGAACCCAGCGCGCAACCGCTTCAAGGAAAGATATGGGTCGCCTCTTCAGATACAGTCGGGCCACAGGAAAAGCCTCCTGCCTCACGTGCTTGATGGTGAGGGCACACTTGAGGCTCCTAAAAAGGTGCTGCACATAGTCTTTTGCTCATGTACTGACCTGGGGCTTGCAGGCTGTCAAAGATGCTGCAGCATTCTTAAAACAGTGACGCGTGTGCTGATGTGCAGCGTTTAAAGATAGGCGAACGCATTCTGTGGAATGTCGATGATGCAAAACGCATCACCTTCACATAAAAAGACATATGAAGCCAGCTGCTTGAATTCAGCATGGAACTTGCACAAGATTAATGGGATCGGTAAATGGGATTGTTGCCATGAAAGTTTGCGGGGATCAATTGAGGCTGAATGTGCGAGCAATTGTGCGAGTCTAGTGAGTTTGGAACACTGCAGCATTTTGTGGCAACCTTATAATTAGTTATGTATCCCTTTTTGTCATTGTGTCTTTGTTGGTGTAGGGTTTTATGTGATAGTGAAGTGGTGTATGTCAAAAGTAGTGTGCAACAATGCATGATAGGTACAGATTTGATGTGATCTTTTTTAAAATGTTACATTCTGAATGTACTGCTAGTGTACAACACCAGCCACATAATGGTAGATAGTAATCAGAAGCTAGTCTTCTTCATGGAAAAGTGTCCTACTTTGGCTAGCCAGCAACAATCCATGGCATAGCATTGCTGTTTAGAACTGCTGTTGCACACGAACAAGACATCATACAGGTTCTACATGGCTTCACAGCCTGTTGCACCTGCACCATTTCAGGCTTGACAAAACAGGACAAAGGTCCTTGCTGCTACTCAGCAATGTTCCAGGAAAACGCCAGCACAGACCTGCAGGCAATATAGTATTTTGTCAACATCAACACCATATCCAAAGTCAGACACCAGCAACATGGACATTGAGACAAGCTCGGCACTGAGCATGCATACAAGCTCACAGACAATACTTCAAAGCTCGTAGTATTCAGGATCGCAATTATAAAGCAATAAGATCGCGGCTGTACAGCAACATGTAGTGGAAAAGTGTACCTTGGCAAGACAATTTACTGTGTCTGCTGCTTGGCCTGCTCAAACTTCTTGCCAGCCTCGTGCTTTCCCTCCTGGGCCTGCAGGATGGCAAAATTCCTTAGACCAGAGCTTAGCAGATCAGTTTTAAATCTCATCATATCAGAACCATGCCATTCGTGAATGTGCGAATAGTGGAACACTTTGAATAAACACAGACAGGGACGGATAATGAAAAGATCGCGTGACTTATACGACAAAATATAAGATTGTTCCGTTCTGGCCCACGGTCACAAAGAACTCTTTGTTATAATCACCTTAGAGCCGGCCTGGTCTGCTGCGGACTTGGCCTTGTCCTGGACGGTGCCGAAGGCGTCCTTGGCCGAGTCCGTGGCCGATCCGGTGTTGCTCTTGCCGGCTCCGGTCACCTCGCCAGCTTTGTGCTGGGCTGCCTGTGCGTAGTCTCCGGTCTTCTCCTTGGCTCCCTGAGCCTGTGAGCAGCAAGATAACGGTGTCACTTCCACTACCTTGCACGGGTCGTCCTTTAGGATGCCGTCAATAATTGTAATGTCCATCAAAAAAGGTCCTTCTCGCCCCGAACTTTCTCTAAGTATGTTGCAAACTAATACCGCACACTACTGAAACCAACGTGCATGTGGATGATGGAGACAGAGCCGGATTCGGCAGTAAACTAACATGTCAATCAGCAACAGAGCGCAAGGCCGAAGCCGTCTTCTTCAATTAGATCGTGAAGCAAAGGTGCAGTGCAACTCACCGTTCCCAAGACGGTGTCCTTGGCTGATCCAAGTGCGTCGGACGCCTTCTGCGAGGCGGCACCGACGGCCTCCTTTGCCTGATCGACGTATGACTTGTCGGAAGACATTCTTAGTTGATGGTTGATTGACTGGTTGAAGGCTTTATAAGCTTGTGAGCGTTGATGATCAAAGATTGCGAGAATTGAAAGTTTTGGTCAGGAATGGAGTCAGGCGAGCTTAATGTACTCCTTGGAAGCGTGATGTGTCCGATATCCAGTCAGCCGAAGCTTCATGGCAGCTGCCCCAGGCCAATATGGGATTTTGCAGGGACAGCGCAGGAGATCTGGAAGGTTCTTGCCTGTTGGCTCATTAGAAGTCATGTTTAATGTCCAGATTAGTATTTGATGTTATTGCTCGACACTCTGCCCGTTCTGCTAGCAACCTGCAACTCGATCTGCCCATCTCTCATCACAACACTTTCTATGTCAACTCTGGAAGGTCCTGTATGCTTGCAGAAAAAGGAAATATTACATCTTTTTACTCTGCTTTATTGTTACACTTTCTAGAAATCTGCGCTGGGCCTGCCGGATGAGCTAGCGATGCAATGTACAGCTGTAACAGAACCATGCGAGAAGACACTATGAGCAGAGTATCATATCATACATTGTTACTCCTTGGGATTGTGCGCCTCATTGAATGTATAAGTCATGAGCTGTGACTCATGACCATAAGGCAAGACAGTTTACTCAAAGTGTTTCAAAACAAGTGGCAGACAAAACAACCGCAGCGGTGGTGACCATTGTGGGATTATATATGCTGGACTGATTGCAAGTGAGCTGGCTTTCACCTACAAAACCGACGAGGGCATTGCACAGCTCGGTGGTGCGCATGCTATGTGTGCACTGCAGACTCAGACCTTTTGGGCGACAAAGTGGCAGAGACATGCTGCAGATGCTTGTGCAACTGGTCAGCTGATCACCAGGTTCTCCAAATTTCATAAATCACCAGAATGCAGCAACATGCAAGTGATGGGAGCATGCAGGGCAGACGCTTGGGGCGGCCCCCAGCACAAATCATCCTGTTGAAGGGACAACCTGTTCCTACATGTTTCAGTGGGGCTGCCAGCTCATCAGAATAGCTGCATTACAGCTTTTGCTCGACATGCACAAACACCGTGTTAGGTGACTCGATTGACTGCACTGATCCTTGCCACACTGCTGAGGGAAGGCAGCGATGAAAGCAGATGCAAACACCCAACAAAGATCGACTGTCTGAGACTTTCTCTTGACATCAGTAGAACTAATATAAACCCGGTACCATCAAGCAGTCACTGCTTGGCAGTGCAATAGAACACATGAAAATGGAAAAAGTGCTAGGCAATGCTCCTATCCAATCAAGGCTTGCAGTACTCTACTCTGCAAAAGCAAGTGCACTCCGGACCATTGTAGATCCTCAAACTGGCATAAGATCAAAACAGCCATCATCAGACCAATATCACGTTCTCATTCTATCCCCCTGCACAATTGAGTGCCAGGTCCGGTCGCCATTGCGGCATTCACTTCTCAATACCGTCATAACACGCGCCAGCAGGTTCTGCGAAACCACACTTTGCAGTGCTGCTGTGCTGCCCAGAGATGGTAAGCTGTCAAAGTCATGCTGGACTGGGGCTGCGGCGGTGCAGGGACTTTGATGCGAGGAGCTGCCACACTTCTGAGATATCATCCTGGCCTCGAGTCACCAGAACTCGGGTGGCTGTGTTCAGGCCAGCCTCCTTCACAACCTGCACAGAACACCATCACATGACACCCTCCACGGTGCACTGAGAGCATGGATACATTTACCAAATGCAGCACAACAGGACAGACATACTCTGCTGTCGGCATTCACAGTAAGAATGCTGGACGCAGCACCACAAGCTGAAGCATATCAGCAATATACGCCATTCCATGTCACTATGCATCATCCACAGCAAGTGTTCAGAGGTTGCCAGGGAGCAGGTTGCACTCAGTTGTGGAAACCAGCACGATGACGGATCACACCTGTCGGAGGGCTCCTTTGATGGCCCAATCGATTTCGGACCCCAACACCACAAGCTCGAAGTGGGAGCGAGACGTGAGCAGCTCCAACTCAGACAGAGCGGTGTCTGGATCGCTGTTGTCCACAACGAACACTGAGATATTGTAGCCGTACTGGTCAGCCACCTGCATTAAAAGCACATCAGAAGATCAGCCCCAGGGAATAAGCGTCATCCTAGCTGAAAAGCAGAGTCTCTTCCGGTGGGCCTTCACAACTTTCTAGATCATCTCAAGGTTGCCTAGGTCTTCTCACACTTAAAAAACGCTAAGCCATCAGAGGTGCTTTCCGAGAATGACAATATGTGAAAACATCTTGACGTTCAAAGTCAGCAAATACAGAACGTGTACAAGCTCTTGCAGGCCTCCTCAGCTACTTTACTGCTTTCCAACAGACATGCACCTATCCGCCCTTCCTAGCTCGCCCAGTGGATTAACCAAATCATCACAGTATTCAATAACGAGACTACCTTACAGCAGAAGTCGTGCAGGCTAGCCTCTTCTGCTTTACTAACAACTACGAGGATCTCCTCCTCCCAGTAGCGCTTCTGCATGCAAGAGAACGATCCAAGCGTCAATACCTCCGTACGATGTACTTAGGAATATCTGTTGCCAGGGATGGTGTCAGAAGCTTGCTGTGAGCAAACGTATGCTTCACGATGCGGTGAGGCACGATTCATGCATCTGCCTTTGGGGGACCCCGCCCGCCGACGGGAGGAACCTGCCGCAGCTGCATGGAGGACTCGATCACAACATTGCATTCTCTGAAACAGGAGGGCTTAATCATGCTGGCACCAAGTGAGAGGCAATCCAGGCTGTTTCCATATGTCTGTACAGGCTGTAACAGCTGGCCAGCCAGTCTGCAGGCGCGTTCGCAGGGCTGCCCAGACTTACAGACTGAAGGTTACAGTGTACAAGGACTACAGACTATAAATTACAGTGTACGCAGTATGCACTCTTATGAGCCACTGAGCGCAAGTTGCGGCGTACTGTCCACTGCAATTTGGCAAATCGGTGACCATGACTATCCAATGACGCGCCATGGTCTTCCAATGGGAGTTCTCAAGGTGAGTGCAAGATCATCTAGAAGTCATGCAAATCAGACTGATGGACCGTCCATCATTGTGACCTTCATCATGATCCAGGATGATCCAGGATGAAAACCATTGGCGATGGAGGCAGCCCAGCCATTACCGTAACTTAGTGACTAACTGAGTAATTTTGAGATAGTAATCTTGACCGCTAGCATACTTACCCTGGGGCTGACACTGCAGTTGAGCTTGTCACAATGATACAGCCTGACCGTTGAAAAGCTTCAGTCCAAGTCAGTCCTGCCTCCGAACTCCTGAGTCAGCCTCAAAGCCACTATCAGACATTGGCAAAGATATCCGGGAAAATCAACTTCCCTGTACACAGCTGTGTTCTAGCACCCAATGCCAGCTCCTGCTCCCCCAATGCCAGCTGCCGCTCTTGAGAAGGCTTCCGGAATCAGCAAAATACTGTTTGCCATGTTCTGTCGGCAGTCACTGCTCGATCACACTAGCTGGATTGACACCACGAGCTTCTTGAGCGTTCACATATACATTGATGGATCAGTCGTCAGCAGTATTGGCAGGAAGCTTGTCATTGAGAAACTCCTCAATCAGCTCAGTCTTCCACTTGTCTATTCTCAGAGTCTCCTTCTTTCCATTCTCGCCAACGAGGATCAGTCTTGGCGAGGAGCCAAAGCGGTACCGGACCTCCAATCCCTCAATCTCCTCCGCCTTGTCCTTAACAAAGTGCTCCACAGTGGGAAACTCCCTGCACACCCAGCATGCCTTCATAATTGCTGAAACACGCTGTCATGCAGTCTCCGGCTCAATATGAAGCACTGCACCCCGATCATTAGCAAGGAAACTCTGCTACACAAGGACTTGGCACAAGCACAGGTTATTGGTATGGTTGTGCGCAGCACCTTAGCCGGTGCCTGCAAACCTCAAGGACTGCGCTCAAGAATTTGCCAGAGTCAGCGCCAGACTCAGGAGTGCAACATCTCTGGCACTCTTCCACAAGCTCTGCAACGACTGCACAGTTTAGATCATTGTGTTGACCATTTCAGGACAGGTGAGGTTCAGTACACGTCCGGGCGCGCTGCACACCTGGGTCTTCCACGTATGATTGTAGTGTGTCGCACGCTGAGCATGGCTGGAGACCTGTGAACCTGCAGGGCATATGCGAATTATTCCCTACGTGAGAGACCAAAAAGCTGATCACATCAGGAAGACGAGGACCTCACTTACCCAAGGTTGACACATTCGGATACCTGTTCAGCAGTAATTGCAGTGTTCATGGGCAGCAAACATCCTGAGAGAACAATCAGGCTCGATAAAGCTTTCATGCCATTCATTTTTGCTGCCAGAGCAGAATAAACCAACTGTATCTCAAGATGGATCAGATTTCATGTGATATTTTCCTAGGTGCTTTGGCACCAAGATGAAGCCAGTGAAGTCCCAGAGAACCTTTGCTTTCTACTGAGGACGATTTAGCCTTCTCAAAAGCATTCCATCGTGCTTCCAGTGCGCTGTGTTGCCAAATGTTACCGCCCCCTCTGAGCAAATATTTAAGGGGTTTGTGGGGTTCTGGAAACCCTGAATACTGGTTGCTGCAAGAAGGCTGGTCCAGCTTTAGGCTTGTATCTTGCTGGTGGAGATGTTTTTGGTGGTAATATAGTTTCTGTAGTGTCACGAGACCTTTGCCAATCTCTTCGGGACCTCGAATCATTAGCAGGCCAATCAGGAGAGTTGTGGAAGGGTACGAAAGCAAATCTTTCAAGGGCCAGACCAGCAGTGTTTGCAGAAAAAGAAATTTTTTGTGCAGAGATCTACGATAGGTCTGGAGGGATATGGTTGCGTGTGCTCCTGCTTTTGAAGGGCATGACGCCGCTTCGCTTCACTTGTCGCCCTGAAAGACCTGTCCCTACTCCTTGTCGCCAGCCCGAGCACGTCAATTTTTGTCGTCCAAAGGTGCGATGCGTTCTCTGTCATATCTCGATAGCCTATTTCCATATGCTTTCAGCTCTTGGGTCAATATTGCGAGGGACGGGGAAGTTACTTGTCCGCGATCAGACTAGCAAGCAATCCGAACTTATGTGCTGGCCAGTCTTTTGTCGTGACAGGTGGTTGTAGACGATTCTGAGTGTGTTCAAACAATGTAGCATGGGTGGCGAAATTCCTGTGCCCCATCACTGGCGCCTTGGGGTTGAGCAATACAATTGCTACTCAGCAATATGGATGTCCCTAATTTCTAAGGTTGATACAGATGGCATGCTTTTGCAGAGTCTTTTGACATCGGATAAGGTTACCGGCAGCTCGTCAAGCAGCTCCCCCATGTTGGGAGTGGTGGAAGGCACGAAGTTTCACCGTGTGCAAGAACACGCAAGTCACTGCCTTGTGCCGTCCAAGGAAGACATCGATAGGAAACTAATGATGAACGGGAAGGCGGCGCATATTGACGCGCCTGCAGAAGCTGTTCAGAGCCAGAGCGAAGACCCTGCCCTTGCTGCTGGGCCAAAGGATGCAGCAGCAGCCCGACAAACAGCAACAGCTTCCACCAGTCAGCCACAGAATGGAGAATCAGCAGCAGATCCCGAGCCACCTAATGGGGTTCCAGTATTCGTGATGCTTCCTTTGGACACGGTGATCAGACGCTCTTCTCAGACACTGCAGCTGGCACTCACCTGGCTTTAATTTCCTTAAGGGGCGCCAACCGTCTTGGATAATTTATCGTTGCTAGAGTGACCACAGTTCTTTGGATCCATTATGCGAGAGCAAGAGTCCCCAGCACATTAGGGTGACAGCTTGCGCTGGTGGCAGGTGACTTCTGATGGCGCCTTCCGCTATACAGCATCAAAGTGGTTCACCTCTGCTCTGGCGGGCCTCAAAGCGTCCGGCGTCCATGGAATGGCCATCGATGTTTGGGTGGGTGCCCCTGTTCTGCCCCATGGATGTTGCACTGCCTCAAAACGTTTTGTGGTGCACGTGACGACTGGAATTGAGTATTCGTGGCAATTGGCTAAGGGCCCATGTGCATGCAGTGGGGGGCGGTAGAGAGGCAACCCGGACGGTATGACTGGAGCGGCTACAGGCAGGTCATCGAGCTCATCAAGAGCCTGGGCCTCAAGGTGCAAGCGGTCATGAGCTTCCATGCATGCGGCGGCAATGTGGGGGACTCCGCCCAAGTGCCCCTACCTAAATGGGTGCTGAAGGTGCGCTGCAATAGCAACACATATTGTCACTGCTGGGCATCAGCCTGCCCATATCACCGATGCTTTGCCAGCTCAAAATCAGGATTGCACAATCAGAGTGCATCGCAGAATATCAGGTGATGGTGGAAGGTTCCTCCCAGTTGTGTCTAATGGGTATTGACACTGACCTGATGCTGCAGGCTGGAGATCAGGACCCGGACATCTTCTTCACAGACCGGCCGCGCGAGGCAAAGCTCGGCAGCCGCAACAAGGAGTATGTGTCCATATTTGCTGACGAGGCCCCGCGCGTTCTCTGCGGCCGCTCGCCAGTCGAGTGCTATGGCGACTTCATGCATGCCTTCAGGTGCGACGCCAACCTCATAGCTAGCTCGTTTCTCTGGCCCCATTAGTATGCTGAGCTGACCATGCTTATTCAGTGCATGTACTGTTCTAGAAGGGCCCCTCGAAAGGCGAATGGAAGTTGGGGTGGGCATGACAAGAGGCTCTGCTACATGCAGGGAGGCCTTCTTTGACGATGTGGGGAGCACCATTGAGGAGATCGTGGTGGGCACCGGTGCATGTGGCGAGCTGCGCTACCCTTCCTATGTTGAGGCCAATGGATGGCGGTTCCCAGGGGTGTGTACCCTCTGCCACATTTTTTGCTGCATGCTTGTTGTACTCCAGTCCGCGGGACTGCAAGATGGCATAGTGTGAGCACTGGCAGGGTTGAGCGATGGGTCCAGTGTGAGGGGTGCACATGTGCTGTGTTGTGCAAATCGCCACAAGAGCATCGCTGCATGGAGGAGGTTTGGGACGCATGGGCAAAGGAAGGGCAGGTTGAGAGACTGATAAGGGGTCTGTATGCAGATCGGGGAGTTCCAGTGCTACGACAGGAGAGCGCTGGCCTCGCTGGCTTCGGCTGCGCATGAAGCGGGTCACCCAGAGTGGGGCTACACAGGGCCGCATGATGCCGGCACGTACACCTCTACGCCAGAGGTGACCCTCTTCTTTGCTACAGTATATTCCTCCTACCACCTGCATTGCTTGTCAGGGTGCTGAGTGTGCAATGGCTAATTTTCTATTGATTGATTTTTTAGGGTCCAGAGGTATGAAATCAGGCAGGTTCTGACAGCAGTACATGTGCAATTTCGTGCAGGAGACTGGGTTTTTCCGGGGCATGGGCGGCAGCTGGGACACGCCTTACGGCGCCTTCTTCCTGGCCTGGTACTCGGGGGCACTGCTGGCGCACGGCGAGCGCCTCGTCAAGGTGGCAACCTCCGTGTTCCACACGCTGCACCCCCGCCGCTGCACCATCACCAACCACAACAACTCTGCGCAGTCCATCGTGAACGTGGGGCCCGCCTACGGCACCCCCGGCGGCCTGCAGGTACCTTGCACCCATCCCCTTGCTCGCCAGGCGGCCCTGCCGGGGAGCTTGCTTGGCTTCCCCTTGCTCTGTGTGGCCATGTCATCTACCTGGTTTTCTTGCGTTGCACTGGACCTCAAGGAGCCAAATTAATCTCTAGGTTGGGCAGCCTGCTACATGCCATCCAATCTGGTTAAAAGTGAACTCCTGAGATGGGACAGGAAAAGAGTTTTAATCAGAATAAGTCTGTTGAGACTGGAGTGGAGCAGGCCGCAATGAGAGATGCTAAGTCTATACTGCGTGGGCACAGGCGCCGTCATCTCCTGCGGTCCTCAGCACACCAGGCATGTCGACGGACAGCGCCGCGGCATCAGAGTCGCCCACAGACAACGATCGGGGCGCGCTTGCCTTCAGCACGGGTGAACTCAGCAGGCAGATGATGGAGCGGTCCACCTCCAACGTCTCTGCCATGTCAGCAGACTCCACAGCTGACTCAGCAGACGTGAGCACCTTGCCGCGCTGCCTTTTGTGCTGCATACGCGCTGCAGGCAGGCTTGCGGATGGGAAGGTGGACAGTGTGAAGCATCTGATGTTGATAGAAATGCGGAGAATGGCGGTGGCTATATTTGCTGGCTTGGTGGGGGTGCAGGGATCTGGGCAGAGGCGGGTGGAGAGCGTGGAGATGTTGGAGAGCCTGGCAGGCCAGCAGCAAGATCTTGGCTCAGCGCAGCCTTCAGCCAGGCCGTCTCCTCAGCAGACAAGCCCAGCAGGTAGGTCCCATACATCTGATGAGTGTGCCACTGTGCAAGCCCGCAGTATTCCAGGTGGCCAGGTGGCTGCTTTATCGAGCATTTGTACCCTCTGGGTGCATTTTTTTTAATTTGCAGTCATGCTTCGAGGTGATATACGTTTGGTCTCTTGCCTGGTAAAACGAGAGGCAATATTGTGCAGATGTTGCTATGTGGTTGACAGGCGGTGGGACGTGGCAGCAACCGCCCAGCTTGCGGCGGCCGTCCAAGAGCTCGGCATCGCTCATTGCTGGCGCTGCAGACAGGGACCAGCCGCTGCCGCCCTCCACACGCTCAGAGGACGGCGAGCGCAGGTGAGGAACCTCGCATTCTGGTTATTTGCTTGCCTGCACAGAGTACAGAGCCTGGAGCGCCACTCTCACACTTTGTGCCTGCACCACCAGAAATGGCACCATTGCAAGAAATGTGCCAGGCTTGGCTCTTCCGGCAATGGGTAGCAGCATGTGATGCAAACTTTTTCTGCCTGTAGACATGTTGAAGGTCATGGAATGCTGATTCCTCTTGGAAGATCCTTCACTCCCTATCATTCATCATACCTGCAGGCATGGAACATCTTTGAGGGATGCAGCACCTCAGGAGATGTCTAAATTTCCGTCATCATAAGGTCTGACCCCCTGTCTCTGTGCGCGCAGGCAGCTGAGGGCGCCCGAGCGGCCGGCAGGGCTACCGGTGGAGGTGAGCCTGAAGATCGCGGGCATCCACTGGTGGTACCGCACGCGCAGCCACGCCGCGGAGCTGACGGCCGGCTACTACAACACAGCCAACCGCGACGGCTACAACGCGCTCGTGGAAATCTGCGCGGAGCACGGCGCCGCACTCACGCTGACCTGCGTCGAGATGTGCGACGCGCAGCACCCGCCCGTGGCCCTCTGCGGGCCCGAGGGCCTTTTGCGCCAGGTGAGACTATAGTTATGCTCTACTCAGTTAAGTGCTTCTGTTATTTGAGGGATGTGATTGCTTGAAGGGATTCCCAAATTGCAGCACCTCTATGAAGTCACTGCTTGTTTGTGGGTTCTGGGCAAACACAGCAGCTGATCTGTAAGAAGAGGTTTCTGAGTTTTGGGTCAATATTTGTCTGGCAGCAGGTTGCTAACAGATGCACAAATTTCTGGGAGGCGTTGCTGCTATGCGCTGCTGCACACCCGTTGTTTGTCTACCTGACGTCCTGCCAAGCAGTGCATTGCAGAATGCCGTCCAGGATATTGTGCATCATGCGCGAGCATCATTTTGAGCAATTGCATGCCTCAAAACATGTTGGAAAGCGTTCATCGTGCAAGCGTGCTGATGATATTTGGCGTTGGCGCAGGTGAGGGAGGCGGCGGCTGCGGCGGGAGTGTCGCTGGGCGGCGAGAATGCGCTGCCCTGCTTCTCCCCCGGCCACGTGGACGCTGTCGCGCTGGAGCGCATCGTGTACAACACACAGGCCTGGGCGCCCCCGCTGCAGGTGCGCCCTTGAGCACCAGCATGGCTTTTGTAGTGTGTGGTTCTGAGTTCAGCAGTCATTAGGGTGAGGTTGCAAGTGCTGGCACGCATTGTAACCATCACTAATACCTTGATGGCTTGACCTGCCATGACCTCACCCTGAAAATTTATGAGCTCAGAATGACAGACTTAAGCATGGAATTTCCCTGTAACCACATTTTGTGGCACCTCATTGTGCTTTCTCGCACCCACCGTTATGAGCAGAGAAACAGAGAGATAGCGAGATTGCAGAGCATGGTACCCAGGGTGCAATAATACCGACTCTCACTACTGTTGCGCATGCAAAAATCAATGCTGAGGGTAAATATTGGTCGTGTGCATCAGGAGGAGGACATGAAGCAGGCAATGTACCGGGGGCCATCGGCCAGCTCGCTGACGGGGTCGGGCAGCAGCACAGACACACTCACCGGCTCCGGCCTCGGCTCCTCCTCTGCGCCCGACCTCCTCAGCAAGGGCCGCACCTCCAGGTGTGTTTCTTCAGCTTTTCCCGACACAGATCTATCCAGCAAAGCAGACGACACAGGAAAAGCTTATTTAAGAGAAGGGCGCTGGGAATGCAAGGACTCGTGGCAGTGGTTCAGAGAGTAAGAGGTGATGGATTGAGTGCACCGTGTCCAATGGATTCTCCTGGCTTACTGTGACTCTCTGTGAGATTTCTGACCCAGGTAAACGCATCGGGCAAGGTGCACTCCTTTGCGGGAAGGCTTCAGGTTCTACAAGATCTTGCGAGAGGCTGAGCATGCATGCTGACATGGGGATCTACCGTACTGTTGCTAATTCTTATTTAAGAAGAACGAATCTGGCCGATCCCAGAAAGGAAACTATAAACTTCTCTGCGGGTTGCGACCTTCAATTTTATCAAATTTTCAGTCATTTTTCCCTAGTAAAACTGGCGGAAGGGATCGTCTCGACCTTTGTATACCAGATGTTTCTCCCTCTCCGACTTGAAGTGGCAATAAAAAGAATTAATTTTTTGATCCCGACCTAGTTTTACTCTCTCCGACCTCAATTAGCGACAGTATTATATTTCGTTAGGTGGAATATGTAAGGTTAGATATAGATCCCCCTGATTCTGACATATCGAGGGGTGATGCGTCGCGCGCAGGGGCCCGGCGCGTCCGGACCTGCCGCAGGCGGAGCTGCCGATGATGCGCTCGTTCACGTTCCTGCGGCTGACGCCCGAGATGCTCAAGCCGTCCTACCAGGCCACCTGGACGCGCTTCATGCACCGCATGCGCAACAACCGCGCCCGCGGACCCTCCCCAACCGCCCGCACATCCACCGGCCTTCAGCCCATCACCCGCAAGTGCGCACCTGGAACCGAGATATTTATGTGCATGTCACTCATGGCTGTGCTTCATTCATGACTGATCTAAAAATTGTGCCTGGGAGTATTGGAGGTTATGCTTGCCCTTGGTGCGTATTGTAGCCATTTGGAATTGGCTGTGTCCCGCATCAGGTGCAAGGAGTCGCTTATTCCCTCACAAGTTTTGAGGGCGCAACCTCTTCCACGCGTGTGGTGCTGGAAACCCCACCGATTCAACTCGCCACATTATCTGCCTGTTCTCGCTTTGGAAGATATTAAGCTGAGCCTCATCTTCAACTGGGAGCAGCGGTGTTAGCAATGACTGCACTCTTCAGTCGTTGAGCTCTTGAGGTGCTCATGCAAGCGGCTCTTGATCGGTGCACGTCTCTGATCACCTGTGTACTAATGGCGCAGGGGTTCAGGCGGCCCGCCGGTCTCGCGCGGCCGCAGCAGCATGTTTGTGGCAAATGAGAAGGGCGAGATGGTGCCTGCGCAGAACTACGTTGCAGAGATGCAAGGCAGACAGACGCCCCCTCCCTGGCAGCACCAATGAGGCACAGTGGGAATCAGGGTCCGTTCTGAGGACATCAGATAGATGCTCTCACTTTCAGCAGACAGCCTTCACTTGTCTGCCATTGAAGTACCCAGCCCTCCGATGTGGCTGACCGCATTCTGCACACCTTGCTGCAGCTGTCTGCGGCAGGGTGACTCTGTTCAAGCCATGACACATTCAGTGGTTCCCCTTGGGGTGGTATCTGGCGGTCTCTCAGTTTCTTGCCCGTAGACTGATCTATGTGTACACGTGGCCTCATGGCCCGAATCAGGCCGCGATCGGGCATCGGGCAACCTAGCATCTCACAAACACGGGTGGGCTGCTTGGGGCCATCAGGCTCTGAAATAATTGTCCAAGGAGCACTTGCAGCTGACAATGCATGCATGCTTGGTCCTGGGTATTTTAGTCAGTGTGTGAAATAGTAAGGCTATGCAAACGCAGCTCCGATGCTGGTAGCTCTTCTCATATTCAGCAGGCAACCTAGACCCTATAGATTGAGTCTGCTTGACATTGCAGTCAATTCTTACCCAATGCATGAGGAATGCACCGCTTTGCACCAGCTGCCTGTTTTTTATGGCTCCTGCTGTCGAGAGCCTAATTCTTTTCCCATTCTGATGATTTTGTCTGCTGTCAGGCGGTTGTGTATTTCCAGACCGATTTGCGGGAACATGTCCAATGATATGGACTACTTCTTTATTGCGAGTCCTAGCTAGTTAAGACCTTGACAAACAAGGTACTGTGTCTAAAGACAACCCTGTACATCATGCAACAACGGCGAGCGCGGTATGTGACCTAATCATGTGATGCTAACACATAGCAGGGACCTCATGAGGTGGAAGGTCATCACACTATGCTCTATGGGTCAAGAGATCAAGGATGCATGTTTGGGAGTTTCCTGTGGGGATGAGCGGGAGACAATTGTCTGTATTGGCAGAGCCATGCCATGGCAAGGATGGTCAAGATGGGATTGCGAATTCTTTTGCACAGCTATTACATTGCTTGCTAATATCGTATTTCCAATGGGAATTCCTTCGAAGTCCATCAATGTAATCAATAATCACTCATATGGTCTTGACCAATGACTACCAGCTAGATGCAATCATCCAAGACACTTTGCACCCCCCAATATGCATGGGCGCACAAGCTTTGACAGCCTGAGAAGCGGACCTGCATTGGTGCTGATTTGACGCCCTTGCATAACATTTCCCCGAGCTTTACTTAATATATGACATGACATCAATAGAAAACTGATACCATGAGATCCATCCTGACATGCACAGCCAGAGCATGATCAAGCATGGAAGCGGCCGCGCTTCTTTGTGGGCAGCTGCTTGAGAGCTGTGCGCCGCTTGCTCTTGTAGTCGGCCACCAGAGAGTCTCTCGTTGCTCGCCATGCTGCCTCCACCTCATTGCCTCCCACCAATCTGCAAAAAGCTGCTCCCTGGGGCAGCACCCCTGCCAGCCCTGCAACCATTGGCCAGCTTTCAGTGGCTCAGATATTATTTGATGCCAGGATATCAAAGCTTCGAAGGACCAATGGAGAGGGATAAGAGCCTTCGCAAGCCAAAGTGGGTAAAGGCATGCAAGGCTGCGCCGTGAAGCTTTTGTATGGATGAACCGGGAGCAACAACCAACCTGCAAGGAAGGCTTCCTTGCCTTGCTGGGCCCTCATGTCTCCACTCCTTTGACCATGTGATGCTCCTTCCACATCACAAGGAGTGACGGCTTCCTCTAAGTCGCTGTTGGTCTCTGCATCAGGAGCAGGCAGCTCTGGGCCCATGCCAACCTCTGCAGCAACTCTCTCCATGCCAGCGCCAGGCTCTTGCAAGTGCTCAGAGCTCGTCTCAGCCTCATCTGTCTCACTCCCATGCTCCTGTGCATCCCCGTCATCTGTGTCCTCTCCCTCACTGTCAATGTCACGATCACCCTGCTGCTCTTCCACTGCTCCCACTTCATCTGACAGCGCTTGGATTTGGCCTCCAGCATGAACATCTCCTCCAGCAGGTCCAGCATTCTCATCTTCTGACATGTCATTCCCTTTGCTACCCCCCTCATCATTGCTGCTGCTCGCAATGTCACTGTCACCACTTGCACTCTGCAAGCCGCCATCTGACTCGCTCTCATCTGTCTCGCTGTCATCTGCCGCACTGATCATGTTTTCTTCCTGGGACAACCCAAGCATGCCAGCTGGCTTCAGAGATCCTGCAGGCTCTAATGCAGCGGCCCCGCCCTCCTCGTCATCACTGCTGTCGATGCGGCTTGCTGCTGCCTTGACCTCAACCTGCTGGTGCTCCCCATCGGCCAATGGCCCAGTCCCCTCTGTGGATTGCTCCACAACCATGGGTCCTGTCACGCTTTTGCTCTGCACCTTGCTATTCCCAGCAACGCCACTGGCCTTCATCTTGTCAGAGGGCTGAATAAGAGCTACTGCGTGCCTGCCGTGCGCAGCCGGCGCTGAGTCATCATCCTCGTCAGAGCTGTCAAAGCGCGAGTCCTGCACAGCTGCAGCTGCCGGCCCCTCCACGTCAGAGTCCATGAAGTCCACGGCCCCCAACTCCTCAGACTCGCTAGAATTCTCACGCATGACCTCATCCTCCTCAGCTGCCTGGTCAGTCAGGGAATGGCAGCTTCAAGATTTGCAGCCTCCTTGTTGGAGAGCATTCTATACGCCATTCGTAACACGCTCGCCTAGGGATGGCAGCGAAATTTGAGTCTGCCAGCTGACGAGCATACCTTGAACCATTTCTGACTAGCTGGCTGCATCAACGGCAGCAGGCCAAAGTACAGGTAAATGTATGGTGTTAAGTCAAAAGGAGATCAGGCAATGATGTATCCAAGCCTCACCTGACTCATTTGCTCCTCGGATGCAGCCGCCTTAGCCTTCTCTGGTGCCTCCTGCCGCTTAGTGGTGCCTTGTGCAACGCCATTCGGTACAGCAGCTGAACACAAATAGCCGCCCATGTCAAGACACGCATTGAGCCAGCCACATAACAGATAATTCCATATTCAAATCTCAGCAACAGCTGACGGGACATGCGCCCAGTTGGTCTTATCACAATTTTGCAGCATTTTGAGTGAGGCATTGAGCAAGCAAGAGCCATGTTGTGCTTGGCTGAGATATAGGCAGGGGGTCACCTTGCGCCTGTGCAATCCTGGCGGATGAGGGGAAGCGGGTCAGCAGAGCATTGACTCGCTGCTGAGTCAGGGCGCCAGGTGGCGCCTCCACAGGGCCCCATGCCAGGTCATCAGCCCTAGGCTGCTTCACTGGCGGGAAGTATGTCTTCACCCGGTTCGGCTGCGTCTTCATGGTCTGCAGCACATTCCCTCACACCATCAGCCATCTGCTTGAAAGTCCTCTTCTGGTCTTCTGGGTCCAAAAGAGAATAATGCCCTTTAAAAGTTTCTGGCCGAGTATAAACTCGTGGGCACTGGTATGGTCCAGCACTTGCAAGAAGCAGCCTGAAGCGGAGCAAGGTGCTGTCTACGACAGTCGTCACCTTTTTGCCATCTCTTCTGGGGATAGTGAGGGGTGGAATTTCCCCAGAGCTCGGCTGATCCGGCATTGCACTGTCTGGCTGCTCTGGTGCAATTTGCCCCTCCAGCTCAAGGCACAAGTCGTCAGCCTCCTCCGCTGCAAACTTAGCTTTGTAATCCGGCTTTGCGGGCTCCACTCGCAGGACACCACCCATCCACTTGCACCCATTGTACTGCAGAAGTCACAGTACACCATCAGTTTGAAGTCTTCAATTTTTACTCATATTAAACGTGCACGCACACACAGAAACAATATCGGCATTCTGTCTGGGCTTGCTATGGCCTGGTGCATGCTTCGGCAGTATCACACAATTGTGGTGCTGTATCCACCGCCGGACGTTCCAGAGACGTGGACAAGAGCATGCATGCAGAGATCATGCAAATTATGATGTGCGCACCATGCTGATGCAGCGATGAAGGGCTGCGGCATCCTTGGGAGTGAGCTGCACATAAGCAAATCCCCGGCAAGATCTCACTAAGGGCCCGGCAGTGACAGACCCTTCCTTCTCAGGTGCCAGGTCGACACTCTGCACTGTGCCGAAAGACTTGAACCGCTGGGCGATCTGCTCTTGGGTGACATCTTGGGGGATCCCGCCAACAAAGAGGCGGGTTGGCTGGGTCAACGGCTCAGGCCCCATGAGCATTTGTAAATTCTTGCTTTGCAGCTGCCCACTCAGTCACAGCGTCCAAGGCTGCAAGGGCTTCAGCTGCGCCCTAGGCACAGAAGTTTTCCTTCTACGTGTCCCTCACTACTCAGCAACGCGTCGAATTTGCAGCTGTCCTTGCTTGATCTCTTCTCAGACCAGGAGACACATATACAAACGAGATAGAGCCAAGCTGTGAACGCACCAAGAGAAAGTCAGTCAATATTAGGACATCCTTAGTTCCAAAGCGATGCTAAATTGCTATGAATTGAAGCTTTAGATCCCGGATTGGGGAGACGCTTGTCGTGTCGGAGTTGCCGTTCCGAGATCACCTCACCGGTTACGAGTTAACCTGCCATATGGCGGTTCTGGAAGCTTGAAAGTGTTCTTGTGTATTCTGCCTTCCCTCTCAACACATCGAACATTCCTTCTCAGTTTTCAGAAGAAAGAAAGACTGTTTTCTGCCCAAATGCCAACTAAATACGATCATAGACGGTCTGAGACGAACGTCAGATATCGTCCAACCGTTTGAGATCAGCAACTCGCTTCAAAGCTCTCTGTCCTTCGCATCGTTACTTCCATGATGCCACTTTCTGCGGCAGATTAAGTGAAATGTATTGCATGCGGTAGAAAGTATGCAACATTTTTATTCTGGTGATTTTGCATCTCGTTGATAGCTGCATAAGGCCTCACTGGATCCTCATGCAAACAAGAGTTCTTTGATCTTGAGTCTCTGGCAGCTTCCAGGGTTATTATGGGTGCCAATGCCTTCACCAACATTGCCTCTGGTAGCAGTGCTTCTGCCCTTACCATTCTGGCCATTGTCCTTGCCCTGCTGTACTGGTAAGTTCCAAGGGATTCAACATGAAGTCGATTTTCTGTCTCCAACGTCTGGAGTCCTGGTATGTCACGAATTCATGTCAGATCCCTGTGCTGCAGGTACTTGAGAAGCAGAGACTCTGGTGGGAGTGACGACTTGCTGCTGCAGACACAGAAGAAGCAGCTGGCGAAGTGCACCAAGGCTGAAGTGGCCGCCCACAACTCTCAGAAGGACTGCTGGATTGTGGTGAAGGGGAAGGTGTATGATGTGAGCAGCTATGTGGAGGAGCATCCCGGTGGATTGGCTATTTTGAAGAATGCAGGTGGTGATGCCACAGAGGGATTCCATGGCCCCCAGCATCCGCCGCGAGTGTTTGACATCATTGATGACTTCTTGATCGGGGAATTGATGGACTAGATCGCTTTTGAGAGACTGAATTGGTACAGAACTTGAGAGACTGGATTGCTTTGCTTACAGCCAGGACTGACAGTTACGTTCTGCTGACACTGCAAGTACTTGCTGAATTTCACAGTTGTTTCCCAAGGATCTGCCTGGCAAGTCCAGGAGCTCGAGCGCGCAAGTCGATTGAAATACAGCAGTATAGCAAGGCATCCCCAAATTCGAACTTGGAACCCACTAATGGCCTGTGCATGCTTAAAGTCTGTAGTCAAAGATCTGGCAGACACCGCATCTCCATTCCCAATCAAATAGATCTAGAATGATCAATTCGAGGACAGAATGTCCCAATTTTCACGATGATCATTGCCGTCCTAATATTGTGCCCTCATCAAAGACTTTGAAAGCGATTCATTAAAGACGTCAGAAGTCGTACACTACAGCATCTACAACATATTCAACATGTGTACACAGTTAGCATGTAAGACTAGAAGCACCAGTACTGTACAGATTCACCAGTGCTACCACACGGCACGGAAGCCAGCTTGCAAGAATTCCAATTCGCAGTCCCCGAGGATTGGCACAGAGTCCTCCCAGAAACACACTAGGCCAGGCCCTTCTCTAATTAGTGCACCTAGGCTTATAGCTTCTCACCCCTCGAGGCGCCTGACCCCAAGTGTTCCCCAATGTCACAGGTATTTGCACAGCACAACGTACGCAGTCACGCTTGTCCTAAGCTCTGTCACAACCATCTGATAATCGCCAACGCCTGCCGGCCTACCCAAGTGCTGATTGCTGGACTCACTCTTGTCATGACCAGTCGGATCAGTACGCCCTCTCAGGAAGGTTGGCAGGGTGGTCATCTCCCTTGGACTCCCCAATTCTGCCACGTGCAGTGTTGTAAATCCCAGTGAGGGGCACTGTGCCGACAACTCCCCCAAGGCCGAAGGGGTGCATGTTTGCATAGATGGTCTCATACTCTCCAGCCCTCACCTGCGCACATATAAATCTTGTGACTAATATTTACCTTTGCACGGCCACCTGACTAAAGAGTCAATGCGACCCATCAGATGCCGCCATCAGAAGAGATTGAGACCGTTCCTCTGCAGTGTACAGAAAGGTGAACAAATTTGGGGTGTCCTTCACACCTTGTAAGTCTCATGGTAGATGCCAAAGGATGTGTTTTCGCGCATGACCTTGCGCATCTTCACCCACACAGGGAAGTGTTTCTTGGAAGGGGCCCTGAAGCCAAGAATTGTCCAGTCACGTGAAAATCTGCCGATATCACTACTCAAAAACAGCTTCACCTTGGATAAACCCAGCAGAGCTCGCGATACATGTCAATAAGTCTCAACTGGGCGCCGTAAAACAATTGCTGCAACGCAGTGATATGGAGAATGCTGCGCGCCTGGCATAGTCATTGAGGTGATCAACGGAGCGCCAGTACTGCACAAGGAGTGCTGGTCTTCCAAAGTAGGCATGTCCACCCAGGAACCCGCACTCTGGATGTGCCTGTGTCGCGGACAAAGAGTTTGAGAATCCACCATTTTGGTGATCTGCTGTGGCAGTGAAACATTGGGACCCCACACTTATCACGCTATGGCTAGTTCCACTGCAATCCATAAGCCCTCAACGCCATCGCCTGACAGGAGATACCTGCCAATCAGCGCTCTGGCAGTCACATGAAGCACAGGCAGTGTAGGTGCCTGACTGTTGGACTTGCAAGGATCATCAACTGATCAGTGAAAATGGGCAGGGCAGTACCGTGAGCTCCTTGAGCATAGTGCCCATCCCCGTAAATACCGGCAGCCAGCCACGCACGTCCCACCAATTGTGCACAACAGCACCGATTATGAAGACCACAAAGTCACCCTCGATTTTTGCAGTACGCGATTCTGCAGAGAAAAGTAAAGCAGTGAGCAGTTGAGTTGCTTGCTTCATCACATTGCCGCTGCTCGCCGTGATCTTTTTCGGGGTTCATGCAAGGGCAGGCACTGCCAAGAGGCAACCCAGGGGCCTAATGCTCATCCCTGTATGCTCATTGCTGCATGCTTCAAGTCTGCAAACACAACCCATGTGTGTCAGAAGGCGCTTGGCTTCGTACCTCTGATGAGCTGCCCCTTCTCTGCAAAACCGGGCGAGTCTTTTGGTAGCAGGGGGTGGTTGTATGTGGTAAGGCTCATGATGAAAACGACGCCGAGGCCTGCCAATACAATAATCGGCAACACCAAAAAAACGCCTGCCGCTATTGTCGCCATGCCACCGAAGTCCATCGCCCTCCTGTCAGAGAGATAGTTCATCAGCAGTTCTGCCTGCAACTGGGCCCCAGACATGCAGTCTACGGGAAAGTATGAAAGCATGTGCTTGCCCTCTCTGCAAGAGAAATAAGGCAAGCAGAATTAGTTAATTGATGCACCACGACAGTAGACAGATTGCATAGACCCGGCAATGCGGATTGCTCCGGAAAGTGAAGGTGATCGATCCCGTGGCGACAAGAATAGACGGATATTTCACAAGCCATGGCACCTGAAAGACGCTTAATATGTGAAGTTCAGATACTTCGCAATTCATTTTTTTGGTCAGATTGATAATGCGCACCTTGTATTGCTGCAGGCGACTGAGAAGGAAGGCAGTGCAATTCTTGGACGACGTGCACGACCGGTGTTTGGTCGAGAAGTGTTGGAGAAAGATCCCAGATGTGTCGTAGGCTGCAAGCTATTGGATGATGCAGGAATACCGATGTGATGTTGACCATCCTGCTCTGGTTGCTTCCCCGACATAAGGATTATGAAATGTGCGGCCTTGGATTACCTAAAATTTCGGAATGATGCCAGTTGCCCAATCAGGAGCATGCAGCTAAGTTTTATGTGTCTCTAGGGAATGCAACACGTCCTCTGCATGATGCACTTCAATATGTCTAACCCTATGCTCCGTAGCTTCCCACCGTCCTACTCTCTCCCGAGACAACGATTGAGAATGTGCTCAGCTTTAAACGTGAGAGCGCAGCTTTCACCTACGGTAGGCTTGCAAGCTCTTAAGACGACCGGGGCGCAGCGTGCATATGACATGTTCTGACGCTTATGCATGGCGTCACCAGACACCACTGCAGTCCATCTGGAAGGTAATATGCAATGAGAAAAATAGCATCTGCCCAGCCCAACAAGCGGTAGCTTAATTTATGAGCACGCATGCACTGCGCCAACTTGAAGGTCCCAATTCCAGTGCTTTAACTAAAATTGCTCTACAAACTGCCACGCTCTCTGTAGTGCTCAGTGCTCCATATCCCCTGGGGACATCTGTCATAGAGTCTGCTGCACAGTATGATGACTTCTGAACGTTCACCCCATCCCTTCACTCCTATCACACTCGGCAAGCACTTGAAAAAATGACACCCTCATACTTCAGTTATATATGATCACCCCGCGGACTGATGACTAGTCCCCCTCTTTCTGCACCTGCACGTACAGTGGAAGGCCGCCAAGCTTGGCTTTGCCATTGAGATCCGGCAGCTCGATGACACATGCACACTCCACAATCTCCGCCTTCACCTGCAGCACAGTCACTCAAATATAAACTCCTGCATCACTGGCAGCCAAGATCTTTGTCCAATTTCAACATGTACATATAGGATGATTTAGATGTCTAGAGGGCCGCCCAGATAGGAGAAAGGGTGGAAAATCGCTACAGCATATACAACAGATCTGCCGAAGCAACACCCCGATACTAATCTGTGACAGTTTGCTCTCAATTTGCTCAATAGCTCAATCCATAATTTTCTGGCAAATGATGCATGCCTGTGGTCTCAGGCTGGCATGCAACTGCAGGCGAACAAAGATGCATGGTGACTTCCCAGGCATGCATGATATTGGGATGCTTGTACCTGGTTCATGAGTTTGATTCCTGCAGCTAGGGTCCCCCCGGTGGCTATCAAGTCATCAATCAGCAGCACCCGCTGTCCCTCCTTGACATGCCCCAAGTGCATCTCTATGCGGTCTTCACCATACTCCAGCTGATAACTGGCTCCAATTGTCTCACCTATTTTGCCAACGGCACAGATCACATCTGTGCTACAAGTGTGTGAGTCAGGCAGAGCCCACATTGCTGCATGTGGCACAGAGCTCAAGCTAGATAAGGAGGCACACCAGGCAGCTTTCCAGGTTTTCTCAGCGGCACAAAGGCGCACTTCAGCTGGAGAGCAAGCGGAGCTCCAAAGATGAATCCCCGAGCCTCAAAGCCTGCATCAAAGAAGGCGCCATCAGCATATTCCTTGCACAGATCTTGGAGAATGCAATGGAATTGGCTGTGTACTAATCAGCTCTTTTGACAAGATGTCAGGCATCACCTGCCACCACGTCAATCTTGTGGTCTTTGTATCGTGCAGCAAAGTCATCGATACTCAATTGGAAGGCCTGCAAAGCACCAGACACATGTTTTAGTTGACCAAAAATGGTACTGTAGAGTTGTATCAGGTCTAAAGACATTGGAGCGCATGGAGGCTCCAACTTGATCTCCTCTGCCCTAGTGATCTGCTCGTTGTGGGAATCCAAGAAGGATGCTCAGACCACAACAAGGATACTATGACAAACATTCAATTGCACATAAATCAAGTAAATCCACCTCACCTTTGGATCCAGCAGTAAAGACGTCACATCGTGGAACATGATGCCCTTCTTTGGGAAGTCTGGAATGGTTCGTATAGAGTCAGATATGTACTGACGCGACTCATCGTTCATTCTGACTGCCAAAATCTGCCTTGAAGGGGCCCTTCCTCGCTGACGGCTGCTAATATTCTCTCGTTTGATCAGATGGTGGCCGCTGTGAGGCAAGCTTTCAAGGACGCTTGGTGCGTACGTTGAGGGCGTCAAAGATCGTATCATGCGCTTTGAACGTGTCTTGTACCGCACTACAGTGTGAGGCTGCGTCAAATGGTCGAGGAAAGATTCATGGAGAATCATAGGTCTTCTGTCATGTGGGAAATCAAGGGGCGTCTAGGGTCCACGTGGATATCATATCGCAGCGTTATGGAATGACAGCTTCCACATGCGTGGAAGCTGTTCGAGGAATCTCCAATATCGTGTCAGAGCAGAAAGGCAGAGCAGAAATACAGAGCAAGAAAGAATTTCGAATAATCAAAGAAGTTTCTGAAGAGCTGCAGGACTGTTTAAAACCCGGAAGTTACTCCGTTGAGAAAGAAGACTTGCACATGGGCGTTTTCCTTGGACTTGCAGCAATATTTGCGCTTGAAGTCTAAGAGCGATCGCTTGTGTTGTGGATTGAATATCATTCAGAAGGTTTGTTCAGTATTTCACCGCAGTAACCCACGCACAGATTTTCTCGAAACACCCCCAAAGCTAACGACCCAGGTTGCGGGCAATGTCGTCCGGCACCACGCCAATCATTCCAGATTTGAAGGGGAAGCGAGTGCTGGTCACTGGTATGTCGAAAATCAGAATCAAGGCTACTATGTTGTACAGCAGCAGGACCAATAACATGCCAGAATTTGAGGCACATCCCCCGATCCTGAAACACACATTCTTATGACGTGGCCAGTCCATGCCCAGTATTTTTCAATCCATGCAATGCAGGTGGATCTGCAGGTATAGGAAAGGCAGCAGCAAGCGCATTTGATGCAAACGGCTGCTCTGTAGCTGTGCTTGGCCGAACCCTTCAGCGTCTAGACGCAGTGGTAAGCATCTGATGAGCACTCTGTTGCTGCTTACTTGGCTGTGGAGGGACGCCAACTCAATCTTAAACTGTATGCATGTTTTACGCACCACACCATGGGATGACACCCAAACGCTCACTCTCTACAGATGTGCATGACAGGCAAAACAGCTGAAGCATGGGGTGCCCATCGTGGCAGATTTGACAAAGAAGGAGGACTTGGAACGCGCCGTAGCAGAAGCCATTGAGAAGTTGGGAGGCCTGGACATCTTGGTAAATAAGTGAGAACCCATCTGCGATGCTCATGTTCAGCTGCATCGATTGCATTCCAAGCTTATGAGCGACAATACCACCAAAATAATAGTTGACTGCAATAAAAAACACTGATGGATTGATAGTTGCAGAGATATTTGCCCTTTTTCACTAGAGTGATGCCATATAAATTGACAGCAGACAGCAATATTGCGCAGTGGCGGGGATGGAACAAGGGAGATTGATGGCATGGATGAGGCTGCCTTCATCTCTTTCTTCAAGCTTCACGTAACAAGTGCCTTGCTCTTCCATTACTCCACACACGCTTTGTGCTGTACCTTGAGCATGCTTAGGTTGCGCAAGGTGTCTAAGCATGCGCATGGAGCTTGCTGGACATTATTCCACTTTTGTTCTGGACATGTGTGCTGTGGCAAATGTGACTTTCGCTGCAGGTCATCTGACACTCATCAAGGCAGCAGAAGAGGAGCTGATCAAGAACAAGGTGAGCTCTTACGCAAGCTCCGCTTGGCATAAGTACTGAATGCGAAGGTTTCTTCCATTCAGGCATTTGCCCAAGATCACCCAGGGATGGGTATAATCTCAACCAAATGCCTTTCTCTGCTTGTTGTGCGCTGAATGGCCGCCTCAAAGGAAACAAATCACAATTGGCCATTATACCCGTTGGCAAAGGATCACAGAGCCCTATTGAAATCTGTTGGCTAAGAATTACAGAGCCCTGCTGACTCAACAGTGCATGCGCAACGGAGTCGTCTTTTGATGGTCACAGGGTACTGTTGTCAACATCTCTTCAGTCATGGCCACAATACCGGCGGAAGAGGACATGGCCTATGGTGTTGCCAAGGCAGCCCAGGACAAGCTCACAAGGGACCTTGCATTTGAGTTTGCCCCCAAAGGGGTGCGCATCAACTCCATCTTGCCAGGTGAGCGCTTTACGCCAGCCTATTTCAGGCCTTGCAAGCTGGTGGATTTTGGGCCCGAGGATCATTTTACCATATCATAGACATATTTAGAGCACAGCGACGCTTGCTTAATATTGGTGCAACGCTGCACACCCACCAGCTTGTCAGCAAATGTTGATGTCTAAAAGCTGCAGCGAGCACAACTCTTATTGATGTGCGTGCAGGGGTGATCAATACCGAGGCGCAGGAGGGCAATGCCAAGGCAATGGGCATGGCCAAGACAGACCTTCTAGCAAAGTTTGCACCTCTCCACGCAATGGGCCGTGTAGGTGAGCCGCATGAGGTGGCTGCTGCAATAGTGTTTCTGGCGTCCAGCGCTGCTTCCTTCATCACCGGTGTCAATCTGCCTGTGGACGGTGGCGCCACCCTCGGGTGAGTCAGTGGTTGCTTCTTTCCAGCTTAAAATATTAGGAGGAGCAAATACAGATATAGGACACACTCACATGGGGTGCCAAAACCATGGGTATATCTACTTGGGGTCCTGAAAGCAACGTGAATATGCCGCTTCCCTGTCTGCATGCCTAACAGTGTAAAAAAGCATCATTCGATGGTGGAAATATGATTATCGACCTGACTGTGCATCCGTTTGCAGGATATGATATTCAATTGCTGTGTCGATTGAGTTGTCAATTGAGTTGTCCAATGACTGAATCATTCATATGCACAGGTACTGGTTCAACAAGAATCCCTCTCTGGAGTGAAGAAGGGGGAGACTAGGCATTGCAAGCACTCAGTGAACAGAAACCGTGGGCAGCTATTATGTGTACATTGCTTTGCAGCACTGCAGCAGCCAGGAGACATAATAATACTCCAGATCCACTCCATGGCCCTCATCACCGTCGATGTGGCTTGCAGTCAACGCGCAGCATTCGCCACCTGAATGATTTGCACCACCAGCTGACGCATTCCAAGGTTCTTTGAGGATTGGTCCTGCACTTCACCACGAGTGAGGTCAAGCATATAGGAGGCAGTGTGCACCTGAAGTGTTGTCAGAGAAATCCGCGAACTGAATCAATTGTCTCAGGGTTTGGATCAACATGGACCATCTCTGACATAATCTTCAGGGTATTACAGCGATTGCACACAGAGGCATTACAGGCAACATACACACGCTGCCACATCATCCGCACAATCCACATCATCGTGCAATGTGCAGATACCCTCCAGAACGTTGCAGACACGCTCAGAACATGGTTTCTGTGTCACACAGACGTTGCATTAGCAAACATCTCGGTCGAATCCATCACAGACTCTGGAGAATAAATCTCCTGGGAGCGGGTCATCCCCCTGAACTCCAGAATGGACTCGCTATCAGTGAGCCAGTAATGGACGAACCCCGGGGTCCTCTTAACGAAACCCAAGCCCCGCAGGATGCTGCGGGCCGCCTTGTACCAAATGGACTCAGAAACTGCACAAGAGGTGATAAAGATGCACTGAACATGGTTGTGGCAATGCACACGCAGCATGAGCGTCTGCACCAGCACTCTCACAGACTCACGGAAGAGTAAGACTGCCAGCATGATTTCTGCAGGCCCACGCTGGAGACCGGTGCTTAACCTATCGATATGGACAGCCCTGATCCTACCCCATGAGCCCATATAAAAAAACACAGGGGCCTGCAGCCAGCGGGCATGGAATTCTAACTCCATGAAGGGTCCTTTTGGCAGAATGAGTGGGATGATTATACCGTCGTCATCCTTGAAGAAGTGGCACAGACCTTGCAGGGAGAAGGTGACGAACGACGCCACCATGACCTTGGCACATGCCAGAATGTGGCTGGGGCTCCAGCTCAGACATTGCATCACCTGCAGGCCACCACAGAGAACATCAGTCAGCTGCAGAGTCAGAAGGCATCAGCAATATAGTGCTGTGTCAGCACTTTAGTGCAAAGCTGGAAATGGCTACAGCAGAGTGAAACATTTGCATTGCAAATGCTTGTGGCAGCTCTGGCCATTGCTGCACAGACAATTCTGATATGAGGGAGCCGGCTACTGTGGGTCTTCCCGCATGGAATGCTCCTGTTGCAATTTTGAGCTCGTACAGGGAGAAAACGGTGCAACCCTTTTACATTGACAGCACAAACGCACAGCATGCCAGGATTTGACTAGCCACCCATGTGGCATTCATGCAATCCCAGGACCCCCTAAGCATGTGCAGGGGCCAAGAAAGTCTTGTAGGTCTATGGGAGCCATGCACGTATCTTCTGTACAAGGCGTCGGGCGCTCCAGATAAAATGAGATGTCACCGCTTCTGAGCAAAGCTTTAAGTTTCACATAGACATAAAATGCTTGCTGAGCAACTAGCAAATTGAACTTGCAACTGCATTCACAGCTGTGACCTGCAGGTGTGACGGTCACAAAGTGCATTACAGCTCCATTCGCATTGATGCTTGGGCTCTAGTGCGAATCTTGATAGATGGTTTATTCGCTGCTATAATGATGATGCGGATTCTGCACTGCAGCTGCTGGTCTGCTGCAGGCTGTTGGCAGCTGCAGCAGACTCTGCAACTCTAAGGCCAAGCAACCCGCATCTCATCATTATCACTGTCCGTAACCCAAGGAAGCCATGGTGCAAGAAACAAGAGATGCAAGCGCTAGCACGCCAACACAATGCTCGCATAAGGCAGCCAGCAAGTTTTCTTATCTCAACACGCTCTGCTAGCACGCATGTAACAGCGACATGATCTGCCGGTGCGAATGCTTTCAGGGCAAACCGATTCTCACAGTAAAATAGAGGGGAATCAAATGCCCACACACCACAAAACGGGTAGGTAGCTATGTTCTCTGCAGTCTCGTTCAAGGACCAGCAAGTGTGTCATTGGGTCGCCTCAGATCCATCCGACCCAGCTGCTCCCGCACCATTTGCAACTGCAGAAACAAACCCGAGAGTCACATTGTTGAAATGTTTTTGGTTTGCAATTCTGTGCAATGACCCTCTTGGCGCTCGCACTAACCTTAATATCTTGGGTATTCTTGGTTTGATGATTGCAACACACAGAAGTTGATCATCTGTGTCTCTGGCAAGGCACACCTTATGTGAGAAGAGCACAATGTCATGATTGTCAGACCATCGAATGGCTTGGGAAAGGTCACCTGCTCTAGCCCTGCTGCGGACCTCGCCAGCATCAGACGCCTTGGCCACTGCAGGGTCGTCCTCTGTCAATTCAGAGATCTCCACATCGTCATCTGCCGCTGCCTTCTGCACCCACCCCAACACGCCCTCAGCATGACATCATCAACCTCATCAATCATCTCTCAATTGTCGCCTCATCAGCGTCATCAATCCTGCACCTTGCTGCACCTCTGCTTGTCAGCGTGCGCATCAGTGGTCTTCTGTGCATCATCTCAATTGGGAAAAGACAGTGCTGCAATCGGAACCACCACACATAGCCCTTGACATGTGCACTTGGGGCAAAGAAATCCTCTTCTCCAAGAAGTACCCAAATGCCCACTCAGGAAGAGCGTCAAGAGCATGTGCTCCTAATGACGCACTGATGATGCAAGAAAATTGGTGTTGGAGCTTGTCACTGTGTGTCTGGCATCTGTCTTGCACTGACTCCCATGTGCTTCTCTCTGGTTGACCGAGCCAGGTGGAAGCATGACTAACACAGGTACTAATGTGATGCGAATGTAGTGTGATGCTGCTGTGCGTTTGCCCTGTGGTTGTAACAGGGTTGCACCATTTTCTCCCTCTAGGAAGCCTCCTTTAATATACATAAGAGGCAGCCCTCTCTGCCATCTTCTGGCGCTCGCTCTGCCTTGATGTCTGCAAACCCCTTCCTCTAGTATGAGAAAGGAGGGAAGCTCCGATCACCTTGGTGGGAGGGGAGGCCTCATTGAAGGCGGTGCTTACAGCGTCAGAGAGCCTGTTGAGGAAGAGGCTGGTCATCTCTGGCGGCCAGGACTTGGGGATGTGTGATGCCAGGCTGCGCCGCAACTTGTCGCTGCGCTTCTGCCCGTTCCGCCACTCGCGATCCATCTCCGCGCGAATCTCCTGTGGTGCATTAGACGTGTTTTTTAAGTTGCTGTGACAAGCTTAAGTGGAAAAAGACAGGAAAAACATAAGGAATTTATTGAAAAGGTACTTCAGAACAACAGGACAACAAAAGAAATCCACCATGCCACCGGTATCACAGCAAACAGGACAGTTCGGGTGAAACCATCAGCTGTTTGTAGCTTTCATTGAGATGCTAGCTAAGTTCCATAGAGGAATTGGACAGCTATTTTCATTGAGAAGCCTTGAGGGAGCAACTCAAAGATTGCATATCAAGGGTTGCACCATCCGTTGTGGCGCCCTTGTCTCGGCACACCGGACAGAAGTATGGTGCAGCATGTCCCCACTTGCAGCACTTATTGTTTGCTTGAAGACAAGTGTCAAGAGGGCGCACCAACGGCGCGTATCGCTGAAGCAGGGTCTGCATCTCGTTCTGCAGGGGCATCAGCGTGGCCGCCTCGTCATCCGTGTCCCACTGTGATTGCACAAAAAGGAACACTCAGTCCCCTTCAAGAAAAGCCTTAGACTGAAAGACACCTCAACGCCCACGCGGTGCATCCTTTTTCTCCAGAGACCTGCACAGACAAGGCAAAATTCCATGCGGCTCAAATTCTAAGGCATTCGCCCGCAGAGTCATACCTCTGATTACCAAGAATGGACGCGTTGCACATCAACAGGCGCACTCTGAGAGACCATTCTTAATCGTTTGCATCCTGGCTTGCATGTCTGCCCGACCCAAACCACTGGCATGACGAGGGATTCTCTGCAGATCCCACTTTGCTGTGCACGCGCTAGACAGGCCATCTTTAATCGATACAACACCTTGCCTCTTGGTTTTTGCAGCGCCACGGTCTGCAGGGGAGTTCACTGCGCGCACCTGCAACGCCATGGGCCGCGCGCCGGCTTGGAGGGGGTCCTGATCGACATCAGGGGCGCGGCCGGGCTCATAGGCGACGTGGAACCAGGTCAGTTGGGAGGCGTTCCCGGGCAGCTGGTCATCGTACGGCGCCACAATGGCGGCCAGGTAGGTCTCTGCGCCGTCCTCGGTGCGGTACTGCCGCTGCTGCGCGACCTGGTTCTTGATGTCGATGATGGACGGCTGCGCCGGGAAGGTCGGGTGCGAGTGGTACCAGCCCACACACCTGTGCCAAAGAGCACTGTACTTTCAGGACGACGTGCTCTTTCTCCACCTCAGCAACGGAGTCTTATAAGCCCTTAATAACCTAATAATCTTTAGTTGGTCACCTATTTAGAACATGCAGCAGAGGCAGTACTTATAACATTACAGTACTTATAACATTACAACCTGCTTGGAGTGTGGGAAAACAGCTAAAATCCCCAGCTTGGATTGACCGCCCTGTCTTGGGCATTGCTGACTTCTAGATGAGGCGCTGTGCTGCATACTGAACGAGTAGTGATGTGCATGTGGCATCTTTGCATTTGAAGGCATTTCTGCAAATCCGAAGCAGCTGTGATCGGCCGGCAACAGTGAGGTGCTGCATGAAGAAATAACCAATTGGCACTGAGAAAATCTAGGGCTCACTTGAGGCCTTCTGCGGTGAGGCTCTGCACGGCGCGGAACTGGTCTTCGGGGTCCATCTCCACGTTGATGGAGCCGTCTTCTATGGCAATCTCCTGTACCGGCAGCGCTCGCGTAACCCTGCACACACACCAGGCAATTCTCTTCAAACTCCACCATCCTCTTCATGTTTGGTTAATAGCTGCAGCATCCTAAGATGGAAAGTGCATGTACTGGCTCTCCTAAGGGTCAAGCAATCCGCAGCTCAAGAAAGAACTGCCTTGGAACACTCAGGCATTGGAGATCCAGCAACGATTCGCATCCCTGCCGCTTGCAAGTGCCACATGGTTGATGTGTCAGGGACTGCGGCCGTGCGAACACACAATTCCACGTGCCTTAAGGACAATCATAATTCATGCAGTTACCTCACAGACAGACACCTAGTGCCAGCTAATCTACATGCAGTGAATATATCATCAGAAGGACATGTCCCCCGGCGTCGTGGCATCCACTGAGGTGAGACAGAAGGCTTCAAGGCGTGCATGCTGGTTTCCAACGCCAAGTGCGCTACAGGGAGAAAGATCGAGGATTCTTGGGATAGGTAGTGACCTGACGACTTGGGATCCCAGAGGCCGCCGAGGATGCCGATGACTTCGCTGGTGCAGAGGAGAAATTCAGCTCATGAGACACATGCAGGGACGCGCTTGGTGCAAGACACGGGTCGCACCTGACGACTTGGGATTTGGGGTCCCAGATGCCACCAAGGATGCCGATGACCTCGCTGGTGCAGAGGTGCGCGTGGAAATCCATCATGAGGTTCGCGGCGGGGGCCACGACCACGCGGAATGGCTGGCAGGAGGGGCCGCCTCCGCAGATGGGCCCCTTGTACGGCATGCATGGCACCATCTGGTGCTCCTCCTCGTATGAGTTGTTGCGCGCCGGCGCCTTGATCTGCACATGCCACGGCCGGTTCAGAAGTCTTGCAAACTTTCATGTGTTGCAATTGAAAGGTGCTGTGAAGCTCTAGACAGATATCCTGCGCATTGCACACGCCAAATCAGAAGTCCTGAACTTTCCAATTATTGTCACAAGGTGCTTGCATGGTCTGGACGGATGATCTGGGCATCGAGAACACCACATGAAAATCTTCAAGCTATCAAAAAGCTCATCCGTGCCTCCTGTTCCTACAAATGCATGCACTGGCCAGCCCACAAGAGTCCTGCGCTTGAGAAGCCGATCATGGGTTGCATGAGTAGGAACAGCTTCACTTGGGCCAGTGGGGCTCTCTTCAGAATCGTTACATATCTCACAATTGAGATTATTACGACAGTATTGCGGAAGGAACATGTTGCAAGAAAGCAGGCGGTCACTGAATTGTGGGAGGCACCTGTCGTTTGGGCCTGCTCTTGAGGTACTCATTGTGCTCTGCGGAGTACCCATTGGTGGGTACTCTGGGGGACCTGGGGGACTGCTGCTGCATGCTCGAGGTTGACCGGCCCAAATTACTCTCAGAGCCGCCGTTCACCGCCAGCCGCGGCCTCTTCACCTCTGGAGGGCCCTCACCAGAAGCGCCTGCATCCCCACACACCCCACTCAGGGTCAGTGGTGGAGGTTCAACAGTGCATGAAAGGTGTATCATTCACCGCTCCCCCATCTCAAGATATTTTGGATGCTTCATGTCCATCTGGATCGTCCAGAGATGGCAAAAAGCTGCCCACACACCTCATTTTTAGCACAACAGAGACTCACAAGTAAATTTGTCACGATACAGGATGTCTCCCGGCCTGATCTTACTTACTACTCAACAGATGAACCACCTCCAATGCGGACCAATGGATCTGGTGACAGCCTCACCAGCGCTGTCTTCCTCAGGTTTGCCGAAGCGCCGCCGCGCAAGTTCGAGCTTGTACTGCTCCAGGAAGCGGCCGTTGCACTTGACGGTCTTCCAGCCGTCATCCGCCTTGCGCGCCGGGTTGACGAGGCGCTTCAGGTAAATGCTGAACGCGCTCGGCGACTCAAACGTCAAGTGCTGCCCTTGCACCTGTTTTTACCACCCCACGCCCCTCATTACCTACTCACCCAGAGATCTACGGCTGCACAATGTCCACAAGACACCTCCTTTATCCACTGAGACAGCTGGATGCACGTCCATTCAACTTGACAACACCACCAGTCAGTCTGCAATTGTAGCACAGGCCCACAGACTCTGTGCTAATACGAGCAGAGTTGCTGGCAGAATTGTCAAGTTGGGGCAACGGCCATGGGTTTAAAGACCTTGGTGACACAGCTGGAATGAGGGAAGGAGAAGGGGGCTGGTCATTATGACTCACAAAGCAGCTGATGCGACCGTCATGCTCCAGGCTGGCATAGGTCATGGAGCTCTTGTACTCCACGCTCAAAATATTGTCCCCAGGCTGCAAGATGTCCTCATCTATCAGCAGCTTCAGCGTTATGCCGCCCCCTGCCCGCGGCTTGCCTGCATCCAAGACACCACAAGATGAGTGCTTGCCTTCAAAATTCGACACCTTTGCTCGGACACTGACAATCCATTGAATGACCTCTCAAGAAAATCCTGGCGGCACAATAACATCGCATGACTCCTGATTGTCTTAATTTCAAGTGTTGGAGCTTTAGAACGATGGGGGTCTGGGATCTCCCTGTTGGCGAGGACAAGAACTCTACAGGGAGATCCACAACAGGGGGCAGGACACCTGTGCCGGGCCCCCTCTTCTTGGCAACGGCCGCGCGCTGCCGCTCGAGCAGCGCCTTCTGCCGCGCTTTCGCAATCAGCTCCCCATCCTCATCCGTGTCCGTGCCGCTGCCATCGTCATCTGCCGGTGCGCTGCTCGGCACCTGCGCTGCGGCCGCACCGCCACCACCGCCGGCCGGCCGGGTGCCCGCGGCGGCGGCGGCCCCGTTGCCGTGACTCCCTCCGTTGGAGGTCGCTGCCGGGGGAATGGCAGCGGCTGCGGCGACGGGCGCGGCCGGCTTTGGCGGAGAAGGGTCCTCGGCGGGCAGCTGTGGCGGCGAGGGGACTGCAGCGGGGGGCCTGGGTGCCGCGGCCGAGGGCTCCGGGCTCGGCTGATCCGGGCGTATGGGCGGGTGCGCCCGCTGGTAGCTGCCTGGAAGCTCCGCGTGCTCTAGGAACGGCGCCGGCTCGTCGACAGCTTCCGCCGGCTGCAGTCATGAAATTACTTCAGTCAACCCCTCTGGCAGTCTCTTGTGACTGATCACACACTATGCCAGACAATCCAACGTGTGTGTGCTGGCACTGTACTGCTTGCACCTGACACAGATAAACGAGAGGCTTTGCATGAGATGTGATTTAATGTGCTACCTGCTTCACAGTCTGCTCTGCTGGTTTGGTCGCTGCACCCACCCGGTCCTCAGGGCCTTTCACCCCACTGCTGCCTGCACAGACCGCAGTCAAGATACTTCAAAAGGTAAATCGATCTCAGAAGTGTGGTGCCCCCACCCGAAGCATTTGTCATACATGAGGACATTTGTATGAGAACAAGCGGCCAAAGTGGTCAAATAATGGCCCAAGCCTTACCTGGCACAACTTTTGTATCTATGTAGCCCTCGTCGCCAGGATAGTGTCGTGACCAGCTGAAGTCTCTGCAGGAGACAGGCTTTTTGAGCTCTCTGCTTGTGAAAGTCATGGTAGTGTACTTTCCCACTAAGCAAATGACATACTTACCCAAATTGCAGCGCAGCAGGGAGCAACTGTGGCGTGGATTGTTTTCACAACAGGTTCGTTCAGAGGTGGTAAGATTAAACACAGCTGTAGCTCCCAGGAGGTGGCTAACAGCACGAGTAGTGAGACTGGGAGCACCCATTACCTTTGATCATCTTCTTGAAGAGCAATCTCGTCCATATCTGCTGGCCTTTGCTCTTACCACTGGTTGAGGAAACTGGGAGAGTGTACTCGGTCAGCGCTCCATCGTGCACTCCTGGAAGATCTCCGAAAGCCTAATTATGGCCAAATATAGAAGTGAAACACAAGGAGAGCAACTTAAGAGCTGGCGCAAGTAGCCCAGATAGAAGTGATGTTACACAAAATCTGCGAGGCGGCAGTAATGAGTGACGCACAGAGACTTGGGGCACACAAGTCTTCAGGAGACAAAGCTTATTCTGTCAACGTTTGGATGCTTTGATGGTCTCCTGTGTAGAATCTTTTACTGTAGTGTCGGCATAGAGCTTGCTTTTGGTGGGGTAATGAGGTAACCCTGTGTGGAAGTGAACTTCAAACCCTCACTCCTCAGCCTCAGCTCACTCGAGTTGGAGGATGCCCAATCTTGTGTAGGTCTCCTAGAAACATCCTTCATTGGTAGGACGCTTATCTGAGGAGTGCAGGCTACTAATTTGTACAAGTCTGAGGGAATTTATACTGTGATGTTTGGCTCTTGAGCGACGAGCATCGGGCCTGATTCCAACGAGATGATCTTCTCTCACACCTCCATACAACACTGGAGTAGTTGCTTTTCTGGCAATACAGAGACATGAGCAAGACCTGGGCGGCATCGGACATCACAAGTGTTTTTGGCAAGGTTGCAGTAGTAACTGGGTCAACGTCAGGACTGGGATTCGCCGCAGCCAAAGAACTTGCGCGTCACGGCGCACATGTTGTACTCACATCTAAAACACATGAGAAGGGCAGTAGGTAAAGCTGCAAATTCCAGCGTGGCACTTATCACGCCTGGAAATAGTTGTTGACCTGTCATTCTAGGTTAGTGCAGCAGATGCAGTTCCACATTGCCTCACTATCTGTGACAAGTGCTGATGCTCTACCGATCATTTCTGATGAGAAAAATCTTGCACAAATTGGACTCTAACATCTCCCCCAGGTAATTCATCATGTCATAGCTGTGCGCTTTGTGGTGCAGGGCTGTGGCAGATTTGAAAAAAGCAGTTTCTAATGCTTCAGTCGAGTTCTTACAGCTTGACCTGAGCTCCTTCGGGTGGGCTATTTCCGGATCTCCAAGAAAATATTTCTTCATCATGAAAAGTTCACGTTGGATCAGGACGTCCATGACTCTTGTGTGGCATGGGACAGATCGATCAGGAGCTTTGTCCAATCGTTCCTGGCAAAGGGCCTGAGCCTGCACATCCTGATCAACAACGCTGGGGTCTTCTGCTGCCCGCACAGCAAGACAGCAGAGGGGTTTGAGGTCTGCAAACTCCCATGCACCCACACCTTGTCTGCATGCACTACTCTTGCATGACCCAGCCCACATGACAGCTGGGGGCTTGGGAGCAAGGCTCTGCTGCGCAGGTGACAGTGGGCGTCGGCTACATTGGCCACTTTCTTCTCACGCAGCTGCTCCTTGACAAGCTGAAGGATTCTGCCCCTGCGCGGATTGTCTGGGTCACCGCCAGTGCTAAGATCAAGGCATCACTTGACTGGGATGACCTGGGGTGAGGCCCCTCAATCGGCCATCTCGAACAGCCATCTCCAGCTAACATTCTCAACAAATTCCATAGAGCTGCAGCAAAGTTTGTACAAGTAATGCTATCGCTCCTGGGCCGGGGGATCATTGTATTGTTGCTGCATAACGTGCTCTCGCGAGGTAGCCCTTCCTTATATCTTCTGCGATCGCTCCGCCTTTATGTCTGCATTCCTCGTTCTCGAGACTGCAAAGATAGACAGTGCAACATTGCTCATGTGTCTGTACAGGAGCGAGAAGGTGGGTGTGACTGACACACAGCAGGCTGCACGATGCGCCACCCTCAAGCTGCTGACTGCCTTCGAAATGGACAGGCGGTTGAAGGGCACTGGAGTGGATGTTGTTGTCTGCCATCCTGGAATAGCAGCCACAGAGGTGTAACAAGCTCTTCACATGCAATGTAGACTTCAAAGGGTTTGTGAGGTCCTGAGAAGCCTTCATCAGACTCAGAAAAATCATTGCGAGATGAGCATGCCAATGATCATACCTTTGACGCCTTGTTGCATGGTGTACAGGCCGTGAACAAGCTGGATACTGCGAATGGGGGCCTTTTCCCCAAAGTCATGTCATACGCATGGCCATGGATCGCGCAGAGCGTTGACAAGGCCGTGCTGCCCATTCTGTATGCAGCCACAGCACCCCATGTGATTGGTAGGGACCCAATGCATGTGCTTGCTCTTCTTCATGGTAGTGGTACTGTTCTTAAAGCATTGCTTGATGCTTACCGCTGCAATAATAAGGGTGACAAAGTCTCTGGCCTTGTAGTCTCTGGACTGATCTCGGACAGGGCATGCCAAACAGCATTGTTCCCATGGCTGCAGGACAGGGGATCTATTATGGACCGCCCATGTTTGGAGGCACAGTGGAAGAGCAGCGGCCAACGCATGCATGTGTATGGAAGGCCGGAGAAGAGGGGCTGGTTCCTGACGTGGAGAGTTGGTCCAGGGCAATTGACACAGTACAGAAGGTGATTGAGAGCAAGAAGCAGCCAGGCTTCGCCGCGGTGGCTCTGTGATCTTCATGTCTGTATTATATCGGATGTGACGTGATGGCAACGCGAGTAGAACTTTGAAGGAACAAGACCACCAAGCCGCAATCGGCTTACTACTTCCGACTTTTTTTTGGGTTACAGTATGATTGGCAGCGCTGCACCTGCACCTGCAGCGCTGGACCCGCCGCAGATCGAATCCCGGATTTATAATTTTTGGGTGAAATTGATTGGTTTGTGCAATCACGGTTTGTAAATTGTACTTTGGCCCCGGCTGGCGGGGGGCGGTACAAATACTGAGCTCCGTGCCCACGGTTGATTGGGTCTTGCTTGGATCTGGCGAGTCCAACAAGGGGTAGGAATTTGGCAGCCTTTACATGCAGCTTGTCTGCAGACGCACCTTGCCTTCGGCAGGAAAAGCGTGTAATAATAATACCGTAATAATAATAATAAAAAAAGCTGTACTATGGATCCATAGGTATACCGGACTTTGACTCTAGAGTCCTCTGAATTCTCTGCAATCATCATGATTATATTGGCTCAGACTCCATAGTCGCCCAAACAACTTGCAAGCTCCTGAGCTGATCACGAATCAGCTGAGTCAGCTCAGATCTGGAGCTGATCACTGGCAGCCCCATGGCCGGCGCCGGGCTGCATGCAGCGGCCTCGGCCGGTGCAGGAAAGTCCTCGAGCAGAGACCAAAAGGATTTCCCTGCTCTGAGTAGTCAGATCGAAGCACATTAATCTGCCAGAGACATGGGATAATCCAAGAGAAGAGAATTTGAAGTAAGGAAGCATGCAAGACTGTGTCAAGGTCAAATGTCCTGGTCTGCAGAGGCGTCTGGTGTCGAAGAGCTCGTGCATGGTGCATGCTCTTATCCAGACGGGAATCTCTCGAGCTCCAGATGGTGTAGGCGTCGAAAGGGCGATTTCCCAGTCTGCAAGTGCAATAAATTCGTGTCCTGGGGGCAGTGCGGCCATCAGGGTCGAGGCGAACGCGATGTCTTGCTGGAAGGGAGGCAAAGCTGATCAGAGTGCTTCTGATGCTGCTTCAGGACCCTGTATTAATGATGAAGAATGCCAGGTTTGTCTCTTGTTGTCATGTGCGTTATTAGCGCTTTGCTCTGTGGGATGAATGCTTGTCAACGCAACACGGTGATGTTGATAAACTGGATCAAGTGGAGGACAACTCTATTAGGACAACTCTAAATGTCCAGTGAACAGTATGCTCACATCAAACACTGATCTGACTAAGATGCCAGCCGTTAGATCGCTCTAGAGGCCTAAAGCACCTTGCTTTGACTGTATCATCTTGTGCATACAATGTGACTAATTCTTGGCGTGTATTCACCCAGAGGCCAGAAGCATTGGAAATTGAGGGGGAACCCGACTCGACAGCGGCCGCTGCCTCCGAGCACGTGAAGTTATTGAAGGGCTGGCGCGTGAGCGATGGGACTCTCTCACTGGCGGAGGTCAACGGCTCAATAAAGTGCCCGGACGTCGCAGGGGCCTGGTATGCGAAGGCAGCAGCATTCGCTGGGCTTGGGGGCATGATTGCTGTGGGCTACATGGATCCTGGTAACTGGTAAGTCCTCGCACACCCACACCCAATACCCACAGCTGAAACACAGCATCTGGAACAGTGTTGTCCAGGCTGATCTCTGTAAGTCTGCTGAAAACAATTTGTCATCATTGCTAACAGTGCTGGTGCCTTGCAGGGCCACTGATCTCGAGGGAGGTTCCTCCTTCGGCTACAAGCTGCTCGTCGTGATCCTGCTCTCCAATTTTGCTGCCATGTTCCTGCAGTCCCTGTCCCTGAAGCTGGGAGTCGTCGCTGAGCGGGACCTGGCCCAAGCCTGCCGCGACGCTTACCCCAAGGCATGCCCCTTCACAAAAGGGTGGATTATGTGTAAGTGGGTGGTATCACCCCTAACCCCGGGTTATCGTGGCTGCATCTAAAGGCTCGAGCCGCATCTGAGCACGCCCCCTGGCAGCTCCTGGATGACTTCAGGGATGGACAAGATTCCATACCTTGTGGGGATATGTTGACAAAGAAAGCAGACATCCGACCTTGTTGCCTTGCACTGTGTCCTGGGCGGATGCCAAGTATGTGTGGCAAATTACTGACATTTGATTGGGCTTGTCTGCAGTGGCTGGTGTACATTCTTTGGATTCTTGCGGAGATCGCGATCTGTGCCACGGACCTGGCTGAGATCATTGGATCGGCAACAGCGCTGAACCTGCTCTTCAACATCCCACTGTGGGCCGGCGTCATCATCACAGCCGTGGATGTGCTTTTCATCATTGCCTTTGGCATGAAGAATTTCCGAGTCCTGGAGGTGCTGCCCACACCCTTCATGTATCTCATTTGCCCACATTGTCACCTTTGGTCTGAATTTAACACTCGGAAACTTGAAAGATTCATTTACAAGTTGCATGGCTTCTGTACAACTTGCGTCCTGAACACGTCAAATCATGGAGACACTCGGGCACGTGGCAGGAAAATGTGCAATCGTCTGCTGAGTCGCATATTTGCCATGTGCAGAAACTCTTATTGGTCTCTGCGCATGACCACGCATGGACTGTAAGAAGGCGGCATGCACTCTTGGACACTTGAAACCTGCGAGTTTGGGTGTGAAATGGTGAAGATCTAAAGCCATGTTCGCAGGCCTTTGTGCTGCTGCTGTGCGCGACCATCTTTGCCTGCTTCGTGTATGAGATGGCAGCAGTGAAGCCCAACTGGGTCGATGTTGGCAAGGGCTTCATCCCCGACCCAGAGATCATCACCAACACTAGCATGCTGTACGTCGCCATCGGTATCCTGGGTGAGACACACTCCACCCAATAACTTTTCAAACCTATCCCTTGCTGCCCACTTCTCTGCTCTGTCCCACTGCCGCCTCCTTTGGCTTCCTCAATACCCCTTGAAGCTCCAAGAGTGACACATATGGCAGTCATTCACGGCACAGGGCCCAGTAGGACTCAACCGCACCCCCACATCCGTGGCAGAGGGTCAAATGGGCGTCTGCTGATGTGAAGACAGGTCTTAGACACCTCCGTAAAGAGCCTTGGGTGGGCCGTCTGCCACTGGTGAGGTCACTAGTGCATAGAAGTGGGAGCGCTGCGTTCAGTAAGACTGATCAGGATGTCTTCTGTCTGCAGGCGCCACGGTGATGCCGCACAACCTGTACCTGCACTCCAGCATCATCCAGACGCGCGCGTATCCGCGCACCGCCCTCGGCAAGAAGATGGCCGTCCTGTACGGCACCTGGGACAGCACGCTCTCCCTCCTTGTAGCCTTCTTCATCAATGCCGCCATCCTCATCCTGTGAGCACCCAACCCCCTCTTGTTTTCTGTATTCCTGTGGTCACTGTAACAAGATAGCCTCCGGGTGGTCACAATCATCAAGCATGCATAGCATTGATGTATAAATGAAAGGCCTGCCACCGGCAAAGGGGCCACTGCAGATGCCGCCGAGTTCTCACACATTTGAAGATGCATGAATTTAAAGTGGAAGGATGCCTGCACATCGCAAGTCTGTCGTGCCGGCCCGGGCGGCCTTGATACGATCAAAACATGTTGGGCTGCTCCTGAAGTCAGGGTGCTGCCCTTTCTTGAGAAGACCTTGTCCGCACCAAGCATGGCCTTCAGCACAGCACCGCAAGAATAAGAAACGTCCTGATACATCATGGACACCATCCACTGCAACGACACCTGTTAAGAAGATGACGCTGAGTTGTCACTCACTGCTGGGGTGCAGGGCGGCTGCAGCGTTCTTCTATGGCAAGGAGAAGCACGAGGTGGCGTACATCAGCGACGCCTACCGCCTGCTGGAGCCGGCCGTCGGCAACACCGCAGCCAAGATCCTGTTTGGCGTCGCGCTGCTCTGCAGCGGCCAGAACTCCACCATAACTGGCACCCTGGCAGGTGGGGGCCCAACCCTCCAAGAGGCTCTGAGCATTTCGTTCGAATTCTAATTCAGAACAGTACCCGTCTGTTCAGGGTCAGGAAGGTTATCCGTCCCCACCACATTCAGCATGTGGGGATGAGGAGGATGAAGTGCCGCAGCTGCCTGTTGTCTGTCTTGATCTCTGTGTTGGAGCTGAAGCCTAGAACAAGGCAGGTGTATTTTACAGGCTTTTTGCGATCAAGATGCTGAGATCAAATTGCTCACGCTGCGCAGGTCAAGTGGTGATGGAGGGCTTCCTGAAGATCCGGCTGAAGCCCTGGGTGCGCAGGCTTCTCACCCGTCTCATCGCCATCATCCCTGCAGCCGTGGTGGCAGGTGCGCAGCGCAGCCTTCTGAGTGCAAATGTCACCTGTCGATTGCCCTTGCAGCTGACATGGTCAACTGCTGGCCTGCTGCAGTGTGTCATGTCCTCCTGAGCACGCCCAATCCTCAAGGGCACAGTGCCAAAGTCCTTCCTAAGAGCAAGAGCAAGACTGCCGTTGGGGCGGCATTTCCGGAGCAATAGTTTTGTGGGTATTGATGTTTTTTGTGTTGTCTAGCTTAATGTGGTGGGTGTGGTGTGGCTGCTGCAGGGGTCATGGGAGACGCCGGGGCTGGCAAGCTGCTTGTGCTGAGCCAGGTCATTTTGTCGCTCACCCTCAGCGCAGCCGTCATTCCCCTCGTACACTTCACCTCCTCCAAGTCCAAGCTGGGGACATTTGTCAACGGCTGGTTTGCCACAATATGCGCCTGCCTGCTTGCTGCCATCATTGCCGGGCTCAATGCCTACCTTGTGATCTCCGCTATCATCACCAATGAGTTTGGCGGCATTGGGGGAGTCTGAGCCATGGACACCTGCCAAAGTGTCAATCTTAAGGCAACAATTTTTGAGCTTGATTTTCAAGAGGTAGGTGTGGTGGATAAGGGGCAAAGAGAGGCAGGTGTGGTGGAGACAGGCTGGGTCTGCAATTTGCAAAGACCTTTAAAGTATTTGCTGAAGTGAACTGCTATTTTGAAATGTTTTGCACTGAATGTAGATGTAGAGTAGAGTCTGACCTTTGTCGCATGCCAAATGGCCAAGATTGACCTTGAGAACTGTAGCTGCTTTTTGAGAATAATAATTGCTGGTATTCCAGGTCTTGCAAGGTCTCACCAAGTTGAACCGGTTTGGCGCCAAATCAATTTCAAGAGCAAGCCATTACTTGTTGGCGGGTAGCGTCGGTACACAGAGTACTGTGTGAGTTGGGATCACCTGGTGGTCTTAAGAAGCTTCTGTGTATCTGGCCTGCAGATAACACCTATGTAGTGCATACCCTCCTATGTTTAGCCCTACAGCTGTACTTGATGCAGGGTACAGACTGTCTTGCAGTACCGGTTAATTACCGGCGGTAATTGTAAGAAACTCAAAAAGTGGATGTGGATGCAAGGCAAGAGTTGCATGCGCAAGGATGCTAATCCTTGCGCAAATCTGACCGCCACAGGGCTTTGAATTTTGGATCATCCAGACATTGCCAGTCACTGTGGTGATCATGTTATGCGTTATCACATGTTCCCATTAATAATATTAGAATTGCGATCTGATCAAGCCCTGGACAGTCCAGTAGCAGTTCCAGTGGTCCACAAGGAACTGTTCCACAAGGAAGCTTCCACATTTCAAAACTTGCCCATTCACGTGCATGCTATAAACAGCCTCATATGATGATATAGCCAGCCTGCTGCTCTTTCCATGTCAGATGGCAGATTGGATTCGTCAACTCAAGGTGGTCCAACTTGCATGCAGAAAGAGTAATAACAGTTCATGCCCCCACTCGAACCCTGACATTTCCCCGTCGTCCAAAACCCCCAACTGAAGTAAGCGACTTTTGACCATGTAAATGAAATTGAGGAGAGCCTACACAGACGCAATCCTGTTACAGATCAGACACATGCAGACAAACAGGACACAAAAGGCAAACAACACCACAGTGACAAGTGGATAATTATGCCTGGCTCGGTCTGAAGGAGAACATGTGCACGCTCCTTCACAAGCTCGGCCTTTTCGAAAATCCACGAAACGGAAACACACCGGAAAGATGACGGTTTGTTGAAAGTTCACATACCATAATACAGACTTTCATCCGAAACCAGAACCTGCCTCATCTTCTCCTCCGGTGCGTCTCCTGACTGGGGTGCTTTCACCTTGCTGCTTTTTTTAGTTCAAGCACTCCTTAGTCTATATAGCAGCTGAATCCCAAAACACTACGGTGTTGTCTTGGGCATGCAATTCATATTAATATGCAACAGAATCTTCGGCATGTCTCGTATCCTGAAATTGAGCCGCATACCTTCCCTCATAGATCACAAAAATTGATACATTGCATTCATTTCATCGAGGCGCACGGCCATTAGCAGCTCGAAGTAATTTGATTGCTTAAGGGAGTTTCCAAGAGTGGTTCACTTTGGCTGGAGGGTGGTACCCCGTGACAGTCCAAGATGTCCTGCTCTGGCCTGGGATGTTCATAATATCTTGTGGCAATTGATGCAAGTTCCTGTTTCCTTCGAGAAGCTCTTTGCTCTTTAGGGAGAGGAGCAGCATCAAAGATCACTTTACCTTTACCAGCGTGAAGGAGATTTATTTCGTGGTGCATTGCAGGCTGGGTATGCTGATAACTCTCAGCCTCATAGGGGGACTGGCGGGTGTCACTGGCGCTGCCAGCCTCACCAAATTTTTCTGCGAGGCATTTGGAAAGGGCATCAGCTGCAAAGCGCCAGGCAGTTCTTCCAAGAAGGGAGATTCTCAACTGGAGCGTTGTGACAGTGCGGGCATCCCAGTGGCCCTTGCAGCTGATGCACAGCTCATACGAGGCTTGTTGGACGATGCAGAGATCACCTTGCGTGGCTTGCGCAGAGATAGGCCTGGCCCCTCCAGAAGGTGAATAACCAACACATCAACAGCTGTATTTTCCCGCTTTTGATTGAAGTTTGTGAAAAGGGGTAACTGTGCAATTTCTGACACATGCCACTCAATGGTTGCATGCATGCAGTCATCCTCAATAGATATGCATGCAAGCACGTGCTGATTTGAAGCATGCTGATGTGAGTGTGCAATGGGGGTGCAGCTTCAAGGTCATCAAGCTCATTGAGAGCTTTCACCCGGAGCTGCAGCCAAATACCTATCAGAAGAAAGTGCTAGCGCCAGTCTTCGCGCATGTATCAGATGTGGTCAGAGAAAGGGCAGCAGATCTCTTGAGGGAGGACCTGGAGAGTGGCTTTTTGGCGGGTGAAATGGACAGCATGCACCTGCACGGCGTCACCGCAGCTTAATAAGAAATTGGGTGCTCTGCCAAATCTGTTCATCTCTGTGAGATCAGTGCGTTTGCAATCAGTTTCAGCTCTAATTTCAACTCGAGAAAAGTGCACCCCTGATCTTATCAGGCTAGTCAGCAGAGGCTCCTGCTATTGTTTTCGTACGGCAATGAGTAGAAATGTGTTTCTTGTACACCACATTGGTCATTGTTCTGTGGCTGTGTTGCTATAATTGTGCTCAACATTCCGCTCCTGGCGCGTTTTTTGGCAAGTAACTGGACTATCAACAAGAGTACAAGTACAGACCACTTACTGAACGCTCACGCTGAGCAAATGAAGCTCGCAAAATGCCTGAAATGATGGCATTGGCTTTTCAGTGTTGTTGTCATGGTTTGATACAGACGACTCGGAGTACAGAGTTGAGATTGCCTGGCAGGTAGGGTGAGGATGTCTCCAGACATGCCTGCCAGGCCCTTGTCATCTGTGATGGCTGGAAATGAGGTACTTCAGGGCGTCCAGCACTGTACTGGTTAGCACTGCTTCCTATCGTTTCTGTGACAGGACCTATTAGGCAGTATGTGTCACTTTGCACACAGGTGCACTGATTGTTTTGATCAGCTGAGTGCCTTGTGGGAAGACTCCAGGTCTGGGTTTGAGGATTTGGAGTCTACCTGCGCAAAATCCTTGGTAGAATGGAAAATCTTTCAAAGAACAAATGCTATATGCGCAAATTTGGCACCAGCTGGAGACGTGAATGAGAAAAGTATTGTAATTTCGAATTCTCAATACAATGGTGTGCTGGCAATGACCACCCATGCATATCGTATATATCCAATACGGTAAGTTATAGGAGACCTGTGACCATATATATGTATTGCGGCAGTGCATTATCATTATTATTATTACACGCTTTTCCTGCCGAATCCAAGGTGCGTCTGCAGACAAGCTGCATGTAAAGGCTGCCAAAAATCCTACCCCTTGTTGGACTCGCCAGATCCAAGCAAGACCCAATCAACCGTGGGCACTGCCGTGGCACGGTGCTCAGTATTTGTACCGCACCCCGCCAGCCGGGGCCCAATGCAGTGTGTTAATACAGTTGCCATAGCGTCAGCATGTAGTACATGCGTTTGCATGGCCTGTTCTGGATCTGACGCCGCGGCGGGCGGAATGCTCCATCTTGGACGTATCAAGAGCCTGCAGGTGCAGCTGCCAGCCTCCGAGGCAAGGTCCGCGCATGTGAGGCGCAGCCGCTGCGCGCCGCGCGGCTGCCAACTCGGAGATACCCACCGACAAACGTGGGCATGGCTGTAAAGGAGATTGACCGGGCAGAGCTTGATGGAACTTTCACTTATGTCACTTGACTTTTTATTTCACGTCAGCACTCCTGAAACTCCCATGCCTCAGCAGGAAACCCCTTAGCGACCCCAAGTGGCAGGGAATTGTGTTGTCTAATTTTTGCCTCCGAATTCTGAGATGAACTGTGGAAAGCAAGACAATTTGGCCCCTCACTAGCAGAAAGTCTTCGAAAGTTAACGGATAGGAGCTTTAGAAGGAGCAGAGACGTAAAGGGTATACTCACACTCAGAAAGGATCAAGGACAGATCGTGCCAGAAGCAGGGTTGAGCAAAACATTCAGTTGACCTGCTTTAATTACCGTGTTAATCTGCAGCTACTCATTTTGGGCTGGGTCACCTCCATCGATGGCGATCCTCGTTCTTATTAGACCTGGCAGTCTTAGAATTCTAATGTAGTACACTGACACTTTCCCAGGAAGTATTCAACGTGTAGGCTTACGATCTGGCAACAACAGACAAAGCTATCTGCAGCAATAATCTGCAAGATGACAGTCGCACAGATTGGTGATGTGATTTGCTGAGTACTGCACTGAAGAATGACAGAATACGCGTCCACAAAGCTGCTCCTTTCGACCTTGAGAGCTGGACCGTTCATCAGTGGAGTGTCCCACAGCGTTCTTAGTCTGGGCCAGCGCCCGACCATAGGTAGCACATCTCCCAAGGCAGATATGCACGCTCCTTCTTGGGTTCTCAAGACCTATGCGGTTGCAAATGACTACATGTCTGACCGCTCTCTGTGGACTTATCAGGGGCTTTGTCGGATTATGAAGACGAGGATGATCCCTACTCCCCTGGAGGAAGGGTGAGCACGCCATGCACAGTGGATGAATTAAATGGCGCATGCCTTTGCATGGGTGCCCCAGTGACCTTTGCATGCAACCATATGCCAGGCATGCAAGCTTTCAGGCATACTGCACGGCATCACATGCAAGACTCGTGCCCCTGCATGCAAGGTGCACTTCCAGCTGACTCACAGAACTCTGTCTTCATATAAGCAGGCAAACAGCGGGTCAGCCGCAAACGGGAGCACGCAGAAGAGCCGGGGCCGCGGCCGGGGCAGCGGCTCAGCCAAGCGAGCGCGAGGGGGCACTCTTACGTTACAGGACCTGATAGATGCTGGAATCCTCTTCCCGGGCCGCAATAAAATCAGTGTCCACTACAAGGGCACTGTGTACACTGCTTCCCTGGGCAAGGACGGCATGATCCTGTACCAAGGTGCGGCCTGCCTTTCAAACGAGTGAGGACCTCTGCAGGGTCTGCAACAAGATCGAGGACTTCTGTGTTGTGACAAAGAAGTTTAACCAATGTCAATCTTCCCTACCGTTCCCTTTGGTTGGACACTTCATTGCTGCCTTTTGTCTTCCAACCTCACAGCACCATGTGCAAGAGCAAGGCTTGCAGCTGAGGCACTATGAGAAATATGCTGCAGGGCTGTGCTTCTCTTTGCCTTCGAGCCTCCAGTGTTGTCCTGCTAGCCAGTTGGCGAGGAGTGAGAATTATTTGTGTGCAACATGGGGAATGATAGATCCTGGGCGCGCTAATGACAAATTCAGGCGCGCGTGGTGCAGGCAAGAAGTTCCAGAGCGCGACGTCGTTCAGCATCCATTGCAAGCGCATGCAGACCCCCAACAAGCAGGGGGACGACGGCTGGAAGAGCGTGCTCTACGAGGGGCAACCCCTGGAGATGTACCGTAAGCGCCATGCAGCTTCCAAGCAGGTGCCCGCGGCGCCTCGGCCCGTCACGCGCCGGCCGGCCGCGGCATCGTCCGAGGAGGGTGGTGATGAGGTGATCTTTTGTCACCCCTAGAGTGGCACCGCAGGGTAGCACAAGCTTTGCCACAAGCACATAACGATCTTGCCTTGAGCCTTCAGTAACTTGGAGTCTCTACATCAAGCTCCGTCTTTTGACATGCTTCACCACAAGCCACCATTGTCAAGACTGTGAGGTATTGTTGCGGCTCCTAAGAGAGCGGGGCTGTGAGCTAGCTGTGCTGCCTGCAGGACATGGCAGAAGCCGAGGAAGCGGCTGGAGCGGCCGGCGCGGCGGCGGCAGCGGAGCCGCTAGTGGAAGGGACTGACCAGTGGGTGCAATGCGACCGCTGCCGCACATGGCGCATTGTCCCTGACCAGCACTGGCCCTCCGTCGAAGCCGACCCCCGCGATGTGCGCACCCCTGCTGTTCGCCTTTCCTCCCTTGCTGCCAAAACAGGCATCTCATTATTGTTTCTGGGGCAGTGTCTAGGGCCAAAAGACTCAGGAGATGTCCTTGCTCCTTGCTGGGACAAACATTGGGCATGTAATGGTGGGACTCCAATGTGAAGAAGAATTGCTGTGTCAAGAGGCCCCTGCAGCTGTCAGCAACCCTTCATCTGCTTAGGGGACTGGCAGATCATTTTTGCTATGTGCTCCATGTGGACATCCTGCCTCGTGATCAGGGCTGCCATGTATAAAGAGGTGTGCATGCATACATCATTTGAGGGTCAGGCTGGCAGTGTTGTTCCAAGTGCATTGTGTTTGTACCAAATTGTCTGAGTGCAGTGCTGATATGCGTGCAGGTGTGGTATTGTGAGTATGCCACTTGGAACCTGGCTCTGGTGGCACCTTTCAAGGAGCCCTGTGGAGTGTGATCTCATCTTCGTGAACATAGGGAACGCAATGGACCAGTTTTGCTAGGCTATCCCAGTAATCGGCATGATCTTTGAAGCATCTGCATATTGGGATGACTATGAAGCAATGTAGAGGACTGATTAAGAGTCAGCACAGTTGCAGAGCTTGAGATTCTTGGAGGCCGGACTTGCACAGCCAGTTCAGATATTTTACAAAGTCACAGCACCACCGAATGCGGCACAAGCTGCCGATACACTGCATTGGTTCTTCAGACCATTTAAGCCCAGTGATTACCATACAGTGCTGCAGTCCTGGGATACTTTGTCACATTTCTAGTGTGACTCAGTGTCTCCCTAACATAATCAATGCCTACACTCAACCCAAGCTGTGACCTAACCTGAACCAACACATTGATAACTAATTCACCCATTTGGCAAGAAGATGGAGACATGCCAGCATGACGGGCCGCCAATACTCTTCTATAGCGCAGTACAACTCAACTGAATAATCTGACTATAATATTAATCATGGCAAATATCAGTAGACCCAAAGGTGCTTATTCGATTCACCGTTACAATGTGCCTAACTAAACACCTGTAGAATAAGAGACTTGTGAATATACACAGCGCACATGTTAGGTTGTGACCACCTGGCAAAGCAGTGATCTCCTCCAACACGCAACCTTAGTAATCACAAAAAGCATACTTGACCAACCCAGAGGGGCAAAAGGAGAAGTACCTCTGTGTTGACACCCTGCGCAACCCAAGTAAGTCTGCACAAAGAACATCATCCAACGCTAATGAGACATGCATTCAGCCACCCAAAACCCACAAATCAGATCGCAGAGATCGTTCCTAAGAGAACACATGTAAGCTGAGATGCCTTTTGAAGGAATGTCACACCCCTAGATAAAAAACATTTACACTTGCGCCTTCAGAAGGAAGCCGCATGCGTCATCAGATACTTCTAGACATAGCGAATGGGAGGAGCATTATATGCCGCCCCAAATCCATCACAGTCCTGCGGGAGTGCACTTGCTGAAAGTGCCTCCTTCAGCACGTGAGGCAACTGAAAGGAGCAGCAGAATAGAGAAGGGGAGAAATAGATTCTCAAGTGCCCTTTCATGCCCCTCAGCCATCCAGGAGGGAGATGGCGGTGGTTCCAAAGAAGACCACAACCTCCTGCGCAGCAGCAGAGAATGATCAGTACCCTACTGGCTAAATTATGGCACGGAGCACGTGAGCTTGGCCACAATGGAAGCAGAATATCTTCTGTGCAATATGAGAAATAGGATCAGAATGCAACCGAAATATCTTTCCGCAGTCTTTTAACAAGAACAATACTAGACGAAGCATGCAAAGCTTGCGTTAGCACGGGGGCAGAAAGCAATACAATGGTTGTATTATTAAGAATACCTAATGCAGGCAAAGCAAGAAACTTCAAAGACTAAATTTTTCAGAGACCCACTCAGAAAGGGGCAGCGCACCGCAGGAGCAAGGATCGCGCGCCAGATCTGGCCGCCATAGGTGGACAGGAGCCTGCCGCCCCAGGGGGAATATTTTGTGATGGTGCCGTGAGTAACGGTGATAGTCTTCTTGATGGCCACTGACAGCTCGCGCAGCCCAGCAACAATGCCAAAAGTGGAGTCCAGGAATGCCAGGGACTGCGTCACAGAGATCACAATCCATTCAAATTCTTTGGTGCTTGCAGGCATAGACAACCAAATTGCGATAAGCGCCGTTTGCTGCTGAACCTAGCTCGCCATGCATGCTCATGAATCGATTTGCACCATTTTCAGTCTTGAAAGGCTGCAAAATAAGATATAAAGCCGCACAGGGCAGTCAGTAACGGCATGCAGCATGAGAAATCCTGTACCGAGTGGATCTTCCAGGGGGAAATGAGGATGACGAGACAGGGTCAATGCAGTGCAGGGGAGCAGCAGGAATCACCTGGTCCAGGATCTGCCCCATGACATCCTGTGAGTAGCGGCTGTCGCCCAGATATGTGTTGGCCAGTGCGAGGTCCATGGCCACCAGGTAGCGCCACTCGAAATGGTCTGCCACCTGCGGAAGAAAAGACATGCACACACACCATCAACCCTCCTGTTCTTCATCTTCCTGCAAGTCTCCACAGCAGCATCTACTCTTTCGTCTTGACTGGCAGGAGTCTGACAGGCAGGTTCAGCAGCAGGTGGGTCACAACTCTCAGGTGACATTGCATGCAGCTTCATGTGTTACAAGATGGATTGTATGGTTGTCTTCCTTGTCCGGAGCATTATTACTCTGCAGAAGCAATCTGCAGAAAGCTGAACTTGGAAATGCTTCTGGCGGGAACGGCATGGCATCATAGTGTGTGCGCTGCAACCCAGCTGTATCAAAATTTTTGAAAGCAGGTGATTGGGGAGAGACGCACGAAGAAGGACTTGTGCAGCGGCCTCAGGTCCTTGTTCTGGTTGTAAACCTTGTACCAGCGAGTGTACGCCTGCAGCCACCGATTTGACTTTCAGAATTGTCAAGCAAAGAGATGCATGCAACTCCTGAGGCCAAACAAACAAAGGCTGCCATGAAGTGTAGGTCCAGAATTGGGTTTAAGGACATCTTTCTGGGGTGATGGCGTGGCTTTAAACTTAGGAAAGCGAGCGCACCGTCATTTGCTTGTCCAGCCAGATTGGGCGGCCCACGTGCTGGAACCTGCAACAGAGGGAACCATCTCTAAAGCCAAAAAAAGGGCTTGATAAGAGTATGTCAACAAGTGCATGCACCATGTTGCTTCAAATTTAAAAGATTGCCTGATGCGATGGTTCCAACTCAGGCTTGCCACATTTAGCATGGAGGGAGGTACCCCGCAGGGAGAACCATGGGAACGGGGTCATTAGCATGCATGCTGAAATTTCCGGGCACGAATTTTCAAACTTGAATTCCAAAAAGGGCTGGAACGCACCCCCAGGGAGCGGGTGGCACCATGGGAACGGGGTCCATGGCATGAACGATGCGAGTGCAGTCGAGCGTCTGAGGAGACCGGTCGGCATCCTCCCGCCCATTCTTGTGGTACTGCAGCGCCCGGAAGGCCTCCGCGAAGTTTTTGTCGCCCACCAGCGGAGAGCCCAGCGTCACGCACGTCACGTGCAGGTTCCCCGCCGCCTGCATGCATGCGCGAGTTGGCCTTAAGTCTCTGATTCTTTTCACGGTGGTTATATCTGCAGTTGATTTGGAGCCATAACCCCAATTTCGTTTCTGAAGGGCCTTTCGAATGTAGTACTACATCTTATGGTGCAGAGGAAAATTACCACAAAGCTTAGAGCAAATCAGCTCCAGCAAATAACAGAGGATGAAGTCTGCCACTGTCACCCTATCTACATTGATTTAAGTGACCTGCCATAAACATTTACACTGTAGATGCTGCTGTGATCAGAGATATGGTGCAACGGCTGCATGACTCCAAGCAGCCAGTACAGGGCGATCCCTTTCTTGCTGGGTTGTTCTATGTGCCGGTTGAAATTATGGGGGCGCACCGGGATATAATTGACGAGTGCTATCCGAGCCCAAACAGCGGCCAACGTCGCCAGTGCCCCACCTAAGCTGTGGCCTGTGCAGATGATCCTGCAGGAAAAGACAATCACAGTGAGCCCACCACCCTGCAATCTCCATCAAGCACGCCAATGGAGAGGGGAGCCCGCCTTGAGTAGGAACTGCCAGTCAGCTGCCCTATTGACAGGCCAATACTTTTACTTTTTCAGTGCTTGCCAGATTGCTGCCGTCACACCCTTAGTGGCAGCAGGGGAACAAGACGAGGACGTCTCTGTTCAAGCGCTCAGGAGCAAAATGCAGAGCCAGACAACAAGGCATTTTGGCAAGAGAGCCAGCTCAGGAGCTGGTGATGGGCCTTAAAAGCCCCACAACACACCTCATCATTGGCATGTGGCCGACAGGCAAGATGCTGGTCAAACAAAAAAAAATCACACCACAGTCGTGTGATTTACAAATAGAGCAGGATACCAGAAGCGGATCACACCTGGTGAGTTGGGCAGGCTCCAGCGGTTTGTGGCCCTTCTTCTCGCCGCAGATCAGGTTGTACTCGTTGATCTGGCGCAGCAGAGCGGCGTCCAATGTTTTCTCGCGGTCCTTCGGCTTGAAATTTGGCGTCGCTGTGCCGAACTCTTTGGGCCACGGCCGCACCGCCACCGAGTTGAACGCGTACAAGAAGCCGCCGTGCGCCTGCGCGCATGCAGTTTGTGAGTCCCAAATTCAAATGCCTATGCTTTCCTGTCATCATGCGCCTGTCAGCAAGTGACTTTTGTGCGCCTAATACCCCTTGGCCCCGGCTGGCGGGGGGCGGTACAAATACTGAGCACCGTGCCCACGGTTGATTGGGTCTTGCTTGGATCTGGCGAGTCCAACAAGGGGTAGGATTGTGGCAGCCTTTGATTGCAGCTTGTCTGCAGGACGCACCTTGCCTTTTGGCAGGAAAAGCATGTAATAATAATAATAATTATAATACCCCTTGTGCCTCACCAAGTATGAATGGCATGGTCCCCACAATCAGCAATTCACTGTGAATCCCATTGCTCGACCAGTGATGAAGTGGGCATCAACAAAACTGCCTCCTCATAGAGCAGCAGCTGACGGCTGATGAAAGTACCACCAAAGCAGGTGGGTGTTTCTTAGGTGGGTCTCGCAGGGCATGGCACAGCCAGTAAGCAAATGGGCTTGAAAAGGAAATATTGGTTTGGCGCAGTAGCCGGAGCCTGCTGAGAGAAAATCATGAAAGCTAGCCAAAAGGCAGGCTTTCCGATTGTGCAGGACTCCTAAGTCTTTGTTAGGGGCCTGCATGTAGCGTGCAGGCTTGCACTCCACACCGAGTAAACCACCACCGGGTTCTTAAAAATTGGGCAAATTGGCAAATTGGGCAATTGGGTAAATTGGGCATTTTTTGTACAGGCTTTTCCCAAGGGAGCGTGCCTGTGGGCCGCAGGCCTCGCACTCCTCGCTATTGTGGATGCCGTTGGGCACTTCGGACACATGCGCGGAGGGTGCGGCTGCTGGAGGCGGCTGCCACCACTCGACGGGCTCCTTGTCATAGTTGAAATCGATCAGCCAGTCGGAGAGCGACCAGGGCTGTGTGCCGCGGAATGCAAAGACGCCCGCCACGCTCTTGCCGCCCGTCTGTCAATGCACACCAGGCTTTGCGTCAGTGAATTCCACAGAAGACAGGGCTCTATGCAGACAGGTTGCGTGACAGCGTAAAGGTCTGCCTTGCCTTGAGAAAGCAATACAGCAATACATCAATGCAAGTCTGATGTGGAGTGTTTCTTGATCATGTCTGGGTAGCAATGGGCGGATCTATGGTGGGCATGCCAGCGCACAAGGGGATTGCATGCACCTTGAACTTGGGGTCCCACTCTTCCACAAGGGCGATGTGGACCTGCAATGCCACAACCGCCGCTTCTAATATTTGTTGGAGGCAAAATGATCAAATGAAGGATTAAATTCTGGTCCCTGGCAGTCCACTGCTGCAGCATTTACAGGTGAGGCGTTCAGAGGACACGTGCTAACCTGGGTGTTATTGAATGCGGCCTGAGTCCAGATCATCAGCTGTTCTGAAGTGTACACATTGGGTACGTCTGGGTCCCCAAACACCTGCAGCAAAAATTAGGCAAACAGCTGTCGCAATGCAATCTTCAGAAGTCGGGTTGGGGTCCCTGGAATATGGTCCCCTGGCAATTTCAAGGATATGCAAATCGTAAACATTCGGCAACTTAAGCCGTACTGGCAGTTCATCGGCGGCTGTGAGGAGGTGAGAGCCCTTTGATTGCCACCGAGCAAGGGAGAGCGCACGTCTGTGTCGGCGTATGCTGACACAGCCATCTGTGCAGCAGGCCGGATAGATTTGAGCAGATCATGAAGCTTCGCCTTGTCTTCCCGCCTGGGTAGTGCACCAGGACACCCCCATCGACATTAATCCTAGGGCTTGTCGTACATAATCGGCCCATCAAGAAAAGAGGGAACACGATCGCGACCAATGCTTTGAGTGGAAGAAATCGAACATTATTTCCTTTGCCACTTACTTGCACTTGTCATCGCTGCTTTCCATATCTCCAGACATGGCACACCCAAGTCTCAGGTAACCGTCTCAGGTGACCTCTGTTTTTGTTTATCTGCGCACAAAGCACGGTGAGATTGTAGTGTGAAACTTGTACGTTGTGTTTGACGATTTCAATGTGAGGGGCGTGGAAATTTGTGAAGATTCCAAAGGCAGATCGGGCGCGCGCGTTCCGTGGTGCCCACCCCCAAGCACCGGACACCAAACAGATGATCTGACTCACCTGACCGATAGAGCCCTCCGAAAACTTCTGCGACACCCACGAAGTATGCGAAGCAAGCTAAGCTTGGACGGTTTGCAATTGGAGCAAATGGCGTGAACTTCCGGTAGGACAGCCTCGACATCTACCTGCTGTTCCCTCTTCCCTGCTGGAAGTTGACCAAGAAGCTGTTTCTCCTTTCTCGCCACTGGTGGGGCCACGAGGCAGACCGCATTCACTCTCCGGCAATATTTGGTTCAGGGGACTGGGACCTACATTGTTGACATCTGCACAGGACTGCAGATCTGTCTAGATCAGTCTAGACCATAGTAGCTACCTAGCTAAGCCTTGCAAGCTCTGCCTTGCACTGCACTTGCCTGCGTTATGGATGCATGGCATGCATCCATAACGCAGCCGTTCGTGAGAGACTGATCATGTTGACTGATCATGATGACCGAGTGCCCAGTGGGCAATGTGGCACCGTGACGGTGTGATCAGCCTGTGCCACTGCAGCATGGCGAAGTCATCTCATCGTTAGATCCACTTCTCTTACAACTTCTTTCAAAAATCCAATACAATACTTACTCTCCCTCAACCATATAGCTCATGAACATTTTTCAAGCGATCAGTCACCCTCATGGTTGTCATGCAAGGTATCAATAGTCAGCTGCTCTGGCACAGTGTACATTCTCTAACTTGCAGCTGAGACTCCCCGCGTTAAGGAAGCAAGGGACGCATGCAAAGGTCGGCACCACACTTCAGCAAGTACCACATGCAGATGCAAAACGCAAGTTGCTCAATAGCGTTCCTCCAGCATGGCCATGGCAGCCTCAAGGCAGCTGTTGGCATTGGTAGGTGCACTTGTCAACCATTCTCCACTCTCCAGCAGGCCCACAGGTAGATGCGCTCAGGTGTTATTCTCAAGCATTTTTTTTATTCGCCGGTAGCCTGAGGTAGCCTTCCCTTGGCTGAGGTAGCCTTCCCTTGTCAACGAGCTTGCAACATACTCCCGCTCAGGGTTTTCTCTCAAGCACGGCGAGGCCTGGTCGAGATAGTTGTCAGCCTTCGCAAAGTCCGCTCAGGTGTTCTTCTCGAGCACAGCCAAGGCTGGGCCGAGGTAATTGTTGGCCTTGTCTGGGAGGTGGGCGACGAGCTCGTACTGCTGCAGGCCGCGCTCGGGCGTGTACTCGTGGCAGACCTCGAACGTCTTGTTGCGCGCGGCCGCGTCGTGCAGCGCCTTGAGGCACACGTCCGCCACGTCCGCGCAGCTTATGCCCTGGCTGATGCGCTCACCCTGCGAACACGCGTGGCAGGGTCAGCATCACTCAATTAGTCATGGTCAGCCATGAAACTAATGGCCATGGGGCGGGGTGTGCATGCAGCACGCACACCTCAATAGTGTGTGGTGCGACCAAGCTGCAGGCTTGTTAGGGCATGCACAGATGTACGCTACTTCTGAGAACGTCCAATCGTCCACAACTGAGACATCCTTACTCGCCATGCTTTGGCCTATGGGCCCATTAGATATGACCAACCCTCCCACTGCGTACCATGTCAGCAGCACGCCAGGGAGTACCAGCAACAAAGAGAGCGCAATCGTGCCATGCTTCACAGATTCGGGTTGGAACAATGCACGCCTGGTCGAAGACGAGCGCCTTGTAGCCGCCCGGCTCCTCAAGGAGGGGTCCCGGGCGCACGATGGTGTAGCCCAGCCCGCTCAGTCGCAGTGCAGCTTCCCCGCGCCGCTTGTGCGACAGCATTGCCGCTCCCGACGCCGACGGTTCCTCACCGCCGGAGGACGCCGCGGCCACCGCGCCCGCGCAGCTGACCAGGATGAAGTCCGTCTCTTCGCCTCCCGGCAGCGCCTGCGCCGCAGATCGCACACTTACATCTTCATTACTCAGGTGTCTCTTAGTAAGGAATTATTGCATCTCTGTCGCTGACGTTGTGGGGCTCATGTGGATGTCACATGTCGGTGATATTCAGACAGAGCCGGCCTTAGGCATAGGAAATGGATGTTATGCAGTGCTGGGCGACAATGAGAGCTGTAATTAAGCAACTGAGGATGAGAAAAAGTGCAGAGTTTCTCTTGCACACTGCATTGTGTGCCACAGCACGGCAGATTGGAAAGCTCCTTGCCCATCAAACTGCCATCAGACTCCAGTGGTGGGAGGAATGAAGATAACGCAGGGATCACATAACGTGGTAAAGGTGACTAATGACAGAGCTGACCTTGACGCGGTCAATCTCCAGTTTGAAGCTCTTGGCGAAGGAGTCTGAGAAGAGGGGCAGCCACTCGTTGCCCGGCTTCATCACCGGGGGCATGCTCTTCTTGTTCTCAAACCTGCACGCGCATAATTCAACATACAGTCAGGCCCAAAAAATTCCCTCTGCAACAGATAACAAAACCCCAACAGCAGCACGATGCCGTCCAAAGATCCTTTTAGGCAGCCTTCGCAGCTACTCAGCCACCTCATGCATGCATGGAGATACCCATTTTTGGCAGCACAAAGAAGGGGCCCTCGTAACACCAGCAGCAGGGCGCACTTGGGGATTAAAACAGGACCAGTGGCGGGGCATTTGAGACCTTCCATACACCGGTCTCAATAGCAGATGCTGCAATCTTGATACACCCTCGACAGCCCTGTGAGGGCACTGTTCCCGAGGGTCTCCATGTCTCAGGGTCATACACCACATCATCATCATGCATGGTGCGCATTGAGGAGCAACGAAAGAGCCCGCACCGGACGGAGAGGCGGGTGATTTTGGCGGGGTCGATGGGCGCGGGACCGTCGCCGCCAGAGTTGTAGCGGAAGGCGGAGAAGGGCAGCCGAAAGTTCATGAATTTCATCCCCGTATTTATGCGCGCCGTGTACGCCTCCCCGCCCTCTGCACAACACACCGCACACTATTGATCAAACTAAATCTTGAAATTTGATGCATGTGGTTGAGACTGGGCTACTATCCTCAGACTTTCAAATGTAATTGGTTGTGCATGGTGGCTGCATGGTGGCTGCAGCCCTGCGCATGTACAGAAATGCCTGTAATACTGTTCCAGAAAGCCACACATCCTCCTCTCTTTAGACTAGTCACTCCACCATAGCCCACACCCATGACATACACAACACGCACAGAAGGGACAGCGTGGGGGTGTCTACATTGCCAAGATAGGCAAGGAGCTGGTCTGCAGGGGCGCACCCTGCGTCAGCTGCACCACGTACTGCTGCCCGTCCCCGCATGCGCGCAGGTAGATACCCTCGCAGTCTCCCAGGCTGGCGCCCACGTCCAGGGGAGTTCCCACCTGCGCAGTGCCTCCCTTTGTGTTCACCGTGCCTGCGCGAGTCAGGCACACCCAAGTCAACCGCCTACTTCCATTCGGGGACCATCAATCTTTACAAGACCCCGTGTCTTTCAACAGTGTCGAGCTTTCCCCTTACAGTCACTTCGCATGTGTCCTGTATTGAGGACTATCCAGTATGTTTGGAAACATACTGTTTGGAATGGCAACAGGGTAAGGCCAGTGGCAGGGCTCGACTGCCACAGAACACTTCAATTGGTAGCAGAGTCTACAGAGAAAGTTTGCCAGCTGTCAGCAGGAGCTTTTAATCACTGCCTCTTGACCAGGAAGCTAGGGCAAACTTTCCAGAACCTCTCCAGCACAATTTACCTCGAACAGGGCAAGCGAGCTTAATACCCTCGAAGAAGTGAGGGACAGAGGGACAGGAGTCCTGAAGAAGAAAAATGCCTCCCTATGCTGTATGAAATGTCCCAAGGAAAGGTATTCAGGCGGCGCACCCTCGAAAACTTCAGGACAGAGGAAAAGAGTCCCTGAAGAAAGCAAAAGGTTCTCCCTATGCTCTTCTGCATGTCCAGAGGACTGGGAGCAAGGCAGCGCACCCTCAGAGACTTAAGGGACACAGGGGGCGAGTCTCTGAAGAAAGCTTAGGATTGTCTCTCTGTTGTAGACAATGTCCAGTGAAATGGGAGTAAGGGCGGCGCACCTTCAAAGATGAGGTTTTTGCGGGAGTTAACGCTCGTGGAGACCTCGTCTTTGACGGCCTTTGTGAACTTGGAGCGCTTGCTCTTCATCAGCGATGACGAGTACCCCCCCTCCTCTTCGTCGCCCCCCGCTTCGTCCCCCCGCCGCTCAACCGCCCAGTCCGCCGCAAAATTGCGCGCCTGCGCACCCACCCCAGTCAGTGACTGCTCAGAGATTGCCAAGCTCTTGGTTTCTCCTGGAAGGCTAAGGATTGGATCAGAGTTGTGTGTCAGCAAACCCCCAAGATTGATTGCACGGGGTCTGTGCTGCTTCTCTATGGTTGCGAAGGGTGTACACATGCATGCAACTCCTCAGCCGCCATTGTCCAGGCTGCCCGCACTTTTCAGCCCTAGCTGTGTTATGTAGCCCATGCACTTTATTCCCAAAGAAGTACCTCTGCCAGCTTCAGCTTCCCGGTCGGGTTGCGACCCTTCCGCCTGGCCGCCCGTCTCTGCCGCATGTCCTGCGGCATCATCCAATTCAAACTTAACTATGAATTTTTGATATTTTTGCACTGATGCTCACAGCTCACACATTTTGGTCATCGTTGCTCATCTGCATGGCTGCAATGGTGGCCATGCATGCCAAGCAAAGTTGCGTATCAAGGGGCATGCTAGCAGCGTGGGAGGTCAAAACCGAGCCCAAGAGCGCCCAACAGCAATCTGCTCACACACTCAACAGTGACCAGGGTGGCAGGAGCGTGAATTTGTGCCGAGATCTGGTAAAGAAATAACACCTGCAGCTCCACTGCCAGCCTAATAACCCCATCCTCCTCCACCGCCTTCACATCCTCTATGGACGACGTCCGCGCCCGCGCACAGTACACCACCTGGGCCAACGCAGAAAGAAACTCAATCAGCACCAAACATAAATTGTCCAGCACCTATGCAACCTCCACCGCATACTTGTCAGCACAGGTACCGACAGGGACTCAGAGGAACCAGGCCCAGAGCAGCCTTGACTGCCCTGGTATATTGCAGATGAAAGCATCTTGCATTTGTCCCAGCTGCTCAGCTGGCGCAAACACTGGCTCCTTGCTCAACGAAGCATCAAAGCAACACCGTCTCTGCCGTCGTCTGGCGGTAAGCAAATTGCAAACATTCTTGCCAGCTGTTCAGTCACCCATATTTGAGAGATTACTGTACCTTGTCGGCGTAGGCGATGGCTGTCCGGCAGGCCTGCACGTCAGTGATGTCACCCTCCACAATGCGCACAGAGGAGGGCAGGCTCTGAGCGACCTCCTCCCGGTTGCGCGCCAGCACCGTCACCTTGTAGCCACGCAGCACCAGCTTCCTCACCAGCACCCGCCCCACCCTGAATACAAGCCGAAATACAACTTTGCATTCCTGTCTTGACGTGCAGAATATTGTCTTTTGAAACAGCTGAAACGGACAAACAAATGGTACTTTCCCATGGGAATGACAAGCACACAGCATGGCTGGCAAGCGGCACGGCGATGGCCGCATGCCAGCAGTCAGCACATGGGTATGACACCCGTGCTTTTAACATGTTTAACTTTCACAGACTGCCCCGCACAGAAGTCAAGCTGGCTCCTTCAGGACTAGTAGATTACAGCAACCCAGCAGGGGTTAAGGTGGTAAAGAATGGGACGTTCACAGGGCCCCCCACCTGCCGGTGGCGCCGGTGACGAGGACGGTGGTGTTGGCGGCCTGGGGGGTCTCAAACTCGCCCACTTCCACAATTGGCCCCGACAACTCGCTGTCCAGGTACAGGTTGGACGTCACCGGCGATCCCAGCTTTGTGAACTGCTTCCACACATTGTTCAGCATCTGCCTGCGCGCCCCAGTCACCAAAATTTGTAACCGCGCAGTTGCATTTCACTGGTGTCTATTGTGTGTTGCGTACTGCGCATGTTCTTGCAGCTGCTTTGATCTGAAATAGGGATTGCGTGATCGTGATCCGCATAGGCTAAAGTATTATATTACTGCGGCCCCTCTTGCTCTGTCCCAGGCTGTGGACTCGATGCTTGATGCTGGTGGAGCAGCATGAGTCCTAAATTGTTCCTCAATTCGTAAGACCTCCACAGGGGTTGTGAGCAGGAAGGCATGCGTGTCCCAGGTTGTAGACCATAGTCCCTTGACAGTGGCAATGAGATACAGGCTCAGTGCGGCGCCACCCATAAGAGGTTTGTCTCTCGAGGGGAGATGTGTCGACAGGGCTGGAGGGGCTAGCTGACCTGGATTTCCGGCCGAGCACGACCGGATTGAAGTCATCTACAAAGGAGGTGTCCGCGCCGTCCTCACCACCTGGACCCTTGTCTATGCTGGAGCGCGCCTCGCTCTTCGTGCTGACCTCCCCCTTTGGCTGCTTATCTTGCTGCGACGCAGCTGCTGGCGTTTCCTGTATAGCCAGTGCAAAGCTCAAAGGTGCATGGATATTGCCATGAGGGGAACAGTGCTGTATCTGGGCACCTAGGACCCAATAAACCAAGCAGGACTGCCCTTTCAGATGAAAGCGAGATCTACCTTATCCTTTTTGGAAGCAGCGTCTTTCGACCTTTTCCTCCACGGCTTCCTGCGCCTGTTTTCCCCGCTGTTCCCCCCACCTTTTGGTGCGCTAACCTCGGATCTGACACATACCGGCCTCCTCTGGGGTCTTGAGGCGAGAGTGCAGCGCGATCTTGGATGGCTAAACACTGGCAACCCACCAGGCATCATACCAGATGGGAGCAAAGCGCCCTTGTGGCCAAGCATGGCTGTGTCCTGGCGCTAGGCACAATCAAATTCCCATCAGAACAACCCAACGTCCAAGGACAGTATTTTCAACGATCGCGATCACCTTTCCTACCGCCAGGTTGTATCGCTGAATCAAATGGCTGCTCCAAATGCGCCTAGTAAGCTTGAAGTGCCACTGAATACGAAGGAGCCATGTGAGCCGTCCATTTGGCTCTGGATGGTGTAGACTAACGTGGGGATATGTAAGTGTGACGTGGGGCACCGCAAGATACATACCCGGCCCAGATTTTTCGAGACGAATGCAAGAGGCTAAGTGCCAGGTACATAGCCACAGTGACTCTGTTCTCCTTCTCTGACCTGTGCACGGTGGATCGGGCATTCCGTTCCGGTACTATCTCGCACCTGGGCCGCTACCGCATCGAACTTTGCCCGGGATTTGACTCCTGAAGGACTACGTAGCCACTGCAGCCAAGGGAGACGCCAGTAGTTCATGAAACAGGCTTCCCAAGTTCACCAGATGCATCAGCTCGATGCAGAAGATACTAGAGAGAAGCAAGCCGCTCTCACTCAGGTGTGCGCTTTTCAGTAGTTATTGTTCTAGGCCGGCATGTTTGTTTATCGTGTGGATCGAAATGTTGTCTCAGTTTGATGATGAAGCTTTAGCAAAATTTGCTGCTGGTGGAAGAGCACGACGTCTGTGAGCTTAGCGTTGTGCTGCCTTGCCACTCAGGGCATGGATGTTAGCACGTCGGACCTCGACGTAACAGACATTGAAGCAGTGAAAAACAAAGGCCATCGGGAAGTGGCAGCTGGGCAGGTCAGTTTTCGTCCCTCTGCCCCATGACTGCAGAGGGTGTGCATCCCTTGTATCCTTGCTGCTCCCTTCTACGTGACGGCCTGCGTCACCTGCCTGATGCTGTTGGGTGTAAGGTGCAGTTCGAGAATGCGATCAATGCATTCAGCTTGGCGCTCAAGCTTGCAAGGGATCCCAGCGAGGAGGCTCGAGTTCTAAGCAACCGCAGCGGCGCTTTTGCAAGGTGCTCGCAATGCCTTACACCATCTGTATCTACAATTTCCACATCTTGTTGATCTGTACCCTTACAATTTGCGCAATATGTCTGTCCAGCGAGCATCACTATTGCATGGGCCACACATGGGACAGCTTTAAAAATGGGTCAGTTGATCCGTCTGTGTGTGCTGCAGCCTGTGTCGGAAGTTGCGCAGCATTCCTGCCGCACAGTCAGAGGCGCAAGCGCTGTACGGCCTCGATCCCTTCACCCTCGCCCAGCTGGCGCTCAAGGATGCCGAGCGAGCGGTTACCCTGCAGCCCAAATGGGCCAAAGCCCACCTGCAACTGGTATGTTTCCTGCTCAATGCTGAACAGCACAGGCACCTGTAAATCAGACAAGCTAGTACAGCAACACAGCCATGCGCTGTTGCTTTGGAGGCACCCATGCTACGAGGATCATGCGAATTTGCAAGTTTCGGGATGCGATGGGTGCTAAGAGAAAGGAAAAAAGGGGGCGGGGAAGGAGGGAGTTGAACCTGGGACCTGGTGCTGCAGGGATCGGCGTTCTACCTTGTGGAGCGCTATGAAGATGCGCAGGCAGCGCTGCTGGAGGGGTTGGCCTTGGAGCCCGGCAGCCCCAGTTTGCGAGAGGCACTCTTTGCCGTGCGTGAGGCGCTCTCCAATGCCGCCTCCACTTCGGCCGCGCAGCCGTCCGGCACCCCCCGGTGCGCTCTTACTTGATATTTTGGTGTCTGCTGTCTGGAAGCTGGGGTAATCCCCTCGTCAGCATAATATTCTCATGGCAGGAAAGCAGGCGTTGTGTTGAGGATGTACAGGAGTGAGAGGGCTAGAGGCCCTGGCAATATTCTGACTTTTCACGGACATTGTCTATGTTTGTTTTAGCGCAGGGCATTGGTTTTCAAGTTTTCTTTGCTTCTTTGTTACATCATGTATGGGGCCATGACATGTATGTGCATGCTGACGGTCGTAAAATCTTTGAATCTGAATGCTGAAGTATGATTTTTCTGTGATCACAGGTCGGCGCGGACGGTGGAGCGTTGCGATGACACGGAGTGCATACTGTGCATGAAGCTGCTGTACGAGCCGGTGACGACGCCGTGCGGCCACACCTTCTGCCGCGCCTGCTTCGCGCGCACCACCGACCACTCCAACAAGTGCCCTATGTGCAGAACGGTGCGGGCCCGCACTTGTATCCTTGGTACAAGTATCTTGACTTCACAGCCACATGTTCCAGCAGATTCGCCTGCCTTGCCGCCAGCAGCTATGTGCTGCATGCAGCGCAGCTTGTGTACTGCTCTCCTCAAGGGGCATGCATTGGCTCAGTTTATAGGCACTGAAAATTGGAAGTACGACAAACCCAACGCATGCTTGGGTGGGTAAAGAGTGCTTCCCAGCACTGAGCACTAGCAAATGTGCTTCCCAGCACTGTGAAGTAGCGAATGAGACCCGCTGGCATTGTGTTGGAACTTGCATAAGCCCAAGTGCTGCGCCTCCTGTTGGGTTGCTTCTGCCCGCTGGCGGTTTCTTGGTCAGCCGGCAAGAAATTGTCGATCCTTTTGTCAGCTGAAATGCTTGCTCTGCGCGCAGGTGCTGCATGTGGGGCGGCAGCTGCCGGTGACGGTGGCGCTGGCGAGTGTGCTGGAGCGCTCCTTCCCGGACGAGTACGCCGCACGCCGCGATGAGTCGCGTTCCACCGCCGCGCAGGGAACGCCTGCTGCCGGAGAGGCTCCCCTGCCGCTCTTTGTCATGTCCTGCATGATGCCCGGTGCGGATTTTAGACCCTGTCCTTCCCTGTCCAGTTGCCTCCTTGGTCATTTCCTGTAGAAATTCTCTTTGTCAGGTCCTGCATGTTGCGCGGTGCGGGGTCTCCTCCCTCTGTGCTTCTCTTCCCTTGCCTTTTCATATTTCCCGCAAAGTTCTCATTGCAGTTTGCCACGAGTGCTACTGCAAGGGATCATGTTCTGCAAGAAGACTCTACTAGACTGTTCATACAAGTGCAGCTGCACCAGCCCATAATGCGACCTGCAGCAGCATGCTGTTCTCTCTGCCTTGCCAATGTGATGAAAGTGGGTGTCTACAGTATTAACTTCATAGGTTTACACCACACCAAGGGCTGCTTCTGACCAAGTGTGTGTCGTGTGTGTTATCGTGGTGCAGGTGAGAAGATGGCTCTTAACATATTTGAGCCGCGGTATCGGCTGATGGTTCGGCGGTGCATGGAGGGAGCGCGGCGTTTTGGCATGGCCACCGTGGGGGCCTCGCACACGCTCAACAACTTTGCCTGCGAGTGCGAAATTCTTGAGTGCCAGCCGCAGCCGGACGGGTGCGCCATGCCATGATTGTCTTTTTTTCCCTCTTTGTTGTTTTTGAAGTTGGTCTTGAGTCAAGAAGTGCTACATACAGAGCAAACTCCTCAGCTCAGCTCTTTGGACATTGACAAGAGCCGCATGCAAGGTCCACAGAAGCCTCCCCTGCCTGCACAGTTTGATGGCTTTGTCCAGAACCACAATGATGATTTTGTTGGCCCGGCAGGCGGTTTTATCTGGAGGTGGTGGGCCGCCGGCGCTTCACAATCCAGCAGTCTTGGGAGCAGGACGGCTACCGAGTCGCCATGCCGCAGTTCTTCGGCGACGATGCGCCGCAGCCCGGCAGCACCGAAGCCATTGAGCTGGCCGCGCTGGCCGCCGCTGTGGAGGCGCGAGCTGACGCCTGGGTCGACCGAGTCAAGTGAGTTGATCATCCCTCTTATCGGCCTTCGAGTGTTATAAAAATTGAGTGTTAAAAAACTTGAAAATTGGAGTATTCGAGTAAGTCAAGCCTCCGGCTTTGTGCCTCTGGCAGAATTCTTAATATGCTCTGTGGCTCACATGCGCTCTGGTGGTTTAACTTTGGTTGTGCTGAGGCCGTGGCGAGAAGTTTGCTGAGTCGAAAGCCAGGGACGAGGCCACACTGTGTCATCTCTGCTACAACTGACCATCCTGATATTCACAAATGCGATGCTCCTTCTTGTGAGAGCTGCGTGGCACTGGGGAGGAGAGTGTCCATGATCACTGTGCACCCACCGCCCGTAAACTTGCAATCGTAAAGAAATGGCAAATTCTTGAAATGCAAATTTTGAAATTTGGATTTCGCACCCAGGGCGTACGCGCGCGGCCGCCGGGGCATCCGGGTGATGGAGCTTCTGCAGCGCGCCGGCGAGAAGCCGGCAGCCGCTTGCGCAGAGGCGTTGTCATTCTGGGTCGCCAATCTGCTGCCGGTAAGTTCTTGTCTCTTTCTCTTGTATGTGCTGCATGAGTCTTAGGTGCGCACCGCGTGCAATGAACGGCTGCCGCGGTCGAACGCATGCGAATTTTCTGTGGGGAACAGTATTCCGCCGGTAACCATCACTTTATGCGTGGGACTGTGCTGAGGAATGACTTGTTTCTTTGTGAATCTTGCAGATGGAAGCTGCCGACCTGCTGCGGCTGCTTGGCCTTACTCACACGCGCGACCGGCTTGCCTATGAGCTCGCACTATTTGACGAGCACTCAGCCGCCGGCGAGACCTGCGCAGTCATGTGATCTGCCCCGCGCATAAGTGTTGATTGATAGTGCAATATTTGCATCCCACTGTACCCTGAGGCCAGATTGACCTCACAAGAAGCGGCTACTGGGAAGAGGCAGGGATGCAATGTGTGCCGTTGATTACCCTTTCATTAGTAATTAGCTGACCTCTAGACTGGGCACCCCATCACAGCATGCATGGCAGGAATGTGTGAAGGCATGCCTGGCTCGGGCAAAGGGGCACCCATTCACTTGGATTTTTACAGGCAGGACATGGACAGAAATATCATTACCTCCCACAGGCAGCGGGAGTGGGTTATACACCCATTATGGGCTGCCCTTGTGAGGCCTGCGTCACGTGGCGTACCTTCTTCTCCTTCCTAGCCTCCGTTGCGCAGGACGGCATGTGTTGCTGCCAAGGGATGTGAATGAGTCAGCCGACACGCAGGCTTGCAGAATACCCGTCTGTTGTGCAACTGGTGCACATGCGCATGCTCTTGAGGATGCTGCATGTGGGTACATTTGGTTGGGTTGGCCGGATCTCAACATGCATTTGGACGTAAGCCGAATGCTGTGGCTCCATAGCAGTACTTTGTAGGATTAGACAGCACCGATCTTCTTTGTGAGGCAGCCAATATTTTATGTTCCATTAGAAACCTTTGCAGCTGGCTGCAATGTAGTTGCTCTCACATTATTTCAGGGCGCTCCCTGTGGAGCAGAGCCGATGAGATTCTTAATGACTTGCCGTGAATTCTCATGAGCGCAGCTGAACTCATCGTGGCCGATGTTTGCTTGAGAGTCACTGCCATTTATTATGAGCTGCTATCAAGGGTAACACAACTGCCTTAGAGCTGGACTCAATTGCTTGCAGAGCAATGTGCTAATCTGTTTGCTTTTATCAGAGATGCCAATCGCTGGCCATTAAGCAAATGCTCATCAGGATAATCATTTGAGCAGACAAGCACCAGTGGTACCGGAACAGTATACGGGGAATAATGTTTTGAATCCTGCTTCATTGTGTAATTGGCTGAGGGGCCTTGGTTGGTTGTATAATACTATTGGATGCCATCTGTAGCAATACATATCTTATCACAGGGGCAGTGACATTGCAATTAGGGTGTGGAGCGTTGTTCTGTTTGGCTCATAGAATGGAATTGTTTAAATGCAATTGCTCATTATAATGCTCCTTTTATATGGATCTTGCTTGTAACATTGCTCTAGTTCAAAGATTGTATGCGCAAAAAATTGGCACATTGTTCTTCTCATGGGGACTTTGTCTCTTATCAATTTTGCACGATTTTTTGCAAGATGTCTATTCTAGAATGAGAGATTGCAAGACTTCCAAGCAATGCATAAGTAACATGTGCATCCTCTCATGCAGACATTTAAAGGCGCTTTACAGCATGCTGCATGTGGAAGGCCTGGCGAGTCAATAGCTGCATCTCTATTACTTCGGCGCCAATAGGCCGACACAGTCCAAGCATTTACATGTAATACACTGCAGCCGGCTTTATCATGAAGGCCCGTGGCAGTGTAATTAATTGCCAGACTGTTCCTGCTTCAGTGCCAAGGCACACATACTCTCAAGACAGGACCATTGCATCTTCCTCGGACACTGGCGCCAAATTTCCGGCACAACCTGAACAATAACACAGCACTCCCTCGTCCCTTACAGGCAACCTTTCTTCTGAACGCCTCCTTATGAGAGGCTAAGGCAGCACTGCAACTCCCTCCGTTTTTCAACTCTGGAAGTGAAGGAAGTGAAATTTCAACTTCATGTGCTGGGCATGAGATGACACTGCAAGAAAATCCTACCAGCATTTTTTGCGACACTTCCCTTGCGTCCTGAAGGAGAAGTTTGGGTGTGCTTGTTGTAAGGTCTGTTGCACTTACCTATCTCAAAGGCCGCTAGGACGTCGGACAGCGTTGCAGGCGAGCCGCTGCTGTGCAGCTGCTTGAGGAGTGCTGCTGTGTCCTCAGGTGATGCAATCGCAGTGCTGCATCAGGCACCCGTGATGTCACGCACATCAAGCACATCGCTCCTCAATCATAGCAAGCTTGCTGGCAACCCAGTGAGGTCCCCGCTGGTGATAACGCCAGCACAGGTAAATTTCAACCTGGCAAGCATCCTCATCTGCATTGCAAGGCCCGGAACAGCGGCCAGGCATGCCACGCCGTGACAGGATGGGGTAGAGCAATGTAAAAAGCTGCATCTCAGCACCGGAGATATGGCCCAGAGAGCAGGATCCCCTTTCGCATTTACTACACACTTGTTCAGCCTTCCCAAGGGGCGCTGCAACCAAGCCAGAGGTACTTCGAGGAGTGAATATCTATTCAGCCTTCCCAAGGGGCGCTGCAACCAAGCCAGAGGTACTGCGAGGAGTAAATCTCTATTGGGGAACTCTTCCGATTGACATATATCCGAGGGGCAGACCTGGTCAGCGGCAGGCGGTGGTGCGCGTAGGGGCTGAAGCACCGGGCGGCCGCGCGCGCAACGAGCGTCGCGCCCAGAAGCCGGCCGAAGTCGGCGTCGCTGCATTTGGCGCGCTCGGCCGCTACCACCGCCCAATCCGTCGCCGATAGCGCTCGCTGCCATGCCGCCTCCAGCACTCCCCTGCACTCAGCCCAGGGAGGGGGATTCAATGTCAGAAAGTAATCACGCTCTTCGCAAGGATGAAAATTCTCTGCTACCAAGGATAGTGTGAAGGCACTTGGTGAAAAAACGCGGGGTGTTGCCGGCAATTTTGCAGAGAGTGCACGTATGACAACTGGGTTGCACAGCAGTCACAGGGTTGACGTTGGAACATGCCAGGCGCCGAATGGTGCAGCAGGGGTCATGAATGTGCCTGATGTGTTGTTGGAACACCAGCAACACAGCAAGCACACTCACGTGCCAAACAGCACCGTGCGGCATGCATGATAAGGGAGTTGCAGTTGAACCACTGCAATTTGCTGCTTGGGTATCCAGTAATTGACCAACTTGGGCGTCTGCAAAGCTCTTGTCATGAAACGAGTTGGGGGCCAATTGTAAGGATGGCTGCAGGGATGCAAGCTACCTTGCATTTCCATTCATCTGCTGCCCGGCAGCTGCCAGGACATCAAACGCAAGTAGGGCAGCTTCCTCCTGCTCAGCAGCTGCCGCACCGTTTACCGCTTCGCCCTCTGCCGGCCCGCTGCTTGAAGCCTGCACGCAAAGCGCAGATACCTCCTATTTTCAACAGCCAGACTCAGATGAGTCAGAAAGTGACTTATTTGCCCTGAAAGAATAGGGTTCCATGTGCTTGTCAGGGTGTTCTCAAAGACTTCAGGCGCGTCTCCTTATGAGTGTAATGCAACAGCTTCGCATGGGTCGGTTTTAGATTCAGGGTGCACCTGAAGGGCGGCTTTCGCCAGGGCTGCCGGGGGCATGGGTCCCTCTGCGGCCAGTCCCAGCCTCTCCTGGACTGCCAGCAGCGTGAGGATCCTGTCCATTTCCTCCCTGCCCTGCTCCGCCTGCATACACATGCCAAAAGCTCAGCAAATGAGATATGAAAATACGAGATAACATCAATTGCAGCAGAGAATCTGCTTTGCTGCCTCGGCATCCCTGACCAGAGAAGGGAATATCCCTCCTTTCAATCAAAACTTCGACAGCCTAGTAAGGCTACTGTGGCGACATGCAACAAAGGATGAAGATTGGCCTCATTTGCGATAACCCATGAGTCATAACTGGCAGATGAGACCGTCTAATCAACTGGATTGTCTGTTCTCCCTTTTGTTTGGCAACATTACAAAATGCATGCGGCACCTGGCGGGAGGGGGCCGCTAGGCCGCCGTGCTGAGCGGCAAGCAGTGCAAGCTTGGCAAGGCGAGCGGCGGCGCCCGACTGCGCAAATTGCGCACGGCCGCCCCCGGCCGAGGCGGCGACGCGCGCAAGTGTGGCGGCCGCGCGGCTGTAGTCGCGCATGCGCAGCTCGTGCAGCCAGCGCAGCTCGCTCACATCGCCCGTCTGCTCCTGCTGATGTCAGTAGATGTCAGAGGACCGGTATTCAGAATGGACTGCCTTGAAGGTGCAATTGCTCTGAATTTGAGTGCAAGGGACAATGACTATCACATTGTTTGCCATTCTGAATCACCATACTCTGTTAGAAAACCGGGATGAACTCTCTTGATGCCTGAGTTGTATTTTTGATGGTCTTGAATAGTATCTGATAAGTTCAGCTAGAAAGCTGACGCCAGGAATAAAGAGCAAGCTGCTGGGAAGGACCTAGTATGGACACTTTGATATGTCAAGTTGCCAAAAAAGGTGCGAACCGAGTCCTCGTCGAATTTTTATTATTGTAGCAGCCCTGCACAAGGCCACTTGAACCAATGGTGGCCCAATGATCAGCAAATCGAACACAGCAGTACGCCTTTTGATGGAAGTCCACAAGGAGCAGGTAGGAGAGTCAACCAGGGGCGTGCCTGGTGCAGCAGCCAAGCATGCAGGTCGGTGTTGAATGCGTCTGGCAGGCTGAGCAGCTCCGCCTGGCGCCCCTCCCTCAGCAGCCGCCCAAATACATACTGCGCTGCCGTCTCTCGCGCATACATGTCCTCAGCCGCGTCTGCATCCGTCACATGCGCAAATCCCTAAAGAAAACTTCTTCACAGGAGGCATGGAAGCCAGAGCCCGAGCGGCGGTTGGCACAGCAACGCCTTCCACAGTGCTGAAATTGGACTATGCTGATGCAGGGAGTGCCCCGCAGAGGCCAAAATGGGCCTGGCCAGATCCCTCAGGACACTTGCGAGGCCTTGCCTTAAGGCTCACAAACTCGGCCGAAGTCATCCAAAATTTCACTCAAATTACTAAAATTTAAAATCGTTGATGGCAGCGTTTCCCCGTGCAGAATTGTGCTGAGAGGATAACGGGTGGGCGCGCACTGGCGGCCATATGGTCGTGGAGGCGCGCGCGGTCGCCCAGGAACTCGCACAGGTCAAACAGCTGCGCGTGCGCCGCGTGGGACTGCGCCAACAACTCCACCCTCTGCAGCAACGCCTCTCCGCGCCCATCGCCTGCCACACACGCCATTCTTCTTCACCGTTGTAAGGGCGTATTCATGCTCACCTTCGTTGTCAACTTTGTTAGTTCCCAGTTTCCCTTTTACATCACCTTGTATCACTGTTGGTTGCCTGTGTTCGCCTGTCCCCTGCCACTCACGCCATTCACTTGATCTCATTTTCATGTTCATACTCATTTTCATTGTCAATTTCACCTTTTATCACTTTGAAAGTAACCATGTCCATTGTTGATTGCCTGTGTTCACACGCTCAGCTGCTCGGCAGAGGCGCAAATTAGGAAAGCAGCTTATTGACGGTCTGCATGCCGCGGTCAAGCTGCAGCGCATCCCAAAGTGTCAGCGAGGCCTGCTCAAATGTATCACAAGGAGACACCAAAGGTAAGCCCCAGCCGCCCCATGGGAGCAGGCCTCGCTGGCAGCTATTGGATCGTCTGAGCGCTTCACCATGGCAGGCGAACCGTCACTGGGGCAGATATAATTCTGCCAAGCCAAGATGGTATTTATACAACCAGAGGGTTTCCGGTATGCCTTAATGCGGTATACCTGATAGCACATCGTGCCAGGTTGGACTGCACATGCTTAAGGCGCCCAGGAAGAGCCTGTTCATGTGGAACAGCAGTATAATATGATCGTCGAGTGACTAGGCATCAATCTCACACGAAAGGGTTGCCAAAGAGGCAGCTGCCGCTACAGAACCGTCATATTGGGGTCCACACAGCAACGATGGCATGCATGTAAGCAAGCAGACCAACTTTCCCCACATGACATGCGACCCTTTAACACAGCGCGAAATTGCCGAGAGGGTTGCCACGCTGCGCGAAACGCACAGATCTTATATCGGACTGATACATTTGGGTTGCCAAGGTTCTGGGTACCCTTGAACATCAGAAGAAGTGAAGGCAATGGAAGCTATTGACTTCTGCCGCACCTTGCGCGCAAAACGCGATGGCCTGGTCCAGAGCATGTTGCAGGATGTCCGAGCGCACGGCCGCGTAGTCAGTCACGAGGCGTTCCACGGCACCGGCCGACGACGGGTCCGTGGCCGGGACGGCCGCCGCGAATGCGTTCAGCAGCCGCTCTGCCAGCGCCAGCAACAGGCTCACCGCCTCCGTCGCCCTCTCCGGCGACTCAGATTGCAGCGTCAGCCGCAGCCTGCGATGCGCAAGAAGCTTTAAATCGCTTTTTTAGGCGCAAGAAGCTTCATATCGCTGTTTAAGGCGCAAGAAGCGTCATATCGATCAAGAAAATTTATCACATAATCCCTTGATCTGTCAAGTGATGATTAGCTGGAAATGCAGGCTACTCTGGGTGCAGGCTAGTGTGGGTGCTTTCCTTTAAAAACTGTGCAAAACGAAAGAAAACACAATTTGCTGAATTGGAGGCATGTTGAGATGGAAGCTGGCAAGCCAAATAGAGGTAGGAGGTCGCAGACCGCAGGGCACCGCCACGGAATGCACGCGTCACCGGCAATTTGATTTGGCATTGTTCACATTTTAGATGTGAAGCAGGACTTGACCAGGGTGTCAAAAAGGCACCTGATGAGGGCGTGGGAAAGGGAGAGCAGGGCGGAGCGGGGCGCCTCCTGCACGAGCCACTCGGGCGAGCCGCAGCCCCGGAGAGCGCGCGCAACCTCGGCCGGGAAGCGCTGCGCGTGCCAGCCGCGCTGAGCCAGCGCCGCCTGCAGGGCCCCCTGTCCAATGCAGGAGCACATTCAATGTCAGACATGTGTTGGCACTTTGGTACGTGGCAATCAGAATGCTAAATTTGATTCATATTTGCCTATTATTTCGCAGAGAAGCCTCATGACAGGCCAGGTACGTGTGGAGGCAAAGTGATTGGGTGCAGGGGGAAAGAATATGTCCACGAACTCCATATATTCAGGTGCATGTGCATTTGCTGATGCAACTTTCCCTGCCATTTTTCGCTGAGACACAAGGTCCAGCAACTCGGCGAGAAGCATGAAAAATGGCTTCAACTGTTGGCCACAATAAGCTTTACAAGAGTCAAATCTACCTGGACGGCCTTGGCAATCTCGTGCAGGTCCTCAAAGGCGTCGGCCGCGCTGCCGCCGGAGTCCGGCTGCTGCTGCACGGCCGCCGCCGCAGCGCTAAAAAAGGCCGGGGCGCTGATGGAGGGGTAGGAGTAGAAGACCTCCCAGCTGGACCTGTCCTCCACCGGCGCCGCCGCCTGCAAGGATGGTGGACTGGTCAATAAAGGACTAGGTGTGTCAAGCTACACCCGAAGGGTAGTTGTTTTCAGAGTGTTGTCTGTTATTACGCGCCTCCCACCAGTCAAGTGGATGCCCGCACCATATATGTCAACTCTCACAGAGTCATTCCAGGTGTTCTGATACGTGTTTATCCCGACAGGAGTTGGCAAAAAGTTTGATGTGTCTGTTTGCAGGATGGTGGCGCTGGTAGCAGTCAGTGACATCTGCTCGTCACCCTGACATTCTGAGAACACAAAACTAGCAGATGTTGACGAGGACCATCAACGCCAAAACTAGCACTTGCTGGAGGGCACAGACCAGAACGCAAATTACTTCAACGGCATCACACACGGGACCTTTGTCCATGAAAGGGTGGCATGGGTCGCAGTCTCTCATTTCTGTCAATCGCATGACCCTCCATCATCATGGTGTGGCAAACAGATATGATGGACATCGACCTGTGCAACCTTTCGCAATCAGGTGTCCCACAATTTTCCCAAACCAGCACCAGCACCATCTCTGCAGGGAAACACCTGCGGCATGCACTGCTGGCCCGCGAGGCCGATGATGTGCTGCAGCAGTGCGAGCGAGGAGGAGCCCCCGGGGCGGCTGCGCGCCGACAGCAGCCGGTTCTCAGCCTCCCGCACCGCCGCCACTGCCGCCAGCCGCTCGCCGTTCTCCAGAACCACCCTGCAACGCCAAAACAGGACTTCAAAACTCGAACTCAATGATTTATATAGCTCTGGACCCTGCCAGCTGGACGCATCCATAGCTGCAGGTCAATAGGGGAGAAGGGTTGCATCCAAAGAGATCTTACAGACTCCATGGCGAGGGACGATTTTCCATCAGGCAGTGTGATGCGCTGCGAGCACGCCAGAGCATGCGCACTGTCTGTGCTCCCAAGGAAGACCCCAGCTAGAGAAGTGCTGCTGAGCAGGCACACAAGAGGATCTCAGTGGACGAGAATTAATGGGTTATTGGCAACACCTGAGCGTGGGTGCAGCAAGCTGGGGCAGCACGCCGGCGTCGCCCAGGATCATGAGCAGCGAGTCATGACTCAGCTTCTTGCTGGCCAGCTGCTCCGCCACCTCAGCGCCCCCCACGGGGCCGCCCCAATGCTTTGGCAGCACGTCCGCCAGCCTGCACAGCATTCTCTATTTGTATTACACCCTCCGCCACGTTGAAAAAGTCTTACGAACTTAAAAGGGACGCGGCTCAGATTATGCGATGGCCAATGCACTACAACTGGTTCTTCGACAGGAAAGCGCCATAGCACGGTGACTCACACAGCTTCACATTCCTGTCAGAGCGTTGTTCAATGAAGCTTCACAGTCCTACTTTGATGTATGATGCATTCATGACGCAGGGAAGTACCGCTGCATGCTAGCTAAATCAGACCCCTTGGTCCCTGCATCTATCTGCTCACCTAGTACTGTATCTGGCGACGGCGTTGCCAGGCCCCTCCCCAGAAAATGCCCCGGCCGATCTCAGCCGCTGGTACCCAGACGGTGACAGCGCCCCCGCCGCAGCCGCCTCGTCCAGAATGGCAAACACCTCCTCAGCCGGCCCCCTGCCTGCCACCTGCCCTGATACTCCTGTGCCCATAGCTGCGGTTCAACACGCCTCAACACGATTGAAATGCCCCGTCATGTCCCTGGTGACCTGTGACTTTCGGGCTCTTTCACCCTATATCATACCACACACCAAGGACCCTGTTCAAGCTGCCTTGATCAAAATGAATTCCCATCCCAACCATGACAAAGGAATCAAGACAATAAGGGGACTACAAGGTATTAGAACTGAGAAATTCAATGCAATGGAGTAGGGTCAGCAGGCTGTGGTGTGGAGTGAGTGGCGCTTCCTGACTGACTCATCAGAGTCGCACCTGGAACACTATTTGGCTCTTGGATGGGAGCCATGCTGGGCATGCTGGGCTGGATGCCCTCTGACTCATCAATGTGGCCCTCCACCGGTATCTCCACCACCCTTGTAGGGGTGAGGACCACCCAGGTGTTCTGCTGGCTGATGGAAGCTGCCAGGCAGTTGCCTGGAACCTCCAGCCACTCCGCGCCTGCAGGCAGATCATATATCACGTAAAAGGTTGAGCACAAGGGAAATTTCTGAGCAGTTTATTGCAGTGCCCGGCAGTAGGGACCTCATCTTTGTGTGTGTCCGCAATATCATGACACGAGGAGCTTGAAACAAGTTGAAGACAATCGGATATGACCAATATGTTCAGTAATGATGCAGAAGCGGTAGGGGGAGAAATAGAGTCTTACCTGCACTTGGGGTCCATTCGATTGGCAAGCCTCCAGGCCACCACAGCAGGAAGGCCTCTGCATCCATGGAGGCATTGAAGCGGAATTTAGAGTTTACTTCCATCCCCGTTAGAAGCTGCCATGCTTTCAGAGCGGGCGACGAGCCTCCAAAGTCCACCACATGCGCCGACAGCTGCACAAAAGTAGCATGCAGTCCAGTCAAACAGGTATCCCATGGCAGATCAATGCAAATGGACACTACCCTCAGCTTGCCACTCACTAACAAAATTAAGTAATCTCCACTCTTTTGGTCAGCGTCAAAATATGTTGAGGGCAATGTCATGCGTACAGTCTTGCCAGGTCAAGCTCACAAGAGAGCAAGCACATGATGCTCGAACCTGTCCTAGTCAGAAAGAAAAAAGTTTACATGGTAGAGAGAATTTCCGCTGACCTCGCCGTCATCGCCATCAGAGGGAACGCTGGAGGCCAGGATGGCTGCTTGGCGGGGGGACCCGCGCACAGCTGGCACAATGGTGAGGTCCAAGAGGTCTACGCTGTCAGCATGCAGCCGCTGTCGAAGCTGCTCCGCCAGATTTTGGGACCACAGCAGCTGCTCGGACCGCTCATCCACCTGCCACCGCATTGCATGCAGTTTTAACTATCCAAAAATTTGCTATTGACACTGCACTGCCACAGAAGATTTTGTAAAACTGATTTAAGCAGGAACTTCAGAGCCCTTAAGTGATTTCTGACCCACATAACACCTGCTACTCATGCATTGTGCATGCTGTCTTCTGCGCTTGCATTGTGTTGTGATCCTAGTGGCTTACTCATCAGCAGGCTCTCAGATTCAACCTTTGGGCCTGCTTGCCTTTTCTTTACCATCACTGTCTGAATGTGTCAGGTTTTGGGGTGATTGTGGATGGACAAGCACCTGCCAGCAGTCCAAGGCATCAGCGGTCAGCACCAATAGGCGCAGAGAGCCGCCAGCCGCCGCCACAAAGTGTATTGTTGTGGCTGGATGCGTAGAGGGCCCCACAGGTGCGGCAGAGCTGGGCGCTGATCCCCACGCAAACAGCCTCCCCAGCACGCCTGGCTGCACACAGGATCCGCCAACACTTAGACACAACTCCTGTAGCAGGATGAGATTGGAGACTGTCAGTATGCAGTGCACAATGCCAGACAGAACTCCCTGAGCACAGCTCCAGATCTGTGACCCTCCCCCATGCAGCATTTCAGGTGGCAGAGGATCGAGAGCTTGCACCAGCAATCTATCTGGACAAGCTAACAAATTCCACAAATTTTCAAGGCGAATTGCTATACCTGCTGTCCCCCAGCTGACGCAGCAGCGGGTGCATTCAGGCGGGCCACGCGCGTCTGCAGGACGCCGGCTGCCAGCTCAGCGCGCACGCAGAACAGCGAGGCACCGGCAGTGCCTACGCATGCGACAAAAGCGCCGCCAGGGAGCGGCGCGGCAGCTGCGGTGGTCACTGGGCCGGCTAGCCGCTGTGTCTCCAGCGTATCGCTGCCGCAGAAGTCCGGCCAGAGCGCCAGGTTGCCGTCGTCCGAGCAGAGGACTACTGACAGGCGCGCTGCCGGCACCTGAATGGCAGCCGCCAGGAATCTGAGAGAAAAAAAGTAAATATCCCTTGACATGACGTGATGGCCAGTGGACTGCTGATGCGACAGCAGATGTACTGGAGCCTTTATGCAGACAGACAGATGCACGTGAAGATCCTCTGAGACAAATTATGAAGTCTGTTGGGCACTTTGATGCCCACAGTCGCCAAGTCTATTAAACATCGGATGCCATGCATGTCTAGGGCGCTGGTATCTGTTGTGCTGTATAAAGAGTGTTATAGACCTGGGGGGTTTGCAGCAGTGGATGGGCATGTTGGATGTTAAACGCTCACCTCATGGAGGGCGAAGGAGACAAAGTGGCGTCGTGAGGACGTGTAGGGGAGAGTGCGTTTGTGCACCTCGGCATCACTCCCCTCGTCGTACATCCACACAAACAGGTCCTTCTTGGAGAAGACCCAAGCCAGCCCTGAGCTGCCATCCACTGCTCCCTCCGCACCGCCATGAGACTTCAGCACCGCTGCCACTGCTGCTGGGAAGGCATGTGACCGGCTGCTTGATGCTGCCATGCCAAGGTCTCCAATGTCTCCCAGGTCCATCTCCTTGACCTGAAGCGGTAGGATCTGTAAGCACGTTAGTGCTAATGGTCTGAAGACATGTGCAAGATAGCTCTGAAGCAATCCTCTACTTGTGCCACTGACGTGCGCATAGGATATATATCATGATGTTTTTATCACATCGAAATTATTCAAATACGAATCAGCTGTTCAAGACACTTCCAGTCAAAGCATCATCAACCGAAAAATGCGAAATCACCATGGAAAGCAATTAAGCACCAATGTACAAAACAGCGCAATATGAATTGAAGCAAAATCTCCAAGTGGCTCGAAGCCGATCTGGTGCTCGTCCTACAACTGTACTGCAGGCAGGAACATGATCAACGAATTGAAGAGCGAAATGTATGCAACTTCTGATAGTTTTTTCTTTTGAATCCGTAGTTATCGGAATTGGAGCCAAGTAAAAGGCCTCACTTTGTCAGCTATCCACAAGAGCACTATCAGCCCGCAGCATTACTTCCCATTTCTGCTGGCCGAAGCTGCAACCTGATGTATCCAGGATATCTGTGGAAGCTTGGGTGGGGTTGAAGGAGACTTTTGGAAATCCTCAGCCGATATTAACTTCTAACAACAACATTAGATCTCCAAGAGTCCCATGCCCGACGTCATGCCTGCCTGCCCGATTGGGCCCCCACCTGACCTCCTGAGACCATGTATGTGATCGCAATTTTTGCTGTCACATCTGCATGATCTTGACTCATTTGGACTGATCAGGGAAAGCTAAGCTCATGCACAAATCATGGCCAGGGCACATCTGTACAGCTAGCTATATGTACCGCGCTGTACATACATTAACATGTAGATGTACGAAGCCAGTTGCGCGTATTGTCGCCAATCACTAGTGCATTGATGATGGTCATCTACATGCTAATGTACAGCACTGTCAACTTGACAGTGTCAAGACTGGCTTGAGGCAATCAATGTCGGTCGCAAAACAGAGCAAAGCTGTCTTCATCCAGTAAGTCCTTCATCAGATCATGGTAGCGAATGGAGCCGATAGCATCCGTATCATACTGCACACCCAAACAAGCTTTCTCAGAATAAGGACGCTCAAGGCATTTGCATCTGCAAGCCCATGCGTCACATGCAGCAAGCTTTGTGCTTTACAGGTGAATTTATGCATGTGCACTGACAGATGAACTCGCCCTCGAGAACAATGCCAGGATGGAGTCATCATCGAGCTGCATGCCATAGCTCTCTGTCACCACTCTGAAGTCCTCCACATCTACCTGTGTACAGTCACACAAGCTTGCAAAATGTCCCTTTCACAGAGCTTGTAAAGGAATCCATTGGCACTGCAAACTTTGCAGCCAGCTCAGCATGCCGTAGCCATCTGCTGGTCCTTTAGCAAGCAGCCGACTGCGAGATTTATCCAGACAGCTGGGAAGGGGACCTTACCAGCCCTGTCTTATCTTTGTCAGCCATTGCAAAGAGTTTACGAAGCTTAAAGGCGTTGTTATTGGCATTGCCTATCTTGCCGGCAATCCTCTCCTTCATGTGCAGCACTGTGTCATTGAGCCTCTTCCTGCAGAGAGCAGTCACACCCACTTGCATATCTATTGCACAATGACATCATCCTGTTGCAATCTGCAGAAGCCAACAAATTGTCATGTGCCTCTTTGCATGCAAGGTTCAGGGATTGAGACGCACTCTCCAACCCGATTGAGGGCGTGTTTGTAAAAGCTGGGCAGGTCTGCTGCATCCCGCCGCTCCTTATAGCGCAGTGGTGAGCGAAGCTTGGCGTCCTGTGCAAAAGGTGGCGCAAAGTCTGCTGCGTAGAGGGACTTGAAAGGGAGCACCCTGCTGTCGCCCAGAAGAATGCAGCTTCTTGCAGGCTTGCAAGACCCTTGCTTGCCTAGACACAGCCACAAGAAGCTTCTTCAACTTGAGGGGTCAGCAAAGTCAAGAAAAGAGAGCAGGCAGCCCTCAAAATGACACGCCAAGATTTTCGACTGAACAAAAAATGCTACGCTTTCCAATTTCGAAAGACAACCTGCCTGTTGTTTGTAACGAAGGCCACAAGTTCACTTGCTCGCCGCTGTCCTTGAAGGTCTCGGGGAAGTTGCATGGATCCCGATTGGGGGTTGCGATTGGCGCGATGAATCGGCGTGTGTGCAAAAAATCTCCAAACGCTGGGGCCGCAGCCTTGTGTTGAGCGACTACCGGCGTGCTGCCAAGGGTTTCCTTCAAACCGGAAACAAAGCCTGTGTATCCTGGCATATTCCAGCAGCTCTCGCTGACAAATTGAACGGCATATCCCGCCATCTTCACGGATGCTGCTCAGAAAAAAATTCAATGCCTTTGAACAGGGCTACCTGCGTTGCTCGGAGCAACTCACTCCTCAGATCTGTAGGTTCTAAATTTAGATGCGGCAGGGAAGAATCTTGGAAAAGGTGGCTGCCAGTTGAGGGGAAGCTGGCCTTTCAAAGCTTTCATCCTCAAGAATTGCGTTGTTTGGGTGGAAAATGTGCCTTGCTGAAGATAAGGTGGGAATGGTGGAGCTGAATTAATTTAAAATATAGATTTTGCGAGAGTCCAGGCATTCAATAAGGTATGCCACGCCGCACAGTACTGCGTGGCATGCAGTGCGTGAGCTTGGTGGCCATCATGGTATCTAGATCTAAACCATCACCACCGCGGCTGTGACAATCATTCTGCCATTGAGTCTTGCGTGACCCAATTTGCGCCTGTAGTGAAAGGTACCAAACGATGCTGCTGCTGCTACTGTATCAGATTACAAAACACATGGCCTCAGGCGGCGGATGCTGGGTCCGACGCGCTTGACAAATGTCAAGTTGACATGCATGACGCCGAAATCTCATGTCCTGGGGTGCATGCCCACTACTGTGCCAGGATCATAAAGTGTCTGTCATCATATACAGGAGTACAACAACACCCCTCGCAGTAATTTGTTTGAGAGTCACTAGTCAGTCACATCACACTCCAACCATCAAGACTCAAAATCAAGATTCCATATTTTTAGAGGTTTGCAACTATCTCATTGTTTTCTTCGCCTGGAGGTACTCCTGCAATAAGCTGCTTCTTGAGTAATATGCCGGGTCTACCACCAGGGGCTGCTCACTCCTTGACAAGTGAGCCTACGATTGGGTACTTGAAATTGAACTTTGCCTCCCAGTCCCTCAGATTGTCCAGCTCCATGGCGCCCAATCCCTGCTCGCCCCATTGCAAAGTCAAAACTTACTGAAGTCTGTCTTGTCTACACGACCCAACTTCATGGTTGAAGGTAAATGCAGCAGAAAGCTGAGCAAGGGTGGCACACTGCAGGTCACCTCCAGATTGTCATTGCAGTCTGCGACATCGGTGGAGATCATGGCAAAAGCACGTGCACACTCGTGGCCAGCAAAGGGGTACATGCCATCGGGGCCGTAGAACTCAGCGCCTGTGGCAAGCAGCAGATGTCAGGTCTCTCCCTTGCTCCTGATTTTGACAACAGTGGTCCTCTCTCCAGGGGCCACGCTCATGCAAGGGAAGCTGCAGCGGTGCCAGTCTGTGAACATTTGCATGGGTGACTGTTGCGCACCCCTGCTGACATCAAATATGACTCCCCTGATAGCCAGCAATATCGGCTTGCTCTTGTCCTCCCCGCCATATGTCCTGAGCTGCTGCAATGTCAGCCTCTTTGGAGGCACCACCTGCAGGCACACATCATCAAGGTTCAGCTCTGGCCAAAATGCATTACAAGGTACTGCAGATCCCCAGGACGTACCTTGTCAATTGCAAGACCAAATGCCAAATCATGCACGCGCACCTTTCCAACCACAGGGTATTTGGCCTTGAGCTTGGCCTCCCAGTCCTCCAGAGTTTTCAGCTGCTCAGGCGTCAGGTCATCCACCTTGTCTGTACAATCCTTGGAGTCCATTGACATCTTGCCCAGGGCCCTTGCAACCTCCTTGCCCGCAAAATGTGCATAGCTACCACCTGTCACACGAGCTCTTTGAGCACTATTGGCAGGGTTGCATCCCATCAATTGGGATCCGAAGCCAGTGACACTCTTGGACGACTATGGCACCAAGGATATTCGCGGATGTTGTGAGAGCTTATCGCCTTGGGGATGGATCTGGCCTGATGGCAAAACGTAACGCACCTGGCCCATACATCTCCTTGCCCGCGCTCACATCCAAGATCGTTCCTCGCAATGAAAGCAGAATTGCTCTGTACGGATCCTGCCCATCGTACTTTGCGAGCTCGGAGGGAATAACGTTGCCAACTTGCATAGCAGATGCCTGCAGATCAATTGGTTGGCTTGCATCCCACCAACTTTTCAAGGCCATGAAAAGGAAGGTGCCAATGAATACAGCCAAAGCAGTCGCCCATAAATGTTTGCCATTGAGGCAATCGATCAAGAGACTCTGCAGCTCGTCCCAAGTAGGAACCATGTCCTTTACAAGCTTATGCAACGGGATCTTAAATGCCCACACTCAATCTGTTCCTTCCAAACGAGAGAGTTCGCCGCCTGAAGCTTGTCCGAAAGGCACTTTCTCTTGCCTCTTTCTGAAATCGCTCAAGAGGTTGACGAGGTGGTGAGGTCAACAAAACTTCGCCTCGTCTAGAATGGGAAGCTGCATTGAAGGATACGCCAAGAAAGCAGTGGAAGTGTACATTTGCGCAATAGAAATTCTGTCTGCAAACCACAAATAGCGTTGATAATGTAGCATTGTTGACTGGAATCGGTTTTCTCCTATATACGTGCAGCATTGATGCTTCCAAGGACGTCGACATGCTCGTGATGCACTATTGAATTCACGTGGAGGCCCCTGGACGAAGCAAAGGGTGTTACGGTCGTCATCAAATGTGAAAGGGAAAGCCACGAGGGAAAACCAATGCTAAAATTTGCATGAGCTCGGACAAAATCCGGTGCGAGGTGGGTCCAAGGGCTTCGGCGCCCACATTGGGAAGAGCCAAAATTTCAGGACGTCTGCATGAAGAAACTTTCTCCTGTCAGGGTACTTGATTGCACAGTTATGCTTTGGAACGAGGCCGACGGGAGAACGCCTTTTCGCTCTTCCAGCGAGGACAGTTGAGGATTGGTCTGTCCACTCAGCCTTGATAGGCGCTTAGTAGAACGTGGTACCGGGCAAATCATCAGTTCGGGATGCAATTGTGTCTCAAAATAGGCAGGACTTAGCCCTGTAGGAAGTAATGTGTATGATTGAAAGCTCGCAGGAACATCCTGCTCTTCCAATCATCCAGGATGGGGATTATCGGCCCCTATTCCGAGAGTGGGATTCTGACAACCCGGACATTCATGGATGCCTCATGCACTTATTATGAGCAATACGGGCATCCTGGACTGCCGTCAGTGGCCGGGGATCGTGCGTTGGCCAAACGTTTTTCAAAAGTGTGTCAGCATCTCTCCTTACTTTCGCGTCCTTGAGGACACCTGGGCCACTTACGCGTCGCGCAATTACCGTTACGAGCATCTCTAAGGCTCTAGAATTCAAGCAAGACACCAAAGGCATGGTGCATGAATATTCCCAAAAGGCGAGTAAGTAGACAATAGATTACGATGGTGCCAACGGCCAGCAGGAGGGCATAGGAGCGGTGTCATCTTGTAGCCTATCCATTTTCCAAAAGCTGACTGGATCAGCACAAGACATGCTGGTGCAATCAGCCTCAGATTAGGATAGAGCTGAACCAACATGTTGAGCCGCCTCCTGTTTTATATTCAGGCGGCCCATGCCAGGTGGTGTCGATGAGCAGAAGATCAAGACTCTCTTGTGTGGCACAGATGTCAGTAGCGGTCAGGATTGGTTGCCAAAAATTTCAAGCTTGCTTTACTCCAAATACATGGGGATCCAAGGGCCACTCTATCCCTGAGACGCTTTCATGACCTTGTTTCAGGCAAGAGTATCAGGAGATTATCGGGTCACCAGCTGAGCTAATCACCAGGGAGCTTAGTGAGCGCGCTAGCTGTGGGGCCACGCACACTGTGGCCAATCTTGCGCTAATGGAGGCCGCCTCTGTGCAGCTGCCTGCATAGCCGCTCCCCCGCAGCTCAATCAGCACATGTCGGGGGATGCCAAGAAGGGGGCATGGACACCAGAGGAGGATGAAGCCCTCAAGCGGCTTGTCTTGGTGCCTTTCCCGTGCTCTTTCTGGCACTTCAAAATAAGAAGAAGCCGCTCTGCTAATTTCTATGCTTGGCGGCCTCATCTCTGCTGGTGTATCTTCATAGACTGCCTGCACGCATTGCAATTCCACATCCCTGCAACCCATTCTAGGCTTCCGCTGTGCCCAGCATGCCTTGGTCGTCTTTGCATCATAGCTTCATGCCACATAGACGCCTATGGCCCCTGCACTTCGTGCACTGCTTTTACATGCGATCAATGCCACACGACTGGGATGTGATGTGCCCAGGCACCTGCTTTTACGAGCATCCTTTGGCCCCGGCTGAGCACCGTGCCCACGGTTGCGTGGTTCTTATTTGGATGTGGCGAGTCCAACAAGGGGTAGGATTGTGGCAGCCTTTAAGTGCAGCTTGTCTGCAGGACGTACCTGGCCTTTTCGCAGGAAAAGCACGTTGTAATAAAAATAAGTTTGCTGCGCAGATGCATGGGCCCAAGAATTGGAGCTTGATCGCTGGCGGCATACACGGCCGCAGCGGCAAGAGCTGCCGGCTGCGCTGGTGCAACCAGCTGGACCCAGGTGTCATCAAGGATCCCTTCTCTGAGTGGGAGGATGCCGTCATCATTAATGCCCACATCGTGCGTGCCAACAACTGCCATTTTTTCCCTGCACCTCCCCCCCTCAGGGAGTACTTGATTACTGCCATGACATGATACTAGTTGTGTTCAGTATCCCCTGTCCTGAAGCATCCAGTAGGGAATGCATGGGCACATGAGCTCATGGGTCTCCTGCCCCTGCATGCATGCATTTGTGGCTTGTGCAATATCTGGCACCCAGCACAGAAGACTTGCTAAAGTGCCACACGCCCATGCTATTGCCTCACAGCCTGTACCGACCCTTTGCACAGCTCAGATAGGATACACAGAACACCTTTGCAGCCGTCATGCCTAGCTGTGCTCCCTTGCGTGTGTCGCCTGAGAGAGTGTCAAAAATTGTGGGGTTGCTTGTGACAGGCACACGGCAACAAGTGGGCGGTGATTGCCAAGCTGCTGCCAGGGCGCACAGACAATGGCGTCAAGAACCACTGGAACAGCACCCTCAAGCGCAAGTACCAGAACACCACGCTGAACAACCAGTACATTGAGAGCGGCATGTCCCTGAACTGGCTGCTCCAAAACTACGACGGCTCGTACCACACAGAACAGGTGACTGACTGCAGTTGCAGACAAGCCTCCATGGGTTTTTTGCATAGTTCACAGCAGCTCTTTCTGTGTGCTCCTTATGAATTTGGGGGTTTGCTCATTGAATGTGGGGGACAAATCTTGAAAATTTGCACAAGTCAAGAGTCTGCTGCGTTCGTTCTGTGGCTGAAATTCAATGCATTGCAGGAGTTCCCGAGCACCGTGAGTGAGGGGCCCGAGGATGATATTATGCTGTCAGACATTGACGATCACAAGGTGGGGACATCCAAAAGTTGCTCTGCAATGTTTTCCCACACATCTGTTGCACCCATAATGGTCTCCGTGATTGCTGGGCATGCACAGATGCTGCAGCAATTGCATGATTATCTACTGAGCATCGCTGACACTCCGAAGCAATGCGGCGCTCATCAAAATCAGCAACACATGCAGATTCCTTTATCCAGAATACACCTTGCCAGCATGTTGGCTTGCACATTCCTACGGGCTTGGTATTGTCGGTGGTCAAGGTGCAGGTTTGTGTGCAGGCTCTGGAACTGCGGCGGTACAACAGCTACTCAGAGAGCTCGCAGCGCCACCATGCCGTGTACCGCGGTAAGCGCAAGCAGCCCGACATGGAGGACGCCTGCAGCATCGCAGCCATGCAGCACCTGCCGGCAGGTGCGCGCAGCATGCGCCCCACCCTGCTCTATGGTCTTCATCACATGTTCGCTCGCGTCCCTCTCTTCCGATGCTTTAATCATCCCTGGTTGGGCAGCATGTGCCTTCCTGCACCAACAATTAGACGTGCATGTGCACCTATTTGCTGGGAATCACATCAGATTAATCCAGCACCCTGTGCAATGTGTGCCCTCCTGCATCACAATATACGCCAGTGGCATTCAGACTGTCAGATGATACAGATGAAGCACCTTCACTGTGCCTTCCTGCTTAAGACATTATGCCAGCTATCACCCATTTTTCGGCCATACCCATCTGCAGAGGGATGAACCACCCTGCCACGCATGCATGCGCAGGCGTAGAGCACTACGGGGGCTACGGGCACGTGGGGCAGTTTCAGCCCGTAGCGGGCCGCCTGGTGCGTGCAGGCCAGTGCTACGAGCAGAGCCGGGCCCCGCCACAGGTAGAAAGTACCCGGTCAAACATTTGCGACTCCTTTTAATTTGGCCCTTTTGGACCCTGCTGACGAGAGAGACCACAGTACCCGGCATGCATGCATTTGCTCAAATCTTATATTTTTTAAACACTAGAGTGGTCCACACTCAGGCACTCGCTTGAAGAATCCCTAGTCTCTAATCTTAATCTATCAGGAGATTTGCTGTTGCTTCGAGCTCCCCAGCCCCTGCAGCTCGGGGAATAAAGTTGGGCAGGCCATATCTCTTTGGCCCCATTTCTTCAAGTGCTCGTCTAGATTGGGGCGGACTAATGGGTCACAATTGCAGGAGGAGGGCAGGAGGCCCAATCTGCCGGAGGCCATGCGCATGCTGCACTCACTGCCAGACAGCGTCAAGGGGTGCCTGCTCGAAGCCGCGCGCCTCTGCGGCGCTGCCGCCGGCCTCGCGCAAGAAAACGTGCTGCACTCCTGGGCCGCGCAGGTGCAAAAAGTGCTCCATCCACTCAGGGCCCTGCCTCCCTTTTTGGCTGGAAGTCATATGTCGAGCCTGCCAAAAGGGCAAGCCTGAGCCTTGTATGCCCAGGACTTGTGGGTATGCAAGTGAGAGCTGTTGTTTTCTATTATGGCCGCCATTCAGACAGCCCAGAAGAGCATCGGCTCGCAATTTGCATATCTGCAAGGCTTGTGCTTGGTGTAACGAGAGATCCTCTCAGCAGAGTCAGCCCGTCGGCGCTGTTTATACTCTTACATACCTTTAAATCGCAGGCCCAAGACCTGAAATGATGCATGTGCCAGGCGCAGCAACCAAGGCAGGGGACGGAAGCAGAGGCGCTGAGGGAGCAGAGGCGTCAGCGCGGAGGGGCGTTAATGCGCGCGCACACGGTGCCGCCCGATGTGGCCCTGAACGGGCAGATGCATAATGCGCCGGTGCAACTTGCGACGGCCGTGTCGGTCAATGGCCGACTGGGAGGCTTGAGCGCGGCTGGCAGCTCTGCCCAGAGGCTGTCGCCGCAAAAGAGCCACACAGTCCTGCCCGGTGAGCCCCATAGACCGAGCCAGGACCGCCTTCAAGCATGCCTGCACTGCATGGCATTTGGAAGGGTGCTCTTCTTAGAGGTCACCTTAGGCCTATGGTTCAGAGGCATATCTTCACAAAACTGCTGGGGCCCCAGACATCAGGAAATTATCCACTGCAGCCTTACGCCATGACATCATGTAATTGTCCTTTCGCAGCTGTCTCGGTGGTATGCAGCTCATTTCCCTAATGCTAAGATTACAAATATTGTGGCCTCTTGTGGCGCGGAAATTATAATGTCTTTTATAAACAACACGTTGAGCCTGATTTGGCGCAGGCATGCTCCGGCGGACGGTGTCGGAGCGGCCGGAGGCGCTGATCCCGGCGCACCACCCACAGGGGCTGGACTGTCACGCCTATTTTGGCGGCCAGCTGTCATGCCATGCTGGCAAGAGCAGCTTCCAGCCAGCCGTACACCCCATCCTCAGAAGCCTCCCCCTGCACTGTAAAGACCAACAGCGGGTGAGTCCAACAAATCTCTGGTCATATTGAGGGTGCAATGTATTATTGTTAGGCAAAGTTGTAAAAGTGCCGTGTTCGAGGCTCAACATTTTCTTTTCTGCATCGCCGTCTTCGTGTCAAATTTATCGTACTTTTCTCAATGACTCTTGACTTTCCCTGCCTTGCATTTCGTTTAATAGGTTGCCGCACAGTAGGAAGTCATCTAAGACCCAAGGGTCCAGAGGAAGATAAATTTGTCGAGAGTCTCGTGCTTGTCTGGATTCCAGGGTCCACAATACATTATATAAGATACCAGGGTCACCGCATGCGGGAATGCGAATAATGCGGGATATAATAGAATGCGTGTATTTTACTGCATTTTATTTTTGGGCATGGAATGCGAGGTCCACAAATACGCCTTTCTTCCCCTTTGGGAGACCAGTGAGGATGGGTCCCACCCAGCAAGGCTATGATTCCCTGCAAACATCTTGAGAATACCCAAAAAGGGGCTATTCCTGGAATTGCCTGGTTAAACCAGCATTTTGCCTGGCTGTACCCAAATTTTGCCTGACAAAACCAAGGCAAAACTGTTTCTAACGCATTTTACCGCATTTTACCCTCATTTTATTTTTTCCAATAATGCGTGCATTTTACCGCATTTTATTTGTGGTATCACCGCATGCGGTGACTCTGTAAGATACCCCAAAAAAAATGTGATAAAAAAATTCTGTACAGGGTTGGCAGGGTAACGAGGGTTGGCAGGGTAACGGGGGTGGAGAAGCAGGGGTGGATGCGCCGATTGCGCATCGTGGCCTGCCCCACTCGCGGCACCTGGTTAGCGACGCGGAGCAGGAGCAGCTCTACTCTGAGCTCTCTGGAGACTACAGCCTCCACTCCGGCGGTGCGCGGCCTGTGCTCTAGTAACAGCATCAATCATGATAGCAGCACCATAATCAAGTGCACAGAGGAATTGAAACAGATGATATCTGAGGTTACAGGGCACTAGATTACCAGCGGCAGCACGTGAGTAAATCTGATTTAATGCAATTTGCTGACCCGCCACGGTGACCATGCATACAATGAGATAACTGCATCTTGAAGCTAAATTCACTAGAGGAACAGCGCTGGCCTGGAGATTAGATCAATACCTGCGCCAGTGCCTCTCTGTGCACTAGCTGACAATGTGGGACTGTGCGCAGGCACAAGAGCCGCGGATCAGTACGGGCGCCAAAACGGCGTACACACCCATCACAACTGATGTCAGAACGTGCAGAGGGCGGCCTGTTTTGGCGCTACCGCGCCCCGCACCACTCACATGCGGCACTGCAATCTCTGCTGCAGAAGACATGGCCCGTCGCCATGCAGCAGGCCTTGCATCACCTGTCTTGCGCTACATATGTGGCCAGGCACGCTTGCAGACACAGCTGCAATGCTGTGAACAAGGCGGTGACAGAGGCCCCAACAACAAGGTATTGCTATTTAACGAGAGGTACTGCTATTTATAAAAACAGGCCCAGTCGCAAGTCAGACACCGCCGCATGCGACGCGCGGCGAGAAATTGCCCGAGAGAGCGAGATTGGGTCCTGCCGAGGAGTGTCCCCGAACTTGAACTTGAAGGTCGCCAGCATATGCTTGCAACCAAGCCACTCTGTTCGCACCGCGCAAGAGATGAGGTCACCATTTGTATCCGCGCGAACGGAACAAGAGATCAGCAAAAAGAGTGCCGTCTTGTACCTATCGAGTCCTTCGCATTGCTATTTCAGAATACCCAGGCACAGCTTTGGCCTGTTGCCAACGTATTGAGGAGTTGGACTTTACACAGCCCAAGCAACAGCAGATGTCGTGCACCCCATGCACAAGCAAGTGGTAAATTCAAGCCAAAGATGTGTGCATATACATACTCTTGCACCAAGGTCTTTGGCCTGCCCTGCGGTCATGTGAAGTGAAGCTTTACGAAATCAAAGGGGAGCTTCGTGGGTGCCCAAAGCAGCAAAGCACAAGTGTTACGAAGCAGCTTTCAATGGAGCGGCATGCGTATGTTGCCATTGAAGGCGTGATGCGCAGTAATCAACATCTTGGATCTGTGTGCTGGCATGGTGGAATGCAGTCCAGGCCAATTGTGTAGAGGCTGGTGATCAGTGCTGATTGACATTTTTGCGGCAATGGCCACCCGGTGCTGATGTCTGCATGCAACAAGCTGCAGCCTGCAGCTTTTGCAAGGATGGAATACATACTTGTGGGATTTGAGCGTTTCTGGGATTTGCGGGGTTCTAGCCATTTGTCCTGTTCCAGATTGGGTTCATATTGGGTCTGGTTGGGGAGGTACAGAAGCCGATCAGTACATACTACAACACAGTGTGCAGTTGTTTCATACCATGTTTGCGATCAGTGTGTGGGTAGCTCAAGAGCTGCTTTATCGGGAAGCAGAATTGATATTGAGGGTTGGCAATACGTGCACGTATTGCCAACCCACGTGGTACTGTGTGCTTCCTGCTCTGCAATATGGAGAGGTGTTTGTGCTTTTCTGTTGGGTTTAAGTCTGATGTTCAGGGCAAGCAGAGTGTATGCAGTGCAGATACTGTGAAGTATTTGCGTGGTACAGGGTTCTTTGAAGGCGTTTCTTGCAGCCAAGTAGAGCAGCGTTGAATTTTGCAAGTGTGGGTGGATAGCTTCCTTTAGGAAAGATGGCAAATGCCTGGGGTTTCTCTTGAAAGAGGGATCAGATCTTGCCACCTGAGCCAGGAAGTTATTGGGGTAGTTATCATCAAAGTATGGGTAAATAGTATTTACTAAATACTGAGAACCCTGGGTGCACATATGGGTTATATGATTGGGCCGGGTACATATTCTTCGATGCTTCTGCTTTTGGCGCATTATGCCGCATAATGTATGCGCCGCGCATACATATGTAATAAAGTGCATCCATTATTTTCCTCTTGAGCAACGTGCTGTGTAGCTTCTTGCCAAAGAATTGAAAGCGCGGCACACTAATCAGCATGCACTCAACATTCATGGCAGGTCTTCAGCGGTTGCAATTAAGACTCCAGAGGACCATATAATTTGGTCATAAGTAAATAAGATGATGAGCCCCTCGAGGGGCGCCTCCTTCGCCAATGAGCAGACATGCCCCCATCTCAGATGCTGTGGATGGGTTGACTTAGTTTTGAAATATGAAATGCCATTGTTACATTTGCATGCCCGTCCAAAGGACATGCAGAGCAGGATCCACATCAAGCAAATGGGCCCATTGACAGCTGCCTCTTCTTCTTCTTGCACATGAACCTCCCTTTGCAGATTTTCAGGCTCACAGCAGTGCTGTGACAGCACTATAAAGCTCCCTCCTGAACTGAGGCTCACACCAGTGTCTTGATGACCTTGAGAGCCTCCTCCACATGCTTCTCGGGATTGAACTGCAGGACGGGCCACACAACCATTCAGAAAACTCAATGCTGCACAGCGCGATATTGACTGCAATACAGCTGCGGATCAAGCTTTCTAGCAGGAACATCTTCTTGTCTTAGCCAGTCTACGAACATCACTATTGAGCTGATTGTACCAGAATCAGCAGATGCATGCACTGATCATGTCTTCAGAGAAGGTGGAATGCAGACTTCAGATCACAAACAGCGCCAGGGAGTAAAGAGAAACTCTTTAGACCCCATGAGGCACGGGGGCCACACCTGGTCATTGAAGGACAGAGCAACCTTGCCGCTCTTGTCGATGACGTATGTCTGCCTGCCAGGCAACAAGCCCAGCAGATCTCCCTTGATGCCAAAGGACTTGCGCAGGAACTCGCTCTGGTCTGTCAACAAGGGGTACGGTAGCCTCTGAGCCTGCATGCACGCACCGCAATCACATCAGTCCCTCAACTTCTTTTTGTTGCTCCATCATAAGACCACAACGCCCAGCAAAGGTATACATCGTAAAGAGGTGCAGGATTCCGCCACAGCACATACTGACACAGCACCAATTAGCTATGATCAAAGCAGGAGGGACGGGCAAATCAGCTGGCAAGGCTGGGTCCTGAAAGGAAGATCTCTGATCAGGCTAAACCAATTTTCTTGCCTGAGATGAGCATGCAGGAAGTGATGATTGCAGGCCCACCTTGGCAAACTCGCTGTTGGCCTGAACGCCATCTGAGCTGACGCCAAAGACCTGGGCTCCGGCGTCCTTGAACTTGCCATATGCATCCCTGAAGGCGCATGCCTCCTTTGTGCACCCGGGTGTTGCTGCCTGCGCCATCCAACCCGCCCGAGGCTTAGCTCCAGATATAACAAACGAATGATCAACCATTGCCTGTAACAATGTACACCTAATAAATTTCAATGCCCACCTTTGGATAGAAGAAGACCACTACAGGGCTCTTCCCTTCAAACTTGGAGAGTGCCACCGAGGTCCCATCAGTTGCTTTCATGACCCTGCGCAATAGCAATGCCTTGTCAGGAAGGTGGTTCAGCAGTAGTGTACACCATTGAAACATTCACTGCCAAAGCACTGCTCACCTGTAGTAATCCGGGTAGTCTTGCAGCTTGCTGCCCACCTTCAGCTCTGCCTGCCACCCAGATTCTCTATTGGTCTTGACTGATTTTGAGCACAAGCACATTCTCACTAAGGACTCGCATCACATCAATTCAGTCTATAGCAATCATGCTGTCATCGAACTCTTCACCAGTCAGTTATTGGAGCCTGTGTCTCTCACCTTGACAAAGGAGGCAGACAACGTTGCCGCCCTGCACACCCTCCGCTGGCACTGCAGAGCTGATGCATTACCGCGGAAAACCGATTGACGAAACTGGGACCGAGAATGCAAGCAAACTGGTGCTGCAGGAAGCCTGCATCGTGCTGAGCACGAGGCCGTTCCAGTGGACAGCATGACCATCCTGTCCGATCGCACTTTTGGGTTTTTCGAGCCTCGACGAGTAAGAAAAAGTTTTCCAATTAGCTGAAAACAACTTTGGAGACGAGCGCTTTTCCCAAGCTGCGGATCGGATTTTATCTCGTCGCACGTGGGGAGGCGAGGGTATATCCTTGAGGAAAAGAGAGAATCGAGGCACAGCCGAGCTTTCCCCAGAAGTGTATGCAATCCTGAAAAGACGTGGTTCCTTGCAAGTGTAGCTTTTTAAAAGAAATCAAAAGCATTGATTGCTGGCGCATCAGGGCGTCCCATCACCACAAAGTCATCACCTTCTTGAAGCACAGATTTTGGTAATCGCTTTGCTGGCGTAAGTTGTCGGAGCCTGAAAAGATAAAGTAGGGGCTGCGAACGATTCGCAAATTATTTATAGATTTGCAGCAGTTGATTTTAAAGATTTTTGCAAGTCAGCTTCAGCAGTGCTCTAGATCGCTTGACACTGCAAGAGGTGCTGGGTGGAGCTATGGTTGGGTGATCATCTACATCTGCTTATGGATAGAAGTTGAAGGCTACCAAAACATTCATCACAATGGCTGAAGTGGAGCAGCGGCCATCTGTGCCAGCCGCTCAGGAACTACCAGTTGAGGGCAAGACTGTGAAAGCCCTGACCCTCCTCGGGGTCAAACGCACGTTCGACCTCTTCACTGGCAACCATGGGCAGAAAGTTCCTCTAGATGAAGAGAGGTCTGCCTCCCCTCCTGTTCCTCAGCTTTTTGACTTGCTGGATCCTTGACAATGTCCTCTCCAAGATCGGTGGATGGCTGTGGAGCGGAGCCCTGCACTGACTAAAGCTGGTGTTTTTTTTTCTGTGCAGTCAACGGGTGAAGATTGCATGCAAAATTCGCGACGAGTATGCAGCGTTGAAGTCATTCAAGGCGCCAGAGGCCAGCGCCAGATCTGCAGCTGCGAACGGCGGCTCCGCAGCTGCAGCGAACGGCGCCGCCGCCCCGTCGGCTGCGCCTATCGCAAAGAGCACCACAGCCAAGCTCATTGAGAGCATGCCAGCCCCAGCCGACACGTATGTCTCCCTGGAATTCCCCTTATTTGGCAAATAGTCATCCGAGCCCCATGCATGCTCATGCACATGGTTGAAGAACATTGTCAAGGGGTGGAGTGCTCACTCAAGCCCGCCCGCAAGTACTCCTTGTGTGTTGATAACCTTGGGAAAGCTTGTGAGATCATCCTGTCCGGCGCTGAATTGCCCAAATTCCTGCAAGAAAGTGCTCTTGTGGGCGAGCTGCCCTTCAGACATCAGGAGCGCTCCATGGAGCATTCCATGGAGCAATTGCAGATGTTGACTATGCCTGAACTGGTGGTTCCAATAGGGCTACCAACAGGGCCTCATAGCCAAGCCTCTCACCGTCTTGAAGCCAAGCTCAGCCGAAGATCCCCTGGCCTCTGCAGGGAGGCGAACAGGGCGAAGGCGGCAGCAGGGGCGCTGGTGGTGCATCAGGCGACAAAGGCACTTGTGCCCACGGCGAGTGGGGAGAAGAAGGAGTACATGCCGAGCGCGCAGCTGGCCAAACGGCTCCCCAGCGCCTGGCCGCGCCCAGTGTGGCACGCCCCATGGAAGATGTACCGTGTTGTGGCCGGCAACCAGGGGTGAGCGCTTGCTCTTTATCACCTAGATTGTGTAATTCTCTGGCCTTTAGTAAGCAGATGAACTAGGTGGGGCAATCGATTACAGCATGCATGGCAGATTGTATCCCTCTGGACCCTGAGGCCACAGATGACCTCTAGGTGGGGCAATGTAGTACATGACATTAAAGGCAGGGATGCTTCATAACAGTCCTGGCTCGGTCTACGAGGCACTTAATCACTTTGAGGTCTGATCGACAAGAGATGGGGAGATATGCAACCTGCACCAGAGCATGACATCTAGGTTGTCACCCTTCCGTTACATTCCTGATAGTAATACACGGATATTTTCTTCACGTGATCAGGTGCAGCACCTTTCTTGTGCATTGTAAACGACATGACAAGCACTTGCTACTAGGTCTGATCTACAGCAGCACCGAGAATCTGGGCACCTACTTCTACGTAGATATCAGCCCTTGCTGAGGAGCACTTGTTACTGGTGATTGCGACCAGTATGACTGATGAGAACAGCTGAGGGAAACTTGTGTCAATGGGGTGGTGTGCGCGCAGATGGGTGCGGTGCCTGGCGTTTGACAGCAGCAACGAGTGGTTTGTGACCGGCTCGGCCGACCGCACCATCAGGGTGTGGGACCTTGCCAGCGGCCAGCTGAAGCTCACCCTCACCGGCCACATCGAGCAGGTGTGTTCAGTTTACCCTTCCACCTTTGCTAGCCTTCGCAGAGGGGGATACTTGAAATTGTATGTTGCACACAGTACCCCCCTGCTGCATTATTGTTGGCACAAAGTCACTGATTATGTGAGCATCATACCTTGCGAAGCATGTTTACTGAGTGCATCCGGTGCCTTAAAAGCTTTATTTTAGGGGCAGATGTCCGTCAGAAGGATGGAGGTGGAACCGTGAACTCCCTTGTTGGAGAGGGTGTGGAATCTCTAAATGTGAGCTCTGGCTTGTTGCAGGTGACGGGGGTGGCGGTGTCCTCAAGGCACCCCTACATGTTCTCCTGCGGCCTCGACAAGATGGTCAAGTGCTGGGACCTGGAGACCAACAAGGTGAGCACGACTCTATTAATAGATGCCCATGGCAGCATCAACGCATTCAACCCATTCAAGTACCCATGCTGCAGCTGTGCCAATACATGTGTCCAAACAGAAGCCTGTTATCATCAGCCTCATCCTTGCAGCCCTGTAATCAGGGGGTACTATTTACGACGCCCTGTAGCTGAGTACTAGCTGGGTACCATTTGCTACCATGTAGCTGAGTACAGGTGAGCACAACATGTTATTTGGTTGTGTGAAAGGCAGTGCTTGACCTGCGGTGAATCGCTGTCTTGCGCAGGTGATCCGGCAGTACCACGGGCATCTGAGCGGTGTGTACGCGCTGGCGCTGCACCCCACGCTGGACGTACTGATGACGGGCGGCCGAGACAGCGTGTGCAGGGTGTGGGACATGCGCACCAAGGTGCGGCGCTGTCATCTTTTATTGACATCCCAATGATAGCCACCGCAATTGCACTGACGCCTTGGTGCATCCCATCAGAAGCGCATTTGTTTTCAACCATGTTTGAACCTGACTGTTCGATTATCCAACAAATTTCATGGATCTGTGTACTGCACTGACACCTTTGTGCATCCCATCATACTTGCAAGCTGCTTTCAACCATGCATGTGGCTGTCTGATGGAAAGTGGCCTTGTGCCGCTGCTGATTGTTGGACAAGTGCTTTCACCTTGGGGAATATTGAATGTAAAATATTTTGTCTGAGTGTCTTGTGCTGGGCGTTTCAGGTGCAAGTGCACTGCCTGTCAGGCCACGATGACACGGTGGCATCCATCCTGACCCAGCCCACAGATCCCCAGGTGCGCCGCTTGTCGCCTCTTATTTGCTGCGTTTTCTATGACCCGCTCCCGTTATTTACCTCAACTTATGGCTTCTGATGCCCTTCCCGGCATGTGGTCATTTCGCAGTAGATTGCGGTCTCACAGACCATGCTTTGTCTGAAGCCTACTGTCATTAGATCGCTCCAGGAGTCTCACAGACAAGCGTCCGGCACTGAGGGGTTTTGTTTGATGAGGGCAGCCACTGAAATCTTGAGGTCTAAAGGTAGGCCTGCACATTGTGCAGGTGATCACAGGGTCGCATGACAAGACTGTGCGGCTGTGGGACATTCGCTCCATCAAGGCCAAGACAATGGCCACACTCACCTACCACAAGAAGTCGGTGCGCCACCTCAGTCCCACCAGGACACGTGCAATTCTGCAGCTGTGATGAGCATGGTGCCCCCTTGCAGTGCACCACTGCTCCTTGACAATGGCGTTTTGACAGATTTGAGACCTGGTGCATCATGGTCATCTTGTTCCTTCTGAAGCTGCCAGCGATGCACGGGCTTTGGCACCTCTGAAAGTCTGAGATTGCTGGCGCATATGCTACTTTCCAAGAGACTCATGAGCATGCCCCCTTGTCAGCTCGTGCTGCCGTCAAGCCCCCCAAAGTCGGCATTTGCTGGCTGTCTCACAGGGAGCAGCACAGTCCGCACCTGTTGACTTCATGGCTTCAAGGCATCACATACGCGGATTGGCTTGACATTCAGCACCACCCCCAGATCTGTGGAGCCTGTGTTGGCCTTGAAGTTGCATGGTCGCTTGTCTTCCTGCCATGGTGACTCAGCAATCTCTTCGTGAGAGGATTGCATTATCTTCTTGTCCACGCCCTCCTCTTGACATGCTTACTGACTTGCCCGCAAAAAGGCCTTGTGGTTATAAATAATTCGGTGCGCGCAGGTGCGAGCGCTGGCGATGCACCCGAGCGAGTACGCGTTCGCGTCGGGGAGCGCGGACAACATAAAGAAGTTCCGGCTGCCCATGGGCGAGTTCCTGCACAACATGCTGCAGAACCAGCGCGCCATCATCAACTGCGCCGCCATCAACGAGGACGGAGTCATGGCCACCGGCGCAGACAATGGCTCCCTCTGGTGCGCGCATGCACCTTCTCTTCTGAGCCTTTAAGCTGCACTGACTGGCGTCTCTGGCTTGCAGCGCCTTCTCACGTGCCTCTCTTGCCCTTCTGCGTTTCCACTCCTATGCAGACGCTGCCATTTGGCACTGCTGGTACGGAACACAGGAAAACAGTGCATACTGCTCCCTCTGGTCGGCGCGCATCATGCATCTTCCTTCCTAGTCGTTCCCGTCCTTTTGAAGATTCCAAAACTTATCCACTACGGCTGTGCTGCTTATGGGCTATGAGATGTTGCTCATTCCTAGGAAGAGGCTCTCACGCTATCCATGGACTCTGCCATCTTCCTCCCTTCACCTGTGCAAACAGTGCGACCTGCAGCACAGCGTGCGATGCCCGGGAAATGTGAAAACAGCACCTGAACAAATTTGGGGTGTGTCGGATAGACCCCTGCTCCCTCACAGTCTGCCGTGCCTTCACCTCACTGCCTCTGTTCCCACAGAAGCAAATATTGTTTAGCCTTCTGGTCATGGACACTGTCTACTGGGGCCACTTGTGAAGTGCGTGCGCTTGTGGTGCCGGCGCAGGTTCTGGGACTGGAAGAGCGGCAATAGTTTCCAGCAAGGGCAGACAATCGTGCAGCCGGGATCGCTGGAGAGCGAGTCGGGCATCTTCGCGGCCGGCTTTGACATGTCCGGCACGCGCCTGCTCACCGCCGAGGCCGACAAGACGATCAAGTTCTGGAAGGAGGACCCTAACGCCACCCCCGAGACCCACCCCATCAACTTCCGCCCACCCAAGGACATCCGCCGATACTGACGCGACGCTCTGAGTCATTGCACAGTCACTGCGCGCTCTGCTGCCGTTGCATGATCTGCAGGCAGTGCATAGTGGATGAAATAAGGGACCCTGACTCATGATTGTCATGCTGTTAGTGGTTTGTTTGGTGCGTGTGTCTGGTGGCTCCCGGGAAGTGAAGCAAAGATGCGTGGCCTGTGCAAATCTTTATGAAATGGATGATTTAATCTGCAACTGTTTGCAAACCAGAAATAGAGGTATGCATCCATCAAGGCAGAGTGAGCGCCAGAAGATAGGCAAATTGTGAGTGTCGTGATCGACTCATAGTCGAGGAGAGGGAATAAGGAAGATCTTCTTAAGAAACTCTATTCTTCTTAAGAAATTTAGATTGTGCGTGGATTGGCTGAGATCACAAGTTGGCTGAGGCTGAGACCATTATCCACACTTGACTTGGAAACCCGCAAGCAAGAAAGAATAACTTCTACACGTTATGTGCTGTGTCCAATCATGTATCAAAGAATGCCATATGGCGTCATCATCCTGGATTTCCCAACTTGGATGTCGTAAGTCTTGAAGACCTTGCAGGCCAAAAAAACTAATTTTGATGCAGGAATACTTGCAACACAAATTTTGTCACTGATTGACAAGACACAAGACAGAAGGTACTCACGTCACGCATGGTGAAAAGACAGGGATCGTCACAGCGAATCTTTCATTCGCTGGAAATGTGGCAAACAAATACATATGTACAGGAGTGCGTTTGAACAGCTTGCACCAATGCAAGGCTGTGCTCGATGAAAATGTGGCAAGTATTTCATGCAAGTAACCCTAGTGTTCAGAAGCCCCATTGCTGGATTGCGCAGAGCCATTGGCCAGGCTTCTTCTGAAGCTGTTTGTGGCGCCCTCCTCCTCTTCCTCAGCACTTGCTCCTTCAGAGATCAGCTCCCTGACAGCGTCCGCCAGCGCCTGATAGTCCTCCAGCGTGTTGTAGTACTGCGCCGAGATGCGCACCCACAGCCGCCCCTCCCAGCAGGCAACCGGCACCTGCCATTGCAATTCAAATTTGAAATTCATAAAAACAATCAGCATCAATTGCCGCTTAAAATCATTTGTGCCCTTTTTGGCTGCCGGGTGCATCAAGTCACCCTTTGCCAACAGATCAAAATGCTCCCTCAGAATTGCACAAGGCACAAGTGCACAGCAGCATGAACGGCGCACAATGTGCGAGCATGAAGCAAGAGCGAACAGCAGGGACAAATTTGGTGCAGGACTGTCTTAGGGCGGCGTGTTGTCCTCACCTCAATCTTGAAGCGCGTCCGCAGCATTTCGTGCAGGAAGAGCGCATCTGCCACGGAGGCGGCCAGGGGCAGCGACGATGGGAGCTCCACCGCCGCCATGGATGCCCCGGCCTCATTGGCAGTGCAGGAGATGCGCAGCATCCTGAATTGGCTTCCTCTCTCTGCCAGGAAAACAATCCTTACCAAGTTAGACGGGGTCCCCAGGTCATGCGTTTGTTCTGTCTTTCATTCATTTTGACGTCGCAAAAGCCTCATGCAGCTTCTGTGTGCTCATGGTTCTACTTGCACCTTGAAGGCTGGCTTAGCAAAATTGGGGAATGAGAAGGGTGTGTACTTAATCTTGTGTAAATGTACTGGTCCCTGAGGCCCATCTGACCTCTAGGTGGACCCATGCTATTTCTTCTTAGGCATCAGGTGTGCCAGACCTTAAGCGATGACATGGGCACATTAGTGACACTTACACAAGAGTCGAGACACAATAATGTCGAAGACAGGCCTGACTGGCTGCAAGTGGGCCGCGCACCGGCAACATGATCCGTGTCGAAGGCCCGCGAGAGCAGAGAGACGGCGTCATGGAGCAGGGAGGTGTTGTGGTCGCGCCAGGTGTCCAGCCCCACGGCGCGCATGACTCGCAGCGCAGCCGGCACCGCCAGCCACGCGCTCACGTCCGATGTTCCCTGCCACAGAAACTCCCCCTGGAAACCCTGCGCATCCACCCCACGTTGTGACCCCTCGCCCCCTCTCAGTAACTGACTGCAATTTCACTTCTGCCTTTTTATGCCAGTGCCTTCCCACACAATGATCTTGCACCAAGTGCTGCATAGCCTAAGCCTAGGATATTCTAGCTTCCCGTCCCAGAAGTGCTTGATGCAGAACGGAAATGAAGATGAGGTTGAAATAATTGTAAGGGAGGCATGCAGGTGATAGGCAATTTTGGCTTTTTTTTGTGAGTGTCACGTTGGTTTCTGAGGTGCAGGGAATAGATGAGCAAAAGAGTGATACTGAGCCCTGCTCTGGTGCCTTCAGGTCCACCAGATTACATGAGGAATGGAGGCGCGCACCTTCATTACTATTTCTCTGATGGAGTAACATGTCGATTATTAAGGTGCAGGAAAGACACAACGAGCAAGAATGGCAATAATGAGCAGCGAGGGCTCGCACCAGGCCATAGCCGTGGGATGTGATAAGCGGCAGGGTGCGCGGCTGCTCGGAGGGTGCGACCCAGAGGAAGGCGCTGCCCTTGGGCGTGCACAGCCACTTGTGCAAGTTGGAGATGTAGAAGTGGGCGCCCAGGGAGGGAACGTCCAGAGACTGTGCCCCCACTGCATGCGCCCCATCCAGCAGCACTGCACCAGAGGAAAGTTCTGATCAACGTTTCTGAATCGTTTTTTGCAATCTTATTTGTGACAGTTATTTTTGCAATTGCAGTGTTTGCCCTTCCAACGTGACGCTCCTGATTGTCATGACAACAGGCCTCCAATGCTGGTGGGTGCAGTGAAATCTGGGGTGAAAAACCATTGATGTAGAAGTCTCTGGAAGAGAGTTTGAGGTGGTATACAGGCAGACAGAAGATGCATGAGCAGGTTGCACCCTGTACACAAAGCTGAGATTGCACTCAAACACACACTTGTTGTGACTGTGCTTGTGTACTGGACAAAAGCAAGGCTGCATCAAATTGGGCGCACCTTTGGTGCCGGCAGCTTTGCAGAGGGAGCAGAGCCGCTGCACGGGGAAGGTGTAAGGGGGAAACGAGCCGATGTGATCGATGACCGCCAGCTTCACGCGGCCCCTGCCAGCTGTCAGCGCCTCGTCGAATGCCGCCGCCACCTCAGCAGGTCCCCCCGCCAGCCTGGACAGGGGGAGTTGCACCTCCACCAGGCCGGCGCCTGATTTGGCCGCCGCCCTTGCCAGAGCGTTTTTCACCTGTGGCAGCATAAATTCTATCTGGAACTAGGGACTGACAAAGGTATTATGGTGAAAATGCATGTGCATTTCAGCTAGTAATGATACCCTTGCACAGAGGCGGAAGCAGGCCAGGAGGCTCTGACTCGCAGATAACAGAAAGCCAGAGGCAGCGCCTGCGCTGCCGGTGGCATACAAATTTTACATGCCTGGCTCCGGCGGCACACTGCTGATATCCAGTTCTCACAAAGTAATGAACAGTCAATAAGCAGAAGAAATGCCGGTGAGGGTCACAGGGGGGCGCGGGCCTTACAGCTGGGTAGGTGAGGTTGGTCATGAGCAACAGATCTCCCCTGCGGAGGCCAAGCCCGTTTATGACAATGTTGGCGGCTGCGGTCGCATTGACGACTGGCACCATGTCTTGCCCCTTCGCCCCAATCAGCGCCGCCACCTCGTCCCTGGCCGCCTGTGTGACACGTGACAGATTAGGGCACTCATTGGCAAATCCCCCCTCCCACATGCTATCAGCCAAATGTGTGACACAAAGTAGAGCAGGGCATTATCAGTCCGCCCAACCTACTAGAGGAGCGCCAGAGGAAAAGGGCCCAAATTCTTAAGGCCTGCCCAAATTCAAATCGAGCTGGAAAATAAGGGGCTGGGGAGCAGATTAAAGATAGATGACGAGTCACTCTAATCTCTTTAAACAAGTGCCTGCGTGCGGACCACTGTGGCCAGCGATTCTCACCCCTCACATGCTGTGAGCCAAAAGTGCGGGCAGGTGACAGGGCACATACGTTTGTATGAATGGGGATGTGCCCATTACTGAGCAGTAGATTTTTCAGCAAGTATGGCAAAGCACATTTCTTGAAGTGCGAGTTGAGATGTGTTCATATTTGAGTAGCAGAGTGGCAGCGCTCTCTTACAGTGACAGGGCAGAGTCTGAATGTTGTCCCTCGACGCTTGTGTGTGGGCCAGACGGAAAAAGTATGTCAGGTAGTGGATTGCAGTGATGCTCGCACCTTCAAGGCTGGCAGCACTTCTGTCTCATGGAACAGCACCGGCTGCTGCTCGCACCTCTCCCTCCACCACTGCTGCACCTCCGCAGCAAACCTGTGGGGCCGCACACCAGCCCATCATCAGTCACACTCTGCACACACACGGCTCCTTGGCACATGCAAACCACTGTACAGCAATGCAGTACCCGCATGCCATGCTCTCTTGCATCGACACGGGGATGGGGGCCATTAAATCAGGTACCTGATTGTGGCACCGTAGCTGCCGTGGTTCAGGTAGTGCCATGAAGGGTCCAGCGTGAACATACTCTCCAGGGCAGCTTTTCCTGGCTCCAAATCTTCTTTCTTGCCACACAGCTCCTGATGCATGCACAGGCTTCGTCGCCTCAGCGGCCCAACAACTTGGCTAGTGAATACAGATTTGATTGCATGTTGGTGATCCTGATATTGTACTCTTCCTACACAGCCTCGGGACTGGAATGCTCTGTCTGCACGGCTGGTGGCATGCATGCCACATAACAGCATTCTGATTCATGAAGATTGCTGACCTGGAATCTGTCTTCCAAAGGTTGTTCATGTTTTTCTTCATCTGCTGCGTCACTGGCAGCCTCCACAAGCCACCTGGAAAAGAGACATCTCAGGACAGCGCACTGCTGGACGGTGACTGATGCGTCTGCACACTGACGGTGTGGAAGAGATTATAGGATGTTCAATGTCACAGGGAATAGCAACCTGGGATTTGCAGGTTTGAACTCCCGACTGGGGTTCTGGTAGATGCGAAAGGACTTGTCGCTGCCTCTGCCTGCGCGACAAAGCGACGTCATGTTACTAAGCAATATTTGGCGCGAGATTAAGCCACCAGATGTGCACAGATGCTGCTGTCTTGTCTTGATTAAACCACTTGCATCGATCCGTTACAGCGACAGTTGTGGACGATGAATGCATCGGACCTTCACTTTTCTTCTTATGCTTCCAAAAAATATGTTTCACGCCCCACACTGCCACGATGAGGAGCCCTTTCGTGGCGAAGTGCTTGCCAACAAGCATTAGTGGGTGGTTTCCGTCCCAACCAGTGGGTTCACTTTCAGGCATCGCGGGCGCTTTTCTCGCCATCAGGCAACACAAGAGATGAATATATCTTCAAATCGCTACAAATATGTGCCAAGCAATGAGGAGGAAGGGCATGAAATCGACTCAGGCATGGGCCATCAATCCTAAGAAAAGAAGAGAAGTGATCGTGCAAGCTCAATGTGCGAGCTCCTTGCAACAGAGGATAAAACTCTTGATGTCCCAAATTATTTTACGCTGCTAGAGTCAACATCTGTCTTGCATGTTTGGATGTCCCGTTACGTCACCCACGTGCCCTTTTGGAAGTAAGAGCAGAGGACAGGCTGGAACCAAATAAAGGGAAGGCCAATCAACTCATTGAACGAGAAGGTATACCTACAATGATTTACTACAGTCTGTCTGGACCTCTGGCCACTTCGCGTCCTTTGGTCACTAGCGCATCACCGTGACTAGACAGGAAATATATAGTCAAAACTAGCCCCTTCTAAGTGGCGCTGATAACTAAATCTCAACCGCTTCATTATTGCGAACATAACTTGGGATGGGGGAGTCGCTAAGGAAGAGACGCGACAAAGGTGCGCAGGAAGCAACATGTGGTGATGAAGACAAAGCGTTTCGATTTTTCACTTGTGTTAGTCAAGTCACTGGAGTACCTCTTACAATCCTGGATAGCAGACCTTCCGTGCTCATCTAAGTATGGCTCAGGTCACGGCTTACAACCACAGTGCAGAAAGATCCAAGGCTGTTACAACAGGTCGTCTCCTGGCACACAAAATGTATGAGGAGCATCTGATTGACATGATACGCTGTTCTCAATTCGCCAGGCTGCTTTGAATGTCGTATGTGTGCTCATAATGCAGGCAATAGCCAGGCCAGCACTAGAGGTCAGTTGGAGGAGCCACTCCTGACCTCTGAGGACCGGAGCGAAGACCATGACAGCGCTGTTCGGGAGCCAGACAATGACAAAGCCAGGGGGCAGTCATACAGGAGCCAGGAGCGGACTGACCGTGCCCTGGTCCCCCACAGCATCAACCGCATCAATTGGGAGGAGCTCTGGAGGCTGCTGTGGGGCAACTGTTGTAGCAGCTGGGCTGGCATTGTCGGTATGGAACTTGACACAGCACCATGCATGCTGAACCATCGTATCTCTCGACACTTTACTCCTAAGAGCAAAAAGTTGATCTCCTGCAGGCTTATCATGAAACTCACTCTTATCATTGCGTTCTGCTTCGCTAGAGCGCATGTCCAGGCTTATACTGTACCTCGCACGGGAAAGCACTGTATTGGGACGGCATCCACCTGACCATGCGAGCCTGTTTGATGACAATATGTCATACCTGCTATCAGAGCTCAACAACATACATCTGATTGCACTGTCCTTTGTTGTATCCTCACATCTTGCAAGCAACTTGCAAGCAAACACTGCGTTTATGACACAATTTATGACACGTGCAATGTGCTGCGCAGCGACCATCAGCAGCTGCCTGGCGCCTCTGCTGCCGGAGCAGCTGCGTCCAGTGCAGCTCAGCAGCATCCAGGCGGCCAGGCTGGATGACCTGCGCACACGCATCGAAGTGCCGTTCGACGCAGACAATCCAGAGCACGTGGTGCGCCCCTGCCTGATCCCCATGCTTCTTCACCGAAGACTCCCGTCTTCATTTCACCCTTGCCAAGGGGGTACTACTAAAATGTAGATGAAATTACCCCCCCTCAGTCATGTGCATGAGTGCGTCAGTCCCTCTTGTCATATCAGGCATTGATGTCTCGCCTTGGCTCGGGGAATGGTTTCTCTCGTACATCCCTGCTATACATGCTGTAAGATGTGCCCTTACCTAGGTTGCAAAGGTGCAAAGGGACCACTTAGGTGTTGCTGGATGTACCTGATTCTTAGTACTGTCAAATGGGGAATATGGTGCTTTTCATATGTATATTGGTTATTAATGGCCAGAGGATTATGTGATGTGTGCAGGATGGGCTGAAGAGGTTGTGGGGCCACGCGTTTCCCGGCGTTCCCTGGGAGGGGGTGCAGGCGGACAAGTGGGTGGAAATGGGGTGGCAGCGCAACAACCCCAGCAGCGACTTCCGGGGCGCCGGTCTCATCGCCCTGCACAACCTCCTCCACATGGCACAGGTGCCCTCCCTCTGTCATGTCTTTCACGCCTGCACTTACCTGCACCTAGAAAGAAGAAACAAGAAATCACCTGCACTTGAATCAGGATGTTCGCAGCTTCCAAATCAAAATTCCCTGTCTGAGGGGGTATGAGACTTGCATGCGCTTGTGGCCTGGTTACTGTGCAACATTTAGAATGTTTGCATTGCCCACTGAAGGCTTTCCTAACTGATGGCAGATGCCATTTAATGCGTGTGCGAGACTTAGCAGCAGAGAGTTTTAATTGAAATTGACTATGGGCTTCTCTGAGACCATTGACCAATTGTGGGGGGCAAGCCCCCCAACTAATTTCCTGCAGCCCTCACGGCTGCATGTGTTGACGTTTGCAGGCTTGCATGCGCTGTTGACCTGGTTCTTCGAAAGGTTGATACAGCAGCGCAGAGCGTGCTGCAGTTACACTGCAACTGAAGGGGGCAGGGCATGTTGCGCAGGAGCAGCCGCGCCTGTTCAGGCGGCTCCTGGACAAGGCTGAGGGGACGCGGGCGAGCTGGGAGTACCCCTTCGCGGTGGCAGGCGTCAATCTCACGTACACGCTGGAGGAGGTGGTCGATCTGCGCAACAAAAGAGTTGGCTCCCTCGTACACGATCGCCTGCCCGGCACACCGGCCGGCCGCGGCTTCCTGTCTCTACTTGGCGGCTCCAGCCAGGTGTTCGAGACGGTGAGCACCTATTTGCCCTTGTTCTGGCCTGTGTGATTTACTTTGGCTCTTTCGAAGCCTGTATGGTGCATCATTGTGCAGCCTTTATGCCTCAGCAGCTCAACAGCCTGCAAGGTCCATTGTCTTGTACTGTACAGATTTTTCTGTTAAGGCTCCCTCCAGTGCTCACCATGTGTTTCGGCCTCAATGAGCCTTGTCATGACTTGCAAAAGCGTCGCATGAAGTGAAGTCGGACAGATGATTGAAAGATGGGTGACTTGATGTGACCAGGTCTACTGCATGGCGTTTGAGGTGCTGGACAGGGAGTGGCTGGAGATGAAGGCCTCCTACATGGAGTTTCCCGCCGTCATGACTCGGGTGCAGTCGCAGTTAGTAAGAGCGCTATCTGCCCAGCCCGGATCCCTGGCAGAGCTCAGGCGGCTCCTGGGGCTCACCTCCAATGGCGCCCATTGAACTTCTCCTAATCCCAATTATCACATGTGGCCCTGAATAAATCAATAATTCAATTTGTGGTGTCCTGAGCTGCCTGGGGTTAAAGTGGTCTGGCGTTGGGTCAACAAGGCACGTGGGCTGCGCTGTCCGTGGTCCCCAAGTTCTGATTTCAGAGCTATACTCAGCGCTGCAGCTGGCTGGCTTGCAGCATGGCCTGTACATTGTTGTCTCAGCAAAACCTTGCCGTTGTCCGCCGCGGCTGGTTTTGGTGTGGATTTGGCGATTCAAATGCCTCCAAGTACCCTGTACCAATACATGTGATGAAAATCGCACTGCCAATGCAGATGGTCATCATGATCATGCTGGCGCAAGAGCGTGCCCTACATGTTCCAGAATTGCATTTTTGAAGTTTCAGATTGAGAGTTGTGGGTACGAATCTGTATATATACAGAAGCAGAGTTTAGAATCAAGTGGAGCTTGCTTCACACTCTATAGGCCATATGGGCATTTTGTTGCACCGACCCAATGCAACTCAGCTTGGGGATTATATTAAGTAATGCATCACACCAAGTCAGTCATGCATATTCTCACAAGCCCATGGGATCAACAATCACACACGCACCACATGAAGCAAAGACCGTTATTGACGATATACCCAGCACATCACATTTGATCATATAAGTAAAATTCCTGCTAGTGCCGAGACATCAACTCTCAAGCAGGTCAGACGACGATCTTTTGGGAGCGCAGGAAGAGAGTGTCCACGACGCGGCTCATGTTGGAGAAGGTGTCAAGTGCCGCCGGGTAGACTGCGTCAGGCACGGCACTCTCAAACACCTCCAGGCAGCCCGCCCCCTGGTCCAGCGTGCCCGCAAACTTCTTGTCCAGGATCATCTGCCGCCAAACAACCTTCTCAGTCACAGTGATCCCAAAGCAGTGCGTGCATGCTTCCTTATATCCCGTCCTGGGGTGCCGATCTTCACATGAAGGGACGCCGGGAGAGCTCAGAAGGAACTTCCTTGGCAGAGCCTGAAAGGGACAGCACCCTCATCCAGAAGGTCATAGTGATGCTGTCACGCACAGCATCACAAGGGCATGTAATATGAGAGTGCTGTCTTGCTGGCATGCAGCATGATGGCACCGTGATGCAGGTCCTACAGAGACTCTTGCACAAAAGCAGCCATGGCACATGCACGCCACATGCTTGCCACTTGCGAGGTGGATGCTTCGCTGCCCACGGGTGCCCACCTTTGACCAGCCTAATGGCTTTCACAGAGACCCCTCCCTAACAGCTGGAATTGCTTCCTTCGTTTAGTTTTCCCCATTTCTCCCTTACTTCAATTGTACACAAACTAAACGGTCCGCGCGCAGGCACCTGCTATATCGTAACTTGTTGTAATCCTCTCTTTTCTCCATCTATTTGTGAGTTCGCTGGCTCTTCGAGCTCTCCAGGCCCTCTTTTTCCAGTTGAAGACGGTTTGGGCAGGCCATATCCTGGAGCGCCCCGTTCTGGCAGGCACCTCCACAGTATTGGGCGGACTAGACGCGCACCTGGGAGAGTTTGTTGAGGACGAGGTCGCGCGGCAGCTCGATCAGCTCGGCAAGGTGCGCGATTTCCACGCGGCTGAACGGCTCGATCAGGCGCGCCAGGTTGCCTTCGAGGAGAGTGTCGTAGAGGGCCGACAGGTGTGCGCGCACGATGGGGTCCCCCATGAGCTGCGGCTCATGCGCGGCCAGCGCGGCCTGGAAGCCCTGCAGCGAGCGCTCCTTGTACGCTGCCGCCACCGCCAGCATGGCGTCCACGTCAGCGCCTGCATGCATGCGCAGGTGCGGGTATTAATGTCTGAGGATCAGAGATAGAATTGTGTCTGTCGAGAGGGTAGCATGCCGGCATTATGCTATGGCCTGGCATGCTGAGAAAACATTTTGTACGCCATCACTGCCACAGACGAGGAAGTGAAGATTCGGCTCTGATACATGGCTATGAAAGCACAACAAGTCTTTGCTTTCCACAAGACTTTCGATCAAGATGGTCGATCAAGATGGTGCAACACCACGAAGGGAAAGGCAGGGGGACAGATGCACCAGTACAAAGACACGAGTGGTGTCTTGTGCAGCGCAAGCATGGTTCTCACCTGCGTGCTTCAGGCCTGCCTTCGAGGTCACCAGGCTGGGCACCTCATCCGCATCCTTCATCATCACCTGCAATTGCACAAGGTTGTAAGCGAATGACCCAAAGTTCGACTCGCATCCTAATGCTTAGCTTGCTTGGTATTGCGGCTATGATTACTATGATGCCAGATGCAAACATAAACTGTTTGTCTTGACATCCTCATGCCACCTGTGGCCCAGGCAGCAGGCAGGATGTTTTATCAGTGCCAGTGGGACTATGCAAGTCATAAGTCATAGAAGAGATATGCGCACCTTGCTGAGCAGCATGTACTTGAGGGCGAGGGTGGCCTTGGGGTCGTCCAGGGAGTTGAGCGCCTCGAAGGCCTCAAAGAAGTAGGAGTAGGCCGTCTTGTAGTCCTTCTCCTCCGCATGCAGGGTCCCCGACTGCAGGTCAATCTCCGCCTGCACCGTGCATCAAGGAAAAGGTCATCCCTAAAATATCATTAGCCCAATACACCCCAAGTACAACAGCTTCTGCGTGCAATTCATGATCATTCTTCGTCCCTGTAGAAGCAGAAAGCGATCTCCTGAATCACTAAAAGCAGAGAATTTCAGAATGCTCATGCAGGGAGAGATCTTGGGCATTTTCAGGAGGCTGGCAGCATTTGACATGTCAACAGCCAAGGGCCTTGAAAAGCCTCTGCTGGCAGCCCGACAGCACAGGTATAAAGATATGGCATGGGCTCTCATGTGTCTCCTTCTGTGTTGGAGATGCTCTATGACACTCTTGCAGCTGGAAAGTGGAAGTCTGCAGGCTGACGGGATTGGGCAAAGAGGGCTGGCAGGGCTGATACGCCCCTGCTGCGAGTAAGAGGACACAAGTACTAGACAGAAGTACGGACTTCTGAGGGTGCTCTGATATTTCTCTTGTCTCTGTGTCTGACCAGCGCACCTGGGAGGCTGGAGGCACGTAGATGGCGTTGGCGGCGGTGCGGGCGGCGGTGAGGGCGGCCTTGGCCTTGGGGAGGTTGCGCAGGGCGTGATGCGTGCGGCTCTCCAGCAAGTGGATGTCCAGCAGCAGCAGCTTGTCATCCAGCCGCTTCACCTGCTCACAGGTGGGCCCACTCATGTCTTATCTGGGATTGTGTCACAAGAATAAGAGAAACAGGGCAATGCCAAAGGCAAAGCGGCATTGCTAGGCAGCTGCTCTCAGTGCCATCCGTGTGTGGGAAAGGGCTTGCATAGCACTGCAATGCAATTGTCGGAGGCACTTGTCAAATAAGAGATGTCACTGTGGAAGTCGCAGGTGTGACGATGCCCGCCAGATTTTGGCATGCAGCTCGCGACCAACACAATGAGGCATAGGAGGATGGGGCACCTCTGAGAGCAGCCTGCTGATGAGTGCTAGCGCAGACGAGAAGTCCTTGCTTCCCAGGTACAGGTTGGCTAACCTCGCCTCAATCCTCTGCCTGAGGAATGTCCTCTTCTCTGACTTTGCCCACTCCACTTGCTCCTTGCAGACCTCCACCTGCAAGGACAGGTTTCAAGTCCCCATCTATTTGACGTTATTGGCATTCAGACCCAGTCCATTCTCCTTGTACTTGCGAGGCGCAGTTCAATCAGAACCAGGGCTGACACCGACTTACCTGAAGCTGTGTCGAGTCTGGCACTTTGGCTATAGTTTCTATGATTGTTCTCACAATCTTTGCTGTTTTGGCCTTCGTGAAGGATGAAAACAGCGGTCTAAGCTCGGTCAGCAGATTTTTCAGGGCTACTGCATCTTTCTCCTTTGCATACAGGTCGCTTAGCTTCTGAATCGCCTGCAAGGAAATAAACAGCTCAAACTTTACCACTGCATTGTTGGACTCGGCCATGGAGCCTGATATGTATTATCTGGCTTTGCGGGGCGTCTTGATGTAACCAATGCAGTTTTACAAACCATGCGCATCAAATGTATCTGCCGTGAAATTGTGTCACGATGTCAAAATGAATCGCCTAAATACCGATGAATAATATTCCCATACAGTGCTTCCTTATTTTTTTGGGAAGGTTGTCTCACCTGTTCTTTTGCTTTCACAGACTCTGCATCATTTGGGTAGTTTCCCAGTATCACATCTCTCAAAGAAGTGACAGCCTGTTCGGTAGGCAGCTCACTGGACGATGCTACCTGTTCACTTAACTTCAGGCCTGACATGTCCAGGATCTGATACGTATGTTAGCAAGGCTATTGATGTTGACCTGCCTGAAATTGATATAGCAATGCAAGTGGTATCGCAATCACTAGAATTTCGTATTCTTCACCTTCCAAAGGACGTCGTTCAGGTCCTTTTTTCCCCAGTAAAAGCTTTGCGTTTGCTCAATCATGCCTATTGTGGCTCCACCAAGTGTCTGCAGAGGCGTTCCTACAACTGGGAGTTTGTCAAAATTTGGTCGTTGACAATTGGGTCCAGATTTGTCGTTTCACAGCATTCAAGCGACCTTTAAAAGGTGCCGGAGGCTGTGAGGGAGGCTGCGCAACGACACCATCTCGGAGCACCCCTGGGTTTCTTTGGAGGTGCGCCTTGCGCCCCTCACCACAGACAGAGTTGGCGGGAGTGCACGCTCTTCGTGCCGTTTGTGACAATCTTTGAGCGTGTTCCTCTTCATCATTTACTTTCGCTCCAGTAATCGAAGCTGCACGAAAAATCAAGTGTGAGATGCGGATAGCCTGTCCCTGAAACGAGGTGGATGTTGGTCTCGTTCGTGAGTCACAAGGCCTTTGTTGCGAAACACACAAGTGCTGCGTTGCTTCGTGCATTTTAAGAAGTTATATAGAGCTAAAAATGTCCCCTTGACTGCCCTTAGATGTTTTGTTTCCCAGACAGACCTATGCTGGTGGCCTACACCTTTGTGACACAAAGCGTGGGCGCCTGCCCATTTATGTGTTTCGTCTCTGTTTTTCAGTGAGGCGTACTTTAGAAAGTGGAATGCGAGCATGCTTCTTAGTAGCACCTGCCGTGCGCAGCTCTGACACAAAAGTCGAGCACGGTGATCTTGATATATACGGATGACATGGGAAGGTGTTTCCAACAGCACGAGCCTCGTCTAGATGGTGTTGAACTTAGAACGTGAAATGCAGGCTTCAAATGGAGGCCTACGTACTTGGAGGTCTGACAGCGGTGCTGCTGCTCGGCAGCGCACTCGCACAGACGAGTCAACCCATCGACAAAGTAGTGCCTACATTCGACAAGATCCAGGTACAGCGCCTCTCAATATCACGGAGAGGCCCAAACATGAACGCTTCTCCCTACCGGGATGCTGTTTTCTACTCGGAGCAATTCAGCTCATACTTGCATTTGTGCCTGCAGAGCAGCCTCACTAATGGTCCTGGAGTTGGAGTCACCCCTTCCAGTCCGGTACATCAACCTCCACATGACAACCGAAACACATTCTCTGTGCCTGCTTGCCTCACGTAATTTTGCTGAGCACTTGTACCATTTGCAATATCAGCTGTGAGGCTCCTGCTCCAGGCCCCGGCCGGCGGGGCCCGATTGAATTCTGAGCGCCGTACCCACGGTTGGTTATGTCTTGCTTGGATCTGGCGAGGTCAACAAGGGGTAAAACACGTGGCAGCCATTACCTGCAGATGTAATAGCCTAGAACAGCTCGTAACAAAAACATTAGCTGGCAGCCTTAGACGGCTGCTGGGTGTATCCTCATGGCAGGAAGAGGTTGTAAAATTTGTTAGAAAAACAATAGTAAGTCTGGTGCTGAGTGTGTACAGTCGAGGAAGAGAAGGAGCCTGCTGGGCGCAAAGGGCCTATTTGGCAACATGGACTATTTTGACGAGGACTTCACGGGCATGCTTGGCGGCCGCAAAGAGCGCAAGGCGCAGGAAATGAATGGCTATCAGATCTATGGTGCGCACAGCACACTTCTGTCAGATCATTATTTAACCGGCACAGGTACACTCTGGACTTTGTCGTCACTGAAGCAGCGGAATGAGACATCCTGCTTGGGATGGACTTCACCATGCAGCTGCTCTGTCCCCTCACCTGCATCCACCATCGCTCGAAAAGGATTGGTTCTTGCATGCCTCAGAGAGCTCGGTAGAAATCTGTAGGTGACGCTGAGGATACCTGCTGTGAGCGCTGCCAAAGTCTGATTATTTGGTGAAGGGCATTGACAGAATATCGTATATCGTGTCCGCCTGAGTCCGAGTCAAAGTGTCCACAACTGTCTTGCAGACTGTGGTCATGCTGCTTGCTTTTGTTGACACCTTGAATCCACAAAGCCACGATGCACCCTCATCCCTGCTTGGCAGTCCCACTTTGGTTCTCTTCTAACGCCCAGCGTTCAAAGCCTGCTGATGAAGGAGCATATGAGCTGCATGCAGAAACGCCGTACATAAAACTTGTCAACTGTAGAAAGCAGGGTCTAGAGCTTTGCTCAAGGTTTCAACTTCACAGGGTCAGTCAAGATCGAGCTGGTAATGGACTTCTGTGTTTTTGCAGGTCAACCTGCCGTGATGTCCCCTGAGTTCACCCAGAGCGTGCTGGGCCCTCTGACAGACAACATGACCACCATCGGACGCAGGCTCCTGCAGCAAGTCACCCAGCTAACTTTCTACGGAACGTTAGTATTTCCTCACCCCCCTCTTGTGCTGCAGTCTAATTGCCTCCATTACTCTCCTCCCTGCACTTACTTATGCCATGCCTTTGCCTGCACGAGCAACCTGCGCCTGCAGGATGTCTTGAGTCTGTCATGTGCAACCCCGCAGTCTTGCATGCTCTGAACTCGCAGCGACTAGAGACTCTCGCAATGACCGCATGCATGCAGTTGATTGGTTACATATCATTTTCCTACTTCACCAATCTGTGAATTGCTCTCGAATCGAGCTGCCCAGCCTCTTTTGGCTGGTCCTCCTGGCGTCTCTGCTTTGGCGAGCATGTCATCAGTACTGGGCGGAAGTACTGCGCTTATCAAAAACAAAATCGTTACGCATGCATGCAGCGTGCTGCCATGTTGCGTTCTAAAACCTCCTGTTGCCACGCAGGATCAAGCAGGGGGTGGTGTCAGACCGAGCTGTGGCCAACTACGTGTTCGGCCAGGACTCCGTGCCATTCCTGAACATCGCGACACAGTCCGGCACCACCTTCACCTTCCTCAAGGCGCTCCTCATTCTGCCCCAGGAGCAGAGTGCCACAAATATGCCCCCCTATGTCACCTCCACCACTGGGTTCATGCCCAAGGACTTCACACACCCCACCATCGTCCACCTCACCACACAGGTGACTCACCCGTTTGCTGACTCACCCGCTGCTGCAAACCTGTCCCTCACTGTGGCACGACACGATTTTGGTTTTTGATCTGTTGAATGCTGTTACTGATGTTATTCAGCCCCTAGGCGGCTGGGTCTTTTTGTTGCTCTGACTGACAGGAGCAGTGATTAGTACAGTTTGGTGCAACCCAAGAGCATGCTTGTGTTTGACACTGGCTGCTTCTAGCAGCAAGTGGGTACAGAATCTGCACTGAAGACCCTCTACAATGGAGGCAGTTTGGTCCTTTGCAGAATATCCTGACGTTTATTTAAAGCTGATCCCCACATGCCTGACAAAGCAACGGTAGCCCTGTCCATATGCCTGTTGTGTGCGCTTGGTCACGCAAAAATGTATATATTCCTAGCTAACACTGTATGCCTTTCGCATGCAGGGTTCCACAGGCTACGCTCCCCAGGTTGCGCTGCGATTTGATTATTCTCAGACAGTGGGCTCGCCGCTCATCTCACTCTACTATACAGACCGAGTGGGCACACCCGACCAGGGTGGCCTACCCCTGCCTAACCTGGCACAGATCTTCAACCTGAACCTGACTCAGTCAGTGGTTTCCGCCCACAGCCATACGTGAGGCTCTGTGGGTCTGTGCTGCGCGGCAGGCATGATGGAAAAGCCAGAGTAGTAGTAATGGCTGACTGCGCTGATCAGCAGTCAGCACATAAGCCGCTGCTACTTAAGGAAGTGCTCCAGATAAGGTGTGATTCCTGTAAATTTTGCATGAACAATACAAACGGCTGCTGCTGTTCCGGTTGGATTTGTGGATATCCGTTTGAGCATCTGCTGCTCTGCATTGGGGTTCCTAGGTAGCGGTCTTGCATTTATACTGAAGCATGACCGCTGCCGCAAGTGGCAGGAGTCTGCACTCAGGTGTTCAATTATTGATTTCATTGCGGTAGAATAGATTTTAGATCTGTCCTTAAGGATTGTCTTGCTCTTGAGGATTGTCAATAAGTCTGACGGAGCAAAGGCTGTAACGTAAACACAGTGGTGTCGTTACGACACTGTCGTAGCTGAGACAAATTGAAGAAAGGACTTAATTCTGATGTCAACATTACGATTTGGAGGAACAGCTAATTGATGAAGTTCTTGGATCAGAGAGATTTTGGTTGTGCCTGGGTGGACTTGACTCAGAAACTTGCTCTTGAAGATGAAATCGCCTGTAAACTGCCTGAAGGCGTGCTCAACTCTGGACACCGTTTTGCCTCCAAAGTGTGAATTACTTGGTTGCAGTAAAGTATAATTTGAATTGAATGAGGCCAGATCCGGCCGCGGCATGCGCATGCTATCTGCTGGCCTATAGGCAATGTGTTTGAATTCTAAGTCGTTCACACCTCAGAAGCTCGATCACACAAACACACGTGCATTCCTTTTTTTAAAGATTCACTCTGCAATGCAGAGTCTGCATGCAAATCTAGGATCCATCTGGGACCAAGCCAATGGGGGCAAAATTTCTATAAAATTTCATGACCCCTGGCATTTGGCGGGGCGGCACGTGAATTTCGAAAGCCCACCTTTCGCAGCTCCACACGCACAGCCTTGCAGAAAACTTCTAGATTTCAGAATAATAAATCGCAGATAGTTGCGATCTCGCGTCGATTGGAGCTTCCTACTCCCTTCTTGCTTCTCGCAGCTTCTTACGGATACAAGCAGCTGCAAGGTGTCCATTTATGGCCATCTCCTTGGATCCTCATTGTTCCCATGGACCAGCAATGTGCAACATCTGTTGACATCCTTCAGTGTTGCTCATCGGTTCTTCTCATCTACCCAAGTTACAGCAGATCCCAATTCCATCTGGTGCATCTTGTTATATGCTTGCAGGCATGAGTTGCTACGCTATCTTTGTGGCGATCGCCACGCTTTTCCTGGCTCAAGCTGCATTTGCACAGACAACTCAGGTCATCAACAGGCTGGTCCCAGTGACTTCCAAGATTCAGGCACGCACAGCTCTTCCACGACTGAGTGTTGAATGATTGCCCAGCCTTCCTGACAAGCATCCTGGTCTTCGCTGTTGCACTGATTAAATCTACACGTGCGATATGTGCAGAGTTCCCTGACAAATGGAGCTATGTACATAACAACTCCTAAAGCTCCGGTATGTTCTGGGTTCACATCAAGGCCTACACCTTCTGTGCTTCCTGTGCCCCACCTTCAGAAGCCCATCTTGTGTAGCTGACCTTAGAGACAAAATTTAATCTGGCAATTTAGCTCAACTCCCTCAGCAGCTGCATCACTGTTCCAAGCATCGCATGAGAGCCTTGTTGAAAAGAAGGGCCGACAGCCAAGGGTGCATGTGTAATGATCAGCTCAAGTCTTCGTCTGAGAGGATTCTCATCGTGTGCTGCTTTGCACGCAGCTGAGGAAGAGAAGGCTCTCGGAGAGATTTGAGGAGGGATTTGAAGATGCACCCTACAACCGTCGCAAGCTGCTGGTGCTAGCTTCACTTCTCATGCACTGGATCCTGACTAAGCTATCAGAAATGACCTCGTGAGTTGCTGTCTGCAATCCAATGACATGCCAGCAGGGATGACTGCACGTCACTCTCCCTTTCCAAGCCGCCGGCTGAGAGCTTGGATTCTTCGCGTGCAATTGCATTTCCACTGTTATGCAGTGCCCTTCTGGAAATCTCCACTCTTTCTGGAGGCAGCCAGCAGCCACAAAGGGCCAGGGGACTCCCGTCAATTCATTTAAGAGTCCCCTGAGAGGGCGTTAGGCAGGGGAGGCGCAAAATAAAGTGGGGCCTAACTATTTGATTTTCTTGTGTGCGCAGACGCTCCCATTCCAGACAGGAGGCCCAACCTGCACACTTCCCCAGGAGTTCATCGAGCTCGTCCTGAATGCGCTGCTGAACCCAACCAACAGCTCGCGCAAGCTGCTGGCCACCTCAGACCGCCTCACCTTCTACGGCTCGTGAGCGCTCCTTTTCTTCCCGCCCACCTTAGAGCATACATTTCATTAGTGTCATCAGTCTTACATCCTTTCATTGCCCAAGAGGCAAGAGGCTTCTGCAGACAAACTCCAGTTGCAGGCTGCCAAAGTCGCACCCCTTGTGGGACTCGCCGGATCCATGCAAGACCCAATCAACTGCGGGCACGGTGCTCAGTGTTTTTACCGGCCCCCGAGAGCGGGTACATATAGTTTGCAGCCCTACATACCTGTGGTAACACGTCAAGTTATTTTTGCTTGATGCAATCATTCCGGACATCTCTTGAATACTACTCACCTGCTGGCAACATTTCAGCAGCAATCGGTTTGCTCAAACGGCAATAAGTCAATGCAAGGCATTTTATACCTGAGCACCAAGCAGATCACTGGGCAGATTGACTTGCGGCGTGACAGCATTGCACACAGGTTTCTTTTGAGCACTAAAAATGGCGAGGCAGAAATTTTTGCATCTACTGACTTTGTCAATGAACTCCAGTGCTGCCTTGCGCCATAGATATGCACATAAATATGTACCAAGAAATGGGTTTCTGACTGCAATTTGCAGGATCAAGCAGCAGCTGCTGACGGACCAGGCTGCGGCGGTGTACATCTTCAACCAGGACTCGCGCAGCTTCCTGGAAACTGCCACGAAGTCAGGCAGCAGCTTCACCTTCCTCAAGGCGCTGCTCATCCTTCCTCAGGAGCAGACCTCCACAGTGGTCCCTCCCTCCGTGTCATCCACCACCGGATTCCTCTCCAAAACCCCCTCCGAGCCCGTCATCGTTCGCTTATCCACCCTTGTGCGCCCCCTGACCCTCCTTGTGCCTTCTGTGTGTACCCCTCTGGTCAATCATAGTCAGTGCTGTCCTTTAGGTGGGACAGCATGCATAGCAGGGTGTGAAAATGGCAGGCCTGGCTCGAGCACCACAAGACTTTGAGTATTGGGGAGGGTGTAATGCTCCCGGGGAGCTACTATCAGGGCTTCAGTGTGTTGTGCTGCCCTCCTTTGTGGCCTTTTCCCCACTGGGGAATGCACTTTGGAAATGCGATGGACAAGACAGGAGGCTGTACCCTATATAGTGCCAGACACCTGGGGAAGAGGTGCATGCGCGCCGGCACCCGCATGTGGTATGCTGGCAACCTGGGGCAAGAATGTCATGTGCACCTTGTGCTGCTCGGTGAAAGCGTCTGCTGACCTGCGACGCCAACAGTGATGATGTAGTGTACCCGAGGGCATGCACCATCATATCAATGGGTGCAGAAGGTTGCATATGTGTGGTCTGGCGGGGGGTCTGCCCCCTACTGAGTTAGGTATTCAGCGCTCGCCGGTACTGGGTCAGATCAATCTCAATATGACCCAAGTGCGCATCCGTTGATACTTCTCACAGATGAGTCGCTTTCAAAGCACTTGATGTGCTCTGCAGGGATCCACCGGAGTTGTGCCCAACGTTGGCTTGCGATTTGACTACGCATCCAAGGAGCCCGGCACAACTCCCTTTTTCTCCCTCTATTTCTCCGACCTCGTGGGGGCATACCCTAAGGGCGTCCCCAAGGCCAACCTGGTGCAGAGCTACGGCATCTACATTGGAGAGGACGGCACCATCTACCCTGGCCAGGGGTAAATATGGCCAGGGTATGTAAGGGCATTGAAAGGATACAAGGTTCGCATGCCAAATCTCCGGCTTGCACTGCGTGCACGTGTGCTTGGACTGATGTTCCTGAAGGGGGACTGATATTTCTTGAAGGCATGATTCAAGTATTGCGGACGTGGGTACATTCTGCAAGAGCTATTGGCAATACTTTGGATGACAGAGCAGCATTGGTTTGATGCGTGCTTGGGTCAGCCGGCAGCAAGTAAAGGAGTAGAGCACACTATTTGAAAGGGCCTGATTGATGGTATGGGCAGACTGTTGTACAGGCATGTGCATGTCAAGCGCTGATGTGTATGGGTCAGGCAGGGTACAATAGCATAGGCTTGGCTGATGCTCGTGATCCCTTGCGGCGCATGTTCTGCACTGTTCTGAATAATGCAGTAAGAATACGGCAAAGCTTTCCAAGCAGAGCTGATCGAGACTGCATGATCCTAAGGATTGTTTTCCCAGTACCTGTGTATCGTTGCGATCAGAATTTTGTTTTTGCCTGGGAGCAAGATCAAAGTCTCGCGCATCAAGCATTATTTTTGGCTGATTACAGGACGCCGCCATGTCTGTTTGTCACAGGTGTTGCTTTGCAGGCATTATCGTGTCTATTATTGACGGTTGCTGATTTGATGGCTGCAATGGTACATAGGGGGAGTCCAGTGTGGCAACCTGGTTGCCTGAGCTTCTTTGTCACTTCAACAATTTACACGGGGCATGCAAGTGGATGCACACGCAGAATTGGGACGAGCTGAGATTTCATAAGCTTGCAACCAACTGGTTTACTGGTGCCCCTGGATTTCATCAATTGATGCTTTTTGTTGCCGCTCATGGTTCTATATAAGAAATAAAACTTGAGATCTGAACAAAATCGTGTGATGTTGTGCACCAAAGTTGTAACACATAATGTCTGTATCTGGAGCAAGGGGATCGATCCCCTGATATCATCTGCATGATGCTCGCATGCAAGCAGGACACCTGCTTTACACATTGCACCCTGCACACCCTCCACAACATATGGCCAAGTAATCAGCAGGTGCAAGGAGTGCATCTTCCATAACCTGCATGCTGTCCTGACCAAGCCTTTGATCACACACGATAGTCTCAGTCAATCTTGGCCACTTTTACGATACTCGATGTCAAATATACACTGTATAGTATATCGCAATGCACATACGCCCTCTCATGCAGTCACGGTGCCCTGCGCCTCCAGGATGGATTGTCGCTTCCGCTTGGCGCGCATCGACTGCGCTGCCGGCTCTCCGGCGCCAGCCGCCGCTGCTGACGGCGCAGCCCCGTTTCCCCCGCTCGACACAATTGCATCCCCTTCCTGCTGAGCACAAATTCTTGCTTACAACAAGTCTCGCCACTCCATGATGTAAGGAAATGTGGGATTTTTTGGAATGCCAGGAACGCTTAGAATGATTTGCAGCCTTGGTGAATTGTTTCACTCAAATCTGTTCATGCCCTACAGATCTCCAGCAATCATCATTGAACACAATTTGGCAGGCATGCCCAGCGAGCAAGCACAGGGATGCAGGTGTGGAGTGAGCTTGGACTAGGTTTGAAGTAAGTATGGCACCTGTGAGGCAGCTGCTGCGGAAGCTGCATCGCTGCTGCCGAGCAGCTGCTGGCCGCTGGGGCCGGCTTCCTCCAGGTGGAACTCCAGCAGGTTGTCCAACACAGCCACCTCCCCTGAGCGCCTCGCCTGATTCAGCCCAATCTCCTGCTGCCACTCAAACGCCTTTGCGCCTGCGACACAGCCACACACCAACATTGCTTCCACTGCTTCTCCTATACCAAAGCTCTCAGTTGGGCACTGTATGAGCTAGTATGTAGCTACCACCTGTCACAGAAGATCAAGGAGACACAGTGCTGCGCCAATGCCAGGCACATCCTCAAGAAGAAGATCCCTTCACAGTCTTGAAAACGAGCATATTACCAAGACAGCTGTACATAAAAGTCCCGCCTTGCCCAACAAGCAAACAAGTGGTTGCCTGGGACCAGAAACAAGGACGCGCATGAATTTGCCTGCCTGGGACAACAGAGAAACGACGAGCAAGCGCGCACAGTCGGCCAGTGAATAAAGGTGAGTAAAAGTAGGGGTGAGTAAGCACCTCCAAGCTTGCGCAGCCAGATCTGGATGCCGCTGGTGATGATAGTATTGGAGAAGTAGTACAGGCTGAGGCCGGAGGGAACGTTCAGCGCGAACCAGCCGACCATGAAGGGCACGGCGATCAGCAGCCCCTTTGAAAACGCTGCATTCTTGTCCTCGTCGTCTATGGGGGGAGATATGACGGCCGAAGACGCGAACTGCGCGGCGACTAACGCGATTGGCAGCGCCAAATAGCGCGCTGCGTCCTCCCAGCCGACCGGCGGCGCGCCGTCCACGAATGGGAAGAGCCACGCTGTGCCAGTGCCTGCGCGCAGGTGTGGAGTTTAAAAAATTTATCCGGTCACTATCAGTCATCAGTGATGAGACTGTTCATGACTGGTGCAGGTTCCATGCAAAGTGATCTGCATTCTTTATCCAGAGCATGTGAGTACATTTTGAGGTGTGCAGGTCCCAGCTTGGTGCTTTCAGTGCTAACTGCTTGACTGACACCTAGGGAACCATCATGAGCTATTCCGGCTATTCAAAGAAGCTGCATCAGGCTGCATTGACGGACCCAGTACACTACACTTTCTTTCCAGCCAACTCCAGTTGATTCCTCCGTTTCCCGCTGCGCTAGGACTGCTATTGCCGGGACGAAGGGCATGGCAGGGGGGAGTGTCACCTGCCCGCTGGGCAGCCAGGGAGGTGGGCCCAGAGAGTGAGGGGATCCAGTAGAAGCCCTCTGTGAGCAGGCCGGCCGAGGCCACATTGGACAGCGTCCTGTACAGGCCCCAAAAGATGGGGATAGTCGCCAGAGTAGGCAGGCACCCTGCACACACATGCATTCCGCACCCTTTAAGCCTCCGGAAATGCGCTCTAAACAATTCACACTCCCTAAACCCCCAGATATGCGCTTCCAGCAACACACCTGCAAACTCCTACTGTGAAAGCCACATCCTCACATTTTTTCGCACAATGCATGCAATGCCACGCTATATGTAACAAACTCCTCCCAACAATTCCTCGGTTTCAAAGGCAATGTTACATGAGCAAGGATCCATTTGCACGGTAGTCACATCTCCAGATACCATTACACAACTGGAAACAATGCATAGGGGCCCAGAACAGCACACATCAGGTGCAATACATGCTTGGGGCAGCAGTGTGGGGCTCACCGGCAGCTGGGTTGACACCGGAGGCCTCATAGAGCGCAGAGGTCTCCCTCTGGATGGAGTTCTTGTCTTCGCCGTACTGACGCTTGATTGCATCTATTGTCGGCTTGAGCTTCTGCACCGCCAGAGCTGACTCCACCTGTGGGTGCAGGATTGCGCAAGGATGACCAACGGTGGAGCGCGCACATGCCCCACGGCAAGTCAAGTGGTCCTCTCCTAAAGAGCCAAGTCAGGGCAAACACCCATTGCAGCATGGAAGTATAAGATGCTCCATTTGAAAGATGCTAGCCACTGACTCCCTGTGTATGATCAGTGCTGACCGTCTGTTTGCACGGGACACACAAGAAGAGACCATGCTGATCGGTCAGTATGGGCTGATTCTTGCTAAAGAAGCTGAACAGGCCAGGAGCACATGCCTGGACTTTGGTGAAGGGGAAGGTGAGGATTTTGGTGCCGACTGTGAGCACGATGATGGCCCAGCCATACGAGTACGGGACGTGTAATTGATCCAGCCCCGTCTGAATCTGCTGCAGCGAGTAGTTCAAGCCACTCGATATCGGCGCCAGCCAGCCATCATCCTGCGCCGCTGCCTGCAGAGCAGAACATCTCCAATGATGAAGTACCCGTGACATGCTTGAGAGGGGGGCTTATGTCTCTACATGACCTGCGGAAGATGCTACTTGACAGAACTGTAAATTATTTCATGGGCTGCAGGCTTGGGTGGCATTTTTTGCAGAGTATGTACCTGGATTGCGGCAGGCTGAGCTGCAGCAGCATCTGCCAGGCTGTACATGAGGGCAGACAGATGCTCATGATAGCCTGCAGCAGCTCTACCTAACTCTGCAGATGCTCTAACGGCAAGGGTATTGCGCCCTTGCCTATGCCTGCCTTGGCTCCTGATGTTGATCAACACACCGAGAACGAGTCAGAGTCCTTGCGTTTTCCTTGTAGGGGATGTAAACAACGTTAAATTCAATTCTGCATGGTTAGAAACTGAGCGTACCTAGAGTTGAACCCGACGCAGGGCACAAAAGCAGAGGATGGCCCAGCAACATTCTGTGCTCTTAATGGCAGTAGAGATGACTGCATTGAACTTTGCAGATGCGAGGACCAACACTTTAATGAAATTTCTTGCGATATCAGTACAGAAACCAGTTTCTGATCGTCAAGTGCAAAGACTTTGTGTGAGAGATTTCATCAATAAAAAAAAAGATTGCGTGTGACAAGGAGCTTAATAGAATGTTTTTCTTCGATATTAGCGAATTTCTAAATCTGAATTTGCTTTGAAAGGACCCAGATTGCAAATGGAGCAGATAAGACGGGTGCCAGCGTGGAGATCAAGCGGAGCCAAAATTGGGAACAGCTGGGAAGTACGTTATGCTCGAAGGCAGCTACAGGAAACTGGCATGATAGACAGATAAATGCGCATAAAGATTGCAATAGTCCCATTCGTATCAGTACCAATGCGATAGTCTGCGTCCCTAGCTAGAGGCAGGCCTCGCAACTCTTGTGGGGTCGAAGTACATATAGGTCTACATTCAGATAACCGTCTTGAAGCATTGACTTCGAGCGAGATCAGCGACAGATTTGAACTTATTTAGTAAAAGAGCCAAGCAGGTGCAGAAGAGAAACAATGACAACCGAGAAGGAGAAGATGATCGCCGAAAGGTTCTACATTGCAAGCGATCCACAGCTCGCTGCAGAACGCACTGCAGCACGCCATATTTGTGATGAGTACAACCGCACTACAGGTATCTTACATTATTACAATTTTTAGGGGGCTGTAATCCAATCAAGTGAATAAAGGTCTAAATCCCACAGATCACCCTGTCTGAGGAGCAAGATTGTGGGGTCATCAGGCGTCCTCCAGCACTTATGAGGCTGCCTTATAGTCATTGATTTCTATGTTGCAGGTGATGAGCAGGACAAGCGGTTTGAGATACTCAAACGCATGTTCCATGGCAACATGGACGTGACCAAGCCAGCTTTCATTGAGCCGCCCTTCACTGTGGACTATGTGAGCAGACGCCCTGCACTAGATCCATCTCTTTGTCACGTTGACGCACCTTGTCAATCAAAGTCAGTGTGACCCTGCGCAGTACTGGCAGATGACTTCTTCCTGTTTTTTCAGGGCTACAACATCACAATGGGCTCGGGCTGCTACATGAATTTCAACTGCTGTTTTCTGGACTGCGCCCCTATCAACATCGGCAAGGACGTGCGCGCGGCTATCCTATTGATATTTTGGAGAATCTTGACGGGCTGCATGATACCACTTCTGGGGTTCACCCCATGGCATGATCAGAATTTCACTGCGAATGATCGAAGTGCTGTGCAGGTTCTGATGGGCCCAATGGTGCAGCTGTACCCCCCGGCTCACCCACTGGACCCCTCTGTCAGGGACGGCCTGAGGGGACCGGAATATGCGCGGGGGATCACCATCGGTGATAATGTCTGGATTGGCGGCAGCGCAATCATCTTAGGTGAGAGAAGCGCCGTTCTGTGCAATGTTAACACTTTGAAACGGCCAGTAATTTCTAGGCTCAGCTTGCGAAGGAGCGTCCGTACCAGTAAGTACTGAAGTTCTCCATGGACGCTGTCAGAGACGCTGGCTGCAAAATGCGTTTGAGCTTTTCTGTGTGCTTTACTGGAGCATGTCCGCCATGCAACTTCAACTCCGTCTGACTGATGTGGATTCAATTTATGCAGGCGGAGTCACAGTGGGGGAGGGAGCCACAATTGGCGCTGGCTCTGTGGTGACCAAGGATGTGGAGCCCTGGACCCTGGTGGCAGGCAATCCTGCACGCCTGATCAGGCGCATAGAGAAGGGCTACAAGAGCCCCCATGAGAAGCCTTGATGGGGGTTCTCTCGACACCGCGTTTCTCCTGTACACGCGGGACATTGAAACTGCCATTTAATTGGGGGTGTCGGTTGCCCAGCTGTTCTGTCAGAAATAGATGCATTAAACAAGAGGCTAGCCATGGGCTGGCCAATTCCTTTGTTACAACCTAGCCGTCAGCGAATTGGGTGGTGTGCATTCGGCTTGGCATATGGCACTGCATTTGAATGACTGAACAGGCTAGAGCCATATTATTTCAGTGTGCTTCAGCAGCACGCTTCAAGCAGATGTGCTCAAAGAGCAGAGGGCATGCCCGTCAAATGACTTGAGCACATCTGAAATGTGCCCTTGTCTGCACTGTCACATGTGCAGTCCTATGATTATATGCTTTACTTCTTTCAAAAGCAGATGCATATCATGATGTGTACACAAGAGGAAGTTTGGACGTTGTGCAGGCCGCTAATTGATTTTAATGGCATTTCATTATCTTTAATTCTGATTTTTGAAGAAGATGCTACTGCTGTTCATGGAAAAATGACTGTTGCATTTAAATTTCAATTGTGCCATACAATCATTATCGATGAAGCATTTGATCAACTGCTTCATCGAAAATGTCTCGAGAAATCTGATCATGAGAGTGCTCGACGATGTCAAGTGACATACCAGCATTGCAAACTCTTATTACCGACTCAGGCAAGTTCAGCCCATTGGCGCACAAGTTGTACGGTACAACGTAGCAACTTGCTGCCAGCAAGGTAGACATTTTACGACTTGCTGAGCATTTCCACTGCAGCTGCCACGTCTCCCCCGCTAGCAGAAAGGGCTGTGGTTGCCGCTGCTTCCTCATAGCCCATTGCTGCAAGCTGATGCAACCCAGCTTCCATTGCGCCTGCAGACAGCCAAGACATTTAGCGAGAACACTCACCAAAGAACCCAGCTCAAACCCCGTAAGAACAATACAGCCAACTTCAGCATATGCTTCACAAATCAACTCTTTGTCTTCTGTCCAGGCCTTGCAGGGAGCAATGCTTTAAAATTGCTCAAGGCATTTCGGAGGGAGTCTGCATTCACCTGCACTGACAGCATCCGCTGGCTGTTGTGGCTGTTTGCCTTTGGCGTCTGCCTTGCTTCCGGCACCACCAACCCCAATTTTGCCCCCGCCATCCTTGGCCATCCGAGCTGCCGCTGCAGCCGCCGCCGCGCTGGCCGGAGGCACAGTTGGCGTCCCACCTGATCAAACATGACAGGATTTAGAAATGGTAAATATGCACATGGCATCTGTCCTGGGCTCATGTTGAAAACGACATGTAGTAGACAAAGAGCTGCAGCTGGGTCGCTTGTGATCTGCAGGCAAAGCAATATGGTCATGGAGCCCACTACATATCGACTAGTGGTAAAAGTTCCGGTAAAAATCATGGCAAATTCTGATGTGGAGCAAGTCTAGTATGAAGGCAGTCACCCAGGGTGTGGCCTCTGCCCTTGAAGGGTCCACTGCCGGGCTGCCCAGAGCTGCCCATGCTGCTGCCCGCCTGCCCGGCAGGCTTCCTCCCGGCTTCGCCGCCGCCGCCGCCGCCGCCGCCGCTGCCGCCGCTGCCGCGGCCGCTGCCGCGCAGAGGGGACGACCACGTGCTCTGCAGCCATGCAGCCGGCCGCTGCAGTGCGCCGGCCAGGCCGGAGTCCGCCTGCATGCAAAGCATCTGATGAATGACCGGTACCATTACCTTTAAGTATTTAAGTAATACCGGCAAATTTTTTCCGCTCTTGGTACCCAGGACCAGCCCGACAGCTGCCCGGCAGGCCAAGAATTTTGGCGGTTATATATGGCTTCGCCAGTGCCTCAGACTGGCAAGTGTGAAAGGCTTCCGAGGACCTGCCTGCACGCTAGCGTTGTAGCTGGTCGGCAGCTGCATGGCCGGGGGGTGGGCCCCCGCTCCCGTGTGCGCGATGTAGCAGTCCCAGCGCCTGCACCAGTCCAGTCCCCTCCACCCCTCCGCCGCCTGATTAAAACACAAGGCACTTTTTCAGTTCTGTAATCCTTGCAAGAGCTGCACAGGCGATATTTCTTGAGCCGCCATGTGGGGTGGTGAGGTGACGATTCTCGCAGCAACTGGATGGAAAGCTGATCCAGCATCGAGCATCGCTCACAGTGACATGTGCCATTAGGTTTTTGAACGTAACGTGCGATAAATGGGCACGCACATGGAGAGCGCTGAATTGGAAGAACAGAAGGCACGTTCCTTTCAGATAAGGTTCCTGTGTTGCGCTGTGTTCTGAGTGTGGAAGGATGTTTTTCCGCGTTACACATACGGGCAAGGTAAGATTGCTTGCAGGCAGCACCTGGTAGGCTGAGGTTGACAGCATCAGCCACCGAAGCCAGCCCCACACGTAGGCCTGCCCCGCCAACACACCCCCCAGGTGTCCCAGGAAAGACACCCCCGGCATGAGCAATTGCCAGAATACCAGCAGCGCCCAGGGGTACCACTTGGCTGAAACTGTGAACATGCCAAAGATGGAGCGGGTCTGCGCGCCGCTGCATGCGTTGTCCACCACTATCAGCCCAAAAATTGCCCCTGACAGACCTATCGCGCAGCTGGCCAGGTAGCTGCGCGCATCTGCCAGCCTGCATGTCAGGAGTCCAGTGTCAGCGTGTGCAGTCACCTGCCAAGGCCACTTCAAGTTCAATGAAAATTGTGTGCGCCTGCGAGTATGCGCTGTGAAACTGCATTTAGATCGTAAATCTTGTAGTTGGCAGGGGACTTCAGCATATCCTACATGAATTCACAAGGCCGCTGCATCCAGAACAGGTTGAAAGGGCTTCCAGGCAAAATGTCAAACGTTTTTGGGCAGGTGCGGCCTAGGAAGTTGGGAATCTGGAGCGCACACAAATGATGCCAGGTAGGAGGCTGAGATGTAGAAGATGTCGCCCACAAGGATAAGCATCAGGAGCAGGTGCAGGGTCTGCAGGGAGCCCAGTTGGCGCTCCAGTGACATGGCAACGGGCACAAATGCCAGCATGTTGAAGCCGATGTGCAGCAGCCCCGCATGGAAGAATGCTGATGTGAACAGCCTGGCACATGCAGCGCAAACACGCTTATCAATGAGATTTTGATGCATGCTACCTTCCTAAGACGCAGAAAATTTTGACCATGTGGCCACCTCCGGGTGGGTGCAGCGCACTCACCTGAAGACCTGAAACCTCTCCACAAGGATGTGAGGGTTTAGGCAGACAGCCGCATGGTCGTCAAAGCCCGTCAAGAGGCCAAAGATGTAGACTCCCACACAGAGAACCAGCACAGACCTGCATATGTGTCCTGATATGTCATGCCAAGTGTGTCAAGTAAGGGAGCCGGCAAGTTGAAGCGTAGACATGTCGCACCTGGTGACTAGCGGGATAGCATCAAACCAAATCTTCACCCGCGTGGAGATGGAGGCCTGCAGGATTTCACAAAGTGCTCAGTCCAGGAAGTAGAGTTGTTGACCCCAGACACCAGATCACGGCAATCAGCAACAACCATCGATTATCATCTTTTATTTTCAGGCGTCAACTCTCACCTGTTGAGTGTTCATATTGCTGTCTGGGCGTCATCTTGTTTTAGGCCCATGCCGGTTCCCCAAATCGCCGGATGGAATGCTTTGACGCCGCTTTCCTGACTCGCTGATGCTTTGAAAGTTCACAAGTGTACAAGCTGGAACAATACACAGCAACTCCCCTGCCGAGTAGGAAGTGAAGACAATATGGGATGTCCAGGGATGGCTGATGGCCTTGGAAAGCACTTGGATGCAAGCGACGAGTCTCTTTCAAACTTGAAGAATATTCTGAGCAATTTCGAATTTTGTAATGCAAGGTATGAAGCATCCCAGGAAGAAGATTTGGGAGCATAGCCAGAGTAGACCATTCTTGTGCATGAAGCATGATGACTGATGCATGTCCGATATTGCACACAGAAACTTTCCTGATAACGCCAACAGGTACGGAGTAATTCTTATCCAGGCAATATCTGCTCTCCTATGACCTTTGCTCTAAGTGAAACCCTTGTCTAAGACACTTTCCATCTGGCATCTGGCATGGGCATGAAGCAGTTTTACTAAAGCAGGCCGGGCGAATGGTGAAGCAAACTGCACTGATGGATCTTCCAGAGGAAATATTCGAAAATGTGTTGCGAAAACTCACTGGCCACGACACAGAGACGTTTATTGCGCTTCGAAGCTCCAGCAAGCGTCTAGGCTTCCTTGTGGACAAAGTGCTGGTCACGCCAGGTTTGCCCCTGTACACTAAGTCGTTGCTGAGATTGTGTCGGGCTCAGCAAATGTTGCCATTAGTAACGTTTTCATCCTACATCTGCTGTAGCATTTCAGTCTGCAGTCCTGGGGGCACTTGCACTCCACATGAATAAAGAGATTTCGCCACAGATGGGAGCAATATTGATGCACTACGGCGGCGCAAGCTTCTGCACAGAGAATGGAATGAGGGGTGAGTATGGTGTTGCACTCGTCCCCGCCCAAATGTATGTACAAGCCGAGTATCAATCTCTCATTTTGTTCTCTGTTGTGCCAGGGGATGGAGCGATCTTGTTGCAATGAAGGAAGAAGCTGTGTCACAGCTAACCTGTACGTGTCACTTCATAGATCTCAGATGTCTTGGTACTTGCCGGAGGCTTCTTGTACTAGACTCCTTCCGATTGCAGGTGCACATGCATGGAAATTGAGGAAATCTGTTGTGCAGTGGCAGGCACGGATAAAAAAATTATGTTTGCAAGCCTGGACTTTGCGGCTTACTATGATGCAGAACACAAACCGCTCAGTGTCGTCAGGATGCGCTCAGTAATTGCAACCTCGTCACACAACCCACTTACAACAGTGCGCATGCATGCTGGCATCTAAGTCACACCTGCTGAGGAAGAGGAAGTGCTTTGCTGTCCATGATGTGCTATCCATGATGCCGGGCATTTGACAGTATGAGATGTGGCATGCAGCATCTTGTGGACATGCTTAGCCGGATCGGAGATGTCCGTTGTCTATATGTAAATATTGGTGATCAGAATCTGGAACCAGATCAATGGACCTCCTTCTTGCTGGGAAGTCGGTTGGCTAAGCTGCGACTGGAGGAGCTTGTCTTTCCACTGTACTCTGCAGTCAGAGTGACGTTGGGTGGTATGATCAAGGTGTGCAGACTTCTGAGCACAAGGACATGGGCATTCCAACCTCCAACAAGCATGCGTCTGCATGCAAGCACAACTTGAACAGAATGTGTGTTTACTGGATGTTCATTGGATTGGTTGGTTGGTGGCCATTGCAGCACCAGATATGGGATGGTCTCACCAAATTGGACTTCAGCGTGCCAGAGATATTAAAAGAATTCTCTCCGCAAGAGGATGCCGTTTTCGGCAAACTCCTGAGGCTGCTGCCCAATTTAATTTCTTTTGCTGCCCGAAATCTACCTATAGGTGTGCATCAGACCATGCATTTTATGACAAATATGACAAAATGCCGCTTGTTTTACTACAAACTGCATCTCAGTATTCATCTGTGCACAGGAATACAGACGTGGAAGGCACTTGCTGACAGCTGCAGAGGCAGCATCACACACATAGATGTCACAGGATGCATAGGAGTGGGCGCTGCATGTGTTGGGGAGGAACAGGGGCAGTATCTGACAGCCCTGGCGCGCATGTCAAAACTTAAGGGTGCGTATGTTCACCTGTTCAGAGCCACATGCAGTGTACTCTGTTGCAGTAATAGAGCACTTCTGGCCTCGGTAAGCTTGAGATGCATAGTAGGACCGATGCACTGGCAAGCTCCATTTTACACCAAGAATAGCTAATGGGCACTGTAACCACGATATGAGAATTTTGCAGGTTTGTTGATGGGAGGCACACAGCTTGCCGGGTTCTTCATGGATTTGTGGAGCAACACAGCTGCTAAAAGGGTGGTAGCAAATCTACACACTCTGGATATATCAGAACCTGAGATGGAAGGAGCATCGCCCTCAGAGTTGCTTGACACTGTGGCAACTCTCTTGCACACAGCCGTGAGCCTGAGATCTTTCTCAGCACTGGGATTAAAGAGCGTGGCAGGTGAAAATTGTCTATATGTTCTCTTGCAATGGGACCATTGCATCCATGCAAATTCATGAAACAATCAGCAGCTTGCTTTGCATGGCCAGCGCCTAAAATGGAGTTTCAACCATGCAGGATCAGAGCTGCAGCTGCAGGAGCAGTTGGGACAAGCAGGCCTTCTGGGGGCAGTTGGTGGGGATGAGGTTGCAGAGCTGTCGTCTGCTTCGCAGCCCACTCTTGAATGCAGTCTGCATCACCTCACAGTGAGTTCATACCCTGACTGCATCGTCCTCATTTTGCAGCATGTGTTCTATCAGTGAGAATATAGGTTTTGCTGTTTGGTCCAACACTGCGCCAGACTTGCCTTATTGCAGCCCGCAAATTTGCTATCGCAGTGCCCAACTTTCAGCTGTCGCATCTGCTGCACAGGTCGGGTGGGGCTTCAACAGCGGCTTGCTGCGCGCAGCGATTGGTGGCAGCGAGTTTCTGACCTCTCTGACAATCGGCTTAGGCGCCCAGATAAATGACGCTGACCTGGAGACTGTGTCCCTGCTGTGCCCGCACCTCCAGCGGCTGGTACTGCGATTTGCCATGGTGTCTGAGACTGGTGGGATTCCCAGTCACAACTTTACCTGCACAACTGTTCAGATATTCAGTTGGCTCCAAGGTTTGCACTTTATCCTACCTGGCACTGCACGATGAATCTTGGCAGACACCTTGGCTTGAAGTATCAACTTACCAGCAGCAGACTCCGCCCACCACAAGCAGTCAGGATCAGAGGACGGCTCGGCTCCCGAGTCCCATTTTCTGGGATGTGAGCAGGGCGTTGCTTAGCGCGCCTGTTGAATATGCCATCTCCCTGATGTAATGCATCACATCGGAATGAGACAAGGCGTGTGATGCAGGCGTTGGCAAGGTGGTGAGAGCGAGCCGAAGCCTGACAGTGCTGCAGCTACTGCGCTGCTCTGGGCCCTTTGGGGACGACTTGGGTGCAGCGTTTGCGAGCCGGCGGCCGCTGCTGCTGCTGAAGGAACTGCGCATTGTGGGCGGCGCACAGCATCTCACCGACCAAGGCCTAGCTGCATGCCTGTCTAGGTGCGTAGGGCTGTGGTAGCGCTGCATTACTGGCAGCGGGCGGCGATTTGACACAAGTTCTTGCTTCAACTATGCAGGCACTATCTTGACTCGGTGCATGGGAAAATTCCCATGACTATCCTCTCAAAGCCATACCGATCACTGTGTTACATTGCATTCCATTCAATCCTCTGTTGCTTATAGACTGAGTGATCCTTGTGCATCTTTTATGCAGGTCAGTCGCACAGCTGCATGCTCTAGAGCTTGCGAGGTGTTCCTCTATCACACCAGACGCCGCGTCATCCATCCAATTGCACGCAGACACCCTTGAACACCTAGTGCTGGTGTATTGCGACATTTTCAGCTCCGCAAGAGGCATTGAAGCTCTTCATATGGTCACGGTGAGTAGCAAATTCTACAATTTGTATTACCTGTGTCCCTGCCATAGATACAAAAACTTCCTGAAAGGCCTCTGCAAAATTATTAGTCATGATTCAAGGCTGAACATTGAAAGCAGCTGCACAGTTGTAGTCAGAAGCCAATTCATGATGCAGGATCCTTTGCCTTCCAGCTGGCAAGCGAACTTCTGGCTTGTTGCCGCAAGCACTTGCCTTGTTGACTTGAAATTTGCTTGTGGCTGGCGTTATTCATGAATGTTATGTGCATGTTTTAGGGGGCGTCTGACACAAGTCAAATCTGACATAAGTCACCGGGCGCCTCTTCACTTGTTTTGTATGCAATTCCATTGCCCTGCTTATGTGCTTTTGCAGGCTTGCTCAGAGCTACGGACCCTGACACTGCGACACTGTGCAACACCAGCGTCCACATTTAGACTGCCAGAACTCAAGGCGTGCAGGCTGCTCAGACATATCTCCCTAGACGCCTGTGACATGGACCACTCACCTCTCAAGGTAAGGCCAGTCACTGAACCTCAGCATCTTCCATTCAAAGATCGTATCAAAGCACTTTGGTGGGCCCTTCAGCAGGAGTCTCTGCTGCTAGACTTGGCGTGCTGCTGCGTTGTGTCAATTCCAGTTTAGCTTTGCCATTGCAACTGTTCATGTAGTTGAAGCAGCAGTTATCCTGATAGTGTCATCGCATAGTGTTGACTGGTGAGGGGTGGTAAAATACTGAGGAGCGTGCCCACAGTGGATTGGGTCTTGCTTGAATTTGGCGAGTCCATCAAGGGGCAGGAACGTGGCAGCCTTTAATTGTAGCTTGTCTGCAGACACCTGACCTCATGGGATTCAAAACCTGTGATAAAAATACTTCAAACTGCCTGCACAGGCTTTCCGCATTGCCTGGCTCCGGCTGTGGAATGATGCTTTGAGGTTTGTGGAAGTGCACAGCTGTGGGACGCCCATGGCGGGGGTTGCCGGAAAAAGCTCTTTATTTGGTGAGGACCCGGTGGGCTCTTGTCACAACACTTTGGAGAGGTATGATCTTGCGACCGGACAGCTGCACCGATGGGACTGGAAGTCCCAGACATGGGTGGTGTCTGCTTGCCTCAGCCAAGATCTCAGAAGCTCTATTTAAAACAATATGTGACCGTGCAAACTTATTGAATGCGCTCCATGCAACATTCCAGTCTACTGACCAGCGGGATTGAGAGTGAGCATGCTGGGCAAAATGCATCCATGATTATATTTAAAATATGAACCTTGTTGATATCCAATGCAAGCAAAATGGCTTTGCATGTGTGGCCAGCCACAATTTGACCAGATTTTTTTTTAAAGATGCTCAACCAACGACAGGTGCACGCACATGATTCAAAATAACTGCAAATGTGCAAAAGGATGACAGTGCATTTTGCCAGTGCCCACATCCCTTTATTTCACAACATGCAAGATTGCACAATCACACTATCCAAAAGGTCGTTCATGAAGCAGCTTTTGCTTTCACTCTGCAGATGCGTCCATCAATTGTCACAACCCTTACAACGAAAGCAAACTCAGCAGAGCTGGGTCTTTCAGAAAGTTTAAAACTTTCGCATGCTGCATGATGTGAGAAAGACTCTTTCTCACATCATGCCCAGATGGCAATGATGGCCATAGCGCCACAGCCTCCCAGAGCAAATGGCATTGCAAATGCCATGAGCCACCCCTTCAGTGGTGGGTTGCCCTGTCCAGCTGTGAATAAGGGATGCAGCAAGCCCACCAGGGCGGTATGGATAAGTATGCCTGCAATCAAAAGAACACCTGTCAGTACTGGCCAGTCCGCTCGCAAAAGCATGCATTCCATGCTGTGTTGTATCTTGTCGCCGTGAATTTCTCATGGCACTGTCTGCAGAAAGCTCAAGCAGCTCTTAAATTGAGCTTCATACAGGCTTGAATGCACTCTTGGCCTGCTTCTTTGGAGATCTGAGATATCAGCACAGAGCCTGCCATCGACACAACCCTGAAAGACGGCGAAATGGCTCTTGCAGCAGGAGCCTTGCCTTCAGAGACCCTCGCCCGCAGGGTAGTCATCATCCAGGGATTCAAATCCTGCTGTACCGGTACAGCAAGGGGTACAGCAATGGGTACCCCTTCCCCCGGCTGGTGGGGTGCGGGCCCCGGCTGGCGGGGGGCGATATAAATATTGAGCCCACTGCCCACGGATGATTGGATCTTGATTGGATCTGGCGAGTCCAACAAGGTGTAGGATTGTGGCAGCCTTCAACTGCAGCTTGTCTGCAGGATGTACCTTGCCTTTCGGCAGGGAAAGCATGTGATGATGATGATACCCCTTGCAGCGCTATATAAACCCAGCAAGAGGCCTTGCCTGCAGAGATGGCGTTGAAGGCGCCTTCAGAGCCCAGGGCGGCCTTGGAGTTGGGATTGAAGCTGGCACTGATGCCCATGCCGATGGCAACGCCCAGGGGCGTTATCAGAATGAAGGCGGCCGCCATCAGCGCGTACTTGAGGTTGTTGTAGCCTGCCGCCACAAAGGATGACCCCAGCGCCAGGCCCTCGAACCCCTGTTCTCATGCAGGGAACATTGAATAAGCGACCTCAGGTTTGTCGGATCCTGTCTGCAATTCAATATAAGGCAGCTTCTGTACTTGCGCATGTGCGCTGCCTTGGGGCAGTTGCACTTGCATGTAAGGGTTTTAGATTCCTGATGACAAATCAGGGTGAGGCTATAATGACTGTCATGTCTGCACTATGCAGCCGTCTCCAGTTGCAGTGTCATGCAACGATGTCAGCAGCCAGACTGCTGAAATGTCAGGACAGCCGACAAGTCAAAGGCGCATTGAGTGCGGTTGCCAACAGAAAAGCTTGCGCAAGTCTCACGCTGTAAGAAAGCTGAACTAGTGATGGTCCGAAAACTACAGATGGTCCGCACGCAGGAACCTGCCTGATCATGTGCAAATACCCTTCTCTGCATCAATCTGTATAATATTTGCTGTTTGGAGCTCTACAGCCTCTCTTTCTGCAGCTCGAATACACTTTGGGCAGGCCATATCCTGGCCTCCCTCAAGATTGGATGGACGGAGAGCTGAAGGCGTGCCTGGTGGAATGCGAGCGCGATGGTGAGCGGCCGGACGACGTCCAGGCTGGTGGATGCGCCGTAGCCGATGCCGATGAAGATCGAGTGGAAAATAATGCCCGCCTCGAGAGTGTACGACATGACCGTCGCCTGCGCCCGCGCATGCTCCTTGTCGTAATCTTCTGGCGCCTGCCGCCACATGCAGAGCCTTGTCAGCCCCAGAGTGGGTAGCAGTGCGTAGTCATTTGACTGCTGGACTGTGCTGATGTCAGTAGCTACACAGAGCTTGCATGCAAGGTGCAAGCATGTCTCAATGACACACACATTGTTCCGTCAGCAAAGCAAGAAGTACCGTAATTGCTAACCACTATAAATATATTTGTAAATTGCTGTCAAGCTGCGTGTTCCGTTGACTTGCGTGTTGGCCAGCCATTCTGTTGTGAGTAGAGGCAGCAAATAACAGAGGAAAGTTGAGAATGCATGTTGGCAGGGTTGGCGCCCACCGCATGCTCGACGTCTAGGCCTCCGGGGGTGAGGCCAGCGCGCAGCACAGCAGCGATTGCCACCTCGATGGCCAGGGTCAGGATGGCTGCGATGGCTGCCAGGGTGAACGCCCAAGGGTAGTCGGTGGAAAACTCGAGGCAGGGGTTGCTGAGAGCTGCGTGTGCATCTGGTAGCACGTGCACGAAGCCGGTCGCCAGCACCACGCCGGCTGCACCCACAGTCAGGTGTTCATGTTGACGTTTGCTAGGAGCTCTCGATTCGGACAAGGGGATGTCCTTGATCAGGAGCTAGTCACGGTCAATTTTTTTCCTGTTGTGCAAATTTTCCATGCGGACTATTGAAGACCCTTCGATAGAACGTAGATAAGGGCTTGTGGAGCAAGGTCACATGAGCCTGTTTCAACACCGATCCCAGTGGCATGCCCTGAACAAAGAAGGAGAGGCGAGATCAAAAGACGCACCAGCAAACGCTTGACCAAAAAGGAAGAATCTTGGAAGGCGGCCATGTCGGCTTAGGAAAGGCAAGTACGCGCCGGCTGCGCTAGCAACCAAAATGATGAACAGGCCTCCGGTGCGCAGTTGCAGGGCGAAGGCATCGGAGCCATCCGTGGCTCCGCCAGCCAGCGTACAGCTGGTTTTCGAAAACTCTACACCGGTCATGCTTATAAGTGGATGCCTGCACGCAGCAGATCAGCTCCTGGCTAAGAGCTGCCACACCCTCGAAGGTTCCAAGAGCAGGCGCCGCCATTCCGGCTCACACCCAACTAACGCAAAAGCTGTCCAAAGGATGCATCTAAGCAACCTTGCAGCAGTAGACACATCACAATGAGGGAGAATGTGGGAGCAAAACCTTGGATTTGTTGCGCGTGCCGCACAACGGACCGGGGTCCAAGGAACGGACCGAGGAACAACGGGCCTCTAATTCTCAGTGGATCGAGGTTCGTTCCGCAAACTGCGAAACAGACAGCCCAGATCGATCCAGCAAGCGCTTAGATGTGCTGCACAGTTGCAAGGCAACGTTCTCAGCAAGCTTTTAGATAAGAGAACGGCCGTGTACGTAGTTGCATCGACCCCAGGCCACACGCGCCCTCCACACACCGGGCGTTGCGCCCTTTCCCACAAAATATTCGCGCTTGTGCAACGCCCACCTGCGATCGCGCGGAACGTTGTACTACCACTCCAATATGGCAGCCATGAATGACGCCGACGCCAAGATTCCCGTCAGCGTTGTGACGGGGTTTCTCGGTTCCGGTGTGCGGACGCAAGACCTTCATTGATGGATCGTGCAGGCGCCTGCTTTCACGAATGCTTCGCAAAGTATCCAACAACCTATTGAAGTGCACAAGTCTCCATAAATGATAGATTTGGGACGCTGGCGCAGGCAAGACGACCCTGGTGAACCACATCCTCACTGGCCAACACGGCAAGAAGATCGCTGTCATCGAGAATGAGTTCGGTGAGGCTTAGTGCATCAAGCACGCCAGAGTAATCGGCTATCTTGTGTATACGATTGACACTGAGGAGACAAACGCGGCCAGCAAGGCTCATCTGCCTTTGTTCTTCAGCACACACGTTGCTGTGGCATCCAGCAGAGCTCAATGGTTTTTTGCAGATTCTTGACGCTGATTTGGTGAATATGCTCAGGTGAGGTGGGCATTGATGATGCCCTGGTGCTGCGTTCCAAGGAGGAGGTCATCGAGATGAACAACGGCTGCATCTGCTGCACCGGTGAGCCTTTGAAAGTCCAGATTCCCATTTGACGTCCTGAATTACTCATGTGCTGTGGGACAACTGCCTCAAGGCCCACAAAAAGCTGAGCATCCCCTGTGTCCTCTCTCTGAGCCTCACAAGGTCTATGATACCCACTTCCATGAGACTGCGTGACAGCAGCAGCAATTGCACGAATGTGAGCTATATTGGCTCAAGCTTGTGCTGGCAGGAAGGCATGCATGACAGGAACACTACAGCTGTTCCCATCACTCAGTCATTCTTTCTGAAAAGATTGCGCATGGGCAATTTTCTACTTAGTGATTCGTTGTCAGGGTCAATCCTCACATCATCATTATGATTATTATCATGATGGTTATTATTATTGCTACTATTATTATTACTTCACGCCTTTCCTGCCAAGAGGCAAGGTGCGTCCTGCAGACAAGCTGCAATTAAAGGCTGCCACAATCCTATTCCTTGTTGGACTCACCAGATCCAAGCAAGACCCAATCCACGGTGAGCACGGTGCTCAGTAGTTTTACCGCCCCCCGCCAGCCGGGGCCGTTCCTGATTTTCATTTTCCATGCTCAGTGCGCGGGGACCTGGTGCGCATCCTGAACACGCTGCTAAAGCGCAAGGACCGATTCGACGCAATCCTGATCGAGACCACCGGCCTGGCCGACCCGGCGCCGGTCGCGCAGACCTTCTTTGTGGACGACAGCCTGGCGGGCCGGCTGGCGCTGGACGCCATAATCACGGTTGTGGATGCCAAGCACATCGAGCAGCACCTGGACGAGGAGAAGCCAGAGGGGGTCGAGAACGAGGTGTGAATTCTTCTTTGCATAGCTCCGAGCTCAGAGTCTGACTTCTAAACAGCAGTTTGTCACGGTCAGCGCCAATATGGTGCAGCCCTGCCTTCTGCACAATAATTGAGGCAGGCGCCCTGGGCAGCTTTTTAAAAAGCAGACAAGAGAGAAACTCGGATGCAGGGAACAACAATGCGCTTGACTTATCATGGCTGTGCGAGACCCAGTGTCCTGACAGATCTGCCAGAGCTGGATTGAGGAGCTTTGACGCAAGGGGTCTCATCATATGAGGTGTGCTTTCCTGCATTACTAATGCTTTCAGTGGTGGTGGTGCGCAGTCGGTGGAGCAGGTGGCCTTTGCTGATGTCATCCTGCTCAACAAAGCTGACCTGGTGTCCGAAGACGACCAGAAACGCATCACCGCGCGCATCAAGGTAATCCCATCGCGGCTGCCATCAACCTTGGACAAACTAGGTGCAGTTGCTGTTGCGCAGTTGCTCCCTGTGCAGATGTGAAAAGCATGCATTTCGACATGAAAAGTTGGCAAGAGCAGGCTTCATGGCGGGCATGAAATGAGCAGGAGATTTTGGAAAGGTGAAGTGCACATCTACTGAACAGACACATGCCAAAGCGCCATCTGTTTCATCGTACCCGAATTTCTTCCAATTGAAAGGAATAACGTTGGAGGCTGAGCCGATGGGAATGCGGTGGCTGCCATGCAGGCCATCAATGCGTCTGCGGAGGTGATCAACACCGTCAAGTGCAATGTGGACCTGGACAAAATTATCAACATCAAGGGTTTTCAGCTGGAGAAGGTCCTGGAAATGGACCCCAACTTCTTGGACGTGCGCACCTGCCTCCCTGCTGCTCTCTTTCTTATGCACAATCCTCACATGGCATGCATCAATTCTCATTGGACATCGAGAAGGACAATGATGGCACTGCTGTCAAGCCTCCTCCAAGGACAATGCTGCATGTGATGAGTCACACAAATGAATGCTGCCTTTACGGGAGACTCCCCTTTGTGTCTTGGCTGGCGGCTCCACAGCAGTTTAATGGTGTCCTGAGCCACAAGCCAGTGTGAAGCCCTGCCATGCAGTGCCCTCTTCGAAGAGGGTGAATTCACTGCCTTTGTAACAGCTGAATGGCTTGTGCACAAATGACAGCCTCTGACTGCATGGCAAGCTGTATCTACCAATTGGGCAACATGTTGTACAATTGCTTCATAGCTTTTCTTGTTACAGCATTCAGACCAGTCAGGAATTAAATCGTAATTCGAATTGTGTCGTGTTGAGCGCAGACGGGCGGAGAGCACAAGCACGACGACCGCGTGACGTCCGTGGGATTTGAGGTGGAGGGCGAGTGCGAGGGCCACCGCCTGAACGCATGGCTGAGCCGCCTCATGATGGAGCAGGGCGTCGACCTGTTCCGCTCCAAGGGCATCATCGCCGTACACAAATCCCCAGAAAGGTGCGCTCTCTCTAAATCAAGCTATTACTACTATTACACGCTTTAAGAGGCAAGGTGCGTCCTGCAGACAAGCTGCAGTCAGGCTGCCACAATCCCACCCCTTGTTGGACTCGCCAGATCCAAGCAAGACCCAATCAACCGTGGGCACGGTGCTCAGTATCTATACCGCCGCCCGCCAGCCAGCCCGGGCCAAGCTACACTGTGTCTGTTTAACGTGTTTATTGTACTATATGTCCCTGTATTGCTCTTAGGAAAAGGGCAACTCGTCGTAAGTGTCCCTGCCTTTTGCTAACCTGCAAGGAGGGAGAGTGCAGAGTGCAAAGGGCAGCCTTCCTGTTGAGGACAGCGATGTGCACTGTCATCTGCATTAGACATTCTGAGGCACTGCATGCTGGGAACTTGTCTGCTGCATCCTGGCCTCTGATGCAAGCAGCAGACTCTGTCGAGGATGCTGCTGTCTTCAGATATCAGACTGGCATGGAAGATGCCGTTGCCTGCTGTCAGCTGTGTCCTTCTCAGGCTCTTTTTGTGTACACATGCGAGTGCAGGCACTTCTTCCAGGGCGTGCACATGCTGCTGACTTTCGGGTCCAGCGCCGAGGGGCTGGGCCAGCCCTGGCAGCCCGGTGAGAAACGGACCAACAAGCTTGTCTTCATCGGCCGTAATTTGGACCGCGAGCAGCTGCGCGCCGACTTCCAGGCCTGCATCATCTGATCATGAAGTAGAGCCTGATGTCCAATGAGGGAAGGTCCTTGTTAATTTATAATTGAATTGGTGAAAGCTCGGCACTGAGATGATTGCGGATCTGAAGGAACCTTGCTGGCTGTCCTTTTGAAAGGGTGAGGCAGCAAGATTTTTAGGGTCTTGACAGTGACAATCAAAAGAAGCTCGCATGCAAACAAGTGTAACTATCATGGAGAGCTCTTTTTCCAGGAACGATCCATTTCAAGACACATTCTCCCCTCCTTGCAGAAGTGTATATTAGCAAGATGTGCTTCAGCCCTTCGATTTGGGACATAAATTAGCAATCTCTGGCCCGCCTTTGCACGAAATGCCCAACAAATCTATCTCCATTATGATGCAAAAGTCAGCCAATCACTGCAATCGAGCATAAAGATCGCAATGCTCTGCACGTGGGCTGCTGACGCCTGCTTAGTCACCGTAAAAGTTATTGAAGTTTGAAAGGATGAGCGTCAGAAGAACTCACAACGTCTTCACAAGATTATCAAAGGAGTCCTGTGTTGATGAAAAGCAGCGAGAGTGCCTACAGAAGATTTTAGCAGAAGGAGTGCGTGAGTTAGCTCAGTGTACCTGGTCACACCCTTTCAAACGTGCCAGGAGGGGGACCTTCTAAAAAAGGCTAATAAGGGCTCTCCTTCAGCATAAACTGATACGGGAAGATTCAGAGTTCCAGGAGCGCGCGTGCACCGCATGAAAGCTTGTCCTCTTGTGGCAATGGGTGCAGTTTGAGCAGTTGACAGATCCCCCCAAGGCAGACAGCGAGCAGCTATCGAAGAGCTTCGACCTGCCATCCACATTTGCCTTCAGATTTGGTAGATTCTGCTGTAGTTGAGTGCCGTGGAGGAAAGGCTTTGCAAGGTACACCCAACGACCAACAATTCGCATGTACCTCTGAGAGGAAACTTGGGCTCGGTTCTTAGAGGAATTTGTGCATCTCATTGTCGTGGCGTATGCTATTCAGCAGTGCTGAGGGTGCAAAACGTCTACTATGTGAACGTTTCAAAGCATTTGTGCACTCGAGCCGTGTCACCAACAGGACACCAGGATGCTGAGACATGACACCAGAGCCATCCGCTTGCGCAGGAACAGCTTCTGCATTTAGGAGAATCGAGAAGAGCTGCCTGGTAGATCGTCTGATAGGGCCCTGGAGCAGGCCATCCTGGAATTCACAGGTGCACCACCAGCAATTGCCTCCACCCTTATTCAGCGCATGCCAGCAATAATTCTTCGCTTATCTGAACAGACTAATGTAGAGCTGACATTCAAAACCATTTATACGGCTCACAGTGTGACAATGAGGCAGGATTTCTGATGGCTGTGTCTTGATGGCATGCAGGTGCTCCTGCGTGGTCGGTGGTGCTGGCATGATACATTCGTCCAGGGAGCAGCCGGGGGATGCAGAGGGAGTAGTGAGAACAGGCAGCCAAGCAGCAGCAGCTGAAGCATGCTCAAGGAACCCCATGAGTACGAAGCTCTCTTCCAGGAGGTCAAGGCCGACCTGCAGAACAGCGAGGAGAAGAAAGTGCTCATCTTTGTGTCGACCTCTGAGTGTGACTCCGTCTGCGCTGTCAGAATCCTTCAGGTACCGCCTGCACATGCTTCTGTCCTTCTCTGCATGCACACACTCTTGCTATTCCCATGTGGTCACAGCAATATCAGGGCCTGTCTCATGCCATTGAAGCAAGCCTGATGCTTCTGATGGCCTGAAAAGGTAGTATTCTCTTTTGTCATGTCTGGAAGGCTGAATGCTGAATTGCTTTGTTGCGCAGCTTCTGCTCATGAACAATGGCATCCATTTTTCAACCTTTCCAGTCTCAAACACAGCAGAGATCCAGCAGATTTGTGAATCCCAGCTGTCTGGAGAGGTAAGACCCTCCAACACCGCTGTCACCCCTTTGCACATCGGGAAGTGCTGCAAGACGATGACTGACGCACACTTCACAACCATCTGCTATGCTGCAAGGCTTGCTCATAGTAAAGGTGTGAAATGCAGGCGCAGACAGTCATCTTGATAAACTGTGGAGGGGAGGTGGACTTGTATGAGGACCTGAATCTAGGAGAGCTAGAGACCCGAGTCATAGTCGCAGACAGCCACAGGTGTGCCACACCTTCACAGGCGGGACTTTTCATTGGTCGTGCTATGACACCTGAGTGAGAGATCAGTCAACTTCAAATGCCTTAAATGCAGATAAATGTGCCATGCCATTGCGTTGATGAGCACCTCCTTAGATGGGCAATCTTGATTGAAAGGGGGCCCAGGAAAACCAGAGCGGCCATGCCATCTTGACACTCCAATTCCTCATCTTTAATGTGAGCCAGACAGCACACACGGGTTACTAAGTTTGTCTGCTCATGTTCAGGCCGCTGCATCATAATGCCAGCAGCCTCATGAGCGTGCACTACATGGTGGACGAAGCGGATGGATCCCAGCTGCATGCAGCCCTGCCGCCGCCAGATGGCGCCTCTGAAAGTGGTGTGACCCTCCTTCATATTTGTTTCAATCTCTCTGGAGCTTGAGCTTTGGAATGGACCTGAAAGCTATCACATGAGATCAAGGACAGGGAGTTCGTGTTGCTAAGTGGGATTCCTGAGGGAGTCATCTTGGCGGCAAGCTTTTCAGCACATGGAAGCAATCCTGTATTCTAGCGTGGAACTTGTTGCGTTTATCTGTCGCCTGTACATCCGCACTGTGCTGATGACATGATGCAGCTTCCATAAGATTCCAAGGCCCTGACTGTGCACAGATTGAAGGGGTGTCCTATTATTTGTCTCCCAGATGACGACTCAGAGGAGGACAAGGGCGAAGGGCCCAGCGAGTCTGACGAGGATGAGGACAAGGAGAATGAGCGGCCAGCTAGGAGGTGCGAGCCTGCAGATTAGTAACCATCCTTCACAACGATTTATGAACCTGAATTGCTTTACATCACCACCTGCATGCGGCCTGAGATAGAGGACAGGCAGCGGTCTAATGACTGCAATTGCCTCGCCAGTATTCTACTCCAGGAAGCGCAGTGGTCTGATCCATAAGTTGTGAGTGTCACTGTATCTATTGTGGCATGCGCATTATTTCTTGCTAGGGGCATTCTTAATGTACAACATGGCAATATTTGCGACATCCACGTGCTGTGGGGAGCGGCGGGAGGAGCAGAACAGCAACACCAGAGACCTCTCTTTCTCAGAGTGGTGACTACAGCTTGAGCGACCCCTCACACCCAGGACGGCAGCACATGTCAAAAGGACATGCAATGTATACTGAGGTGCTGACCACGGTCTGGCGCGGCGTGCGCAGGCAGCGGGTGTCGCCGGACGCGGCGCACCCGGGGCTCAGCCGGCGGCAGCGGCGCGAGCGTAAGCGGGCCGAGGTGCGGCGGGCGCGGGCCGAGTACTACGAGCGGGGCACCTTCTGGGGCAAGCCCGCCGCCTGCACCATGCTCGAACTCGCCCAGCAACTCCACATGGACAACCGCCACTATCTCTGGTACGCACATACTCCTCCCTCCCCCCTCTGGCTCTCTCTCGCTGTCTGTTGCTCGCTCGATATTCGATCTGCCACACAGGCAAGGGGCAATTCCTGTGATCCTGCAACAATATCAGACTGCTTTGTCCTTTAGCAATAGAGTTTATCAGGATTGCTGCATGTCTTGTGCACGCCAGGTCCTGGAACGTGCCAAAAGAGGGGCAGATGCCAGCAAACAAGTCTTTACTTTACGATGACCAAGAGATTGTGTGATTGTTGGATGGTCCCTGCAGCACTGATGATGTCCGATAAGGTGTGTGGTGTGTCATGCAGGCTGGCCATTCTGGGCCTGACGGACCAGCACCTGCACCAGCGCATCGCCCAGCAGAGCTACGCAGAGCAGGCGCAGAAGCTGGAAATCCTGGTGGGCGCCCTTTGCTGATTCCTCATGCTGAAAACCCCAGACTGATGCCAACAGCAGCACTGCAGGAGTACACGTTACCCCTCGCACCCACCATGCAACAGCATTCTGGCCTTACCTTCCCTACTTTGCCACGGTGTGAGGCTGCCACGAGTGTGCGCGGTGTGGAATGCTCGTGAGACTTTGAAGTTTGAATGGGACTTTCGAATTTGAAGTTGAATTCGGCCGCGCAGGTGAACCAGCTGGAGGAGGCGGGCGATGAGGTGGATGACATGGAGGAGGTGCCGATGGAGGACGGCCACGGCAACGTCACCGTCGCGCGCCGACGCAAGATCAAATTCGGCCACATCAAGTGCGTGCCTCCGCGCAATCTGACTTGTAATTAATATTACGGAAAATCACACTATGTGGCATTGCTCGCGCTTCTGGGTATGTGAGATGTCACCTGAGTCCACATGCATCACATGTCAAACTGAGCAGCCCGCCGAAAGATCAGATTCGGCCACATCAAGTGCGCATTAGGCCTAGGCTCCAGCTGAGTTTCCATTTGAAAATGTTCGGAACGATGTGGCAGTGCTTGGGCTTCCGTGCATGTGAAATCTTACCTGAGCCCACAAGCATGCATCACATGTCAAATCGGACAGCTTGCCGCAAGGTTGCTTTAGGCTACATCAAGAGCAGCTGCCCTGCCCGCGCGGGGATCCCTGCCTCTTCTGCCTCTTTCTCCTGAGACACTTCCATCTTGACTTTGTTATGTCAGAGCACGACAGAAAGGTGTCGAGCCAAGAGAATTGAAATTTTTCTAAACCTGAAACAATGCACGGTGTGCAAGAGCTTGCTCTTGGCATGTGCATTGTCACAAGAGCCCGCTCGCATGCGAGGTGGTGCAATCAGCCTGTGCAGCCACGAATAGCCAGAGTACTGTACCAGGTATATGTGACTCTATAGATTGAAGCCATTTAGCCAAGACTATATCACGGGGCCACATCAGCAGCTTGAAACATTGTGCCCCCGGGTGCGCAGGGCGGTGACGGACTTCCGGTTTCCTCTGATGCGGCACTGGAGCGTGTACGAGAGCATAATCCACAGCCGCTACGTGGCTGTGCGCCTGGGCACTTGGCAGGACAAGGGCCGCGACAAGGTCGACGAGCTGCTTGTCAAGATGGGCCTCTCCCAGCGCGACTGCAAACAGGACTACTGTGCGCATCCCCCCACCCTCTGCCGTTGTGTCCGAATAGCTTTTACTGCTGCATACGCCCTTGTGCCAGAAGCCTCCCCTTGCTACGTATGCACCTCAACCCTTGCCAAGATGCCTGTGGACTCTGGATAGAGATGGGCTGTGAAAGCTCTCGCATGGTAGAAAAGATTGGATAGGACTTTGCATGGGAATGGCTCTTTTGCAGCTGCCCTTGCGGCAGGAGACTCCTGTGCTCGTCATGCAGTCGTGCGCAGTTCTGCCCTTGTTTTGAGGACATTCCCTCTGCTTTGTGTGCAGCTCTGTGAGGTTCAATCTGTGATTGGCTTTCTTTGTGAGGGGCCTTGCTCGGGCGCAATTCATCCCTTGAGTATTGAAGGGCATGTTGTGCGTGGTCCCAGAAGGAGCTGTGCATGTATATACTACTATATGTATGCTTGAGGAATCGTGGGCATTCAGAGGCTGACAAGTGTGCACGTGCTGCATGCAGGCGTGACTGCGCGGAAATTCAACAACCTTGCGCAGAAGCTGGTGGAGCACGCACACTCCTTCCGCCTCACTGACCTCGACTTCAAGTGCGCTCAATGCCCATTTTTCCTGCAACACCTTGCTGTTCTTTCCAGTAAATGTAGATGGGCTTGCTGGCTGCGCACCGTGCAAACAACGCGCAGGCTTTCGCTGCCCATGTCCAATGTCACCTTGCCATCTGCCTTTGCCGCTGCTCTACTTCACCATCGTCACAGCGCATGCTTGACACTGAATATGGCATCTGTTCTGTTTGCAGGAGCTTCCGGCTAGCATGGGGCACGAATGCGCCGCTGTACGCAGCTGACGTGGTGCTCGCGGCGACTGCGCTGCTGGAAGCACCTCCTGCCATACGTGCTGGGGAGACCTCGGCCCGCGACGACCGCAGCGACTGCATCTGGTGCGCCCTCCTGCAGTATCATACAATCTTTGAATCCAGCAAGTATATGAAAGGGCCATCTTTGCGGCTAAAGAGTGCAATCCCTGTGCCCAAGATGCCCGTCTTTGCATGTTGAAGGTGCCTGCACGGGCAAAATCGCGAGTCCCCGCTTTGGCTGATGCAGATGCTGAATCCGTTTGCTATATATTCTTGGAGCAGGGCTTGAGCAAGCTGAATCAAAAGGCTCCTGGTGTTGCCCAGGAAGTATGAAGCTCGAATGCCAGGCCATGATCCATCATGTGTTCATGAAAATCCAATCCGTGTTGGGTTGAGCTCATGTGAAACTATGAGTTGTGTGGGCAGGAATGCGTACGATGCCATGGCGATGCAGGATTGCGGGCAGCTCAGGAAGGGCATCGAGCTCTCCAAACGCCTGCAGCGCGCCATTCTTAGGCAAGGCTACTTACTCTCACCTGACCATGCCTGCCTCTTCCCTGTCTGATTGGCTCCACTGCGGTCTGACAGAGTGGTAGCTGTGCCTTCCATCTTCCATGTTACGACCACCCACTTAGCTTGGATGGAAGTAACTCAGGAAAGTCCCGGTTCCGAGGGCCTATATTTAGCCATCCGAGCAGGCCTGGGCAGAATGAAACAGGCTAAGTGACACAAACTCTTGTGCTGTCTGGCTTGTGCAAAGCTGAGAGGGGCTGTGTGTGGCACTGCAGCGACGGGGGCCTGCTGCTGGTGAGCAAGGCGGGGCAGGAGCGCGCCAAGTTCCGCTGGTACGACATGACGCGCAACGAGGTCAGCAACAAGGTGCGCGCACGATTTGGCCCATCTTGCTACCATAAAATCCCCCGCTTATTCTTGGACTTCTATAAGCAAAGCACTTTTCAGGCAACGCGGCTCCAAGATCATAGCGGAGAACATGTACAGCACTCTCTGCATGTTGTGGCATGCAAGCTGCAAAAGCGGCGCGAGAGACTTAAGTACAGGATATCTACACTTGGCTGCTGCGCAAGGTTTCTTGCAGAGCGTGTGTTTGTTCTGTCATTAAGAGGTGCAGTCACGTCATATTTCACCTTGAGTCACCTGAGGCTTTGATACTCTTCGACTCTGGCATAGCTTGATTGTCTAGCTCCTGCCCTGCCTCTCAGGCAATTGTTGCCCTGCCTCTCGGGTAAATATTGTATAGTTTCGACCTCTCCTTTCCTCTGCACAGCAGGGATCACACATGCCAGATTGAGAGCCATTGATTGTGAGAGACCGCAGACTTATTGAAACTTCCCTGCGTGCAGCCTGCTGCGGATCAATTTAGTGAAATCTACAACTGGTAATCATGTTTATGTTCAATTTAAATTCATATTCGATTTTTGTTGCTGCGCACAGGCCATCCTGTCGCACCCGCTGGCGTTGGTGAAGCTGGGCATGTTTCTGCGCGATGTGGCGTCCATGCGGGTGACGCGCAAGCGCAAGCCCATCGTGCTCGTGGGCCCAGCTGACGGCCGCCACCAGTGCCTCGTCGTCGCCGTCACCTGCGAACCCATGTCCACCGAAGCCCAGCAGGTGCGCGCCCGACAGATCCGCTCCTTCCCCTTCAGTCTTGTTGTGGGTACATTAAGAGGATGAGTCAATGCTGGGGCATGACTCTGGAGGGCCGCGAACAGCAACAATGGCTGATCTAAAAATGTCTACAAAGCAGAACGCATACAAAGCAGAACGCATGCGAATCAAAGCCCAGCATGTGCGCTGACAACTCCGAAGCTCCTTCCTCTGTAGACCACTGTTCCGTCCTCCGTAGCCGTTTCTTGATAGAAAGTGTGATGGTGTGGGCATGTTCCTGAAGGCCTTCGGCACTGGCTGATCTCAAACTAGAGTGGTCCGCACGTAGGCACTTGCTTGAGCATTTCCTAGTAGAATATTCATCTAGCTACAGCTTTTCTTTCAAGCTCCCCAGCCCCTTTTTTTGCAGCTTGAGTTACATTTGGGCAGGCCATAGCACGACTGTCCCACCAGTCTCACCTGCCCCTCTAGATTGGGCGGATAAAAGATACGGCCCATGCACATCGAACTGCGAGCGCATGTCAGGCAAGGCTCTGCAGGTGAAATTCGCAAGTTCTGCTGTTCCATCCTGCTTGGAAGTCTGCAGGCGCTGTCAAGCGTAGACGTTCAAAGATTGAATGGACGCTCCTTACTGACAAAACATTGCATACACCACTGATAAGCCTTGCATTGCTGATGCATGTCATATGTGTCGTATGTACAGTAATTAGCGAGGAAGCAGCCAAATTTTTGCTAGTCCATTCGCTGCTCCTTACACCATCGCTCCTATCTCTGGTCTCTGGAGGAGACAGAGAGCGGCAGTGCGGTGGGCGTGGACATGTTCTGTGAGGCTGTTCACATGAGACCGCTAATGCCTTGGCCGCTAATATTTGTAGATTCAGGCTTACGATAGCCCAAGATTAAGATCGATGATGAGTTGAAGCTGTCGCGTGTGTTTCGATGCAGGGGAATCCGTTTGGGGTGCTATTTGAGAAGTCTGCTAGGAACATTGGGGCCTCCTTCGAGCACAAGGGTTTTGACTCCAGCGTCATCCAGGTGTGCCCTGTATGCTTGCTCTGTATTTACAAAGCTTCCAACCATTGTTCCGGATCATGTGATTTTGGATCTTTTAAATGGAGAGCTATTGCGCCCAGCTCATAAGTCTGACACACTCATCATCTGCCTGTTCCTGCTGCTTGGCATGTGACATGCCAGGAATACCTCTGTTCCTCAATTCACTGGTGCCAAATAGCTCCCCTGCAAGGTGTTGCCCAGGAGGTCACTTAGTAGTGCAGGCCTAAGGATCCTGCCTACTGAGAGCAGCTCGAGTGAGATCTATTACTGCTGTTGCGCAGATCGCGGTCGCGGACGTGGACCGGTTTGTGAGGGAGCTAGCGGTGCAGGCGAGCGCCTCAGCTGTGCGATTTGGGCCTGCCCAGGCCGACGCTGCGTGACTGGCGCGGCATCTGAACTCTACATCTAAGCTACTTCTGGGAAGGGCTGGCGCCTGCTTCAGCTCCCCACTCAGTCCAGCGCAGAGAAGCAGCGTCTGACAGGACATTTCTGTCAGAATCCAATTCAAGACACTGATTTGGAGGACGGGTGGGCGCGTTCCTCTGAGAGGAGGGTGGTGAGGCAAATGCAGGCCAGGTGCGGAGGGCGTGGAGTTAGCATCCTGCACTCCTAACAGGCGTTGCGGAAGCCTGGCTTAGTGGTGGGGCACCGGGGTGCTAAGGGCTTGGCAGTCCAGGGACCTCAGATGTGTCAGGGATGCATGGGGCAGCTGTGTGAGGGATGCTAAATCAGGAGATCTGCTGTGTTGGGAGGTGCACCTGGGCAGCGCAGGGGCCATCACTGGTCCTTAGAACAAAGAATGTCTTTAATATGAGGAGGAGAGAGGCGCAGGTGCCAGGATGGCAAAGCGCTGAAGTGGTCTTGTCTGGAGTGAACGGTTGCAGGCTTTTTGCCTGCCTAGGGCCGTAGCCCTGCGCATGCGTGAACTTCAGAGTGTGCAATGCCAATGGTTTTGAATCCGCATGGACCACCATGGGCATGACTGACGTCATAGCAAATTCTTTTCAGCACTGTTTTGTGGTACTTGCTGCATGTGTCTACATGCGCACCTCGTGCAATAAATGGCTGCCGCGGTCTTACTCCGAGTCCACTGGCAGTGGCTGCAAGCCGGGACTCATCGGTTTCTGTCACGGTGTCTGCTTGGACAAACATGCATGGGAGCGTGCAGAGGAGTAATTTGCCTGTCTGTGATATCCATTACATGTAAAAGACTGCGCATTTTATGCCCAAGCTGCCTGGACAGTGCAGCCGCATGGCTGTGCCGATCTGGGAGGCAGCGGCGAAATTTGTGCAGTTCAAATCTTACGGGAAATTTAGTCAAATTACTCAGTGCCACGCGATCCCGAGACAACGACTCGAGAACTCAACCCGACCACCACGGTTTCACGCTCAAAGCAGACTCTACGACCAATTAGAGGGTCCAAAATTACATACAAACACTGGATCGTTACAATCTGATCGAGATCGGTTCTGCTGTGAAAACGACCTTTTTCCAGATCGAACCGTTCAGCAGGTCTGCTGTTGGGATGTGACAAAACCCCATCATAGATTGTATGAGTGAACTTCTGTAGATTCATATCTGTTTAGTTGCATTGAACCCTTTGCCCTGTACGACACTCGCCACGTTTGAGGGAGCCTGAAGTTCACCATCAAGCAGGAAATAAAAAGCAAAAAGACAAGAAGCGTCGATCGCGGCCGACAGCGTGATTTCGAGCACTTTGTTGACTTGGTTCGAACAAGAAATGGAGCTCGCAGTGCCCAGAGAACAGATCGTGAAAGGTCCTGGACGAGTCTGAGCCTCGATAATACTTGCTGAGAGGAGTTGCAGATCGCACAGATGAAGCCCAGACGCAGCCCAGGAAGTGCACAACAAAATGGACACTCACACATCAACGGTGGCATGCACCTGCACATGGGGTGCGCGCTTTATCTGCAAGCCAAGGAGCTTGGAAGCACCATCACATGTATTGCAAGTGCTGCTGTGCTACTGAAGAGTTCTCTGCTCCCTTGCGTCCCTACGTCTGCTGACACTGGCATAGGCAGTTCCAGCTTCTTAACCCTTCTGTATTCTGGTGCCCAACTGGCACACAAGCTTGGCTCATTGGAATCCCTCGTGTGCAGCTGCCTCCAAGCAGCATGACTCTTTTTTAATTGAAACCGTGCAACAGTAACAGATCTCAAGCATATGCTGAAGCAGCTGTCCTGCTCTGCCTTGCGCAGGATCCATGATGCCACGATGCCGGTGCCGCTGAGCAGCTTCGCCACGCCTGCCAGCCCGGCGCCGGGCGCAGGTGCCGGGCAGGTGCCGGGCAGCAAGCCGGCGGCTGCGGCACGCTCGCGGCGGTGCTGCGCCGGCTGGCGCAACCCCCAGCGCTGGCTCATGCTCGCCATGTTTCTCCTGGCGCTGTTCATTTTTGGCGTCCGCTTCCACCAGAGCCAGCATGTGAGCATTTAAATGCACCCTTCCTCCATCATGATGCCCAGCTGTGCTGGCCAGAATCTCTGCACTTGGACATGTTCCATGCTCTGGGCAGTCCCAGTGACTGTCATGACATTCAGCAAGCAGTATATTGCCTGAGTTCAATGCTTTCCTTTTGGCCATGCATAGCCTGAACTTGCCTTAATAGTATCAGCTATTGTGCATATCGGTCCGACCACCGCCATTAAGCTTTTCTTACCTATGCTGACCCTGCGAAAATACCTGGTCTTGACAACTTCTGTGCGCTGAACAGATGATGCCTAGGAGAGGACCCGGCATTGTTCCCCACTCAAGACAGCAAAGCAGTGACCCAGAGGTCTGCACAATCCCATCATCCATCTAACATGCACCTGACACAATATGCCTCTTCTAGATGCTGCGCATGCATGCACACCTCCGCAGGTCATCAAGACACAGTGTTTCATGCAGGATGATTTGGATGCGTTCCTGGGCCAAGGCGAAATTGTGGACGAGGCTTCCCACAGCAAAGCAATAGATGCTGCAGAGGCAGAGTTCCAAAGGGAGGCAGACAAGCTTGGCCTGCCCAGCAACGGGGAGGAGGAAGTTTCAGGTTTGAATTAAACCTCACTCAAATTAGCACCAATTGAGTAGTGTCTGGCGTATTGGGAATCCCATATGCCTACTGCACCTTCACCTCGGTAAACAGAAGTGAGTACTGTCTGGCAAATTTCGTATGCACAGTGTTCCAGTGTACACAATGTCTCAGAATCTGCTGAGGCATACAATGACATAAACTGCACACATGTTTCGACACTTACATTTTCGAATCAATTAGACGCTGAGGGCATAAAAGGGTCATGTGCGACTCGCAGGGGATGGGGAAGAGGCGGAAGAGGCGCCAGAGGAGACCAATTCGGGCCGGTTCCGGCCGGGCGGCCGGCTGAGCCGCGCGAAGCGGCGGCGGCGCATGGCGCGGCGGCAGCGGCCGGGCGCGGCCGGCCTGATTCAGCGCCGGGGGCCCTATGGGCGCGCAAGCGGCGTCGACCGTGGCCTTGGGGACACAGATGATGCCACCAGCGAAGGTGTCCTTTGGCCTCACATACGTTTGGGGACTTTGTGTGCAAATCGTGGCTGCTTTGGTCCGTGGGGTTTCCAGTTGCTCAAGCGCGCCTTCAAAAGCAAATCAGTCAGGGTGCACTTTCCTTAAAACATTGTATTGTGCCCTTAATTGCCCACTCCTGCACAAATGGCCTTATCCCAGCGCATGGATCTGAGGCATCATTGCAGGGTCTCTGAGAGCTAGTTAAGTCTGAATGGTGTCTGATCGTGCGCAGGCGCGGGTGAGGCCGAGAAGCAGGAGCTGTGGGTAGACCAGAGGGAGGAGGTCGGGGTGAGCGGTGATGTGGACACGCCGCTCGAAGAGGGAACGCTGGGGAGAAGGCAGGCCGGCGCGGCAGCCGAGCAGAAGCCGAGGCCGGCAGGAAGCTTCCTGGCGGATGGGGGCGCCTCTTCAGGCAAGGTCGCTGCGGCCAATCAGCGCGCAGCCGGGAAGTTCAAATTGTCGGCGGAAAAAGCAGCGGCGGCGGCTGCCGCTGCGGGAGCCGACTCGTCGGCAGGGGGCGCGCAGGGGAATAGGTTTGTTAGAGACCCTGAGGAGGACGATGACCTGGCGCTGCCGGCCTTCAAGAAGCCCTCGTCGCATGTCATGCCCCTGCTCGGATCCGTGAGTGATCTCCCGTACTGGCTATCACTTCTTTTGCGCAATACCCTGCACAAACACCTTTGAAAGGACGTGTCCCATCTTGGTGTGTAAGCAGCTCAGTGCCCTTCGTGAATGCTACTTTTACTTTCCTGGGCAGAGTCAGGCTGCATGCAAAGAGGCGGTGGTGCTTCGTGGCGGGCAAGAATCAGGCGTTCTACTCTGCTGTGCCAAAAAACAAGTAATTATTGGTCTTCTTTGGTGTTTGCCGTCCAGACGAACCAGCACATCGGCATCAACGAGGTGGTCAAGCACAGCGACAAGCCGGACGACGTGGCGAGCTCGGACCCTGAGCTGCGCGTGTGGGACGCTCTGGACGCAGGCACCCACGATAACACGCTGCAGGACGCCATCCTGGAGCATATGCAGGCACGTGCCGACATGTGCCCGCACAGGCTACCCACTCCTCCTGCTTTTGTTTGCCTGCGAGTTGCAGTCATTAGTGGTGCAAGGACGTCTATTTGCACGCCAGGGGCCACTGCAATGCTGCTGCTATCATTGTGAACGGGGCGCCAGACTCTCGCTTTTGGCAGCCTGCACCATGGCCTTCTGATTGGGGACAGCAAGCTCTGTAGACAGGCGGAGCCGTGTGAAGCCGTTACCACTTTTATGCAAGTGCATGACAGACAGCGAAGGCAGCTTTATCAATCGACAGGGTTATTGAAACATAGACATTAGGATGCCCCTCGATACCGGACATCAGTTGCATCATGGCTGAATTTGTTGGGATGCTGTGTCAGGTGGAGGAGACGGTGGGCTTCGAGGAGGACGAGGATCCGATGCTGGAGGTGTCTGACGAGGAGCAGGAGCTGACGGAAGCCGAGCTGGCGGCCGGCGCGGAGGAGTTGCCTGAAGAGGCCGCGCTGGCATTCAATGAAGTCCGCGTGGTCGGGGGAGAAAACATGATGGAGGAGCACCCCGTCACCGAGGGGCTCGCGCTATTTGACACCGGGGTCAAGGTAGGGTTTGGCTTCTGGGTTGCCTGCATATTTGCATACACAGGCCTTCTGTTGGGGTGTTCCTTCAAGTGTAATAGTTTCTGCTGTGTTCTTGATGCACACGCAGAAGGCACAGCTGCGGTCTGGTGTTCATCCAAAATCCATCAGGATTTTTCTGTTGCTTGCATCTGAAGAAATGCACTGGATGACTATGCTTCGGCAGACTTATGCATTTATGCAATCAGCGCATGGAGTGCATTGACTGTCACTGAGTCACTGAGATGGGACAAACCCAATGAATGGCGCTTTCAATGCGCAGGTGATTGAGGAGCGCCCAGAGAATGTGGCGGGAGAGAAGCAGCCAGAAGGGGCCACACAGGCCAAGGCTGATGGGGTGGAGGATCTGGAGGGAGATGAGGAGGAGGAGGAAGGCGCTGATGCCAGCAGGGAGTCTGGGGTGCTTGGCTCAATGACCCAGTGGCTCAAGGGGCTGGCCGGCGGCGCTGGCCGCAGCAAGGCCGACGAGGAGAAGGCAGCTAAGAAGTACAAGGTGCGCTGTGCCTGCCATCACATATGAAAGAGTCTCTGCCACATTAATACCGGGTTGGCAGCTTGATAAAATTCAGTCAGTGAGCTGTTGAGTGAGATTTATGTCTTGATAATTTTAGAAGGGTTAGGGGTTTGGACCTGGCTTAACATTTGTTGTTCTGGTGCTTTCAGGATGCAAAGGACAGCCTGAGGGGCCGGGCAGGATTTACTGGCGAGCTGACAGTTGGAGAGGGCCAGAGCTGAGGGGATGGGCCCCTGCCTCGGGGTGCATGCGCCCATTGTGTTTGCAATTTCCTCCTAGAAGTCCCAAGGCCCTTTGTCTCAACAAGTGCTGTGAGTGTCCAGTACAAAGTAGTGAGGTACAGTGCCGACGGCTCATCAGTATACCGGGCTGCATGGCATAAAACCCGGATGTTTCTGCCCATATGTGTACAGCCTTTCGAGTCAAAGCCAGCCCCAGCTGCATCCCGATTTGGAATTAGAAACTAGCTCAGGGCATTGTGGCATGTGCCGCACGGGCGGACACTGATCCCCATTACCGAGTCATGCGTTCATGATGATCAGTGTACAAGCGACACAGCGTTCGAGTCTATGCCTGAACTGTCATTCCAAAGTGACCAAATATGAGCTCCTAATTACAGTACCTCTGCGCACGTGCACGCAACGATGTGCACATGCTTGAAAAGAACGAACTTCCATTATGCAATAAGGAACAGAAGCCTGTATATTCCCTTCTGGATACAGAGGAGCCCCTGGATCTCCTGTGGGTGCACAGAAGAGGCAGATGCAGATAAGAAATGAATCCTACTTAGGCAAAGAAATCAGGCCGAACTTACTTGGAAGTTACACAGACATACGCATTGGATAGTCAAGGCGAGGGCCGGAACAAAACAGCAACAGAACTCAGATCAGCGCGAGCAGTAACCATCACTTGAGTCGGCACACAAGACGGGTCCATTCAGGTATGCTGCTGTATCTTTACCGACTCAGCGACCTTCACAGTTTTCACCGCTGCACTTAGTTACACAATTATAAAGAATGCTCTTAGGCGAAACATTGTCATTACTTTCGCAACCTAGGATTCTGAAGGCCAGAGTAGCCTGCGGTGGCTGTGGAAAGCTGATGCCTCGCTGCAACATGCGGCAGCACTTTCCAATGGCTAAGTACAGCTTTCTCGAATGCCGGCAGACAAAAATTCAGTTTCTTTCATCTATCATGCGTTGTCCATGCGTTTTATAGCTTGTTGTACGTTTCATCGCAGAAAATCCGCTTGATCACTCACGGTTACATGAGAGTTCGGTACTCAAAATAACACAGAAACAATCCGTAATCGCGCTCTTATATTTCGAAAGTAATTCATAATAGATTTAGACGGAAGGCAACTCGAAGCAGAGTAAAAGAGCGAAATAGACAGTATTGCGGAATCCCGAAAACCCTGATCTCCACTCTTGCTCGAAATCGGCGGACGTTCTCTCTATTCCCTGTTACAGATCTAGCATTAGGAAAATAAATTTGTGTGAATTTGTGCCACGCAGGATAGGGAGCCATGGGAACCAGGTCGCCTACAATGCAGAACTGCACAAGGGCCCAGCTCAGTAATCCCAGCAGGACAGTGAACCTGGTATGGTACACACGCAATTGCTTGTAGCTTTGCAAGCCATGTGCAAAGAATATTGCTGCTGGACCCGACCAAGGTGGCCAGTGAGATTCTTCCTGCTGGTGCTGCTTGTGTGCTACATTGTGCGCGCTTACCGGTGAGTGTGGCATTCTGCAGAAGCTTGGCGTGCCTCGCCCTCGTCTTACTTTCAGCAAGCAACGCTATGGCTTGACCAGGGACGTGGCAACAGCAGCCTGGGTCATCGAGCCATTCTCATTACCACCCCTGGATTTGGCGGCCACACCAAGATTCGATGAGAGATATGTGAAAGTGACTCACTATTCTGAATTGCAAGAGAACAAGAACTTTGTGGCCGACGAGGCAGGGAAAGTTGGAGCCACAAAGCCACAGCGGGCCTTGATGGTGGCGATTGCCATGCAGGTAATCTTTCTGCAGCTCTCCATGCAACTCTGACTAGCAAATGTCGGCATGCTTGTTCTGAGTATTGTAAAGTTTTTCCAGCAAGCCTGAGGCTACACCCATGACGGCATGAGGCTGCATTATGCTAAAGCACCTGGAAGCTGCATCAAAGTCTTGGATTCCAAGACGTACTGGCTGATTACAATGTTCACTTTCACTTGTAATACTCAAGTGCATGCTTCACTGATGAAGCATGATTGCAGTTTGCCTTCAGCTAATGGGTCTCTGCCCAGGTGGTCAAACAGGTCAGGTAAACAGGGCGCTGCTTGTCAATGTCTTATAAATTGGTTCCGTTTGCAGGAGAGCAAGCTTATGAACGAGAGAGATTACACAAAGGACAACATGGGCAAATCAAAGAATTGCAGCATTCTGAATCTCAATCTGGACCTCATAGAACGAGCAGGCTACAATAAGGGCGATGCTTGTGACAGCCTCAATCACGGTCACAACCTCAAGGAAGCCCTGAAGCGTCTAAAGAAGACCTTTGATAAGTACGGTGAAAAAAGTACCCTTGACTTCATTCGGGGCGGCTCTACTGCTTTGGGTGATGGAGTATCGTATGGCGCCGAAGACTATCGCCGAGCAATGGCCACAATATATGCTAAGTTCAACGAGGACCCGAAGCTTCTACACGATGACAGGAGAGTGGAAATTAATGTGGACCCCGTATAAGCGCGATATGACGCAGAGGTGGAAATGGAGCGGAACCTTTGCCGATGTCGGCATTAATGTGTTTTGCTTTGCATGATTGACATGGGGGCAGGCTTCTGTGATACTGCCACTTTGAAGCCTGGAGGAAGATATTGCAATACACCCCCTGGCAAGCGCATCCGCATGGATCTCTTTTTGTAAGGAAAGCTGCGGTATATTGTGGAGGATTGATTCCACGGTGGAAGGTCCTCAACTATCTCAGATTTTGTTAGTGCACGCATAACTCGCACGTGACTGATTCAGGAGTGCAAGTCTAGACCAAGCCTGCACCATCATGACAAGTACCTGTACGAGCATGTAGACGCCGCCATTCATACACGCCGCCGTCTTCTGCTGTGCATCATGCATGCGCAACTAACGCTGCAACAGTGATCCAGCGACTGTCCTCACGCTCTTCGCCATGGCCATATGGTACCACATGCATGGTATATCATAGCTAGCATGCAAGCGCTTGCAATAAGGGCCGCAGCGGCTTGATGGTGATCCGCAACGCTTAATTTCTGTGCAGATTAGCCAATTAGGTGATGCTCATATACCATGGCCTGGCACACAGTTGCACGACACCTGACACGCGTGTCAGGTGTCGGAGTGTCGCGGACGTTCGCAAACGCGTGTCCAATTTTGGCCATTTCCGACACCGCTCCGACACCGGGTTACGTAAGGGTTACGTTTGACCGTTTCTGATCGTTTTTGGCCGCTTGGACGCCGGGAAATGACCCAACAACACCCCAAACACACATAACATGCTTGTAAAGGTGTTTAGAGACAATTCCGATGTGTTTTGATGCGTTGTCGGGTCCGGAAACAGCTTTTTGAGGTTCCGTCAACCTTAGTAATCTGTAGTCATCACCCGATTGCATGGTTACTAACGTCCTCAGGTCTGGACACGCGTGTCGCGGTGTCGCGGTGTCGCGAACGTTCGCAAACGCGTGTCCAAATTTTGACCAGCCGTGTCGTGCAACTATGGCCTGGCACCTTTTCCTTTGCCCGTTGTGATGAATTATGAACGCATGTGGGTCCAAGAGCAAAGCCAGCCAGGGGCCATAGACACCGTGGCTCTATCCTGCTGGCACCAGCATCCTGCATGCATGTTGTGTGATTGGGCCAAAGAAAGGCTCAGCAAAGATCACAACATCTCCTTCAAAACCAGTATCCAACACCTTGAAGCTGTCCAAAAGAAACTTTTAAATAGTCAAGCCCTTCGTATCTTCCAGCAGATACCCAGCAAGTTTGGTTGAAATTTTGTGCAAAGTGATCGACATCTGCTTATCGAAAGAAAATCCTGGTCATCCAGAGGGGCCAGCCTGGCTGTAAATGGCTGAGAGTGTGATGCGCTGAAAATTGTCCAGGCTTGTATCAATAATATGGGGTGCTGAATCTTTGAAGACTGTCCTCGGCAGACATGGCGAACAGATTCTTCAATAAGACAGAAGACATAGTCACAGAAAGCATCGAAGGCTTGGTGGCATCTCATCCACATCTCACGCGGTTAGATGGATTTCCTCAGGTAATCAGGGCTGCTACGTTGGTTGCTGGTGGCTGGTGGCATGCCATGAATAGGCCCATGACAGCGAAGACCTTTATTCGCATCGATCGATCATTCAATGACATCTAAATTCATAAAACGATGTTCAGCGGTGCTGACAGCTCGTTGCTGGCTCCTAGGTAAAGGTAGTCATCGATAGCGATGCAGACTCCAGCAGGGTGGCACTCATATCAGGCACGCCCTTGATCTGGACACTTCACACCGGGGCCTTCTGTTCTCTTAAATGCCTTTGTTATTTCAATATCCAAAAAGCAATGCATAATATCGTTTGTAAGAAGCAAAATCGGGTGGCATGTGCAGGAGGAGGCAGTGGGCATGAGCCTGCACATGCAGGCTATGTGGGAAGGGGGATGCTCACAGCGGCGGTGGCTGGCGACGTGTTCGCCTCGCCCCCAACAGAGGCAGTTCTTGCTGCCATTCGCGCCGTCACTCACGCTCCCGGCGTCCTGCTTATTGTCAAGAACTACACAGGCATGGTTGCCACCACTTGCACCTGTTTGCAAAGCATATTCAATGCACACAGTTGCTTGACTGCCTGGGGGTGCTGTAATCTATGGTGTCTCACCTCTGCAGGGGACAGGCTCAACTTTGGGCTTGCCGGTGAGCAGGCCAGAGCCGAAGGCTACAAGGTGTGCAACCCCAACCACTGTCCCACCATAAGCCCCTTTCCAGAATGCCATGTCTAGAAGTCAGGCTTAAAGGCTTATCTGCATGCTCTGTCAGTCTCACAGCACAGTGCAATCGCCCTCTGCATACATAACTGATCCACATTTACAGTGCAAATAAGTGCACACGGGGACTGCCATGCCATCCTCTGTGCAAGCTTCATGTGAAGAACAGTTGGCTTTTGGGTGTGCAGCAGTTGTGTTGAGCTGGAACAGGCTGAGCGCAGGTTGAGATGGTAGTGGTGGGGGATGACTGCGCCCTTCCCCACAGCCGCATCACTGGCCGCCGCGGCATCGCTGGCACCGTGTTCGTTCACAAGGCATGTTCTTAGATTACTCTTTACTTAATGTTACCAGCACGGGGTGTGATCATATGTTTGATTGTCATTCTCTGGTGCCGGCCATTGCATGTTGCCCATGCAAGATACTTGGCAAGCCACCACACTCCTACAAATAGGCGCTGTCTAGCTCTATATCAGAAGAGTGCAAGCCTGCCTTGCTTTTCAACGCTGGCAGTCCTGCCTAGGACACTGCTGTGATTGATAAGCATTTTAGAAGTTCTGCAGGTGGCGGGTGCAGCGGCGGCGGCAGGCCACGATCTGGCAGCCGTGCTGGCGGCAGCACAGTCAGCAGCGCAAAGCGTGGGCAGCATGGGCGTCGCCACCAGTGTTTGTACCCTGCCGGGAGCTCAGCCTGCAGACCCACCCAGGTGTTTGACCCTGTCACTGTTTGTTTGTGTATTTTTTCACGCAGACTGACACTCCTAGTAACACTAAGCCAGCTAGTTGGGGTCTCCTACTCCTTCTGCGAGCACTCCTATGTGTTCAGGATGATCTTCAAGTTTTCTTCAGGGCAGAGGTTTGTGCATGACTGCTCTGGGTTTCAATGATTTGATCACCCTTATGCAGGATTGGGGCAGGGGAGATGGAGCTGGGCTTGGGCATCCATGGGGAGCCAGGCGCCTCTAAGGGGCCTCTGCTGCCTGTCGACGCCATTGTCTCACAGGTGGGCTGACTAATTCATGAGGAGTTCCTTCTCTAATACAGCAAAAAAACCCCATTTTTCAGACAAAACTCATCACTTTAGATGGCCAAGATGTCATATGTTCTGTTGTGCCTCTTAAAAAAAAAAATTTCCCTCTAATTATACTGAATTGACACGTTGGCTGCATTATCATCTTGCAACCCATAATTCCTTTTTCTCCGCTCGCCAGATGACACCAGCGTATGGCACCCTTCCCGAGCCAAGCGGCTGTGTGCAGGTGTTGGACCGCATCACCTCCAGGGAGACAGGATACCTGGATGTGCAGCAGGGTGACAGGGTGGCGTTGCTGGTCAACTCGCTCGGATCAACCACCCCCATGGAGGTGTCAGTTGTGGCTCGCGCAGCGCTGATCCAGCTCAGAGATACACACAAGGTAAGAGCGCTTTATACGTGCTGGCTCAATAGGGAATTTGGACCAACACACAAGGTAAGATCTTTCATTTACTGCTGGCTCACACGGAGCTTCGATTGGCAGCTGCCCAGTGTAAACCCTGCTTAGAAACAAAGTTTCTGCCGTTTACATTGTTCTATCAGCGCACTGCTGCGCTCCCTGGCCCACTTTGTAACCATGCAGAGCTTATTTGTCGCGCTGCGTTGGTACCTTTCGATTATCAACGATTTTTGTAAAAGCAAATGAGGGGATGTTATTGCTTATTTGTCATACAGAGCATGAGAAGAGAATATGTGTGCAGGTGACAGTGGCGCGGGTTTATGCGGGCGCTTTCATGACATCCCTGGACATGGCCGGCTTCTCACTGTCGCTGCTGCTGCTGGATGAAGCGCGCACGGCCGCCCTCCAAGCCCCCACACAGGCATGCCTGCCTGCCCATTGATTGCCTGTGTGCTCTTCAGCATTCTTTGCACAACGATCCCAACCTGCTAAATGTCAGTGTTCGCGTGGGTACAATTCAGTCTTTCACCCAAAGAAACAAGGCTGGTCTATGTGCTGGTGGTTTGCCTTGCCTTGACAATTTTTTAAGGTACCTAAACTTGGCAGCAGTTGTCTTTCCTCTTCATCAAGGAAGCCATCAAGAAGAGTTGCATGGATGTGAATAATTCCCATTATCTAACCCCTGTCTTGGCGGTTCAGGCGCCTGCTTGGCCAGCTTCCCAGGGAGAGCTGCCTGCTGAAAAGGCGCTAGTGCCGCTTCCGAGAGGACCGGAGGGCGGAGAGTGCAGCGGCAGGCCAGAATCCCTGACGCCCTTTGGCGAGGCATTGGAACGAGCGCTGCTGGCCGTCTGCGGCGCTGTCATTGCTGCTGCGCCAGAATTGGACGCCCTGGACTCCAGGCATGTGACTGCAGATAAAGTAATCTTACTTGTCCTGTACAAGTAGGCTTTTTACCCCTGATGACAAGGCATGCCCACACTGTTGCTATCTGGTGAGGTCAGTGTGGAGCAGAGAGTCTTGGATGTGATTGGGATGCTGTGCTGTGCGTTGTGCCTTGTCTTTTATACACAGATTTGCCAGATCATAACCTTCTGTATGGCGAAAGATCTGCACTGTGCAAAGCTGATCATATCTCCAAGATATTGCGCACCTAGCAATCAGATGCAAGTAAAATGGCTGGCGCAACGGCTGCGCGCACAGGATCGGAGATGGGGACTGCGGATCGACACTGAAGAGGGGAGCCGAGGCAATAAAGACTGCTGTGGGGACCTCCTTGCCCCTGAACGATGCAGGGGCCGCCCTGAGGAAACTGGCCACCACGCTGCGTGTCATGGGGGGAACCTCTGGCGCTCTCTACAATATTGGAGTCACCGCGGCAGCCGGTGCGGCACCTGCAAAATACTAAACATATTGTCCTGGGCAGGACAAATCAGATGGGCAGATCATCCAGATGTTGGTTTGATTTTTGTCAAGAGAGATGCAACATAGGTTCTTAAGTGTCTGCTGGATGAGATGTTGGGTGCAGATGATGCTGACTTGGCCTCACACATCATACATGTTCAATTTGTGGACATACATGTCATCTGTGCTGCTTGGCATTGGCGCTTTATGTCCGTGTGGATTTTTCCTTATGAGACGTCTGACTGCCGCAGGAGAGCTTCTGAAGCACGAGGCCTCTGCAGCAGGAGCAGCAGAGGAAGGCCCATCTGATGAAACGTGGGGCGGGGTCTTTGGGGCGGCAGTGGCAGCACTTCTGCGCTATTCTGGCGCAGCAGAGGGCGACAGAACAATGCTGGACGCCCTCATACCAGCCCAGAAGGGATTTTCCAGCGCCCTGCAGCAAGGCAAGCCCAATCCTGCCCAATCCCTGCCCTCCTTTGCTTGGTCATTGTGAATTTACAGCATTGTAAGACGTCCCTTTTTGAGGGCATCCCGTCAACAATCTGCAAAAGCATGTTTGGAAAGAGAAGAACGCTTGTTTAGAGCTGAGTATCTCAGAAACGTGAAGGAGGACCATGGCATTGGGCATCAGTACAGCGTGCACATGCCATATCCTGGATCATTAAGACCCAGACAACAGCTGTTCCTCAGGGTATCAAGATCGTCCTAAATAGCTCATGCATTCCATGCAGGCAAACGGCCGGCGATGGCTCTGCGGAGGGCGGCGGATGCAGCAATGGAGGGAGCCGAGAGTACCAAATCCATGGCCGCAGCTGCCGGCCGCTCCAGTTATGTGCCAGAGGCTCTGCTGAGGGATGTGCCCGACCCCGGTGCACGCGCAGTCGCCGTCTGGATGGGCGCTCTTGCAGCCGTGACATCTTGATGGAGTGTTGCATGTTTTTAGACGGAAGCTACTGTCGAGAGTTCGTAACGGCATGGCTTTGATGCTGTTCAGCTGCCGAACATCATCTATAATCTTTGTAGCGGTACAGTGTGCATGTTATCGATGGCATGTCATCGTGGAGAATCGTGTTGCATTGAATTGATCCCACCGAGTGCACATATCCACGAGAGTTCAAATTAGCATGGATGTACTATATGGTCTGTTCTCTGTGTAGGGCAACAGATACATCGCTCTGTGGAATCCTGTTTTACAGAAGAACCTCCGTCGTTATTTCAGGTGAATGACCTTTTTGAATTAATTATGACGGCACCATTGAATTAATTCTTCTCTGCTACCGACAGCCATTTGCAATGTGCAAGACAGCAGCAGCTGGCCCCCTCAAGAGCCAAATGTCCTATGCCTAACCAACAATCTCATCTACTTCTTGAAAAGGAATCTCTGATATTGTGTTTTGCGCAAATCCTGGCATGCTCCTGGGGCAAGCCAATCTACGCCCACCAGGGGTTCAAGCCTGTGCGGAAGTCAGTCTCCTTCCTGTGAAGCGCAAGCACACCAACATTCGAAATTGAACAATTAACAGAAATTGCATGTTCGAAGCACATGCTGCCATGTTGCTTAGTGAATGACGTGGATACGGGCCGTGCTTCTGGAAGCCTTGTCAGTCAAGAGACATGCCAAACTGGCTATCATGCATCATGCATTCAGGGTCATGCACGAGGATGCAGAAAAAGCATCATGTGAGCTGAGGCAGGCTGCAGAAGTCTCACCACTCGGTGAGGAAGACAACGTCGTCCACAACATCAGTGTGTGCCAGGGCCAGAGACTGCGAGGAACAACAAACATCAGCTCCATCCCAACCTTTAGACCTTAAGCTAATCCAAAATCTACATTGGCAAAGCAGGCATGTTGGACAAGCAAACGCAACAGCCACGCCGGTTGCTCAATGCCAATGCCTAAAACCTTTGTTTGGTGGCCTGGGGCTTGGCAATCCCACAGGACAATCATGTAGGGTCTCTAGAGAGGTCGTATGGGGGTTGGGAAGGCTCACCAGGGGAGCTGGGCCGCGCACAACCTTGCCCTGGAAGTTGTACTGCGATCCGTGGCATGGGCACATGAACTTGTTCTCGTTCTGCAGCAACAACACCTCTCAGACATTCACTTGACACATATCCAGACAGCCTTGATATCGTCACTTGATATCAGCAACACTGACTGCCCAATCTCAGAATAGCACTCCTGACCATATTAACAGTGTTGTTTCTAAGCTCCAAGGAGGTGAGAGCACTCACCACGTTCCAGGGCACGACGCATCCCAAGTGCGTGCACACAGCTGCAAAAGAGCAAGATGAAATGGTCAGCACAAAGACCAATTGAAGCCATACAATAACTTCAGTACATGGGCCAGGTGGCATGCCTGGCAATGAAACATTTGAGCATCGCTCAATTCCCTCACCAAGACTGCCATGCCTTGTTGCCAGAAAGGTATTGCAGCATTTGCAGGAGAGCTGGAGTGGCAAACAATATTCTTGCATCCTAGAGAAAAGATGTTCACCGTTGATTCCAAATTTCTCAATCTCGTTCTTCTCTGTGACGACCAGGTAGGTGGCGTCACCCTTCAGGCCCTGGACCAAGGAGTGGTCACCTGCAGATATCATGCAACACACATTACCCACCACAACTAAAAAGTCACATGTAAGACAATGTCCAGCATTGCTCAGCATGCACGCATGCATGCCAAGCAAGCGCAAATGATGCGCCACTTTGCACAGGTTGCCGCGCGGGCGGAATCAAGATGCAGTCCAACACAGAGTCAGTGTGGTGTGACGGCTTCCTGACCCCACCCACCTGCCTTGTGGGTCGAAATCCACTTGCTGCCCTTGACATCGTTGCCAGCAGCGTCCTTGGCGATCTGTCCGCCTGCAGTGCCGGCAATCCTGCACCACATACGAAAACATGTCAAATTTCTGCTCACCATGGCCAGCGCGCTATTGGCGGCAGGCATCTGATTGTCCCGACAATCAGGTGACATTGATGCGGGACAGCAAAGCGAGGCTCGAGGCACTCACTTGGGAGGCACAAGCAGTGCCACGAAGCCAAACGCCATGTAGCCAATGGGGAGCGAAGCAGCGCCCAACAGTAGCAAGTTCATGGTGGTCTGCACCCAGCACAGCAGTGTCAATATATGCCAGTGTATCTGTTTGGTCCGCAGTACAGGTGTCTGGATTACTGGTGAAATTGTGTATCTTATTGGCCGACTGGTGTCGATCAGCCAGAATACAACCATTTCAGCACAAGCTGCACCGGCAGAATGGTTTGAAAACCACGATCTGCAGGCTGTCTACACTGCTCATGACAGGACAATATGGGCTGCTCCACGAGGGCTGGCAACAGCGGTGAGAGACATATGCATGTCGTGATATGAATTCTTTCAGCAGATCGAGCTAGCTTTGCATCGATTATGCAATATTTAACCACTTTCAGCTGAGAAGGCGTGGCTTTCTGTGGACATCTCCACTCCTTATCCAAGCTCAGAATATCACAGGCAGAGCATCACCCTCTTCTGCATGTCTGGCACATCCTCTGCTGCGATCGAGGCCGCCCGAGTGACCACAGGTGCTCTCAAGGCGCCTGCTGAAAGGTGGGCAGGCCTGCGCACTTGGGTGCCAAACACGCCAGCCCTCTGGCCCACTGGGGACGCAATAAGTGCTGACTGCATCCTGTCTATGCTTTTCGCTCCCTCCCCTACAGAACTTCTCCTGACTTATTGCTGCGCTAGCACAATCGCAAGCGCCCGGGCAAACCTCATCCGCAACCACACAGCTGTAGATTTTTGCAGACCCCACAACTGCAAGCGAGGTCGAGGGTGATGAGTGGAACCCTAATAGTTGGAGCGAAAGTTCAAATGCCTTGGACAGTTCCTGCAAGATCTCGCAGTTGCCAGAGCTTGCGATCGCACAGCTGCCCTTAACAGCAGAGGCATGTTTAGCTAGCACAAGGTAAAGCACCGTGCTTTTTTGCGATGGCAGGCACGGCTCAGGCCTTTCTGTTGGTCATCGTCATATGTGTTGCGTCAGCTTCGGCCGGCCCCTCAGTTCGCAGCCAGGATGCTCTCTCGACCCCTTTGTCAGCGCAAGTTATCAAGCTCGGCATGTCCGTTGAGAACAATCTTGACGCCGGAGAAAGCCGGCCGGGTGGAGAGGACCTTGGACAATACCTCGGTTCTGGGCTGGCACTTGCAAATGGCCAGCTCTACAGGATGATGATGCAAGAGACCACCGGTAAAACGATTTTGCTGAGTATGAGTCTAGGTTTAGCTGGCCATTTTCCAACCCCTTATGCTAGGTATTCCCATCATAGAGCTGCTGATGGGGTCCAAATCTTAGTGGAGAAAGCCCCTAAAATGCAACCTGGAGTTTTGCAACCCAGATTGTTGAAGATATTATCCATTCAAGCTTCAGCACCCCTCCATTTCTCAAGATCAGAGAGACATGGAATCAATGACACTGGCCATAACATGACAACGGGTTGGTGTCAAGGATGTCTTGTCGCGGTGCCCAGGTCTTGTCGAAGGTGTCATCAAAACAAATGATGCGGGCATCTCATGTGGACCGCGGTGCGCAAGCTGCAATGCAGCCACAGGACAATGCACACAGTGCTTGGACGGTGCGGTGCTTATCATGGACGCAGCATCGCCGAACCAGGCACGCAAGACTTCCTAGTGTCCCCACACAGAGCAACTGCAACTGCACATGTGCAACAGGTGCACTGCGCCCAAGATGGCAATGCAGTAGCCATGCTGATATACTGAAGTGTTGTGCAGCAAAGGACTGTCAGTGCTCTGGAAAGGCTGAAGACAGCATCTCATTATTTATGCTTTGCGCCCGGGCAATTGCCATGGGGATGACTTCCCCACAAGAACATGAATCACAAAAGAAAACGCGAAGGATGCACCACCGAGGAGTACAGCACACCAAGCTGGAGTCACATCCATGCTGCTATGCCAGATAGATGGATGGGGTGATGCACACCTCTACGACGTACCTAGCTACCCGGCTTGAGATGCCCTTCCCAATATATTGTGTTTATTTGTGCTGTGCAGCTGATCTGCCGGAGCTGCGCCGAGCTGAACTGCGCGGAGGGCGCCTGCACGGACGGCTTTGGCTGCTCCGCGTGCCCGGCCGGTTTTGGCATATCCTCCTCCGAGCCGCCGCTCGCGTGCACTGTGCGCTGCCCGCCACACTGCACCGACTGTGACAATGTCGGTAGCGCCGATTCACGATCTGATGGCGGCCGCTGCAACGCCTGCTCGCAGGTGCGCGCACCTGCCGGTCTAAGACCGGCCTTCCTGCGCATAATTGCACCAGCATTCCTGCTGACCTGAAAGATATCATTTTAATTGAAAAAATATTTTGCCGCCATCCGGATGGTTGGATTTAACTTAGAGAGCCATCAAGCTGTCAGAGGGTTCTGGCTGATTCACTGCCTATACTGCAGATAAAGTGCCGTGGTGGGCAGGCACAGATTGTTGGGATAAGGCCATGCGCAGTAGGTCCAACACAAAAAGGTCTGTAGAAGGGAGACCTGACACCGATATTTGTGATGCAGGGCTACATGCTGACAGAGAACGGCTTCTGTGAGGAGGAGGGCATCAGCGCCAGCGCTCGTGGCGCCACCCTGCAGCAGCAGCGGTCTCTGCTGCCTGATCCCCTGAACTTCCTGGCACGGCTGGTGCCTGGCATGGCGCACATAGACCCCACAGCAGATGCAGCATCTCAGGCCGACCAGGAACGGAGCATATATCTGACAGCAGCTGCACTCCGGCAGGACTTGCAAGCAGCCCTCCCGCTGCAGCTGGCGCAAGCCGTCAGCAGCGAGCAGCCGGCGCTGGTTAACTTCAATGACTTTGACACAGCTTCCCTGCAGCGCGCAGCTTCCTCGCAGCAGGAACCTGCCCAGAGTGTGTTCTGGCTGCAGTGGCCAGCAGTGCCGCCTGTGAAGGGCTGCCTGCAGCATTTCCTACGCAGCCTCCTGCAGGCCTTCATGCCCAGCGGGCTGATGGGCAGTCCAGGAGAAACCAGCGATGAGCCAGCAACAGACGGTGAATCTGTGAGGGACCAAATGATAAGGATGAGGTGGTGGGAGCAAATGCCGAAGTGGGAAACAGAGGAGGAGGTCTGGATCAAGGAGCACGGGAATGCCCCCAGCAGGATGGACCCTGAGCAACAGCAGCAGCTCACAGCAGCGCAAGATACAACAAAAAACGCCCAGGCCGCAGAACAAACCAGCAGTCAGGAAGAGGACCCAAGGGAAGCTACGCTCATGAACACGCTCCTGGGCTTGGCTGAGCCGCAAGGCGGTGAGTCACTCTCAGTCGAGCACGAGTCAGCCTTGCAGCCGGCTGAGCAGGGCGTGGTGAAGCTATCAGAGGCCCAGCCGCTTGGAAAAGCATGGACAGGGCTCACAGCCAGCATGCTCAAGCCGGCACTTGACGCAAGCCAAGTCTCAGAAAGAACACAGCAGGACATGCACGGCGCAGCTGCCGTGAAGCTGACGGACCCGCAGCCGCTCGGTGACGCGTGGTCCAGCCTGACCGCCGCCATGCTTCGCGCATCGCCTGATCGGGACACGATGACTAATCAGGCGGCGGCGGCGACGCCAGCGCAGGAGGGCGCCAGCGAGGCGGTGCTGACGTCAGTGTCAGAGGAGCCGCGCACGGCGGTGGTCAGTCGGGACGCTGTGGCGGCTGCGGCGCGCGAGCTGGCGGCCAACACCGGCATCAGCAAGGACGCCGCTCTAGACCGGGCCGTCTCCGCCGTGCTGCAGGCCGGCAGCTACGCGGCACCCGACCTTGACCCACTCTGGAGTAACCGGCGCTACGGCCCTGCAGACACTGAAAGTGCATGGGACACGGACGTTCTGAGAGCGGGGGGTGATGGAGTGTCAGCCGCGACCATGGCTGTGCCTCCGCAGTCAGGGCCTCCGCTAGAAGTGCAGCGGAGGGGCGTGATCAGCAGGGTGCTTGATGACATCAGCGGCGCTGTCAGAAGTGCAGTCGCTGCCCTCAGCAGGCACTTTGCGGGCCAGCTTTCTACCGCTGACAGTGAGCACCTTGTGCCCGGTGAGCTCCTTCATCTTTTTCTCCGTTTAGATCGCTAGGGAGGCTTTCCAACCTTGCAAGTGTTTGTCGAAATGAGGACAATTGCATGATACGTGTGGACGCATGTGCTAAAGCTCTTAATATGGTGCAGGTGTGTCTGTTATTGATTTAGCAGAGGAAGAGCTCGACACAGCCAGCAGAGAAGCTGCAGCAGGCGCCGCCGGGAATTTCCCGGCAGCTGCGCTCGGGCGGCTGCAGGTAGCGGCCGAGGCGGTCGTGCGCGCGCATGCCGATGCGCCAGACGATGCCATCACCGCACAACCAGATCGCGCAGATTCTCCTCGGCCCCTCGCATATGCCTCTGGCAGGGGTGCTGCCTCTGCTGCAGTCCCAAACGTCTTAATCAAGGATGAGGCCACCTCTTCAGAGGCGATCATTGTGCCGGGCATGGCGGCGGCTGCAGAGGTGGCGGCAGGCACGGACCCCTCTCTAATGTCTGACATGGCCGTACCCGTCCAGCAGCTGCCTCAGAAGGCGGAAGCTGCTGGCGTCAGCGCCAACAGCATCAACAATAAGATTGATGAAAAAGATGTCCAGGGTGACCGTGGCCTGGCTGAATATGCTTACGCAGACCCCTCGCTGATGTCTTGACCTTTCTGTGACATTTATACTCGCTGTCACAATGCGCACAGCAAAGTGTTGCAGGAGTCGCCAGCAATGAACACCCTGCTGGCAGCGAATAATTTCCCCCATATTTTGAAAAAGTATGAATGCGACACATGACAGAAGCAGCTGCTTTTTTGGGATATTTTGTCCTTCTTGTCTGCTGTATTACGCATTCCCAACGCATAGGGATTGCGATGGGTCTGGAATCGGGGTGTTGAAAGATGCAGAGCCGGATGTTTGAATTCACATCCAGGTGGTCTCTGGGGGCTTTCGCACTAACTGGGAACTCAATGCACGTATGACTAGGAACACTGTATATGATCTACTGGGGACACTTCGTTATGAGTTGATCACTGTTATGTTGCAGCACATCCGTGGTGAATAAGTTCAGTTGAATCTTCTGCAGTTTGTTGATTGGGGTTGTATTGGTGCCAAAGGCCTATCATTGCTTGCTACTGTATCCTGAGGTCATCCTTACACTCACTTCTGAAAGATGAGCCCATTGCAGCATTGTCTCCTATATCTGTGCTCCAGGGGGGCAGCTTTTCTATAGTATATAGAAGGAATTCGACTTCGATTACGACAAGGGCTCATGCTCATTGAAGGGGACGTTCTGCTACAGCTGTTGCCACACAAGATGTGTTAAATAATTAAGCATCCATGTTTCAACTGGGACATGTCTTGTTCCCGTTACTAGAAGAGAGTCTTCAAAGCTTATTGTCCAGTCATCTCTTTTACAACGGCTGAACGATTGCAGTGATAACAAGCAGCCTGTGTGTTCAGGAACCAATTTAAACAACTAACAATCACCACTATCATTTCAGGATTAGTCACGCCAGTCCAAAAATAGCAGCATGCTATCTACAAGAAGACGTAAGTGCCGCAGCTTTTCACCTGGCATTTCACCTGGAATTTTCACAAGAAATAGGTGATTGCTCTGCAGCACACATGCAATACCACAGGGGACAACACACGAAATGATACCAGACAGCCATATCTTACCAACATGGTCCTGCCATCACATGCAGCTTCGCCCAGCTGCTGGGTTCTAGCAGACAATCAATTGCTCTTGTTCTTCCTTGGGTAGCGTCTACAACGCTGTGAATCATCAATGTGCTCATTCTACAATTTGCAAGACAGCTGCACTAGTATTGCAGCCTTGTCAAACATAGCATGTTGGACTTCAATAGACAAGACACAATTTCTAGGCGCCATCCGCAGCACACCTGCGCTTCTCTCCAACTCTGTCCCAAAGAATACACCCAGCTATACCGGTTCGATTACCATGCGTCTGCTGCTGACAAGCAGCAGCAGATCTGTCAAGAAGTCCCACAACTTCCATCCAAGAACACTGCCATGAAGGCTGCGTAGTGATAGCGCACAAGGCGCAATGGCAACAGCGCCGTGCCTTATTGGACATCAACACATGCCACAACGGAGAGTGGCTGTCTCGCAATCAATGCACGTCTTCCATGCATGATAGGACAGTAAACTCAGCCGTGAGAAGAGAGAAAAGTCAGGCCCACAACAAGGTTTTGGCAGCCATTCGCAGCCTTGCATCTCTCTGGACAGCCACAGGATGCCAAGTCCCTAAGGACTGGTCAGTCTGTCAAGCCGTCAAGCTCGAGGAAGGCAAAAGTAGCAGCGCTTAAGCACAGTCCAAAATCCTCGGGGCCATTGATGGCTGGCAGAATCATCTCTCAGACCTGGAGTCGGAGAAAAGATTTTTGCACAATGAAGAAAGGGTCAGATACTAGGATAGACGACTAACAGCCTGCCTAAGCACATGCAGCAAGGGTGGATACTTCGGGATTGTATCAACTGAAGTACGGGTATTACTCCCAAGATTGTGTGGCTCTTTGTTTGTCTGCAGCACTCTTCAACTGGAGGATGAGCCAGCGCACAGGCTGCTGAAGCCGATGCTGCGGTGGTGGATCAGATCCTGCACTGCAAAGCGGCCGCCAAAAGCCGCTGTCAGCGTTGCACCCGTCGCGATCACCAGCGCCAGCAGGAACACTATGATGGAGGCCTGCAGCAAGGTTCACAAAATGCATGGTCACTGCGCAGCGATTTGCCTTTCAAGGGAACACCGCAAGCGGCAAGCTAGGGGAAGGGTTTGCATGGCCAAAAGAGGATTGCAGCAATGGGCCTCTGCATGCAAAGTACTGAGAACCCCTCCCGCTGTGTTGGCACGGAGGCGTATAGTTGCTTCAAGTCATCAAGAAAGAAACGAGATCTTACCACATTGACACTTGAAGAGCAGCTCTATGGGCAGCAGTGCATCTACAGTACCCTTCTGGCACTCCACACACATTAACAGTGGTCCCTTGGTATCCGTGCAGCTGTAAGACCAAAATGCACAACAGTGAATCCCTGTGAGCATGAATCGAGTAAGGTGGATATCAGGTGTGCGCACGTTGCCGGAGCGTTCGACGATGCGCGAGACGATCAGTACGCCGATGAGGGACGCGGCCATGCAGCACAGCCCAAACACCAGCGCAAACTGCGCGTTCAGCAGGTGCGAGAAGCCGAACGACAGCGCTGCTGACGAGGACGAGAACAGTACCTGCACATCCCAGCCATCTCACAAAACAAAAGTGTCCATCACCCTCGGGCTCAAACCCCGCGTCCTCACCGTCCTTGGGCCTATGAGAGATATTGACACAGGCACAAGTGTTTCAAGTGAATGTGGCCACTGTATTTTGCATGAGTGCTCGTCATCCCCACAGCAACAGAGTCTGCTCTGAAAGGTCTAGCAGCATGTGGCCACACGGGCGCAATGGCAACGAGCACCACACCAAGCGCCAGTCACTGCAATTCGCACGAGACAATGGTCCGTAGGAAAATGTGGGTCGCACCATGAGGGTGGAGGTGGCTGCGGCCACGTGCGGGTGTGTGCCAAACTCCAGCAGCAGCGGATTCACGATCATGCCGCCGCCGATACCCAGCAGGCCTGCGCGCGCCACAAGAGCATATCCAAAATGCAGTAAAGAGCCATGGGGGCATTCCCCTAAGCAGAAGCCAGGAACAAGGCTGCACCAGGCACACCGCGACCCCTTCTGGACGGCATGCATGGGGCCTGTAGATGATTGCCAGAGTATTTGCAAATAAGGCTGCACTTTCACCACAGTTGGATGTTCAGAGACATGCAGCAGGCGCCAGGGCGGCACCTGCGATGAAGCCGGCAAGGAGGGTGATGATGGCGGATCGGATGAGGCGCGGCAGCGTCCAGGCGGGCGCCTCCTTGTACACGCTCGCCAGCATCGGCTGCTCCAGCCGACTCTCCTGGCTGCGCTGCTTGCGGGCACTCACCTGCCGTGGCACAGAGCTTATGCATCAAACATCTTTGCACAAAATGGGCAGCACACTTATCAGCACATGGAGCTCTGCCCTGGAGGGAGAAGCTTGAGCGGTCTTCATTGACGGCGGCAGCACGCAAAGGGCAGGAAAGTCATGGGTGCCAGCAAGCTCACTTACGCCATGTGCTCTCTGAAAGCTCACCATCATATGCTGACATGCTCAGTACCATAGAGCGTCCTAGGAAGTGTCAACAACATAAGTCTTGCAAGAATTCTCTATGATTTACAGTAGCGAGGAAGCAGGAGGGTGGGCCGCACCAGGCGCAGGAAGGCGACTTCGGCGATGAGGCAGAGGCCGGCCTGGACGGCGAAGATGGCCCAGTACGGGCCGCTGCAGTGCGGCCAGCGGCTGAGCAGCAGCTGGAACGTCACAAAGATGCCCCAGCAGCCCAGCAGCACCACCACCTGCGCGCACCCACTTGATCAGCACACAAGACTGAGGTGATGTGCCCACTGACTTATGGGACCATGCAATAACACAGGCGGCGGGGGCAGTCGTGTGAGCTCGAATGGCATCTTTGAAAAACATGGTAATGCTTTGGCTTGGCACTCGCGCATTCAAACTGGAAATAGAGGGGAATGGCCTCCAAAATGCCTCTTCAGCAGCTGCACAAGCCCAGATGCAAAACATACTGTATCGTTCAAGGTGTTTCTGCCAAAATGGGATCATGTCACCACAGTTTGAGGTGTTTTCACTCATGGAGGGGTACTGAGTTGACAGACCTGGAGCCAGGTGGCCGGCTGGCTCCGCACAGAACGGTGCTCCTGCTGTCGATCCTCATCGTGCTCTCCCTCGTCACCGCTCATGTGCCCCACCTCCGTGGACACGATCTGGGTGCGGGCGCGAGCACCACTGACCACCTGCCAGCATGATGAACTTATCAGTTAGCCACCCGACACAGGTGGGCAATTCACAATCGAAATTGAGGCTTGAGCAAGCCATGGCGCAGGGAGTGAGAGCCTTCGATGCGCAAACTTCTGCATTTGAGCGCCGCCTAAAGTGTACAGCAAAAGAAATTGCAAGCACATTGTATACAGCAGTGCAGCATGCTCGGGATGCTTCCGCGCTGTTGCCAGCATGCAGGATCCAGGGTGAAGAGAGTTCCACATTGCCAACTGGCTCTGCAGCATCTTGTGCACAGCCCACAGAAGAAGGCTCACCGGCTGCTCCACTTCCAGGCTGGCGCAGGCGTGGCTGAGCTGCGTGCCCGCGGCCGCCTTGCCCCGGCCGTCCCCGGCGCCGCCCTCCAGTGCGCCGTCACTGCTGGAGCCGGCTTCACAGAAGACCGCCGCGCGCGCAGCGGCGTCCCCCTGCTGCTGTGCGCTACTCGCGGACGCGTGGCCCTCGGAGCTGTCGGCTTTGGCACGCGCGCTGCTGCAGGTGTCGGCGGCCTGCTCGGCCTTGTACAGGACCTCGGCGCGGTGCAGGCTGAGCGCCTTCTTGACGGTCATGTGCGTCAGGAAGATGAGCAGCAGCAGCAACAGCACCGTGATCAGCCAATTGGGGAACAGCTGGTTGGCCAGCACACCTGCGACAGGGTCAACAGCATGCTTCCGTCAGCAGTGCCTCTCCTCCACCCAGCAAGTGGATGACAACCCCTTGCGGGAATGGCGACTCATGCGAATAGCCACCAACAGCAATGGACACGTCAAACACAAGCATGGTAAGTAGCAAAAGTCGATTAAATTGTGCCGTGCAATCCTGTGCATGCTTCCTCAGGCATGGGCAACATCTAAAGAGTAGGCAAGGCATCATAAAACCAAATATCTGAGTTTGAATTTAAAGAGAAATGAGGGGTTCCAGGTTTCATCAGCACAGCAGCGCACCGACTGAGACTCCCAGGAGGATGACTGGCAGCAGCATGAGCGCCAGGTCAAAATCAATGAGCGGCTTGCTGGGGTCGTAGGGGTGCTTCTTGTGCAGCGTCACCCCCACGCCTGCCAGTGCCCCTCCCGCAATCACCGCCTGTGAAAGCGCTGCGGCTCCCTTCACACCTGCATACACAATGTTCCAACAGTGTTGTGGCTGTGAGGGAGCAGTGCAATAAGGGTCCGTTTATAGCACACTAAGCGACTATGCAGAAATGCATGTGTGCCTGCGTCCCCACTCTTGCGATCGGAGGCGCATGCAGCCAGCAAGAGTGAGGAGATTTGAGTTTTGATGCGAGTCATGCTGGGGCAGGGGACGCACTGAATTGCAGGAGGATGTTGAACAGGGGCACAAAGAAGGCTCCGCCTGCAATCAAGCAGAGAAAATAAGCGCAGCACACGCGGGTGGTTATGTTAAGCTTCCATCCTTTGCGCATGTGCATCTGCAGTATATTGTCATTCCCGAGCAAAAGCTGCAAAACCCACCTCCCACCCCAGCAGCTGTGGCGATTCCGCCAACCTGGAACAAAGATGGAGGCAGATATCAGCAATCTTGCATGCACTGCGAGAAATGGACACTCAGAAGCAGGAATTGCATTATACCCCGAGGTCACGGGAGGCAGCTCAGGGCAGGAAGCTGGGCGGTAGCGAGCCCTCACCACAACTGCCAGTACCAAGGCAGGAATGTTGCGAGCAGGATCCTCTAGGAAAGTGAGCTGCAGGTCCCTCTTTGTGTCATCCGAAATCCTGCAAAGCGTGAAGACCTTCCACTGGTCAGAATATTTGTCATGGCCAAAAATGAAGGTGTTGGCTGAACCCTACCAATCCTCTCTGAGTTCTGATCATTAGCAAAAGATCCCAATTGGCATCCTTAGAATTGCCCAAGACGGTGCGGAATTCAGGGTGCCATGTGAGCTGATGTCACACAACAGAGGCTGGCGAAGACCACTCATGCGTTGGCCATCCTTCTGCACTGATCGCCCTATCAGTCACACAGGGAACACATATTTAACAGAGGGGATCCAGGTGACTCACTCAAGGAGAAGTCTTTCTGTCCTTGTCAGACGCAGACCCAGAGCCCAATAACAGCCGAGGGAGAGTGTAGCAACGTTCAGTACCGCGATCCAAGCCCATCTGTCAGATTGACATCGAGACATTCCCATCGATACCATCTTGAGATTGGCAAAGCGAGCTAGGAGCGGAGGTAGCCCTCTGTCACTCTCTGGGGTACAAATCAGTTGCCCTAGAGGAAACTACGTAGAATCACACTTCGGTACGGGAGTGCACTTCCCCATTCATTCGACTGGCTTTCTATAATTCGTGGAAACAGGCTCGAAGTTGCGAGGATGCGCGCGTTTCGCCTCAAGGCTGCTGAGGTCAGCCCCAATTGGCGCACATGGTCATGACTGATCCTTGATTGTGAGTTGCATGGCCAACTGGCACACTGTTGGCCTTCAGCAGAATTGTCTCATCGATATTTAAACACTTTGGAGTTGAGACAGCACAATATAGACAGTTCATAGCGGTCCATAGTCGTGTACGTCAGTAGGACAGAGCCTGTGCACCTGGAAGGTTTTTGCTAAACGCTAGCCTGACGGGGCAGAAGGTAGCACGGTAGGCAGTATTTTCAGAGAACTTCGCCATGGTGTCCGGGGCGGTGTTCGGAGCCATCGTTGGAGTGGGCGTGCAATTCTACAGCAATGCAGTGAGTGATCTTGCACTCCGAGATTCTCTCTTAAGAAGATTGCAATGACGTCTGCGTGCAGGTCGAGAAGGAGTATCACGATCCAGAATGTAGCATTTTGCAAGTCATGATGCCCTGTCTCGCCTGCAGCAGATACAGAGAAATACCTCTAGGGCAGTTTCCAGCGTTCTTGTCAAGCAGACAGCCTCCTCGTCTGTGTTTGCTTAAGCAAGGTATGTGTGCATGTACAGGTGAGGAAATTACCTGTGTGGCAGTCGCCATGGGAGCACGTGCTGTATGCAGGCATTGGTGCATATACAGGTGCAGCTCCTTCGGTGTCTTTGTCCTTTACCTGTGACCATGTCGGATCTCAGGCAGACTGACATCCTGACACACGAATAATTGTGATCTGGTGTATTTTCGTGTCTGCGGTAGGGCGGGGCATTGGTAGGGCCTAGTCATGTGCACTTCTTGCACAAGCAAATTTCTAATGTCCGAGACCCTGGTGCAGGCACCAAGCTAGTGGAATACACAGATAAGACAGCTGCAGAAGTGGATGAGATGGTCAAAATGCGAGCAGAAAAGAACAAGTTGAAGGGTGCTGCTGTTCCACCGTTGCAATGATTGCCAGATGGTGGTTCAGCGATGACAACCGGATTTGTTTGATCCGTTCTGCAGTCATGGCGGGGACTTACTGTCAGGAATTGGCGAGCGAGAGATTGGGGAGATAAGTGCATATTCCCCTGAAGGCGCATAAATGATGTGACATCATCATTGCTTGATCTTTCGGTTCCTTCTATTGATTACAGTATGTTTGGGCCTTTTCTAATCCTTACCGGAGAGCATTGGTGAAATTACAGAGCAATCACACTTGTACGATTGGTGCCATCCTGGTTGGGCCAGAAATGCTAAAAGCCCAATCCATCGATTGGAAACTTTATCCGGTAGAATAAATCACAATCTAGCAGACGTCATTCAACATCAGATCTTTCCGGGAAGAAGATCCCTTCTGTAGCCATCCACTCCTCGGTTCTGCCTGCCTTCTTCTTCCCGCAGATCTCCAGTTGGCCCCCGATTGGCCGCCCATACCTCTTGTCAGCACTGCTGGACAGGAAGCCGCCTGTCTCCTTGTGCTTGAGCTTCACCTGCACCACAGCACCAGAACATCTGGATGCGCAGATGTTGCAGCCTTGTCATAATCATTCCAATTGCTAGTCAACCTTGAGCATGCCTGTTGACAGAGTAAAGCATCTGATAAGAGGACCACAGATAACAGCATGATCTTAACATTACCTTCTGGTCTTGCAGCCATTGCGAGCCAGAGAACTGCACTTCCCAGTTGTCCAAATGGTCAGACTCCTTGTCATTTCCAAAGGCGCTCACCTGCGAGCATTATTGCAATGCATTGGCCATCAGCATTTTATGCGGCCGAACTCAGCACAGTACTTCTTACTGAGCTTCCTCGTCGATAAGTTGCACTTCAGCGGCAAATGCAGGAAAAGAAATCAGGTGAGCAGGCTGACGGGCACCTCCAAATTCTGTGACAGTGGCGAGGGGAAGTGGTGGCTGTGCAGCCATCTTCTGGTGGCTACATGCTGCAGCCTCACAGCGGTGCCGCTCTTAATGGGCGTCCCTTGCACACATTCTGCCTCCTGCACATGCAGCGGGATATCTTGAAGGCTCTCCCTGTCAACGCTCAACGACATAGTTCTACTTGCATCACCACTCTCACATCAAGAATTAAAAGTGCCCAGATCTAGAACATTGAGGGTCAGAAAGGCCCGCACCTGGGCTCCAGTGACAACCCATAGGCTGTTAGCATCAGAGGTGTCCTGGAAGCCAGTGACTGACTGCTGCCCGCTGCCTGAGCCATATGAGATCTCGTGCGAGTGCAGGTCGAAGCCAGTAGCGGCATGCTTGAGCTTGATTACGCTTCCACAGGTGACCTAGCGCAGTTTGGAGAATTTCAGTCACAATAGCGACACTCATCACTTGATCAGACTGCTCTATGGAAGAAGCCCACTCGGGTTTCCCACCCAAATCAACAAGAATATGACTGCAACGTAGACAAAGATCTGATCAAAGTACTTCAGCTGCTCACCGGGACATCTTCTGCTATTGTTGCAATTGCGCATAGTGCAAGCAGCACGACTAAACGGATCATGTTTGTCAAGTGGGAACGCTGATAAGTAGTTCTTTATTGCAAAGGCAAAAGACTTCCTGGCTGATCAGCCAAGGCTCAATTCAACGGACAGAAAATCTTCAAGGTAATAGATCAGTGTCGAGATGGCCTACAAACAAAAAATCGCCCCACCCACAAGACAGTACCCTACGGATCAATGCAACATGGTGGGATAGGATTGATATTGAAGATGAATTAGTGCGCTTGAGATTTCCCTCCAGAGTTTCGCAGAGTCAACATGGGAGTTAATAGATTAGAGCCTGCCCAAAGCCAGCTCGGAAGTTTCATGGGCACCCGACGCATCTGTTACAAATGCCTATAACTTGGGTGTGTAAGACTCCACCATAACGTTGTTCCATAGTTTTTGCATTTTGAACATCGATCAGAACTTTGTAAGATTGACCATTTTAGTAAAGTCTCTGAGACGCGCTGCCTTCTGGACTTCTGTAAGGCCTGCTGACAAGGAACGAGAGATTTGCACACAGCAACCCTGCAAGAGCGTACAAGAGTCAGTCATACATTGCTCAAGGGAACAATCAAGTTTGACGAGGAAGTACCAAGGTCTCTCAAGGCCAAGGTAAGCAAGTCAGCGCTTCTTATGACAGTGACCTGCGTAGATCGCTGGTTCTGTGGCACCCCGCACATCTGATCTACGGGATCGTTTCAAGTTGTCGTGCTTTCATATGAGCACCGAACTCACAGCACATCTCCACACGTTGACAGCCTTGCATGTGCAAGAGCCTGTCCTTGGACTCTTTAGTAAGAAGAGAGGGGAGGTGCATGGGCTCAGCACATTTGCTGCTCTGTCTGCAGGTTATCGATCCATTCCTAGGCTGAGAGAAAGCTAGGAGCCTGAGGATCTTGGTTTGATTGCCAACCAAGCCTTTACCCGCTGCTGGTCTGGCATTCCCCAGGGCAGCGCAGGGTCGGGTGTGTAGCAGAGCATGCTGTGATCAGGAAGTTGACCGAAAGTTGAACAACTGACGCTTTCACACGCGGCATGCATGAGGTTCATCTACTTATTCCTGGGCATAGCATTCGTTGTTGCGCGGTACATGACGCGCCGGTGGTGGCAACACCTCAGGTGCGCCAAGGGGGCAGCAATAATGATTTTGCATACCCATTATGTGCTCTTGTCTGCACCCCAAACTCCTTAGCGGCTTTCAAAAGAGATCGTTTCTTGATACGTGACCTGCCACTGTATGCCACTCCACTCCCTGCAAAGCAGCGGTGTGAAGCACGATTGAGGCCGTTTTGCGAGCTGGCAGCCTGCCCTGTTTATTGCCAGCTCCACTGTAAGCAGTGCGACCGTTGCAGTCTGTCAGTGCATGCTGGGTTCCGTGCAGGCTGAAAAGGGCGCGCAGCAGGGCGGGGTACGCCATGCAGCCGACCTTGCCGGACCTGCCGCAAGCGCCACCGCGGTCTGAGGCTGCGAAGGAGGCAGAGGCGGAACAGACGGCAAAGCACCTGAAGCAGCAGCTGCCTGTGGGCCCTCAGTACCTCAGCAGGGATGACCTTGTTGAGGCGGTCAAGCCCACCGATGCTCAGATGGCGCTCTGCTCCCTCTACAGCAACAGGTGATTCGCCCTTCTGTCCATCTACTCTCTTGTCCTTATATCCTGCTTGTCTGCTGACATTGTACTGCATGTGCACACCCACCCGCTCACCGCAGGGATGTCATGCAACAGTCTCAAAAAAGACTTTCCAATCCCTTTATTGGCAGGGAGCTTGAGGGTGCTGATGCTCACCAGTTGTTGGCTGGTTTGGCGTGCTATTGGCATGGCATGTGTGGTGACATATTGACGGTATCTGCGCCAGGTACTACACTCAAAAGCGGCTGGCGCGCGCATCGAAGAAGCTGGGCATTCCGGAGCTGACCGTGTATGACCAGTTTGAAGACCGCCGCGTGGGCCTGCGCATGTGCACCTTCACGTCTGACGTGCAGGACTTGGGCGACGGTGTCAAGGTGCGCGCACACTCACACCAGCAGCAGCGCCGATTCCCTTTCTTTCGCACACCCTAAGATAGATTCACGTCCCATGCACCACATGGGTGGGGGCCCAACATGTTTTGACGCCGGGAGTCCCATGCTGCAAAAACAAGGAATAAAGTAGCTTCAGGCTGGCGCGCTGCAAGAGTGCTGCAAGGTCACCATTCGTCAAATGTCCTTCTTACTGCTCTCCAATTCCCAATCCCAGGCTATTCTGACAATCCGTTTTTGCTGCGTGGGGAGATGACAATGATTTGTCATCATGCTGACATGTGGCGCTGAGCGGGCGCGCAGGTGGCGGCAGCGGTGTTTGCGCTGCGGGGCACGCGGCTGACCAAGGCGGGGACGGTGCAGGCGGACATCCAGCTGATGAAGGACCGCGATGCGGAGCTGTACTACTCGCAGCGCGCGCTCAAGCACGTGCACAAGCACATCCGCCGCCTCACCCTGCAGCAGCCCCACGTGCAGTGGGGCTTCTTCACCACCGGTGCGCACTCTCTGTCATCGTATTGTGGTTTCTGGCGCTGGAATAGGACTTGCGCCAGTCTGCTTGTGTCTGGTGCAAAGGCATGTGAGCGGGGGATGAGGTTTTCTGTTGCGGTAATCTGCTTCCACTGCTTCCACCTCCGTTGGGGCATGATTGCGTGCACAAATTCAGTGCAAGGCAGTCTGACGCATTGTGCGGGCCACCTGGAATCTGTGTGACCCCATGGAGCTCTTGATCATCGGTGCATGCTGCTTCATGATCTGATCTTGCCTGAGTCCTGACAGAATGAGATATGTACATTGCACAGGGCACTCGCTGGGGGGCTTTGCGGCGGCGACGTGCCTGATCCTGTGCGACCACATCCTGACGTGCACGGCCTTCGAGAGCCCCGGGCTGACCACGTTCTACCACCGGCTGGCCGCGCAGAAGGGCGACGAGGAGTTCTGGCGCGCGCGCATCACCAATTACCTGGCCATCCCCAACCCCATCAACATGTGCCAGCGCCACCTGGGCCGCATCGTCAGGTGCGCACATGCCCCCGCATCCCTTCCAAAGCTTTGCGATGTGTCAGCTTTCTGACGCAGGGAGCATGTTGGGTGGTTGTAGACGTGCAGGCCGTGCAATATGGTTGCTATCTATGTGTCGGTTGTCTGACACTGCATGTCACCCACTCAGATTTAGATCGAAAGTGTTTGTCGTGGAGGAATGCTGCAGACCGCACACTATATTTGTTCATTGCTCTTCGACTATGGCCTCATGTTCTCAGATGGAAATATTTGCACCACTGTTGAGATCCATCTGGGGATTGTTGGCCTGCACTAAAAGCGTCCCCAAAGTGTGTTTATGCAGCAGTTCAGTAGCTTGCCAGTGCTGCCAGAGTTTCTTCCACCGGCATGTCACACCTCTTTTCAGCCAATATTCACCTCAATGAAGATTTAGATGAAAACAAATTCTAAAGTAATGTGCGTGCCTCTGCGCAGGGTGCACTTCCCGCGGCTGGAGTGCCGCACGGACGCGACGCATGTGCTGCGGTGCGCGCTGGGCACGGGCGTGCGCGTCCTCAACTGGGGCCTGGCGGCCAGCGCCGGCGTCTCCGCGCTCTGCCTCGCCGCCGGCATCTCGCGCTCCGCCCTCATCTGCCGCATGCTGGAGGTGACAATCTCACTGCCGCTCCCACGCTCTCTCAGCTTGCCGCGTCCCTGAGCCTGCTCCATAAACCTGCATGCTGCCTTGCTTGAGGCCACATTTAGGACATTCCATGTGTGAAAGGGATGGCTTTCTTTCCTTCTTTTGTCAGAGACAGCCAAGGTGGTTGAATTGATGGTTTCTCGGTCACGGTGTGACATTCTTAATGACTATTTGTGCTGTGCTTTCTTGCACTGGCCCTGGCTGACGGGGGCCGGAACATAAACTTGGCACCGTGCCCACCATTGCTTGTTGCTTGGATCTTGCGAGTTCATCAAGGGGTAGGACTTGTGGCAGCTTTCACCTGCAGCGTCCTCTGCAGGCTTACCTTGCCTCTGGCACACACAGGACATTATAATAGTATGCTGGATGGGGATTATCGACGTTTGTGCAGGCGTGGGCGTCGGAGTGTGCGCTGGAGGTGGCGGTCCCTCCGGTGGCGGCGTCCGCGTACTGGAGCCTGAACAGTGCGGCGGCCATGGTGGCCACGCGGCTGGGCACCACGCTGCGCTACATCCTGCAGCAGCACTCCATGTGGCATATGGCCCAGGCACGACTCACCTCCCCCCCCCTTGAATTCCCCCAGACTGTTCCCTGCAGAGGGTACCATTCTAACCACTATATCTAAGTAAGAAAGTCCCGACTGGGCCCTGCGAGGTCTTTGGGCAGCATTGGTCCCTCTTCAAGATTGCCAAGGCTGCTTTTCCTCCAAGGTTTCCCAGATCCTCGGGCGAATTCGCAGTTGCTGGTCGTTTGAAGCACCAATGGCTGCGGTTCTGCCTGCGCTTCCGGTGAGTCTTCAAGGGAGCAGTGCTGCTTTTCCTGCCGCTCCCAGCGCTGCTCTGTATTACCATCTTTTGACCAGGTCGAGTCAGGGGGGTCTATATATGGTGTGATGTCTCCTGGGCGAGTGATGTCATGCTGATGTGGCGGGTGCGTCCTCTTCAGGCATTTGACGCGGTGGGCGGCGGCCCGCGGCAGAGCATAGAGATGGAGTCGTGGCCGCGCATGGAACGCATGACCGAGACGTTCGGCGCCACAGTTGGCCGCGCGCTGCTCGAGTCCTTCTACGCCACCGCCTCCACCGAGGGCCTCTCCGTCATCTTCAACCGGTGCGTGTCGAAGATGTCGATACCTCTGGATACCTGGGATCCAGATGAAACTATCATCTTTTGTACATAAAATTTGTTCTGCTGACAGACCCTGCAGGCAAGTGCAATTCCAGCGTGAGTGCTTCTCTATCCGTCAATGTCACTGCGTGTTGCAGTGATGTCTGGTCAATCAAAGGCTGATGTCAGCATCGGGATTGTTGCAGGACTGCGATGGTGGAAGCGCGCATCCGGCGGCTGCCGGGCTATGTGCCGGCGCGCAGCGCAGACTTCGACGACGCCACGTCGGAGGGCGGCCACTCGGCGTTCCTGTGGCGACTGGGGGACGCGTTCGATCTGTGGGAGGAGCAGGGGGATTTAGTGGATGACACCGGGGTTGCCCCTTCCCCGCTGGCAGCTGTGGATGGTCCTGTGGATGTACCTGACAGCCTCAACACCACGGAGGTGCGCAGTGGCACGCATTGTCTTTACTTTGCAGGACATGTTGTCAGGTGCAGTGCGAAGACGCGGCATACAATTGCATGGTCTGAATGGCGTGGATGGCATGAAGTTGGTTGGGACATCTGAGCGGCAGTGGTAGTGGGCTTTTTTGGCATACTCCCCTAAGTGTTGGAATAGACCCAAAAGAGCTTGATTTACTACCCTCGCAAATCCAGAAGAGGCTCAAGCAAGCAATTGAGTAGAAACAAGGTATCGAATAGAGTTGATTCTTGAGGGATTCCGCAGCGCAAGTGAAGCTGGAAGGAGAGTCTGCCCTGAGACCCGTGGTCTTTCCTTGAATACGTCAAGATGTTGGTTCTCAGGACAGAGCCTCGCAAGAACTTCGCGTCGCAGTTGAATGTTCAAAAGTGTTGCACGACTTCAATGTGGTTCAATGCCATGATTGTGCCTGGGAGGTTTCAATTTTAGAGGTACATGATATGTTGGAGAGCGAGGAGTTGATTTAGACTGTTTGCGTCGTCTGTGTATTCTTCCTGGGGATTGGCTGTTTAAAACAGATATTTGCTGCAGGATTCGGAGCTTTCAGGGGCGGTGCCAAATGCCTTTGGAGAGACCGATGGCGGTTGCGCAGAAGCTGCTGATGTCCCCTCCATGTTTGGCCCCTCGCCCTTCGAGCGCGCCAGCCTCACAGGCTATGACTCAGACGACGAGGGAGAGACTGAGGGGCAGGGGCACAATGCATCCACGGCCAATCTCAGCGCATTTGACGACTGCACCACTGATGCTGAACTGCAGCGCGGCCCCCTAACCCGCAGCTGCAGCCAATACCCTGCTTCACGCAGCTGTGAGTCATGCTTTTTGTGTGGAATTCTTTGATTGAGATGGTGGTCCATTGGTGTTCTGATCCTCAACTGTTGAGTGTCTGCATGTCTGCACATATTCTTATCATGTAAGAGGTCAAGATCCAATTGCCATTTGAGATGCAGTGTCTGAAACTGAACCCTGCCCTGGCTTGCAGGCGGCTCTCTGGGGCCTCGAAGCTCCTCGGCCTTCGTACTGGGCAAAACACTGGGCGCCAGTCGTGGTTTCTCTGACAGGGGCCAGGAATCAGACTCTCTTGACGTGTCCGGCCTGGACCCCGACACCGAGGCCGACGGCGCCGGGCGCTCGGCGGACGAGTCTGCGGGTGAGTCATCGGGCCGGCGGAGGGGCCTGTTCAGGCATCGCCGCTGGCCGTCCCGCCACGCGTACGACAGCACCTCCGGCGCCGAAGGCCCTTCCACCGCTGACGAGGCGTGGCAGAAACCCCGCCACCTGCGCAGCGCCGGCGACGGCTGCCGCGGCCTGCCTTCTGCGGCACAGTGTATGCCCGGCAGCTCTTCCCTACAGACTCCGCGCAGCAAGCTCCGCTGTGCGTCGACAGATGCAGACGAGGGTGTTGGTGAGAAGCTTGGAGGCAACGCGGGGGAGACAGGGTATCAGACGGAGTCGGAGGCGGGGGTGGATGCGGGGATGGAGGAGGGTTTGTGGGCAAATAATGCGGCGGCCGCGGCGGTCGATGCGCCATCGGCTGCCGGCGGCTGGTTCCGGCGGCCCATACTGTGGGCCGGCATCAAGAGGGGCATCCGCCGGCGTGCTGTGCCAGACCTTGTATGAAGGCTCCTCAAGAATTCTAGAGAAAAGGTTGCACAAGGTCATGGGTCGATCATTGAGTGACCTGCTCCTGTTTGCAAAGATTTAGGACCTGGCCTTAAGAGGTTCACACCGTGTAGAACATCTGGCATTATCAATGCCTTGCAGGCCGCTCAGGCATGGTATCACTCTATATTAAGAGCAGGTGCCTTCCAGTGATAGAATTGAACGCTGGTGAATGTGCTGGGGATCAGGATAATATGCTTTGTATTCTGTCATTGAGCCCTCAACCTAGAGAATTCCAGGTTGTAGAGGCTAGATTGAGGTGGTGTTGGTGGTCAGATCAATTGTCGGGCACTGTTAGCAATGTAAAATCATGTAAGTTAGCTTCAGCTTGTAGACTGCTGAAGGTAGAAACCTCATGCACATTGCTGCAAGAACTTGTGTTTAAAATAAAAGCAACTCCTGCATTTGTCTGTCAGTTAGCACATGTTGTGAGTCAATGAGTGCGAAGCACGTGAGCAACAATATCTGCGGGTTTTGTATAAATGGTATTAAATGTAAATCAAATGTACTGTAATTCTGACCTGCCAGTGAGATTCTCCACCTCATGGAGGTTTGGCATGCATGCATACATGCGCACGCCACTGAGGTTTTATAAAATTACTCCTTACATATTTGTATTGACGTCGTTGAACACTTGCATCAGGATTTTCGATCTATACCGTTCTTCAGCAAACTATGATCCTTCATGGAGACACCGATGCCACATTGACGTCCTGCATAGATATGGACCTGCCACATGCTTGCACAATGCATTCTCCACTAAGCGCTGCTGGGGGGTCCCACACATGTTATTCGGGTGTTCAAAGTAAAAAGCTTTCCTAGGAAGCGTCCTACAAGACCTAGGGGACCAACGTCCAGAAATTACCTAGCAACTTGACTTGTGCACATATTCCACTTCCAGCGGCCATTGTGCGTTGCGGCAGCACCCCTGGACACTATTGAAACCTGAAAAGGCCTGCAAAGGATGAAGCATACTGGGAAGATGCATCTAATCTAGCCCTTTGGGCCCCTTTGTGGCCTACAAACCTGCGCACAGTGCTCCCAAAGGGACAAGTACACAAGGCCACGGCATTATCAGTGCCACTACAAGGAATGCCGGTCATGTAGCATCTAAATTATAGCAATGCAACATGCAACCTGCAATAGGCTGGAAGCAACAGCGCCTTTCTAGAAACCACAACCGCAGACTCAGTATATGGACTGTACGTGCCCCATGATCTCGAGCAGATCCACAGTCTTCTCTGAGCTCTTAAGTCTTGACTGCAGCACTGATCAATGCGGCCCACTTGCACAGTTTGTAGCTATGGCTATGAGTGCGGATCCACGCCCAGAAGCAGTTTGACCTCCTCGAACACAAACCAGCTGATGCCGGCTGCAGGGGCCACCTTGGCCAGATTTGGCAGGATGCCCTGCGTTCAAAATCATGCTGGATCAAAATGTAATTCTCTAGCCAAAATAACACCTCAGCATTTCACAGCAAGCTCCGTAAATCACAGACAGAGTTCCTTGTGCCGATGGTTTTGCCAATGTGCGTTTCACACCCCGCAGCGAGTTGCTTGAAGCAGATACTTCTCATCTGTCAAGCACAGCAATCACAATATGCCTGAGGTTCCTTGTGCCCAGCTTGAGACAAAAACACATGACAACATCATATCAGGGGGTAGATCGAAATGGGCACCCTCCAGGAGAAAGATTTGGCAGAGCAGGCCCTTCAGAGCATATACAGAGCATGCCGCACCTTATAGAGGCCGCGGACGCCCTCCTTCTGCACGGCCTGCGTGAGAACGTCCATCATGCCTGTGTACTTGTGTGGCCGCCCGCAGTACCCCTGCGCCTGCTCACGCAGCCACGCCAGTACTCTTCAAGGGCCACACATGTCATCGCTTTGCAGAATGTCATAGTATCATGGAAGCAATGTCTGTGACGCCAGAACAAGATGAGACATGTTGTTGATGAAGTTTGAGGAACAGCATGTATCTTGTTGAGACACTGAGGCCGTGATGGGCAACCTCTTTCATCTTTCCCCAAAGAACTCCGAAAATTTGCCCGTGAGATTGGTCATCGTCACCAACACAGCACGCCCCAAAATGGCCTTGCAACAGATATGGCCCTGCTAGGATCGCACAAACTCCTGATTGCCCTGGGGTCATTTGCTCCCATGGTTCAGCAGGACCCCAGAAGGAGGCGTGGTCACCTCTCTTTTCTGCGACATTCCTAGGAGCTTCCAAGTACCTACGGATTCCCCCATGTCAAGAATGGGAGGGAGGGCACACCCGGAGGCAGGTGTGCATGAAGGGCAAAACCTTGCTTCTTTATGCAACGCCGTCGCTAAACAGCAGCGGCACTACTTGCCGGGAGGGAATACATCCACCGCATGCATGTTGCTCCTTTCTTGATGAGCTCTGGCTTCTTTAAAAATGACATAAATGAGAGATGTGCACCTGGAGGCGGGTGCGGGTGAGGGCGAGTGGGTAGGAGGAGAATTGGGCGATGGTGGAGGAGGCCATGCCGGCGGCCAGGATGGTGTATGGCGGAGGCGCGCCGTCATAGTGGTCCAGCAGCCACTCCTTCAGCACCTCGAACGTCGCTATGTCCACCCCCGCGTACGGCAATATCCCAATCTGCACCACCCACGCGCTGTACTCAGTACTTGACAGATATATTCTGCGAAGCACAAACCCCGGTGAGCACCTCATGGAGAACCCTGTAGCAGCACATACAACATGCAGGCTGGCCCACATCCTTGGCCTTGCCCATTGGCCCAATGTCCTGACCACTATTTGCCATTGGCGAGCGAGCATGGGACTTTGTCGTCCTTCCAAGTGTACTGCGCACTGTGTCTTAGAAGACAAATAAAGGGCTTGATCCTGGTGAACACAGGAGCTCTGTACAAGAGGTCCTTCACAGCTGAAAAAAGGCCCAATTGGAACACCCCGACATACTAAGCTGCTACCTTTGACTCCCTTCCAATCACTACCACACTCTTTCTCTGTTCAATAAGATGGCCCATGCAAGCAAGACATGAAGGAGGGAGTGGGGTGGGTGCGCGCACGAGGGAGGGGGAGAGGCCGCGGTAGAAGGCACGGTAGCCCTCAAGGCGTACGATCTGGCGGAAGCAGTCCGACATGCCCCGGTACGTGCCCATCGGGCACACCGCCAGCCGCGTCCGCACCAGCTCCAACGGATATATTGTGAACTGCGCCCATAAAAGAGAAGAGCCATCAGTCAGTGATCAAGGGACCCTGTAGTGTCAAGATTGAAAGACCGTGACGACACCGATGATCTGCACATGCTGAACAGCTAACGAGTGAGTTTCAAACCAGCTGCTCCCTTGCGCGTTTGAATGGTACAGAGAGATGGCCGTAATTTTGCTTGAAAGGCGACATGGTCAGGCGCCAACCTGATGTGAGACCCGCTAGTGGACAGATGCACTTGTCCCTTGGAATATAAATCCTTGCTCCAGCGCTCGAAAGGTGCAATGCAGGAATGACAAAGCCCACCTGTGCCACGGCGCCTGCGAGAGCGCCGGAGGCCATGCGCTGCAGCGGGGTGATGTTTTCGAGGTCGCTGGCAAAGACGCGCTTCAGCCGATCGTTGCATGTCAGCTTGATCGCCGTCTCCGGCGCGATCTTGATCACGTTCGTGCCGTTGCCCCGGAAGAACGCGCGAGCCGTGCCTGCGCACAAAACCGGATACCCTCTCAGCGCATGAGAGTTGCACTGTATAACTCCTCCTATGAATGATTAGATTCCTCTTCTTCTGCCAAGGACTTTGACTTACCCCGCTAACGTGCCAGCATTGACTTTGGCACGAGCCTTATTCCAAACTGCCAGGCCTGTGAGTCAGCGGGTCAGAGCATGCATACGGTGCCAGTGACTGTGTCACTCAAGATCACACAATGGGGCGCGGATTTTCAGGGGGCGCGAAAGGGGCAGAGAGCCACCTTCGGAGACCATCCTGTTCCAGCCATCGCGCACTGTCAGCGCTGTGCCGCTGTCCTGCACCTGCAGCAGAAGCTTCACGCGGTCCACCGGCGCCGTTGCTGTACGGCTCACCGCCCCCGCCAGCCCTGCACTTGCGTAAACACCCTCAGCCAAAGTTGGCAAGCACACTGGTCGTCACTCCCTGCTCTCCTGTCTTGTTGTCGTCATGCTGAAAGGCTCTCATGGAAGCTAAAAGGCCATCATAGAAAGATAAAGAAAACCCAGAAAGGGATTGTCATGAGCATGGTGTGAGGCTGAGGGAGGCACCTCCAGCGAGCAGGATCCTGAGTGCGCGCGAGGATTCGTCCATGTGGCGAGGAGGGCCAATCTGCTCGCAGCCCCCCTCCGCCGAGACATCTCCCCCCGCACTCGTTGCGCCACCCCCTGGTCAGAATCTGCGTGATGCAGCGCTCCACAGTTCCAGTGACTTTGGCTGCTACAGCCAAACAGGCGAGCGGGGCCCCTCACTCCTGGGGCAATATCTGGTCACTTGCCTCTGCGCTGCCGAAAGCAAGGCCCAGGGCAGGCTGACTGCTAGCTGCTTGCAGCTAATGGTCGGGCTGCCTGCCTGCTGCCTCTATCAAGATCCTTCGGTGAGGGTTGTGGGGAGCCCTGCCAAACGATCACTCCTTTTTCATACAGCTCAAGTGCGGAGGCATCTACTGATGAAAGAGGCCTGCTGCACGTAGCAGAAGCTGTCCAGCTGTCTCCTCGTATCTGCAATGCACCGCAATATAGTGATTGCTTTTTGATCACGGTAGAAGATATTGGAACTTCCGCAAATCGCCGCAATCACGAGCTTGGCGAGTACAAGAGGCAGCTACTATGGTAGAATATACTCTAGCAGCATCTGAACACAAGATTAACACGCGCAAGAATCCAGGCAGTACTTTACAGGAAATAAAGATGCCAATCTGGCCTGATCGGTACGCAGCTGTATCAAGCAAAGCCAAGGTAGCTAAGATCCTCGTTCTCTAGGTTTGCAGGTCTCATGCGGCACCTTTTGGCATCCCGGTGAAAGGCATGCAAGCGTAGAAACATGATTGATGAACAAGTGTTCGCTCGAGAATTACCACAGCAGGGGTACCAGCAGTTGTAGTAGCAGGACCGCTCAAAGTTGCTATGCTTCTTCCAAAAACAATGGTGATTTTGGCAGGATGCGGACGCCCTTTCAGAAGGGAGTCCTACCGATCGGCTGAAGTAGGCTGCTGCAGTCTGCAAGGGAGCTCTGTTGGTCGACAATCTGAGACCCACAGGTGTTCAAGGATGACTCACCGGCACGCAACAATGCAGAGCGCCAAATTTGGGCCTGAAGTACAAGGTTTAAATTGAATGCAATTTGCTTGCATTATGCAATGCAAGCAGTGTTTTAATTGTCATTTTTTGACATCGTCTAATTTGCGATGGAGTTCTCATTAGGTAGAGAGCTTCCAAGAATGCTTGCGGGGTGAGGATGCCTGATCATCACATAAGAAAGGGCTGCCCGCACAAGGTAAGTCTTTGCTGATTTTCAGTGTTCTGATGCTTGAGAACATGCATAACAAGTCTCTGCGAAACAATGCGCCCAATCAAACTGGAAGCAGATCCTGTGCGCAACATTAAAAAAAAACTTGTCAGCCTGTTCAGGGAGGAGAATATAAGACGATGGTGACCTCCTCAACTACGAGGAGGTGCGACCAAAAGCATATTATCAGCGACTGCGTGCGAAAAAGAGCTTGCTATCACATATGCTATTGTTCCACCATTCATCTTGCTTGTTTCAGTGCTAGATTGCAATTTAATTTGGAATCTGTTGGAGTCTGGTAACCTGTGAGCATGACGGACAGAAGAATTATTGCAAAGGCGTCTTAGAGCAAATCAGAGGTGTAATCTGCACTTTAAAAAGTGCTATGCTTGAGAGTATGCTCGCTGCCCTGCAGGGCACCAGGGCATGCCTCCTAGCTTGATACGTAGACGTGTACGATGGCAAGCAGCAGCAGGACCAACTGGACAGTGGCACCAGTTGCTTCTCCTGCTACTTGCTACGAGCAGCTTCAGCTTTGCATCAGGCCAAGCAGGTGAGGTACCAAGCTCACCGAAGAGCAGTGGACGTGCTCCGTTGTTACACCATATCTATTGAAAAAGCCTGAAATTGCTCCATCACCCAGCCTGATACGTTTTGCTTGCAAGCCAGGCAATGGAATGCTGGGGGCAGTCCAGCGGATTTTCAGTCGGGAACCTCAACAGCAGCAGGCAGCAAGTGCACCACAGGTGGGCAATGTCCCATCGCTGGCCTACAGCCAGGGCCTCAGCAAAATAGAGGGGAACACAGACGCCTCCAGTGCTCGCAACGGGGGGACTCCTTCGAGGAACACAGCTGCTGCTGCTGCTTGGCAGGACAGCGAAGGGGATTCTTACCAGTCATCATCAATCTTTGACAGGCTCAGGGTGAGCAGTTAATAGTATGTTAGCCAGTACCATTATCTTGCCTTGCGGTTCCTTACAAATCTTGCATGGAGTATCTTTGGAACAGTCCATGCGCAAGATTTGCTGCATGTAATTGAAGAAGAAGAAGTGCCTGTGCATGCATGTTGGACATGCATGATCACATACTGGACTGCTTTATATTTTGCTGTGTGGCCTGTAGGAGGGCATCCTGTGCACAGCAGTCGACAACTGCCTCATCTGCACTTCAAAGTCCAAGTGCCTCATCTGCAACGCGCCCTTCAAGCGCAGCTCAGAAGGGGACTGCAGTGAGTGGCGGTCCTATCACAACCATTGCTAGCAGATAATCCCTGTCTGTTTTTACTTGCATGCATGTTGATCCAGGTATTCTGAATAGCAATCGAAGAGTTCACTCACTTACGGTTTTCTGTGACCAAGACAACGTGTTCTGTGTTGCCAGCGTGCCCCAAGAACTACGAGCTGTCTTTGGATGGCAGCACCTGCAACCCGGTGTCTGACCCCTTCCACCCCTTCAAGAGCATCCAGACACAGCTCAATGATGTCAACCAGCGGGTCGGCAATCTGGCGGTGAGACCCTCAGCACCCCTGTTTTGATTCTCCTCATTAGAGGCACCATCTTCTGCAGCAAGCTGTTCTAACATCCTAACACCTGATGCTATGCTCTATCGCTACAACACAAAGGTCCTTCTTTGCAGAAGATTTCCAGTGAAGGGCTTTTGCTTTGGTATCATGCGTTATTTAAATCACTCATTGTTCGTGTATATGGTGAGGCGTGCTTGACACCACCTGCATGTGCGCTGCAGGACCAGATCACAGTGCTGACGCAGACGCTGTCAGCGCTGACTCACTTTGTGACGGGCTTTGTCACCAACACGACGGCATGCATCCTGCAAGACCCTCTGTGCAGCACCTGCCTCGATGCCACCACATGCAAGACCTGCCGGGAGGTGCGCCATCTCAGACCGCACCTCTGCTGTTTACAATTTAGGCGCGAACAATGTCTTCAGGTCAAGACAAACACTCATGGAACTGCTGTGCCATAGTGCACTGCCATGTGCAGGCCTTCTGCTCATGTGTTAAGGAGTTCCTGAGGTGTTCTCGCAGGAGACTCAGGGTACTTGCTTTGAGCAGTACAAGGGCTAATGATTTGGCCCTCATTTCAGATGACCTTCCTGCATCTGAATGCCTCATGAGCCTAGCTCCTATACAGCCTTCATGTGCAGCACCCGAACATGCAGAGAGGGTCGGTGAGTTACGAGTGCAGGAGTGACCCTTGCAGGGGTGCAAGTGATCTGCTAACCCTTTCTTCACGCCTGCACAGGGGTACATCCCGGGGGCGGACGGTCGCTGCCGCTGCGACGCGGCGCTGTCGGCAAACTGCCTGCAGTGCGTGGTGCCTGGCACATGCGGGCCCACCCCGCAGCAGAGTCTCATCGGCCCCGTGTGCCAGCCCGGGTTTGAGCTTATTACTGACCCCTCTGCGCCTGCCGAGCCTGGCAAATGCATCTGCGTCCCCTCCACCGCCGGCACCAACTGCGAGGCCTGCGTCATGCCGGGGGTCTGCGCCGCGTGCGCAGGGGTCTTTACACTTGTCGATGGCGTCTGCGGTGCGTTCCCTGCCACATCCCCTCCACTTTTTCCTTGGAAGCTGCATGTTCACTCTATTACACCAGTTCGTCTCACGCGCATGGATCGCGAGAACGACTTCTGTCTTTGACATTAGCCAGAAGAGTCTGTGTACAAGCTGGCCTTAAAGTATGTCAGACAAAGGTAGATATCCCCTTTCTTGTATCTCAATATCTTCTTGGCTGTGGCTTGCAGGCTGCCCACTGGTGAACACCTGCCCTGCTTTCCTTGGGCCCACTGGACCGAGGGGACCTCCTGGAATGTATGGCCTCAATGGGACCTTTGGAGATACCGGCGCCACAGGTACAAAATTGAAAGAGGTCCCATATTTGAACCCATGTGCATGTTGCAATTTTTGCGCTCAGGATTGCAGTGCAGTTTCTGATAAGCTTTGAAGGTTTATAATGTTAGTATATTCTGTAGGTCAGCTTTCGCCCATTACTTACAGGAGGTTTAACATGAATGTAGAAGTTCAAGGGGAGAAACAATCATAATGGCCACGTCTGAGGCTACAATGTGCCATTGCAGGCTATACTGGGGCAGTGGGAGATACTGGGGCAACTGGCTTCACTGGGGAAGTTGGAGCAACAGGCTTCACCGGCGCTACCGGCTTTACCGGGGAGACGGGCGCCACCGGCTTCACTGGAGCCACGGGCTTCACTGGCAGCACAGGCGCCACTGGCTTCACCGGCGAGACTGGAGCCACCGGCTTCACGGGCGCCACCGGCTTTACCGGCAGCACTGGCGCTACAGGGTTCACCGGCGATACTGGAGCAACCGGCTTCACGGGCGCCACCGGCTTCACCGGCAGCACTGGGGCTACCGGCTTCACCGGCGATACTGGAGCCACCGGCTTCACCGGCGCGACTGGAGCCACCGGCAGCACTGGCGCTACCGGCTTCACCGGCGATACTGGAGCCACCGGCTTCACAGGCTTCACCGGCAGCACTGGCGCTACCGGCTTCACCGGCGCGAGTGGAGCCACCGGCTTCACTGGCGCCACCGGCTTTACCGGCAGCACTGGCGCCACCGGCTTCACCGGCGAGACTGGAGCCACCGGCTTCACCGGCGAGACTGGAGCCACCGGCTTCACTGGCGCTACCGGCTTCACCGGCGAGACTGGAGCCACCGGCTTCACGGGCGCCACCGGCTTCACCGGCAGCACTGGCGCTACAGGTGTCACCGGCGAGACTGGAGCAACCGGCTTCACGGGCGCCACCGGCTTCACCGGCAGCACTGGGGCTACCGGCTTCACCGGCGATACTGGAGCCACCGGCTTCACGGGCGCCACCGGCTTCACCGGCAGCACTGGCGCTACAGGTGTCACCGGCGATACTGGAGCCACCGGCTTCACAGGCTTCACCGGCTTCACGGGCAGCACTGGCGCTACCGGCTTCACCGGCGAGACTGGAGCCACCGGCTTCACGGGCGCCACCGGCTTCACCGGCAGCACTGGGGCTACCGGCTTCACCGGCGATACTGGAGCCACCGGCTTCACCGGCGAGACTGGAGCCACCGGCTTCACTGGCGCTACCGGCTTCACCGGCGAGACTGGAGCCACCGGCTTCACGGGCGCCACCGGCTTCACCGGCAGCACTGGCGCTACAGGTGTCACCGGCGAGACTGGAGCAACCGGCTTCACGGGCGCCACCGGCTTCACGGGCAGCACTGGCGCTACCGGCTTCACCGGCGAGACTGGAGCCACCGGCTTCACGGGCGCCACCGGCTTCACCGGCAGCACTGGGGCTACCGGCTTCACCGGCGATACTGGAGCCACCGGCTTCACGGGCGCCACCGGCTTCACCGGCAGCACTGGCGCTACCGGCTTCACCGGCGATACTGGAGCCACCGGCTTCACAGGCTTCACCGGCAGCACTGGCGCTACCGGCTTCACCGGCGCGACTGGAGCCACCGGCAGCACTGGCGCCACCGGCTTCACCGGCGAGACTGGAGCCACCGGCTTCACCGGCGAGACTGGAGCCACCGGGTTCACTGGCGCTACCGGCTTCACCGGCGAGACTGGAGCCACCGGCTTCACGGGCGCCACCGGCTTCACCGGCAGCACTGGCGCTACAGGTGTCACCGGCGAGACTGGAGCAACTGGCTTCACGGGCGCCACCGGCTTCACGGGCAGCACTGGCGCTACCGGCTTCACCGGCGAGACTGGAGCCACCGGCTTCACGGGCGCTACCGGCATTACCGGCAGCACTGGCGCTACCGGCTTCACCGGCGAGACTGGAGCAACCGGCTTCACGGGCGCCACCGGATTTACCGGCAGCACTGGCGCTACCGGCTTCACTGGCGAGACTGGAGCAACTGGCTTCACCGGTGCTACGGGCTTCACCGGCAGCACTGGATTTACCGGCTTCACCGGCGAGACTGGCGCTACTGGCTTCACCGGCAGCACTGGCCCTACTGGCTTCACCGGCGCCAGTGGCTTCACCGGCAGCACTGGCGCTACCGGCGAGACTGGAGCCACAGGCTTCACCGGCAGCACCGGCAGCACTGGCGCTACAGGCTTCACAGGCGAGACTGGAGCCACCGGCTTCACAGGCGCCACCGGCTCCACCGGCAATACTGGTGCTACAGGCTTCACAGGCGAGACTGGAGCCACAGGCTTCACCGGCAGCACCGGCTTCACCGGCGAGACTGGAGCCACAGGCGCTACCGGCTTCACAGGCGAAACTGGAGCAACGGGCTTCACCGGCAGCACGGGATCTACTGGGTTCACCGGCGAGACTGGAGCCACAGGCGCCACCGGCTTCACTGGCAGTACTGGCGCTACAGGCTTCACAGGCGTGACTGGAGCCACAGGCTTCACCGGCAGCACTGGTGCTACCGGCTTCACCGGGGAGACTGGAGCCACAGGCTTCACAGGCAGCACTGGCGCTACCGGCTTCACCGGCGAAACTGGAGCAAGGGGCTTCACAGGCGCGACTGGCTTCACCGGCAGCACTGGAGCAACAGGCTTCACAGGTGAACCTCTGAGACATGTCCTCAGTCGTTGTTTCCTTACGACAATGAGCTGCACCCGATCTGCCCTGTGCAAGGCTTGCACGCATGTGAAAAAAAGAAATATTGCGGCCTCATTGCTGATGACATGCATGTGCCTTGCAGGATCCACTGGAGCTACGGGCTTCACTGGAGCCACCGGTGGGACTGGAGCAACAGGTTTCACAGGTGAACGTCTGAAACATTTGCTAAGAAGCTTTTTGGTGAGAGTAATAATGTTTGCAAAAGCTGAGTATGCACCAGCTCTGCAGAATAAAAGGCTTCCATGCGTGTGAATCAGGGAGTTGTGCAGTCTCATTGTTGATCCCATGCATGTGCCGTGCAGGTTTCACTGGAGCTACCGGCATCACTGGAGACATTGGAGCCACTGGGGTGACTGGAGCAACAGGACTCACCGGCGCTACCGGAGCAACTGGCTTCACTGGAGCCACTGGCTTTACCGGCAATACTGGTGCAAGTGGCTTCACTGGAGCCACCGGCTTTACTGGCAGTACTGGTGCAACTGGCTTCACTGGCGCAACTGGCTTCACGGGCGCTACTGGCTTCACAGGATCAACAGGTAATGGTTGCCCTTGTACTTATATGTGCTCTCATAAGGTGCTCTTGATCTCTGTGGCACTGGAATTTCCACACTGCCCAGGATCTCTTGCTGGCTCAATGTTGTGTTCACTGCACAAAACAGGGTCCACTGGAAACACTGGCTTCACTGGTGCCACGGGTGGCACAGGCTTCACTGGAGCGACTGGTACCACTGGGGCCACAGGTGAAATTCCTGGCCAATGGCAAATGTCAGTCTGGTGAACATGTGCTCTTGCATGCTATTGATAAGAAGTGATGCAGCGTCCAAAGAAGTTTGATGCTCTTCAAGTCGTAAAACAGACTGTTGAATTTGTGTCGCAGGCGCCACAGGGGTCTCTGGCGCGACGGGCTTCACTGGTGCTACGGGCTCCACTGGCAGCACTGGTGTCACCGGAGCAACAGGCTTCTCAGGCGCAACCGGCGCAACCGGCGCCACCGGCTTCACTGGCGCCACTGGCTTCACCGGCACAACAGGTGCAACAGGTGTCACAGGGGCCACTGGTGCAACTGGAGGCACTGGCACCGCAGGGAACACTGGTGCGACGGGCGTAACAGGACCCGTTCCACCTTGCGGCGGGCTCTTGCTAGGGGCATTATGCACTTCCTCTGCGCAGTGCGCCTCTTGTTGCTGTAGCGGAGTCCTGGGGCTTCCCCTCAGGACGTGCCTTGCTATCGTGGGCACCGCTGGTTGCATATGATAAGATAATGTCCACGCCACACCACAGACGAATTGTGCATCACACTATAGTGATTTTGGGAGTATCTGGGGAGCCCTAGTGACACTACCACTGTAGCGGCATCAGTATTCCTTTGCTTGAAATGCTAGGGGCTCACTGGTGCCGCTGCAGTCGTGATGCCATTAGGCACTTGAGGCTTGAAGCCACAAGTTTTGATTACTGTTCCAAGCGAGCAACATTGTTTGCGTTCCGGTTGCTATAGAGGGAAGGCAACTTGACATTGCGAATACAGTTTGACAGACGAGTAAAAGCATGTTTTGACCAATAGCTACCGAGTAGAGGACTCATTTATTTATCCTGTCTTGCTTCCAGTAATGTGCTTGCTGACATTAATTTGGTGGGACTGAACACTGCATTAATGCCAATATTGGTATTTTCAACCTTGGCGAGATTATTGGGATCAGTAGAGGGAAGCTATGATCGAGGGAAGCTATGATCAAGAAGTCACTGATATTGTCCAATTGTGTCTACGGCTTGCATCTGCCTGGGAAGCCGTGCCTTGTGCACAGGACTTTGCAGCCAGCTGCCTGATTTTTGTTACTAAGTCTGTCAATAAATCGAGTTCAATTGGAACCATGGCAATTCAGGTAGTTGGGTTTAGAAGTAGCGCAGCGGCTTTGTTAGGCAGCTTTGTTAAATTTACTTATGGGGCAGCACAAATGGGTCAGCGTGTATGTGCAAGCATGATGCGGCACATCTGCATTGATTTGCACTGATCACTGCGGTAGGCCTATTAAGTCCTGGAATGACTCTGTTGGGAAAGACTTGGATAGTCTTGGGCTGGCCCTGACATGGTGGAAAAGGTGCCAAGATAGGCCGAGCTGGAAGGCTGTCATAGAAACGCTGCTGCTACGCACCTAAGCCAACTGTGGCTTGGATAGGCATGAAATAATATTAATAATAACTGCGGGTGGCTGCAGATCTGCGTTTTGTGAGAGATCTGGCAAAGTCTGTTGTTGGTTTGTTGTTTGTAATTCCATTTGCTTGCTAGTAATCTTTGGCTTTTTGAACTGCAGCAACCGTTGCAGCAACATCAAGACAGGGCAGACACTGTCATGGCATATGCATGCCGGCATGCATCTGTTGGGCGCGCGCCTTGCATCTGTTGATCAAAGAAAATTCAAGAGATATCCAGAACCTACATCATGTCATGTCATGATGACTGACTGAGCACTTGAGCTAGCAACGCATGCATACACGTGGCAGTCACAGCACTTCCCATACGGTTCTCTTGACATTTAGCGAGTGCGAGTCTATACCGGTATATATAAACGTTAGTTGATTGCAAAGGGCAGGATTCACTTGGGAGCAATCCCATCCAGTTATCTCAGTGATCTCTTGGGGGCCCCGGGGTAGCCCTCTTGATGGATGGCGCCACTTTATCGGAATTGAATCCATTTGGGAGAGAGCCACGGCAACCAGTCAACCAGCCAATCAGGATCCAGAACATCGAGCCAAACTTGGCCTTCAATGTGTTCAAATCGTGTCAAGTAGACTGCGCGCGCCTCTCGTGTTCTTATCTAGTAGCAGCGCAACTTGTCCGCAACCTATGCGTTGCGACGCAGAGATGCATCTTAAGAAGGTAAGGGCATCTGATTGTAGCAACTACGTAGCTTCGAAATTTAAAAAAACATGGATAACAACAAAACACAGTTTCCAGAAAACTTGCTTTGGTGATGAGTCCTCTCTACCTCACATTGTGAGATCTGCACAAATTTCTCAAGATATATCTGTGTTGGATGCAGATGCTCTCAATTCTACATAATCCTGAAACCTGGCAAGCCGGGATGTTGACCCTCCAGAAACTGGGAAGGTAGGCCAACCACTCTAACTTATCTCGTTTCCAATGATAAAGAGATCAGGTGTCTATATGATATTGGAAAAAGCGACTAGCAGTGGCATCAAGCGTCTATCGGAGCTTCAAGTACCTTCATCTTATACTGTACATCAGGAAGGACGCGTTGGACGTTTAGAAGCACAAATACTCAACTGGATTTCCATCTTGTACATGGTTTCTTTGAAAACTTCAAAGGGATATATGAAAGACGTAATTGCCTGCGGTGTCCTGCAGGGTGCCCTGGCATGCGTACTAGCTCAAGAAGATGTAGGGAATTAGAATGGCGAGCAGCAGCGCGAGCAACTGGAAGTTGCAGCCAGTTGCTCATATTGCTTCTTGTCACATGCAGCCTACGATGTACAGCAGGCCAGCTTGGTGAGCAGTGGCTGGCAATCTGTATCTGCTCAGGATACATGTTCATGGCCAGGAAGTCATTGCCGATGGGAAGCCATTCTGTGCCCTGTACTCTTCGTGTGCATGCCTCTGTAGCCTGTCCCATGCTTGCCAAGTTGCTGCTCTTACGGACCTCACCGTAATGGAACAGGCAATGGCTTTCTGGGAGCGATCCAGAGCCTCTTCAACAAGGCGAGCCAACCAGAGCAGGCGGCCGGGTCCCTGCCCCCGGCCGCCAGCTCCGATTTTGTCCCTTCGCTGGCGTTCAGCCAAGGCCTGACAAATATCAAGGTGGTCCCAAACGGCTCCAGCACACCAGCCAGTGGCGCCGGCTGGGAGAAGGGCTGGAAGCAGGATGGCCCCTGGAGACCTAGTGAGAGCGACAATGTCTTGGACAGACTAAAGGCAAGCGCTGTTGTCAACCATGGATATACTAGAATCCTCATTAACTTTAATTCCTTCCTTTTGACTGTCATGTGCCTGGTGAGTCTTTACGCGCCTCCCCATGCCCCCAAGGACGCATGAGGTGTGCATGCATGCAAGGCTCTTGCAAGTGGCATGTCAGGGGAGGTCTCAGGTTCTCCAGTCAGTTGAAGTGTCTTATGGCAGCTGTTGGGGTGCCATGCAGGATGGTGTCGTCTGCGCAACGGTAGCCAACTGCCTCATCTGCCCTACAGCAGCAAAGTGCCTCATCTGCAATGCCCCCTTCAGGCGCAGCTGGGATGGAGACTGCGGTGAGGCCCCCACCCTCACGCTGAGCAGCGCTCATCCTGTGATGCTCTTTAGCACTGCACTAGCATTGCCCAGAACCTCAATGCATTTTGGATTGGAGCTGTGGTATACAATTGTCGGTCTAAGCTGTCTCATCAAGTACTTGTTGAAGAGGCACGGTGGGGAGTACATGGTATATCATCCCTGAATTTCACAAATTGGGCTGTGTGCTATCAGTATGCCCGAAGAACTACGAGCTGGCGTCAGATGGCAGCACCTGCAACCCGGTGTCTGACCCGTTCCACCCTTTCAAGAGCATCCAGACGCAGCTGACCGATGTCAACCAGCGAATCGGCAGCCTGGCAGTAGGTCACCCGCCCATCTGCTTGGCGCTAGGCGCTACACACCAGCTTTCATTTACTGCTCCCCATTACGAGGCTACTTCATAATCAAGTACAATCCAATTAAAAGGAACCTGAATGCACCAGAGCTGGCGGTCCTGCAACAACCTGCAGAAGTGTAAGGAAGGCCACAGCATGCATCATACAAATGACTGTGGCATGAAGGGGTGAGGAATTGTGCTGAGCGCGGTGTGCATGTGTTGTGCAGGACCAGATTACGGTGCTGACGCAAACGCTCACCACGGTGACGCAATTCATTAACACTTTTTCAGGCTACATCAGCAATACAACAGCCTGCATACAGCAGGATCCCCTGTGCGAGTTCTGCCTCAATGCCGACACCTGCAAACTCTGCCGGGAGGTGCGCGAACATCACACCCGCATCTCTGGCAACCTCATGCATCCCTGCCTAAAGACCTCAGTAATTTAATTGCCATCTCCAAAAAGGTACAGAAGCGTTTGGACAGCCCTCATGTTTCTTCGGGCTATGTGATGCTCCTTCGTGGCTCCTCATTTACCCTTTTATCACCTCTGAATAGGAAAAATTGGCATGCGAGTCCCCATGACAATTCTCCTTGACGGAGTGCTATGCAGGGGTACAGCCCGGGGGCGGACGGCCGCTGCCGCTGCGACGCGGCGTTGTCGGCAAATTGCCTGCAGTGCGTGGTGCCCGGCACATGCGGGCCCACACCGCAGCAAAGCCTCACAGGCCCCGTGTGTGAGCCCGGATTTGCTCTCGTTACGGACCCTGCGGCCCCCAACGAGCCTGGAAAATGTGTCTGCGTTCCCTCCACTGCCGGCCCAAACTGCGACGCATGCGTCGTGCCGGGGGTTTGCGCCGCATGCTCCGGGGTCTTCGTGCAAGTAAACGGCGTCTGCGGTGCGCTCCTCTCTGCCTCCTGGCACTAGCTGCAGAATCTTTCATGTTTTCCGCTAGCTGTTTCACTTAATTCCGAGGCTGCACCAATGGTATTTGAGTGGCTGTGATGAGTCAGCACCATGGACTTATATGGAGGAGCATGGTGCAGGTGCATGGCCTTGCTCGTGTTCTGATATAAGTGTGTTTTGTTCTTGCAGCCTGCCCAAGCACCAACAAGTGCCCAGCCTTCATCGGCCCTACAGGGCCTCAGGGGCTTCCAGGTCCATATGGACAGAATGGCACTTTTGGGGCAACGGGCGCCACAGGTACTCATGTTCTCTTACATCGGCACAGAGTCCACACCTACATGCTGTCAAGGCCACTGTGCAACTATTGCATGAGGCAGCTCATGATCAAGCAAGCTGGCACCATTCTATAAAGAGGACCGTCTTGCTACATTTGTGGCCTCTGACCTGAACAGCATTATTCTCTTGAATGATATAAGGGAATGAAAGCAACGAAATACTACCGCCTTGATATCCAGGCATCACGGGGACCAAGGGAGATACAGGAGCTACCGGCTTCACTGGAGCCACTGGGGAGACTGGAGCAACAGGCTTCACAGGCGCTACCGGCTTCACTGGGGAGACGGGCGCAACCGGCTTCACAGGAGCCACGGGCTTCACCGGCAGCACTGGCGCCACTGGCTTCACAGGTGGACCTCTGAGACATTTGCTCTGAGAAGCTGTTTGCTCAATAGAAAAAGCTTTACCAGATCTGCAGAGTGCAAGGCTTGCATGCAGTTGGGTGAGGGAATAAAACTGCCTCATTGCTCATCTCATGATTGTGACTTGCAGGATCCACTGGAGCTACCGGCTTCACTGGAGACACCGGAGCAACTGGCTTCACTGGAGCCACTGGGGAGACTGGAGCAACAGGCTTCACCGGCGCTACCGGCTTCACCGGGGAGACGGGCGCCACCGGCTTCACTGGAGCCACAGGCTTCACTGGCAGCACTGGCGCCACTGGCTTCACAGGTGGACCTCTGACACATTTGCTCTGAGAAGCTGTTTGCTCAGTAGAATGAGCTGCACCAGATCTGCAGAATGCATGGCTTGCATGCGATTGGGTGAGGGAATAAAACGGCTTCATTGCTGATCTCATGATTGTGACTTCCAGGATCCACTGGAGCTACCGGCTTCACTGGAGTCACCGGAGCAATTGGCTTCACTGGAGCCACTGGGGAGACTGGAGCAACAGGCTTCACCGGCGCTACCGGCTTCACCGGGGAGACGGGCGCCACCGGCTTCACTGGAGCCACAGGCTTCACTGGCAGCACTGGCGCCACTGGCTTCACAGGTGGACCTCTGATACATTTGCTCTGCGAAGCTGTTTGCTCAATGAAATGAGCTGCATCAGATCTGCGCAATGCTTGCATGCATTTGAATAAAATTATCTAGCAGGCTCATTGCTCATCTCAAGATTGTGACTTGCAGGATCCACTGGAGCTACCGGCTTCACTGGAATCACAGGAGCAACTGGCTTCACTGGAGCCACTGGGGAGACTGGAGCAACAGGCTTTACCGGCGCTACCGGCTTCACCGGGGAGACGGGTGCCACCGGCTTCACTGGAGCCACGGGCTTCACCGGCAGCACTGGCGCTACTGGCTTCACAGGTGGACCTCTGAGACATTTGCTCTGAGAAGCTGTTCGCTCATAAATGAGCTGCACCAGATCTGCAGAATGCAAGGCTTGCATGCATTTGAATAAAAATATCTAGCAGGCTCATTGCTCATCTCAAGATTGTGACTTGCAGGATCCACTGGAGCTACCGGCTTCACTGGAGTCACCGGAGCAACTGGCTTCACTGGAGCCACTGGGGAGACTGGAGCAACAGGCTTCACCGGCGCTACCGGCTTCACCGGGGAGACGGGTGCCACCGGCTTCACTGGAGCCACGGGCTTCACCGGCAGCACTGGCGCTACTGGCTTCACAGGTGGACCTCTGACACATTTGCTCTGAGAAGCTGTTCGCTCAGTAGAATGAGCTACACCAGATCTGCAGAATACTTGCATGCATTTGAATAAAAATATCTAGCAGGCTCATTGCTCATCTCAAGATTGTGACTTGCAGGATCCACTGGAGCTACCGGCTTCACTGGAGTCACCGGAGCAACTGGCTTCACTGGAGCCACTGGGGAGACTGGAGCAACAGGCTTCACCGGCGCTACCGGCTTCACCGGGGAGACGGGAGCCACCGGCTTCACTGGAGCCACGGGCTTCACCGGCAGCACTGGCGCCACTGGCTTCACAGGTGGACCTCTGAAACATTTGCTCTGAGAAGCTGTTCGCTCAGTAGAATGAGCTACACCAGATCTGCAGAATGCTTGCATGCATTTGAATAAATTTATCTAGCAGGCTCATTGCTCATCTCAAGATTGTGACTTGCAGGATCCACTGGAGCTACCGGCTTCACTGGAGTCACCGGAGCAACTGGCTTCACTGGAGCCACTGGGGAGACTGGAGCAACAGGCTTCACCGGCGCTACCGGCTTCACCGGGGAGACGGGTGCCACCGGCTTCACTGGAGCCACGGGCTTCACCGGCAGCACTGGCGCCACTGGCTTCACAGGTGGACCTCTGAGAAAAATTGCTCTGAGAAGCTGTTTGCTCAGTAGAATGAGCTGTCAAGATCTACAGAATGCAAGGCTTGCATGCATTTGAATAAAAATATCTAGCAGGCTCATTGCTCATCTCAAGATTGTGACTTGCAGGATCCACTGGAGCTACCGGCTTCACTGGAGTCACCGGAGCAACTGGCTTCACTGGAGCCACTGGGGAGACTGGAGCAACAGGCTTCACCGGCGCTACCGGCTTCACCGGGGAGACGGGTGCCACCGGCTTCACTGGAGCCACGGGCTTCACCGGCAGCACTGGCGCCACTGGCTTCACAGGTGGACCTCTGAGAAAAATTGCTCTGAGAAGCTGTTTGCTCAGTAGAATGAGCTGCACCAGATCTACAGAATGCAAGGCTTGCATGCATGTGAATAAACTTATCTAGCAGGCTCATTGCTGATCTCATGATTGTGACTTGCAGGATCCACTGGAGCTACCGGCTTCACTGGAGTCACCGGAGCAACTGGCTTCACTGGAGCCACTGGGGAGACTGGAGCAACAGGCTTCACCGGCGCTACCGGCTTCACCGGGGAGACGGGCGCCACCGGCTTCACTGGAGCCACGGGCTTCACCGGCAGCACTGGCCCCACTGGCTTCACAGGTGGACCTCTGACACATTTGCTCTGAGAAGCTGTTTGCTCAGTAGAATGAGCTGCACCAGATCTGCAGAATGCATGGCTTGCATGCGATTGGGTGAGGGAATAAAACAGCCTCATTGCTCATCTCATGATTGTGACTTGCAGGATCCACTGGAGCTACCGGCTTCACTGGAGTCACCGGAGCAACTGGCTTCACTGGAGCCACTGGGGAGACTGGAGCAACAGGCTTCACCGGCGCTACCGGCTTCACCGGGGAGACGGGCGCCACCGGCTTCACTGGAGCCACGGGCTTCACCGGCAGCACTGGCGCCACTGGCTTCACAGGTGGACCTCTGAGAAAAATTGCTCTGAGAAGCTGTTCGCTCAGTAGAATGAGCTGCACCAGATCTGCAGAATGCAAGGCTTGCATGCATTTGAATAAATTTATCTTGCAGGCTCATTGCTCATCTCAAGATTGTGACTTGCAGGATCCACTGGAGCTACCGGCTTCACTGGAGTCACCGGAGCAACTGGCTTCACTGGAGCCACTGGGGAGACTGGAGCAACAGGCTTCACCGGCGCTACCGGCTTCACCGGGGAGACGGGCGCCACCGGCTTCACTGGAGCCACGGGCTTCACCGGCAGCACTGGCGCTACTGGCTTCACAGGTGGACCTCTGACACATTTGCTCTGAGAAGCTGTTTGCTCAGTAGAATGAGCTGCACCAGATCTGCAGAATGCATGGCTTGCATGCGATTGGGTGAGGGAATAAAACGGCCTCATTGCTGATCTCATGATTGTGACTTGCAGGATCCACTGGAGCTACCGGCTTCACTGGAGTCACCGGAGCAACTGGCTTCACTGGAGCCACTGGGGAGACTGGAGCAACAGGCTTCACCGGCGCTACCGGCTTCACCGGGGAGACGGGTGCCACCGGCTTCACTGGAGCCACGGGCTTCACTGGCAGCACTGGCGCCACTGGCTTCACAGGTGGACCTCTGTTTGCTCTGAGAAGCTGTTCGCTCAGTAGAATGAGCTGCACCAGATCTGCAGAATGCAAGGCTTGCATGCATTTGAATCAACTTATCTAGCAGGCTCATTGCTCATCTCAAGATTGTGACTTTCAGGATCCACTGGAGCTACCGGCTTCACTGGAGTCACCGGAGCAACTGGCTTCACTGGAACCACTGGGGAGACTGGAGCAACAGGCTTCACCGGACCAACCGGCTTCACCGGGGAGACGGGTGCCACCGGCTTCACTGGAGCCACGGGCTTCACTGGCAGCACTGGCGCCACTGGCTTCACAGGTGGACCTCTGACACATTTGCTCTGAGAAGCTGTTCGCTCAGTAGAATGAGCTGCACCAGATCTGCAGAATGCATGGCTTGCATGCGATTGGGTGAGGGAATAAAACGGCCTCATTGCTCATCTCATGATTGTGACTTGCAGGATCCACTGGAGCTACCGGCTTCACTGGAGACACCGGAGCAACTGGCTTCACTGGAGCCACTGGGGAGACTGGAGCAACAGGCTTCACCGGCGCTACCGGCTTCACCGGGGAGACGGGCGCCACCGGCTTCACTGGAGCCACGGGCTTCACCGGCAGCACTGGCCCCACTGGCTTCACAGGTGGACCTCTGACACATTTGCTCTGAGAAGCTGTTTGCTCAGTAGAATGAGCTGCACCAGATCTGCAGAATGCATGGCTTGCATGCGATTGGGTGAGGGAATAAAACGGCCTCATTGCTCATCTCATGATTGTGACTTGCAGGATCCACTGGAGCTACCGGCTTCACTGGAGTCACCGGAGCAACTGGCTTCACTGGAGCCACTGGGGAGACTGGAGCAACAGGCTTCACCGGCGCTACCGGCTTCACCGGGGAGACGGGTGCCACCGGCTTCACTGGAGCCACGGGCTTCAATGGCAGCACTGGCGCCACTGGCTTCACAGGTGGACCTCTGTTTGCTCTGAGAAGCTGTTCGCTCAGTAGAATGAGCTGCACCAGATCTGCAGAATGCATGGCTTGCATGCATTTGAATAAACTTATCTTGCAGGCTCATTGCTCATCTCAAGATTGTGACTTGCAGGATCCACTGGAGCTACCGGCTTCACTGGAGTCACCGGAGCAACTGGCTTCACTGGAGCCACTGGGGAGACTGGAGCAACAGGCTTCACCGGCGCTACCGGCTTCACCGGGGAGACGGGCGCCACCGGCTTCACTGGAGCCACGGGGTTCACCGGCAGCACTGGCGCCACTGGCTTCACAGGTGGACCTCTGTTTGCTCTGAGAAGCTGTTCGCTCAGTAGAATGAGCTGCACCAGATCTGCAGAATGCATGGCTTGCATGCGTTTGAATAAGATTATCTTGCAGGCTCATTGCTCATCTCAAGATTGTGACTTGCAGGATCCACTGGAGCTACCGGCTTCACTGGAGTCACCGGAGCAACTGGCTTCACTGGAGCCACTGGGGAGACTGGAGCAACAGGCTTCACCGGCGCTACCGGCTTCACCGGGGAGACGGGTGCCACCGGCTTCACTGGAGCCACGGGCTTCACCGGCAGCACTGGCGCTACTGGCTTCACAGGTGGACCTCTGACACATTTGCTCTGAGAAGCTGTTTGCTCAGTAGAATGAGCTGCACCAGATCTGCAAAATGCAAGGCTTGCATGCATTTGAATAAATTTATCTTGCAGGCTCATTGCTCATCTCAAGATTGTGACTTGCAGGATCCACTGGAGCTACCGGCTTCACTGGAGTCACCGGAGCAACTGGCTTCACTGGAGCCACTGGGGAGACTGGAGCAACAGGCTTCACCGGCGCTACCGGCTTCACCGGGGAGACGGGTGCCACCGGCTTCACTGGAGCCACGGGCTTCACTGGCAGCACTGGCGCCACTGGCTTCACAGGTGGACCTCTGTTTGCTCTGAGAAGCTGTTCGCTCAGTAGAATGAGCTGCACCAGATCTGCAGAATGCATGGCTTGCATGCATTTGAATAAACTTATCTTGCAGGCTCATTGCTCATCTCAAGATTGTGACTTGCAGGATCCACTGGAGCTACCGGCTTCACTGGAGTCACCGGAGCAACTGGCTTCACTGGAGCCACTGGGGAGACTGGAGCAACAGGCTTCACCGGCGCTACCGGCTTCACCGGGGAGACGGGTGCCACCGGCTTCACTGGAGCCACGGGCTTCACTGGCAGCACTGGCGCCACTGGCTTCACAGGTGGACCTCTGTTTGCTATGAGAAGCTGTTCGCTCAATAGAATGAGCTGCACCAGATCTGCAGAATGCATGGCTTGCATGCATTTTAAATAAACTTATCTAGCAGGCTCATTGCTCATCTCAAGATTGTGACTTTCAGGATCCACGGGAGCTACCGGCTTCACTGGAGTCACCGGAGCAACTGGCTTCACCGGAGCCACTGGGGAGACTGGAGCAACAGGCTTGACCGGCGCTACCGGCTTCACCGGGGAGACGGGCGCCACCGGCTTCACGGGAGCCACCGGCTTCACTGGAGCCACGGGCTTCACTGGCAGCACTGGCGCTACTGGCTTCACAGGTGGACCTCTGACACATTTGCTCTGAGAAGCTGTTTGCTCAGTAGAATGAGCTGCACCAGATCTGCAGAATGCATGGCTTGCATGCGATTGGGTGAGGGAATAAAACGGCCTCATTGCTGATCTCATGATTGTGACTTGCAGGATCCACTGGAGCTACCGGCTTCACTGGAGTCACCGGAGCAACTGGCTTCACTGGAACCACTGGGGAGACTGGAGCAACAGGCTTCACCGGCGCTACTGGCTTCACCGGGGAAACGGGCGCCACCGGCCTCACTGGAGCCACGGGGTTCACCGGCAGCACTGGCGCCACTGGCTTCACAGGTGGACCTCTGACACATTTGCTCTGAGAAGCTGTTCGCTCAGTAGAATGAGCTGCACCAGATCTGCAGAATGCATGGCTTGCATGCATTCGAATGAAATAATCTGTCGACCTCAATGCTCATCTCATGATTGTGACTTGCAGGATCCACTGGAGCTACCGGCTTCACTGGAGTCACCGGAGCAACTGGCTTCACTGGAGCCACTGGGGAGACTGGAGCAACAGGCTTCACCGGCGCTACCGGCTTCACCGGGGAGACGGGTGCCACCGGCTTCACTGGAGCCACGGGCTTCACCGGCAGCACTGGCGCCACTGGCTTCACAGGTGGACCTCTGAGATATTTGCTCTGAGAAGCTGTGCGCTCAGTAGAATGAGCTGCACCAGATCTGCAGAATGCAAGGCTTGCATGCATTTGAATAAATTTATCTAGCAGGCTCATTGCTCATCTCAAGATTGTGACTTTCAGGATCCACTGGAGCTACCGGCTTCACTGGAGTCACCGGAGCAACTGGCTTCACTGGAGCCACTGGGGAGACTGGAGCAACAGGCTTCACCGGCGCTACCGGCTTCACCGGGGAGACGGGCGCCACCGGCTTCACTGGAGCCACGGGGTTCACCGGCAGCACTGGCGCCACTGGCTTCACAGGTGGACCTCTGTTTGCTCTGAGAAGCTGTTCGCTCAGGAGAATGAGCTGCACCAGATTTGCAGAATGCATGGCTTGCATGCATTTGAATAAACTTATCTTGCAGGCTCATTGCTCATCTCAAGATTGTGACTTGCAGGCTTCACCGGCGCTACTGGCTTCACCGGGGAAACGGGCGCCACCGGCTTCACTGGAGCCACGGGCTTCACTGGCAGCACTGGCGCCACTGGCTTCACAGGTGGACCTCTGAGACATTTGCTCTGTGAAGCTGTTTGCTCAGCGGAATGAGCTGCACCAGATCTGCAGAATGCATGGCTTGCATGCGTTTGAATAAGATTATCTTGCAGGCTCATTGCTCATCTCAAGATTGTGACTTGCAGGATCCACTGGAGCTACCGGCTTCACTGGAGTCACCGGAGCAACTGGCTTCACTGGAGCCACTGGGGAGACTGGAGCAACAGGCTTCACCGGCGCTACCGGCTTCACCGGGGAGACGGGTGCCACCGGCTTCACTGGAGCCACGGGCTTCACCGGCAGCACTGGCGCTACTGGCTTCACAGGTGGACCTCTGAGACATTTGCTCTGAGAAGCTGTTCGCTCATAAATGAGCTGCACCAGATCTGCAGAATGCAAGGCTTGCATGCATTTGAATAAAAATATCTAGCAGGCTCATTGCTCATCTCAAGATTGTGACTTGCAGGATCCACTGGAGCTACCGGCTTCACTGGAGTCACCGGAGCAACTGGCTTCACTGGAGCCACTGGGGAGACTGGAGCAACAGGCTTCACCGGCGCTACCGGCTTCACCGGGGAGACGGGTGCCACCGGCTTCACTGGACCCACGGGCTTCACTGGCAGCACTGGCGCCACTGGCTTCACAGGTGGACCTCTGTTTGCTCTGAGAAGCTGTTCGCTCAGTAGAATGAGCTGCATCAGATCTGCAGAATGCATGGCTTGCATGCATTTGAATAAACTTATCTTGCAGGCTCATTGCTCATCTCAAGATTGTGACTTGCAGGATCCACTGGAGCTACCGGCTTCACTGGAGTCACCGGAGCAACTGGCTTCACTGGAGCCACTGGGGAGACTGGAGCAACAGGCTTCACCGGCGCTACTGGCTTCACCGGGGAAACGGGCGCCACCGGCTTCACTGGAGCCACGGGCTTCACTGGCAGCACTGGCGCCACTGGCTTCACAGGTGGACCTCTGAGACATTTGCTCTGTGAAGCTGTTTGCTCAGCGGAATGAGCTGCACCAGATCTGCAGAATGCATGGCTTGCATGCGTTTGAATAAGATTATCTTGCAGGCTCATTGCTCATCTCAAGATTGTGACTTGCAGGATCCACTGGAGCTACCGGCTTCACTGGAGTCACTGGAGCAACTGGCTTCACTGGAGCCACTGGGGAGACTGGAGCAACAGGCTTCACCGGCGCTACCGGCTTCACCGGGGAGACGGGTGCCACCGGCTTCACTGGAGCCACGGGCTTCACCGGCAGCACTGGCGCTACTGGCTTCACAGGTGGACCTCTGACACATTTGCTCTGAGAAGCTGTTCGCTCAGTAGAATGAGCTGCACCAGATCTGCAGAATGCAAGGCTTGCATGCATTTGAATAAATTTATCTAGCAGGCTCATTGCTCATCTCAAGATTGTGACTTGCAGGATCCACTGGAGCTACCGGCTTCACTGGAGTCACTGGAGCAACTGGCTTCACTGGAGCCACTGGGGAGACTGGAGCAACAGGCTTCACCGGCGCTACCGGCTTCACCGGGGAGACGGGTGCCACCGGCTTCACTGGAGCCACCGGCTTCACTGGCAACACTGGCGCTACTGGCTTCACAGGTTGACCTCTGACACATTTGCTCTGAGAAGCTGTTTGCTCAGTAGAATGAGCTGCACCAGATCTGCAGAATGCATGGCTTGCATGCGATTGGGTGAGGGAATAAAACGGCCTCATTGCTGATCTCATGATTGTGACTTGCAGGATCCACTGGAGCTACCGGCTTCACTGGAGTCACCGGAGCAACTGGCTTCACTGGAACCACTGGGGAGACTGGAGCAACAGGCTTCACCGGCGCTACTGGCTTCACCGGGGAAACGGGCGCCACCGGCCTCACTGGAGCCACGGGGTTCACCGGCAGCACTGGCGCCACTGGCTTCACAGGTGGACCTCTGACACATTTGCTCTGAGAAGCTGTTCGCTCAGTAGAATGAGCTGCACCAGATCTGCAGAATGCATGGCTTGCATGCATTCGAATGAAATAATCTGTCGACCTCAATGCTGATCTCATGATTGTGACTTGCAGGATCCACTGGAGCTACCGGCTTCACTGGAGTCACCGGAGCAACTGGCTTCACTGGAGGCACTGGGGAGACTGGAGCAACAGGATTCACCGGCGCTACCGGCTTCACCGGGGAGACGGGCGCCACCGGCTTCACTGGAGCCACGGGCTTCACTGGCAGCACTGGCGCCACTGGCTTCACAGGTGGACCTCTGAGACATTTGCTCTGTGAAGCTGTTTGCTCAGCGGAATGAGCTGCACCAGATCTGCAGAATGCTTGCATGCATTTGAATAAAATTATCTAGCAGGCTCATTGCTCATCTCAAGATTGTGACTTGCAGGATCCACTGGAGCTACCGGCTTCACTGGAGTCACCGGAGCAACTGGCTTCACTGGAGCCACTGGGGAGACTGGAGCAACAGGCTTCACCGGCGCTACCGGCTTCACCGGGGAGACGGGTGCCACCGGCTTCACTGGAGCCACGGGCTTCACCGGCAGCACTGGCGCTACTGGCTTCACAGGTGGACCTCTGAGACATTTGCTCTGAGAAGCTGTTCGCTCATAAATGAGCTGCACCAGATCTGCAGAATGCAAGGCTTGCATGCATTTGAATAAAAATATCTAGCAGGCTCATTGCTCATCTCAAGATTGTGACTTGCAGGATCCACTGGAGCTACCGGCTTCACTGGAGTCACCGGAGCAACTGGCTTCACTGGAGCCACTGGGGAGACTGGAGCAACAGGCTTCACCGGCGCTACCGGCTTCACCGGGGAGACGGGCGCCACCGGCTTCACTGGAGCCACGGGGTTCACCGGCAGCACTGGCGCCACTGGCTTCACAGGTGGACCTCTGTTTGCTCTGAGAAGCTGTTCGCTCAGGAGAATGAGCTGCACCAGATTTGCAGAATGCATGGCTTGCATGCATTTGAATAAACTTATCTTGCAGGCTCATTGCTCATCTCAAGATTGTGACTTGCAGGCTTCACCGGCGCTACTGGCTTCACCGGGGAAACGGGCGCCACCGGCTTCACTGGAGCCACGGGCTTCACTGGCAGCACTGGCGCCACTGGCTTCACAGGTGGACCTCTGAGACATTTGCTCTGTGAAGCTGTTTGCTCAGCGGAATGAGCTGCACCAGATCTGCAGAATGCATGGCTTGCATGCGTTTGAATAAGATTATCTTGCAGGCTCATTGCTCATCTCAAGATTGTGACTTGCAGGATCCACTGGAGCACTGGAGCCACGGGCTTCACTGGCAGCACTGGCGCCACTGGCTTCACAGGTGGACCTCTGACACATTTGCTCTGAGAAGCTGTTCGCTCAGTAGAATGAGCTGCACCAGATCTGCAGAATGCATGGCTTGCATGCATTTGAATAAACTTATCTTGCAGGCTCATTGCTCATCTCAAGATTGTGACTTGCAGGATCCACTGGAGCTACCGGCTTCACTGGAGTCACCGGAGCAACTGGCTTCACTGGAGGCACTGGGGAGACTGGAGCAACAGGCTTCACCGGCGCTACCGGCTTCACCGGGGAGACGGGCGCCACCGGCTTCACTGGAGCCACGGGCTTCACTGGCAGCACTGGCGCCACTGGCTTCACAGGTGGACCTCTGAGATATTTGCTCTGAGAAGCTGTGCGCTCAGTAGAATGAGCTGCACCAGATCAGCAGAATGCAAGGCTTGCATGCAGTTGGGTGAGGGAATAAAACGGCATCATTGCTCATCTCAAGATTGTGACTTGCAGGATTCACTGGAGCTACCGGCTTCACTGGAGTCACCGGAGCAACTGGCTTCACTGGAGCCACTGGGGAGACTGGAGCAACAGGCTTCACCGGCGCTACCGGCTTCACCGGGGAGACGGGCGCCACCGGCTTCACTGGAGCCATGGGCTTCACTGGCAGCACTGGCGCCACTGGCTTCACAGGTGGACCTCTGACACATTTGCTCTGAGAAGCTGTTCGCTCAGTAGAATGAGCTGCACCAGATCTGCAGAATGCATGGCTTGCATGCATTTGAATAAACTTATCTAGCAGGCTCATTACTCATCTCATGATTGTGACTTGCAGGATCCACTGGAGCTACCGGCTTCACTGGAGTCACCGGAGCAACTGGCTTCACTGGAACCACTGGGGGGACTGGAGCAACAGGCTTCACCGGCGCTACTGGCTTCACTGGGGAAACGGGCGCCACCGGCCTCACTGGAGCCACGGGCTTCACTGGCAGCACTGGCGCCACTGGCTTCACAGGTGGACCTCTGACACATTTGCTCTGAGAAGCTGTTCGCTCAGTAGAATGAGCTGCACCAGATCTGCAGAATGCATGGCTTGCATGCATTTGAATAAACTTATCTTGCAGGCTCATTGCTCATCTCAAGATTGTGACTTGCAGGATCCACTGGAGCTACCGGCTTCACTGGAGTCACCGGAGCAACTGGCTTCACTGGAGGCACTGGGGAGACTGGAGCAACAGGCTTCACCGGCGCTACCGGCTTCACCGGGGAGACGGGCGCCACCGGCTTCACTGGAGCCACGGGCTTCACTGGCAGCACTGGCGCCACTGGCTTCACAGGTGGACCTCTGAGATATTTGCTCTGAGAAGCTGTGCGCTCAGTAGAATGAGCTGCACCAGATCAGCAGAATGCAAGGCTTGCATGCAGTTGGGTGAGGGAATAAAACGGCATCATTGCTCATCTCAAGATTGTGACTTGCAGGATTCACTGGAGCTACCGGCTTCACTGGAGTCACCGGAGCAACTGGCTTCACTGGAGCCACTGGGGAGACTGGAGCAACAGGCTTCACCGGCGCTACCGGCTTCACCGGGGAGACGGGTGCCACCGGCTTCACTGGAGCCACGGGCTTCACTGGCAGCACTGGCGCCACTGGCTTCACAGGTGGACCTCTGAGACATTTGCTCTGAGAAGCTGTTCGCTCAGCAGAATGAGCTGCACCAGATCTGCAGAATGCAAGGCTTGCATGCACTTGGATGAGGTAATATAGCGGCCTCATTGCTAATCTCATGATTGTGACTTGCAGGATCCACAGGCGCTACCGGCTTCACCGGCGCTACCGGCTTCACCGGGGAGACGGGCGCCACCGGCTTCACTGGAGCCACAGGCTTCACTGGCAGCACTGGCGCCACTGGCTTCACAGGTGGACCTCTGAGACATTTGCTCTGAGAAGCCAATCGCTCATTAATGAGCTGCACCAGATCTGCAGAATGCAAGGCTTGCATGCATTTGAATAAAAATATCTAGCAGGCTCATTGCTCATCTCAAGATTGTGACTTGCAGGATCCACTGGAGCTACCGGCTTCACTGGAGTCACCGGAGCAACTGGCTTCACTGGAGCCACTGGGGAGACTGGAGCAACAGGCTTCACCGGCGCTACTGGCTTCACCGGGGAAACGGGTGCCACCGGCTTCACTGGAGCCACGGGCTTCACTGGCAGCACTGGCGCCACTGGCTTCACAGGTGGACCTCTGAGACATTTGCTCTGTGGAGCTGTTTGCTCAGCGGAATGAGCTGCACCAGATCTGCAGAATGCAAGGCTTCATTGCATTTGAATGAATTTATCTTGCAGGCTCATTGCTCATCTCAAGATTGTGACTTGCAGGATCCACTGGAGCTACCGGCTTCACTGGAGTCACCGGAGCAACTGGCTTCACTGGAGCCACTGGGGAGACTGGAGCAACAGGCTTCACAGGCGCTACCGGCTTCACCGGGGAGACGGGCGCCACCGGCTTCACTGGAGCCACGGGCTTCACTGGCAGCACTGGCGCCACTGGCTTCACAGGTGGACCTCTGAGATATTTGCTCTGAGAAGCTGTGCGCTCAGTAGAATGAGCTGCACCAGATCAGCAGAATGCATGGCTTGCATGCGATTGGGTGAGGGAATAAAACGGCCTCAATGCTGATCTCAAGATTGTGACCTGCAGGATCCACTGGAGCTACCGGCTTCACTGGAGTCACCGGAGCAACTGGCTTCACTGGAGCCACTGGGGAGACTGGAGCAGCAGGCTTCACCGGCGCTACCGGCTTCACCGGGGAGACGGGCGCCACCGGCTTCACTGGAGCCACGGGCTTCACTGGCAGCACTGGCGCCACTGGCTTCACAGGTGGACCTCTGACACATTTGCTCTGAGAAGCTGTTTGCTCAGTAGAATGAGCTGCACCAGATCTGCAGAATGCATGGCTTGCATGCGATTGGGTGAGGGAATAAAACGGCCTCATTGCTCATCTCAAGATTGTGACCTGCAGGATCCACTGGAGCTACCGGCTTCACTGGAGTCACCGGAGCAACTGGCTTCACTGGAGCCACTGGGGAGACTGGAGCAGCAGGCTTCACCGGCGCTACTGGCTTCACCGGGGAGACGGGCGCCACCGGCTTCACTGGAGCCACGGGCTTCACTGGCAGCACTGGCGCCACTGGCTTCACAGGTGGACCTCTGACACATTTGCTCTGTGAAGCTGTTTGCTCAGCGGAATGAGCTGCACCAGATCTCCAAAATGCAAGGCTTCATGCATTCGAATGAAATAATCTGTCGACCTCAATTCTCATCTCAAGATTGTGACTTGCAGGATCCACTGGAGCTACCGGCTTCACTGGAGTCACCGGAGCAACTGGCTTCACTGGAGCCACTGGGGAGACTGGAGCAACAGGCTTCACCGGCGCTACCGGCTTCACCGGGGAGACGGGCGCCACCGGCTTCACTGGAGCCACGGGCTTCACCGGCAGCACTGGCGCCACTGGCTTCACAGGTGGACCTCTGAGACATTTGCTCTGAGAAGCTGTTCGCTCAGCAGAATGAGCTGCACCAGATCTGCAGAATGCAAGGCTTGCATGCACTTGGATGAGGTAATATAGCGGCCTCATTGCTAATCTCATGATTGTGACTTGCAGGATCCACAGGCGCTACCGGCTTCACCGGCGCTACCGGCTTCACTGGGGAGACGGGCGCCACCGGCTTCACTGGAGCCACAGGCTTCACTGGCAGCACTGGCGCCACTGGCTTCACAGGTGGACCTCTGAGACATTTGCTCTGAGAAGCTGTTCGCTCATTAATGAGCTGCACCAGATCTGCAGAATGCAAGGCTTGCATGCATTTGAATAAAAATATCTAGCAGGCTCATTGCTCATCTCAAGATTGTGACTTGCAGGATCCACTGGAGCTACCGGCTTCACTGGAGTCACCGGAGCAACTGGCTTCACTGGAGCCACTGGGGGGACTGGAGCAACAGGCTTCACCGGCGCTACCGGCTTCACCGGGGAGACGGGCGCCACCGGCTTCACTGGAGCCACGGGCTTCACTGGTGAACCTCTGAGACATTTGCTCTGAGAAGATGTTCGCTCAGTAGAATGAGCTGCACCAGATCTGCAGAATGCAAGGCTTGCATGCGTTTGATTGAAAATATGATGGGGGCATTTATAACATGAACACACAAAGATCTTGCCAATCCTGTGAAAATTGCGAAACTATCTTGTTTGTGATTGGCAGGTGCCACTGGACAGACTGGAAGCACAGGCGCCACAGGGGTCACAGGGGCCACAGGCTCAACAGGCTCCACTGGAGCAACAGGTATCACCGGGGCCACAGGTCTCACAGGTGCCACAGGCTTCACCGGCTTCACTGGAGCCACGGGCTTCACTGGCAGCACTGGCGCCACTGGCTTCACAGGTGAACTTCTGAGACATTATCTCTGAGAAAATGTTCACTCGGTAGAATCAGTTGCACCAGATCTGCAGAATGCAAGGCTTGTAGCATTTGACTGAAATGATGATTGGGGCATTTTTAACATGAACACACAAAGATCCTGTCAATCCTGTTGAAATTGCGAAACTATCTTGTTCGTGATTGGCAGGTGCCACTGGACAGACTGGAAGCACAGGCGCCACAGGGGTCACTGGGGCCACAGGCTCAACAGGCTCCACTGGAGCAACAGGTATCACCGGGGCCACGGGTCTCACAGGTGCTACAGGCTTTACCGGCGCTACCGGCTTCACCGGCGCTACCGGCTTCACCGGCTTCACTGGAGCCACGGGCTTCACTGGCAGCACTGGCGCCACTGGCTTCACAGGTGGACCTCTGAGACATTATCTCTGAGAAGATGTTCACTCGGTAGAATCAGTTGCACCAGATCTGCAGAATGCAAGGCTTGTAGCATTTGACTGAAATGATGATTGGGGCATTTTTAACATGAACACACAAAGATCCTGTCAATCCTGTTGAAATTGCGAAACTATCTTGTTTGTGATTGGCAGGTGCCACTGGACAGACTGGAAGCACAGGCGCCACAGGGGTCACAGGGGCCACAGGCTCAACAGGCTCCACTGGAGCAACAGGTATCACCGGGGCCACAGGTCTCACAGGTGCCACAGGCTTCACCGGCTTCACTGGAGCCACGGGCTTCACTGGCAGCACTGGCGCCACTGGCTTCACAGGTGAACTTCTGAGACATTATCTCTGAGAAAATGTTCACTCGGTAGAATCAGTTGCACCAGATCTGCAGAATGCAAGGCTTGTAGCATTTGACTGAAATGATGATTGGGGCATTTTTAACATGAACACACAAAGATCCTGTCAATCCTGTTGAAATTGCGAAACTATCTTGTTCGTGATTGGCAGGTGCCACTGGACAGACTGGAAGCACAGGCGCCACAGGGGTCACTGGGGCCACAGGCTCAACAGGCTCCACTGGAGCAACAGGTATCACCGGGGCCACGGGTCTCACAGGTGCTACAGGCTTTACCGGCGCTACCGGCTTCACCGGCGCTACCGGCTTCACCGGCTTCACTGGAGCCACGGGCTTCACTGGCAGCACTGGCGCCACTGGCTTCACAGGTGGACCTCTGAGACATTATCTCTGAGAAGGTGTTCACTCGGTAGAATCAGTTGCACCAGATCTGCAGAATGCAAGGCTTGTAGCATTTGACTGAAATGATGATTGGGGCATTTTTAACATGAACACACAAAGATCCTGTCAATCCTGTTGAAATTGCGAAACTATCTTGTTTGTGATTGGCAGGTGCCACTGGACAGACTGGAAGCACAGGCGCCACAGGGGTCACAGGGGCCACAGGCTCAACAGGCTCCACTGGAGCAACAGGTATCACCGGGGCCACAGGTCTCACAGGTGCCACAGGCTTCACCGGCGCTACCGGCTTCACCGGCGCTACCGGCTTCACTGGCTCTACAGGGGCAACTGGTGTCACTGGGGCAACAGGTAACTTTTCTTTGCAATGTCATGCATCTTTCTGTTGACAACTTCTGATGCAGCGAATCAGAAGTGCAGCAACAACCTTACAAGAATACATGGAAGGCTCTCTCACCTGTGAAAAAGATTGCTGTTTATTTGTCATGCAGGCGCCACTGGCAGTACGGGCTTCACTGGTGCTACGGGCTTTACTGGCTCTACCGGTGTCACTGGGGCAACAGGCTTCACTGGCGCAACAGGGGCAACTGGTGTCACTGGGGCAACAGGTAAGTTTTCTTTCCAGTGTCATGCATCTTTCTGTCGACAACTTCTGATGCAGTGAATTAGAAGTGCAGCAACATCCTTACAAGAATACATGGAAAGGCTCTCTCACCTGTGAAAAAGATTGCTGTTTGTTTGTCATGCAGGCGCCACTGGCACTACGGGCTTCACTGGTGCTACGGGCTTTACTGGCTCTACCGGTGTCACTGGGGCAACAGGCTTCACTGGCGCAACAGGGGCAACTGGTGTCACTGGGGCAACAGGTAAGTTTTCTTTCCAGTGTCATGCATCTTTCTGTCGACAACTTCTGATGCAGCGAACCAGAAGTTCAGCAACATCCTTACAAGAATACATGGAAGGCTCTCTCACCCGTGGTAAAGATTGCTGTTTGTTTGTCATGCAGGCGCCACTGGCAGTACGGGCTTCACTGGTGCTACGGGCTCTACTGGCTCTACCGGTGTCACTGGGGCAACAGGCTTCACTGGCGCAACAGGTAACTTTTCTTTCCAGTGTCATGCATCTTCTTGTTGACAAATTCTGATGCAGTGAATCAGAAGTGCAGCAACATCCTGACAAGAATACATGGAAGGCTCTCTCACCCGTGAAAAAGATTGCTGTTTGTTTGTCATGCAGGCGCCACTGGCAGTACGGGCTTCACTGGTGCTATGGGCTTCACTGGCTCTACTGGTGTCACTGGCGCAACAGGCCTCACTGGCGCAACAGGAGCAACTGGTGTCACTGGGGCAACAGGTGAAGCTTATTTTTGATGGCATGAGTCGTTATGCTGACAGCTACTGTTGCATGAAAGTAATAAGGGCGTTACTGCAGAACCCATCCAACAAAATATGGAAGAAAGTAACCCAGACCGAGCCTCATCATTGTGGTTTGCAGGCGCTACTGGACAGACAGGAGGCACGGGAGTCACTGGCTCCACCGGAGCCACTGGCGCTACGGGATCCACTGGCTCTACTGGCTCCACTGGTGTCACTGGCGCTACTGGCCTTACAGGCGCCAGTGGGAGGACCGGCGCCACAGGTGCTACTGGCGCCACAGGCGCTACAGGCTGCGGTGGTATTGCATTGAATTTGGGATGCCAAACCTCCTCGCAGTGCGCCTCTTGCTGCTGCAGCGTATTAATTGCCCCAATCTTAGGCAGGACGTGCATTGACCTTCTTTCTGGCAGTTGCCTGTGATGAGTTGGTTTTTGAAGGTCACAACATGAGTGTGCAGAAACGCTATTGTGCGTTGGTACTTATATTCCGGTTCCAGTGGTGAGTCGGAGTGCTTTGATCCTCCTGCACTGTTGTGCCACTGCGGTCCGCTTGCAGTGCTGCTCTGGTTTGTGCCTTGCTTATACTTGCATTTTTTGGACTTTTGGGCGCAAGCAGTGCCTTGTGACAACACCACTGCAGCAACATCTCCAATTCAACTCCATCAGTGGAGATGAATTAGTGATGTTACTGCATTTGTGAGGCCAGAAGGCGCTGAGAGCTGTTGACTTACTGGAAATTTACAGCACCAGTCTCCCTTCAATGCAACAGAGGCATGATGGCAAACTCTAGATAACTTAAATTCCACTTTTTCAAGCTTGCAAATTTTGGAGCATTTTTATGAGCAGGTCACTGGGTGTCCTGTGAAGAAGAAGTGCCATATGCCATGCGGCCATATGGCATGTTCAACATGGCCGCATCTGTTGTCTCAGCAATGGATCGGGAAGGTGTTCAGATAGAAGTGTGCGAGGCCTTTGGCATCTTTATAGCGAGACTTTTTTCATGACAGGTTTGACCTCTGAAGGGCGCTAGATTGAAATTGGATGTACTTGCGAAACTGAGTGTGCTTGTCTCTCAAGAGTCCCGGCTGGCTGCAAAGCGGTGCCAATGGGGACAACTTTGCAGCCAGCTGTTGACGATTGTGAGCACAGGCAGCTGTCTTCAGTTATCCTGTTCTATAATCAGGCATTGCATGTCTGTTCTGCATGCGTTATTTCTGGTCGTTGTTGGCAGGTTGGATCTCTGCGTTTAAATCCAGCATGGTCCAGTCACATTGCGCAAGTATGCCATTTTGCGGCATGAATTGGGGAGAAGACTGAGTCCGCTCCAGAGAAAATTCTTTTTGTCTGCAGAACTATCAGATGCGGGTGTGCATGGGAGAGGCATGACGCGATATCAATTGAGCAGACCCATATTCCGCTTTGTAAAAGCTCCTTCAAACTTGGCAATGCCAATCAAGATGTTGCCTGCCTTCATCTTCAAGAAAACTCCAACATACAATAGGCTCCTTTTAGCATGAGACATGCGCATCAGCCATTTGACACAGCATACTACATCATCACAAAGTCAATTCTTGGAACGGATGCTGCCCTAAGATTTAGGTCTCAAGCCTGAAGCTGTCTACCTCAGAAATTCTTATGATGTTCCAGGAAAGGGGTTAAAATGTGCTATTCCTAGGCCCCAGCAACAGCTGCCTCTGTCATGCCGACACGACAAACACCAAACACCTGCTTACCAAGAGAAAATATTTAAGAAATTCTACGCATTGCAAAGAAAATGTAGAGTCACCAGCGCGCATGCTGGAGTTTGCAAGCCTCATCTGTCTGGTCTAATCTCATCCAGCGGAGCCGGCTGCGGCGGCCTGTAGGGCTGCGAGTCAGGCCCTGTACCACCTTGCTGCCGCTGGCTGCTATGCTGCTGCGCAAGCTCTGTGCCGGGCCTCACATCCAGCCCGTTGTGCCCAAAGCTCACCCCGCCAGCCAGCCCGGGCAGGAATGGGTGATACTCTCCAGCCTCTAGGGAACTGCTGCTGCCAGCCTCCTTCCCCCTGCCTCCCCTGCGCGTCACCAGATCAAATACCGCTCAGATTTGTTGCCCTGCTTGCTTGCTGGATATTAAGTGCTTTTTGGTCGCCAGGGAGGGACAGATATGGCATCTGTCTTACTGCCTGATGGCTTTGTCTACGATAAAAAAGAGTGGACATCCAGGCCCAGGCAAAATGAGTGGCAACGTGCTCAACTTCCCTTCATCAGACTGCCATGTGTTTTCTTTTGATATTCTTTGGGATTGCATTGTGATTGCTCCATTCGTGCCCCGGTGATTTTCGGCCACACCCTCCTTAAAGGGTATATGACGAGGCAAGGCAACGCTGCTGTATAGCTGCACATCAGCCGAGTGCCTGATCAGGCGACCCAATGACAATGAAAAGACAACGCCCCTGTATACCAGTATTTAGCCTAATCAGGCGCCGCACCTGGTCGGGGTCCCCCCGGGTCCGGGGGTCTCTGAATCGTCCTCGTCATCGTCGTCTCCCTCAAGTCCCCCGTCGGGCGCGACCAGAGGGTATCCGCGCACCGCCGCGGCCGAGAACTGGCGCCCCCCGAAGAGCGGCTTGAGGAAGTGGCGGTCCAGGATCTTCCAGCGCTGCAGCAGCGTGTGCGAGCCCCCTCCCAAGTTTATGTCCCTCACCCTCTGCGTAAAGGGCACCAGGGATCGCGGTCAGGGGTTCCTATCTTCCTGCGTACAAGTCCTCTGAGCATGCAGATGTGCACCCATCCGGGTAAGGAGCACCAATACTATAAATGACAATATGTTCAGTACGCAGACGCACTAGCAGAAATACGGAAGAGGCATTCCCAAGCAATGCCATTTGGATTGACTGAGGCCTCACCGCCATGGCTGTGGTGGGAGATACGCCCTCGTGCAGCTGTGCGTACCCCGCAGCCGCCACCTCAGCATCACCCACGCCCTGCAAACGTGCCATACATCACTAATAAGCGCCCGGTGACAGAACTGCTGGCAACTCCTCACTAGCCCATAGCTGCAACCGGCACCGCCCTTAGAATCAATGCAATCCTTTTAGTGAAATGCAGAATTTTTGCTGCCAGCTTCCTGGGAATTGGGACCAGGACGCGATGCCTAAAGAGAAAGTCCATGGCCAACAGCGCTGCAGTGGCACCCACTGCGCTCCCATGATCGCCCCTGCAAGGATGAGGAAAGCCCAAAAAATGCAGACTGCAAAACTTAACGAAGAAGCTTCCAGAATGCTCGCCTGCAGGTCGAACACGCGCAGCAGCGGCCCGGTGGCGGCGCCCAGGAAGAGAGTGGAGGCCATGACAATCACAAGCGTGGCTGACTCAATGGCGGGTATGCCCTCGTCCGACTCGCCCTCGATCTGCGGGAGGTTCAGCGCGAGGCCGTACGCGACCGCGCCACGCAGTCCCACCGCCCACACCATCCACTGCGCACGCGCACAAATGGCTTCAGGCATGAACCTGGCAATCTCGTTTCGCCACAAAACAATTGCCAGAGGTTGTCGGACAACCCATCTATGTAGTACTGCAGGCGGTGGTGGCAATGAACAGGTGGATTTTCGCTTGGCGAAGGTCTCTGACACTCGCAGCACACTGCGCGCATGCAATGGGCTTCACAGGAAAGGCTAGGAGGTGATCTGCGAAACTTTCAAAGTGCAGTATGAGACTGTTTCAGAACCAGATTGTTCAGATATGGTTGAGGTGCACACAGTTCAGGACAGAGGGTGTGCAGCTCGCCTGCAGGTTGAGGGGCAGGGGGAGTTTGCGGCGCAGGTTGGCTAATCGTGACAGGGGGAAGATGTTTGCTGCGCGCGTGGCGAGGCAGAGGGGCAGCCCCGTCAGCAGCAGGCCCCAATCCCACGTCATCGATCCCAGCGTCGCCACCTGGCCGCAGGAATCAAGAATTCAATTAGATTTGAAAGTTGACTGAAATAGACTCCCTGGGTTCCCAATATAGACACTGTGGGCATATTGTAGGGACCCCAGGGGTTTGGTCCTCTAAATCGTGCATCAAGCGCCACCTGCGGTAAGCCCAGCGCTTGTTTGAAGGCACAAAACACGCAGAGCTCGCAGACCACAGACCTAGGGGCAAACAGCTCGTCCTAAAAAACAAGCCTCCATTACGCTACTCGTAGCGCGGACTCAAGACGTGTTATTATTATTATTACTAGAAAGCAGCGATTCCAGTCGTGAGCCAGGCGCATGGACATTCCAACAGGAGGCAGCCACTCCATGCAATGCTACTTGCAGCCATGTCAACAGGGGCGGCAGCCCACCTGCAGGCCCAGGTAGGCGAAGACGAAGGTCTCGGACAGGAACGCCGCAAACTGGAAGAAGCGCCGCAGCGTGATCTGCGCGTCGGGCGCCACGCTGTAGTAGCTGTAGTGCGCGTGAAATACCCCCGAGAAGAACAGCGCCACTATGCCCGACAGCTGCAGCACCTGCGCGCGCGCGTGCAACGAGGTGGACACAATTTAAATTTTGAATTTGGATTGAATTGCCGCCAAGCTGGTACCAATTCCCCGACGGCGGCGCCAATACCCCAGAAAGCCTGAAGTCGGGCTCTCAGTAGAGCACAAGAAGAAGATTGGTCACGAAGGACTCGTCTGCCTGAGATCATTTGATTCCTGGAGAAAGCACGGGAGCATGCTCTGCTTGCTTCTTTGCTGTATGCCAACCAGTCAGCATGGCTCCGTCTAGCATGTGTTGGGCCACGCTGTATGCGCAGGCATTGGTTGCCACATGCAGGCAGGGGTGACAAGCCAGAACCCGGCTGAAGCCATCTGATCCTTTCGCATCCAGTGGGAAACATGACTGTGCAGTCCAGTGCCCTGTCATACTCCTCATTCCTTGGTGGTGAGAGTTAGAAACAAACAGTGCCCACCTCGGCGACAAGGTAGGCCATGTAGGCGCTCATAACAACGAGAGCGATCTCATAGACGGTGCCGCTGAATGCGAGGTTATGCTGCCGCCCCTCTGCCTCCCCCGGCGCCACCTGGAACCGCTTCAGCAAAAACGCGCACGGCAGCGCCACCAGAATGCCTGCGGTGCACTCAGGGGCTTCAATTTAGATTTTTCTCCCTTGAGGGTTGATCATGAACCCTGAACTAACACAATGCCTGCGGCACACGACGCCTTGCAGTGCTGAGATGTACAAAGGCCCACGCTCCAACAACGATGCTAGCAGCCACCAGCCTCTGAAATTGAATCCTGAACCAGAGTCTTTTAAGGAGTGTAGTGGGCAGGCAAGCTGCATCTCTTCCAGAACATGGTGCAGCCTGTTATTGCACATGGATCAATGCCATCTTTTCCAGGGGCGTCTTGCGCCCGCATTTCAAGCATGCACGTGCAAATGAGAAGGTAAGGATTTTGTACACAGACTGTGTGAAATTTGGTGCGCACCAACAAGGAGCGAGCCGATGCCGATGGTGCCAAAGCGCCAGATGATGAGCGGCAGTGTTGTCAGCTTCAGCGGCGCATCATAGAATTCCTCAAGCGTCCTGAATAAGACGATGGCCACCTGCATGCAAAGACCCCATCAGACATACGCAGCAATAAGAGGTTCGACATTTCCATAGGAGACAAGGGCTACACTGCAAAATCAACACTGGGGAAGGCATCACCATCTGTGAGTAGGAAAAGAAAGCAGAAGGACGAATCTCGGAATGCAGATGCGATGCAGCACAGTGTAGGTAGTGTGTTCTATCTTGAAGGAAAGATTGAGGGACACATACCGCGTCATTGAGGACGCTCTCTCCAAAAACTATGTTGTACAGCAGCGGAGGCACGTCCAGCTCAGCGAAGACACTGAGAGTGGCCACAGGATCCGTGGCAGAGATCAGTGCGCCTGCAAACAGCACAACCTAGACTTCATGTACCATCCTTGCATGTGCTCAAACCACACGTGCGCACTTTCCGGCCCACAGAGACCTTTTGTGTAAGCATCCACCGCTGGATTGACTTGTTTCAAGCGTGCAACCGTGCATGCCTTTCCCCGACAATGCAATAACTTGGGCGTTGGGCATCACATGGGCCATCATAAGCTGGCACATGTGATGCATGCATGCAGCAAATATTTTCCACAAAAAAAAGCACATGCAGCATTTTGGTCATTTCCAACAGGGCTGCTCACCATACAGCATGCACTCCACGAGGGGCGCGGTGCCCAGGTGGCTTCGCTTGACCACATGCATGAGCATGAGCAGGTACGTGGCCAGCCCAAACAGGATGGTCGAGATAAGCGTTCCCACGACTGCAAACAGCGTGATCGTGCCAAAGTTGCGGAAGAACTCTCGCTTCTTCAGTGTGAAGCCGGCTGCAAACACTATCGGCGGCAGCAGGCCATAGAAAAACGCTGCTGGCGAGAATCGCAGCGTGGCAGTCAGGCCTGCGCCGACAACCATCTGCATCAGTGGCCAAGCACGTGCAATCTGTTTGCGAGGACTAGACCCGTGTAAAGTACAAGCACGGATATCTAGAAGCTGTCTACAAGAGATGTTCAGAGCAACAAGGGTGACAGTGAGGCAAGCATTGGGTCAGTGCCTTGTAATATACAAGGATGGACAAATTTGCAGTATACAAGGGATGATTAGAAATATAAGTGTGAGATAAAGGCAGGCAAGGGGATGTGCTGGTCACCTGCCAGTTTGGCAATGCCCCCATAGACCATCCCAAGCGTCATTGCAGCGGCGCTGGGAGGTATGTAGGTGATCTTGTAGCGCTGGATGAAGAAGGTGGCCACCACGGTGGTGACCAGCAAGCTCCATATGAGAGCCAGCTCTTCCTGTTACATAATATGCCTCGTTGAGCTAGGGGCACCGCACACCCAATACTGTGCACAAGAGCAAAAGCCACACCACGCATGTGTGGTGCAGCAAGGTACTGAAACAAGCAATGGTCGCATAAGTGCGTATTCGAGCATTTGACAAACAACTTCTAGCATTGTAAAACACCTTGCACGACCAATCTGCATCATCGTCGCACTCGCTAGGACTCACCGAAACATAAGAAGTCGAGGTCATGGCAGTACGTTACACGGTACTACAAAGACTATTCTTGTTGTGTTGGAAGCACTACGTGCATCCACACATAATTGTGCATGTGGGCACTCTTTCCTTCAACGAGGGTCCGTTCTGTACAGCAAACGAGGTGAGTGATGAAGTGATCAACAGTGGGCTGCAGAAATTCAGCATCCAAATTGCGAGCAGCGCTCTAATTTGCGCAGTTATGATTCTTATGACAATGAATGCATCGTTGTCAGGTTGTTGGTGAACCCGATCGTCCCTTCGCAAAGGGAAGCTCTGCACATGCAAAATTGTCACGTGGCCAGCCACGTGCCTAAAAGTACTCCCATGACAGTACTCCCAACGGAGGGTGGAATCTGAACACCTGTACAATTATCCTGCCGAAGGGAAAGAGCAGCATGCTAGATGGAGCAGGGGAGCATCATCCTTCAGCCTATACATAGGGCTCTAGCTAGCTGGGCAATTGCAACGCAGTCACCGCGCGGTGCACCAGTGCTGCAGAATCACACCAGCAAATTGTGCTTGCAGAATATGACAATCCCTCCAGATTCACTTCATAGGCTCCAGCAAATATCTAAGAAGTACATACAGCCCAGTGCATGGCGCGTTCCATTCTTACAAAAGTCATACGGATCGATGTACCTTTCACCGTATCTTGCACGCGCTAGGAGAACTGCAGCACAGTCAGGATCTTCTGATATGGATATCACACTTGGATTGCAATCATTCACCTCCTCGGGATAGCTACAATTAACTCCTCGCACATCTGCAAGCGCTGCCTGAAGCTCTCACTCCCTTTGCCACTTCTAATAATTGTACTCTGTGAACAGCATAGATCATAGTATTACACGATAGAGAAAGCACACATTCCATAAGATACATTCACACTACACAATACAAAAATTGACTCACGGACGCTGGCCGTTACTATAAACCGTGACCCGTGTGACTCCTCATGCTTCGGCTGAAAAGCTGGGAGAACCTGCCATTTAGAAATAGCTGTCAGCAGCTGCCGGTCCTGCAGTGCCCCCGCCTGGGAGAGGGGGGCACAGGGGGATCGCTCAACGAGAGGGCCTCCAAGCCAGCCGGTGAGCTGCTGTAGATGTCTTGGGACCCCCTGTCGCGCACCCTCTCAAAGCCAGGGTCTCCTGAGGAGGCAGCGAAAACCTCATCCATTGTTGACACCGCTCTTCTGTGTGTTTTGAGCTGGTCCCTCCATTCTCTCGTCCTACTCTGTTTACCTGCATGGTGACAGAAAAATATTATTTGGCAGGCAGCATCATGCCCCAGTGGAGATATCTGCAAAACAACCTGGTTGCATAACTTGGGCTTGTGCAAAAGTGCATGTGATAGATGGGAACGATAGGTTTCTCGTAGCAGTAAGAGTTCTCATCACCCTGCGGCACCCAGCAAGGGTCTTTCTTTCACTCTCGAGACCCTTGAATCCATCCAACATGCAGGTTTAGCCGCATCTGTTTGTGCCGAGAAAAGTCATTCCAAAAGAAATTTGAAAAAGGAGGCCGGACCTTGGCTGCTGGGCGTCCTGCGGTGGTGGTGGTGCCGAGGCCGATCAGGCGTCCTGAACAGGCCGCTAGCCCCGGCCCCGTCTGCGAGGCCGTTCCCTCCGGCCATGGAAACGCCGCCGAACAGCCGGTCCTGCAGCAGCAGCGCCGCGCCGTGCGCCGGCTGCACGCGCGGATGCACCGCCTCTGCCGACGGCAGCGCCAGCTTCAGCCCCTCCCTCACCACGTCCAGGAAGGGCGAGTCCTCCGACAGCAGGCCGCCTGCGCACACAGAGGGTCAATATCTCTGGCAGTGCATTGATTCTGGAGAGTATGCTTTGGTTGCTACAGCACCCATGCTTCAAGGATCTATACATACATCATCGGGGACCTTGCCGTTCACACAGAACCAGGCAACAGGGTGGCGGCTGAGTCTTCAGTTCAGACTTCTTAACAGAGCCACTGACGTGAGAACACTCTGTGAGGCCGACCATTCTCCATGATAAGGCAGGGCCATGGGGTCAACTAGCAAAGTACATGCCCCCAAGGACATCAAGGACATCCATTTAACAGACCAGACGCATCAGGCGCGCATGCTTGCTCGTGTTGGGCCAGTACATCTCTGCGCCAAGACAGGTGCTCGAGGAATCGCTGAGGACCTTGGAGTCACCTGAGAGCACCAGCTTGAAGCGGTGGCCCTTGAGGCGGCTGCGCTCGGCCACGGTGACGGCTGCGCGCACGGCTTCGTTGGCCGCCCCGGTGACGATGCGGAAGGCCACGCTGTCTCCCTCCTCCGCGCAGCGCAGCACGACCGGCGCCAGCGCCGCGATGCGCGCCCAGCCGGGCTCCGCGTACGCCCACCTGCTCGCACATGCCGGCACATGACCCCATTGCATATGCTCACTGGGGGTTCCTGGCTGGGGAGATCTTATTTATGTTGATAAGTACCTTCACCTCAACTGCTGGGTGCATGGCTTTGGGTGACTAGTGTGGTATGTCTTTCAGTGTTTTGGATGTCATGCTGGCCGCTCACTCTGAGAGCTCAAAATCAGTTATGGGATCAGCCGTACATCCCTGGGAAGCAAGGTGTGCCCCTTAGTAACCGCAACATGTATCTTGCCTCTGTGATGACCTGCTCTCCAGTGATAAATTAACGCAACGAGGGTCAATCCTGTTATTTGTTTGCTGCATCATGTCCGGAGAATGAGACCGTTCTAGAATGGCATTCAGTGCAAGCATGGGCTGCCTGGCAGCGTTACTAAGCTTGGGGCAAAAAGACATGGGCTGCCTGGCGCACCCCAAGAGGTCCTCTGCCTTCTCCACGCCGCAATGTGCGCAGGTTGCTGCCACCAGCTCTGTCCGAGGGCCCCTCCCATCCGCCGCCCTTGCCACCGCTGCCAGCGCTCGCTGCCCTGCCACAACACACACCTTCCTCCATCACTTTCCTGAGCCCTGTGTTCTCAGTACGCTCATGGGCCCATGCAACACAAGACCAGCCTGGCCGCGTTTCAAAAGCCTGTCAAATGAGGAGGTGAAGCGCTGGTCGTGTACATGCAGCGACAACGCAGATGTTGGATCACCACTGCATCACTGAATGCCTGCATGTTGTGTGTGTGTGCGTGTGTCTTCACCTATGTCATAGCCGCTGCCTCCATCAAGGAAGGCTGGTCCCCACCCGGATGCCCTCACATGCTCCCCGTCTGGTCCTATCCCCAGCGCAATTGTCCCTGCACCACACTAGGTGTCAGAGGATAGTTAATCAAAATTGCACGTGTATGTAACATGCAAGATCCCGCGCGATGCCAACTAGACAGAATTTTCACCTCACGGAAGGTCTGTCCTGAATAGCATTTTACCTGGGAATTCCATGTGTTGATCACAGACAAGTCCCCTTACTTTCTTTTCGCATATTGAGATCTTTGGGTGGTTCAGGGGGGCTGGGGTTTACCTGTTCCGATGACAAGCACACAGCCAGTGCAGGGGCCTCCAGTTCCACAGGCCAGCGCCACCACCGAGTCATTGTACACAAGGACCTCGATCTGCACAGCACAGGACAATTTGTCATGTCGTGCATGTGACCTACCCGAGGCTTGAAATCGTGTACTGTGGAAAAGCAGCTTCAGAGTGGCTTGCGGCTCTTGCCTGGTCATTTTGCAGCCAGCTTTGAAGTGCTTCTTTGACTGTGTCAGCGTCTGCCTGGCGATCGACACCTGCCATGCCAGCGCAGACTCCTGCCAGATGCGATGCATCTAGGCCTGCTGCCGACAGCGCCCCTGCGCACAGGCAATCAAGGCAATTTAATTTCAGCTGCAGCTTGGAATCAGTTCTCTGTGGCAATGATGCAGTCTATAGGGTGCAGAAGAATGCTGCCTCATTGGAGCACCTGTGATGGTGCCCCGCAGCACAGATAATGCTGCATCCCGTCCCACGCTGTTCCTGCAAGTGATCATGGCGATTGAGAGATATGAGAGGGATTAAACAAACTGTTTCCTTCAGGAAATACAGGAAAATCGAGTGTCCTGTCTGTGTCCAGAGCTTCACCAGTTGGAGGCCCCTCCCCGTGCTCGTCCCAGTATTTCTCCGTTTTTGGTGTCCATGACCACACATTCGGTCTTGGAGCCCCCACCGTCAATACCAGCAAGGACCTTGCGATCTTCCATGCCCACCGTCGGAATCACCCTAAATTCAGAGGATATCTAAACGTGGAGTTGCTGTGCATCCTATGGGCATCCTTGTAAAATATGAATTTGTTCACAAGACAGCTGATCAGAGCCTGAGGGTGCTGGAACACACGGATAGATTTCCACCTGGGTGGGATCAAATTTGGGCACTTCTGTTGGATGGAAGAGATGGAGACTGATTTTATCAAACTTTGCACATCATTATTCAATGCAGAAGTGGATCAGTATAATCATCTTATGATTGTCGAGTAACAGGTGATTTCTCATCGGCATGGAATTTAGTGGTCACGTACTGGTCTTACAGAGTCAGCTGACGCAATCTAAGCAATGATGAGAACCAGTTCTAGATGAATGTTGCACTTTGACATCAGGATTTGACTCAGCGTTCTGCATAAATCTCAGCTATAAGAGAGCGCGCTGCAGGGTCAAAGCCCCTGGATAAACGGGAGAAGAGGATTAAATGCATGCAGGTGCTGGAAGCTTCCCCCAAAGACTCATGATTCAACACCCAGGCAGGACAGACTGCTACTCATGGTAGCAGTACCAGTTTCTTGTACTGTACCATGGGAAGAAGCACATGCATGTATGGCAGAATTTAGTCGCTCATCTTGCACTCGTGTGGAAGCCCTCGATTGGTCAAACTTTGAAGCTCGAGCTCTTGAATAATTTGGATCACAGTATAGTAATCTCTTGGCCCCCACGCCATGTGGGCCCTGGCCATTCTGAGCACAAACGCATGGGTACAGCTTCACAAAGAAAGCATCATCACATTGCATGGAACCCAAAGTCAATTAGTCCCTATAATTAATCGTGTGATAATTACAAGGACTGCTTGAGTTCGAATGTGGGCATGCAGATGTCAACAACAACACAGCACTCTTGTTAAAGGAAAGCAACGTGTGAACACAGTCCTTTCTATCCTTGAAACAGTCTGTAAATGGTCAGGACAGATTGGCCTGACTCAAAAGTCATCAGCAAAAGATGACAAACTTGCCAGACGTCACTTCAAAAGAGTGAACTCACTTCAAAAACCAAAAGTCCAGTGAACCAAGGCAGCGCTTGAGAGCGCTAGCAATCAGGGCAGTATTGACGAGGAGCACTTCCACACTTGCAACGCAACGCACAGATCTTTGACCCTGATATGTGCAAGGACCCAGCATGTCTTCAGTCGGCACATAGTACAACCATTGCAAAACCAAATCACTGTATCATCCATTTGAGAGCTCTCACTTCTTTGCCTCAACCGAAGGCATTCAGGACCACTCTGTACACATGGCCTTGCCATCTGTACCAGAGCTCCTTGAGGGGATTTGCTCACAGCAGCGCCTTTCTCAGTGCTGGGACTTTGACTCTCAGGCTTCTTGTCGTTACTTTTCTCGGCTGTGAAAGCCGCTGTGGTCTGTGGCTGAAAGCCCAATCTTATAAGCATCCTTCAGAAGTTGCATGTTGTCGTAGCCAATGAGTCAGCTTCGGATGGCTGATGGATGAATCTTTGCTGCACCTCAGGGGAAAACGCTTGGATACATAAGCATATTTACCACCAGAAACCTCCGCCCTCAGAGGGAAACCCACGACATTATAAATTATCTACCACCGGGCCCCCTCCGCCCGCAGAATGAAACTCTCGACATATATACCTTTATCACCACCAAGCACCACCGCAGCCGTTGCCCCAGCCCCAGCCGCCGGAGAAGCAGCCGCCGCCGCCGCCGGGAATGTAAGTGTTGTCAACCGGGTTGGGATTCAGCAGACCCGTGCTCTGGAAGTTGTCGATGAACAGCGCAACATCCTTCAGGAACGCGCGGCCCTCAATCTTGTCAATCACCTGCGCGCGTGAATTTCCCTACTTTGGGACTATAAATTGCTGTCGTCAATTTAAGATCCCCGGAGCAGAGGCCAGGGCACCCTGCAGCCCTTGCCCGGGAGCTGCATGTTTAGGTTGCTAAATTAAGGGAAATTCTGAGTCAGCCATGCCAAAATGCATGATGCATGGAGCATGCAGCCCATTCTTACTGCATGCAACAGAACATGACAAATAAACTCTCCCAATCTTTTTCTCGTCAGGCGTACTGCAAGGATTCACTAGCAGAATTGTGCACTAAAATTCTTGGCGGCTTGCAGCTCTTGGAAGGGGGCTGATGCTGAGAGCGAAAGGGGATGATGTATGTCACATCCATACATCTTGTACGTGTATCTTGGAATGACTGCATGTGAGCTGACTTTTGAGAACTTGGTCTCTAGTGCGAATGGTGGAGAAATGCGAAGGGCAGGGAACTTTGGAGAAGATCCATAAAGTGCTGCTGGAACACACCTAGCCTGGTAGGCTGAAAGAGCGTGTAGTAGCAAAGTAATATTTACACCAATAATGAGGCAGGAGAAAGGGGTGGAGCACCTTGGTGAAGGCAGGCATGGACTTGTGGCGGCGGTAGAAATTTGCGATGGAGCCCACATGGCGCTCCGGGACAAAGGTGACTGTATATGTCAGCGTGTTGGCCGCCGCATCATACACCGGCTCGCGAAGAGTCACGATGACCACCTGGCACATCACATAATGATTACTGATATTACAACATTTTCACAATGTAGCTTTGGCCCCGGCTGGCGGTTAAATTGGGTCCTGCTCAGATCTGGCGAAGAGTCACAATGACAATCTGGCACATTAGAGCGTGGTCAGCCATGTGCATATGATATATTTCTCTCGTTAATCTATGGCAGGCTTTTCCTGCCAACACGCAAGGTCTGTCTACAGACAAGCTGCATTTGAAGGCTGCCAAGTACCTACCCCTTGTTGGACTCGCCAGATCCAAGCAAGACCCAATCATCTGTGGGCACGTTAACAGGATACTTGATGCAAATTTTTTCGAGAAGGTCGTCAGCGCTATCCTTTCACCATGAGCACATTGCACATAAAAATTTGCATGCTCTTGTCAGGGGGAGGAACAGGAGCTGTTAGGGCAGAGTAAGATCATGACCTGCCAAAAGTCCTCACAAGAGCCTCCTGCTGCGTTTGGGCAGGCACTACTGCAGGCCCTTCCCTTGCTCACAGCATATTATTTGAGCACAAAAGAATGCAAAGCAGATGTCTTTTCAAGCCAGCGGCTCACTGTGTTGTTCTGGGGCTTATTGCCCTTGAGTCCGAACAGCGCAGCGTTGGGTGCATCCAGCCAGTCGTTGGACTTGTTGTTGTAGAACATCTTGTCGACCGAGAAGAAGTCTGCAAACACCACACATTTCCCTCTACCCCAGACTTCCTCTTGCCTTTTGCCTTACAGCAAGCAATCCTTGCAGTCTGCAAAGTGCCATGTCATTCTGCTGTTCATGGATGTAAGACTTTCCGCAGCTTACATACTTCAATGCAGTGGGGGAGAGTGGTGATCATTACCTGTCCCAATCATGCCTGCATACCTCTCCGGCTTGTCAGCAAAGAAGATCTGCATAGGAACAGGTTGAGATCATCAGCTTATGTGTGGCTCTCTTCCTCTCTTCCAAGAGATTGTAGAGCATCACATGCAAGGGGTTATTCACCAGGATGAGCGTGCTCAATGGGCCTCACCGTTTGGGCGGACACATTTGAGAGGATCATGACTGTTTTTTTGCCCGTTGTGGTAAAGTTGGCGAGCTTTGCCTGCAACACAACCCACCACTTCAATCTCACTTTGCATTCTCATCTAAGCAAAGACTTGTCTGCGCTGCTTTGTTGCTTCAAAAGTTTTCACATAGCATATCTTTGTAGCCACATTGGCTTCCAGCCAAAATCCTTATAAGAAACACTGCTTGGCAGACTAAGTTCAGCTGATCAGAATCATTGAAAAGATGCTGGAGGTACAAATTTTTGCATGCGTGCGCCCTGCAGGATCCACTGGAAGTACCGGCTTCACTGGAGAATCTCCAGTTTTACCAGTGCAACAGGCTTCCGGAAGAATGTGTTGCCCTTTGGCAAGTTGCAGCAACAGGCTTCTCCAGAGATACTGCAGCGCACCTGCTGGATGAACAGCAGTGAGGCACTGTCCGAGCTGGAGTTGCACCCGGCAGCGGCCGCCGGCGCCGCCGCATTGTTCAGCGCATTTGCCGACGGCAGCGGCGCTCCGACAGGGGACGCCATCGGAGACGGGGCCATCGCTTCCAGTAAAGACCCCGCCAGTTCCATTTGTGGCGCGAGGGTCGGTACCGCGTTTGTATACCTGCACCAACGAGGCACAACTGAGCAAGCCAGCACCCCATTTTGAGTTTGATCCTCCTGAATTAAACATGCGTGCGTTCGTACTGCATCGAAGGCAGACCATGATGTAGCATGCAGGCGTCTGCAGCGCAGACACAAGTTTGTGTGGAGCTTCAGGTACTGTATTGTGTTCATTCAAGTGCAATCTGCACTGCGCTGTCAAGGTTGGTAAGGGATCCGTTAGCTTGCACAGCTCAGGCTTAGACAGCATCAATGTTCAGGAAGTGTCAGGGGTGCAATGATCTTGGTTTTGACCATTAGTCGGGAAATGGTGCGTCCAGGAGCCCTCACTTGCCACCACGATGGAAGTTGTAGTCATCACCCGCTTCAGGCGCCGGTGCCGGCACAGCGGCGGCTGGTTTCTTAGCGGCAGTGGCCGCCTTTGTTGGCGCCATAGCTGGTACGCCCGCTGGCGGCAGCGGCTGGCCTGCAAATAAACAAAAGACAAGGTCACTCACTCTCTCATTTAATTGGGGTTTCTCTTTCCCCTTTTCTGCTAAAGCTTCTGCTTCTTCCAGCCGGGCTTCTGTTAATTTTTTGTGTCATTTCTCTTATAGCAAGCCAGATGGGTGGCTTGGGTCTGAGCTTCACGGTGCCCCAAGGAGCACGTCGTTAGCGAAAGGTCTGCGAATGATTCTGGTGCCAGAAAACCGCTTACACGCCCTTGTATGTGAGTGATATGCTTTTTGGGAACTGGGGCCTCTCAACTGACTAGATACTTGAGTGCCCTTGCCATCGACATCCGTTGAACGTCGAGCACCGGCAAATTCTTGCAAGCTCTAGAATTATGCACTCCATGATTTACTTGAGATACATTATACTGCATTACTGCAAGATTTTAGCACGCGACACTATACGGTTCCTTAAGAGCAATCTTCCAATCCTGTCGAACTAGACAGGAGGAAAGTTCAGAGCCCTATAAGATGACGGACCGCGTACCTGCGACGATCTGGATAATGACCAGCAAGCAGGAGGATACAGCCAGGAATCGAGAACCCTGCATCATCGCAACAAAACCCCAAGCACTGTCGAGTCGCGTGATGATGATGCCCGGGTTTGTGCACTCACCCTTTTCCACACCCAAGCTCAAGAACAACTCAGACGCCGAACAAGCCTATAAGTAAATATACGAAGAACAACAATGGTATCCTCAAGTACTTCAAAACCGCTCAGCTCATCCACCTTCCTCAACCGTCATCACGCTCATCATACGGCTGACGTGGCTAGTAGTCTCTCGATTTCAAATTCCAGTTCAACAGATGATCGTGCACCAACTCTACTCCCTGTCTGGCTCGTGAGATGCAGACAAACCGCATCATCATCCGCAAATTTGCTCTTATTCGCGCGAGTTTTCTACACGGTACACCATGCTGTCACGGCACATTAAGCTTCCATAAAAATAGGAGCCCGGGGCAGCTTAACGGCGTCTGCGTTCTGCTCCAGGTTCTGCCATTGCAGTGTTCCCCTTGATTTCTCTGCGACGGTGCAAGCTCTGCTCGGCTACATGCGTGAACGCTGCGGTGGCCGCTGCCGGCGTGGCAGCTCTGCGTTGTGCGCATGGCAGGCTTGGAAAAAGCTGAGTGCCACATCATCGCTCCAAGAGCCCGCGAAGGGCCACAGCCCCTGCAGGAACGCCACATGGCCGCCCCTGCACCCCAAAAATCGCATCATTTGGCTAGATTGCGCTAATAAAAAGTACGTATGTTTCAGATAAGTTGAGCTCTGAGAGAAAGCAGTGGTCGACCATCATAGACGTGAAGCTGAGTCAAGCTGAGAGAAAAGTCATGTGGCATTAGTCACGGGCCCTGTTTGGGACCATGCCTTGACGCCAATCCAAAACGAGCTCAGCATGTTGGTGAACCTAACTTCAATACAAGCAGTTCCTGCCGAAAAAGCAAGGCGCGCCTGCAGACAGGCTGCAGGTAAGGGCTGCCACATAACCTACCCCTTTTGTTATCAAAAAGATGATCAGCTTTCCGAGCCAGTGCGCGTGTGTTGTGTTAGGCCTCACCTGGCGGTGACGGCCAGGACTGTGTTGGGGTTGGCGCTGCACTCAGCAATTGGCAGCCGGCCCATGAAGGGGTCGTCCTGGGCCACCAGGAAGAGCGAGGGAGTGGTGATGTGGGGGATGTACTGCTCGCTCGAGCCGTGCTTGTAATACTCCTCCACGCTGTCGTACCTGCGCACAGCACAATCTCTTCAATCGCTCACGTTCTGAGGGACTAAAAAAGTCAAAAATTGCCTGCGCCCACATGCGCCACAGCAGGGCGCACTTTTCAGCATTCACAGCAAGAAAGGCATTTACAGCAAGAAAGGCCATCAGTAACCTGTCCCAAGGCCTGTCTTGCGGAAGATGCGTCTCAGTATGCACTTCCTTTGAAGCTTTAGACAATGCTGAAATTTGACACATGACCAGGAGAGACAGAAGGGCGGGAATTTTGCAGCAAGGCAGACTGCCGACATGTGCTAGCATGTGCTGGCATGTGCGCGCGACGCACCCGAACACCTTACACACGACGGCCTCGTCGAAATGCGAAATGGTCCAGGCTTCAGTCAGAGCGTCCAGCGTGGCGTGCTGACTCATCTGATGCTCGTGCTCCCTGAAGTAGGCCTTCAATCGAACAGCCAGCAAGATGTTATACAGTCGCGCCACCGTCCACGGCCTCTGCAGGTTCTCTGAGGCTGTGGCAAGACAGGTGGGGCTGCTCACCAGCGCTGCGCAGGTTATACCGCTGCCTGCACGTTACCAGGGGACTCTATTTCAGGACAGATGATCACAATGTTTGTTGTGCGGAAATACTGGAACAGGATACGGTCATTCTATAGAGTGAAATATGTGATTGGTTGGAACCACTTTTAATTCCGAGCTTCTCCCTCCTGCCAAGAAAATACAGGGTGATGATAAATGTTGAGCATGAATGAGACAAATATTTGGCTTGCCACTGGACATGCACGGCCAGTGAGAACTCAACAAGTATTGGTGTGTTTTTAGAGGGAGCCCTCTTGGCAAGGAGCATGTCCACCGGTCGCACTGTCAACATGTCAGTAAGCCTTGCATTTAGGAATCCCAAGAAGTTTGCAGGGCATAGGCTGGCAGAAATATAGAGGAAACAATAGCAGGCAGGCAGTGCCTACCTTGTCCGGGCCATTTGCCGGTGTCAGCCTCTGCCAGGTATTTTGTGAGGATGAGGGCGCCCAGAGAGTATCCGGCGGCAAACAGAGGCGCGTCCGGGAACCTCCGCTGCACCTCCTCGATGCCAAAATGGACATCGTCGGTGAATGTTGCACTGTAGCACTTTGGCACCGTCATGGGCAGCCCTGCATTGTTGTCGATGCCTCATTTGACAATTGAATTTAAGATCTGTATAGTGCAGTTTGTACTCTGGCAGACGATGCGAGGATGTCTGAGTTGGTGAAAATTCCCGCTTCATTTTCTGACAGACTGTTATCACTTGTGCTTCAGGGATATGTTCTGTACTGTTACCTGCACACCCTCTATAATTGAGCACAGCCGCCCTCCAGCCCTTCCTGGCTGCAGCTGCGCAGATGGCCTTGCAGTACCCCTCCCTGCTGCCCCCTGCATGCATCATAGATCAGTTGGTGATAGAAGTAAAGTACTAGCTTAGCAGGTTGGCTGGCCATCAAGGGTGTGATATGGACTTTAACACGAGTAAGCAAAGTGATTTTCAGAGGCAGGCCGCACCTGTGAGACCGTGAAAAACCAGCAGCACAGGTGCAGACTGATCTATGTGTGAGGCAGTATCACAGCCCTGGAACCAATCCAGTGCTATGAGGCCCCCGTCAGGGGTCACGAGGGCTTGTCGCCTGTACTGTCCAATCCTCCAAAACTGCCTCCCGACTGCAATCATTCAAGGTCTTCATAGAGAGACTGCAAAGCGTGGAGATGCAGAAGGGGCAAGCATATGTGACAGGAGTGAAGTGACACATGCAGACACAAGACTGCAAGGAGCCATGTTTGTGCCCTGAAATTTGGAGCTGCACCTGACAGCATGGTCTGCGCATGCTGGTTGAAGGCCCACGGCGTGGGGCAGAAAGGCTGCTGCAAGATTGGGCAATGATCCAAGACTAAGCGGCTGAGGGGCCCGTCTTTGAAGTACAGCTGCGGTTCCTTGCAGACCTTGGACAGATAGTACCTGGCTGAGCAGAAGCAGCCGTCATTGCATGCTATTGAATGACATAGGTGACCTGGAGTGAAGGCATGCGTCCTCCAAGGTTCAGCCAGCTGCCCAAGAGCCTTGCTAGACCATCTGCCTTGGCATGTCAGCGCATCTAGTGAAACATGCGATCAACAATTTGGAGTTGCAACTTTTCAAGCGTCACAAGTGTAGCGTGCAGCGCACCATAAGTAAGCTGTTGAAACAGATGCACCAGCCACTGCTGTCAGGCGGTCAGGGTGCCGATCAGGCATGCTATACCTAAGAGAACGTCAAATGAATATTTTGGAAGAATGGAATCGCAACAGCAAGCCTAGCACACGGCACAAGAGTCCCCAATTGTGTTCACTAGGATCCCAGATCACGCAATTTGTGGCACTATAGGCCTGTTAATAGATGGAACGACTATGTCTGGATCACCCAATGCCACTAAAAGTATCTACTGTATATATTGCTGATCTGCAGAGACACTCCGAGCTCCTCCGAAAGGCAGCATCCGACGTGGAAAGTGAACTCATCGGCATCTCGGAGTCTGGATCATCTCGATGCATGTCAAGGTCGTTGGCAACGATCCATGATCATCTCCACCCAGAAAAACATGGACTTGCAAATATCTCTCGAGCCTTCCTTCCTGAGTGTCTAATCAACACCGACCCTTGCGTTTAGGGCCATCGAGTTCAGCACCATGGGTCTGGGAATGGCTGGTTCCCGGCCAGGTACCCTGCTCAACAGCACATGTAAACTCTGCCAAAGATCTACATCGATTTATACAACAGCGAGCATCTCCAGCCGGCCTGCTGCAGCAAAGTCTCAAGCATCAACTCTGGTTGGAGGTCCAAAGCTTCAGGTCAGGCCGAGCGCAAGCAAGGCATCGTACAGGCGTCTGATGTCCATTCCCAATGCTAGATGTTTATCTTGGATCCAAATGGAGAAGGGGGGTGAATGGTGCCATTCTGGTGCAGGCACGCTTGGCAGGCCAAGGAAGAGGGATCAGCAGGTGTCAAGGGCGAAGCAAGCGGCAGCAGGCCGTTTGCAGCACAGCTGGCGCAGTTGCAGCCCCCTTTGGTGACGCAGGTGGGCAAGATAGGCTGCTAGAAGTGGCCACACACCCGCTTAATAACGTCAGGAGATTTGCGCTACAGCTGAAAATTATGGATATGGCTGCATGCAGGTGCTGGTCCAGCTCCTGGGTCAGCGAGCAAGCTGAAGGATGTCTTGGCGTCAGTGAAGGGCTTCATATTTTACACAACCACCTTCCTCTTGGCCCTGCCGCTGTTTGTGATCATGCTGCTGTTGGCCCCATTCGTGGCAGCCTTCGACAAGCACAGGCGGCTGGCCCAGCATTTTGTGAACAACATCTGGGCCAAGGTCTCCACCATTCCCTACTATGGTGTGGAGGTGAGGATGCAGAACGCCAACAAGGCAGAACGCTAACATGGCATGACTTGTGCCTCTTCTGCCTGACTATCACAAGGCTGACACGTTTTCTCCATTTACTGTGTTGAGTAAGAACAGACTAATAGATAAGTTTTTGTGCAACAGATCGTGGGCAAAGAGAATTTACCGGCAGCAGATACACCAGCGGTGTATGTCTCCAATCATCAGAGCTTTTTGGTGAGCCACCTCGACCGTACACTTTCCGATGTGCCTTGCATGGTTGTTGACTCTAAGAAGAAGCCCAGTGTAGAGTAATTACTAATGTGAGACATTGCCTGTAAATGCAGGACATCTTCACGCTGTTCCACTTGGACAGGCCCTTCAAGTTTGTGTCGAAGACTCCAAACTTCTTCATCCCCATTGTCGGCTGGAGCATGTTCCTCACAGGTTAGCATCACGCCATTGTCATACACTTAGAATGCTACTGGGCAGAATCATTACCACTTCCAATGCCCTTCAGGCAAGTGCATGCTAGCATCTCAAGCCTTTGGCCTGGGGTTGCCACAAGTGAAATGGCAGTTATTGCTGTCAGGGTGTACTTTTGAATTTCAGAGCCCCCTATCGTTGTCTTCTTACACTGATTTCTGAGTGGGTAAAAGCCCGCATCCCCTGATGTATGATCCACTATGCCTGCCTTAGAGTCACCTGCTTGTACTTGCTCAAAAAACACCCAGACACCATCCACATTTTGGATGCAGGACACATTAAGCTGAACAGGATTGACAAGAGGAGCCAGATCAAGTGCCTCGGGGACTGCAAAGACCTGCTCGCCAAGGGAGCAAGCGTTCTCTTCTTCCCAGAAGGGACCCGCAGCAAGGACGGCAAGATGGCTGAGTTCAAAAAGGTGTGAGCTTATTTTCTGACGTGTCAGAATGACCCATCACAAGGTGCTTAAATCTTCGTAAAGACTAAATGGTGCTTTTAGATCATGCTGGTGGCCACCCTCTTTTTGCATGTAAATCTTCGTTGTATCACGCTTCTTCCTGTCAAAAGGGCAAGGTGCGTCTGCAGACAGGCTGCAGCTGAAGGCTGCCAGGGTCCTACCCCTGGTCGGACTGTAGGCAATATGAGTCTTGAAGAGTTGAGGTGTGGAATCGGAAGGTCAAACAGCGCTTGTATTTGTGGGGCACAGGGCGCCTTCTCGGTGGCTTCCAAGGCAAAGGTGCCAATCGTGCCAGTGACGCTGATAGGCACCGGCCACCTCATGCCCAACGGACAGGTCAGTCTGGCCTCCCCAAATCTAACATACAGAGCTCACAACACTCCGCCACTACACAAAGTTCTTCTGCAATGCAGTGCACTCACTTCGAGCAGACAGCGTAGACACCACGGGCAAGCTCTTTCTGTCCCTCAGCAGCACCACCCATGGTGCTGAACTGTTTCAAGGTCCTATCGTTATGTGCAGCAATCCTCATCGTAAGATGGTTTCGTCAGAGGTCAGCAATTCACCGGATCCTTGGAGATGATCGTAAATCTTGTTTTGCTTATAGGAGGGCAAGATGTACAATGGCCGCGTGAAGATGATTGTGCACCCGCCCATCGCGCCCGGCAGCCCGGACGCCACCATGGAGCAGGCCAGGGCCCAGATCGCATCCGCGCTACCGGCCTGAGCCGTTGCATGAATATATGCACTTGGCCTGATGCAGTGAATATCATCTGCTGGTGGCTAGTCATATTAACGAGCTGTTGCGCCCAAAGGCATGTGCTCTGCGCTGTGCGCTGGGTGGTCGGTGGCCTGTTCCTGCCAGGCCTAAGCATTTGCCATGATGAGAGCTGGTGGCTGATAAATATGAAGGGCTGCTGCATGAATTCAGAAGCCGGGCTGGTGCGCCCATAATGGTGTGCTGCGCGCTGGCCAAGGGAGCCACCCTGGGACTGGGCTTGAAGGGGGAAGATTATGAACAGCATGGATTGGGCTTAGCAGCAGGCAAAGCATGGGTGTGGGTGAGATGGGTGTAAGCCTGCGATGCAGCCCCTCGAGGAAGGAATGACCAGGAGAGACATGCTTGTGTTTTGCTGTTGATTGGTGTGGCAGAGGCTGACAATGCCTGGTGCTAGGGCCAATGATGATGAGCCAGTAGCCTTTGGGAGCAGCTGAAAATGGGCTGAATTTGGGCACATGTGACATGGAATAACAGAATAGCGATCAGCGGCGTCACAACAAATGATAAAGCCGTCATACTTTTGGCAACAAACAAAAAACTTCTGGCAACAAACAGAACTCGCCTGCATATGCTCATACGGCATTAATATCTCTCCAGTGGAGCTGCAATGATCATCATTGCAGTGGAGCTGCATGCCATGATGGCATGCAGCTGTTTTGCGCAGTTATGCAGTGCAATCAGAGGGCCTGCATTTGCTGACTTGTGGTATCTGCTGTAAAATCTAAGGGATTGTTGTCTGTGCATTGCATGCCAGAGCCAGAGCCACTGACATCAACTCAGTCCACTGTCGATTCATTGCCTGGAGGCCCATCACGGTATGATACCGGATGCCCGGATCCTGATCAATCTGATTTCAGCACTTCGAAGCATGCATGGGGCACACAATGGTGCAGCTGCAGCAATTTGAAGACCTAGTGACAGCTATCAAGGTCACTGTCTATTAGAGGGGTTGCAGACCTGAATACAAACCCAATCTGAGTGGATGGAGGAGAGGTTCTTATGTGCTGATGTCACACTGGCTGACGTGTGCGGTAACGCGCCAATGGCACGGGCTGAGATGATGCTTCATTGATCCGATGCTCTTTTTGCCTTTGGCCGAAATTCTTTGTTTTGTTTCATTCTTTCGGGACAGAATGTCTGCCCATAGCTTCTCTCCGTGCGGCTTTACTTCACACAACCGTAGCATATTCCCTGCACGATCTCGGTGCTGCAGCTTCAGAAGAACAGCTTGCAGGAGATTGCCTCAAGCGGTTTCATGCAGCACCACAGCAGCATCAGACGGACCTTCAGTGCCGCTAGCATCGAAGGGGTCAGATGGCAGGAAAATTAGACCGTTCATGAGGAGCCTTTTGCAGAGAGACGGACCTCTGCACACCTTCTTGTCTAGGTACTTTTCTTTTTGCAATGTTGTGAAATATCTGAACGTTTTTATGGTTCAACCAAAGTACAGCGGCACTCGCTGCAAGCTACCGAATACATGCCCTATATTAGGCATGAAGATCTCAGTGAAGGGTCACGCTCCACTAACAGATAAAATGTACACCCCTGAGCAGCAGTTCTGTGCTTGATGTTCATCCTGTTGCACTTGACAGGAGGCTATTGGGATCTGGGGGACCGCCTGCGCTAGCTGCAGCAGCTGTTGTCGTCCTTCCACAGCTGAATGGGCATGGGATCGGAGAGCTGCTAGCCAGGAATTATGTATTCAAGGCCGGATTCTGCGCCTGGCTTTTCGCACAGACTGCCAAGGTGAGCAGATGGTTGAGCCATTTGCATGGCGATCTCTTTGCGCACTCCTTCACAGTGAGGCTTGCACATCTCTTCTGCTTCTGTGGCTCAACATGTTGATGTGAGGCGAAGTTGTCACTTGAGTGGCATTATTTCGTCAGCACTCTGGATTGCGACCGAAGTTCCTGCTGGTGCCAGACAAGTAAGCTGCACCCCGTGTTTTCCAGCTAATTACATGCCAAGTTTGCTGAGCAAGTGTGTGCTTGCCCCAGATCTTCACCAGGAGGTTGAAGAAGGGCGTTTGGGACATCAGGGCCATTGTGGATTCTGGTGGCATGCCGTCATCACATTCAGCGCTCTGCACAGTACGCTCCTCTGTTGCTCCACACGTCCTCTCAGAATGCCTGTCTAAATCCTAGCAACAGGGCTTCGTTGCATTCGCAAATGGAGTCAAGCATCCCTCACACTTTCAAGCTGATGCTCTCCAAGCACAGCTCTGTTCGTCAGAGCATCAGTCCCTGTCTTCTTGACTGCAGGCAGTGACGACAGCGGTGGGATTGGAGTTTGGGCTGGCGAGCTCTCTGTTTGCTGTCTCCCTCTGTTTCACCCTCATAACCATGTACGATGCCACCGGCGTCAGATATCACTCTGGTGCGAACACACCCCCCCTGTCATTCCCCGTTGACCCTTAATAATGCTCATGACACCAGGGTTTTCTGGAGCCTTTTTCCTGATGGGAGCTGCACTGCATGCTTATTTACCTTGAACACTGAACGCTCCCTGCTAATGCAATTGTTGCTACCAATTAGTTGTAGCACGACGCTTGATAGAAATAACAATTTCTTCCTACTCCCTACTGCCCGCACAGCCCTGGTATTTGCATTCCAATGTATACAAAAGGTTTGTATCAATTGTGATGTGAATTTTGTATTTGTGCTGCAGGGAAGCAAGCTGAGGTTCTCAACATTCTGGTGGAGGACGTGATGCAGGGGCATCCAGTCAGCGAGCAGCGCTTGAAAGAGGTCTTGGGCCACAACCCACTAGAGGTGATGTCACCCATCTCCTTCCATCTTCCATCTTCTTGGCAGCTGCAGACAGAGGACGGGAACACCGATAGGACTGCGTTTAGGGTTGAATCGTAAGCAAGTTGAGATGTTATAGGGCCTGTAATAGTCAAAGTTCTTAATAAACCTCCACAAAGAGCCCGTGCAGATATTGCGCATGGCGAGAGCAGGCCTGATCTGAAGGCGGTGCTGTGTGTCTTGCAGGTGATAGCTGGGTCGATATTGGGGTTCATTGTTGGCATGGTAACGCCGGTGCCTCATGCTGTCGTGCTCTAGTGTATCAGATCTTGCGCACACTTGATTTTGTATCATGTTGAGAGTTTCATCTTCTTTTGGGCGCTCCTGTAGACATTGCAATTGCTTGATTCTTCCGTGAATCTGGAGTTTTAAGGACCGCGGTGAGAAATGTGCCGGTATACTTCAGAACATGCGGCTCTGCGTTGGCAAGAAAATCAGATGTAATCGATTTCAAAAGGGTGCCAGTCTGGCAGGATGATTTGCATGATGATGGCCCACAATCTCGTGATCTCATGCAAGGCAAGTCCCGACACATGGAAGCCAGAGTCACCGCATGCGGTGATACCACAAATAAAATGCGGTAAAATGCATGCATTATTGAAAAAAATAAAATGCGGGTAAAATGCGGTAAAATGCGTTAGAAACAGTTTTGCCTTGGTTTTGTCAGGCAAAACTTAGGTACAGCCAGGCAAAATGCTGGTTTAACCAGGCAATTCCAGGAATAGCCCCTTTTTGGGTATTTTCAAGATGTTTGCAGGGAATCATAGCCTTGCTGGGTGGGACCCATCCTCACTGGTCTCCCAAAGGGGAAGAAAGGCGTATTTGTGGACCTCGCATTTTATCTGCATTCTATGCCCAAAAATAAAATGCAGTAAAATACACGCATTCTATTGTATCCCGCATTATGCGCATTCCCGCATGCGGTGACCCTGATGGAAGCAACACAAGACATGAAAGGCGAGAGAGGTCAAGTATCATGTCTGTTGGGCTGCTTGGATACATGTCTTTGTAGATTGTGCACTGCCACAGCCTGCACTCATGAGCGCACATCCGGCAGCTGAGAGATGCGCATGCAGCTCCGAAGCTGTATTCAGAACGCGCGTATCAGGAGCACCACATATGAGTGAACAGAGTGCAATTTCAAAGCTTCTTAAGAAATACTCTCACAGGATGCTTTTTGACCCACAGTATGAGCATCTTTCACCTCTGTGGCAACGACTCATAAATTACGTAATCTTGAGGAGGGCATCGATCGTCTTGTTTTGCAGACCTGAAAAGGAAATTGGGTTTCGAGTCTGTGCAACAAGAAAACCTCATATCAATCAAAAGATGTCCTGCAGAATGTTCAAGGGCATGGGCAATACTCGCAAGCAGGCTGAGTATTCTCCCCTTGTCACTCCTTTTGTGGTGTCGGTGTACGCCCGCTGGCTCACTGTGGCGAAAGGTACTGGTTACTTTGTTTTGGCATATCTTTCCAAGCTCATATGCACATGTGATCAGCGCGTTTTTCATGCAGATGAAGCATTAAGCTGGCCAACAAGAAATCCGCCCATCGAGAAAGGATGCGTGGATCATGAAGATGACCTGAAGACGCTGAAGTCTTTCCTAGAAGTAGAAGCCCTTCGCTACTCAAAGGAAAACCTCAGAGAGATGAATTCAAGATCCAAAGAGTATGGTTTCGGTGAGTTGGGGGTTTGACCCGTGTTTGCTCAGTTACTGACGTGAAGAGGCCCAACCAAACTTGCCTGCTTGAAGCTTACTATGCGATTTTCCGTGCTGTATTGCCAGGAGACCACCCAAGCGTATTCTGCCTACAGCTATCTTTTCGAAGACTCGAGCAAAAGAGCCTCCCAGCAGAGATTGTGGACTACTACAAAGGCTTCCTGCGGTACAAGGACCTAGAGTTTTACTGCAAGCATTTGGCAATCAGCATCAAAATCCAGAAGAAGCGAGCAAAATGCCTGAAAGTGCTTGGTAAGTGCAACTTTTTGCACCCTTGTCGTGCTGCTTTGGCCATGAGTGGTCTGACCTTTGTAGCTGCGAACATGTGGATCCATGAGAGTGGCGCTCGATCTTGAAGGAGCACTTCACATGACGTGGCTAGCACCCCTTCTGCCTTGCATCCAAGTGCCAAAACCACCCAGGTTTGCTCATATCCATCTGCTTCACACCAGACGTGCACCTCCGTATATGCTATAGCTTGCGCTCGTCACCACACATGCTTCGCTAGAACTTGTGCGACAACTATGCAGGTATAAAATCGGGAGCGAGTACATGGAGGCAAACAGTATAACCGTCACAAAGGCAGATCCCCCAGACAATCTGACCTGCCCAATCACCCAGGTGCCCATAAGACCTCCTATCCATCCACATGCCCAAGAGCACTGTTTTAATGCAGTAAAACGGAATATTCCCTTAAATATGTGATGTCTTCTTATAACTGTCAATGCATGCTTCAAAAAGTGCGGCGGGCAAAAAGCCAGGTGCATGTGTGCAGGAGATATTTGAGGATCCGGTGGTGGCTGCGGACGGCTTCACCTATTCGCGCGCAGCCATTGGAAAGTGGCTGAAAGATGGTCATGACACATCCCCCATGACTAACCTGCCGCTTGACCACAAGTACGTGTGTCCCAACATGGCTGTGCGGCGTGAGGCGCTGGAGTGGATGAAAGCAGACTATCGCAATGTCTCATATCCAGATGGTTATGATGCATCATCCTGGTCTTTCGATGGTCTGCCGCCTCAAATAGGGGAACACGATGCCGTCATGTAAACACGATTGTGCAACTGATGCAACTGACCATCATGCTGGTCTGACAAGTTACTGTAAATTACGAATTTCAATTAGGGCAAAGGAAAGCTGGAACTGGGCTAGACTGCCATGCGGTTGTACCTTGAAGTGCTGACTGTCTCTCTATTACATGACATCTGCGGACAAGTGAATTGTAGCTTCAGCTAGCTTGGAATGAAAGTGCATGTGGAAGGAGTTCAACCAAGTTGGGATTCAAATTTTGATTAAAACTTTGATTACATATGGACATAATCCCGCATATGAGTCGGTTTAATGTCCAAATCATTCAAAATTCTGATCCTGATTATGAAATGAGAGAGAGAGAGAGAGAGAGAGAGAGAGAGAGAGACACCTCACACATACACCCTGAGAGAACAAACAAGCTGGAATAGATTGTGACATCAGGGTGACGTCATGCTGCTGGCTCTTCAAAACTTCTTGCACCAGAATGCCCGCCATTCATAGAGGTGCAGAAATCTTCGACATTACATGCATCGCCCAGAATTGTTTGAAAGTGCCACATATTTGAAGAGATATACCGCTAAATAGAAAGTTTCGTAAAAATTGTGGGGGAAAAAGATGGGTGATTTCCTCATCGCCGCGCACTACGAGACAGAGAATTACATTCCCCCAAAGGAGCAGTTCTTAGAGGATATAGAATATGGACGAGCTCTTGACACCATCGTGAAAGGTAAAATCTAGCTCCTTGACCTGCTGAATTATCAGTGCTGCTTTTCCCAGAGTAGACAACTTTCTTTGCGGATCTAAAATCCCAGTCGTTTGGCAGCTTGCGCGGATGTCATCTTGACAGACGGAGAGCTAGGAAAGGTAAGCATACAAATTTCAGCTGCAGCTGGCTGCAAAAGCCTGGGACATCTTGAAATATACTCTTTTGCTTCTGCCCTCGGATCTTTCTGCTCTCGTGAATAAAAGGCACTTCCTCAGTAAAAAGGCTTAATCGGGTAGGTTTAAGATTTTCCATTGACCAGCAGCATGATGCAACGCGTTGCAGGTCCTGATATTGAAGCGAATTGTTCAGCCCTTGGATGATTGGTGGTGCGTGGGTGGGCGCATGAAGGTGCACTCTGCTGCAGCCCTCACGTCGAACTAGTTTATTGGAAGCAGCTTGTTACATTTGTCTGGCCGCACTGTTCGTTCCTGCTAGCATTGCTGCGGGCATCAAATTGCATCTGGAAAGGTCCCGTCCTGCTTACAGGCTGGGGAGACGCCCGCAGAAGCAGCTGCCAGGAACGTCCTGAGGGAGCTCAAGATTGAGATTGCCCCCAACCGCTTCAAGTACCTGTGCCATGCCTCTCTGCTGTGGCAGTTCAGGCACCAGGAACCCAAAGGTTGGTTTTTTTTCTAAACCTCCTGATTTTTGTATCAACGGCAATCTGATCTTACAATACTGTAAGGGTCCTATTGTACAGAGCTGCTGTTAGAGGTCTGCCAGTCAGTCTGGCTGCTGTTGTTGATCTGGTGTAACAATTTTCTTGGAAGAGGACAACTTGGAGTTCCCATGAAGAGAGCGCCCTGCATTCTTTTTAATATTTTATGGTGCCCGAAACCCGTCTAAGACCACAAGGGGTGCTGCAGGGAACGGCACGGCTGACGTGGCGCTTGCGTTCACCGCTGAGCTGTCGCCGGAGGAGCGGCAGGCGATAAGCTTTGACACCACAGAGTATGAGGATGCGAAATGGGTGGACCCTGCTTCCATCATCCAAGATGCCTCCTTCCACACTGCACTGCGCAGGTGCGTTCCCACACGTGCCTGAGCCGCTCAAGCTCTTGCTGGCAAGAGTGCTCATTAGTCCGCCCAACCTAGAGGAGCACGTGAGAAAGATGGGACAGGCATGCTATGGCCTGCCCAAATTAAAAGGCCTGCCCAAATCCAAAGCAAGTTGCAAAGGGGTTGGGAGCTCGAAACAACAGCAAAATCACAGATAGATCAAGATCAGAGACTAGGAGTCTTCAAGCAAGTGCCTGCGTGCGGACCACTCTAGTTTCCTTAGAGCACTGTCAGACACAGACATATCGAGTTGGGCATCTCTCAGCATCCCTGCTTTGATTGGATTGGACAGGTTGCTCACCCTTTGGTCATCTGTTGTCCTGGGGTCCAGAGGTATGCAGCCCACAAATACTGCAGTGTGGGGCAAAACAGTTTCATTGCCCAAGGGATGTGCCAAACACATGCTGCAAGATAGCCCCCCCCATTGGCATTACAGTGGCGGTAGCATGGTTATTCCATGCAGGTCAATGCAGCACATTGTTATCCGCAAGCGCACAGAAGAGCTGCATGCAGCCGTTGAGGCCGCTGCATCAGATGAGGAGATCGCCCAACTGGCGCGCGTCGCCAACCAGGCAAGCATTCCCTCAATAGAATACCCAGCAGAAACTTACTTGCGGCTCTCCAAAATCTCCAAAGATGGCATCTTGTGTGGGATCCAGACGCACCTGGCATACGCCAGGAACAGCGTATGATACGAAATTATTCAATCTATACCTGTCAATGGGTGGATGGGTGGAAATCGGGCATTGCCTAGTAGGGGGAGGTAATATGGAAGCAACAAGCCTTTTTTGCCACGGTGAAAGCTTCAAGCTTCAAGAAGTTCTGTGCAACGGTTCAAGTCAAGCAGGATATCTTGATGCGACGTTTATAATTAGCCCACGATTGATTGTTATGATCATTCTCTATTACATGTTTCCAGGCCTTAGTGATCAGCGACACATATATCAGATTTCTCCACTCTGAGAGTTTATGCATGAGCTGATTGAGCTAACTAAGTCACCATGACTAAGTAAGCAGTAACTGCGCACAGGCGCAGAAGGTGCTCGTGGACATTGAGCGCCGGCCGCACGCCAAAGTGCGCAGCTACAGCAGCAGCCAGGAGAGAGAACTCCTCATGAAGGCTGCGCAGGCCGCGGAAACCGCCGCCGGCCTGAATGCCGGTGCCGGGCTGGGCTCCTGGATCTACAAGAGCCTTGGCCTCGCCAGCTGAGTGGCTGCTATTTGACACGCCTTATTCAAATTTGAATATACTCGCAGAAATTATCATGGGCTTGAATGGCAGGGCTCCATGCAGCCTCAAAGCGCTTGTGCTCCACTCGACACGGTCCTGATGATGACGCGTTTGTCATCTTAGTAAGCTACTGAGAGGCTTCGCTTGATCACACTCACAAATCACCGGCCATCAGAAACAATGTCTGCGTGCTTTGGAAGCGATTGAGCATTTTCTTACTTGAATATTGCAGCATGGTGATCATGAAGACCGGTTCAAAATATTGTATAAGTTATTGAAACAATTGCAGCTTGCTAATAAGTGAAGCAATTTTGTTGAAGAAGTAGTTAAGAACATCTGCACCAAAATAATGGCAATTTATTGAACACAGTCAGCAGTCTACACCTTATGAAATATTTTATAAGTTATTGTCCAGAGTCTCACATCGGTACTGCTGGCTTCATTGTACAGCTCCTGAATGGTCTTGTATGCCGGTTGGTTCAAATACAACTGTACATGTATACAAGTCGATGTAACTCAAGGAGAGCATCCGTATCATTTCATTCTTGCCGACGGTTTATGGTGTTGCTTATGCTGCAGCCTTGTGGGAACCCAGCAGCCTGGCTGCTTCTCGCTGGCCTGTCAGGAAGGCTGCTCCCATGGTGCCAGTCAGCTGCCGGTGCGTGGCCTCTCCAGCAAAGCACACCACCGGCCTCCCCGACACCTGACCAGCCAAGAAACGCTACTCAAAATATTAGCCTCAGGTCTGAATCTGAGCAAGGCAGCACTACAACTTTCCCACGTGCTTCAGCTGTAAGTGTAGCAGGAGACTCTCTCGGAGGCTCACAAGCAACGCTCATCTGGCGCTTGCAGACAGATCACAATGGCAAGAGTAGGGGACAAAATTTTGCATGCATATCTTCAGGCACAAGCATGTCAGGAGCACAGACAAGAACCATTCAAAGCCCTGTTTTAAAAATGAGTGCATCGCGAAAATTGAGTGAAAATTGAGTGAGCAAATCACCGTGAGGGGTGCAGCAAGGGCATCGATGTCGTCCGGCGAGCCCGCAGCGTTCACATACGAGTACGACCCCCGGAATAACGGATCGCTGCCCCAGGCCGATCTTATAATCCGGGGGGCCGCGGCTGCCGGGCAGGGTATGGCGGGATAAGCCGCCAGTAACGCGGCGACCCCTCTCTCCACTTCGTCATCGCTGCATTTCTCCATGGCCTTTGCATGCTCCCCTGCCCAAAGCACCCCTTTTGTTGAACCGCACCCTTCCACAGCTGGTACTACCAATGCGTCGCAGCTCAATTGCTTTTTATGCATTGTTGGCAGCCTTAACACAAGCATCTTCTTGTAAAATAAACAGAGTGACAAGCTAGGCTCATCGCATGCGTGTTGTCCTTGTGTCTAGTGTAGCAGGCTCATCCAAGTTCTTGCCTTTCACGTTAACACTCAGGTAGCTTGCACATGGAAATTAGTGACATGCATATTAAAACAGGCACAGCCTGCATTAGAGGACAGGATGTGGGCAGCAGAGGCTGCAGCAGGGCACCTGTGATCCACAGAACAGCACTGGATGGATGCTCGGCCCAGGGTGCAGGCAAACCGCTGCCGCAGTGGCGCTGCGCGGTTTTGCCGGTTTCGCGGCTGCTGTTGCCGTAGACGCTGCAAGCGCTGCCGGTGAACGCCGGCCACCTGGCGCCTGAGTCAGCAGGGGTGACACATTGACAACTTATGCAATTATGAACAATTTGCTAGCTGGGTCCCAAGACCTATGTCCCCTAATCTGCATGCGCTAACAAGTAAGCTTTCATCACTCACGTGTGGTGAATACGAAGAGCAGCAAAGGTAGTGTCTATTGGTAAGGAGCCATTGACGCTGCTCAAGTAAAGCAAGAGACAGTGCATCCTATCATTGATGCTCAGATCCTTGCAAAGGCAGGTGCACAGTCAGCAATACAAGCATTACCCTACAATCGCCCACCGTTGGTTGCAGGGTCTTCACAGGCGGCAGCTGGTTGCTGTGAGTCCTGTACCGCAGCATGGCCATTGCTGGGGGCCTTGAACTCAGATCCGCCGAATCGCACTGAGAAGACGCCCCTCGCCCACTCTGGCACAGCCTGCAGAAAGGAATACCGGCACCCTCAGACCAGAGCCTAGGTTTTGGTCTCTGTATTGCCGAGTTTCCCCAGGAATAGTCACCAACCTGCGCGCATCCAGTAAGCCTTTCGCAAAGTCCATGGGACTTGACCCCATCCAGACACCTTTTCTTCTTGTGGAAGGCCGTGTCATCGGTAAATTTGTCTGACCCAACTCACACACAACATTGAGTCAACTAGTTCTAGTGCAAAGGCGTGTTGTAAGAAACACTACGGCAGGGAGGTATCTCAAGGAGCTGTCCTCCCTTACCTGCTCTGCAGGTGCAGGCTCATGCGCCTCACTCTTCTGCCACGGTTCCTGCCAGAGCAGGTGGTAGGCTGTGACCGGGTCTCCGCTTGCCTGTTTCCCTGGCGGCGCACCACCTACAAATGCCACCGTGCCATTTCACCTCAACAGCTGTCATGTTATCCTTACTTCACATTTTCTTGAACTAAAAAATATATGACGTGAAGTAAAGAGCTGTGTTGCTGCTTTCTGACGTCCTTGGTCCTTGCATTTTCTACTCTCTGTTGCAATCAGGGTCACAGCAAGAGGGGCTGGTGTGGCAGAGCTTGCCAACTCTATCTATGTGCAAAAATGTAAATGTAAATATTTGCGCTGGGCTGAGAGGGTGCACCTGTCTCTGAGAAGTCCACAAAGATTTTGTCGACGGTGCCTATCGAGAGACCCTGCAGCGCGCGCAGCTTCTCTGGGGGCAGCGACGGCGCAAACAGCTGCGCATGGATCGCCTGCATACACAATGAGCACGTCAGGGTGTGCAAAGAATCTCATTGCGACAGAAAACATTGCTCAGCGGATCAATGCGAGCGTTTGCGCAATGGCGCTCTGTCACGTGATCACATGGCTAACATGCCAGCAGTCAGAGCGCTTGTTGTGGATGCTTGCATGCTTGCAGCATGTCCATTTAATAGCCTTGATGAACAAGAGATACCTTTTGGCGGATGTGCAAAACTGCAATTTTCTCCAAAATGTGCCTGATGAGTCATGTGCATGCAGTAGCCTCAGTGTAGGAAAGATATATATTTTGGGGGGCTGTTCAAACCTTGAGCACGCCCAGAGACACAGTGACAACCGCAGCATCTGCCTGGAAGCTGCGCCCATCCGCGCAACTTACGGTCACCCCCGAGGCGCCCCACTGTATCCTCTCCACCACTGCTCCGTACCTAATGTCTGCACCTGCCGCCATGTGCTCCGCCAGGGCCTTCGCACACATGGTGAGTAAAGCGAGGAATGCATTATGTCAGATATTCCTGCACGTGCCCGCATGTCCCCCTGCAAAATCAATCACAAGCAACTTCGGATCTGGGCTGTTTTTCTTGTCCTTTTGGGCAACAGGCTGTAGAATTCAACCCGGAATAGTTCAGGGGGCTTGGAATCAATTCCTTGATCTTAGAGGACGCCTTGATAAAATACAGGGAAATTTAGGAGACATGTGGAAGAGCGGGATGCTGGGAAGTTGCCTGGAAGCCAATCGGGCAGGGGAAGTTGGGCCCCTCAAGGTCCTCGGCGCCTGCCCACCAGGCCGCGCTGACATCAGCGGATGAGTCACAGCCCGACGCGATGCGAGTCACCAGCTCCCGCCACCGCCACGCCCTCGGCCGCACTTCTGCGCCGCTTGATTTGGCGTCCTCCTGCAGCAGACTGGGTCCCTCTTGAAGAACCCATCAATCCTCGCTGGAACAATATTGCCTACGCACACTTTTTTAACCCCATTTGGCAGGGGAGCGGCGCACAAGATCTAGCTCTCTGTTCAAGCCGTTTACAATGATTTACTTACTTCAGGGGTAATCACGAGGCTATAGCTCTGACACAGCATAGACGATCGGAGCACCGGTGTGGCTGCATGTGTTTCACCTTGATGATTCTCTGCTCCAGAAGGGAACTGAGGCTGCCGCTATGACTGGCAGGGTCGCCACTGGGGAGCACGCTAGCGTACTCTTGGACAGCCTCTCTCAATTCCTCAGAGATGGCCCGGTCCAAAGGTGCCGGCTCGCCCGGCTCGCAGAAGCCCCACCTGAAGTCTGCATCATGCAGCGTATTCCAACATTAGTGCCGCATGTTGAATGCATGGCATATTGACAATTATGCCGTGGCCTATTAGCTGGACTTGCGAGTGAGCGTAATCCAGTGAGAGAAACAATCATGCAGACATTCTGGGGGGCCCAACTTTGCTGTCTGACGTTCAAAGGGCGCAGACTGACATACGCCTTCAGCAAGCAGCAAGCAGGTCTGGGAGGAAGGATCAGACCTCTGGTGAAGGGGGGTCCAACGATGCCGTGCTGAGAGGCGTACTCGTACAGTGGGTGACCGTAGATGCCGTGGAAGTAGGTGCCGCCCATCTCCCTGCCATCCAGTGTGCACGCTCTGCCCCCTACACGCTTACCTCCTTCGAGCACTGTCACCTGATGCACGATGTGAGCCCATTTTGTGCTTCTTGCCCGTAAAAATAGTCTGTAATTTATTTTCAATTATATCAGTGCCCTTTCTCCTGCGTATGAGACAATGTCCTGGGTGGAAAGTCGTGACGGAGGGAGGCATAGGGTAAGATCACAGCTTCCCTCTGGAAAAAGGAAGAACGCAAGATTTGCAACGAGAGCGCATGTAAGATACCTTAATACTATCTCCACCTTCATCAAGCAATTTACGTGCTGCACCGATGCCAGCGTAGCCTGCTCCAACGATGATCACCTCCGATGGCTTCTTCACATCACCCGTCATTTCGACTGCTGGAAACCTGTAAATCTAGCCTGAAAAAGTCCTGCTACAGTAATATAACATTTGGATCCTTTTATCAAGCGCAATAGGTTATATTGCGCCCAAGTTCGTATGCGCAAGAGGGAACTGCGTCGCCCAGCTTTTCCGAGACCAATTCCAACTTTGCAGAAGTCTTGGACCAGGCATTCAACAGCCAAACTCGAGTCTGCGTCATTGTGTGTGCGTAATGAGTGAGGACTAGGCCCAATATTGATCGAAGTGTATAGAAGACAGAAGCACGCGAGCCATGGACACACAGATTGAAATTGCGGTATGCGATCATGACTCTCTATCTGTGCTGGTATCACTCAGTCGATCAGCCAACGTCATATAGCTTTACATCATGAATTCATGATGTAAAGCGCATAATCACGTCACTGCAGATTCTTTAGTTTCATTGTGACCACATGCGAGGGTTTCACTTGTCCCAGTCAACTCTTGCACGCTGCCGTAGGTTCCTGGCCTAGATATGTCGCTACAGGAAGATGTCCTTGCAGCTCAGCTGCGTAAGGCATGCATCGACACTGGTTTCTTCTACGGTGAATGACCCCATATACCACTTCACTGTCTTGGTGTCTGAAAGAAAAAAACATCGGAAAATTTGTGGCCTTATCCTATCTCAGAGGTGAGTATTGTGGTCCGTCGCAGTTTTTAATCATGGCGTAGCACAGGACCTGATCGAGCAGATCTTCGAGGAGAACAGGAAGTTCTTTGCCCTTCCTGAGGCTGCCAGGCGAGAGATCCTCGTTGATAAGAACAACAGGTACACTATCAGGCTATCGAAGGATCACATATGATCCTATCTGCCAGTCACTTAAGTCTTCACTGCACGTAACCACAGCTCAATATACTCCATCGTTGGACTGCAGAAGAGCAATTCTCAAGGTTGTCCAACAGGGGTTGGACCCCCCTGTCAGAGGAGACCTTAGACAGAGCCAATCAGACGGAGGGGGACACGAAGGAGGGCCTCTACTTTGGAAGGGAGGTTCCTGCAGACAGCACAGAAGCTGCCCAGCCCTTCACTGGGCCCAACCAGTGGCCATCGCCGGTATGTCACACCCTTCATGCAGACTTTGGGCCCTGTGCGTGCTGGACTGCCACATCTGTGATTGATCCCTGCTACTTGAGCATGCATGCAAAATGTCTTGAAGCTGTCTGGAGACTTCTGGACTCTGCACTTGAGTCAGCACTCGAGACAGAACGGCTGAGGCTGTGAGTATGGAGCTGTGCAGACAGTGCTTTTCTGGATCGAAAATCTGCATCGAAAATTAAAACTATACAACTCTACCTGTGCGCGCAGGAGCTGCTGCCGGAGTACAGGAGGGTGACTAACACGTACTTCAGCGCGGTGACTGATCTGGGCATGCGGATGCTGCGGCTGCTGGCGCTAGCGCTCGGCCTGGCGCCCGATTATTTCCTGCCCATGTTTGGCCGGCCCATGCTGTTCCTGCGCCCGTTGCACTACATTCCCCGCCGCTCCCAACCGGACCAGGCAAGGGCCCATCCCAAATGCATGTCAGAAGGTTTTCCTTGTAGACGTGCTGGCAAAAATCGAAGGGCTTCTGCAGCAGACATCAGCTGGGCAAATTGTGCTGCTTCAGCAGCTGAAGAAGAGAAGAACAAAACACCAGCAGCCTTCAGGTGCCACGGACAAGGCCATGATTATGGTGCATGTCACAGAGATTATTTGGCAGAGTTTCCATAGCCTCAAGCTCAATCGTGCATTCAAACCGGGCAGCAGCCTTTTCGCAAAAGTATGGTATCCAAAGCCCCCCTGAGGTGTCGTATTTAAGGAAAATGTTGTGGAACATTCACCCGTGGTCCCGGTGCGGCAGGGCATTTTTGCGGCGGGCGCGCACAGCGATTATGGGATGCTGACGCTGCTGGCGACGGACGATGCACCCGGGCTGCAGATCTGGCTGCCCTCTGCCGGCCGCTTTGTGGACGTCCCGCCAAAGCCCGGCGCCTTCATCGTCAACCTGGGAGACATGCTGGAACGGTGCGGGCGCTGCCCCAATTTTTTGACCGTCCTTTGTCAAGTTTGAGAAGTGCATGGAATGAATATACTGAATTCTAAAAGCATGGGATTCTGCGTAACTGGTCCTATGCACCCTTTGTGATGTTTTCCTGCTCGTCCTCTGCTATGAGATGAGTGCCCAGCATGCAGACCGCAAGCTTTCCCAGCTCGTTGTTGCCGCTCAATATTTACTCTGCCTGAAGTGCTGTGGCCGGCGGCTCTGCATGTGTTTCGATCTTGCGTTTGGCGTGTTGGGTGCTCATGCGCTGACAACTGAGTACAGTCGCCACAAAGTGTCACACAGAAGACGCAAGTATGACGCCCGGGAATGTGTTGCTGGGCTTTGAGAGGTTAGGCAGGTCTTAGAACCATGAGTTGTTGTGCGCAGTGCATATAAAGATCACAGTTGCGCAGCAGCAAATGTAAAGAGCAATGTGGTACAACTTATGGTGCCAGGTGGACGAATGGGCTGTTCAAGTCGACGCTGCACCGGGTGGTGACTGATGGGTCACGTCACCGCTACTCCATCCCATTCTTCTTTGAGCCAAACTTTGACACGCGCGTGGAATGCCTGCCCTGCTGCTGCGGCCCTGACAATCCCCCACGGTACCCTCCATCTTATCTGTTCCCATTGACCTCCAGACTCGCTGCGGCTGTCCAGGCCAACCCCCACGTGCTTCCAATTACATGGCAGAGCTACATCTGCTCTACAACTGTCTGCTGCCTCAGTGCATGCGATATTAAGGGGAATGCATGCTCAGTGAGTGCATCGGGGGGCGGAATGAATCTATGAATGCACTTTGAATATGCACATATGGGGCACAGCTGGCCATGGGCCCGAAGCTGATGACCCAAAGTTGCTCTGGGTAGTGGTGAAACATTCCGGACAGCTGTTGGTGGGATATCATTAAGTCAGAAGTGTGTGGAGAAGAAGCAATGAGACAATATGTGCACAGGACCTCTGCTTGCAGAGCATTTTATATGCATTGCAACGAGCATTTGACACATGCTTCCTGGATGCATGCGCAGATATCCTCCAACAACGAGTGGGCAGCATTTGCTGGACAAGTATGCGCAGACTCATGCTGGGTTTGATGCCACCAGCAAAACTTCCAGCGCTGTGACAGCTGGTGCGCATGCAGATGTATAGCAAGCCACAGCTTGACTTGGCCCAATCAAGCATGTAGGTTATCAAGCCAAGAGGTAACGCAGCAGATATAAGGCAGTGTGTGCAGTGTTGTGCATCAGAGTGTCCAGAAGGAATGTCTGCAAATTGACTTTGTGCGAAGAGGTCTGGTCGAGGTCTGAGCAGAGCAGACGCATGAAATAGGCGGTGCCAGGTAGCTGCAAAAATGTGTACGTATACGTATACCTCATGTACCGTATGTATGATATATGTATACGTGTACCGTATAGGTATACCGCATGTGACTCTATGTATAACATCAGAATCGAGCAACGCTCACAAGGAGCGAGAAGTAGATGAGCCCAATGGTGGGCATGTGCATGAGCAGCCGAAATGTGCCTGCCGGGTGTATCCCCAGCGCAGGGTAAGGAATACAATATTTCAGCGATCTAATTTTATTGAAAGGGCTGACAGCCTGCTACAAGCCGTGCGGATCTGTGCAACCCGGAGCCACCATTAAAATAAAAGATCAGTCAAACAACAGAACCAAATGGCCACAAAATTGACCAATGCGCCTACAACTTGTCGGGCGCTCAAGGCACTAAGAAGCTCCTCGACTGACAGTGTTACGTGACTACGTAAGTATACTTGGACCAATGCAAAAACGCGTGACACAAAATGTCAGGGCAGACAGACACGACCGGGCACATCTGCATCACACGGGCACCCATTATGAGAATGATGACTACCACCTCGATTTTTTTGCATTGCGACATTAATTTCAGGAATATTAATGCAACCAGGCCTGCAGTGACCGCCAAACGATTCACAACCATTGCATGCCCATCTTCCTGCATTTGCTAGTAAATAAATATCGGCAACATACTTCATGCAGCTCAACAATAACCATCCTCAGCCCTTAGTCAGCGTTTCGGAGCCGGCAGGTCTGGCGGGCTGCTGCAAAAGGCCCGTAGGCGGGGCCTTTTGCAGCACATATATGAGTCAGACACCACAATTTCCCCTGAAGGCTTCCTGTTCAGTGGCTTAATTCAGAATCTCGCGAACGCCGGAACATTGGGACCATGCTGCGATTGGGTGAGCCCTCTCACCGTGCTTGCAAACCCTGAAATCTGCGAGCGGAGGGGCTACGAGGCCAGGGTCCAAAACCCTCAAAAGTACATTCCATGCAACCTCTACACAACCCCTGAGCCTGCAATACACCCAAGTGCTCAGGCGGCCGCATCCGCGGCGGGGAAGGGAGGGATTCCTGGCGCCAGTGACCCTTCATACACCCCCGCTCCCGAAACCCTAGCCGCCGCACGCCGCGCTGAGCATGCATGCATGCTCAGTTCGCATGCATGCGTGATCAGACGAGTTTCTCGGTGACAGAGAATGACGGCTCAACCTTGGGGCGGGTGGCCTCGCTCTCGCGCTTGAGCTCCTGGGCCACGGTTGTTTTGTGTGCGCCCAGCTCGGCCAAGATCTCCTGCAATACATCAACAGCGAGCAGCATCAGTGCTCCGCCATGTCGTTCATGCTGTGCTGTGGGCCGAATTATTGCACAAGGCTTGTGCCACACAGACTCTGCAGAAGGCTAGTAGCCTGAGTCCATGCCAGACGACAAACACTGACAGAATTCAACGTCTCCCCCATCATTCACAGCAAGCCTGGTGTGCTTGGCAATTGGTCAGAGGCAACAAGGCAACCACAACAAGCCACCCAGCTGCGCACCGCGCACCTTGCAAACATGACTAAGTACAATAGTTTCCTCAAACTACCAGGTAGACATGACATATCCCAGCAGCACTGTCAGGAAGTCGAGCGCACCTGGCACACAGCCACGGCGTCTGCCATGCGGACGGTGATGTACTCTTCGCCGATGATCTCCGGGATGTGGGCCTTCTCCAGCAGCCGCATGATCTGGCGCGAGGGGTTGCTGATCACCGGCTGGATGCCCGCACGCTTGTGACTGATCACCCAATCCTGTAAAATTCAGCAACATTAGCTTAGAGTCAAACGCTTTGAGCACTCAAAAACAGTCGCACTCAAAAACAGTCACAGTGCTGCGCGTCCTCAGGCAGGAGAAAACACAAAACAGACACATGGAGCCTACGCCGTTTTAGCCAACCGTTGGGCACAAAGCAAGGAGTACAACCACAACGGAAAATTTCTTGACAAGTCAAGTAATGAGGCAAGCGTGCCGATGGCATGCTGCACCAGCGTGATCTAGGCTGCCGAGGCTGCCAACACATGCCTGAATCCTCACAACGTCTAGAATTTAGGCACATGAATGCTGGATAAAAAAAGGAAAAGGAGAGCCCACCTTGAAGAAGTGGACGGCGGAGGCGTCGATGTCGTTGACAGGGGACAGGTCGATGATGATGAAGTGCAGGGAACGCCCCTGGGCGGCCGCTATCTCCTTGGCACGCCGCTCATACTTGTACAGAGCGTCCTTCACCGGGTTGACATTCGCGAAGTACAGCGGAGCGTCCACACGCAGTAAGAGCATTCCCTCAACCTCTCTCGCCTCAGGGTACTGCTTCACGTTCCTGCGGGGGGAGAAAACGGGGATTCAGGGGTTCAGCCTATGTATATCTCTGGTCACCAGTAGCAGATGACCTCTAGATGGGGCACCTAATGATTGTTCATGCGGGGGGAGGACGTCGGGGACCTGAGGGTATTGCATCACATTCCCATGGTAAATATACATAAGGACCTGAAGGTCCTGCTGGGACATGTCTCTGGAGAAAACTCGCAAGGCCTAGGAGCTAAAAGTGGACTTTGCCAAGAGGCTAAAACAACAACCGCAGTGCCCGAAAGGTGCATGCATGCAACAAGTCCATCAGGCCAGCAGGTAGACTCTTTGTATCTTGCGCTCATTGAGTAAGAGCTTCTAGTGCCAACAAACATTTGCACCCAGTACAAGATACTGTACATTGGAAAATCAACAAGACGCAAAGCCACGTTATCCTGCCAGGTGTGCCAGCGCTGTGAACTATTAGTCACCATAACAAATCGGCATTGCAACTTTTGGCGAGCCGCCGGGGAAGTGCAGCACTGCATCGAAGCTCTCACCTGAAGACACTGGTCTCGGGCAGCTGGCCCAGCACAGAGGTCTTGGGGAAGGCGGACTTGTAGAGCGCCAGCACGATGGAGAGGCCGATGGAGATGCCCAAGCCCAGGTCGACTCCAGCAAACATCGTGGTCAGTAGCGCCACGTTGAACACCACCCAGTCCAAAAAGTTCACCTGCGCAGTGATTTTGGCGTTATACTCTTGATTGTTTGTCTACCTTTTATCAGTCCCTGTACCCTGCTTGGAGTCTCGGCAGTAGTGGGTATTTTGAGTCTGCACCCAACCTGGAACCTGGGTTCATGCTTCCATTCTGTTCCTTCTAAGACCCCCTTCCTCACAGGTCTCTTGGGGGAGAACATGTCAAAACCAGGCAGGAAGTGGTTGCAAGAGAGGGGCCGGACCAAGAGGCGCAGGGCGATTTGACCTATATATCTGTTGATCTTGACACGTTGCAGATCTAGTTAACCGACCGTGAAGATCTCCGAGAAACTTATTCTCGACCTGGTTCTCCAATCTGGTGAGACCTATGGCTGAGGACTTTCTCAGTGAGAATGGCCCAAGAAAAGGGCAGTAATTGGGGGCTCACCCTGAGCAGGAACCACCACTCCTCGTAGTTGAACAGGCCGACGACGGCTGCTATGATGACGGCGCCCTGCGCGTTCTGGGGCATGTTGCGGAAGACCGGCGTCAGGCACAGCAGCACGATCATCACAATCACACCTGCGCGATGATGCAATTCAAAGGTCAGTTCAAAGGTCAGACAACGAGCCACATTCACGAGTTGATCTGCTTTCCCTGCCAGGCCAGAGCCGTCTGCGCTGAGCACAACAAGTGTTCCTTGTGCAACTTCCCCGGGCTTGGTTCCCTCAAATAGCAGACCTCAACTAGCAAGTAGGGATGACCGACGAATTAGGTTTCTGATCTGCACCAACACCGCATATCTGAAGTCAAGTCACCTGAGGTGATGCCTGCCAGCTGGGTCTTCGCCCCGACATCGTTCATGATTGCGGAGCGGGAGAATGAGCCGGTTGTGGTGTAGCAATTGAAAGCCGCTCCCACCAGGTTTGCCAGGCCCAGGCCGCGCAGCTCCTGCGTCGCGCTGCGGTCACATGCGCGCACATGTCAGCCGCACGCATGCATGTGCAAGGGTACTGTTGGCCAAAGGCAAGGTCATCTGAATTTCAAGTACAACCATTATGTTGCATGCATGATGACCCCCATGTTCATGTGCACCCCAGCGTCCAGGCAAGGCCGATGCATGACAGAAGCACACAATCTAAAGGAACGCTGGCATGCGCTGATTCTGCATGCTTTGCAACGCTTGCGCAGAGCCTCAGACACAGCAAGCACCATGACAGATGGCAGCAACGACGCTCGACCTCGCTGCATGTGTCCGATAATCGGCAAGGGCACTGTACCCATTTACAACAGGCAAATATAGACCCGCCAAAGAATGTTTGTGCCAGCCGGGGCCCCAAAGGAAACGGGAGCTGAGATTTCCTGACCAGATCAAGTCAAGTGAACAAGAGTTGAAAGGGAGCGGAGGTGCGCACTTGAGCTCGTACTGGTTGCGGTACGCCAGCGCTTTCGCGATGGAGATGGACTCGAGCACGTCGATGGCGCACACCTTGATGGCCAGCCCAATAAAGCGACCAATGTCGTGGAAGGGGAACCACCACGTCACCGTCTGGTGCGGCAGGCCCTGCGCACACAATCCCATGCGGCCTGTTCAGGCTACGGTTCTTCCTAGGAGACATGCTTATTTCAAAGGTTGCTCCCCCTTCCCCGGGGGTGCTGAGAAAGCCCGACAAGGCATGCGAGGGACTCGGAAGGTGACTCACCGCAGGGACAACGCCGACGGTCTTGATGTTGTAGGGGGCCTGGTACAGTTTGAAGATGTTGGAGATTGCGATGGACAGCACGGTCACCGTCAGCGGGCCAGCCGCGCGCACGTACACCAGCCTCCTGCACGCACCAGGACCTAGAATTCAAACACAAACCAGAGAATATGCAACCACCCGGATCAAAGTTTGCCTCCCACCGCATGGCGCTGCAACGTGTTCGGTGATTGATGAAGTGTGCTGCGCCGTCGTCTGCCAGGACGACATGGCGAAAGGTACAAATTCTATCTTGATAACAACCGTGCGGGTCCTTTTTAATAGGCGCACGGAGAATGAGACCAGTATAAGCTTCTTCTCATGTTTTGAGTGCCATGCAACACATTGCCCTACCTAGAGGTCACAAGCTGGTGCCAATGAACCACAAAGAACTTAGGGACTTTCAATGAATCTCTTAGAGAGTAAAATAATAAGGGACGAGTCGCACTTGTTGCGCTTGCCGACCTCCTTCATGGTGAACAGGAGGATGAGCCAGCAGGCGCCCATGAGGAACTCGCGCCACTGCCAGTAGGGAGTCCAGGTGGGGCCAAAGAGGTCCTTCAGCTGCTCCTGCACCGGGTCGTGGCGGGGGAAACTGATCTGCGGCAGCTTCAGAATATCTGTCGAGTCCGGGTCGGGACGGCGGCCGTAGCCGAAGATATTCTTCACCTGTTGCAGCAGCGCACCAGGCAGCCTCAGCAGTGATGAGCGACATTCATTGCTTAAGGGGGCTCGGGAGCGTGTCAGCCATGTACTACAATCAAATTACAGGCAACCACCAATTAGGGCACACAGGCAGGGCATCTGCAGCCACATCTGCAGGGCCTAAAAAGCCTGCAGCCTGTTACTGGACAGAGGATGGAGGGATGGCACAGCAGGTTGCCAGCCAGACAAGCACCAACCACCCCCCAGCCACTAAGGCACGCAGTGAGCGCTGTGGTAGCGGGGGGCTACCTTCAAAAGTCTGAAGAGAACTTTCAATGCCTTTGCAAGATAGTGCATGGCAGCAGGGGCAGAAGGCAGTATGATTTCCAGTGGGGGAATGTCAAGAGGTGAGCAGAGCGGGGCACCTGTGAGAGAGCGATGATGACAGAAGCGCCGGACATGAAGCCGGAGATGACTGAGTGTGACAGGAAGTTAGTCAGCCAGCCCAGCTCCAGGATGCCTACCGCTGTGTACAGGCAGCCAGCCAGGAACGCCACCTGCGACATGGACCATCCACATCAGAGCAAACTCATGGATCACACTTTTAGGACATGCTTGAAGCATGGACACTTTAATTTGTTCCTGACCCAGCTCTTACAGATTCCGAGCATGCATGCACGCAGAGCTTTCATTCCTGACCAGCGCTCCAAAACAGGTGATGGTCACAGGATGTGTGCAACTTAGGAAGCAATGCAAGTCAGGCTTCAAATTTCATGAAATTTGATAGAATCATCTAGATGGTACATCCTGAGTAGGGAAAATGGCGCCCACCTGGATGGCAGCATGGTTGTACACATCCTGCGCATGCTGGTTCCTGGGGTTGTTGGGATTGTCCTGAATAGGCGCATCGATGATGTTAGGAATGCCAGATCCCAGCAGCAGCGAAGTCACAGCCACCGGCCCCACAGCCTGCACCAAATGATTAATTTTTCAGTATAAAAAAAATGCCAGCATGGGCACAAGCAGTCTTTGCGGTTATCGACAGGCAGGTCAGTACTCTTTTCAGACAAATCCCAGGGGCATCAGCATGCCAGCACACGTCGTGGCAACACTTCACCAGGAATTGATGCACACACTAGCAAGTGATGGGGGGGGGGGTGTTTTGGACGGCTGGAGGGTGGATCAAGGTGCGGCAGAAGTGGACTCACCAGGTGGCGGGAGCTGCCGAGAGCGGCGTAACACAGAACTGGGACAAAGGCGCCGTAAAGCCCATAAACTGCGGGCAGACCTGCGAGGCCGGCATAGGACATGCCCTGCGGGACCACTAGTGCCGCCACCGATGCTCCGGCAAGAATATCAGGCTGCACAGGACACATGCGCACGCTTGTCAGAAAACACGTAGTAACAATTGCATGCAAATTCAGCCGTTGTTGACCTTTTGAGATGCCAAAAGGCCCCGCCCAGTCCCTTGCGAGTGAAATTTTACTTATGCCAGGCATCTTGGGCACGTGTCAAGAGGCAAAACTCTGGGTATCACCCAAAAGGCATGCTTGAGCCACATCAGCAACTGCACTATGCTGCTCAGCAAGCGACGTCCGGCTAGGAACTGGTGTTGTTGCTAAAAACACGCTGACAGGGCACTGCCAGGCACGTCCAGGATTGAAACTGAGCAGAGGGACCGCACCAGCAAGTACTGCTTGATCTTGTAGGTGCGCAGCCAGCCCACCATGGGGAGCACGACCGTGAACCAGTCGAGGAATCCATATGTCTTCCTCGCCTTCTGGAACCTGCAGAGCCACCAGCATCCTCATGCTGTCCGCTTGCAAAGCATGTCCCACACAACACGAGCTGATCCTTCCAAACATTACCGCTTTTTCTATACATGCAAAGGAGCTGTGCACATTGAAAAGGGAAGCGTCGCAATTGAGGGAGCTGTACAATGAGCACTCACCCTGTCTTCTGGTGGTTAAAGTACAAGCCCACGCCTTCCTTGAACTCCTGGAAGGTTCCCTTCCCATTGGTGACCCCGTGAACCTGCGAGGTGAAAGTTGGCTTCGTGAGCCCTGCCTGTCATCCATCGTGCGGGGCTGACCAAAAATGAAACGAAGGGAGGAGAAGCTGCCCTGCATCTGAGGGACGTAAAAGCTTTGCTTTCAAGATAGTACGCGAAGGCAGCAATATCAGAAACAGAAACAGAAGCAAAGTGTGTTATTTCTTATGACACACGTTTAGAGAAAGCACTCGGTATAGTGATCCAAGAGGTGCTTCGTAGCAGGTTGGCATGCTCACCTTGTATCTCCTGCCAAACTTCCCCTCTCCCTCCACCAACGGCCCGTACTCGCTCGAGCCAGGGCTTGTGCGCTTTACCACTCCGCTATGAGGTGACCCCGAATCGGGGGAGTCGTGGATTGCCATAAGTGAAGTCAGCCCGTGGGCCGCCTGCACACGAGTCAGGGCAAACGCGTCAGCATATGCTGCGAGTGAAACCAGAACATCGCTGAGACGTCATAAGGTCGATCATTGTCGTCCTCAACGACATGTTCTTGGTGCCGTCGCCCCAAAAACCGATTTGCTTGCAAGAGGCACGTGTGAACACTGTGCGAGCAACCTGCGCCTTGACAAAGACACTGCGCACTGCCCCTCAGCCTGCGCGTCTCGACCACTTCAAGCTCTAGCTACAGATCAACGAAGACGACCCCATCGCAAAGCTCACAACGGCAGCACACCGGCGTCGCCGTCACGCCAACGCACGTGCAGTGAAAACCCCGATTTCGAGGACTGTCGCGCAACACCTCCGCGGGAGTGCTCCAGAAGAGCCGTTCACAAAAGTACAAATAATAATAGGAGACCGAAAGGTGATCGACCGCTGGCAATGCCCACAGGCATAAGCAAAAAGCCCTCGTGGGAAGGGACCATTCAACACGTGTGGGGAGCACAGTGCCATCCACGCACTCTAGGCGGAAGTCTGCTGCTTCCTGGGCGCTTCAATGGTAGACAGGCTTTCCAGAACCTTTCTCACACCAATCTAAACCGGTCACCCAACCGTTGCGGACACTCACCAACGCGTACACGTACCTCTGCTAGCTTGCGCTCCGCGCGATCGCCTGGCGATATCCGATGATCTCCTCAACTTGAAATGCTTATCGCCTTCTTATTGTGGTACGCCCAAGTGAGGAAGCTTGTCCCTCGGGAAGTGCGGATGTGTTGAGTCTGCAGATTACCAGGGCCAGTCACTCCCATCGGTTGCCTGGTTTGGAGACATCACCAAGGCCATACGGTTAGTGATCACAGATGTGCTAAGGTGGGACCGTCCGGGAGGGCGACCGCGTGCGTGAGCACATGCCTGTGCCTGGGCCTCCCCCGGCTGCCGCGCCGGGCGCCGCTGCCGCCCCGGGTGCTGCCACTGCCGGGCCCTCTCAGGCCGCGCCTTCCTCCCCCGGCCGCGCCGACTCCTACGCCGAAGCAGTGCGCCGCTAGGAAGTCTCCAGCCGCCTATCGCTGCGTATATTGTCCTGGAATGTCAATGGCTTACATGCTAGCAAAATATCCTTGTGGGACACGGCAGCCTATCTTGACTAGTTCGATATTGTACTTCTGACTGAGGCCCGTTGCTTGACCTGGGATGACTCGATCTTGCCTCACCACTCTGTGACTTTCACGGCTGCTAGTGAAGAGGGCAAGGCGGGTGAAGGCATTGTTGTTGCGGTTCGGAAGCACCGTGATTACCACGCACAAGACTGGGTGTCAGACACTGACAGTGCCTTATGGGTGAAAGTGCAGTTTGAGGGGGACTCTCCACCGCTGCTGATTGGCTCCAGCTATGTGCCTCCAGCGGGTTCCCGGCAATTGCAGACTGTGGACCTGACCAGTCGATTTACGGGCTTATGTGCAGAAGTTGTTGCCGCTCGTGCTCAGGGCAATGTGATCCTGGCAGGAGACTTCAATGCTCGTGTGTCAAATTTGCCTGACGCTGATGACAGCAATACTCGAGGCTGCACTGATGAAGGTGTCAATGCTCATGGGCTGCGCCTGTTAGATTTTTGCAAGGAAACTGACATGCTCATATGCTCTGGCAGAGTGCTAGGAGACCTTGAAGCAGTGCCTACCTTTAAGGCCAGAACCCATACTCAGGCAACTAGACCTGATCATGTTCTCGTTTCCGCTGATGCGCTCCCCTTGATTTCTCATCTTGTTGTGAACACTGGTAGAAAAGACTCTGATCATCATCCTATTGAGATGACGTTGCAAGTGAATGTGGCTGCCAGTGTTCCCTTACCATGTATTGGGGCGCCATTGTCACGAGTGAAATGGCAGCCCAGTGCTAGGAATGCGTATGCTGCTGCTTTGCGCAATGTTGCCAGTGCAAGTCTTGACGCCTGCACAGGCCATGCTGTGGCTGGGGAACTTGATGCAGCCTTTCAGACCCTGGAGGCGGGGATCCGGGAGGCCGCAGCCGCGAACAGCATGCCGGCCCGCACCGGGCGCCATCAGCGCAAGGCGCGTGCCGACGCGCCCTTCTTCGATTCGGAGTGCCGCCAGCTTAAACGGGACGTCCGCGCCCGCGCGCGGTGCGGGGGCGATCCAGCCGAAGTGCGCGCGCTGGAGCGTGCCTACCACAACACCGTCCGCCACAAACGGCGCGCTCACCGGCTCGCGCAACTGCGCCGCCTGCTTGATGATTTGCACAGTGACCCCCGAGCCTTCTGGAAGCGGCTCAAGTCTCAGCAGTCTGATATACCTGAGCAGCTCAAGCCAGTGCAATTGTGGGCTGGCTATCTCAAGCGGGTTGCAAACTTGCAGTTGCCACTCATTGCTGAGCTGCCCCACTTGTCTTTCCCTGTCCAGCCCAGTGCTCCTGTTGCCCATGTTGATGCTCTCAATGCACCCATCTCTCTTGGGGAGGTGCTTGCTGGGCTCAAAAGTTTACACAATGGTCGTGCCACCGGAGTGCAAGGTTTACCAGCTAAGCTGTTTCGGTATGCAAAAGATGAGCGGGCGCCAGGCATGCCTCCTCCGGAAAATGTCCTGGCGCCTGCTTTGGTGGCTGTGCTGAACTCTGCATTTGTGGCTGGGCAAGTGCCACCCTCTGTGAATGGTAGCCTGATCACCCCTGTGCACAAGAAAGGCAGCAAGCTTGACATGCTCAATTATAGACCCATTGCCGTTACTGAGCCCATCATGCGCTTGTATGCTGGCATATTGAATTCTCGTATTCTGAAGTACACAGAGGGGGCTGGATTGCGTGCAGCCACACAGGCTGGCTTTAGGCCAAAACTGTCTACGGCCCACCAGCTATTCACCTTGCAGCATTTTATCGACCGGCAAAACCATGCTAAGCAGCCCTTGTATTGTTGCTTTCTTGATCTGAAGGGTGCTTATGACAGAGTGAATCGGGTGTTGCTCTGGGAGAGTCTGCGTCGCCTGGGCATTGATGGCCGCCTGCTCTCTGCCATTCAGTCTTTGTATGCCAATTCTACGGTTGCCATTAAGATTGGGAGCAGGAAGGGTCCTAGTTTGCCCTCTGAGACAGGATTGAAGCAGGGTTGCCCCCTTAGCCCAACGCTGTTTGGCTTGTTTGCAGATGGCCTGCACAGGCACTTGCTGCAGAGGTGCCCTGGGGTTGGCCCGCAGTTGCGTCCTGGCAGTTGTGTACCAGATCTAGGCTATGCCGATGACTTTGCTTTGCTCGCCACCACACCTGCTCATTTGCAACGCTTGATTGATGCAGCTGCTGAGTTTTGTGAACAAACGGGAATGGTCATCAGTGTTGACAAAACAAAGATTGTGGTGTTCTCTTCAAGTTTGCCAGGACCTTTTCAATGGCTTTGTGGTGGTGCGCCTTTACATTGGGTTCAGCAGTTTGAGTACCTGGGTGCCCTTTTTGACGGTGCCCAAGGCATTAATCTCACCTTTGGCAAGCTTCACAGGAACATGTGGGGTGCGTGGGCACAGCTCAGGCAGCAATATGGGAAGTTGCATTGCAGCATGTCAGCTGGCCTGTTGTTGCGCCTATATGATGCATGTGTGCCGCCGACTGCCTCCTACGGTTGTGAGGTGTGGGGCCTGCGCAGCCTTCCTGGTGGCGACAGCCGGCGGGGCCGGGCTGCCTTGGCCTCCTCTCACCTGAAAATTCTGAGAGACATTGCTGGCGTCCCCACCTCTGTGCATGGTGCCATCTTGCTTAAGGAGTTGAATCAGCAGACCCTTGATTGTGTGTGGTGGCGGCGCATTATCAAGTTCTGGAACAATTTGGCTGCCTTGCCTGCAAATAATTTTCACAGGCAAGTGGCCCTTGATGATTGTTGGGATGCCATAACCCGTAATGTTAAGAATTGGGCTTGGGCCTTCATGCGGGGCTTGCGCCGGATTGGGTATGAGTTTGTTATTCGGTTTGACACCCTTGTTCCTGTGGAAGTTGATGCTGTGATGCAGCTGCTAGATGCGCAAGCACTGCAGGTTTGGGATGACATTGACATTTGCCCTAGGACCTGCCCGTCCAGCAATGCCACCTTGTGTACATATCACCGATGGTTTGCTAGGCCAGCTTGTGTGCGCCACCCTTGCCAGCTCTTACAGCAGCCTTTGAGTGCCCGTTGCTTGCGTATACTGTTGAAGTTCAGGATGGGTTGTCATAGTCTGCCCAATGTCTCGGGCCGCTGGGCAAGGATTCCCCGGCCCCAGCGTTTGTGCATGCGTTGTGCCCAGCAGGTTATTGGGGATGAGCGCCACCTTGTGTTTGAGTGCCCTGCCTTGCAATCTGTTCGGGACAGATATCCTGGGCTGTTTGGTGCAGCCATTGTGACGATGCAGCAATTCATGTGGCAGTTGGACATTGTTGGTGTTGCACATTTTGTGATGGATTGTTTTGATTATTTGGATGCTGCCAGTTCATCCAATCAGCCCTAGGCGGCTGGAGTGATGTAATCTTCCTTCCTTCCTTCCTTCAGAGAGCTGCAAAAGCTTCCACATAGCTTGTATATGGTAGCAGCGCTCGCACATATGCAGCGAAAGCATCACTGGCATGAGCAGCTGCAGCATGCTTGAAAAGACTCTGCCACACGTGTCACAGGCACTGCAAGCAAGCATATGGAATATTGTGTTCTGTATGCATGCGCAACATGCACAACACGCACTGACTGCTTGAGCTGAAGGCCCCGGGGCACGTGAACTCACGAGGAATAAACATACATGCCACCTCGAGCTCAGCAGGCACGCTGCCCCACTGCTGAGAAGAGTTGTGTCATTGCTTGCCAGTGGTGCACGCCATGCAAAGAAGGTGAACCAAGCCAAGCATTTCAGTGGCTTTTCATCAGTGCTGCACGAGCATGTCATGTTGGAGACGGCGCTGGTCAGTAGATTGTTTACCAAGTCACTTGCGATTACAATGGAACTTCCGAGGTCCTTAAGCTAGCCTCATCATAAAGAATATTGCCAACAATCACACTTGAAAGCGCTGTGACAAATTTCTAATGCCCCGCGCCTACAGCAGAGTACACAAATTAAAACAATTGCAATGCCAGTGCTGCTTGTATCACCCTAGCTGATCATTTCACAACGCTGGCCGAACAAATGGGGACTCTTCGACCAATCTAGTAGCTTATTCAGTGCCTGCACACTTGCTTGAAAGCGCATGCTGGCGCCCAATATGACTCCCGGAGGAGACACATTGCAGTTAGGACATGCTAATACTCTTCACTGCCCTTGCAAAGAATTGGGAACAAATTGACCCAAGCAAGCGCAGAGGAAGAATATTTGCTCCCTGCTTGGTGCAGTGTTTTTCTTACTTGCAGGAGAAAGCCCACAAAGACGCCCAGACATGTGCCTGAAAACTTTATGGCATGTCCAGTTGCACATTGCAAATTCACATCCGAACCGCACTCCCCAACCCAATCTGCGTGAAAAGGCCACAGCTGCTGCTGCTACTGCCCTCCGCACTCTGGGCCAACTCCCTCTGTGGCAATGCCGCGCCGCGGCTGCCTCAGATATATGGATAGCCCAGGAATGTGGCAGCGTCAATCTGCAGCAAGCCTGATCACAAGCCAATCTTGGCCTGGTAGGACTTGATCGCCTCCAGCATCACAAGCGTGATGGCCACATGGGGAGCAATCCTGTACCACACAGTGGACACCGGACATGAGGACTTGTCGTGCTGCTTCTTTTTTGCCTTCAATGGTCAGAAGATCTATTTCAGCAGAAGAGCAGATGGATCCAAGGCAATAAGTGCAGGTGCTTCTAGGGAGATAGCACAGACAGTATAGGAAATTCAAGGCATCATAACACTTGTTTACCCAGAAGTGCTGCAAGTACAATGACATTTAATGGGCCTGAGTCATTCAAAAACGTACATGTAAATGGAAATCGATAAGGTAATTAGCAAGGGGCCGCACCTGACGCAGTAGGTGGGGAAGCCAGTGTAGAACTTGAGGGGCCCCTCGTGGGTGAAGGTCTTCATGGCGCAGTCGATGGGGCTCTTGTAGGGGAAGGTGCCATCGGGCAGAGGCTCCATCTTCTGAATGCGCGTCTTGACAAAATCAAACGGCAGCGAGCATGCCGCCGCGAAGAAACCCGCGATTGTGGCGCCGCCCAAAACCACCGCCTGGCCGTTCTTCTCAAAGCCGGCCGCTTCCAGCATCTCCTTTGCCTGCATGGAGATTACGTAAGAGACAGTCAGCCCATTGTTTCGGTCATTGACAAAGGGACGAAGACCCATGTGATCAGCAGTGCAAACCAGTGACGGCCCGCCCAGAGCAGCACATCGATGCTGCGGAACAGAAGCCCCATCAGCTTTTAAATCAAGCGCTATGTATGGGCTCCTGAGGGCACCCCTCTGTGGCCCCAGTCTACTGGCCAGCTGCAAGGCGCCGTCAAAGCAAGGCGCCCCAGAAGCAGACTTCACAAGATCTGTCTGCACGGTTTAATCACGTCCTGATGTTCTGGCTTGACAAGTCAGCTTCTCTGTGCATGTGGCCCTTGCCAGGCACTGACCTCAACATCGCCTCTAAGGAGGCAAGGGAGGTTGAGTATAACAGTACAAATTTTGAAAATATACGCCAGATCTTCTAGCCCTGAAAAGGTGCCAGGAGTGGTACTCACCTGGTCGTTTGAGGCAAGCATGCCCATGTTGAGGGCCATGGCACGCACGACTGTGGGGCCGGCTCCCCTGAACAGGCCCACCGCTCCATCCTCCTTCACAATCCTCACCTGTGCACACACGTCGTGAGCAATCCTCCTCACGCTTGCCAATAGACTAGAAGAGAACTCTACCACCCACAGAGGCATGCAGTGCCACAGCAGCCCATCTACCAGCAAGCCCTTTGCAGTCCTCAACCAAGTCTGGATCAGCAGGTACACGCCAAAACATATCAAGGCTACCGCTCCAACATCTCAGGAATCAAGAGTGACATCCAACTGGAGTCCAAATCACCCTGCACTTAGGCTTGAGCTCAAACCCCCGTGTAGATGGAAGCATTGGCTACCAAGGGGGCCAAGCTTTAGAACCCTGTGCAGGAATCCTAAGCAAAATACCACGTCTGTAGGACACATCGATATAGGGACATCAGAGGAGAGCAAAGCAAGCAGTAAAGTGAGCCTCACCATGGCGTCGCCGACGCCCTTGTAGTTCCTGCGGCTTGCCAGGGGTAGCGTGGCATCTGCCTGCATGCGGATGAGGGTCAGGTCCGCGGGTGAGCCCACCAGCGCACCCAGCCCACCAGCCGTCAGCCCCGCAGCAGCCTTCTGCCAGAGCGGGAGCGGCTGCACGCACAGCAACAGACAAGTGTCAACAGAGTGCTGGCTGGGATTCAGCTGGCTGCGTGCATGCATCCGACATGTGAAGCCTTCGCCTGCAGCTAGTCTGCAAACACCTCATACCCGTCTTGGCAGGAGCAGCGTGTGATATCAGTTAAGCTGATTTGAGTAGCCTTTGCCTGCAGCTCGTTTGCAACCACTGCACACCCGTCTTGGCAGGAGCAGCGTGTGATGTCAGTAAGCATAAGCTTGCCCAGCACAGATGGCATGATCTGAACCAACTAGCCTGAGGTCAGTTGCTAGGCAACGCAGGGCCGAGGCAGCAACCAAGCAGGCACATGCAAGACAGCAGCAGCAGCTGTGTGGGCTGCAGAAGAAACTATAGGGCACTTGTTTGGGGGCGCACCTTCCCCTCGTTGGCCTTTTTGAGGTAGTCAGACAGGCCCTGGAAGATTCCCAGGCGCGCTGTGGTGTAGGTTGCTTGCCTGAGCAGCCCCGCGGACAGTCCCTTGTACAGGCCGCCCACTCCGCCGTCCTTAATGATGTTGCTCGCCACCGTCAGCTGCTCACAGCACAGCTCGGGTCAGCGTCAAACAACATGCAGCCCTGCTTCAGGGGACCTCTGCTGAGTAGCTTTTCTTCCTCAAGAAGTTCCTGAGTTGGCAGGACCCCCAGTAGCATTCATTCATGGCAGTCTGCCTCCAGATACCGCCATGCTTTGCATGAGATCCGACTGTACCACACAGAAGAAGCGCTGTTGTATTGTCACGGAAGAGCAGGCAGGCGAACAAAGCAAGAGGTAGGGGACTGCAAGGAGGCCTTGAAATCCTGGCTGTCCAATATATGAAAAACTTCAAAAGCAAGTGCTGCTTCAGAAGGACCAGACTGCTAGGGCTTACCGGGGAGCCCTGTGCGCCCAGCTGGATGCGGACTTTGACCATGTCGATTGGCTGAATGACGCAGGTGGCGAGCATGCCACTGAGTCCACCATTGAGAAAGGGCTTGACGCTCTTCCAGACCGTGTTGGTGCTTGGGAGTGGAACGTCTGCCATCACGAGCTGCACCACTATTTATTTACCTGCGTGAACGCTCGCCAAATTTCATTGGAGCTCATATGGTATAGACGCATGCCAATACTGGTGCTGTGGCCAGGGCACGTGTGTCTGAACGTGACTTTGACTAGATCCTGACTCCAAAGATCGTGCTGCCTTGGCGAAATGATCCAGCCCAAATTCTAGCCAAAAACTGATATAGTGTTAAAATTGAACAAGAAATCACATGTGTCAGCTCAGAACCGAACCATTATATCTCTCCCTCTGCATCTCAAACTGTTCTGGGAGGCTTGGGCTGCTCACCAGAAGAAAGAAGCAGAAGCCGGTGCGAGCTGCAGATCTCGTTGCGATTATACGACACACCTCGTGAGCTCTGGCCTTAGTCGAGATGTGGCACCCGCAAATTTGTGATTCCTCCGCCGCAGAAGCTGTGGAGCGCGTAATTTGGAGCTGCTTTGCGACACGCTGGCGGCCAGGCTGGCATGCCGCATGCATGCATTAGCATCTCTCTCTAACTCTCTGAGCCTTGATCTCAAAAGCTTCAGAGCTCAGAAAAAGTGAACATTTTGTTGGTGCTGCTGCTGGCACACGCATCAGCCGGATGTTGTGACGCCGCAGCTGGTTTAAGACGAGCAAAGTTGGACTGCCTGCTGTATATCAAAATAATATCATGGCAGCCCGAGGCTTAGAATTGTAGCAAGCATAAATTGTACATTGAGCACACTTCATCACACTCATCGTTGAGGTGTTACCATGGAGCACAGTCAGTAGTCACACTCTTCATTGAGGTATAATGCTTGATTTATTCAGTCTGCACCAGCCTCTGAGTGTAAATTTAGGCTCACTTTTGGCTTCACTCTTGGCATCTCAGGCGCAGTGTATTGCAAGCCAGCGTGCTGACCCCTAAGCCTGCCTCTCTGATGCCTATATCTATGGATCTGCTTGACGACGACCAGTCCTAGGTCCTGCGGCCGATATGCACAGGCTTGCAGCCTTGTCAACTCGCTTTATTATGATTACAGTGTCGGCAAACCCAAAGCCCGAAGGCCATGTCATATACATAGAATAGCTGTACTATAGGCTGCCATATCTGCAGCCATGAATGTGAGGTTTCTTGAAAGAGGTGGACAGACTCAGAAGCCATGCAAAATTTGAAAGCTTGCAAGAGTCTACACATGTGTGCAATAGTTCCAAGGTATACCGTGTGTGACGACCATAGCATATGCATATGCATGTGCAAGAAAGCTGCAGAGTTTCTAATTAGACCGCGTGTGCTTACAGAACATTCGAAGAAACAGCTTTGGAAAAAGCTGTGTCTACACAGAGCAATTTAAACACAGAATGAAAGGTAACTATATGCAAGCTCTGACCACGGGCCATGATGTCATGGACATTCTACACTGTACTATACAATGTGGACGCCAGGCAAGCCCTAATGGCTGCTTGGAATGTTTATGATATTTCTATCAACAGCATGAGACTCTGCACACATTCGTAGCCACCACATGCAACTTCCATGCAAAATCTATTGAAGGCATCTCACACAAATTGAACACACTGCAACAATGACATTCCAAGAATAAAGCAATCACCAGCAAACAGTCCTTCTGCAGCGAGTACAGTTGTGACAGGGAAACTTGTAGTCTAGATTAGTCTGCAGATCTGTCACTTGCACACCACCACTCTCAGCTGCTGCCTCATTGCAAAAGATCTTGACAAGATGATATGGGTACTGTGCCGTGCATCTTGGTGTCGACATCAGGTGCTATATTGGTCTTGAGTGTGCCTGGTCATATACGTCTTCAGTCACCTTCTGCCTGTGGTCAAGGCAAACTGCTGCATCATTTTGCAGCTGCAGCACCAATGCTGCGGATGGCACCAAAAGCAGACGCACTGGTTGTGGTGCCATTGCAGACCTTCAACAGATTTGTGATGCAGAGGTTGGCAAACCCATAGAACTTGAAGTTGCTCTTCGGTGTGCCGTTGCCAGCGATGCATGCAACCACGAAGATGTCATTGGTCTGAGCAACCACAGAGATGATGTAGCACGTGGTACCACTGATGCCTGCAGCATTTCCCTGTCCCAGAAACAGCGGGTCGCCACCGGGAATGGTGTCAAGACTCGCAACGACCCCAGACACCGGCCCTGAGCGCTCCATGAAGCCCAGAGGGGGTAGCGTGCCACCGTCCTCAAATGTGAGGTTGACAGTGCCATTGAAGAGGTTGAGAAATTTGCCGCCTGACATGACGACCTGGCCACGGGCGCAGCCCAGCAGAGCCAGTGCAAGCATCAGCGCAGCAATGCGCGCGGCTGGAGACCGTGCCATGATTTCCTGCAGACAGAATCGACGTTCTGGTCACAAAGAAGGGGTAGAGAGGATAGCAAAGCTGTCTGCCTTCAGCTTCTGGATGCCTGGCAGGCCGGCGAAGAACCTTAGTCGTCATGCAGGCGAACTTGCCAAATCGTGAACGACGTCGAATACCGTTGCACTCAAAAAATCTCGCATGGAAGCAAAGCGTGACAAGGACAGCGACTTGCAGAATCACACGACGTCCAAGACCGCGACAGCGATGCTGCCGGCACCAGCAACATCGGTGAGCTCCGTGGGCAAAGGTTCGAGAAAACACGAACCATCAAGATGACATCTCTCCTAAAAATTTAGCAATCTCTCTAAGTCCTATTGACAGGTCTTCACTGCTCAATGACAAGCAAAGGCGACGGGCATGCATATTCGAATGTCTGTCTCTGAATGAAAATGGGTGCGTATCATGATACCAGGAAGACATTACCTCAACTGTTGTTTGATGGAGATGATTTGAGGTGTGAAGCTTTGGCGACCTGCACATTCCACACATCATGTCACCGCCACTCGTGTCACCGCTACTAGGTCAGTGAAATAAAACTCGTTCTGACTTCGTTGTCAGCTGTAACTTTCTATCGAAGATACGGCCTAATTACTTAAACTTCATCATAGGACGAAATACTAGATTGCGGCATAGGCGACAATGCAAAAGATAAGCTTGTCGTACATCGGCATCCCGTCGGTGCTTCTGCAAGATGGACAAGCAGGTGCTTAGGACGACACGTCAAACCTATGCCTAACAGCTTTCCTGACAGCGAAAACATAGAGTGGAAAATTTATCGTCCAAGAGCATCTGACGTTTGTCTGCCGGACTTGATGGCACTGTGCACGAACCCTGCACGCTTACTGCCCGCACATCCTGTTCGTTACTTCGCACGAGGAGAGGGAGATGCTTACCTTGATGGAACGCGGAATATGCTGACAGCACTCGATGTCCTTCTGTGTAAATTTGCGAAGAAGCACACACTTAATTGGACATCACGGGGAACACGTGAAAACAAGGTAGTTCAATTTTCGGCTCAGGTAGTTCGCAAGTGCCAAGAAGTAATATTATGGCACCAGCGACATTTGCCTCAACCCTTGATTTTCAGGTGAATGACACGTGTCCACTCAAGAGGAAGAAAGAATTGTTGCATGTGACATGCTAATCTCCTCCTCTACCTAACCTCTTGGTCACGCAAGCAATGACTGGCGGTTTTGATTTGCCAGCGTACAAGAGCAGCCTCCATATGCGGATCCCTGATGCGCAGCTTTGGCATAATGTCCATTTAGGAAGAAGCATCAAGTGCTGTTGCCCATGGGCATCCTCCCCACAGCTGCATGCAGGTGCCGCGCGCACTGAAGACCATGATCAAACTGGATTGACTGTTTCTTTTGCACGAAGGCCCGAGATGCATTGCTCAGGAAGCCACCCACTAAAATATGCAAAAAAACATCTAGGGTCCGTGCTCGTAGCTACAAAGCACTACAACTCCTACCACACAAAGTAGGAATGGACACTATCTCTACTCTACCCATTTTGATGTTGAGCCAGGAGGTACTGAACATGAAATCTCCAAGACTCCCAAAGGAGCCGCTCTCAAATGACTGCTACTGGTGCCCCATCTCCTGCAGAAAACTTTAAGTGCACAACCTCTGTATGTTCACATTAGACACCGTCATGGTGGCACTGTGTTTCCACAAGGTTAAGGACTCCTCATAGGATTGCTACAGGCGCCTCATCTTCTGCAGACAATCCCTACCAAGGTAAAGTTTGCATCAACAGAGTACTGCCTCTGCCCCTCTATCCTTAGACAGCTGCACCCTCACAATTATCACATTTCTACAACTGCTGCAGGCAATTCCTGCCTCTGTGCACTGTGAATGGTCACGCTAAAATCTCTGTCCATAGACAGCTGGACCCACAGGATCATCACAGGAGCCCCACTGCTGCAGGCATCTTTGGCTAATGGAAGAACCGTTCTGAGTGGTCACAGTGAGAATCATGTCCACTGCGAGGTGGAGATTCCTCAGAGGAGGGTCACAGGTGGCCCATCTGCTGCAGGCGATCCAGGGCCAGGAAGCTGGTGGTCATTGAGGGTAATAACATGTCAGCGCTGCTTAACATCTCCCTGAGCTGCACCACGCTCACCCTGTGCACCTCTATGAACTCCTCTGCATCCCTCTTCCCCGGTGACTCATCCGCCTGCACAGCCGCCGAGATGTAAAGGCCTTCCCATCTGAGATTCAGAAAGTTTGATTGTTCCCTGGACAGCCCTCGAGCAGATCCCTATTGAGAGCTATTGTGCTGACAGGCCTGCTTTTTGCAGGAAAAGCGTGCATTTAAAATATTAGTAATGATACCCGGCATGCGCAGCCTTCCAAAGGGGACCGCCCAAAAGGAGCGCTGCATGGCACGTATTGATTTAGTTCATGGCAAGAGAGGGAAGAAGGGGTTTCACTTGGGGAGCGATGCAGAGGAAGGGGCGGAAGCGATTGCGGCACCACTTGACTTCAGCGATCCCCGGGTGCTCTGACGCCAACAGCTCCAACCACTGCCCACCCGACAGGTGCGCCTGCACCATGCACATGCCACGTCACCCTTGCTTCCAGTTTTACATATCTCAAGCTAGTGTGTGCATTTCGCATTTGCCTGCTATGCACAAGATTGCCTGCAGTATGGAAACAGCTGACAGGCTGCAATGAAGCCCTGGTGTTGCTGCTGCCTTGTCTATCCTTGTCATCATGAGGGGTGCAGGGCGTGACTGATTGAGACCAAGCACGCAGGACTTGACTGATCAAGAACAGATGAGACTTTGGAAGACTCTGCAGGACTTTGGACACGTAAGTAGCAGGTATATAGAAGGAAGGCCTGCTTGAGGAGAGCTGCAATTGGGCTGGTGGATCACCAGCACTTGACAGCCGCATTCCTTTCTAATCAGCACACTTTGCGCTGCAAGAAATGGTGCGCACCTCTTCTGAGAGCTCGCTGCAGGCCGCATCCATGTGGGAGGAGTGCTTCCTGGGGTCGTAGCCGCCAGTCGGCAGTGTGAAGAGCATGTCATTCAGCCCCTGACAGTGCTCCCTCAAAATCGTCACCTGCATGCATCAGCATGCACCTGTGACTCATCCACACCGTACATTAAATCCTGCACTACATCTATTTCAAATCTAAAAACGAGAAAACACACAATTCTTGCCCTAATATCCCCTTAGTGATAATGAGAATGATGCAAGAGCTGCAGCATCAAGACTAGGGTGTGGGTTAGTACTACCCACCTCGCCCCCCTTCCGTCCATCCGTGTAGGGGTGGAATGGGAACACAACCACGAATTTGAAGTCAAGCTGTGGGTGTCCGATAATGTCATACTCGTGCTCCTCCTCCTGCACCGATTGAAAACATGATCTAATTTGTACAAGCGCCTGGGCCTTGGAGAGCATCTGTACTGCCTGCATGTATATTTGACCGGTCTGTCTGCAATGATGGAGCATTGAACCGAGAGGTGCAGCCTTGCAAGGGCTTTGAGGCAGCCTGCAGGGGGCCTCACAGGTTTGCTGTGCAGCGCTGGGAATCTGATGCGGCGGTTGTAGAGGGTCAGGTACCTCCTGTGCACCTGTGTCTCGTCCACAATCTGGAACTCGTACTTCGGCAGCTCCCCTGCATTTCTTCTCCACTTAATCGCTTTTTTTTCACTAGCAGTACAGAGCACTACACACAGCCACTGCACTGCTTCTCGGTGATGTGCATGGGAGCACACCTGGAGGTGGCATGAGGTTTTCCGAGGAGCCCTGAGCCCTGGGTTGGCTCTGACAGAAGGTTCTTCGTGCAGTCAGATGCAAAGGAAATCGAAAAGGGCTTTTTTGAGTTGATGCGACCCTCGACAGAGAACAGATGTGCAAGGAAACAGGTGCTTTCATGCACTTGGCAGTCGGTCAGCCTTGTGAGATTGATGTCCCTCAACACTTTACACTATATTATTAAATGATTCTATCATAGATCGCAGAGAAATGAGGACTAAATGATGTTGAAAAAGTCAATTTGAACTGCACAGCTCATGATCGAAAGTGACATTTTCGCGAATGACCCTCCAGGCTGACAGTAAACTTGCTCGAATGGTCTCCTGTCTCCAACTCTCGATTATATGTGTAGCTACAGCTACAGCTGGAAGCCATAAATAAACGCGCGCCAAAAAGGGTGATCAGTTTATGAAATTGCGGCCTGCCTTCAACGCTCGACCCACCGCTCCGAGTTGAAATAGATGAAGAGCTTGCCCTGGCTTCGATCTCTTGGAATAGGATACGATATTGTTCTATTCGCCTGCTGATCAATTAATTACGGCCGGAAGATACGGATTTATCCGCGGTGTGAAGAATAGGTAGACAGAGGTCCGGCGATTTGACCTTTGCAGATATGTCCTTCACAAGGTTTCATCCAGACAATGACGAGACAAAAGATGGAATCGAGCTAGGAAGGATCCCTAATAAAGGAGCATTGAGGTGCGACTCAGACAAGCAGTAATTTTGGAAGGATTTGCCTCACAACCTTAGGCACTTCCTTACTATACATGCAAGGTTGAAAGTTTGAAAGTCTCTTTATGTCATCGTTATCACTGTCAAATATTCCAGTCAGCCTGCAGCCTCTTCACTCGTCAAGCAAGAATGCACACGTGTCTGCAGGGGGGCACTGGATGCCTACGAACACGGCAATGCGGAAACCTTTGCAGTCGAACAAGGCCGCAAAATGCCGGCGACCTACAAAGATGTCAAGCATCGCATGTCAGAGACTCTCAAAGTATTCCAGGAGAGGGGCGTCCTTGCCCAAAGAGAATACGGCGAGGAAGTTCCTGCTTCGGTCCATGGGGCACCCAGGACCGTGGAGGTGCCTTTCATTCACCTTCATGGGCCCATTTCATCTCTGCAAAAGCCGACTTTAATGCCTGATGGAGCATTGTAGGTCCAAGGCACAAGTAGTACATGCATGCCAGTATTTGCGTGGCACCTAATAACAGCAAAGAGCGCCTGGCTGTCTTGCAGGAGAGCAAGGAGGTATTGGAGCGATTGAGGCGCATGGATAACTTTGAGAGCCAAGACTTTGACACAGTGGTGCGCTGGCCCCTCGGCCTTGCTCAGCCCATCTGAGCACAGGGAGATCTGCAAGCCTGACACAAACGAAGATGCTTCAAGTGATTTCTGGTTTTTTGTTGGGTTGGCTTGTAGTTTCTCTTGGTCTGGGCTTGAACCCCACGATTGGTGATTTCCTCAGGCTGCTCACGCAACACCTTGATTGGTTGACTGACAAGTCAAAGATGTAGGAAAGATTTGACAGCATGACAGAAGTGCCTGATGCCTGTTTAGGACAATGATGTGGAGCGTGCCACAAACTTGAACCGTGACCACTTGGACTATGTGGTGGAGGAGAGCTGGCGGTGGGCCATGGCATGTGGGTCTTGCAAACGCCCCTGCTTTTTAGCTGCGCCTACTTTCATTCTCCTTTGTGCTGTCATTCACATTCTTCTTCCCTGAGGGGGTCTTTGACACCACAGCAAATCATTTCCAATACTAGATATGTTATCACACGTTCTTCCTGCTAAAACAGGCAACTAGCTCTGCAGACAAGCTGGAGTAACTTCACACAATGTAGGGAATGAGATTCGGCCGTGCAGAAGCACCCAGAGTGGCTCTGAATGACCTGCAATCTGCCAATGATAATCTGGATGGAAATCAATGGCACATTTTGCTGGAGTGTAAATTGAGCCTTGCGCGTGCAACGCAGTCTTCATCGGGCTATCCATGGGCTTCTGCGCCTTCTGCGTGGACGTCAGCTTAGAGACCCTGAACAGTTGGAAATTCGGGGCGGTGAAAAGGGTAATACGGGAGCGCGGCGGCTTCTGGGCGCCTTACGTAACCTTCCTGTCATTCTGCATCGTCTATTCTGGCGTCTCCGGCGCAATCGTTTCGTTTATCGCCCCCCTGGCCGCGGGGAGTGGAATACCTGAGATCAAAACCTACCTCAACGGCGTCCATGTCAAGGGTGCGTAACCCCTCTGCATTTGTTTATTAGTTGATTCAGGGTGATTCATCATTACTAAGGATGACAGACCCTGCTGCGAGGCCAAAAAGCTGTGAAAGGATAAAACATTAACGCGCACGATGCAGATGCATGATGTAGCAAATGTCAAGGCAGGCCTTCCTTGCAGCAGGTCTATTCCAAGAGCAGAGCACGCATCAGATAGATGAAGAGAATCCAATGTGGAGTACAGCTGTTGTTGTAAATTCGAGATTGAGTGACTTCAAGTGGGCTGCCATGCAGGGCTGCTGGGGTTGCGGACGCTGGTGTTCAAGTTGATAGGGGTGGTGCTGTCCATGGCCGGCGGCCTCATTGCCGGCAAGGAGGGGCCCTTCATCCACGCAGGTCATCCTCTCCTACACGTACTGTGCACATGCACACCCGCCTGTTCAGAGAATCAGCTAAAATATAATCAAGATGAAAGAAAATCCTTATGGAGCAGTGGGCCTGGACATTTATGCACAGAGAGAGTGCATGGGAATGCAGCTCAAGCAATCACCGTTTGTCCTGTGCTTGCAGTTTGATGCACGTGTATAATGGCAGATGCAAACGAGCAAGTACGCCGCTGTATAAGTGGCCTCCACGGTTGAGCAAGAGGCCCTTTGTGATGTGATATGGCAGTGACTAAGTACTTACTAAGGCTGACTGGACCGCACAGGTGGCATAGTGGGCGGCGGCTGGGCGGGCATGGGGTCGATGACATTGACGGAGCTGGCCAAGGGCAGGCTGCAATTCCGCGCTCCGCGCAAATACGGCGGCTACTTTAGAAGGCAGCAGGAGCACCGGGACTTTGTGTCCATCGGCACAGCCGCGGGTGCGCGCACATTTCCTGATTCAGGGCACATGGTCAAAGCTGTGTTTCCGCCCTGTCTAGAGAAACGAATTTTAGTCCTTGCAGTAGGCAGCTGCTGAAGCTCCCATATATCGGCACCCTCCTTGTGCCAGACCGGTTAGTCTGCTTGTTTGTTGCAAAGCGCAATCTTGCAATTTCGCATGATTACTTTGGCAGATTCAGGTGCCATTTGATGCTTTACGTATGAGAAAAAACAAGTCTGCAGGAGGTGCTCTCATGAAAACATGGGAAGTCTGATGAGCAGCTGCTGAGTCAGCGGGGTTAACTGCTCGGGCATGTCAACTCATTTATTCAACTCCCACAACATGGAGGGGCAACCTCACGGACACGGTGAGATGCTGACTTAGCGCTGAGTCAGCATGGTTGCCTGTTCAGGCGTGTCGACGGCGTTCGCGGCGCCGGTGGGGGGACTGCTGCTGGCGATCGAGGAGGGGTCCTCTTTCCTGAGCCTGGGCCTGTTCTGGCGCGGCTTCCTGGCCACATGCACCGGCGTCTTCACACTGCACTTCCTCGCGCAGTGCCACGCGAATTTCACCGGCATCCTCAGCCAGAAGTTCGGCATCTGGCGCGACCTTGGGTGCGAATTGTCGCCCTTGCTCAGAAGGACCGAGAACGGCTGCTCCCCCCACTCATGCGCCAAAACTAGCGTTTGTGATTTTGCATGCCAAAGGCAGGCAGTACCAGAGATTGTGCCACTCCATTCCCAATCAAGCCAGGAAACACATGCGCACCTTCTATTTAGTGCACGGCAGGTTGGCTTGAGAGCATGTCAATCTATACATTCGCTCACATACACTTCATGCGCATCATCCATGTTGCAGATCCTCAAGCCCCCGAGTGATTCTCTCACGCGCATCAGGTGCTTGCGCTGCTCATTGCACCTAACATATTTGATTATTGAGGAATTACTGTGCCGCAGGTTGTATGATGACAACTTGGCGCTGTACGGCAAGCGCTACTACTACTACGTGTGGGAGCTGCCGGTGTTTGTGCTCATGGGATGCGCGGCCGGCCTGCTTGGCTCACTCTTCATAAAACTGAACATTGCTGCCACCAAGATGCGCGCTCGCTTCGTGCCGCCGCGCAAACCCTGGCTGCGCCTGCTGGAGGTGAACGCAGCACAGATTACAACGTAATCACACAATCCTGTTAGTAAGGCTCACAGATGCATGTGACCGTCACATGCTTGCCTGCTGGAGTTGCTTCACTGCAGCAGTTCTGCGGATATCATGATGTTGAGGATCACAAGATATCACAACCTCCCTGTCAGGTTCCGCCCTTCGGACAACATGAGTGGATTGACCTAAACTGCGCCTGCTGGAGGTGGTTTACTGACAGGTTCCTCCATATGTTTTCCCTGCACTGATAATTCATGCCACGGCTTGGCCCCGGCTGGCGGAGGAGCGGTATATTGAGCACCCTGCCCATGGTTGATTTAGGTCTTGCTTGAATCTGGCCAGTCCGTCAAGGATAGGTTATGTAGTTGCCCTTCACCTGCAGACGGTCTGCAAATAGCGCCTTGCCTTCGGCAGGGAAAGCGCGCAAATATTAAAAATCCCATGCACATGGAAACAAATATAGCTGCCCTTCAGATAACATGAAAAGCACATAGATCCCAGGGGCCACCAGGCAAGTGTGGGAATGAGGTACAGACAAAAGTCAGACCAGCACAGAAACTCTGCATGAATGGCAGCGCGTGAAAAGAAAGGAAAAAAGAAAAAAAGAGAGGTTTGTTTCGCGGTGCAGGTAGTGGTGGTGGCGTGGGTGATTGCGACGGTGTTTTTCCTGATCACCTACACTTCGCCCTGCCTCAAGCTGCCGCCGCCAAATCAGCTGAAATATTTTGAGCTTGGCGGCAGCGATCAGGACATCTTCTCGGGGGTGGACGACACCGACGCGCGCGGCCTCAAACACTTCCCTCGCCTCTGGTGCGCGCTTAATTTGGCTTATTATTGTTATTGTTATACGCTTTTCCTGCCAAGAGGCAAGATGCGTCCTGCAGACAAGCTGCAGTTGAAGGCTGCCACAATCCTACCCTTATTGGACTCGCCAGATCCAAGCAAGTCCCAATCAACCGTGGGCACGGTGCTCAGTATTTGTACCGCCCCCCGCCAGCCGGGGCCAGATTTGGCTTTGTCTACTGAAAACAAGGAAAATACCGACTGCCAATCACCGGTCGCATGCATCGGGCAGCAGTACAGAGCAGAGCATCTGTATCACAAAAAGGCAGTTTTGACTGTTAGAATATAGACGATTCTCAGGCGGCGGTGTTGTTTGCAGCAATCAACATTTCCTGCACTCTGGTGTGCGGGAGTCTGATATCTTGGGCCCATGCTCACTTTTGGGACGACCATCTTTGGGCTGTGGGATCAGCGGCAAAACATTCTAGCGTTTTGCCAGCGACGCACTCACAGTGGCTTGCAGTGCAGCATGACCAATGTTTTCCTTTCGTTTCCTGAGCTTAAGCCGGGGCCCCTTGGTTGTCATTTTGGTAGGACGTATCGGCAGGCCAAGCATAATGTCAGTAAAGCTCACTTTCCTCCATTTCTTGCAAGCTTGAACGTTGAAGGCACAATGATCACAGACTGCTCCCAGCCTTGGAGACTCGAAGTGCCGCTGAGCCGTCAGGAGTGCTCGCATGTAATATCTCTGATATTTCCAGGAATTGCTGGTGTTCAAATAACACCGATTCAGGCGGTGCACTGGGCTTATATGCCACAGTTGAACAGGAGCCTAGATAGGCCTGCATCCCAGACCTGCAGCAATGCAAAGTTGATGCAAAGTATACATGTCAGCAGTGCTGCATGTGCATGAAGTAATTACTACTGTAATCACTATGTTACACCGCAGGTGCGGCAAGGACGAGTTTAACCCGCGGGGCCAGCTGTTCTTCACCCCGCTGGTTCAAGCCATGCGCATGATCATCCACCTGGGAGAGACCGTCCCCGAGGCAACCGATGAACTAGTCTACCGCATCAGCGCCGCCACGCTCATCCTCTGGACCGTGACCGTGTTCTTCTTGATGCTCCTGACCTTCGGCATCGGCGCGGCGTCAGGTCCGTCACAACATAGATATCAGTAATAAAAAAATGGATAAAGAGCCAGATATCTGAAGAGCAAAATGCACTTGCAGACCATATGGCCTGCATGTCACACTGCAGCTGTCGTTCTCACAGATTCTCACTCGTAGCTGGTGGGGACAACTGATTCGGCTCATGAAGCAAACAACACAGGGAATTATGACATGCGTACGCTGCATGCTTGCTCGGCATGTGCACCGTGACCCTCGGATGAGCAGGCCACAAAATGAGGAATGCGATTGATTGACCGCTCTGGATTTATATTGACGCATCATGCTGTGCTGCAGGGATATTCATACCCTCGCTGGCAGTGGGTGGGGCGTGGGGCCGCCTGGTGGGAATGCTGGTGCAAGCCTGCGTCCGCCATGCTGGCAGCAGCATGCCAATCTCCCTGCCAGCCTACACGGTGCGAGCCCTGCAGAGTCCTCTGTTGCCGAGAAAGTCAGCTTTGTTTCTGCAGATTGAGTGGTCAGGTTGTACACTTTGGCAAAAAAAAAGATAGCTGCACTAAGTGCTGCGCAAGATGACAAAAGTGGGAACATGTCAGCCTCCGCTCAAAAAAGATACATCCCCAGCGCACGGAATGCTGTGTGCCGTAAAGTCAGCGACAAATCTGTGCTTTTCAGCCAAGCGTATGCACCATAATTTCTGCAATCTGGTCACCTGTTAGGAATTTGCCAAGGTGGTGGGCGCTGCAGCAGTGCTGGGGGGATGCAACCCGCATGGTCCTTTGTAAAGTTCAAATCCCTCATTAAAGTTTCAACTTTGAAGAGCAAATTTGAATTCAGTGAATGAATGCTTTGTCAGGTGGTGGGAGCTGCGGCGATGTTAGGGGGAGTGACGCGGATGACGATCTCCATTACAGTACTAGCAATGGAGGGAACAGCGGCGCTGCAGCTGATAGTGCCGCTCATGTTTGCGGTCTTTGTTGCCAAGATGGTTGGGGACAGCCTCGCGCCATCGGTCTACGATGTGCACATCAAGATCCGGGGGGCGCCTGTCCTGGTGCGTACCTCCCACCTCTGACTTCCTGTTGCAGAAGGCAGCCTCAATCTGCTGTGCCCAAATTGTAAGAAAGCTGCATCTCAGGGCACCGCAATCAGCACGGGCAATGCCTCATAAAACATCTCGCGCACTCGACATGACAGCCCGAGCAAGTTAAAAGAATCTGCAAGGAGAAGGGATGGCTGGAGGTTAAAAAAACCAGGCCTCTGGTCGCGAATTACATGCATGCTCACCTCAGACATATCTTGATGCTGTTGACCTGATTTGCTGTCCCATGTTGTGTGCGTCCCTGCTCAGGAAAAGACAATGGAAATCCTTTTGTCATTTTGAGTGGCTGCATTGTCTTTATATCTTGGACTGGCTCTGACATGGTGGAGAAGGTGCCAAGATAGGCCGAGTTGGAAAGCTGTCATAGAAACGCTGCTGCGACGCACCTAAGCCTAATCTGGCTTGGATAGGCGTGTAATAATAATAACAATAACAATAATAATAATAATTGTCTTAAATGTAGCTGTACTGCGACTGCTGCGCAGATGGAGAGTGGGCAGGAGCCACGTCAGCGAATGGTCAACGACAAGCTGACCGTGTCGGAGTTGGCGACTACGGCTTTAGTCGCGTTGCCGCCCATTGTACTAATCCGCCAGCTGGCAGAAACCATGCGGTCCTGCCGCCACGCTGCGTTCCCTGTCACCCCCGACACCAAAGCCGCCTACCAGTCAGGTTTTGCTCCTCAAGCTAAATTTTCATTTTTCCAAAACACAAAGTGACAGCTGCAAATAAATCTAGTCGCCCCACACTAACCATCTCCAAACAAATTTCAGGAATTCTGATCACTGCAATGAGGGCATGGGGTATACAGTGTCAGAATATTATCTCATGATTTTATGCAAGTCTGAAGAGCTGCATGCGGATGGGAGTTTCTTAAGACCGTCATATGGTTGGAAGGATCTGGCTTCCAAAGATGCACTGCAGGCAGGGCCCCAGATGGGACTAGGTAAATGCGGACTGTTGAAGCGGTGGGACTACGTAAATGCAGCGCTTACTCTTGAAATGAGTAATTGCTACATGTGTATGCAGACACGGCGTTTGCGCTGCACGGGGTGATAATGCGGACGCAGCTGCTGCGCATGCTCAAGCACCGCATCGGCATGTGCCACCACGACCCGCGCATACCCCCACAGCCCTCCAAAAACAGCATCCCCGCCTCCCAGGTAATTGCCAGCTGAATACATTCTCTGCAGCTTGTCTGCAGGACGTACCTTGCCTTTTGGTATGGAAAGCGTGTAATAATAATAATAATAATAATAATAATAATAATAATAATAATAATAATAATAATAATAATAATAATAATAATAATAATAATAATAATAATAATAATAATAATAATAATAATAATAATAACATACTCTGCATCAAACCAGAATATTCCATATAAAAATAAATTGTAGCATTCACCGTGGTCCCTTCCAGCACGGCCCTCGTCTTTAGTGTTGAGAAATTTTACAGGCTTTGCTATGTGAAGCAGCTATCATTGACATAGGCCATTGTAGGCCAGACTGCTCCCTCCTGTCTGCACGAGACCACTCGCTGCAGGCTGACCAGAGTACTGCGCCCTGTATACTGATTAGTCCACCAAATCCGTCCAATAAGATCACAGGCACATCATGCCTTGAAAATGATCGCTTGGGTCGGCAGAATTGAAAGGCTGTCACCCCCCACATCTAATCTTGATTTTCTGGTGTCCCAGGAAGAGCGGCTGGATCTGCTGGGCCAACTAGAGCAGCTGCCGCTCAAGGTGCGGACAGAGGAGCAGGAGGGAATATTACAGGGGCTGACTAATGCTGAGCTGGCGATGTGGCTGGACCTGCGGCCCTACATGCAGCGGACGCCCTTTGTGGTGCAAGGGAACGCCAGCCTAGCCCGTGCCTACCGCCTGTTCAGGACGATGGGGTTACATCATCTCTTTGTCGGCACCCCGAAGCCGCAAGTCATCGGCGTCATCACTCGCAAGGTGATGTCATGCTCACCTCAATGCTCATGGCACACTGCTCATATGTCTTTCCCTCTCACGTGACTAACTTTGTAAATAGCTGCAGTGGTGCAAAGAGCAAACGTTGACATGAAAACATTTGATGTAGCGTGCTGTCAAATGGAAAGCATGCATTGGGCCAATCACCTCTCATCATGTATTTTGGTTTTGCAGTGCGAGCAATTGTGATGGGTTGACACACTTGCATGCAAGAAGTGATGAAGGAAATGCACATGGAGAATGACCACTGGCAAAATGCCGCTGGCATCAGACTTTATCCACTTTGTGTTATATAGTTATTTCGACCCTTCATCGACCCTAAATCCTAAATCCACCGTTGCATTCCACGTGAAATTTATTACTATAAAGACCCCTCCCCTAAACCCTAACCCTAAACCCTAAACCATATTCTCTAAACCCTAAGCTGAAGTGGATGAAGAATAAGGTCGGGGGCAAAATGCGCGCCACGTCAGGTCTCCTGCATGCCGACGACGCCCTGAAAGAAGCTTTTGCTGACAAGTGCTGATAAGGGCTGACAAGTTCTTCATGTGATTGCAGGATGTGACGGAGGAGAATGCAGAGCTGCTGCTGGGCTCAAAGGCCAACAGGGGCCTGCTGCCAGCAGGGAGCCTGCCCAGGCTGCGGCGGTCACACTCCTCACTGCCCAGCATCCCGTACTACGACAGCCAGAATTTCAATTCAAGTTCGAATGCAAACGGCAACGGCTACAGCGATGCGCTTACGCTGCAGTCAGTCATCGAGTCTGAGGACAGTGCGGATGAAGACGGCGAGGATGTGAGTCGATAATCACCCTAGCAATTTTGATGTAAACTCCATTATTTCCAGTTTCAATGATAGGTGGTTTTGGGCACTTGCCATGCATGGGATGGTATTTGTGGTGCCATCAGGACACGGTGCTTTTGGAATGGCGTTTGGTCTGAGAAGAAAATTGCAATACTGCAGGTAAGACTTATCGGGCAGAGGAGCTCGCGCATGCCTCGGCCATAGGAAGCAGGCGATAAACTTGCCAGCCCATCACAAATCGTGGTCAACAAATATCCCGCAGCTACTACCCCGTAGCTACACTATAGTAAGTCCAGTAAAGAACGGTGAACTTACAGAGAAGCCAGCGCTCTCGATAGATAGGTGATATTACAGTGGTGTTTCCACCATACAGCTGTTCAGATCCTCAAGGAAACAACATATTAGACCTTAGGCCCGTTGCTATGTAGATATACAAATCTTGTAACACGTAACGATGACTGCTCGCCAGTAAGCCGGGTGTAGCTGTTCTACTATCTCAGCCAAAAGATTCCTCCATGTGCGGTGCAGCATCCCCATGTCATCTGACACTGGCATTTGCAAGGCTGGATGTGATTGGCCCGTTGCTGGTCATGAAGGGAATGTCCTTGTAGACCGCGACGCCCTCTGCACAAAACACCGGAAAATTAGTTACCTTCTAATCTTGTCATTGTGCATGTTGAGTGAGATCATGTGCTCCCCGAGCAGCACAACCAGCACAGCCTCTTTGCAATTTCAAGGACAATTAAGGGACATGCAATCAGCAAAAGAGTGTGATATACAGTGCTCCGCATTGTCTGCGCACCTGCATTTGTGGTTAATTCGGGAGCGATCTTCTCCCAGAGCTTCTTCTTGGGGTTCAGGACTGGCTCGGGTGCCCCCTCAAAACCTTCAAACATCACCCTCTCGCCCACTTCAACTCCCTCTGGTACCAAAACAGGCTCCACTTTGTCATGGGCTTCATTCGAAGCGCACAGCACCTGCGGATGCATTCAAAACAACTATCAATCTGGCTACTTGCAATAAATACTCAACATGCCAGGCAGGCAATTAATACATTGATAGCTGCAGCACATTATCAGGGTCAATCCTGGCGGGTGCATGCAGTCAATCGACCTTCCGAGATTGGCTGTGATTCTTACTCGAAGTACATTTAGATGACAAAGGGACAGAGAATTAAGGGAGTGTGCGCCTCAGATATTCTCAAACTTTTTTGTGCGCTCACGAGTGGGCCGAGACCCTCACGGCACTAATTTTGCTCATCACAGGCGACATTCCTCGTCAAATATCTCTTGGTTTATTGTCCAGAACAGGCGCGCTTACCATGCCGGATGACAGGATGCCCCTAAGCTTGGCAGGCTTCAAGTTGGCGAGCACCAACACTCGCCTGCCCAACATCTCTTCCACTGGGACAAAGGCCACAAGCCCAGACACAATCTGCAGCCGCCATCAACCATCTCACTTTCAAGTAATTCAGATCAGATTGAGCCCAACGCCACTAAATTTGTCATTTCTGGCGCATACAGCATATGTCGAAGTGAACAGTAATTGCACTCCTACACAGGAGTCATTGAAGATTATTGAATAGACTATTGCACCACCACCTCAAGGTGCAACTGCAGCTCATAGCCAGCTGCACTGCATTTCAGAGATACCAGTATTTGATGGCAATGGCAGAGGATACTCAGCTCACCTGCCGTGGCTGCTCCTCGCCGATGTCGATCTCTTCCACATACAGGCTGTCTGCGTCTGGATGCCGGTCAACCTTCACTATCTGCCCCACGCGGATGTCCAGCATGTCTACTGTGGCAATGATCTCCTTTTTGGGGGTGTTTGCCTGCCCTTTCTCCTTCTTCTTGGGCTCTGCAGCCGCATCCTGACAAACATGCAAGCCCATGACTTGTCAAGGATGTGCCAGAAAGGCCATGCAGTGTCTGGCCGCCAGACAAGTCATTAAACATAAAAATGCAGAAAGCGTCATGTAAATTAGGAGTACTTCTAGGTAATTGTGCAGGAAAAGGTGCTCATGCGGGGCTGAAAATGGCTGCAAACCTGAGGTGGTGCAGCAGATTCAGGGGAAGCAGCTGCCTTTGCTTCAGATGTGCTTGCAGATGCAGCCCTGAAAGTGGCTGTCGCATTTCGCCTGCAGATTGACATCTGCTCTGGTCTTTGTGTTGTGATGGTCTGCATTGAGTGACCCTGCAAGAGGACGCAATATTTTAGTGTGGAGATCGATCCGGCTGATACTCACTCATTGTTAACTAAACACGCTTTTTCCACGATGTTTTGCGGTATATAAAATAAAGGTTCGGGGCAGAGGATGCCCGCTGCCGCACTATGGACGTGCCTGGTTGGCTAGACTTCTCCACATAGCTGATGGGAGTGCGGCCTTAGCTTTGATCGAGCTGATCTGTAGGTTGCTACAGCAATGCATTATCCTATGACAGTATCCTGTCCTCATTGCGGTCTGCATTGGGGAGAGCACTACTTCTGGCAACAGAGAGAGCACAATATCAAGTGATCTCGACAGAAGCGATGGGCCCCAAACTTATCAAGGCGAGTTAGCTGGACTGTTCTATGTCTCGATCACAACGTCTTTCACAAAAGATTTTTTAGTGTCTTTTTATTCTTGGAATGATTGTATCAGTCGCCATGCAGGATTAGATAAGGCAGTTGCCTGCCAGCACATCTTCGCTGCAGGCTAAAGAGGCAACTGATGATTGTTTAGGAAGATTTACCAAGGGGAGTAGAAGTTCTTCTTCTACTCCCCTTGGATTTACACTGTCTTTGAGCCTACAATTCTTACAAGTAGAAAGTGAAAACATTATTAACCTTGACCATGATAGGCTCTCCCACTAGCCGTGAATGACAAAACCTAGCATGTGCATGTCACTGATTCAAGCAGAACGCTGGAGACCAAGCTTCAGCTAACCGCATTCAATAAATTATGCCATGATGACAAGATGTCCATCGTGGAGGAGGATTCTCAAATTTGGCAGTCGATAAGTCAATCTGGTTTAATTGCTTGAATGCTTGCAATTACGAGTCAACCCTCAACAAACCGCCTCAACGGAGCTGTGCAAAGTATTCGGCAGTCACATAAGTGGCCTGCACTGTCTCGCCAGCAAAGAGCCGCCCATGGATTGCTGCCTTGGCGGCAGAGCAGCCGCTCACATCAGCAAACTCGGCAAATGCCTGCAGGGAAAACGCCGTGACAATCCAGTCAGACAATCACATGCCATGGGACACAAGGTGCAAAGGACAGTGATGCAGGTTCTTTGCAGGATAAGCCTGCAATCATTGCGGATTATTTTATTGCATTCACAGCAGACTGTCCAAGGCCAAGCAAACAAGAGCCGCTATACATGCAGACCGGCTCCTCAAATCACCCCTAAAGGGTGGCCAAAGGTCTTTCAAAGCGGCATTCAGTTCAATCGGTGCATGGCGGAGATATGGCACACAACGGCCCACCTTGCCATAGTTGTTGGAGCCGAAGAGCTCGTTGGAGGCGGCTGGGTTGGGCGGCCTGGGCACCAGCACACGCAAAACCTGCCCATACTTGCTGCACTCCTCCTGCAAGTCCTGGATTACCTGTGCCACACAGCCCCCGCACACATCAGCACCCACCCCTGCACATCCTGGACAATAAAGACTCCGTCTCGATTTCCCTTGGAAAGCCCCCTGTGCCCTATGCAAAAGCTAAAATATAGCCCTGTGCAAAGCAGCAGCATCTTTGTGTTCGCCGTTTGCAGGGTTGTGCAATGCTGCAGGCTGCACAGGCGCCTTGTTGCGTCCCAGTCAGATTCTCTCTCCCTCCTGACACTTCTGGGGTCCATGCAAAGCGGTGATTTTGTAATCACTCTTGCTCTAGGGGCCACGGGTTGAGGTGCTACCGACTCTAGGGCCCTCAGAAGATTTAGGTATGGGCAATGCTAGTCTTTCGGAGTTAAAACATAAGCCTTGCGCTTTTCTAGCAACGGAACGACAAATTCCCCGCCAAACAGGCTGCCTTTCGCCTCAACACCTAAACCCATTTTCTCAGGTAAATCGTATTTCCTTGCATGTTCTTGCAAATTCTCTTCGATGAGCGGAATGGGCATCTCTAACGCGTTTTGGTTGTGCACATAAAGACCATAGTTGTTAGCCGCAGCACGGTTGGGCAGAAGTGAAAAAGTAACAGCAACACTTGCTGAGTCGTGCTAGAGGTGCACCTCGCTGTATTCTTCGTCGTCCACGAGGACATCCGGTGTGACCATCCCGGTCACCTGCAGGTACTGCGTTGGAGCGCCCGGCTCCACAGACGCTGCCATGTTCACCGGCGCCTGCAGCGCGCACACAGAATCTAATCAAGCTCTTGGTATTATGATATTGTCCAAAAGGCTCTTGCGCATTCTTCACCTTTGCAGAGAATGGTGGCGCAGCTGCGATGAATCCAGATTTGATTGCACTGAAAGAACGAGATAAGGAGCAAAGAATATGAGAAACTGAAGAATGCCAGTAGATGTGCGAGCCGTGATGGGCTACATGCAATCAGTATGCTGGCAATTCATACAGGATGCATGTTCTCAATTTAGAATGAGGATACAGGAAAGTGTACATGCCTGTGGCAGTGCCGGGGGCGGAGGCAGCGGGAGTGAACCGGGGCTGGCGGCCGCGGCGGCCGTCGCCGGGCTGGGCATCGACGGTGCGTTCAGGCCCGGCACGGACAGATTCGCCTGCTGCAGCTGGTACTCCATCGCTTGCATGTCCCCCGCCTGCATCGCATGTGAAAATCCTTGGTGTCTAATTTAATGCATTTTCTTTTTGTGGGCGAGATAGCATGTCTACCAGAAGAGCATCTGTAGTCTGAGCAAAGGACAGCACTATCGAGCCCTCAGTCCTCCAGCTGCTGATGTGTCTCACCACAAAGCAGTCCCGCCACTTGGCACTTTCATAAGGTTCTTCGGCATGGTGCAGGACACTCTCAATCGGTAGCCTTACAGCGGTGTATGTGAGGTTCACATGGCAGGGGTGTCAGGATCTATGGGCCAGGAGAGTCAAGCGCACCTGGAAGGCGGACAGAGCTGCAGCAGCTGCGGAGGCTGCCAGCTGCGCGCGGGAGGGGTCCACATATCCGGATGGGCGCCCCACAGAGATCGACTGGCCCAGCAGCTGCACCTGTGACAAGCCACAACACCCCCGGGCTCAGGTCAACCGCATCCAAGTTATCTTCGCATGCATTCCGCACCTTGAACCAGGAGCGCATGTTTGAGGGAGCCAGAACATATGCCAGCTAAGGCAGCTAAGGGGATGGTGACAACCCATCGTGTTCTGGTGGCTCTTGTGCACCCCAGTCAGCTTTAAATTGATTATTGAGAAATCCCCACCTAGTGCTCAGTGGACAAATGCCCAAGAGGGCCGTCAGGTCACATCAAGCGCTAAAGCTGCCCAGTTGCCCCTCCCCCGACACACAAAAGTCCATAGAACCCAAAACCCATGAACAAACCCCGAGAGATCCTTTGTTTCCGCCCGCCACCTCAGCGCACCTGGTTGCTGAGCTGCAGCGCCGCGCTGGCCATCTCAGGCGTCCGCAGCTCCACAAACGCGTAGCGCCCCTCGCTGTGCATTGAAACGCTCACAACCGCCTCCAGCCCCTGTGCCAGCAAGTTGGGAAACGCGGCCGCCATCGTGCTGTTGAACAGCTGCCGCAGCGCATCTTCTGTTACCAGACCCGCCACCAGATTTCCCACATACACCTGCGCCAGAACAGGCGACACCTCGGTGCGGCTCTCTCGAGGTTTGCGGCGGATCCCGGGGTAATGACAATCCTAGGATCTGGCGACGCAAGAACACAGGCTGGCTCAGATGTTTGTGGGAGCATCCCCAACTGCGCAGGACCTAGCCCAGACTAGACTGGCAAGGCATGCACAGAGGCACAATCCTATTCTTGGACTTATCATCCGCATGATGTGTTGCTTGGGCTAGGAAATTAAATGAAGTGTGATGGGGGAGCTCGGAGCAAGTGCCTGTGGGTCTGGGGCTTGCTGCAAGGACAGTGCTGCTGCACACAGAGGGCGATGGCCAAGAGAGCCAAGCAATCTTAGGCCCTGCAAACAATGAAACAGGACACCTGCACATTGCAAGAGGGGCGTGATCGCCTAACGCGTGCATGACCTCAACTCTGGACTCACTGCAGCGCACAGACTGTGTTTCTGCTTGGCGTTTAGGTTTCAACCATGCTTCCTTTCACACCCTACTCAGGCGCTGTGATCCAAATGAGTCAATGCCATCAACACAATATGGAGGGACTTAGTATTGACTGAACCGCTCTGGGCAGGTCAACACAAGAGAACTCTCAGAGGGACAAGCCTGTTGCACGCACCTCGCGCTGTGTCTTGCTGGCAGCGGCCACCGCAGATGCTGCCTGCTGCTGGAGAACCAGCTGACGCGCCTTCAGCTGCTGCTCCTGCATCTGCCTGGCAACTGCAGTTGACATGAACCCCGCTTAGAATGCACTCCGCTGATCAATAAAGCAAGAGGTGTGGAGTTGGTAAGGTGCACAGGAAATGATGGAGACAAGAGAGTGGGAGTAGGGCACTCACTCTCTTGTGGATCGGAAGAGGTGATGGTGCTGCTGCGCAGGGAAGCGTAGGGATCGACATAGCTGGTGCTGTAGCCAGCTGCGCGCAGAAGCACACACCAATTTCAGGCCTTGCGCTTGGCATGTTGATAACTGCAGCACCAATATGCAGACGTAACTGCATTGCAAAGAACATGAGCGGGGATAGGGGTAGCATGTCCCAGAAAATGCACCTTGCTGGGGAGCTTCCTGGCGCTTGCGAGGTACATATCCATAATCGTCGTCCTCGGAGCTGGAGCTGTCACGCCTGCGGCTCCTCCTGTGCCTGTCTCGCGACCTGGATCTGTGACGAGACCTCTTGTCCCTGCAGCAACACAGCAAGTCTTTGAAAGAGCTTCATGGCCAAGAAGAGAGTGTAATGATCGTATGATCACTTCACAGGAAGGTTGACTTGAACGCACTGAGACACACCTTGATCTGCTCCGGCGACGTTCCCGTGATTTTGATCTGTGACGGGATGACTTCCTGTCACTGTGGCTCCGCTTGGACATTTCCCTGTCCTTCTCCCTTGCTGGTGGTGTCTCACGCCGCTTCCTGCTGGAGTCCCTGTCTCTTTCCACCGAACGTCTCCGCTCCTTCTTGTCCTCCTTCTCACGTTTGGAGTCTTTTCTGTCACTGTCTCTGTGCCTATCCTTCCTGTTCTTTTCCCGATCCCTGTGTCTCTCCTTTTCTCTGCTCCTGTCCTTCTCTCGATCCTTTCTTTCCCTCTCATGCTTGCTGCTGTCCTTCTCCTCGACCTTGGCAGCAGACCTCTCCTTCTTCTCGTGCTGGCTGTCGTTGCCTCCCTGGTGAGGCTCCTTCACAATTCCAGCTGACCCTCCGTTCTCGGCAGCCTTGTTTTCCTGACCGCCATTGGCACCAGATGAGTGCGGTTCTGCGTCAGCACTGTCCTTGTCCACCTGCTGCTCAGCAGGGCTCCCTCCCTCCGCTGCAACATCTGCCTGATTCCCACCATCTGCAGTCTCCTTTACCACAGAAGGCTTTCCTTCAACCGGCTCCTCTGCGCTCGGCGCAGCGACCACAGCATCCTCGGTCATCTTAACGTACTTTGATAGACAGGATCATGGCAAAATTTTGCCTCGCATACCCCAGCTTGCCTGCCAGCTGTGGGAGCCAATCTAGGCATCTTCCGCCCAGCGCAACAAGCAAGAGGGCGCAAGGTGATTGCGTACAAAAGTGCAGCCATTACATACAGGACTCGGTTCAATTTTGGCAGCCAACGAGCTATATACATGTCGGGCTGAAGGGTGCAGCAAGAAACAGCTTGATTGGTGCTTTGGTGGGGAAAGGTGCAAAGAAGGGTTTGGTGCACCAGATTGCATCCTGAAGGCAGTCTTGCGCCAACGTGCGCGCTGTTGGTTTGCAGCATCAACCTGTTTCAGACGCATGGGGCCTGATTTGTTGTGAAAGGGTGGCGGTCGCCATCGCCTTTTAGTATGGGCTGTGGGGCATCTAAACCCGAGGTGAGAGAAGCAACTGCAGCCCAAGCGCGTTCCAGACCAGCAGAGCCCCAGGTTCCTTGCTTGGGGCTTCTCGACACCCACGAGCTCGTGAAAGAACTCGGCAGAGGTGAGCAAAAAGGCCAAGTCTTGCTTTGCCCTGTTCTGAATGATCTGAGTACCTGTGGTGCCACCATTTCTATGCTTCTGTCCTACCAGGTGGCACCGGCGAGACGTTTCTCTACAAAGACAAGCAGAACAACAATGAGCTGGTGGCTGTCAAACTCATCAGAAGGCCACTGCCTAAGGTCATCCAGGCAAATATCCTGCGAGAGATTATGGTGAGCTTGCTTGCCTCCTCATACATGGCTGCCCCGCTCGGCTCCAAGCTAGAGTATGTGAAAGAGTGGGGCGGAAAGCGTCAGACTTCTTGGCCTGGCTGCTGAAGAGTAAATCGCTGTAGTCACACTGCAGCATTGAATGCTTATTTGAAGGCTTTTGTCTCAGCAAGATGTTTCAATCAGCTGTTGTGAAATCGCAGCAAGGGTTTGTTAGTCCATTTGTTGCCTCTCTGGGAATGCTTGTTTCTCTGTAGTACAACGTATAGGCAAAAGATAACCCAAGATGTATTTATGGATGCTACTCCCGTTCCCGGTGCATTTAGCGTTGCTAGCATGCTGCTGAGTCTTGCATGTTAAATAAGGTTATGCCTCAGCACTCGTAACTTGTCGATGGTTGCAATGGAGTGTGCTTATTTACGCAATGTCGTGTGCATCGACCTGCGCAGATCCAGGCAAATTTGGGGGAGGGGCACGTGAACGTCATTAACGCCAAGGAGGCTCTTTTGACGGAGTCACATCTTGCTCTGGTGATGGAGTACGCGGCTTGCGGCAGTTTGACGGGGTATGTGGCGAACCGGTGGCAGAGCGCTCAGCACTCGGGTCTGTTTCTCCAGGAGGACGAAGCGCGGTATTTTTTCCGGGTGGGTGCCCTCTCGCTGGAATTCTTAATTCATGTCTTGTGAGCGTGTGGGGCCTGCTCATCCATTGAAGGCAACGTCCTTTCATGCCTGAACCTGCATTTGACCTGTCAAAATCCTGTCTGAACCTGACAGGTCCTCAGGTTACAACAAGGTCTGAGTGGTGTTTTGCATCATGCAGCAATTCATCCAAGCAGTGGAGTACTGCCATACCCACTTTGTGGCGCACAGGTGACCCCCTGACCCTTCCATCTAGTGCAATGCTGGCCATTGTATCCCAGGATCTCTTCTTTGCTTTCCTTTTCTTCATTTTTCCTTTTTTCGTTTTGCTCCTGTGTCATCGACCATAGTCCCATTTGCATTGTCACATGCATGTGTACCGTTTCCTATTTGCTCTGCGGTGGTGTCTGGGTTGCGTGTCTCATATTCCAGGAGCCGTGCAGCTGCCATTTTAGCTGGGGGCACCAGCGCTTGATCTCCTTTTTTCCTGTTTTGCTACAGAGACCTCAAACTGGACAACACGCTCCTAGACTTGACAAAGCCGCCGATGCTGAAGCTCTGTGACTTCGGCTTTGCAAAGACCTGGGAGTCCAACGAGGAAGCCAACATGTACACGCATATAGGGTAGGATTTTACCCCCGCCGCATCGGTGTAACCACCCCTTTGCTGTGTGCCTGCACAGAGACCTGAAGCTTGACAACACCCTCCTGTCAGACGATGAGCCGCCGCTGATCAAACTGTGCGACTTTGGCTTTGCCCGGCAGTGGGAGGGTCAGAACAACGCCCAAATGTTCACCCACATTGGGTAGGATTTAATCCCCCCGCTCTCTCGATGTATACCCCTGATGGGAGCAGTACAGTGACCTGGCCTGGCCTGCTTGCCTGCATGTGCCATTCTGTGTAACCTCTTGAGATGCTGGAAGGCTTCAACGTTCGTTCCACTAGACTGCAGCGGAGGGTATTTTGAATGGCTGGCACCAGAATGTGTGAATATGCAGCATGAGCTTGCTTGCGCAAGCGGACAAGAAAGCACTTGAGAGTTGTGAGCATTTCCAGGGTGGATAACAGGGCCATGCTGATGGGGCAGCTGTGCTGAAGACAAGTGCCATAGATTACGGATCCTGTCAAATGCAGTGACCACTCCATGTTGCTTGGTGCGCAGGACACCCGTGTACATGTCTCCGGAGCTCATAAACAGCCGCAACGGAGCCAAGGGATATGACGGGAAACAGGTGCGTATGCCCTTCGTCTTCAGCGCCCTGCACCGCACTCTGTGGAATCATGCACACAGCTTATGTGCCAGAGCATATCCCATCAGGTTCCTGTAGCCCAGCCTGCAATGCGCAGCTCTGTGGGCATTCTAGATCAGTTGCTAACGTACCCGAGACAGACATCTTGAGCCTGATGGGCAAGTTTGGGGTCGACTGGAAGTCTCTGCAGTGCTGTTGGTGCGGCTGCACTGCGGCCAATCATATTACTGGCGGTGTGTCAGCGCTGATGTGGCGGTTGCATGTGGCGCCAGGTGGACGTGTGGGCGTCGGGCGTGCTGCTCATAGTCATGCTGCTCGGCACATTCCCTTTCGACCACATCGAAAACCCCGACCCCAACACCTCCGAAGCCCACCTCGAAGTCTGGTGAGTGCGCCTGCAGAGCGGCAGAGGCTCTTTCATTTTGGGTAATATGCTGACCCTGCAGTGTGTTTGTTATCCTGGTAGAAGCATAGTGGATTAGGCAACCGTCCTCGCTGTGACAAGGCAAAAGAAAGCGTGGAATTTTGAGCTCGAGGGAGTTTGCATGAATGAACAAGCAGGGGCTGCCTTTCGCAGCCTTTTTTCTTCTGCAGCGCTTGCGTGGGGTTAGTCGCGCTGCCACGCGTGCAGCAGCAAAGTTGCCGTGGCACTACCATGCATCTACATGTCTGGAATTACTCTTACTGTGCGTTGTATCTTGTCCCACCTCCACAAGAGCAAAGCATAGAACTCACAACATGGGCAGAGCTCGGCAGCAGCGCTCGGCAGGATGGCTTCACAGGGCGTGGCCTGCTTTGCAGGCGAAAAGTGCTGAATCAGAGATGGAACCAGGAACTCGACCCGCGCAGGAGGAGCCAGGTGAGGGAACTCCGCGCGTAGGCAGGGTAGGCCGCGGGGGGTCCTTAGGGGGGGTGCAGGGGGGGGGGACTGACGGCCTGTCTTGGCGCAGGACTCAGCAGATGAGCACGAGGTGGGACAGGATACAGCACATGGTCCCACTTGTGCGCAAGGTGAGGCTGGTATCTCGGCCCCCTTGGCAGGGTCAGCCAGGGCAGGGGATCTAAGTGGGGTTTCTGTTTTGGGTGCATGTAGGATGCAGCAGATCCGCACCCCTTGGACGGACATCCCCCACATCAGGAACGCGGTTGAGAAGGTGAGAAAAGCGGTTTTTCTGCGCGCCCAACCGCGTGGCCTGCCCATTCTGCTTTTTGCCAAGGGGGCTGGGGGATCCGGTCCAATGTCTGGTTTCTCCTCGCGCACTCCCTGAGTCTGGGGACCGCCCTCGTTGTCAGCGCAGTTTTCCAAGACTGGCCTTGCCAGCCTCTTAGAGCCAAGGGGGTGGCTCAAAGGGCCACCCCCTTGGAGGAGTGGGCCAACTCCAAGTGGCAGTTGGCCCACTTGGACGAGAAGTGGGCCAACTGCCAACAGAAGGCAGTTGCCCTCTGCCCGACTCTTGTTTCTTTGTCTTTGTCTTGGCCTCCCTTCCTTTCCTTCTCTTCTTCACGTTGCCCACTTCCTTTGTCCTGCAAGCTGCGTGTATATGTAATATATGTATTTTTTCATGCAGAATGGGTCCTGTCCAGGTCTGCTGAGCTGTTGGTGTTGACTGCTTTTCTCCTTTTTATTTTGTTGCTCTGTTCTTCCATGCCCAATCTGTTCACTGCTGACAAGTGCTTCTGTGTTGTTGTGCTGATGATTTTATTTTTTCCCCTGCACCCCCCAGTCCCCCCCGCTGTGTTGTATGTTTGGGTTCCTAGTGTATTTTCTATATCTCTGCGTTCTGATCTGCCAGTTCAAATGTCTTGCTTCCTTGCCTTGCCTTGCGCCCACTTCTTGCCATGTGCTCTCTCTGCCACTTGTGCCGTTCTGCTCTGTATCTTAGGCATTGTCCGGGTGATTGCAATGTTGCAGGCTTGCTGAGTGTGCAAATGGCTGACAGCTGCATGCATGTGCGCGCATCATGGCAAGTCAATATCTACTCATCAACCTTACCGACGGTTACTAAGGGCAGCATGCGCGCGCAGCTGTCGCCGGAGTGCACGGACCTGCTGAACAAGATATTTGTGATCAACGAGAAGGAGCGCATCACGATCGCGCAGATCAAGGAGCACCCCTGGTACAACGTCCCCCTGGTGCCCAAGTATGCCGAGGCCGAGCGTGACATCGAGGCCCGCCAGCGCCGCGTGGAGCAGTACATCCGCCACCGCGACCTCAACATCGTGCGCTCTAATTCCCCTCCGTGTCAAGGGTTTGGGGTCGATTGTGCCCATGCTGGGGGTTTGAATATGTTGAAATCAGGAAGGAGAGGGGTACAGAGTACAGGGATTTTGGAGGATCCTAGCTTTCATCAGAGCAGTACATCCGCAAGCGTGACCACAATATCATGCGTCAAATTTTGCCTGGAAAAGGGTCAAAGTTGGGGGACTGAAGTTGGGACGCTTGCGTGTCTTTGTGAGCAGACAGGGAGGAGTACGTCCAGTTGCCCCAAATGCCCTGGCTCTAGGAGTATGCCACCCTGATTGCAATGAGGAGGGATGGATCATCTCCACAGCAGCATGCAAGCAGATCCATTTCATTCCATTACCATGTACACTGATGGGCTATCATGGAAGCTGGTGGACAAGGGCTGGTACACATCAATACTTTTGGAAGTCCAGGCGTTGCCCTGGACCCCCCTTCAACTCTCAGACTGACGTGCCTTCAGGGAGTGTCACTTCAAGGCAGCCTGCTGATGCTCACGAGTGCCTGTGCTCCTGTCGCAGGGCTTGATAAACACCCGGAACAAGCGGCTGGAGCAACTCGTCAACGCAGCGGCCGGGCCGGCCGTGCAGCTGCCGCACAGCCGACGCGCGCCCCTCGAGCGGATAGACCTCCGGGAGGTAATAATTTCCACCGCAGAACCCACACTTGTTGCACTGCTTCCACTGTTCATGATACCACTGTTGTTGCAGACATGCAAGGCAGAGCGAGCCCCAGAGATGAGAGGAAGGGCTGCGCTATTTGCAACAATGCTGTGTTGCAAAGTGTTCCTGCCAATCGAGGCAAGTTTCTTTTCCGGACACACAGCTGCAGGCAGAGTCTGCCATAAATCCAAGCCCATGGTGGTCAAGCAGACCTAAGCAGGACCATTTAGATGTGGACAGCCTTCTGGGAATCGCAATTACTGTCATTTTTGCTCAGGTTTGTCAGTCAGCTGGTTAGGAAAAATGATCTTTCAAGATCACGATTGTTCCATGTTACAGGAGGCCTGCCGCGCGGATGCAGCCACGCTCAGCAACGGGCCAACGCTCGACGCGCTGCCGGACATCTCCGAGGACGGCGCAGAGGGTGAGTCACCTTGCTGAGTCACCCATGACGCACCCTGCTGACTGATGAATGCGCGGCTGCCGGGCGCGGCCCGCGCGCTTGGCCGGGCGGCCGGCAATGTCCTGCCCAATCACAAATTAAGGCAGGTCATGCATATGCTGTGGCGCTGGTTTCAGGGGGGACGTGATGATTGCCCCAGGAAAGTGACATGGCTGTTTGGCACCTGTTGACTTCTCTGAAGGGGAGAGACATGTGGTCTGCTAGAATACCTGATCAAGGCAGCTGAGGGGCTTGTGATGTGTGCAGGCACAGATGCGAGCCACGCGGCGGGGCAAAGACATTCAGAAGCGGTCGCGAACGGCGGCCAGTGAGGCACTCTTTGTGTCGCGAAACTCGGCAGATTTTTGCGGATGTGAGGGGGTGGTCTGAGAGGGGCAGAGAGCGCGCAAATACTCGGCTGGCCGCTGGCAGGCTCTTCAGCCGCGGACCGTCCCTTTTCTTGTTTTGATGTCTGTGCAGAAACACCAGGCACACTGGGGTGTGTGGCAGGGGCAACAGGGTGGGTCACGTGGGAGGCTGCATGATTACGCATCTTTCCGCATGCAGCGGCTGTCGTTTTGGCAGAGTCACCAGACATGGGTGTGTCATGTTTTCTCTGCATGCAAGATTTCTGGGTCGAGAGATGTGAAGCTCTTGAAGGGAAGAGGGGCGGAGCACACTACTGTAGCTGTGTCAGGATTGTGTTTAGTGCAAACCGGGCAGAGTGTGTTGATAATTGGTTTTATTGCCGTCTCTTTCAGCAGCGGAGCACACAACCACTGCTGCTGTCTATTTAGCTCGTCGCAGCAATGTATGAGATGTGCTTACAGCCTCATGTCAAGAGGGAGATAAGGGCAAAGTTTCCCCTGACTCTGCCATCGCTCCAAGGCGGTCCAGTCAGTAAGGGTTGCCAATATGTAGATTTTGAAAGCCTTGCCTAAATTTTGGGAGGTTCCAACCCGTGCTAGTGTCCAGAGCCAGAGCAGGACTGGGCGTAGGTGTGAAGTTGTAAATGGTGCATGGATCCTGAATGAATAATATAGTCACGGCTGATGAACGCCCAAAACATGCCTTCGTCAAATGTCACTGCCCGGACATATGCAGGGCTGATGCATGCACGGCCCTATGGCTAGCGAACTCCCCTTGCAAGAATTTGCCCCTGTCTAAGATCTAGCATTGATTCTTAACTTTGCTGTGATACAAAAATACACCGCCAGAGCAATGGCTGGCGCGTGGCCGCAAAACTTCTCCCATGACTAATCTGCCTCTTAGTCACCACCATCTTACCCACCATTGCCATGCGGTGTATGGCGCTCGAGTGGATGGATGCGAACACAGTTTCACAGGATGCTGTCAAGTTGAGCGAGAGATCGGAAAATGCAGCAAGTTTGGCAAAGATGCCTGATACTAAGAATTGTTAGGCTCTAAAAAATTTCCTTCATGTCAAATAATTGAGTGAAGTCCTCTGGCTCCAAGGATACTTTCAAAGGTAGCCACAGGTACGCGCTATGTGTAAAAAAATTCGAAGTTGTTCTCATAAGTAATCCTGGCGCAGCAGAATTGCATGCACTGACACACTGAGCAACAAACTCTTACTCAGCACATCAGGCTTCAAATTTAATTTCCTGTAGCGCGATTTCGCACTCATAGCAGCCAAGATTGAATCCCATTTTTTGGTTTAGTGAGCAGCTGCAATATTTATAGGATCCTCCGGAGCTGCCTTTCGAGCTGATGCATTCATATCTCCAATTTCAAATCTTCTGCTTCACCGGCAACAAGAGTAAGTATTTGATTTCCTCGTTTCTCTTTTTTTTCTGTCTCACAGCCCGTACGCATCAAGCTTCCACACATGACCCTTGCAGACCTGCTGCAGGGCCCTCAGCTCACTGTCTGACGGCGCTGCCTGTGCAACTTGAGCAGGCTTCTGCTGTCGGGCCCTGTCTGAACCTGCTGTCCCTGTATCACTCCCTCCTCTCATGCCAAGCCCGCCATCCTCCTGCATGCACACACCGCGCAATTTTTATTGTGAGGATTGTTGTTGCAAGCTCTTTCTGCAAACGCATATTATTATTATTGCTCGCTTTTCCTGCCAAGAGGCAAGGCGCGCTCTGCAGACAGGCTGCAGTTCAAGGCTGCCATAAACCTACCCCTTGATGGACCCGCCAGATCCAGGCAAGACCCAATCAACCGTGGGCGCAATGCTCAGTATATATACCGCCCCCTGCCAGTCGGGGCTGTGGCAGGCTAACATGCATTTGCAGACAAGCTGTGAAGGCTGCCACATGTCCTACCCCTTTAAGAAATCCAAGCAATAGCCAACTCACCCCGGGCAATATGCCCACAAATTACACACCCCCACCGCACAATCTGTCCCCATAATCTCAACATGCCCGACGCTTCAACAGCAATGCATCACATGAGGGCAACCCGACGCAGAGATAATATTATGAGCCACTGTCCCCTGGATTGGAATTTGTGTAGAAACCTTGCGGCAGTTCTTGCATGCATGCATTTTGCTTTAGGCACAGCAGATGTGGCCGCGGACACCTCTGTGGGTGCCTCTTGGCCATTCTAGCTTTGGGTAAGCCGGCCCATGATATGGACGATCAGGAGTATGCATGGTTGCAAGGATGCATCTCGCTAGGTGGAGTCGAGAAGGGGTGCGTTAAAGGGTGGGCACACCTGTCCATACTGAGAGGCCGCGCCGGCCTCGTCAGCATTTCCCTCCAGTCCTAAGTAGGCAGCAGCCGCCAGCGAGCCAGCCGCCTCAACAGGCCCACTCCTTGCAGCCTCAAATTGAGGCCCTGCATGGATGATCACAATGTTTACAATTCCAGGCAACAGGCAGGACGCATGCGACCTGTTACTTTTACTGCATGCTGTTCCTGTCGAAGGGTGCGTCTGCAAGCTTGTCTGCACTTTGAAGCTACCAAGATAAGGCTTCCCCTTAACAGACTTGCCAAGACTCAATCACCCATGGGCAAGGTGCTCAGTAGTTATACCGACCCCCAGCCCGCTAGGGCCAGGTATAAAGGTGACACAATGCACAGGAGCCTTAGTGGACTTGCTGCAGAGTGTGTGGTGTGTGTCTCAGCAGATCATGGACTGGCACCGACTAGCTGGTGTAGCTGATCTAGATTGCGCATGGAATTATCAGGAATTGCCAGCCATGTGGTGTCAGGAAGCCAAATTAAAGAGCTTTGGACGGAAGTAAAGGTGAGAAGGGAGATGGAAACGAACCAGGCTGCTGTGTTGTTGAAGCTGCCTCCCCGTGCGCTTCCATGGCAACTGCACTGCCCTTCTCTCCTGCTTTCCCCTAAAACACACAACATCCCCTGCTCAGTCCTTTACGCGCGCTGAACACACTTGTCCTTGCCCCAAAACGTGTCATTTTGCCAGGTCTATGTGCAGAAAGAGCTCCTCAAGCCCACTTCTACATGAAGGAGCTCATTGCCACGCCCTGAGGACAAGCACATGGATGCTGAGCACGTGACAAATGAGAAACGTGATATTGAGGCTTCAAGGGTGGCTGTGGCTGCGTGATCATCATCAAAGCTAAGGATCCGAGTATAGATACACAAGTCTAAAAATCACCTTGTGAGCAGCTTCAGATGCGAGCCGAGCTTCTGCCCGCATCAGCCGCTCTGAGTTTGCATGCATGGCGGCCTCCAGCGGCCTGATCTGGCCGGGGCTCAGCGCCAGGTGGCGCTTGAGAAATGACAACGCCGCGTTGGACACGAGTGGCAGCGCCAGGGACGGATCAAGTTCCTGAATAAACTTCGACTGCACGCAGAAATATCAAATTCTTATTTTTTTAATTCATGCAGAGTTAGAAACTTGCCACTTTCCTTTGACTCTGTAAGCACAGAGTGCTTCACAAGCTGGGCACATGCATACAGACGCCTGCAACTGAGTTCTCAGCGCATATCGATCAGCTCTTGCAGCACACAAAGCACATGCTCAAGCTATGCAGATGCAGAAGCTCTGAGTCTGCGCTCCATGATTCAATGATCACCTGGAGAAGTACAAATCCTCATGACAAACCTGTCCAGGAGAAGTGCAAGGCACCCCATAAACTTCATTACGTCAGCGTTTCGACGAGTCTGACCTTCTTGAAGCTGCGCACGTAGTTCATGGCGCTCCTGAATCGTAGAGCCACCAGCATGACTGCATCGTTGAAGGTGTCATGGCTGCTGCCCTCAAGTACCAGATGCACCGCGCCAGCTCTGCACACAACCACACCCTCACTCCCCGACAAATCTTGCAATCCTTCTTCTTCAACATCCTTCAATTCTGCCAGGCCTAATCCTCTTTCCTAGGACCAAGGCATGGAGTGCTCTAAGGCACGACACTGTGCGACTTTCTTGCACCCAAAATATTGTCTCAGCCCCCGACACCGAAACTTATCAAAGTACAACCTGTGTGATTCGGCACTTTGTACTAGCCGATCACGTCCAAGGCACTTGCAGTGACAAAACATCGTCAAATATCGCCAAATATATATACTGGGTGTCTGCCAGCACATTTTGTTCTGCACAGTGTGGCACAGCACATGCCGGCAGGTGCTCGGCACATGCAGGGCGCTGACCTGGAGGTGGCGGCCGCGAAGACACGCTGCTGGCGCACGCCGTCGCAGAACAGGCGCCCGCTCTCGCTCGGCGTGTTCCACGTGTGGCTGCCCATGACTAACAGGGGTGAGTCCGTCTGCCAACCGCCCAGCGCAGCACTGTCCTCCGGCAATGCACCCCTGCGGCACATGAAGAGCAAGGTTTTACATCTGGGTTCCTGCTCCCACTACATGTTGATGGCTCTGTAAGTCAAGAGCAGAGCAACGTGCAGCTTTCTGGCAAGCTTAACAAACTCCAGGGCACAAGGAAGTTGCTGCAGGGAGGCGCATAAAAAGCCAGGCAAATCCGTGAGGCATGCACAGCAGAAGTTGGCTGCCCCCATTGTGAGTCCCTCGCAAACGAGCATGAAAGGTCATATTGTAGGTGCTGCAGGGGGTTTGAAGACCTACCTTACAATGTCTTAGGGGCTCTGTTAAAAGGGGTTTTAGGGGCTGCGCAGGGGTTGGTAAAAGACGAGCACGCACCACCAAGGGTCGAGAGCGATGCCGGCCCGGAAGCGGGAGTCCTGGGCTGTGAGCACCGAGATGGTGGCGCCCCCGTAAGAGTGCCCCATTAGGCTCGCTCTCTCCAGATCCAGGCGCCCGCCAAAGTAGGCTACAGCATCCAGTTCACCGCTCAATTTGAGCCCCTCCCTTAGCTCCCTCTGCTGCAGCGCCCTCAGCAGGTCATAGGCCGTCGCCACTTCGCCCATCCGGTACCTGCATAAGAGCATGCGCTCAGGAAGCAAGCTCTGACACCAGCACAAATCCTACCTTGATGCATGTGCAAGCAAGGCAGGTACACGAGCTGTGACTGACATCACCCTGTCATAAAGGTGCAAAGATACAATCTGGGAGATAAGTAATTGGCACCATCAGCACTGCTGGCCATCTTGTTGGAAATGTGGAACACGAACTCAAGAGAAGACAGCATACCAGCACCAGCATGGGTGGCCATCCCTGTATCTTAGCCCAGGCAATGGTGAGGCACCGGTGAAGACAAACACCTGGTCTGAGCAAGTCTCTCTTCTTCGCTGAGCCATCCCCCATAGAATCGAGCGCCCTGCTGGCCAGCCAGCTGTACTGTGGCGGCTGTGCCGTCAGCATGCTCTACTGCCAGAACAACGAACCCCTGACACACCACAGCATCCTTCAGAACTACTCGCTTCGATTCAGCAGCAATAACTCTGCCGATGTATCGCAGATCTATCACCACACCACCTGTCAGGGGGGCCAGACCACTCAGACATGCTCAGGTAGAGAAAACCCAGATTTCCGGTGCCAACACTCTAGTGCGTCTCGGTACCCTGCATGGACATTTACTACAGGAGAGGGAAGGCGGACCCACCGCAGAGCCGAGCTCGCTGCAGATGCCAGAATACGCATTGCGGGTGCCCCCGATGCCGTGTGAAAAAATCACCACCGGAAATGGTTCCTGCCTCTCCAAGATCGGTGCATGCTGCACAGTAACAAGCATTGACAATTGTCCACAACACCATTTGAGCCCTGCTGCGTCCCATGCATTTCTTCGCGCAGAAAGAACCGCAGTGTGTGCACAGAAACAGTCGCCTGAATAGGTGCATTGCAAAATGAGGCCTGCACCTCTGCAACCTGTTCACCTGGACTTGTTTCAGCATGCGCAGTGCTACAAAGCGCGCCAGGTAGATCTTTTGCGTGATGTGAGGCATAAGGGAGCGCACCATATAATTGTCGATGAACGACCTGTGGCCCAAGCTGTAGCTGACGGCCACGATTACGGGCTTCAGCAGGGACTTCAGGAATGAGGTTCCACCCCACGAAGTCAAGAATGCCCCATAGCCTGTGGTATGGACACATGACAGGCTATTGAAATTTCAATTGCATGCAAAGCGGTGTATCTAAAATGCCCTGATGGGTCATGCAGAGCGAGATTGGCGTGTCCAAGGTCAGGCTTGGGAGGGATGCATGCTACTGCAAAATCGATCGGCACACCTCGGGCATAGGTCCAGGATGGAAGCCAGCATGGCTTATGATACTTCTTGTGCTTCAAGGCGTCTGCATTGCAAGGATAAAATATCCGACCGACCAGGTGCTGCAAAGAAGCCACACGGGTTTTTAAGCCACTCAAACAAGCAGGAATTTGAGGCCTCATCGTCCTTCTACAATCCAGGGATAATATGCTATCTAATCAAGTGCAAGAATGAGGCGATATGGACCGTCACGAAAGCAACAAGACGTGTCGGAACAACACAAAATAAACGGTACAATCGCAAGGAGATACCGATTGACAATTTATGCCCTTATCGCTGTCCTTTCCAAGATTCTTGTTGAAGTATTCGATGTCGCAGACTCCTACAGCAAATGGTCCTGAAGGAGTGTATAACATTCCGATCGGACGTTTCGCGAGGCAACCACTAACGCGCCGAAATATCTGAAACAATGAGCACCTCTCCTAGCTAGAGATTTCTAAGTACTTTTTGTGTTCCTGACGCAACTTGACTAAAAAATCAAGTATTGTGCCTCTGCAGTGCTGCCCAGCCATGAAACGTAACGGTGACGTGAGTCTGCTCAAACAATTCCACAACCCTGAAGGACTGGGATTTGTGGACAGAGGGTAGCAGACAACCCTTCCATTTTTATACTTCTGTAGCATGTCAATACTAATGGCTGTCATATTCGGTGACTGATGTTGAGGCCGATGTGCTTCCTTCTTGCCACTGCAGAAGAACAGCAGAGGATTGTGGGACTACATCATACTGAATAAAGTGAGCTTTGAGATACATCCAATACTATTACATAGTATGGCTATGTAGTACAAGTACAAGCAAGTTTGTGTGTCAACAGGGCAAGCAGAGCGGGTCGCACTTCTGCATAACGTTAGTCATCCAGCCGCCGGTGGCGCCGCGCGTCTGCTGGGCCGTTCCCTCCGGACCGGAGCCGGCCATGCGGCCGGAGCTGCGCACGGCCAAAGTGCTGTGAATTGTGGGTTTGGGGCCTGCCCCTCTGCCCTCAGGCAAGTCCCTGCCGCTGCATCTTTCTGTTGAACACACACATGCTTGTCATCTCTTGCAAGCATGTCTGTTTTGTGGTTTTCATCGCAATCACGATGTGGACAGCTTTCCTTCCCGTTTGCGTGTGGAGTCACATAGGATGTCATATAGGCACCCACACAATAGGAGGGAAGCCTTTCCCACATCGCTTTGTGTAATGCTTCTTTCACCAGTTCTTTCACCAGTTTATGTCTCTCAAGATCTTGTCGGACAGTGGGTTCTCCTTGTGATTGCAGGACCAGTTAAATGCTGGCGGCGGCCCTTTAACAAGAGAGCCAGGCCACAGCTGCAGCAGAGCTCACCGGCAAGCTGTTGCGCGCACAGCAGGGGGTTTAGGGGGGCGCAGCCCCTCCAAGAGAGCCAGGCCACAGCTGCAGCAGAGCTCTGACATGATCGAGCTTATTTGAAACACGCAAAAATGATACAGCACTTCAAGGAACATGGGTTAGCTATTAGCATGAAGTGGTTATTAGGAAACAGGAAGCAGAAAGTGGCTATAGCATGAAGTGGTATTGGGTAGAGATGCATGCGTTATTTAGACCTTTAATAAAGACTGTGCACGTTGCATATGGTCGGATCATTCTGGGTTGTGTTAGATAGGAGATGTGCATATTGCAGTTTGGATGGAAGCAATACATTACACCATACCCTTGTCAAATAATCATTGCCTGGGGTGTGCTTTCCCGCTGACCTCAGGTTTTGCCAATTGTTGTACGGCTCTCTTAATAGTAAAGGCACCCCTGTCAAGCGCCTACGGCACACCGGGAGCCCTGGCCAATGAGAGCGCTATATTAGGCCAGGGCTCCCCTTTCTGAGACACATGGCATACACACCAACAATACAGCAGAAGCATATACAAATGTTTGCCCCCATCATTGCCCCCATTCTACATGCAGCTGCCCAAGTGCGCTTGGGCTTATGCATCTTTTGACACATGGTCAGCTTCACACTTGAACCAGTCATCATTAATCCAATTCAGATTGCAACCAAGCTGACAGGCAGATTGTCCACGATGAATTATTCCTTCTGCTTCCCATGGGCGCTTGATGCATCCCACTTGGCTTGGGAGCTAGTATCATACACCGTCCCAGCACTGCCACCTGTATCAGTCTGCTATCCCTTGCGTCCCATGCAGCTCTACAGCAAGCTCAGTCTGAAAGCAGGAGTGAGCGCACAAGCCGGTCTCAGAGCTTGGCGCGGCATGCGGATGCATGGGAGCCGCGCCAAGCTGCTGCGGCCCGACGGTGTCCTGCTGTGCAGCCAGGAGCTGCGAGACAGCCAACCTCCATGAACTCCACACTCAGCATGTACGGATTGTGGGCTCGCCATGACACTGCTGATCCCCTTCTTGCGCCTCCTTCTCTGTGCAGGCCCTTTTGGAGCAAGACCCGGGCTCCCACTGCTCGGCCCGCTCGGCGCGCCGCCACCGGGCGCCGTGCTGCTGCTTTGCACGCTGGGCTCGCTGCCACTTTGAGAGGCGCTGCCGCTGGGCTCGCTGCTGGTAGATGTGGTACTGCTGGCTGTGCTACTGCTGGAGGGGGTGCGGCTCAGGCGTGCTGCTGACTGTGCTGCACTCACCACAGGCTGCAAGACAGAAATTGTCTCCTGCAGCGAGGTGGTAATTGGCCAGCTCACCACCAGGTCCACGTCATCGGCTGTGAATCGTGGCCCCGGCTGAGTAGGCCTGACCTGCAGCTCATCATCAAAGGCGTGTGCAATGGCGTTGCGCAGCAGCCGATGGTAGCAAAAGAGCACCCTCCAGGGTGGCAGGGGCGGCTGCTGATCGAGTTGCTTCGCCACAGATGCAGCTGCACCAGAGTTGTTGTACTTGCTGCAGAGGACCCTCTGGAACCAGTATTCCTTGTCCCAGCTAGCTGCAGGGCCGAATCGCTGCTCCATCTGCGTCGCCCAGGCCTGCACAAAGATAGGATGTCCGTCAGCTACAAGATGGGGGACAGCAATATCTGGCACTTGCTGGTGTTCAAATAAAAAGGTGTTAGAGCATGCTAGGGGTCCATATCGTCGATATGCATGACACAGTTTGTCCAATAAGTCCTTGACATGCACACCTCAACTGCCTTCTGCAAGGCCGCATCGCCGGGGGTGCTCCAGCCACGGCGATTGGCCTCCAGCATGCCGTTTCCAAGAAGCTACAGGCACATCAGCGCAAGTATTCAAGTTATTGATCTTCTGCACTGTTCCACTGTTGTATTAGATGCAATAACTCACATGGTGGCAAGCCCCTTGGCTCAGAGGGTGGCAACTGAGTGTACTGCAACACACAAGTCTCAATCACAGGCAGGCAAGGGCGACCAAGGTCATGTGTACTTACAATCAGCAGCTTCTCGGCCTCGTGGTACACGGTTGTGCTGGCACCCCCATCCCCCGTCCAGCCCAGAGTGAGCTCGCCACCGTCCGCAAGCACAAGCTGCACGACAATCAGGAGGTGCAAGCTTCAGAAGTCGTCCAGCCTATCAATGAAGGGTTCTGAGATTCCTGCCCTCCATTTCAGGCATGTGGGAAGGCGTATGTTGGCAGCACTGGATCTTTTAGGCACCCTTCCGTAAGTACCAAACCAGCAACACCAGTGCAGCAGGACTGTCCAGAAAACAAACTTTACCCACCTGGAAGAGCGCTCGATGGTGGACAGTGGAAAGACACCGGAAGACCGATCCTTCGCGCACTGGCTTCGTGTAGGACTCCAGCATGACGCGCAAAGACAATGCCAGCCCGGAATTGGCCAGATCCACGCCACGAGTGACGGATGACATGTTGAGCAAAAGCTGACGTTGCCGCTGCCCAAGAAGCTCCAGCGTTGGCATCCAGTCGTTCTTCCCCTGCACCAACAGTGCATATGCTCACCTCTTGCGCAATCATGCACACATGCACAACGAATATTTTGGAAGGCCTCACTCTCCAAGCCAGATGTGTTCTCCAGGTCACCCTTATCGGCTGATTGCCGAGCTTCCATGTGCACTCAAGGAATCATGGGCTGGTTAAAAGAACCGGCAATCCTATTTTGAACAAATGGGAATAAGGGATGGCACGCACTTCTGCCACCAGCTTGCCCAGCATATGCAGGTTGTAGAAGGCCAGGATGTCATCCATGGGGTCTGGCACAAAGTCCGCGACCAGATATGTGAGCAGCGCCGGCGAGTTGCCTGCAAGCTGCCGCAGGAGAGGGTCCAGCTGGATGCTGTGCCGCTCCAGAGCCAACACTTCCAGATACTGCCAGCAGAAGTCCATCACGTCCTCTGAAAGGTCCACAGGAAGGTCGAGCCGCGTGTTGTGGATCAATAGGCTGTCGCCGTTCGTCCTTGTCAGGCCCACATTGGCCCAGAAGAGCGCCATGCTGCTGCCGGTGGAGATCCACAGGATATTGCCCGGGCCGCGCACCACGATGGACTTGAAGAAGCGGCGTGCTGACGCTGCATCGGCCTTGTCGACAGTGCCATCCACACGCCGAGGCAGGAACAAGGCCTGAATTTCATCTGCATCGTAGCAACACATAGGTCAACAGTCCAGTTCGTGATGTGCGGCAGTGCAAAGATGCATTGTGTAGCCAGCATCGTCCAGCAGAGCAGCTAGGCATGACTACAGAGCAGCTGCACCAGACCACACACCTGACAGCACCAAGATTGGTACTTTGGTATTCCACAGCAGCTCGCGGATGGCGGCCTGAAGAATCAAGGAGTCGTTGCTGTGAGCAGCAAACCTGACCCGGTCCCACACATCTGCCGGCACAGGGACGTCCTGGGATATTACAAATTTCAGGAGCTGCCCAAGCAGGCCCCTCAGCATCACCCCATAGCCCTGCAAGAGCAGCCCATACTTGTTGATCACATGCCTGTTGATCATACGCCGGGACACAGCATCAATGCACTTTATGTGCCCATAGGAATGAGCAAGGTACTTGGGCTCCCTGATTCCATGGCCAGTATAAGATGGCTCGCGCATTCACCTGCTCACATTCCAGCAGATCCAGGTGTAGCTTGCAAACGAGCAGCTCGTCAGCTCCGCCGACTCCAAAGTGTGGGTGGGTCCGCAGCACAGCAAGCGCCACATGCTCCAGGACAAAGCTCTTGCCACTCTGTGCAACAACATTAACTATTGGAGGATGTGCACCAGACAGCAGAGTATGGTTAAGAAGGCGCCAATAGGCCTTGCAAAGCACATGCTCATGCAATCAAAAGCAGCCAAATAGCAGTCGTAAATTAGATTGATTTACATTGCTCCCAGCCAAAATAAGATGCCTAACTCTGATGGTCATAATCATTCCAGATTCAGCACCCAAGTTAAAACCCAACGCATTGCAGTTCAAGGAACTCAATCATCAGATCTTCCCATCCTTAAATGAGCCAGTGTCGGTCAGTCCTGGGAATTCCCAGCCCAAGAGCCAAGATTTTAGGCAGACAATGGCAGACCATGGCATCCCGTTCAAACCCCCAAACACCAGGCTTACGTACTGAGACTATGGGATTCTGACGCAGACAGTGCACTTGCAAAGGCAAGAGTGAGAGGACCCTACAACAGAGATCGAGGTCTTCCCACACAGCATCAGCACATCCAGCTGGAAACTTGGGTGCATCAATATGGGTCATTTCCGCACCGTTGACCAGATCTTTCAAACATAAGCACAGCCACAGTTGCCCAGTTTCCCGCATTCTTTGTCACAGCCGCCTGGCAAGCATCAAGGGCAGAGCCGTGTGTCTTCTCTACACTGGAAAGGGTACATACTAGCCAGAAACACAGGCTATGCAGCCTTACTCAATGAGCTTTTCTGGATACTCACTTTTGTTAGACCATTCACAAAGAAAGGCTTGAAGGCTGCAGGTTGGCCCATTGAGAACAGGACAGCACAGCTGTCCGCCCAGCCGGAGATGCGGTGCTGGATGGCCTTCTTGGGGTCCAGGAACAGGTTGTACGCCAAGGCGTCTCCCACTCGCCCTGTTAGGCGGAATACTGACTCCGGCGCAGCATCATCAGCCGTCAGGTGCGGCGCCAAGCTGTCCAGATTCTGCCGCGCTGGCCCTGAAGAAGCAGGAGCTGCTGCTCAGTGCTGGGGCTCAGCAATGGATATCAATTGCTGCATAGGGACTACCAGCGCTCGAAAATAGCCAGATAACAACAATGTATGCAAGACAGGCATAAGCACAGTGTTGGTGCACATTAACACATTGCAGCATGTGAGGAGGATGATTCACCATCAGGCGGGTGAGGCGGCAGTTCCGACCGTCCATGATCTGCAAACCCACACACGATTCAGTCATCAACGCAGGTAGCTGGTAGCAACACTCTGTTGAAGCATGCGATAAGCCATCAGCGGCCCAGTGTTGAATGCCATAAGGGGCTGCTTGCAGCAAAGCGGGCAACAATGAGAAACCAGCTACATTGCTGAGCTCAAGCTTAGGCCAGCCCACACTATGGATTCTCATAAAATCCAGGCTACGATGCTGTGACTAACACTCCTTGCTAGTGCATCCAATGTGGCCATGATGCCCCGTTAGCGGGCCTGACAACACATTCGTCATGGATGGCCAGCATGTATGCACTTCAGGAGCCCTCACCTTCTCCAGGCCATGAGCACAGCGCGGTCCACTGACTTGAGGTGTACCCTAACGCATTTGACAGCACTTGAAAGCAGACTTTGACAGCCAGTCATTGCGCCAGTCATCGCGGGGCGGCAGCAAGGACCTCACCTGCTGGACTGGCCAGCTGGGCCTGCAGGGTGCTCAGTTGCTGCCTCACGTCGCGCTTCTCCTGGACCAGCCGATCTATCCCCTTTTGTATGATGGCGATATCCCGCTCCGTCGTGGCTGCCTTGTATTCCTCCTCCCGGTTCTTGATGTCCTGCTCCACACGCTGCAGCTCTCCTTTGAGCCAGTTTAGTTCCTGCTGAGCCATCTGCAGGCATTCCAGGACATCCTTTGGCACACTGCGCGATCTGGTGATACTCCAGATTGATCAGGTTACTCCCTCTATGATCAAACAGACTCGCCTCCCTTGAACTCTGCAAAGGTGAAGTCGTTGCACTGGAACCCTTCAAGACGGGGAAACTCATCAGACCACGGTTTTAGACGGAAGATGCAGACCGGATGAAGTAAAAGATAAAAACAGGGGCACAATAGACATTCCTGGGAATGGCCAAACAATTATTGAACGTCAAAAGGCATCAGTGCTGAATGAGAAAGATACAAAGGCATCATAAAGACACGAAGACGGTCTCTGAGCTGTGCTCAAAAGGTGCTCATAGGAGAGCAGACGGCGATAGCAACTATCGGACACCTTTCGGATCTTCACGGAGACATGGGGCATCTTATCCTGAGAGATATGAAGAAGAACAAGAGTTCACCTGGAACTTGGAGAGCTACCCAAGGTTCTCTGTGCCCTGCCTGACGCCTGTGCGAAAGTCACGCCGAGAACAAGCCATAAGTTGTGAGTAAATTGCAATGTGATCTAAATAGACAGGAAATCCACTGTGTGTAATAGCCATTCAAGGCACAAGACTGATTCGATGAAGACGGTGTGCTGGAAACGCAAAGAGCTCCATATTCGTCAATGAGGGCCAAATGATCATTGCATGAGGCATGAGGACCTGGCCAGGTCCTCATGGTCCACGTGCACGTGGGAATCAGTGGGTTGGGATTTGAGGGCAGAGGGCAGCATCTTCCGAGGTTTCTGTATGCACAATTGCAGCAGCAATTGATCCCCATCTTAAGAGGAGATGGTCAAAATTTTGCGTTGACAACGTCAGAAATGGCTTGAACGTTGCCACTTTGATTTGTCCGTTCGATGCAAATAGGTGCTGGCCCAGTGTTCTCAGCGATCAGCCCATCACTTGCTCACAGTGCTCTTACCAGATCACAAGCCTGTTTTATTGACACACAACGCAGTGACAAATACACGAGTGGGGAAGCAAGATTGCCATTCGGAACCACCAAAGCAGGTTCACGATCTCGCTTGATTGTGAAAGGTAAGGTAATTGTAAGCATGATCTAGCGGAGTGAGTGTATGTCGCTTTATATTTATGACCTCTTCAGTTGAGCTGCGTTGACACTTTGTTGAGCGTTCCGATCTGCCCCAGGTGCACGCCTGCTGCATCAGATCGTCCTGTTTGAGATTTTTGACGCTGTCCAACGAAGCAAGATATTCTTTTCCTCTAATAGATGTTTGGATGCACGAACATCTGTTCAGGAGCTGTAGAAGAGAGCAGCGGTGCACAACCACTTCTCAGTGGCAGGAGCAACGTCAGGCACATCAGGGGAGTCTTGCCCGTGGTATACAAACCTCAACAAATGGCTGCCAGCTCAAAGGTTGCCAGCGAGATTATGTTTGCCACTGGCAACGCTAACAAGCTGAGAGAGGTGGGTGGGCATTCCGTGGACAGTCTTCCCTTCAAGCAACGATCCCTAGTGCCTTTTGGTTCAAATGTGCTGAACTGCACGTGCAGATGCCCTGTGCTGTACTTGAAAATTTGTCTCAACGTTCACAGGTTGTGGCCATCCTAGAAGCAGGACACCCACTGCCATTCGCAGTCAAAGCAGCAAACCTGGATCTCCCTGAGCTGCAAGGGGAGCCCACCGAGATTGCAAAGGAAAAATGCCGACTGGCAGCGCAGCAGGTCCGTCCTTAATTATGTGCAGACCACTTGCACTCATACCCCACGTGGTCAGGCATTCTGTTCACTTTGCTGCATCGACATGCCCACGGCAGCAGTGGCAGGGGCCTGTCTGGAAGCTTTGAGAATCAGATGACGCCTGCAGTCAGTCTGCCAATGCGCTGCTCAACTGATAACCACCAAACGGGCTGGGTGCAGGTGGGAGGAGCAGTGATGGTGGAAGACACGAGCTTGTGCTTCAATGCAATGGGGGGACTGCCAGGCCCCTACATCAAGTGGTTCCTCCAGAAGTTGGGCCACGAGGGGCTCAATAAGATGCTGGCAGGCTTTGAGGACAAGACCGGCTACGCGCAGTGCATCTTCGCCTACTCGCCTGGTGCGCATGCAAATGCTTCCTGTTGCAACACATGGAGTTTGTTGACTTGCCTGCTTGTGTTCTGGGCGGCTTGCTGTTTGCCTCTATTGCTAGCACCACACCAGCAAGGATTGATAGAGCCAGTGACACATTGGACCCGTGTCTGTGTCAGTACTGCATAAAGTCCAGCAACCTATATGCTTGCCAGCTCAGGACTGCCTAAGGTGGTCAGCAGGCGTGGTCCCATGAACAATTTTGTCTTCAGGCATGCAGCTTTCTTGCTGCACATCTTCCAACCGTTATGGTCGACACTAGGATGATTATCTCGTGAGGAGCCTGTCAGAGCATCAGTCTTCAATGGCTGCATCTCTAAACAACTGCATTGCTGGCTGCCGTACTGCGATTGATCAGGGTGAGCTTGCGCTTGAGGGCTGCTGTGTGCAAAGCAGGTCCCGGCGCAGAGCCACAGGTGTTTGTGGGCAGGACGGGGGGGCGCATTGTGCCGGCGCGTGGGCCGGCCTCTTTTGGCTGGGACCCAATCTTCCAGCCAGACGGGTATGAGGAGACCTACGCCCAACTGGACAAGGCCGTCAAAAACACCATTTCACACAGGTCCGCCAAGCTTCTGCTTCTGTGTACAGGCTGTGGAATTGCCTGCAGCAAAGGCAGATGCCAGAGCAGGTGTAAGGAAAGAGAAGTACCAGTGATGTGCACAAGAGTATCACACCATGCTTTGGAAAGTGCTCAAAATCTGGGGTTCTGCTGTGCAGGTACCGCGCTCTGGACAAGCTCAGAGACTATCTTTTGAGTTCTCCGGCATGAAATTATGGTCGGAAGCACTGTATGACTTTGTGGGAGATGCATGCGGCATTGGGGTGATAATGGACCAGTGTAGACTCTGAGTTGGCATTGGATGCACTGGCAAACATTGGCGGTGCCAATGAAATTATATTGAGTGCGAAGTTTTATTGTTGTCAGCACAAAGGAGATTTGACCCGAGTAGTGTTAATTGCCCTCTTAGAGATCTGATCTACCGTAGAAGGGTTTGAAAGCCCACAGAGACTATAGGCAGAACTTGGTTGAAGGCTGGGGTTGTGCACAAGATGGTGCGGCAAAGCCACAACTTCAAGCACTTTGCTGTCTTAAATCTACTAGCTAGAGAACCAAGAGCCTGTGGTATGTGTAAAATATTGTAGCAGACTTGATGAAGAAATGTGCATCTACAATTTGGCACCTCCATGCAGTGGCCCTAAATATAGGCCTAATGAGCTCACGTGCGTGCAACACTGAGCTAAATTAAATAAAACCTCAACCAAGCATCATCTCTACGACGGTAAATATTCTCATGATCAAGTCAAATTCATCTCCTCTCGCATTTACGACACCATCGCAGCGCGGAGGTGTTGTCAGGAAATCTGGACACAAAATTATGCAAACATCCTTTTTGTCGAAGATCTGCCAGCGACCTAGTTCCATCATACTTTCAAGGGCTGCTTACCTTTCAATAGTCCTGGGATCCGAAAGATGGTGCTGCCAGCCAAATCTGCAGCTGTTCAGGCAGAGGCTGCACTTGTCCTGGCAAGTGATTTGAGGACGCTTGAGGTGCGTCGACCAGCCAAATATCAGTTCTATGAGGCAGCTGTTCTCGGTTGATTTCAGTGTTGATGACACTATATTGTATTCCCCCGCTCGTGGCTTTTCAATATGCCTGGGGTAACCATGGACGATCTGGCATCCTGACAGTCTTTTCCCCTGAACTGGACACTCATCTGATCACAACCTGGCCCCGTGATGGTGCAGAATATTAAGTTGGAGAGCACATTCACCAGGGAGCTCCCTGGAGATCCTGAGACCAAGAATCAACGCCGGCAGGTGAGAGCACCTTGTCAGCTGAGAAACCTCGAAGCATACATTTCAAGAGGACACATTCCTGAGCAAAGGACTCAGCTCTATGTATAATTCTGACCAGCTGGTACTTGTGAAGGTCCCAGCAGGATTCACTCATACGGCGGATCAGCCCTGCGATAAGATTCATGTTTTGTGCACAGGTACACGATGCATTTTATTCCTTCGTGGCCCCGACGCCGACCAATTCAGAGCCGATGACGGTGCTCTACTCTGGTGATGTAGCGCGCCTTATTGGGCTTGATCCTGCAGAGTGTGAGCGGCAAGAGTTCGCTGCCATATTCAGCGGGAACGCGCCCTTGCCCAACGGCCCGCGCCCCTGGGCTCAGTGCTACGGCGGCCATCAGTTTGGGATGGTGCGTCACTTCTGAAGGGACTAGGATGCATTTAAGGCCCCCTCACATATCTTGGCTGAATTGTGGCTCAAGTTTGTGTTTCTCCTCCTTCCATTGACTGACAAAGAGACACCTACAGATATGCCTGAGACAGATCGGACAAGATCGCAATTCTCAGAGTGCTTGCATATTTTGAGGCAGCATGGACCAAGCAGCGGAAGGAAGCTCAAGATTTTCTTGGAACAGCATCACTTGGGTGCAATCATAGCGCGTCTCTGCCAACTGTTTATACAAGAGCTAGGGGTGCGGCATTCTTAAGCTCTTGGCTGCTGGTGGATGTGCTGTAGTGGGCGGGGCAGCTTGGGGATGGGCGTGCCATCAGCCTTGGAGAAGCTGTGGGCCCAGATGGCAAAACCTACGAACTGCAGCTGAAGGTATGCCTCTCGCACTTGCTGCAGAGGCAAATCTTGCGCCAATGCCTTGACCTTGTGGCTCTCCTCAATCAAGACAGGGAATGCCAAAGCCCCATTGACGAGAATGGACATGTGATGACTGAACAGCAGTGGGTAGTCTGTCTTTCGCTACTGCGTATGCTCTACTGAGACGTCTGCATACAATCTCCTCAGCAGACTGCAAGCTGAGGCACACCATACGCTCTTTTCAGAAAAATTCATGTCAGCCTTTGTCGGCCTCGTATCCCAAAAGCTTTGCCAGACGCCTTGTACAGCACAAAATCATGTTGCCAAAGCATCTTGTCAATGCAGCTGCGATCACTGAAGCCCCGTTACACTATCACGCATGCTTCTGCCAGGGGGATCATTATCCTGATATTCTTTTTCCCTGCTTCTGCTTTGTCAGGGGTTTATTGGCAGGGGTGTTTGCACCGCAGGGGGCAGGAGCGACGCCCTACAGCCGCATGGCTGACGGCCGCGCAGTTCTGCGCAGTTCTCTGCGCGAGTTTGTGGCGAGCGAGGCGATGTACGCTCTCGGCATCCCCACCACCCGCGCGCTCTCCCTCGTCGGCACCGGCGCCAAAGTGCTTCGAGACATGTTCTATAAGTGCGTTCCCTGTGTCCCTCCCTTCCTTTCTCTGTAATCTTTAGAATGAAAGAATGTGCTGCAGCCTCTCACACCACTTGTCAGGCCTCTTTGGGCGGGGCCGTCATGAGAGGATGCAGGCCAGCCAGAGTGCCATGTCACAGCTGCAGCCCCTCTGTATTTTGCGGGATTGACAAAATAAGACGGGATTGTTTTCTGTCGAACTCTCCTAGTCTTTAGGCGTTTGCGGGCAGGACTGCAGGCGTGGCGGTCGCATGGTACACGTGACACTTTCCTTCATGCAGATTCCTGCTTGCTTTCTCATCCTTGCACGACAGGTCTGCAGAAAGGTTGCTTTGGTGTCAGGAACTATGCCGCACTTGTGTCAGGTTGAATTTGACATGCCACAATCCAGGGCATCCCCCGAGCATGCATACTACGCATTTGTGGCGCGGCAGGGTTGAGGCCACCACTGTTGAAGAATAAGCCTGCTCGTCATGCATACTATCCTCTAGCGTCTTTTGCCAGGGCAAGACACTTGTTCTGCAGCTAAGATGGTGAGGAATCTGAGCGCGCCTGGCAGCATCGCATCTAAATAGCTCTGCGCGCAACAACATTTCTGGTCTGTTCATGCAGCGGTGACGCCAAATTTGAGCCGGGCGCAGTGGTCTGCCGGGTCTCGCCGTCCTTCGTTCGCTTCGGCACGTTCCAGCTACCGGCCATGCGAGGAGGCGATCAGTTACCGCTCATTGCCCCTCTCGCAGACTACATCATCCGGCATCACTACCCGCACCTAGAAGGTGTGCGCCTATTCTTTGAATCCCTATTAACCCGCATTTGCTCTTTGCCAGGGGGCCCTGTATCTTGGATATAGTGCACTCTCCTGCTCTGCTGTTACTCACCCTGCTGGATTGTGTGTTTATGCTCTGCATCACTGATTTAAGTGCCTCCTGTCTTTGCGGCATGCCACTGCAGTGAAGGCAAGTTGACAGCAAGGGGTCTGCTTTGCCATGCTGTGGAGATGAGTTGTTTATTCTTTGTGTGGCTGGGTGCTTGCATCACTGGGCAGACGTCACACGATGAGGTTCAGTTTCATAGAGATTCACTGATGATCAACTCAGTAAGACTGAAAGTGGTGTTGCCGGCGAACGACCATTGGGTTGCAGTGGAGAGAGGTAGTGGTTAGGTGCAGGTTTTTCAAGGAATGGGTAGTTGCATCACTGGGCAGACATCGAGCGTGGACACGTCAGCACATTGCTTTTCATCAAATAATCAATCCATGGTTTTTGTGAAAGTTCTGACAGAATGAAACTGCTGAGCTTGTCTGGTGCAGGGCGGGAGGACCGCTACGTGGCATTCTTGGGAGAGGTGGTGTCGCGCACGGCAAACCTATTGGCGTCGTGGCAGAGTGTTGGATTCGTGCACGGCGTGGGCAACACGGACAACTTCAGCATTCTGGGCGAGACTATTGATTATGGGTGCGCCAGCGCCTCCCCTGTCTGGTGCCCATACTGCCAAGTGGGGGCTGGCTCTTCATGTGCCACCTGGTTAGCAGTGCTTAAAAGGAGCTAAGCTCCATTGGAGGGGCACATTATCCAAAGGGCAGGGGGATGGCATCTGTAGAACTTGGGCATTTCAATGCCCGCTGGTTCATCTGGCTCAGTAGAAGCAAACCTGCCATGTGCTTGCGCAGTCCATGTATAACATCTTTGCTGCGGCGATCTGGCAGCCGCTTCAGAAGCCTCCCATGCAAACTTATGCCTTGCAAATGATACCTTTGGCCCCTAAGGCCTTGGATGACCTCAAAGCGGGGCACACTATTGCATTCCATTCAGCCTTCCTCTAAACCACACAGTCTCAGATGACCTCTGGGTGGTGCAGTGGTGCACGACATGCAAAGCGCACATGTGTGATGGCAGCCTTGGGTCGGGTTATGCTTGTATGTATCTATTCTAGGTGTCTTTGCGGTGCCAAATGATCCCTTTTGGCCCGTTTGGCATCCTCCCTGCAGATTCAGTACTCAGGACCCAGGCTACCTCTGTACAAGGGATGTTTTGTGGCATTGCTGCATGCTTGTAATCCTCATGGCCTAGAAAGGCGCGGGGTAACGAAAAATCATTGTGCAGGCCGTATGGGTTCCTGGAGCGATTTGACCCAAACTTCACGCCTAACACAACGGATCTGGACGGCCGCCGGTACACATATCGCGCGCAGCCGGGGATCGGCCATTGGAATTGCGCGCAGCTTGCCAACGCCTTCATGACCGCTGGCCTGCTTGATCTGGTGAGCGCTGCTCTTCACCCCTGCTTCAGGAATTTCATTAGGCACGCTGCTTCAGATTTTGCCAGCCGTGTGGCTTGGGTCTTGCTTGGAACTGGGGTGTCCAGCAAGGGATTGGAAAGTGGTAGCCTTTACCTGCAGCTTGTCTGCAGACGCACCTTGCCTTTGGCAGGAAAGCGTGTAAGAATTGTAATAATTTAGCTTGGTGCGTTCAAAATGAGGTGCAAGCTGATTGGTAGGAAAGCCCTGGTAGGACCAGTAAGGCAGGAAAGTTACAGCCTGCTTCTGAGATCATGCTATCTGACGACTGCATGCTGGATGCCAGTGGTGCTGTTCCCTGAATTGACCTCCACAGCATGCAGCTTCCTGGAGTAAATTGGTGAACCTCTACCGTATCTCGGAGAGCACGGGGATTTATTTGGTGAATCTATCTACCGTGTCTCAGAGAGTAGAAATTGGCTCTGTTTGATCAGGGAGTGAAAACTGGCTCTGTTTCACTGCAGGAAAAGGCGCAGCCCATTGTGGACTCTTATGCGGACATCATGATGGAGGCCTACACAGGCCGCATGGCTCGGAAGATGGGGCTGACCAAGTATGACAGGGAGTTGGCGGTGGGCTTAGTCACCCTAATGTACGAGGACAAGGCCGACTTTACTAATACCTTCCGCGCGCTCGCGTCTGTCTCCGACGGCGATGCCCCTGGCAGCATCCCCGCGCCGCTAGAAGAGGTGCGTGAATGGGCACCTTCGCATGCGTCAGTATAGCTGACTTCTTGCTGAGAGAATAGCTTGGCAGGTGTTTGACGGTAGGCAAGTCAGAATCGGGGTGGTGCAAGGTTGATGGTGTCAAGCAACCACCAGTATGGCTCAGGAGCATACCATCCGTTGCCAGCACGTCATGCTAAGATGTGATAAAGTGTAGAGAGAAAATAAGAGGCATTGTGATGCTAAGATTGGAAACGGATCTTTGCAGAGTGATGTTGAGTGCATTCAGGATGTCCCGGCCCAGAAGACTGGTTGACAAGCTCTTCTCAGCCCTACAAGTGTGATGTGCTGACAAGAAGCAGCCACGCGGGAGATGCCGTTAGAAACTGTCATGACTTGTGTTTCTCCTGATCAGGCGCTGGAGGATTTGAGCGAGGAGCGGCGATCGGCGTGGGGCAAATGGCTGGATGGGCTGAGGGCTGCCCACCGGGCAGAGGGCAGGCCCGAGGCTGCCCGGCGGGCAGACCAGGACGACGTCAACCCCTGCTACGTGCCTCGCAATCAGCTGATGCAGATTGCCATCGCGCGCGCCGAGGCCGGTGACTACGACGAGGTCAGGATTCCCCCTGTGGCATCTGCGCATGCACCTTCCTTCTTGACATCATCATGGCTACTAAATTCTGCCCTGCCAGAGAGCTGCCCTTTCGGAATCTCGCGCAGACGGCCACTGTGGGGGCTGAGGGGGCTGAGGCCATTCGAATGACAAGGAGACAGCTCTGCTTTTTCAAGAGCATGCTGTGCGCAGTCCTCTGTATAGAGCTGTCATAACAAATGAGTGGTCTGCTCACTTGTTCAATTGCCCCAAAGGCCCGACCAATACCTTTGTTGTTGCAGCAGTTGCAAAGACAGAGGAGCTTGACCTGGCCATATTTAGTGCTGGAAAGGCAGGTTTCTGTCTCTGCTTGCCCTGCTGACTTTGCAGGGAAGGGGGCTAGCATGGAAAAGTGACCACTGTACACTCTGCAGCAGGTCTGCTGACATAAACATGTTCTCTGCCGTGCAGCTGAAGGCTCTGATGAAGGTGCTGGAGAGGCCTTATGAGGAGCAGCCGGGCGCGGAGAGGTTCAAAGTGACACCGCCAAAGGAAATCCGCATGGGGGTTGAGCTGCTGTCCTGCTCGTCTTGAGGGCGCGGAGAGGTTCAAAGTGACACCGCCAAAGGAAATCCACGTGGGGGTTGAGCTGCTGTCCTGCTCGTCTTGAGACCAAGTGGATCAAGCTTCTGACTCGCTCAATACAGCGAGGGTGTATGGCATATCAAGAGCACTCAATGCCGGCAGCTGCTATGTGAAGCCTGTGCTTCTAGATACGTGAATCTGCAGCCAGCAATAAGCCCAGCCGCTTCAGAGTTACTTGGTCCAGCAGGATTCGGGGGAGTTGGTTAATTCAAACATGTTGTGCAGGCCTCTGTGCTCGAGTGCCTTTGGGTGAGCTAACATGTGACAGTTGCAATATGAGAGTTAGCTGAAGATGTCAGCCTGAGATGTTGCCAGACGGTGCTGGGTCCAAGCAATGTTGGAAGGGACATGCGGCAATCTGACAGTACTGTTGATGTATGGATGCAAACGATAGTTGACCAGTTGCTACCAAGACAGCCTCCTTCGATTCAATAAACCTCAAGAGGTTACACTGGCTTCCAAAAACAGATGCTGTAATTTGACACGGCTTCTTTGCACCTTCCATGCCAGCGTCTGACATTTTAATCACATGTGAACCTTGCAGCTACAGCTGTTGCACTCCAACTTGGCTCTATACAGCATTGTTCATTTACAGTCACATGCGTGATGTGCTTGTGCACATGCTCTTTTGAGAACACTGCATTATTGCAGGCCAGATTTTTCTTGAAGCAAATTGCAAGCTAGCAGAGCTGCTCTAGAGATAACTGCTGCCAAGACCTGATCAGCACTGCAGCTCAAAAGAGCCATTCTCGGGCTCTGTATTCTGACCTTATATTGTCTGATCCTTGTTGATCATCCCATTGATTGGCCTACCTGATTCGGGGCTAGGGGCAAGGTTTCTGGGAAGCCCTGGCGAAAGTTGAGATTTGGCAAAATGGAGTCAGGACAATGTCCCAAAGCCACATGGCTTGAACTCAGGAGCATGTGCCCCAGATTTGGCAGGCAATATGATCCTTTTAGGGGCCGGATGTTGACAGAGCCTCTCTGAGAACCTGCATCCCTCTGTTTTAAATTTATGGCAATCTCAGGGACGCCCCGCAATTCAGCTACTATCGCCCTTGCTCTACGTATGGCCGGCCTGAGAATTTCTAGGATCCCTGTCAAACCCTGCTGGCTCGATAGTTTGCCAGTGGCATCAAACATAGCAGGTAGAAGGTGAGCATCGGCATGATGCTACAAGGTTTGCAAGAAATACGCGAGACTTCAGAGATTGTGTGCCATTTTCTTACATTTTCTGCAGTATGTACAAGAGCCCACGCATATACTGCAAGGCCTCAATGGCAGAAGACCCTTCTTAAAATTCCCAGACATCAAAGTATGTACCCCCATGCAAATTGTGTTGTCCCAGCAGCATCATGCAATTAACATGATGTTACTTGATCTACGGTGCCATATACTTCCATATCCTCCCCAAACATTTTTTGCCACCAGGGCAGAATCCTTATTTGCAGGACTAGCAATCTTAGACCAAATCCCATACATTGCTTGCCATGAAGTCACCTAGAAACACCCCTTGCCCGTGTGACTTAAGGAGATCAGCTTCAAGACACTTTCACAATGTACATATGCATGCCCCCTTGCAAGGCCATGAAGCCAAAGGAAGCACACATGCAAACCTTTAAAGAAGGCTTTATTCCAGCCGCATATGATCAGGGCATCATATTTGCCCAAATAGACATCCGACCAATGCATAAAGTCCTAAGATTGACATGCATGCGTTCTGTATGCAAAAACAAAAAAAGAGCTGTTCACTATCAAGTCATCAAACAATCTGATCTCGGAAATGCAGGTCCTAAACACTCATTATCTCTATGCGCACGCTGAGAAACAGGAAAAACCAACCTGACAATGTGCAGCATTGCACACGTAAAGAATCATACCTTCCATCATAGGATGACCTGATCAATCCCATCATAGAAACTACTCCTGCAACCTTTATGTACCTCTGCCTATCAGCAGTGTTGCATGCATCTTCTAAAGAATAAAATAATCCATAATGTAGGATCTGCATGCCGCAATATTTCTTGCATAAATCAACACTGCAGAGCACTTGCAGACAACTGAAAAAATGTAATGCAATCTTGTTCTCTCTCTGCCATTCTCAGGCATGCGTTCAACTATCTCCCTACCTATTCTATCAACTGCAATTTGGCGTTCAGCTGGCCTAATCTACCCTTTCATGCATTCTTCCATTCCCATGCTGGATGCAGAGAAACTGTTGCCCTCCCTGCCCCTTTGGGCGGACAGTGATTTCATTCATTGGCTGATTGAGCTATACATTGGCTGATTGAATATCAATTTGCTGAGACTGATGCAGCTGTCTTGCAGCACCTACAGACCCTTTAAAGGGCTTATTCTGATATCTACCCGGGTGGCTCTGGAGCTTTCTTGCAAATATGCTGAAGCACAGTTGTGCAGGTCCAGGCGTATCAATTGCTGCCCAATTTGAGAGCGGCCGCATGCTGCGTCATGAAGACCGCCAGCTCTTCCACTTTTACTACAATCTGGCGAAATATTTTTCTGAGACTCCTATGCCGGGGACGGGGCAGAGCGCGCTGTGATGTTGATGAGGGTGCGCCCACGGGTGGCAGATGTCTTGGTTGCCTGTTCTGGCTCGCCCAGCTCCATTGGGAAGATGTAGTCATCCTTGGTGACGTCAGCGGAGACCTTGCCAAGATCAGCCTCGTCCAACGTCAGCCTGCAGCAAGATCCCATTTTTCAGGAATTAGTACTGCATGACAGGTAAAAGAGGTGATAAGTTGCACAATTGGGATGCTATCAGTCAAGCCTGTGCACAGAAACTGTTCTAGGATTTCGAGCAAGTCCGACAGTTCTGGACAACATACTCAGGGGAATGAATGGTTTATATTGCATGATCATCCATCGGAACGTGGCGCATCAAGCGTCATGCCTCATAAGGCAGTATTCCTTCACACAGCTGCCCCAGAAAATATGCTGTTGGGCGATTCAATGACATTTCCTTGTGCAGCTCAACATTGCAGATGTCATGCCCCTTTGCTACAGGTGCCCCAGTAGCTGTGCTCTTTCTCAAGTGATCCAAAAAAAATTGCTTCTCAGATAAAGAGGCGCACCGATTGGTGTTGTCATCCATGCTGGCGTACAGCGAGTCCAGAGCGACGCGCGTTTCCGGCGAGTGCGGCTCGGCCGGCCGGCCCGGCGGGAGCGGCCGGCCGCCACCGGCGATGCCAAACTCCTGCAGCAGCTGCGTCTCCATCAGCTCGTCCGAGGAACGACGCCGCATGCGGACCCTGCATGCGCAAATGAGAGATCTGCTCAGAGGCTGGAGGTTGAGGGGCCCCCCAGACCCTTTCGAAACATGCAAATCACCTAAATTGCTGCTTGCTGCAAAGCTGTCCACTAACACATCTTGATGGCCATTTAAGCTTTCCTTCTTGCTACTGGATGCTCTGTTGTATCTCACAGAGCTTTTCATCTCCTCTGGCGTGACGCTTCAAAGCGCACTGGCTGATGAAAGGCTGGCATGGAAGCGTGTTTCATGACGAACAGCACACATCTCACGGAAATGTGGTACGAGACGAGGATCTACAGATGGCGCGCACCTGCGCTGGCGGCCAGACTGCTTCAGCAGGGCATCCTGCTCATCCTTCTCTTCCTCCTCGCTGCCCTGCTTCTGACGCAGCTCCTCTGCATACCTGCATGACCAAACAAAGCTTATCTTGACTTGCCAACCAGTACTCAAAGACCTGACTCATTCACTGTTGCCGTCTTGCATGAGATCAATCAGCTTGCATCTGTGATAGTCAAACAGCCAAACACATGACATCACCAGCACACTTTTAGTCTGTTCAATACCCATCTAATTGTACACATGCTTGCTTCCTTGAAAGTGTGTTAAGAGAGATCTAGGAGGGACAGCGCACCTCAACTGTGTCTGCAACTCCTGGTTGGCATTCAGCCGGTCGACCTCCGAGCGCAGAATCTCGCCCATATTCTTGTCGGTCCCAGTGAAGGGCGTTGCTAGGCAGGCCGCCATCTGCTGCGCTGCCCCCGCCGGCAGCTGCGGCAGGGAAGCTGCCCCGGTAGCTGCGTCCTCGGGGCTGGCAGCTTCCGTCAGAGGTGGCGCCTTGCGCACCGGCCCATACAACTGCAAGGCAAAGGATGGGTCTGTTACTGAACATCTTGTAAGAAGAGGTACATGGCTGAGTGACTGATTGACCCATGGAATGAAAATAAACAGAAGGCAATATGCACATGAAACAGCACCCTTGCATGCATGCTGGCATCACTTCTGGGTAGTCACTGATCATTGTTTTTGAGCTTGGCTTACCTCGAAACACTCCGCTGAGGCCAGACCACGGGCAAAGGAGGCTTCCACAACGTCCTCAGCCACTTCCATGGCAGGGGGCGGCGCAAAGTGTGCAGTGGCTTGTGTGCGCACACTGGTCCTCTGTAGCGGGGTGGGCAGGCTGCCCATCTGCCTCAAGTCGTTGTCCGAAGATACCTGCACGTACAGAAGCCGTGGTCAGCTTGTGTGACGTAGTCATGCGTCTGCAAAGCAAGCAAGCAGGAAGGCTCCTTACTGATCTCTGACTGATCTCACTTCAGTCAACAAAGCCAAAGCAGCCGACCGTCCGACGGGGATACAATACTGCCGATCCCATAATGAGCTGTCACCGCTTGATGTGTTCGTCAATTTCAGTCCTTTAAAACAGAGGGGATCGGAGGCACCAAAAAGCAAAAGTGCCAAAAAGCGTAAAGCCACGCCTCGGGATTCACGAAATCGAGCGCGACTTCCCCCTCTGCTGCGGACTTGGCGCGACAGACTCTCTCATGAGACAAGCACGACAGAAAGCTGATTGATGCAATCAAGAGCAGACCCAAGAGCGATTAGACAACCAGTGTGATACCTGGTCATCACAGTTTCCAAGATGGGCTGACGGCTTCCCAAAACACACCGAACCCAGATCCTTCTACACGCTGGCGACAACAAATATGGGTTGTATTGAACAAAAATGAACCCTTGTTCCTACCGCCAATGGCACCTAATCTCCGCAGCTCGCTCCCTTCTCAGTTGACAATCTGACAGAATAACGCACAGAACAAGCTGTAGGCCTTGATACTCACACAGAAAAACTGCCAGTTATCCCCAAACATAATACTCCTACCTTTTGCTAGCTCTAAAGGTATACGCGCCCGAGCCACCGCGCAGTATGCGTTGTTGAGAAGGCATGTGAAGCCAGTACCTTTTTGTGACGTCCCGTCGAACTCAGCCCACCACTCGATCCTGACTTGCGCATGAGCGGCTGGCAGCGGCCGTGAGAGCCGACATCGCCGCTCTTTCCTTCGGCTAACTTCCTTAGTGTTCCTGTGCTTGCTGCCTTCCTCATCAGAAGACGATGCCGGGAACGCACTATCTACCGGTCCCGATAAATCACCTTTCACAACCTATTCAGACCGAAGCTTGGCAGGTTTCCCTAAGCTCTTTTCCGTGAAGAATCTGTCCCTCGGTAACCAAACAAGAGTGCTACTGTAATAGGGCAACGCCTTGGTGCACCACTCCAGATGGAGACTATGAAGCACAGAGAGCCTCCTAAAAGCTTATATGCAGCTGGGCGGATGGTTGTGCTACTCTACTGAAAGACAGTGTCAATATCTAAATGCAGAAAGCGAAGATTAAAGAATGTGAGAGACTCGAAGGTTCGCCTTTGTGCTACCTGGCGACAGCTGGCCGGTACCCGCACGGGCAGTCCAATTGAGCAGCCGTGGGGCAGACTAGTTACTAAGCGGCTGGGTTGACTTTCAACCTGCTCATGAATGTGGAGATCCTAAAATCTGGACGCAATCTGTTACACAAAATTGCAGCTAGTCTTATAATCTACGTCACTCAAGGAATTATTGGATTGCTGCTGAGTCCAAGGAGGGGGGCGACGTCCAGATCACTGATCAGTCTAGTAGAGGTGATCTAGAACAAGCGGTTCTGACGAGATAACGATGCTGTGCACTCTTCGAAAGTTTGTCTGTACTTCCAAAATTTGCGAATGTAGGAAGCTCATTGGCCTGGACCTGGTCTCCAGCTGGTGTGAGGGGTTTCTTACTCAGCGGATAAAATGTGAGAAGCTTCCTTGTAAGACCAGCTTGTAGGTGGGCCCAGCAGGGAAAAGCCGCGGAAAGAGCAGTGAGCATTGCCCTGACTGCGCATGCCTAAGTCCATTTGCCAGGAAGATTTTTGTCATGTGTCGTAGACTTTTTGGCTTCCAAAAGTGAGTGTGTGAGCCCCCATGTTTCCTGTTCGGTTTGCTAACAGGCTGACATGCTTGTCAGGGGCTTCTTCTTCTTATTGTTGGTATAAGCGGGCGAGTCAACTTTGCTGACAGATACTTGCACACATGTGGCATTCTGGCCTGCCTCTCTGCCTGACCAAGCTCGACGTCTGACCAGCCGCCTCATATGCATCAAGATCCTCTCGGATCAGTCTGTTATGCTTGTATTTGTGTGCACTTAGCCAATGATGTGCATTCGAAGGCAGAGAGGCTTCGAGCAACCAAATCCAGTACTATATCAGAACTCTGTTAGCCAGCTTTGCCGCCCATTTTCTCTACTGTGTTTTTGGAGAGGTGGCCTGTCCAAATCCTGATTGTTACTTGCCTGTGACATGGGTGGTGGATGGCAATACCAGAACAGCATAGTCGAACAGCATACTGTCTTTGAATGCCATTTTCATAGGACGCTCTCCTAGTGAATGCTTTAATGCTCTCCTAGCCTACCACCATCAGTGTTGCAGACTCAGGTCGTGCGTCTAGGGACGTCGGGAATGCTCAAATGAATTGATTGCAGACGACAACCTGGAGCATTATTGAGCAGAAATACAAATTCTGCTTTGAACTATCAAGAGGCTTTGTGCCATTGATCCACACCCACGAATGTCCACAGGACACTACAAACTTGAAGCGCGCGCATGAAATGAAAATGCAGCAATGGTCTTGTGAACAACATGCCAGCCTTTGCCAGAATCAGAATTGCAGATGCAACAACCGTGTTTGGCATGATTCTACTCACATTATTTCAACCTGCTTCAGCAGACAGTACCTCAACCTCACTGCTTGTTTTCTGAAGCACGGCTAGGTGCATCTCTGTCGCTGCCGGCAAATGTAGCAATAAAACTGGGCTCGGAAGCCGCACCACTTATTCCCAAGTCCCTCTCCACATCGCGCCCATTTGTTGGGCTGCCCTCATCGGTCACCGACCACTCCGACCCATAAGGGGAGGCCCCCGGCTTGCCAGCCCTGCCGTTGGCCCTCGGCTCTAGCGTGTCCCCTGCATGGCCGTTGCCTGCCTCGAGCCTGATCAGGCCGAGCTCGTCCGTAGTGTCCTTCTGGCGCCCGTAACGGCTGCGGCCGCTGATCCCGTAACGCATCGACAAAAACAGGTCGGAGAGCGCCGGGACCCAGACCGAGCGCGTGTGCAATAACAGGCCTCCCACTGTGGCCAGTACCATAGCTAGCGCCACCCACGCGAACACCAGCCTGCGCACAGTAGATGAGGCTTGTTTCACTTCTACCCTAGTTATGACTGAGCAAACACGCCAGGCAAGTCTTGACTGCCAGAACAGGGGCAGCAGCTCAGTAACGGCCCATTCTGCTCAGAAGGATTCTTCTACACATTGAGGAGCGGTCGAGAAGGGCAGCTGGTCGGCACTGTAGTCACTGGGGCAGCTGCAGGCCTCAGAGCCTGGCAGCCGCTGCTGCATACCGTCATAAATCACTGCTACAAGCCAAGTCGACTGCATGTAGGGAGTGGTCATTGACTGCACACAGCAGCGGCCTGCTTGCAGTGAGGCGCTCCACATCAATAAGTGACTCCAGACTTCTTCCCATATCTGTTGCTTACTGGGGGATGAATGCCCCCACCATGCCTTTGCACATACAACTTGTGCCATCCACCTAATCAGGAGGCGCTTCAAAAGTGCGTGTTCTGCCCAAATGGTCCACCCGGGATGCTGTTCACAAGAATGTCTGATACGTCGTTTTTGAGTAGATATAAGGGCTGTTGTGGAGGGCACAAGGTCGATGAGATTGTCTGATCCTCATTCTTGAGAAGATAAAGGGCTGTTGAGAGGGCAGAAGAGATGTCGGATGCGCACCCATACTCAAGAGCGGCTGCATGCACCCATCATGCCATTGTATAACAATGGGTAGGCCATGACTCGAGGAGCTCCAACAGGTTGCGAGAACCTTCTTGGGAAAATTTTTGGGCTGTGGAGGGAAACAAGAGGGGTGAGGTGCGCACCCGTGCTCGGGGGCGGCGCGCGGCTTCAGAGGATCAGCTTGCGGGCGGGCACCTGCGGCTTGCTGTGAGTGGCTGCCGGGGGCGCCAGGTGGTGGTTGTGCACAGTCCGAATCCGGTGGCAGCGGTGACCTGCCCTGCCACACAGGCCCACTCCTCATCAAGCCCCCGCTAATCACATCACCCCGGCAACTTCTCTCCACCCTCAACGCATGGCTCTTGAAAAGAGCTACAAGAGGCCTCAACGCATGTCTAATGACAACGGGTACACAAGAGAATTGCCTCACTGCCCTGCCACACAAGCCCATTCCCCCTCAAGCCCCTGATAGTCATATCACCCCGGCAACTTCTCTCCACCCTCAATGCATGTCTCTTGACGACAGCTACAATAAAACTCAAAGCATGTCAGCTGACGACAGCTACAAGAGGCCTCAAGGCATGTCTGTTGAAGACAGGTACAACAGGATTGCCGCATTGCCCTGCCACACAGGCCCACTTCTCATCAAGCCCCTGCTTGTCACCCTCTAGCCAGACGTGTAGACTAGCTACTCAGTCAGCAGAGCAGTGTGCAGGTACATGTCCGCTGCAGGCCCCTCTCTCTGCAGATCAGAAAGGCCACACGGCACTTAAAGTATCTAAGTTCCAGCAAAAAACTTGCTGAGTTTTTAGCTGGTTCATAGCTCTGGCCTCGCAACTACAAGCCCTATTGAGCTTGTATCAATAGGGCTGAGGACACTGTGGTGATAGCATTGTGATAGGGCCCCTCTCGCCCTATCACAATGCTAAAAACGTGCTTGTCTCTTGCAGGATCTAATCTACAGAAAACCAACCACTATATGGAATTCACGCGGGAAGGCAGGGGGCACACTCTTCCTCATGGGTGCCGGGAGGGCACGGCGCGTGACGGGCGCCGATCTCCTGGCAGGAAGCTGCGCCGAAGCCGACGCGGCGGTTGCGCCGGTCGTACTGCACCAGGATGTTGCGGAACGAGATCCCACCCAACAGCGTGCCCGACGCGCCGTTGTCAAAGACGCCTAAACAGTACGCGCCCATCTCCCCCGTGTGCATGAACAAGTAGTTCAACGGGCCTGTGCGCAGCCGCACTCCCTGTGGCAGACAGGACATTGGATTTCACGTCAGCAATCACCATTGCGATCATCAGACATGTAAGTCGGTGTAAAGGCCCTGCAAAATGAAGCTTTTTGCGCAAGTGATACCTGTCATGCAACCCCAGTACATTTCGCTTAAATTTCACTCTCTGCCCTGCCATGAATAATCAATGACCCTAGCTGGGAGTTTTTTTGCAATTGGAAGAGGACAACATAGAAATTGCCGTCTTTATTGGAGAAAGCAAATATTCACTGTCTGAGGAAATCTAGCGCTTTTAAAAGGGGGGAGGGGGGAGGAGAGGCACGCACGTCTGCAAACTGCAACTCGAAGACTGGGAAGACCTTCTCCAGCTTTGATTGATCCGCGTGGCCCGCGTGCGGAGCGCCGCCAAAGCAGATGTCGTGGAACTGCGCAAAAGATTTCTCCTGTTCAATATTGGATTAACGGCAATGTAAACCTTTAAATCCACCAGCAGGACAATACAAAGCTCAGCTTGTGCACTCTGCAAGGCTCACTATGCCAGAGTAAAAGGACAATTTTATGGAGAGCAGATCAAGTCAGAACCCTCGGTTCCACAGCAGCCTTTCGAGCTTCCTGACGTTTGAATACGGCGTGCTTGTGTTGAACGCCGAGCTCACAAGTCAGAGAGCTCAGAAAAACCCACAATTCGTTGTTGATGGCCAGCCCCACACAATTGCTCGACTGGCCCATATGCTGTGCACACATTGAGTGCCACTTCATGGAATCAACTGTAACTTAATAAAGGCAGCAAACAAGCTCACCTTGGGGTCTGGTCCCTTGACGCTGTTCAGCCCATGCTCAAGGGCGTAGGCAGACACAGCCTCCTTGAACAGTTGAAACGCCTCGGACGGAAGGTACGTGAAAGTAGTACCGCTGTCTAGAACTGTGCCATAGCCCTCCTCATACCTCTCCTGCATCAGTCAACACAAATCATTACCCCTGCACAATCATTTCCAACCCTCTTGCAGTAACCACCGCGCAGCATCAAACCTGGCACCTGCTGTGCAGCACAAGCCAAAGAACATTGCGCCTCTAGAATCAGATCCTTCTGGCAACAACACGGCATAGACACGTTCTCAACATTGCCCTGGCATGCGTCAAGCCCTCTCCGATGTTGATCACAAGCATGATCATCCACAAGATCCTGCAACGGGCACTGTGCGGACCCTAGTCCAAATTCCCCCTCATATAAAGCTTGTTGCAATGTTATCACATAGGTTGCAGCGTGATGCAGTTGTAGTGTGATGGTGCTCTGCATTTGTCCTGATATTGCAATACGGCTGCACCATTTTCTCCCTCTATGAAGCCTTCTAAATATACATAAAACAAGGAGGGGGCTCGCACCGGCTTGACAGGCAGCTGCTGGCCACCCACCCACAGAGCCTCCAGCTGGACGCTATAGTAATGGGGGTGAGCTAATGATGACAGCAGCGCGGTGTACTGCAGTGCCACGTCATACTCGGCCGCGTCCACGTCACCCAGCATCAGCGCCCCGTCACCCTCCACGCTCCCAAAGCACAGCGCGAACACGTCGTCTATCACGCCGCTGCCCGCCAGCTGCGCGCGCCACATCAGCGTTTAATGACCATTATGCCATTGGATGTGTGCCTGTTAGTGATCAGCACGACCACGTACCCACTGGTGATAAAGAGCAGCAGTGACAGACTCCTTGGCAATGGTTGCAGCGCAAGGTGCAGGCCTGACTAATATCACACGGGACAACCGCTCGATTGGCACTGCATGCACATGCATAAACCGTTCAACACTTCTCTTCCTCGACACAGCTCTTCATAGTACCCCAAATTCCCCCTCCGCAATGGCGAATCATTAAGAGGAAAGCAGGGCAATTCACATGCTGTTGCTTGGGACAACAATGCACTGTTGGGCACATGGCTGCGCATGGAGCAGTCAGGGTGGCACACCTGATTGACCAGCGACACCTCTGAGTTGCCCAGGCCCAGGATGCCATCTGCCTCCTGGTTGTAGATCTCCCCCGTCTCCTTTGTCTCACACCCAAACACCACCTCCACCGCCCCATCCCTCAGCTGCAGCTGGTCCGACACCAGCAGCCCCGCACTGCTGCTCTGCTCCGCTGCAGTATTCACCAACACATGGCTTCAGCAAAAATGACCATCTACAGCATTATTCTTTGATGCTCTGCTCCGCTGCAGCACCACACCACACACTAGGCTTCACAAATATGACAAGGCTTGACATGCTGTGACACTTCGGAGTGTTCGGCCCGTCTTTAAAGATCTCTTGTGATGGCCTGCAAGAGTCTGCCCTGCTGCTCGTGCCATCCCTCTGTTCTCGACCAAACCGTCGCACAGCGGTCGCACCCAATTCTCCATCAAGAAATAAAGTCATGATGATCATTCCTGCCCCCTGCTTTTCCACTTTAGTGGGCGCATGGGCTGTCAAACTAGTTTGAGGTCCACATTTAGCACAGACGCGGGATAGCTCACCGTATGTGCGCTGGTAGGTGCACTCGCGCTTTTCAGAGCAGCCGCACGGCGGCCGCCCGCATATGCACTTGTCGCTGTCGCACCCGATCACCGCTGAACTCGATGAGCTGGCGGGATCAAACGCAGCGTCCTGCAACAGGCAGATCACAATTCAATCGGCTGACTCTGGTGCCGGGATCTCTTCCAGCAGCCTGTTTTGCCTGGCTCCATCCCTTGCCTGTTGTGCAGCAAGCAGGTGATTGCCCTCGCAGCGTCTGGCGTGACACTGCATACAATTTTTGGCAAGCACCAAAACTGCTGAGAGCGGACTATGTTTAATTGAGATGTAGGCAAACAGTGTGGTGCAGTGATATCAGGAGGACTTGCCTTGTGATGCGGCCCACAATTGCGTCCACATGATGCACAAGGAACATATGTGATGGTGCTTCCTGTGTCCACGATCACCGCAAACTGCCGTGCGGGAGTGCCCAAATGTAGTGTTGCGTAAAAATAACTGCATAATATTGCAAAATGAAGGTTAATAAATCTTGCAAGCGCACCCAGGGCAACAAGATCACAAACAGAAGCTGTGATCAAGAGCTCGCCATAACATATTTGGATATGGAATAGATGGAAGTTTTGATGAAATGTATCGAATCTTTTGAAACACAAATAATCAAAGCAGATCAGATCGCTGCCCTGGATGCTCACCCATAGTCCTTCACAGCGCCGTGCAATGGCAGCGTCGCGTTGCGCAGGAGACCCCGAGCGATGATCCCACCATCACGCCTCCTCAGTGGTAGAACCAAGCTGTCTTGCTGCACGCTTCTTCCAACCCCGCTGAGCAACAAGAGCCCCAAAAGGAGGGCTTGGCAGTGTCGCACAACCATCAGCACCCTCCCCTTATGAGGGGAGAGGCCCAAAGCTCAACTGTCCATTCCGTAAGGATCTTTAGAGTCTGGAGAGAGTTGGACCACAGTGAAACAGTCTAATTGTTTTATTTTGGTCCTATTCTGTCAAGAGCGAACCCAGTCCAAGGCCTGCCTTATTTGGACAAAATAGAGTTTGAAGGAAGAGAGGATCGCAAGAAGGCCTTTCCCTAGTAATAAAATGGACTACCTGGCATGATCAAATTGCCATCATGGCTTCTTTGATGCGACGCGTTCAGGAGAAAGGGTCGACCTTAGGGTAAATCCCTTGTCATGCCTCCCGCAAAAGGGTTCGCGAATATCTAGTGCATTACAAATTGCTCAGTGCTTGTGCTCAGAATGATCTCGTGCAAATTTTCAGCACCCACTGGCGCACACTGCATTGCAACTAGCAGAGAAAACCCAGAAAAACAAGAAGAAGCCATGGCGGAATATAAGCAGTGCTGCGACCCTGGCACGGAGTGGCAGGGCGAACCCACCGGGAAGGTAGGTGCGACGTGGTCCTGGTGCAGCAGTGCTTACCTTTTGCTTGGCTGTCCTACATCGGACAAAATCTCACCTTGTGTCTTCTGTTATCCATTCATGTGGCCCTGTCTTGCCCTTTGTGACTTCAGTTGATACTCGATGCGTTGATGATCTGGGCAACATATGCCAGTTGTTCAAAGCCCACAGAGCGTCGAAACCAACAGCAGCGCTTGTAATGTACCTAGTCATGGCCTTTTGCTCACTGCGACTTGGTGTGTCCAGTGCGTATCTCTTTTGGTCTAGACCAAATAGGGTACTAGCAGCCTAGGATCAGGGCAACTTTCCATTTAAAGCAGGGCATAGTGTTTAGGCTCCAAAGTAAGCGATCGAAAGGATCTTGTCGAAAATGTTCCGTTCAGCCAGGAATGCCGGGAAGATCCCCCTATTGATTTCTTGATGTTTCTGGGCCACTGCAGGTCGGCACAATAGCTACGTATGATGCATATTTTGCCGAGCCCAAGGACACTCCCAAGGCGGCTATTGTGCTCATCAGTGACATATTTGGCTGGGCCAAAAAGAACATTCGCATATTTGCCGACAAGCTTGCTGCAGCAGGTGACAGGAGCCTCACAACCTTTGTACAGATGTTTGGCTGGTGGTTGATAACAAATTGCTACATATGTTTCTCTCCTATGACTCATATCTTGGTGTTCACAAAGCCTTCAGACTTATAGTGTGTGGAACATCAGGGGCCTTGTATGCTGTACATGTGAAGGTCTTCAGGGCATCCAACATGTGTGTGGCTGCAAATTTCTGCATGCAGGCTTCGTCACAGTGGTGCCAGACTTCTTCAGGGGAAAGGCCCTCACCCCCGAGTTTGACTTCTCAAAGATTGGAGAATGGCTCGGCCAATTCCCTCAGGACAAGGTAGAATCCGGCGCCTGTGCTTCCCTGCCTGAAGCTTTCAGCCTCAATGCACGCATGCCCCTTCCTGCCATTTAAAGGAAGGCTCATACCTGCGTCAAGCAAACAGTGGCTGCCAATTGAATATAGTGCCTACAGCCCAGTGCCGACATGCTGACAGTGCAATGCAGTGTTGAAAATGCAGTGCTTCTGGTGTGCAGACGTTGGAAGAGGTCAAGAATGTGATCGGGGAGCTGAAGGAGAGTTATGGTGAGAACATCAAAGTGGGCGCTCAAGGCTTCTGCTGGGGCGGTTGCTTCACTGTCCTGCTGCTAGGTGCCCACCTTTCCTTTACTTCTTTCTTTAATTTGAAGAGGAGAGCAGTGGTTTTTCTACAAGTAACATGATTACAGACACCTGTGTCACTCAGCATCGCCAAAGACCAGGGCAGGCCATGGGGCACTTACTGTGCAAGCAATGCTTTTTGAGCAAACATGGATGTTTGGTCGACGCTACACAGCAGAGCGCTCTCCGCAAGGTCGAGTAAGGTACACTTCAAAGGAACGCTGCTAGCTCATTGGTGCTTCTAACCATGCTGAGGTGGCGGCTGTGTGCCTGACAGGCTCGGGGGATTTGGACGCGGGGGTGATTGCTCACGGGTCGCTGATAAAGCTGGAGACGGTGGAAGCTATCAAGAAGCCGGTGAGTCACAGCTGTCCCGCTTGTAGGAGTCAGCAAGTCTGCTTGGACTCGCACTTTCCAGTGATTAAGCAGAAACATTTGAGGATCATGCAATCACCCACTTCTTTTAAACTGCCTATTAAACAATAGGCAGAAGAGGTACCAAAAAGGGATACTGTGGCCCCGCCTCATCACAGCGGAATGCACGATGTGCAAGTACTGAGTGTGCTGTCACCGGTGATGCCTTCTTCAGGTTCTGTTCCTGTACTCGGCCAACGACCAACAGATCCCAGACATGATGCGCGAGAAGATCCAGGACATCCTCAAGACCAAGTCCTTCCCAGCTGAGGGCGTCTATTACCCCAAGCAGGTGAGAGGCTTTTGCATTCAGCCATTGATATATTTGATGTTGAAGTTGAATGTAAGTCATTCAATTGCTTGGTCTCCGCCTAGCAGGAGACAAAGTCAGAGAACCTTGACCCAAACTAGTTCACTGAGCCCATGCAGCTGCAGCAAGCAAGGTGCGCAGAGAGGCGGCCCTGATCCTGGGGACGCGTGTCTTTTGCCCTGCAGCAGAATAGGGTGATTGTACCTTGTTGGGGTAATATGCTTGCTCTGATCGACAAATAGGGGCAGGCAGTAACGATTATGGCACTCTGATCAGCTTTGCCTCTGATTCCCCATGCCCAGCATGCAATCTCCTTCATGGCTCAGTAGGATCTGGATCAGTGCACCTGTAGCATGTTCAGCCTTGTGCTGCAATGCTCTTACAGCCTGCTTATCCTGTGGAGCTGTTTCTGCATCCAAGCAATGCCCCTGCAGCCTGCTCAGCCTGTCCAGCAGCCTTTGCAGACAAGCAATGCTCCTGCATCCTGCTTGGCATGCTCATCATCCTTTGAAGTGTTTTGATTTGCTGACTGGTGGATCCACCCCGCAGGCGCATGGGTGGAGCTTAAGGGGAGATGACAAGGACGAGGCGGTGGCAGCCGATGCTCGCGACGCATTTGCGCGCTCTCTCAAGTGGTTCCAGGAGCACCTGTGAAGATAGTTAAGAGAGGAGAGATGCAAGAACGTACGAGGCAGTGCGAGCGCCAAGCTGAAAGAAAGAGCAACCTCACAGTGTATATGCAGTGCTATAGCATGAACTGTCTAATAGTGACATAACAGACAATTGTATCAGCAACGTTCAGCAGAAATAGCCTGGCAGGTAGAGTATAAATCTGCAGGGATAACCGCTTCTTTGACAATTCTAGAGCATCCGTGAAGCTGCTTGCACCGCTCTCAGCACCTCAGAAGAAAGCAGGAGCACTTGTGAAGCAGTGGTGGTGGCAGCTGCCAAGAAGGTCTCAAGATCACCTGTGGAAGCGGCAGGGGTTGGAGCTTCTCAGGTGGTCTCTTAGGTCGTTCACATCAAATTCTTCTTTCATAGCTTGGAAAGGGAAAAAGGCCAGGTGCATCTAGCTGCAATTGTGAGCTCTCTGGTGTGCTGAGCAAGCTCCCTTCTCCTGGCACAATCCCTCCAACAGCATTTATCCATCAAAGTTGCGCATGCAACATTCCCGCTGACTATTGTTTGCTGCGCAATCTTGTGCGGCGCCCACATGGGCAATATTTGTTATAATAAATTTTTGTGTCTCTGCCGAAGTGCTTGCCATTGCAAGCATTGGACAGATTGGACAGATGAAACAAGTTGTAAATGAATTTCTTGAATTACCAGAATCAAAGCAACACCAAATTCAAACGCACTCTTTGCAACACCACACCATGCCATAATCATTATGACGAGCAATCTGCCAACTGACTAATCTACCCAACACGATCTCGTTGCGCAGTCACTGAAACATTCAAATACATGCATGCCGGTGCACAGACCAGGCAAATCCCACAGCTGCGCTAATAAATAATTATCCAAGATGCACTCCAAGCTCTAATGTATTCATCATGTCTCTTTCCAGACATCGAATCATTGTGATTTTATGTAAAGGCATATGCACTTATTCAAAGCCCATTAATGCAGGCAATATTGCCTGTATGGCCAATTGCAAGCACATAGGCTGTCCATCAGGATGCCCAAAAAAAACAGAGCTGCAGCACCTTAAGAATTTTTGCGCCCATGTCAAGGCAATTGACTGATCACATGACACCACATTGTCTAAGTAATTTGACACCGCTATGATGGACAGGTTGACACAGCGGTGACTATGCGCTGACTAAGCGATCTCATGATTTCCCTTCACGAAGGGGTTGTCGTCGGACTGCTTCAGCTCCGAGAAGGTGTGGTTGACATGGCTGTGGCATGCCTCGTCAGCGCGCACGTTCAGCAGCAGATCGCGCATTGTGGCATCCTGTATTTACAATACAATCACTGCATTAATAATTTGAAGTTTCTTGTTCAGAAACTTTTGCAGCCAGATCAAACATTTACTGCTGTTTGTGAGACCATTATTGTGTCCCTCCAAGCCTGCTGTTCACTGGCAAAATTTCTCAGCAGCAAAAGGCTTTTCTGTACGAAGTGAACACATTGAGTGCATGGAAACCACGCTGCTGAAGAATGCCCAGCAGGCAGCGCTTCCTTTTCTGCGCAATTTTCAGTGAATGTTTGAAGAGCAATTGCTCCATAGCAGCATGCAACTGGACACACCTCGGACATCTTCCAGTAGAACTTGGCAAGGTCGGGGGCCGGCTTGTCTGCCCACTCGGGCAGCTTGCCATTGTCAATGTCTGCGATGGCGTGCGTGTCTGCATGCATGCACCAGCCTTCAGCACAACATACCCGCAGCATAGCAATCTTCAATGAGGTGTATAGGATGCATTCTGATGTCTGCTTGCATGCACCAGCCTTCAGCACACCATATACGCAGCACTTCATGTGTCAATGACGGTACTAGGATGCAGGACATCAACAAACAAATGCTTCGAATGCGTGTCCTGTTTTCCTTTGGCGCTAGTGCAAACCAGACATGCAGTCCAAGTGTTCACTGCCTCTTTTGGACTGCAGTGATTCCATCAAGAAAGAAAAACACAACGGGAAGATGTCTTTCACAATGTTCCAAGGAATGCAATATAGAAGTTGGGAGGCTCACAGGTCTTGACTGCCTCCTCTTCCAGGTAGCCGATGAAGGCGTGGCAGTGTTTGGGGCTCAGCATGTAGAAGAAGAAATACAGGTTGAAGAACACACCCTGCAAGCCAGCCAGCATCATAATCACGTTGTCAGCCTGCAGCTGCTTTTGCATGCAACACCAACAATGCAGCTCGGAAGATTGCATCGTATAATTAGGCAGGCCATGTGGGCGCTTCAGACATCGATTGTGGACCATCAGGATGCTCCACTGCAAGATCAGTACCAACAGGTGGTACTGCTCTTGCACATCTCAATAGAGACTGTGGTGCTCTAGACCTCATTCTTGGTCTGTAGAGCAGGTATAATGCTTAGTATGCCTGATCGTATAAGTAAGCAGTTTGAGGGTGCAATGCAGGTCAAAGTAGACTTCAAATATGGTCATTACCTGGGTGAGCAACACCCCCGCCCTGACCAGGGGTCCAGGCTGGCGCAGCTTCAAGAAGGTCAGCAAATGCTGCACCACACAAACCAATCACAACCATCTTTCTGGAACTGCATGCTTTGCAATTAAATTGCAAGTTCATCAGTGATCACCCAGTGCCTGCAATGCAGCCTTGCATGCATCCTTGAACCCCGCGCAACATGTGCACTCAGATCCTACTTACTTTACAGTGGAGCACTGTCCAATGTTCAGGGCAGTTTGTGGCTCCAGAGCAACGGGGAACAAACCAACAAAAAAATTGCTGATGGGCATGAAATGAATATTATTAGGGTGAAGAAGCAAGTCGCACCATGCGCTCATTCTCGGCTTCCTCGAGCAGCGTGTGGATCCAGCCGTGGTCTCTCTCCATCACTCGCAGGCTGCGCATGTGTCTCAGCTGCAGGCCACAACACAGACCACCCCTGTCAATCTGCTTGCAGCTGTCAGATGCACAGAATCATACATTTATAACGTTAAATCATGCTTTGAGACCTGGATACAGGCCCAGATAACCCTTACGCCAGTGCCTCACGATTGGAGATGCGATATAACTGGCTGAGCAGAGCCATTTTGTTTCAGACTATCCCTTTGAAGCAGCCCGTTGCTTGCAGAAGCCCCATGACAAATCAAGCCATTCCTGCCCTCATAGAAACTCAGCTGACAGCTAGGACACACGTGGGCAGTCCTCATCTGGCCAGCAGGCTGCGATCCGCCAAAATTCACCTATTTCATTTTGTACCCAACCTTTTCAAGCCCAAGCACCTGAGAAAAGTTTTTTCTAATTCAGAGTACCAAACCACAATGCACACCCCAGCGCTAGATAGTTCGGCGCATTCTCCAAGAAATTGGGGACTTGATTTTCTGCCTTTTAAACGTTTGGAGCTGTCCCAGCTCTCTATTTCGCATCATCTATCAAGGCAAAACTCCGCGGGATGATACGGGGGTTTACAAGCTACGCAGAACAAAATCCAGACACCCTTCTAAAACGAGGGAGGTTAGATTTTCTCACCATGCCGCCGACCATGCCAGGAACGCCAGCCACAGTCTCCAGGAAGACTATGCGCTGCAGCCACTTGCCCTCGTTCATGTTGGGCCCATAGCCCGTGATCTTATCAAACGACCAGCGCATGGCCGTCACCGCCCAAAAGCCTGTCTTCTCACTCCACTGCAGCATGACACACCAATGTAAGTCATGCGAGCACCTTAAAGAGACAGTCTAGAAAAACTCCTCAACGCTCCACTGCAGCGCACCCACAGATCAGGGAACACCCTCAAGAAAAGGAGTCCCCATTTGTTCCGACCATGAGCCTGTGATCTATCTCTAGTCGATGCAAGACTCCCTCGCCATTCTGTTGGGTACCGCCTGCTTCTATTCCCCTCTGCATGGCCTGACTTGTGAACCCGCACCATGTGCACAAGAGCCAACATGCAACTTTCCAGTGAACTGCAGCCCTCCCAAGGTGTTACTTTTCATGGGAACTAGAGTGGCGCTTACTTAACGATTTCCTATTCTCAACTCTAAGTCATGTGTCGAGCTCCCCAGCCCTGCTTTTGCAGCTTGACTTATATTGGGCAGGCCATAATGATGCTGTCCCGCTTTACTCAGGTGCTCCTCTAGATTGGGCAGACTGAACACCCATTGGACGTGCCCGAAGTACAGGGGATGGGGCGTATCACAATCGCCCATGTATTTGCCTGTTCAAGCAGGGCTGCACGCACCTTCTCATACGGGATGACAGAAATGAGTGATAGCCAGGCCTGCCTAGATAACATGCATATGAGGGGAGATCAGTACCTTCTCAGGGGTCTTGTGGCGGGGGTAGATGGACTCAAGGTACTCCTTGTTGTACACCGGGTGCATGAGCAAGTATGAGTCACCGGCATCCTTCGAGTCGCTGCCCGGGTGAGGTGCAATGTACCTGCACACACCAAACAGGCGCTGCCCTCTGCACCGTCCGAATGATCTGTGTCGCTGCAGTGTTAAAATTTCAAGGCTTGAAGTACAAGCACAGCCGTGTGACGTGGAGTACACAGTAAGGTAGCGCCAAGCTAATGCACAATATGAATTTCGCAGAGGGTATCCCATGTCGATCTTCTCACCCCATGCAACATGTGCATGGCCCCACACTTCTTCTGCAGAGCCATCAGCAGCACCCTTTCTGGGCTTTCAAGTAGACGCAAGAACAGAAACGCCAACGCGCCATCCAAATCCGCCGAAGAGTCAAGGAGCGCTCATCAACTTTTCAGAGAGTGATGGAGGGGCTGAGAAGAGGCACTCACCCTTCCTGGTAGGTCTTGTCTTTGGCGGTGCCGGCCTCCTCATTTATCCTCATGTGCTCATGGTGCGGCTCCTCACTCAGACTCGCCTGCTGCCAGCTCTTGCTCTGCGGCACAAGGGAAGGTCAAACCAACTTCCGTCAGGCAATGCAAAGAGCATATTCCTATTATTACACGCCATTCCTGCCAAAGGCGAGGTGCGTCTGCAGACAAGCTGCATGTAAAGATACCACAGTCCTACCCCTCGATGTACTCGCCAGATACAATCAAACCCAATAAATCAGTGCTCAATGTTTATACCGGCCCCCCCCCGCCAGCTGGGGCCTGCAGAACCAGTGTATAGCTGCGCAGAACAAGATGCAGATTGTAAAGTTCTTCAGCTTGTGCCAGCCCTTAGCCACAGAAGCTGAGAAGCCTTGGAGCGTTGTGTGCAATCCCAGTCTGACTTGCGCAAAGCCGGCTTCACCGGCTGATAGTACAGCGTCAACGAAGGCCATTCCCATGGGCTCCAGTAACTGCATTTACAGAGCTGGAGGTTTGCGCACCGAGGTGTGAAGGGGTGTGCTGAGGAGCTTGGAGGGCTGCGCTGGCGCCAGTGTAAGGTTTGAGAAGCTGCAGGCGCATGCTACTGGAGCCAGAGCGGATGCCAGGCTTGGGGCAAGTGAGGGATGCGCCGCTGTTCTGGCCAGCAGCTGACGAGCCAGCACCCCAGAGCAGCGCTGCATCGAGCTGATCATGAGCTCCTGCAAGCAGTGCACTCAACTTCAGGTGTCCACACGTCTTCAGCTCAGGTCTCAATCCTGCACCATGCAACTGCAAGAGCTGCGTCCTCGTCTGCACAGTTTAAAACACATAAAATGTGCATTTGATTCAAAATACAGCACTCCCTGCTCCTTCCAAGGTCTGAACCAAGTCCAAGATAAAACGACATCAGTCCTTCTTGACGCCTACATATCAGGATTGTTAGGCGCCATTTGCAGGATCTCTTGTAGAGGCGGAAGTAATCCTCTTCCTTCCTTTGCTTGATTTCGGTAGCGAAGTCTGTACGAGTGGAGCTTGTGGGTCCACTCACATAAACCCCGTGCTCGTCAAGTTTGAAGTGAATGAGAGGCTAAAAATCTCTCAGATATACGTGGATTAAAATTTTTAAGGCACCTGAAGAAACTGCGGGAGCGATATTGGATTTTTCACCTATGAAGAAGCGCTGTCGTACTCGATGCTCGAAAGATTGTACCTCTCCTTGTACCGGCCACGGAACAGATGGTCCACAGCAACGTTGCTATCGATTTTCCTTTAGGAGAGGTTTTTACCAACAAGGTTGATTGGTGACGTATGAATCAGTCCTTCCCTATCCTTTCTAAGATGCTACGAGAAGCCGAGGAAGGTTCCTTCCTTGCCTCAAAAGGGAACGCCAAAACCTTACATCCAGCGTGGCCGACCCACGTGCAGACATTCTCCCAGACTTAGTTTGTAGCTCAGAAACAATTACAGGAAACAAATGCTGGGAGAGAATCTTGGAAGCTAGAGTGGGCTGAATGAAAGTCATGCGGCAGTGCTAGCCAGATTTTGCTCCATGGCTGGTCCCGCGCCATTCTGCGGTGCAGCAACAATTTCTTCTGCTCCAAAGATCGAAGTGAGGCTTCGCGTGTCTTTTTCCCGCAGCAAGATCTCCTGCACCGCGTCTAGCGCATGCATGCCATGCACGATATTGTCGCGCGTGCGCACATTCACTGTTCCCTCCGCCTCCTCCTTCTCGCCAACCACCTGCTCGGGATGAACCCCAACAGAATCGGAGTCAGATGGACCAACATGACCAAAACAATGTATAATAACCTGCAGAGAACAGCCACTGTTCGTCCTCTGCAAAATTTGCTGCTGTGGGCTCTCATGGATCTATAAAGAAAAAGCACATTTCTGCAAATGGTCACATGCAGCTAAGAGCTGCGTGCCTCCTAAAGTGCCCGGCGCTCTTCTGAGACAATCACTGTGAAAGCAGCAGCAGCAGCAGCAGCAGCAGCGGCAGCCAGACCTGCTGTCTATTGGCGCTCGTGTGGCCAGTCCCAAACATGTCACCTTGCAGCAGCCCTTCAAAATGAAAGAAAGAGCGAAAGAGTGGGCGCACCAGGATGTAGTTGAACTGGGCCAGCTGCGCCTCGCGCACTTTCTTCTGCATCTTGCGGTCGCTGTCGTCCACCTCGACGTGCAGCTTGGCCGCCCTCAGCTGCGCTCGCACGCGCCGTGCATACCCCACGCTGGCCTCACTGATGGGCACCACGATCACCTGATCCACGCACAAGGTAACCAAGTCAAATGAAGTCGGCCTACAGACTCAGATTGCTGGCCATCAATGTTTGCCTTTGGCCACTCAAATGCCAGAAAAGCTTGCTGACACACAGTATCCGTATTGGCTGATCAGAGACTTCCTGGGGCTGTCTTGAAGACAGTACACAATCTGTCCTGATAAGAGGCCGTGCCTTTGCTGAGGGTCATATTGGGAATGCATGCTTTGCCCAAACAAACTTTGTGTACCCTTGTCTACCCAGCGGGCACCAGCCATCCCCTGGATGCGGGGAAGTCCTTATGCCCACCTGGCGCGGCGAGAGCCAGAGCGGCCACTTCCCGGCAAAGTTTTCGGTGAGGATGGCGAGCATGCGCTCCACAGACCCCAGGATGGCGCGGTGCACAATTACCGGCCGCTCAAACGCCTCGCTGGCACCCTTGTACTGCAGGTCAAACCTGCAATAGCACAGCCATAATTGTTCAACTGCTTGCTCCTGAATACTTTGAACGCAAGAGTTCTGCAAGTACTCTGTTGGGCGGCCAAGTGCGTGGTCTCAGTACGCCATGTATGAACAAGAAATAGCAGCACTGAAGGCTGAAGAAAGCGCGATTAACACATAATTGCTTCCTCCAGTCGAGGATTCCATAGATTCTGAGCCAGTTTCTCTATGCTTTGAGAGGATGCCTGACAGGGTGACTGCATGTGATGTTTGTGCCGCACCTGACAGGCAGCTGGAAGTCCAGCTGAATGGTGGCGCACTGGAACTTGCGCCTGAGGGCGTCAAAGACCGTAATGTCGATCTTGGGTCCGTAAAACGCTCCATCTGCCTCATTTAACTGTACGACACACAATTAGTGTCTTGTCAGTCCTGGCTCTGGACAGAAAACTGCTACTGCACATAAGGCTCATCACTGCCTCCTGTCTACAGCGCTGACATATTTGCTGCAACAAAGGATGACACTCGAGAGGTGCACGCCATCAGAGCAGGGGTAATCTCCTGATCTTTCTGTCAAGAGATCTTCCTGCAATACTCATCTGAATAGGTAGCGTGTCCATCAATGATCATATGCCATTGATCTTGAGGGCAGGGCAGCTCATACTATGGATGACAACAAGATGCTGACAAACAGTTTGCAGTTACGTTCCCTCCTATTCCTCCCATGTGCATTCACTGTATTAGTGATAATGTATCATGACACATAGATTAGTTACCCACCTCCCAGGCCTTCCCGGTGGCGTCGAGAGCCTGTGTGAGGGCAGCCTCTGCAGCGTCCCACTGCTCGAGAGTGCCCAGGTAGGAGTCCGGTCGAGTGGATAGCGCAGCCTTGTAGGTCAGCCCAAAGACTGCGTACACCTCGTCCAGCATGCGCAGGCAGCTGCTCACCTCTGACATCACTTGATCCGGCCTGCACAGAACATAATATCATCTTAGTCAGTTGTTCACTACAATGCCAGCCCTCCTAAAGATGGATCATAAGGATGCCACTCAGCCGATAGGGCCGCCAGAGGGGTTGCAAAGGCACAGAGCTCCGCATTTGTCTGACAGGTGATGAGCACTGATCAGATGCTGCAGGCTGTCTGCTGCAGACCTTGAGTTGTGCTCTGAGCCCAGTTGGATTGCAGTTATTTTCTGCCTTGGAGTATTGGGGCTGCCCAGGGGACTCTAAATTAGTAAACTGGTTTAGAGTCTACTAAAAACTGTTAAGAGAAGGGCTGACCCAACCAGCACCCACCACCAAATCGAGGTCCCAATTGGCAACCGCTGGGATGGGCGTCCCTCACGCGAAACTGATGCTATGGGCAGCCAGAATTCCAGTCATTTCACCACAGGTGATGCCAGGTATTCAAAGAAGATAAATTCAGTGCGAGCACCTGCAGAAGACGTGCGCATCGTCCTGCTGGAAGCGCCGGACGCGCGTGAGGCCTTGGAGCGCGCCGCTGAACTCGTTGCGGTGCAGCACGCCAAAGTCAGCCATGCGGATGGGAAGCTCGCGGTAGCTGCGCAGCCGGTGCCCGAACATCAAGCAGTGCCCTGCGCGCGCATGCAAAGACATATTGTGAGTCATGCCGTCTTTGCATGCGCGCAACCCCGCTGTGTGCAGCTGAAAGCCTGTCTAGCAATCCGCTGCGGGAGTGCATCTAACTGAGCTGTTTGGCATACATGTTGACGAAATTAAGAGGAAAACACCGCGGTCAGCATGCAAATAGGGAACTTGAACTTGAGCGTTGCAGCCGTGGGTGATGGCAAGACGCTGGGTACATGGCACTTGACCAGAGCTCCCATTTCATCCTACCCTCTTTTGAATTATGCAAGCAGTGGCAGTGTCACAATCTATGGACACTGACCAAACGAGATACGAGGGCGGCAGAGAGGCGTCACCTGGGCAGTTCATGGGCTTGAGGCCAAACTGCTGCTCCTCGATGTCGACGAGGAACATGTTGTCCTTGTAGTGGTCGGCGTGGCCGCTACGCTCCCACAGCTCAAAGTTGTACAGGTTGGGCGTCACCACCTCCTCGTACTCATACTCCCAGTACTTCTCACGTATCAACTGCGCATCAAAAGCATGTAACAGTTACTAATTCGTTATACTCACCCTTTTTTGAATGAGTCATGCGCAACTGTTGGTGCCTAGCTGTGCTCACCAACTCTCCTTCCCAGTCAAATTAGCCATGGCATCAGTGTGCTCAGGGGCTAGTAGTCATAAGATGCTTCATGCATCGTTTCTTGCCAATCAGTTTCTCTATATCGGAGGAGTGCTGACACACAAGCTTTTTATCAGATGCATGTTCATGACCGTGACGGGCTGCTAAGCTTTTTGGTGCTGCTACAACTCCCAAGGCCAACCGGAGGAGTACATTTCTGAGCACAGTTTAAGACAGAAACCCAAGTACAGCTTGGTGTGGCGCACACCTCAACAAGGTTGTTGTAGATGCGGGCGCCGTTTGGCTGGAAGAAGCATGAGCCGGGGGAGAGGCGGTCGAAGAAGAAGAGCTCCTGCTGCACACCGATGGCGCGGTGGTCGCGCTTGCGAGCCTCCTCCATGCGGTGCTGGTAGTCCTTCATCGACGCCGCGTCCGGGAACGTTATACCGTACACCCTCTGCATGGCCAGGACAATGTTATAAATACCTGGTATCAGACAGCATAGATAATGGGTTGGGTCCGGGAACTTTACACCGTACACCCTCCGCGCGCTTACACATACCTCTCGATATAAGTCTAAAGTTCTACATACCAGTAATTTCCCAGTGTTATCACCGGCGCTATCCCATGCACCCTCTGCGGCGCCCAGCACAGCTCTAAGATGCCTTTCGTGGCACTCAACAAGCAAATTATGTCTTATGAGTGACACACATGAAGGAAAGTGGGCCACCCTATGATCTTCATGAGTTCACCGCATGTGTTGAGCTTTTCCTGACACCAGCATATGCCCTGAACTGCAGCCGCTGCTATGCGCAAGAACAGAGCATGAACATCAAGGAACCAGCGACAAGACTGACCAGTTCCTGGAGGCTTCCCTCAAATGAGCACCATTCCAAGCTTATAAGAAGATGCGGATATTCTGGCATCAAATGAATACGCACGCAGATCTTTGTCAAGAAAACTGAGGTCACCTGCAGCGGCTCCCGATTGACGTTTGCGCGCCAGAATGCGCGGTTCATGGCTGAAACGGCCGAGGCTCTGAGCAGCCCGGTGTTGGGCAGGTGGGGGCCGTGGCACAGGTCGACCATGGGGCCACAGCGGTACAAAGAGATGGTGGCGTCCTGTGGAAGGCCCCGGATGATCTCCTCCTTGAAGGGATTCTCCGCAAACATGCTCAGTGCCTCGTCCCGTGTCACCTCCACCCGCTCAAAGTCCTGCCTCTCCTTCACGATCTGCATGCGGCGCAGTAATCAATATTTCGTTGGCTCAATTCATAGAGTTTTTAAAGATACTATAACATGTGCCTCCCTCAGATCCCAACATGCACCAGCTATAAGGCGCATGTGTAAGTTGCTCAGAGACACAAACGATGTTTGCACGGGGGTGCTTGATGCCTCATTTGCTCAAATGTAAGAAGACCCAGATGGGTTGCTTTCCCATGCCCCAGCTGGCACAGCAGCTTGGAAAATTCATCCTCTGTACCCGGGCACACAAGCCCCCAGGAAAATCAGCCCAGGATCTTGGAAATATCGCTGAGGTTTTCTCAAGTGTTTCTAAGTGCAGGGCAAATGCACAGCAGCAGGACTGCACCTCCTCGATTCGCTTCTCCAGGATAGGCCGATCAGCCTCGGTGAGAGTACGGTCGCCCAGATAGCAGTCATAGTAGAAGCCCTCCTCCAGAGCTGGGCCAATGGTCAGCTTGGCGCCAAAACAGGACTCCAGCGCCTCGCCCAACACATGCGCGCTCGAGTGCCAGAACGTCTGCATTTGCACAGAACACAATGATCTCACTCACTGCCAAAGTAAGTAGATGAGGAGATATGGAGCAAATGGTGGAAATGGAACCCTCTTTTGGCAATCTTGAAAAGTTGAACCAATAGTGTCGACCATGGAAGAACTTCTTCTTCCTCCTGCTGCTTTGCTTGCCCGGCAAAGCCTTGCAGCATTAAACGGCTCTTTTGAATTTGACACAAAAAAGTGGATGATTACTGTAGCATCGTACAAAATGGTGTCCATGTCACAGAATGCACAAGGTCCCAAAGGTGGCTCCAGGTGTTGCATAAGTAAGCACTATGCCGCAGAAATAAATGGAGTGTGCTGTTCTCTTGGATATCTGTGTACCTCTTTGCCATCAGGGTCCTCAAAGGTCAGGATCTGCAGCTGGCAGTCCCCATCCAGCGGCCTGAAAATGTCATACACCTCCCCATCCACTTTGGCAGCCAGGGCCTTCTTTGCCAGGCTCCTGGAGAGCGTGCCAACGATATCTTGAGGCGTTGTCACGCCCTTCACTCCCTCTCGCGTCGTGCCGTCCGGCAGAGTCACTCGGATTGGCACGTTCTCTGCCTTTGCCTTTTCCACCTGCATGACGGATATCTACTCACACTTGACGTGAGCAACACAATATGCAACATCCACCCAGCTTGTGACACCACTATTTCCTCCTGGCAGGAGTAGATATAGGTGCAGGCATAGTTATAAGGGATGTCAGTGGCGAAAGAAATGGCACTTACTGCTTCAACTTCCCGGTTCTTGTACTGGTCGAAGAGGTCTATCCTGCGTTTCACGTAGTCCTGAAGCGCCTGTGCCTCCTCTTCATGACTCCTGACAGCTTCTGCCTGTGCAGTTGCAGCTGTCGAAGCTGTGGTCATGCTGCGACCGCTGGGGCCAGCTTCAGGCCTGCTGATCAGAGAACGTCCGTCCCGCATCGGGAGATAGTCTCCGCAGCATGAACAGCCTCTACCAGGAGCATCTGCCAACAGATCTCCTCCAAAGCCTGACTGGTATGGCCTCCATGCCTGGACTGCTGGCAGTATCGATCGACCTCTCTGCACTCTGTGAGAAGGTTCACTGTGTTCCTGACTTCCTCGTGGTGCAGCAGAGGACGTAATGAAGGAACGCGAAATCCCAGAACGCTGTCTGCCTAGTAAACAATGCCGAAAGCTGAGCCTCAAAGTGGCCTGCCTGAAAGGAAGGCACATATGGCCCAGCATGGAATGCGATTGCTGCGCAATTGCGCCGTCCATGAGCACAGATTAACAGAAATGCTGAGACGCGATGCAGCATCGCGGAGTTCAAAGTGCTGTGTCAGGCCACAAACACATGCACTCTCGGCACATTATCTTCTTTTAATGTGAATGGCTTTGACCACTTACTGTTGCAGAGAATATGCAGTAGTGTTGTTCCTGATTCAAAATATTGTGTCGCACTACACATTCAGGTATTGTCATCGTTTGGGAGAGGAAGATGATCGCCAATGGGTCACTCACAGAAATTCCTTCTGCTCAATATATTGGATCAAACACAAGGCTGCACTTCAAACGTCTGAGGGTGAGCTTTGACTGGAAAGATTACATGTCGACTCAGTCCGACGAGTGGACTTTCTCTTTTCTGGGAATGACGAGATCCATGGTATGCTGCAGGTCTGTTGTAAAGCTCAATGTGCCAATGGGAATGATGTCAACTCCGTTAGCGTTGCACTAGGCAGAAGAAACGTCCTGGTACTTCCTGCTGCCGCATCGTTGGTGTCCCTATTCGCAGGTACCTCCCCTTCAAATCTATCGGAATCACCCCGCTTTCCAAGGCACAAACCAGCAACAAGGGGAAACCCCGCTAAGAGGATTATTTTACTGTGCAGGAAGTCGACCTGCTCGCGCCAATATCGTACAGGACCTGGCGAAGGGGTTTGTGAGGCCAGACCTGGCATCTGAGGAGGCCACCGTGGTCATGATGGATGCCAGGGGGACACTCTATGAGCTGAAGGTGAGACCAAATCCACGCTCTGCTTGGGAAGAAATGCCAAAAGCTCTGCCTCCTGCCTTCGGAAGTCACAAGTGCCATGCATGCATGCTAATGAAAGCAAGTTTTACAATGTGCTCCATTTGGATACCAGGAGCTGGCGGGGACCTCAATGGATAGCCAGGAGAGGTTCAAAGCGCGGCGGCTGCTCCCAGGCATGGCCAAACGCCTGCGCGAGGCAAGTGGTGTTTTTAGTTCCTTGACCATGTAGTCGTCTCCCACAGCATGGGCTGGGCGTGAAGGACAAAGCAAATTCACTGCTACATTGGCTATGAAGAGCTGCTGAGCCAGTGTTCATAGAACGGATGATTGCGTGAAGCGCTTGTGGAGGGGTGCTAAGTGAGCATTATGGTGACTGATATCTGGGTTGAGTTATGTGCACTGGTAAGGAATGTCAGCCTGTTGCCTGTCAGCAGTAGGCTTCATGACAGCCTGCTCACAAGAACATTGGTAATGTTCTGATGGGTCGGGGCTGCAAATTGCAGGTGGGCGTGGCAGCGCCGGTGTTGGCGGCTCTGGTGAGGGGGGCGCAGAAGGAGAGCGTTGTATCAGAGATGTACGGTGGAGCCGGTGGCGAGCGAGCAGCCACTGATGAAGTGTACTCTGCCATTGGAGATGTGCGTAATTACTGTGATCTGTCTTGCCTATATTTGCATGTGCAGATGATCAGTGTATTTCCTGCAGGGCAGCAGCCAGCTCACTGCACAGAAAAGGAGTGCTGAGCACAGATGATTGCCGTGCCCTTATGTCAGAGGACATCCATGGCAATAAGGGCTTGCTACACTGACCAGCGGATGTTGTCCCTTTCCTTTCTGCACCTAAGGGCGGTTATAGAGTCTAAAAGAAATTGGTTTTTTTGCAGATCGTGACAATCAGTGGGCGGACGATCAGGAAAGAGGCGCAGGCATCTCCCGAGCTGGCAGAGTCAGCCATCAGGAAGATCGAGGACCTGCTAGCCAGCCTGCCCCAGGAGGTTGTGGAAAAGGCAAAGGAGCTGCGTGCGCAGAGGAGAGTCAACACCGCTTGACTTGGCATTGCTGAGATTTTTTACTGCAATTTTTGGGCCATGCCGGCAACAATTTTTTGTCATTGGGAGAGGAAATTTTTGTCTTTGAGTGATGATATCTGTCGATCTGTCTAAAGTAGATGAAATTCTGAGTGGGTCCGTCCTTTAGAGAGGGACCTTTTTTTTCTGGGATCTTAGCTTGGACAACTTTGGAGAAATTCGGTGGTTTGATTTCAGCAAGCACCGATAAACACAATCCTAGGTTGTGGGGACATGGAAAGGCGTTACAGAGCATGCAACTCTTGCCACTTTGAAGCGTACACGGATTTCAATGGACTGAGGGCCTTGGGCATCGAAAGTACTTCACTCATGGGTTTCCACTTGTCAGCTAGTTCTCAATCAATGGCGCCACAGACATTCCCAACCATCTGGAGATGTAGCATCCTCATGCATTGCAGGCAACAGTCATGCATCAAGGTCAAGGCATGCATCTTCACTCCTTCTATCCTGCCAGCCTGATACTATCTTAACCACCCATATGGCCTGCACTTCCTTATGCAAAAAATTAGTCATCTAGAACAGAGCACGCGCAGACTGCAGGCTCCTGAGCGCAACGAGTGCCATGCTGCCACGGGCGCCCATCCTGGGTGCTCGGAAGGTCGGCTGCACTGCAGGCCGCATCGCTGGCAGCCTGCAAGCCACATGATCTCCAGTCATTGACCCCCTCGTGAAAAGAGCGTAGAGCAAAGTTATGACAGCCCTGACTTCTTTTCCTTCCCATCCCAAAGATATGGCTTTCAAACTTTGGCAGGACTCCACAATATTGGTCATTTTGTGCCCAATATCATCGGGCCCTTTTGAGGGTACCAAGATGGCCCCATCTGCTGGTATCTCAGAATATTGCAAAGCTTCGAAAGGTAAAAAGTCGGTGGCGTTGAAGCGCTCAAATGGTGCGTATACACTCCTGCATTCCCTCAGCTCTCTAAAAGACAGCGGCCACATATTGAGTTCAATATGTGGCCGCTGCTTTTGGAAAGCCAGCAAGTAGCTCTAATATTCTAAACATGTTGGCACTGCACGGCTGACATGGTCTGGTGGGGTGTAAGGATGAGCTCACCTCTGCCTCTGCTGGGTTCCCAGGAAGGAGGAGGTCAGGCGGACGCTCGGAGCGGCGGCCGTGTGCACGCCGCGGCGCTGGCCGCTGCCGGAAGAGGGAACGCTGCCGATGGTTGCCCCGGAAGCCGCCGCTACAATTCCGCAGTCACCAATCACCACGTCGAACGATGTCTGCCCGCTGCGGCTGCCTGCGCCATCACATGCAGCGGTGAACAAAGACCCCAAAATGTTCTGCCTTTTTCGTTATGTGCATGCTTCCTTCCAGACCCCTGAGCCCCTGATGACAACTTTTGTGCAATTGCTTATAAGACTGGGTTGGTGATCTGCATTTTGGAGTAAATAAAGTAGGCCGAGAACCATATTTACCACACAGGTACAGACAATAAATAAAGAACACCCATCAGGGCCAGTGATAGGATCAAGTGTGTTGTGATATTCCAGCAGAATGGCTCGATGTCTCTGCCAGTCAGAAGTGCATAAGGTAAAGGATCTCACCGCAGGCCTCAGCAGCCTTGACAACCTCGTAGCCTTCCACCACCTGTCCAAACACCACGTGCTTGCCATCCAGCCACGGCGTGGGCACCGTGCACAGGAAGAACCTGACAAGCAATCACCACAACCTATTAAATTATGCATGGCACGCTTTTCCTGCCGGAGGTGAGCCTGCAGACAAGCTGCAGTTTAGGGCTGCCAAAAATATACCCATTGGCCAGATCCAAGCAAGACCCAGTCAACCGTGGGCACGTTCTCCGCCATAACCTGTTACTCTCTTGAATTTATGCAATGTAATGAGATCCTTCTGAGATCCTAAGACGATGCCTGTAAATGACTTGAAGCCCCAAATCCAAACGCCCTTCATGCTCCATGCTACCATCTGCTCCGAGACGGAAGGTTGCATGATGCAGGACCTAGCTGCCTTCCACTTCCATTGCCCTAGCCTGAGTGGGTCAACGTTGGCTGGCCAGCAGCAATAGTGGTACAGACCAGGAGCAACAGGGAGCTCAAGGGCGATTGGGGGGCGCTTATACATTACGCGCACACCATTCGAGAGCTGCAGACTGCAGCCACTCTTGCAGCTTCATCGTCCGGCAACAAGCACACAGGTGCTCCAGCTGGGACAAGGCAAACATATGCCCCTGCAGGGATTTGACTTTGACTTTGATCTTCAAATTAGGTCACGCACTGGGAGCCGTTGGTGTTGGGGCCGGCGTTGGCCATGGAGAGGACGCCTGGGCCGGTGTGGGTCAAGTCGAAATTCTCATCGGGGAACTTGTTGCCATAGATGCTGCGGCCGCCTGCAGAACCCCACCAAGAAGAAATCATGCAAATGTCCTCACACTCCGCCCACAAGAAAATCCAGATTCATGGCTGATGCGCTCAACACAACATGAGGAGGTCGAAAGGGGGGCGTCTGTTAGCAGCTTCAGAGGCAAAACATGCAAGCTTACAGAATGCAGCAGGGTGAGACTTGCCACACCTGTGCCATTGTCCCTGGTGAAGTCACCTCCCTGCTCCCCAGCACTCCAGTCTCAGCGCTTCAGTCTCAACAATATGTGAAGCATGTTTTGTGTGCCTCAGATGTTGGATGCATTGGTAAGTGTTGGATAAATAGGTCATTCCCATGCATTGTGCATCAATGCCATGTCTCTCTTGGAGCCTCTACTTTCTCTTTCCACTCTCTTCAAGATGCGCCTTGAAGGACAATAAAGTCAAGTCACACTAAGGACGGGGGCATGCTTTGATGAGAAGCAAATGCATGCACTCATAAACGGCCCCTTTAGAAAACATTCCCCGGAACAGCAGAAGTGGACGCACACCTGGCACATGAAGTCCGTAATGATACGGTGGAAGCGGCTGCCCTTGAGGCCATTGCCAGGCTCGGCCTTGGACAGCTCCTCAAAGTTCTTGGATGTCTTGGGCACGACATCCTCCTTCAGCTCAACCACAACGCGGCCCAGGGGCGTCGCATTGGTGCGTCCTAGCTGCAGGTCCAGGTAGACCTTGGGGTTGGCCTGCGCGGGGAAACAATGGGTTGGCATTTAGTGCCCTCTTCGAAGTGGACTGCTGATCGTCCAGGAATGCTTGTCGAAACCAGCTGCCCTAGGAATATGGTACGTAATTACCAAGCTCGGTATGCTGGAGTGCAGCAATAGGTTGGCTTGCCATGAAATTTGACGGAAAAAATGGCATATTTGGCATAATATATGCCAACAATAGCAATCAAAGTGAGGACTTCTCACCATCACCACAATGATGCAAGGTATTGGTTACAGATGTATCAGCGATAAAAAAGAATTAAAAGAATTTCTTACCGGGTTGGGGGGCCCAAGGGGCGGCGAGTAGTCCACCTTCTGGGATGCGAGCTTGGCCACATCCTCTGGCTTTGAACCGGCGCCTCCCATCATTACGAATGTCTTTAAAGGATGCTTGAAGGTGTCAGAGTATTGAAGGTATTGATTATTCCAATGGTTGAACTCTCTTCTCTGTCTCACTCTCTCTTTCTCATCACCTTATCCGATGACGTCACCACCTATCGGCGGCTTCTTCTCGAAAGGAAGCTGGATGAACCTAAGAGACCCTATCCCCCCTGAGGGATCTGCGCACTGCGACTTTCATCTTTCTACATTATTCACGTCTCCTATTGTCGTCGCAGGTGCCTAATATCGATTTTATTGTATAATTATTGGGCTTCGTTCGGCTCCTCTCTGCTGGTTCCGGAAACCTAGAAATTAAAAATAAACCTAGTTGTTTGGGTAGAGATCACAGATTCGTGAAGTATTTGTGCGCTCTATCAACATGATCTGGTGCTCCTGAGCAGAAATTCGATAAAAAATTGTGTGGAAGATAGCTTTGCACGGCAGGAAGCTCCAGCGACATCGGTCATCAGGGATCTGCACCCGAAGGTTGTACATCTGCTGATAACAGTGCTTATTTTAAAGTGCATTCCCATCACGATGATTCAGTAACATCACCATTATGCTGAATGAGAAGAAGCTGTTGCAGGTCTCAGGTGTTACCCAGATCGCAGCCATGCTCAGGCTAATGAGCCTGAGCATTACTCTCTTCGCGATCCTAGGCCTCGGCGGAGTAGCCAATGCCTCTCTCTTCAACTTCACAGAAGCATCAGGCTGGCGTCAAGGCTGGGGCCCCACACCATCTGTCCAGGCATATTCACTTCCACCTACTCTCCCTGGTTGTTCCAATGCCCACACCCTCACAACCTTGTCTACGACTGCAAAGCCCCAAATTTAAAAACTATTCTTGGATCTTTCTCAGAGGAGCTGAGGACGCACATCAGGCATTGTTGGGATGATGCTGCAGGCCAGCAGGAACCTGCAGCTGCTGCTCCAAAATCAGAACAGCTCAAATTTGCTGGGGGCCATTCTGCTGAACTCCGTGAGCAACAACCAGAGCTATGCAGTGGCAGAAGCAGTTAGATTTGCACTGCTCCCAGACAGCAGCGGTGGCCCTAAAGATACCTCACGCACCCCTGGCTATGACACTCTGGCGGCCAACATAGGCGCTGCCACTGCCTATGCCATGCACTACGCTGCTCAGCAGGTGGGTCACTAGCGCCGTTGCCAGCTGTGCAATTCTCTCGAGCTCTGCAGAAGAGCTTGCAAGCGCCACCTGCCTTGTGAAGGGCTGCCCCAATTCGCTCACTGCTGTAGCCGTGCATGCAGCAATGCGTCTGTCCCTATCGGTCCTTGGTCTACCTTCATATTTCCCGACTTACAGGTGTAAATATATGTAACTTGATGATGAAAATTCGCAGACACTTTGACATCATCCCTATTATGCAGCAGGAATTTGGGGGCCTGCCAGGGTCCCCCCAGCCTCCCAGCACAGGAGGAACCATCCTGCAGTCGGACCATGATGCCTCAATTTTGGTGAAGCCAAATGCAAGTGACATCTTCTTCGCAGTAGCGGCCGGCGCCGTCGGGGCTGTTTCCAGCAGTTGCGGTGAGATACCCAATGCATCATTGCAATGGTTGAGCTTAAAAGAAATTTGCCCTTACACTGCACCCTCAGAAGCTTGCATTGGAGGTGTGCTCAATGGTTGAACTCTGCTAATTTTTCCAATGAGATGTAGGCATTTTGATGTCATTTGTGACCTGTTGCCAAGTGATTAGACAGCCAGATGGATGCACCAGGAAGGACTATGTACCATGAAGGCCCTTTGTATGTATATTGAGGCAAACTGGGTAAGTAATTGGATACAAACGCTAATTAGGGGTAGGAGCAAGTTTCAAGCAAGGTGGTGGGTTTTTGACGGGTGTGCTGAGATGTTTGGTGTATGTTCAGATGGGAATTGGAGGTGCCACACAAGCGACTGCAACACACCCCTGGCAGTCATGAACAAGCGGGTGTACATCTGCTGCGGGGTTGTTGCACCGTTAATGAGGGGCGTTGACAGGCGCGCATCTGTTATTCCCCTGGTATCGTGCAACCTCTCCCTGGTCTTGGTCCAGGTTTCCTCAATAGCTGCTGCACTTACCTCAGAAGCACTCGGAACTCTTGCTCAACAGGCATCCACATACCCTGTTGCATGGCTGTCTCTGTGCTCTGCAGAGCAAAAAGGCAGCTGCAGATGATTGAACGTTCTTTGCATGTTTCACTGTTGGTATTGCATGGTCAGAGCTGCGTCCAATTGGGAATGACTGGCTTCCTATTTAGAGGACTACCTCCATGCCAGCTTTCTTGGAATGAGTTTCCAGGAATGATGGATGACTTGATAACTCGGATTCATGTGTAAAGTTTAAAAAGATATGGATTCCGCGCAGGCAGCTGGCGCTCCTTGGGGAGTCAACCCTTCTGGGAGATGCGTTGTCACCTGCCGCAATGGCAGAAGACCTGTACAACCTCGCCTTCCTTGAAAGGTGACATCTCTTCATGTTTTGGCAAGTTCTGGTTGCATGCAATCGTTAATGCATTGCTAATTTCTCACATTGGGCTCATTGCCTCAGATGTATACACATGCATATGCTGGTCTCATCACCTTCAGTTCTCAAATAATGGCGGATACAGTACCTGCACATTGACAGCAGTGCACATCTACATGTGCAGACCGCTGATTTTATGAAGGGTCCCGGGTTAGCAAACAGCAAATTCAACAGGTAACGCTCGCAGCGGCCATGTGGCCAATCAACGCAATTGAGTCTCCATCTTTTTATGTTGCAATTTAAACTACTACAATACAGAAGGCTTCCTGCTTGCTTCCGGCGAGAAGCTTTGCGTTCAATAGTATATTGACCATGGGTTCCCGGGGGATTGTTGTAGAGATGATCCATGGGCCAAGTGACCACAAAAGCAAATCGACTGAACTTGATTGGCCATCAATTATTGTTATTAAAGCTAAGCCAGGCCGTGTGTGTATGCAGGTGCCTCTGGTTCCCCTATGACGCCCGCATCAAACAGGCCCCTGCAAACTGCAACGCCAACAGCTCTGCCAATTACATGGTGGGAACGAAATGAAATCCTTCCTGCATAGAATATTCTTCAAGCATTGTGTAGCAGGACTTCCTGAAAGATCTCATCAGGCATCAGGCATCAGGCATTAGAGGCTAGCTTACTGTTACAGATCGGCCAAGTTGACTGGTTTTTATCCCAAAAAGATCATCTGATGACCGATCTGTACTAATCTGATGTACGGTAGATAGTCATTGATTTGTGACAATTACTCTTGAGGTGGTGTGCAGGGGAAGGTTGTGCGGATAGACATTAACTCGCACACCCCTGGAGCAAATTAGGTGGCCACAGCCGCCGACTGCTGCGCTGCATGCGTCGCCGATCCCCAGGTACTTTACTTGAACCGTCATATTCTAATAGTATGACAAATCTCTCACGTCAGACACGTCAGTTGCGATATTAGAATGCAGAGAGTACTGGGTGCAGCCAAATACTTGTATATTGTGGCATGCCACAACAGGCCCAAGCCAATACTGTGTTTGGACAGGGTCTAACCAGCATTGTATTGACACACATGTTATGGCAGGCTTCTGCTTCAGCCAGAACGCCATCTATTTGATTGGTGCAATGTGCATGCGTCATAGGAAAGGTATGCCCAGTGCCTGCGGCCCACAGAAAATACCGAGTCTCGGCCGCTGCAGCAATGTCTGGCGAAGCATCCGAGGACAGCGGAGCAATTCTTGAGTCCTGCCTCAGGCCACATGGCTCAAAGAGAGCGGATCTGACCCTAATATTTGAACCTGCAGCATATCTGCAGATGCACCAAGCCCTCGGAAGGTACCTTGTGCAACAATAGTTCTAAAGAAAGGATTTGTCTGTGCATGGCAGTGCAACATCTGGGTCTTCTGTGGAAGCTCCTATGGCTGCGCCGGCTGTGACTATGAAAACATCAACTATGATTCTACACTGGGGATTGACCCATCCAAGCGCTTTGGCCCCTACAGCCCGGGGTGCTCCCTGCCGACTGGCAACATCGGAAGCAACTTCCCCATGTGAGTTACTGCCTTTTTCCCTGGGCAAAGAGCTCTCCTGCTTTGCTGTGTCTGCCCAATTCCTGTCTATGATTGCCCAAAGTCTGACTGCCACCGAGAGCACAGCCTGCTTTTGCATTCCTGCCTTTCCTACCAGGTAACCTGCAGCACGGATTTTAATGCTTGCAAGGTCGGGCTGGTGCCTTGTGGTCCAGTGAATTGCAAAATGCCTGTTTTCTTGCGAGGCTTCAGGCAGAGCATCAGCCTGTTGTCCATCCGGTCAAACGTGGCGGACGGCTGAAATCGTTGATTTCAAAGCGGACATATGCTGATGAAGGGCATGCAGAGGACCAATGACATCTTTTCCTACAACACAATTTTGAAATATAGAGGGACTGCTTCTTGCAGCAGCTGCAGTTGTGACAGCTGCATGATTACTAATTGAAAATGAATACTTAGTAAGTGCTACAGTAGTGAGATGGAGGTTGAGTGCAGGGGCACATGCACACTCAAGTATGCATCCTTCCAGGACAAGCCGCCAGCGTATGACAACCCAGCGGCAAATGATTTCCTTTCTGGGCACTTGGTGCCGCACCTTCCCCGGTGCGCCAATTGAACTAGCGCAACCGCATTCTTGGTTTCAAATTTTGGGATCACATCGATTTTATCAATTCTAATTATTGTTGTGAAGCTTTAGTTAAGAGTATGCTGTTGACATTGGCTGACCACCTCAGGAATTGCTGCATCAGCACAATGCATCATTTCTGGTGTGACGGTGTTCTGCGCAAGTTTTGCCTTCCTCTGTGCGTTATGAGACAGAAAGCTCGAGAGAGAGAGAGCAATGGTGAGAGGGATCTGCTGACAAACTTGGCGCTGTTTTTTTCCCCGAACACAAACCTGATATGGAAATTTCATCGGGGTGTCAATAATTTCTGCCGGTGCAGTGTCATTATTTAAAAGTGAGCAGCTGTGCAGTCTCTGTCAATTGAAGACATGCAAGAAGTTTCTGTTGCCGGACAGGCAGTGCATTGAATCACATTGTCTGGAGTGCCTTTGCTGATTTGTTCGCTGCCTTGGATTTTAATTTTGCGCTTGAAGTGCGCACTTGAAGTGTCTCCTACTGACCTGAAAATATCATGGTTTTGAGTATTGTAAGGGCCAAGTGCCACCCTTTTTTTTGCTGCTTTTGAAACAACCCCAATCAGTGCCGTATCTGTGCTGAGTTGCTTGCTTGCTTCTGATTGTGCACATGGCTTCAGCATGCAGTTGCGATTTTTCAATGCAGCTGCCCATACTGCCGCTGTAACAATGCCCAAGCACCCCACATTTTACGGTGCAAGTGAGAGTAGGTAGCATGCATGCCTTGCTGAGCCTGGAAAACGAGTCCCAGATAGTGAAATTGCGCCACCCACTCAAGAGGCTGCCCACTGCACACCCATTGGAAAGGGCCAGGCCACACCTGGGAGAACACTAGAACTTTTGTCTTCTCAACACTGATGAGCATGCCAGTTGCCGCAAAAATTTGCAGAGTACCTTCAATAAGCACTTGCAATTTGCAAGTTGCAAAGCCAAAGACATTCAATTGGAATGGGAACTACAGAAAGTGACTAACCGCCATGTCATCAATGTCAGCTTGAAAATGAGATGCACAGCTGAGTAGTGTTTCACTACTAGTGAACTCATTTCACCCTGACAGACTTTACGGTGCGTGAACACAAATCAGAGCAACATCGGGAAGCGGCAGCAGAAGTATAACATGTAGCTCAAGCTTCTAACGCAATGCATGCTCTGCTGGCCACTAGTGCGGTGACACTGCTTCTGTGCACATCTTTTGTGCACTGCGCTTCTATGACCTCTGCAGAAGTTCTTCCACTTCCAAATCCAGGAAATGCTTTCACTTTTGACGATTCTCTCCAGGTGGGCCGTGGACGACGTCTGATGTACAGATGCTGAGATTCAAATTCAGTCTTCATTTGCCAGAAGAAGTACTGCTGTAGAGTTGCAGTACCATGCTGCTCATATAAACATCAAAGTGATAGCTAGGACAGTGATGAGGCAAAGAAATTGGAAGACAACAATACGAGGCGCAGGGTCTGGCGGACAAGTTGAAGGAAGCTTTGTTGGAGCTGCAACACAAGAAATTGAAGCAGGTACGTCAGTCCTCGTCACAATGTTATTAAGAAATCTGATAGCGAGTTCATCAGACAGACTGTACAGGAGCAGCAGGTGAAGTGCAGTATTCCCATCAGGGCACTCAATATGTGAAGGTGGCATAGGTGGTATCAATATGCAATAAATCTTTTCCAATCGTTTCTGTAGACTCTGTTGGACCCATATGTCCATTTTCCTGTGCTCAAGCTTTGACACAAATTGTTCACGGCGTGGTCTGCTTGCAAACAAATATTAAGTCAGGACAGTGAAGGAAAACTTGCTCTTGTGCTCAGGTGACCACAACACCTTCACCAGAATGGACAACCCCAGCAGCTGCGCTTGAGACATCCACCCCTGCACCCTCAACCCCGCCGCCAACCACCCCTACAACCCTAAGCACAACCGCGCTACCCCTGCCTACATCCACTCCAGCTCCCTCGACCAATCCCCCAACCACCCCACCAACGCCGACATCGTCAGCCGCTGCTGCCACAACAAGTGCAACCCAGCCGCAGACAAGCGCCGCACTTGTCACAACGCTAACACCCGTCCCGACATCCTCTGGAACCTGCATCCCCAGTGGCGGCTCCTGTGCTTCAAACTCAAGTACTAATGGCCAGGTTTGCTGCAGCGGAAACTGCCGGCCGGGCACTGCGAATGGCACTATTCTGCCGCGGTGTGCTTAAGATCGACCATGGTCTGCGGGCCTGATGAGGTTGTAATCGGGATGGCCAGCCCATGCATGACAACTAGCTTGCTTTGTGATTGGCTTGTCACATCTAGGGTGCCTTGCGCAATGTGATACCTTGTGTATTGTGCGGGAGACTCTTTGTGAAAATGATTGCCATGGTGGCCAAGGAACTTCCGGGGTCTTGTATATCTTGTATATCAGCTGCAACCGCGCGCAACCCCTTTTTGCTCATTTGCATCTTTAAGTAAAAGGATGCCGCTACACCGGTTTCACACCCACAGACATGCGTAGCAAAGCTTTCAGACGTCATTTCACACCCTTGACACACCCAGTTTGTCATCACCTCCCAGCCACCGTGTCCAACGTGTCAGAAATTACACGTCGGACACGCACACCCAGTTCGTCATCACCTCCCAGCCAGCGTGTCCATCGTGTCAGCAACTACACGTCCGACACGCGTGTCACCCACGTGTCCACCCCCTCTCATCCGCTTTCCACCCACTGCTTGTGAGCATAGATGTGCTACATAGACCATCATGTCATAGACTCCCGGCGCATGCGCTGTAGAAGCCAAGATACAAGCTCTTTCACGTTTGGTTCAACAGCTTTTCAGTCCAGTGACGGGACTCCAGTCAGAGAATATATCAGAGCTGCGCAGGCCACAGCATGCATGCCATGCATGCATATGGCATCATCTTGCATGAAGTTCGCACACTGTGCAGTTTTGAAGCTCCTGTCGTCGACGTCAACATCACGGAAAGAAACGAGAGCAAAGCATCTTTTCCGTCTGAGGTTCTCGTGATTACCAAGTCCCAGTAGACTAGAATCTGAATGGCAGCTTCGGCTGCAGCCGGGGACTTCCGAGGTGACTTCTGGTGACGTAAAGGAGATGATTTTACCCAAGCAGAAGTGCGGATGGAAAAGAATTGCAATTCATTTTGTTGCCTCAAACCACACCGTGAGTTGATAGTTGTGCTATCTTCCAGAAACGCGCTGCAGGCTGTCTTTCGACGAGGTCGTGCACCGGCTATCCCACACGCAGGTGTGCACGACCCACAGCTCCAAACTACCAGCAGTAGAGCTTTCTCGCCCACAAATGCAATAATTAAATGCTTAAGAGCTGATATCTTGACATTGAGAAGGCAGGTCTGCAGATTATGGTAAAGATATCGCGCAATCCGATGTTGATGCCCGTCACCTTGACGATGCTCTGGTGCCTTATGGGAGGATCTCGGGCTTCCCTCTTTGAATTCAATCAAGCTATGGGAAACGATGGATGGTCAAACAGCTGGGGAACGGTACCATCTGCACAGGCAAGGTCCCCCTGCAATGAGCCCATTGGGCATCCAATGCCTGACGTCAATGCCACCCTTGCCTGTTCTGCCAAAGCCGTCCTCAAAACTAAGACAATAGCAGTGGTACGAGGCAATGTTTTAGCAAAAAAAATGGAAACCGCATTGTGTCGTGCTGCAGGCCAGTCGGAACGTGCAGCAGCTGCTGCAGAACCAGAATCGCACAGACGTGCTGGGCAAAATCCTGCTCGACTCGATCAGCCGCAACCAGAGCGACGCAGTCGCCGAAGCCGTCCGTTTCGCGCTGCTCCCCAACACGACTGCTCTGGACCAATCTCGCACACCAGCCTACAAGAAACTGGCAGCCAGCATTGGCGCTGCCACTGCCCACGCCATGCAGTATGCCCGGCAAGAGGTCAGCCCTCAAACTTTGTGACAACTGTCAGGAGCTGTTGCCTGTTAGGGGGCGCGAGTATTGTTGCACTTCAGCATGCCAGCAGTTTTGCCAACCTGTAAGAAGAATAGCACTTTGCTGCATGGTAAAGTTTCCTGGTCGAGTCTCTGCACTCGAGTGCAAGTATGTAAGGCTCTTACGTTGTGCATGCGCCTGACTGTTCAAGTTCTGTAAGCTTTACAAGCTTTTGGATAGCAACAGATCAACCTTTAAGGTTCACAAATTCGGGTATCAACAGATCGACCTGTGGAGTTGCCACAGCAACAGATGCTGAGAAGTGAGGAAGCGTCGCAACGGCGCTTTTCTTGTGCGGCAGGAAATAAATGTCACGATCACAGCGCCTCCAAACCCAAGTGGCACCATCCTTCAATCAGATCACGACCCTGCAGCGACTGTGAAGCCCCTTGCAAAAGACATCTTCTATCCTGTAGCGATTGGCGCCCTCGAGGCCGTGTCATACAAATGCGGTAAGCACTTTTATACTTATCGATATCATTAATGTTGTTACCCGATTTGAATGGTTCTGTTAAAAGGCAAGTACCTCCCGCAGACAAGCTGCAGCTTCAGACTGCCACAATCCTACCCCTTGTTCGACTTGTGTAAGGGATGACCTTGATTTCATGAGCATCAAGCCTTGGCGGATCGCGTCTTAGATCAGTTTTCTTATGACAGGCATTTTCTGCTAAAAGGCAAGCTACGTCCTGCAGACAGGCCGGGACAAGCTGCAGACAATTAAAGGCTGCCACAAGCCTTCCCCTTGGCGGACTTGCCAGATCCAAGCAAGGCCCAATCAACCATGGGCACGATGCCCAGTACTCATACCGCGCACGCCCCGCCAGCCGGGGATTGGTTTCAGCTGGGCTAATTCCGCGTGTATTGGCAGATGGCTACTGGAGGTGCCATGCGCTGGACTGCAACAGACCTCTTGATGTTCTGAACAAGAGGGCGGGCGCCTGCTGCGGGGTTGTTGCGCCATTGGTGAGGGGTATTAACAGGCGCGCATCTTTCCCCTTCCACCGGACGCCAGTCAGAGTGCACTGCCACGTGGCTGACTGTCCCTTAGAACCACGGAAATGCTTTTACAGTACCTTTGCTTAGGGTTTATGGAATTTGGGTTTGGGGTTTAGGGAGGGGTCTATACAGGAAGAATATTTCACACGGAAATGGTTGATGGAGGGTCTAAAAACTAATGTAAAATTTGTTATGAGAAACTTTCTGTGCCCTCAGGACTGTCGTTAACTCCAACAGCATGTGCTTGAAATGTGCAGTGGCAGTTTCAATTCGTTCTTGCATCATGATGACTTGCCCGGATCAGGACACTGTCTAGCAACAGCCCTGCCAGCAATCTGCATCATAAGCATTTGCATTTGGGACTTAGTTGTCTGCCTGAGTGTGGGTGAGTCCTGGGCCATCAATGCCAGGGTGATTAAGACTGGCCCTGGCTGGCAAGGGACAGTGTAAATACTGAGCACCGTGCCTATGGTCGATTGGGCCTTGATTGGATCTGGCGGGTCCATCAAGAGGTAGGATTGTGGCAGCCTTCAACTGCAGCTTGCCTGCAGGACACACCTTGCCTTCTGGCAGGAAAATGATAATGATAACTCAGGCTTTGCGATGCTGCAGGCAGCTGGGCGATGACTCGTACCTTCTCGGCAATGCACTGGCGCCAGAGAAGATTGCAGGAGACCAGTACAACCTTGGCTTCCTTGAAAGGTGAAGTTGCCAGATTTTCAGTAATGAGCACCGACTTACTCTCTTTGTATCTGTCTGATTCTTCTTCAAAGAGCGTGCATGCCTTTCTCTAAATGTGGATTTATAGTGACAAAAGCTGTCATGCTGCATGTCATCTGCTGCCACACTTTCCAGCATGGATGACAGAATGCCTACTTCCATGCACATGCTTAGGAAGGCAGCATAGCATCTGCAGCACAGCAGAAAGCCTCATGGCACTTTGTCTTTTGCGCTGACTAAAGATCCACTTGATAGCAGATTGAAGGCAGTCAGTGCTTTGCGTAGGTGCCTCTGGGCTCCATATGATTTCGCCTTGGAGCCTCGAACCTGCAGTGTCAACGCAAAGTAACAGCATAGCGGCAGAGAATTATATATGGCATCCGGGAAAAGCTTTGTCCTGTGTGCCAATCAAACTCTTGAAGCAAGCTTTTTGCACCAAAGAACTCAGGTTTGCCTTTGCCGCAAGGCTCGAGGTGTGTGCTTGTAAACCAGTGGCTCTAATATATTTGGCATGCAAGATAAACACTTGAACAAAGTGGTAGCGAGGGAGATAAATACAGTGCTCTGCTGTCAGAGTGCGTGCTGCTCATGTACATGCTGCTGCAGTATCCATACCCACTTGACATGCAAAATTCACAAAAGACTGCATGGAGCAGACATGCTTTCACGTGGACCCCTGTGGAGATTACGCAAGAGCTAACTGTACCGGAGATCTGAGATCTCGGATGAATAGTGAGCGAGAATGTCAAGGGATCGACAGCCTTTCCAACACTCCCTAAGTGTGATAATACCAGGAGCACAACCACGATGGCGAACAGGGCGCTGGTCATTGCCGTCGACAACACGATGGTCCGTTTCACGCAGCTCTGGCGACTTTGCGAAAGTGACAAAACAAAGAGGCAGCAGAGCCCGTCTAATTCTGAAATGACATTGCCTGATCGTCTCTGATTGATTGCCGTGTCCTGATGGGTGCAGGAATGCCTCCTTGCCATCGACTTTGTGCTGGAGCACTTCCCGAAAGGTGTGAACCCCTGACGCCCACTGTCATCGTCAAGTACAAAGTGACAGGAACAAGGGAGACACCCTGCTAAAAGGTGTGTTAACACGGTTGAGCTGGTTTCAACACCGACGGATCTTACTAATGTGCGTCTGCAGGATACAAGTACCATATCGTCCATGTCGTGCCTCGGCCGCTGCCCGGGATTTCCCCGAACAGGGAGAAGGTACAGGAAACTTCTCCTTCCCATACAAAGCTCGAGACACATCTCCTGGTGCCATCGTTTACTTGATAGAGCCTCTGCTCTGAAATGCTGGCTCCACTTCCGGACGCTGACATGCATGGATCTATGGAGCTTCAGCTCAGTGTCTGCTCTCCATTGAAATAACCTGAACACGATTTGTTCAGAAGCCCACAGTCCTGTCGTTGCATGCCATGCCATACCACCTACTGGCTGCTAGTAAGACTGCATTGGTAACTGCAGCCTGCAGCTTTCAGAGAGCGGCCTTCACCTTGCATGCAGCTCCACTTATTGCTCACCCCCAAGTTGACTGACATGGTTTGTCATGGGAGTAGTCACTGACTGAAAGCATGACTTCCCTGCTGCTTACAGGTTGCAGAGACAGAGGAGTACATGAATAAGTTCTTCATCCCCAGGGCAGCCATGGGGCAAGCGGATGAAGTGGTGGGAACTATTCTGGAGTCAGAGCCCGATGGCAGCAGGGCAACTGGCAAAGCCATCTGTGAGTATGTGGCCAAGATCGACGCAGATGCGCTGGTGCTCATGCGCATGCAGAAGTCTTCTCTGGACCGTTTCTTCCTGGGATCCGTAACGGAGTACTGCGCGAAGCACTGCCGCAAGCCAGTCATCATCGTGCCGCAGCGCGCTTACTGAATTCAAAGATGCCAAGCTTCAAATTGAAGGCAATTGAACGCTGGAATGGCTCCCCCTGGGATCCGTAATGGAGTACTGCGCCAAGAACAGGCGCAAGCCTGTCATCATTGTGCCTCATGTGCCTGATCAGTGAGCAGATCCTTGACTTCAAAGTTTGAGATTTTAATTGAGAGCAAGAGAACGCTGGAATGGTTCCCCCTGGGCTCGGTAACGGACCACAGCGCCAAGCCGGTAATCGTTACCCCTCAGATCGCCTATCCTTGAGTTAAGCCAAACTGAGTGAAGAAATACAAAGCAGTGCAAGCCCTTGAATCCAATATGTTCAAACTTCAAGTCCGGGCGTGGCTTCGTCTGTCACTCAAGCAGGCTGAAGCCTGGTAGCATGCAGTTTTGGGTAGTGCGCATGTCAGCCGTTGCTCAACAGGACCATCCAGTGATTGCAGAGGATGCCTCCGGGGCTGGGAGGCTCTAATTTGATAGGATTGCAAGAGGTGCAGGTTTGCCGCAGAGGCATCGTGCTTACAAACCAATGATTGATGCGTGCAGTTTGCTGCAATGTGCATATGCAAGATATATGTAAGGAAGACTTGGACACGTTATTTGTTTGTGTCAGGAGCCTCTTAATTTCAAAGCATCACAGCAAATCTGGCAGGTGCAGGACACGTGGGCCATGTGAAGAAGGTGGATGCAGCTACATGAAGGCCTTCGGCCATAACATCACGGAGGAAGCAACGTAACTCGCGTATGATGTATCAAATGTATCACTGTATGGATTGTTGATTCAGACAGTGTGACAATTTTTTGACGCTGTGGGCACGCCTTCAGGTAGGACCCTTCTACACTGCTTGCATGGCCATCTCTTCGGCACCTTTCGAAAAGGACGGATTTTTCTGAGTGCGCGGAGCTATTTGCTGGGACAATGAACTGTAATTCAGTGTTGTCAGTGACGGACAGGGTTGTAAATTGAGGGTTGAGCAGAAGGTGCCTGGCTTGTTAGCTGCCTAGATCGCAACCTGGAAGAAACGATCTTCGGCCGTTAGACTTGTGCATCCAAGGCACAGATGCATAGTTTCAAATATAAGGGAAGATAAACAAGCTGCTGAGCACTTTCTCGAAGCGATTCCTAAGACCATTGTTTCGATCTCATGCCATTCGAACAGAAGTTTACCTTCGCCTCTTCTACTTCCACGAGGCTTAGGTGTGACGGCTTGAGACACACAGCATCATCTCAATATCAGAACCTCAATTATTCTGATGGCAATCACAGGGCATGTCTCTAACAGACTGGTGCAGCGGGCATAGGGGCGCAGATGGGCATTTGCAGGTCCCAATGAGGGGTGACAATCAAGCTGACAATTTTTCATTTACTGTATAGGGCCAACACAGCCGCTCCGCATCCTTGCATTGACCCGTTTCTCCAGGAAAGACACCTCCAATGGGTCATGAGGCCAGCTTCACCCCTTTTGAACTGGAGGAGTGGCAGTCGCGCTACGAGACAACAGTGAAGTACAACCTTGCAGACTCCGGCTGCCACCCTGTGCGCCTATCTGAGCTCGTCTCAGACCCGGCTGCAGTGGAGAAGCTGCTTTCGTTGGATCTGCACTACCCCCCGGTGTGCCCCGCAAAGCTCTGTTCACACTTAAAAGCTCCTCCCTAAAATTGCCTTCTGGATTGCCTCCAGGTCTGCTGCTTCTCATGGTGGTTGTCTGCAGCTTTTGCCTGTGCACTTATTTCAAGGACAGGAAGGTGCCTGACAGTGTGCTTGTTAGAGGAGGCCCCTGCTCATGCTGGCTTTGTTGCAGTCTGCAAACCATGCTCTTTCTCTACGAGCAATAAGGTGTCTGGCAGCATGCATGCTGGAAAATGCGTTCTCAAACTCTCTGGACGAATGTACTGGCAAGACGCTTTTGAACACCATTTCACCTTGATGTATGGCAGCGCAGGCCATGAGCTCTGCAGTCACCAGCCACATTCTGTACAGTACTGCATTGGATTCTGTTCACCATGCTCTCAACTTTTGAGCGCGCTGAAACGGTGCCGCATGCGTTTCCAGGTGGGGGGCACTGATGCGCTGCGCGAGCTGTGCGCCAGCTGGCACGGTGCCAAGCCAGAGAATGTCCTAGTCACCGTCGGAGCTGCCGAGGCCAACTCCATCGCTGTTGCCTCGCTCCTGCAGCCAGGTGACTCTCATTAATGCGCTCTGGCATGTGCGCTAGTTGCAGTGCGCACTCATTTTGAAGCTGGTGTGGCTGTGTTGTTTTGTGCCTTAACACACCTGGGTTTGCATGTTCTTACTTGCAAGCGCAAATGTGGGTCAGCGATGAGGGCGAAGCTTCAGATCACCATTGCTATAGCCATTAAGGGAAGGAGTAGAGTAAATGTTTCGGGTGTTGACTGGATCTGGCACCAGTTGAAAAGCTGTGTAGCATATGTCGCAGCAATTTTGCAAGCGCACCGTGCTCCAAGTGACACAAGAGCACCCAAAACCACAGAAACAATGACTCATGCTGACGTGGCAGGTGACCATATGGTGGTGATGGAGCCGAACTACCGCCAGGTGCGCGGCTGCGCAGTCAACATGGGCGCGTCTGTCTCAGCGTTCCCTCTCGATCCCGCGCGCGGCTGGCGCCCCGACCTTGACGCGCTCGCCGCAGCAGTCACTCCCGCCACGCGCCTGATCGCCGGTGAGCCTTCCACTTCAAATTTTTACCGATAATTTCAACATTTTAAGATCCTTTTGTTTCAAAATCAAATATGAATCTTTCCAAGTCAGGATTTCAAGTGATCATAAGCATGTGGATGTTGTGGGCGTGGGGGCAGTGCAATAGTCTGTGACAAAGACATCACCTGTGATTTCTACTCATTGTCAAATCAGGCATTCCCTAAGAGCATGCGGGACATGAGCCTTGCAGGGAACAAAAGCTGCCCTGTACTTCTTGCTGCCTTATCATTAAAAACGCCCATACAATCTGCTTCCGAGAGGTTTTGAGAGCCCAGAATTGACAAAGTTGTGTTTCCTGGAAAATGTAACCTCCGCATTGCAAGATTGCGCCCTAGAACTCTCAGATTTCTGCGCAGTGACGAACCCGAACAACCCGGTCGGCACGATTCTTACCGAGCCGGAGATGGACGCGATCGTGGCCGCAGCTGCGAAAGTGGGAGCGTGGATTCTGGCCGACGAGGTGTACAGGGGAACGGAGCTGCAGACAGACAAAGTGACTCCCAGCTTCTGGGGGCGCTATGAGAAGACTGTGTGCGTGGGCAGCCTGTCCAAGGCTTTTGGGCTGCCCGGGCTGCGGCTCGGCTGGCTCGTTGCGCCGCCGGACTTTGTCGAGCAGGTGCGAGCTGTAGCATTGCTCCCGGCCAGCTCGACAACAATTTGATGGAGAGAGAGCTGCTTGACCTCAACAATGCTGCTGATGCGCAAGGCTGCCTTGATGGGGTCAATCTGCCCTCTTATGGAGTTCTTATGCTGCAAAGCCTCAATTCTCACAATAGACTGGACGAAGGTTTTTGCAATGTTGCCTGAGCAGCGGGGCTTCAGCAGCGCGTCAGCATGGCTTTTGGTGCATGCATGCATGCATGCTATGATGATGAGGGCTTATGCGTCTGAGTTTTGGGATGTGGTTCTGGTCTGCCCAGAGGTTTTGCCACATTCCTGTGGCAAGACCAGGTAGATGCAGACTCCCTGAGACAGCAAAAAAAGCTGTCTGGGCCACCGTGACTGCCCCTTCTGAGGCACCATCAATCGCTGCAGGCGTGGAGGCGCCATGAGTATGTCACAATCGCGGCGAGCACGCTGTCCATGCACCTTGCAGAGATCGCGCTCTCTGCTGAGACCCGGCAGCGGCTGCTGGCGCGCAACCGGCGGCTGATGCGGGAGGGGTGGGCGCGGCTGCAGCGCTGGGTGGATTCCTCGGGCGGCCTGCTGTCGGTTATTCCCCCGGCCGCCACCGCGCTCGGTTTCGTGCGCTACCATTTGGATGCGCCCAGCATAGAGGTGCGCCATTATTCAACACAGCACCATGTGATGCAGGCGAAAGGGGTCCTCCAGAATATCGCCTGCCCAAATCCAAACCAAAGTGCAGAAAGATGCATGCGGACAAGCTGTACCAACTAGGACGATGATGCTAGTTTTTGCCCAGTCATTGGCACCTGGATGCCTGCTGCATGATATACAATTCAGGTACATCTCAAGTGAACGCAAAGGTCATGGTGTCGTGAGCGTGTGAGAGCTGCCGAGCGAGATAAACGTCCTGCTTGAGTACAAGGCTGCAATGCCAGCCTATCATTGCGGCCCCGAAATACAATGATGATTTTGGGAAGTGTCTGGCTACCGTCTGCGCAAGTCTGTTCCCTCAGCGAATTACTTCAGGGCTTTTATGCGACTTGTGTAGCCTGAACTTGTAGCCTTGGGCAGTCTATGCCCACAGACTGCCAGGGCCAACCCATTTGGTTGGTGGTTAAGACATCTGTGCATGCTGGGGCAAATGCAGATACTGCTTCTCACCATCATCTCCTATGCAGCACAAACGACAATGCAACCGTGCTTAAAAACCGCTGCTGTCGTTGCAGGTGGCGCACAAGATTCGCACGGAGGGAGATGTGCTCGTGGGTGCAGGCGCGCACTTTGGCGTAGAGCACCACTTACGCATCACCCACGGCATGGAACCCAAGTTCCTAGAGGGCGCCCTGCAGAGCATTAGCCGCGTCCTGGCCTCGGCGAGCGCTGCTGAGTCAAAGTGACGGCAGTGAAGTGGCTTTGTTGCTCAAATCGGATGCAGAGAGAAGCCGGTCACCGGCCAGGGCTGCTGAGACTCAATGACAGAAATGGGATGTCCTTGAAATTCCAGAGGGGGAATGCAGAGAGTCCTGGCATCGGCAAGAGCCGCCGTGAGTCAGGGACTACAGCGAAGTGTCTCTGTTGCTCAGAGTGGATGCAAAAAGAGTCTTGGCATTGGCGCTCCCCACTGAGTCTCAACGATGGCAGTGAAGCGTCTCCGTTGCTTGGAGTGGATGCGGGAAGTGTCCTGGCGTTAGCACGCCCCGCTGAAACCAAATGAAAATGGTGAAGCTTTTTTGTTGGTCAGAATGGATGCAGAGAGAGTCCCGGCAGCGGTGTGCGCCACTGAGTCTCAATGACAGAATTGTGGTGTCCTTGTAGTTGCACAGAGGGGATGCAGAAAGAGCCGTTTGCGCTGGTGAGTCTCAATGACGACAACGAAGGTTCTTTGTTGATCAGATCGGATGCAAAAGAGACCTGATCGGCGCGCGCCGTTGAGTGTCAAATGACAGGATTGTGGTGTGTCTGAACAGCTCAGAGGGAATCAGAGAGAGAAAACTATTGTAGATGCCATTGACACCGTGTCAGTGACTGTGCGCACATGCATGCCTGGCAAATCTTGCTGAGAAGAGATTATCAAAACAAAGCAAGAATGATGGTTCTCTGAGCTCAAGCAGAATATCATTCATTTGAAAGCAAACAACTGCAGTTCCTCTTCAGATGGAAGCCAGTATTTGAATGGAGCTGCCCAGGATCGTCCTGCCCAAGTAGGGCTGCCCAACTTCCATCAATCTGGGAATGCAGAAATGGATTGATACAAAATAGATGTGGTATGATTGATCACAGTTTCAAGCTTCCTGGGTAACTGTCAAATTTTTGAAGATGTCCAACATATACCTGAGATCCTGTAGCGCACATTTGGTCAGACAACATGATAAACTTATGGGTGTATGCAATGGTTGAGTGCTGTTTGAGGGCATCAAGGTGATTAATTTCTGTTTAGCAGATTCACTCCGCTCCAATTTCACGCAGAGACACAAAGATTTCAATTGCCAACTACAGATTTTTGGAGCAACTGAATGCCTCCATCTTTCAATCGCTTCAGTGATGCTGCCCTAGAGGCGGGGACATTGTCCCAGTCGGAGAAGCTTGGAATAGTAGGCGGCTGCACACGGTCACTCGGATGTGGCGCATTGACATACGCTGCTCTAAATTGGTAAGATTCCCACATCCTGTGCTCACTTTCTTTCTTTTGATGGTACCAGTGGCACATCCTTAGTGCTAGATGATTTAAGTTCAAGCATTTATTTATTAAGGCTGATATTCATGGAATTGTGTGCCTGATTAAACGTGCCTGTGCCACAAACAGGAAAGTCCTCCTGGCAGAGCCTCTGCAGCTGCAGAGCTTGGATGATCTCATATGGGGTGGAGTATACATCGAGAAAGCTCTTGGTATTATCCCAATCCAACATCGCAAGATATATGATAGTATTTGCAGGTTTCAGCTGTGTCTTGCGTGCGGTACCCACCTCAGCAGAGTCAGCAGGACGACAGAAGGAGTTCAGAAGGATGCCTGAAGTGTTCATCTCTGCAGGACTTGGGACCGCCTTGTACTTTGGGCTGCTGACTCTGCACTACCTGGCCGCCCTGTTGCCAAGGCCAACGCCTGCGAAATGGTTTGTTCTCTCCCTGTACCTGCATGGAACTTTTGGTCCCATCTAATAAGCTGTCAAGCGTCTATTGCTAACTGCAGACACTGTCTGGCAGGAGCACCTATACTTGATCCTAAGCCTAATTGAGCCAGCAGGAACATCGTGAATAGTGGGATGTTGACAATCACAATTGCCTTTGTGCATGTTCTGGCCCAATTACAATTTCTGCAGGCCTCACAGAGTGATGTGGCTGGCTCAGGGCGAAGGAGCTCAGAGAGGGGCAGAAGACGCTTCTTTCCAGCGCAAAGAGGATCACTGTCAGCGGTGGGAAGCCTCAGACTCCTGTGGCAAAATCAAGCGCCCCTACAAAGCCAGCCACCCCCAAACCGACACCACCCTCCCTCGGTCCCCCATTGGTGTGTGTCCACAATTCTCCCGTTCCTGCTAGGCATCCAAACCTAGCTGCTGAAATGTGCATTTTTTGTACAGTCACCTTGCATCATCTTGCTTCGTACCATAGTTTGCCTCTGTACATATTCTCATCTTGTTTCGTATGAATCACATCCTCTGCATATTGCTATACGATTGATCTACAATCTGCAACTGAGGGAGGCTGAGCATGTGTGTGCTGTGCAGAGGGCAGCAAAGCCCATCGCATCGCCGATGACCCCCCAGCAGCAGAGAGGGGACTCTGGGGGAGGCCCCTACACACGAGGATCCCCCGCTTCACACGGGAGTGGACTAGGATACAGCACTCGGGTGGTCTCCACTCCTGAGCAGCTGCAGCGCTATATGGTGAGCTGACTGCTGCGCAAAAGGACTTAAGACACATCTCAACCGCAGCAATGCAAACGGAGTTAAGCAGAGTTTTTCCGCTGAAAATACCGTTCTATCTAGCAGAGATTAGTCAGCAGGCTGATATTTATTGGCAAGTGAAGGTGTCTACGCAGAAAGCCTGCTGTGCACTTGCAGCATGCAGTGCAAAAGCTGCCTCTTCTGTTCCGGTGAGGCGCGCCCTTGGGGGCTTATAAAATGAGTTCTGAAATGTGAAACTGTAGGACTCATTTGAGGCCAGCACGAGAGGGAATGCCAGCCCAGAACCCGGCTACGGAAATTATGGCGGGTCGCCGTTCGGCTACGGGGCCACCGCTACGGACGCCTTGCCCCTCGGGTACGGCACCGGCACGGCCGGCGTCGCCACACCGCCCGGGACTGCTGTGCTGACCTATCGCCCGTCGCTGCAGGTAAATAGTCAAAGGGCGCGGAACCATGCCAGAGCTTTGTGCAACTTCAAACTGGACTTGTTTGGATGACGAATTGCTGGTTGACGATCATGACTGGGTTGGTCCAAGGACTCTCGGCCAGCGCAGTCTCCTCTTGGGTACATGCCGCACCATGCAGTCTGCCAACATTCCTATAAATATGAGACTTGGTTGATGCAGCCATGCATGCACCAGAGGGCACACTTGTCATTTTGTGTTCTTCCTGCTCTTCATGTAGCATGCATTTGCATGTGAGACACAGCGCGCAGCCACGGCCAAGGCAGGGGTGCCGCATCTGGGCGGGTGCAGCTGCCGTCTTGTATCGTGCATTTCTAGGTGCGGTGCTGCATACAGCCGTGGGGCACTGCACGGTCTCCGCGCCAGGGCAGGTAAACCTTTTCCTGTTATAGTACACTGTAAAATATGCGGTGCTGTGCGCAGGCGCGGGGCAAGGCGGGGTCGCCGCACCGGGGAGACGGGCGGCTGTCGCCGTCGAGCGTGGAGACGTTGGAGGCGGTGTTGGCGCGGCTGGCGACCGGGCGGCGCACGCTGGAGGTCTGGACCGAGCAGCTGCGCTCCTGGCTCGCCTCCGAACTGCTGCAGCCCCTCGACCGCCTCGTCGCCACCGTGCAGAAGGTGCAGCAAAAATCACCCGAGCATTTCAGTGATATTTTTTCTTTGTTGGATCCAGCGGTCTTTAAGCTTGTTGATGCCCAAATGGGACTGGGAGTCCGAGATATGGGGCTCCTTCCCAGTTTGATAAGCGCCCATGTGCACATGTGTGGATTGCCGCCGACTACGCTACGAAGGGGCCCTGTACGGCGTGCAATTAAGAGACAGTGATGCCAGACTCAATACTGCTTTTTTGCCACCTAGCGCTGGCGTAATCTCGCTCACAACCACTCCTTCAGCGACGAACATAAGCTTTTGGCCGTCTAAAGCTGGAGGAGGTGAAACGCACGGGGGTGGTTCTGAGCGGGGCAACACCTGCACCTGGCAGTGGGAAGGCAGCAATTGACTCTGGCTTGGCGTGCTCTAGAGCACCAACTGTTCGCTGACAAGTGCTGATGTCCCATAAATACGTTGTCGCACAGGACGTGATAAAGGCTACTGCGGATCTGGGCTGGACGGGGCTGCAGCTATCAGAGCTGGATGCCGACACCGAGGCTGCCGGCTCCGGCGCCGCGGCAAAGGCTGGCACCGGCAGCCGCGGCGGCGCGCCGGACGCGGACGAGGCGCTGCTTCTGGCGCAGCTGACGCAGCGGCTGCGGCAACAGCCAGCGCAGCCGCCTCCCGAGATCGTCGCCTGCCTCAAGGTCTGCGTTCAATCTGCCACTCCTTGTGCACCTTTTGCCTTCGATATGAAAGCGTAACGTTGAACAGAGGAGGAAAGCACGCGGCGCAATGAGGTGTGTTCCCCATTCTCAATGAAGTCACATAATACTGCCAGTGTACATTGACGCAGAAAAGAGGTGTGCACAGGCAGATTTAAGAATGTGCATCCGGTGCTTTGCTTGCATGGATGTGCGTAGGACACAGCTCTCTGCCATTCTACTCAGGATATTGGGTGCCATACAAAGGAGAAAAAGGGAAACAATGGAGAGACAGTGGAAATAGTCACGCTTGCTCGTTGTAGGCGGCAACAGGTACCAGCAGAAATCAAATTCCTCATAAAAGGAACGCTGGTGCAGGCAGTGAACCAGTACCAGCAGCTGGCGGCGCTGCTGCGCGGCGAGCAGCCGCGCGCGCTGCTGCCGCCGACGCCGCGCGGCTACGTGGCGGCGCGGCTGCGCCAATTGGCAGCCGGGCCGGTGGTGGCGGCCTTTGACTGGGACGGCGGCGGCTCCTGGGGCGGCAAGCCCTGGTCCCCTGAGCTGCCCACCGACTCTGCGCTCCTGCTCTATCTCTTCGCTGCCTTCCTCACGGTTCGCGCATGGCTTTTTCTGTTGAGTGAATCCCTGGCCCCTGTGTGTCTCGCCAATTACGGGCCCCTGCACAAAACTTTGAAGAGCAGGAACAGCAGTTTCCACATTCTGCAGAACAAGGACAACAAAGCGCTCATCTTCACCGACCGCCACGTGCTGTACATTGGCCTCAAGCGCCAGAGCGTGCGCTGGGCCCGACAGCAGAAGGCAAAGAAACCTTGTCATGGACCCAGGCACTTGCTGCACTGGCTGGCAAAAGTTCTCCCACCTGCTCATCTGTACTACATCAGAAAGTTTGAGGTTGTTGTGAAGCGAGCAAATGCAGCTCAGCACATGTCGTGCCTGGGGCGTTTGTTGTCATTGCGGATTGTCTGCTCTGTGTTGTCGTGTGACCCTTCCAGGGTGCATCTTTGTCCATCCTTTGCTTCTGCCAAATGGATTTTGGAGAGGCGCTGTGGCAGGTTTGCATGAGACCTAGGGCAGGGTCCCTCTCCTGTGAAATCATCCGCATGGTGCTGGCACCACCGTTTCTGCTGTGCCATGCGTGTGCTCACCGCTGCATGCACAGACGCCCAAGTGGATGGAGCCGTATTCTTGTGTGCCATGATACATATTTTGGGTTTCCTGTCAGGACTCGTTGCAAGGGCCCAGAGTGCTGGCAGAGTTTTCTGATGTGTGGGTGTGCTGATGCATGCGCAGGCGCCCAAGTGGGAGTTTGCGTTGGAGGAGGTGGGGCAGTCCCCCCAGCAGGCGGGCCCCCTGTTCCTGGGGGCGCTCCCCCCGCGGCCCCCGCCAGCATTCTCAGCCATCCTCTCATTCCGCCCTAACGCCAACGCCCTCTCCAGGCAAACATTCAAATTCAAAATCACAATGCTTACTAGAAACCATCGCACGCTGATGCATGTCAAGTATGTTGCATGCATAGTGTTGGCGGAGAAGCAGCCTATTTTGGCCAGTCCGGTGCCTGCAGAAGGCCCTGCACATGATGGCACATGTCTTGCCAGCTCTCTTGAATTTGTTGCTGTTGGCAGCCCAGCTTTGCCTGGGACGCCAGAAAGCTGCCTTCATAAGGTACCTTACTGACATCAAAAACAAGGGCCTTGAGAACCCGAGAAATCTGAGACCTGTGAATGTTCCTTGTCCACAGGAATTCGGCCGCCATTTTAGCGTTGGGGATATCTTCGCGCGAGCCGCACTTCACGCTAGTGCTTGGGGGCGAGCCGGCCCTGACGCTGTGCCACCACAACGCACTGTTTCACACCATACTGCTCTTCCTCCAGGCAAGCCATTCTTGGTAGCAACGGCACCTGAACTTGACACTGACAACCTCACCAGGGATGATGAGATTTGTATGCAGTACGCTTGCACCACTCTAAGAAGGCCTGTTGTACTTGTATGCCAATTGAATTGGCTATCTACTCGAGAGGGCAAGATCTAGTGCTCTTCCTCCAGGCAAGTCATTCTTGTGGTGCTCATATTCTTGTCGCTGGTTGCAACAGTGACTGTTGAACAGTCCTCTATACTTCTAATATCTTCTGCAGTTGGCCTTATCACTCAGCAACAGTTTCAGCTCCAAGGAACAGTGTGTTGTATGCTGGACCCCTGCACTGGGGGAAAGACAGCGCTGCTTGCCCACTTCAGCTCTAGTCTTGATTGTGTCGGAGAGACTGGGACTGAGTGTCAGGGGAATAGAGGGTTGGAGAGTGGAAGATGTATAAGGGGGAGGGGTGTTGAGCTGAAATCATATGTTGTCTGCTGCAGAATGCCAAGCTGTCAGGAGAGGGATTCATCGGCGACCGCAGCTTGGATTACTTGAAGCTGTCTGCCGTGCTCAAGCCGGGGGATCCTGTCTATTCCATATTCTCTGGCCGCTGGTTTGGCCTCTGGTAGATTTCCCCCGGACCTTGGGCGAAAATGCATGTTGATGCGCTTGTGCTGTGCTCACGTGAGTATACGCTGACATTTCAATGGGACGTATCCTTTTTCAGTGTCATCACGAGTGCAAATCAGGTATTATAAAGTGCACCTGCCATGCAGACAACACCTGTGGTCGAGGGAAAGGTGCATCGTGTGCTTGAGAGGTGAGTGGCTTTGATCGTGCAATGTTCCAGAGGCTGCTGCATGTACGTTTTAAAGGTTGTGACGTCATCGACGACAGATGTGATGGGCAGGCCATTTCGGGACTTGAAAGGATCTGGCACGGGCATGCGCAGATGTGTTCGTGCGAATTTTTGTTACAGAATGCTGCAAGGCACAATTGCACCCTAGGAGTCTGCCGGTGATAAAGTCATCGCAGAAATTCATTCCAGACGGGACCTCGGCCCAACTGACCCATACATCATGATCTCTCTGGGGAAACCGTACAATCCTCATATTGAGCGCCCAACATTCTATGCGGGCCAAGGCTAGAAGGCACAGGCTTCCTCCTGTCCACTCCTCTGCCCACAATAAATCCTGCACAGAAGGTAAACAATCTTTCAGCACCCTCACTGCACGCATGCTTTCTTGCCACGTCGATAAAGCACAGCACTTTGAGGCACCAACTGCTGTGCCAGATCACCAAAAGCACGCAATCAGCTGGTAGATCAAACAATCGGTGCGAGAGCCTCTGACGAATGCTATACGCTGGCTCACAGAAAACTCACCAGCTGCAATGTTTACATGAACTCGCGCTCCTTTCGCCCATACTTGCGGTCGCTCTTGTGGAACTCAGACTTGGTGATGGCGTAGAGCAGGCAAGGGAACGCCACCACCCATTTGGCGATGGTCCACAGATTGTCGTTGTCGAACTTGTAGGTCAGCTCGATGTGCTCCCTGTTGGTGCCCCATGACTCCACATACTTGTTGCTCTTGACCGGCAGGTTTCCTGCGAACCTCTGCTGCTGGTAGCCTGCACCACGACAGGTTCGATGGCGATAAGGCATTCTGTAGTTCGAAATGAATTGAATCTACAACATGGTGGCAGCTGGACCCAGGATGGAAAGGTAGGTCGTCTCAACAGGACGAAAGCCACTTCCGTAAAAGCAAGAACACTTCTGAACTGTAAATCTAGGAACAGCTTCTGTTCTCACCCATATTTGAAGAATTAAACGTTTAAGGGTCTCATATACTAGAAAACTTGAGCATCTTCGCTACACTACTGCTCTGCTACACCACTTGCCTAATGGGTGCTCGATGTCTATCAGAAATGGGAGATAAAGAAATGTACAATAATATTTCTGTGTATTATCAGAGGCCTTACAATCTATCACAGAACAGAGGTCACACATCCCAGGAATTGTGCACCCGTTGACTTACAGCCCTTCCATCGACCAGATACATACCTGAAGCCTTCTGTGTATTTAGAAGAGCCCTCGACGCAGTCTGTGCGAGGCCCCGCAAGCTGCGGGACATCCTGAGCCCTGCCCTCAAGTGCACTGCCTAATTGCTCAAGCTGCAGCAGCAAAAGTCCTCGAGAAACCTTTCGGCTACTGGCCCATACAGGAAGTTCTGAAACACACTCTCGTCCCTTTTTCTTCCAAATCGGTGTATGATGGTGAGATTTCTTGGTCCTGCACTGATGCTCCTGGATTCTCGATATCTTCTATCCCAAGATTAGAGCAAATGGGGATGTGAAGCATGGGGTTGAGGAGGCACAATATATATATAAGGCACAATATATAAAAAGCGCATGCTGATGTATCCCCTTGGATTTCTTAACGCCATCAATTAGGTGTACACTTTGATGTATTAGGGACTAAGTGAGCTTACAGGCCTGACACCCCTAGAAAGCCTTATCCTGTATCCAAGCGCCGGCCACAGGCGCCTGTGGTCGGCCTGTTGGCAGCTGAGATCTCTCTTTTAGACTGCAGTGCACTGCAAAGAAGTCTGAAGTGCGCACATCATTACATGCAGTGCAGTGTATCGTAATTGTGTGCTTATGCGTCAAGCGGGAGCTGCAATAGCTGGCTATTGCCAGCTTACTTGCACAAGGGCCTACTTTGTCAGATCATCTGATAATTATCGGATGATTGCAGATTACTTGTAAGCACCCGCTGCTCGCAGCAGATTACCATGCCACGTCAGTAGCACAACTAATGCAGCACAAGTTCTGCCACAGTAAGCCTCCTAAACTAGAGCTCTCCTCGCCTCTAAAAGTGTAAAGCAGAACTCTATTGCCTGTCTATTTCGAAGTGAATTCATCCCCGGCCTCAGTCGCCGTCACGTCCCTCAAAGGCCGAGTCATTGAGCGCGCAGCACACGGCAGCTTTGTGGTGCCCCGAGTACATGCGTATCGCATCCCCGCTTGACAGGTCCCATAACCGCGCGCTGCAGTCGGACGACGCCGTCACCAGGTAGGCCGCGTCGACCGAGAAGACACAATCCCACACCCACCGCTGATGCCCTGCAGTGCATGCAGAAAATTGTGACACACTTGTCAAGAGCGAATTGTCTCTGCGATACGGTATCCTGCTTCATGTCACATGCACTTCCGAGGCTCATCTCTTTGGAAAGGAATGCAGCCATGCCCCTACTTGGGGCATAGCGGTCTCTGATCCATTCAAAGTTGAAGGATCAGACTGTCAGGGACGTTTGGTTGACGGCGCAGCAGGGCCCACCCATATTGACAGAGACTGAAGTTGCAATTGTGCTTGCCACATGAGGTATAACAGGGCAACACAAGGTGACAGAAAGACATGAAAAGCTGTCAGATTGCCCAAAAGGTGAAGGTAAGGTCAAGGACGCAGTGAGAGCAAGTAGCAGAGGGCCCGACCTGTGAGGGTGCGGTCGAGCGAAAAGCCATCCAGGCTCCACAGCTTCACGGTCTTGTCAGCGGACGCCGTCGCCAGCTGGCGCACATCCGGGCTCAGCAGGCACTTCAGGATGTAGTGCCCTGAAAAGGAAGCAGACGCTCAGCAGACATCTAGCAAAAATGCACCCTTTAAGTCTCTGAGCGCCAGCCATGCACCAGCTTCTCAAAGTGTCACTGCACAAATGTTCAGATCCCACCGCATCAAGCTCACACAGTCTTGTACAGCCCTCATGCCCTTCTCTTGGATCCAGCTCTTCGCAGCAGCAGCTGCTGCTGACACAACTATCAATGTGTCTAAATCTTAGTTTGGGCAAGGAATCTCATTGGCAAGGAATCTCATAACACGGGACAGGTAAAGCACCGGGGTGTGCGCGCAGCTTGTGCAGCGGCTCAAAGTGGGTCGTGAGGGAGCCTCCGCGCATCATCCGCCACACGTAACACGTCCCTGAAGAGATCACATTACTCACACTTTTAGCATGCAGTGGCGTCGGGCCCTATGACCAGGACTTCAGCCGTCGGCATTTGCCAAAATGCACAAGCATGGCCACGGCCTCTGGACCATCGCATTTTCACTGCAATGGTCATGGTACTTTTTGCCATGGTCGTGCTTTTGCTGACTCGTCAGTGCAGCTGAATTGGCGCCCCCTTGTGCGGCCATACCTACCCATGCTTGCGGCCAGAAATAGGCATCATCCGGCACTACGTGCACCACAGCTGACTGCACAACTACGTATCAGCCATTGTACACGGCCTGGATTCCTCCTACAACCATTGTCGAAGCAGCAGATCTTGTGCAACCCTTGCCTCACTACTACACATGATATTATATATGTTGCACGCTTTACCAAAAGGCAAGGTGCGTCCTGCAGTCAAGCTGCAGTGAAAGGCTGCCACAATGCTACCCCTCGATGGACTCGCCACATCCAAGCAAGGCCCAATCAAACGTGGGCACATGATCAGTATTTATACTGGCCCCCGCCAGCCGGGGCCTCATACGTACACATTATCCTGTCCAAAACACCAGGCCCCTGTCTTCAGGGGCCTTAGAGCGAGAATAATGGCTCAAGGAGAGGGTTCACCCTGGTTGTTGGCAGCGACGACAAGGGAGCCGTCAAGAGCGACACTGAGGCTGCGCACGGCTGTGCCAACCTCGGGCACGAGCTCGCAGCTGCATGCGTTGGCCGTCAGGTCCCACACGCGGATGTTCCCATGCTGGTCGCCTGCGCAGGACATCACTCTTGTCACAATCGTAGCAAAAGTGAATGCATGCATGCAAGTCAGCGCGAACGCCAAAGTAGGGAGGAAGGACTGCCTCGCTGTGTAAATAGGAGTGCAAAAATACAAATATCTCCCGGCCCACAGGAGCACTCATGTCAACACTGTTAAAACATGTGACAATTGTGAAGCATGCTCAAATGCCAAGCCCTGGAATCCTGATTGTGGGGTGGCATCAGGGTACATCCCTAACAAACACCAGTGCTCATGTTGTCCAGGGGTATGTCCTGATGCCACCCCAAGCTTGAAAGGCAAGGTTGCTAGTGCAGCGCAGGTTGGCTGCTTGCATTCCCATGGCAGCTGGCACAAGATTTTCATCCTACTAGCCTCTCAACTGGTGCCAACAGCCCATCATGCATGTGAAGCAAGCCCACCATATACCGCACGTCTTTAGAAACATTTGACGAAAGCCTAGCTTTCCCAAAGCCCGCATCTGGCTGTGTGCATGCACTGTGGGTTGTACCAGGTCCGACCTCAGGGCCTCACCTGAGATGAGTTCCCCCTGGTTGGGGTGCAGCACTACTGTGTTGACGGCGCCCCTAGATGCATACTCTCGCTGGAAGCCCGGCGCGCGCATGTCCCAGATTTTGACAGTGCCGTCCTCCGATCCCGAGTACATCCATTTGCTGTCCTTCTGGAAGCCGACCTGTTGGCAGACGCAGTGACTCAGGTTTGCATTGAAACAGAAATCTGTATAAGGAAGATATTAGGCACCCTGCTCGCAATGTGCCAACTCTCCTGCGTGGCACATATAAGCTGCACAGTACCTGCCCAGTAATCTTGTGGGGGGATTTTGCCCCTGTTGAGCGCTGTGATCATGTAGGTTGAAATCAGCTCGCGCCCCACTTCATTTGTAGAGTGCAACATGCATGCAGGAAATGACACAAAGGGAATAGCCCAATATGTGCAGCATATCCGATGACCAGCCGCTGTCAGTAGCGCAACGCGTAGCCAAGCAGGTCTAGCAGAAAAGTCATGAGCTTTCCAGCCAGAAAGCTGATGGAGTATGAGTACAGCAGTGAATCAGGGCAGCTCATCATATCAGGTGATGCACGACATGCAGGGGAGGCTTGTTGTTAAACATGCAGGCACAGCTCAACAGCAGATTGTGAGTTTGGCTGAGTAGAGTGTGTGCAGGAGGGACTTACTGCTGTGACGTTGGCGGTGTGGCCATCATAGGTCAGCACGGGCTGGTTGTTGTTGGACTGGACCTCATAGAGGCGGATCTGGGGGTTGCCAGCCGCTGCCAAGAGCCTTTTGTCTGTCGTAATCTCGAGCTTATTGACCTGATGCAACACACTGGACATCAGTGCAAAATCAAAAGTCTTCCTAGGAAGTGGATTCGTCGAACTATGAATCAGGTCTGAAAACTTTGCACAAGAATGTCAATTCTCTGTCTGATAGATTACGGCAATCAGGCACCTGGCTATCGCCGTATTGCAGAGTGCGGTAGCAGATGCCACTGGTGGCTTCCCAAAGTTTTATCGTGTGATCATATCCTGCAGTGGCCAAGATCACTTGTGACCCCATGTGCCCTACGGGGGCCGCATGGTCACTCTTCCGTTGTCACCATTACCTACACTCTCCTTTTGATTCAGTGAATCTGAACAAGACGGTACACTTGTTCAGCAGCAGGAAAATTGACAGGCCATGAGTTACAATAAGTTGCCTTTTAATAACGTTATCGGAGGCTGCCAGCTCCTTTACCGCTGATACGACAAAATCAACAATTGACAGCTTGTGCAAGAGGGGCAATTTGCGTGGGCCTTGTGTTGAGGGCTCTGTCAATGCTCACATTCACAAGCATGCTCCAAAGTAGGCAACGACAACGAGCGTGACTGTTGATCACGCTTGGATTGGCATGTATAGAAAGACTCCAGATTCCACATGTGATCAATGATGATGTACACTGCATTTTAGATTTGTTGAATCAGGCAAGGCTTGAGGATGTGTTGACCCAGATTACGATTGCTGGTTGATCACGAACCTAGGTGACATGGCAGCGCTGAAGTTTTTCAGTGTGGCTGCTTTGTTATCTGTACTATGCGTCTTAGCCTCTTGCAATGTTTCTGATGTTTCACCAGTACGGTCAGAACGGAGCTTCACCATCGAGAACAACCGTTTCGTGAAGGATGGCAAGCCACTCCAGATCATTTCGGGGAGGTGCGTCATCGGCCTAGTTCGATCCGATGATTGCTCTGGAGTTTGCTATTTAGTTCAATTACATCAATGGATGTTGTATCAAACGGAGTCACAGAAAGGCTAAGTTGAATATCTGACGTCAGCATCTTGATGGCCAAACGGAAAGCCAGAACTGCAAGCAAACACTCAGAGTTTGTTGTACATCACAATATACTACCAGAATGTCCTTGTTTCTACCGATCACAGAGCACGGCTGTTCCCATTTTGTTGGGGTTGCAATACATGCTTACTAGACTGATTGGACTACGTGTTCTTGCAGCATTCACTACAACCGCATCCATCCAGCATACTGGAAGGACCGCCTGCAGCGTGTGCAAGCAATGGGCCTCAACACAATCCAGGTCAGCCTTTCAAGTTCTGTCATCCTGTCTTTCTTTGCTGTCTTGCTGCATGCATGCCCGCAGTCTCTTCCCTGGTGCTCATGCGAACAAGAGTACATGCACATGCAAAACTGGAAGGCCAGACATTGAGTGTTTTATATTTCTTGTGGTCCTCCCTACTTATTTAAAGTTTAGTCTACTCCTATGTGTGAATCGGAGCTCATGCACTAAGAGAGCATGCATCTGAGAGTTTTGAAAGGGCAGCTATCATTGCTCCTTTTGAACTCCTTTTCTGTGAAGCATTCCATTACAGCATTGAAAGACTGATGCTCTACGTGGTTGATGGCTCAAAGTGACGCGCAGCTGTATGTTCCGAAAGACTGATGCTCTACTTAAGGTTGATTGCTGCTTGCTCTGTACAGCTGTATGTGCCATGGAATTTCCACGAGCGTAGCCCGGGCACATTCAAGTGGGATGGCGAGGCGGACATTGAAAGGTTCCTGGACATCGCGCAAGAGCTGGGCCTGAATGTGCTGCTGCGCCCTGGGCCCTACATCTGCGGCGAGTGGGACTTTGGTGGCTTCCCCTGGTGGCTCGCCTCCTCCAAGGCGCGCGCCGATTCGTACCAAAGGGGGAGTAACATGATTCACCAGACCTACAACTATGTCACTTGGCAAGATCGTGTCCTCTCCAATGGACCGATAGGCAGTCTCAGGCTCGTCACGCCATCCTTTGCATGTGCCATGTGTGCTGGGGTTATCATTTCCCGGCTGTCCAACCACTCTGGCCCCTGTTGACTTCAGCGTCATTATGGAACATCTGGGTTCTGGTGTCCCAGGGTTTTGCAAATCATGTCACACGTCATTGACATCGTGTGTCCTGTTCAGGTGGAGGGTGGGCGCACGATGAAGCTGCGGGTGAATGATGCGGCGTATCTGGGTCACGTGGACCGCTTCTGGAACGTGCTGCTGCCCAAGATGGCACCCTACCTGTACCACCGCGGGGGCCCCATTCTGATGACTCAGGCGTGCTGCACACTCTTGCAAGACATTGTTTCTCATCGTGGATTTCAGCGGAGTTTAGGGCCTTGAAAGCGTGGAAAGAGATCAAATGTTGTCTCTCACATGGCTCTGTCTTCTAACCTAAACATGAGTAGCACGGCTCAGAGTTCACTTTTAAGGCGAATCAAAGTTTGATGGTTTAGCCTCACTTGACAAAGTGCTGTTGCACAATGTCCACGTCGAGAACGAAGCGCCTACCGCTCAGTAGGAGACTTGCACAAGGTGGAGTCTGCTGGCAACTGTAGTCATAATGAGTAGTCCTACTCAAGCTGTCACTTGGCTGCATGTCTCAACGTCATAGTTTGTTGTGCGCAGATTGAGAACGAGTACGGATTCTGCGGGTTCAATGACAAGGCGTACCTCCAACATCTGGTGGACACTGCGCGGGCTTCCCTGGGCGACGAGGCTGTGCTGTTCACCACGGACCCCCCCAATGTGGTCACCATGGGGGGCCTCTATGGAGATGATGTCATCTCGTGCGTCCCCTTCCACTCTTGTAGCGTCCCCCTTCAGAGTCCCCTTTGAAGTCGTCTAGAGTCCTCTTTAGACGCATTTCTATAAGGCTACTGGAGTCCTTGGAGTCCCTTTGCAGTCCTTTGGAGTCCTTCACAGAGTCACACCCCTGCATCCATGAGATGTCTTAGCTTTGCGGACCAAGGCCAAACTATGGCAGAAGGCATTACAGTCTTAAGGGTCAGGGCAGGACATTTGATGCCGTTGGGCCTCCCTGATGGATCATGCATGTCTTGAGCTTGCATGCAGGCTTATCACAATAAGCTTATATCGGAACTGCATGCCCAACTTGTAGAAACGGTTGTGCGTTCAAGAGTGGCTGGCAGTGCACGCAAACCATATTGTTATTTATGATTTTTTGTGCATGGCCGCAGGGTGGTGGACTTTGGGCCGGGCACGGACGTCAACTGGGCTTTCACGGCGCAATCGGTCATGAACCCCTTTGGCAAATCCCCGCCCTTCTGCAGCGAGTTCTAGTGGGCCCCACTCCTCCTCTAACCCATCTTAATTATTTGAATAGGAGTTTGCAAAACTGGTGAAAGACGAAATTGATGGATGCCCCAGCGCCCCATACAGGTTCCCATATGTGTTGTGATCTGAGCCAAGGTTCCTGATAATCATACTTGATCAGGTCATCCTTTGGAAGCATTTCTGTGAATACTTGTTGCACTGGGCTGAGGTATGTACTTTCTTGTAGCAATGGCATATGGTATGCAGTTTCTTGTTGCAATGGCGGAAGGCCATGCATTGAACTGTTGTCCTGGTGTGGCCCTACATTCTTCCACCCTTGACAAGCGCAAAAGCCTAGTGTTCATGCTGCCTGATCTGGCTGCATGGTGCGCTTGCAGCACGGGGTGGCTGCCGCACTCGGCCGTATTCCCAAACTTGCAATGTCAGAGGGTTGATATAGCAAGAAGAATTTCCTTCGTCGCAGCGATGTGGCTGGAATTATATCGCCACCCTCGCCCAGAGGGGAATATAAGGGTTTGCATCGCCTGACTTGGCTGCATGTTGTGCAGCACGGGGTGGCTGTCGCACTGGGGTGAGGTGATGGCCAACACGAGCGCGGGGTTCATGCTGCAGACGCTGTCAGACATCCTTAGCTACGCCAACGGCACCGGCTCCGTCAACTTCTACATGGCCCACGGCGGATCCAACTTCGGCTACTGGGCAGGTGACCTTTGCCGCTGTTTAGTGGTACTGTCACTGCCACTGCCTGTGTGTGACAGGCACCGTTTATGCCAAAGCCCGCCTGTACATTCTGACACTGGGCAGGCCCACTGTCAACGCCACTGTCACAACAGATTTCACTTCTTTTCACTCATCAACCAACTAACGTCAACCAAGATGTACCCGTGGTAGACATATTCGTCTCCTTGGGTATTTTGGTGGCGCTGCCCTGTGTGTCAAGTTTTCTTTTGTGCACTTGCAAATGGCATGCTCAGGCATCTTCCTCATCATTAGTATCAAGCTGATTGGCTTCATTTTGAGGAGGCACGGCCTGGTCATCATGTGTTTAGCGTCCTGCCAGGACAGGCCCAAACGGTGACTGCCTGCAAGTGACCACCTGCCGGCACATGCGCGCAGGTGCCAACATTGCGGGCAGCATCTACCAGCCGCACATCACCAGCTATGACTACGACTGCCCCATCAGCGAAGCCGGCGGCATCGGCCAGCCCGGCATCGGCGGCGACAACAAGTTCAAGGTGAGGCTACATTTTCCCAGACGGATACCCTCGGCAGCACCTGAATCTGCTAGTCTGCTAAGCGGATGCTTGGGATCCCTGTTGTCCGGGGGTGACAACAAGTTCAAGGCGAGCTTACCTGCCTCTCTCCCACACACCCTCCACCTTGTGTACTTTTGTCATGCAGATCCAACACTTTTGAAAAGCTTCACCTCTTCCTAGAGTCAATTTAGCCCTCGCGGTGGATTTTCTCAGTAGCTGTTTCACTGGCACCCATCCACAGCTGAAGGTTGAGGAACTCTCCATCTAGGGATGCAAGGTATACTGCATGCGGCATGCTGATCTACCTCAGTCAAACCTGATCCACCTCATTGTTTGGCTAGCATGTCTCCTTGGCAAGCTGCCGGTGCAAGCCAACCACATTCTAATCCCAAAAATTCTCTTCACAAGGTCCACCTGACAGCCTGGATTTCAAATGCGCGCAGCTGATCCGGGCCCTGATTGAGAAGCACACGGGCGTGGCACCGCCAGAGCTGCCACCGCCGCCCGTAACGGAGGATTACGGGACGGTGGAGCTGGCGGAATCTGCCACGCTGCTGGACCAGCTGCTCGAGCTGTTCCCAGGGGACGGCATCGCCTCTGACCGGCCGGACGTAATGGAGGAATACGGCCAATCGTGAGTTGCCCTCCTTTCATTCTTGGACATTTTGTATGCGCAAATACGTATAGATGGTGTACACCGTATATGTATGGCCCCGGATGGCAGGGGCCCTCATGGGATATATAAAGAATTGCCTCTGGCAAGCCCGATGTCATGAAGGAGATGGCCAGATGCAAAGGCTTTCAAGCACCAGGCACAGCAAGGATTTACTTGAGGCCTTGCATGGAGTGAAGGACATCTGCAGGTTTGCAGTGCAGTCTCTGTGCACCAGCTTCCTGAGCACCATATCTTGCTTTCCATTGCAGACATCACAAAAAATTGCAAATTTCAAATCACTGGGAATAAGTGCCATGCCACAAAGAGGGCGCCCTTTCTAAATATGGGATTGCATTTGAAAGGGACAAGTATCTGAGGAGCTTTTGATTGCAGGGGCGGACTGATATTGTATCGGACTGTAGTCAATGCGACCTCGCTTCAGTCAAATGCCGTGCTGGACATCGGCGAGCCTGTGCGGGATTATGCCAGGGTGAGTCACCTCGTCTGACTTTTCATAAAATTCCATTCCTTTTTCAACAGCACTGTTCTTCTCTTATTTCTTTGGCGAGCCATTCAGTGCTGGCAAGACAGCAAAATTCAGCGCAAAGCACTGCAGAGGACAGCCTTACAACAGCGCCTGGTGTGATTTGTGCAGCATTTGTATTTGCTGTCCAAGATCTGTTTTAAGTTGTTCCATGGGTGCCATTTCAGGTGCTGCTGGATGGGAAGATTGTGGGATTCTTCGAGCGCAGCAATCCCAGGAAGCTTCCCCTGCCCAGCCTCTCCACCTCCAGCGGCGAGGTGCGCTGACTCATCCTCTTGTGATGTACGACACTATGCACCTTGGGATTGCATAACTGTCGTCTCATGCATCCTATTGCGTGCTGGTGCTGGAGGTCAATAAACATGTAAGTATTTTTCCCTGCTGGCGGGTACCGGTTATTTCTGAGCACCGTGCCCACGGTTGATTGGGTCTTGCATGGTTCTGTCGAGTCCAACAAGGGGCAGCCTTTACGCGCAGCGTGTCTGCATACGCATCTTGCCTCTGGCAGGAAAAAGGTATAATAATAGTAACAATATCGGCAGGATGCAGCTTTTGCATGATGCCCTCTCATCTGACCTGCTGAGCAGTGCAGTCACAGGAGCTTTGGCTTGGAGAAACAGGGGCTTGACATGTTGGAATCCTGTGGCTCAGGTAACACTGGACATTTTGGTGGAGGCGTTGGGGCGGGTGAACTTTGGCTGCGTCTGGGACTACAAGGGGCTTGTATCCCCTGACGTCACCCTCAATGGTGTGCACTGCTGCATTTCATGCACACCTTGTATTATGATCTGCCCAAAGTAGCAGCCCTATGTCCTGCAACACAAGCCTGCGCATGCATGTCTGAGCGTTTCCGTGAACTACAGCTGCAACATTTGGGTTACTGTATGGTACAGTCCTGGCAGCTCTAGTTCTGCTGAAAGTGCTCGAGACAGGTGCACGCATGCATGCACATGTTGCCCATTTGCACATGCAAAGACAAATCCAACAAACACCAATGCTGAGACATGCATGCAGATACCACACAGGTGCACATGCACAGGCATTTACAAGGGGATTTGTCCCTCTTAGAGAAACTATTTACTGAAGCCCCTGGTGGAATCCTGCAGGTGAGGTGCTGACTGGATGGCACATCTACCCACTCCAGCTGGATGACCTCAGCAACATCTCCTACAGCAGCAACCCAGTCAGCCAGCCGGGCGCGGCATCGTTCATATTCGAATCCGAAGGCACCGAGCTGCTCAGGACGCTTGCGCGGTTTGCAATTGTGCCCGGCCGGGCAGCTGCCGGGCAGCTGCGCGCGCCCAGCGCCGCCGAGTCCGGCCCCATTTTCTACAGGTGGGCTGCCCAAGAGCAAATGTGTGGGCAAATGTGAGAGAGCAGCAGAGTGGCATGTGTGCCATGTTACAACAAAAGCAGCCATAATCTGCAGAGCTGCACTAGACACCCCTGAGGAGTGCTTGGAGGCTGTAATTTTTTTCCTGGAACCTAGTCTCGATTTGACTTGTTTTGTTGTGATGCACATGATGCGGTGTCGGAAGGTTCTTGCCATGCTATCTTTATGCCAGCTTGCACAAGCAGCGCACAGCTCTAGCCCTGATTCTGCCAAGAGCACCACATCCGCTTCAGTGATGTTTGCACACCCGAGCTGATCTCGGTAGTCTGAAATGTGTGATCTACTTCCCTGCAGGGGAACCTTCAGCGTCAATGCAACAGAAACGGCGCCAGGCATAGACGGCAATCTGGCGGATACCTTTGTGAGCGTGCGCGGGTGGGGCAAAGGGCTCCTGTGGGTGAACGGCTTCAACCTGGGCTGGTACTGGGCCAGCATAGGGCCTCAGGAGGCGCATTACATCCCCGGGCCGCTGCTGCGCGAGGGAGATAACGAAATCGTGCTGCTCGAGGTGGAGGCAACGCCGTTGGACGCCACCGGTGCGCCCACCCTTTTCCAAATAAATCCCCTGCCCCTCAGAGGCTCTGTATTCCTCCGGACTCTAAGGCCAATCTGACCTCTGGGGGGCACTCTATCACATGGTGTATGTCAGATATGCAAGGGCAGGTCTGGCTCGGTGTAAGGGGCGCTCAGTCAGTTTGACTCTTGAAATGCGCAAGAGTTGGGCAGAAGTTTAAGCTGCTTCAGAGATAGAGTTTTTGAAGGGCACTGGCATAGCTTGTGCACAGCCTTTGTCTGTGCAGTATACAGATCTATGCTTTGGCAGCAGGCCAGAATAACCCTCACTGACTTTGTCACCGGCAGAGGCCCTTGCCAAAGAGCGCTCCTCGGGGCAAAAATATAGTACACACAGTGCAGCTGCAGCCTATCACAGAGCTGCGCAGACATCGCCGCAGGAAACGCTCCAACATCAGAAAGCTGAAGCTTTTGAGTGCAAACCTTGTGCATGTATTCCCTAGAGCGTGCCGCCCTTCAGAGCAGCCGATCTTTGCAATTTTGTCAACGGCCATGTCAGTCTTGCCTCGAGCCTCAAGGGCAGTGAACACCGTTGATGATCAAGCCTTTGTGGTGTGCCGGAGCTTGGCTTCACAGGTGCTGGTGAGATGGTGATCACTGTGCGCATGCTGAGAGGTCTGTTGCTGTGTGTGTGCAGTGCGGCTTACGGGGCAGGCAGACTTCTACGGGCCAAGTTACGGCGCGAGGAGGGCGGGACCAGCGCGCCTGAGTGCCACGCCGTTTGACCGTTCTGTGTACATGCCACAGGGTGTCACAACATTGTCTCAGGGCGAGCCAGCTTCCATGGCAGTGCTGCCTGCCTGAGTTCCTGCCAAGAGCTGACTCCCATCACCAAATCTTGTGCCTTCACATGCGTGTTAGATTAGCTTCGAGAAGGAATTCCTTGTGGCTTCTCAGTTGTAGGAACCTTTGTTTGGACTGGCTGCTTACGTTTTCAAGGATGCACCACCTTGTTTTACGCAAGCCCGTCTGTAATCATTATGCGTTATACTTTTGAAGTGTACCAGCAAATATGCAGTGTACGCATGAGCAACAATACCTTGGAAGACCGCCTTGAACACTCAATGCAAGCACTGGTCTATTCCGGGAAGTAGAAACGAAATGCATGGCATCCAGCTCAGAGCTGCCAGGAAGTTGGCAGCTCAATACAATTCTATGGGGCAGCATGTCATTTCTAGATCTATCGCAGAAGCTTGGAGTGCAAGGTACTAATTTTTATCAGGCACAGAAATCTGAGGGGATTCAGGCTGACCGTTCATCACACCACCTTTCTTCAGAGCAATCTGAGCAAGCCAGCCACAACTGTATCTTATGCTGGGGCACGTTTGACGATTCTGTTCTGTTCACTTTAGCAGACATGGACTTTGACTACCTTTCAATGGACACCCATAAGTCTCTTCTTCAATGATCCATGAGGCAGCTGCTGCTCTGCATCCTAAAGCCAGAGTCTCTGCAGTTCTGATTTGGATTTGGGCAGGTCTCGTGGACACACGTTGAAGCTTTCCTGCTCTGGTACAGGTGGTCTTCCTGCCCATGTCCTGTCTTTCAATCCTAAAAACACTGAGCGCCCCCTTGACGGAGCCAGGCCAGTCTTACAGGCTGCCTGTCCCACCAGGTGCTTTCATATCAGCAGGTCGAGCTGGTGCCTTAGCATCCAGTGGATCACCCATTGGCAAGCATGTCTGCGGTCAAGGCGGCCGAACTTGCCCCTAGAATTCACAAACTCTTATTGGGCACAATGACAATGGGAGTGAGGCTGTGGGATGCGCAGTACTTTGTGACGGATCCCAGGAAGAATCTCGCCACAGCTGACTTGTTCTCCCTCATGAGCACCAGTGCATCTGCCTTGACCGTGGCTGCATAGTGGCAAATGGCCGCGCCAATGTTGCTGCTGCTGTCGTTGTGGACTGCCACCACAACAGGCTTCACCTCTGCTCCTGCAGACTCGGCCTTTGGCATGAAGACGTCCCTCAGGAAGTGCTCCGAGGCAGCAACCTGCAATTGCAAATTGAAGTGTCAGGGATCTTCACATGTGAGAGCTTACAGGTCCAGCTGTCAGGTTGCTACAGGGGATCTTTGGGGAAAGCCAGATCCGCAAAAGCTTTGAACTCTTTGCTGATGACTTTGGCAGCTTTGTGCAAATGTGATGTGTGCTACTCACCACAACGGAACAGAAATGAAACCACTTGCCAAACTCTGGAAAGTGAAGGTGTTTTTTCACTGACGCAGAAGCTGGAGGCTGAGATCATGGCTTACCATCTCCACCTCCATAGCTTCCATGTTCTCGTAGGCAAACTCGGCAGCGGCCGCACTTGCTGCGATGGAAGTGGCGAGTGAGCGCGGCTGGACGTGCAGCAAATGATACGTGTACCCTGCACACATGAGCACAAAACCTTGGAACCCTTCTTCCAACCTTCTCAAGGGTCGGCCTGTTTGTTGACGTGCGCAGACCTCTCTTCCATAGGTTGTACAGTCTCCGACGCTCGCTCACCAGCAGAATGTGAACAAACAACAAATGAGAGGTCACCTTCCGGGAAGTGCGCGAGGACGAAGTCCACCGCCTTGAGACACTCCTGCAATCAGATGGAACACCATCAGCAGCGAAAATCTCGACCGTGGATTGATTGGCAGATACATTGCAGAAAGCTGCAACGAGGTTTCACCTTACTTGCAAGATCGAATTTACAACAAGGTGAGCTCAGCGCCGGCATTCTTACCTTGGAGTTGTCAACGCAGATGACGAGCGACTTGACTGCCATTGTGAACGCTTTGTAGCGACTGCGTCTGCTCGATACGACAATCAAGGTGCACTTTGTCTCGTCAAACGGAGGTCGAGATTCCTTTTCGAGATCGCCGGGAATCGAATCGTTTGAGTAGATATTTAACCCACGTGACTGCCATCTGGCATAAAATATCCTAAAAGGAAATCTTGGACCCCGGATCTTCGTCGGGTCGTTCCGGCATTATACGTGTTCGAGTTAACAATCCTGAGCAAAGTGTACAAAAAAATTGACAGCCTTTACATCCGCATTACGAGCAGAATGGGATGCAAGACGATCGTCGTCGCCGTGGACAATTCGAAGGTGGGTGCGGAAAGGCAGGACGTCAGTGCCTTGTTGCGTGTCTGCTCCAATATAATCTGGCCCGTTTTATGGCATATACCAATCAAGCGCTCATGTTTGGTGTTTTGTGGTTCAGGAATGTTTCAAGGCCATCGACTTCGTGCTTGAGCACTTCCCGAAAGGTGGCAATGGGTGCTCAAGCCCTGCTTCACACTTCTTACCTGTTGCTGCACATGGAGAATTCACGCAGAAACAGGTGCTTTGAGTCAAGAAAGTTGCTAACTTGCAGGTTACACGTACCACCTGCTTCACATCCAAGTGAGCTCGATAGCCTCTGAACTTGTCACCAGTAACGACGGGGTCGGATTATTGAACGAGCGAGAGTACAAGATGGATGAGGAAATGGTAATATTCCGCCCTATCTCTGCTGCCCCAGTTCACGTTATTGCTCACTGTTCAGCCTTGTGTATTGCAGCAGACCTGCCAACCAGGCTGTCACCTCCTACCCGCTAGGAGGTGAGCTCTATGAGGACTTTGGCCAGCAAAATTGGTATGGCCGTCTGGCTTCTCAAGCCATTTCCCCAAGCTCTCAGCTTAATCCACTGTTCATGTGCAGACCGCAGCTTCAGAGGATTTTGTCAAGGAGCACTTCCTGCCAAAGGCCAAGGCGGGCGGTGCAAAGGTCATGGCAACCATGCTTCACACCTTTCCGGACGGCAGCACGAGCATCGGCAAGGCCATCTGCGAGTTTGCAGAGGAAACCAACCCGGCTGCGCTCGTGCTGATGAAGCAGCAGAAGTCAGCATTGCAGCGTTTCTTCCTCGGCTCGGTCACAAAGCACTGCGCTGTCCACAGTAGCGTGCCTGTGATTATTGTGCCTGCCTGAAGACCTCCTAGATCGGCAACCATCCCTGAGTTTATGTGCTCGTTGCTATCCTCGGCCAACAGTGGAGCGTGAAGGAGTTTCCGCGCTGATCAATTTATGGGCATGTTTACTAGCGAGCGCCTGCAGCTGCAGTGCACTTGGCATTCTCAGCAAATGGAAGACACTTCAGAAAGTGTCAGTCCACAGCACATGTACAACAGCAGTACTGATAATCAGGCCCTGAGGGGCGTGTGTACATGCAACGTCTTTGTCAAAACCATTCTACTAGGTAGTACCTGCATTTTCACTGCTTCAGTGCTCTTACATAAATGAGGACGGTCAGTTCCTTGAATTTTGCACCTGAATTCTGTGATTTCTTTGCTGTGAACCAGGCATTCCCTTACTGGCCTTGGCAGCAGTCTGAGCAGCAATGCATCCTCTTTCGCATGCATGCGTCATATGAGCTACCAGGGGTAAGGAAAAGGTGTCTAGCCTCCTGTCATGCTGAGGCAATTATGCTGCTTCAATCAAGCCTCGAATCAGTGACAAACCCTTCCAGTGTCGCACCCTTGCAGAAATTTTTCTTGATGACTTGCACCAAATTGGAGATGACTGTGTGGCAATGTGCAGTGTCTTCAAAATAGATCCTCGTGCTGCGGCACTGCCCGTCAAACTTACCTTAGGCAATTCAAGACATAGAGCCGTACTGGCAACATGTGCAGGGACAATATACTGTGTGTCAGCCAATTGTTTGAACGCTCAAAGGTCTCTGCACGTGCTGCATCCTAGCGCCAGGGTATCATGGCATGAGAAACTATGTTTGAGGAGCATGCAGAGATCTTCCGTGCACTGCAATGGACGGTTGCAGGAAGCATTTAATCAAGTGCTGGCAAGAACTTTACCCCCCGGTTCTAATTTGTTAGTGGGGCCTCCACCGCTTCCTTCTGGAGAATGCCCAGGCATCCAATTTATTGGTAAACGTGTCAAGAAGCTACTAGCAGGCATGGTGAACGCCAGCTGGCCACAGAGCAACAAGCAAAGCATGTGCAGTCGATCAGGCACTCCTGGCTGCAACTTTGAGTGCGCCTTGGGTGCGCCCTTGAGAAAAGTGCAATCGGAGATGCACAGAACTCCCGAGACAGGTCTAGGATTGCATTTCTCGACCCTCCAGGTGACGCGCTCAATATATGTAAGGGGTGTAGCTCAGGGGGGCCGCACCGAGCAGGCTCTCATGGCCAGGCAGTCTCCTTTGCGGGCCACCTCTGCAATGACCTTGATCTCGCCTTCCACCGTGTCATGCAACGCCGAGAAAATGTTGATCTTGTCGGGGTCAAATGGCCACGCCGGTTTCGCAGGTTCCTCAGCTGGCTCACGGGCGCGAGGCTGCTGCCCTTGTTCTGGGTAGCTGCTTTGCCTGCGGCCTGCATGCATGCAAATGTAATTGAATGTCTTCCCTCAGGTCGGGCGCACACAAGATAGGTGTTCAATCTTCTGTCAAGTTGTTTTGTGTGGAGCTGAGCGCTCTCAGCAAGGTGGAGTTGGTTTTTTGAGCTGATCAATCTAGCCACAAACAACGGTGCTATCTGTAAAACATGGGGATTTATGCGAGCTACTCAACCGTCTCAAGGCAGAGCTCGATACTATATAGCATCTCGGGCATGCCACTACAGAGAGCAGCAGTTCTGGACGAAGCGGATGGAGCCAGCACCTGGTATCTGTGAGTGCCTTCCATCAGCTGTCACTAGCATACCGTACACAACCATGATCGCAAACCGGACATTTGCATCCTCTGCAGGTCTTCGACGGCTGGAGTCACGCTGAGGGCCGCACAGCATCTGCCGCACATACAGATCGCGCCACCAAACTTAGACGAGTGCGTCGTCCAGAAGGCTACACAATAAATATTGTTGGCACTGTGTAGTACGACTGCCCCAATAGCGAAAACCTTTCTGTAAGTCCTGTGCTTTTACCCAGGATGAGAATACACTGTGCGATACAACAAGCCGAGCACAGGTGTGATGAATTAATAAATGCGTGTTTTCTGAAGCACCTTGATAGCACTTCTCCTACGACGGTGCTGCATGAAACACAACAATGTTTCGAATTGAAACACTGGCCGCTTGATGAGAGCGAGGCGTATCGTTGACATGACGCCATGCATGGCTTGGCTCCGCCTCAGCATTTCCCGATTGTGGCTTGCCTTCGATTTGCACCAAACCTATCTGGATCGAACCCTGTAATTTCATAGTCAAGGCTAGTCTTGTTGGTTTGTTGGATAGCCGCAAGTTGGCGGGATCCAGGGTGGAATCAACCTCAGGTTTGGTCCAGCCATCTTGGAGATAGGTGCGATCCTTGATGTTTCAAAACGCACCACCATCTTGGTCAACAAGATTTTTCACCGAACTTCCATGATGTCACATGTAAATTATCACATATAGCTGAATCAAACCCTACGTTCGTGGGTAAATTGAAATGGCAGAAACTTAGCACATCTTGTGCTCACCGACAGGCAGACAACCACTTCGTTCGAGGACGTCAAGGTCGAAGCACCCATGACTTTGTTTGGAGCTTCCCAGGTCTGATACACGCAACTCTGATTCTGATCGTCTTGAGAACAGGACCTTCTCGGGTTGGATCTTGCCTGCTTTTGACGTGCATTGCACACGGTTTTCTTATCGCAAATGGATCTCGCAGGTGTATCCAGCATGACAAATGGCGGGCAGCATGAGCTCACGATGTTTTTTGGGAACTTTCCTTGGGTTTGCTATAGTCTTGATGCTGGGCACCACGCGCTGTGTCAGTCCTGCATCAATAAAGGCAAGAAGAAACATGAATGGCAACATCGTTCACAACAGTGCTGGCCACACTACTAGCTTCAATCAGGTGTGCGGCTTTCTTCAATCAGAAATTCCCTGCACTTGTGGCCCAAGCGGACTGTATGCATCAAGCCACCAAGTTCTCTGCCACACGCTGACTTGCCTGTACCTCCAGATGTCAGATCACATGCTTCACCGATTGCTGTGCTCACAATCTTCTGAGCTGGGATTGCTCTCGCTCACTAGGGAATGTCACAAATGCACTGGACCTGCTCGCTTAGAAGGAGTTGTCACAGCCCGCACAATGCTTACATGGGATTGGCACAGACCTGCTGACTCACAACGAAATGCTGCAGGCCAGGAGGAAATTGGCGGACATGCTGCTGAGCCTGCCATTTCTGTCACGCTGGACCCCTCTGGGGAACCCCCTGTACCACCGGCACTTGGGGCTGCAGTGGCAAGACATGTGCGCTGAGTCACTGGGCATGTCAAAAGTGGCCCTCCTCTTCCTCACCCGCGGGCCAGTGCACCAGGCAAGCACCCTATCCTCTTCAATTTGCTGCATGTTCTAAGACCAAAGCACGCTGGGTATTGTTATCCAACACAAGCTGGGGTGGTGCTGGATATGCTAATGTATTCCTGGCAGCCTGAGCTCCTCGAATTCTCTTCGGGTCACAACATATTAAGGACCTACAATACAGCTGGTTCTCTGACATGAGAATGCCCATCTTTCCGTAGAAGGAGGATCCATGTTGTTCTCTATCATGCGCGGTCATAGTAAGACAAAATCACGTGGGCATTTTTTCCACTTCATCACTCCGTTCCAATCAATCTTGTGGGAGAGAAAGATGTGGCATATATTGTGGCGCACAGGAAAAGCCCTCGATGAAATGATGTGATGGTCGAGAGTGTCTGATGTGCTGCGCAGGAGACGCTGTGGAAGCTGTGGCTGCAAGAGGTTGAGGGGCAGATAGTGATGCCCTGTGGGGAGAGCACAAACTGCACCTCCACACAGACAGAGCGCGAGTCTGTGCTGAATGCCTGCCGAGAGGAGCACGGGATCCACCGCTACATTGCACAGCAGCAGCATCTTTTCACGGTGCGCTGCAAACTCCTCACCATTCTGCTCTTCTTAATTTGCCAACGGCATGAAAGGTTGGAAGCCTGTCATAGGGGATGCTGCTGCCACGAATGTGATTCTCACGGACTGGACAGGCGGGTGATAATGAAAATGATACTCGTGCCAAATACATAGAAGGCCCTAAGATACTATGGGCGTGTGTGAGACCGTTCTACTGACTCAGTCAGTGAAAGAACACTTCTGTGATGCCGCGATGCATGCGCACACTTCTGCTGGCTGTCTTCGGCCAGCAGTTTCACCCAAGACAAGCCACAGCAGAGTCCATGCGTTAATTGAGGGCTCTGTTGTGCCTGCAGCTGTATGTGCACCCAACAGACCCGGAGTTTCCAGGCTACAGAGCCGGGAGTGTCTTCCACGGGGCCGAGGTGCCAAACAGAGTGCCCAGCACCGCCTACTACTCCTATGACCTCGTCGAAGCCACTCGCAGCATGCTCTCCTCTGCTCTGCAAGGCGAGCCCAGCCCTTTTCTGCAGCGATGAAGTGCTTCAGTTGCCGCATGCCGAAATTTTGTTCACTTGTGCTGAGATCTCAAGGCATGCACATGCATTTGGCCTGTATAAAAAAATCGGTTTCTGTTCTCCTAGGATTCTTTACCAACGGAGAAGCTTCTCGCATGCTAACAGTCACTCTTGGCACACAGCTGTTAAATAGAAAAACTGTCTTCTGTAGGGTTCACAAGATGGTTTACACCAGTTGCTTGATGATATATTTTGCTGAAAAATAGTTTGTGCTCATCTGTGCAGATCGCTTGAATCAGCGCTTTGTGCTTCTGTCGGAGGCATGCATTCCCCTGTACCCAGCTTCCTTCACCTACATGCAGCTTCTGCATGAGAGCAAGAGCCGCGTCTGGGTCAATCCCATTGCTGGGTAAGGATTCACAGACCCTGTACGTCTGCACATCAAATTATGCCTCTCTGGCGCCTGAAATACTGGTAGACTTTCATTGCTTGCTGTGATTGATCCCTAGAGCTCAAATCTATTCAAGACTTCATTATGACTGGGCGGGTCTGCCCTACTTCCTCAACTAGATACTTTGTACACGGCTGGCAAGGTGCCTCTTGTGGGCTCATTTGCTACTGCGGAAAGTCTTGCCCATTGTGCAAAAGCAAGTTCAGGAGCGAGTTATCATGTCATTGCATGCTGGCATGTAAATCTGATCTGTCCAGGTAGCACCATTGCATGCTCACATGCAAGATAGATTTAAGCAGGTAGCATCATTGCATGCTGACATGCAAATTTGGATTTTAGCAGGTATCACTTTTGCGTACTAACAAGTGATTTTGTTCTGATCAGGTACCACGACTGGCACGATGGCATGGAGACAAAGCATGGTATAAACAAGACGAGTCACTGGCGCAAGGGAGCGCAATGGAACGCCCTCGTACGCAGCCACGCCCAGCTGGCAATCGAGGACACCAAACTTGTGGAGGCCTTCAGCACCGACTGCAAACTGTGCCAGGTGCATCCCTATAGTAAATTCCCATGACATGTAATTTGTGGGGGCCATGTTATGTAACTCTGCCAGATAAAACAACACCATGTCAAAGTGCTCCTGTCTTACGAGAGTCTTTAGTCTGCATCTGTCACCCAGTGTGGCCCAGGCAGGCTGCCCTTGGCCCTCGGCAATGCTGCCAATGCCTGTTTCCAGCATTCTTGATACTGTTTGTTGCACAACTTTAAATGACAAGCGAGGCAAATTCATGCGCAATGCCTTGGCCGTACCTGGCAGGGGGGTGTGACATCCCAGGGGTTTGGTCCTCCCTGAGAATGGGCTTATGCTTCCGGATTCCAGGACGGGATTCTGGTCCACTCACAATGATTTGCCACTTTGACTGTCATTCTTACAGGGCAGGTCATAAGCCTCTGGGATTGCCCAGGGACATTCAAGAATGCTGTCTAGACAAACCCAAACTTCTGACGGGGCCCGGTCAATCACTGGCTGCAGACGCCCTGCGTGTTGCCGTATGGCCTTTGGCTTTGAACACAATGACCTGTAATAATACAATAATCACTGCTGACAGGTGGACGAGCGTTTCTTTGCCACGCTGCTGGCAACCTACGACGTGGAGCACGAGTCGTTCAGGCCCGGATTACTAACATACGTCGACTGGTCGGTGCAAACCTTTGGCGGCCACCCGCGGAGTTTTGAGCCGGATGACGTAACCCCGGAGCTGCTGCGAGTCATGCGCCAGATGGACTGCCCGGAAGCTGCCGACTCGCGCGGCGCAGCTTCCGCGAAGCTGCTCCTCGAGTCGTACGCAAATGTCGGCGCCGAGGCGGCAGCTGCCGGGCAGGTGCTCTTTAAGCCCCTAAGCCCCAGCTGCCTGCTGTTCGGCAGGAAGTTCAAGGGACCCACAACTGACGCCCTGCTTGACTTGGTGCAGCACCAAAGCTTCCATGACTGGAATTATACTCAAGCCTGACTGCCAAGGCAAATCTCTTTATTCTCCTCGAATGAGAAGATGCAGAATGTGGGCTCTCTTCCACGATTGAAGAGAAAGTCTTGAAGGCCCAATATTGGCGGCCAGACAACCTCAGAGAAGGCGTTGCCCTCAATGCAAATTGTCAATTGGGGGCAAGCATGTATTCTTTTTTTCTCATCTCTTGTCTTTTCTTTACCCCTGCGCCGCCAATTGGAGCAGCGCATACTATTTGTGAGAGAGCCTCATCAGGGCATTACTTGATACACATGACACCAGTGAATGGCCGTTTCTCTCTCTGCATAGTGGCCTGGCAGATCTGCTGCTGAAGTCCGCTCCAAGGGCTTCAGCTGACACTTCTGAATATATTCTGAGGACACACCCTATTTGAGGGTGGAGCCAGAATGGTTTCTTTTATTAGGTCGCATCCGGAAAGAGAGGAGATTGTTTGTGGCCCAATAACAGCAAACACCGAGGTCGAAAGCAACGCAAGCATGCTGAGAATTGCGCTGCAGCATGCTTGCACGCTTCATTATCCTCTGGTTTGTTCTTTGGTTGCGGTGGCCAAATTTTTTGAAAGCAGAGGTGCTGCTTCCATATTTGTTTGTGTGACGTGAATCTGTAGTCAATCTGTGTGGTCTATTGAACCACATTCAGGGCAATCTGCTTATTAGCACAGAGCGTGTTTGTGGGTATTTCGAGGTTTGCAGCCGCGAGTACTCCTTTTGCCACATGCATCAGAGCAACTTTATTGCCTCACTTTTTAGTGAAGAATTGGGTCATTAATAGACAGAAGAACGGAATGTCATTGGCAGGCTGGCCATTTGGCAGCACAACTGTTATCTAGATGGGAATCATTCTACAGGAAGTATTCCCATCTAGCTAACAACTGCTTCTTGACCCTGACAATTTATAGGATATACTTGGACATTCTTTCTCAAGGCTCTACTTGAGCATGCGCTCTTGTCATGCATGGAATGAGGAAATGCCTGATCCTCGGTTGAAAGCGAGAATTGATTATGCAGACGGTTGATGTTGATATGCTTGCGTGACGCAAAGGAGCCCAGGTCTTTTGTGGTCCTGCTATTTGACAGTGCCATGCTTTTGTTTCTTGAATTATCTTGTCAAGATGTGAAGGAGCAGTTGTATCTGCAAGTCACACTGCGCGACTTGTACACTGCAGACCTCTCCGGTTGATGCCACTGCACCAGTTGCATGGCAAAATTTCAATGGATTTCTGTGTTTGGATACTGCTGCCGATGCAGCAACTAAAGCCATGTGAGTCACATGGCTTTAGTTGCTGCATTATGGGTCACACGATGTGACCCATGTTGGGGAGGCATCTGTGCCTGCAAGGAAATTGGGTGTAAGAAAGTAGCACTACATAATTTGCTACTCAACAAGTGAAACTGGTCAGCAATCTTGATGAGACTATGGCAGATCATGCGGCTGATTGTGAGCAGATCTGATTTTGTTGGAAATTTGAGGTTGATCTCTCACCTCATGAGCTCGAAGTGAATATGATTATGACTGGACATTCGATGTACTTGCCGTTCTTGTGTGGCCGAATAGAACATGCAGACTATAGGTGAATGTCTAAGCACCCCATATTAAGGAATGCAATTTCCACTGGTTCTTGATTGAAGCATTTCCGCGGCAGCTGCAGTGCGGCACGCTTGCATATACGCATGCATGCATTATGCACATGCATGCGTCTGCACATGCACTGGCACTGACTGGTCCTGAGATTCCGTGAAAATGATGTTCGAACGTAGTCTTCGTGTGTTCAAGACCTGTTAGTGACGTACGAGTGAGTCTCCTTCCAGATTGCTAAGGGTTGAATAAGGCGGGCATCTATTCAGGGGCGTTGGGCATTCTTACTAGGAACCTTGGAAGATTTCGTTCTCAAGGTAGCTCGTTGTGAATCTTGCCGACAATAATTGATATGCTGAAATGTCAGAGATTAGACCCGCATTGTATCTCAGCTTACGAGAATGGTGTCGTTCAATAACGACAAATTGAAGGAGCTGTCCTAATGCCAGATTCCCTGTGCGATAATTAACATGTTCTGCGCTAAGGCCGCCTAAATCCTTTTTTTAAATGCTTCGTGCAGTACAAGGCCTGCGCATGCAACTTCATCACTCTGTGAATATGACAGGCAGGGGTAGACACTGCCCAGTGTATGTACGTGTAGGACTTGTTCTTGTCCTATTTCAGTCAGTCTATTGCTGTCTTTTGGATTCAGAGATTCGAAATCATCCTCGTGTGTCACTGGCGTCTCTTCTTGACGATGAGCCAAGCGTGGCTAAGGCGAAACGTGGTGGTGCATGGGGATTTCCAAGCAAGACCGTCGGACCAGAATTGAAAGCAATGCCCGTCGATTGGTGGTACAACTGGGTAATTATATTCCTGATGCAGACGCTGAAAATGTAACAAAGGTAACTCCCTGGTGTTACCTGAAGCTACATCCGCACTTCTGCATTCAAAGCCAGGACATCTGCAACTGCAAAATTTTAAATTAAAGCCCAGGCAACGGCAATGAGATGCATTCCAGAATGCACTTTTCCACTACGGTACAACTGGCTTGACAAACGGTGTACTTGTGAAAGCAGCACTTGCCAAGTATCTGCACAAGTGACCTCAAGTGTGCAGGCATGGGTGATTTGCAGCTGATGTCATTGGGTGGGAGTTTCATTTACTCCTTGTATGTGTTCTTCCTGCAGGAGTCAGGCATTGCCTTTGTGCCCATGATATATGGCAACTGCTGCGGCCTCGATCAACTGCCCGAGGGCCTGCCAGACAACATAACCACAATCCTGGGTTTCAACGAACCCAACCACATGTGCGCAGCTGCCCACCTGAAACACAAGCTGACTTTGCTCTCCCTGTGTGACACATGCGATGCAAAGCAATAGCCCTTGGCTTGCTTGGAAGGCCCAGGCTATGAAAGCAAGCCCTTTCTGTATGCATGCATTTCAAGGAGGTGCATATTGTGGATTTGGTGCGCAATTTGATGGTCACTTAGACTGCTGATTAGAGAAAAGGCCATAGACGGCGGCTTGGCCTTCTCATTTCCTGCGGCGAACTTGGCGCATCTTTGGCAGGACATACAAGACGTGGCCCTGATGCTCTACCTCACACCAAAATATGGCTGCCTAAACAGGGAGCAGTCCAACCTGACGCCGGAAGCCGCCGCGCAGCTGTGGCCGCGCCTGGAGGAAGCCGCAGAGAAGCTGGGCGCCCGCCTCGGCTCGCCATCGGCCGCGGTGTGCGGCGCAAATTGCATCGAGCGTAATCCCTTCGACTGGTGGGACCAGTTCTTCGGCAATTGCAGCGACTGCCGCGTCGACTTCATTGCTACTCATTACTATACCTGCTCGCCCCAGCACCTGCAGTGGTGAGTAAGCCCTCTCTGGGCCTGTTAGATTTGATAAAGCAGAAGCATGTGTAAATGAAAATCTGCAGACTGTTTTGCCAAGGCTGCCATTTGCCCATGTATCAGCAGCTCGTCAAGGAGACCAGTGTTTTTCAAATGTTCACAACAAACGGAGCCTCATGAGGCATTGTGCTGGCAGCAGCAAGAGTGCTATCCGGGTGCTGATAGAGCTGACACGGTGGACTGTGCCAAAATTTCCTCTGTGCAGTCTTTCTGATGTGCTCGAATTCGTTGTGGTGCTGAGCAGGTACTTGAATGACATTTGGAGCCGGTACGAGCGCCCAATTTGGCTGACAGAACTGGCGTGCCCCAATGAGAATGGCACGCTCAGCCGCCAGGTCAGCTTCATGAGGAACGCCCTCAAACTGCTGGACGAGGATGACTCAGTGGAGAGGTGTGACACTTCCTCCCACTCCTGGCGGGGCGGATCACTTGATGATGAATTGCTGTCTGAAGACTAGAAGCTGCAAGCCATGTTTTTTCCATCAGGATGAAAAGATTGCAGCGGGTCTGTACGGACTTGAAGAAGTTGATACGGGGGCATATGAGGGCCATCTCTAACCCTCAACCCAGCAGACCAAGCTCAAGCTCGAGCAAGTATCTAGAATGAATCTACAAGCTGTTTTATTCAGCTTTTCATCCTTGCATGCATGAAAATATGGGATTATCTGTCTTGCTGTGTGTAAATCAGGTACTCGTGGTTCGCCCCTCACACTGAGGATTTTGGGTGGATTGGTCCGACGGCGTCTCTGCTGCTGCCGGACAGCGATCCACCCGAACTGTCGGTGCTGGGGTACATTTACGAGGGCTATGCGCAGCCGGAGGCGACGACTAATATTAGCGGATCTGCCGCCACGTCAGCCTCGCTGACATCGGCGCTGACTCAGCCGCTGATGGCGGTGGACAAGGCCGGCAGCTGGCTCGCGGCGTGCGGCGGCTGCGTCGGCGCCGCAGGGGCGGCTGCTGTGGAAAGTGTATCTTCGGAACACTGCAGGGACTGCGGGGTGGCCATTTATAACAGAGGGCAGGGTGACAGGGTGATTAGTGGGCATGGGTTCTTAGGGAGTTATGTCAGCAACTTGTCTTGATCGGTCGTGAGATTCCAGGGAAGTACATGGCTGGTAGTGACAGAAGCACGCGTGCGGTGGCTAACCGACTGGATTATAATTGTGACAACATTGAATGTGCCATTTTTGCAGTGTGCTGCTATGGTTCTGCATTCAAACCTATACCGGGCAAATGTGTCGCTGCATTGTACTTGTTAGTATGACTTCTTGTACAATGTCACAGGACGGTCAATGACCAGGTTTTACATTTGTCAACTTGGCAGTTGGTGGATATGGTGCCAGCAGCATTGCTATCATGCGTTACAATTCTTCTATCAGCACTGTAATTCTTGCCATTAAATGCACTCTACTGTTTGCCAATCAGATCTTTGTTCCCTCGCCGGCATGTGTTCCTCAAGGTTCAAAGCATTCACAGCCTCTCTCACCGTTCTCTCACTTCACTTCCATTCGACTTCCAAAGCAGGTTCTCTGTTTGTAACAAGTCCAAACGCTTCCTGGCTGAGCAGAGCTGAGTCAGCTTTTGCGCGCATATGTTCTGCGGTAGAGTGAGTCCACCTCGCACAGGTAGTAAGTGCCGCTGCGCAGATCGCTAATCGGCCGTTCCGGTTTGTACCCTGCCTCTCCGTGCCGCCGCTCTTGCAGCTCAAGCGTTGCCACAAACTCTGCCGGGTCCGCCCTCCGCCGCGCCGCCAGCCTCGCCTGAATGTCCAGCTGCACGCCCACACCAGCACAACTGAACATTGGAACACTGGCAATGAGTGGGAGCACGATAGCATTTGTCAAGTGCTCGCGTAGGTGATACAGGTTATGTCCTCAAGCTCTGCAGTGCATGGATCCAACGCTCAATGTTGTCAGCCATCTGTGACTTACTCTCGCAAGCTACAAACAAACAAGACCACCGGACATTGGGTTCATCATCTTTGTTCCCAAGACAAAGGTGCTCAACGAGCAAATGCACAACAACCGGACAGCTTTTGTTGCACATGAGCATGCTTGACAAGGCAACAGGGTGGATCAACAGGTCAGCTGCTCATATGTATCCATCGATTCAGGGCGCGCCGATCACCTGTTGCACTTTTTAGTTGCTTTCGATAAATTTTTCAGCGCAGAACAGAACATGCCTGGGAAGATTCAAGTACCTATCTGAATATATGAAGTTGATCCAGAGGGAACGGGTCACCTTTGATGCGACGCTGCCGAGGGCGAATTTGCCGTCGATGCGGCGTCCGATGAGGGACCAGAGCGAGGCGGCCAGGCCGCTGCCATAGCTGTACATGAGCACGCGTCTCCCCTCCAGCGCAGTTCCCTCCGCCTCTATCAGCGACGCCAGCCCGGCATGCACCGATGCTGCACAGTGGTCATATGAACACTGTCAAGACTGTCAAAACAGTGAAGACCATTTTCAAATGTTTTGGTACGGATCCTGTGCTTATGGTGACCCAAAAATACTATTCCAAGCTCTGGATGCTAAGCACTTGTTACTGTAACACCTGCCAATCACTTCGCTTAAGCGCCTGCATGACCTCTGGCAGGCCAATCCGCATGGACGCGGAAGTGCCCATAAGTAGCCTTCATTAGGCTGGGAAAATTCATGCTAGAGAGCAGATGAAGGCCTCCATTGTATACGCAGCACGCAACGCCTTTCATGGGGACCAGGATTTCTGAAGAGCGCACCCGCGTACATGTTGCCGCACTCGGCCGCGGCGGTGAGTCCCGGCTGCACCATGCGAGAGAACGCCTCAGCAGACGCTGTCGTCGCCGCGCGCTCCAGCCCCCGATCTGAATAGCTCTCCGGTGAAAACGCGTCCGGGTCTGCCGGATATGCGTCCAGCGAGGCCGCTCCCGCTCGAGTGGCCTCTGCGGAGATGCGCACAGAGTACTGTTACAGATCTAACGAGAGGATAGCAATGGAGAATGCAGGATGATGCCTCCTCAGCAGGGCTCGGAAAATTAACCAGTGGCCATGGCCTCTCCCTTACTTTCTGCCCAGCATTCAGTATGGCAGTCTCGTGCCTCGTCCTGCCCATTATATCGACACGTTATGGCAGACTGGTGTGCAGGCTTTGCAATATAGCAGGTGTCCATGATGGGTGCACCTTCTTCTGCAAGGACGTCGGCTGCCGTCTGAGCGGCCGCGCCGCCACAGCCGCGCTCGGCCAGCAGCGGAAGCGGCTGCTGCGCCGGTGTGGCACTACTGCTGCTGCTGCTTCGCCTTTTCAGCTTCCTCTCTGCCTGATCCTGCCATAACATGCCCACCATTCGAAAGAGATTGTTTGGAATGTCTGCTGGCCCTTCGCAGCTCTGTGTGAGCGACATTCCACTGTAGTACTGCATGGCTGACAGTGCACGGTCAAGCGAGCCCTGCGTCTACACATCCTGCCTACAAGGCAGCCCAACCATTAAAATGACATTCAGCTCCAAGCTAACCTCCACATTGACCTTTCCTTGCAACAACGCAGCAAAATCCAGGGTAGTGTTAAGGAGAACGGTTCCTTTGCTTCAGTGACAAGAACTGATTTGCATCAGTGACACGAACTGATTTGCATCAATGGCCGAGATGGGAGCATACCTGCAGGGCCTGATTCCTGGACTTGGCGCGCAGGTGGTCTTGGTAGACCAGCCGGGCGAACCCCTTGCGCACCATTTTCACAAAGGGTGAGTGCAGTATGCAGAAGTCTGCGTCCGCCAGGCTGAACCTGGGAGGCGAGCCATCTGCGCATGCACACAGAAGGCAATTTATATTTACCCATAACACGCTTTTCCTGCCAGAGGCAAGGCACGTCTTCAGGTACGGCTGCCACATATTCTCCCTCTGGATGGACTCGCCAAATCCAGGCAAGACCCAATCAACCGTGGGCACGGCAATATGAAGGCATGTCAAGTTCTTGCTGGTGACACGGAATGCATCCCTATGAGAGAAAACTGCTAGAAAGGTTGGGCAAGGCATGAAGCGCACTTGATTGCGTGCATGTATTGCCCAAAGTGGCTCGTCGCCGTTGCCGCTCAAATTTCTCACAAAGGCTTGCATAGCATCGGTCCAGGGCGATCAGGTAACAGGCCACCGAGCTCTTTCCATCCACCTGCAAGACACAATTCAAATTATTTACACACGTGTCAAAGCATTTTCAATGCTGGTCAGCTCATCTTGTATAATCTAAAAGGATGGGTGGCCAGAAGAGTACAGAAGGTCTGCTAAGCCTCCATGGCGACATGAGCATGCATGATGGGCAGACTGGCAATTAGAAAGGGATATGATGTGAGGGTTCGCGCACCAGGGGGTAGAAGCCGCAGGGTTTGTAGAAGTCGTAGGCATGCTCCATGTGGCTCGCGCACAAGCCTCGCTCTAAATCCAGCGGTGCATCCGGGCCTGGTGTCACAGGCAGCTGACACACTCAGACGCACAAGTCCAACTTCGTGAGATGGCACTGCACACACCTCTTACTCCTGCTGCTGACATGAGGAGGCAAGTCTTCCACGTTGCAAGGTTCAAGCACCGCACTCTGCAGCTCTCTATATATGGCAACTGCATAGAAGCTGCGCCCAACACGAGCAAGGCTGCATGCATATGGGTATGCCTGAAAGTCAGACATGGTGCTGACTGCGATGGTAAGAGGCAGGAGGATGGTCAGTCATACTGCCTGGCTGAGACATGCAACCCATTCACACGTCTTCCAGCCTAGTCAATGCTGACCAAATACATGCCTTGAATCCCACAGTCACAAGCATGACATGGCACAACCATGCATGCATGACGCAAGATCGGCAACATTATAGAGGCACATCGCTGTTATTTTTTCTGAAAGGATCAGCTCAACAATCTACCTATAAGCATGGCAATTGCGCCGCAGCCGCCGGAGGGCCGGGCCGGCCCGGCCGCGTACATGGCGATGTCAGTGGCAACCACAATTGCCAGGCGGCCGTCCCATGCGCGCGACTCCACCCAATTCACCGCATTGAATAGCGCTGCTGTGCCCCCGTAGCAGGCATTGAGGCTGTCCACCCCCTGCACGCAGGGTGCACCACATGTGTCTGCCCAAAGTCGTGCATGCAAGCTCCGTGAGAGCACAAACGTGGGTTGTGCAGCAGTCGCTAGTGCCCAGCATGACATGCATGCCGAATAGAGTCCAGAAATAATGCGGTCTGATTTCTAATGCGCATGTGGCATGATGAAGTGTGCACTCCCCTGTGCTAGGACCCTCTTGCTGCCACATTTGCAGAGACCCAAAAAAAAGCGGGGTCTGCATTAGACCTAGACCTAATTTAGACCTAAGGGTCACAATGCTAGATGGATTTGCATGTAATGCAACGCAAAGACAGTCCACAGCAACCCTGATTGTCCTGCAGGCGCACAGCTTTGTGGCAGGGTGGAGGGAGCATCAGCTACTCACCTCAATGTCGTGATTGCCATGCTCGGCAAAGAGGGTCATGAGGAAAGTTTTGATGGACTTGCTGCGGTCCAGTGCACTCTCTGTGCCCACCTCCAACCTGCAACAGGGGACACAAAGCAGCTAAGAGGCAAAGATATGCTGTTAAGTGTTGAGCTTGGGTAGCCTTCGACGCCTTTGTAGAGTAGAAATTGGTAACGAAGGCTAATCTCTTGTAGTCTGATCTTTATCTCTTACTTTGAAGCACAGGATGGCCTTTTGCTTGTGCTGTTGTGTCTTTTAGAGATACATGAATGCCTCGTGCATCAGCAAGTTCTCTGCATGTAAACACGATTGTTCAGCGAGCCAATCATGTCAGGTGTCATGATTGGGGCTTGGGGCAGCATTGACCACAGGGATCTCGCATATGGTATACATAAACTTGTTGGAGAAGAGCATGACAGGAGCACAGGGAGCGAAGGGGGACATGCCTGCCAATGCTCTTGGGGTCCACATCATACTTCTCCAGCAGAGAATGCACCGCTGTGAGACTCATGGACACCACATCCTCCTGGTCTCCACAGAAAGCCATGCACCGCTGTCCCAAGCCCAAGGTATATTTCCCTTGGGCCACCTTGTCGTGCACCTCGAGCTCATCTTGGGACACCTGAACGAGTTGTATGCATGTCAAGGCCCATGGCATGGACGTTCGTTGAAGCCTGAGACCAACAGGGCAATCCTCGCTCATAGATGCCCTTCGGCGATAGATCAGGCCGCGCGCATGTTCATGTGTGCCATACATGGAAGGAGTAAGCCAATAAAAAGTAAGAAAGAAGGGAGGACCCACGTAGATGTTGGGAAAGTAGACTTCCAGGGCAAGGATGCCAACGTGCTTGGCCCTCTCCTCCGACTGGACAAGACTCACTGCTTTTCTCACCGGCTGTCCAGCCTCCACTGGTTCGTCATCGATCCGCTGAGGCTCATCAGGTTGCCCATTGATAAACTGCTTGGCCTCCTGGGTGTGGTATCTTTCAACTAGAGCCATCTGCTGTGCTGTTCAAGTCATATAACGCACGCATTAAGGATTCGATTTGCAACGGAAGACGTTTGACATCAATCGCTGAATAGAAAGCAAGCAAAAGCCACGATGAGGCCAAATGAATGGTTCAAGTGAAAAAGATGGCATGCCTCAGATGGAAACAACGGCCACAGCTGATCGGCAAGAGCTCCAGAACAATTTACGACCCGCTCGATGCCAATTACCGACGAAATAAAGCATCACCGGATAAAGTTGTGAGTCTCGAGACCGGATTCACATTCTTGGATTACTTGCTTTGGCAAAACTGGCGGTAGTAAGACACGGCGAAACCCAACCTGGCGCGTTGCACAAAACCCGTCACGCTGACCTGGCAGGCTCGCATTCTCAACTGCTGGGCTTTCTTTCTCCACAGAACATTGGCTTTGCCGCGTTTGCTTGTTTGAGGGCGAGACTGTTATCCAAGACGGGAATCGGCGATGTTTCCCGTCGATGCCGAAGCAGGAGCGGCACGAGAAAGGCAGGGCAGCGGAGGTGGCCAGTTACTGATGTCTTTCGCGGCACGACTTGTGATCAACTGAGCTTGAAAGGCTGGACATCAATTTTCTGACTCTTGCTATTCCTTGGCGTGCCATGAAGCCGCAGCGCGCACCTTTGCCCAGCCTCTGACCCGGGATCTGCTTCAGGTGCAAACACCCAACTTGTATTCATGCTGGAAACATCTCGGGTAGCACCTCGTCTCGATTGCATGTGAAAGAGTGACACATATGTCACACGGAATAAAGTCACCGGCTTTCCTGCTTGAATTGCTGACGTCGGCTGCGGCTGTTTGGGAGACCAGGGTCAGTGTTCAACACATTCATGCATGTGCATTGCGATGTCAGTCCTGTCCTGCCAATTAGCTCTGATTTGAACCAGAACTTAGGGACGTGCTGATTCCCCTCAGCGAAACAGATTTCTTGGGTCTCATTCCACTAGGACACCATTCTGCTTTTGTGGCCTGAGCTGCTCTGAAAGGCAAAATTGTAATGAAGTATTGACTTTTTTTGTGTCAGCAGGGACATTTTACAAGTAACAGTTCCACTGTGACCACATGGGGGCGTATCTAAGTTCGCCAGTGACTGTAAAGGTAACTTTGCCATCGTGTTCCTCCTCGACCCAAGTCCCTGGCCCTTCATAAGGGATGATTGCTTGGACGACCTCACGACACTGCTCACATGTGCACCGATCGCGCGTGTGTGCATCTGGCTCAGAATGTGTCAATCCTGCAGGCGTCTGAAGAGGAGGAAAACGAGAGCTACAATTATGGGGTCTGCGCCATGCAAGGCTGGCGCACAGAGATGGTGAGCATTGCCCTGCATTTATCACCATTTCCAGGCCTCTTGCAGACGCCATGCGCGCTTGAGATTGTGCATGCATGGGTGCTGAGTGCCGATTGACACTGTATCTCCTGATGATTGCCCTCTTGGCAGTGTACTCGTCATTCCATGTCTTGAGGGGGGTGTCAACATTGCTCATGCATGTCACATGTGATTCGCAGGAGGATGCACACAGCGTTGTGCTGGAGATGGAGGGAGCGTCAAAGACCGGATTCTTTGGGGTGTTTGATGGGCATGGCGGCAAGGAGGTCGCCAGATTCACCGCCCTGTACCTAGTGAGTAGCTGTGGCTTGGCACCCTCGCTTGTGTTGCAAATTTTACTCATTGCTCCTGAATGGGCCTTTGCTCTAGTGGGCCTTTGGCAAGTCGTCAGTGATGACCAGACAGGCTTGCCATTGATATTTGCCCATGCAGAGGGAACCCTTTTTTCGAGCCTCACTCGCGTCATCTGTCATCAGGAGTTCTCATAATACTGCTGTGCCTCAGTCTGCCCCATTGGGGCCGTTGGCCATGCTTTCTCAAACCTTGAGGACGTTTGGCTGACACGCCATCAAAAGCTGCTAACATGGTGTGATCACCACAAGGCTATCATCTAGCATGATGCTTTGCAAACATCAGTCAGCAGTCGCACGGCATATGCCCTACTGTGTCATGATCATCTGATAGTGAGTCTTGAGTAAGAACCTTTCTGCACAATGCTCTGTGTGCAGCAGCCATTAGCAACATGGGAACCTGCCCTGCTGTGTCACTATCACTCGATGGCTAGTCATGCTTAGGAGAGTGTGTTGCCTGTTCCGCTTCGTAAGCGATCACTTGATGGTGAGTGATGCTCGGGAGACCTTGTTGCCTGTGCAGGCGCGTACCGCAATGCTCTGTATGTAGCAGTCAAGAGTCAATGGCAGCTGCACTGCTGTCTGACCTCGTTACTTGATGAAGAGTAATGCTTGGGAGTCCCACATCGTCACGATCACGTGATGGTGAGCACTGCTGACAAAGACTAATGCTGACAAAGACTACATTGCCTGTTCAGGCGCGTGAGCTGGCGGCGCTGGAGGAGTATCGGTCAGGGGACATGCAGGGGGCGTTAGGCCGCGCGTACCTGCGCATGGACGAGCTGCTGGTCATGGACGTGCACGAGGCCGAATTGCGCAAGCTCGCCGGCGAGCCAGACCAGCCCTCCGCAGCACCCGGCAGAAGGTGCAGGCCAGAAGATTGTGCATTCTCGTGCTAACAGCAGGCTCCATGTTGCGCTGGACTTGAGTTTTGTATGTCGGGTTTTCTGGGCGCAAGTGGTTGTGAGGCAAGATGTCGGGGCCTGTGTGTGTCACTGGCTTTTGCCGCAGATGTGCCAAGACTTAGGGAGATTTGCTGAAGGTTCCTTGGTGCATGCGAGGACCAGTCCTCACACTCTTCCTTGACTGCCTGCACAGGCTTGGCATGCGCCAAGGTGTCGACACTATTCAGGAATCTCAAGCATTGTGCGAGCGTCTTTGACCTCAGTAAATGGTCCATTAAAGCCAGGTTCCTGTGTGGTTGAGTAGATTTCTTCAAAAGTCCCACTGACGTGGCACTGAGCTGTCCCTGACATGGCAGGCGGCCGAAGCGCGCACCTGCGATGGTGCTGGACGAAGCCGAGCTGCCGGAGGTGCTGCGCGACGCGCTGCGCTCGGCCCGGGAGCGCGCGGCCGAGCGCCGAGCGCGCAAAGCCGCCGGTGCCGGAGCCGGCGCGGCCGGCACTGACGAGAGCGTCGACGAAGACGTGGAGGAGTTTGACGTGGCGGATCTGATCGCGGGGGAATTTGGAGAAGACGATGACGAGGATGATGATGAGGAGGACCCTGATTACAAGCCGGTGGTCGTGGAAGGGGACGAAGAAATGGGACCCCGGGAGCTGGTGCGAACAATGCTCCTCTTGCTGCTATCTTTTCCATGAATTATATATGCAGTGCATGTGATTCGGGTAGGCCCTTAGTTGCTGGGATCCAGCGTGCTTTTTTGAAGTTGTTTTCGTGAGCGTTATCCTTCTGGATGATTCTGCACTGGTGGCTCTTATGTTATGCCAATGCTGGGACTTAGGGCATGGGCATCAAAAGAAGGGCAACTGGTGCAGGATCATCTTTTTCAAGTGATCTCGTATTGTCATAATCACATGGGCTGACGGCGATGCTTGCAGGTGGACCTGGAGATCGACTCGGAGGCCGACCAGGCCGGCGCGCCAAACCCCGGCCTGAGCGTGAAAACAGGCCCCAGCCGCATTCCCCCGGCGGCGCACGGCGTGGAGGCGGACGCGATGGAGGCAGAAGCCGCGGCTGCCGCGGAGACGTCGTCGGAGGAGACCGGCGAAGACAGCGGCGGCGTGAAGAATGGCGGTAAGCGCAAGCGGCTCGAGGGCCGCCGCGGCGGCGGTCGCTCCCGGGGACCCGCCGCGCAGCACGATGGCGTTCCCACATATAAAGGTGCACCTTCCAGAGAAATTGCGCAATGCGTACACAGTATCGTCTCTGAGATGCATCCTTAACAATACGAGTGACGCACGCGTGCCCCTCCTCTTCGGCATGTCGTAGATGGCTTCAACAGCTCTAGTACTGACAGACTCTTTCCTTTTTCAGAGTGTCAGTTCCATTGCTACATGTCTCTGCCCTTCCTCTGTTGTCTATATCAGCCTGGGCCCCCCAGAAGCCCTTTGAAAAGGTCAATAGAATGTAGAGTTATCTCATACCTTATAAAGCTCTCAAGATGACATATCTGGCGGTGCAGGGGAGGAGAGCGGCAGCAGCGGGCCGGAGGGCTTAGCGGCGGCTGCGGCTGCGGCCGAAGAGGAGGAGGAGTCGGGGCTGAGCAGCAGCGACGACAGCGATGAGGCCGAGGTGCAGGAGCCTGCGCGCCAGCAGCCCGGCTTCAGGGGGCCGTGCGCCGGCTGCACTGCGGTGAGTGTGGTATCTGTGGTTCATGTCTTGTGGAACATTCAGGAATTGGATGATGGGTTTTGAGGTGCAAGGTGTTGTTTTGATGTGTCGTAATATGCGCAGCAATAACTTCCTGTCTCGATGTTCTATCTGTGCAGATTCTGCACGTGTTAGATGTGTTTAAAGGATGTGTTCACTGCTCTGGACGTCTTGAGATATGCACGACATCGGTTGCGGAGGAGATTATTGAGTATTTGGCTTTTTAGCAGAGTGTGTGGCTGGAAAGAGCATTTATATCAGTAGCAGCCTGCCCACCTTTGACAAACTTCAGCCCTGTCAGACGTACACTCCTGAAGAAGTTTTAAGATGTCAAAAGGCGGGCAGCCTGCTAAAGGATGTACAGTTCGTCCCTTCCGTGACGAGCTTTACGCGCCTCTGGGGTGACAGCGTCCTTGTCAGCATGAAAGCTTACATGCAAGGTTGCCTGGGGTTTGCTCTGTCGTCTTCTTAGGAGTTGGCAAAGGTTTTGAAGGTTCCAAGATTGAAATGGGTGTGTCTGCGCTCAGGTGGTTGCGCTGGTGCGTGGGCCTGAGCTGTGGGTGGCGAATGCGGGCGACAGCCGCTGCGTCTGCAGCCGCCGCGGCCTGGCTCTGGCGCTCTCGCGCGACCACAAGCCCACCGATGACGAGGAACTGCAGCGCATCAGCCGGGTGCGCGCTCCTTAGTAACAGGCCATACGTGTGCAGTAATTCTGTAGAGTATTGATGTGAATGGCTGACGTCACTGCCAACGCTCTGGCGGGTGCACAGCGCAGTACCTTTTGAGCATCCTGGAAACTCTGAGATACATTAGCATACCTCGGGGATCATTGACAAAAGTCAGTGGCTCATGGCTCCCATCAGAGTGATTCAATTTGAAAGGGCTGCTCGTCCCATTTGCCCAACCAGGCAAAGCACTTTATCCCCCCTCTCAGGCACAGGGCTGCGCCAAATGGTGATTTCATCCGGGTCTTCAGGAGTGTCAATTTTGTATGAAATTCTGCTATTCGCACGTGTGATCCCTATTTGCGCACGTGCCTTCAGCATGCACTGTGCATCTCGGAGTCGGGCCGATACAGGCATTTTCACAAGGGCACCACTTCAATCTGCCACCCCTGAACCCTGAACCCGTCTTAATTGTAATGTGTAATGTGGGCGCAGGCCGGGGGTTTCGTGGCGGAGGGGCGCATAAATGGCAGCCTGAACCTGTCGCGCGCGCTGGGCGACATGGACTACAAGCAGAGCAAGGATCTGGGCCCCGACGCGCAGATGGTCACCGCCGTACCCGAAGTGCGCTCGCTGCGTCTGGAGCCCGGTGACGAATTCCTCATCCTCGCCTGCGACGGCATCTGGGACGTGCTCTCCAACCAGCAGGCACGCCCCTGCAGACACACCACACCACACCACACCACACCTCACCTCACCTCACCTCACTCATTTATTTTATTTGGTTTGGAACGCCCCTGCAGACCCCTCTCACCCGACACTCACCTCAGAAAGTTGAAATTCTATCTACTAGTCATCTCAGGCTGTGCGTTGTCACTGCTGCTTAGCACTGCTAACCGCACACACACCAGGGCCCGTGTGAAGCTTTCTGTGCTCAAATCTGTCGCCGTCCTGTCATATCGTGAGCTCTCGAGATTCACTAGATTTGAGCAGAAGGATGGGCAGACTTACTTATTGCTCTGGCGGGCTGTGGCCCACGAGCCAGGCAGTCATTTCCAAGTAACAATTCACTACCAAAGAATATAGGGCTACAGATTACCCACAAAAGATTTGTTGTAAAGCTGTGGCACCCAAGCTTGTTCAGGGATCCCTGGCACAATCTGGCAAGCTATATCTTGTTCAGACCTGCACATATGCATGGCTTCTTTCTATGCATGCAGAATCAGGGCTCTGTGCAGCAGGCGCTGGCTTTCTCGATCATGGTGCGTCAGAGACTGTACACAATCTGAGGGCGTGTGCCTCCATGCAGGCGGTGGACTTTGTGCGAAAGCGGCTGGCGCAACGCATGAGCCCGCGCGCGATTTGTGAGGCCCTCTGCGACCACTGCCTCGCCCCCAACACTGCGGTGCGCTTTTCTGTGCTGGACAAGTGTGTCCACATGTCCTTGTGCTGAGGTGGCGGCATGATTTTAGGCGCTCGGCCCTGCCGCACATGGCATCAGCAAAGCTAGCATGGTGCATCTTGCAGGATTAGATCAGGGAGTGACGCGAGAAACCGAGCCCTCACTTTTATTGTGATATGCAAGGCTGGCAAAATCTGTAGGATCCAAGATAGGGGACTCCAAGATTTTAAGGACCCTGTTGCAGACTTTCCAGCCCAACTATTACACTGTAGAAGATCGTTGCCCACTCGTTTACATTGTGAACTTTACAATGTGATGTATGGTAGAGACAGCAGGTGTGTGATAGGCCTGTCAATAGCAATCTCTGGGATCCTCTACGCCGGGAGGTGATAGCTATATTTTATATGCATTTCCATGCTCGGTTCCTTGTCCATCTGCACACTCAAGTCCCTCGCTGAGAGGCAGTGATTGAAACGCTCCGCTGTGTGCGCGCAGGGGTGCGGCAAGGGCTGCGACAACATGAGCGCTTTGGTGGTGGTGCTCAAGCAATTCTCCCCATTCGCCGCCGGCGACAGGGAGATCGACCTTGCCTCACTGCCGCCACCGCCCGCGCCAGAAGAGCTCGACCCCATGTTCTTGGGTGAGCACCCGCCTAAAACTCTGCATCACTTGCATTCCTGTGAACAATTTGTGTTCCTGGGTGCGCCCGAGATCTTCATTGTCTATAAAAGCGTCTCTGGGCTCGGCTGATAGATTACAGGTAGAGGGTGTTTGGCGGGCTTGGAGTTTGCACAAGTTGGTCGGCCTTTTTGGAGGGGTTGAGTGCTGACCATTTACCGTGCATTGCTGTGCCTCTTGAGGGCCCTGTAATATCTTTGCTTGGCCGTGTACATAAAAGCACACCCATCAAATACTTTATCTGACTTCACCTCAGCATGGCGTGGAAGGTGGTCGTTTTTCTTGAAGCAAAGGCATGTTAGCAGTCGAGCTCTGTGCTTGTATGTACGCAGATCACTCGGAGCCGCAGTCCGACTGACCAGCAGAATCCACGCCAGCAGTCAGCCATTCGCAGGTCAGTATGCGAACAGCTCTGTCGCCTTCTCCAAATGGCAGCCTAGGATGTGGTCATGCAGCTTTTGAAGCTTGTGTGCATCACAATGTGCAGCGGATGAGAAGGGTGGCATGGTGGAGGCACGCAGGGGCAACAGCCGAGCTCTGAAGGGGCCAGCACCAGATCAGAAGCGCAGCTACTCCCTTCGGCTCTTAGCTGCCCCAACAGCCTTGCGTTGTAAGAGCTTCATGTCAAGGGACGTAGCTAGCAGCTTGGGCGGTCGCGAATGCACATTTGCTGGTCAGCCACAAAAGAAATTGAATCAGCGCCAAACCAGCCAAACGAGCCTTTATCTCCAAACGAGGGGAAGGATGAGCTTTGGGTGTCCCCCTCAGAGATACCCCCCCCTGAGAGGCCAAGTAGGAAATCAAAGAGGCCTGTGCCCAAGAGGAAGCTGCACCCCACGCTTCTTTCTGACATAATTTTGGGCCGTCCTTTCAAGTATGCTGAGCCTGATGCTGATTCTATGGCGCCCACCGGTGTCGCTGCTTCAGTATTCTTCAAGCAGGCCATAAGAGGCTGCGCTGTGCTCTGAAAATGAGAAAGATATAAGGCCTAGGTATGTCTTGTTATGCGCGCAGCTCTGTAATTGCGGGAAGATTTGAGATGCCTAGTGCGAGGGGAATCCGTAATATGATGAGGAGTGTTGTACACCAGTATGCCCTTTGTCACCATGCGCTATAGAAATTATATCACTTCTGCTTAGGGGTGTGATGAGGGTGCTCCTGGGGTGTATATTATGTGCAAGACAAATGCCATGGTGATTGACCCCGCCCCTGCAGCTGCCTATGCTGCGGGGAGCGCTTATGTGTCAGACATTTGTGCCTTTAGGTGTCATTGGAGGTATTTGGATGCATGCCTGTGTGTCCGACATTTATGAGCCCCTGTGCGCTGAGGCACCCCTGTATTCATCTTGATTGCCCATTCATTTATTGTAATTCCTTGTTTACCTTGTGTCCCAATTTTCTGGTGAACACCGTCAGCCACATGCAAACGTTAGTATTGTAGCTAGAACAACCTAACATGCAGAGACCTTTTGCACGCCCTTGTGGCAATGTCTTAATGAGATGCACAGAATTTCAACCTTGCTCCTCCAGCTTTCAGCTGCGCCGGTAAGTACTGTGGCTGATGTCCGTGATGGCTGTCAAAACGGGCAGTAATTGGTACCACGTGTGCGCATTCATCATGCGCTTTCCCTACTGTATGCTGTGTTCCACCAATGCAAGGCAGCAACCCGCCCATCACCTCTACCCTTGAGTATTTTCCACCAGAAGCTCCCATTTAATTCTCTACTGCTCAGGCCATCCCTGTGTTAGAACCTATGTGGGCGGTCTTAAATGCTGAATATGCCGTCAGCACCGCGCAACTGACAGCACCGACCAGCTGAGTTGGCTGCGCCGTGCTGTTTTCATTGCCGTCTGCTGCAAGGAAAGTTGCGGCAGTCACATTGCTGCAGCCAACAACATAGCCTGGGAGGCCAGAGGAGCGCTCGGCTGCTCTAGTGTGGCGGGGTACACCTCCATATGACAGATCTCCACTTCTGCACGCAGCCTGGTCCAGTCAATTGCTTCCATGAACTCCGGATACAGGTTGCGGACTGTGCGGCCCCTGCACATGTGCAGCAAGCAGGCTCAGCGATACCGCTGCTGCTGCTCAGTTGCAGTCTTGTCTAAAGTCCATTGGCCATCTTAAGCCACAGTGCAGTGCAGCAGTGTTGTGCAAGGAATCAATGTGTCAAATGACCTGGCCAACTAACGGCTGTTCACGGCAGTGATAGGTGCCACTGGCATGTGACAAGCAGTAACGAAACAACAAAACTTCGGGTAGATGCTTCAGATGCTTCAAGACATGATAGTTTTAGCCAAGCAACTTCCAACAGATTGTGTTGGTCATGCCACGAAGACCCTTATATTCCCATGAGAGGGATTCGAGACCTTGCAGAGCTTACCCATTGACGGTGGCATGAGCGCCAGCTGGTCGAGGTTTCTTCTTCGGTGCGGGCGGGGCCGCGTACGTTGGTGGGTTCGGAGACCGGGAAGTCTCGCCCAAGCCCCAGTCCCTTCTGCAGGGAGTCGCATAGTAACCATAGTGCGTAGGAGATCTGTCGTCCTTGTCTCCCTGCCCCACGTGTCCCGCACAGGAAAATCTTTAAGGACAAACAATCCTGCAGCTGATGTCGCAGGCCGGGGGCCTTCTTGTCATTGGAACAGGGTACGATTTCTATAACTTTGGAGACATTGCACATCAGTGGCAATCTGCGGATTGGGTCACCACCTGCTGTCGAGGGCTTGGCGTTTTCTCCAACCCTGCCACCTGCGTGGGGTTCCAGGACATCCTACTCTGTCGGGCAAAATCCACTACTTTAGTGGACATGCACTCCACTACATTAGTGGATTTGGCTCTCTTTCTGATTTACGCCCCTTCGGGGCGTGCAATAACAAAAGCAATGCTGCACATCCTTCAGATTTACCTACAACAATCTCAGCATTGCATAGTACCTCCGTCAAGCTAATTATTTCGGTCAAGCCTGTATCTATAGGATCGTGCGCTACTCGTTTCTGCGAAGACAGCAATGCCATTTGCCAGGTTACCGTTGCAAAGTAGGATTTGAAAGGGGGGTGGGACGGCCGCAAATGTTTATGGGAGTAATTTAAACGAATTCTTGAAGTCTTCTGTCGCTGGCCATGTGAGGTTCGCACTTTTGCCGGTTTTTTGGCATCCCCATCCTTGACTTGTTTGGACTCAGCTAATCGAATGTCACGACCATCGACGTGCATGTCTACTTCTTTCGTAGTGACTGCATGCCCTGCCAAGCCAATTCCTTGAAATGAAATGCGTGCAGGCAACACAGAGCGTTCACCTGAATTGAGCACTGATGCACCGGACAGACACTGAAGTCGTCTACAATCTAAACCAACATCAAGTTCAATTGTTCTGGTGAGCGTTACGATCCCTCTGCTGCTGTGAGTAGCCGTGGGTGTCTGCCCTGACCTGGCTTTGCTTGGAATGCCAATCTGATGAGGAGCATCTGGAGAGGACTGTGCACCCCAAAGAGTAGCAAGTAGCCCAGGTGCTTGTAAGGATAGTTGTATCACTTGTACTAGAAGGCATGCTGCTGATGTACTTCTCATTCCTTTAATGTCCTGGTGGATCACTTGCAGAAACCGTTGTGTGATGACTTCATGCAGGACGAATGGTCAGGAACAAGAGGTGGAGGGTCAGTGTCAAGGTGATACCATCAGCCGACACTCCTGCTCTGCTGCAGCCAGGCCGCAGATTTGGGAGGAACCTAGGCAGCACTGTGGCAACATCTGCACCGAGGGGACCCCGGAGGCCGGCCAGCGCCCTTCCATCCTGGCGGATCCCTGCAAGAAACACAGCTCAGCAGGAAGAACAGCAGGATGGCTTTGCAGATGGAGATGGAGAAGCCGCTGCTGCCTATTATCAGCCTCCGCCCTCACGCCGGCGTCTGCGGAAACAGGCAGCTCAAGAGGATAATAGACGGCTGCACCAAGCATGGGATGCGTGCTTTGATGACAATGTATTCAGGAACACATGTTTCCAAGCTGGTCAGCCTGCACGCCAAGCAGCACTGAAGCAGCAGCTGCAGGCAGAGTTTTTGACAGCTGCCAGAGCAGCCCTGCCCGCTTGCAGTCCATGCAGTCAGGCTGGGAGGGTGGGATCAGTGTGGGAGCAGGTGGAGACGATCAGCAGGCTTGTGTATGTCTCGATCAGCGGCAGGACAGAGGTCAGCCCCCCAGCATTCAGGTGTGGCGGGTGCAGTGCCGCCTTCACAGTCGATCCTGTGAGCATGGGATGCTTTCCTGCAACGCCACAGAGGCCGCTGGTTTACTACTCTGGAGCGCTCATGTTGCAGACGCATGAGCTCAGCCTCGCCAGCCCAACCTCAATGGTCGCCTGGACTAGCGCCCTGGAGGAGGTGCACGTCAGGAACGGCTGTGTGCCGTACGGGCAACTGAGTGGCCTGCCCAAAAATATCTGGAGGAACCTCCCAGTGGCGGTCAGACAGTGGCGCAGAATGGACATCGCCACACATGACCTCAACAGGCTTGGCGTGCAGCCCATCTGTTCGGAGGCAGGGCTCAGCGGTGACTCAGACTTGCAGCTCGGCCAGCCGCCGCCGCCCCAGGAGAACACTCAGAGGGAAGCAGCAGCGTCGTCATCGCCACCAGAAATGGAAGCAGGCAGCCTCGCGGCTCAAACTGGCAGAGATGCAGCTGAGGTGGGCCCGGCGACCCAGGAATCTCTGGACAGTCGTGCCTCCGGGGGCCCCACTGTGCAGTGTCCTTGCTGCTTTCGCACTTGCGTGGCAGCCATTGCTGACGCCTGCCTGGGACTCACGCAGCTCAGGGCGGCGGGCAAAGCCTCTGATTTCCTGCAGCCGAAGCTGCCCTATAGCCCCTTCATTGCTGATGAAGAGGTGAAGGCCTTGCTCGCTCAACGGAAGGCCTTGGACCCGGCGGCGCTGGAGCGGCCGGTCTGCTCTCAGTTCGTTGCTGCCACGCCAACCGCCTCAGACACGCAGCTGCGCCTATATGTGCAAGTGAGTCTCCTCGCATTTTTCTGGGATCTTGTTGCGCTTACTGATGTTGGCATGCATCTCATATATCCATGATTTTTTTCTCTTTTTTTCCTGGCCCCGGCTGGCAAGGGTAATACTTGGCAGCACCCTAGCGTGCCTTGCTTCAGGTGGTAAAAATACTGAATACCATGCCCACGGTTGATTGGGTCTTGCTTGGATCTGGCGAGTTCAACAAGGGGTAGGGTTATGGCAGCCTTAAATTGCAGCTCTGCAGGATGTACCTTGCTTGGCAGGAAAGCGTGTAACAAGAAGATGTGCTGGTGCTTTGGAGCCGGTCTGACACTCCCGCATGTGCTTGTGCGTAGGGCGTGGCAGCAGCAGTTTGCCGCCACGGGTATGTTCTCGTGGCGGCAAACCTGTTCACACCGGAGTGCTTTGTTTACTACGAGTTGCTCCTGCAGCGTCTGCTGAAGGAGTTCAAGCCTGAGGAGGGCAAGGATCTGAAGTACTTCTTCATTGACATTGCTTGCCAGTTTGACCCATATTGGCGAAGGTATAATCTTTCGTCCATCATGCCTGGCGTTTACGTCAAGATGTGCCCTGTACAATTATTGCATGGAACAATTTCACTCCTAGTGTCTAGTACTAGTCATGCTATGAGTGTGTGGATTCGTCGGAGTGCACAGCAGCGTCCCCTTTGAATGGTGATGTGTTGTGCTGGCAGGATGGTTCAAGGAAACGTGGAGGGTATGCCTGGCCTGGCAGTGGGGCCGTGGCATGTGAAGGCTCACATTCCGGCATGCCAAGAAAAGTATGGCGCCCGCCGCATGCTAGCGGCAGGAAACTCCTTTGGTGACAACATTGAACAGGCTTGGGCACATTACAGGAAATTTGCACACATCTTGAAGCGCATGGCGACTGCCACGCGGGAGGACTACATGACGGACCTGGTGAGTTCTCCTTTCATATGATGCAAGCTCTTGTAGCCTTGCTCGATGTTGCAGTTTGTAACCCTGTAGGTGCGAGAAGTGACAATGTTGGTCCATGTGCAGGCGATGGCTTGGCAGCGAAAAAAGGAGCGCAGGTTGCCCAAGCAGCTGCTTGAGTGGCATAGGAGGGCTGCTCGACTGCTGGCACAACTGCGGCAGTCCACGGGGGCCCTCAAGCAGGAGATTGCCCAAATCAAAGCCCCCGAGTTGCAGGTAAAATGCACCCCTCCTAGTTGCTGCACCTGTCTCTACTGATTCTCTGGGGAGATGCCATCTTGATATATCCTGCAGTCTGCAATGCTTTGCATGCTCGCTTATTGGCTGATGAATCAGGTGCAGGGTGGCGGTGGCTCAGGAGGCGTCCCATCACCGGCAGGCCAGGATCCTCTCCAAGGCGGCGCTGGTGCAGGCGCAAGTGACGAAGCAGAGGTGTGTTGGTCCTTTTTGAAGGCTCTTCTCTAGCATGGAATAAGTATCAATGGGTATGCTAGTGAGAAGGAGGTGCTCAGAGGACTCAGAGTAAAGAGCTGCCTCAGAAGAAAGTATGCAAGCAGATTGTTTGTTTTGCACGCAGGGGTCTGCCCGGGAGCAGCGGCAGACATCGTCTGAGGGGGCATCAACAAGCGCGCCCACCATCCCGGTGCTGCTCCACTCTGCACCTTCAGTTGGCTGTACTGGTGCTTGTTCATATGACATGATAGGACATTTGACATGTGACTTATGACATGACAGGACAAGACATGACAGGATGTGCATACTGGTGGAGTTTTTGTAAAGAGCAAATGGGATGCACACCTTTGGAAGATACATAAAGATGCATGAATCACTGATGTCAGGATTCTTACTCGCAGGCCCGTCTCACATGGGAGCACCACTACCAAGGCTGCTTGGAGGAGTTGTACGCGCTGGGTGGCAGTGTGACTCTCGCAGCTGAGGGGCAGCAATCGCTCTCCGAGCAAATGCGGCATGAGCACCGCCGAGTCCTTGAGGGCAAGCTGGCAGCGTGGGAGCGCAGGCACCGGGTACAGCTGCGGTGGGTGGAGGCAGACCGGTTGTACCAGGAGATAGGGGGTCAGCGGAAGAGGTTCATGATTCAGCAGCTACATGCTTCCATTGCAGCCAGGTTCGTGGATTACTACGCCCTACAGAGACAGCTGGAGACAGCGGCATATCGTGAGCGCACTAGCCTGAAGCGGTTGCGGCGCCAGATGGAAGCCATCGTGTCCAAAGTCAGCGATGACATCCTTCAGCTGCGGCGCTGGCATGCCGCCCCTGGGGACTATCAGGGAGCGCAGTATGACTGCCAGCGCTTGACCGCCCCTGGCTTGCTCGCGGCAGACACATTGCCGTGGCAGCGACAATCTGCTCAGGCAGGGTTGCTGGCTAGGAAACTGGCCGCGCTGGCGGAGCAGCAGGAGCGCTTGAAGCGGTGCTCCGAAGAGATGACCATCGTGCGGCGTGAGGCCAGGGATATGGTAGTGTTTTATGAGCACTACGCCCAGCAAGTGCAGCAAGCCGCTGGGAGGGGAGAGCGCCGCCTGCCCAGCGCCCGACAAGTTCCCCATGCGGCGGAGCTGGGGGAGGCGGGTGTGCATGCAGCCCTTGAAGCTTTCCAGCTCGGGCAGCAGGTGGTGCTCCTCTCCAAGCTTGAACAGTATCAGCACTTGGGCGGCATGGCAGGCAATGCTGTGGAAGCGCTGCACGCCGACCTCACAAACCTGGACAGCGGCACCAGCTCCGACTCGGACTGGCAGGATGCGCGGTCCGATGCCTCCTCAGACAGCAGCGGCGGCGATGATGAGGACACATAAATATTGGCACATTTGAAAATTTGGCAATGAGCATCTCGCCTTGTCTGCCAATTTTGATGTTCTCGATGCTGTTTCAAACTTTGAAAGTCAGTAGCTTCTATATAGAGTACAGTAATCTTCTATAGAGTACAGTAATCTGATTGTTCTACAATTCATCAGATCCTTTTTGGGAAGGGAGTGCGCTGTGGAATCATCTGCCAATTGGCTCAAAAATCTCAAGATCTCTTAGCAGCTTGTTCTCTCCACACACTTAAAGCAAATAATTAACACAGAGTGCCAGCTTCTTATGTTGTTAATGTAAATATGCATTGCTGTTAAAAATTATCAGTTGTTCAAGCGAAAGGCAGCCTATTGAAACTTCCTGCAACTCTTGCAATTCATGTAGCTCTGAGCAGTGCCTCTCTCTATCTCATATAAGTGTCAAAATGTGATCAATGCCTGTCGTGAATGGAGGTGTCCCTGTCATGTTTTTAAAACTTTGATGAAGGTCCACCAAATTAAATTCGTTGAATTTTATTTTTGGCAGCATATCATAATATTATGATAAAATTATACGGCTAATACTACAAATTAATATTAGTATTAATACTTAAAATTTGTATATATGTACAGGTGTCCACGTTGTTAATAGTTAATAGCATGTTGACTGCCAGCAGCCAAAAAATGAACAGTATGAACCTTGACAAGAATTGCTACTTAGAAAGATTGCCTGCCAGGTTGTGAAGCTTCCTTAGTTAGAGGAAGGCCATGACCCACTGCCCACCATTAATGACAATAAAGACCTTCAGTCTTCAAAAGATTTGTATTGGTTCTAAGAAGATATGTCTGTCATAATGTGATTTTTTGATGACTCTTGGAGAGGTCATGTCAACAGTCGGCAACATGCGCCCATATGGCATGCATGTGACTCTGGACCAGATCCTCAAGGTGTAATTATAGTAAATATCTGGTTAGCTACCTATAGGCTGAGCATGTTGCAGTACCGTCATTGGCTTCACTTTCTACCAAAACCTGGGGGGACTTTAGTGTCCATGCAAGCCTGTGAGTGATCATTCTCATGTCGACAGCTTGTTTGGACCATCCAAATAAATGACCATGATATTAAAATATTTATCAGAAGCCAATTAGCCCTTCAGCTTCAATTAATGTTTAACGAGTCACCCATTGCATGGACTTTATCTCCACATTGTGAATTCGAGTTTCAAGCCTTAATATTTGCAGTGGCTTTAATTCTGCTTTGCAAGAATTATCAGATAAAAAAGAATAATGCATATATTTGACCAATTGGAGCAACAAGGCTTGAAGCCTTGCGAGCCGAGCTTGTTCAATATAATTAAATATAAAATAAATGAATGCAACAATAATATCAATCTGATCTATTGACAACAATATTACACTGTAGAGGCGCCTTCTAGTTATAATCGAGTGATTGCTTTTTAAGAGTACACTGAGGGCAATGGTGTGGCAAATAACTAGTGGGTACCCACTATTCACTTGCTACCAACACCGGTGTTGGGTAGCCATTGTGGCAACTTGCAATTGCCTGAAACGTTGATGCACATGTGTACGTGCCCACTGGCCACGGGCATGGCATGGGTTGCACCTGCAGCACAAGACATGCGTTGCTCATGAGCACATCTCGAGATGCTTGATGCTTTAAAGAAATTTCTCTCAGGTTATAATGTTCGACGGTGGTCCCACTGGAATCTCTTAATGGGTAGCCTTACGCCATTTATACTAGTACTGACCCGATGGCATCATTATGATCATCAGCATGATGCTTAAGGCTCCAAGGCTTTGGCCCGCGGCTTCAACCCGATTTCTACAGCACTTCTACACTTGGATCATACTCTTGCTTTCCTGAGATCTCACCTGTACATGACCAGTGCCCAGTGAATGAGGGCGGTGTGTGCATGCATGGCTCCCGCCTTCAAGGAAGTTCAGTGGTTGAAGATTACTAGGTTTCCTGCACACACAGCCGTGGTGCTTGAAGGAATTTCGAAAACCACACTCTTCGAGAAGGCATTTCAGGGTTTCGTTTGAGCAAGATTACAAAGGTGGCAGGTCCTATGTACTTTTCGCTCTCAATCTTCCCGCGAATAGAATAGTAGCCATTAGCTCTGGACAATGCTGAAGGTTCATCTCGGCCAAGGCAGCTCTGATGGAAATATCTGACCCCTGAGTCCACGGCATTGCAACGTTGCAATGGCACCCTTGCCTCTTGTTTGAAGACCCAGTCGGCAACAGCGTCGTGGCCGTATTCGTCCTTTGTCAGACCTTCTGAATAGAATCTGATAATATAATCACAACCTACACAGCGAGTCAAGCGTTCTGAACTTGCGCAGTTCGGATGAAGCTTCTCCTTGTCACTGCCACACTTGTAACACGGGATCCTAGCAATAATAAGTGACATGCTCGGTACAGAAACACATCACTGATCATTCTCCATGCTTACTGACGAAAGGCCTAATTTTTATTACCAAAATGGCATGCTATGGAATGTGTTACCAGGTGGCATGGCCCCTGATTGCCAATAATCCACCACATTAGTAGCGTTTACATCCACTAAAGTAGTGGATTTTGATTACTCGGGTGCCCTGTCCAGGATGGCGTGAGGTTCCAGCATGGCAAATACATTCCCCACTTGGTGATCATACACAGGATATGCGTATACAAAGGATCTGAGTATGTGTGTACATTTGCAACAAATGATTTGTATGTTTGTGCAGCACCCCATCACACTGAGGCAGCCAAGTGCTCTGCGCTGCAGAACAGGTGGAGGCTGCCAGACTTCCTACGCTTGATCCGCGAAGAAGATGGTATTCCACAATACAAAAGTGGGATGTACGGCTCACCTCCTGAGTCGAACGTCTGTTCATGGCTGCTGAATATGGCAGTAGTGGCGATTTGGATCGACCACAAGAAACTACTTGAAGATCGCCATGACAATTCTAGCTCCAATTATTCTGATGTGATAAACAATCAGCCAGGATCGGCTGGAAGTTGTGCAGCCGGTAAAAGGCGATCGGCGTGAAGAGGTCCAAGGATGGCCCCTGCAGAGTTGTTGTGGCCTGCCCAAGCTAGGTTCCCACGGCTTCCAGGGCCGCTGTGGCAAAATCATGGCGGTCCGCAAAATCATGCCATTGGCGGATGTGAAAAACCAAAGAGCTTGTGTTTTACAGTGATGAAAATGTTTTATCAATAAAGAAGACAAAGGTGAGACAGACGTTTATTGGCTCGCGAAGATCCAAATCGAGCTGCAAAATAAAGGAAGCTCGAAACAGAAGCAAACTCACAGACGCAATGAAGGGTATAGACCGGATATAGCAAATAAGTACGTGCGGACCACTCTGATTGGTGTAGATGGACCTACTCCACGCAGTTCCTCTTCTTTGGCGTATGCTGGGTCCCCCAAACTTCCGGGACCCCCCCGTACTGGGTGTTCAAAATGAGGAACGCGCAGCTACGCATATTTGCATTGCAAATTGATTCCGACACCAGCCCTCCACAGTGCGAATTTCAGTCAAAAGTTGTCGAACAGACCAAACAAGCGACCATATTTCCTGAAGATGCACATATCCAGTTCCTCTCTCGTCAGACAAGGATAAAGTCGTGTTGTGTAAGGAACTTGCAACGGCTGGTGCATGTTACACATATGGAAGACATTGAGCAATTTCAGGACAGACCGGTACATTGGAAGTTTCTTGCTTGCAGCATTGCACGTACAGACTAAGTAAGAATATATTGCCCAATACAAAGCAGTATAATGCGCTTGAGGGAAAGTCTCCTCAGTGGTGACAACTTCGACTTGGAGACAGCCAACAGCGATCTGCTGTCGCCGTCCCTCTTGGAATGTGACGAGAACGTGGATGATGACGGTGTGCCTCAACAGCCCTGACATGTACATCTCAACGTCTAGGAGACTGCTGTTCTCTTGAACTGCGCCTAAACTTCTTTATTCATGAAAACGCTCATCTCCCATCCATATCTCCCTACATATTGTCACTGGTTCTGAGCGGCCTAGGGAAGGTAGCTGGGTAACATGAGACAGGTTGCTCCCACAAGATGGGCAGCACTACTGTCCCTAATACATGAATTTAACGTGCAGGAGAGTGGCCACTTGAGCTCCCATCACCTCCAAAAGCAGACAAATCCGCTCGTGCCGAAAGGGAGGCCAAGCAGACAGCGGCCTGTGAGGCTCTTGCGATGGCATTTGAAGATCTCACCCCGCCACATGCCGGCAGGCAGGAGGCCACATCACCAGAGGTGCTCGCAGAGGTGCTGTATTACCTGCTGTGGTGGTCCTTTGCGCACCATTGCTTTCCAGCGCTTTGTCTGAAGTAATCGCGATGTCTGAGAGGGATGCTGCAGCACAGGAGGAGGGGATGCGGGCAGAGGAGACGGACCTCGTGTCACCATTAGTCATGAGGCCGCCAGCTGGCGGTGGAAGGCGTGGCATGCGCGCATCATTTGACCCGCGCAGAGTCAGCTTGGCCATCGCGCAAAACTTTGACTTGGCCACGTCAGGTGTGCCTCACTCCCTGGAGGGTAGTCAGGTCTACATGGCTTTTGCCTGCTGCCATCATGCCTTGCTGCTGTCCGTCATGTCGCAGTCGGCCCCCTGAAACCTCTTGACTGAGGGAGAAATGGATTCTAGGCCAAAGGAGCAGCACAGTCACACAAATAATGCCAGGAGAGGCAGAGGCTGTTTAAACTGACAGGAGCCTGCTAAGATCCCCAGAACCTTTCTCTGTCTTCTTAACTTTTGTTTCCTTGCAGAGGGGGGCTTGCTAGGCGAGGATGAGTTTCTGGAGCTGACCGGGAAGCTGGCGGCGCCGCAGCCGCGGCCGCAGCCGAGCGCGGATGCTCTGAAAGCCGCTGCACTGCGCGCATCCAACAGCGCCTTCGCAGGTGACTGCCTTCCATGCGCGCTGTGAATTCTCATGCGCTTGTCATGAAGGAGGGAGAGCAGGAAGGGGTGTTCCAGCAGGTCCAGCTGGCAAAGGCTGACCAGAGCACGATGTCATGACCCATGACCTCACAGGAACGCCAAATTTGAATTGGCAACCCAGCATTCATCAGCAGGGCCATGATGAGAGAGTGGCAGCAATGAGGAGAGGAGGCAGTGTGCTTTGCAGTCCCATGGTTGGCTGCATGAATAATCAGGAGACTGCTTTAGCCTGCGGTTGCCATGCAGTGCTTGTTTAAGTGTCCCGGTGCTTCTTCAGAGACATCCAAGGAAGGCAGTGTGCTGTTTCACCCCATGATTGGCTTCAAGAGAACCATGAGATCACTCGAGCTTCCGGGTGTTTCGGCAGTGCTTCTTGCGTGCCCTGCTGCTTCTTCTGAGACATCCAAGGGGTGCAAGACCTGACAAGAACGTTTCATATGTGGGCAGGAGAGGGCAAGATCCGCGCGCATCGGCCGGAGCCGCTGACTGTGGCTGTCCCTGGGGATGGCGGCGATGAGTCACCGGAGGTGGGTCCAGTCATGGCTGAGTCACCCCTGGCGGCCCGGCCGCCGCGCCGGGGGCCCAGTCAGGCCGCGCCCCGGCCGCCGCCAACTCAGCAGTCGCTAGCCATGCGCGACAGCATGGCGCTCTTCCTGCAGGTGCAGCCTTTTTTTGGCGCTGTGTTTTGTGTCCGGCATGGTCAGTGAACTTGCATGCTGTCTCGCCTTGAAATATGCACATGCACTGCGAGCAGTGCAAGTGCAAGCCATCAATCCCCGCTCACCTTGTAAAATTGATCTATAGGAGCAGTACCATGAAGATTTGGGTCCATCAGATGGGACAATGAGCCAGCAACTAGCAATTTGAGCCTGACCTCCGGCAAGAGCCATTGTTTGCATGGGCAGTAGTGCCAGCAGGACCCCGCATATTCAGTTGTGTAGAGGAGGGCCTTCATGTGAGCGCTCCAACTGGAGGCTGCAGGACAGTGCTGGCCAATTGAGGTAACTCACTTTATTTCAGAAGATCGGCTGATGAAGCGTGTGCGTGCAGCTGGAAGGAGCTGTGAAAGGGGAGAACGGCTTTGCAGCAGACGATGTACTGCGGCTAAATCGGGGTGCCACGCCTCAGCTGTTCAGCATCGCAGAGAACTGTGATGTGGCTGATGAATCAGGTAATGACTCTGGCAACTCTGCACCTGATCTGCGCCAAACTTTTGATGACCCTTGCATTTTCCATCCTTACCCTTGCATTCTCCATCCTTACCTTTTATGCTGACCCAAGACAATCTAGCTGAGAGGTCTCACTGTTGATTTTGTCTTCATGACGCTAACCAGATGCAAATTTCTTCGTACATATTCAGATGCTGGGTGGTCATAGCATTGCGCAGTATGTCTCCTCTGGATTGAGGTGGGTTCATTTTTCCACAGAAGACAGAGGAGTGGAGCAGGCTTCGCTGCCAAGGGCACCGCACAGTGCTGCAAGGGCGGAGCCCTCACAGGCGCAGGGGGGAGCCGAAGGCATGCGCGACAGCATGGCGTTCTTCCTGCAGGTAAGTAGACAGAAAATCAAACCTCTAAAATCTCATAAACTAACAGAATTCTGTGCTTTGCATGCATCGTGATCAGTACCTCAGGATGCTCTACGTGTTTGTTGGCTCATGTCAAGATGGCTCTTCAAGCTTCTCTTGAATTCAAAGATTGAATGTATATCTCAGTGCGGTGTAGAGTTAGTGATGTGTCATGTCTGTCCACGTGCAGCTGGAGGGGGCAGTGGAGGGCAGAAACGGCTTCAAGCCGAACGATGTACTCCGCCTGAATCCGGCTGCCGCGCCCAAAGCCGACCACGTATCACTCTTGCCTCCTTCAGCGCCTGAACAGGCTGCACACGGGACCACTTCAGACATTTCCCACACCAGGTGAGAGCCTGGCATGCAGCTGCCCTCTGACACTGAAAATTTTGCTGCATTATGCAAGTTGCTCAAACCGTACACGTGACAAGCAACATTGATTGCTCAAGGTGTGATTTGAGGCATGCATGTGTGCATGTGGGCTGCACAGGTCTGATCAGCAGCAAGCCACCAGCATCCTGCATGCACCACCGCCGTCCAAGATCCGCAGGCCCACACTGGCTCCAGCGGGCAGACCAGCCTCCCACATCCCCTCACACGGTCCCACCGCCACCGCCGCCACACAACACGCGGCAGCTTCCGGCATCGATCGCGCTGACGCAGCGCGCACCGCCGAGAAGCCGGCGACGTCATCGCTGATGTCAGCGCGGAGGACCGACGCGGCCCAAAACAGGCTCCTACCCAGGGAGCTGCCCGCGCCGGGCCGCCCGGGCTTCCCGGCCGGGCGCGCCACTACGGGCGCTACAGGCCGGGAGCCCGTTACGGGGCCGGCAAGCTACCGCGCTACGGGGCGCCCGGGGTTCCGCCGGCCGACGCTTGAGCCGCCAATAGAAAAGACGTCGTCCCCGTCCTTGCTGCGCCGGGTCGCTCCCCGAGTGTTCGCAAGCCGGTGCGCCAAAACACGCTTCGCTAAGATTCAGCACCATTCTGCTGGATTTTAGCTACAGCTTGGCCAAAAGGGACACGCTCCAGCATGAAGTACATCTGTTCCTGTTCATTGCAAGGCACCTGCTGACATGTTGAACTACGGTACGTTTCAGCAAGCGGAATCGGCAAGCATACCCCAGCATGCTGTTTCATGTCTGGTGAAAGTGACATCTTTGTTGGTCGTGTACAGGTCTGCGGCAGCCCCACCGCCAGCAGAGGCGACGGCCGCCGTCGGTCCACTCGCTGCGGGCAGGGCGCGATCTCACGCGCCGCCCGCTCAGCCCCGCTCCGCCCACACCTCGGTACACCCTCCTAGACACCCCTCATCAATCCTTGACGTCTGAAGAGCAGGGAGCTCTAATTAGATAAAGACCCTCCTGCTCCAGAGCACTCTTTTGCAATTCTCTGGTTATTAGCATCCGGTCGACCTGGACGAGGGGCACCCTTTTGAAGCACGAATCATGCTCTGCTGACTGTCAGGAGCTTTTGATTATTTTTGCTTCTGTGCAGGCGACGAGGACGAGGCTGCAGAGCGGCTCAGCCGACAGAGCGCTGCAGCCAAAACAGGCGCCGCAGTCTCGCCTGCCCAGACCCCCCACCAGCATTCACAGGACACCGGTGCGCGCCAATCACATACTGTGGTAGTCATTCTAAAACCGGCACCCCTGGCGGTACGGGAAGTTTTTCAAAGCAACCTTTAGGGGTCTTCCTGACATCGAATGTACCAGGGCCATGCTCCATTGGATTGGGCTTGTCGAGCGCTTTCCAAATCTGGTCTCGACTTCGTCATAGGTTTTATATTTCGGGAAATGGGTATTTATCCACCCTTTTTGGCCAAAGATAATCACTTATTGCGGGATTTGGGATGGCTACTACAGTAATCCCCTCCCTCAGTACTCTGCAGGGGACTCTAAACCAATTTGTTCCTTTAGAGTCCCCTGTACTCTGGCGACAGTGGTGCCTCATTGCCCGAGCCGGGCTTGCCATTTGCTCACACCTGCTATGCATGCTGTAATAGATACCTCACCTACAGGTCATTTGTTACCTAACGGCCGGAGAGCTACATGTATTTGCTGGTTTCCTGGCAGAGGCTGGTTCTTCATCCCGCCATTGTCTCCACAGATTGCTGCACAGGTGCATGAGGTGCATGACTGTCTGACATGAAATAGATAAGGGAAGTCTCTGAGTGTGTTTCTGTGTGCTGGGTGCCTGCAGACGCCCAAGAAGGGATCGATCGACTTCCAGAAGCTGCTGGAAGATGCTATGAATGTGGGAGACGCAGCAGCATTCGCAGGTCTGCAATTGCCCCCTATCTATTGCATAATCACAGTTGCTGCCGTTTGGCAATATCCAAGAAGATTGCAGGCAGGGCATGATATCATGCTGATTAAGGCCACTTGCTTCAGTAGTCATCATTTAATTTATATTGTTCATGGGCTCTTTCCATGCACAGCCACATTCCATGACATCAGTCCTTACCACCACCTGCTGTAGACAGTGCAAAATTGTCAACAAGTAAGCGCTGTGCGCAGAGGGGGGTCTCGGATATTGAGGGGTCCTGTGTACGGTATGACGGATATAGGGAGTGCATGAGGGTTTGGTCCTTGAGGTTCGATGAGATGTGAAGCAGCACTAGGATGCAGACTCTTGTAGGCCCTGCAGGCGTGGCTGCAGACGCCCTGCGTGTATACCATGTGGCCTTTGGCAGTGGCTTTGCCGACCTGCAACAAGAAGAATGAGCGCTGTGCACAGGCAAAGGCGGGCTGAAGAACTCGCCGTTGGACGCAAAGCCGGAGCCGGTGCGCAAGGCGCGGCCCACGGCAGAGCAGCGCCATTTCCAGGAGTACCGAGACTGCTGAGTCAGCAGTGCTGACTGGACGTCCACAGGCAATGACTTCGATTCAGATCTTGTGCAGCATGCGGTAGTGCTGCCTGGCTGCAAGCTGGAGTCCTGGTGGCGTAAGAGGACTGGAAGTTTTCTTCATTAAATTTCAGGAGCACTGATGGTCCAAAAGATACATATTTGTGCCAGTAAGAGAGTAGAATTAAGGATGAGGGGTGCAAGTGAGCATGCTGCCATGGTTGCGCAAGAGAGGGAACGGGGAATAGATGTCAGGTTCTTGAGGAAGCAGAAATGACAAAAGAGTGAGTAGAGCGAGAAACACATCTTGCTTGAATATTAGGGGTACCACCCTCCCTTTTAGCTGCCAGCACCGGGCAGGCGTCACACTGAACATTGGCATGCTGAATGCGGGGCGGAACATCTGAGATTGCTGACAGGTAGGACAAGGAACAGAATGTCTGCAGCTGCGATGGTGGTTTGCCGTCCCTGAGTGGGGGTTCAAAGAATGGATGTTTGCCGATTCAGATATGCGTGGGCAGCGCTGTCATATATTGACAGTTCAAAATTGCACGGGGCTGCACCCTGAGATCTTTTGGGTCAGCAGCAATAGCAAATTATACTTGCAGCCAGCAGTTGCAAATCATACTTGTGGCACAGGACCATGGCAATGATAAACACCAATGAACACATGGAGGATTCCAAGATGAATCTTGATGAACATGGGGTTAGTTCCTGTAGCATAGCTGCTCCTTTGCATGCATAGTGCCAAAAATAGCTCCTCCAGGCATGCACAGCAGGTGACGTGGGCAAATGATATTCATCCAGTGTCAGTCTTCATTCCGTCATCAACATCATTCCATTGTCTCAAATGCGATCTCTTGAGTTCGTACAACTGTGGATATTAAATTGCATTCACAAGGAAAGTGGAAAGCAACATTGGGAGCCCCAGGCCTTTAACGTGATGGGCATGCTAGTCTGTGACTCGGTGTGTCAAGGGATTGATCTGCTCCGGGTCCCCCATGTACTTAGAAAATCTTATTTGAGACCGTTCGGTGTAGATAATCAAGGACTGAGGAGGTCTAGACGACACTTTGACACCAGATCGTATGCAGCTACGTCTGTAACAACCTCTGCAAAGGACATCGTGGTTGTGGGAGGTGGATGGGCAGGTGCGAAGAATGGAAGATATTCATATGTTTTGATCGGCTCGACTGCCATCAAAATTTCTGCTTTCCATGGATCTCAGAAAACGACGGATCTTCAGGAGTTCAGGACCCAAAGTATCACACTTCGGTGTCAATGGATGGTGACATTGCGTTTTACATGCAATACGATGCAGTGGCGATGTAAAAATGGCTTGGACGCAGGTTTTGGAGCTGCGAAGCACCTGTCACAGCAAGGCTACAACGTCACACTTATAGATGCCTCTCCAAATCCTGGTGGCTTGTCAGCGGGCTGGCGCACGCCTCAGGGCAGAGCAGTGGAAGCTGGCATCAAGGGCTTCTGGTACCAGGTGACTGCTACACTGCCACTTACCTGCACAGTGCGTTCATGCATTTGCTCTTTACCCCCGGTGAAGCAATGTCCTCTACTGTAACTTATGTGTTGAACAGTAGCCATTTGTTGAAAAAAGCAGCAGATACAGGTCAATGCATCTGTGCTCTGAGAATACCCATGCATGTCTGGGGGTCAATACCAGTCAATCTCGCGAGCTGTGCTGGCGCATGCTCATCCTTGGCATATAATTTGCCATGTCATGCTGCTGATTGAGTAATCACGCAAGTGTTGCTGCCGCGCAGTACCACAACATATTCGCACTGCTAAGGGAGCTGGGGATCCCCTGGCCCTTGACTGACTGGACCACCAGCGGGTTCTGGTCCCCCCAGGGGCTCACCACCGAGGCGCCCGTGTTTTCGCGGCGGCCCCAGCTGCCCACCATGCTCGGCCAGTTCGTGCACACGCTGCCCCTGTTCAAGTGAGCCACTCTTTCAATATGTACGCTGAGAGCTGCGACCGATCCTCTTCTGAAGAACAAGTTCTGTGATGTGAGGCCTGCTTATGGTCAGGCACAGTGGCTGCCACAGAAGTGTACTTGAGGCTCAATGAGGGGTATCAATGATGGCAAAGTCATCTGAAGGCTCTCGTTGATATCCAACGCCTTGCCTTGACATCCGCCCTTAATGACAATCGCGAGCCTGACCATCTCCAGCCCGCCCCAAAAGCGCACCAGTGGACCCCACTGTTGGCAGCTGTTCTAGCTAGAGGATGACATTCTTTTGGTGCTCCCTGAACATTTTGGGCATACTTCATACCTGATGATTTAGGCGTCCTGCTTGCTTGCAGGCGGCTGTCTCTGGCGGACAGGGCCACTATGGTGCCTCTGCTGGCGGCTGTGGTCGATTTTGATGCCACCCCTGAGACCTACGCACGCTATGACAGCATGACTGCCCTGGAGCTCTTCCAAAAGTAGGTCACTCTCACTCATGTGCAGGACCCGATGCGCCCTCACTTGCAGGGTCCAGAAGGCGTGGAAATCCTCGGATGATTTTCATGTGCATCTTGATGCTCCCTCTGCAGGATACATGTCAGATCACTGTCTCAGCGCAAGCCATACCTTAATGTAGGAACTCTACCTGGGCTTGTTGCTGCCGTCCCTGTAGTCGAAGTGGTGCGCATACTTCAGCTATAGCATCCTGTATGTGTATCATGGCTATAGAGACCTAACATTTAAGTGTCACAGATGCGTCATTAGGATGAGGGATGGCTTCGTATTTTATTGTCATCACTGCGAAGAGAATTCAGAGTTAACCTTGCTTAGCCGATGCGGCCTTACCCATCGGTCGGCCGCATTCTTTCATTTTGCCCAGCTAGCACCTGATCAGCCGGGTGTTTCATTGCCAGGTTTGGCGTCAGCAAAGCCCTTTATGAGGAGTTCCTGCGGCCGCTACTGCTGGTGGGCCTGTTTGCGCCGGCTGAGGAGCTGTCGGCCGCCGCCGTCCTCGGCACTTTCTATTTCTACAGTGCGCCCTCCCCAAAGTCCGGCCAAGTTTTTGGAAGTGTCGGCTAGGGTCTTTGGTAGTGCTTGATACCAGAGGGCAGCATTGAGAGCTGCAATCAACAACTGCATTATGCCGGCAGACACCTGATGCCTGGCATAGTACTGCTTGCAAAGCTGCTCACCTTGCGTCAATCATGACCACAGACTCAACCTACTGCACCCCCCCCAGCTGATTGTTTTGAGCTTTTTTGGGACGACAAACTGTTTATGCAGCACAGCTGAGAAATATGTTTATGGCCTGCTTGCAGCGCTGGCGCACCAGAATGACTTTGATGTGTGCTGGGCCAAGGGGAGTGTCAGCGAGCTCATATTTGACCCCCTGGTAAGACACTTGTCTTGTCCATGCACACCATGCCCTCAGCATTCAAGGACAGCATGTCTGCTATCCCTGTACTGCACATGCATGGTTGCTTGCAGCGCTGTCCCTGATCAATCACCCATTGCCGCTTCCTGCATGCCCTTACATTGCTGTTGGTAGCGCAGCAATCCTGCAGTTGCCAAGGCTAGCTTTGGCCAGCACACTGAAGCCGGCATGTAGGCAGCAGAGACCTGCCGCTTGCTCTGCGCCTGACCATGATTTCAAATTCAATTCCAAAGGAAAGGTCGTTGCACACTACAGGTGCGGCGGATCGAGGCAGCGGGAGGGAACATTGTGGGAGGCAGACTGGTCTCGGGCCTCCAGCTGGACGAGCTGACGGGCGATGTGTCAGCGGTGCTGTCGCGCGACCGGGCAGGCGACGAGACCGTGCACCCCGCCGACGGCGTTGTCTTCGCCATAGGCATCTCAGGTGCGCAAGCCAGCTTGAATGCTCCGACATTCTGATCAATCACTGGGCAGCATGTATACCAGTGTAGATGCAGAATTGGGTAGATTTATATTTTATCTGCATACACAACTGCCCAAGCCCAGGCCTAGTCAGACTCAACTTCCAGTTCCATTGCCTCTGGAGGGGCAAATGCCCCTCTTCAATCATGTGCAGATGAGTCATAGACCACATCCTGCAGGCATGGGCTCATTTACTCGTTCAGTGGTCATGAGCTTTACTCTCCAAACCAGTCGACAGATCGGTTATCAAATACGCCTCGAAATAGGTCTCTTGCAATGTTCTGAACAGATCTGACGTGCATTTTTACTCCACTTGCATTTGTTTGCTTGGCAACAGCGGTGTCTGAGAACTATTCTGCGCAGGCATGCAGAAGCTGGTGGCGGGCTGCCCGGAGCTGGGCAGACGGGCAGAGTTCGCGCGCATCGCCAACCTGCGTTCAATCGACTGCATAGCGACGCGGATATGGTTTGACCGGCGGATTGCCACGCAGTTCCCCGCCAACGTGCTCTCCGGGTTTGAGGAGTGCACGGGTGGCACCTGGTTCAACCTGAATGACCTCCAGGTCAGGAGCTCAACTTTCTGCCAGCAGTTGTCTCCAGTCTCTGGCAGCACGCCTTGTAGAGTGGCATGTGCAGATTGGGGAATCTGCACGTTCAAATGTGTGGGGAGTGTGGCCCTGCTGAGGCAGCTGAATGTCATGGGAAACTACAGAGCTTTCTGGTCTCCATAGATCAGCAACCAAGACAACTCTGGACCTCCCGGCCTTCGCTGATATCTGCAGTTAGCGCCGCTACGTTTGAGCCTTCTTTGGAGCACTTGAACCTGCCGTTCATTGCTGAGACCCCGAAGAGTGCAGCAAACGCGCCTGACTAAGATATGTGCATGCCTTGCCAAAACCAGGATGAGTACAAGGGTGCATCGGGTGCAGTCATAGCAGCGGACTTCTACCACTCGAACGCGCTCATGCCTCTGAGCGACGAGGCAATAGTGGCGCGCGTGCAACGCAGCCTGGAGTCCTGCGAGCCGAGCTTTATCGGCGCCCAGGCATGCACCTGCTTGCTCTTGTTTGCCAAGCAATTGTGGGGTGGTGGATCCCCAAGGTGCACTTAAGAGAGGGTTGGAACAAGCTGTCATAACCACGCTTCACAGAATTTGTGTGACGTGGATGTACGGCTGGATTTCGCCTTCTTTGGACTGTCGCTTTGGGCGAAAGGCATTCAAAAATGCTGCAGTGACAATCGCTTGGTCTCGCCGTGATGCACATCCTCCAATGCTGGCTATACTGCGTTGCCGGTGATCACACCAGCTTGGTGACTAACTGTGTCTGTCACTATTATCAGTTATTGTGCCCTTCAGGACCAGCTGTTTTGAAAACCTGCTCATGCTACAAGATAGTACAAATGTAACTTTGCATGCTTCTGGCGCAGATCATAGACAGCGCGGTGCTGCGTTTCCCAAAGGCGGTGACGCATTTCAGCCCCGGCTCGTACGCGTCGCGTCCCCTGCAGACCACCTCTTTTGGCAACGTGTTCATGGCCGGTGACTGGGTCAAGGGCGTTCCCCACGGCGCCAACGGCCTCTCACAGGTGCGACAATTTCCTGAATCTACATCTTGTGTGAGTTTATTTTGTGTGACTAAGTCCGTGTGACTACAAAATTAACTGGATGTCGCAAAAAGGATCCATGCCAAGCTGCTTGGCACTGGGCCCTCCTTCTCATCTGCATCTTTTTATGCTTTGAGAGTCGGGAGTGCAGGCTGAATGTGCCACTTGCAAGCATGCGCGTTCGGGCATGCATTCATGCGGGAATTCCAGGGGCACTTTTGAATCGTGCAGTGAGTGACTCCACAAAGTTCCTGCACCTGATGTCCTGTTCAGAGGAGAGTGTCCGCATCACCACATGGATCCCATGACACAGCAATTTTATGGGCAGTCGGGTCTCCCAGGTCATTTTGTACAAATACAAGCAGGCTTCAACCTGCTGTTAGCTTCAAGGCTTGCCGCACACATCTGAGCAGGTTTGCAGTGCATCAGCGGCATTCAAATGGGGTCCTTTGCTGCTGCAGGAGCGAGCATATGTGACAGGGTTGAGGGCAGCGAATATGGTGGTAGACAAGTTGGGCTGGGGAGTGCACGCAGACATTCTGCCGGTAGAGCCAGATGAGCCCTACATCGCAGCCCTGAAGGGCGCCAACCGCGGCGTGAAATCTGTGCTGTCCGCTTCCGGCATCCGCAGCCCCTTTTTGTAAGGGTTGTGAGGGTGCAATTAGGTTTGACATGCAGCAAGGTGTCTCACTTGCTGGTCTGTGTGGTTGTCTCTATTCTTTTGTAGCATTAATGGCGTTCTGCTGTGGGTTTGAGATCATTTGGGACTCCTGTCTGGCAGTGGTGGCAGCAGGCTGGACGCCCTCGCAACATCGAAATTGGTGTGAGAGCCGAGTGATTGCATAAGGTGGAGATTCTTCACATCTGCAGAGCAGATGGGCACAGGCAGATCTGATGTTTTCTAGGTGAGCCTGTGCACGTTTTGAATGACTTGAGCTCTGTCTGCAGAAAAATAGGTGATGTGAGAGACATCGCAGTGTAGACACATGCAATTGAACACACGGGTATCTCAGTCCTGTGAATTGATTGCTAAATGGCACAATTCTCCACAACGGCAACGGAAAAGAAAATGGTACTTGAGTACAACAATGTATTGTGAACATTCGTTCCATAGCCGGATTAAGTTAAAAAGATCAGCCATACTTCTCATCCAATTGAACCTCTCACGCAATACAGATAGCCTCATGAGTAACATTCACGAGCACATTTAGGGCCCGCCTCTTTGGTGAAGCAGATGAAAGCAAAACACATGGCCGCCAGGTCCGTGTGGTCACTTGACGCAGCAGGAAAACTGGGGGGAAAAAAGAATCTGAACGCCCGCACTTGCATGCTTTCACAAATCACGCACAGATGTACCCAATCCGGTGGAAGTCATCACCCTGCCTCCAAGCAGGTGTGCCCCAGAGAAAGACATCAAGCACACAAGGAGAGCACTGTTTCCAGGAGACCACCTCAAAAGTCACCCCTACAGTCACCTGAAATAATGACACAGGACCTCTGTCCAGAGGCTCGAGCCTCCGTGGGGCACTTCAGAAGGCCCGAATAATCAAAGGTTCCTTCTCTGCAGGCATTGAGCCAATCATTTTTGCGCTATTGCAAGCACAAAATCAGAGACACCCCTGCAGATTGAAACATCCGCCAACCTAGTGCCCACGTCTTTGCAGCTCCAAAGAGCCCCTGGGCAAGGGCTCAACGAAAGCCCTTGCTGCATGTTTGAGGGTGCTAACATCATAAGATGCCCGATTGATATACTTTGGATGGACGCCGTGCCGCATGGAATTGTGAGGGGGGTCCACAGAGTTTTCATCACTCAAAAGGTCATGCGCTCGGCCTCCTCGCGGATGTTCTGGAACAGGACGCTGGACAGGTAGCGCTCGCCAAAGCTCGGCAGCACCTGCGCATCAGAGACAAAATCACCGGAAGCACCAGAGGCAAAGTCACACATGCCTGGCATCAGCCTTAACCTATTCTCAGCAATGTCTTTTTCTCTGGTCACAATTGCAAATGCCCAGGCTACGCACACATGCAGATACGCTTTGAAACACTTTGCTGTTGTTTGCGATGCACATCCCCGGGCTAAGAACACACATACAACACCAGGCAGGGGACAAGCACACAATCAATATAGTATGCCGAACAGCAAGAAGAAGGTGTCTAGAATGTCACATGCAATGCGCCTACACCGCAAGGCCTGCTGTTTAGCGCTTGCGCTGCCTTGGATGTCTTGCAACCCTCGGTCTGTTCACAACACAAGACAAGGCTCTGTTCTGCCTTCTTGGGGATTTGCACTGATTTGTATGCCCTGCATTTTCTATTGGTACAAAATGCAAGGCTCACCGTCACGATGAGCTTGCCGGCGTTCTCAGGCTTCTGCCCCTCGCGGATGGCGGCCACGGTCGCCGCGCCCGAAGAGATGCCGACCAGTAGACCCTCCTCCAAGGCCAGCCGCCGCGCCATCGCTATCGAATCATCGCTGCTCACCTGCGCGCAGGTGCATTTTTTAAAATCAAATTTGCAGGAATGGGGGGCAGATGGATTGCAGGTCCTAAAAGCAATACTTCTGAAGGGCATCTTAATGATCATATCACTGCATTTGTTGGCACCGGCCGGCACCGATTTGGCCGGCCAAGATGACATGTCCTGCATCATACAAGTCTTGGCTTGCATGTCTGGGCACAGGACACGCCCTCTTAACCAGCCACGCCATATAATCCATGAAATTAGCATGAGCTTGTTTTTCATTTTAAGTCAGTCATAGCTGCAAAGCAATTGTTTATTCCAAAGGGATTTTGTTTCGAGTGACTTGGACTAGGATTTCAACTAGGGGCTCTCAAGGAACTTGATCTAGAAGAATGCAAACACCTATAATTCTGTCCTTCAGTACTGCCACCAGAACATGGTGACATACATAATTCTCCTTTAAGACAGCGCTCCAGTACTGTGTTTTGGAATGTGCAGAGGGTTGCACAATAACACAAAGGTGCAAAAGCAAGTGACTAACCTGGATGACCTCGCTGATGATGCCGGTGTCGAGGTTGCCGGGGATGAAGCCGGCGCCGATGCCCTGGATCTTGTGGGCCCCTGGGGACCCCCCGGAGATGACTGGACTCTCCGCCGGCTCCACCGCCACAATCTGCACATGCACATGTCGTGCGGGTCATGGTCTGCATGAATGCAAAATCCATGAGGGATTGCTTGACAAGAAGACGCTCGACAACACATGCATTTGCTGACAACCTGTAGCAGAATCATCCCAACGCCTCAAGCAACATGTTCGGAAGGAATGTTAATGTGAGGTGAGGTGACAAGAAGCTATTAAAACAGTGCGGTCTCTGCAAGTGCATCTCACAACAACTGGTCTACAAGACAGGAGAGTTGAGATGTTTGTCCCGAATCCAGCTATCTTCCTGTGCCCGTATGTTACAGATGATGCTCAGAAGATGAAAGCGGCGCAAGCTCTTGTCATGCAGAGGATGAGCAGCATCTTGTCTCTCACCATCGCCAGCACCAGAGACAAAGAAACAACAGCTGTCGCTTCTCAAAGAGGATTCAGCGCGCACCTTGATGTTGGGGTTCTTTTCCCTGAGGTACCTGCCGGCGCCTGTGATGGTGCCTCCTGTGCCCACACCAGCCACCAACACATCCACCTGTGAATACACCCAATCACCCCCTCAGCACAGTGGACAAAGCAATGATATCCCAACCACCATCGACTAATCTGCCATCTCGGGTGTGCAAACATTGTCGATTGCTGTTTGTTACGCTGGGGCTCTGTGGCACCATAGCCCAAGATAAGCCACGCAACGCCCGCTCAATTTCTTCGACTGTCACATCAGAGAAGAGAGAGGATCCCGGCATGCTAGTCATGGGATGCGGTGCCCTAGCATGTGCAAGTAGCAACAAATTCCTGTCGAGAGAAGAGGGACAGTCACCTTGCCCTCGGTCGCGTCCCAGATCTCCGGCCCGGTGGTCTCGTAGTGGATTTTGGGGTTGTTGGGGTTCTCAAACTGCTGCAGGATGAACGAGTCCGGCGTCGCCGCCGCTATCTCCTCTGCCTTCTGAACCGCGCCCTTCATGCCTGGACAAGTGAATGATCCTACTCAAGACAGATCCTACACTTGCAAAAGCCCGTTTAGTGCTGTTCCTGCTCTGGGCTCTGCCGAATTTGCGCCCTCAAAGCTCTACTACATGCAAAGGCGTTACAGGGCCGCGGCAAAGCGATATACCCTTTAGCCAGGCACGGCACCACCTTTTCTTCTGGCCCTGTCACACAAAGATGAGCAACATGCAAGGGCACTGCGGGCCGCAGTACATAAAAAGGCCTGTATCGGCTCCGCTCTGCGCCCTTAAGCTCAGCTGCATGCAAGGGCCTTACAGGGCTGCAGAAAAATACCTGACTGTCTCCTCTCTTAGGAAAGAAAGGTCTGTTTGGAGAATGTGCAAAACATTTCACACGACAGTGAATTTCGGCAGCGCACCCTTGGCAGGGTCGGTGAGGATTAGTTCAGCGCCGAAAGCGCGGAGCAGGATGCGGCGCTCCAGGGACATGGAGGCCGGCATGGTTAGCACGAGCTTGTAGCCGCGCGCGGCCGCCATGAAGGCCAGGCCGATGCCGGTGTTGCCACTGGTGGGTTCCACGAGCGTGGTCTTGCCCGCCTGTATCTTGCCCTCCTCTTCCGCGCTGCGGATCATGCTCAGTCCGATCCTGCAATGGAATGAAATGTACTCCCAAATCAGCGCTGGTGTGTGGACATCTGCACACCGTGGTAAGATCGATCCTGGCAGGAGGGCAACGCAGCTCCACATAAACACGCTATCGACATTCACAATCTTTTGTGTCAGCAGAGGAAAACATGCAAATGCAGATCAGCGCCATCAGATTGCAGAGTAAGGGCTTGATGAAGGAACGAATGAGGGGCCCAACAAGGCCATGCTCTGTCTTGCTTGGCAGAGGCCTTTGACAGCGTGCAGCATCAGCGCCCAAATTCCTCATCACAGTGTGGCAACAACAAGGAGAGGCGAGTAGGAAAAAGGCTTCACCTGTCCTTCACAGACGAGCACGGCTCCATGATTTCCAGCTTGGCCGCAATCTTGGCATTCACTCCATCAGTCACCTTGTTGAGGTAAACCATGGGCGTGTTGCCTGCAAGTGCGAGAAGGCAACATAACTCAGTTACCGGATGCTTGCATGCAAGATAGGCACATAAACTACGTGGTGAGGCCGAGTGATGTGCAGGAAGGAGGAATGACAAAGCAGCCGTCACCTATAAGCTCGGAGACGTCCTTCGCGATGTTCAGCTGGGGTGGGGCGGCCACCTCGGCCACTGCTGTGCATCGGAGCGATCTCCTGTTCGCTGCCTTGCTGGCAACACGTCCCTGAAGACAGCCCAAAGGGTCATTCTCCAGGAATCACCCCTGAGCCGACCAGTCTTTGATGGGAGATAGTTTTTAAATAACATCGACGATTAGATAAAGATGTGGCATTCGCTGCGTTTAGACCGCCTCAATGTTGGGGAACCAAAAAATGATTTCGTGGCGACGCGATCTATGTTTCGGCGGTACATCCAGGACTGCAACCCAAGCGGACAGTATGTATAACAAATAAACCTTTGCAGAAATAGTCCTGGAACATGGAGAGATGCTCTGCATACCTTTTGTGCTGCAGTCACGCTCCTGAAGATGCGTGGGGTCACTTTGGGTGTGTCCAAGCACACAGGTACACGGACTGCAGAAGAAGTCTTAGCGTTCATCATGGTGCCCTGCATTGCGGATTAGATGCTTCGTTTGGCCAAAATTGAGCTTTTCCTTGAGATCTCTTCGAGCATGTGCCGTCTCGTGATCTAGTCAGAGGGCTTTCGGGGTAGTCTAACACTAGGGGATAAAGAGTACTTTCTACGTCTTTGCCCTTAAAAACCCTACCAATGCGTTGAGGCTTGCATGAAATCGCTCTAAACTGGATTCAGTACGTATTTGCCTAGGAAAGATCATTGCAGAAGTATTCTACGACTAGATCGAACGGCTTGCAGCAACTTCGCAGCCGTCCGTTGAAGGCAGCTGAACATCAGCACTTTGATCACTTGCTGTAGCTTTGCAGCAATCAAAGTTAGGAGAGTAAGCTAGCTACAATGGTGGCGCGTCAACGAATCACACAGGTATGATGCGCTGCGTGCGTCCTTTGTGACGGGCGATCTAAGTTGGGCTGGTTCACTGAACTATTTTCCAAGATTGACTCTCGTTTGGCTTGATCTTACAGGAATCCTTTGATGAAGCCGTCCAAGAAAACATCACAGAATTTGATATGACGGTGGGTACTCTAAGAAGCGCTGTGATTCTGCGGATCAGATGCAAATGTATCTATGCACGTTGTGATCACGACACTGCTCAAGCCTTTCTCCTGAGGTGCGATCGGTGTGCAGCCTGAAGAGGCGGTGAAGAGCGCTGTGGAGGAATTCGAGATGCAGGTGCGACAATCTCTTACAGGGCCATGCAGAACTTTGGTGGGAAGCATCACTACCTTGCAGAGATTGAACCTGCGTCTGTGCCTGCAGGGAGCTGACTTGACAGGTATTATCAAGTCTGCTGATGGCGGCAACATCGACAGGTTGGTCTTTCATCCAGCTACAAGCTGAATGCCTATCTACATATGCCGCGATTGGTCGCCCTCATATGCTTCTCAATGCATACAGCGCACGACTACATGAGCTCTGTGTTGTGTGTGCAGCCATCCTGCAACGCTGGCAGTGCAGCGTCTCACTGCAGCTGTGGGAGCAGCGTGTGATGCGGGGAGTGCTGAGCAGACGCAGTCAGAGACAGATGCTTGCCAGCAGCTGCTGCAGGTCCTGCGCTCCTCGGACAAGGAGACACGGGCCGAGGCTGTCACAGGTGCCGCTCACTGCTGCATCAGATTGATTCTGTGCATGCCTACTATTGTGACACACATGGCCTCATCAAGTGTGGAACCTGACGGTAATCCCTTTACAAGCCACAAAAGCCACAGTGCTCATGATTGTCCAGAAAGGCAATTTTCAATTAAGCCCACCCTGTCTTGGTATTAGACAACCTGGACTGAGGGGTAGAGCATTTGTGTCGCAGTTGCGGTCAAGGCGGGAGCAGTGCGGGCGCTGCTGAGCAGCCATGCAGTCACACAAGAGGCGGCCAGCGCCGGCCGAACCTGCCTGGCACTATCAGTGCTCCCGGTCCTGCTCATCAGCGACGGCGCCCAAGACGACTTCGCAGCGGCTGGTGGCGTCGAGACGCTTGCCGGCCTGCTAGACAGATGGACCGGTGTGCCCATCTTTGCATGCCTGTGCATTTGTAAAGTTGATGACCAGATGGCTGCCTGCCATAGAACATTACATGCAGGAAAGAATACTACAACTGGTGCAGGCAATGTTTTGAAAGGGGTGAAGGATTGAGCTGCATTGCATGCTTTGGAAGCTATGTGAACGGCCAAGGAAGCTGCTGAGGCGCTTGTGGGCAGGGGCAAATCTGAGGCCGGGCAGCGGTGACGTCATTGGCGCGGCGGCGGCCGCCATCGAGGCAGCAGCGGCAAAGCACGAGAACAGCAAGTGCGCGTTCGTCGATGCCGGGGTGCACACGCGGCTGATCGGCGCAGCGGTGGCAAGCAGGCCCCCCGGCGGTGGTGAAGGTGTGGGGGGACAGCACCCCCCGCCGCCGTCGGCGCTGGCCGCCATCTGCAATGCGCTGCGCAGCTTTGCCACTGCCGATGACCTGCGGCCATCCACATCCAGGTGATTAAACTTCAGGCCAGATCTAGACGCACAGTGATTCATTGTTTGATTTGTGAATCACTTGTATACTGTGACTCACATGTTCAGTCGTGACAATTGAATTTTAAGCCAAAGGTCCAGCATGGTCTTGAGAGCTGGGACTGAGCCCTGCAAGTTTCATGAGGTTTAACACATGTTCCACAGGAGGCACAAAGGAAGCTTATGTATAAAGACTTGAGGTATGATTTTTTAGAGCCATAATTTGAGGCATAGTTCTCAGAACTGACCCACATTACAGGGCGTTCCAGAACGGGCGCACAATCGCCAACGCTGGCGCGCTGGATGCAATGTACGGCATTCTGCAGAGGGAGAATGACTCAGACGCCGCGGCGTGGCACCCGGAGCTTGTGGCTGCGGTTTGCGGCGCCATGCGTCGCATAGCAGTCAACGACGACACCTGCACAGAATTCGCCGACTTGGGCGGCCTGGCCGCCACCATGCAGGTGCGAAATACCTATCTCCCCCATACAATGCACTGTTGGGAATGATCAAGGGTAGATGCTTGGAACATGGGGCCCCGTTGCCAGGGCACCTGATTGGAACACATCAGTCTGGAGACGCAAATGCGCCGAACAAGTGCTGTCAGTGGGGACTGTGTCACACTAGGGCTGCAAGCTGCAGCTGCAAGAAACGGCACGGCGTGTTTACTTCGGTGACACTGACCAGCTGTCAGAGCGAGCACACACACACTGCAGTGTCTGGGAACCTGAGAGTAATTTATTGCTATTCAGGCGGTGCGCAAGGGCATGGGGAGTGCGGCGGTGGCGCGCAGCGGATTTGGGCTGCTGCGCCAGCTGGCAAACAGCGACGCGATCAAGAACACCATCGTAGACCAGGACGGCCTCGAACTCATCAACACCGCCGTGGGCGCCCACATCGCATGCGCTGGTAAGCATCCACCTCGGGAGATACAAACAAAACACAACTATTGTGCAATAGCCCTCTTAATATGTGGCAACTCCAAAGGACTGGTGTGCCTATAAGCCGGAAAGATGTGCGGTTGTGACAACACCATTAGGAAGAGCCGGTCGCTGGTGCAGCCACTCATCACCAAAGAAGCAGCCATGGGGTCCAAGAGGCTGCCAATTTACAGCTTGTTGATTTTGGAGTTTCATCCTTCCGGCTGGCAGAGGCCAGTATATACCGAGCACCGCGCTCACGGTTGATTGGGTCTTGCTTGGATCTGGCGAGTCCAGCAAGGGGTATGCGGCCATAAAATGCAGCTTGTCTGGAGGACGTACCTTGCCTCTGGCAGGGACAGCAAAATAATAATAAGAATTGTAATCTTTAGGATGGCGAACCCAGAGCCCAGAGGACCATAGGGCATACACAGTTCCGTCTGCGGCCGGAAACCGGGGCCGATGCACAGGCTTGCAGCCTTGTCAACTCGCAAAGGAACCCTTGCAACCTACAGGTCTACAACCCCTTATTAGATGGAGTGTACGGTATATGTTATAATGATGTGCTAATTATGGGGAGCCACTGCATGCAGGCCCGCTGGAGCAAGCGCTGGGGCTGCTGGCGTCGCTGATGCTGCGAAACCCGGCGGTGGCCGAGCGCGCGGTGGCGGCCGGCTGCATCGACACCGCCCTGGACGCCATGCGCGCGGCCGAGGCGGCCGGCAACCGCGGCTTCGCCGACAGCGCCGTCGGCGCTCAGTGGGTGCAGCGGCAGGCGCGCAGCTCTCCTCCTCTCACATTTGCTCTTTGATTTTTGGACGGCCATTCCCTCGTATTGATGTAGGTTGTGCCAAATTTGAGAGTACCTGACACCATTGCAATGGACCGTCTGCCCAATTCAAGGTGTTATTTTTGCGTGGCGGTGCCTACAACGAGACAAATATGAGGGCGTGACGTCTAAATAGGAATCTCACTCTGTGACTTATGAAGAGCGATCTGGCCCTGCATAACTAGATTGGTATAGTATTAATCACTGGAGGACTGGTGCAGGCGTGCATGGCATTGCGCAACATGGTGGCACGCAACCCGGAGCTGCGGCCGGCCGTGCTGGAGAAGGGCGCAGAGCCGTTCCTGCGCCGCGCAAAGGTGGCTCACCCTGCCACCTGCGATGACGTCGGCGCGGCTGCCCTCCGCGACCTGGGATTTGACGACTACCTTGCATAAGCGCTTGGGCACCCTCCAGGGATGGCTTCGCCTGAGATCTTGGGAAGGGATCTGGATTCCAAAGCCAATCCTGAAGTTTCCGGGAGCTGTTCAGTGATGGTCAAGATGCTCAAAAACATGTGAACTCTCTTGTTGTCTTGGGATAAACGTCTGGGTTGTCTGCTGGTGCGATGTGTATCTGCCATGGCTTGTTGCCTTGCGTATCTAGTGGACAGAGCCTCCAACTCGGGCCTCGGATCTGACTCTACTGGGTCGATCTTGCAATATATCTTAAAAGTGTACCACGTGTAACCCTGATGCATTCTGAATGGCTTGTGCAAGTGTTTCGGACAGATGCTTCCGACCATATTCTCCAACCGACCTGCCCGAGACATGTCAAAGTGTGCAAGTACTGTCCGAAGCTAATGCTAGCAATCCTTCGGCAATCCTCTAGCTCAGCCGATCGATGCCTGGCTGCCTTTAGGGACTAGGGCGTGTGCAGATGAGTACATATAGTCCTAAAAATTGAGAATTGGCAACGAAAAATGTCATGATGCCCGAGTGGTTAAGGGGATGGACTTGAAATCCATTGCGGAGACGCGCGCAGGTTCAAATCCTGTTCATGACGTTTTTTTTTCTTCTTTGCTCTTTTCAACCACGTGGTCTCAATGCGTTCGTGATTATGGGGATGCCTCAGCTTCCCATGGGCTCCGAGGCCTGATCAACTCAGGATCATTGACTCAGACCTAGGTGGCACCGGAATGGTTCCCGTTCGGGTCCCGCTCATAACCCACAGCGCAAATCACGTCCCGTCCGAGGTGTTGAACGCATCCACGACCATGAACTCCACCACCTAATCGTCCATGTCCTTGGCCTACGCCTGCTCCATGTCCTTAAAAAACCCCAAGAGCGCGGTACTGTTTCAATCAATTGGGGTCGTGCCTCGTGCCATTAGTGATCAGCTTCACGAGCTCCTTCGCGAGGTCGGGTGTGTGCGGATTCGTTCGCGTGTGCGACCGCGATAATGCCCTTGATCACCTCGATGCTTGGGAACATACCACCCGATGCGGTCGCGTATGCGGCCATGGCCTCGCCCATGTTCATGAATAGCACCTCAAGCATGCCCGCAAACACCCGTACGGGGTCGACCATGGCATGTCCGTGACCAGGTCCGAGAGTATCATGTTGTCCATGGCCGGTATCTTGTATTTGGTCGATTCGGGGGTGTGAATGCGACACGAGGGCGGGTGCCCCACCAGGCACATGTTCGCGAACATGTTTGGGACCGCGGGCGGGTACCTTGTCCGGCCACGCCCAAGTTTGTGTCCTGGAGCACCTGCTAGTAAATGCCGTCGCGCACATGTGCTATGCATGAGGGGGCCTGAGGGCTGGATCTCGTTTTCTATCACGCTTGTGTCATCCTCGATGAACGCTGGCATCATGCTCGCGGCCATGATGGCCGCCATCACGCTCGCAGCCTTCTCTTGAACGATCACTCATATGCATATCATATCACAACTTATGTGCCAGTCACCGAGACTCAGTGACTGAGTAAGTTGTGATGCTTTCTAGCATGACATGCATGGTACCTCGGGCGCAACATCTAGGATTGCATTCTTATGTAAGCCCATCTCAACATATGATTGATTCAGTCTTCAGCACTGATGTTCGACAGAACATTGTAAATCATGAAAATGTCACTTCTACCTCCCACATTTCAGGAATGTCAATCCTCAATCTATACTGCAAGCGCCATTTTCATGGCGTGATGATCAAGTTGCTTGGCAGAGAAAAGCTCCTGAGTAGTGGTGGCGCCACAAACAGTAGACAATGCAGCAGTACACATGAGGAGGATCAATTTCAAGACCCTGCTGACTCGGTCCTACTCTACAAGGTTCCCCTCACAACTTGGCTCTTCAAAGTTTCAATAGATAGTTCTTATTCTGAGTTCAGGCAAACACCCTGAGAGACACATACAGGAGCAGGCTGAGATAGTGTGCGTTTGCCTGACCTGGGGTGGGGCTGTCAATGACAGATCCAGATCATGCAGCAGGGCTCAGTGAGCGCCTGTCTAGGCCGCACACATACAGTTCTCAGGCACTCTAAGAATATATATTCCACATACACACAACCACATCTGACAAGGGCCTGTCAAGCAAAATTTTTGCTGTTCTGCCAACTCTTAACAGGATTCCCTTCACTGCTGTTTTCAGCTGTTTTAAGAGGGTTGTCGTAGCACCAAGCTGTATCTGTCTCCCCCTTCCTTTGTGAGAAGCACAGAAACATTGTTCGCCCTTTAAAACAGGTGCGCTTTCCTGTCACAAGCTCCCTTGGGCAGGACAGAATCAGCAGGTCAGCAAGGATGGAAGAAGGCTTCGAATGGTGCTATCAACACCGAATCCTCTTCCCTGACTTCTTAGCTGCCTGAAAGCTGGACTTTGCCTCCCTTATTTGTGGCGCAGATCTGTGATTTTTTCTGCAGTCTCACTCGCTGTTTGTGGCTGAGAGCGCGCTGAGTCATCACTCGGTGATGACTCAGCAACCCTCACAATCTCCAACCTTGAGGCTGCTCTTCTTCAGAGATAAACGCTGCTGCGCCTTCCGCTAGAGTGCTGCATTTTTCAGCACCACTCAGCGCTTCAGCGGCGGCAGCAGCAGCAGCAGCAGATGAGCGTGCAGAAGAGGATGAGCGCCAGAATGACGACCACCACAATGATGGCAATGGCCACCCCGCTTAGTGTCTTGCCGGCCACTGTGAGGCACAGCTTGCCGCTGTAGTCGCGAGTCTTCACCTGCGCAACAGGAACATGATCCCATTTCAGCATACCATGTCTGGAAGCCACCAGATGGACGTTTCACTGTCTACTGTGATTGCTTGTGAGTGGCACTGCATGGTACACTATCAGCCTTTGTCCTAATTTCACCACTCTCTCCCAAACGCTGATGCCAAGCCGCGTGCTACACATTCCTTCTGTCTTTGCTCTTGCATCCATCCAATTCCCATGGACATTGTAAAAGATTTGCAATGCTCATGCCCACCTGTCCATTCTACAAGGTATCACGTAACAGATCACATTGCTCCGTTTGAGCCTCTGGGGAAATCCATATCATTAGATTTGTTGCTAGGAAATGATTGAGTTTGAGCACTCACATTGATGACTGCTCTGGCTGGCAGAATGCAGTCGTTCTTTATGTACACGAAAGCCTTGACGCTGTTTGCGCACACATTGCCGCTGTCAAAATTCTGGCCGGCTGTCAGATTCGCCGCTGTCAAGAGCGCATCCGAGGGGCCTGCAACGAAGGCATTATTATTACTATATTATTACCCACACGTTGTCCAGTCTCAGGACCAGGTAGAACAATTGTATTATTGCTTTCTGCTGTTCTCCGTTCTTGCAAAAAGGAATATGCCCAAAATAATTTGCCAAATCTGCTTCAGCAAGTGCACCAGAATTTACTAGTCTGTAATGGGATGTTCTTCAGGGGTTTGGCGGAAGGTTTCAGCTTTGCTAGCAAAATCGCTGTCCCCATCATTACCGGTGAGAAGCTTGTGCAAAAACGAGATTATGGTGAGCTGGCAGCAAGTTAGGGATATGTGCAGCGCACCGTTCTTGAACACTGACTGGCAGATTTGTGCCCCATTGTCGTGTGCTTCATCGCACAGGGGCAGCTGAATGCTTCCCAGTCCCAGCTCGTTGTCCCTCTTGTTGATGCAGGCGTCCTGGACGTACAGCTTTGACACACTGCAAGCAAACAGCACTCAGCTCATATCAACCGCCTGTACTTTTTTATTCTTCTTTTTACTCTGGTTTTGAGGAGGCATTTCTGATTGCTGCAATTGAGCTGCAGTCCCTGCAAGTGTCACATGCGCAAGAGAATCCAATAGAATATCTTGCTGCATCGTTTCTGCACAGCAGCCCCCACGCAGCCCATCAGGCTTTGGTCTTGTCATCAGACGTGCAACACAGCTGCGTAGCCCAGCGTGCGACCTTGAAGGCTTTGCATTGAAAAAACGTGCTGATTTAATAACAAGTAGATTCCATATAATAAGCTTATGCATGTCCGGATAATCGGAGCGCTAATACGAGGTCCCATCAACGACGCCCCGTGTGTCTGACGAAGGGCGGACCTGATGTTCTGGGGACCGCAGATGCCAATCATCGCCACGAGGTCGACGTCATAGCTGTATTTGTGAGGCAAGTTGTCCACCTCGAACGCCGTGCAGGCGCCCGCTTGCAAGTCAAGCGCGATGTCAGAATTGGCCTCAAATGCCGATCCGCTGCTGAGCAGAGTGAGGGCGATGGCCCCAAGCATGAAATATCGCATCGTAGCTGCTGAATTCCTCATTGTGTGTCTCGCCTTGTTTATATTGTTGAAAGATCGCTAAGATCAGGACGTGCTTCCGACAGGTGGGAACTTCCGATAAAAAGTTCGACGGCAGGCATCTAATAAAGTGTTTTCTCGGAGTTTTGAGAGACCAGCATTGAAAGGTCTTGACCACATCACCTGCGTGCCAGCAATGTAAGCAGAGTGCCCGGCTATGACAAACGTGCAAAGGTCTGCTGTATACTGGTAGGCCTGATAAAGCATGCAACGTAGGCTTAGCACGTGCACATGAATGCACATTAGTATTAGCTCGGTTGTGCGCATGCAACGTCGACTGGGAGGCGAGAGGCGGTGCAAAGGGGATGACAATACTGTCTTTACTAAGTAGGCCTATCTAGTAACTAGAGTCGGACTTTCTAACAGAATTCGAATGGAATGTGTGGCACAGACAGAAGAAATGCACTGCTAACGAAGTATTGGGCTGATCAGTGCTGGACTAGTCAACGCAGCACAACGCTTGACTTTCAGGTGAGCTTGCGAGTCCTGGAGTCAGTCAGTCTTGGCGAAAGCTGTACATACTCTGCAAGCCAAGCGGGTCTGCAACAAGTCAACCTTCAATTTGCCAGCTGCATCAGCACTCCAAGCAAAGATGGCAACCCCAGTGACTTAAAAGAATATTCTACATGATGTCCGGAAACATATGGTACGCACAAGAAGGCCTACGGGCCAAATAGTAGAGGACATCAGCGTCAAAGAATTCATGTGTGTCTCAAACCCTGTACAGTCACTTCAGGCCAACAGTGCACTGCCTTTCAAACAGCCCCACCTGGCATTTATAATCTAGTTCGAAACTGCAAGAGGCTCCAAATGCTCCAAAGTGGCATCTTCTCCCCAACTCCTCCACTCCAGCTTGCTCTCCAAGAAAAGTCGCAGTCTGACAAATACAGATGCTCAAGAGCTGCTCCACACACCCCACACGCCAAGTCCTCACAGGGGTGAAGGCCTCATCATCAAACACACCCTTAAAAATCCTGTCATGCATTCTAAAAAGCCCTGGCGCTCCTCCGATCATTCTGAGCAGCAATTTGATTGCGACGTTCAGCACGTCCTGGCTTTGCGATGGTCTGCTGTGTAGCGCAATTCACCAATGCACTCTGTCTACACCGCGAGGGAGCCCTTCCTCCCTTCTTGGGGCTCGCACTGCCCTCTATGTCTTGTTATCTGCCCTCGATCAATTAAAGCTAGCATCCATTCTCAGGCCCCTTTGCGCCGGCCGAGCTTCTTCTGCAGGATTGGGAGCCACTGGGCGGAGTTGTAGGTGAGCAGCCCAGAGAGCATGATCCCAGTGCCCAGCACGAACTTGGGGCCCAGCGGCGGTGAGGGGTCCAGCAGAGGCCAGGGGAAGGTGAAGGCCCAGATGGTGAGCGGGATGACCGTCTGCATGCTCAGCGACTGCACCACGTTGCCTGGACATGCGCACGCTTACTCAGCATTACTGCGCGTTAGTCAGGATCCGGCTGGGTACCCTGAAGTGCCCTCATGTCGCCACTTCGGCAAGTTGGAGTCACGAGTCAAAAGAAGGTATACGCAGACCTAGGTTTATATAGGCCAGAAACTTCATATGTGCGGTGTTTGTAAGTGCACGACTTCCATGCCTTGATAAAGTGAACTACTTTCTCAAGACAGAAACCTACAAGTCCAGATACCACGCATATCAATTTACCTAAAGGAATTGGACCTTAATCGCTGCGTGCTGCTTCATGTGCCTGAGGCACCGCTTTGAAGAATATAAGGACAGGGCTGTCACCTGCTTGGCGCAGCAGGGCGAGCAGGGAGATGTTGAGACCCAAATTGCATGCGACATAAGCTGTTGCAATCAGTGGCGCCCGACTACAGTCTCCCGCACAATCCGGGGTTATGCCCCTTAGGCACTGGAAACCTGCGGGGAGCACATACATCTAGACATCATCCGCATGTTTCTGCAGATCCTGCTCCAACAATCTTAAACAGCCCTGCAACAACTCCTCAGGCCACATTGATTCTACTGTGAATGTCATCGAATGAAATGAGTCCAACATGTGCGGCACTTGGCAGCTCTTCCCCTAAATATTCAAATAAACAAAAAAATTTGTCTGAAAGTAATTGTAATATGGCCGCCCACCCTAGATGAGCGCCTGAGAGGGACATCAATTCTATTGCCTCTCCAATTCGAGCTGCAGAAATAGGGCCTAGAGATCTTAAACAAACACCAAATTCACAGAGAGATGACGAGTAGACACTACAAATGTTCTTCAAGCAAGTGCCCAAGTAGGGAACATTCTAGTTCCGAGATGGGGACACTTATAAGGAACAGTACCTTCTGTGAGGTATTGGGGCAATTCTCCAGGGTTGATGCCTCGCAGGGCTGCCAAACCAGGCAGCAGCAGGAACACAAATGCCGCTTGCGCCGCCGACCCGAAAGAATTAACCTGCCAAACACACCCATATTCAGTGATAGTGCAACAATCTTGCTGGAATTATCAGTGATCTGCATGTGGATGCCACTGAGGGGCGGAAAACATGGTATTGAGGATGGGAGTATCAGCATGAATGAAGGGTACGCGATTCTGCCAGATCCTGATTTCCTGCTGTGGAAGCAGAAGCATGGCAATTCACTCGCAAGGCCATGCATCAGCCTTCACAGCAAAAAGACAGGATCCGGCAGAAGCATTGGCCATTGGCCAACCTGAATGCCCCCACACGACTGGCACATCTGACATAACAAGCAACCAAGGAGCAATTTGTTGCGATTCAAAGCCTTGCTGACTCGCTTATGTGTCCTCACCACAAAAATGTCCAGCTGCTTGCCTCCCAGCTTCTGCTTGGCATCGTTGAAGATCTTCTCCTTGAAGATGGTGGCCAGCGCTGGGAAGAGCATTGACGCCACGTAGACAGCCGCATACACAGGGCTGATCTGCCACATCCACACAGCATCTTGTCAGCAGCGATGTCATGCTCTTTCATATCTGCACCCTCACCGATATGGCGATCACATCGTGTGATCACCCATGCATATCACCCCGCAAAAGTCAGGCTGTCACAGCCCGAGGTGCACCAACGAAACACCATTTGACACAACCCTGTCCAACTGATATATGCTGCCTCTTTGATCCGCATTGCCTGTTCTTCATCAGTACCCTGCAGAGGGGAAATCCAGGCAAGTGAACACACGCTGACAAGGAGGTCCTGTCACCTGAGAAAAGACAGAGGAGCTGCCTTCGCTGGGCCATGCAGCAGTGAGCACGCCTGCAATCACTATCCCCGCCCCCGCGATCTGCACATCACATGACACAACACTCACATACCCTCTTCTTCAAGTCCCCCTGTACCTTTCTGGACCCCTCATCACTGCCCCATCTCAACTGGTTGCAGTGATCCTTTCCCCTCTGCATACAGTAGTGTGATGATAGCGTGCAAGGTGAGCATTCACTGGCATTGGGTATCAGCAAATTATGGTTCCTGTCAAGCATGTCATGAGATACTGAGGGCTGGGCTGCACCTGTTTGGCATCCAAGCGCTTGTTCAAAATCAGGTAAGCCAGCAAGACCTGCCACACTAACAGCGTCTGCTGTAGCAGAGGCAGCACAACACCTGCACACATATGGTGAGCATGATTTTGCGTGCCTTTGGTTCATTGGATGCCCTCAAGCTGCGGTAATCAACCTGATGCACAGTGCATATCTGCGCATGATTTGTTGTGGCTTGCAAGATCTGAATTTGGCGAATAACTATAATAGAGCAAAGGCGCTGTGAATGAAGGGCAGGACAGTACCCGGGAGCTTGGCAGCACCAATGAATCCCAGCAGCTGAGACACTGCTTCCAGGCCACCAATCCACAAGAAGAGCTTCTTGTTGGGGGCGTTTAGCATGTCCTTGGTGACTATGCCTGATCTGTACCACAGCACATACCTCAGTCTTACATTAAGCACTTGCATCTCCCATCAGTAAAACATCAATCACACAGAGCATGAGCAACGAATTGCTGAGAGCTGAAACAGCTATTGGAGACTTTTTGTATGAAGGCAGCAAGCACCTGTAGCGTATGAGCAGTGCTGTGAAATACACCAGCACGTAGCTGCGTAGGCACATGGAAAAGACTCAGTACCCTTCCCAAGAGAGCCTTCGCTACCTCTCACTTTCCATTCCCGGCATTGCTGGATCGCATGAATATTATACAAAAGTCTCTTGCTAAGCTTTGAGTGGCCATACTCGTCTGGCTTCTAGAATGCGCACCTGAATGTTTGGAACTGGGCCAGAAAGAATATGTAGTCACCAAGAGGCACAAGAGCCATCTTGTAGAGAATGCGATTAAATACGCCAAACGTCATCACCACTGCTACCAGTCCCTGGTCAGCAAGAGGCAGCTGGCATTCATATGAGCAGTACAACACTTGACTGCGCATGCATCCAATGCATGCCTCCAAGACCAACAACAGTCGCCAGGTGCAAGGCAGGTGCTTTGCACTGTTCGAAAACGCTCACCAGACTTTTGAAGTCGATGCTTGGACTGGAATCCTCCTTGACATCGTCCACAGAGGATGTGGCTGGTGCGTTGTGATGATCGGCATCATCAACCGAGGAGCTTGGACTTGCATGTATTCTGTAGCTCCTGGGCAAGCGCCTGGCAGGGCCGCTGCAGCCGCTGGCAAAACTGCTGTCTGATGCGGAAAAGCCCTGAAGCACAGAAGATGAGCACATGCATTGGGAATATCGTGAGAATTCATACAGCAAATAGCATGGTAACTTCCGGACAGATCCCGTAAGGTGAAATTCGCAGCATGATCTGTCTGGAAGCTTGAGATCGCAGGTGAAATACAGCATGTGGATAAAAAAAAGTTTCACAGATACCGGTGGCCTCGCTGTCCTTCCGTGCAGCTCTGTGCTTGTGGCACGGCATGCCAGTAGATGTTTCCGCTGCTGTGACGTCTTCAACGACGTAAACGTCTGTGGTCTGCATCCCGAGTAGGAAAATGCTCTATTTGCAGTAGACAGGGCTTCAAATGGGGATGAAATGCTCTGACGTTGCACAACTGCCCTTCTGACAATCAGACCAGAACATCTGGTTGGTAAAAGACAAGCAGGGATCATCGTGCCGTGAATCCAATATCAAAAGCAAGTCCTTCAGTGCAAGGTTTTTCTCCGACCGGTGCCCAGATCGCAATTTTAGGCGCACCAAAAAGTGACATCAAGCACTTGTCAGCACGTGATATCACGTGCTGAATTGCTCCCAAACAGATTATCCTCTGCTGCCCGTCCTGTGGCTACTTGCAAAACATTAAGTATATAGAACGATCTCTATTCTGGCAGACTCCATTTCGGTTGTTGAGTGGTGCTCGTAGACTTCAGAGAGGCAAGTGCATCTGGCCGTTGCAGAGAACTCTTTTTTTTAGTAAGATTGCCGGCTCGATAATTGATTGAGTAGATGATACACGCTATTTTGGCCCGCACGATCAGAATATACCCGATCCAGATCCCAGTCTGCTCTGATTTGGAATGCAGTATCATCAACTAAGCATCACCTCGTCAGGAAGGGCTTGTTGATAAATCTGCGTAAATCGGAAAGAGGGAGTGGAAAAGGCTTCAAAGAAGGCTACTTGCCAGGGGAAGATGACATGGCTGGCCTGTTGGGGAGCCACCGAGGAGCAGGCACCAGTGCAGAACGCATCCCCTCAGTCCGGATCCTGATCGTGGGCAACGCAGGTATAAACCCGCAGGAAGCAAGTAACGGACCTATGATAGCATTCATGTCAGGCCTCAGGTGCGAGCTGAGCATTCATCAAGAGAGATTACGCAGCACCAAGCCTCACAGACTGCAGATGACCATCAATTATTTCAGGAAAATGATGGTTGAAGTGTTGGCTGTCCAGTGTGAATGAGAATGCGTGTCATGCTGCGGTGCAGGCGCCGGCAAGACATGCATAGCGCACCTCATGGCAACCGGCTCCCCGGCTAAAGGCGTGCGCCAGACTGTCGGCTGCAGCACAAGTGTCGTGCTTGTGGAGCCTGCAGACAGTGGCGGCCTGAGCGATGCGCGGCAGCGGCCGATTTTCATAGAGCTCTGGGACATTGGTGGGTGCCCCATTCCCTGGGCGCTGATCCTCACAGATGCACGAATGTCGACTGTGTATTTTATCATGCAGGTCAGGACAAGAATGTTGATCAGAAGGTTGAGGACCATGCATGAATGTGCAGCTCGGTAATCCGAGGTGATGAATCAGCAAGGGTGTGGTCAGATAAGAGATGTGCTGGGTGCTGCGCAGGTGCACATGAGCGGTATAAGACGCTGCGCAGCAGCTTCTACGCTGACATTAGCGGCGTCATCATAGTCACTGACTCAGCCTCCAGCAGGTGCCATACCCATGCATCTTCTTGCCTCCTCGCACTCGACCTCTACCTTGCTCCCACCAAAACTACTAGCGACAGAGATTGCCTGTCAACCTGGACCCAATCTCGTCTGAATGATTTGTGAAAAACGATACTCACAGAGGACTTCCTGCAAGGATAGAGAAACATATCATAATTTGCAGCGAAGGGATCACAATAGTCACAGCATGTGAGTATTACAAATACCCGTCCTCTGATTGCATTGGTGGTGCCATGATCAGGTCGCAGGCGAGCGTGCGCAAGTGGGCGGCTGAGGTGGCGGCCAAGGGGCGCTTTGTGGCGCCCATGCCGCCAGATCAGGCGGCGGCCAATCCAGGCTCGCTGCCTGTGCCCTGCCTTGTCATCAATAACAAGGCTGACCTGCGCGGTGCGCCCCTCGCTTTGTCTATACGTCTTGGACGCAGAGTGATGCTTGTTCTGTACTATTCTCTGGGCATGAAGGCACATTCACTCATCCACACATGTACGTGCGTGCTCCATTCTACACTGTGGTGTGCTGCTACTGTTCTAACTGCAGGAGTAGGTCTAAAATCTGACGGTCTTGATCGGGCGCAGGAATGGGGATGAGGCGAGGCGTCTGGCTGAGTGGGTGGTCCAGAGGGTTCCTGGTCTGGCTTGAAACGATCATGCGGCAGTTCAAATTCAGGTGAGAATCTCATTAGGATTGATTTGCATGCTCTTGTGACGATTCCCTCAGCCAAGAAATAATCTGCTGCTGGCGATGGCTTACGAATGATATGCTGCTGGGCGCAGGAGAAAGCTCAAGACACTGCTGCGGCCGGCATCGAGCAGTGGTCTCTCAGACGAAAGGCTGGCAGTAACCGTCATCAGCGCTTCAGCTGCGCAGGTGATGCGATCCCTTGCTTGTTGGGGTTGCTGCTCACTTGCCACCTCGCTTCATCGGTTTCAGGCCCTATTCAGGGCCTTTCCACCTCTCTTGGTGCTTCTCACAAATCAGCGCTGCATATTGTGGCGGAATCTCTGTCGGAATGGAAAGCAAGGCGGTTTTTTAGACATTGTCCGCACCTTGGGACTGCTGATCTGCATGCTTCTATTTCATGCGCGAATGGGAGCATCATCAATAGCCTGATTTTTCAGGGCTTTAATTTCGTACTCAACTTGGCAGCGCATCAATATATGGTGCATATTTCGACAGGGCATCATTGACGAGGCGGCCGTGGACGGCTTCTTCGCGGAGTGCATCGCGCGGCGGCTCAACCCCGGGGCGGCCGGCGCGGGGGCGGCCGCCGCGAAATTCGTGCGCCGGCCGACCAGCGGCGGTGCCGGCGGCGGCGGTGGGTCTGACTTTCAGAGCGCGCGCAAAAGGCCGCCCATCGCGCACTCTCCCTACTCGGCTGACGGGCCGCCGCCACCGGCGTATTCCCCCTCTCCCACACCGGTGAGTACGTAACTGTCATGTAACAAATTGCCCCACACATTTTGCCCCACATAGAGCTCGTCCGAGGCCTAAGGGTCCAGAGAAGTACTATATTCCTCCTTTCTTGCTGCACTAATATCCTACCCTGCTGGAGTATGTGATTAAATTCTGCAATACTAGTGATACTTCGGCTAGTACTCTTGCTTCTTGTTTCTCAAACTGCGCAGAGTGTCTGGGCAATTCTTTATCTGCAAGTAAGGTTCTGGGTGCAAGTACAGTAGTGCATCTGCCATGTTTCTGGCTTGTGAGACTCATACCAGATCATGTGGACTGGGGACTTGAAAAGAGAACAGTAGGCTGTTTCTTTATACGAGAGTGCAAGGTACAATTTGCGAACACAAATTCATTGGACCTCTGTTGGACAGGCAGGCAAGCAAGAGTGCACATGACATCCAATTGTTTGTGCAGCAGCTGCCAAATGGAGGCCCTCACAGCGCCAGTTCTTGGGGCGGGTTCAGCCGGACTACTTCATTCCACAGCACCATGTCTTCCACTGGCGACTATGGCTGGGCAGGAGACCATGGTCACAGCGCGGTGGACGACTCGGACGACCTGGTTTGATGGCAAATTGCATTTGAGCAGCTGAGTACACGTCAATAACACATGGAAGAGATTGTTGCATCTTCTGCAAATGAGGGCAGATCAACACATCTGTAGATTCATGCAAAGGGGCTGCGCTTGACTACAAGCAGTACCTGTTGCGGACAGTACCATGTGGCTTTGACTCTGCTGCGGCCGGGTGGATCCGGGATTACTTGAATTGATCCAGCGCTAGTTCCGAGTGACTCCAAGGAGGGTGTCAGAGGTTGCTTCCCAGCAAAGCACACAAGCGCTTTAATTAAAGATGTGAATGATTGCCAGAGTGTGCTATATTCCTTGTAAATTCCTTTGGTTGCTACAAATGTATACTGTGCTGTTGCAAAGTAGCTACCTTGCATGCATGCAGCCATGGCTGCTGTACTGCAGATACTGGTGCAACGGCTGGCGAAGATGAGATTGTACTGTCCTCGTGCATCCCAATCCTACCAGGCAGCATCACTGCAACGAGCTGGTCAATCTATACTAAAACACAGCACAGATCCTATGGAGCTGCACGTTGAGGGCGGACACTGAAGTAAATTTCTTTGGTTAGCTATTTTATTAGGGGATCCTCCAAGGTGCCAGAATATCACCCTTGAGCCTTGCGCATTGTATATCAGCCGCAACACCTGTCCCATTCGAAACTCTGTAAGGGCAGCCTTGCTCGCAGTAGTATAAAGAGATACTTCAGCTGCAGGGGTCATTGGTTTGTCAGGTCGCAGCATGTAATGCTTCTCCACCGAGGTTGGGGCACGCATTTGCCTGGAAACAAAAGCTGTGCGGGGCTGCAGAGCGCCTGAATATACCTCCATTCCATCCAGGGTGCATCCCCATCTTATTTGTTACAGCACGCCACAAAAACCCATGCTTTCACAGGTGCAGATGTGCCAGGAGAGCACCCTCCACTCTGGCAGTCTGCTGCATGTGTGACCAGCCATCATTGCTGCGCTCAGCATGCAGAATGTCATGAAGCAGAAGCGTAAGCAAACCCTCTGCACTATCTAATAAGCGTCATGTTCAATCAGCCTCCACACGTTGCAACTGCCATTGAAAGTGGTTGCAGACATGTTCACCATATATCCAGCATGCGCCAGATAGGTATTGTTCAACCACCTGTTGACATCATGCCATTGCACGGCTACTGTTTGCATGTCAGCTGCTGCAATCGCTGTATCTGCGCTTAGCAAAAGGCACGCTGCATGCGGGCCAGCATCGGGCCGCCCACAAGGCGTGGCACACGCAGCGTGCGTGCGAACCAGCCCTTGCATGGCTGCCCCATGTATCGGTGCCGGGAGCCAAGCGCTTGCTGGACAAGGTGTCTGGCACCTGCACTGTGCTCCGCCATGCGCGCAGCAGGCTGCACTGCAGACCGAGAAACCCTCAACGTGTCCCGCGCCTGCCTGAGGTGGACGATCTTCACCACGTCCGGCTGGTCCACATACTGCACCAAGACACGCTCGAGCTCCAGCTCAATTAACACGTTGACGAAAATCACCTGACAAAAACCACACAAGGCTCAGTCGCCCACCCAATTGCAGGCTTGGCTGAATGCCATTGTACCATCATAGCATGCTACTTGGCAATGCATGTGAGATGACAGCCACAGATGCAATTAGAGACGGAATCTTGAAACATATCAGTTAATGGATCCATACATATGATCCATACACCGATCGGACCTTGACGTGTCAGCAGCAATAAGCAGTATAATTGCTGACAAGCATACAGCAGTAGCCACCATTGCATACCTTGTCAGGCTGCTTGTCTGGCCACTTGGCGAATCCTTGCATTGCCCGCTGGAGCTCTTCGTCGGTCTCCGCCTTGAAAGGTGGCAGTGGCACCTTCCTGGGGCGTCCAACTCGCCGCTTGGGGCGCTGCAGATTGACAGCAAAAACTTGACAGCTGTGCTGCTCGTGATATTTCGCACAGCGCTCTGCGTGCTCCCTCAATGATGCAGCTGAGCCTGCTGAGCTGAGCTCGAAGCCAGTGCTGAGAGGGCCGTTGCCAACAAAAATGTCCAGCCTCCTCAGCATATCATCCTTGGTTGCACCAGCATAGTCGCTGCCGCTGTTGCGCTCTGACAGGGCTTCCTGGCCAGGGCTGCTCGCTGACACGGCTATGCCAGCACTTGTGCTGTCCTGGCTGCCTGCAAGTGTGTCGCTGGCCATGCTTGGGCTGCTGCTGCTGGCAATTGAGGCTTCATACCTTATATTCCGCACTTCCACAGCACGCTTCAGCCGCAGGGCATGGAACAAGACAGCGCTGCCAAGCACAAGGTGCAGGCCCCGGCTGAACTCATGCTGCAATGCCCATTCTAGGATCTGCTGTCCATCGGCTGTCTTGACGTTCTCTTGCTGCAGTCTGCTGCCGTGAAACTGGCTCAGCGCATGTAGCAGGAGGTACTCTCCTAATTCCCTGCTCGACAACGCAACAAAGGGATAAAGATTCTGAAAATGCAACACTAAGCCTTACTCTAAAGCCAAATGTAAGACCGGTATGCAAGGTGAACAGATGAATGGCTTGTCATAAAGCACCACGAGGAGGCAACTCCTGCCTAACCAGGGATTAGGTGCAAGTATACGGAGGTCGCAGGTATACCGTGCAGATGGCTCTGTTGGCGGCGCTGGCAGTTGCGGCCAGTCGGCCATGGAGGCGAGGGCGGCATTTAGCATGGCTGCAGCTAGCAGGGGGGACGAAACTTCCATCCAGTGGTGGTCCGCCGCAGCCACGAGCCGGACAACGCCGTCGCAAAGCAGATCATACTCGGCGCTGCAGAGGCAGTCAGGATCCGCCACTTCATGTCGCCCTGCAAGCCGATGCCTGATTTTGCGACACTCCCAATTTCACACGCCAGGAAAACTGGGTGCATTGCCATGGATGGGAGCATGGAGTCACGTTGAAGCCAGTGCTTACAAACTCGGCTGTGATTACGATTTTGTATTTGCTCTGGACAGTTTCTTGTGCAGATGTTAACACACCAAAGGAAGAAATGACCAAAGCACACAAGCGCCTCACTAGCGCATCTCTTGATAGTTGGCCTATCCACTGACATTGCACTTGCGGTCAGGGCTCACCTGTCAGTAGAAGGTCTTGCACGATTGCCTGCATGATTGGGTTGGAATCATCCACAGAGCTCAGCATGCGGTCATACGCTGTGCGAATTCCCACTGCCAGACCCCGTGTCAGAGCAGGCTGCATGGTTTTCTCCCAATTGTTCAGATTGTAGGCTGTCTGTGTGCTGAGGTATCCTTCATCCAGCTGCAGCAACAAGTAGCAGAAGTGAGCTTCTGAGTCCACCAAAAGTTGGGCACTTCTATTAGACAAGAAACAGTGGGGACGTCTCGAGACTCAATCAGCTGCCCACACAAAATCCTTCTTTCTCTGAAATCTCAGCTACAAGTGCCGGACAACAGTTTGATGTTGACCAAAAGTGCAAAAGCAGCACCCCATTTGCTCGTCCCACAGCAACACAGACTTATGGCCCAGAAAAGCCTTGATGACTCACAGACAAGCACCACATACCTCGCGCAAGCAGAGGCCGGTGAGGCCCTTGTACCCCTCTGTGTAGCTCCAAATGGCATATGCCCAATCCTCAATAGGGTCATTGAGCTGCCCGCCGCGCGCCTCCACTAGTTGGAGCATGAGCTCACCGATCTCAGCAGGCACAAAGCGCGCGGGAGACTTGGCCCCTGCCTAAGATGAGCACCCACATGGTAAAATCTTGCCCTCTGGCTGCTCACGCTTATGGACAGCCACATCAAAGAAGCGCACAACATTATGACTGAGCCACTAGATTAAATTGCTCTTCCACTATACTTAAAAGGCTGTGGCGCATTATAGCGGTCTGCTCAAAGAGGAGAATGGGACCAGCAACATTTCAGTGGCAAGTAGATCCTCACCACGGCGAGTTTGGACCAATAGTCGCCATCCAGTGCATCCGTGATGGCCGCCTTCAAGCGCGGCGTGCCCACCAGCATCTGCCCAGCTAGCCTGCCCCAGATGAAATGACACAACTCTTAAGCATCGCTGCCAGGGCAAAGCCACGCTGCAAGAAGCTAAAATCATGCTGCGCTGAGAACATGCACGAGTGCTTACTGGGCAGGTGACTTGTCGCGCGTGCGACAGCTCACCTGCTCTCTTGGAGGCGTGCTTGCGACAGCGCACGCACGCAGACAAGCCAATCTCCTAAGACGCTTGAAAACTTGATCAACGAGTCGCAGTCGTCGAACACAAATGCCACTAAAGGACCGGTAGGGCGCCGCAGATAGCTCTTAAACGTATCGTAGCACGACTCGCCCTGATCTGGGGTGAGGCCGAGCTTGAGAAGGATCCCCCGCCAGATGAGATCTGAGTCACGCGCGCGGTTGAGCGCAATTTTGTTCGCCACCGGACCCAGGTCCAAGTACACCACCTGTGCAAGCAGCAAGCATCAGGCAGCACCTAGTAGGCTTGAGAAGGACAAGCACACCTGGCAGCTCGGGGAGGGAGTGCATCAACAGTTTGCTGCCATGTGAGAAGCAGATAGTCTTGCATACAACAAAGCTGAGCGTTGTGTATTCGCCACCATTGGCAGATGGCTGAATCAGATCAGAACAACAAGCATGAGGACAGCCCACCATGCACTGCACCTGGATGCCGCGCTTGCGTAGGCGACGGCATACTGCCAATGAATCTGTTGTTTTGCCAGTCTTACGAGACTCTTCGTAGATGACGACCCTGCCCGTGTGCAACTCGTCTGCCAGGAACTCCACTAGGGCGCTCTCCACATAAAAGTGTGCACTCGGGATGGCGGTGTCATTCGCCACAGTCCGCTTCTCTTCACATGCAGCACACCGCAAGCTTCAATACGTGGTTGTAAGGTCAGCGCTAGTGGACGCAAAGGTGTGCATCATGCACACGAGAGATTCAGTATTCCCACTTCCCAGCCACCAACACATGGTGGAGGGTGCATATTTGAATACATGACTCTCGGCAACAACCGCACGGTGCACCCAGTAGCAGTGTTGCAGACATACACGTGTTGGAAACAGACACCAAGAGTCATCAAGATATGGCTAGTCTTTCCTCGCATGACAAATCGCTGGGCACGTTAGACAAGATTGGCAGAAGCATATAGCAAAGCTCACCTATCTCTTGAGACGCGGGATCCTCCATGAAAATTGTGCCTGCAATGCCCAACATACCTCAAAACCATGTATGGTTTGCCATGTATGGCAATTCTGCTGCAATACAGCACGCAACAGATGCGGCAGTCCAGCATGCAAAGCGCACGTGCTGCCAAGCAGGTGATGCAGAATGTCAGATCCCAGCAACAGATTCTCAATGCAGGCCAAAATAGTCCAGCGTCCACAAAGTCCAAAGCAGCACCAGCAGGCACTAGAGCTGGAGGTGCAACTCTGCGCAGGGCTATAGCCTGACTCCGTACTCGACTCTGACCATGGGCAAATGTTGGAGATCAAAGCACTCACACCGTTGCTGTAGGCCAGCAGCGGAGTGCGCTCACCTGAGCCGGGCAGCTTGGCTTCCAGAGCCCGCATGTCTTCCAGGAGTTGCTTTTTCTCCTCCTTGAGGTCCTTATAGACCTCCTTCAACTTGGCCTCCAGATGTCCATCCATGGTGCTCAGCCATGCGTCCTTCGCAGCCTCCACCTCGGCAGTCAGAGAAGCGGCCTCGTTGTCCAGCTGCTCCAGCCGCTGGGCCAAACCACCCATTCTGCACAAACAGTAGAGATCCTGTTGGATTCCTGTATCAACGGTCACAGAGCTCCAGGCTGCTCGGCAGCAGCAATTCAGCAACAGGCAGTGGAAGGAAACTGTCCTACTTCAGAGAGGCAGGCCAAGGACACATCTTGGCATGGAACACACACGAGTGCAAGATGAAATGAAGCAATAAATGCAATCTTGATTCTTGCAATTGCTGCTAATCTTCATCTCAGCTCTCAGGCAACTACACAGAGTCTGCTGCAGCACAGTCACCTGTGCAGCAGAACAATGGTATCAGCTGCACTGACCACACTGAGGCTTCTCCACCGCACGCGTGTTCACAGGAGAGCCTGTCCTACAATCATCATCCTGCAGAGAGCAGCGCGGCTTGCATTGCCTGCTGCGCATCCGTAACCAACCCACTGACAGGCAGCCTCAACGCCAGGCTTGCAGAGAAATGGAGGCAAACCTTGTTGACTCACAGAAATCTACAGAAGTGCACAGCCAAAACAAGATGAGCTGCCCCTTGTCCCAAAGACATCTGCCTTGAAGGGCAAATCTGACGGTTCAGGAAGGTCTGCTTGTGTTGGGGAATGAAGAGCAGAAACGCCAGAATCTCCAGGAGCGTCCAGTGCCACCTGGAGGGGCAAATGTCTACGATGATAACGCCAATTGCAGCTGTTAGGTGTGCTGGGACAACTGTGACATGAAGCCTGCTTAGGTCTTCCTGGGATAAATCCCAGAAACAGAGTGTCCCAGACACGCACTGCACACTAGCCAGGCACATCTGAAGCAGTTTGTAGACATTTCTGGAGCATTGTAAACACATACAAGGTCAGGTATGGAGTTCTGCTTTGCTATAGAAAGAAAGAAAGAAATTAATAGAGTACGATGACAGTCTTCAACTTCGCCGTCAGGGAAACTTCCGTCAGGAGAAACTCCTCTACCTGGCAGCGATCCTGCTGATGACTGACGCCTTGAAGCCCACCACCCTGTTCAGCACCGAAAAAAAGGAAGAAAGGTCAAAGGATGGAAGCAGGTACGAAGGATGAGGTCTGCAGACGTACGAAAAATTCCATATCACGTGAAATGCCACAGTGGCATCCACGTGCGCCTCCCTCACTGTAGACCTGTTCACATGATCAATTCTCGCCCACGAGCCCTTGAATTCACATGTGTTGAGTCGATTCTAATATATTCACACGGCAATTGCCACAAATGACGAATATCGGCGCTGCACATTTGTCAAGCATATCACAGCAGGCCAGAACGTCTTTGATACCGTTGCTTGCTGGACGCAAGATACGATCGCTCAGGTGTTCGCACATGCCCACAATGGCCACAGCAGAGGTGAAGCTTAGTCAGGACGAATTGAAAAAGCAAGCTGCATGGAAAGCTGTCGAGTACGTGACGAGTGGCATGAAGTTGGGCCTTGGGACTGGGTCCACAGCAGCCTTCGCCGTTGACAAGATCGGGCAGTTGCTCAAGGATGGTACCTTGAAGGACATTGTAGCCGTCCCGACATCCATCCGCACCTACGAGCAAGCCCTCAGTGCGCCTTTGCTCCTCACCGCCAGATGCTTTACCACTGGGATCTGGTGTCAAAGAGAACAAGAAATCGCAGAATTTTGTAAAGTAGCGATGAATCACGGATATATAAATGGAAATTTTCATGCTGGACGCGTCTTCACAATGTCGAACGTGCATGCAGGTCTGGGCATCCCACTGGCAACTCTGGATGAGGTGTCTGAGCTGGACCTGGCGATCGATGGCGCTGATGAGGTGGACCCCAACCTGCACGTCGTTAAGGGCCGCGGAGGAGCCCTGCTGCGTGAGAAGGTGATGTATCTCTGCTGGATGCTTGTGCTGCAGGATAAGGGGGAATTTGCACACTGCAGCTTACTGTCAATGATGGATTGCCCCAATGTTCCATCTAAGGAAGGATGTGGTGTGCAGATGGTGGAGCTTGCCTCCAAGAAATTTGTGTGCATTGTGGACGAGTCAAAGCTCGTGGAGGGCCTGGGCGGCAGCAAAGGTAATCAGCAGAGAGTCACCTGCATGGGTGCAAGTTTTTGTTCCCATGCTGCTCTTTGTGTTCTTCTCTGGCAGCACATCATGACCTGCATGGACGCATCTGTTTCAATTTCATGCTGAACATGATTTCTGTCCTGGCCTCTGCCCTGCGCACAACCATCCCTGCATGCACTTGCTCGGCCAGTAGCACAGCAGCAGTCTTTGGCAGAAGGGCAGTGTTGGTCTGGTTGCCGTGTTGCCTGATACCTCTCGCACTCTGCTTTTGGGGGGCTGTGGCCTTTGCTTGCTTGCCATACCCTTGCATTGCCTTGCATGTCTTGCTCTCTCCTTGGTCAAGTTCAAACCAGATCGCATCAAATCAAAGGAGAATACTGCAAATCAAATATGTGTTCCAGATGCGATGCCTGTGGAGATAGTGCAGTTCTGCTGGAAGTACAACCTCAACCGGCTGCAGAACCTCCCAGAGCTCACCGGCAATGTGGCCAAGCTGCGAATGGACGGCGACAAGCCTTATGTCACAGACAACTCCAATTACATCGTGGATCTGTACTTTGAGGACCCCATCAAGGACCCCCACGCTGCTGCAGAGGCCATCAGCAAGCTCACAGGTGCGTGCTAGTGTCAAGTGCTGACATCCCCGGGGGATCCACCCCGTAGTTGGGCCTGTACTTTTGGATTCTGGGACGGGCTTCTGGTATGCCCAGAACTCCCTTTGCCACAGTAACATTGCTACATTTACTAGGCAGGTCTGAAATCCCTGGATTGCCCAGGGGCATTTAACACTACTGTCTGGGCAGCGGTGATCTCTGCTAAGGCCCCGTCAATTCCTGGCAAGTGTACAGTTGATTGTGCTTGTATGGACATTTCTGAGAATCTGCATTTTTCGTGCTAGTACTGGTCGACACAGCTGTGGGACACTTAGTCAGCCCCGAGTGTGCTGGAATGATGTAAAGTCTATCTCTGTCTGTCTCACAGGAGTGGTGGACCATGGGCTCTTCCTGGACATGGTGGATGTGTGCATCGTTGCGCGCTCGAATGGCATTGAGGTCATGGAGAAGTGAGAGGGTGTTTGGAATGTCTTCCAAGGGCATGTGAGATTGACTTGTCAGCCGACAGGTAGCACGCATTCACAATGACCATATGGTCAGCTGAGGATGCCTGCAGGAACAGAGCGTGTAGAGAGTGTGTGCAGACTCGAGTGTCAAATTTTTTGATGTTGTCCCTTTTGTCTAAATTCAGAAATTCAAAAGTTGACGCAACTGAGTCCTTCCATGCAGCCTGCCATTTGTCCTTGTCTATGCTGTTGTGCGAGAAAGTGTTGCTATTGCATACACCATATAAATGCGCTAGCCAGAACAGTTGTTCATATGTCAGATACTTACAACAATCATGATGAAGGAATCAACTTGATTTTGTCAATGTGCAAATTGGGACTTCCACTGCGCGTATCAGGCCACTTTGCATGAGTTACTTGCCGATGCAAAACTCGCTGAAAATCGCATCCAGCACATCTTCGGTGTCGATGGCGCCGGTGATTTTCCCGAGCGCTCGAGCTGCGGCGCGCAGCTCCTCGGCCGCCACCTCGACTTCCTGCCAGCTTCCCTCGTAGCGCTGCAGCGCCGCCACGCACTCCTCCAGCAGCTGCCGGTGCCTCAACCTGCGCAACTTGAAACTCGAATAAAATTAAATGCATTTGTATGTTCTTTGTGCGGCTGTGCTGCCATGGAACCACCTCCTACATGGCACTTATATGCTAAATAGAATCAAATTTGGTTACTGAATTACTTCATGGCGGGGAAACATCCTAAAGCAGAAACATCCTAAAGTCTTCTGGGTGTTTAGAAGTTGCCAAACCTGGTAATGAGCGTGCTGTCTCCATCAGCTATGCCGTCACCGGCCACCTGCCTGATCAGGCGCCCCAGCATGACCAGCAGCTCCTCAACACCCTCTCCTGTCTTGCATGACACGCTGCAGGATGGCGGCGTTGCCTCCTCTTTTTCTATTATCCCCTGCCCGCCAGCTGACGCCTGTTCTGGCTTGCTGCTCTCTGATGATGCGCTTTGAGTAAGCTTGATGCTCGCTGCTTCCCTGGCTTTTTCACGTGGGCCTGAGGCGTTGTGAGAGGAGCTCCGAAGATCGCTCTTGTTGTACACAACGAGAAGTTTCGCGGGTTGCTCTCTTGAACCCAAGTCAGGGCCCGCGCCCTGTCCCGTCTGTTCGTTGCTGGAAAATCCACTGGCTGTCTCTGATTGGGTATCCCTAGCGTCTGCATCTGACAAAGAGCCCAGAGAATCAGAGCTGGATGCCTCTGCCAGGAGCAATTTTAAGCTCTCCATGGCACTTTCCATGCTATCATCAGAGAATGACGCATCCTCCGTCCCTGACTGCTCACTGCTGCTGAGGTCATCTTGTGCCGTCCTCACAGTGTCGGCGGCGGTCGCAGTGTCACAGGGAGCTGACTGGTCGAGGACGAGCGCGATGATGTCAGCATCACTCATTGCTGACCTGGCGCGCTGCATACCCGCCACCTCGATCGCATCGCCGCTCTCGCGCAGACCCGCTGTGTCCACCAGTGTCACCTGACACAGCATTACTGTCAAAATCAGCTCTGCCCCACTCGCATGAAAACGCTTGAACAATTTTCAGCAACAACACCCATCTTGTCCTGGGGTTTTTGCCATGTGTACAGTTTATATCTATTCCTGAACCTGCCATGTAAATTGAAGGCAGAGTCCGAGCATATAGAAAGGAGGAAAGCAGGAAGTATGCTGTCTTTCCAGTGCTGGAAGAGAACAGCGCCGTGTTGGGTGCTGGCAAGCCTCGATGGAGAAGGGAAACACACGGGAATGCCTGTGGTGCAGGGGCCCCAACCTTGAAGCCTTCCAGCTCAACTGCAACCTCCACAGCGTCCCGGGTGGTGCCAGGAGTGGGCGACACGATCGCGGCATCTCTTGCCGCCAGCATATTGAGCAGGCTGCTCTTGCCCGCATTGGGCGGGCCCACTATCGCCACCTTCACCCCTGACCGGATCAGCTCGCCTCGCCTGCAGGAGTCATGTCCTTTCTACTCAGTGCCACTGCCTTCTTCCCAGTGCACTCACACTTCCCCACAAAATTCATGCATGAGCCACACCCATAGCCCACCAGGCGAGAAGCTGCTGCGACTGCGCACCTCCTTCCGTTGCTGACATGGCATGCCAGCTCAGCGCGGACGGCCGCCACGCGGGCGCGCACGTCAGCGGCCACGTCGGGGGCGATGTCTTCGTCCTCGCCAAAGTCGATGATGGCCTCGGCGGCCGCCAGGCATCGCAGCAGCGCCCCCCGCCACCGCTCGTGCCGCCGTCTCATCTCCCCGCCGCTCTGCCGCAGCGCCTGCGCGCCACACGCTCCTTAGTAATATTTTGGCCCATAATGAAACACAGAAAAAGGTGCAAGGACCTTCCTGCAAATCTGCTGCACCACTAGTAATATTCAAGGCCATGATGGGGGACAGGAAATGGGCAAGGGGCTCAGTGTAATGCCTGTTGTAGCAGCTGGAGGGGCCTCGCAGACAGGAGCCACAGCCAGGGGGCATTAGTATTCTTGAGAGTGGGACAAAGCATAGCTGGCTCTTTCAAACAAGACATTTTGATGCTTGTGAGGAGCGCTCCGGGTGGGCAAAGCGAACTGTGAGATGCCAGCTTGCCTTTTTGCATCTCCTCGCCTTCGAGGCTCGGGGACAGGGCAAATTTTTCTGCACCAGAACAAGCTGGTGCACGCTGTGGATTCATTTCCGGCATGTACAGGACGGGTTGTGCTTCAAATCTGAAGTGCACGTCCATGGCTGACTTTAAAAAAACCACTATACTTGGCAATTCGAACTCCGTGACTACCGGCCGCATGAATGGGCATTTCAAGTAATCACTGCGGATCATTGAGGCTGAGCCAACCTGCCTGCGCTGCGCGTCGGTCTCTGCAGCCACCAGATCAGCCAGGCCCTCAGCTTCGGTCAGGTCCAGCTTGCCGTTGTGGAACGCGCGCATCGCAAACTCCCCGGCCTCGGCCGGCCGCACTCCCGGCAGCGCATGCAGCGCGTCCAAAACGGCGCGCACCGTCGCTGGGCCGCCGTGCACGTGCAGCTCCACCGTGTCCTCCCCTGCATTTGAATTGAGTTTTGCTTGTAAAGCCTCAACAACGGCCTCAATTTTCAAATCTGAAATCTCGAATTCCCTGGCAGTCTTTCCTCGACCTGAGTAAACCGCCATTGTGAGGCAATTAAACTCCTGGCCAGAGATCAGAAGGTCATGAAGTCAATGCGCCCTCCTGCAAGTCCCTGGAAGCAATCGTGTGGTCGCTAGCAACCAGATTGCCCTGAAGCACCTGTAAAGCTGGCGGGGCCTGGGAATCGCAGCACAAGGCCTCGGTCCAGCTGCTCGCCAGAATTCGGGTCATGCAGGCTCGCCAGAGCCTGCACAAGGACCACAGCAATAAATTACACTAGCTGCACGATATTCCCATTTGCAACGCTTGTTATGGGACGACGGAGGTCACCAGAGGATAGGATACAACATGTTCGCCCCATTTTGCATGTTCCTCACTTGCGCCTGAACAATGCCTGCAAGGACTTACATGGTGAGTGGTGTAAGAAGGTGGATGTTAGCATTCTGGGGCACACACCGCCATGCGTGGCTGAGGCAGAGGCCTTCCCGGCTGTAGCAGCCGCTGCAGTGCAGAATCTAGCCAACCCCACAGAAGCAGTCAGCTGCATACTTTAATGCAGAGATCACTTTGCATGTGCCAGCCCTCAGGGAAGACTTCATCAGCATGCTGAATGCACCAAAAAGTCACTGGAATTGACATAGGAATGGGCTGGCGAGGTGTGAAATGTGATTATAGAAGACTAAAGGAGAGGAGGAGTACCGTGCCCCTGTTTGATTGGGTCTTGCTTGGATCTGGCCAATCCAACAAGGTGTAGGATGTGGCAGCCTTAATTGCAGCTTGTCTGCAGTACTTACCTTGCCTTTTGGCAGGAAAAGCGTGTAGCATTTCTATTATAAAATATGAGAGGTAGCTGCGCGCACCTGCTCTGGGTCCAGACAGCCGGATGACTGCGACTCCACTGCGGCCAGGGCCCGAGCTCAGCGCTGCTATGGTGTCGCGAGCATTGTTCTCAGGGACGGCTTCAAATGCTGCCGCTGTTGCAGTGGCGCAGCAGGGGCCGCTCTGTGTCTGCATCTGCCTTGATGCTGAGACAGGATATGCTGCCAGATCTGTGGCTGGTGTGGTCGATGGAATACATGTGGCGGAACTGGCAGGTGCAGCCAGCGGCATGCAGTACGACTGCGTGGGTCTGAGTGGCCACTTGCATTTTGCAAGGCTCTCCACAAGAGGCAGCTGCAGGCCCAGTCTGGCAAATAATCGTGACAGTGGTGAGCTCATACAAGGCTCCTTGTTTCTATATCCACTTCATCAGTTTTGGGCTGTACCATTCGTGCGTGAACCTGTCTGTCTAGCCTGGTGCTTGTGCACATCTGAAGATATCGGCAACCGGCAATTCGACCTCTTCTGTCACTATCGCTAGCTCTCGTGATATGGAAATTACTCCGAAAGCTCATCTGCATATTTTCTGGCCCTCCGATAGGCTGTCAAAGTTAATGAAGGCGATGCCCAACCACATGCTCGCAAGCTGCAACACTGCAAATTCCTCACTGGACCAAGATAAGAACACCTTTGTATTTCAACTATCGCAAGAGTTTGTCACAAGACTCTCCAGGGTTTCCTCCAACAGCTCCAGAACATGTCTTCATCTGGCCCAGATTTGGCACCGGGGCGAAGCTTCCATGCAAGCGGCAGCTGACCTCCTTGGACCTCTCCGACAGCTCAAGCGACGCTCTCACTACACCTTTGTATAATAGGTGCTGGGGTGCTGAATTGTGCGAACATCTGATCCAACAAAGACTTGAATATAGCTGTATACCGTGAAAGTCGTTGTACAAAGGGTGTCCGCGAGATGGTGGCCACCATGAACGGGAACGGTGCGCACAAGACCATCGATTGCACGCAAACCGATGTGGCCATCATAGGTGGTGGTGTCGTGGGAGTTATTGCCGCCAACAGAATGCAGGAACGAGGCATCCACTACAAAGTCATAGAGCGGCAGCACGACTTCGGTGGCGTCTGGCATTCACATGGCAACAACCACAGCACGCTGCAGGTGTGACTATGCTCACACACACAATATTTCAAAATTGAATGATTTTCTAGATGAAACTTCAGTCATACCTGGTTGCTATTAACCCGTCTTCCTTCTTCCCGGAGGAGAACAGGGAATACTTGCAGCATGTTGCCCTGGACACCTGCAGGAGAAAGCTAGTTCTATTATCGTATCGCCTCCTTATCTTCACAACTACTTCTACTCAGTACACACTGAGACTAACAGCCGCGTCAGTAAGCTTCTCTTCCCAGCATTCCCTAGCCTATCACTTGACTTCACAAGGGTGAGTGCTGCTGCTCAGGCACCGGAGCTGTCTTATCGCACACACCCCAAGTACCCTCTGGGCAAGAAGGGGCCGCTGGAGCAGATCACCGGCAATGCGGTGCTGACGCGGCTGCGCCAGATGGCGACAGACCAGGGAATCGACCAGCACACCGAGTTCTGCAGTGAGGTGGAAACCATCCGCCAGCAGGACGATGAGTAAGCTGCTAGTCATCCTTGCCTAACACCAATCACTTGCCTTCACTGGTGTCACAACATGTGACATTGCACATGTCATATTGTCACATCCTTGCACAAGTTGCTTGCTGCATATGGGGAGCAGGAAACATGACTTGCCTGCTTTTCTGGACACTTCTTGACTTGCCCAGTGCAAATTGCCACCCAAAAGTTCTGCCTGATCTCGCTGTTTTGCCTGCCCCCTACACATTTCTGTATAAGCCTTTCAGCAATGCCCTGCTGAAGTGCTTGGCTCGCTTTCAAGCACCAATTCAGAGCAATGTACTTGTTCCAGAGGCGCTGGAGAGTTCAAAACTAGTGAGCTGACCTTCAGTTGGTGTGCACGCAGCTATCTGCTGGTCATCAGGGATGTGAACACCCAGAAAGAGCGCCACCTGCTTGCCAAGCACATCATGATCTGCCACGGCATTCTGGGCCGCCAATACACCCCGGAGGTTAGAAATCTACTGAGCCGTGATTACTGTTAATGGTGGCCCATGCACGTTCACCAGTTTCTACATGGATGCGTGCTAGGATTTCTACACAGGTCAGGTGATTTTAGCATGTTTGGTGCCTATCAAGCTGTGGGCGGTATGTGGAAGTAGTTCAACAATAGGTTGGAACAGTGCTGTAAGAATGCAAATTGCTTGAAGCACCCAGCAAAATCGAGAAATATACTGACGAACTCAAAAACCTTTGCAGGAGCGCAATCTGGTGATCGCGAAATCCTTTGAGAAGAGCGGCGGTGTGTTCACCATGGGCGGCCGCTGGAAGGGCAAGGACTGCGCTGTCAGCGGCTCCGACATCAATGGAAAGGTCTGTCTCGACCCTCACGGCACTTGAGCATTAATAATAACTCCTGGCATCAGTATCAGCCCATTGTCAAATGATTGTGCAGCCATTGGTGGCGCTTTGTTAAATGCCATCTGCCAGGCATATAAACTGCGTGCACAAGCATCATGCGCATGAGGCAGTGAAAGGATGCATGCATGCGGAGCTGGTCTCTCTTGTCAGTGACTGACCCTCGCCTCCTCACAGCTTTTTCTATTGGATTTGTTTAGTGTTTGAGTGACACAGGAAACAGGCCACGAGAACCATCACCTGCATGAGATTATAAAAGGATGCTTAGGTGCATTCAATATTACGGAATTCAAATGCATTGTTCGAATCTATGCGCAGGACGTTGTGGTGATTGGCGGCGGCGCGTTTGCATGCGAGGCGATGCGGGCGGCAGTCCACAACGGCGCTGGCAGCGTCACTATGGTCACCCGGGAAAAGTCAAAGTGAGCCCCTGGCCAGCATCCCAGTCAGCCCTCAACTAGCAATCTCTGATGACCCTGCTATGAAATTTGTATAGACTGCTGATTGAGAGCGGTCTCTCAAGCATGCTTGTGGACAAATCTCTCCCCAATCTCGCCCAGATTCTCAACAACACTGCACAAGATAGGTTGCTTGTTTGCATCGGTGCATCTGCACAGCCTTCACATGGTATTACTATTTATGAGCCTCAGCCCAAAGCAGAAGTTGATCCTTCAAGCCCCCTGCTGATCCCACCTGATGAGTTTCCAGGGGGTGAGTCACCCGGGTGAGAGTGATGCTGTGGCGCATGCAGGTGGATCATCCCCTTTTCCCGCCAGTTTGTGTCGAGCGCGATCGCATTAACTCCCCTCTTCCCCTGGGCCTGGAAGATGGCGGTGCTGAAGTGGTGGCTGACTAATAGTTACTACAAGCCATGCGGACTCGGCCACCTCATTCCCTCAGGCGGGCCCAAGGACATGAACTACACAGGTGCGCGCTTTCTATGACTTATAATCTGGAATGAGAATCCTCAGGACTTTAATTTAACATATTCTGGGAACCTGCATGCCTGTTGCCATGCATGAAATGCTGCAAAGGCCTTATTTTCTTTCTCGTGATGTCAGCCTCTAGCATGACTGTTCTTTCTCTCATCCAGAGCAGCATCAACGCATTGAATAATGATTTGGATGACTCACTGCAAGAATGCATTGCACGTATTATGGCGATCGGCAAGGCAGCTTGTATGAAGAACGAGACGATTGCCTGGCTATCTTCCTCTGTAAGTCACGAGCAGTACTGCCCTTGGAAAGCACTCAAATCACACATCAAAAAATCATTATTTCTGTGCCATGACCGGCCTGCTGTTCTGCCCTGCAGGCCAGTCGCACGACGGCTTTTTCGAATTTGCGCGCGATGGCCGTGTGAAGCATGTGCTGGGCACCGCTGTATTTGTCAATGAGCAGGGGGTGCAATTGAAGGACGGCACGCTGCTGCCGGCGCACATGGTAATCTACTGCGGAGGCTGCGAGTACCAGGGCTCGCCACCCTTTCTTAAGGGGCTCAACCTCGGTAGGTTACCTGTCACTTACCCGCCCTCAAATCTCTGTATGGCGTGATGCTCTGCCGGACATCTAATGACAATATGCTTGTGCATTTTTGACTTCAAGCACCGCCATACAGGAAGGGTATTGACAAAACAAGCATCATGGCGCAGGAATGCCATGCATCTGTTTATTTTTCTATTACTGTTGTTGTTATTGCACGCTTTTCCTGCCAGGAGGCAAGGTGTGTCCTGTGGATAAGCTGCAGGGTGAGCTGCCGAAAATGCAGCCCCTTGGGAGACTCGCCAGACCCAAGCACTAAAATTGTCATCGAAGACACCAAGAGAATTCCCCCTGCATGCACAGGTTTTGAGGACCTGCACAGCTTCGCGTTCCTGGGCAAGAGCGGCCGCATCGGAACCGCCAGCGATGGTCTCTTCTCCTACGTCCCCGCCGGCCCCAGCAAGCAGATCGACATGTTTCTGCACGCATACGACCTGCGCGCACAGGGGCGCCTGCAGGTCAGTCACTCTTTTATCTTTATAAGCTCCAGGGAGATGTATGTATGTGACCCCTTGTGTATTTATGGGTTCTGGGGAGCAAACCTCTGGACCCTGAAATTCCATGTCCACATTAGAACACCTGGTAGGGGAGGCAGGCAGGCCTGGCTTGGCCAGAAGGGCACTCATGCTCTTGATTATTGATAGGCAGCACAGGCACAGTTTTCCAATCGCAAGGCCGTGACCTCCAAAAGGACTGCAAGGGGTGATTGTGCATGTTGCAGACAGGTTGGAAAAGGGCATTTCCTTTCGTTTCTAGAGATGTGCAGATCATGATCTGAGTCTTCCTGCAGTTGCATGGACAAGTGGAATGGGTCTTACAGAGAGTCTGTCAAGGCTTGCATGTGCTTGATCATTTCAGTGTGTGACCAAAGGTGCATTGCTCTTAATTGTGGCAGGAGCTGCAAGCCGAGCTGGAGCACACGCCGATTCCCCACGATGATGTCATCGCCAAGGGGCATCGCACCGTTTGGTACACCTGGTTCGAGACCTTCCAGCCGCGCTCCAACCTCTCCTGCCTCTTCGAGGTCCGTCAGTGCTTTTGCACCAAAACTGATTTGCAGATGTTTGCATCACAACAGCGCTCTCTGTGAAAGTAATCATCGCCCACACAAGACGCGTCGCTTTAATTTCGTCCCGGACAATTCCCTTGCCTGCACGGGATGCATGCTAAACCTGTGCTCCGGTTGCATGCTGTGCTCTCTGCTCATGATGCATGTGCCGGCTTGAATGAATCAAGTTTCGGACTATGTAATCTGTGATGGATGATGGGTGCTTTGCATTGTAGCCATAGTGTTGGACAAGTCAAGCAAGGGCCCACATTTTGCATGTCAGAAGCTGACAGAGCACCGTGACAAGTTGTTGAGCGATCTCTGCATGTGCTGGTGTGCAGCTGCGCAACAAGGCCTACAAGAGGGTGATGTCAGCGGGCCTGTCACCGTGGGGTCAGCGCTGGCTGGCATACAAGCTGGTCTGTGGCGAGCTGTTTTTGTGGAATCTGCTGTGCGTTCTGGGCACCATGGAGAAGTTTCACAAGTGGCGCATCTACTGAACTTGACGGGCACGGGGATTGCCTCTCCCCGGGTCAGTGAAGAAGTCCAGGAAGCCAAAACAAAGGGGGGAAGCCACCTGAAACGCCTTGCAACATATGTGGAGTGTATATGACAAGCGGGACGGAGAATAACCTGTCATTTACCAGGGCAGGTTGCATGCCAGCTGGGAACAACTTGCCATATTAAATATGGCATATTTGGTCCAACAACAAGCAAGTGGATTCCAGCATGTCTGCGTCCAGTAATTCGATCATATTTTTATACAGATATTCTTTCTGGAATGCCACGCCACGCCAAGATCCGAGCTAGACTTGCAATTGCACCTGCATTCTGAGATCAAGTTGACTTCAGTCAAACCAAGGTTCCGGAAGTCATGTCGGGGGGCAGGGGAAAACGAGCTAGCAGACATGGTTGTCTTGTGCTCTAAAGCGTCCATTTCGAGTGTTTGATGATCTAAAACAGCCCTACCTTTGTTCATGTAGACGAAGACCTAGGCCACGGGTACTGTAAAGGTTTGCAGGTTGGCATTTGGTGTTTTATAATGGCACTCGCTTCTCTGGGTAGCATCATAGTAAGAGTTCCAGGATCAGCGCACACGCCTGCATACGACATTTCTAGAAGACGAAATTCTGTACCTCAGATCCTTTCGCAGATTTCAGAATCCTCCAATCGTCCTGTCGCATCTGCAACATCTTCGTCCAGTGTAGCAGAGACCCTGGGCGGAGCTCAGAGACTTAGCGATGCCAGCTTGAGTAGTTTATTGGAGTCAGCATATGATTCGGAGCCATTAGAGGCGGACCAGTCCCTCCCGCAAAACGCAGGGCTTCCCCTCAGTGGGTGAGTACCAGTTGCATTTACAGAAGCTGCCAGATGTGATCGTCTCTCACCACGTCTTCAACTATTACTCTTTGAAGCTCTGCAGACGTTTAATTTGTAGCAGAGGCATGACATCACATGCTTGGTGCACCACAGGTGCGAGGCAGATGGGCCAAGGTTGCGAATAGCACTTCTGCTCAGTGGAGGCGTGGACAGCAGTCTGGCGCTGCGCCTGCTGAAGGCCGCTGGACACGAGGTTACAGCTTTCTATTTGCAGATCTGGTTCCAGGAGGACTTCAGGAACTACTGGGACGCCTGCCCTTGGGAAGAGGATTTTGCCATCTGCCAGCAGGTTTGCAGCTTGTTGCTCTTACATTGCTTTTGTCAGGCAAGTAGTAGTTTTGTCATCTAAGGTACTCCAGACTGACTTCCTGCAACAAATGTACAAAGAAAGGTTCACAACCAAGGTGCCATGGATTTTGTGCTTTCCTTGCTGCATCCTGGTGGAGACAGAAATGCAGTGGTGAAGCTTCCAAATGGGTGCCAACCTGTGCTTTATGGGGTCTGGACAGGTATGCGAGCAGGCAGGCGTGCAGCTGCACACAGTGCCATTGACAGAGCAGTACTGGCAGCGGGTGGTCTCCCACTGCCTGGCGGAGATCAAAGCTGGACGCACCCCCAACCCGGACATGCTGTGCAATTCCAGGTATGCTTCTGTACTGCACAGATTGAATCTCTGAGAATGGGACCACAAGGGTCCTCATTGAGGATTCATGGAAAACATTAGCTGATTCGATAGATTGCGCAGATCTTTTGCTTTGACAAGACTGTTCTGATGTGCGCAGAGTGAAATTTGGAGCCTTCTACGAGTACTTGGAGCAGCAGCACGGCGCAGGTTTTGACAGAATAGCATCGGGCCATTACGCGCGCATAATCCGAGACCCTCAAAACCCCTCGGCCCCCGTAGAATTAGCGCTCACCCCTGACCCTATCAAGGACCAGACATACTTCCTGGCCCACCTCACGCAGCAGCAGCTGTCCCGCACCATCTTCCCTCTCGGACCCCTGACAAAGGTACAGAATATTCTTTCTCTTTCTTTGTGTGTGCATGCATTGTTCGGCTAACGGTCACTAAGGCAGCGCAAGCTTGCTCCGCATATGCAAGCCTGCGCGTGGCTAACTCTGGCATGGTCAGGGGAGTGTAGTTAAGCCTGCATTGAAGCAATGTTTGCATCCCAGAAACTGCACTAGAAGACTTGGCACGTAGACACAGCAGCCGAGACCCTTCACACCCACCAATTAAGCAGGAAGTATACACATAGCACACAGAGTCTCATCCGCATTCCTTTGCTTAGCACAGGGGTGATTAACCTTTGGGCATGTGCAGGGGGAGGTACGCAGGTGGGCAGCTGCGCTGCAGCTGCCAAACCAGGCGCGGCGGGACAGCCAGGGGATCTGCTTCCTGGGGAAAGTGCGCTTCTCCGAGTTTGTGCGCGAACATCTCGGCACCTGGCCGGGGGCGATAGTCGAGGAGGAGACCGGGGAGTTGCTGGGGCATCATGAGGGTTTTTGGTTTTACACCCTCGGCCAGCGCAAGGGTATTTATCTATCGGGAGGGCCGTGGTGAGTCTGTTCTCACAAGCCAAGCCTTTAAGCATTGGCACACTCTGACTGCTTTTCAGGAAGTATATATGAGGATGTCAAGCTACTGAAGGTGTACAAGTCTGAGGGATTGCAAACTGTAATGCAGCGGCAGAATCTAGGCAAGAGCTCTTGTGCAACAGTCATTTTCTTCTCAGGACCTCTCACACAGCTTGCGTTTGCATGTTAGAAAGCACAGTTGCGTTGCCTCTAGTGGCAAGAGGTGAAGCCGTGCGGCATGGCCGGAACCCTTCATTTGCAGGCGGGCTTCCAACCTGTATCACCAAAAGCTGACATGGCATGATCTGTGCAGGTTTGTGTCTCGCAAGGATCCGGACGCGAACGTGGTGTATGTGTCCCGCAATTACTACGATGAAGACAGGCGGCGGGACAGCTTTGTCTGCGGTGGTTTCAACTGGATCGCCCTTGAACGGATGGACCCGGCGCGGCCACTTTTCTGCAAAGTGCGCCATGGGCCCAACATGTACAGGTATGCCCTTACTAATGTTACACCCTTGACCTTGCCTTGTGGTCTGCATGTCAATGACTGTGCGCCTGCTCAAAGCCCTTCCCAATTCTGCTGCTATTTTTTGTTCCTGGATGACTTTCTCATGTCCCCCTCTTCGTCCTTGAAGGTGTGCGGACTCCTTGAGATTCCCTGCTAAAACCATGTCATGCCGCATTTTGAACATGAGGACGATGTCCGGCTGTTGAGAAGACTTTTGTGATTGACGGTGGATTTGTATGTGACAGGTGCACAATGGAGGAGCTGCCAGGTGGCGAGGCACGAGTGGTGCTGGAAGGGAATGATCAGGGCTTGGCTGCTGGCCAATTTGCCTGCTTCTACCAGGACGGCGTCTGTTTGGGGTCTGCTGTCATTTTGCAAGGGCAGTGTTGTGATGACCGTGGTTCCTGAGGTGACAGGCAGCTTGCATATGACCTAATTAGGCCTGATCATCTATAAGAATGTGCAATGTAATTCCATTGGTGTGGGAAAGGACCTTTTGGTGAGTCATTACAGATCTCGCATCATAAGAAATCCGATCGGAAGGTTCTTTGGATTCCCCAGCGCGCAGTCACCGCGGGCCACCAAAACATCACACGTTATTGGGTTTGGGCTGGTGCTTTGGATTTTTCTGACAGGGCTCTGGTCCTCATAAATCTATGTGCCACATGGACTCCCACAGTTACTAGCGAGGTCATGGATTCCTTGCGGGGTCAGGTTTACTTTATGTGCACCTCACCTCACCTCATCCGAAATCTTTCTTTTCCCTCCTAACCTAGGCAACGGCTGTTTCTTAGGTTGTCTTGACTGGGGCCACACGAGGGATGGCATGCATCTTCATGCCCTTGGCACATGACAGCGTGATGTTGACCTGCTCCGCTGCCCTCACTTCCTCTGCTGTGCCCATCTGCGGGGCAGCCATAAAAGTCATCAGTACTGCATGAAACATCACACCTTCCATTAGTCCTCCCTGTGGAGAAGAGGCAAAGCAGGGGAAGCGATGTGAGCAGCCCTGAACATGCACAAAAGTCTTTCCCATGCTTTCTCCTATAAAGAATGCCAGGATCACTCATTTCACCACAAGAAGCATCACATGCTCCATCAGCTGTGCGTTCCAGAGCCGAGCTGCAGGGCAGCAGACATGTCGTACTTCCCTGGACATGGCAGAAGATGACCTCTGAAGAGCTGCTCAACATTCATGCATACATCCCTCACCCCGGTACTCAGGGGATTTACAGAAAAAAAACCCACGGCCAATTCCTGTCACGAGGGCAAAGTGACTCGAGATACCGTACATCAGCTTGTGTTTATACCTCGGAAGCCAGGCGGAAGCTGAAGCTGCCGTACAGCTGCGCGAGCGCCGTCGTCAGGTTCAGACGCGCAAGAGTCTGCCCGACGCAGTTTCTCGCGCCGTCTCCAAAGGGAATGAACCGCTTCACACCCTTACCGTCCAGCTTGGCCCCTGGTGCATACTCAGCGTCGGCCTGCATGCGCACAGCTTACTTTATTGCCTGCATGTAGGCACAGAGTGCAGCAGTGCCTAGAGAGGACACAGCCGATGTGAGCTGAAGGGTTGCTGGCTGGCTCGTTCTGAATGATGCGGATGCCAATTAGCACTTGAGTAAGTATATGCGTGCGCAGAATCCCTCTTATTTCAGCAGCGTGCTCGGTTAGCACCAATCTTCTAAGCAGCATGCCCAGTCTATCGAGGACCCAGCGATCCAGAAACAGACCCACAGCACCCCTTCAACGCATGTGTGTGGCTCAGTAGCAAAGCACCAGCAGAAGGGAGGCTAAAACTCTTCACCTTGCACCCTCCACAACAGCCCTTGCGGGGTCTGAAGATCTCACTCGCACACACCTCACAGCCCCGAGGCTACCAACAAGAGCACCCACCTGCAGCCAGCGGGCGGGGTCGAACTTCTCTGGGTTGTCCCAGAGCGCGGGCGACAGCTGAATTGCGGCGATCGGCGCATGCAAAATGGCGCCCTCAGGGATGACTAATTTACCGCCGCCCAAGACCACGTCTCCCGCGCCCTTCACTGGCGCGCGGAACGGGGCAACTCCGCCCGCGGGATACTTCCTCATCGACTCCTGCAAACAGAATATTTGAATTCAATTTTGAATTGGAATTCAGGGGGTGAAGTTAGAAGTGAAGGTACAAGGCAGAACGGGCGAGGCACAAAGCACCGAGCTGTTGCAGCAATTTGGCCATGTGCCTGTTGTCTTCCCTTGGCATGCATGCTATCTGAACCCCTGGCGCAACTGGATCAGGTCCTGGTGGGTCACAGTCATCATGCATATCGGAGTGGCATTTTACAATGTCACAATCTGATGTGCCGGCATGGCCTACATCATGACAGCATAGTCCGACTCACGCTGAGCTAATGGTCACCATGACTCGCCATTTCAAGCGCATATGGAAAAACAAGCTTGCGCTCTTACACAAGGCTGAGGAGGCACCTTGATGACGGCGTTGAGGTAAGTCAGCTTGCTGAGGTCATCCCATTCGATGGATCGCGGCTGTGGCTGCTCGTGGGTGGCTAGCAGACCCAGGGACGCCAGCTCCTTAGTAATCTTGGCCTCAATATCAGCGTCCTGACTGACAGCGTACAGCGTCCAAGAGGCTGTGTGGCCCGTAGCTGCACACCGCGCACAAAGTGCTGTCAATATCCTGCAGGTATTGCAATTTCTGTCTTTCTTGTGATCAGAGGAGACAAGTACGGAACTTCGACGCATGACTATAACAGGGCCATTCAGGAAGACAGAAGGACAATGAGTTCTGAGTGAAGTAGGGAAAGTCTTGCCACTCAATCACCCATAATATTGGGAGGACCGAGCCCAAAAAACATTTTGAACTTGCCTCAAGGCGAGATCCTGTTCTTAGCACACTGTCCACCCAATGAATGGTGATGGATCAGCAAGCGCGATGCACAATCATTTCTTAAATGCCCTCAAGAATTCACAACCCCCAACAACAAAAAAAGACCACCAGAAAACACAATGCAACCTAGCTTGCTAATCTGCAGAGGGAGGAGAAAAGAGAAGGGCCCTCACTCTCAAAGCCAGCGAGGAAGAGCAGGGCGATCTCTGGCTTCAAAAACTCGTCCGTGATTGTCACCCCGGTGGCGGGGTCGATGATATCTAGAAGATGCGCCGCAAATGTCGCCTCTGCCGGCCGCTCCCGTCGAATGTCCGCCATCAGCCGGGCTATCACCTGGATACAAATGTGACCCTTTCAGGTTTGATCAAAGCCCCTAAGAACCCTGGGTTGTGCTGTGGCCTGAACAGGATTCCTGATCCCTACTCAATTCCTGGTCCCAATGCAAGCCCGTGTAATTTTTACAGCCAGAATTTGGAAACTTCCAGTAGCAATGGAGGCGCGTGACACACCTTGTGGAAGCGCCTTGTTGCAGCTCTTCCCGCCCACACATCCTGCGCAAAACAAGGATGCATTCAGCATTGCGGTGCCAAATGCACAGGATGAGCAGGAGCTTGCTTTGACCCACCCCTAGAGTTTGGAATTTTCTTTCAACAAGTAAACTTGCTGTGCCGTTGTGCAGGAATGATTTCCTGTGCCTGCATACTCTGTGCTCCAGAGCAGCAGTTTGACCCCGTAGCAGCTATTGGAAGCATGCGGATTGGCAAGACAAGCACACAGCAATGCAGTTGGGCTCTGCTGGGACGGATTATAAATGTCCTATGGAGACCAGGGATTGGAAGGAAGTTGCGAGGCGCCTCCAGTAATTTCCCAAGGCCGTGAAGCAAAGTCGCAGCGGCGGAGGACTTCATGTCCCATGCCCACCGAGGGTTTTGCAAGCATTCAAAATAAGCCAGGCTCTGAAGCCTTTGTACTTCGATGTTTCACAGGAAATATCTGAACGTGGCTGTAAGGCGCTCACCGGGCGCCAGAGCTTGTAGCGGCGCAGAGGGTCGTTGAGGCCGGCCTCGCACTCGGCCTGGGCGGCCTGCGTCGCTGTTATGGCCTGCCCCGGCTCATCGTCGTCCAGGAGGGAACGCGTCGCGCCCATGTCCCTCCCAAAACCCACTTGGCCTGCATGGATCAGGGCATTTGGGCAACAGGGTTTCCCGCAAGTACAGACCTCCCTGCTCTTTATCAACCTGACTACAAAGGGCTAGGGCCTATACTACAGCATGCATCTGCAGAGCTGTGCATAGGACAGGCCTGTCTTGGGTAAAGCTTTGCGGCAACAAATTCGCAAAACCCCGCTCTGCGGTTGCAAATTTCAGAACAGGACCTGCAGAAGCTCCTGAAGAATAACCACAAGCAAGGCAGACCCGACAAGGGTTTATAAGCCGAATCTAAATGTAAAAGGACAGGTGGGGGCGCACCGATCACATCCAGGGACTCCCTACAGGTCGCGTTGTCCATGTCCACTGCCACGCTCGGCCCCACCTCGGCCAAAACCTCAATCAGCTGATTGCAAGCCTTTCTGATCCCTGGCACAGCATGAACACCAAATTTAGCACCCCAGTCAACCACCTCCTACGGAGCCATCTTGTTCACCTTTTGAGTCCCACAATCCAAGCAAATGTCCAGCATGAGGTGTGCAACTCTATGCCATGCTGCTTTCCCCAGACACGGTTCTTGCCTGACCACACACAATCAGAGCATAGCAGGGAGGAAGGTCGGGATAGAAGTGAGCTCCCTCATGTAGCAACTGCAGGAGTTTTCTTTCGCAATTCCATTGAGAAACACTTTTGAGGCGTAAGGGTCCCAAGAATAGACAAGTGACTGGATGCAAAAGCGTGTATCACCTGGAAAATTGGCGCGCATGTTGGAAGTGCTGAAAGCAGTGGCGACTGCTTTGCGCACGGCCTTCCAGCGCTCGTCCGTGGGCAGCGTCAGAATTGTCTTGTGCGCGTTTGGACCCGAAAACTGCACACAACACCGCCGCAGGATCAGCATCCAATATCCTTTTGTCTTCATTGAATTGCTGAATAAATTACTGCACACTGCCGTCTGAGCAAGGTTCCTGCGCACGGAGCAAAGGCAGAGAAAGAAGCAAAATGTGAGGCAGACAGCGCTGCTTTTGGCCCAGGAGATCCGTCTGCTGCTTTCTACGTAACAATCCCAAGACGACTGTGCCTGGGAAGGTAAGTATCACACATGATGATGTGAGGTTATGTAAGGATCACCTCGTCCAGCGCGCGGCTGCCAAACTGCTGGGGCAGGTCCTTGTCGAGGCTCTTGTGGCGCAGCGCCTCCGCCGCGATGACAGGATCTGTGACCATCACCACCTGCACAGGAAACTGTAAGTTGAACCCTTTTCTGTCAAGGGGTTGTAAGAGCAGCCCTTCTCCTGCACCATTGCCGGTGATCTAAGCTCCATCGCCCTCTATGCTTGAAAAGTGGTCAGGAGCAGCCTTTGATGCAGCAGACGGCCTGCATGCTCAAGCCAACGACGACACGGTCTGCATGCATGCCAATTTAAGGCAATAATTGTCATTTCCTCAATACTGTAGCATGCCAAAGCACGAAAGCAGCGCACATATGGACACTAGGCCATTAGACCGCACACACCTTTGCGGCAGCTGCAAGTATAAGATGCACAGTCGTTTAGTTGTCCGCCGTAGAATGCAACAGACAATGAAGATCTAAGGCTGACTCACGTGCGTGGTGAGGATGCGGTAGGTCATGATAGGCCCGTATTTCTGCGCCCACTCCACATAGAGCCGGTGGCGGTCTGTTCTATCGCGCATGACCTCCAAGGGTCCCAGCAGCGAAGGAGGCAGGCTCGGCAGGTGCCGCAGCTTCCTGCAGCAGTTGCACCGCAGCTTCTCAGCTCCTGCTCAGTCATCCTTTTGATATCCCATATAACTTATCCAGCTTTTTGAGACCCACCTAGCTACGGGGGTTTGGCTGGGACAGCCAGTTAGGCATGGGATACATGCAATCCCCAAATGGCAAGCAAAACTAGTTCTGCTGCAGGACAGTGTGAGAGGAGGGGACAGGGTATGGGTTCCTAAGTGTTTCCGAACCTCAACAGATAGGATCTGTGATGGGCGCACCTGCCAATGCGCCAGCATCTGAAGAGGATGAGCGCCCCGTGGCAGATTTCGACCAGGATCCATACTCCGAAGAGCTTGATGGTTAAATCGCTTAGTGCGTAAGCGAGGTCGAAGGACTCCGGGATCTCCTGTCAGAAGAAAGCACACTCAACGTTTAGAATGGGCTCTGCGTAGTGAGTAAGGGAGTGCTCCATGTGCCTGGGCATGACTTGCAATGATCCAGGCCCGGAAAATTGACGCCATATGGTACATGTTCCGAAAGAAGCATACAATCTGTGTCACAGCCACACGATGCTGCGAACAGTGTGTTCGTAGAGCGCCCTAGTGGCACCATACTGTCTCGCAATCAGAAACTCACGGCTCTACTACACATTTACGATGGGCATTGTGAGGCCTAGAGAGCAATAGTACTGCCGAAAGTAGTGCGCATTTGCGAAGCTGAGCAACAACTGCTATGAGAACGGCCCAGATCACATACAGGCAACCAGCAGCGTATACGGTACGTACCATGCCGTGTTTGGCGTGCACGCTTCCAAATGATCGGTTCCCTTCTGATGTGTTGCGCCGGATTTTTGATCTTGGTGCCCTTCGGGGTGGTCCGTTGGAAGGTGCTTTTGACAAAGTGCCTACAAGGTGCTCAACTGAAAATCGTCACGTCCGTGATAATTCTTTTGCTTCCCGACAGACAACTCCATTTCAGAGTCAGGGCATCTACTTTCTGCTCTCGTTTGCCTGAGAAATCAATTAGCTGAAGGTTTACTTGAAATCGATGACGACGATGACGATCGACGACCACGTCAGCAGAATCTGACCTGGCATGCAGCATCTTTCGCTTTGAAGGTCCCTGCAATGATTAAGGAAATATGCTGCTCTTGCTGGCATCAGAAACCTGTGATGCAAATTACACCAGAAGCGTTGGCATTAGCTTTCGACAATAAATAGCTTGGGTTGCATGATTTCTTTCAGAATCTAGGTAGCTGCGCGCCAGGCATGCGCATGCAGCCTACTTCTTCAACGAGTTTGAGCTTTAAACTCTTCCAATTGCAATGACTTTTTAGAGCCCCTGGGCCAGGCCATACCATAGTTTTTTTTTCACGATCCGCGCTCAGCCGCGGTGGCATCATGCCAGCAATGGTGCTCATGATACCACGCCTAGGCACATGCACTGAACGGTCCAGTTAGTTTACGTTGTTTCAACGCAACTGGGCCTGTTGATGGTGACTTACATCCAGCATCAGATCCTGTCATTCACGCATTCATACCTCCTGACTTTTGAAGCCAAAATAGGACTCGTGGTGGATCTGCCAATCATCTGATGGCATATCCACTGCTGCTTCTTGCTCTGAGCCTAATGTAAGTAGGAAGAGGAAAAATTGAGACGAAAATATTTTCTTCTTTACAGTAATATTCTGTTACCGCATTATGCACACCTGAGATTCTCGAGACTGCCAAGAGCGACGTAATCTGAAGGCAGAACACTATGGTGCAACATCATGCCCTGCATAGCTCACAGGGCTGCAGCACTTTTTCGGAGAGGATTACAAATAAAAGAGCTGCATGCATATCCCACACGAGCAGAGGTCGAAGGAGGCATATTCCCATCCAGGTGAATCTTCCCTCTCTTCTTGGCTTTTGTCTGTTTCCATAGCAATTTCGGAAGTATCGAATTGAGGATTTCGCAATCTCACTGATATTGCTGGGACCTGGCACATCATCCGATCTACGGATAGTCCTTTGTTAGCTGTGTTTCTTGCCTTGCCCTGTGTTGAGAGGTGAAATTTTCCATCAGTGAGGTTCTGTGCTGTGTCTGTCCAGGGGGTTGTAGCGGAAGGTCCCATTATTCTGCCGCAAGAGAAAAAGCTTGCTCTGCCAAAGTACTGTGAGAGCATCTACCAGACAATCCGGCGACCAACTCGCACGATCCACGTGAGTTGATTTCTCCAATGCTGCCTGTACTTTGACCAGGAATGCACGCAAGCTTGCTTTTCCGAGTACATTGCAGAGTGTACTGGACAGTAGACATTCCGCAAATCTGTAGCTTTCCACTGCCTGGGCAACAGCGTAGCACCAGCATCCCTGATGGTGTTCTTTGATGGCTGCAGATTGGCAAGGTGGAGACTGGGAGCGAACACCCAGTCAGGTTGCAGACCATGACGACCACAGGTACACATTGCGCACCACATGATGTCTATATCTGCTGATTGGTCCCACAATATTTTTAGACAGCCAAGCTAATAATCAGCCACACAGGGCTCTCTCTGTTTCTTGCGAATTGCATGGCTACCGTCGGTTCTCATTGCCAGTGCTGGCATGCATGCTCCAGTGACATGGCGGTGCAGAGCTGGAGGGCTGCTGCTAGATGAGGATCTGGGGAGTGGAGGCGGTTCAATATGATATCTGTGCTGTGCAGATACACGCGACGTGGCGGGGACGGTGGAGCAAGTCAAGCGGTGCGTGGATTCTGGTGCGGAGATTGTGCGGATCACAGTACAGGGGAAGAAGGAGGCGGCTGCCTGCATGGACATCCGGGAGGCCCTCTTCAAAGATGGGTGCGCAACGCTCTGAGCTCCTGGAGCGCCTTCGTGCAAGTCCCAGGAGTCTCCCAGTGGCTGCTTGCCCTGTCATACGCATCCAAAAAAGAAAATTACGCTCAAGCCGTTTGCGCCATAATGCCAGGAGCTAGTTTGCAAGGGATCTCCAGAGAACATCAAGTGCATCCTTGTTCGAGATTGTCCTGCTTAAAGGCCGCTGTCATGACATTTATTGTACGGTATCTGTGGCAGTTGCAGCTCAAGGAATTGCATGCTTGCGGCATGCGTTTGTGCTGGTCCGCTTGTGACAATCATGCCACAATTAGTGAGCTGCATTTTGTCGGCTGTGGTGCAGGTATGATGTGCCGCTGGTGGCGGACATCCACTTTCAGCCTCAGGTGGCGATGATGGTGGCAGAGGCCTTTGAGAAGATCCGCATCAACCCGGGGAACTTCGCCGACGGGCGCAAGACCTTCGAGGTCATCAATTATGACGACCCCGCCCAATTCAAGGCAGAACAGGAGCACATCCGTGAGGTGGGGCCATGTCTTTCTTCTGCTCTTTCGGCATTTCTGGTTTGCTTGGTTTCCATGCAGCGGTTGCGGCGACATGTACCCCCTTCTTAAGCCATGCAAGGAGAGCTCCGTGTGTTTGACCCCATGAATTGGTATGTCATAGGTAGTGGTTTCATGTCCTGGGTTTGTTGGTAGCTTATTGCCATCACTATGATGTTAACCCCAACGGCAGAGGGTCTCTGTGGTTCCTTGGAGCATGTGTTGACGCAGTGCTACTTGTCATGCTTTAGGGGGTCGTAGATATCTTCGTTGTCTTCGGGCTGTCACCATAGAGATGTCGGAAACAACATGGCCCTGCTGGTATCTGGTTGCCATCACTTTCAAGATTGCCACAAGAGCCGAGAGCGTCTACGCACTCTGCACAGCTTGTAGTGTTTTTTATGCCGCTGCAGATACCTTGGTGAATTTGCGTCAGTCATTATGATGATGATGCTTACATTGACTTCCAACCTCTTTTACGAATCAAGTGGTACCCCCGTGTATTCAAGCCTTGAGCTATTATCCCGCTCAGCTTCTGAGCCCATCCACTTGTGTATTTCTTGCAGACCTTCACGCCGCTGGTCGAGAAGTGCAAGCGGCTGGGGCGCGCGATGCGCATCGGCACCAACCATGGCTCCCTCTCAGCGCGCATCCTCTCCTACTATGGCGACACCCCCCGCGGCATGGTGTGCATGCTCTGCTATGCTCTGCATTTTGAATTTGAAATTGAACCTGGTCCACCACCCACGCACCTACTCTTGCCTGAGTGGTCCGGGAAGGCGAGTGGCTCTGGTTGGGCGTCTCTTGAGCCATAATGTCTGCAGATGCACTGCAGCAGGCATGCAAGCACCTGCTTTTGCCGGCTGGTTGATAGGAGTTGAACAATGACGACCCTGGAACCTTCTCTTGGCTTGTGCCTTGCAGTGGAAAATAAGGGTGTCCTGGGGGTGCGCAGGTGGAGAGCGCGTTTGAGTTTGCGGACATCTGCCGTGACCACGATTACCACAATTTCCTCTTCTCCATGAAGGCATCCAACCCGCTTGTGATGGTGCAAGCCTACCGGCTGCTGGCAGAGGAGATGTATGCCAAGGGGTGGGACTACCCCCTGCACCTGGGTGTCACTGAGGTGCGCTGCCATTTATCTTCTCCCTTTTTCCATCTCCTTGCCTTGCCCACTGACCTGCAAGCAACTCATTCATTCTCCCCCCTTCTGCAGGGTTTCTCAGGGGGTCTATATATAACTCTAGTATGTGCACCCTGCATGTCACTATATCTGATTTGAAGAGATGTACCTTCTGCGTTTCTGCAACAAAGCTTTGTATAGATGCATGCCTCCCTTTTGGCGTGCACGGCTGCATCAGGCACATGACAACAGTGTGAGACTATTGCCGCATGCAACAAGTTGTCATGACATCATATCATGTCAGTGGCTCGTACAGACTACCGATTTCAGCGAGTAATCTGAGGCACTAATCAGGGGTTACTAATCAAGCACGCGTTGCCTGACTAGGCGGGAGAGGGCGAGGACGGGCGCATGAAGAGCGCCATCGGCATCGGCGCGCTGCTGATGGATGGCCTGGGCGATACGATCCGCGTGTCACTCACGGAAGACCCCGAGCTCGAGATTGTGCCCTGCGGGTGCGTGATACCACCGATGGAGCTAGTCCTTGGACCTTTCAGGGACTGGGGTGGGCTTCCCCTCATGCTGACAGGGGTGATTTGTGCCAGATTGCGGAGGCATAGAGTGTTGCTGTGCTGCGTTCTGCACATGCCTTTGCTTTTTGGCAGACCTCCCCCATTGCCAGCATGAGCGCACATGTACCGCAGGAGCCAAGTGATGCATTGCTAGCACCATCGCTATAACGGCACTGTTGCATGGAGGAAATACCGCCCCGGAAAGTTTTACAGCTTTTTTTGAGCTGAGCTTTTGGGCGGAGTCAGAGGTCTATAACGTGGATAGGAGGGCCTCGGGTATGGGGCAGTGATTCGATGGAGGTGCAGCACATTACAATAACGAGCAATCATAGTATCTGACGCGTGCTGCAGGAAGTTGGCGGGCTTTGGGGAGCGGGCTTGCCGCGAGGGGTTTGGAGTGGACCCATTTCCGGAGGCGCACCGGGACATACACACCTTCACGCGGCGCGCGGGGCGGCTGCCGGAGCAGCGGGAAGGGGACCCCGTCGACTTCCGGCCCCTCCTGCACCGCGACGGCTCCGTGCTGTCTGCGGTCACCCTGCAGGTGCGGGCCTTTTCTTTCGCCGTATTACTTGAATCTCCCTTTCAACTGGAGAAATGGAAAAAGAGAGCAGTGTATGCTAGCCTGATCAGGCTAGGGACAGTGCTGTCTGTGGTCACCTTCCAGGTGTGGGCATTTTCTGTGCCTGTTTGCTTTGTATTTAGCACAAGAATGCGAGTGCATGCTAGGTGATCAGGGCAAGTAACAGGGCTCCACTGCTGTTCGCGGTTACCCTACATGTGCTGTCTTGTTTGGCCTAAGGCCCATCAGCATACTAAAGGTTTAAGCTACATGCAACTCTCTCCTGTGGTGTGCATGGTATCCATCCACCCATCTGGAGCTCGCATGCCAGCCTGTGAGAGCAGGCAGATGCTGTCAGCCATGACTGTGCAGGCATCACATGATCCGGCTCAGCATGAAGCTCTGAAGAAGGAGCTTTCTTGGATTCTCTCCACATGTTACCTCTTGACAGTGTTGGGTGGATGCAGAGTGGACCATTTTTTGCCATCGAGATTTGGCGGGGTTGCAAATGCCTTTGCAGTGGACTCTTGCTGATCTGAGATTGCCGCAGAAGAGCACCTCCTCGGCATTGAGGATTGGAGGAATTGCAAATGCCTTTGAAGGGGAGAGTGGTGGGATTGCAGCTGTCTGTAGTCCACTCCCGTGAACTTTTCTTGAAGGGGCCCACACACCTTCAACAGCACTCGAGCAGCGTCTCCGGAAATGAAGGAGATTCATTCCACCTGGACATTGTTTGTTGACGGCCAGTTTGGCATGCGCAGGAGCTGGAGAAGCCGGAATTGACCTACCGGAAGCTGGGCGCCAAGCTGGTGGTGGGCATGCCTTTCAAGGATCAGGCAACCTCCGACACGCTGCTCCTCCCTGAAGTGCCGGCGTCCTCCGACAAAGATAAGCGCCGCGCACTCGCCCGCCTGCAGGTGCGGAGTCTTCCTGCAACAACTGAAATCTTGGAGCATTTGCCTAGACTGACAAGAGGGAATATGTGGATTCAGTACTTTCCAGCAAGTCCACCGATTCCTATCATGCCTCTGCCTCATGGAAGAGCATACCTGGCTGTCCCTTATGCATCCGCTCTCTCCAACCCCTCTGAATCTTCTGACCCTCAACTGGCGCTTCCCTATTGGCAAGAAGCTGTTTGCGACAGCTGCCCTGATCAATTGACACAACCTTGCGCAAACCTTGCACTCACAGAAACGATGAAATGGCTGCTGTGTTGTGCTGTGCTGGACCTCCCAATCTAGCAACGCTCCACCCTCCCCGACATCGCTGCTGCATGCATACCTGGACGAGTATCTGCTTCATGCATGCCTGAAGGAGCCATATTACTAATGTCATTACATGATACTAATGCGCAGGAGGTGGGCGTGCACGTGATCGCGCCGGCGGCGGCGCTGGAGGCGGACCCGCTGCAGCATGCGGTCGCGGCGTTCCCTCTCTCCGAGGCGGCCGCAGCCGTGCGCGCCGGCGGCGTGCGCCTGCCGGAGGGCGCCGGCCGATTCGCCGTCTCCGTGGACGGCACCGAGCCCGAGGAAGATGTCGCCGCTCTTCGGGTGTGGTTTTTGCTCACTCCCTATTTCTACTTCTGCCATTTCCCTCAAGTTGGTCATCTTCAGTATTCTGGCCAGTTGGGGTTCAGGGTCAGGGTGTGGGAGATACATCAAGTAGGAGGAAAGAACAGAAAAAACAACAAAGAACGAAATTGGGTGTATTGTTGGCCTTTCTTGGCCGCTTCGCCTTGTCTCTGGACAGCACCGAGCCCGAGGAAGATGTCGCTGCACTCCGGGTGTGTTTCTTTTCCTAGTGTATCAGCCGCACCCTTCTTTTCGTGGCCAGTTGAGTTATGTTCCTGAAGGCGACAGGTGGCCTGGGGATATGTCGGCTGATATGGTCACTCTGTCTGTCTCAGAAAAGGTCTTCAGGCAGGTTTTGTTGGAAGGCAGAGGCGGTCCATGGTCTCTGTTGCCTGGCCTGACCGCCCTGCATGTGCGCATCTCTGCCTGTCAAGCATTCCTAAGATTTCATTGCATTCAATCTTGAAGGCCAGAGCTTGCCTCTAGGTTTGCATTCAAGGACCTCGTAGTTCATTAAGGTGTGTTTCATTAGGAATGCACTTTCCCTCAACAAGTGCCAATGGAGGCTGGAGATCAATGTGGATGGCCCTTTGCCGAGCTTGGCTACTGCAGCATTTTGAGACCACTGAACGGCCGTTTGTGGATCAGTGTGAGTGTCATCTGAGGTTTGTGTTTCTGTGTGCAGGATTCCGGCGCAGTGCTGGCGCTCCTCAACGTTGCACCGGGCGTCAGCCGCGTGCATGCGTCCCGCCGCTTCTTCGAGCGGCTGCAGAGCCACGACATTGACATCCCCGTCATCCACCAACGCGTCTTCCCAGCAGGTAACGCTGCTGCCTTTTGGACAAGAGAGCACTGCATTGCAGAACTTGTGCCAATATCATAAGCGGATCTCTTAGATTGCATTGCAGAGCCTCTGTCGAAGTTCCCAAGCAGGGCGTGTCAGAATGCGCAGCTTTTAATTGGATGTGCGGCAGAATTTGCAGGAACCTTGTCCAAGCACCCAGACAGGGCCTCTGATTATCCAGTACAGCAGAATGCATCGAGAAGTCCGGGGTCTGTCAATGCAGGATTGTCATGATCTCTACAGAGATGTACAGGGTATTTCTCTGTGGTTCTATAATCTAGTTCTAATTGCATGCGCTGCGTGTGTAACAGGAGTGTCACGCGACGAGCTGGTGCTGACGTCTGGCACTGAGATCGGCGCGCTCCTCGTGGACGGCTTGGGCGACGGTGTGGCCATCGAGTGCCCATCAGAGGACTTGGACTTCCTCCGCACCATGTCATTCGGCCTTCTGCAGGTGCTGCTCTCTTGCCTGACTCCTGCTTGAATATCCATGACCATTATGCACCTTAGTCGTTGTGGTAACACCTCTTACAGCATCAATCACTGTGAAAGCAGGCGGGCAAATAGGCGCCATTATGTGTACTATCACGTCTGCCTTCTCTCTCAGCAGTGCTTCCACTGTTTGTCGTGCTACTGGCGACTTGAATGGCAGAGGTACCCCTTCTGTGAGTCGGGATATCTCCATACCCTCTCACTGGCACAGTACTTCAGCCGTCTGGCCATTCGGCGTCAGTGAGTGGATTGGGGTGTGTGCCATGTCTGTGGATCATTGCCACCTACAAGCATCTTCGTATCAGCAAGTGGTCCTGTCCAAAGTCTTTTGTGCTCCCTCAGCCGGGGAAGCATACCTGTTGCTTAACGCGCAATGTGAGGCAGCTTTCTTGCTTCCTCTGGCGCTCGCTCTGCCTTGACCTTTCCCTCCAACAGTGCACATGATCGCATGTGCGCGCATGTGCATCACTTGTATCCTGATCAGACTCCCTCGCATGCATGCAGGGTTCTCGGATGCGCAACACAAAGACCGAGTACGTCTCCTGCCCCAGCTGCGGCCGCACACTCTTCGACCTTCAGGAGGTCACCGAACAGATCCGCACGCAGACCGGACACCTGCCGGGTGTCTCCATCGCCGTCATGGGCTGCATTGTGAACGGGCCAGGCGAGATGGCCGACGCCGATTTTGGGTGCGCTGCCTTGCTTGTCTCACTGAGCAGGAAAGAAGAAGATCTTCTCCAACATGACAGACTTCTTGGGGGCTGTGATTCCCCGACCGCATTTCATGCAATCCTCTCTATAGCCTCTCTGGGTACCAAGCCACTGTCGGTGCTATGCCCTGCTGATCTCGCAGAGAGCAGTTGCAAACCAAGCGTGTGGTTTTTTTTTTGCTCGAAGCGACCAGCCCCCTACCGTGCATCCTTTCTGAGGAGTCTCTCAAGGTGAAATTTGGTGTCCCGGAGGCTTCCCTTCCTGTGCTACCAGCCCAGGAGCAGAATGCAGCAGAGAATTGCATTGGTAGCAGAAAACCTCCTGCCATCTCCAGCCGAGCTGCGCATGTGTTCACATTCCTTGGAGACGGCAGAATGCTCCTCCCATCTCCAACTGAGCTGCACTTTGTTGAGACCCTTTCATGATCAGCAGGGCAACAAAATAATCCTGCCTTGACTCTGGAACATGTGCATGTGCAGGTACGTCGGCGGGGCGCCAGGAAAGATCGATCTTTACGTGGGCAAGGAGGTGGTGAGGAGGGGGATCCCAATGGACGGCGCCTGTGACCAGCTTGTTGAGCTGATCAAGGAGCACGGGCGCTGGAAGGAGCCAGACGCTGAGGAGGAGGATATTGAGGCCATCGCGGAGGAGCGCCTGGAGAAGGGGGCACACCTCGTCTGAGCGCCAGTCTCTCAGTGGCGCTGTGCGTTTTTGGGCTTCTGGAGGGAATTTATCTTGAAACAGAGGTCTTTAGAGAGGTTGGCAGCGAAACAGTACTGATGAGTTGCCCACGATGAACAGAGGAAATACACTGGAGGCGAATTTGTAAGTTGGCCATGTGGAAATGCTGCACAATGGTTTATGCATGATCCTGGGCATGCCTGCCTTTGAGATCAACAATTGAGGAAAGAGCAACAATACCCGGGTTCATGCATTGACCATTTCTTCTTTGAGAGGTACTTATTGACAGCAATCAAAGAGGCAGCTGCTAGGGATCATGAGGGCTCAAACCTGACAGCGATGAAGAATATAGGCGACTGTTCAAGAGCGCCTCGAAAAGCTTCAGGGGGACACTGCTGGTTTGACCACTTCTGACCATAGTTGCACGACACGGCTGGTCAAAATTTGGACACGCGTTTGCGAACGTTCGCGACACCGCGACACCGCGACACGCGTGTCCAGACCTGAGGACGTTAGTAACCATGCAATCGGGTGATGACTACAGATTACTAAGGTTGACGGAACCTCAAAAAGCTGTTTCCGGACCCGACAACGCATCAAAACACATCGGAATTGTCTCTAAACACCTTTACAAGCATGTTATGTGTGTTTGGGGTGTTGTTGGGTCATTTCCCGGCGTCCAAGCGGCCAAAAACGATCAGAAACGGTCAAACGTAACCCTTACGTAACCCGGTGTCGGAGCGGTGTCGGAAATGGCCAAAATTGGACACGCGTTTGCGAACGTCCGCGACACTCCGACACCTGACACGCGTGTCAGGTGTCGTGCAACTGTGCTTCTGACACTACATTTTGGGCTAATATGTAAGTGTGGCTAGAGATGTGGAGTGACTGATTTATGAAAGAGTGCATGACAGTTTGGCTTGTCTTCAGTGACAAAGGATAAAAGTATAGGGCTGCGCAAGAATCATTCATATACAGCTGGCAGGCCCTGGCAATATTACAACACCGAAATGCAATATTTGCAATCTAATCACTTTGAACAGTACCATTGAACTGACAAGGTTGACCCAACCAGAAGCCCCCTCAACTCACTCTCATGTGATTGAGCAACCTCACTGTTTGACACTGAGACATTACTCATCTCAACTCCAGCCGTGGTACCTGGCGTTTTCGTACACCTACCTGCCTTTTGGATTGTATGGGAAGTTTGCTTGACAAACATCCTCCCTGCAGAAGAAGTCGTCTGGCCAGTCAGGACGTCCCGTCCAGTGGGGGGAACAAGATTGAGATGGAGAGAAGGGGGGGGGGGTGCGGGTGCACGGGGCTGCACTGCACTGCACATGCACATGCAAAATACTCCCACATTTCGTTTTCAGAACCATCTGCAAGCACTGCGCATGCGCAACAACAGGTCATGGTAGGATACTGCCGCCAGGCAAAAATACTTTTCCCGACAGCTTTCCCTAATCCCTAGATTAAGGCGACCAAGGTTCCCGCAAGGGTCTAGAGCTACAGCTACATCTGTCAGGTGTTAATTTAAGCGATCGCAAACATGTTGTCTTAGCTTTCGCAGGTCGTCTTCTGGGTCGGCGTCACCCTTACTTCTGCCAGGCCAGGAGAGACTTTGTACACATGCAGAAGTCACTGTGCATATGGCTCTTTACTTCTACCAATTCGAAGGAAGAAATGATGCACATAGTCTCTCGTGAAAGAGTCGCAGCCCACCCACAGACGTGTGAGATGGTCTGTTTCTAAGCGCAAAGAAATGTGAAGGAACAGGGACGAACGAAGACAGTTTGAGAGTACTTAAGGATAATCAGTACTCACCCATAGAGAATGCAGACGTCTCGAATGCGATTGAAGGTGGAAAAGACAGGCAAACGAGATCCCTCAATCGTCCTGAAGAAAATGACTTCAGTCTGTGACAATGCGCAAACAGTCAGGCAACAGATGGGCAAATGTGATGCTCGGTGCGACTATTTGCCTCAGCTCTTTTGTACAGACTGCCAGGAAATCTGAGTTAACGATTGATTGGTTCTTTCTGCCATCAATTCCAATCACGGCAATCATTCGAATGGCGCAGCATTGACGCCCGTGCACACACGTCCATCGGGGGCGTGCCTAATCTGGGATGGCGGTTACAAAGCGCAACAGTGACCTGGTCCTGCAATCATCGGACGACTTGCAAGAATAATAATCTCTATTTTCAGTCTTCATGTTGCAGAGCTTACGAGCATCCTGTCTTGAACAGAGCCTCCTTATAAAAAGCGAATACTTAGGAAGGATGTTCCGCAGAAGTACAAAACAGCGGGTTCCACCTGAAGCGGATCCCCATTCTCCGATTAGGTGAGAGGAGAAATTAGGAGATGCTGACGATATGCCATGGACCACCTTGCTGGTACGAGCTTTATTGATGTAGAGATAACCACTGCTTTGTGCAGCACTCCTGATGAAGGATCGGCTTTTGACATCGCTACGTCGAACTCAAAAGTTCTTGCCACTGTGCTGCAAGAGGTCATCCCATCTGAAGTGGATCTTCATTCTCCGAATAGGTGAGACGAGAAATTAGGAGATGCTGACGATATGCCATGGATCACCTTGCTAATAAGAGCTATACTGATGTAGAGATAACCACTGCTTTGTGCAGCACTCCTGATGAAGGATTGGCGATTGACATCGCTACGTCGAACTCGAAAGTTCTTGCCACTGTGCTGCAAGAGGTCATCCCATCTGAAGCATATTGCCAGGCATTCTATACAACTGTCCCACAGCAACGCCCTTCCAGCACTGTTGACACGCACACGACGTTAAACTAAGTTGGAGCTCTTAAACAAAAGATATGGGCCTTCCTAGTTCCTTGATGGTGGTTCATGCTGTAGCTGGCGGATGGTGCCCGCAGACACGCAGCGGCAGCCCGCAGACAGTCAGAGGAATTCCACAGAATGGGCATGGAGTACCTTGAACAAGAGCAGCGCTATTCCAAAATGCTTGCAATGATGGGCTGGCCTTATTGCACAGCTGAAGAGATGCGTGTTGATGAGCCTGAACTGAAGCCAGCGCTTAAAGGTGAAGGAGCCAAATTTCTGACCGAAGTGCACCTGAGAAACGACTGAATTTGGTGATGCACATCAAGCACTGCTTTCCTGGCAAGCCTAAGAATTGATAGCACAGTTGCAGGTCCCTCCCACACTGCAACACTGAGCTTGACAAGGGACATCGCAGTGAGTGCCAAAGTGGTGGGGAACGCAGTCGCAATGAATGTTGACCACGGCGAAGGCTTATGGGAAAGGCTGTGTAGAGTCCTGGAGGCAGAGAATGTGATCCTTGAACTGCGGACCAGCAATGACTGCGATTGCATCATTGGCCTGTACCGGGTCAAAGCCAGGCTGTATCGCTCCGATGCCCTAATCCCCTTTCACAAAGTCGGTGCGCACTTGGCATGTCAGAGCCCGGTATATCACAATATATCTGGTGTGTGTGCAGCTTTTTTCCTCACACCCGTCAGACCAAATTTGGTGCCTTCTTGCACATAGAGGAAAAATGTCTCAAACACATGCACTGCACATGTCTGCCGGTGCATGCGCAATTGCGCAGTTGTGACAGGTGTGTATCTGTCCAGGGCCGACAGAAGCGTGCAAAATCTTGGTGCTGGTGCTGAATAATCCTGCCAGTACAAACCCAGCGACCCTGGCCGATGCAGCTGAGTTTGAAGATATGAAAGCGGCGGTGAATCACCTGGAGACAGTTTGGATAGATGAAGGGATATGGCTGGAATCGGAAAATAGCATTGCCATTAAAAGCATAGCTGGGGTATTGAAAGAGCTTGCCAAATGATGGCTGTCATTGTTGAGTGCATACAGACAAGGTTGAGAGCGGTTAGTGAGAAGGGCTCATCATTGGTCATGCACAAGTTGTTTCTGCAACACTTTCCTCTTGACTCACAGTAGCATCAGTGGTTGCAGCAGCTTCATGAGCTGCTATACACAGGCGCTCTGCGGTTTACATTAAGAATTAGGATGTAAAGCAGTTTCCTCTGCAAATGCGCCTTGCCTCTTTGCAGCTTGCCCCTTATGCAATTAGATATGTAGCACTATTCTTCTGTACCTCTCTAATGGATTGCAAGGGCCTCGGCATGCTGAATTTTTCACTCAATTTGACTCCTTGGCAATTACTATTACATGGGTTGCGATCCTCTGTCAAATGTTGTAGCTATGAGCGTAGATCACTAGTAAGGGTGAAGCGCTGTGTCTCTGATTTCCTACCAGCTTAGTAACTTAAATATGTCTAAACCCCAACATTGATCAGCCAGATGCGTCTATCTGCCTCTGGGGGCCGGTTTCATATCCTCCGTGCAGCAGCGTCTTTTTTAATCATACATTATCTTCAACTAATCCAGCCCAAGAGCCACTGGCGCCAATCGGCTGTCACTTTTTTAAGGATTGAAATTTCTTGATGAGGTCCACAGCCACGGTGATGCCCTCTGCCAGCTTCAGCTGAGGACCCGAGCTCCATATCGTGCGCCCGTTGCTGTTGCGCAGAATCAGCGTGCCCCCATTCTGGAGCACAAGCCTTGTCTGGCGGTCTCCCTTCCCATCTGTGTTGCTGGCCCAGCCCGCAAACCGGCCCTCTGCTCCGTACAGGACCAGATTGCCATCTTCCTGCAATCACACTGCAGCAGTCAACACACACATCGGGCAGCCCGCGCACTCATGCGCACGCCAAGTGCCCGTGGCTGGAAGGCATGGGCTAGGAATTCTTGCTTTTGCCAGATCAGATGATATTAATCATCAGGGACACACGATGGCACACGATGGATGCAAAGTACCTATCATCGATCAGCAGCAGGAGTGCTGGAAACTGCTGGAACTGATACATCCGATTACTAAAGTTAGTAACCATGCTGACCTGGAGGGTGAGCCTGGTTGGCTTGGGCCGCGCATGGCTGGTGTTGGTGGCCCAAACCACGGTTCCATCCTTGTACACCTGCGCACCCCACCCCCGAATAAGGTCATTGGGCTAACTTCTTTGAACTTTTTGCTTTGAAGCCACATTTCAACAGACTTGTTCATTCACGGCCATGCAGCTACATCATGTACAGGATGTGATGACCTGCCACTGGCTCTGGCATTTACTGAAAATTTATGGCTGCTTATCAGCCCGCAAGAGTGAATGAATTCAAATTCAGAAACCGGTTGCACAGCGTGAGGGTATGATATGGTAATCGCACCACAAGGTTGCCGTCCTCCTGGAACGCGAATCTGCTGCGGCCGTCAGGCGACGCCATGCACTGCCCCACGCGCAGCTCCTCTCCCGCCAGCAGTTCAGAGAAGCCGCTCTGCAGCCAGCAAACTTCGTATCAGTCAGTCGGTAACATGTATTGCATTCAGCTGATTTAGGGTTTTTAGTTGAACACAATAAATGTAGACCCTAAAATCTCTAAAAGAATTATTAAGGTTGGTTGGTCTGATGTCTGGCGGGATCCCAAGCGTCAGTGCCGAGCATGGCTTCTTGATCTACACACCAGGAAATGATACGCAGAATTTTGCAATGATCTGCTCTCACATAAGGGGTCCTATTCTGCACACTCGTACAGACAGAAACAGGCATGATTTGACCAAAATGGACTGACCAAAATGGACTGACAACACTGAGAAAGCTAGGGCTGGTCACGTTGATCTGATGGGCCAACATTTGTACTGCTAGAAGGGACTGAGTGAGGAATGGGATGGTTTGACGCAGAAAGATGTTACAAGCAAGCTGTCATCCTCGACCAGCCACTGCCAGTCATCCACTTCAAAGTAGCGCACTGTGGCGCTCTTCTGGCGCTCCAGTTCTGCGCGCTCAATCTCCTCTTGCTGCTTCTTCGCAGCCTCCCTCTGCTGCTCTGCCTGCAGCTCCAGCTGCACGCAAATCCAACCGTCTTCAATTCACAAGCCTCCTTGTAAGCGCCTTGTGTCTTGTCATGGCCCTTGCTGGTAGGGGCCGGCATACGTGCTGAGCAATATGTCAACGGCTAGTTGGTTTTGGCCTGGACTGCTTGATTTCTTAAAAGATCAGTATGCTTGACAGTCTGTTCCTACAGTTCTCTGAATACCTTGACTTTTCAGCAGGATCAGTGTGTGACAAAATAAAAGCTCAAAGATATGCGTGAGATGCAAATTGAAAGGAGTGGAGGAGAAACAGCAAACCTCCTCCAGACGGCGCTGGGCTTCGGCCTGCTGAGCTCTGGCAGCAGCCGCCTCAGCCTCGCGGGTGGCCTTCGCTGCCGCCTCTGTCTCGCGCACCTTTTGAGCCGCCGCTTCCGCGATACGCGCCTGCTCGGCAGCGGCTTCGGCCTCGCGCAGCCGCCTTGCGGCCACCTCCGCCTCCAAAGCGCGCATCGCGTTTGCCTCGGCTTCGCGCGCCCGTGAGGCTGCCAGCTCGGCATCCTGCCGCTGCCGCTCTGCATCTGTCTGCCGAGCACGGTGCGCGGCTGCCTCCTCCTCGCGCGCCTTGTTCGCTGCGGCCTGCGCCCGGAGCGCCACGCTGGCGGTCGCCTCGGCATCGGCTGCGCGCTTGGCGGCAGCAGCAGCCGCGGCCTTCTGCCACTGGACCTCCGCAGCGTTCGCCTTGGCCTGGGCCTCAAGTGCGGCGCGAGCCGCCGCCTCATAGTCCCGGGTGTGCTGTGCGGCAGCTGCCGCGTCGGCTGCGCGCTGCGCGGCCGCCTCGGCTTCGCGTCGTTGACGCTCGGCCTCAGCTTGCCGGGCGCGACCGGCCGCCGCCTCGGCTTCCAGCGCCTTCTTTGCGGCCGCTTCGGACTCGCGTGCGCGCTTTGCGGCGGCCTCCGCCTTTTGCGCCCGCGCCGCAGCCGCCGCTGCATCGCGCTCCCGCTGCTCATCCGCCGCAGCCTCCTGCTCGAGCTTCTCGGCAGCTTCCTTTTCTTTTGCGCGCAGTGTGCGCTCCTTGTGCGCAGCCGCCTCGGCCGCACGCTGCCGCTGCGCCGCGGCCTCCATTGCCGCGGTTTCTGCGGCAGTCTCGCGGTCCTGCAACTCGCGCAGCAGCGGCGCGAAGTGGCCGTTGATGAAGCGGCTGCGCAGCTGCCATTTGGAGGGGCAGGTGTTCTTCTTGCTGGAGTAGTACTCCTCGTCCCATGCTGCCAGCTCAGCCTCTAACTTCTCCGCAGTCGCATACGGGTTGACCGCCACCTGATCATCAGTGTGGGGTATTTTGAGCATGCAAACATCCAGTAGAAGGCAGTCCTGAAGCAGCAAATCTCTCCTGGACTGCAGCTGTGTCAATGTGTGGGCATGGCGCAATCGGCAGCATATAGCGCCATGTGCGGAGGAGGTCTTGACAGCCACACTCCGGAGTTTGTCCACCAAAATCACAAGTGAGTCCCACCTGGGAGATGCGGTGCTTGCCGGCAGCAATGAGCTGCTCACACTCCGCCTCAGCAACACCAACTGTGTTGCCCTGTGCCGGTGGCATTTGCTGCTGCTGCAAACAAAAAAACACTCATTAGCCGCTATGATGAATGTGGTTAGATATATTCCAATGCCCAGACTCTTTCCCGTTCAAGCAACAGCACGGACCATCTAGCTGCCGGGGAATATTGCACAATAGCTAAACAGCAGCCAAACCGGTGCTACAATTCCGTGAGCTTTATAGACATCAGGGATCGCTTCCAGAAGAATAAAGACAGAAAAACTTGATTGGCCATCAGGTGCAGGCGTTATATCCAGTGCAAGGGAGCCACATACTGACTCACCGTGGCATGCTGCTCTTGGCGTGACAGAGGGACAGATCTTGGGGTTGGCGTCCGACCGGCAGCCGATGCCGGTAGCTCTTGATAGTCATCCAAATAGTCCTGCAGAGAGAGCAGCCACCGCAATGAGTCAACAAAGGAGCCATTTCTGCCATTGCTGGCTCTTCCTATACATACCCAGCCACCAAAGGTTGCTGTCGCTGTTGCGGCAGTACTTTATTTGCTGCTGCTTCACATGCAAACTACAAAACCCCCAAGCCTGGCCTGGCACAAGAGCCTGACAGCCCTAGCAGGACTTGCTGTCCCATAGGGGAGAAGAAATAAGCACCTGGGCTGCGAAGAGGGCGTGCTGCAGGCCGCGCATGATGAGGACTCCAACATCAGGCGTGGGCTCGTACTCGTTGCTGAAACTCTTCATTGGGAACACATCCTTTGTGCCCCCGCTGCCACTCAGCGAAGCCACCTCCTGTGACAAGCATCTAAAGTCAAGTAGACCATGCATGATACTCTTGTAACAGGCACTTTGTGTATACACTCTCTTGATGGTTAGGAAATTCATATTTTGTGGTAGCAAAGGAGTTTGCCTCTGGGCACAAGCCGAGTTTACAGCGTTAGTCATACCACAAAACATTTTAAAGACAAGATTTTGAGGACAGTGGCCTTACGCTCATGATCGCGGCGATGCGCGCGCTTGAGAAGATTGAGGAGACTCCTCTTGTATTGATCTCCGGGTCATATTCGTCCACCTTGGTCAGGAATACCAGTGTCGGAATGCCTGCGCGCAAGTGCTTGAATATTAGTAAGTGTGCGCATGCTTGAGAGTATCAGTATTTGATGACACGAGAGGCCTTTGCAGTGGGAGGCAGGAAGACTGCAGAGACAATGCACTCCTGGGTGCCTAAGTAAGATGCAAGGATGCATATAATCTGTCCAGATTATTCTGGTGTGATTCTCTGAAAATCTATGACCCCGATTGGCGGGGGCGGGTATAAAAAATGAGCACCGTGCCCAAGGTTGGTTGGGTCTTGCTTGGATCTGGCGAGTCCATCAAGGGGTAGGATTTTGGCAGCCTTTAGCGCAGCTTGTCTGCAGACGCACCTTGCTTCTGGCAGGAGAAGCGTGTAATAATATTGAGGATAGTAATAGAAGTTCTCTGAAATGGCATTGTGCTGCACCCAAGGTATTGTTTCTGACTATCCAAGAATATATATATGCCGAAGGCAATCAGGGGCGCACCTCGGTCCATGGCAAACTTCTTCATCTGTTTGAGGCGGGTGGTGTATTCTTGGTCCGATGCACTGCAGCTGGGCACGACAAAGCACACGCAGTGCACCCTGTCTGCCAGGGCAGGGTACGCGAAGAAATCGCGGCTTTGGGGGTGGATCGGCTGAGACAGGTCAAAGCCGTGGGATACATTGCCGTCCAGAATGTACCCCAGCTCACCGGCCTGATACTCCCTGTCTGTCCAGCCGGCACAGTCCCACAGGAGAAAGGGGGCTTCAAATGCCCCTCCTGCAATGGCCAGAGTTCTTCCTGAGCACTTGAACAAGGAGCTCAACTTTGCAGCTCCTAGAGCTGCCCGTCAGTTGACGCCTGTCTCAAGGCAAGTCTGTGAAGTCTGCTCCACAGCTGGCAGCGAGCAAATGCTAAGCAAGCAACGCACTAAAAACGACTTGAAAAGTGGTTGGTGGAGCTGACCTTGAGGACTGGTGTGCTTGAAGGTGAACTTGTTCAGGATGCGGGTGTACGAGCCCGTGCCCTGTCCGTGGGCTGCTCTGCGAGAGATTCGTCCCTTGAAGAGACTGTCGACCGAGGATATGAGGCTGCTTTTGCCGGCTCCGACGCCCCCGAAGAGTAGCACGTTCACTTTCGGCAAGTCCCTCGGGACTTCGAAAGCTGTCAGGTCCGCCATCAGCTTGGCGTAACCCTGCACTCGAACAGGCAAGCACATCTCGCTAAGTTTATTGCAAAGAGTGTATTGATCGCAAGGATGCATCCTCAAAGTCCAAGGTTGCAACACTATTTGATGTAGGTAGCTGGCAGGCTCGGGAAAACGTACCGCTGCGCCCCAGGTGACATTGGGCATTGAGTTGTTCAGTGTGGCTTAGAATGGATTATTAAGTCCTGTTTTGTCGAGCCAAGTACTTGCAAACGTGCAATCCTGGATCTGTTCGACAGGTTCTACGGTGTTGCTAGACGGACGCCGTTGGTTGTCTTAGAGTACTCTAGGACGCCGTCAATTGCCTGTGTGAGGATGCAAAGTGTCTTCTAAGTATGGAATCGAGCGTTGTCGTTTGGGACCTTGAAACTTGCATTCAACCTGCCTCGGCACTGACGAGAAACTGCTTTACATAAGGCTGACCTGTTCATTACTCATAGATCTCAGTCCTCAGATAGAGAAGGATTCCAGCACCTCTGCCGCAAGTATCATGCTGGAAGTTATAATAATAATGGTGTTTCGACGCTGTTTCCATACTGTCGCACGTCTTGAAAGTATCGAGCCTCGGGTGGTTAGGCAATTACGAGGCAGCTGTGATGGATATTTCCTTGGATCCGCCAATGATCATGCAAATCGGTAGTTCAGCTACACCCGTGATAAAATGTACAATTGAAAAAATCTTGCCCCACGACCAGCATTGCAGTGTGTCTCAGCATTGCAGAGACATGCATGCATTTCAGTTTCTGACAGATTCTTTAGCACTGCACCCCTAGCATCCCAACAGCCTCCATCATGGCGTGCAGCCCATTCTTGTGGCACGCTGTCACAGCGTGCCACAGTGGGCTTTGTCACAGTGTGGGTAATATGCATATACGTATCTTACAGTGTGTGACATGATTCTTCAGAGACACTAAATGTACAGAAGGCTCACACACAGGAAAGCCACGCTCATAAATTTTATGTGCATGCCTTGATAAGGTCAGGTAGAGTCTGCTGCTATGTTTAAAAGTCTAGCATCTAATCCGCATGCCCAGCTCAAGTTTGAAGCAGTCACAACGGGACCTGTTATTACCACCTTAGGGGTTTTGGCCAGTCTGCCCTAAATCCTGTCCCATGAGAATGCTCCCAAGTAATGCAGCCCTGCAGCGGACAACACACCAGGCACATCAAGTAAGCACACGCCAGGTGCAACTGATGCTTAGGTGCAGCTTTAGCCCTTGAAGATGTGAAAGGCATCAAGATCATACACTCATTACGCCAATGGTACGAGGAACCTGCAACATCGCATAAGCTGCACTTGGAATGACTGCATAGCTTGACAATGTGAAAGGAGCACGAGAGCATGTGCAGCAAGACACTCCTTACTCCTCCACAGTGGCATCAGGGACAGGGCCAGGGAATCCCTAAGGTGACAGAGCGGCAGTTGTTGATGCATTGAAAAGGATGCAAGGCCGTTCACAAGCTTTCCTGCAGGGCAAGGGATGTATTGTCACCTGTGGTGAGTGTAGGACAGCGGAGTGATCAGGGTGTATTCAGGGTGCGTCGTCCAGGTAGTCCTCAGCTGCGTACAAGGCGTGCTGCAGGGCACTAAGGATGAGAACCCCCACTGCGGGGTCAGGTTCATACTCGCTGCTGAAGCTCTTCATTGGAAAGACATCCTTTGTGCCTCCGCTGCCGCTGAGAGACGCCACCTCCTGTGACAGGCAGAGTTGGTGTCAGTTGAGCGCAACATGCAAATTGTCAACACTGACCTCACTGATGTATGTACAACAGAAGATGATGGCAGCCATAGTTTTGCGCAAGCTACCCTGGCAGAGGGAAGGCAGGAAGGGGAAGATTAAATTCTTGGCCATAGAGCTTCAGGACTGTTCGCACCTGCATTATAGATTTGATGCGCTGGCTGGCTCCAATCATGCGAATGTCTGCTGCCACTTCAGGGTCATACTGGTCGACCTTAGTCAGGAACACCAGCGTGGGTATGCCTGCACGTACATGCGGAACAGTGACCCCCTGGAAGAGCTTGGGCATGAAAGACTTCAGCGTTGCATGCAGAGTTGACTTCCTCATTTTTGCCACACTCTGTGATCTGTATGTGACACGACAAGATTGCCATATTTAAATGAAATCCTAAAATCTGCATAGCAGGCCGACTGCATCACTGCAACTTTGTCACTCGCTGGAGCAACATGAAAAAACAGCTGTCATTTTACTGATGTCAACCTGATGTCAACAAACACGGGTGCGCACCGCGATCCATGGCGTACTTCTTCATTTCTTTCAGGCGGGTCATGTAGTCCTGGTCTGAGGCAGCATCACAGGGCACCACAAAGCACACGCAGTGCACCCTGTCTGCCCTCTGCGGCGCAGTCACAAAGTCCCGGCTCCGCGGTGTTATTGCCTGGCTCAGATCAAACCGGTGGGGCAGGTTGCCGTCTAGAATATAGCCCAGCTCGCCGCTCTGATAGTCCCGGTCTGACCAGCCAGCACAGTCCCACAGGGCAAAGGGAGCCGTCTCGGTCTCGCCTGCATGTGCAGAAAATGTTCCCCTTCAGGCAAAACTTTCAGCCAAGCTGCAATCTGGCTGGCGGTTTATCTGTGCTTGCAAGGTTGTCTCACCTGGGCCGGAGATCTTGAAGTTGTATTTGGTGAGCGTGCGGGTGTAAGAACCGGTGCCCTGCCCGTGAGGGGCTCTGCGAGACATGCGCCCCTTGAACAGACTGTCCACAGTAGACACGAGACTGCTCTTGCCAGCACCGACGCCCCCAAACAGCAGCAGATTGATCTTCGGCAGCCCTTCCGGGATGGGAAAGGAAGAGATGGATTTTAAGAGCTTGTCGTACCCGTGCACATGCAACCCGCTGAATTTATTGCTGGCAGCAATCTTCCCACCAATTGACTCCTGCAGTCTGGAACGAGGAACTTGCTGGCAGAACCAACTAAGCATCGCCCGTTCAGGTGCCCCAGCGTTCAAGCTCCATTATGGCGACCAAGCTTTCTATGCTATATATTGGGATGAACCACCAATAATGATTTGATGAACGCTTGTATGCACCTAGGAACCGCAGCAGGACTTCTCTATTCGTACTCGAAAATTCCTCGAATGTGTCGCTGCGCGCTTTTGTTCAGAGGCAGCTGCGCTATGCAACATCGGCAAGGACTGTTGGCAAATAAAAACAAATGGAAGAACTTAGCTTCCACCGAAGACGAGCGCACCCGTTGCAGCTCAATAACAGCAGACATAGGAAATGGTGCAGGAGTCCGTCCGTTAGTCTCGGACTCAAATATGGCACGACGGAACGGTATGCGCCTTAATTAACTGTCACAAGAGTGTCATTAAAATGATTTTTGGGTTTCCAGCAGATGTTCATCTCCAGTTCGGGTGGCTAAGGTAAGAAGGTGAAATCCGGTGCCTGTTCTGGCCGTGCATGGGCAGTTTCCTCGTAACCGCCGAGATGAGCAGAACGGGGATATTCTCGTTTCTCACAAGGTGCACAGACAGTCAATGCTCACAAGCAGTAGATTTCATAGGTGTCCTACTGTCACATCGTGTGAGAGCGTCACTAGAAACAATGTCGCGTGGGGATCGTACGCGGAAGTAGATCCTCCTTTTGACCTAGCATAGAGCCAGTCACGCAACGTCTGTCTGGGGAGATACGTCACCAGTTAAATCATATTGTTTTCTGCGCAACCTTGAGATCTGTGGCTGTCTCGGCGGTGACGAAAAAGAGTCTTAGTAATGATGACAGCTGGCCATGCTCGTGGCAGCTGCATGGATGTTCCTAGTACCATGCAGGACTGGAGGATATGTGTTTTTGCGGTCAGCACGCAGAAATTCATCAAGAGCACAGGCGAATGTTTTGCTGAGACCGCCTGACAGGAAAAAGGGATTTACCATCGAGGCCAGCTGAGCTGGTCAGAGGGGAATTCAATGATCAGAATTGTTGACATCATGTCCTTTCAACTTCTAAACCATATAGTGCCTCAGAGGACAACCCGCCAATGGTTGTGTGTTACATCCAAGCATAGCAGAGGATTCTCACAGATCTCCTTTGAAATCACAGTCGGTAATCCCTTTGCAGAGCCGGACGCATTTGTCAATTTGCAAGACTTGCAAGGAATTCTGAAACGCTTTTGATGGCAGCAGAGTTACCTTCCTTTAGCCACCTATCCTCATCGATGTAGACGGTCACCACAAGGTCAAGCACTGCACACATTGCAGCATACTCATTTGCATCAGCCATGCTGGCTGCATGTGTCCAGCTGCCCTCGGCAGCAGACGGAGCAGGTTTGTTTATCACCAGCACCAAAACTCTGGGCGGCGCGGCAGCTTGTTTCCCCATGTCCCCTGTGCACAGCACAGCTCTATTAGCTGTGACTTTCACATAGCATTGAATTAACAGGACAGCCTACCATGTTTACAATTGTATAGAACTCCAGGCATGCTATATCATGCAGGAACTGGCCTGCGTTCAAGAGCATGTAAGACTAGACTCGCATGTATTGAAGGTGCGCACCGAAGACATTTGCAGCATCATTGCAGACCAGCCTTCCTTTGAGACGGTACATGCCGATGATGCAATCGCACTCTTCCCTTATCGATTCTTTCAAAATAACCTTTTTAGCCTGCAACATGTCCCTGAGCTCCTGTTGCATGTTGTCAGCATGGTTCATATTCCTGGCCACTGCCGCTCCCGTCAAGCTTATCTTCACTGCCGGCACAGGACCCCGGTCATTGCAGGACATGGAAGTAAAGTAGATCTGTTTGATAAAGGGATGCTGCGTTCAGAGGATGCAATTATTGTGTAATAGATGATCTGCAGGTTCATCCATCACATAAGTTTTAATCACCTGTTTTGGGCTCGGGCTCGGGCTCGGGCTCTGGCTCCGGCTCCGGCTCCGGCTCCGGCTTCGGCTCTGGCTCTGGCTCAACAACATCTGATTCCATATCAATTGCCTGATCCTTGTTTTCAATCTTGTGAAGGATTGCCCTCAGGAGCTGCTCCAAACCCCTTAAGGTCTTCTCAACCTGCAGAACAGAAATTCCAATTAGTCAAGAGGGCCAGGTGTCACACCAGGATTGGATCATGAATTCTGCGCCCCCTGTGTTTGCCAAGAGAACAGCGCACACCTCTTCAAGCGAGTTTCTCATGGCAAGTGAGTCATCAAGTTCAACTCCATTCTCCGCAGCTGCCCTCCCACATTCTGCCCAAGCTTTCTTTGCCGTGATTGTGGCTTGCTTGGCCTCTGCTAGCTGGGCTTGGTACATTGCTACTGTCCTTGCCTGCCGCACAGCAAGCTGAATGGACTCTTCGCTGCATGGCTCAGCAGCCCCAGCCTGGCGGCAGCCCCAGCCTGCAGACTCAACAGAGGCCATCTGGCGCCTGTGCACCTTGCTGAGCAAAGGTGCAAAGACCTCCTCGATGAAGCGGCTCCGCAGTCGCCACTTTGCAGGGCAGACAGCTGCCTCCTGTGCATAAAATTCTGCGTCCCAGGCTGCCAGCTCAGCGTGCAGATTCGCCACGCCCAAGAAAGGGTTGGCCGCCATCTGCACAGCAATCATGGCTGCCTCACAATACTTTTAGATTCCGGTAATTTCTCGCGGCTTCTTTTCTGCTGCCAAAAATGCGATGCCTGCCTGGCGGCAGTAGCGCATAGCATTACACTCAACATTGAACTTGACTGGAATTAAGAAAAGGACACCTGAGTGAGGCGCTCCTCGCCGGCTGAGATGAGCCGCTGCCACTCTTCCTCATCATTATTGCTCGTATTTTGTAGTTTGGCAGGCATGGCATCATCCGGAGTCACTGGCGTTTGCTCCTGCTGCACAGGTCACCGCTTCACTGATTTCGCAAAAGAAAAGATATACTCTGTACGTGCTGCCTCCGAAATACAGATGCATTGAAGACTCAGCACAACAAAATGATAGCAGTGTGCTTGCATGGGGCTCTGTAACTGCAGCCTGTTGAGCAAGTGAGATTAATTACTAAATAATAGTTGGCAGAGTGCATTTGAAGCAAACCTTCTGAGGACCTGCCACAGCATTTCCATCGCAAACGAAAGGAACTCACCTTTTCATTCTTGGCTGGGTCGGAAGCCGCCGTCGCAGACGTCTCATATACATCTCCCGAGTCACTATTAAGGGAATTGAGCGCTGCGCGCATGGCTTCTCGTTTGCGCTGCAATGCGTCTCTCTCGGCATTGAATGCGGCTGTGCGGGCAAGCTCACAATCCGCCACATCACGTAACAATCGTGTTAAGAGATCACTGTTGGCCTCATGCCCAAACACTCCAGGCCCCACCGCAGTAAATTCCTGCAGGTCAACAATTTTGGTGAGCTGAGCACTGGCCTTGAGACTGAGAAGATCAGTGCTGCAGCACCCTTTGAAGGCACTGTGTGTTACTACAATTTAGTCTGGCACGCACAAGGGAAAGGCCGTCACCTTCAGAGCATTCTCAGCAGCCGTCTGCAATCTCACGGCATCATAATACTTGTTGCTTGCGGCCTCAGCTGCTGCTGAGGCCTCACTGAGAGAGGCTGCTATCCTCTCTTGCTCCTTCATTAGCAAAGGCATTATCCCTGTGCCCCCAATCGGTGAACTCACTCACAGCGGATCTTCTGAAGTGGGTTGTGATCACCAGGGACACCAACTTCAGGAGACACAAGAGTGTACGGGTTTTGAAAGTAATTTTAAACGACATGAAGAATCACCTCCTCTCCACCGGTCACGTACGCAAAACAGACCGCATACTAGGTCGACAAGAACTCCATCCACTTCCGAGGTACCCGAACGACGGCATCGACGCTGCTGTTGACATCAAGAGATTAAATTTGCACACAGACTTGCGGCACTCCTCACGTCTTGCGCTAATTACTGATGTCGACAGCGATCATGTTCTCACAGTATCAGAGTCCTTGAAAATAACGAGCCTCGGGAAGCATGGCAATTACGAGGCAGTTGCTAGGGCACTTTTCTTGGATCCTCCAATCATCCCAAATAAGTTACATGCCAAGCAATAGAATTGCTACAAAATCTTGCGACAGGACAGTCAAGTACTCATGCAGTCTTCTATGTCCACAGATATATGCGCTGCAGCACCCCCACTCAATGTTTGCAGCACCCTGCATGGTCGGCTGATAAGCGAGCAGCCCATGGGCCATTCTTGCAAGAATACAAGTTCTGCCATAAACTTTCGAATATACTACAGCTACAGAAGGCTCATATACACGTGAAAGCCACATCGAAAACTGATGGGTGCCCCAATACGGGATGATAACATACTGATCTACAGACATTCACTCGGAAGTCAACAAGCATCTACTCTACACGCCCGGCTCAACCTTCGGGGACCGTTGAACAATTGCATTATTGCATTCAATCACATCTGCTTCTTGGCGCTGCTGCACATCTAGGGGCTAAGCCAGCTCGCCCTGTAGCCTGTCCCCTTGCAGTGCTGGCAAGGAATGCAACCCTGCAGCAAAAAAGACACCACAGCATGTCGGCGCAAATTTGATCACACCAGCTCTGGACCTGTGCAATGCAAGTAATGCCTGCTCCTGACCCAAGCCCCTTGAAGACTGAAATGGACTGAGGCGATGCAATCATCACATTAAAGAGTGGTGCGGAATAGGCGAAGGAATTTCACATCTGCGCTTCTTCGACACCTGCCATACATCTTCTCACATACATGGCCCCGGCTGGCGAGGGGGGGGTAAAAATATTGAGCACCGTGCCCACGGTTACCTGGGTCTTGCTTGGATCTGGCAAGTCCAACAAGGGGTAATATTTGGCAGCCATTACATGCAGCTTGTCTGCATCGCACCTTGCCTTCGGCAGGAACATCCTGTAATTATAATTGAAATAGAACATCTTCTCAAGGGCAGCTGGGCGCACCTTGCTCCTGCAGATGGGGCAGGGCTTGCAGCCAGACTCCACGGAGCAAAAGAGATACTCTCCTAAACGCATGGCTCCTGCAAAACCACACCGATTGATCCCAACAAACCCAGGACCACAGTGTGCTATTACTCTAGAGAAGAATGTAAAGCTTCAAGAGTGGGCGAGTAGCTTGCGAGGTGACCAAGCAATGATGAATGTAGCAATGTGCCTCACCTGTTGAGTTGCACCATGTGCACGGCTGATGACCTGTGCCCTCACAGCAAGTGCAGGTACTGGGCTTTGCGTTCTGCAGCAGGCACAGAGAAACCCTTTCAGGGCTTAACTAGCTGGGCGGCTGCAAAGGTGACCAACTTGTGAAGGTGATGATGGACTATGGTAGATCAGGTACTCAATAGAGCTGTCTCATATCAGTTTTTAAAAGGGACAATGCCAGCACAGCGCAGTCACCTTTGAGACCTTCCAGGTGAGTTCTAAGTGCTGGGAAGCCCTCTGTACTCCCTTAGGATCTGCATACTTCGCGAACTCGGCCTCCCAGCTTTGCCCAGCTGCCTCAGAGCGGCCACGAGCAAAGCTGCAAATCCTAGACCTCCTGCTACAGGCTCTGCTCGGTCCTGATTGCAGAAGTCTGCCAGAGGCATGCTGCCCCTGCAAGCTCATGCACTGGCATTGTTCTTGCATGCTAACAGAGCAATACAGGAAAATTGTTGCGGGCAAGAGCCTCTACGAGGCGATGCTGACTCCCCTCCCTCTTTGTAATTCTCAAGTCCAGGCGATGGCAAAGATCCCCTGCTATTATAGACTCGATGCCAAAATTTGCGCTGGAGATTAATCTTGCTCCTAAATTCAATTTACAGCTATGCGCTGGAAATCTCCCTTGTCAATTCTCTATTTGCAGGGCAACTTAGTGACCAGCACTCCTTGTGTGAAGACGAAGTCGTGCACTAATCCTCGACGTCTTGCTTCCATACATTCACATCTAGAAATAGATTGTTCCTGAAAATTTGATATGCTGCAATAAATTGTGTGACACGTCCCCATCAACCGTATAGATAGCTTAGAAAATGGCGAAATGACATTTGTGAATGGGCGGATGGTTGCCGGAGTGGTCTAACGGGCGGGCCTTAAGATCCCGTAGGCGAAAGTCTGCGTGGGTTCGAACCCCACACCATCCATTGTTTTTTTTTCTCGCTCCCCAAACATCCTTCAGACAGCAGCTTTCCTATTTCTTTCTGATCCGGTCCGACAACTAAGGAATTTGAATATACAACCAGAGTGCACTGGCTTGACGCGACCACTTCAGTTCAACGGAATGAACAACTTGTGCAACACCCTGCAGCACAGGCATCTGGCCGTTTTCACGGGTGTGTGCACACTTTAATGATTTTATGATGGCGCTTCATTGTCTAAATTCGCTCGCTGTGGTCGTCACAGCTTACAGCTGTATGTTCCTCCAGAAGCATGTGATCAGTACTATAAGCTTTACATGTGCTGGATAATGGCAGAAGATGCGTAGATGAGCCACATTGGGAGTAAATAATGTACTCTGAACCTCAATCCACCAAAGAAAGTTCACCGACGATATATCAATACTGTTTCAGGTGAAAGGCTGGCATTGAGGAGAGGCCTTAATCCACGCACCTTGCTACAAAGGCAGGCAAAGCAGCGCAGGACGAAAGAGAATGACAGCAGGCTTCATTGCTATGCAAAGAAGGGCTTTGGAGCCAGCACAAAGGCGAAGAACAAGGTCTGTACAGCCGAGCTACCTCCTTTCAGACTCGTGTGCCCCTATCATTCAGAATATCGCTCCATTCCCATCGATTATCTTCAAGACACACCTACAGCATGGTTGCCACATCACTGTGGTATCTTGTGGTTGCTGTGCAGAGGAAGACATCAGGGCCATCCTTGCAAGAGGACAACCCAGAATGGGTGCCTGTGGCATATGTATCAGAGTTCAAGGTACCACATTCTGCCAGCCACGATCCTCCATTTATCTTCTGGTGACACCTTTGGACTACCTTATTGCCAACAAGCCGCTACCAAATCTCGCCTGACGCTGCCCTTCAGAATGCATCCATGGATTTCTAAATTTCGTGCTTTTTAGTGGCTTTTGCCGGCACTTAGAGCAAAGAGAGAGAGAGAGAGAGAGAGAGAGTGAGAGAGAGAGAATCACACAGCTTAGAGGGTTCACTGGTGTGCAGGATGGGAAGGATACAATGCCGAAGATATTGAGGGACAATAGCGCAATTGTACTGTACCAAGTGGGCAGCGAGGTTTACTGCTCGGACGCCAATTCCACGGCTTTCAAGTTCCCACTTATCGATGCAAATATCATTGAGCGTGAGTGCCTTCTGCATCATTGATCTATCCTGCAATTTGCTCAGCTATCCTGGCAGAAGTGCTTACTTCCAAGTCCTGCAGGGTGAATCTTTTCCGACCATCCTGTACTGTGCTGTAAATGCTGTCTGCTGTTTTGTTGTTGACTTACTTGGTATATTTTGCAAGCAAATGCCCATACAGAAGTCACAACAAGCTTTTAAAAATTTCCAGGGGAGGATGGGCCAGCAGTTGAGGTTCCTTTGGACGGGACTGTGTATGATTTGGAAACTGGCAAGGTGATCTACTGATGCAATCATCTCAATTTTTTTGCCAGACTTGCCTGCAATGCAGACCTCCTAGCAAGTATTGAAGCATCTGCATTAGCTCTGCTGCACGTAGACCTAATTGCAAAGAGCTAATTGGATGCCAAGTACAGCCTTACATTTCTGCATGCATGTCAGGTTCATGGTATGCTTGGAAAGTGACACATAACTGAATTGATCGCCATGTGCAGGTATTGGAATGGTGCCCCAAGAACAATCCAGTGAGATTCCTTCTTGGCGCCCTGAAGGCGAGGCAACACTATCTTTTCTGCCGCCCTGCTTAATTTGCCCACTTGATCATGTATTCAACGTACTTGATGCACGCAATAGCTTCTTGTACCTTGCATGGTAGCATCCCTGTGACCCTCACACAGTAACACTCTCTCACTAGCAGTATTGTTCCTCTTGTGTAAGGAAATTGCTCGCTCTGATGCCCACAAGAAACTACTTGCTGATGATCTTGTGTGGCGCTACTGAACAGGAGAAGTCTGAGCCGGTGAATTTGCGAGTTTACCCGGCGAGGGTCAACAGTGAGGGGAAGATTTTTGTGAAATTTGCGCCGGAGTGAGTCCCTCAAATTTGAGAACAACAGAAGAGCTGAGTGAGAGGAAGAGCGGAATCTTGAACGTGTGTGCGCATGGCGAATTTGATGCTGGGAGTGTTACCAAGGGTGTAAACACTGATCGCAGCTACAGCTCTGGATATTATAGAATGCTAGACCTTCTGTCTTCTCAGTGCTGGGCAGAACATGCTTTCGTTGCCCCAAGCAAGCACCAAACAATTGCAGTCGAGCTATGTCAATGCAGTTTGTATTTTGAGTGGCATGCGATGCTCGATGGGGAAATGAAAAGATGAAGTGGAATCAAGCTGGACGATTGTAGAGGCCCCAGCTCCTGCTTGAATTCATCTTCCATTCAAAATGAGCACGTGCGCACGGCGCCGGCATGCCTGCTGTGGCTGCGGCTGCGGCTATAAGTTGCGGATTGCCGGTTGAGTGGCATGGCCTGGCATTAAATTCCCTAACCCTACAGCCTGCAGTACAAAAGATTGTTTCGTAGCTGAAGGATGGCTGATTGTCTTGGGTTTCTATGGCCTGTGATGATGACTTTCTTCAGCATGAATCCACGTGTGTGGGGTGGCGCCGTCATGCCTTCACGGGTCGGCCTGTTGCTCAGCTTTTCAAGCTGATTCAACCGCTTGAGACAATTTCAATTCAATCATGCAGTCTCTAGACACTACAAAAGAGCCTGAATACAGGATCGCGTTGAGAGGTATCAGGTACGGTGCTTCTTCTTGTTGACGGCCTTTGATGCCCATCTGTCGACAAGTGCTTTCATTAATTATGATATGTCACAACGATACGAATTAACAACCTATCAAAGACTCACAAGAGAAATTCATAGCGTGATAAGCAGCACAGCTTGTCAACGGAAGGCTTGCTAAAGCAGTTTCTCATGCCGTGACTGACGATTGCTGCCTGGCAGGGCAACACTGCTCAAGAATTATCTGCCATTTGCTTTTTTTGTGGCTTTGACGATCGCCCTGGCCTGGCCCCTTCCAGGCCAAAAGGTTTTAATCCCTGTGGTAGGTCCAGAATCACCCTGCCTCTCTGCTGAGATACTCTACTCTAAATAATTCTTCTTCGGTTTGATGAGTATCATTTTGCTTTCTGCTCTTAAATGCCGCATTTTCTGGTCATGAGCAGCCGCCTGATCATGCTGAGGGTTGTTCCCACTGCACCTTGCAGGTCAAGGATGTGCACGTCGTCACATTTATAAACATCTGCACAGTGTTTCTCATCTCTGGCCTCACACTGCGCACTGATGAGCTGAAGCAAGCTCTCACCCGGCGCACCTTGTTGGGCACAGTGTCTGGGTTTATCTCAATCCTTGGTAGGTGCTCACTGCTCAAAGCCGCCACATGGATTGGAACCTGGCACATCAATTTTGGATGTTTCTTCATCGAGTCTCAATAAAGTGTGATCTTGTGTTGAACATTGCAGGTGTCACACCGTTATTAGGATGGGCGACCATCAAGCTTCCATTCACTCCTGTGGCCTTTGCCACCGGCCTCACTATCTTCTGCCTCATGCCGACAACTCTGGGAGTAGGAGTGTCGCTTGTGACATCGGCAAAGGTGACATCACCATCTGTGAGGAAGGCGGCACATGCAGGAAGCGATTTGCACCATTGCAAATCTGGAGTGAATTTCCGTGATGCATGTTTGTCTGTGGAGCTTGAACCTCGCCCATGTTACGTTTAGGGAGCCTTGTCGAAAGAGATGTCTTCTTGTTCATGTTTGATTTTGAAAGCACGAAGGTATCTGCTGCCCATCACTTTTACGCCAGGAGGCACTCGAGAATTATAGACGAGATCCCTTTCCCAACTGTGTGCTCGCAGGGCAATGTGGCGCAGGCCATTCTCCTAACGGTGGGCACCAATGTTTTGGGGGTAGTGCTAATTCCACTGTGGCTCAAGGCGATTCTGCCCTCGGCCGGCGACGCCGGATTGGACGGCTTGGACATCAGCTACGCAGACATCTTTGTGAAACTACTCATCTCCTCCCTCGTGCCCACCGTCATCGGCAAGCTCGCGCGCGACTTCATCCCGGCAGTCACGCGCTTTGTGAAGGCCCACAAGACCTTCCTTTCATTAGTCAACAACACCAGCCTCGCCATGATCATCTGGCAGACCATCTCCAGCGGCCAGAAGGCCATCGTGGAATCTGATGTCGGCACCTTCCTCTGCGTCATCGTCTCAGCCTGCATCATCCACTTCATTTACCTCGTCTTCAACACGGCGGTTGTGTGCGCCATGCGCGTGCCGCTACCGGAGGCGGTATCTGTCGTGATAATGGCGTCGCAGAAGAGCGCGCCGGTTGCTGTGACGGTAATCACATACATCGCGCGCGACACAGCGCTGCAGGGAGTGTTGGCGGTGCCCTGCGTGGTGGGCCAGCTGATTCAAATCTTTGTGGGACAGCCGCTGGCGAATTACCTGGCCGGCCGCATCGAGCGGTGGCGCGCGGCGCAGCCGCCGCGGCCGGACGAGTCCGACGTGAAGCTGCCGCCTGATAATGCGAGCTCTGCAAAAATTGACAACGCGGCAAAGGTCTAAACAAGTCCTGATTGCAGAATTGGCGGTTCGGCAAGGGCTGAAGCAAGCTGTGAATGCGAAGGCTGAGCTGCAGCTGATGTGTGAAATTGTGGTGTGTGAGTTGTGGCAACGGGGGTTTGCCTTTCGGCTTTGCAGATTTCCTGCGAGGGCTACTAAGAACTGAAGGCAGAATGAAGTACTCGAGTACCGTCTGTACTGTGATAATTACGCTTTTGGTTCTGCTGCTGTGCAGAGACAGAAGAAATGCTCTATAAGTGCTGCTTTCTTGTGGTATTCAATCTTGGCATGGCATTATGTAGCACTGCAATGTACGTTGAAGATTGATGAGGTGGACGCACTGTTGTGATTCTCCTGCAAGAGGATCCCAGGCTGAACCGGTGAAAATTGCAGATCTCATCTTTGAAGAGCTTGCACTTCACCCTGAGTCCTTGGCAGATTCTAGCTAGAGTCTCTCGACCAGAAGGCACCTCGCACAGTTTTTTTCACTTCGATACTGTATTGCTGGTGAATATTTGTTCCTTCCTACCGATTGCCGAGCGCGGATGCTTGAGTGTCTTGTGCACTTCCAGCCTACCCTTGTCAGTAGTGCAAATTCTTGATTTTTACAAGCATTGAAGCATATTGGCTGAGCGAGTCGAAGAGTGTAGGATTAATCCTATATTGCCAAACACACTTGAAGAGTTGTGGATGTATTTTACTGCATCCTGTGAGATGTAATGTCTTCTCACAGACATAAGTCAATTGGACATATTGGACCTTTTGCTCTCATAGCCTGATTGCCACCGTTGGCTCTGTCATAAGAAGCCTGGAATGGCCCCCATAAGAAGAGCTGAGTGTCAAAGAAGTTGTTCTTTTCAGAAGTGCTCGCCAAGTGTGCATCCTGCTGACAAAGCGGCTCAAGCAAATTTCTTCTCCAGGACATCCATGGTCACACTCTTTGGCCTCTCGATGGCCAGCCCAAGCGCCCTCGACCAGATGCCCTGCACATGCAAATTTATCATCTTACTGTGCTCAGGTAAAGTCAGCCACATAACAATTCATTAGCTTACCCTCAATACACTGAACTTCTGATTAGGTACATCTTAATCACCACAACAACAGTCAACAACACAACTTCACTGGATGCCCACCAGTACAACAAGTTGGTCGCTAGCTCTGCTGCCCCACCCGAAAACAGTGCAGCATTCTGCAGCAATCACTCTGTCACGGGCATTGCGCAGCGCATGTCTTCATGTTCCAAATGGGTCCTCGTTGCAGAGCTCTGAAGAAACCAAGGGGAAATCAAGTTTGCCGCAATTGCGGCAGGTGGGCATGTGCCGGCATGTGCGCGCACCTGCGAGAGGACGCCGATGGCGCGGGAGACGCCGAAGAGGACGGTGTAGAAGTTCTCCTCCTTGATGCCGTAGTACTGCAGCAGCACGCCGCTGTGCGCGTCCACATTGGGCCACGGGTTCTTCACCTGTGTGCAGCATTCGATTGCTTCTTATATCTCTTGCGCATAATTGACCATACGGATTCGGCCATTCGGCATACGGTGAATATTCGGTCGTATATTCGGTGTTTTGGGCCAAAATAGGCCGTTTTAGACCGTATTCCGTATATTTTAAATACCTCATGACCGTATATGCGGCCGTATAATTGGTCCCCAAAAAGTGTTCTGACCGAAAGGTGCAACTAGGCTCTTGCGGTATGCATGGACACAGCACTGCCACCTTCTATACCCAATGTGTGAATAGCCACGCCTCCTTTCAAGACAACCAAAACAATCGAGGTGTGAGAAGTCTGCAGGATGCACAGTGAGATGGAGTGTTGATGGGGTTGGATGCGCTTGAGGACTGAATGTAAAAGGGCAGGAAATATTATGATGTGGGCAGACTGAGGAATGAAAAGGAAATGCTGCGGCGCACCTTGCCCTGCTCTGTCAGCACGCCCGGGACGACCTCGTAGAAGAGGCTGACCAGCTTGAACATGGGGTCGTCCGGCAGATGCTTCTGCGCAAACTCCCTCTGCACGTGCATGCACACTATATCAGCCAAGGTGGACTCCCTCCCAAAGATTCACTGTGTCTCACAGTGACAGAAAGCGCGTAAAATTTCTACAGGCAATACGTTGAATGAAGAGGCTTCCCAATAGTCCTCCACTGCCTCGCAACACCAAAAATCTGAATGTAGTCCTATCCATGGAAAGTCAACAGAGGAATGCATCCCGTGATTGGCTGATCGCTGGGAGGAGAGGCTGCACTGTCTCATACATCAAACGCTTGCTGACATGGCCACGCTATCCCTCGCTGGAACTCACAGCATTCATTGACCGCACTTTCAACCCGGCACAGCTGTGAGAATCAACGGCGGATAAGTTTGCTGATGTCAGGAAAGCACATGCCACATTGCAGGCATAAGTACCGCGCCACATAGCTGCCAGATGAAGAGGTGGCACAGCCCTATTCACATTAATTAGTCAGTTAAAATCAAACATGACACCGGACCCATAGGACACGGCTTTGGGAAGACTGGCTGCCTATCTCTGATATCCATGATAGTTTGGTAGCAGCGCTTGGTTGCCACATCAGTCACTTGAGGCTATAACGATCATTGGCTGGAGTGTTGCCAGATCAGGCGCTTGATGTCTTATTGTTGTTAACACTGGAAGGTTGCCAGATCAGGCTCGCAGGGGTGCTGACCTGGCATGTGTAGCGGGGGTCGGTCTTGCGCAGAACGGCGTGGCCGAATCCCGGCACCACCTTGCCGCTCTTCAGAGTGTCCCACACGAATTTTTCCACTTCATCCTTTGTGGGCGTCGGCCCGATCTGCAGACATTAGAAACATGACATCATCAGTCCTTTTTGCATGGTTTCTTCTATAGATGGCGCCCAAAAAGTAGCCCTTGTGGGCGTCATCCCAATGTGCAGACTTCAAATGATGATCAGATCAGCTCTTTTTAATTAATTCCCCTTTCATGCGCCAAAAATTGCTTTTTGGGCGTCGATTTTAACCTGCGCACATATGAGATGGACCAGTATGTGAGCCCTCATGAACACTGCTGCCAAACGAGCGTCTCTAATGGGAAAGAATCGCTGACAGGGGGATCAGGTGCTTTGCTAGGAAAAGGGTGCACTGTGGGAGAAATGAGCTGTGTGGCTTTCTTGGCAAAGGCGGGTTGTGTGCAAACAAAGCGGTAGCCCATGAAGCCACATCTCAATTCCAGGCAGACCAAAAAGTGGTAGAACCACAGCTTCAGCAACGCTTGTGACTGACAATCTGGTCGCTGCATCAAGCAAAACATGCAGCACCCAGAGCTGGGAAATCCCCAACAAGCTGTTGGCACTTTGTAGAATAGATAAACCATGACTAAATCTTGCGAGTAAATCCACCACGGGATTGCGGCCACACCTGCTCGGTGACATTGAAGAAACAGCGCAGGACCTCCTGGTTGGCGGATTATAGAGAAAGCACCGGGAATACTATGCACTGTAAAATTGACTGACCACACCTGACTTGCTCTACAATGATTGATTACCAGCTCTAGGGTAGCGGCCGCGCCTGCTTGGTGACGTCGAAGAGCCAGCGCAGGACCTCCTGGTTGGCGAGGCCATGCAGGGGCCCGGCGAGGCCGTTGAGGCCGGCGCTGAAGGAGAAGTAGGGGTCGCTCAGCGCTGAGCCCACCAGGTGGGTGGCGTGCGCGCTGACGTTCCCTCCCTCGTGGTCTGTGAGGACAAGTAAACCCCTTATATATCCACGAATTAATCAAGTCCCTCGGTAAAATGCCTGTGCAAATGCAGAGAAGAAAATCTATTTGCAAAAAATATTCAGAGAGGCAAAGAACATCCCTGAATTGAGTACCTCGGCAGAAAGACAACACAAGAGCTCCTCACATAAACAGAAAGGCTCAGCAAATTCCTAGAGTACATATCTCTGCAGAAAGAAACCTCAAGAGCTCCACAAGAAAAGGGACAGCATGGATAACTACTCAAAAAAGAACACTGAAAGGTCCAAATTGACATTAGCGGGAAAGGCACAGCAAAGCAAGCAGCACAATCAAGCACTTGAAGGTGGGGTCAGCAGACCGACCTGTGTGGATAGTCTGGTACAGCCGCGTCAGCTCGTAAACCTCCTCTCCATCAAAGCCTGGGCAGATCACCACACTTGTCAGCTACATGAGTTATGGTCCTCTTCATCGGTGCTAGCTCTGGCAACCACAGATACAGTCAGCAACAAAAATTGACGGACCCCCTTTCCTTTAGAGCATGACGGGCCGGGATGCCTTCTCATCAGGGATTCAAGTGCACATTTGCTGATGCATGCATAAAATGTGGCTGGGCCGGACCCGCACAAGGGATAGCCTCAAACCTCACTATCTTGAAAGTTAAAGTTTTGTAAAGGTCTTTTGAGTCTTTTTCCCAGATCGCAGAGAGTATGCGTGTGCCAATTGCGGCATCGTGAACATTGCCAAGGACAGAGTGGCAACACCATCACTAACTCGCATCCACGTCAAATGTTATCAAGCCATCTGGGGGCATAATCCTGCCTCAAAGCTGAGGGCAGCCTCATGAGCTCCTTTTTGGGAAAATTTTGAAGGCGGCAAGGGCGCACCCATCTGGTGCGACAGGTTGGCGGCCCAGTCGAGGGAGGTGTCGTGGGGAATGAGCTTGCCGCCCTTGTAGGTGTTGCGGTAGATGGCGGCCGCGATGCCGGGCAGCTTGGCGATCAGATTCATGGAGTCCTCGTAGACGGGGTCCCAGTAGTTGAGCTTGCTGATGCCCTTCTGGTACGCCGCCGCAAAATGGCTCTCCGGCTGCGTGCATCCACGGAAGATGTCTCTATCTTCCCATAAAAGGTGTTTATGCAGGGTTTAAACTAAGGTTCTCACAAATGGGACAATGCTGCAAGGGAGCGTTAGGGATGTCATCGTTGCAGCTGAGCCCTTGCTAGCAAACATGGCTGTGAGGGAGACGGACTCTGGCTGGCCCAAAGGGTTAGCACGCAGTGAAACTTTCAGAGGTACAACAGGGCTTGGAATAAAGCATCGGAGCGCGGCTGAGAATTGAGCACATGAGCTGCACATCACTTCTAGGGAAAAAAGGCACCTTCATCTTTTCACTCACAAGCCCTCTGCCAGGGTGCTTCAGTACAGTCAAAGCGTCCCACTCACTAGTAGAGTGGAGCAACCATAGGAAGAAATCCGCTATCTAAAGGTATCTCCAATACCCCCAAAGCCTCCCAAGCTTTGCATTCTATGAAATGCACGAGGAAATGAACATGCATTGATGAATGCATCAGGAGATGCAAAAGGGGGAATCCTGGGCTCACCTGCAGCGCGAGAACAGCTGTAGAGAACTGAGTCATGGGGTGGGTGCCAGCTGGCAGCGCAGCCAGGACCTTGTGCACATGCCCGGGCAGCGCCTTGCCGCGGTAAGACAGCTCTGCTGACAGCGCATCCACCTGCTCCTTGCTGGGAATCTGTGCACCGCCAGTCTTATGGCAAAAAAAAACATTCCTCCTGTTGAATGCACAGGCAGGCGTGCTACATTTGGGCCTATTGGACAAGAGGCATGCTTCCAGGCATGGGGGAGAGCTAAAGATTCTCCTGCCACAAATGCAAGAAGTGCAGAGTTGCACAATGGAAGGTGCAGCATGCATGACAAAAGACTCTGCATGCAGACGCGGCCATCTTAAGCAAGAACATGCAACTAGGACAACAAGCAATGCCTGCAATGATTCCCGCTTCTTATGGTGAGCAGGGTTGAAAACCTCCAAGCACTGTAAATCCTCAAACAGATTTCAGTCTCCGCACCTCCCCGGTGAGTAGCAGCCAGAGCAGGCCCTCTGGCAGCGGCTCGCCTCCCTCCTTGGCTGCAGGCAGCTTCTCCTGCAGTAGACAGGAAGACAGTTGCTTCTGCAGACTTGTGCTGCATCATTACTATTCTTGGCATGTCCATATAACACACATCTGACACCTCAGCAGCCGGACTCTGGGTGCTGCTCCCGTAGGAAAAGGCTCAGACCGACAGCCACAGATGTCACTGCCGTTTGTGGCAAGATTATTGTCTTGACAGAATTATCCCTAACAAACGCAGTACCTGGAGCTCCGGAATGCTGTACCCCCTGAACCTGATGCCCTCCTCAGGATCCAGCAGAGACGTCTCCCAGAGCAATCCCTGCGAGCAGCAGGGTGCCTTATCACACAAGACACAATGTGCAAATTGACCTGCAGGTTACCTCTGGACAATCCACACTCTCTGCACCATGTACATGCATCTGGACTGCACCACGCAATGTGGAGATCTACAAGACGTGAAGCTGGGTGGATGTTAAGGGCAGACCGTGATGCCCCTCATGCCCCCAATAGCCATGTCCACCGTGACCTTGCCAAGCTCTTTGCTGCCATGGGTCTTCTTGATAGCTTTCAAACGCTCCTGTATAGAAGGGCACACACATTCACATCTCCACTCGGGCTCTTGTAATCATGTACAGGCATAAGATAGACATCTCGACCGTTGATGATTCCATGGCACATCTATAACAATGATGAAACCGTTGTCCCAAGCATTTGATAGCTTCAGTCTTGTCAGATGACATTTTTGGCTAGGCTAAAAGTGCTGGACAAGTCTCTCCGGCGATCGCTTAAGATGGATGGTGAAATCAAACCTGCTGCTCTGGGATCTTTTCCTTCAACACGCTTTTCAAGTCTGATGCTGTTGACAAAGTTCTTGTTGTAGCCTCAGCGCATTCGATTAGGGTTGACGAGGTGAGGGACGCGAGGCCCCGCAGCGCCCGTAGACCCCTCATGTCCTGAGAAACCTCTTCTTAAAGCCAGACAAATGGCTTTTAAGCCTTCAGCATGCCATTTGTGTATTGAGGAACCAGGAAACGTCCCCCAGATTTCCCGTTGACCTACATGTGCTGAGTAACCGTTCGTCATCACACGTCAAAGCGGTCCAGTCAGGCGGGCCTCCCCGACGGCTTGATCGACCAAATTTACTCTGGAGTCACGAAACAAAGCACGAAATCGCGTTGCAGCAATATTGTGACTTATTTGTAAAGTATCTGGAAGGATCGTGAACATACATTCAGGCATTTCTCCTGTTCTGTAAAGCAAATACTAGACACTTCAAAGTCTAGTGCGGATACAAGGAAGAAGGAATCATCAACCAAGGCAATCTTAATTGAGTTCCCATATATCAATGTCATTTTAACAAGACTGAGGGTAAAAGGATGGGAGGTCCAGCAGCGCATGGACAACACAATAAGGTACCATTCCGCTGGCGCGCTAATACATTCTGAGATCTGCAATATCTATTGAAACGCGTCAATTCCAGTAGTCGTTTCAAGCGTTTTGCTCAATCCAGACCGTTGCAAGAAGCAATGGAAAGCTGCTCTTGAGATCAGGTCCTGAGGGGGGGCTTCTGGTTTGTCCTCCTCTTCGCTTTCCCTTCTCATATATTGTGTGCACTATGCAGCCACACAAGAGAGGCCGTCAAGCCGGATCCAGTGCGCGCAACAAGCACAAGGTCGCCAAGGGTGCGCCTAGCCACCCTACTTTCTGTACTCTCGTGCAGTACTTTTGTGTCTGCATGTCATTCCATTTCTGCTACTATATCACATTTTGGTGTTGCTGCAGAGGGCGGAAGGCAGCACGTGAAAAGCGGAAGCCAGACAGTTGCGGGTATTGGGAAGATGCAGCGGCTCAACGAGGCCAAGCAACAGAGGTGAGCTGCCTTCGTCCCGTTGCCCTACCCCATTACCCTGCCTCATCCCTTAAAGAATCTGGTCTCAGTGGAAAGTGGTAGCCTATGGCAGCCATTTTGTCTAGATGGACATCTAGCCAGCCACATATATGTTCATTTCTCAGCAATATCTGTGACATTTTGCTGGGACGGTACATGCATGCAACCTTTCTATATAGTTTTCCCCTTCCCTGTGACCAGGGAGCGAAAGAAGAGCGAGGTGCTGGCGCAGAGGCGGCAGCAGGGGCCGCCTCCAGTTGTGGCATTCCTGCCGCTGTCCACAGAAGTGGACTTTCCCGCTCTGTGGCGACTCATCCTGCGCGCATTTGCGGCTGCCCCGGCCAGGAAGGCTGCGCAGCCGGGGAGGAAGAAAGATGGAGCGGAGGATATGGAGGATGAGGAAGCCTCCGCTGCAGGTAATGCCAGTGGTCCTTAACATGACGCAAGTCATGATGGGAGTAACGCATGCTTCGTTGACGCTGTGCGCATGCGGCGATGGGATTGGAGCTTTCAGGGATTAATTGTTGAGACGCTGAGTCTTGCAGTTGTACAGCATCTTGTGTATCTTGCTTGATGGCTTTTCTGCAAGGGGGTGCTTCCTGATCTCAATGTTTTGGCACTCTGTGACACACAATTTCAGAAGAAGAGCATTTCGACTCATAGGAAGCAGGTCATTTTAGACATGTGGGGCAGCATGTGTTGCCTTGCCTGGACTGGACGGGCGCAGCGGTGTTTATAAGGGACCTCTGGAGGAAGTAAATGATGTTGCTTTTGTAGGGTTGCCTGAGTATGTGGCAAACGCACCCGGTCCCACTGAGACTAAAAGTTCGTTGCCTGCATGGCGCAGAGGATTACCCGCTCGTTCCAACAACGGTGGCGGTGCCCAACCGGCCCAAGCAGCGCTTTACGCTCGTGCCGCCGCTGCGCAACCGGGGGGACCCTCTCGCCGCCATTGAGCTTGGCAAGACAGCCGAGGCAAATCCTTTACCCCCCACGATTGTCTGCCGAATGCCTTCTTGGGTCTGCCATGCTGTTAGGAACCCCGACAAGCACTTCTGATTGCTCTGCAAGGCAGCAGATAGCCTTGGCATTGGAGTACTTTTCATCCCAAAATGCAGCCCAGCTCATGTCAGGGCAGTAACATACCACCGTACCCCATCCTTGTGGTTTGTGATCCTGCAGTACTACCGTCGTGAGGGGCATGGAACACACTGGCATACAATACTACAGGCACAAGCAGAGTGACATGTGGCTCAGACTAGGACCAGAGTACCTTAATGATTAATTCTCCAGAACTTTAAATGGTCAGGGCAGGAATTACAGAGTACCATACTTTGCTTTTATGCAGCCATCCTGATGGTACCCTGCTGTTGTGCAGTTGGTGGTGGCGGTGCTGCCGGCAAAGAACAAGGCGGTGTGCATCGATATGGAGGGGCAGCTCGCGCTGAGCACGCTGCGCCAGCTGGGCATGCCAGCTGTCATGGCCGTCGTTGCCGGCGGCCCGGCTGCTGCCGATGGCGCAAAACCGGCGGCCGCCGCCGCCCGGCTGAAGGAACGCGCTGCCGCCAAGAAGCGGGCCGCTGCCGTGCTCGCTTCAGAGGTGCGCTTTGCTTTGCATCGCCTTCTGGATGTACACATGCTCCGTGATTCGTAAAGGCATGACTTCCGTGTCGTGTTGCAGCACATGCGTGTGCTTCCAGGCGTGCGCAATTCTTGCAGGGATTTTGGCATTCCCTGTTGCGCCCGCATGTGCTGCACCATGTGGCTAAAATCTCTCATGACTGAAAATTTTGCACATTATGAAGTATGATTGCTCACGGGCATGTTTTGTGTGGTCAGGTGCCCGGGGATCACAAGATTGTGTCAGTGGATGACGAGGCGGACTGCGCGCAGCTGATCAGGACGCTGGCAGAGGCTCACCCGAGCGCCCCCCTCTGGCGGAGGCAACGCCCCTGCCTCCTGGTCTACGCGGCCCACTTCTACCCTGCCGCCGATGACACCGGAACACTCACCCTCACGTAAGCCGTTAGTCACCTGCCGCATTCCCTTAATCAAGACAAGATCTGCCGTAGGCGTTGAGAGGTGGCATTGAGACATATACAGGGGAATGTCTGCTTGCAATCTGGTTGCAAGGGGGCTTGCAGCAGCATACGTGTCTCTCGCCAGGCTCTGGGCTGCTAAGGAGAAAATTTATGGGAAGCACAGATTGTCCACAGATTAAAGAGGCTTGGGCGTGCTGATACTCTCCAATGACCTCCAGGGCACACTGCCTGAGTGGCCAACACATTATTCATGCAACCTGATGGCAGGGACTTGGCAGGCATCTCTGTGCATGACATGCGCTCACATGGCAGATCACAAGGAAACTGACATTAACTTTGGTTCTGCAGGGGCTATGTGCGCCACCTGGGCCTGTCAGCAAACCAGATCATCCATGTCCCGGGCGCGGGCGATTTCCAAATTGACCGCATCGAGGGCGCTCAGGTATGACGACCGTGTTTATTGATCGGAGCCCTTATCAAGATATCACTGATGTGTGTTGCCTGCAGCTTATCAAGTGTCTGCCTTGCAGATCATGTCCATCGCAGAGTTTTGGGATATTCGGCGTCCGGCGTTCTTATGCACTTGTGACAGCAGGAGCCTACGGCGCTTGGGGCGGCGGCGCGGGTGACGAAGGGTGACTCATCAATGGAAGCTTCGGGGCCCGGTCTGGTGGTATTCCCTGATCCGGCAGCGCGCGATGAGGTCATCCGGGAGAACGAGGCCGACCCGCTGGCAGGAGAGCAGACATGGCCAACAGACATGGTGCGTTCTTGTTTCCCATCTGTTACCTTGTCTTGATATTCTGATTTGATTTGAGGATCGTGCTCTGCATGCTTACCACCTGCATACAGTCAATACTGCTCTCTTGATATTTCTGATTCACCCATAATGAAATTCTGCTCAGAGTGCGCTGCAAAGCAATTCATATACATCGGAGGCAACTCCTCATTTGGGTAATCTGTGCTTCCAGAGTACATCTACACGTATGGCCACCGTAACGGCATTGTAAAGGTCTTAGCCGTATATGCTGGCCCCGGGCTGGCGGGGCCCGGTATAGGTAGTGAGCACCATGCCAACGGTTGATTGGGAGTTGCTTGGATCTGGCGAGCCCAATGATGGGCAGGATTGTGGCCGCCTTTAACATGCTGGCCTTCAATCTGCATACATGTAGCACTTGGCCTCTTGCAGAAAAAGGGAGTGAATTCAGTGTATGCAATCAGTACTGCAGCGCATGCAGATTGCTGCTGATGACATGTATATCAACTGCTGTCATGGGGCGATTGCAGGAGATGCAGGAGGCAGAGCAGCAGGACAAGAAGAAGCGCCGTCTGCCCAGGGGTACCTCAGAGTACCAGGCGGCCTGGATCACAGAGGACATCGTGGGCGAGGGTGAGAGCAGCGAGGATGACGAAGAGGAGGAAGACGCTGCAGGTGACGACGATCAGGACGATGTCAGGTGCGCTTTTCACACCAACAGCACTCATAAGCATCACACGTCGCTCCAGGTCCCTTGGTTGGTCACACAGGGTCTCGTGACGGGCGCAATCAGAGGCCTCAATGCCTTTGAAAGCATGAGAATGGCATTGTACGTAAGTTTATGAAGGTGATGAAGAAGAGGCTCCTGATTTCTCTCTGTCTCAAATTCCTTCATGGTAAGTAGAGGACATCTGACAGGTAGCTTCCCTTGATCCAATGAAACGCCTCTATAATTTGAGTTAGTGTATGTGCTACATGCGAGAAAGTGGCTTCCTTTACTTTAGAAGGGCATGTTTTAATTTCGAGCTCATGTGGACTGCGTGGGTGGCAGGTCACTGGCGGGCACAAGAGCAGGAACAGAGGCCGGGGGCCTCATGTCGGAGTTTGGGGGAGATGACACGGAGGTTGATGACATGGCGGATGACGAGGAGGGTAGCGCTGACGTGGGCGTTGACCTCAAGCAGCGCTGGCGCGAGCAGCAGGATGATGTCATGTTCCCAGACGAGGTGCAGGACGTTGCCTCTTCCCCTTCTCTCCCCTTGTATAATTTGTTATTTCTATCATTCCTGCCCAGATTTTTGGTACGAAATAGTGTGCATTCCAATTCAAATATTTTGCTAGTTTTGATGGGCGTATGATTACACCTTCAGGACTCGCAAAGCTGCCCCGCTGTCCGTCATGACATGCTTCCCTTGCTGTTTGTGAAAGGCGTGCATGTCACATGTGGACTGCACAGCAATTTGGCAGCACCAGGCTTCCTGTTGCAATGCAGGCAGCAATCATCCATGTCGTTGCAACACATCTATGGTCGAGTGTAAATCTGGACACAGCAACACTCTTACGATGAGACGTATGACTGAGGCATTGCCTGCTGGTACAGGTGGATACGCCAAGGGATATAGGGGCGCGTGTGCGATTCGCCAAGTACCGGCACCTGAAGAGCTGGCGCAGCAGCGGGTGGGACCCCAAGGAGAGCCTGCCACGCGAATACTCGCAAGTCTTCGCCTTCCAAAACCACAAACGCGCCCACAAACGGTGCGGCACAATCGTCCCCAGCATTATATACCTATCATTTGATTCCAATTTTCTACAATGGAGGGCGTGACCTACTATGCACTGCTTAATAGGTCCTTGATGAGCGGTACTGAGTTTGGATGGGTGGTAAAATGAGTGGTATCTCCAATAACTCCCTCCTGGGATCCAGGAGCCGTCTTACCTTCCTCTACTGTGTGCTTGAATTTTGGCAATGTTGAGCCTTGAAAAAGAGGCTCCTGCCCTGCCACCCTGCAAATCGGCAGATCAAAGTGCTGCCGAAGAGCACTACTTCTTGTCCAGTAGTAGCCCTCAGGCAACCATTCAACTCTTCCCTGCCCCATACGATTGCCCGCGCTAGTTCTGGATGGTAATTCGTGCTGATCGGCAAAGATTTGATGTGCCGTTTATGTAGAAAGAGTCACTTCGTGTTCTGATTGGCGCACTCAAAAGACGTTTCACCCGATTACGGGAGATACTTCACTGTTATGATACCAAGGAGCAAACGTACCTGCTGACATGGCGAGTGTATCCTGCGCGCAGGGCCAAGGCGGCGGCCGAGGCGGTGGGCGGCCCGGAGGACTGCCACGGCGTGCCCGCGGGCACTTACGTAACCGTCCACGTTGCGCGCGTTCCCACCGCGGCCGCAGCCGCCGCCGTCGCGCGCGTGGCAGATTCCCTGCAGGTGCGTGCGCCAGCTGGAAGATTGTTCTCCCCCATTCTCCCATACAATTCGCGACTGAGGAAGGGTAGGTTGAATTTGCATGTGACGTCCTTGGTGCAAAACTTTATTCTATCACAGTGCTTGCACCAAAGACAACATCTTGCCACCGAGCTTGCAACAAAACTCCACCTAATTTGGCGCGCCTGCATGGCTATGATTAGACATGATGGCGTCCCTTTCAAACATGGCCCATCTTGCATTAGCGCAGGATTGAGCGAAGCCATTGTTCCTTGGGGTCTGTACGCCAGATTGCAAATAGGCAGCCAGACATCATATATTGTTCAATGAGTCTCCTGCAAGTGAGGTATGGGGTGCAGGAGAGGTATCCACTGTGCTGGCTCCACAAATCTCACTGTTAGAGGCTGATGCCCGGAAATAATTAAGAAAATCTGTGTTCGCAGGGCGAGCTGCCTCCGCTGGCAGTGTTTGGGCTGCTGCAGCATGAGACCAAACTGAGCGTGGTTCACTTCTCGGTGCGCAAGGCGGCAGCGCTCGAAGATCCGCTGCCCAACAAGACCGAGATGCTGCTCGTCACAGGCCTCAGGTAATGTTCCACCGACAGGGAGACCAGAACCACAGGGAGATTTGGGAGGGTCAGCTTGCACCTGGCCGATGCCTTGCAATGCCTCAGCAAGCCATCAGGACGCCAAGAATGTAGAAATGGGAAACTTCTAGCAGTCACTCGGCAAGTGCTATGTACATTTTTGGTGTGTAATGGAGAAGTGGCATCGGCGGATTCAAGCCTGGCGCAAGATGTGGCAGCTCCTTGCCAAGGAGGACATGTCCTTGCACCGCGACTGACATAAATCCATCTGCAAGAGATTCTACAGGAGGACGTGCTTGGGACTTACGATTGCCCCCCCATGAAGTTTATTCTTGATTATATAGATTTTGAATTCGGATTGCAAATCGTCGGCAGGTCGTACACTGCGCAGCCAATATTTTCCACGGACGAGCCGAGCGGCAGCCGCTTCAAGATGGAGCGCTTCCTGCACCCGGGCCGCCAAATCGTGCTCAGCGTGTACGGTCCCATCTGCTTCGGGCCGCTGCCCGTACTCGCCTTCCTGCGCGGCCCGGACGGCTCCCTGCGCCTGGCAGCCTCCGGTGCGCTTGTTGTTTCGACTCCCTTCATTACACTATGACTTTCCAGCTACAAGTGGTGCAAAAATAAACACAGGGCTGGATATTTGCGGGTTTCCTTCCAGGAAGAACTGGTCACGTGTCCTGCCTGTAGAGGAAGCTCCACAGGTGAGATAGCCTAGGTGTAATCACACTGGAGACCACTGGCGAACTGTGAGTGTCACACTCTTTTTGTGCAGTTTTCTCAGAACAAATGTGAAATAGCTCTTAAGTATAAGTCTCTGACGGCGCCTTGCCTTTATTTATGCCTGCCTTGGTCCACTACGTGAGGCAGTGAAGCTGCTGTAAGGCAGCGTGTTTGGGGACTTGCCTTGAGGCCTGTGACTATTGCGCATTATCAAGTTCTGGAACAATTTGGCTGCCTTGCCTGCAAATAATTTTCACAGGCAAGTGGCCCTTGATGATTGTTGGGATGCCATAACCCGTAATGTTAAGAATTGGGCTTGGGCCTTCATGCGGGGCTTGCGCCGAATTGGGTATGAGTTTGTTATTCGGTTTGACACCCTTGTTCCTGTGGAAGTTGATGCTGTGATGCAGCTGCTAGATGCGCAAGCACTGCAGGTTTGGGATGACATTGACATTTGCCCTAGGACCTGCCCGTCCAGCAATGCCACCTTGTGTACATATCACAGATGGTTTGCTAGGCCAGCTTGTGTGCGCCACCCTTGCCAGCTCTTACAGCAGCCTTTGAGTGCCCGTTGCTTGCGTATACTGTTGAAGTTCAGGATGGGTTGTCATAGTCTGCCCAATGTCTCGGGCCGCTGGGCAAGGATTCCCCGGCCCCAGCGTTTGTGCATGCGTTGTGCCCAGCAGGTTATTGGGGATGAGCGCCACCTTGTGTTTGAGTGCCCTGCCTTGCAATCTGTTCGGGACAGATATCCTGGGCTGTTTGGTGCAGCCATTGTGACGATGCAGCAATTCATGTGGCAGTTGGACATTGTTGGTGTTGCACATTTTGTGATGGATTGTTTTGATTATTTGGATGCTGCCAGTTCATCCAATCAGCCCTAGGCGGCTGGAGTGATGTAATCTTCCTTCCTTCCTTGTTTGACTTGAAGTACATCCGCTGTGCTATATAGATTGCCTATGTGGTTAATCTGTTCGGTTGCTGTCAAGTGCCTCGCACTGCCGTGCATGCTTTGACTGAAGGTGCCACAGAGCACGATTGCTGACCGGTTTTATTACACTGCATGCAGGCACGCTGCGCAGCTGCGACCCAGACAGGCTGGTGATAAAGAAGGTGGTGCTGTCGGGCTACCCAGTCAAGGTGCACAAGAAAAAGGCCTTTGTGCGCTGGATGTTCTTCAACCCAGAAGACATCCGCTGGTTCCGTCCTGTCGAGCTTTGGACCAAGCACGGCCGCCGCGGACGCATCAAGGCGAGCATTTTTGCACCCCTCCATGACATCAGTCCTGCCTTGCACTGACAGCACATCAGATGCCCCTCTGCTTGAGGGCTTGATATCGAGGGCGGCCTTATTTGCTTTGGCCTGCTTGGTCATGTCCTCTGACTGAGGGCGTAATGTATAGACCCGATGCATGTTGCTCTCACCTTACTATTATATTGGCGTGTGTAGAATATAATCGAAAGAGTCCCTTGAGTTTTTTTATAGTGTATTGCTCTTTGGGTGTGGATGACTGTGCAAAAGCGCTCAAGGGTATGTGCAAAGTAAAACCCATCCTGGCATTAATACAATGCCAAAGAAAGTGCAAGAGTGCAAAACCTCAGATATTTTTCATGTGGTGCGTCTGTACAGGAGCCGATGGGGACGCACGGGACGATGAAGTGCATGTTCGACGGCTTTGTCACACAGCAGGATGCAGTGTGCATGTCCCTCTACAAACGCACCTTCCCCAAATGGCCAGCAGACACCGCAGCTGGCAGCTTCTGCTGAAGCCCTTTGCGGGGGAGAAGGACCTTTGTGAAATTGCATGCTTTGGGTGCATGCAGGATATATGCATGTAGGTGGATATGCGCGCAATGGGCGGTGACAATTTGACATTTTAGCCTCAGAGTAGACGTTTGACGCTTTAATTTACCAAAGTGGTGTCATCCTGTGAGCAATGGGCTGAGAAATTAGCAATTCAACAGACCAGATGTGCATCCTCCAGTAAGCAGAGCATGTGTGCAGTTTCAAGAGATGTTGCCTTACATATGATTTCAATTATTTCACATCCGGGATCAGAACTCTAAATCTCCTCACACTCTCACAGAGACGCGTTAAAATAACCCTTGTAAATATAACAGCCTTATCTATACATGAAGCCTTGAGGCACGTACTGAAGCCACAGGCTTGACCTCGATAATACAAAGCATAGGCAGCATGTCTAGCCCCGCTTTTCTCGTGCTTAGGCAATGTTTGCAATATACTCAATGTTAAATTCGCGCCCTTCTTCACGTCCATCCAGCCTTCACGGCTCACACAGCTCGCCGCACTCGATTGGCCCAGAGGTTTGCCACAGGTGCCTGCCCACAACACGAATGTCATTCTCGGCAATCGTGATCTCCACGTGAACGTGCACGTGCAATGATTCAATACATCGGACTAGGCTTTCAGGCATTAAAAGAAGCACCCAGGCAAAGTGAGCAAGCTGCCATTCGACAAAAGCAGAACTTCTTGCGCGCTGGGCAGTTCCAGACTCTTTCAGGGAAGACTGACCGCATTACAGATGCGCCCCATTCTAAAAGGTTGTATGGAGCATTTGAAACCCCTGTGAACATGTGAAAGAATGCCATGTGAAGGGAAGGTGATGCGCGGCTCACCCAGCAGAGGCCGCCCTCGAACTCCACAGCAGGCACAGCAGGGCACAGCGAGAGCGGCAGCAGCGTGAGGGCGCAGCGGTGAGGGGTTCCCTCCTCCCAGGACGCTGACGTGGCGTCCAGCTGGCTACAGGCCTGTGAGAGTACATCTGCCAGCGCAGACGGCTCTGCCGCGGCCGCTGCAACTGCATGCGCTGCCTTGAGCGGGGGAGCACCTGCACAACAAAGCATGGGTCCTATTTGTCTTTCCAATTACCGCAAAAGTTGTGCTTCACAGCAACAGTTGCAAGGACTGCTGCTGCTGCGGCAGCAGACCTTCCTATAGGATGCACAATACCTTCCAATCGACTGCTATGCCCTGTCAAATCAGTCCATAATGAGCAAGGTTGGCCCACTGGACCTTGCTGCCTCACATGCAGCTCCATGGCCAAGTCAGACACAACCAGATCATACCCTCATAGCAGGCTAAATATTTCTGGTGTTTTGTGCAGAGACTGACCTGCCACGTCGCCATGCCAGCACTCCTCGCAGCGAGACAGCGCTTCTGCAGCGCCCCACGAATCATCGACCCCTCCAACGGCGCATCCACTCTTCTGCCGCTGCGCAGCCCTGAGTGCGCACGCCACGAAGCGGACCGCCCCCAGAGCCGTTATGTACTGCCGGGTCCGGGAGTTGGCGCAATATTGGTCCTGCCGGCCTGCGCCGCACGCCTCCGACCAGATGCGCTGTCCCCTTGCCAGCTCAGCCTGTGCTGCCTGCAGTGCGATAAAGTTACCTTTCAGGTGCACATCATATCTCGCTTACAGCACCCACCCGCTGGTTCAGAGGGGTGACTTGCCAAAAGTCAGTCTGTCACTGATGACCAGTGGCAAAGAAGACGCCAGAGCAATACTTCGGCATTATAGAACACCACCGGATATGCAGCAATTGCGTGGATGCACCCAGGGATTTTGAAGCAGCCCTTTTTCACAGAAACGTCAACAAAATACCATGTCCAGTGAGCGGCAGGAAAGGATCTAGGCGCTCACCTCAGCGAGCAGGCGCCAGGCTGTCGCTCTGTCATGTCCCGCGAACGTCTCCAACGGCGATGCCTTTATACTCACAGAAGCCCCTGCACTCAACTGCACAGCCTGCATGCCTGCAGCTGCATCCCCCGCAGCCCATTCCTCGCCCCAATCCCCTTCCTCAATTCCATCGCTCCCCTGAGCCCAGTGACCTCCTGAGAAGTGCGCCGCTGCTGTGGCGTCCCCAGCCGCACGGGAGACTTGGGGAGGATCCAATCCCGCACTCTTATCAGCCTCCAGGGATGTGAATACATCCCACACGTCGGCAGACGCCGCTGCGTTGCTCGTCCCCTGTCTTGGCGCGAGCCATGACTTATCGGTCTCCCAGGTCCAGTCAGTGCCGGCCGCCGGCGCTGACTCATCCGCGCGTCCTGGAAAGGCGCCATCGGCCGCGCCTGATCTGGCGGACGCCGACGTCGGCGACACGTCAGCGCCGAAGATGTCCAAGTCTGGCGCGGCGGGGCTGGAAGGTACGCCTGCGGATGGCTGCCGCTCGGTAACGTCCGGCCGCTGTGTCGTTGCAACGGCATCCCCAGAAGCTGACTCGAGAGGGACATCAAGCGGCCACTGCATGCTGTTGCTGCTGGCAGGTTCAAGTGCTGCCCCGGCAGGCCAGCCATTGTCCCAATTCCCTGGCTCTGTAGCGGCTGTACTTGAAGAGCTGATGCCCTCAGCTGCGCCAAACTCCTCAAAGTCTCCCCACTCATCCACAGAGCCGGCCTCCCCTTGCTGCTCATCCCCTGATGCAGCAGCCTCCGCGGCAAGAGATTCAGGGAATGCAGCTGTGCTCAGGGACAAATCCTGTGCCTCCTGTGCCCTCTCTGTTCCGGTAGGCAATTCCTCTACCAGGCCGGGCTCCTCAGCGGCGGCTGACACAGCGGGAGGAGGGTCATCTGCTGCCATGGCGAGGGAGCTGCTGGCATCATCGCTGATGTCAGCGCATGCCGCTGGCCCGGCCAGATCAGGCTCCTGGGCTAGTTCGGGTGCGTCCTCTGCGAAGCTGAAAACCAGTGCGTCCCAGTTGATGCCCTGCTGTGACCCCGGGGTATTCCCCTCCGCTGGTGCAGCTGCCCCGTGTTCACCTGCAGTGCGATTTAAATAACATCAGAACCCATGTTATTGGTACACATGCCTGCAGTGTTCATCTCTGGGTGGCAAAGATCCAGCATGTGGTCGTGATTAATTCCTGCACACACATGTGCAAATGTAAATCTGCAAATCCTATTCCTTAGAAGAGTTGTACCTGCTGCGGCTGCAACTGCACTTGTGGGTTCTGCAGCATCTTCTCCACTTTCAGACCCTTCTGTAGGTGATGGCAGAGGCGCCAAATCTCCGGTGGGCGCTTCCGCTGCTCTGTTATCGGCCTTATCTGACTTTGCAGCACCGTCAAACGCACTGCTGTCACACACCGCAGCAGCTTGTGGCGTGTCTGCCCACTCTCCAAACTCCTCTACCTCAGCTGCCTCCTCAGCAGGGTCAAACAGACCTGACCCCGCTGCGGCCTCGCCACTCTCTGTCTGCTGTGGTACCGATATCCCACCGAGTCTCTCTGCCGACAGCTGGAGAGCGGCAAGGGGACAGGCCTCCGCAGCAAAGGGTGTATGCTCGATGTTCTCAGGGGTGGCGGGCGCGGGCGGAGGGACCGCCGTCGGCGCCGTGTCTCCCGGCGGAAGCTGCGCGGCAGCTGCCGCTGATTCAGCGGCCTGATCTGGCACCAGGGCGGCTGCCGCAACAGAGTCGTCCCACTGCATGCTGCTGAAGAGAGCCTTTTGAGGCTGCTCGGCTGGCGCCGCCAGGTTTGGCACAGGGGTGGATGGCAGAATGGATGGGGTCGGTGGAATTGAATGACCAAGGCCGAAGCCACCCCAGGGTGCGGCCAGGTCCAGGCTGGGCAGCGGGGGCGTTGCCTCTGCCAGTTCCTCGTCCTCGCCAAATAGGGACATCGGCAGTGGTGCAGACCTGCGCCAATAAGAAGCAGAACTCAGTTGGGGCTGCAAACCGCTCATGATCACTGCCCACAACAAAATGCTTGCCTAGACTGGCTCAGCACATTCTGATCCTCCAAAGCTAGAGACTAGGGTACTATATTGCGCAAGTGAGATGATCCAGGCAGCAAAGTATATCACAGTGATTTCGGACGTATTGCACCCCTTGAATTGTCAGCACATTTTCAGAAAATAAACAGGCATGGCAGAAAGCCTGCCCACCTGTCAAGAGCCGCAGTCTGTGCCTGCGACACTTCTGCGTCCGCCCCAGCGTCCTCAAAGTCCCCAAAATCATCACCATCAGACCCCTCCCCATAGTCCAGCTCATCCCGAGCGATGTCAATCGTCGATGCCGGAGTCACTCCGCGGCCGCCGCCCGTCTCTGAGCTGGGCACGGATTTCGCGGCGCCGGGAAACGGCGCGTGGTGCGCGGCAGCTGCCAGGCAGCTTCCGGACGCTTGCGTGGCCGGCAGCGGAGCCTGCCACTCGGCCGCCTTGAAATCGCCAAAGTCCCCAAAGCCGCCGTCGGCCGCGGCTGATGCGCTTGGAACCTGCGGGGCGCTGCTGCTCTGTGCTGACGCAATCGCTGGCCAGCTGCTGGGGTCAAAGTAGCCAGTCAGGGCCGGCCCTGCTGCTGAAGGTGCTGTCTGTGTGTCAGATGACGCTGCCTTGCTGGGAGCTATGCCCGGCTGGGCAACTGTGAGCCAAGAGGAGGGGGCAGCTGCGCTCGGCTGAAATGCACTGAGCGACGCGAAGCTGAGAGGGGCCGCTGCGGTTCTGACGGCGCACGGCTGCGGCAGGGCGGCAGGTGCCGGCATGTGCTGGAGTGCGCCAAAAGAGGCGTCTGCTGCGCCGCCGCCTTTGTGCTGCATGCTCGCAGCATGTGGCACAGCACCTATCCCATTCACGCTGCCGTGGACAAGCTGTGTTGGAAGTGGCAAGGCATCATTTGGGAGCACAAGCTGCTGTGCTGCGCCGGAGCTGGCTGTTGCAGTGCTGGCATCAGCGTCACAGAAGTCCCCAAAGTCCTCTTCCTGATCTTCTGCATTTGTTCCTGCCACAGGCGCCACGGAGATATTGCCTGCTTCATAGCCGCTGCCCGCAAAAGTCCAGCTGTCTGCTGAGCTGGCGGCCGCCGGCGCCAGGTCATTGGCGCAGAAGACGGGCCCTGAGCCCGATGTGGCGCGGATGCTGACGCCCCCAGGGGCGCCAAAGCTGGCACCGGCCTTGTGAGGAGCGGGCAGGGCAGGGCAGGAGGTAGTTTCAGCGGGTGGAGCAGATTCACCCGGGCCACGCGGGCGCAGCCGAGGCGCCTCGGTCTCCCGGATGTTCCCTCCCAGATCCACGGCGTACGATGGCGGGTCTACAGTCACATCCACTGACACCACCTGTGCAAGTGAATGCAGCATATTGGAAACACAGTGCACATGGCAGAGCCTTGTCCCCGAAATTCGAACAATCAAATAACCCCACATCCCCTAAGGCGAGAGATACAGCAAGGACCCGATGGAAGGACATTTACCCCTGCTTATTTGGTCAAGTTTGCAGATACAAAACAAAATGCAACTATGCACTTAATATGCGCCAGCGCGTGGGTGCGATGATGTGCAGTACCTTGGCAGAGATGTAGGATCCGTCCCTCTGCCTGTACCATGCAAGATCTCCTTTCTTGTACACCGCCCCTCTGCCACCAGCAGCTTTTGTGGGTGCAGCAGTCATTCCGTTTGATGGACTCCAGCCTGCCCCAACACAAGAAATATGTAAAATCGTACTGCTTACCTTACAGACCAGACATTGTTCGGGGAAGGAGGTGGCTTATTTGCAGCTTCAATTATTTGCTACATGATTCAGATCAGCAGCGCATATGCACAGGCTCTCTTTCAGAGGCCAGCATGTCAGGCACAGACCCCTCGTAACAAAGAGCCCACGGTCAAGCGCTCACCGTGTCCGAAGTCTGATGGAAATGCCTTCAGTGTAACATCATTGTTGACCTCCACATCGCCGAACACATCCAATGGGATGGGCTGAGAACGCATAGGTGAGAGGTTTCCTTTAACAGTGTATAACCTGCGCCCAGAACCAACTGCGCACATCATCACCTTAAATTGTCCACAGACACGAAGTATGTTCGAAAAGTAATATTAGGATGCTTGCCGCTCACGCAGATGTCCCTGACAGTTGAGCAAAAGAGGTGCTCGCTTGACTGGATGCCCACCAATCGCGATGCCGGTGCAGATGTTCCACGGCCGGAGAGTACTGAAATGGATGTTCTTGATGTTTAACAAGCAAAACCCGCCCAATATCTCCGAGAAGAAAAGAGAGAGAAATTCCGTGCAACGACCGTTGACGGAAGGTTACTAATTCCACGTGGACCAGGTCGTCATGCCTCATTTGGCCCGCATGCGTGGCAAAGCCAAGAAATTTTGAGCCCCAGGTTTGCGCGTATGTCCAAAATCATCCACCGATCTTGGAATTGCAAAATTCTTTGAAATCTGAAACTTGTGAAAAATTATCTACTGTTATCGAAGCTTTGAAAGTTGTGTATTGAAATTGCCTTTTGGACACTGCAAGGCTAGAAGTAAGTGCGATTCCATTTCATTTGCCCTCACACCTCATCTCATCGAATTGTTCATATGGTCGTCACGTATGTAGTAGATGTTACATCACTGTCAACGAGATTTTAGTACTAATGCGAGGGACGTTCGTAGAATCTTATTGATTCCGCACTTACCTTGCTGGCATAAATTGCGAGTTTGGAGAACGATGTGACATCTCACGATCTTTTGTTGGTCCTAACACTGCGTGCTTGTGACTGCAGTGTATACGGGAGAGATCGGAAAGCTATCTGCGCAACAGCAGCTCGTTTGCAGGCACGCACCAGTACAGAGGCTTCAAGCAACTGCAATCTCTGGTTGCCGCCCTTCTCGAACTTCTAGGCTCCGCTGTTCAGCCTCCAGACCTCACACAACTATCCAGGTCAGCCCTGAACGAGTCAGCTCACCAAAGCACAAAGTCATGAAGTCTCACCAGACAACTTGCACCTGGCGCCCTTGTCAGGCAGGCGCAGCTGCAGATGTTGTCATGCGGATGACCTTGTTCTGTATGTGCTGACGTCATGTCATTGCTGCTGGGTGCAGGAGAGAGAACCTTCTTACACAGGATCAAATGTGGCTGTGCTTGAGCATGCATCAAGTGAAGCAGCCAGCAGCAGTGCACGCACAGCACAGTCCCATGACGCGCAGCAGGTGGGACACTCTGCTGCGCTGCTCATGCCTTGCTGTCCATCCTTGACATGCCCGTGCATTGAACTCCCTTAGTGCTTTTTAATGGGTGTGAGCTGTCGTACTGTGTTCCAGGAGCATACCGGGACTTTCAACTGGACAAAGCAATGGTATCCTCTTGCATCAGAGATAGATATGGACCCAGCCAAGCCACACTCGCTCATGCTGCTGGGTAGGTCTTGCACACAACACTGCTATGCATGCGAGTGGGGTTACTTCTCTGGCATTGTGGCGTACATTACCCCCCCCCCCCCCCCTGTAGCACATGTGACATTGATCAGTGCTTTGGATGGATGGCTTACAGGGAAGCAGCTGGTGCTTTGGAGGGATGGGGAGCAGCAGTGGCGCTGCTTTGAGGATAGCTGCCCCCACAGGTGCGCATGTAACGCCCCTTGAACAAAGGACAATTATATTAGATGAATGCATTGGCCCTTGAAGGAAGGGCACCGAGAACCAGAATTGGTGCAACTGCACTGAATTCTTTGCAAAGATTAGAGACATAAGATGTCTGTATCACCGCAAGCTCACACAGGGCACTTGACTGGCTCTACAATTGAGCCGAGATTGAACGCTGTCTTCATTCTCTTCCAAACTCGTGAAGATGTGTGTTGCGTGTTGTAGGAAGGTGCCGCTGTCAGAGGGAAGAGTGGAGCAAGGGGGGTTGCAGTGCGGATACCATGGCTGGATTTTTGGCTCTGACGGCCGCCCCACCCACATCCCACAGGTATGTGTCTATTCTTTGCCCATTGCTGTGGGCACAGGATCATGGCGCACAGCAACATGTTCAGACCTCGTCAGACCTGTTGACAACATAAAATATGTAGATCCTGCATTGATCTTGGATTGCACTGTTGGTGGCATTGGCGTATGATCCCTCCCAGGGAGATGGTTCAATGCAGCCGTTGCAACTGATGTTGCCATCAAACAGGAATGGTGCATGGCAATCTGAGGCCTATTTGAATCTGGGGGTAAAATGTCCTGAGCTATCCGATGTGCGTCGTGTGTGCAGCTTCACAGCGTGGACACAAAGGCAGAGCAGACAGCATGTGCTAGCGGGAGGTCTTGTGCAGCCGCCTACCCTGTGCAGGTGAGTGTTTCACTGCTGATTGAGGCAGTGTGACTGTTGTGACAAGGCATGCATGGATGTGCACAGTATGGCAGCTTCATTTCCTGTGGTTGCCATGGGATTCTTCTGGCTTTCTTGATCTACTGCTAGGCACTGCAACACTGGAGGGCCCGGTTTCCCACCACTAGCCTTTGCACCAATTTGTGACATCCCTAAATTTGGCAGTGCGTTTTTCCTTCAACAAGCGAGCATTCAATGACTGAGGGGCAATCCGCTAACGTTTTCATGTCTCTGCGCACAGGTGCAACAAGGCTTGATTTGGGTATGGGGAGAGCACGGGTCAACAGCGTTTCTGGAAAGCCTGCAGCGTCAGCCGGCCATAAACCCCCTGAAAGCCAAAACAGAACCTGGTGCGACCCATACCTATCTTGTGAGACCTGATTTTTGTTTTTAATTTATTTTGTGTTGCTAAGCATTTTTAAGGTCCGCCTTTTGGACGCTGTCTTAACGATCTCTTGTGGTGTGCAGACAAGTTCACGCAGACCTATGTGAACTACATAAGAGACTTGCCAGGTATGTCCTGCCACCTAAGCAGAGAAAGATGATTATGTGACAACATCAGGGACGACATAAAGATGCTGCTGATGGACTGTGAGAAGTCACATGTAATGTTCCCAATACTGAGGTGCTATTTTGCGGCTTTTGAACAGGTGGATTTCAGGAGTGGGTCGAGAACATGACTGATCAGTCCCACGTGGCTTTTGCTCACCATGGCGTGGCGGGCAACAGGTGATTCCCCGATTGTGTTTGTTTGATGGAAAGAATGTTGGCAATATCAATTGTCAGCAAAATCTTTGCATGCTCCAAAGATCATGCATTTCTAGCCCACATGTACCAGCCTCTGATCAAGTTGGCATATCATGCATTGTCCAAGAAGTGTTAAACTCAGCAGGCCTGGCCCTCACAGTCTGTTATGCACCTGTCCGTTGCCTTTTTGGATTCTGAGCTTGAATCTGGAGGAGTGCTTCTGTCAGGCATGGACCGGATGCCGGATACTTCAAATCCCATAGCGTGGAGGAGAGGCCGCGCCCAGAGGACGGATTTAAATTCGTATTCGATTGGAGCGCCAACAGCAAGTCTGTCAACAAGAACACCACCTTCGAGTTCATCCCACCAGTCTACAACGGGTGATAGCCTGCCTCTTTCTCTTTGTTGTGACAAGCAGGAGCATGATCAGCTCATCTTTGGTCCATTCCTTCTTTCTGCTCCTGCAAACCAGTCATTCTCACCGTAGCAAATGTTTTGAAAGCCTGCACCTCATATATGTGTGAAATATCTGCTGGCAGGACTTGCAGTAAGTGCACTCCAAGCTAGAGAAGAGAGCAAATGGCTAATAGTCATATCCAGATTTCAAAATGAGCTTGACAATCATCTGAGACTGTCCTCATTCTTTTATTCCTTGTGTGCTTTTCTGACATATGCCATTCCTTGGTGGAATAAATGCCGAGACAGGGAGGTTGGAGGGGAGTTATTGACAGGTCGGTGCGACGCACCGAACCCTGAGGGCTGGAACAAGCAATAGTAATAATAGCAATAGGCGTATTAATAACCATAGTAATGACGACAATAAAGATGATAACAATTGCCTGATATGGCTTGTGCACCTGACCAGGTTCACTGTGGCGGGGGGAGTGTTCTCGCTGTGGATCTACGCCGTCCCAGTCAGCGCCACATGCACCCGCCTCATCATCAACGCCGGAGGAAACTTCCCCAAACCGCCGCCTCAGAAATTGACCCTCACAAATCCAGCTGCCCTGCTGAAGAAAGTGGATCCCCGACCACTGCTCCTACAGCTCGTCAAGCGCATCAGGTACTCATAGGATTCTTGTGTGTGGTGCCCAAATGTGTGGACAAGTTCATATGTTCGATATGGAGCCACACTGCACCACATGTTCTTGAGGAAAAATGATCTGCTCAGATGCCGTGATAAAGAGGTTTTCCGCTCAGTAGGTATGAACTATAGGTTGTCAATATTTGCGTGAAGCAGCCTGAATAATGTCTTCAGATTTCCAGCTTCGTATATATGGTGTCTGACATTGCAGAGCCATGTTCTCTAAGACCACATTTAGGGTTTTTCATGTATTTTATTCTAGGGTTAAGGGTTTAGGGTAGACGATCACACCATTTGATGCGTTCTGATCCGCTTGTGTGCTTGCTACAGCGGAAGATGGGGCCCTCATCTGCAGCTGAATGCAGTCAACGATGGCGACATTGTGTTCATGCACCAGCAGAGCAAAACCAACCGCCTGGCTGGGCGCAAGGCAGACTACAATCGCCACTACTTCACCCCCGGTGACTCCGACAGGTACGCAGCTGTAGACCCACCCACTTTCCTTTTGAAGCTTCAGGCAGCTTCCAGAACCCTGTCGGCTCTTGCCAGTACTATGGCTTGTTGCTGTCTAATACACCCAAATGCCCAGACTTTATTGTAGCAGCTCCATCTTTCTGGCAAGATGTCGGACATTTGGTTTGCTTAAAGCTTGCGTTCTAGTCGATACAGATCAAAAATTGCCATGCGGGGCTCAAAGAGACAAGGGAAACCTGACAGTCTGACAGAGCTCCTACAAATATGGTACTCCCTGTGACACAATGCATGCAAGAATTGTTGCACATGGTTGAGGTTTCCACAAGGGGTGTTGCGCCGTGCGCAGGGGAGTTATGGCGTGGCGGCGGTGGCTGACGCAGAAGGCGGGCGGGGGCCCGGTGTACCCCGACACCCCAGCGGTTGACCCCTTCCGCGACAGCCTCGGCAAGCTGCACAGGCGCGAGCTGCTCGACCGGCACCACCAGCACACACAGCACTGCGCAGCCTGCAGCAAGGTAGGAATCAATTCAAGGGCCCATGTTGTGTCAAAGGTCTGAGTGCCCCTATGCCTGGGCCAGGGCAGTCCATGCATTCTATTAGGTGCCCTCTAAGTCACCAGGTCAGGCTGGTATCTTGGGGTCCAGAGGATCATACATTGTTTTGTTCACTCTTATGATAATTCTCACGAATACTTGATGTGTGCTCGAAGTGTCACTATCTAGCCGGTTCCACCACCATGCCCTGTTTGTGATTGCCGGAGTTTCTGCCATGAAGCAGCTTGATGCAGCTGCCTCTGATCCGCTGATCTGAGGGCAGATATGTGGAATTGTGGATGCACGAGCAGGGTGCATGGCACATTTCTCATCACCGGACAACCAATCAGTCTGTACCCATGCAGGCGCTTCAGCAAGTGAGGGCGGCCCAGAAGGCATTAGCAGGTCTTTGTGTGGCAGCCTTTCTAGGCTTGGTGGCCTTCCTGGGCAGCAGGGGCTGCCCGCTGCTGTCCCTCGGTCCAGTCAGCTGCGTGGCAACCTTCGCGGCAGCCGCTGCTGCGCTGCTCAGCCTGCGTCGGCTGGAGAGCCAGTTTGTGTACACCGACTGGGTCAACGCTGAAAAGTAAGGACAGGACCTCCTCCTTTGGACAGTGAATAATACTGGGGAGAGACCCTGTTCCGACCTTGATCAGGCATCCCTGTCACACATCAGGACATCTTCAAATATAGTACAGAACTGGCAAGAACGGATAGGTATAAATGGCTCGAGTCCTGCTCGTGGGTTTTATCTGTTCTCAGGCTGTGAGAGATGCAAACGAGATCGAGTGACCATGCCGTGCAGCAATAGAGAGATTTTGTAGTCTTATGGTATTGGTTATGATGTCATTGTGCGCATGGTGCGCTAGGACTGCTTTTACCTATCGGGCAGGCTGGTAATGCCATGAGAACTTGGCAGGATCCCCAGCCATGGGAGGGGGGCCCTGCTGGGTGCAGACGTATCAAAACAGGAATATGAACGGAAAAGTGCAGGTTGAAAAGGTGTGCAGAAGGAGACAAGTTGGAGGCTTGCAGAAAGAGTTTTATGGTATTGTCGAGCGCGATGGTGAGGTTATTCGAGGGTGATTCAATCAACATAAGAAGAGAAATGTATGCTAGGTTGATGATGCAGGCAGGCAGGAGTGTACACTAGATTAGATTGCCAATAAAGGATCTTGTGAGATAGATTGTGCCGAATTGTTTGCGGCTGATCGCGGTAGGCAGGATTGTGAGAGGCAGCTTCACACCCAGCAAATTCGAGTGTTGTATTTCCTGATGGGCTGATGAGCTCTCGAGACAGTGCAATTCTTTATATTGCTATTCTTTTGGCCATGCATATGCATGCATCCCAGTGGTAGGAGCTCGAGCCTAGTACTCTACATGATGTCTTAGGTAATGCATTTCTTAGACTAAGCTGTGGGGGAATGATCTGGTGTCCCATTCAGACTTCTACTTGCATGATGATGATGACCACTGTCTCTGCACTGGCTTCATGGTGGCTTTATGTCATGCTGTGTCATGGTGTCTTTGTGTGTTGGTGCAATTGCTTTCTTGCTTGGTATATGGATTGTATTTTTTCTGATGTGCACATGCGCATCCTGATGCATCTTTTATTTACAAAGATTTGTAAGAAAAAGCCTAGGTCCCAGACCAGTCCGGCTAGCTATAGCAAATCTAGCGCGGTCACATGTACTACAAGCTAATACCAATGAGAGAAGCGCTGTAAGCTCGTCTTTCCTGTACAAAGCATGAACGGAGTGCCTGACAGTTGGGCTTGTGACAAGCCGCTTGTCCCAAAGCAAACCTGCGCTAGCTAGGGTACGGCAACGTAACCCATACTACGCGGGTGTGCTGGAACAAACAAAGCGGCTCAACTCGGCCACGGGATCCCAAATAATTAATCGTCAATACTCAATATAAGTGACACCTTAAACACGAAGTTCTGCAGATATTGAGCATTTATCTCGCCCTGCGAGTTGTCCCCTGTGAAGTCTTTTATAATGGAGCGATCTGTGTCTCACACGTTTGCTGGCACTTCCCACGCGAGGCACACATGTTATAAAGTCGTCCAAAATTGTAAATTAACAGTCTGTGCTTTACGATGCGAAGCTAGTCGTTCCATCCTCAAAGGTGTTTCTCTGAAATGAAAGAGATCGGGGCAGCTTTGCGGTATTTGATGTACACTTCTGGCCAACTTACTGGTTTTAGGAGCGTGCCATCTTTCTCCTGATAAATTAGTTGGTTGCAGGGCTGCCTTCTTTGGCTGAGCCATGGTGTGTGCAGGGATTACCTCTTTTCTTTCGAAGAGGCCAGCAACTTCTGGGCACAAAAAATCGTTCCAATTGAAATTACAAATGTCTGGGAACGCCCAGCCAGCTGGAGCCTTTACAGCTCCCACAGATCCTCTAGGTGCGACTGCAAACTCTTCGGCTCATCTGGCTGTCTGTGCAATCCGTTCAAAATATCTGCTAGCTTTTCTGCCTATTGCTTCCCGCAAGCTTATGCAGGCCTTTGCTTGTGCAATAGTGTGCAAGAGCATCTTACATCTCTTGCCTTCTGCAGTGCAAAAGCAGGTGGATAGAGCTGCAGACATAGTGACCGATCTCATGGAGGAGGTCAATAAGGACCTCTTTGTAGCTACAGCTGTAGCCGACATTACACGTGAGTGCCACTGCCACCGTCTGCACATTGACATCACAGCAGCACAGCCTTTGCACCAGGATTGCACAGTAGCAAATTCTTGAAGGGGTAGGCTGGTGGTCATTCTTGGGAGTAGCATGGCTGTCTAATGGTGACGCTCTGGCCCCTTAGGCCTCAGATGACCTCAAAGTGGGGCTTCCTCAATATGACGTGCAGAACTGTGATGCTTGACCGGAGTCCTGGCTCGGTCTCTGGGCACTCCAGTCACTGTTGAGTTCTAAATGACTTAAAAGGGGCAGAGATTCAGGCTGCTCCACATCGGACACTTCAATGCCATCTTACTCTCATCAAACGCCGATTTGTTATGCCTTGCATATTGCACGCGTTGCACTGCAAGGCAGCTCTTTCTCCCTACAGGGCCCTCACACCACCTTGTTTGTCTTGCTGTCACTGCTAGCTTATAATACGTGAAGACATGTGCCATGCAATAAGAACAGGTGTTGCTTGACGTGCCTGGTTCTCAAATTGTAGACTGTGTGCTAATGACAATAATAATAATGTGCTGTAGCTGACATCACACATGAGCATGTCCTGCTCTATTTGTCCCCCACAAGGGTACCTTTGCACCAGGATCTCTACATGAACATCCAATTTGGGTGGGTGGCTCATGCTCATTCCTGAGAAGTGTATACTATATATTGACTTTGATTATCGTTTGTTGATATATGCAGGGGAAGCGCCAGAGGTGACAGAGAGAGATGCAATTAAGGCAGCAGTGGAGAAGCGGATAGACAGCCTGGATGAGTTCTTTGTGGCCACTCTGCGCCTGTTTGCTCAGGCCGCCAGCGAGCAGAGCAACCACGACCTGGCAGGTGCGTTTCATGAAGTGAATTAGGCGGAAGAGATGTGCAAACGTTTAAGCAGTGTGAGCGCCCAGGAAGCTAAGAGAAAGAGCTGCCTCGCGCGCAGCAATAACATACATTGATACAATGGTCTCCCGGCCCACTTCTATTAGTGTAGTTGGTCTGATTAGGAAGGAGGGGTTTCAAGCAGTGCGGGCTACAAAAGTGCAAGCCTGAGGGTGTGAATTCCTTTGCTCACTGTTGCGCAACTTCAGAGGGATTGTACCAGGTTCCGCCAGAAGACATTGGGCTTTCGCACTCGCTGCTTCTGATGCGGCAGCTGAGAGGCAAGAGCAGCTCAGTGGGAACCAGCAGGGGACAGCTATTGTGAAAGTATCTCTTTAAGCTCAAGCTTTGCATAAGGGAGGCATGTGCTGATGCACAGAGCGGCTGGGAGCAATAGAGGAGGAGGTTTTGGCGCAAGTGGCGAAGCGGCTGCCAGCAGAGCTGCGCGTGCTGGACGCTGTGCAGCGACTAACCTCCAGGTACGATCACCACTTTGAGGTTGGGTGTACAGGTGGTTGAGACCAATTTGATGCGGGGTAGCACATCCTGTCAATGCAACGCGCCTTGATGACAAATGTTGAGACCATGACTTCTAAGCGCAGCAGAATCAATATATCTGGCTCACATAGGCCCAAGTGGACTTGAACAGCCATATTCTTTCCAGAAAAGAGATTTTTTCGTCCTGTTTGTGGGTTGGAGGTCCTTTTGCAACGTGGAGGGCGGTATGCAACGCTCTGTAATGGATAGATGCTCTTTGAGCAACACCGAATGGCTTGAGGTCTGTTTCAAATTTCGGAATTTCAATATGCAGTGAGGAGCGGGTGGATCTGCTGAGGAGGGCGGCGTCGGGGGCGGCCGCTGATGTCAGCATGCCGGCCGCTGATGTCAGCGTGCCCGCCTGCCAGCTCAGCAGCCTGCAGACCATCGCCAACCAGGTCATTGATGACATGGAGGACAAGGAAGCCGTCCCCGACAAGTGATTTCATCCCTCCCATACAACATATGGTGTCTATTACTCTGACTACCAATGTTATTGGAATTGTTAGTATCAGCATTAGTATTAGTGCTATTCTTCCCTTCCTCCAGCCCACAGGGCTGGGTGCCTGGCAGCAACTTCTCATAATCTCAATCTATTGCATCCTCCTCTTTACTGGAGAGGTCGATTCCAATTAGACGAAGGCACCAGGCCGCATGCATGCTTCCTTTTTTTTACATGCAGCTACTGTGCCATCTCCCAGTGACTGGCGCTCATAATAACCATTTACAGCATGTGCTGGGTGATGGTAAGCTGTGTTGAGGCAAACTATGGTTCCAGAAAGAGGCAAGAATGCAGGGCATCTGAGAGCTACAAGGGGGTTGCCTTGCATTTCTGTGTTTGGCTGTGGTGCAGGCAGCTGCTGGCCAGGCTGTGTCTGATAAGGGAGGAGCTGTCAGTGGTGGCGGCAGAGCAGGGCAGCGACAGCAGCGGCAGCGCTTTTGCAGAGGCCAAGGTGATATACCAGCGACTCATCCCCCAGGGGACTGCAGCGTTTCTCAAGGAAATGCTCGGCGTCAGCAGCAAGGACAGAAGGCATGCTCTCTTTCACTTTCAAGATTGCTTTGGGTGGCACCAAATTTGGGCTATTGACAACCTCAGCATTTTAGATAGTTGGCAACAAACCAGGCCATCCGATTGTGAATGCAGGTTGTCACGCAGCAACACAGGCTAAGCTTAATGCAGTGACCTTCTTCTGTAACCTTAACCCTGTTCTTGGATGGAACAGTATTTTCCCAAGTATGTGCAAGACTCTGCAGACCGGGGTACATATCGTCCTGCAGCGTGAACTTGCAATCTCTCCACGATTGCTTTGCACTGTGGTTGCACTCTAGATTCTCTACACTAGTACCCCCTGCAGGATGCGATGAAAAGTGTTTAAAAATGGTCTGTGGCGCAGGCGCGCTCTGCTAAAGAAGGCACTGGACGAGGGCTTTGAAGATTCCTCCAAGGCGCGGCGGCCGCGCGGCACCGAGGCGGTGCGGCCGGGGCGGCTGCTGACGTGTCTCACCGGCATGCAGCGCGAGCTGGCGGCGCAAGGGAACGCCGCCAACCAGCCCATCCTGAACAGGTAGCCCATCACATAGCAACGTGCTTCCATGTACTATATGCTACCTTATCTGAAAGTATTTTTGGCACCGAACAATGCGCTTCCATGTACGATGTTCTACTGTATCTGCAGCGTTTCTGGCAGGATCATATGATGCATCATAGATGATTGCTACCACCTGGTGTCCCCTTCCCTGACGAGCTGCGTGTAGTGCTCGAGTGCTCCCATCTGTGAACCTTGTACCTTTCCCTTTTCCATCAACCTGCTAGGATGCTGGCACGGAAAATTTCTTTGGCATCACCGCATGTTTGGATGTCATGTTGGGGGCTGTCTGTAAGAAGCAGAGTCAGAGAACATCAGCCCCTTAGACTGGCTGGAAAAGCTTGGAATGCAGCTGACTGACTGTCTGACTGCCAGGCTGGAGGAGCTGCGCCTGGCCACGCTGCAGCTGCTCGCCTCGCTGGCGTATGACTCATGATGGGATACTAATGAGAGGATCATTATAATTCATGCAGATCATCAATGATTGTATGTGTGGGTTTCTTGACTTTGATGAAATGGGATTGGGATGGATTGGCCCATGACCCTTACGGAACACACATCACGTTATGTAATGTTTGACTTGTGCTCCTTGGTGGGCATCGCCTGCGGGCTTTTGATTGCAGGCATCATAATCACCAATCTGCGGCTGGCTGCGCAGTTGCATGCAAAACGGACAACACTGGCATGTAGCTCCAGTGCAAAGCATCCTCTAGCGCAGTCCAATATCTCACACATGACATGTACTCACACATGTGCTCCCACAGCACGTGTCACGTCAGGCACTTGCATCAAGCACTGGCACCATGTTTGATATCAGTAGCAGTATTCTGACATTATCGTGATGTTTCGCCAGCTACATACCGTTCCGCCACTTTTACCAAATCAATCTATACCATCCTCATTTTGCAGTCAACCTTCTTACTGATCTGCCATTTTGTGGCCTTCATGCATTCGTTGGGCTGCTGTTGTCTCAAAAAAATGTTTAAAACTTAGGCTGTCTGTGTCTTGGTCTCCATCTGCTTTGCAAGCTTGGCAGGAAGTGCTGCTGCCTTGTAGTCTCACTTCTTGCTGGTAAACGTGGTTAGGCTGGGCAATTACAAAGTATCTTTTTATATCTTTCAATTAATGGTGCTCTCCCTGTCCATATGCCAGGACAGCTGTCGCACACTGTGGCATGCAGCCTCTGCACCGGTGGGTTGCATTATGGTGGGGCTGACCTCAACTGGGCTGCTTACATGACACTATATGGGCTGCATTCCACGGCACCGCCGTCACAGTCCCACCAACACCAGTGATCCGGATGTCACGGCCGGGCACTGGGACAAGGTGCGGCTGGTTAGCAATGCTCTGCTGCAGGAGCAGATCCAGAGCACACCCGGTGTCTAGCAACAGCTCCTGCTCAATGGTATAACTCCCATGTTGCAGAGTGAGTATGGAAAAGCCAACACGATCACCAACACGCGAAGCAGGCGCGGCGGGGTGTCTGGGCATGCACAACACAGATACAAGTTCAACCAGCAACACACGTATCCAAAGCCTGTATTCATTTGCTGTTGATTATGCAGTGCCGCTTGACCTCAACTGGGCTGCAACCAATATATTGCCATGTAAGCAATTGTCATGTAAGCAGCCCAGTTGAGGTCAGGCAACACAACATGATTAACATCAGATGAATCCAAGCTTTGGATACGTGTGTTGCTGGTTGAACTTGTATCTGTGTTGTGCAGGCCCAGACACCCCGCCGCGCCTGCTTTCGCGTGTTGGTGATCGTGTTGGCTTCTCCATATTCACTCTGCAACATGGGAGTTACACCATTGAGCAGGAGCTGTTGATAGACACCGGGTGTGCTCTGGAGCTGCTCCTGCAGCAGAGCATTGCTGATCAGCTGCACCTTGTCCCAGTGCCCGGCCGGGACATCCGATTCACTGGTGTTGGTGGAATTGTGATGGCGGTGCTGTGTAATGGTATGGACTGCATACTTGCCCTCCACTTGCTCGCTTAGACTGTGAAGTTTCGCTTGTCTGACTCCCTGCGGCTTGCCATTTGCTCACTGTTTTAACTGTGGTGCTAACTATCTCATTTTCTCACACTGCAAGTTTCTATGGTTGCAGACATAAAGGTACCGGCTCTGCTGCGTGACAAGCTCACGCACAAACTTGTGTTGAATGTGGAGAAACTCACTCCTTTTGTCATCCTAGATGCAACTACAGCACCAACCCTGAGTCCACAGGACGCATCTGATGACCAGCATGATTTGGATAGTGATGTGCAGCCAATGGATATCGGTGCAAGCTTGAACGTGAGCAAAACAGCCAGTTCCATGGCTAGTGCACCAGCTCTGGTGATTGCAGCAGGCTTCGACATGCCACTGATTGCCGCAGCGGGCTACTGCGCATGGGCTTGGAGCCCAGCCTCAGCAAGAGTTATTTGTATCCAACAAAATTGGTATCTGCTCTGGTTGTCTAGCTATTGCAACGCTCGCAGATATACCAATGTCGGCTTCAGATTGCTGTCCCGGTGAAATAACACGGTTAATGTGAGGCAAATGTAAGGGAGCAACCAACACAGTTGCGAGCTTCTCACAGCTTATATTAAACAGAATTGATTGTCAAGCTCGCGCACAGGATGCCGGAGTTTGTGCAATGCTCTCGTAGTGCTTGCTAAGTGTTTCATAGGAGTGCATAGTGCAGTGTGGCCCCACAAGCGTGACACAAGGCAAATCTGCTTGTAGAATTAGGCTTAGCCAAGCCTGCTGACTTTCTTAAATGCTACCGAGCCTGGCCTCTGCACCTGGCCTCCATCACAAGCAATTAAATATTGACAAAAGCTGTCACTTGAAATTCAATATTAATTCACTATGTTTGTTCGAGTCTGTCCTTGACTTCTTGAGTTCAACTGCTTGAATGCCTTTGTTCTGGACATGCGCAACTTGAAAGGCCTTCAGACTGTCAGGCACAACGAGATGCCGCACAGTCTTTCAGATGTTAGAAAAACACACCATATTATCCCAAAGTCGTGAGGCCTATGCATATGTATGCGACTATGAAAAAGGCCAGCTTCCCTTCTCTGGGAAGCTATAGACACGCTCCCGTTTGATCGGGGAGCAAATTTTGTTCCTTTGTGAAACAGGCTCTGTCCACATCTGACTTGCACCTCTGTTAACTTTGCTTGATCTCAGCCTGAATGGCGGGACTTACGACCGACCAGTCTTCCGGTCAAAAGTACGTAGTACTGAAGTCAGCTGAGGTACCATCATTTCGTCCCTCCAACTCTTTTGCCTTGTTTGAACAGAGTGTAAAATTGCAATGTTTTGCTTCTCACAATGATCGGTGAGAATTTGCAAAGATGGCGTTTCAATTCCTTCGATGTGTGATCTGATGGAGTCAAAGTTTATTGTCCCGTTCCGTCCATGACACTGACAGATCGGGTTCTATGTAAGATGGTAGAGGTATTAGGTTTTCCAATGATGCATTCAGATGTGGGTTTCAGGGTACAACTGCCGAGATATTTCTGCATGGAGCACATGTGACGTCCTGGAAAACAGTGAGTGGCGAGGTACGATCCTGCGCCGGCTGGAATGTTTCAAATACATCAAACTGAACGATTTTGTGGTGTATGATTCCTTCTATTAAATGCAGAATTGGATCTTGCTTGCACCCCTGAAAGTGTCGATCTTCAACGCAGGAGGTTCTATTCGTGAGCAAGCAGGCTGTATATAAGCCTCCCAAAGCCATCAGGTATAATCTACTCGGCCTCTGAACACGTCCTGCCGCACAGGGCCTAAGTAGTAGTCGATGTATAAACTAGCGTAGTTCGCTATTCATGCTTCTGAGTATTGCTTATTGCTTTACAAAGGGCACTGCATGCTCAGGGGCGGCATCCCAGTGTGTTTTCCTCAATTCGGTGGGTTTGGACCTCTCAGTCAGCACGGCTTCGCACGTAACAGCGAGTTTGCAGTCACAGACAGTGCAGCCGACTCAGTGACGCTATCACTCACACCGAGCAAAGATCAGCTGCAGCTCTTTCCCCATCCGTTCGAGCTCAAAGTGAAGGTGAGCACATGCTTGATATCTCCACCTCTCTCCAAGGCAGGTTGAAGCAATGACACTGCACAGTGTCCTGGCATCCTTTCACTCTCTCTTGGGTCCTAAGAGGACTCGGAGACAGCAGTGCAAGGCCTAGATCTTCAGATCATTAGAAGGCGTCCAGAACCTTGCAGACAATGCCATTGTTGTGCGCGGAAATGTATCCATGTCTTCCCCCCATCTAGGCAGAGCGAGCGCCAGGGAGACAGGGCTGCCCTGATTTGGCATCTGAACACTTGCAATGGCCTGACAGTTGATTGGGTCTTGCTTGGATCGGGCGAGTCCAACAAGGGGTAGGATTGTGGCAGCCTTTAACAGCAGCTTGTCTGCAGGACGTAATTTGCCTTTTGGCAGGAAAAGTATGTAAAAATGATTAGGCTGATGGCTTGACTGCGCGGAATGGAGAAATCTAATACATGTGACGCTGGATGCACCTAGATCCTAGATGCCTAGGAACTGGAAAACAGGTGATAATTATAATAATATGGCTGCAATTTCAAGACAGCTGAGATGTGATCTGCACAGGTGGATGTGGGTAATGACGTGCTGGAGCAGACACTGACTGCCACCAACACAGGCAGCAAGGCATTTGAGCTCACCGCCGCCCTGCACACATACTTCAGCATTTCCTCCATAGACAAGGTGCTCATCTTGGCCCCATGCTACTCCACCAATGTCAACGAGGTTCCAGAGGTTGCATGTACACCACAGGACGCATACTTTGGTGTCTCCTTAATCGACAGGGTGCTCAAACGGCACCCTCCATCCACTGGCGTTTACAAATTTGCAGAGGTTGCATGGACAAAATAGGTGCAGCCTCTGCCGAGATTAAGCTTGCCACTGCCAACAGCAATGTGTCTGACATGCGACCACCGCTTGAAGCCAATGCTTGCTGCGCAATTTACAATACGCAAAGGCTGGTGTTTGCGTGCAAGGGTGACAGCTACATATATCAGGGTATGTTTGAAAGAGGGAGGGAGATTACACCATTTCAGCACACTCAGGGCTGATTAGATGATTGTCCCACAACCTCAGGGAAATGCTTATGAGGCAGGCAGTGAGGCGGGCCTGTTCTGGCGCAGGCTCGGGTGGATGGCCTGAGCGGGGTGGATTACCTGGACAGCCTGCAGGACAAGAGGCGGCTGACGGAGAACGGCGCTTCCGTTCGCTTCGGCGGCGAAGTCGACCGCATCTACCTTGCAACTCCCAGCCGACTTGAGGTGACTGATATCTGCAGATTCATGCCCCTATCCGACTGGCCGGCGCACCTTTCTCTGACATTCCAGCTGTACACCTTGCAAGGAGGAGCTTTATCCTGTGCACAAGAAGTCGCACAGCACCTTTGTGCAATGCTCTGTCCACTGCTGATGCGCTTTTTCCTGGCAGAGGTAGTGGACAATATTGAAACATGAAGCACTTTAACAATAACACAGATGGGCTGAGCAATCTTTGAGTTTGTCCAAGGACATAGAGCAACACTGCAATTTTGGACCCTGCGTTATTTCCCCAGGTGGTGGATGAGGGCAGGGGGCGCGCAGTTGTTGTGGAGAAGCAGGGCTTCCCGGACGCTGTGGTCTGGAACCCCTGGGTGGACAAGGCGGCCGGCATGGGCGACTTTGGGGACGACGAATACAAGGTCCGTACCCCTTTGAGCCCTGAATAGCTCAGTACTTGGTCCGCCTCTCACTGGGGAGGTGCTCGCCAAAGGCGGGCGCCAAGATATGGCCTGCCCAAATCGAAACGGAGAATTGGAGATCGAGGCGGGGGAGATCGGAACACTAGAAAGTCGACGAGCGAAAGAGCTTTTGAATATGTGTTTATACGTGACGCAAGATGCGTGTGCGGACCATCTGTAGTCTGTACTCTGCCTGTGAGGCCGGGCAGGCTGCAGCAGACCTCATGCGCGCGCATGCGTTCTTAGTGGTGCAGCATGAATGACGCCTTGCAAGGGCCTGGGATGAAGCAGGTATTAGGTGCAGCGTACACTGCGATCTGTGCTTTCCGAGCATGCAGGGAGCTGTTTACTTTGCTAGTGTGTAGGGACAAGGAAACAGATGCTGCATAGTGGCCTGCGTGTGCCTTGCTTGAAAACTTCATTCCCTGTTGCAATGGAGCCCAAGCCCTGACCAAATGTGAAATGGAGGGCATCCGCATGAGTTGGCTGTGATTATGCGCAGGAGATGGTGTGCTTGGAGCCTGCCGTGGCTGGCAGCGGTCCAGTCACCCTGCAGCCAGGCGCCACGTGGACTGCCAAGCAGACGCTGTCCCTGCGCCAGCTGTGAATCTAAAAGTCAAATTTGAACCCGACTAGATCGTCACGTGTGCACAGAAGCCCAGCTGCACGTGCCAGTGAAACGCTTCTGACATTCAATTGAATTAGAGCGTGACAGCTGTGATGTGTTCTGCTAATATGCTGTCAGCCACCCGTACAGTTCAGGCGAGTGCAGCGATTCAGTAGATCCAAATGTCTTCTGTCAGACTGGCGAGGAGTAGGCCTACAAAATAGTTCTGTGAGGAGCACTGCAAGTATTCTGATCCTGCAACTTCTATATCAGGTTGCCAGAGCAATGAAATGCAGACTGTATCAATGCTGAGATTGCTTTCATACTTGCTCCCATCTCTTTGTGAGGGCCAGAGATTTTGAAGAGATTCCAAGACCCAGGGACCATCTTTACCAGCAGGTGATATTCTAGCTAGCCATGTCTTAGGCAGAGTTCGCGCCTAGCTTTACCGCGCCGTCCCAGAGAAACAAAACAGACCGTCTTGCGTCTAATCATCATTCGATGTGCTTTGATGCCGTCCTTATAATTCATGCATTTGTGAGGCGAGACAGGTGCTGACAACAGCATCACGCCTCTAAATTCGCATCTAGAATGAAGTCCTGCTGTGCACAGCTGCCTCAGTCCTGGATGACCCCCAAGAGCTCCTCATCCCTATAGAGAGTCAGCCTGCACAGAAATGACAAATCAGCCTTACATCATTCCCTTCTGTTTCTAATCTGAGCAGGCATGCACTGCCCCCTATGTCACGGACACCTGTGCCACATCCTGCTCAGGGAACATTAAATGTTAAGGGACGCATGCCCAGCAAACCAGTTCTGCACACTGGACCATAACACTCGACTTGATCCTGCCCTTGGTGTCAGATGTCTCGCTCTTTCTCTTATGCCCCTTGACTTCCTCTTATAAAGGTGACGACACCACATATCGCTGATTTGAGCACGTGGCAGATGCCTCGCTTATCTGCCCTGAAACAACAAATTTCTGAAAGTGTTTCAAGAACCAGGAAAGGTTTCCGTGATGGCAAAGAGTCTCACTCTTTCTCGCCCAGCTTGACGACGGTGCCTCCATACTCTGGGAGCAGCACAGTCTGCCCCTCTGTGACACTCACTGGGATGGGCTCCCCAGTCTGCAGGTTGCGCCTACCTGGCCCAGTGGCAATCACCTTGCCCTCGCTCATCTGCAGCAGCAATAGATCCAAGGGTCCCTCAGCGCTAATGCAATTGCCACCCAACGATTGTTATACGTCTATAGAGACCGTACTCTTTGCATGCACTACTTGGCACACAGCTTGTCTCTGGCCTTGGGCGGTTGCCCATCTGGTCCTCCTTCCGATGACGTCTCTCGTACTCTTGATATGAGGTAAACTTCAACACTTTGTTATGAACTGATCCGCTATGCAGTATGCAGGACAAGCATGTTGCAATGTGATACGTAGATCGACCAGTGCTTGCAGCATGATCTGGAGTTTGAGGCATTCGCTCATCTTTTCCGAGATGGAGAACTGTTGGAAGCATTACAAGAACACCTTTTGCGGTCATCTGCAAACCTTGATCATGACCGCACCTTGCTAACAGCAGTCTCTGGAAGCAGAATGCCACCCAACGTCTTTGTGGCTGGCTGCAATTTCTCCACCAAGACTCGGTCCAGCAGAGGTATGAGGCGTTTTGCCATCTCTGCTAAAGGTTTGACTTGATGCAACTAATTGGGATTTGAGTTTGGAATGGACGTTCAGCACATCTGAGAAGCTTCTGGAACTTGCTCTGGGCCCGTTGAACAGGAACGCCGGCGTTGATGCATCAAACTCTCCATGACCATTTCGAGTTCGAATTCTCCGGAAGTGACAGCAACATCTCTCTTCAGTAGTAACCCAAAGCTGGAAGGCGGCCTTGATATTGTCTGGAGATGCGAGGATAATTGAGCAAAGTATCTGCCCGAGACAAAGCCAATCAGATTAATCCTGCTGGTATCATGGCAAATCGCCCTTACAGCCGCACCATTGCTGCTTGATGTGATACACAGGTGCAAACAGCAAGCGTGATCACCAGGACATGCGAGACTTCATGATGTTTGACGCGACGACTTGTCGACTTCAGATGAGAGTATACGTATGAAGAGATTTAAAGAAAGAACCAATCGACAACGACCCACAGACAGCATGCACATCATGATGATCAAACAACTGCAGAGAAACCAGTCTTGCACTACGCTACTAGTCCTTAGAAAGATAACAGGTCGGAAATGCTCTCAAGACACTGATAGGACACAGACAGCAGAAGGTACGCTCAAGGCGTAAACTTGCGTAAGACAAAAATGAGGAAGGGAAGACAAAAAAGTTTGAGTACGGGAGGGGTTCGAACCGGCGATGACAATGGCGCAGGCTTTGGGGATCATGCCGTTCTCGATGGTGCTGAAGTTGATGGAGGCTCCCACCAGACCAAAGAGCACCGGCATCATGATGAAGCGCCAGAACCAGCGCACCTGCTTCTCCACCGCGCGGCCCATCTGCGGGCCGCTCTCACCTGCGCGCACATACCCGCGCGCCATCACCATGTGCTGAGAACTAAACGAAGCAAAGAAGCTTGCTCAGTACATGCCATGATGCTTCTATCCGCCAACAAAGAGCCACATACGTCTCTGCAACCCTGTGTTGGGTAGAGGCAAGTACAGGTGCCCAAAGGCATCTGTATGCGTCATGCAAGACCCCATCGCATCTACTGAGCAAGCTCACTTGGCTGAGGTCAAACGGCTACGCTTGCAACCTCTTGCAGGCATAGCAAGCCAATCAGGAAAGTTTTTCCGGGGTATGGTGAAGATATGCTGTGTAAAAGAGAATGTGGAGCGCACCTGCCAGTGCTTTAGGCAGGCCCCGCTTCCAGAGCTCCTTGGCAAGCAGCCCCTGCACGAGCGCGGCTATGGCGCCCGATTATGTGAAGCCGTAGCGGTCGAAGAAGTACTTCATCAGCAGCACTGCAAATTACACACCAGCCACATTATGAGGCACTCACTCCACTTCATGCAACGAAGAGAAAAATAGAGAGCGATAAAACACCTGAGAACACCTGGTGTGTAGGGCTGGAAAATGTGCATTTCTTATAATAAGAACTACTACTCTACATCACGCCGGGGGCCATCATGCTCAGTGACAAAGGCAGTCAAATCATTTGAGCCTGATGAAAGCTTGATCTCTGCTTCACCCGGACAACAAAAATGCTATGACTTGAATCTAAGGTTGATTGCAGAGTCCAGACGAGGCCGCGCGCTGACGGATGTGAAAGTTTATCTCCGCTGCCCCGCAATGAAAAGATAATGCATGTCTGTGTCCCTTAAGCAAGCGGAGCTTCACTCATCTGCCGCCATGGACTTGAATTTAATTTCGAGCTCCAGGCGAGGCCGCGAGCGCGCACCGATGAGAAACATGACGATGGTACGCTTGATGGGGTTGCTCCAGAGCTTGGTGGCGCTGCAGAAGAGGCCGGCCAGGCCGCCAGCGAGCACGCCAAAGATGATCGACAGAGGCCCGTGCGCAACGTTCCAGGCGGTGTTGCTGTGGCCCTGCACCGCCAGATTGATGAACAGCGTGTAGCCCGTGATCGCGATCGCATCGTCGAAGCTTGCCGCCGCCACCACCGTCGCCGGGATCGCTGCGCAGGGAGCAACACTCGCTGTTTGTCGGGAGGGCTTGATTCAGGTCACAACACCTTGAAGGGAAGTGCACCTGTGTCTACTTCAGGACCGGGAATCGCCGCATTTGAACAGCTTGCTGCTCTTTGAAGTGCGTCGCTAGGACGGATGAAGTACCGGCCAAGGACAGGCGAACCCTTCCAAGACAGATTGCCATGCATCAGTGCCAGTGAAGTCAAGCTGCCAACTGTAGCAAGTTTTGGACAGTCCTGATTCCACAAGCAAGCTCGCGTCAAAAGAATCCACGCGTGGTGCACGCTGGCTTGCAGAGTAAATTGTGCTGTCGCACACCTTTGACAGTGCCGAGGCGGCGCTGCTGCACTTCAAACATGGACTGGATGACGAGCGCCGGTCCCACGGCCTTCAGGATGAACCCGAGCGCAAACGCGAAAGTTGGCGGCATGCCGAAGATGGGAATCGCGATGCCGCCGTCAAAGAAGCCTCGCAGATGCCCGGCACCAGCAGCAACCGCACCGCCGCGCCGCCCACGCGCTTGAAGATCTGCACGCCACATCAGCATGCCGTATGAGAAAAATAGAACTTTTGAGCCTGAGTTTTGCTTTGCACGTTTTCTCTGCGCAGAGAGCATCTGCTTCACTGCGGAGCATGCACAAATCTTTGGATCACAATATTGAGAGACCTTCAGAGCCACCTTAGCCTCATGGTCTCATGAGCAGTCTCTCACTTCCATTCGCGGTACCCCAAAGTTGTTGTGTGTCTGTAGCTCGTCAAGAGTTTCATCATACATCTCATAATATGACGGGTGTGAAAATACCTTCGACGGCTGCTGCTGCTTCTTGGAGCAGAGGCTCATTTGTGCAAAGCCACTCCAAAGCAGCAGGGGTCAGAGGTGCGCTAATATCAGGTGCCACAGCGTGACAAAAGCCATTCAGCCGACGAGAGGGCTCTGCACGTGGACTGCTGGCATCTGAGTGAGCGCTATCCCACACCTGCAGCAGATTTCAAGGCTTTCAGGCTTGCATCCCACTCGAATGTTGAGCCAGATGGCTCCACTGTGCAGTTGTTGGGGTATCGTGCAGATTCCGCCAGCCTCGAAAAGGCTTATTAAGGCTCACCTTTAAACGTCTTTTGGAAGTCAATGAGGCCTTCTGGCGTTGGAGAGCCTGTGCAAAAAGCTTCAAGGGTCGACTTTATGTGCTCACCCAATTGTCCGTGCAAGGCATTCGTGCAATGTGAAAAATTTTATTGCCGCGGTTTTACGTGGTGTTCATGGTAATCACGCTGTTGAAGAAATGTTCAAGACACGGTGAAGACAACAACCTGAAAGCATCGGTGCAAGGTCTGATCGATCAGCCTTTTTATCACGATCCCACTCCTGAAGGATTTGAAAAATTGCCATGATATCCGATGTCTTGTGCTCTTGCTGAGGCGGATCAGTGCAACATCACCCGTAACATCGTCGAGATCACTGCACGCTCGTTGTCTAAAGGGCCTGGCTGCTACAACCTCATCGCGCGACAACTAACAAATGTTCTCAACATCCAGAAAGAGGAGGTCAGAGTACTCTGATTGTCGGTTTCGTGCTCACCTGGCTGCGATTCGTAATTTCCTTTCCGATGTTTCGGAGGCAGAATCGAGTCGATCGATCGCGGTGGCGTTGCCTCATCAGCCAGGTCACCCTCATGCAAATCCAAATGAAGAGAAGGGTAAACTAGTGTGGTACGCACATGGGGATTGGGAGGGCAATGGCAGTTCAGATTTGAGAATTTTGGAATCTGGGCAGGCCATAACACATTGGGGCACACATCCGTCTGCACCCCTTCAGTATTGGGCGTACTAAACAGCAAGGTGGCATGCAACGACACAAATTTACATGTTGATTGACCAGATTCTGCAAATTTTCAGTGCATGCCCAGTCTGTAATAAACAGACATTGAATCCCTCTGCAAGATGCCAACATTGCCTTCATGCGATAAAACACAAAGAGACCGTTGGTGACCACACGCGGTTAAGGCATAATTACAATGCACAGAAGATCTTCTCACGAGCTCAATTCCACAGCTTACGCACTAGAGTTCCCACGTAATGGCATGATTTTGAGACGCATGGTCCTGGCATCCTTGTTTTTTGTTGGCTTATCACATCGATGTTTGATGACATTTTGGCAAGTCTGCAATCTTCAAGGTATTCTGATCGATGAAAGAATCAAGTCTGAAGGTATTAATCAGTTGTACGTTGGAAGTTCAACAGCTTACGCTCAAGCTTGTCTCCCGAAGGTCAGAGTAGGCTTGCTGCGGCTGCTGTGGAAGCTTCTTGCAGGTTCCGCCGGATGCACGCTAGCAGCACACCTGATTTGGCAGGCGCTTTTGTCAGCGCCCCCGCCCGGTAGCTGCTCTGCAGCTTCCGCCAGAGCTTCCACCGCCTTAGGTGCCACATCGCTGCCAGGACTCTCTCTTTGAGCCCCTTGGGCCCCCAGGCTGGGGGTACTGCTCTAATGACTGCAGCTTGCCGGTGACTGCAAGCTGCATGCTGTCCCTGTGGCTTGGCTCGGCCACTGCAGAGGGCTGTGGCAGCATGGCAGCTGCTCTGTCCAGGCTGTTGAGCCTTGCAGCTGAAATCTTGGCAAGGGCACCAGATCTGACCTCTTTGCCCGGTGGCCCGCCAGACAGGTCCACCTGTGATACATTGTCCTGCCTGTCTGCGCTAGGGGCCTGCTGCTGCCTGCAGTGCTCAAGAACGGCACCAGCGGTGCAGAGCGTTCCCTCCCAGGGGCAGCTGTCGCGCAGCTTCTTGCGCCGAGGAAGCTTGTTACAATGCTGACCGGCTGCCCCGAGCTGGCAGCTGCAGCACTGCCAGTCGAGGATGTCTCCTCAGCACCGGCCATCAAGTGAGGCGCAGCGGCCGCGGTGTCGGCAGATCGGCTGCTTGACTCTGTGCAACACAGGACGGTTTTCGTTCTCTGAGAAGCAACAAAAGAAAAGAACGAGTAATGGCTCCCTTAGCATAATCACTTTCTTGCCAAGTCTCCTTGACCTGCTGGCTCGCCTCCGCCACCAATGCGATAGGCATGTGCACCTCAAGGCCGGCCTTCGATGCCTCTGCAAGGGCTACCGCCAGGTGCGCGGCTGCGCAGTCAACATGGGCGCGTCTGGCTCAGCGTTCCTCTCGCCTTGGCCCCGCCCCGCATTGGTGTCACTGACCCCGGAAGGACCGTGCGCCTTGGCCAGGATTTACTACAACGCGCGATCACTAAGTGCAACCTACCCGCACTGCAAGCCAACGGCTCATCTCTGATCAAAACGGATCAATTGTGATAATTTTAATCTTTAGCCATCTAACATTACCAGGTTTTGCCTCCTTCTGCCCTTCTTCCTTCTACCCGTCACCTTTCGTTGTCCCCTGCGGCGTTCCTATCTTTTCCGCAGGAACGCCATTGACAAGCAGGGCAGAAAGGGACGCCATCGGACTCGATGATCGGAGCCATGTACTGCGCAAGCGGTGGCCAGCGGTGGATGTTCCTAATACTTTCTGGTTCCAAGGTCACTCTTGTGCAGTAAATAGCAGACAATTATGAACGCTTTATAGCAAATTGCAGCCAATGCCAATACTGTGATCACACAAGTCTTCTCACGTCGCACAGGAGTCGGCCGAGGCACAGGTATGCTCTCCTTCTACACTGTGCTGCTGATGCACAGCATGATGCAGCATGATTGCACTCCTGCAATCAAGATCGTTCCTTAATCGCGGTAATTAATGTTGTAAAACAGGTTGCTTGCCTTAAAACATTTACAGAGTCTTGTGCCTGAGCAGCAGGATGCATAGGTGCAAAGGGTTCAGGAAGATCTGTGAAATAACAGAGGGGGTTACCATGTGATTACAAAAAGTACTGTGCAGTCTGTTTGTTGCGTACTTGTTACCACCGATGAAGTGTTCATGTACATTGCCTTAAGAGCAGAAGGTGTGCAGAATCGCCTGACCATGGTTTTTCTGGACACGAGCAGCAATATCTGAACAAAGTCGGCTGCATTTTGCAGGATGACGGCGTAGGACTCTCATTCCTGTGATCCCCCCAGTCTCCCAGGCCGAAACTCCCAAGTACATTTTCACGGATGGCCCAGGTGATGAATGATTTGGTTGGCTGCCTCCCTGCTAATTCTGTGATTGGCAGGTTATGGACATTAAATTTGACCGTGCCTGCTTACACAGGTAGTCTTCTTGAAGTCGGAGGAGACAGGGGAGCAGCGCAAGCTTAAGCTACATGACTTACAGCCAGACGGGACTGGCAGACTGGACTGGGCTGCTGCGAAAGAGGCTTTTGGTGCCGACCTACTTGAAATTGAAGACGAGGGAACACCGGGGCTCCTACAAGAAGGCGGCAGGAAAGGACTGACCAGAGACACCTACAAGCCTGGGGAGAACATATTGGTCATCGTCGCTCGCAGAGCCCAAGGTATGAATGGTGCACCCCACCATGCAGATTCGTGCAGATGTAGATGCACTCCAGCTCCATTGCTTGATGCTGTCACAATTGGTCTGTGATGACATGGCTAGTATTGAACAGCCTGTGTTGGCCTCAGCTGCATGTACTAGCAGCCAATCTATTATTAGAAGGCTTTCCAAATTCATTGTGTTGAAAGAGCCCATCCCTTTGATGCCAAATGGGTTAGAGCAGTCATCAAATCTCTTTACCGTGCGGCGCTTCGCCTCCTCTTTGCCTCTCACCCTTCTGTATAACCAGGTGTGTAGCATGTCCCCAAGCTGCATTAGTTGTTACATGAGGATTCCTACAGTTTAGCGCCCTCGGATTATTTTCTTGCTAGCAGCTGCGAGCAACCTTGTGGCGGCGCCTTTTGTATACAAGGCCAGAGCAGCAGAGATCATGGTTGATTGGCCGGCTCTTCGTGGCTGCGTGCTTCTGCGCTCATGGTCTTGGATGTGCACTGATGAGTCGCTTAGGCTCCAAGTTCACTGAGTGTCTCTGTGATCTATCTGGATGCAATTGTCTAGCAAGCTTGGTGAGTGCACAGCTTGCCAAATCAATGGGTTCGAGCTGAAGGTGTACCGTCGCTGGGAACCTTTGACCACTCACTCCACTTTGCTTGGTATTTGTTTTGATCGGGGTGCGTAGTAATCTGTCTATGGATAGACTTAGACTGCAAGATCCTGTGCAGACTTGCACAGCGCGTCTTGGTCTTATGAGACAAATTGCATGTGCTGGCGTTTGCTGCGCTGCTGCTGTTTTCAGTGAAATATTTAGAAAGCAGGCTGTGTGGTGTTGGCCTCCATCTGCTTTGCAAGCTTGGCAGGAAAGTCTACTGCCTTGTAGCCTTGAATTGTTGACCAGCAATGAACTTTGACGCTCTCTCACATCAGACTTTTGTGTCCGCAGACTTGGCACGCCCTTTGCTTGCTGAGACTGCATCGTACACATCTGTTGCCAAGAGGTGGAAAGAGGAAGGAAGGGTGGTTTTGCAGACATACCTGCACCAGGACGAGGGAGAATTCGATGATTTTTGGTTGGAGAAAGGAGCAGAGCTGCAAAGGCTGGCATTCACAGCAGAGGTCCGCCCTTCTCTTACTGTTGTTCTTTGCTGTTTGGTCTCCTAAGACACAGGCGACAGCTGCGCAACCTGGCCTCCTGCTGTACAGGTGTGCGAGATCGAGACTGGCAATGACGTACCGTACGAGGATGGGGCAGCGATCTTGGCCGGTATCTGGCAGCACGTTAGCATTCCACCAGGGAGGCGTTCAGAAGCAAGTTTTTTCATAGCCAAGGCAGCGCACCCAGGCCAGACACGTCCAGACGTGGCCTTTCTTGGCTACAACACCGCGGTAAGCTCCAAATTGAGAGCGGTGGTGGAAGCTGTGCAAGACCCTTGCCTTAGCATTCAAGACACACCTGATCATTGCCAAACACAGTGCAGATCATGTATCCTCTGTCTCTACCGTGGCTGTGTAGGTTTCCCAATGCATGTTCATGACATGCAGGTGACCTCGAGGGATTTATATCGATGGATTAAGGCAGTGCTGGAATACAAGCCAAAGCTCTGGCTTAGAAACCAAGTGCCGGCCATGCGGGGGGCGGCTGCACAGCATCAACCTCTGCCACAAATATCTACAACATCTGGGTGAGTTACACGATGCTGGGGCTTTTTTAGCAGGCATCACATCAATTTCATGTCAAGGGGATTGTGTCGAGGCAGGTGACCCATTTGGATGGCATGTAACTTCTGCAACATGCGTGCTTGAATGATCACCAAAAGATTGTCAGGAGCTGGCACATCTTGAACGACCTTTGCGTTTGTTAGGGAAGGACAGCTCATCGATCGCGCTGAGAGGGCGCGCAAGGCAAGGAAGGTGGATACCTTCATCTTGCCTGGAGGCGTCACAGACAACCGGCTCATCCGCTGTGCCATAGTCACGGCGAGCAACGATGGTGCGGAACACACTCATCTTGTTCTTCACATTTGCTGTGTTGGTGTTGGTCTATTATTGAGCTTAATCCCTCTGGCAGAAGAGCAAGCAATCTAGTATGCCGTCATTAAGACCGGTCTCTTGACAGCTAAGCTTCACCGATGTCTTCAGACGGTTGGCGCAGTGGTCTAAAATTTACTCTTCTCAGGCTGCTGTTACAGGCGCCATGCAAAAGATGGTTGCAAACAGGAATCTCCTGCCATTGATGCGTGAGGACTTGCCTACCTCGGGCCGGAATGCCATCGACACCTCGTCTGCTGGCTTCAAGGTGTGAGTGTGGACCTAGTGAGGGGTTCTGCATTAGTAGCACATCATGTCACGTAGAGACACGAGAGAATGCACGCATGTGATGCCTGCCACAACACAGTATGGACCGCCGTTCAAGGGCTAGCAGGGAATCAAAGCTTTTGTGTGGAGGGTTTGACAGCAGTGCATTGTCACAGGAGCTCACGTTCCTTCTTTGGAGCGCGGAGCGGGAAGATCTGCGGCTGCGGGCTGCTGCGGAGAGCAACATGTCTTGTGAAGGCCCAGGCACCAGGCGCATCTCCGTCCTTGCCAGCGATGGCGCCAGCGTGGAAGCCGATGTCCACGCAGTTCTGTCCCCTCCTGGACTGGGCGGTGCTGTGTTTTCCGGCAGTTTGCCGGCCTCTTCTGTGCCAGTGATCGTCAAGGCCGGCCCTGCAGCAGGCATTGTGCTTGCAGCCGAGGCGCTGTGCCTGGAGCCCGAGCAATTCACCCAGGTGCAGCCTGGCTCTCTTCTATGCTCCCACACCTCTGCCTTTAAGTTTCATTATCCAGGCTGCTGAGGGTACCACTTAGCACGGGCATGATGCTGGCTCCTTGACAGTGAGTCAATTTACAGTCATCTAGTGACGTAGATATTATCTGCAAGCAGGTGCCGCGTGAGGCGGAAGCCCTGAGGCGGCTTGGGAGTCACAGGCACTCATCTCTGCCACAGCTGCTGCATTTCGGTCATTGCATGGGTGCCTCGGGGCCCATCCCGGTCCTCATCACCAGAAAATATGGCGACACCATTCTCCTGCCTGGAGGCCGGCTGCCTCGTCTTCCGCACCACGAACTGTTCTTCATGGCTGCAGACGTGCTCAGTGGCATCCTGGTCTTGCAGGTAATGTGGCAGGGTCAGCACGGCTGTCATCGAAGAATTATATGCTGATGTGAAATTATTGAGTCTTGCAATAATTCCATGGGCACATTCGCAACGGTTTATAATGCTCAGCCTAGCCCACAGTTTGCGAACCTTGTTTCCTGGCAGTGACTGCATTGCGAGACTGGATTGCACATATGTACATTACTGTTTGCGTTCTTTCAGACTTTTATATCTATACAGGAGTGCGCAACTGATGGCATGCCGTCCTATGTAGGATCATGGCATCAAGCACAGTGATGTGCATCCACGCAACATCGGCCAGTACGAGTCGAGCTCCACCCAGGACAGGGAGCGCTTCTACCTTTTCGACCTGGGGGCGGCAGTGCTTGATGCAGAGCTGGCACCGCCGCGCAGCCCCCCTTGCAGCCCCCGCTTCAGCAGCCTGGACGTCATCAAGGGGTGCCCCCCCGGCGCGCTGAGCGACGTGGAGTCGCTGGTGTATTGTGTGCTCGCACTCTCGGGCGCCGGTCTTCCCTGGGATGCCGCAGCGGCCAAAGGTGACCGGATGGTCTGCATCACGGCGCGAGTGTCGATGATGGCGGATCCAAGCGAGTCCGGCGCGCTCTCGGCCCTTCCCGAGGTGCTGGAGTGCTTCTGCCAGCAGGTGCTGCGTGCATCTTTCGACGGCCAGCGCGACACCAAGCCGAGCCTGCAGAGCTGGATGCACAGACTGCGCAAGGCTGGCCTGAGCAGGTGCGCTGCGGGTTTTACCAGTGATCTCTCCTTGTACCAAAGGGGCAATTTGTTGAGACAAAGCTTCCTCTGGTGTGATGTGTTGCTTGTCCCCTTGTGGATTGGGTATTTCCATGTGCACCGCGCTTTTGGATCAACGAGCTGATTGTAGTTGGTGTGTCTCCAGGCGTGCTGGACGCGGTGTTCCTCGGCCATCATTCCCTGCAAAGAGCATCAGCAGGCCTTTAAGCGTGCATTAGGCTGCAGGTGACATGTCCTTATGCAACCTGAAAGTACTGGCATCGGTGGGTGTGCAATACGCTGTGGCAGAGCATATCCACTAGGTCATGACCTTGATCAAGAGAGCCTTGGTGTCATGAACTTGATCAAGAGAGCCGCGCAAGAGGTCACTCTCTTTGTATGATATATCTTGTAGGGATGGCAGGAGCAGGTTTAGCTGTGCCCAGTGCAGGGCTAGAGAAAAAGGAGTTGCAGGAAGCTTCTTACTGGAAGATCAAGCAGGAGTCTTGCAATTGAAAGTCAAAATGTGCCATCCATGTCCATGGCTAAATGGATGTAATGACATCATGCAAGTGATCAAATTGATGACAATGGATAATTGCAACATGAAGAGCGGGACGGTCACAATGTCTGCACTTAAAAATAATTCAGAATCCTAAACAAAGTTGTAGTGAGCTCATGCAGTCTAATTAGGTGAAATGAGTTCTGTCTATTGCAGCGTTGCCTTGCAGCAACATGACATACCTCATTATTCCCTGCATGTTAAAAGCAACTGAGCCGCCTCTGGCTTCTCAGATTGGTGCGTGCTCAGTTCCCATCTCAGACGGCATGAGCTTGTAAGACGTTCAAAAGCCTGCAGAATTTCCCTTACTAGGACCAAACGAGTAGAGTGCATCGGCTAGTACGCTGGCACCAACTCCTTCAACGGCAACGGCTCAGGCGGGCGATCCCGACGACCCTGTGCCTCAACAACCTTCAGGTAACTCCAAAACCATCAGTGATGGCCGAAGCTTAGGCAGTGCTAGAGTAGTAGTACTTGCTAGCCAAGCCATCATCCAAGGATCTGCGTACTAGGATCTTATTTGCCCGACTTAGTCAAGGGACGTCCGTCTCAGTGTCCCTGCCACGAAGTGGCTTAGATCTCTTCTCTCAGTGCACCACCTCCCAGATCGCTTTGCAGCAGGTGTACTAGTCGCTCGGTGGGGTGTTCACGAGTGCCTAGCTGCAATTCGACCAACTGGGTTGTATAGAAGTGAGCAGGCCGTGTGAAGCGAGTCTGATGGCCTGCTTGCATGCATAGAGCCCAGGATTGTTGGCTTGGCAGTGAGTTAGCTACAGGTGTGCAGCTAGTCTGGCCTGATCTGTGTGTTGCGGAAGAATCAGACGACTTGAGGCACAGGTCGACGAAGTCGATCGAGGTCGACGTCCTGCAGCCGCCAGCCAGTGGAAACGGGTTTGGTGCCAGTAGAAAGCCTTATCTCCTGTTTGAAACTGTTGGTAGTCCCATCTGTAGCTAGTTCCCCACATTAGGAAAAACTGTGACAGACCTTGCGCCCTGGGAGCTCTGGTGGAGATAGCAATGGAAATTAGCTCAGCACGCATGACAGGATCACTGACTCAGAGAGGTAGAGGCTCTGCGGAATCAAAGCAAACATATTCCCAAAGAGGGAAACGGCAGAAGGCATTCACTTGAACCGCATCATCAACGAACAGTGCAGGATGCTGGGATGGGATTGTTCTGACCGCATGGATGTGTGAGATAAAATCTTCAATGGGGAGTTGCAGCGTTTCCCCGGCTGTGCCACAAGAGTGTGACCAGCGCGAGTTAACTGCGGTTTGATGTGTGATCTGCATTTGCTGATCAATAATGAGGTTGGACAGCAGAGCCTCCCTGGTCCCCAAGGCTGCCACAGGCTCATGGAGAGAAAGTGGCATCCGTGGAGAGGCAGACTCACCCATCATTGTTGTGGTAGTTGCGCGGCCCTTGGACCCTCAGGTACAGGTTGCTGCCGGTGTAGAAGAGTGGCACCCGCTGGTAGCCAGCGCCCTTCTTCCTGCCGGATGCATCCTCCCTGGAGCAGCCAAGCCGCACATGGTGCTCGTGGAAGTGCAGCGACACGGCATACCTGGCCAGGAAGTCAGGTCCAAGCAGATAGTCATACGTGGCGTCTGGCACAACCAGGAGATCAATAGTATATGTTGCGCGCCCGACCTGCACGTTTGCGCCGACCACGTACTCAGTCACAATTGAGCTCACATTGTTGTACATGCACAGTTTGAGAGGCTGCAGCTTGACGCGCGTGGCGCCAGAGGCTTTGAGCTTGGCCTGATCCCTCTCCCAGGCTTTCTGCGAGATGCAGCCCATTGAGGCCCCTGAATCTAGATGCAACAGGACAGGATCGTCAGACTTGTCAGCAACAATGTTGGCCTGCACATGGGGCATGCTCACATTGTAGACAGCCATCACCGCCTGCCCCATCTGGGCAGAGTTCACTTGGGCACCCTGCGGCACAACAACACTGGGTGCTTGCGGTGAGGCAAAGATAGGGCTCTGTGATGAATTCTGCACAACCTCGCTGTAGGTGGGCGCGCTGGCAGACACCTGCGCAGGAGAGTCAGGGTCCGATTCCTCCAGCCAACTAGCCACCTCCTGCAGAGCTTTCTGAGCTTTCTGGCAGCGCTTGTCAGTGACCATCTGAGCAAGGGACTTCATGGAGAGATTGACAGGGGATGAGGCGACTGCGTCTCTGCCAGTCTTCAAGTGCGACAGCCCCGTGCGCGCTCTGTACCTGTCCAGTATTAAGGGGTTGGAATTCTGAGCAGGCACCCGTGACTTGTCTGCAGGCGGGGAGGTGCGCAATTCTGGCTCAGCCTTGCGCGGCCGCCCTCGCAAATTTGCTACGTGCACATCGTTAGCAGACCTAGGCAGCTGAGGTGAATTGGACCTGACATTGCCAGACAGAGAAACTGCAGTGGCCTGAGGATAAGATCCTGGGGGTCCTTGTCCTGTGGGGCGTCCCTCCTGGAAGGACGGCCGCTGGCCGCGGCCGCCGCCCATCTGGCGGCCACCGCCACCGCGGCCGGCGCCACGAGATCTGTCAGGGTGCATTGAGTGCTGTGGCATGAATGAGTGATCAGCATATTGGCTCGGAGGTCTCTCACCGCGCTGGCGGTGGTTGGCGTCGTCAAGGCTTGTGTTGAGGATGTCGTAGGACTCCGGGTCATTGCGGCGCAGATTGTCTTGCCACTCCATGGCAGCGGGGGACCTCTCCTGGCGCGCACGGGAGCGCGTGTAGTGGTCGTGGCGGTGTGCACCTGCGACAGGCTGTGAAGGGGAGGCCTTCATGGCCTCCTGGTCAGCGTCAAACTCGCGGGCAACTTCCTCAAGATCTGACATGGAAAGCGTGTGCTGCTGGACAGCCATGAGCCTCAGCCGGTCAGACATAAATCTGCGCGCACGTGCATTGAAATGCCGCAGAATCAGAGTGTGAAGGTCATGCTCTGTCTGGGGGAATGCACAGTTGTACTGTGTGAAGCTGGCCTTTACCTTGTCGACACTCTCCTTGGCCTTCTGGCCCTCGCTTTGGCGCAGGTTGGCAGTAGCCTCGGCACGCTCCATCTTCCTGGGGCGGAATTCCTGCTCAAGCACGTGCAACAATTCAGGGAGCGTCTCGGCCTCAGTCACAAAGGGGTTTGTCTGCGTGTAAGTTCTGGCCTTGGGTCCCAGCTTTTTGCGCACATAATGCACAAGCTGAGCTTGGGGAATGCGGCCCTTGAACATGTCGACACAGAACTCAACAGATGAGCGCCAAGATGGGAAATGCATGCCTTTTTCATACTCACTCAGCATGCCATTCAACTCGGATGTCATCTTGCTATGCTTGATGATGGCATCAGTGGCAGAGTCAGGGGCAATTGCAGGAGGAGGAAGGGCAACCCCAGTTGGCACGCGGACGGCAGGAGGCGTCGAGAAGGCGCCATGGATGGTCGGCGACGCAGGGGGAGCCGAGGGCACATCCACCGGGTGGTGCGGCTCCATGGAAGGCATGGGCGCTGGAGTGGTTGCCGGTGCGGGTGCTGGCGGAGGCGTTGTAGACTCCACCTTGACAGCCAGCCTGCTCATGGACACATCCAGAAGCTGCTGCTGCACAGCTGTTAGCCGCTGTGAGAGCTGCTTGGTCTCTGAGAATTTTTGGAATGCACCATTGCTAATGCGCTGGAACACACTGTTCACACGCTCATGGTCAGGGAGCGTTGAATCAGTGAGTGCATGGGTGAGCAACGGGTCACCGGCCGGAATCTCATATACATGTATTAATGACTGGAGCAGAGATGCACATGACTGGAAAACACTTGGCAGATCAGCCTGAGGTGGGAGTTCAAAGAAGCTTGCCATTGCTTGACATATTGAAGCTTGCTTGTCGATCTCCTAAAGCTTTGAAAACCGGCACAGCACACTTGCAAATAGATCAAAATACTGCCCCCAGTCTCCACCAGAGCGCCAGACTACGCCGTCATCCCAGATACGCTGACTGGCTCCTTGTCTACAAGAAAATTCAGTATCATGGTCCTAGGTGGTTGTGCTGCCCTGCCTTGCAATATAGGTGGGACATTATTAGGATGTTTCATGAGGCTCTTGGCCACGCTGGCATTGAGCAGACTCTGAAGGTGCTGCACATGCATTTTCACTGGAACGGCATCAGGAGTGATGTGGCCAAGTTTGTGAAGTGCTGTGACGCATGTCAAAGATCTAAGCTGGTGCACCTCGCCTTGCCTGACTTGCACCCACCTGCAGTGTATGGACCACTTTGGCATGTGCATATTGATCTGGCAGGGCCTTTCCCTACATCACCCCTAGGGCTCAATGGATTGGCTGATTCCTCCCAGCCGACGCAGAAGGCTTGGGTAGTCATCATGATAGATTATTTTACAAAGGTGGCCGAATTTGCAGCAGTCTATTCCAAAGAGCCTGTCCAGATTGCGCAGGTGTTCTACAACTTGTGGATATGCAGATATGGGTGCCCTGGGCACGTTACATCTGACAACGGGCGAGAGTTTGCCACTGACTTTGGGCACATGCTGGCACGCCTGGGAATTGAGCATATTACCACGAGCGTCCGCCACCCCGCAGCCAACGGCGCCGTAGAGAGGTTGGTTGGTTCTTTCAAGAGCATTCTCACAAAGCATGTCAATGATCATGTGCATTCCTGGCTGCAGTCCCTTCCTTTTGTCCGGATGTGCTACATGCAGAGGGTGCACAGGGCCATAGGAGTCTCACCTAATGAAATGCTGATGGGCTTTCGCCCAAAGCTTGCGCTGCCAGTGGGAGATGTCCTTGCTTATGCTGTCTCTGTGCAATCTGATGCTGCTTTACACGTCGAGCATCTGCAACAACTGTTTGAGGAATTAGACCCACTGGCATTTGCACATATAGAGGATCATTACTGCGCTAATGCCGCTGACTGGCTTGAGCGCAGAGCTCGCCTGTCATGCAGAATGTGTGATGAGCTGCAGGTTGGAGATCTGGTCCTCGAATTGGATCCTCTGGCTGCCCCTCTCAGGGCTCGGGCCAGGGGGCCCTTTACTGTGTTGCAGGTGAAGAACAACGGCGTGGTGCGGCTGAGCACCGGCAAGACGGGCTACCGCGCAAGACAATCATTCGACCGACACATCAGTCTTCTAGTGAGATACTTTGATCAGCAGAGCATAAGGGAAGGCCGCGTGTGACAGGCACAGAAGCTGTCAGCTGAAGAAGACTGCTTGGAACATCAGATTGGAGATTGCACCATGAGCATTTTGTGGTTTTGAGTGACAGGCCAGGCACAAGGGCCACAGGCGGTAATATTTTGGGCTTACTACATTATGTAGTGAGCTCATGCAGTCTAATTAGGTGAAATGAGTTCTGTCTATTGCAGCGTTGCCTTGCAGCAACGTGACATACCTCATTATTCCCTGCATGTTAAAAGCAACTGAGCCGCCTCTGGCTTCTCAGGTTTGGTGCGGTGTTAGTTTCCATGATAAGAAACTTGTGGCGGTTAGAGACATTTTGAAAGAAGCAGCTACTGTATGGCTGGCTGTGAACTTGTGCATGCTTTCTAGGATTGAACCCAATTGCCGTTTGTGTGCCACCTGTTCTGCAGGTAAAGCTTGTGACCTGAACCTTGTCTTGCACGTGAGCATGAAGAATATATTTGTGATTTGTGCCCTTTAGAACTCTTCAACTTTCATGCAGTTTGGATTGAGCATTTCTATTTGAAAATGGAATATTCCATGTATTTTACAAGTTGGGCTTGTGTAATATTTTGGGCTTACTACAAAGTGAATATGTTCCGAGGAGACCGCATAGCAGGGCACTTAAAGACTACATGCCGCACAACCCCAATCACTTGCTGTTCAATAGTGATATTGAGCCAGAGCAACCCTGGCCCAGCGCCTGAGACATTGGGCAGGCTGTGAACTCCAAATCTATATCCGAGGAAGACACTTGCACACCGCTACTAGTCATTACAAAGATAACAGATCTGTTATCTAGATCGGGAATGCTCTCAAGACACTGATAGGATACAGACAGCAAAACAGCCCTGAGTTGTCCTGAAATCTAAAGCCATGCCCAACACTTTTACGGGCCATTTCTATACTTGCAAGAAACTGATTTATCATGCCTCCCACCACTGTAATAGCAGGTCAATTTTGCGATGCGACTGCAACTACCTTTACTTCATCGTTTGCCTCTGGATCCTCCCTGAAGGCAGGCATCCGCCACAGGCTGTTCCCTCTCTCAGACATTGCTGGATGTCTTTGTGGCATCCACATCCGGCGCCTGTCTCCTGGCGCGCATGCTCACTTGAGACCTACCAGACGTCGTCCTGCTCAGCACAGCAGACACTCCTTAGCAAGCATCACAGGACAATTGTGAGTGTTGTATCTGCCTGGCCTGTTGCTTGCTGCTTTACATGATCAGAAAACATTGAACTAACCTTGAAGGGATGCGACCTTGCACAAACTTATCAGGGCCTCATCCCCACTCAGGACATCTCCTGCCCTTGATCGCCGGATGTACAAAACACTCATGGGTTGCTGAGAAAGAATCCTCATATGCATGTCCACCCAGGGCATTCCATCATCTTGCATCATGAGCCCATTCACATAGCCTGATGTACTGCGCCAGTCGAGCAGGTGATTTTGCCATGAATGCACCACTGAGACAACAGACCAAGAATTGCAATGCACATCAGTCAGGTGCTGAGCTGGCGCACCGGTGGCGGAGGGAGGTTGCGCGGATGAAGTCTTCGGCAGATTCCACCTCTGACGGCCCCAGCGCGGCCGGATCCGCACCTTCCTGCAGCTTCTGCACGGCCAAACCAGGCAATCTCAGAACCAAGACCCTGAATTTCAGTAATCATGACTCAAAAGAATACTCAAGCCTGTGTACGTGGGCATCCGTGAGGCCCTACGTGCCAAGCAAACACCAAGTGTCACACAACAGGCATGCTGATGAATATATGGCGGGTTGCGTGCTGCTACACCTTGGCAATCGCTTCACCTGTGCAAAATCAAGCCCGGGCAGCTGCTGTGCAAACAAGCAGAGCCTCATGAAGGGCCCTCTTGAACCCATCATCAATCTGAAAGAGGTCATGCGTGCAGTCTGTCCAGGACATCACTATCAGCCCATGCTATGAGAAGAGCCGGCGCACCCGTCGGAGCTCGTCTATGGAGCGCTGCAGGCGCTCCGTGGCGGTGCCAGCGCCGTCGACAGTCATCGCCTTTCGCTCCACCTCCGACGCTGCATCCTCCACACTGCGCAAGTGCAGCAATCTCTTCAGCCATTGTAGATTCCATAGAAGCGTCATCGGGGGGCGTCACTCATGGCCCTGAGGGAAGAGCTCACAACAGTGCTCGCGGTTGTCCACAACACGATTTGAGATCGCATTCTCTGTGCTCTGAACACATGTTGACGAAAACCCTCAGCCGAGAAGTGCCATTTTGCCAAATCAGACAGCGTGCTTCCTTGCATCCTCGTACAACGATCTAAACATCACTTGCAGGCTTGCATCACCCAAAAAATTGCCTCATTTGTTGGCTGACACGCCATGGTAATATAGAAAGATGCATCGAACAGCCATGCAAAGAGCTAGCACTGCGGCAGGCGAGCACACCTGTCCAGGTAGGCAGCGAGCAGGGCCATGCGGCTGCGCAGCGCCTCGGACTCAGTGTCCCGGGGCGACTGCGGCGTGGCCGGCTCCGGCGGCGCTTGGCGGGGGGTCCGGGGCCTCCCCTCGCCGCCACCGAGCCCCACCGGTAGGGGGCCCGCCGATGACGACGCCCCCGGCTGCCGCGGCGCAAACTCGGGGTCCGACCTCTGCGGGGACAAACACGTATTATTTTTCATCAAAATATCATTGTTGCCAAAATTAGTACTGTGTGCTCCATGCCAGAGGCAAGGTCCGCTTGCAGACTACTTGCATGTAAACGTTGCCAAAACTATAGCAAAGTGACATTGAAAGAATATTTGTCCTTGCAAGACTGTCACATCGGTGTAGGCATATTGCTGCAGATGTTGGAGTCAAATGCTTGCACAAAGCGGTCTATCTTGCAAATAGAGAGTGCAGGCTCACCTTGGACAGCTCGACCTGGCTGCCAGAGGGTGACACGCCAGCAGGGGGACTCGAGGAGCTGGGTCCAGTCACAATCGCCGCCGTCGGGTCATCTTCTTCAGGCGCCTGCAAACACAAATCCCCCTTCACAGCTCAATACCCAAAATACAATAATGCCCAAATCCTTCTTGTGCAATCGGCAATCGTCAGCAGTCGGCGTATTTTCTACCGCAAGTGCACCCAGACTTATGGACCAGAGATCTCTTCTGGGGCATTAAGTGACTCACAGCAGGTTTCAAAATGTGGATGCAATTGATCTGGATATTTGTGACCGTGCTTAGTTGCAAGTCAAGCATTGCCACAAAAGCCACTCTTATCAAGTCGATGAAGCCGCATGATGCCCCAGAACGGTCAAGGTAACACTGGCAATTCTAACTCACAGCTTTCACACTCTAGCATGCATGACCAACCCTGAAAAGTTTCAGTCGACTCCTAGGCCAGCGAAATTTTCGCACACCTTGTCGAGAAGCACTGGCGCAAACCAGCGGATTGCCAGAGTACCGAAGGCGCCGCAGATGATGATGCAGAAGACAGCTGTCACCAGAGCCTCCTCGGCCCACATCGCGTAGTTGTTGTACTGGGGGTCGGTCTTGGGGATCGCCTCATTCACCTGGTCCAGGGGTAGGTTCGCTAGGGTGGCCTGCACTGTTGCCTGCATGCACAGAAACAGCTGCAATCAGGCAGTCTGCAGGTAGGACAGGACCTCTTTAAAGGTTCGTCCAAAATGCTGGCCAAGAAGACATCCATCTTGGAACTTCGTCATCTATATCAGCAGTCTTTGTGGCCTTGGTCCGGTGTGTGTACTCACGGACACAGCGGGTGCCGCACTCCTGGCATGCAGCACAAATAGAGCAGGGAGACTTGCTTTGCAGCTGGCATTCATGTGCTTGCCGGTTCGACATTGTGTCGCATGCTTCAGCTGCCGCTTATTTATAGCCATAGCAGTCACACTCCATTCGTGAGGCCCCACCAGCTGGGTGCATTACTAGGGCACTGCCCCATGAACGGAACAAGAAGAGGCAGATCGGTGAAATTTGCGCTATACATGCACTTTGTGCCTTGAGCTCACCTTTGGAGACCAGGCAATGGCAAAGAAGAGTTTCTCCTTCCAGCTGAACTTGGAGCCAAACATGACCAGGAAGGTGATTGGCATGCGCACGGCCAGCCCTGCATCAAGCACCCATCATCTAATGTCACAACAGTGCCTCCTCTCCTGAGATCGCCGTGAAGCTAACATAGGTTCCTGTGCATCTCATATATCAGAGACGACTAACTGAACTTTCCCTTCTCATGCATTCATCTTTCCACACCTTATCCGCAGCTTCCAGTGAAACAAATATCGTGCGGGGTCATACTGAGCACAAACGGGGATATCAAACAGGGCCCCCCACTGGGATGCGCAAGGGAGAGCATCGTGATGGGAATGACGCCAATGCCAAAAGCTTGTCTGGCTGCGTCTTGATGTGCCCTGACACAAAAGGGAAAACAAAAAAAAATTGAGCGTCGGAAGGAGTCGAACCCGCGATGACGATGGCGCAGGCTTTGGGGATCATGCCGTTCTCAATGGTGCTGAAGTTGATGGAGGCTCCCACGAGGCCGAACAGCACCGGCATCATGATGAAGCGCCAGAACCAGCGCACCTGCTTCTCCACCGCGCGGCCCATCTGCGGCCCGCTCTCACCTGCACACACATGCCCCCCGCCGTTTGCCACGTGGCCAGCAAACAACTTTGAGAGATAATCAAACGAGCTCAATTGGGTACACATGTATGCCATGCTGCTTCTGTCTGCCAACAAGGAGCCAAACAACTCTCTGCAATCTTGTGCTGGGAAAAGAAAATTACAGGTGTCCTAGAGCACATGTAAGCGTCGTGCAGGATCTCACCAAATTTACAGAGCACAAGCCCACTCCGACGTGGTCAAAAGGCTAGTTGCAGCCTCATAGCAAGCAGGCCATTCAGGAGAGTTCCTGCACTGTTTCCGGGGGTATGGTGAAGATGTGTCACTTAAAAGGTGATGTGCAGCGCACCTGCCAGTGCTTTAGGCAGGCCCCGCTTCCAGAGCTCCTTGGCAAGCAGCCCCTGCACGAGAGCGGCTATGGCGCCGGAGGAGGTGAAGCCGTAGCGGTCGAAGAAGTACTTCATCAGCAGCACTGCACAGCACACAGCAGCCATGCTGTCACCCATTTACTGCGCAATTCACTCTGCGCCTTCATGCTCGTGGACATTTGCACCCAATGGCATACTTTACAGTTTCAGTCTGTACAGAAAGGATGAAGCCCCTCTCCGGACAAGAACAGGAACTTTGATGTACACTACTATATATTTACAGCCAAGGGAAAGGTTGACCTCTCCTTTATGGGGGAGGGAAAATTGACATATAAATTGATATTGGAATGCAAAGGTCCAGGCGAGGCAGCAAGCGCGCACCGGTGAGGAACATGACAAAGGTACGCTTGATGGGGTTGCTCCAGAGCTTGGTGGCGCTGCAGAAGAGGCCGGCCAGGCCGCCAGCGAGCACGCCGAAGATGATCGACAGCGGGCCGTGCGCGACATTCCAGGCGGTGTTGCTGTGGCCCTGCACCGCCAGGTTGATGAACAGCGTGTAGCCCGTGATCGCGATCGCATCGTCGAAGCTTGCCGCCGCCACCACCGTCGCCGGGATCGCTGCGCAGGGAGCAACACTCGCTGTTTGTCGGGAGGGCTTGATTCAGGTCACAACACCTTGAAGGGAAGTGCACCTGTGTCTACTTCAGGACCGGGAATCGCCGCATTTGAACAGCTTGCTGCTCGTTGAAGTGCGTCGCTAGGACGGATAAAGTACCGGCCAAGGACACAGCGGGCCCTTCCAAGACAGATCGACATGCATCAGTGCCAATGAAGTCAAGCTGCCGACTGTAGCAAGTTTCGCAACAGTCCTGATCCCACAGGCAAACTCGCGTCAAAACAATCCATGCGCGGTGCACACTGGCTCGCAGAGTAAATTGTGCTGTCGCACACCTTTGACAGTGCCAAGGCGGCGCTGCTGCACTTCAAACATGGACTGGATGACGAGCGCCGGTCCCACGGCCTTCAGGATGAACCCGAGCGCGAACGCGAAAGTTGGCGGCATGCCGAAGATGGGCATCGCGATGCCGCCGTCGAAGAAGGCTTCGCAAATGCCCGGCACCAGCAGCAGCCGCACCGCCGCGCCGCCCACGCGCTTGAAGATCTGCACGCCACATCAGCATGCCGTATCAGACAAACATAACTTTGAGCCTGAGTTTTGCTTTGCACATTTACATAAAGCCAAAATTTGAGGCGGAAAGGGCGACTGTTGACACCAGTCAGCAGGCAGCAATCTATTTCTGACAAACAATGTGACACTCATCACACGCACACTACCTCAGCTCAATTTATTTGGGTGAACATAGAGACTTGCGGGCAGGAGCGGTGATAGCAATTCAGAGGCACTGATCTGCTCATGCTACGCATCAGGTGCACGACATGCCATGCATGCACCACTGTAGCCATAAAAAGGGAAGTGAAAGCGCACATCCAGATCAATCTCCAGCCCAGAGCGCAGGAAAATGATGGCGAGTGCAGCCGCGCGGATCTGCTTCGACCAAGAAGCCTTCAGCCCCCGGATGACGATGCCTCCGCCCACGTTGCGCAGCAGCATACCGGACAGAATCATGCCCAGCGCCCCAGGAAAGTGCAGCTGCAATTCCCCCACAGCACAGCGCGCAGTGAGAATCTACTGTTGCCTCATCTGCCTGTGCCAGCTGCAAAAAAGGGTAGCCACTGCCATGCACGGAATCCAAAAAGGCTGCTTGGAGGTTGGGGGAGAACAGCAAGGCCAACAGCAGCCTTTGGGATTAGATTAGATCAGATCTAACCACATCGGCGTTTGAGTGAACCCCAGACTTCGCAGGTGCTTTACACACAAGAGGCATGGCAAGAGCTTCCCATTGAACTGGAGACAGGGGGTACTATAGCTACTTACTTCACTCAGACACAAAAACTAAGTGAAATACAGTTGGAGATCTGCCATGTGTGCATGTGCAGCCACGGGCGGGCTCACCTTGTCCACCACATAGCCACAGGTGCCGGACACAACCCAGATGAAGATGATGGCCCAAGCCGGCCCCTGGGGAGGCAGGAAAGGCTTTCCAATCGCCAGGAACAGCCCTGCAGACAAGAAATAATTCACTTCTCTAAAGGACAAATTGAAATTCATGCATGCTGCAAGCCTCTGCTGTCACGCAAGAGCGTGGGGGGTGTTGGCCTTGCTTGAAGACTTCTTTACTTGACTTCCGAAACCCCATAAGCCACGCCAGACAGCGTAACTTCTGGCGATCAGTTATGTGTCTGTGCGATCGGACCCTTGCATTTTGTTGGGCAGTAAGGGGGCGGACTCTCACCTCCATACAGCTCCAAGATCAGCACGACGAGACCCAAGACGTAGAAAATTTCTGCGCACCAAACATCACTCTGTAATAATTCCTTCTGCACCAAAGATAATCCTATAGATAGTAATCATCTCCTTTCCTTCGGCAGGACTGTGAAGCGATACTAATAACTCGCCAATCCTCTGTGACTAAGGCACCAGGATTTATCGCTTGAGGGAACACTTCGAAAGTGATGAAATTAGACCAACCAGATTTGCATTGCCGCACGTTTGTTCACGATGGGTATGCTTCACATGGCAACCGTGCCTGTGTTGGCAAGGACCTTCAAACCCTTTCCATGTCGGCCCTCTGATGTACATATCAACAAAATGGAAACCAGCCAATACATGCATATTCCTCTTAAGGGTACGCAGTACATTGGTGATGGATTACATTGATAGGCTAGCTTTGCAGAAGGGACCCTTCAAATCTGACTGAAACTGGTGACCCCGGGTTCTCACCTTGCTTGCTCAGCTTGAAGTCCTGGAACAAATACTTGAAAAATCCTACAGGACCCCTGACCTCCTTTAGCTCCATGCTAGCAGGGCACGAGACGCCACGGGTCCCTCAACCTCCTACGATCAGGGCCCCTTGTGTATTCTCCGGGCCAACCAGACCTCTCCTGCTGCTACTCGATGTCAATCAAGCTTCCAGAACCTCTATCCGATTGACAATTTGTGCCTAGGCGTCGAATGAAGCAATGTCTTCACCCACCTGCCCGCAGCGCGGGAGGAGCACGCAGGGATGACCAACCGCTGATGCCATTTCCTACACCTGCTGACATCAGGGATACATCGGCTGACATCAGCATCTCAAGATGAAGCTCGATTGCTGCTTACTCAGCCTCCAATGCCCGTGCTGCCCCCGCGGCGGTCCTTCCGGGTCCGCCGACCACCCACGACCTTCCCTTTTGATGACGGGGGCTAGCCTTGAGGTGATGTCCTCTGCGCGGCCCCCCAGCTGCGCCCGTACGCACGTGGCAGGGGTCCCCCCCGGGGTCTCCTGTTATGCGTTCCTTTCTTCTTCTTCTTCTTCTTCTTCTTCTTTCTATGTGTCCAAATCAGAAATCTTGTTCCTACGCGTTGTCTGCTCAATTGTTGCATCCGCTTTATGGTCGCTAGACATGCGAGACTAAACCTGAGAAGCCGATCTAACTTTGGCAAAGGATGTTGATCCACAGAGGCTGCCACCATCATCCGCGATTATCTCAAGGAAGATCTACTCCACAGTTTGAGCCTTCCACATCAAAGCCTGGTACGTTGCTGTTCTATCAAATATTATGTTTTGGTCTGTCGGAACTGTGCTTTAAAAAGTTTCTTCAGAATACAGCAGATGGCAACAGAATGATTGAATGTTATGTTTCACTCAAACTAGGGAACAGCAGGCCTTTCAGTTGCAGACGGACGAAGTGGCAGCGTGCTGTCTGTGCTGATGAAGGCAAAGAGCGCCCTAGTACTAGCAGGCAGCCAGACATAACTGACAGGCGAAGCATTGTGCTCATGGCAGCTGCTTTACCGCTGCTGCACCCACGGCAATTAGATGCACAGGTGCTCCAGAGCTTTTCAGAGCCTGCCAGGACACTTCCACAAGGTGCGGGTCATGACAATTCTCATGTTGACATATCCAGCGTTTTGCTTCTCCTGAGCTCCATAAGTATCTTGTGTTTCTTAGATGGCGTGGGGATATCTGCAACAGGTGGCTTTGTTGGTAGATAGGAAAAGCGCAAATCTGTAGCATGATGTAATGCTGGGACCTGTTTGGAACAGGCAGTGGCAGGGCAGTAATGACTCGTGCTAACAATTGCATAGGCAGCGGGGAAGTGAGAAGCACTAAAGAAGGTGCAATCTTGCAGGCTACGAGGAATTTGCTGGGAAGCTGGCAGCAGCACTCAGAGAAGCCATCGAGACAGATCTGAGCGATGCAGAAGAGCGGCAGGTGAAACGTCTGCCTCTACAGATCCCTTTGACCCTTCTGTCTAGCGATATGCAGCATCAGGACACTTCTGTGCTATCTGAACAGTTCTCCTATGTACGACAAGACCCCTTGGAAACATTTTCAAAAGTTTCAGCTGTGTTGTCCATGAAAAGTATCCAAAGTACAATCCCCTCCTTAGAATTATATTTGAAAAGAGAACGTTACCGCAGCAGAAGATGCATCTGATTGTCAATGTGCTTCTGCTGCACAGGTCAGAAAGAAGGCGGATCCAGCCAAGAATCTGGTGAAAGGGTGGCTCTCTGAGTGGAAGGATGCACAGGGAGTTCAGGGAGAAGCTTCATACACACAGTTATCAGGCGAGCCTTACATCCTGCTCTAAGCACCAGTAAGTGGGACCGTGTATCTTGGACCCCTATATAATTCCTGGCAGCAGCAACAAAAAAAAATTCACTAAAACGCCTGTTGTCCCGGATGCGTATCACGCGACTTGCTGTGAATTTCAGAGGCAGGCACCAGGGCACAGATTAAATCACAATCACCCCACTTTATACAGCAGTTATGAGTGTATCAAGGTCCAGGCTGACAGGTGCAGGCACTCACAAATGTTTCCTGACGGCTGCAGGGACCATAAAGGAGCTAGGGGAGTTTTACAGGAAGAAAGGGCAGAGGGCGCGGCTGCCACGATCTCTAGGCAATGAGCTGCTCGCCAAACTAGCGGCTGCTGAGAATGCGCTGCCGCTTCCCGGCTCGGCAGATGGGAAGCAGAACATCTAGCTGGTCATTATGCAACGTGCAGCGTAAGCGTATTTTTTCATTACAGGGTCTTTTGAATCTCACCCTGAGGAGGTAGCTTCTGTACAACCTGAATCTCAGAAGCGGCAGGACTGCTACTAACGTACTACTTCTGAAATGCGTCAGGAATTGTGTAATACCAACTTTCAAGTCGAAGAGTATGCAAGTCACAGGCCTGTCCCAAGGAAGCCTGCCTGGCCAAGTGAGCTTTTGCCATCCTTACACTGCATTCCCCTATCCTCACACTACTTTTTGGTGTCATTGCAGCAACAGATCCCCTTTCATTCCTATGCTAAGCTAAAATTCCAGAAGCTAGTATACAGCTGGCACAGATATGGTGCTCCACTTTGCTGCATGCGCATGGTGTGCCTGTAACAGTGCCATTCATCAACCTGCCGCGTACAAGAGTTCCAAGCACTTAACACACTTCCGCCAGAGCTCCAGAATCACATCAGCAATACAATGAGTCGTACTAAAGCGTGACTTTCGTGATCGTCAACAACAGAGCTTCTTTCCATGCAGAAGCTTCAACTTCTGGCTCTGCACAGCACCCTCAAGCTGATCTTTCTGGAATTCTAAGGCACCAGCAAGTGCGCCGACGAGCCTCTTCAGCTGCGGCTTGATGGCCTCTGGGGTTGCTTTGTCAAGCAGGTCCATGTTGAAGACCTTGGACTTCACCAGACGGCGCTCCTCTCCATCTCTTTTGGGGAAGTAGCGGTAGAAGATGTAGGAGGTACCGCTGCTGATGATGGTAGTGCTTGGAACCTGTCCATACAAAAGACAGATTACCTAGATGCAGCCAGAGCCAACATTTCGGCAGCAAGACTGACACTGTCGAAGACAGCACAAGATGTTTAGCGGCAAGGAGCAATAGTCACACCGGAAGTGACTGATGAATCACTGATACTGGCAGGCTATCAGGGCACAAAGGTTGCAAACGGGTGTTAGCGAAAGGGACAGACCGGGAGGACATCGTCAATGTCACTGCGCCTGCGCTTCACACCCGTCACATTCTCTCGCACATACTCCTCTCGGGCGGCAGCTGTCTGCGCCAGAGCCTGGCCCTCTGCAGTCGATAGCTGTTCCTTTTTGCACTCGGTGATGAGGACCTTGAAGTTATTCCAGATGACCTGCAATGCCATGCAATGCTAAATATGCCTCTGCTCTGCATCTGTTGATGGGCATCAACATCACCGCCTACGACAAGAGAGGAGGGCTTGGATTACACATTACATTGTGCAGCTCACCGCGTAATCTAGGGGTCCATTCCCAATAGAGCCAAGCACGCGTTTATCTGCGACCACTTGCATGCCTCCCAGAATCAGCACTGCGAGGACCAACGCCGGGGAGATCAGTTCCCGCCTGCTCTGCTCACTCGTTCTAACTTCTGGACACCTGCAAAGAGCAGGATGGTGTGGCGCTCAAGGAGTAGTTCATGCATGCCACACAAGATGCATGCCTCTTTGCGGTAAGAAAGTCTCATTATTTAACAGAGTGACAGACTCTTGATGGATCACTGGCATTGCCTTTAGAGCCAGGGGATGAAGCGTACCCAAGAGCTGACCGCCTCAAGCACAGATCCTCCGCAAAGTGATCCAGGAGTTCACCAAACTTACACCGACCGTCCACTATTGTATTCTCAGCCACCTGCATGATGTTGAACTCGCCCTCGTCCACGTCAATGCTCTGCATCAACATGAATAGTATGATCATCACCTCCATGCAGGCACTGGAGCAGCATGTCATATGTGCAAGGATCTGCATGCATGCGCACACAGCAGAAGCAATCTGATGTACATCAGAACAAAAGAAACTGTCGACAGACACTTACATATGATAGAGGGAAGCCAAGGTAGTCCAGGCCGTCGATGAGGCTGAAGCCAGAAAATCTTTTCCATGACAGCTTCAGCTCCAATCTGACTTTGTTCAAGCCCGCCCCTCCCCATTGAGAGACAATGTCCTGCAAGCCAGTAGGAGGCTACAACATGCTGACTGTGACAGTATTTGAGCGAAACGGAAGAGCAGCAACAGTTACACTAAGCTGACAATTTGATCACGATACCTCAAAGTTCTCCTCCAGCACATCGTTGGAGATCTTCCAAGTCAGGGTGTAGTCAGCCGCAATCGTGTCTTGATAATTTATGGCCAGTTCCCTCTCCATTTCTGCCAAAGTTGGTCGGCGGTGCACCATCCAGACATGCTTTTTGTTAGGAGGTCCAACAATGGTGACCTCATATCTGGTCTGGGAACGTGCAGGCGAGCCTGAATTGACGCACAAACATACTGTGTTAGAGTGGAGCATCCATACCAGTCAAGTTATTCAGCGTTAGCCATGTGCAATGGAAGGGCATAACGAGTAGGAACAGATCTGTACTAACCGCTTGGAGTCGCAGCAGGGTCATGCTTCTCAGTGCCTGCATCACAGAGTGCCACGGAAATCTGAGATGACATGCCTATGTAGCTATAAATCGTTCGTTCACAAAGATTGCGAGCGTGACGACGTGCTAGAAAGATGCCAGACCAAAAGCTGAGCTCAACACATCCCATTCTTGCCAAACATTCGTTGGATGGCAAAGGTCACCTGCAGATGTTGCCTGTCGCTCCTTCTCCCTCTGCCATGCTTCAGCACGCTGCTTAATGATATGGGCATCCTGTCGTTTCAACTTTTCTGTGTCCACTAAAATCTCCAGAGGTGCAGCAGCGACGTGCAGGATAGAGGTGTAGCCCGCGGCCTTCATGGCCTCAATGTCGCAAATGGTGCCGTCGAAGAGCGCCTTGAACTCGACATCATCCTGCACACAGCATGGAAGCCGTGAGAAGAATGGCTCCGAACTGTTCCGCATTGGCTTTCTTAAATTCAGAAGAAAAAAAGATTGAAGATAGGAGTCATTACCTGCCCCTTAGCCCTTTTGCTCAGCATCAGATCTCTCGAGTGCTCAGTAGGTCATACAGACGAAGAATCTCTTCCAGCTTATCAATTACCTTGGAAAAGTGAAAGAATAGTTGCGAGATTACTGATGCGACAGCATTGTCACGGCACAGCCTGCATTTTGCATCCTGCAAACATTGAAAAGCAGCACAGCACCTAGACAGTTGTGCTGACATCGACCCTTGGGAGGGTGGGAGGCCAAAATTTCAACTACGCACATGGGCAATGGCTCAATGTCTCTGGGCAATGTGAGTGAGCTTTTGCCATCCTTACACTGCAGTGCATTCCCCAATCCTTACACGTGTAGTGCACTACTTTTTGGTGTTGACATCATTGCAACAACAGAGCCACTTTCACTGCCGCATAGCGGGTATGCTAAGCTAAATTCCTTAGCTAGTACACAGCTGGCACAAATATGGTGCTTCACCTTGCTGCATGCGCATCGTGTGCTTGTAAAAGTGCATTCATCAACTTCTCGGCAACCCAGTCAGGAAACATTTATAGTCTATGAGAAAAAATCAACAATGATTCAACATCAACATTAACAATCAACCTGCATGAATCTGCGATATCCCACATGCAATGACATGCCTTGCATGCAACAAAGCATCAAATTGGGCCCAATGAGTTTCATCATGAAACTTTCATGATACCAAGCAAACTTTGAAAAGTTCTGTATCTTCGTCACCACACCGATTGCCTCAAGTTAATTGCAGTATCGTCTGCGGATCTCATCAACAAATTGGAATGCTTCAATAACCATACACTGTTCCTTTGCTAGTACACACTGTTCTACATTCTTGACTCTCCTAACATCGTAGATGCCTCACACACATTGTACACAATTGTAATACAGCAGTTTATGTGACATCTCTCCACTCTCACAATCTCACGATCGTCCCTTACCCGCCAGAGCACGACTACATTGGCCACAGGCCTCCCTCATCACTGGTGAGCACTTGCACTTTCAAAAATTCACTGATCTGGCACAAAGTTGGTGATGCGCTTGAGGTCCTTGGTCTGCTTCTCCTGGGTGTAGATGTACACGAATTGCTGCGCCAGTGCATGCGCTACCAGCGCCACTGCCCCGCTGCCGATCACTGCCGCCCCGCCCCTGCGCATCTGGCCCTGTCAGTGCGAGCTGCGGGACAGGCCAACAAGAACAGGACTTCCTATGACTTTCTGCCTACCGCCTGTTACGTGCACTTGGCAGGAGGAATGGCTGAAAGCATACATTATTGTCATTCAGAAACGAAGGTCTCAGGCAATGTTCTTGGCTGTGCTGCTTGCCTGCATACGTTACATGCTGCAGGATTGTCTGTTAGACCCTGTCTTGCTGGCATGCTACAGAGTTTAGGCCCTCGGGATGCCAGGGTCCAGATGTGTTGAAGTGGAAGCAGGACATTACTTGCAGCTTCCTGTGTTGAAAATGGGTTGTGTGTGTGGTTGTCTTTGTTGTCTGCAGCAATACTAAAAGGCACCAAACGCACCTGATCAAAGTGCCGGCATCCGCGCCGCCGCCCGCAGCCGCGCAGCCGGTGTACGCGGCGAGCACGGCGGCTCCGAGCGCGGCGGCCGCTCCGAAGGCGGCGCGCGCGGCCGAGAAGGCCCGGTAGGCCCGCATGCTGTCTGGGCAGATCGCAGTGTGGCTTGTGTAGCGGTCAAGTACCACTTCGCGCGGCGCGGATCGCACCGCCGGAGGCCCCTCGATGCCTGCGAGGAAAGTTTCACATCAGTACTGCAGAAAAATCACAGGGAATTTGCACGACACAAGCGTGACAACCAGCCGGATCCTGGACAGTGACAGCAGTCGTGGCACGGGTCTCGCCCACTGCAATCATGCTGCTTTAATTCCAGAGAGCAAACACGCAACACGACAGATGCCATGCGAATTCAGCCAAACATCACAGGCTGGCTTCAGCTGAGCTGTCTCATCCCACTGGCACCAAAAAGTACACATAATTTTGGGTAAATGAAATTTAGGTTCCATTTTCTTAATTACAGAGCCAGGGAGCAGATTGGCAAAAGCAGATCTGATGAGTAGCGCACCTGCAGGGCCGGCAGCGAGGGCAGCCTGGTAGCGGTTGGGCACCAGGGGGATGGCATTATCCATCCAGCGGCCCATGGCGACGAGCAGATTGTCAGTCGGGGAGCGGTGGCAGAACAGGCGGCGCCTGATCAGGCCCTGGGTGCCCGCCGGCAGGGGCGTTCCCTCCGCACCGCCGCCGTGGCCGGCCGCCTCGGCCTCGGCTGCCGCGCGCGCGGCCGCCAGCTCAGCCGTCAGCGTGACTTCCTGCTGCGTGGCCAGCAGGAATGTGTCCTGCAGCAGTAACTTTATCGTAAAAATTGATCATTATTACTATTAGAAATCAGCATTAACGCAGCTCCTTCCTGCCAGAGAAGGTGCATCCTGCAGTCAAGCTAAAGGTAAAGGCTGCCAAATGTCCTACCCATTGATAGACTCGCTGTTTCAAGCAAGACCCAATTAACCGTGGCCACAGTACTCATTACTTTCACCGCCTCCCACCAGCCGGGGCAGAAATTATATGCAATTTTCAATCACCACCTAACCATCAAAATATGTCAAAGTGGTCGTCCCACAGGCTTTCATTGCTACAGCAGGCTATTGTCAAGTCAGCCACATGCTAGCTCAATATCATGGTGTACTCGGGAGCCCTCAGAATGACGATTTGACATTGATACTGTGATTATCAATTGGTGCCTGACGTTGCCATGCAACAGCAAGTTGGCAGGAGTGTGCGACTAGGCAGGTATGGAACAAGAGAAGGGCCCTGCCTGGTCCAGGAAGGCGTTGAGGAAGATGTTGAAGAGCCAGTGCGGCGGGTGCAGCTGCGGCGCAATGTTGCGCACGTACCGCGTGAAGAACCGCGTGCGGCCCACGCCTGCCATAAACACCACTGTGTTTCTCAGCCTGTTGGTCAATGCTCGTCTTTCAATTTGTTCAGCACCTCCGCTCACCCAGTCATGCTACGCAACAGCAGCCAGAGACCTATACATGTGTCATCACCAAGCACGAGGGCATCAGCAATGTCCGTTGATCCTTGAGGCCCGACGGCGCATTTGCAGACCACTTATCGTTGTGCTGATTGGGGCTCCTAGTATGGAGTAATTCTACCTCATTGCCAGTACCAGGCGACGCGGATTTAATGTCATAGTGCAACTGTCTCATTACAAGCCCATTCATCGCACCGGCTGGGCAGCAGTAGAAGGCAGTGATGAAGCGGGTGGTGCCGGACGAATCAAAGCGCGACCAGCGCACCAGCGTCGGCGGCTCAAACGCCAGCGTGGACGTCACGTCTGCGCCCGTTCCCTGCTCCCACACAGCATTAAGACTAAAGCATATAATCCTGGACCCTTAAAACCCTTGACGAAATGGGGAGGAAAGAGGGATGCAAAGACACGCGTGCTCATCAGTGCAGCACAGATAAGCAAGCATTACCTTTCCTTAAGTCAGTGCGGAAAAAGCGAAGGCGTGCTTGCACAGTGTAAGCACCAGAAAGCACGCATCCCTCTCCTTGTGTCAGTCAAGGCAATAATGAAGATCTTCATGCCTCCTTTCCCCATGGATTCAGAGAGATGATCCGATTGGACAGCTGCAAGAAATTGAATACAAGAAATATTCAGAAGAACTTGCCTGCTCCCCAAACATTGCCTTGTCCTTGTCGGAGCCGCGCCCTGTCATCTTCAGCACGCCTGGCACGCGCCCGATGACCTGGCGCCATATCAGCATGTTGATGAGTTGTGGGATCTTAAAACTCTGGTGACTGCAGGGCCTTGTGAAAGGCACAAAGTTGGCATGGCATCGCATCACCTCCTGCAGTCTCCATGAAGCCCTTTCAGGCGCCTACATGTGTAAAGGCATGAATGCAGAAAATCAATACATCTCAGGAGAGAAGCATCTGCTGTTCTGTGCGCATGCTCATCTACTGCTATGCGAAGCCTTCATGACCACTGCAGGTCTCCAAAAGGAGGACACTTGGCGGCTTTGCAAGCTCTGAGAGCAGGGCGCGTGCAGGGCAGTTCTCACCTTGGGCCCGCCCTTGCCGGGCTCGGTGGAGACCTGCATGGGGTACTCGGCAGAGGCGGCAAAGCTGTCGAAGATGGTAGTCTGATGCGCGAAGACGCCATGGTCTGGGTCTGCCACGTTCTCTAGCACGAGCGTGAAGTCGACCGGGAAGTCGCGGATGAAATCGTCGCTTGTCCAGCCAGGCTCGTCTAGTTCAGGCAACCCTGGGCAGGCCAAAAAAAAATAAACAAGCATTGCAAATAAATTACTTGTTCTTTCTCCCTGCTCTTTGCGCTCGCTCTGCTTGGCAAGTCTTTTGGTGAATTGCTGGACTCAGATAACCTTCATTCCCCACTGGGGGAAAAACACTATGGCATGTACAGAGCTGCAGCTTGTCATCGTGCTTTGGGGATAATTTGGGTGAAGACCAATTGGGACCCGCAAAGCAGAAATTGCTGATGGAGCAAAGGAAGGTGTCATTGGACATGGGAGTGCCCAGGCTGGTCTGCTTGTGACTGAGCACAATCTTACATTTCATCAGGGCGTAGAAATCAATGTAGCACCGGTAGAAGTGCACATAATCACAGCACACCTGCAGCCAATCTCGTTGCGGACATGTTGATGCACCATTTCATGTCTGCATAGAGTGCATCCTTACAACGAGCTGGTGAACAGCTTAAGAATGTACAAGAAATTCCCCAGCCTGCCATTCTGGCAAGCGCTACATACGCTGAACTAGATTGGAGCTCACCCACGATTGTGTCGGTGGAGGGTCGTGCGCCAGGGCTGGGGTAGACCCACACAATGCCCTGGTACTCGGCGCACGGCAGCGCTGTTGCACAGGTACGCCCCGAGATGGTGCCCCCTTGAGACACCTGGGGGATGTTTGTGCAGTCGCCGGTCTTGCCATCGAACGACCACCCTGTCCATAACAGGCGCTTCCAGTGAACACTGTCTAGCTCTTCTATTGGCCAGGGCACTGGCAATTGAGAGAGTATCCAGCTCACTATTGCCCAGCCCACACAAGGCCCCATTATGACTGCCCAAGTAAACAGCTTGGACAGTCTGCCATACAGAAAACATGCCGCAGACTTCTTGTTCGCACATGACAGAGCCTGGGTAAGGCTGACAGATTGACATCAGGAACAGCGTTGGCTCTGGCTTTCTTGAAGGGTTGGACAAAGGTACTCTTTGTTCACGTATGCAGGAGCAACGCATGCAGCGCTTACCATGGTACGCACACTGCAGATTCCCGGCTGCGGTCATGCGCCCTTGGGAGAGCGCTGCCGCCCTGTGAGGACACCTGTCCAGCATCGCAATGGGGCCCTTGCCTGCGCAGCAGCACAGCCTTGCTCAGCACTCTACCAGACACCCATCTGAGTATTACAAACGAACCAAAATCAGATAAGGTCCCTTTCACTCCACCACCAGGAAACATTGGCACGGACGTTCACGTACAGAATAGGCTCCATGTGAGCCTCTCAATGCTCAACAAGTGATGCTTTGCGGCAGAGTTGCTACTGCACCAGCTGTCCCTGGCGAAGCAGTGCTCTTGCAACAAGCTTCAGAGCACTGTTAAGGGCAGTCCAGATCCTTGACGACAACATGCACGGATGACAAATATGGAGGTGGACATTGCGCCACCTGGCCTGCGCGCGACAACGATGGCCTCGTCAAAGAGCCACACGCGTTGCGGATCGCCCTCTGGAAGGTCCGCTGCGTAGTGCACGGGGTACCACTGCTGCCGCCAGTCATAGAACGCCTCCGACTGCTGCGGCTGCGGAGCCGGCTCTTCCATCACCGCGGCGGCCGCCGCCGCGTCGGCCTCCGCGGCCGCGCCGTTGTCGGGCCGGTAGCGCACCGGCGCGCCCGGCCGCGCCCGGAAGCCAGCTGGCGCTGCCCGGCTGCCCATTGCCGGGCAGGGGTGACATGTGCGATTCCACTGGAATAGAATACACAAGAACCATGACTCTGGCGTTTTGAGACTGGTACCAGCAATGCATGCGACGCAGTGAAACCATTGCAGATGGCGAACAAAAATACATGGCAGTTCTTGTTAATGAAGACAATAGGAAAGGTCGGGCCAACCTGACATCCAGGTGAACTGTGCCTGGGTGGCTGCATGCGCATACCCACGTGTTGGAAAGGCATGCCAGCGCTGGCTCGGCTGAATGACACGGCTTGCTGGGGTCGGGTTTGAGTGACGTGAAGGCTTGCCATCCTGTGATTTCCTGAGATCAACATGCCAGCGTCAAACAGCCGCTGAAAGCGCTGTAAGATGAAAGAACCTTGCAAGGAAATGTATTTTTCTCATCCGCTAATTGAGGGTCATTGCTACAGAAGCAAGCAGCGTCTGCAGTCAAGGAAGCAGCTCATCAGAGTAAGGATGGTACCTTCTGCGCTGAATGTGTCCGCTATCCTTGTCCTGCTGATCGTCGGAGGAAAGTGTTGATTCGCAGATGCAAACTATGTTGCTTTGGCCCCCAACTCGGAACTCCGAACTCGGAAAAGACCGCAAGCTGAAGGCACGCTTATTTGGATCACTCCAAACTGGTATCTCTTCACTCCAGCACAGTCAGAAACTTGGATGGATGGCTTCTCCTCCAATAGGCTGAATGCACAAAATTGGATTTTGCTGAGAATGCATTCAGCACATCTGCATCTTCTTGAAAGTTAGTCGATTTACACACTTACTTTTCTGCATCGACCCAGAAAGAAAAACGCGAGGTCTTTCACATAGTGATTACCATCTGCACAAGGGTACGCGGATGCTTTTTATCAAACATGCAGAAAAGTTTATCCAGATTAACGATTGCTTTAAACATGGAAACATGGAACACCTCACCTGAGCTGACGTGGGCACAACAGCACGTCCCTGAAAACGGCCTCAATAGCGCTGTCTGAAAATCAGGTCTTCTGCAAAAGATTGCTTGACTTTATGGCACTCCTGCTATGCAAGAGAATGCTGTTGGCACAATGAAACAGTCTCCCATTTTGGGACTCCGATGTGCAGGCCTGAGGGCGCGCCTGGAGGAGTGCCAAACTTGGCTGCATGCATGCATTTCTCCAGAACTCAAGGGAGCACCTGGTTGGTGGGTTTGCCTCAGGAACTGTCTCTCGTGGATGTGGGCTGGACCCTCGTGGAGCTGCAGGGGCGCTAGACTTGCGCTTTACTCACCACCCTTTGATTGAGTGTCAAATGCTGAGGTCTGAGCTCTTGAGCAGACCTTGGACTTTTATGGATGTCCACTGGTGCACCTGATGCCATGGTGACTGGTGCGCACATACTCTGCATATTAATAATTGCGTATTATGTATTGATATAGCCATCAGAGTTGATGCGGAGGAGTCCTAATCCTAGGCTCACTGCAAGCGCGAGGCTGTGGGGATCTAGATAATTTGCTGAAATGCAATTCGCATGTGATCTTTTGCGAGCTGTAATTCACTGGCAGTACTCCCCCTGCTACCAGCGCTGCCCACTGGCAGTCTGCTGTGAACCTTGATCCACTTGAGAACCAGCTCAAGCACTTTGCTGACCTTTAAAGATGAGTGTTAGCCATCTATATAGATGGTATATGATATATGTTCATCGGCCAATACTTCTGGAGTTCAAGGAGCTACTGTGCCAGGTGAGGTGCGGTCCTGCCAGCTGCAGTGGCCAATGACTGTTGCACTGCCTGCTTTGAGTATGCTGTCAGCCCTTGGCTGCATGTAGTGCAGAAGGTCATGTCACAGCCGCCTTTCTAGCAAGGCCATAATGTTCAAGAGAATACAACACTGCTGCCCTGTGGCCCGGTTCAAAGAGCCATGCCATTAGAGGAGTGTGACTTCATGCAGTCACCATGAAGCGCCAGTGATGGTGGCTGAGTGGAAGCTTGCACTGGCATAGTCACACAGAAAATATGAGGTTAAAAAATTGTAGCCTTATGCACCAACATGCCTGATACATATATGAACAATATGCACTTTCAGAACAAAGACTCCAAGGCCGCTGCAACAGTTGCATATCCTCTGAGGTCATGAATGCACTGGTCTGCTGTAACAAGTTATCAGCTGTTCGAGGCCCAGTCCCTAAGATCAACGTTCTGATTGCTGCTCCACACCGTGCTTTGCACTTATGATACAAGGTGACCAGGGAGCACCATTTGATGGGCTCGACAAGGGGGATGTCTGAGCCGTTCTGCAGAGCATTTTTGTGAGTAGATATCTCGATCAGCTGGCCACGGTCACTGAAGGGCAGCACCTCTCACAAATCAGAGGAAGCATGTGCATGCGAAAGTGCACAGTGCCTATGCAGCAGAAAATATGCATGGGATTGCCCCCTCGGGCGATCAGAGAACAGAAAGCTATGATCTTTATCAGAGCTAAGCACTGCTTCCTGATTGAATGCAGGGCATTGTGGAATGGCATTCCCATCCAATGAGAACGCCCCTGGCCGGTGCCGCTGGAGAGCAGGCATTTCGTTACCTTCAGAGTGTGCTCCAGAATTTCCTGGAGCCGATCACCGGCCCCATCCGCGATGCAGTGCTGTTGTTGTTGAGGCTGCCTCGGTTTCGCGAGGCGTGGGTGGAGCAGGGCATGTGACAAGCTTTGGGGCTGCTTGCAGATGAGCAAGTAAAGCCGATTTACTCGGAATAATGGTGGCCACGCGGGACACTCTTCTGGGCGTTTCCGATGAGGAAATTGACACGCCTGACCTGGACAGGGCAGAGCTTGTGGGAACACCACCCACGAGGAAGGGGCGCCAGCAGGGGCCTGGTAAGCCTTCATGCATCTGGCATACGTATTGGAGATCATGCCTCGGCGGTAGCATGTACCGCTGCTCATGTTACACGTAGCACATGGGTCTTCTCCTCTTTGCTTGCCCTTTCCTAAGATCGTGGCGAAGCCCCCGGAGGATTCGTTGTGGATGGTTTAATGGAAGGCTGGTATTTACTGTATCTGGCTAGCTGTTGGGCGCTTTAAGCAAATCACTGGTACATCAATCACTGGCAATGTACTGTTTGAGGGCGGATGATGTGGGGAAGCTCCAGCCTCACGGAATATCGTGATAATGGCTGCTAGGCTGTTTTATCGAGTATTCAGCAAACCTGCTCTCCCCGGTCGCGCCTGGTGCCTTCAGCAACAATATTGTGAAGCAAATATTGTTTGCCGCAGGCGGACGCCATGGAAAGATTCCTTCCAAGGAGCCAGGAGGTGGAAGGGGCGGAAAGGTGACCTTGTACTTCCTTTTTCTTCAGCAAAATTCAGCTATGTGCTATTGCTGTTGCACGATTGCAACCTTCTGGCCTATTGTATAGTTTGATGAAATGGCATGGAGTGTGTGGATCAGATTCTAAGTCTGCTGACACCCCACAATGGCTTGTTTTGTTGCAGAGGCGAAACAGAGATCGCTCAAAGGCAGAGAGGCAGAAGGGGCGCTTGGATGCTCGGGCTTTCAAGGTGCACTCCTCTTCTTGCAGCCGCACTGCAGACTGTGCCTGCATCAATCTGATCCCTGTTGAACCTCCATCATTTGGTTTCTTACTGAAGCATCTGTCGCCTGTGCACTCTGCACGGCCCTGCACAGGCTGATATGTGAAAGAGGGTATGTGACAACGTGCTTCTTGCTGCCCTGAACAGGAGCTCGACACCACGCTGCAAGTGCTGGGCATAGATGGCGTAACCAAGATGCCCCAGCTGCGCGTGACGAGATCCCCCCATGCACCGGAGGTGGCGGAGTGCCCCCCCTCGGGGACCCCTCACCGCTCAGCCTCAGGCACCTGGTCTCCCCACCGCTCCGCATCTGGCGTCTGGTCCCCCCGCATGGGCCGCACCACCTCCGAAGCCGGCGCTAGGTGCGCCCTCCGCAAGGCACTTGTCTTTGGCCATTCCCGTCATCAGATGCTGCTGACAATCCGGCACGCTATGAAACCAGAGTATACATCCAAAACTGCTCACGCTGTCTTTGAGGACATGCACAGGATGCGGCGTCTCTTGTTCTCTTTTTGATAAGATGTGCCCATCAATGAGCTCATGTGATGAAAACCAAGCATCAGGAGTCTCATTTTGGTCATGCACGCACTCCTCTTCTCTGCTGAGATACTGCAGCCCCCCTGTCATCTGCATGGCACTGATGGAACACAGCACACCTGTCCGCTCTTGCCAGTGGTGTCTTTTGTTTGTGTTGTCCTGACCTGTAGTAGGATTGCCTGATCGTGGTCGAAATAGGCACTCCCCTCTATTATTTACAAGATTCCGGCTGCAGCGATGTGAGCCTGGACAGCCGGGAGAGCCAGCTGGACCGGACGCGGTCGCGGCGTGGCAGCCTGCCCCCGCTGCACCCGTCGGCGCAGGGGCAGCCGCTCACGCCGCCCTCCTTCCGCCACGTCCTGCAGCAGTCCACCCGCGGTGAGTCACTGCTCTGTCATCCATCCAGCGCACCCTGCCAATACCCTCTGATGTACCCTTGTAATTCATTGTTTTCATTGCAGTGGCATCCTGTGTGGCACTGTGGCAACGAGAGCGCCTCCTCAAATCCAAGATGACTGTCGTAATGAGAACCGTTGTAGTGAATACCGCGATTCTTATCTCTCCTCATCGAACATGCTTCTTGCTGTTGAGCGGGAGTGGCTGCAGCAGTGTTGCGCTTTTGGCACCGTGTGCTTGGGTCTGCATCCTGAGCATTGCGGCTATGGTTCACCGCTGGGAAGGCACATCATGCACAGCACCAGTGTGTCTGAGAATGGGAGCTACAAGTCATCAGAGGGCATGCAAATAATGAAACTCTGATGTGCGGGACACTGGGAGCAAAAGTTCATCAAAACCTATGCAAAGATTTAGAATGGCGTGGCGCGCGTGCAGGTGCGCTGTCAGCGTACAGGGCGTCGGGGTCGCTGGAGAGGATGGAGGAGCAGGCTATCGCGCGTCTGCAGACCGAGCGCAGAGTGTGGCATGCCGACTTGGACCACTTGCTCGAGGGGGACTTTGCTCGCGAAGACCTTGAACTCGCCATCCACCTCGCCAGGTGCGCTGCTGTTTTTTCCTCTGTCCGATAAAGCTCTATGCCACAGTACCTCTGCCACTGCTGATGTCAGCCCCTGCCCATGCCTCGACGCCCAGAAGTGCCTGCACATTGTGCGCATCAGTTATGTTCAGCTTTCTTTGCGATCTGGCATTGGCAGCAGGGGCGACAAGACGTAGTGCCAAGCAAGTAGGAGCATACCGGGCAATATAATTTTGCATGCTGCCGGAGGCTCATAATCAAAGGTTCTGTTGCTGCTGGATGTCTATTGATGGCTGTCGAATAGGAGGCACGCCCTGTGGAGATCAGAAAAAAGTCACATGCAGTGTGATCTTGATTGTGTCAAGATTCTGATTGCTTGCGGTGTGCTGCGCAGGACGAAGGCGAGCGACCTGAAGGAGCAGCTGCGGTGGTGGCTGAAGCCGCCGGAGCCGACGTGGGCGTCGCGCGAGCAGCGGCTGGATTGGCTGGGCGCCTCTCTGGAGGAGGCCCGCGACATCGCGCGCGGCCTGCAGCAGCACGGCGCCCTCCACGGCGACCCCAATTACATCGCCACCTACATCTTCATCGTCAAGGTGACCCCTTGTCTGCTACCTCATGTGCCCTGAGACCTGTTTGCACTGATCGTCACCCCATACTTACAGCCCGTGGCAAATGTCCTGCATGGACATCGTAGCCTGGAAGACGTCATCATGGCAAGGTGGCTACTTGTTTGTACATGGAGTACATTGATAGAAGCTTGTCTCCTTCCTCGCTTTCTGCCTGATTTCTCTGTCCAGTTTTTTGTTAAATTGTGGACAGGGCTCAGCCGTTTTGGACTGTTTGCAGGACATTGTACTGGAGTTCCGCGGCGTGTCTTGCGTGATAGGAGACGCGGTGTCTGGCGCCATGCGGCACATGAAGCCGGGCGATCAGGAAACCAAGCGTGCCTACAAATGCGCCCACCGCTGCGTGGACCTCATCTACGAGCTCACCACCCGGTACGCATCAATCCTGTGACACCAGAACACTTCTGCGCACAGTTTATGTAAGATGTGGCAGTCTGTGCTGGACGGTGGGCGGGAGGCTTGAGAGTGCTGTGTTGCTGGACCTGTGGCGCATGCACGCGCATGTCTTGGTGTGGACAGTGCGACTGATTATTTTACTGTCCACTTCAGCACAGAATTGCTGGGCCCTTTTCTGTATTTGCGTTGGCTTAGCATTGCCACAGCTGGCGAGGGGCGATAAAAGTACTGAGCACCTTGCCCACGGCTGATTGTGTCTTGCTTGGATCTGGTGAATGCAACAAGGTGGCAGCCTTCACTGCAGCTCGTCTGCAGTATGTACCTTTTGGCAGCAAAAGCGTGTAATAATAACAATTATTTTAGCAATAGATAAAGAAATAAGCATCGCCTGCCCTGAAGGACGGAAGGGATATGCGTTTTGTATGCATGCTGTAGTGCATTGGTTTTGGGCGTTTCTTAATGGTGAGAGTGCTTTCTCCGGCAGGTTGAGGAGCCTGGAGAGGTTGATGCCAGAGGAAGGACTGGGGCCGGCAGCCACATCCGACCTGGGGACATGCGCGGGAGAGGTGGTCATGGCTTCCCTGCATGCTGCCACGAAACTGCAGGACCTTCTGCTCTCCTCTAGCGCCTTTGGCTTCGGCACTGGGGACGGTGCGTGCACCCCCAAGAATGTCCTGTTCTACATGTATTGATCTGGGCATATAGGATTCAGCCTAATCTCAACCTTACAAGGCAGCAGCGCTTGCAGAGGTCGCCTCAGTTTGCCTGTGTCTTGCATCTGCGATTTCGGCTGTGAGTTCAGTTTGCACAACTTCTCCTTTCCGGGCGCTCACACTTTCTGGGCAGTTTCCAGACTGCTGTGTCGACGCTGAAACCTAGAACGCGCTGGCGATGCAGGTCCCATCGTGTATGGGCATGAGCTGCAGAACCATGCGCGCATGCTGCAGAGCGTGTGGATGGCATGCGGCTTGCTCGTCACCAACGTGACCGAGCACTGGGCCGACCAACGCTCGCAATTGCACTGGTGCGCAGCTGCCCTCCATTTTTTACATTTTCTTAGGAAGAACATGCATACTCTCCTTCGACGTTGTTGCACAAGAAAAATTCAATTCATGAAGGGGGTGGCCACAAAAGGGGAGCATTGTTTTTTTAGTAGTATGGGCTTGGTTCTATCCCGCTGATGTTCCTGCATCCACACTTATGCACAATGACTGAGTCCTTGATGTCAGCATGATGCGCGCATGTGCAGTCATGTTGGAGCTTGGTGTCAGCCACGTGTAGGCCATCTCTGCTTTTCTTCTCAGCTTGTGACCATCTGGGGTGTTGTGTACGTTTTAAAGCTGACGAGGGAAAACGGCAGGAGCGCAGTCGGAGCACTTCATTGAACGCCTGGTATTCTGCGCAGTGAGTGGTGCAAGCTGTTCCTCCGGGCTGCCGCAGCAGCGGATGCCATGCAAGGTTCCCTGCGACGGGCCTCCACTGAGGAGATGTCCGAGCTGGACAGCATGGAGACCCCCTCAGGTGCCCATCCCAGCATATCACACTGCCTTTTTCTACGAGCTCTTGCCATTTTGTGTGTAGATCTCAGGATTTCAGCTGTGGGTGCTGTCTGATCCCTGGCTGTCAAGACCGCCACCAACAGCTGTCTGGCCTCTTGCCTGTGTCTAGAAGCCGGTGCATGCAAAATGACATGTTGAGCCAGGCCAGAGGTTGGGCCAGGTCACAGAAGCAGGCGTGACATTCAAGGAGTTGACCGGGTGTGATGTGTTTCCTGTGCAGCGAGCTCTGGAGTGTGGGGCAGCAACCGCTGCTTCGATGGTCCAAAGGGCGGCGCTGTGACCGACGAGGACCTGCAGGCGCAGGCCTGGTTGCCCACCTGCCTCATGTCCATGCTGGTGGAGGTGCGAGCTCTGTCTTCTTCTCCTGTCGTCAGATACCCCACCCTCATGTTCTCACGACCTAGCTGTGTCCAGCTGCAGCACCTTCTTTGCTGAGATGACATGTCCCTCAGTGGCCAGATTCAATGTCCTGCATGCCTTGCTTTTGGCCACCAGCTTCAGCCCAGTAATGGACTGTTCCTGGTGGACCCAAGAGACTTACCCTGTCCAGAATTGATTTCCTGTAAAGCCCTGCATGTTTCACCCTTCAGTGACCAGGGGCGTAAATCGTTGCGCAGGCAGAGAAGGCGGCGGAAGCGACGCTGACCTGGGAGGGGGCCATGGATGACTACGAGGGCGGGGGGACCCCCGAGGAGGGGAGGTCCCACCAGGGGCCCCCTGGCGGCGAGGGCGCAGGCATCGCCCTCGTAGACGCGCTCAGCGAGGCCATGTATGACCTGGCGCACACCGGCGCCAAGCGCGTGGCCGGGCTGTGCACCAGCCCGACCGAGCTCGCCTGCTGGGCGCTGGAACTTCTGGAGGAGCAGGCCTGCACGGTGGGTACCTTCCACCTCTACTGCATGGATCATTTACAACTTCAAATGGGGAAATGTGCATGTTGGGGGTATTTGTTGTACTTGTGCTGCACACACTCCTAATTGAGGTCAACACCTCACAAAACAAGGCCTGTACGCTCCTTACTGTGGTCAATAAAGGAACAGGCCTGGACAGGGGGGACCTCCTGGCCTTTCTGGGGTGGTCATGTTACCCAGACTCTAATCTTTTGCCTGAGGAGAAGGTGATTGTGGGCTTCTTTGCACCTAGGACTTGGGTATGATTTAGTACTTCAAGAACTGTTGTGCTGGGCATGATGGTGCTGTTGAAAGCTGTCCCATGAAGATCTGATTTTTGAGCAGTTGCATATCTGCGCAGCACACTGCACTTTTGTGCAGCAGGTGCGCATATTTGCAATAAAACTGTGCTTTTCTGTGCATCTGCGCAACAGACCTGGCATAAACAGAGAGAAACACAATCGCCTCCTTCATAGCTCTTCCTTCTTGGCTGCCTTTCTGCCAATCAGTCAATTTCAGCTGTCAGCAGAATAGAATTAAAGTAACAATGCCGGCGCAGGCGGTGGTGTTTGTGAGGGACCTGGACCGGGGGATCCTGGGTCGGGGGGCGCACGGCCTGGAGCACTTTGAGAGGCTGCGCCGCAGCACCGACCTGCTCGTCAACGGCATCCTGCGCGTGCGGCGGCTGCTCAAGCAGAAGCGCGCAGCCGACGCTGACGGTGTGCAACCTCCAAAGTTCCCTCCTTGGTTCTGTGTGCATGTCACATTGTTATATTGAATTGTGGGGAACAATTACTCCTACTGGGCTGGTATCAGATGGGTCAGGGTTGCAGCACAAGATGTGCTGGAGCCAGGCTGTCCGATACCAGCCCTTATGACTGGAGCTGAAAGCGAGCAGACCTGCACCCAGCTTTCCTGTGATTGTGAATGCCAGTATACTGCAAGTCTTAAAGTTTCTCTCTTGCCCCAACAGAGATATGCTGACGCAAACATGATGTGCATTCATGCAGAGCCATTGCCGCCGCTGCCGCCGTCGCAGCCGCTGTCGCGGTACGAGTCGACGTCCTCACTGGCCTCGGACTGGACCTCGCTCTCAAACACGACTTATTCTGCGACGACCGCATCGGGGACAAACTTGCGGCCGCTACCGTCCAGCATCCACACGCCGCGCTACGCCAGCCCCGCCCTTGCAGCCTTCAGACCGGAGCCAGTGCGAACTTTTGACCTTTTCTCTGCTTTGCACAGTACTTTGGAGACCTGTGCAGCTTGTTTTCAGCCTTGGGCATGCAGGCGAGGGAGGTGGTGTCAATTTGCTGTTGACTGTTGATCTAGGGGTCCGGGGCTTGTGCAGCATGATGTCAGTAAAATTTTGACAGGGCATATGTGTCGGTGAGCAGGTGGGGGCGAGGCCGCAGCAGACGCAGACGGCGCCGCCAGTGCTGGAGGTGCCACAGCCACGGACGCCACCGCAGGCTCAGCCGCAGATATATCCCTCCACGCTCCCGCACACGCGCTCCAGCCCGCCGCCGCCCAACCCAGACCCATGGACCGTCCGGCCACCCCCGGCGGCCGTTGTCCCCCGTCCGGCGGCCGTTGTCCCCCGTCCGGCGGCCGCCAGCGCCGCCGTAGCGATCCCCATACCGCAGCAGCAGCAGCAAGCATCCGCGCTGCCGGCGCACAGCGTGTGGGGCCGCGCGGCGTCCAGCCGCCGGGCGGCCGGCTCCGAGTCCGTGTCGGCGGTATCCGAGGCCGGCAGCTCCCCCAGCGGTGACGATGCGGCAGCCACGGCTGTGGCAGCAGCCGCCGATCGACTCCGCCTCGAGCGGTTTGCCGAGGGCTATCCCGCAGCCCCCGGGACGGCCACGGCGGCGTCCTCCCGGTCGAGCTCACCCGCCACAGACGCGTCTCTCCGCGTCGCGTCAAGGTCGCCCAGCTTTGTCTTCGCACCGCCGGCCATTGCCAAGAACCAGCTGGTGGGCAGCCCGCAGCATTTTCCGCAGATGCGGCGGCCGGCCGTCACGGCGCAGCCAGCTGCAAGCGCTCCGTCAGCCGTGGCCCGGCCGGCTGCCGCGCCCAAGCCGAGCCCCTCGCAGCAGGCCAGCTTCCGCGGCTGGGCGAAGCTGTTTCCCGAGCCCGCGCCCATCACCTCGTCCCCGACCACTGCGGAGGACGTCGTCGCCGCCAAGTTTCTCGAGGCAACGTCTCAGCAGCAGCAGCGGCCACCCGCAGCAAAGACCGCGCCGCCCGCATTGCCGTTCACGGCGGCGCCGCTGGCCTCGCCATTTGCGGCGCCCGGCATGGTGGTGCCGCTGGCGTCGCCATTCGCACCGGCTGCGGAGGCTGCACCGCGGGCGATATCTATCCCGGCCCCGCTCGCGTCGCCATTTGACATGCCAACGCTGCAGGCGGCCAGCGCCTCCGATAGTCCAGCATTTCAGTCCGCGCCGGAGGCGCCCAGCAGCTCGCTCGGGTCTCTGTCACACGGACCCTCCAGCCGCGAGCAGCAGGAGGCAAGCCCCGCCAGCTCAGCGCAACCGTCCTCCTCCGTGGGACATGCGCGCACCGACCACGACCGGCATAAGGAGCATCGGCCATCGTCGGGCGGATGGAAGACAAAGTTCAGCCGCCGCAGCCGCAAGGAGGGGCCTCCAAGGGAGCAGCCGCCAGAGGCAAGCAAGGTGAGGTCACCTAGCGAGCAGGTCGAGGAGGAGGAGATGCACGGCAGGAAGGGCGGCCGGCACGGCCGGCACAAGTCCAGGCGCAGCAGCTTGAAGGAGATGTTCAGGGGGTCCAGCAGCCATGAGAACGGTAAGGAGCCCGAGAGGCTGCCAGAGGTGGAGGAAGCAGCGGAGTTGGCACTGCCGGAGCCGGCAGTAGTGACGCCGCCCAAGGGGGTGCTGGCGCGCTTCAAGGACGCCTTCACGGGCGCCTCACACACCGTGGGGCCGCTCGGCCCCTTCGACTCGGCCGCCGCTGCGGCCGCGCGGCAGATGGGCCGGCTGCGCCACGCGGCGCGGCCGGTGCAGGAAGCTGCGGGGCACCTGACACTGTCGCGCGACATGCGTGAGGACGAGGCCTGGGGGAAGGCCCCTGCGGCGGAGGAGGGAACGCAGCGGGAGGACAAGCGCGGCGGCCGGCGCAAGAGCCGCCACCGGGATCGCGGACGGCCGGGCCGGGGAGATCGCGGCAGAGGCCGGGGGTCGTCCCGGGACGGCGGCCGCGGCGGCCAGCCGCCAACGATCGAGGCGCTGGCGAAGCGCAACGGCCTGATCATGCCATGGGAGGGCGACCCGTTCTGGGAGGTGAGCTCACATGATCTCTTGAATGTCAACAGCATCGCTGACCAGTGTAGCTGCATTTGCTCAAAGAGCGCTTGTGGTGCCACGGCTTGGCGTGGCAAGGTTGCCAGCTTTGGGCTTCTTGGGCGGCCTCTGTATAGTGCTCAATGCGCCGGACAGCTCTTGCTCTAGCAGACTAAAAAAATTGAGGTTTTCTCTATGTTGTGCTAAATCGCTTGTACATACACATTACTGAAGCTTGGTGGCGGCAACTGGTGCGCAGATCGACTGGAAGGACCTGCAGAGGAACCTGGTGAGGAAGCTGGGCAATGGCAGCTTTGGGCAGGTCTATGAGGCCTACTACCACTCGGCGCCCATGGCTGTCAAGATCATTAAAATTGACAACGACGAAGAGAACATCAAGTTCAAGATCATGCGCTTTAAGTGCGGACCTCCCACTTTCTTCTGCTGATTCTGTTGCCTGCAAACCTGCCCCTGATATTCACACACCTCTTAACATACTCCAAATGCCAGCATGCTGCCTGTGGATCTGCCTTTGCTGTTCACACGCATTCAATAAGCTCATCCCAACAGCGTGTTTCTTAGGAACCTGCACTTGCTGGTACCCTTTTCACGCGGAATTGTCTGGTACTCAGCTTGTGGTACTTAGCATGCCCCCAACTGAGCCAGACTGATGATAGAGCTCTCACCAACAAGGGGGTCAGCTGCTCTCGCTCCAAGCATGCATCAAAGAAAGGGGGTCAGCTAAAATCGTGCATGCATGCATGCAGGGAGGAGGTGGACCTGCAGCGCCGCCTGAGCCTGCACCCCAACATCGTGCGATTCCTGGGCGCATGCTTCTCCCTCTCCAGTGGCGGCCCCCTCCCGGAAGCGCTCACCTTCGACGATGCCCTCGCCCAGCAGGTGATGTTTGTTAATAAGCCAGTCTGAAGAGTGTTATTCTGTGCACATGCACGACTTAAAATATCACCTTGCTTGCCATGTAGGTCCCGAGCAGCCTACTGATGCTGGCCATTGTTGCCAACCTGTGTCTCACCAAATCCTTCGTTCTCTAAACCCACTTTAGTCAATGGTTGTCTAGTGACGATGGTCCACAAAGCACAAGGGATCGTGCAGCTTGCCTCCAGACGCACCCTGCCTCTCGCCAGGAAAAGCTCTTAAGTGATGGAACATATTTTTATATGTAATTGGCTGATTGCAGACACATCAGAGGTCTGTGACACAAGGAAAGACAGTAATATATCTGCCCATCAGGCCAATGAGCCTCAGGTGTTGTCAAATAGGTGTGTAAGTTGTTTGAATAATCATCAACTTAATCTGGAAACTGACGTTTTCATTGTGGCGCCCGTGCAGAGCATCACCCTGGCGATAGTGATGGAGCTGTGCCGCTATGGCACCCTGTACAAGATCATAGAGTACGCGCGGCGAGTCTCCTACATGCCCGCGGATGTGCGCAGCGGCCGCATCAACCCACGCAACGCTGAGGAGACCAAGCTCAAGGCAAGCCTCTCCCTCTCTGCGCCTCCCAGCCTTTGGGTCACTCAGGGTCCAGAATTGTAATCTGGCAAGGGATTAGCAGACCAGCGGCCATAGGCATGCTTTGGGAGTGCTTGTCAGCCTCTGTCGGCCTGCGCCATGATCCTGAGGGATGATCATCTGTCGGCTGGCGTGCATGCTTTACATGACTTCCACCCTTGCCTTATCTCAAGTTCAATCTTGCATGCTTTGCGAGGGATGAGACGAGGGTGAAGTCCACCCAAAATCCCCAGCCGCACAGTGCATGCTGCCGCCTTGAACAATAGATTCGCGTCTGGTGTGACCCGCTGAAAGGGACGTTTGCTCATCGACTAGCTCATTGTCTCTAGATGTGCAGCTCTCTTGTGTGAACCGCTCACTATAAGTTTGTGTACCGCACATGATATCATCAGCCGACTGACAATGGCGGGGTGTTTGCAGGCGGGCCTCGGGTGGAAATTATACCAAAACTGGACCACTCGCTTGGAGCTGGCCAAGCAGGCAGCGGCCGGGCTCGCCTACATGCACGCCCAGGTGTGGATTACCGCTCGATGATCATCCCATCACGTTTTAAAACCTTGCTCCTGCAGAACACCGGGTTTGCAGACATGAGTGCTCCGGTGGTCGGTGATCAGCTTATCTCCAGAAGGGGCATCCTGGAACAGCATGCATGGCAGAGATGCCTGGAACATAGGCCTGGTAGCAAAGGCTCACTGCAGATGTGTCTTCATCAGCGTGTGCTGTGCCATTTGGCGCCGCATGCTTTGCGCTTCATCGAGGCCTCTCGCAGCAGCCTGGCTTGTGTTGGGCTGTGGGCGCATGCACGCATGCTTGCAAGGGAGGCAGTGGCAGCACCTAAACACTGCGCCTCCTCACTGTTGCCATTTGGCATGGTGTTTCTAGCTGTTGCACAGACAAGACATCATGCAGCATTATCGTGACTGGCTGCTTGGCTGCGCTGCAGAACATCGTGCATCGGGACCTGACCAGCTACAACCTGCTGGTAACGGAGAAGTGGGAGTGCAAGCTGGCGGACTTCAACCTGTCGCGCGCGATCAAAGAGACCTCCATCCCCCACTCCGGCCAGATCAACTCCCCCGAGTGGTCCGCGCCCGAGCGACTCTCCGGCCAGGTCCGTGCTTTCCCCTCCCCTGCCTCATGCGCTGCGGTCTTGCACACAGAGAGACACGGTGGCAGGGGGCCTTGCATGCCGCTGGGGCCTCTGAGAAGTTTATACAGTCTGCCTGTCACATATGTGAAAGAGGCTGAAGTCACCTGCAGCAGCGCTCCTTTCAGGGCTGATCCTGCATGCTATGCCTACGAAGACCTGGCCCTGACTGCTTAGTGCACACAGTTATTTTCTTGGCTGAGTGGCCAATTGTCCCATTGATCTCCTTTCCTCACCCTTGAGAGCCGGGCATGAGTGAGAAGAGTCGACTACGCATGGATGACTCGGGTCGTATCATCACAGTGCATCAAACATCTGTACAAAGGGAACGTTGAGCTGACCGAGTGATATTCAATGGCGCAGGCTTACGGCAAGGCGGCAGACGTGTTCTCGTTCGGGGTGGTTCTGTGGGAATTGGTGACTCTAATGATCCCGTGGCGCCACGATGACAAGGACTTTCCCAACGGGGGGACTGCCATCAACGGGGGGGACCAGCACTTCCGGGACCCCACCCTGTACGTCATCAATTGCGTGCCCAAGGGCGACCGCCTCGACCTGCCCGCTGCCCAGGACATCAAGCCCCCGCTGCCAGAACTGCCCAGGGTGAGCCACACCCCTACACCATATTATCATATTCCAGTGAATCCTATCGTGCTGATTAGGTAGTGAGCTTCTTACCTGCTAGACATGAGCACCTTGTAGAGGAAGCCAGACAGGCTTGTCTCCCTGCAGTTCTGAAATCTGCCATACGTTCCTTTCAAAGGTCTTTTGGCGGCTGCAACACCTACTTGGCTGTTAATTCCTTGCTTGTTGGTGCGTCAGCGGGTGAGCATGAAGGGTCATGGGGTCTCAATGAGCCACCTCTTGCAGCCTTACAAACCTCAAAGGAATGTGTGTCAACTGGGCTGTGTATCATGCACACAGAGGATGGGGTGATCTTGTACGAATGAAGCTCAAGAGCTGATCGTTTCGACCATAAGGGGAACAGACAGTGTCGTGAAGGCGTCTTATGAGTGCTGAGGAGCGGTGCTCGCTCTGTTGTCACAGGTGTTGGAGCTGGTGCAGCAGTGCTGGGCGCAGGACCCGGCGGCGCGGCCGCACATGGCAGAAGTTGCGGTGAATCTCGACGCCATGCTGGCAGCCGTGCGCGAACGCACGCGCGCCGAGAGAGCACACAGAGCCTGAGCCGAGCCGCGCCTGATCTGGCGCGGCCGGTGACTAATGGCGTGACTGATTGCTCGCAAATTTTGGCGCAAGAGGGATTTCCTTAGGCAATGTGGAGGGAGTGACGGAGTCTTTAAGGAAAGAGTTGGCGGCCAGCGCAATGAACTGCTGTAATGTGGAGCAGTGGGTTTCTAAATGTTGGTCATCCGTTGGGGCCTGCGCATGTGGCGGCTGCAGGTGAAGGATTGAGCTGCAAAATTATGAACGGGTTGTACCAAAAAGGGATTTAGATTCGTCCGTGTATCAAGTTAGGCATGCAAGAGAGGTGGGACGCTATGTACCTTGCTTTCCCAAACGTTCCAAGATGTATGCTGCAAAAAATTCCCTTAGAAAAGGCAAATCTTAAGCCTTGGAAGTAGCTTTGCAGTGAGACAAGTGAGCAAGCAGAAGCGCGGGCAGGAGAAGCGAACTCAAAGGACAAGAAAACAATTGAGCACTGCGGGTAATGTTCCCCTGGTCATACGGTGCAGCCCGCCCTCATGCGATTAGCGATTATTGAGATCAAAGCAGCAGTTTAACCAGAGATCTGGCTAAGAAGCACGGCTGCTCATGGCATGAAGCTCCCACTTTCAAGATGGGTGCTCAGCACAGATGTTGACGGTGTTTGGAAGCATGCAGCATTCCGAGGCGGGTAGCAGAGACAGATCTGCACATGATTGCCGGCAGCAAGTGTGGCCTTTGTAGACGAACCAGCCCTGCTCCACTGAGTTTGTACAGCAGGCAGAGTGGCATGAGCTTTGTTGCGGACAGAGAGTGAAGAGTTTGCCTTCACAGCGCTTGGCGGGCCGAAGAAAATTGTGATTTACAGCTCCTGGTGCCTTATTCTATCAGAGGCCCGCGCTGCTCAGAAGCAGGTGGTAATGCAGAGTGCGAAGCAGAGACTTCTTGCGAAACAGCGAATGCAGCAAACACTTGTGAGGGTCTGCTCTTGAAGGTCCACCGCAGGTCGAATTTTGCGTAACGATTTGAGGGTCAGACATTCTTTCTCAGGCTCTCAGGAGTCACTTGCTGTGCCATGTTGCTGTGGCTCCCTTTAGAGGGGAGGACCCCAGTGGTGTTGAGCTTTTTGTAGGCCGTAGGCTGTTCAGGTTTGTGTACAGAGCATTACTGCGGACAGTGTGTAGTTGTAGAGGGCACCTGAGGGACTTTGGTCCATAATGTATTGGCTCCATTCCATTTTATCCTTAAGCAGAGCAAAGTTCTGGTGAACCACCATGTCAAGATTTGCAAGGAATGAGAACGTTGGGCTTCCCTTGCCTTGTAATCATCATCTCTGCAATCTCTACAAATTTCGTCTTTGTCATGAATCATGACTCATGATAAAGCCAGCAGATGCTTGGGAATGGTTGGACAGACTTTTAAGTACACAGGCATAACAGTTTGGCTTTCAGGCTCATCACCATGGCCACCAAAGATCAAGCAGCAGATGGCAATTTAACGACCAGCACTAGTCCGGCTTAAGTGTGCTCAATATATAAGCGTACTTCCAGCATTGCATTACTACCAGTACTGCATCACTAGCGTACGCAATGCATAGGGTAGCACAGGCGGCAAATGCAGAGAATGTTGGCAAGAGCACTCACTGGATCCTGCTCGCCCTGCTACAGATATCAAGCTCTGTGAGTGACCATGGAAAAAATGTCTCCCTTTATATCAAGTCCACAGTGCAAGCGCACATCAAATCACTCGCAGGCTAGCTTGTTGTCAAAGGAAGACAGAGCTATGCCAAACGCCTGCACTGCCGACAGCGGCCACTGGTAGTCCAGCGTGAACATGTCCTTCCCAACCTGCGCGCACAGGCATGCAGACACCCGGTAGTAGTACTGAATCCGCTGACAGGATGCATGCCACATCTATAACACCTCGTTTGAGACTCTCATGTAGAACAGCAGCACCATCATCTTATGTTGCAGTAATGATAACGGTCGCCCTTGCTCTTTGGACCCCTGGGCAGCCTTGTGGATCACTCACAGAGCTGTGCATGCTACAGCATTGCAAAATTTCACTTCCCTGGGTGTGACACAGGGGATCAGTCCCAGGAGATCCTCGGACTCGGACTCCTGGGTTCTATATGTACTTCTACTGCGCCCAGAACTTTTCCCTTTGCTAGGGAGGTGACACAGTACTTTGTCAGTACTGTAAGGCTCGCCCTGAGAGTAAACCTACTCAATCCCTGCTGCAGCAGGTATTTGCACCAGCATGTGCAGGCGCACCTTGCCAAACTGCAGCAGGACAGTGTCGGCGTCGGCTGCGGAGGCCAGCTGGAAGTTTTTGACGGAGGCCTGCGTCACGCGCCCCTTGAAGTTGAGGCAGTACGCGTTCAGCGCCTCGTTCCACCGCGGCGCCTTGTTCTGCAGCACCACTATGCCCCCACCCGCTCTCCTCTGCCTGCATTCAGCGACACATGGGCGTGCTTGAAACAAGCTTGGAAATACCTCTGACCTCCGGGCCTTCCATGGCAGAGATTCTGCTGTGGAAGGGCTGCGCTGGGAAATGCCAAGATGTGCTGTTGCCGTGGGGCAGGAATGCCAGCATGTCTACAATCAAAGGCCCGATCAATTCTCTGCATGAGCCAATAGAGCGTACTGCCATGTCACAGACAGTGAACCAATTCTGTGAAAAACAATGTTCTTCCTACAGGCCCGAGAAATACACATGCACGTGCAGCACACTTTGCACTGTGGTTGCTTATCGTGCAAGCAATGCCACGTGCCAATAGGCAAGGAGATTCACATGCGATTGCACCTATGCAACCCAGTTTTACCAAGTTGTGTACAGAGGGCAGATGCAGGACTGACCGCTCGAGCAGGCTCCCGCCACTGTTTCTTACAACAGGCGCAGCACTGTTGCTGAGGGAGAGGCGGCTGTTTTCGGTAGCGACCGCAGGAATGACGGCTGTCATACGCCGGGGGCCTTTGGTGCCGAGGATGTTTGTTTCGTAGCGGATGCCCGCAACCTCGGACTGGTCATTTTCCCCTGCATGCACATGCTTAGCTGTCAGCTTTACAGAGGCTGGGGGACTGCGCTGTAATTTCATCGGTCACCCAAATATTACATTTCTAACATACATATGCCCCGCGGAAGGCTCACAGGCACTGCACGCAAATGCAGCATACCAGACATTTGAGCTTTTAGGATGCTGGGCGAGGAAAATTGCTTGGGCCTATAGACACGGGCAAGTGGCAGATATGCATTTCTCCAGCTGACAGCACCTCAACAAGCCAATAGAATACTGGGCCCTTGTTGAAAAATTTGGAACCGATTTGCTCAGGTGAATGAGTTGGCAATGCACCTTTGGCGCCTGCTCCGTTTGGCGCGCGGGGGCAGGAGTCAAATACCGAGAACTCCGTGCCCACAAAGTTGGAGCGGACCTTGCCGCACATGCTGCTGCTGCCCCGCAGCAAATCCTGCACCAATGCAACATTCAGTCAACCAACCACCAGGGAACTCCTTGACGCGATACGTCGCCCCTTTGAAGCATGCTAATTTCACGCTGAAATCAACACGCGTGCTCGTGAAGCCGAGACTAGCCTGCCCAGTTATTGACAGAGGTGTTCAGCATAGGAATGCGCAAGGAAAGCGGTCCTAGGCACAGGGAATGCAGTGAATATATTCCTATGGTCATTGGGGTACTGGTGAACTCTGAATGAGGCACGCTATCACACCATGCATAGCAGGGATGCATGTAAGGCAGACCTGGCTCGGTTTCAATGCAGCAAAGCAGGGTCACGCTTTGAGTAATGAGTGCACTGAGTAACGTTCCGATGCAAGATATCATTTCAAAAGTACGCGCACCTTTTCATCGAGCGAGAGCACAAACAAGTGCCAGCACAAGTTGTTCGCACCAGGGTGCACCGACAATATCAACCATGCAGCAAAAAACAAAAAAAAGGTAAAAAGTTTGAAGAGAGTGAGAGAGAGTCGAACATGCGCACCTTCTCGTCAAGGGAGAGCACGTACATGGATGCTTTGGACTTCTTGCGCTTGCGCGCGGCCGCCAGAAACTTGTGGCCCACGTCCAGGAAGAGGCTGTAGCGCGGGTAGAGCCGCGATCTGCCGCCGCCGCGGTGACGCACAATGAAGCAGTGCATCGCGCCCGTCGCCGGCCCCGGCTGCATCAGGAAGGCCCTGCAGACGCGCAATGACTTTTTAGGGATCTCTGATGACACAAGCAGGGTCCTACACTAGTGGCATCAGCTGCCTGAACACGGTGGGTACGAAGATAACGGAGACTGGGGGGAACTGAGGTTCCAAGTCCATGCAATTCGTCAGTTGTGACTCGTATGCGCAAACTCTTGTGAGGCATGGAGCAATGCCCCAACGGGCTGCTCAAGGATTCTAAGTGTTGATTTGACATTGCTCTGCACATGAGCTGTGGCCTGCCACATGCATAGAATAATGATGCCACTAAAATAAGAATTGTTTTCCACTGATGATTATATATATGGCCTCATGAGAGGCCATAGAGCCCTCCTGAGAGGGGCAACGCACCGCATGTCGGACATGTCGGCGTTGAAGGGGGATGTGGCGATGCGCAGCGCCTGATCAGGCTTGGGCTGACGCGACTTCTTCTCGGCTTCCAACGTCGGGTCATAGACGAGCGCCAGTCCTCGCGCAAGCAGGCTTGCCTCTGACGGCTTGCTTGCCTGCGGCTGCAGCCTCTGCGCAGCACAGCACATGACTCAGACCCCTTCGGAAATCCTTACATGAGTGTGGGATGGGTGACTTCAAATTGCACTACATGGAAGTGCAGCGTGTGCTGTGCAGAGCATTGGGGCCTGCTTGTCTTGCTATCTTGCACTTGGTTGACCCGCGCATGATCTGCCAGCATTGTTTCTTTCATATGTCATAAGCTAACTTGGAATATCTGGCTGCAGCACATGGAAAGCTGATGGTACTGTGACTCTGTTTCAGCGCTTTTTTGTGGAAAGCAACAGCTCTCAAAAGCTTTACGTAATTGCTTTGCTTGGGTGTTGAAAGCACGCCAGCGTGAGCTAAGAAGGGTGTGAATCAAAGGGTGGACCCACCGGAGTGCTCGGCGTAGAAACTGCGGGGCTGCTGGCCAGGCTGCTCGTCGCCGTGCCGCCGCTGCGCACGGCCGCTAATCCGACAGAGGGCCGCGCGCGCGGCGTTGCCTCCCGCGAGTCAGCCGCCGGCTGCACCGGCAGCTGGCCGGCCAGCGCGGCCGCTGCCGCGCTCTGCAGTGCGCGCAAAAATAACGAGTGACCCCGGCTGGCGGGGGGCAATATAAATACTGAGCACCGTGCCCACGATTGATTGGGTCTTGCTTGGATCGGGCGAGTCCAACAAGGGGTAGGATTATGGCGGCCTTCAACTGCAGCTTGTTTGCAGGATGCACCTTGCCTCTTGGCAGGAAAAGCGTGTAATAATAAGAAAAAAATCACCAGCATTTGGACATGAAGGCGATCATTGGCGACCATGAGCAACATGTTGCTACATATGCAGTAGCAGGCTGCTTGCACTGCTGAGCAATCAAGCCTAGGATGCATGCGCCTGCACAGGTTATTGTTAACAGGCATGCTGGCTTGCCATCTTCCCACCGTGCAAGCCCTGCACGGTATGGACAGAATGTGCCAATGGCATGCATGCAGTGTAAGTGACAGAGAATGATACAAACCTGCAGCCGTTGCAGTCGCTTCTTCTGGTTGAGCACAATCTGCTGCTGCACTCGCTCGCGCGGCGTGACAGGCCTCGAGCTGTCGGGCGTCGACGCGCCGGAGCTGTACGCAGAAATGTCCCCGTAATCTGACTGCGATCCGTGAAAGGAAGACCCCCGGGAAGGGCGGCGCAGCAGCGGCAGCGGGGGGAGCTGAGCGGACAGCTGAGCGGACAGCTGACTGGACAGCTGACGGGGTGACAGCTCGCCGGACAGCTGGCTCGACGGCCGCCGCGGCAAATGCGCCCCAGCCGCCGACCCCGGCCGCGGCGGCAGATGCGGGGAAGCCGGGCGGTGCGCCGCTGATGTGGATGCATAGTCCCTATTGCCGTCCTGCCACGTCCTGAAGGCACACACTCATAGTTGCACGACACGACCGGGCCCGTAAACTTTCGGACGTTATAATTCAAAATCTAGGGTGCCTTATTGAAAGGGTTGTGACGGTTTGTGACTGCACTGGTCGCAAAACGGCTGAATCCGGCTCGATATTTTGATTGGACGACCGGAAGGCCTCCGACACGTGACTCCGACACGCCGTGTCGGCACTTTTTGGTGCCGTGTCGTGCAACTATGCACACATTATAATTAGTCATTGCTCAAGTCCTGCTGTGGGTGGGAACCCCAGACTCCGCTATTCTTCTAGTGCATCCTGCCATTGTAGCCACATAGGAATTGCTGCGGAAGGCCCCCAAAAGGATTAAAAGTTCACCAACAGAGTTGGCAGTTCCAGGCAGGCTGATGTTTGCCAGAGTGAAGAAAAGGAGCATGTTGCCAATAGTGGCATGCCCCACTATCTTCCTGACTCTTCCTTGGTCCCATTCCAGCACGCTGCACATGATGCTAGGCAGCAAGAAGTGCCAGAAGCAGGACTCTCTCAACACAGGACGAGAGAGCCTTACATAACTATAGAGTCCCAGTACGGGCTGTCACAAGGGTAATGCCGGTAATAAGAAAGGGTGGGAAACTCGTACAGCTCAGCCAGGGAGCGGGGAGTGCCGAGGCGGGAGGGCGGCCGCGGCAGCTGCTGCTGTATTTGCGGCGCGGCTCCCCGGGCGCTCAGGGGTACATAAAGCGAAGAGGCTGAGGCGAACGCCGACTTCGGCTCGAGGCGGCGCGGCGGCTCGGCGCGCATGATGTCATCACTCGCGTCATCGTCGCTGATGTCATCGTAGGCTGTGTTGGTGTAGAGGTTGTTGTTGTATGCAGTGGGCGCAGCGTCTGCACAGTGAGATTCTGTGTCAGGTCACTGTTTAAGCTGCTCTGAGCAAGCTCCAGCTGTACTTTTGTCAAAAGGCCCTCTTCTCTGATTGTTTGATACGTCACTCTTCTCATGGGCGACTACTTCTGTCTCGTCTGTATACATTTACGTGCTGTTCCTGGGCAGCATTGTCTTTGCAAGTCGTTGCTTTGTCGCCTTAAAGTATCTTCAAGATAGCAGAGCTGACAAGAAGGACAGCCTAGACGTCTACTCCCTCGATTTTCCAGTGCATCAGCAACACACCTTCTTGGCGAGGCATGGATTCCGTTGTCTCTTAGGATTGGTGTTCAAATATGCAGCTATCTGCTAGATGGGGACCTGCAGCGACACACCTATGGATCTGTATTTCTGCTGAGGAGGTCGCAATGACTGCTGGTAAACTTATCTATACCACACAAAAAACATTGTCATGCGAATTTAGCTCCCACCGCCACGTATCTCCGGGATGTGTCAAGCGGCATCCCGTTGGCACATGTGCCTTTTCGCGGGCTTAAGGGCTGCGCTGATCTCGAAGCCCTGAGAGCACCCTCTTGTTGATTTACGTCCTTGTCAACAATCAGTGTGCTTTTTGCAGGGCGTCAGACTAAAATTTCTAATATGAGGTGCTTCTTGTGACTCGCAGGTACGGGACGCCTTCTTTAGCTATTGAGCAAATTCATTGCAGAATAACACAACTTTGGGGAGCTTAATTCAATATAAGAGTGCGCATAGGTCGATCTCGGTGTGCTTCGGAGATCTTCAGCGCAATCTCGAAATAGCAGGAATGTCCTTCTTGGAACCCTCGGAAAACCCTCTTCCTTAGCTGCCGTGAAAAGGACATGCAAAAGCAACCTCCCTATTGAGGTCCCCTTAAAATAGTTTGAGGAAAGCAAGATCTGTGCCTTGCATTGATACGTTCTCTCTTTTTAGGCGATACATATGAGAACGCTGGACCTAATTAGTTGTCATTGCTGAGAAGGGGTAGTGCAGGCTGCAACCTTCGCAGCATAGTCAATAAAGTAAGTTGCGGTAATGCCTGCTTCAGAAGCTGAGAACGATGAGCGACGAGCTTCTGAAAGTGCTGCTAGCGCCGGGCCATCTTCCTCTACAGAGGCATCGGCTGCAACTGCCTCAGCAGAGAAGCCAACAGTGGTGCTCGTCATAGGTGTGAATCCCCACTATGGTCCTAATTATTCGCAAGTAGGTACCGATCATCCCCAAAGAAGCTGCTTCTTGTGCGATTCTATGTGTTAAATGAAGGGACGCTGGACAAAGAAAAAGCCTGGCAGCACTGATCGGGTGTCTGCAATTGTTATATCTGCTGATGCAAGTCATCATGCGTGCAGGCATGGCCGGTTCTGGCAAGACCACGTTGCTGCAGCGAATATCAGCCCATCTGAGCGCCAGTGGGAAGCCTGGCTACATCATGAACCTGGATCCCGCCGTCTCTGAAGTGCCCTATGGCGCCAACATCGACATCAGAGACACAGTGTGTGCGCTGCTTTGAACGACTCCACACGTTCTAGTCCTGACCATTCTATTACCGCAGTGAGAAAACTCCTGCATGCACAGACAGAGATGTGATGTGAGATGTAGATGCATGATGCACTGTCCTGTCCTGACAGTGGAAAGTATTTCCTGTGCACAGGCCAAACAAGGATAGGTGTAATTGCTACCTCTCTTCTCTTTTCACCGATTGCAAGTCCTGACAAGCAGTAATTGCTAGCACATGCGGCGCGCAGGTGAACTACAAGAATGTGATGAAGCAGTACAACCTGGGACCCAATGGGGGCATCCTCACCTCACTGAACCTCTTTGCCACGCGCTTCGACCAGGTATTCCTCTCACATACAGACTCCATGCATGTCTTCTTTAGTGGCGAGATTGGCTCTCTCTGCTTGCCTGGGACCTGGCGCCTCATCTGACATGCATAAGCCTTGTTTCATACACCTAGCCACCCGGCTGGAAACACAATCCCTTATATATTCCGTCATCTCCTGCATAGACATGTATACATGCCTGTACTGAGGTGCCCAGGAATTGCAGATGCTTGCTCACCTTCCAATTCTTCGTTATTGCCAGAACGGAGCCTCAGTTTCACCTCTGCAGTTTTAGCTTCTGAGCACTGTGCACAATTGTGCACCTCATTCAGCACCATGCCCACAGTTAATTGGGTCTTGGTGGAATCTGGCGCGTCCACCAAGGGGTAGGCTTGTGGCAGCCCTTATCTGCAGTTTGCCTGCAGACGCACCTTGCCTCTCGGCAGGAAAAACGCGTGATACTAGCAATGATAATTTTGGTCTTCATGCTGTGCACGCTGTGCTGCGCAGGTGATCACGTTATGCGAGAAGAAGCGCACGCCGCAGCCAGAATATATCGTCGCCGATACCCCCGGCCAGATCGAGATATTCACCTGGTCGGCCTCCGGAGCAATTATCACAGAGGCATTCGCGTCATCCTTCCCGACTGTCATCGCGTTTGTCATCGACACTCCGCGCTGCGCTGCGCCGCAGACCTTCATGACCAACATGCTGCAGGTGGGAAGTCACCCTTTCTCTTCTTTTGTGCCTTTTTGGCGCCCCTTTTGGCGCCCCTTTCGCTGCCCATTTGGACAAGGAATGTTTGCGCCGTTTTGTTGGACACCCCAGTGCTGGGGAGGTGCTTGCCAAACGTGGGCCGCCCTGCCCAAATTGACATCAAGAGCAGACCTTCATGAGCAACATACTGCAGGTGTGTGGCCTGTCATTTTGTTTCAGGGTTGTCAGCTAGCCAAACGGCGCACACTTTGGCTATTAGGGTCTCTTGGCTGCTATTTTTTGCTCTCACAACAGTTCGTTCTGGGTACTTGTCCTCTGAGGGCGCGAAATTCTAGGTCCTGATGCCCACTTGACTTGGTTGGGCTCTGGATTCCGAGACCTTGGTATGGGAAACCTGTGTTGTGCCATTGTGGTTGATGTGAGGATGGAGCGTGGTACATCCTTGCATTGCTGCCTGTCCTGTGGCAAGCTAGCCAAAGAAGAAAAGGCTAGGGCATGGAAGCAGGCCTCTTGCTGCATTCTCACACCTGGCAGTCTCAGGAATGGCCTCTGCAAAGCAATCGCAGTGGGCCAGCAGTCTTCTATATGCTTTGCGTGTCCGAGATATTTGGTCTGCAGCACACGAGCTGACTAATCGCCACAGAGTCAGAAAGCGCATCATGCTGACGCTGGCTTGTGCGGGCACATGTAGCCATGCATACCGCATACAACACACGAAATACCTTGCTTTGCCAGTATTTCATCTGGGAATCTCACTCAGGGGTGAGCTTGACCTCTTGTCACAGACATTTGTTCTCCAGTTTTCATCCAGCAGTCTTGCATGTGACGGCACATGTGCTTGCAGGCGTGCAGCATCCTGTACAAAACCAAGCTGCCGCTGCTGCTCGTCTTCAACAAGGTCGACGTGGCCAGCCACGAGTTTGCTGTCGAGTGGATGCGCGACTACGACGCCTTCAGCGAAGCACTCCAAAAAGACACCACTTATGCTGCCACGCTGTCACGCTCCCTCTCACTGGTGCGCACAGCACTCTCTCATCATCCACAGACAGTTTATGTATTTGTTTACTTACTGAACTTTAGTACTGTTATTACGCGCTGTTCCTGCCAGAGGCAAGGTGCGCCTGCAGACAAGCTGCAGGTAAAGGCTGCCACATATCTTTGATGGGTGCGCCAGGTCCACGCAGGTCCAGAAGGTCCAAGACTCAATCAACCGTGGGCACAGTGCTCAGTAGTAAAACAGCCCCGGCCAGCTGGCTCATTGTGTCTTGCTGAAGGGACAATAAATACTAAAGGAAGGGACCTTATAGGAAAGGCTGCTTTGTACATCATGAACACAGGGAGTTGCATATTCGTTGAGTGCGCAGCTCAATGGCAGTCTAGGACATACTTGTACCTGCTAATATACTTGCCCCTTTCCTCTGATTGTCTATTTGGAAGATTATACCGGGTGACTGTCCCTACTCAACTGTCATGACTCACACACCGCTTCTTGAGGCACTTGCCAAATCCGATCGCTTGAACTTTTCGAATGGAAATTTGCAATTGAAACTCAAATTTAAATTTTAACAAGTGTGTTTGCGCCAGGTGTTGGAGGAGTTCTATGAGAATCTGGAGAGCGTGGGAGTGTCTGCGGCGACCGGAGAGGGCATGGATCAGTTTTTCGAAAAGGTGCAGGCGTGCAGGAAGGAGTACGAGCAGCAGTACCTGCCAGAGCTGCAGCGGCGACAGCGGGTGGGAAACCTTATACTGTTTTATGTGTTTGGTTTCAATCTCAAAGATCATGCGCAAGTCGTGGTGGGGGGAGCTTCACCATGGCAGTGTTAGACCTTCGAAGTTGGTGCCAAACAAGGCCAGAAGTGCAAGGTAACATCAACAAGGAGAGAAAGACTTTATTTCACCGTTTGGAGTCCGGATTTAACTTTGGTTTCTATTTTCCTGAACACGGTTACATGGGCCTAGCTTCATCGTGACATGTGCGGGGCAGCTCAACTTGAAATCAAGAAGCGCAGAATTGATCCAAGCAAAGGAAGTTAATAAGGGCAGGCATTGTGCTAGCTGATTTGCCAGAAGGATATAGCACTTCTGCAGGTTGTGCAGTTGGGCACAGTGCTATCACTGATCTCTCTTGTTGAAGACTGTGCATGTGCATGCGCGCAGGAGAAGCATGAGACGGAGGTGAGGCGACAGGCGGCAGAGTTGGAGAAGCTCAAGCTGGACACGCAGCCTCAGCAGCAGCAGGGCTCCGCGGCAGAGCCTTGAGAGTGATCTTGTGCTGGGCTGTAACATGTCAGAGCTCATATAGTGCAAGCAAACATGCGCTGAGTTTAGCACAGATTGTCTGTGGTGGCTATGCAGAGATGCAAATGGAACTGTCTCCCAAGGTTGAAATACTTGGATCAGCAGTATCACCATCTTGAGGCTGTGGAGAATTCAAAGTGCAGATGAGCGAGTTGCTACAATTCTTGACTGGATGTCCCTTATCTTCCGTTTTGAAGCAAGGAGCTATAAAAGCTTGTGCATGCATTTCACCAAACACTGTTGGTTGCTGAAACAAAATCCGCATCGGGATTTTCTTCACAAATACGAATACACGACCACAGCACACAGGCAACACTGTAAGTGCGCTGTACTTCGTCTGAGTCTCAAGACCAAGCCATCAAAATATGTGTTTTATCTGGTAACACTGCGCAATCACCACAGGCACAGATGATTCATGACATGGGAGGACAAAACTCGGCGACGACCCATCTGTACTCTGCATGGAATCTTCACAAAAACAACACGCAGTCCCCAGTAGTTCTATTGACCTTCAATCAGAACTTGAAGTACATCGTGTAATTGCATCAGAGGCACCTCCACCAGCAGCCATAAACTTGGCCAATTGCAATAGAATAGATTGGCCCCGGCTGGCGGGGGGCGGTACAAATACTGAGCACCGTGCCCACGGTTGATGGGTCTTGCTTGGATCTGGCGAGTCCGACAAGGGGTAGGAATTTGGCAGCCTTTACATGCAGCTTGTCTGCAGACGCACCTTGCCTTCGGCAGGAAAAGCGTGTAATAATAATACTAATCAATAATTGCAATAGAATGTCTCAGACACAAGTGCGCGAGTGGGAATGTCATGCTATGTCGCCGCTGCATGCATGCACATGCGTCACAATTTGACGCTGCGCTGTTTTGGGATCACATCAAAGCTGTGCTCCCCCGCAGCAATGTGGCTACGGTCCCCTACGGGCTTGTGGTTGCTGGGGTCCCCCCCGCGGCGGCTGGGGTTCCCCCGCATGCTGAAGCTCAGGTCCCCCCGGCGGCTGAGGTCGTACCGGCGCCGAGGGTTGAAGATGAACGAGGGGTACATAACCTGCGCAGCGGGCATTGCCTTATTGCATTTGCAACTTTATCATCAGCACTACTTTTGCAAAAAGCACCTGCACCTCTTTCTTTTACCTTATCTACTATCGTTTATCTGTGCACTGCTCAAAAGCGGCGCACTCATTGACCACTTCTGTACTCTGGGGAGCCAGCCATGCGTTGGCTTCTGAAAACGTGGCAAGTCACACAATTTCAAAGTCCATTCTTTTGCAACTGGACATCACATGCATGCTGACATTGATTTAGAACGCTGCAGACGTCATGTGATGGTTGTATCAGCCGTGTGTACAAGTGTGACAAATCTGCACTCACCGTGACATCCTTGAGGACAGGGAGGGTCATGTAGCCGATGACATCAGGGGAATGACACACAAGCGTGCGCCACTCCTCCAGGCTGATTATGCCATCCCCCGCCAGGTCAGCCTCCTCAAATGTCTGCACAGCAGCACACACAAATTTCAGTGTCACCCCCTTTTACCAATTTCATGTCAGGCAACACTGCAGCACACCCAGGAAGTGGGCACCTTCAGATTCCAGTTAAACATTGCATTGTTTGGACATTTTGCTTAGACAGAGTTGGAGGACTTTGCTTCGACAGTGTTCGAACATGACTTGCTCTTGTGTTGGGGTGTGAGGAACATTGAGCAGCGAGGATGTATTCCTCGCTGCTCAATGTTGTTTGGGGCCACAGAAGGACCTTTGCTGAGCCCAACATCATGGGGCACTCAAGGCATTGAAGTAACAGACATCACCAAACACCATTGCATATCATAGACCCACGTAAGTCTGTCGAATAACCCCTGAAATTAGTAATCGAAACTGCAAGCTCACCTGCTCCACAATGGCGTCGACCTCGTCATCGGACAGGTCTATGGCGGGATTGTCATGCAGCAGCTGAGTCAGCAGCCGCTTCACCTCGTCCTTCTCGATGACCCCCGTGTCCTTCAGGTCATAGATCCTGAACGCGACTGCACCCACAAATTTCATGAGTCAATTTACAGAACAGAGGGAAATATTCTTACAGCATAGTGCCATGTCACCTGGACAGGGTGACTTAGCACACTATGATATGAATTTCTTCTTGTGGGACGGAGAGCCGCTTCTGGGACTTGCCAGGGCAAGCACAGCATCATTAAGGAAAGGTAAAGCCATGCATGGGCCACACAGACTCCCGGCAGACCTTCCAATCAGTTGCACAGGAAGCATGCAGCCTGTCCTACTTCAGATTCTATTGCTCATGCGAGTTAGGGGAGGTACAGAGTGCAAGAATTTATGACTGCACAGGCACAGGATCTGAGCTGTGAAGACTGCATCCCTTGGGCTGTCATGTCAAAGTTGCACGCTGTTCAGACCAAGCAAAGCCGGCAGCTGCTGCCTCAGAAGGTGCGGGGACAAGAGGTGCCATAAGTCCTTAGCTGTCATGCGTCAACTTGAAAATGAGCACAGGTGGGGGCGGATGCTTACAGTCAGCTTTCTCGTTGAGGGGGGCGCGCGGGTGGAAGACAGACAGAGCGCGGACGAATTCCTCAAAGTCGATGACATCGTTGCGTTTGGAGTCAAACGTCTTGAAGACTTGGTCCACAAAAAGGCTCTCCTTGCCTTGCAGCTTGAAGAGGCCCAGCGCAAACTCGTCCTTGTGGATCAGCCCGTCCTGCAAGCAGCACAGGGGTAGAACTTCACGGAATAAAGAGCCATTCGTGCTAAAGAATTGCGCCTGTTTGGTGATCTATATCAGGGAAAGGCAAAGGACGACCTTAAGAGGTGTCTAGAGAGTTTACAGTACGCAATGAGGCAACAGCAGGACCATGATTTTGCTTGAGCTTGATTACAGCTGTGGCAGTTCGCACCTTATGAAGTTTGTTGCTCAGCCCCTTGAATAGCTCTTCCAGCGCATACACCTCATCAATGCTGACTGCATGCAAAATCACTTATATCTTCAAGGATCCACGAAATGCCACATGCACATATCTGCATACAGCATTGGATGTGAAAGGGCATGCGATCTTGTAAATTAAGCAGTGAGGAGAAAGCATGCAAACGCAGCAGTCTAGCTAGGGCAAAGCCATGGGCAGGCACGCACAGTGTGTCTCCTTGGCCATTTGCTCATGGCTGGCGAATTGGCCGCCAAGGATTGGCGCGGAGGCACAGCAGCCCATTTGGGAGTCACATCATGCTCCTGTTGTCCAGCCCAGGTGGAGCAGTTCAAGATGTGCCTCTATGTTCTGGGATCCTGCTGCCAATCAAGAATGTTCACGCCCCCCTTAAGCACCCTGCACAACAGGGGCATTTCCGTCATACTCGCCTTCTGTAGCAATGCTTGGGTAGCTTTAAGAGGATGGCTACCATTACGGTACGCTTTCAGGTTGTAGTTGCTAGTTGCAGTGCTTCGCTGAAAATGTGAAGCTGCCGCATGTTTAGAAGGCGAAATTTGTGCTCAGTTCTCACCCTGAGCAAGTGTCACGTCACAAGGTAAAGAAATTTGCCTTGTGGCTTGCTCCAGAAGCAGAACCACTGGCTGGCGTTTCAACGCCTTTGCTAGATTGATTTATAAGATGCACTTTATGTTTTAAGAATAAATTCAACAACTGGATCCTTTGGAATAGCGAGTGCAAAGAAAACCCCGGCGTGTAATCCGTCTCCACAGAAGTGACTGGCTCTGTTTCAAGGCTTTAACAAATAGGAGCTCTGTACTGCGTGTGCAATATCTTACAACGTTTCCATCAGCATGGTGTAGCTACCTTCAATACGCACATCGAATAAATCCATGCTCTGCATGATACGTAGCTCCAGGTTTCTCAGCTTCCAGCTTCCGAGAAGCTGCGTGCTGGTGCTGGCCCACAGACACCGAGGCAGAATGCTTCTGCAGAGAGGTTTGTTTCAAAAAGAAGCTGTGTACTTGTTGCATGTCAGCCATGCTGCATAACAGTGGCATGATCGGGTACCTGTCCGCCTGTTCTTATACACCTTGACCCTGCAGACTTCCGAGTCTAGCCGCTGGCAGCTGGTCTGCAGAGCCTCAGGCTAGCCTATAGCGCGGTAGCTGTAGCGCTAGCCTTCTAGCCTACTGAGTAGAGTCACACATGCATTATAAGAGAGCCGTAATCCTGAGTGATCACTGCATTTCGAATTGCACATGGCATTCAGATTTGCATGCGCAGCGCCCTCTCTTAGTGATGCTGATTTGTCCACGAATTACTATTCATTATTATTATTATTACACGTTTGTCCTGCCAAGAGGCAAGGTGCGTCCTGCAGACAAGCTGCAGTTAAAGGCTGCCACAATCCCACCCCTTGTTGGACTTGTCTGTGAATATACCATTATATTTATGCTGCAACTTCAGCACTTTGCCCCTTCACCGCACAGTGTGACTAATGTGTTGCAAGGCCTTGGAAGCCTGCCCATGTACGAGCAAATCAGTGTTCATTGCACCTAAAGGTGCAAACTTCTCTGCCAACATCCTCAAGATTCCTTTTTAAGCGCCACGCAGCGCTGCTCCAAAAGTACTCATGTAGGCGGCATCGTCTGTGGGGGCTCTGAAGGCAACGCCGCCAGTTGACCAGGCTGCGGCGGCAGGCCATGCGCGGCATGTGCCATAATGTGCCCCAGCTGCAGCGCATCCTCCTCTGAGGGATGACTCATCCCTGGCTGCTGCCCAGCTGCCCGCAGCTGGGCAGCCACCTGCCCACAGCATAGCACTGTCAGAGGACAGGTATTCACGAGAGTAAAATTGTATCTATCCAGCAGCGCAAGGAGCAATAATTGTCAAAATGCGCTGCTTTCTGAACAAGTGTCATCTGTTGTTAACACATGGCAGCACTGCAACAGCACGTGAAGTTCCACTCTGATCAAATTGCTCTGATAGCCATAACACATCTCTGTTTCCTGATTGGATAAACCAGCGCATGCTGCAGATCCTGGTTCATTGTCCCTGGAGTACTGATGCAGCTGCAGGGCATCCAAGAGCTATCTAGCCTGAGAGGGAGCACGGCCTGTTTTGTGTAGGTGATACTTAACTGGCATTTGCAATTTATTCTTGAAGTAAGAAGGCAGGGAAGGGTCGCACCAGGGCTTGCAGCTCAGCGCTGAGGGCGTGCCCGTCAGGAGACAAGGCAGCTGAGTCAGCGGCCATGTCAGCGGTACCGTTGCTGAGGTCGGTGGCCCCGCCAGCTGTCGCCCCCAGATAGGTCGCGTAGTCCGACATGGGGAAATTTGTCTTCGCTTTGTCCGGCCCGTACAGCCTGTGTTGCACCATTTCAACCTTACTGATATTGTTGAAACAATCTCCCAGACCAATGCAATTGATGTGCACCCCCCAAGCAAGACAGCCAGCAACCAGGCCCACCTCCGCTTTTCATAAGCAGCGTTCAAAGATGCACCAAAGGTTAAGAAGCCCTCACAGAAGTCTTACTGCCCCCTAATGTGGCCACCAGGGTTTGGAAATAAAACCCAATACACAAAACCACATCCCACAGCAAGAGGGGCTTCTCATGACAGAGTCACAAGCTCACAGATGCTACAGATGCAATTCATCCACTTGATGCCCTGTGATCCCCGCGATATCAAGAAGCCATGATCATCCAAGCTAAATAGAAATGCAGAGGAACCGAAAGGCAGCTCACTTGATGGCTGCGAGGTCGTAGGCGCGGGCGGCCTCGGCCTCGGTGGCAAAGCTGCCCAGCTCGTGGCGGCGTCCGGCCACGTATATCTGCGCGCGCCATCGGCTCCAGTTGGCGCTCACCCCCCGGTGCGCGCTGCGCTTGTAGCTATGCCCCGCCATCGCGCTCGCGATGGCCGCCTGCGCCAGCTGACCTGCAAACGCACGCCCAAAATCCTCCAGAATGTGCATAATTGACATGCCCTCAGATCGCAATCGGCGTCACCACCTAACGCACACCTGAGGAGTCCAGCCGGCCGGGTGCTCCAGCTTCCCTCCGCATCAGTGCTTGCTTTGTTTGGCAACCCTCCTTTACTTCAACTATACAAGGCGAAAATAAAGAAGGAAAAAGGAAAAAAAGTACCTTCGCGTGTGGAGGAGTCGACCCCGGCCGGGTGGGATGCGAGCGCGGACGCTACGGCCTGGCTGATTGCGCCGCCGCCTCCGCGGCCGCGGCCGGAGTCGGCGCGCTCGCGGCGGCCGGCCGTGACGGCGTCCAGAACCGTCTGCGCCTCCCGGGGGATCTCCGCCAATAGCTCCAGCGGATTGAAATTGGTGCGCGCCCTGCAAAATACAGGTGCATATTCCAGATTGTTCCAGTCGACTTTAAATGGGTTTCCCTTTTTCCCCCCCTTAGTCTTTCAAAACTTGGGTGCTTGCGTTCGGTTGCCCTACTCTCAAGAAGATCAGCAGAGTTCCATTGTCCAGAGTGGCATGCAAATCTGCGATTCTTGTCACTTGCGCTCCTGATTCAACTGGGCGATTCCGTTGCCTGGCGCTTTCTCCTTCTTGTTGCTGTTGGGAAGCATGCAAAATGTATTTGGTTCTGCCCAGATGCCCGGGTGAGTCTCAGTGTGATGGCTGCGCTTGCCTTATGAGATCCAGTGAGTCACATGCGAGGGACGAACACAAGGCAACATGCAGGACCCTCATATGAAGACACAGGGCATGAGAAACACCTGGCGCCCCAGGCAAGCACTGAGTGGCGGTCGTAGCAGCGCGCAGCTTCTTCCTCCACCGCGAAGCTTCCCAGCTCCTTCCGCCGCCCGCACACCTTTATCAGCGCCTTCCACCGGTTGAACTTCTTGGACAGGCCGACAAAGCGCGAAGCCTTGCCGGGCCGGCTGCTCTGGGCCGCCGCTTGCCTGCACCAGCAAGGTCAGGTGGTCTCACTTCAAAGACCCTTGCTCAGTGCCACATAGAGGAGTCCTAAATCTTGTCAATATACTGTTATATTGAGTTTGTATTTGAGATTGTAGTGTGGGAAATATTGTTGTATCGACTATCTTACTTTGCCACATGCTCCAGATGTCAGCTTGCTTCAAGGTATGTCCAGTCAGTCAAGGCTTGCACGAGCCTCACAGGTCAGAGTGTGTTCATTACACAAAGAAATGCAAGACATTGCCAGGCATTTGTGATACACTCTTCGTTTGTTTAAGCACATCACAAAGAAAATGAACACATGAAACACGATCGAGAGCTCACCCGGAGGGGTCGACGGGAAGTTGGGCACTCGGCCCTGGCTCCTGCCCAGAGGAAGGCTGTCTGCCCATCTCCAAAGCCTCCAGGTACTGACCGCCGCTGTATCCCAGCGACTCTGCACCTAACACAGTCAAATGGGGCAAATCCTCTGGTCACAGGATGTTTGCGAATGTTTTCATATTTCAGTCATCTAGGAGCATGCTGCACAGGCTTCTGTCAGAGGGGCATATGATCATGACATGCACACAATTCAGCATTTTGAGACACAATGTACAATATTCCCAATGATACAGCACATGGTAATGTGCTGTGTGGTTGCAGCTTTGGTGATGTGTGGTTGCAGCCTTGAAGGAAGAGTTTGGGCGAGCAGAAGGAGGCTTGCCTTGGCCAAAATTGGCGCTTGAGGGGCCTGCTGCCATGTCAGCAGATGCCACATCAGCTGCAGCAGCTGTGCTGGAAGCTTCCCGTTCGTCGTCTTCGGAGTCGGAGGGGACGCCCTCGTCCTGCTGCCCCAGGTCTGTCGCCTGAACAGGAGCTTGTTGCGCTCCAAAATCCCCGGGCTGCAGGATAACAGGCAATATCGCTCTCAGACTAATATTCTCAATGTACCCATTCAGTCAATCCGTTCCTTGAACCTCAAACATTGCGAATTTTAGCTCAATAAAGCTAGCTGATTTGCAGAAGATGATTGAACCGCCTCTTGTAATGGACAATTTGACTGGGGAGAGTCTCAAGCCGGCTCTCTTGCAAGCACAAGACTGAGCTTCTGCTAGCCATTCTTGCTGCATCTTCCCTCTGCAGAACTAGGAGCATATTCATGATGAACGGCCCGTCAAGCTGATTCATCTGTGGGAATGCATGTGCGTATACCCGAATCTGACTTTTGTCGCTGAGGGGAGAGCTGGTAGGCCAAGCGCGGTTTTAGGGATTTTCCAGTTCAAGTTTAGATCAATCTGAACCCCTGGAACCCTCAATAAAAACCCCTCACCAGGATGACATTGCTGAGGGGAAACCTGGTTGGCCTGGTGGGTCTGCAGGTCTCCAGTAACTTCCCAAGAAGAATCTAAATATAGAAGTCAGAACCCTTAACACAGGCCCTGACCTGAATGATTTCCCTGGGAGAGAACTTGATGTGAGCGGTGAGGCCCAGGCACCAGAAAATTGTCAGGTGGGGTTTAAGGGTATTACCAAGTCAAATTTCGAGTTAGCTAAACCCTAAAGGACCCCCCACCTGAATGAGGTCGCTGAGGGGGAAATTGGTGTGAGCAGTCAAGCCCAGGCACCAGACAGCAGCCCGGTCATACGCGCGCGCAGCTTCCTCCTCAGTCTCAAAGCGGCCCATGTCCACCAGCACCTGCACTGGGCGAAGAATTGTGAAAGCGGTGTCATGAAGACTATATGCTGCCTTCTTTTGTGAAAGAGGTTGCATAAACACCATAGGCTGCCTTCTACTGTGAAAGAGGTTGCATAAACACTATAGGCTGCCTTCTTTTGCCTAATACAGCTTTGAGTTTCGAGCATTTTTGTTTCAAAAAGAGCCATAGGCCCACGGCGCCAGCACCTGCAGAAGTGGAGCTGCTGAAGAAGGTGGCGAAGTTTATTCGCTAAAGAGAGAGAGCACAGTTTTGCAGAGAACAAACACACAACTCACGTAAGGGTATGGAGAGCGACATAAGATATTCTTACAATAATTTTGATTATTATAGATTTTCGCCCCTTCAGTGACCCTAAAACCTGAAGCCACCATTGCATTCCCCGTGAAATCTATAAAGGCCCCTAACTCCAAAACCAAAAACCGTATTCCGTATAGTATACCATGAGCTAAATCATTATAAAACTATTTCCGAGGATGGAAAACCCCCGTAGACGTCCCATCACTTCCAGTACCTTTCTCAAGTTGGCGACACCTTTTATTAAAACGGGAGACCTCCAATAACTTCTTTACTGGCGCTGCGTATGAGATGCGTTGAGGAAGGCGCCATCAAGGTTGTGCTGAAAGAAAACAACCTTAAGAAGATTGACAGTGAAATTGAGTCGAGGAAGAGGAGATTAGTAACCTGCGCATGCCACTTGCCGGTGCCTGCCGGCCTCACGCCGTGGAAGCGCGGGGGGACCGGCACCGGAAGTTGGGGGACGCCGTTGCCTGCAGATGTGAAAAAAAAATTGAAAATTAATTCAAACACAACCATCAGTCCAGAGCACCACAGCAAATGCATGACTAGTAGGGCTGCCAAAATCATGCAAGGATGCTGCCGAGTAAGAACAGAGCAAGCAGGGTGCATGGGATTAACAGTAGCTGACGCAAGCATTTGCAGGACAGCAGATGCATCAAGAGAATTACGTGCGTGTATATTCAGAAGTAGCTGATTTGGGCGCCTTCAGGGCAGCAGTTCCACCAAAAGAAGTACTTGCATGGGTATTGCCGTGAGAACAAAATGCATGCGGACCTGCCAAGGGTGTTTGCATCTGCCACACAGGGTTATTTTGCACCCCGAGCGCTGCACCCGCCATGCTGTCAGGAGCTCCAACTTGCGCAATGCCTCCTGCATGGCACCCACGTATTGTGAAATCACTCAACTCCGAGTTTATCAGAATCACATGATCACATCCTTCTCCACATGGTCAAATGTCCCCCTTTTCAATGCACCGAATTTGGTGCAGGTCCAATAATGTCGTGTGAATGTAATGGCACCTGCAAGCTGGCCTGCAGATATTCTAACCAACTCTAGAGGTTCAAACCCACAAAGGTAGGAGGAAGATTCCAGGTATCAGTACGGGATTGCGTTCCGGAAATGGATGGTTCCCGGTTGGAAGTTGAGGGGTACCTGGGATGGGCATGTGCATTGCATGTGGCGCCTGATCAGGCGCGGTGGCTGCGGCGGCGGCCGGCGGCGGCGCGGGCGGCTGCGGCAGCGTCGCCATTATGTCATGCACGTTGAAGTTGGTCACCGCTGACTCGCCCAGCAGCTGCACCGCCGCCGCATCGTACGCCCTGAAAACAAGTGGAACTCTCACGCCACAGGGAGCCCCCAGAGTATGACCTGCCACTTTCTCAACCCTGTCAAGTCACATTCCTTGTTATTATTATCACACGCTTATCCTGCCAAGAGGCAAGGTGCGTCCTGCGGACAAGCTGCAGCTGCCACAATCCTACCCCGTGTTTAACTCGCAAGATCCAAGCAAGAATCAGTCAATCGTTGGCACGGTGCTCACTATGGGTACCGCCCCTCGCCAGCCGGGGCTTCATCTGTTAGGTCACAGTTAGCGTGACAAATTCCTGGGCTATATTTGTATTTCCATCTGAACCCTGCTGTGCCCCTTTTTTCTTCAGGCGCTGAAATGGGGCCACACCATATCAAGGCAGCATCAATGCGTCTTCATGCATATGAAATAAATATAATAAGTTGCAGGTGCAGTCTGAAAAGCACCGGGCAGCCTCCAGTTCGTCCTCAAAGACTCCAAGGTCCCTCTTGACATTGTTGGCCCGGATTGAAGCCTTCCACTTGCCGCCAGACTTCGTCACCCCCCGAAACGCGCTCGTGCGCCGCCGCTTCTTGGCCTGCCCAAGAAAGAAAACTTGTGGGCGGATCTGCAACTAAATGCCTATGCCTCATGGTGGGTTTTGCTATCCGCTACACGCTCAAGACCAGCTTGATCTGTGATACGCTGAAGGCACTTGGTTCTGCAAGTCAGGGTCACTTGAAGATGGCATGCAAGGCACACGCAGCCAACGCAGGTTATAACCGGCATACAGCTCACTTCACATCTCTGCCAACCCTGCATCCATCATTTATAGGATTGCAATGTCCTCGGCAGCTGCTGGCTTTGGCATGCATGAGTGTCACATGGGAACTTCATTGAATCCTTGAATCACCCATGGACTGCTTTGGAAGCAAAGCATCACAACGTTGTGCGCCTGGGAGCGGGAAGGGGCCTCACCTGCTCTTCGGCGGTGCCGTCAGCAGTGAGGTCCTCGCCGGCATAGTTGGAGGGGGGGAAATTTGTGATGGCCGATGGGCCCATGAAGAGCAGCGCCTTTCGGTCATACGCGCGCGCCGCATCCTCTGCAGTCGCGTAGTAACCCACATGGTGTTGCATGTGGTTGTACTGGATCATCGCCCGCCACTTCTTTTTGTCGCCCGCCTGTCGCAGCGTCATCATTAGTCATCCTTACTCACTACTATTAGTTTTCACTGTTCACAATCATTCATTAGCGGTCACCATCACGCGCTTGTCCTGCCAAGACAGGGTGCCTCTGCACGCAAGCTGCGCGGGAGGGAAGGATGCTGAAAGCCTGTCCCTTGACGGTCTTGGCATAGCCAAGCACTAACCAGTCAACCATGGGCGCAGTGCTCAGAATTTGTACCGCCCCTACCAGCTGGCCAGAAACCCACAGCTACACAGCTTCACATAGCTTCACAGAAGATGCCAGGTTGGGAGAGTGTTGGCACTGCGCGCAAATTCACATTTTGGTACGAGCAGATCTGGCGTGGCAAATGGCTTACTGTTGGTTCACAATTTCCTGGCAGCATGCAAGCCGAGGAAGTTGTGTGTACAAGTAGTGCTGCCAAATATGAGGCAGGGCACTTTGGTCTCATATTGTGTTAAAATAACCGGCTGCTGCCTGTACGGGTGTGCGTATGTTGTGCGTCAGTCCTTGCACATCGATCTTGTGGATGATGAGCAGCCCAGGACCCACCTTGCTGACTCCTCTGTACAGAGATGTGCCTCGCCCCATGCCAGGGATGCGCGTGCCGGGAGCAATTTGGGATGACATTGATGGTGCGCCAGGAGCTTGATTGGGCGGAGCTGACTTGGGAGGGCCGAATTGTCCGAGCTGGTGCTGTGCAGCTGTTGCTGCCCCTTGCAATGCAGCCAGCGCCTCGGCTGCATCTGCTGCACCTGCAGGCAATGGAGGAGGCAAAGTCACAATATGCGGGATTGACAGCGGCAAGTGTTTGCATATCAAATTGCAGGAAAGGGCTGCCACGAGGTCCCAAGAAGCAGGGCTGAGTGGACGCTCATGTGCATGGGTTTGTCAGGGCCAACTTGTCAACCAAGCAGAAAATTGAACCAAACTGGCAGGTAAGGGACAGCCCGCCTTGCTGCTCAGACACGCATCGCAGTTCAAGAAGCTGTCTTGCTCCAATTCGTCTAGGCCAACAAGCATTGGGCAAGACAATGTGTAACAAAAGCCTCAAACGCCAGGTCTGGCAATGGCGCACTCGGACATTACCTGCAGCAGGGTTTGGATTTGCGGCATCTGCTGGCTGCTGCGGAGGGTTGTTCGTGGGCTCCGCGATCTCTGCCATTGCGAGCTTCACAACGCACCGACGCTTTAGGTGCAAAAAGTGCACAACCACAATATGAGCGATTGAGAGCTTCCGAGGGAACGACGAAAGGGTCTTGTGTTACATTTTAACAAGTGTGAAGCGGAGCACTCGCAAGACTTCCGAGAATGATTGGGGTGGGCGAATTGTGGAATACACCCTGTTACAGGGAGGCTTGGGAGCGGGTCTGCAACGGCGAGATTCGCAACCAACAGGAATTCGAGTGGCACTCGCCGGTTCATTCAAACTTGCAAAGTGCAGACCGCTCCGGAAAAGAGCTGCGACCGCCTCTTTGTTGTTTTCAGCTGGTACGCAACGCTTACTATTGTGCTCTTCGATTAGGAAGGAGGGTGGCGCAGGGAGTCCATCCATGCAGGTGCCCGAGCCAGTTAGTACGGGCTCACTTGACCTGCAGGATGTGCAACAATAACTGCATATAAAGATTTTGGTCGATTTAAGCTAATGATTAAACGTCTGCACCGCTTGCAGGCAAAGGTGAAACTGTGACGTCCAGCATCCGCTGCTGTTGGCACAGCACTGGCCACGACCAAGACGCAGCCATGGCCTCTATGCAGCGCAAGCTGAGGTAATTTTTACTCAGCAAAAAATAGAGGCTGTCGTGTGGATAGCCGCGCTGTCCTCTGTCACCGTGAGTTGGGCAACCGCCAGAAACGGTTGGTTTATGACGCGCCTCCCGAATAGCGGAATAGAAACATAGAACCACTTCCGCAGCTCGTTGGAGGCTCATCTTGTTTAAAATAATCCTGAGCAAAGGACGAAGTGCAAGCTGCTTCCTGGAAAGTGCTTTGAACGAGCAGGGCCACTGTACTACAAGTTACGAGTCACACTGAGGCTGCTCGAATTGCCAGCCATCTTGAGGTTGATCGCGGGAGCAGATACACAAATGAATGTAATTGAATGCGCTGTTGTGATGTAAGCAGGCCAGCGACCCCCAGTTTATCCGTCAATTTGGCCTTCTGCCTGCTGGCAGCAGGCGCATGCCTCGTGCTGCACGCCCAGGCAGGAGACGCAGGTGCTTCCTTTCAACTGTCTATCTCTTAGAACTGGAAAATCATCCAGGAACATAATATGTATGCCGTACAACCTTATGGTCTCGTCACAATGATACCAGACTTTGCAATCCACACCCAGCAACTGGCTGCGAGCGTTGCCTCTTTCGTTCACTTTTTGGGACCTTGCGCGCTAATAAAATACGATGTACGCATCTTGCACAGGCTTCCATGGTTTCAACAACGAGGAAGTGGAGCTGGAAGCAACTGTCGATAGCCAGAGGCTCAGGCTTGACCGCCAGACTGTTGAACTGAGGGTGAGAAGGAATTCCAATCTATTGTCTAACAATCTAAAGCAGGGTCCTTCCTGACGTAGCCATGAACCTTACAACCTGAGGGTGCCGTTTCATAATGCTATTACTACACTACGCCGGGCATCATGCCTGTAGTCCAGATTTAGTCAAAGACGCCCCATCACGGTTGCGCCTGGGTATCAGAGACTCTAGCTATATGGGTATAGTAATTGTGGGCAGCATGTCTCCTGCTGGCGCTAGTCTTGTATGGCTGAGCCTATCTGGGCCGCCTCACAGATGGGGTAGTCATCTGTGACTGATTGTCACATGCAGATGCACGTGCTAGTCCTGGTGTAGTACACTATGTAGCTTGGTTTATCTCAGATTACATCTGTGATCTGTGACACTGGGTGACACAGTTTCATGTGTTTGTAACAGGACGCTCAGAGACTGGCATCAACCACAGGAGGCGGCGCAGGTGAGGGCTGGTTAGTAATGAGGTTACTATGGCCTTTTGTTGGACAAGTTTCAAAATCAAGTCGCAGCTGCCCTGCGTTGATTCAGAAGCCAAGGATTCGAATCTACTGGATTTCACCGATCTGTAATGCCGGGGGTGAATGCAGTTCGGCGGATTTTTAACACGGAGTTTATGCATGCGCACTGCTGGCAGTCAAGAAGGTATCTTCTGTATGGTAATATGAATTGGATCTGAGTATGTCTGAAGGCCACTCTGTGGTTTGCAGCTTCAGTATTTGACGTACTCACCGCGGCAGGATTCGTTGCAAAAACTCTTTGCGAAGGTAACCAAATTGACCGCCCTTGGACTCAAAAGTCATCATGCCTTGTAATACAGTGTGATGTAATTTCAAGTACCGCAAGTGTGTAAAATTATTTCCAGTAGTACCCAGAAGGATTACTGCTGCTAGTTTGGGACCATAATCTGCATTGCAGGTGTCATTTGCAGAAGTCTGTTGTGAAAACACATCGTTTGAATTTGCCCTGGATCAGCAAGACTGTGTGCCACAAACAAGTGGATTTAGGCAAAATTCATACTTGCTATTGCCCTTGCCGCCACTTGCTTTCTATTTGCTTTGAATTGTCCCGACGTTATTCTTCACCCACTTCAGCATAGGGCCAATGGAAAGTGGATGTATGGTTTTAGCGTTTAGGGAAGGGGATTTTCAAGGGGAATGCAATGGTGGTGTTAGGTTGTAGGGCCGATGAAAGGGGTCGAGAATCCTGCAATATAGAGAGTGGGTGAATTTTACAGTCACCGAAAGTTTCTTTGCTATGAACTGCAGGCCTGTTCATAGCAAACAGGACGTTTGACAGCGTGTGGAACTACGACGCATGCATCTACAATTGCCTGGCACAGAAAATTTTCAACCTTGATGACCCAGCGAACAGTCTTGGGCAGCTGTCTATCCACACTGATACCAAGACTGTCGATGCAAGCATTGCCGGATTTCCCACCAGTGCTGTCTACCTTGGAGACAAGTTTGGCTGCCAGCTGACCCCTGCTGATAAGGTTGGTACACACTTTCAGAGGCTGCTCTTGCCAAAAAGCCTAACTCACTTTGCCTTTGACGGCTGCTTTAGCAAAACAACCCGAGTGACTTTGTCTTTGCAGGCTTTTTTGGCTAAACAATCCAAGTGACTTTTTTCTTGATGGCTGCTTTAGCTACACAATCCCAGTGACTTTGTCCTTGATGGATTGCTGGCCGAGGTTGATCAACAAGTAGTTGTACCGTGCCAGTCTCAAACAGCAAGGCATCAGAGTACTGTGTGACAGACTTGAGCCATTCTGGCTTCACCAGAGAGTCTGAGGTTGCCCAGAATCTCTAGCTGATGGCATCAAGCTGGGGTGTAAGAAGGAGAAATGGCTTTCTGGGCTCTGAGGAACTATTTCCAGGCAATGCCAGTGGCCTGCAGCAATTGTCGTGTATATTTTCCTAGTGCTCGAGTATTGTTGTTCTGTGCGGCTGTACAAACTACATTGTGGGGGATTTGTTCAAGTGGATGACGCCATATAAACTGTTGCAGGCTCCAGTTGTGCCAAAGTACGTGGATGACGGCGAACCATACCAGGGCAAGCTGGACTGGCCTGTGCCCAAAAGTGGCCCTCATGATTGCGGCTTATGGCTTAAGAAGGGCATTCCTGACCTGCCCTGCCTGCCCAGCATATTCAAGTGGTGAGTTCATATTCTCCTTTCTTTGTGCTTGTCACACATCTCACAGCACTGTGCAAAATCGCATATTCAGGTGGTGAGTTCATCCTCTCCTTTCCTTGTGGTTGCCACACATCTCACAGTACTAAGCTACACTCAAAACATCTGGCTGCGTCAAGATTGCCAAAGTCCTGACATTTTTCGAAGGGCATTCCTGATCTGCCTTGCCTGCCCAGCATATTCAAGTGGTGAATGTGACCTCTCCTTCTCGATGCATCTGTGCTTCTTTCATAAGAGTTCGATGCGACCTACTCGGCAGAATCCTGACAATTTAGGCATGTCTGCATAGGCTGCAGAAATTGACATGGTGTATACAGGTATTGGTGCCTTGCAAAATCTTGTAGCAAATCTATCGGCATGCATGCCATTGTGCAGATGGCAAATTATCCAAGAGCCCGGCCAATCTGATACAGCTCCTGACTGGACTCTAGGAGACAAGCGAAACAACCTTCAATCCAGTGCCTGATTTGCATCGATAGGATCTCTGATGTCACTGACTGTGCTGCAGGGGCTTCAAAGAGGAAGTCGACTACACTGGCCTCAACACCAACATTGCCAGATGGTTTGAAAACTCAGACTTGGTTGAAGGCGCCAAAACCCGTGCAATCGTTGTCATCTACAAAGTAAGACCCATCAGCCCAACTTGCCAAGTAGCCAAGTAGCCAAGTTGGCTACTGAGCAAACATTCAGAATATTAGTCATGGCAGCCTCACAGAGGATTTCAGTCTTCTCAACGTTGAAGAGCGACCTACCAGTGAATTACTGCCACAGCGTGAAAACCAGATATAACAGATGATCATGCAGATCGCCCTTAGCTGTGCCAGATAAGCCCATGTAGCAGTTTTTCCAGAATGAAGAAGAGCATGCCTTGGAAGCAGATTTTGTGACAGACTTTTAAATAAGGGAAGAAGTTTTGCTTATTGTAAGTGAGGCAAATCACACAAATTTTCTGCAGGCAACAGTTGATGCTATCTCAGTTTGCCAAAAAGGCCGCTCACATGATGGGAGCCACAAGTACAATTGTATGGAGAGGGAGAATCCCCAGGCTGCCAAGCTAAGAGTCTTTTGTTAGATTGGAACATAGCACAAGAGACTGAAACAGTTTTGCTGTGCAGGGAAAGCTTGTTGCCGAGCGCTATTCAGATCTACAGGAGTATGATGCATCGACTCGATCCCTGAGCTGGAGCATGGCCAAGAGTGTGACAAGCGCTTTGATTGGAATCAGAACCAGCGACAGTGATTTCTCCTTGGATCAGCTTGTCGAAAGCCCCATCTGGACTCCAGCTGAAGTTGCCAGCCGTAATATCACAAGTGCGCCTCAATATCTTGTCTTCAATAACTCACGGTTCTTTGCACCCGCACTGTGATTGTTCCATGCGCGCTGCGAAACGGAACATTCCCTTCCATATACAAAGCCAAGCATGCTTCATATTTGCTGCTCTGCAAAGCAGACCGAGTTCAGAACAGTATCAAGGTACCATATACCATCAAGGTTTATTTAATTACCTCTTTAATAAGCCAAATGCGCGCTGCACAAAATAGGAGTGAAGTGAGTCACTGACAACATGCAAATACGGCGCGCAGTTGACAACCTGCTGAGGATGACATCTGGAATACAATTTGATGAGGCAAACAGCATCGGGCCGTTGACAGGAGCTCTGCTCTTTGAAGCGTATGACAGTGCTGCTTTCGCGGCGTCATTCCCTCAGGGCTCTGCACCGGATCTCACCTGGAACTACTCCACTCCCAATTATAATCTGGCGCAGTACAACCTGAGGCAAGTGCTCCTGTCTTTGGCCTCGCAAAAGAGTAAATCTGCCAGCCACCACAGAAATCACACCCCACCACCTTGAACTTCTCAGAAGCTCATGCATCAAGGGGTACCAGAAATTAACGTAGTCTTCAGTAGCCCCTGCGTGCATGCTTGCCAGGGTGCTTTCCTTAATACCATGACGTCAACAATAACATCAATCGTGCCAAATTAGTCATTGTACACACTTTTTGTACCAAGAGGCAAGGTATGTCCTGCAGACAAGCTGCAGATAAAGGGTGCCACAACCCTACCCCTTGGACTCGCCAGACCCAAGCAAGACCCAATCAACCGTGGGCACGGTGCTCAGAAAGTACACCGGCCCTTGCAAGCCGGGGCCAAATTAGTAACTTGGGGAATTGTGAGATCTGCAGGAAGTCATTCAGCAGCGACCCCGAATACTGGAGCTACGCTCAGAACAAGCTGTTCAAGAAGATCGGCGCCCGCTCGTTCGAATTTGAGGCGGACCCTTCCGGGACCCTTCTGGGCGGGAGCCATGTTTTTGCCACCGCCCGTGACTGGGCCCGCTTTGGCCAGCTGTACCTTCAGGTAACATAATTACTCGCCACCACTTATCAAAGCAGATACTACTGTAACTGTATTGTGTGGCCCTGGCATTCTTCCCCCACATTTTGGCTCAGGATTCAGGGGAAGATAATTTAGGGGTAAGGGTAGGGGCCTTTGTAGTGATATTTTTGGCAGGGGGAATGCAGCGGTGGATGAAGGGTTTAGGGTCGTGAAGGGTCCAAAAAAAAAATTAAAAAAGAAACTAGGTGATCTGTAAAGTAGACTTTGACTGCTCTGTCTTGACAATGTCACCCCGGCTGCTGATGGTCTACTACCAATTTCTTTAGTAATGTTGTTGGTAATGAGCTTCGGCAGCTCATCAGTAGACCACCAACCAACGCTTTATTTTAATAACATGCATTTCCTGGCAAGAGGCAAGGTGCGTCCTGCAGACAAACTGCAGTTAAAGGCTGCAAAAAAGGCTGTTAAACCCCCCAGATCCAAGCAAGACCCAACCACCGGTGGGCGCGGTGCTCAGTATTTGTACCGCCCCCCGCCAGCCGGGGCCACCATCAATACTCCCAGCATTTTAGAATTCTTAGCCTCGAAAGTATAGCCCATGCCTGGAAGACATGTCTCATGGTATTCGTCATGCAATACATGCTTATACTACGGCCTGGCTTCAATTCTTGCATGCGCAATGTCTGCATAATTTGTGCGTGTCCAAGCTGCATAAGTATCTGGCAGCGAGCTTGCAAGGTGTGTTATTGCAGGATGGAGTTTGGGATGGAGAGAGAATTTTGCCGAAAGGCTGGGTGAAGTACAGCACGACCCCGGGCCTGTATGCTGGATATGGAGCAGGCCTGTGGCTTGGATACCCTGGTGTGTCACTCGCCCATGCAAAATAGACAGGGGGTTCTATATCTAAGTTAGAGGGTTGGGTTAAGTCAGATATTGATCCCCATGTGTTTGAAGCCTGTCGATGAATTGTTGCAAAACAATGGACATGCGTTCTTCATCATGCAAGTTGCTACCTTTCAACCAAATTGTAGACTGGCTTGCAATTACATTGCAATTGCAATGCACCCCGGCTCACCGGGAATGTCAGTGGTACAAGTGAGACGCGCTTATTGATCAGGATTGTGGGGGGCGGTGCAAATACTAAGCACCGTCCCGCGGTAGATTGGGTCTTGCTTGGATCTGGCAAGCCCAACAAGGGGCCGGATTCTGACAGCCTCTACATGCAGCTTGTCTGCAGACGCACCTTTGCCTCTGGCCGGAATTAACCTGCAAAGAGTGAGTGATGAGAAATTGCAATTGTAACCGCAGGTGCACCAAAAGACACTTTCACGGTGAACGGAGTCCTTGGTCAACGTGTCATTGTGACACCTTCTTCTGATCTGGTCATTGTCCATTTGGGCCTCAACTTTGACATCGGATTTGATGCGGTAAGGACTTTCCCGTTCCTTTTGTGCTCTGCAAAAGCTTTCGTACTGTTTAGTCCAATCCACAGCAGAATCAAGACTACCATTGTTGTTAGTAAATACTATAATATATTACGTGTGTTCCTGCCAAAAGGCAAGGTATGTCTTGCAGGCACGCTGCATTTAAACATGCCATGATCCTAACCCCCTGTTGGACTCGCAAGATCCAAGCAAGACCCAATCAACCGAGGGCGAAGTATGCATGCATCAAAAGTTCTGTGCTTTCAAGGATATCTAGTGTGTCATATTGCACGTGCACGGTATTAGCAGCCTGCTCTGCAAGGAGTGCTCCGGAAATTCTTTATTACCCTAGTACCCTATACAAGGGCACCTACCACTATCCTACCCTAGTATTCATGGCTATATAGCTGCAGGGAACCTAGCAATATATTTAGTCATCACCATGACCATCTTGATGATCTCGATCCACTGGATGATCTCAATCCACGTGACACAATGGTTTTTTTTCCAAAAAGAGTGAGAGGAAAACAAAGTGTTTGGCTTTCTGTAGGCATACGGTGAGGAGTTCTACACAGACATTGCGAGCAACTTTCCCAAGTCAGACGTCCCCCTGACTTCCCCGGACATGCTCAGCATGACACTATGAGTCGATTACGCTCCGACAAAAGTCTTCACAAGTACAGTTCAATTATCTGGATGTCCCTTTTGAAATTTATGATCAGCTTGCAGCAAGTGAAGAAGTACCTCTGCAAGTCTTGATCAAGTCGAATTTCAACCTCAACTTTAAAGAAGAAGAAGATTACATATCTTTCCAGCCTTAAAGCTTTTGATCGCAGTGCCTGGGCTCGTTAGGGCTCCATGCACATGTGATGGCCGATTCTGGCTAAGGGATCACAAGTCCTTGGAGATATGTTACAATGTGGCAACATCGAAAATGTATTTTTATTTGGACTTGTCGCTCCTCGATGCCTCAAGTCAAAGCGGATCCGGACCTTCACCGATTCGGAGTCGAAGCGGAGATCTCAAAGATATGAATGATGGGTCGTGGACATTATGGCGGCAAGGTCAATTTGAAGACTGTAGTGACACTATTGGGTTGATTGATTGAAAGAAGGCGCTGCGGTCTATCTTTGTTTTATGTGCAGCCGCTGCACTTTGCATGCCACTCATTGCCAAGCTGGCATCATGCCATCATTATTAATATCATTACTACATTTTAGAGACACCTGGTACCTTGTGGGAGCCACCTGAGGCTCATTGGTCTTGTAGGCAGTCTGTCACTGCCCACTACACATCACAAACTTCTTAAATGTCCGCATTCCGTCAAAAGTTTTGCAATTCTAATACTAATACTGCTCTGGCCCAAACCTGATGACATGCATTTTACAACGCAATGTGTCTGTCCCATCTGAATGATGGTAGGGTGACGCATCTCTGCTCAGCACTGTACATATTTTCCTCTTGTGTTTTTGCCAGTGAGGCAGTCACTCTGTAATCTGATCTGGTCAGATATGCTTGTCCGTATTAGTTGACCCAAAAAAATGTAGTGCATGCCTGTGTGAAGCCTGACTGAGTTTGTGATTACCAGACATTGAATCCCCTATGCAAGAGGCCATCATGGTCCTTCATGCGATGAAACACAAAGAGACCTGTGAAGAAAGAATTACAGTGCACACATGATCTTCTCTTGAGCTCGAATCGCACAGCTTGTGCACTAGAATTCCCACGTAACGGCACTTTTTGAGACGCAGGGTCCTTGCATCCACGCTATTTTTGCTCATCACATCGATGTTTGATATTTGAAGTTGTAGGACGAAGTAATTTTGTTCTTATAAATATTGCAAGCCCGCAATGCATAAACGATCTCCTGCACACCTTCAATATCCATCCAAATTTTTTGGCAAGTGGGCAAAGACAACCTTCAAGGTAATCTGATCGATGTAAAACAATGTGTCGGTATTCACTAGCTGTACACTGAGAATCTAATAGCTTGTCTCCCAAAGAACATATCAGGCTCGCTGCGGCTGCTGTGGAAGCTTTCTGCAGATTCCGCCGGCTCCATGCTAGCTAGCAGCGCACCTGATTTGGCCGGCGCTTTCGTCAGTGGCCCCGCCCGGTAGCTGCCTCGCAGCTTCCGCCGAAGCTTTCCACCGCTCCAGGTGCCACATCGCTGCCAGGGCTCTCCCAGGCTGGTTGAGCCCCTGGGGGTGCTGCTTTAATGAGTGCAACTTGCCGGCGACTGCAAGCTGCATGCTATTCCTGTGGCTTGGCTCGGCCGCTGCAGAGGGCTGTGGCAGCATGGCAGCTGCTCTGTCCAAGCCGCTGTGCCCAGGCCTTGTAGCTGGAATCCCGGCAGGGTCACCAGATCTGACCTCTCTGCCCGGTGACCCGCCAGACAGGTCCACTGAGACACTGTCTTGCCTGTGTGCGCTAGGGGCCTGCTGCTGCCTGCAGTGCCAAAGAACAGCACCGCCAGTGCAGAGCATTTCCTCTAAGGGGCAGCTATGGCGCAGCTTCCTGCGCCGAGGAAGCTGTGCGCAATGCTGGAGGGCTGCCCCAAGCTGGCAGCTGCAGCACTGCCACTCGAGGATGTTTCCTCAGCACTCAGTGAGGCACAGCGGTGGCGGCAGATTGACTGCTTGACTCTGCGCAACACAGGACGCTTTTCATTTCTGCATATCATTCTCTGAGAAGCAACAATAGAAATAGGGAAAACAACGAGTAAGGGCTTCCTTAGCATGGATACTTTCTTACCAAATCTTTTGACCTGATGGCGCGCCTCCGCCACCAATGCAATAGGCATCTGCACCTCAAGGGCCTTCGATGCCTCTGCAAGCGCGAGCTAGCTGGCATCCCCGGCTAGCTGGGCTACCGCCAGGTGCGCGGCTGCGCAGTCAACATGGGCGCGTCTGTCGCAGCGTTCCTCTCGCCTTGGCCCCGCCCCGCATTGGCGTCGCTGACCCCGCAAGGACCGTGCGCCTTGGCCAGGATTTTAGGGTTTAGGATTTAGAATTTTACTACAATGCGCGACCACTAAGTGCTACCTACCCGCACTGCAGACCAACGGCTCATCTCTGATCAAATCGGATCAAATCTGAAAAATTTAATCTTTAGCAATCTAGTTTGTTGCCAGGTTTTGCCACTTTTGCCTAGACACACCTTTCTTTGTCACCTGCGGCGTTCCTATCTTTTCCGCAGGAATGCCATTTGACAAGCACGGCAGAAAGGGACGCCGTCGGAGCCATGTACTGCGCAAGCGATGGCCAGCGGTGCTGGAATTTCCTAATACTTCCTGTGTATTTGAGGGTTTAGGGTTTAGGGCAAACCCAAACCATACACCCTAAATATAAGTAAATGGCAGACAAATATATAAAATTATGAACGTTTTATAGGTATGTTGCAGCCAATGCCAATGCTGTGATCATACAAGTCTTCTCCTGTCGCACAGGAGTCAGCCTAGGCACAGGTATGCTTTCCTTCTACACCGAAAACTGCAATAACATTATTGCATATCTGCAATATAGATCGTTCGTTAGTTGCGGTAATTCATGTTGCAAGATAGGTTGCTTGCCATAAAAATATAAAGAGTCCTGTAGACAGGAAACCTGAGCAGCAGGACGCATAGTTGCAAAGGGTTCAGGAAGAATTGTGAAATAACAGAGGGTGTTACCATTTGTTCACAATCAGTACTGTGCAGTCTATTGAATGTTCGTTGCGTACTTGTCACCACCGATGAAGTGTTCTTGTATATCACCTCAAGTGCAGAAGGAGTGCAGAATTCGCCTGACCGTGTTTTTACTGGACACCAGCAGCAATTTCTGAACAAAGTCGGCTGCATTTCGCAGGATGACGGTGTTAGGACGCTTCCTGTGACCTTCGTAAGTTTTGAGGTCCCCCCAGTCTCCCCAGGCCGAAACTCCCAAAGATATTTTCACGGATGATTCAGGTGACGACTCATTTTGTTGGCTGCCTCCCTGCTAATTCTGTGATTGGCAGGCCACGAAAACAATTTTGATCGTGCCTGCTTACACAGGTAGTCTCCTTGAAATCGGAGGAAACAGGGGAGCAGCACAAGCTCAAGCTATATGACTTTCAGCCAGACGGGACTGGCAGACTGGACTGGGCTGCTGCGAAAAAGGCTTTTGGTGCCGACCTGCTTGAAATTAAAGACGAGGGAACACCGGGGCTCCGAGAGGACGGCGACAGGAACGGACTGACCAGAGACACCTACAAGCCTGGGGAGAAAATCTTGGTCATCGTCGGCCGCAGAGCCCAAGGTATGAATGGTACACCCCATGCAGATTTGTGCAGATGTAGATGCACTCCGCTTTAGTGCTTGGTGTTGTCACAAGTGGTCTGTGAGGACATGTCTAGTATTGAACAGCCTGTGTTGGCCTCAGCTGCAGCTACCGGCAGCCAATCTGTTATTTGAAGGCCTTTCCAAACTCATTGGTGTTCAAGAGCCTTTCTTCATGATGCCAAATGCGTTAGGGTAGCCCTCAAGTCACTTGACCGCGCTGCGCTTATAGCCTATGGCATTTGTGTCCCCCGTGTTGATGCGGCGGCCTCAGGCTGGCAGTGTCACTCAATCACTGTGTAGATGTGTGGGATCACTTTGTGGATAGAGCAACTTTTGGGGCTAGCGCCTCTTGGATCAATGGAAGTGCTCTTTATTTATATGTCCTGCCCTTAACCCTGTCCCTACTGTGCCACTTTGCTGTTGTCACATTTTGGGCTTGTTGCAATCTGCTCTATGCTGCTTTTGCTAGCCTTGTTGGGCTTGCTGCTGGCCATCTGCAGTGTGCAGCAGATTTCGGCAGTCAGATCATGCTTTGCATGCTGGGTTTGTAGCTTACACGTATGAAGTCAGTCGGATTTTGGCAGCCACAGCACAGCTGTTGCTGCGTGCCGTGCGTCTGTATTCTCAGCAGTCTTATGCTTGTTGTCATTAAATCTGTGCTTTAACTGGTCTATGTTTCTGTGCTGCCTGGGGTCTTGCAATGCTTCAAAACGTCTTGGAGTGTATTGAATGCACGAAAGCACAGGGTTTTTAGGGTTAATGGTTTAGGGTTTAAGGTTTAGGGCACATAGGGCTTTGCAACGGTAGAGTACTCTTGAAGCTCACCGCGTAGTCCAAAGGCCCGGTGCCAAGGGTGCCCTCCACACGTATCTCCGGCACCAGCTGCATGCGCGTCATCAGGAGCACAGCCAGCACAAGAACGGGCGAGATGATCTCCCGCCGAGTCTGCTCTGACGGTTTTATTTCTGGGTTCCTGCAGGTCAGTCATCACAGTTTCCTCAGAGCTGCCTCGCCGTGCCTGATGACTCGAATGCATAAGCCCAGCTGACAAGATGAGACGCTCTATGAAATAAAGCAAGTCAAGCACGTCAGAAGCTTCATCAAGCTGCTGCACAAAGATTTAAACATGATTATTTTGCTTATTCATTGAGAGAGGAAAGTGTACCCGAGTACAGACCGCCTCAAGCAGAGGTCCTCGGCGAATGCTGCAAGAGACTACCAAATGTTGATGCCTGGCCGTCCACAATCACATCATCTGCCAAGTCCTCTGCAGCAAATTCATCTGCGCCTGCTTCCATTATTTCCTGCATGAACATCGCAGGCTGTGAGAAAACACAAGGTATGCCATATGCCTCCTGGGCTTTGCATGCAAAGGTCAATTCTGTAGCGTAGCCACACAATAGCAGCAAGGGAATGCCGAAACTTACATATGCCCGTGAAAAGCCCAAGTACTCCAGGCCATCGGCACGGCTGAAGTCAGAAAACCTTTTGGACAGCAGCTTGAGCTTTATGTCTTCTGTGATTCTGTCTCCCTGTCCCCATTTAGATACAGTGCCCTGTAGAACATGCGCAATCAGGCCAGCTGTTCAGGGCAAGCTCAAGCTGTTGTCTAATGTGATAGGAATGACAGAGAGTTGCTCTAGGAAGTGAGATATCTTGGAAGTCCTTTTTTTGGCTGACCAACCTCGAAATCCTCGATAATGTCATTGGAGGTTCGCCATGTCAGAGTGTAGTCAGCAGAAAACGCGTCTGGGAAGTGGCGATTGATTTCTCCCTGCAGATCTGGCAAAGTGATATGGCCACGTCGCGTCCAGGTGTACTTCTTCTTGTGTGGCCCGTTGATGGTGATCTGGAAGGTGCGCAATGGACGCACAGGAAATCCTGGCCAGCACAATGACAACTTGTAAGCCGTATCCAGTAAACAGAGCTCAGCAAGTTGCAGTCCCAAAGTGGAGCAATTGCACCATGCATGAATCTGCACATGAATCTGCTTGTTTAAGGTTAAGAAATCTCGCAAAACTGAACTTGGCCATACTTTGCTTGGTACTTGTCACCCTTCTAGAAGATTCAGTCCACTTTGAACAAGATTTGACTCGATACATGACTGAGAAGAGCCTATTGCATGTCATGATGTTGACTGGATAGACCTCCCAAGGTAATAAGGTCTTGATATGGCAGGTGATCTGGGAGGCTTTCAAGATCCCCATCAGTGAGTGCAGGATGGAGAGGCGGGAGGATGGTGAAGGGCAGGCGCTAGCTCAGATTGCCGCCGCTCGCGAAGAGTATGTTTGCAAGAGGGTGAAGGGCAGCAAGCGCAAGAGGTCTGAGATTGACGAAGATCTCCCGGTGGGTCCCTTGCAAAGCCCTTGGTGTGTTTTCGCACGTCCATCTCGGCCCTCGGGCATCCATTCATCAACAGGGACAAGCAGCATCATGGCAATTTATTTGTGCTTGTTACTGTGAGGTGCCTCTCATGCTGTCTTGCATTGTTACAGTAGCACTGCTGTCGATCGCTAGCGGATCATGTTGTGATTGTAAGCAATTAATTTCTGTGTTCAGGTGTCCAGCACCACCATCTTGTGCACTGGCATCACCTACATCTTCTACCGCTACTATCCCGCAGCAGGAGAGGCACAGCCGCGGCGGCTGGTAAAGTCAAAGGAGTATGCTCTGAACCTGATTGGACCCTCCAGCCCGGAGACCATCAAGCCACAGCTGAAGGCGCTGGTGTGTGCAATCGCGGCGATCTTGCGGTTCGAGAAGGAGCAGATCAAAGCTGCTCTGGCCAGCAAGAAGCTGAAGCTGATGCCTTAAGTACAGCAACATTGCCCTTTGCATGTTCCTATAAGTGCCACCTATGGACTGACGCTGACAGGCTGAATGCGCCAGTGAAGGCAGCCTTACACGAGCTGTTGCAGGCCGAGCCCCCAGCTGTTCAAAGTGGTTGTGGCATGGCTGTTGAGGAACTGTGAGTGGGCTCTTGGAGCACCCAGCTGAGTTTAGATGCTCTATAATAGGTTAACAAATCATATTTCAGTATGTTCTCCCCTGCTGAGGTTTTTTAGGGTTTAAAGTTAGGTTTCAACATCTCGCATGGTCCTTGCATCCATGCTCAAGAATTCTTTCCAATCAAGATTCATCCTTTCAATTAACGGAGGCGAGGTTTACTTTCTTCTTGCTGCATGCCTGCAAGCATTGAACACTCTGCTGCACGCCTTAGGGAGCCTTCCAAGTGTTCAGACGAGTCTGTAAGAGCGGCGTCAGAGTTCTTCAATGCTCTGAAGTACTTAGAATTGTCGAATGTGAAGGCTTGACTTTGTGTACATCGTGATCTCTAAAAGGACTGTCAGCCAAAGACCTGATGGGCATGGCCAAAGGCATGGGGTTGTATACAAGCTGTTGTACGCCTGGCTCGGCCATACCGTTGCGACGATCTAGTCATCGTCAAACCAAAAATTATTTCCAACGATCAGGTGCTACTTCTGTGACATAGTTTCGCTGCTACCAGACAGTGAATGCCTGCAAGCGTTTGCTGGCGAGGAAAGCTGACGGGACGTATGAAGTACTGCTGCAGCCATGAGTGTACCAGGGAAAATACATTACGTGCTTTTTAATCATGAACCGCCTGCACTGACCTTGAGGTAGCCATACTTTGGGCTGCAGGGTTGTACTGCTCACTTCCAATCAGGGTCCATGGATCACAGCGCAGCAGACATCGAAGCATCCTGATGGCAGCCAACGCCCCAGCAGCTGAAGAGGTCAGCCCGCGAGAAATCGAAGAGGTGTGTTATTGAAGCAAGCTCACACCTTGGTGCTACCACCGCAGCCTCCCATCAGCAGCTGACCTTAACTAGAAGCAGCATCATGCACCCCGCAACATCATATGTAGTGGAGTGTTGTAAGCAGTAACCAAAAGCGCACGAAGGTTGTATTTGGGACTCGACTGTTTCTGTCATATAGCGCTCATGCCTGCAGCATTGCTTCTCACAGTGCCCTGATTTCACAGCCCTTACGGCCTCACAGAGCAGTGGTTCTCACAGCCTTTGCACACCAGGGATCCGCCTTTGGAATCTCTAAATTCAAAGAAACCTGACATGTGACTCTGCATGACAATATAGTGAGCAATAGGAAAATTTTCACTTAGCAGTGCAACTGGCATGGCTAACTGGAACTAGCGCACTAATCTCTGCCAAATTTGCCTTGCAGATGTGGAAGGGGCTTGAGGAACAGGCAAGAGAGGCGCTGGGCAGCGCAGCGCAGAAGGTGGGGGACGTGGATGCAGCTGAGGGGGAAGCTTCCACCAAGCGCGTCCAGGCGGACATCGCCGAGAGGTGCGCAGCGTCAGAAAGCGAGGAGTTTCTCTTGGGTGAAAGAAGGCTGTCATGGCGCCTGCCTGAGGCGTGGTTGCAAATCACATGCTCTGACCTTGCTCCAAACTAGTACTGGGAGAGAGTGTATGCTGCGCCCACACCCCTTCTCCCTGGGATGTGGGCCCATCCGCTGAATCATCATGCTCACTTTAGAAATCAAAGGCAGCACGAAGCGACAATGGCACCTGAACTTCTAGCCAGCTCACCTCCCGGTGCAGAGGTCTGCTGGGGCTGTCTCTGGCAATCACAGGGCGCTTGTGATCTCTCTGATGCGCTGATCAGGATAGCGGCTGAGGCAGAAGCAGAGGCGGCCCGGCTCGCGCCGGCGGCCGAGGCGGCGGTGGCGGCCGCGCGCGCAGCCGCAGTGGCGCTGCGGCGGCTGCCTGATCAAGTGACGCTGCCACATCTGCGCCACCTGGCGGCTGACCGGATGTCCGCGTGGCTAGCCGCCCACCCGGACGCGCGCAGTTTCCAGGCAACTTCTGCGCAGTGCAACGCTTCCATGCATTGATTAATAAAAATTTGTCAACCGCCTCCGTCACGCACAGCACAACACAGCAAGCCCTCTTAAGATTTACATGAAGCTTTCCTTCCCACACAAAGCTGCTCATTCGGTGGCGCTAATCGTGCGTGTTTTGCAGCTGGCGAGTGTGAGCGAGGTGGCGATTCTGGGCCTGCCGGAGGGAATGCTGGTGATGCGCGTCGCGGCAGCGCTGATCGGCGGCCGGCGATACGCTGTGGCGGCGCTGGCGGCGGGGGGTCCGGAGGGGGGACGAGAGGGGGATCCCCAGGTGGGGGGACTCCCTGCATTTCCACTTAGATTTGCCTTGCCCTTCCGTAACCCCTGCATCAATTATCATCATTTGTTTCACTGCTTGCCAACATTACATGCTGTTACTGCCAGTGACAAGGTGCACCTGCATGCAAGCAGCAGCTGAAGGCTGCCTCATATCCTACCCTCAGATCCAAGCAAGACCCAACCAACTGTGGGCATGACTCCTGCAAGACCTCTTCAATCACCAGGCCCTGTCACGCAACGATAAGAAATGTTAGTCGAGGCTATGCCTCCCTGATTTGACTAAGTAAAGGTAGCTGAGACAAGAATAGGGGGGGCTTGTCAGGAACTGGAGGGCTGAGAGAAGGTGTGAATATGCTAGCAGGCCTAGAGCGTCAGCAAATGACACTCCAAACACCTATCATAGCGTTGACGTTGCCGTTTCCAGGGCGGGCTCGCCGGCCTAACGATGCACTGGGGCTGTGTTGCGCGCGAAGGAGACGGCTGGGCACCGCCGCCGCCAGGCTGGCACACCGTTCCCGACAAATCCTTCTCCGCAGGTGCGCAAGGCTTGAAACTTACTCCCATAAAGTCTGTGGGGGGCGGTACAAATACTGAGCACCGTTCCCACGGTTGATTGGGTCTTGCTTGGATCTGGCGAGTCCAACAAGGGGTAGGAATTTGGCAGCCTTTACATGCAGCTTGTCTGCAGACGCACCTTGCCTTCGGCAGGAAAAGCGTGAATAATAATAATAATAATAATAATATTAATAATAACAATAATAAAGTCTGTGGGTAGCTGTACGGTATAACGTCGGTAACTAGTGGCGATGCACCTCGAAGCATTCATTGTTCAGCAGCACCAAGAAATATTTCTGTTCACTGGGGCGGACAGCCAAGATGAGGCGGTAGCCTGGCGACCCGTAATCCATTGAATTGCTTGCGCAATGTCTGCAGCGTCCAATGCAAACTGATCCAAGTCCCCCGGCAGGCCAATGTTGGTGTTCCCTTGAAGAGGCTTGGAGATTTCTGCTGGCGTCCTGAGGCTGGAATCCCTTATCGATTATAGATCACCCCCTGAAAAACAAAATTTGTGGTCCCTTGAGCACGCAAAGCACTGCTTTTGCGCTTGGCAGGAGTACTCAGATCAGTTTTTAATTCAAACTTGGCCAAGCAAGCAAGCGTCTATGCCTTGAAGCCCTTTGACATGAGCACTCAGATAAATTGCAAGATGCACATCTTGTCCTGCAGGCGAGGCATTATAGACACTCTTCAGTAGAAGCACTTCAACAATCAGTATGATTGATTTTACACGCTTTCCTGCCAAGAGGCAATGCGCGTCCTGCAGAAAAGCTCTTCAAAAGTTATCTATATTTGAAATCGAACCTGGTGCCTGAACAGGCAAGGCGTGGCAGACGCCCTTTGGCATGTACACGCCAGTGGCGGGCGGCAGCAAGGCAGCTTCCTGCGCTGCGCATGCTGTGGTGCTGCAGCTTCCGTTGGAGGGCGTTCTTTCCGGCGGCGGCCTGGCAGCAGTTCTAAAGAGGCCCGCTGGCAGGCAACCCGAGTGGCTCGTTGGGCCTCACAACCGAGACTTCTTCATCAGCTTTGCAGAGGTGAATTGCTGGGGTTCCTGGTGTTGGATTGGCCCCACCACTAGATGGTTTATGCAGGGGAGCTGCATGCTGCCGGTCAGTCAAGTACAGCGCTGGAATATTTGATGGCCTTTGTGATCGCAATCGATATGACTATGCAACGCCGGACTCATGTTGCGTCAAAACTTGATTTAACACCACAGCACAGGCTCTGATGCAAACAAGCTCCATCTGACAAAGGCACTGCCAATGCGCACCAAATGCCCAGAGAGTGCAAAAGAGGATTCTTAGCCATCAGCTTTGACCTTCAACACAGGCTTGCAAGCTGGTGGAGTGCAAATGAGGATTCTTAGCCATCAGCTTTGACCTTCAACACAGGCTTGGAAGCTGGTGTGTGCAAATGAGGATTCTTAGCCATCAGCTTTGACCTTCAACACAGGCTTGGAAGCTGGTGGAGTCTGGAGGCACAGCAGAGGTCGAACAACATGCGCCTCAGAAAGCTGCGTACAGCGGTCCGGACAAGGTGAGAAGGTACGAGGAAGCTAAGGAGGAACGCCGTCGGAGACGGGAGCAGCGGTCTAGAGCCAAGTCAGCAGCCCTGCAGGCGAGTTTGTGCTCTATAGAGAACTCACTGCTGATGCAGCTTTGGGCATGCCAAACATCGTTTGTCTAAAGTAGCCATTGTGATCTGGTACTCATTTAGCACTCTTTCGCGATTATTTTTGGCAGCTGCGCGATCTTCTGGGAATGTATGCACAAAGATGGAGCCACCGGGCATACGGCGGCTTCAAATAACCAATGTGTTTATTTAGAGTCCACTGACACAGATGTTCTTACCCGTTAGCGACCTGGAGTGAGGACAGAGGGCACATCTTCTGTCTCCAATGCTGCAGGCCTTGTATGTTTAGGCAAAGAGGCTTTAATCGACTTCCAGACATTCAGGGTGACACTGCGACTCTGCAGGAGCCCAAACGGGCGTCTGAGAATGGGACAGGGCCTCTAGAAAGCCAGGATAAAGGAAAGACAGCGGTTGCTTGAGAACAAGATCCAAGATGAATGATGCGACTGCATAGGAGCCCAAAGTGGCGCCTTATGCAGGCCCCTTGATATTTAATATTATCTGAGACGGGTCGTGCATTTCGCGCAGGAGCCCAAGGGAGTGTCCGAGAATGGGGCAGGCCCCTTGGGGAGCCAGGATGAGGAAGGGGAGCCTGATTTGGGCATAGACGGCTGGACTGCCCAGGATCGCCCCATCATGCCCGTGAGCGGCAGCATGTCTCTCCTGCAGAAGTACACGGCTGCGCTGCAACTTCTGCAGAGCGCCGCCACGGAGGTAGGTATTCTGTTCTGCCTTGACGTTTTCGCTGCTTGCAGCACTGCCCAGTCTTCATCGATGAGCGTTCAGCAATTCATACAAATGACCGCAAGGGAGCGGTAGCATCTCACTAATGCAGAAGATTCACTGCTGCGCTGCAGCTCCTGTAGAGAGCCGCAACAGAGGCATGTTCCCATGCTGTCTGCCTTTACTACTGCCCATTCCCTTTTAAATGAGCGTTTATCAACATAAACACACAAACGTTAATCTCGTGGGAGTGGTAGCATCTCGCTGCTGCAAAAATACACCGCTGCGCTGCAGCTCCTGCAGAGCGCGGCCAACAGAGGCTTGCCCTGCCCTTGCATATTTTTCTCCTCCTCGCATTGCCAGCAGTAAGTGACTGTTCAAGCACGCATGCTGATCGGAGGTTTTCAATGAGACCACATGCCACAGCTTTTTTTTGGGGCGCCTGTAAGGAGTAAGCCAGGTACTTCTCTACAGGTGCACCAATCCGCCAAGACTAAGAAAGGTGTTCTTTGCTTGAGCAGACGGAGCCCGAAGCTTCAGAGGAAGCTTCCGTGCAGCTGGAAGCTGCGCGCGGCGCCTTCGAGGAAGCCGGGCAATTAGTCGTGGACGCTGACCAGGCGCAGGAGGACGCGCAGCTGGCGCGGCAGGAGGCCGACCGACTTTCCAGGTCAGACCTCTCGCTTTCACAAATCTTCCAGGGGTTATGGGTTTCAGGGGTTTAGGGGTTTAAGGGGTGCAAGGGGTTTAGGGATTTTAGGGGGTTTAAGGGGTGTAAGGGGTTTATGTGTCTGCACCAAGGCAGTCAAGCTCTCTTGCGCTGCTACAGCTGCTGCTGCTGTTGCAAGAGAGTAAATGCAAAGGCCCAGTTGCACCACTTGTGCACATGAGATGCAGAAAAAAATTCGGAATGAGCAGTTGATTCCAGATCCCAGAGCATCAGAGCATCTGACTCGGGGCATGAATTCAAGGGTACATTACTGTACCATAGTCAGCACCATAAATTCCGCACCCCTAAAAGGCGGAATGTTTGGACCTGTTTTTTGGAGTCTTACCTTCCTTAAAGCGATGTTTTATTATCAATAATGGGTCGGGCTCAGCGAGAGCTTGCCAAAACTGGTGTCAAAATTGTCACAGGGTTGCAGGATTTTGCCTACAAGGGTCCTTATTTTCGACCCTCTTCCAAGAAAGATGATTATTTTATGCGCGAAATACGGTGCTGACTATGGTATCTTGCATGCCTGTAAAATGCCTTGACATCATGCTGCTCAAGCCATCCTTCTGTCACGCACACCCTCGCAGCTCAAATTCAGGAGCAGAACAGGAATCCTTTGTTCAGAAGCAGAACACAACTCCGTTGCTTTCGGGCATTTGTTGCCGCGGCTAAAGAAAAAGGGCGGGGAGCAGCGATCCAACCGTTTGTGGCTCCAAAGGGGTCATTATATTTGGGGAACCCTGCAAACCCCATGACGGGAGTCAACATTGCGCTGTGCTCCTTTGCAGGGAGGCCGGTGAGGCCGAGGCGCGCGCGCAGGCGGCGGCCGATGCGGCGACGGCCGCGGTGCGCGGCGCCCGGGCGGCCAGCGCGCGGCTGCGCGGGAAAGATGACGAGGTGAGTGGCTCACCAGACGGCCCTCGTCTTACGCATAAAGACTAGCATCCTTGACGTTATTCTTCACCCACTTCAGCTTAGGGTTTAGGGAGCTTGTATTTAGGGTTAGGGTTCAGGGAAGGGGCCTTTATAGTAATAATTTTCCACGGGGAATGCAATGGTGGATTTAGGGTTTAGGGTCGATGAAGGGTCGATAAACCTGTAAGACACTAAGTGGGTGAACTTTAATGTAGGACGACTAGCATCCGGCCTTTTGGAATGAATGAGCGCACTGTCAACAGAAAGATCCCGGGCCAGCTGAATGATGATGCAAATGCGGCTTGGCTGTCAAAACGTCCATTGGCATAGGCACCGCCCTTCCTGCCAGTTGGCGGATAGCATAAGACAATTCCCAGCCAACCTCTGCGAGGATTCTTGCATTTCCTGGTGCTGACGACACACTCTGTCATAGATTTGTATTCTGTGTCTTTGGCGTCCAAGGAGGTTGCCGAGGCTCCTGCATCGCAACGTGATGCAGGGATGGAAGGATGGAAGGAGATCAAGCTGCTGCTTGTCCTGCAAGGGTATCTCAGGGAGAGCACCTGTAGCTGCCGAGGGGGGAGCAACAGATCGAAAATCACAGAATTTTTCTGACACATATGATTTAGGGTTTAGGGTTTAACAGAATATAATTAAACCCTAAAATATTGGAAATGATGGTCTCAGGTGACATTGGCGGATCTGCACACGGTGGCGGCCGCGCGGCTGGACGGCTGGGCGGCGTGGGTGACAAGCCGAAACACCATGGACGACGGCGATGCCTCTGCCGATGTAGACGAGGTGCGGCCAAGCATGCCTCTTAATGAAATCTTGCCTGGCTGATGATTGCTGCAGGGAAAGAGGGTAGGGTTGTCAAGTAGAACCTGGAACCCTAAACCCTAAAACCCCCTAAACCCTGAACCCTAAAATATAGGGACATGGTCAAGTCTGTCATGGAGATTCACAGGATACTCTGTGAGCTTGTCTTGGTAAACCGGTGACAGGTGGTTCTCGACAGCCGTCTTTGCACCGCACAACGAAGCTCAATGGGCATTTCAAGGGACAGCGTGAACCTTCAGCTGCGCACTGCTTTCTCAAGAAATGCGCTTCTTTCTGTGCGTGCTGGAGCCAGTAAAGGCAATGGCGGGGTTGCTTTCTCATTGAATTGCAGTGCTTGTCATCAGCATGGGACCCAGTGAAGCCGGTGGCAGTGGATATCCGGCAGCTATCTTTGCTGCGCACGCTGAAATTTGGGCGCTTGTGCAGGAACTCATACACCCCCAGGGATATCTTCAATGTTCAGCTGCAGATTCACTGCTTTTTCATCAAATGCGCTGCTTTCTGCATGCACAGGAGCCAGTCAAGCCGGTGGCGGTCGGTTTCCGGCTGGACGGCTGCGCGGGGGCGATGGCCGCGCATGTGCGGTACGCACGGGAAGGTGCGCGAAGCTTCGCGCTGGTTTCCCTGGCGGCTGCGGAGGCGTATCCTTCGGGGGCCCTGGACGGTGCGGTGTTCCATTGGGGCGTTGTCTCCCGCGAGGGGGGGGAGTGGGTCCCCCCGCCGGAAGGGTGGCAGTCAGACCCCCCGCGCACCACCGAGGCGGGTGAGTCACCTTGAGTCAACCATGGGCTAGAGTCCTAAATCCTCGAAATTTGCACTTTAGCAACCGACTTGAACGAGTAACATGGCACAGTTTAGCAGCTTTCTGGCTACTGCAATCCTTCTCTGTAAAGTTGACTCCGCAATTCCAGAACAACACACAAGCACATTTCGACAGACTTCTCCCCCAGCTTGCAATTTTGACCAAAAATCAGTTCCTTCTGCACCACTTCTGATAAGACCAATGAGCCTGAGGCGCCTCCCATACGGTCTCTAAAACGTACTAATGTTATCCGACTATCCATGCATGTGATTCCTTTTTTTCTGGGGTTTGCAGGGAACGCGAATCAGACGGCGTTCGAGCGAGTCAGCGCCCCCGGCTACGAGCGGCGGCCGGACGTGCGCGTTGCGGCGCTGACGCTGCAGCTTCCGCTGGAGGGGAAGCTGCGTCGCGGGGGGGTTGTAGGGGTAATTAAAACAGCGGACGGCCGGTGGATCCACGCGCAGCAGCACGGCGCGCAGCCGGACTTTTTCATCAGCACCCGCGAGGCGCGTCTTATTCCCCTGTTGCATCACTCATACCCCCTGCTGCCTGCTTCTGTAAGATAAATTGCTCAAATTAATTTTAAACTGCCTAGCTCGTGGCACTGACAGCTCTCTCTCTCCCTCTTTCTCTCTCTCTCTCGTGTGGGTCTCATGACACTGGCGCCTCCATGCTCTGTGCAGGGCAGCCAGCCAAATTCTGACACTTTAGTTGTCTTTCGCATGAAGGTTGGACAGCCAAGATCCAGGAGGTATAGAGCGTAGGATTCTGCTGATGGAGTTCTTGTGCAAGCGCAGGTGGGCGCCTATGCAGAGTCTCTGGAGCGGGCGGCACTGGTATGCACTTTCAGACCAAGCAATTTATTCAGACGTGAATTAAATAGTTCATACAGTTCATGCACATACCAGTGGTAAGCAGATATCCTGCGTGTCTCCCTCCGACACCGCTCTTCTAAGCCACAAGTTTACTCTGTAACCCTCTGATATATGTCAATTTAGGGTTGTGAGAGTATGTAATCTAGAGAGTACCCTTATGTACATGCAAATCACCTCTACTCTGTACAGGAGTCGCAGGAGGGTGGCGCCAGTCTTGACGCGGCGGAGGCAACGCCGTCTGCGCCGGTCGAGCGGAGGGATCGCCGCGAGACGTATGCGCAGCTGCCAGCCGATCAACTTATTTCCTACCTTGGCGGCCTGGGCACCTCAGGGTGGGTTATGATGTATTATCTTATAGATGGTTAAGAAATTATATATATATATTTTTTTTTGTATATATGTTAAGTAACCGTTCTGGAAGGTCTGGGGAAGCAATTGCATGAGAGATGGCTTGGTAAAACACCTACCTGTATTTCCATTCCAATCCATTAACACACAGGGCCTGGCAAGAGAAGACCACAAAAATTCTGATGTTGCCGCGTGTCAGACTTTTCCCCTTTTTTCGGTAGATGAAGGGCAGGCAAGGGAGGTGCAACTATGCAGAGGGTGCTGAATTGCTTTAATGCATGGGGGTTGTGCAGGGGTGGGTCCCAGGTTGCTGGGTGGATGGTGGAGGAGATAATCTCACAGGAGCCCAAGGCCGAGCGATCCCTCATGCACCGCTTCAACATTGCTCTGGTGAGTCACTCGCCTGCACAAGCCTGCGCCAGAAATCCCCTTACTTCTTAGACCGAGTAAGAAGTTGCCAGGGATTACTATTTCTGATATTTAGATATAGTACCCCCGGGTATCGCGCCAATCTTGGCGTTTGGCCGCAAAGTAATCCGTCCTGCACTGGGCCCTGCATAAACACCATTGCCAATCCTGGTCCTGCAAATGGGCAGGGGTCATTACATCAGGAATCTCTGTGTGACGTGTTTGGCTTTCCTGCTGTCTTGTCCCCTTGCCTTTATACTAGCAGGGGCCGGTTGCAGGGTCTCGTAGAGCCGACAATATTGCCTAATAAGGTCAAATAATAACGCCTGATCATGAATGTGTATGCGTACGTGGCCCTTGACCCCTATTTATTCCCCGCAGGGTTTGGTGGAGACGGGGGTATTGAGGGGTGATTATGACGATGCGCTGGCTGCGCTGACTGTGTGGCTGCGATTCTCGGCCGCTCGGCTGCTGACCTGGAACTCCAACTACAACGTCAAGCCCCGCGAAATCAGTGCCGCGCAGGCGAGTCATCCCATACTGCTTAGTCCGGCTTTTCAAGCGCAGCTTCAAGACCAAGGTTTATCATGAAAGTGGTGGCTTGGGAAGCTTGTACTGGCAGCTTACAGGTTTGCAAGGCCGCATGGCATGATATGCACGCTTTGATTCTGCACAGTCATTATACTGCAGCGCCACTGCACTTCAATACGCTGCACAATGCGATGCGCAAAACGAGACACTGTTTTAAGAGTGCGCCGCGTTAAGCGCAATCTTACACTGTAGCAGCAAGATGGTATCTATCTCGATGCACTCATTTCTGGCCCCAGCCTGGAGCCCCACAGGGTGGATGCCATCAGTCTGCATGGTAAAACGGCTGAGGGGCCACCTGAAGCTACCGATCCTGCACATTTGCGCTCGGGTTCCCGGAGACAGTTTTGCATGGCTGCTGCAGGACCGGCTGACTGGGCGGCTGGCGGGGCTTTACGAGGAGGGCAAGGGGCTGCGAGATACACTCAGATTGGCGCTGGTCGCTGTTGGCCGCGGCGGCCAGGGTGATGTGGGACAGCGAATCAGGGACGAAATCCTGACCGTCCAATCCAACAACGGCGCCAAGGTGAGCCTAGATCCTAGATTCATTATCCAAAAGTCCAGGAAAGCCCGAAAAACATGCAAAGGCTTTTTTTTGGTCCTCTGGCCTCCAAGGCCTCGTGAGACCTTTGATCATGGGCATCGTGTCATGTGACAAGCAAAGCGGCGATGCTTTGAGACAGTCCTGCCATATATAAGGCGATTAGAAAATCTGAGTGCACTGGAGTCAACTCAGAAAACTAGAGAGTGCACCTGGGTGCAAGCTAGGCAACAAATCGATCAAATGCGCAGCCAGCAGCACCAAAAGTGCCGGCACACCAAATGAAAGAAGCTCCCCTCTTCTCCTCAAGTCAACGCAGTCACATTTAGGTCTGAGACCGTCCAGTTCAACAATGACACCACAGTGAAAACATTTGGATTGTGCCATGAAGGGTCGCACATGTTGCCATCAGTTCTGCATGCAAGCAACAGTGCCTGTTCGAATGCTCATCGACAAATTCTCCGAAATTCTGCAGTCCTATCTCATAGTTGCGTGTGCGGACTTGCAAATGCATGAAGAGGCAGAACTAAGATTTCAAAATCCGCGAGTGATTTTCTGTCTGTCTCTGGATCAGGGGACTCCAAACTAGTTTAGAGTCCCCTGCTCTGGATGATCCCAAGGGGCAAAAGATGAGCGTCAAGGAGATGCTGCGTGTGCCCAGGGAGATAATGTGTATGTCCAGGGGGGGATGATGGAGGAGTGGCACCAGAAGCTGCACAACAACACCAGCCCCGATGACGTTATTATTTGTCAGGCATTACTCGCCTACATCGACGCAGGCCTCGACATCTCGGCATACTGGGCCACACTGCAGGTACATCCCATTTAAACACACATACTCACCCTTTCTAACATAGGGGTTCTAGGAATTTGGGTTCAAGGTTGAACCCTAATGTTGAATAAAAGAGCGTAACAGGCAATGACTGGGTTAGGCGAAATGTAATGCATGCAGTTCTTGGTGGTGCTTAAACTCGGATGAGCGTGGGGCTGACTGATAAGAGTTCAGGCAACCATTCATGATGCCTGCAGAGCTCAAACAAACTGCTCTCGCCATACTGTATATGAGCCCATGCATCAAAGTAACTTATGCTCAATTCCAGCTTGTGACTCGCTTCACTGTCATGGTCCCTCTCCAGGCTCTTCAGGTACTAGTGCTTATATCAAAGTCATGTCCACCAAATCAAGCATTCCTGTATTGTGTATGCGCGCAGGCGGCAAACATCAGCAAGGAGAGGCTGGCAGGCTTTGACCGGCCGATAGTCAGCGAACCAAAGTTCTCAGAGGCGCAGAGCTCCGGTCTGAAGCGCGACCTGACTGCCTACCTGCAAACCCTCAAGGCAAGACTACTGCGAATTGTTTTGTGAATGTACACTCGTAAGGGACGTGCAATAAAGGCATGAAGCACCTGACTGTAGACTGACTGTAGAGGGCGATCTGGTGCGTGTACACAACTTGTTTGGAGCTCTTGAGCAAAGTGCTGCACGGTAAGGGTCAGGGTCAAAGACATGACTTCAGATCCCTTGTGTGGCTGGCAATGGCTTGCATGTCAAACCGCACGGGGCATACGTAGAGCCCCATTTTCGCCACCTGCCTGTCTTCTGGTGAACAGCAGCATCCAGAAACATCCTGTTGCATTGAGGGTTTGGCCCTGGCTGGCGGGGGGCGGTATAAATGCTGAGCACCGTGCCCACGGTTGATTGGGTCTTGCTTGGATCTGGCGAGTCCATCAAGGGGTAGGACTTTGGCAGCCTTAACTGCAGCTTGTCTGCAGACGCACCTTGCTTCTGGCAGGAAAAGCGTGTAATAATATTAATAATAACTGAGGGTACTCATGCATGCGGCAGGCGGTGCACTCGGGCGCGGATCTGCAGTCGGCGGCTGCATCGGTGCTGGGATACAGGCAGCCATCGCTCAAGGGCAAGGCCATTCTGGTGGAGCCTGTGCCAAATGTGGCCACACCCGCCTTCAAAGAAATCATCAACGACGTGCTGGCTGCGCAGCAGCTGCAGGTGAGTCAGCCGGCCGAGGATGAAAGGATGTGCTTTGATGGAATTTGCTGCTACACTGCCTGTGATTGCCACACTGATGTATTCTATGCATGCAACTCACGTTTTGAAGAGCAGAAATTCTATCTGCACAATATCTGTCCCGTCTCACAAAGAAGGGCCTCTCTTCTCTGCATGCTCTCTCCCTGTTCGACAGCATTTGTGTGCTTTGACGCATTTGCATGCAATGCACACAGAGAGTCATATATTTCTCTCTATCTCTGAGTGAGGAAGTAAAATCGTTCAGTCAGACCCAATAAGCCAGTCAGGCAGGCAGGCAGGCAGGCAGGCATGGATGAGATCAGCCAAAGCAGGGCCGATCCGATGATGCCTGCTCTGATCCTCAGAGTGAGCCCGACCTGAGCCCCTGAGACTCGTGTCCAGCATCATTGACAGGAGTTTGTTACGATGGCATGTGCCGGCATGTGCAGGCGGGTGGGCAGCTGGAGGGGGATGTGGAGGGAGTGGCGTGGGCATTAGAGGCCATGGTTCTGGCGCGAAGGGACCTGCTGCCAGCCATCCAAAACGGCAACCAGGGCTGCGGCGGCCGCCTCAGGTGACTCACCATTTGTCACTCCTCGTAGCCTCTTGTTACCATGGTCAGCACCGTAATATGCGCACCCCCAGGAATGCACTTAATTTTTGAGTTCCCGCAAGGCTATCTCCATGCCATGAGTTGCCTCTGAGCACTGTGGCCACGCTTGATTGGGTCGTGCTTGCATTGGGCGAGGCAATCAAGGGGTGGAATACAGGTCAGCCTCTACATGCAGCTTGTCTGCAGACGCACCTTGCCTCTGGCAGGAACAGCGTGCAATGACAGTGACTATATCTAATTTCATCGCCCTCTTTCTGTTCTGGGATTGTACTGCGTGTCAACAAGGGCTCTCCAGTGACTCTTGTGGCGCAGGTGACGTAATTATAATATTGGGCCAAGCCTGAACTTAACCGCAACAAGTATTTTGCTGGCAGCATGAGCACACCTTTTCCTAGTCACCTGCAACGAAGGGACGCAGGCAAGAAATTGCTGACAAAGTGGAGGTGTGGTTTAACGCAGGGACGTGCTCTATCTTGATCTGGCATTGGAAGCGGCGGCGCGAGGCGTGGCCGAGGCCAACATAGGCGCGGTCAAGGCAGCTGCCGCAGATACACTCCCTGCTGCGCTGCGCGTGCTGGCCGCGTCCCTGCACAACGCCTGCCTTGCCCTTGGCTCCAACCACGAGCTTGTGCTCTGCCTGAAGGACCTCCAGGCATGCACACTCTCAGGCTCTTCAGCTTTCCATGTATAGTGCCACTTCCTCATCCACAGTTTGCCGATCTTGACGCAAGTGAACGTGACCAAACAGTAGATTTCAAGTTTCTGGCAAGGGAGCATGTTGCGACAAACCATGACCTCATGGAAGTTTTCAGGAATCCATAATAAAATTTCACACACGGGAATCAAAGGGAATTTATGATCACATACTCAGGGGGCGATGGCGGCAGAGGGAACGGCGGCCGCGATGCGTGGGGCGGCGGCTGCCGAGCGGCTGCGGCGCGCGCTGGCCGGCCTGTCGGTGCGGTACGCGGCGGCGCTGCAGCCGACGGCGGACGCGCTCAGCCGGGGCCTCGGACTTCCGGACGACGCCGTCAACATCTTCTCGGAGGAGGTGCAACACTCTGGCTCATCTGCAGCCCACAGAAATCGGATGTCTGTAGATCTAGAACGTATCGCAGATGATTTAATCCAAGAGAAATTAATGCCATGCATGCTTAATCAAAAAGACATTGTCCGCTTTATCTTAAGAAGGACGTAATCTCTTGTACTGACACAAACAGACGCCACAGTATGGACAACGTGAGAGGCACATGTTCAAATCTTAATAAGTTTAGAATTAATAGGCAGAACTTCATTGGCAAGCACAGGTGATTCGGGGCACGGCCGCGGCGCCGTGCGCGCAGCTGCTGTCGGCGTTGGAGCCTGCCCTGAGGGCAGCGGCTGGACTGGGCGCGTGGCAGCTCGTGAGCGCGGGCGCCGGCGGCGCGGCTGCTGGGAAGCTGGTAACCGCCGAGAAGCTGGCCCACGTGCAGCACGCGCGCTACCCGGAAGCTACCGTGCTCCTGGTCGACAGCATCAGCGGAGAGGAGGACATTCCAGAGGTAAGGATAAACCCTCACAGCAAAGGACTTTAAATGCCTAGAATAAGAGGGATCGAGGCATTTAATTCTATGTAAATTAAAGTATAAGCCTATATTAGCTAGGCTTATATATATATATATATAAGCCAGCTAATGGCTTTATTTCTGTAAACTCATACCGCGCGGATGCCAGGACTTGGCAGATAATACTCGTGCGGTTATTGAAGGAGGACTCCGCAGAAGTTTCTTCGCCTCTGTAAATGGTTGCCAGTGCTCGAGCTTTGCTTTGCATCACACGCACCTACTTTTAGTGATGACACTAATTCAGCAGCCGTCAGCGAAGCAGTGAGCAATGGGAATCTGTCATCCATTGCTCAGCATGTGCTGTCATGTGCGCTGTGTAGGGCTGCGTGGCGGTCATAACATCAGACACGCTGGATGTCTTGTGTCACGCGGCTGTGCGCGCGCGCAACTCCTCCGTGCTGCTTGCCTCCTGCAGCCAGCCGCCGGCGCTCGCTGAGCTGGCAGGCCTCGCTGGCAGCCACGTCAGCCTCACCATCTCTCAGGTTTTAGACAAGATTCTTTTCCTGGCTTGTACTTTGCTGCGATGCTTCATAACAGTGGTGGAAGGATAGGTTCTTGACTATGGCAGATATGAAATGTGCTTGTATATGATTTTAACCAGCCTCATGGTGCAGATTAAATCCTCCCCAACCAATCACTTGAGTTCCCAAATCAGTCAGAAAAGACAAGTACTATTCTTGCCTGCCTTTGGCTTGTGCCGTAGCATATGATCACTTCCCCAGGCAACTGCCGTGTATATGTGTGTAATACCTTTTTGATATTCTAACCACGTTATATGCAATGTCAGGATGGCTCGGAGGTCAGCTGGGAGGAAACGGCGGGGCCGGCGCAGCCGCCGCAGGAGATTAGTCATCCGCAAGGGAACGCCCCTGCAGCCGACATCAAGCTGCGTACTCGGGCATGGTGCGGCGAATGGGCCGTCCCTTCGACGGCGTTCACTGCCGACCTCGTCGGCGCCAAATCCCTCAACACCGTCAAGCTTCGGGTATCGAGCGCTCATGCGTGTTCCCTCCCTTGCAAACCCCTGTTGTCAGGGGTGCTACTGGGGAAACACACTCCAAAAAAATGTGTCACACGCGCTTGACGATGGATCATAAAACATGCTGCTAGAAGAGCATGCTAACGTACAGCAAGAAGGCTCACTCTGAGAATGGAAGTACAATAAGGAGCCCTTCTGTTGAATATGGCTGCATGCTGTCTTTGCAATCTACCTGCATCTGCCAAAGAAAGATCCAAACACCCTGGCCTCAGAATAATCCAAACAACACAGGCTGAAGTTCTGTGCTGTGCGCGCGCAGGGGCAGCTGCCGGATTGGGTGAAGCTGCCGGCGAGCGTGGCAATCCCCTTTGGAGCTTTCGAGGCGGCACTACAGGACGAGATGAACGCGGACGTGTCTGTGGACTTTGTGAAGCTGGCCGGCTTTGGCGGCGCGGCGCAGGAGGACCTTAGTAATCTGGAGGCTCTTAGGAACGCCGTCCGACGCCTGCGACCTCCCCAGGGGTTCAAGGAGAAGCTGCAGAACGCCTTTGCAGAGGAAGGTGGGTGCCTCTTTATGTAGAGGCATGTGATGGAAAATGAAATTTTAGGTGTTCCAACTTTGAGTGCACCGATTGGTGGTTGCAGGCATCGCGTGGGCTGAGGGGCAGTGGGAGGGAACGTGGGCGGCGGTGAAATCGGTGTGGGCCTCGAAATGGAACGAGCGCGCTGTGCTGAGCCTGCGGAGGGCGGGCCTGTCTCACGCGGCGTTGCAGATGGCCGTCCTCTGCCAGGAAGTGGTGCCGGCTGCGTACGCGTTCGTCGCGCACACCACGCACCCCACGACAGGTGTGGAATATAAATTTAGATGAAAATGTTTTCATGAATATAATTTCAACTTGTTATCTTTCACATGGAACCACGCACCTCACGACAGGTGCAGATTTATTCTTATTTTTTTGAATATTGCCCAATCTATCTTGGGGTTAGATATTCGAAAGCTGTCTGTCACGTGGGATTCTTGCTTGGTCTGGACTCCCCCACATTGACTTTCTTCCTGGTAAGCTGCACATTGAGACCTTCTAGTAATTGCCCAGAACGTTTTAAGCACCTGGCCTCATCGCGTGCACAGAATTTTGCTTGATATACGGTGCAGCTTGAGGTATGGTCTCTTTGCAACCGCTCATTTAGCAGGTAACAAGCTCACATGAGGCCTGCAGCTCAGATAGAGGGTCCTGTGCATGCATTTTGCACAGTAGTGCTAGTCATATGCCGGCAAGCAAAATCAAACAGAACTTGATCCAATAATGCAGAACAATCTGCGCAGGGAACGCTGAGGAGATGTACGTGGAGGTGGTGAGGGGCTTGGGGGAGGCCCTCGTCGGCAACTGGCCGGGCGCCGCCCTCAGCTTCACCGCCGCCAAGCCACCGCTGGCCGCTGCGGTGGCGGCTGCGTGGGGATCCCCGGGGGACCCCGCCGGGGCGGCAGCGGCGCGGGGAGACCTCCCGGTGGCGGAGGACCCCCCGGCGGTGGGGCCCTTGCCGGAGGGCTGCGTCCGGGTGTGCGGGTACCCGAGCAAGTCTGCAGCGCTGCTTCTGGCCGACGAGAGAACGGGTGGCGGCACCGTGACAATCTTCCGCTCTGATTCCAACGGAGAGGACCTGGAAGGGTGAGCGCCTCTTTTCAACCGACCCCACAGGACCCTTTCGAATACGTATACTGATTGAGGCAGAGCAAGTGGGCGTCGCTGCAAGCTCGGTGCTGGAGTGTAACACTTGCATGGATAGAACTTAGCACTGCATAAACAATTAAGAAGGCCCGTTCCACAGCACTTGAAGAAAAGTGCAGCTGATCCTAAAGATTGATTATTGCTTGCCTTGTCCTCAAGAACACATGAATTTGATTTCAAACGCTAGAACTGAAAAATGCTTTGCAGGTATGCTGGCGCGGGCCTCTTCGATTCTGTGCAGTCGGTAGAGCCGCGCGCGGTGCCGGTGGATTACTCATCGGAGCCGCTCGTCTCCGACGGCGATTTTCAGCGCGTCACGCTCGGCCGAATTGCCGCGGCAGCAGCCGCCGTGGAAGCTTCCGCAGGGTCGCCGCAAGATATAGAGGGGGTTATTACCGCTGATGGAGTCCTGTACATTGTGCAGACCCGCCCTCAGGTGTGAATGTAAAAATGGGCACCGCAGAATTGCTACAATATATTGAAGGGGTTTTCACCGCCGACAGAGTCCTGTACATTTTGCAGACCCGCCTTCAGGTGTGAATATAAAACTGGGCAAAATGGCTGTGAGATTGATAATACTGGTATTCTTTCAGCGTGTTCTAGGATAGTGGTAGTCCTTAATTTACCTTGAATTAGTCATTTATTGGATTCTTTGCGCTGGGCTCTTTGGTGAGCCAAGAAATTTATTCAAAAGCCGGAAGATCAAGCGCGCAATACCCGGGAAGTTATCTTGGGCGTAATTGTGAGGTTTCAAACTAAGCTGCGGAAGGAGAGTTCAGGCATGCTGTTTATACGGACTGTCCGGGTACAGCCTTTGGCAAAGGGTAGATTAGATGTCATCCCAGGGGTTAGAGATCTCAAAAGGCATCCCCATGTACACAGGTGTTGTAGGACAGGAGTTTACATCTTACAGTGCTCTGCAAAAGTGTGCGCTTTAAGGAAATTGGGTTTATTCCTCTGAAAATGCTACGCCATCTGTTGCTTGAAGTAGAGCACATTAAGCCACTTATTTTACGATTGCTTGAGAGCATTCATAATCACATGCCAAGCAGGCTGCCTTTCATAGCTATAGAAAGCATCCCAGGGCAGGTCACATCTTTACCCGATAACGTTGCAGAGCCCTTAAAACATTGCAGCTAGGCCATAGCAGGACGTCATACGCCCCAAAATTCCAAGGTGTGACATGGTGGACTTGTCGGGGCTGCCTTGCTGGTCCGTGTTAACCCAAGCACAATGCTCGAGTTTGTCTCAGCCATGGCCGCCATGGGAAAGAAGATGGCATGCTTTGATAATATTGTTGATGTCAACATCAATGCAAGGCATGCAAATAAAGGTGTGTACAATGGAAGGCATTACTGGGCTGGGGGTGGGTATCCCAAGAAGACATGGCCTTGCAGGTGCGGGGCGTGTAGTCATTGCCATATGCGGCGCATCCGCAAGTGGTGTGCTACCCGTGCATGCATAGCTCGTGTTAGGGTTCAACGTTAACGCATGGCATAACTGATTGCTACTTTGCTTGTCTACGCTTTAGATTTTAAGGATGACTTTTAGAGCGATCATAAGAAACATTTTGCAATGGCATTGCTGAAGCCACAATTCCCTAATCTTCCCAATTACACGCTGCATGCTCCACAATCCCGGCAACTCCTCATGTGCACAGGCTCCGCACCATACGAATATTGCCTAGAGCCGGATTTTCGATTATAAGGCGTGCCGCACTTTTGGTGACATTGGGCGATCAGCTCTGAGAAAAAGGTGCTTCAACTTCATTAGCACCGGCATGATAGAAATGCATCAGATGTTTAGCGACAGCAAGCGCATGTTAGAGGCAGAATCCAGGAACTTGCACACATGTGGGATGCCTGCTTAGATTGCCGTGTCACACAACAGTGCAAGCTGTCGTGCTTGCGGAAACGGCACCTCTTGCAAAGAGCGAACAATGAGCCACGGCTATTGTGTCTTTGCGGCTGCGCCGGACGAGACGAATAATCCGCAGGTTCAGTGCCAGAGTCTCGACTTCAGACCAGCGGCTGCAATTTCACATCAGGTGGCCCAGAGTTTAGGGGCATGAGTATGAGGCAGCGGGGCTTCACAGCAGCTGTTGCCTTGCAGGTTCCTAACGCTAGAGCCCACTCCTGTGTGCTGAGGCGATCAGCTAAAAGTCTCCACAGCTCAGGCGGCAGCTGGGGTCTCAGTCTTTTTGCTAGACTTGGTGCTGCGTCCAGCCAATGGGTGTTCCTGCAAACGGCGCTGCAGAGCCATGCTGCGTGTGTTTTTGTGCCAAAAATTTTCGGCGGCGACAGCACTCTCCCGCTGCTGGCACCAATCAATCTGTCGTAGGACGACTTCATCGCAAAGCAGGGAGACTCTGTCGTGCCAACCATGTTCTACGGTAGTAAGCATACTAGCATAGACTGAAACTAGATACAGTTTCAGTAATCTGATGGTAATGTTACATCCACGGCAAAACCATACTGTACACAATTTTCCCATTGTATTCCTGATGGTATGATTTCAGGTTTTTTTTAGTATACCTTCAGAGCTTGGCAGCACTTTTTTCTGGGGCGATGGTGCAGTTCTTCAAGAGCAGAACAAGGCCTTCCTGTGGACACGGATGGATGTCGATAGAAATTTATTTTCTGAGTTGATCAAACCTCACTGACCACCTGGAGTTTCGATTGTTGCGCCAGCATTTGGACGCCATCTCGACGGCTCCTGGAACCTGTCGGAAGCTCTTTCGAAAAAGTCTGGTGCCGGCACGTGTTTCAGAGGCATGAATTTGCAATCATCTTCTTCATTGCATGTTGAGCGTGTTTCTTATCAATGGTACTAAATATCAAAGGAGAGATCAGACCGATAACGTTCTGTGTGCTGAGGCTGGGAGGCGTCAATGGCGTTCAACTCATCACAGCTCGAAGCAGCGATCAAGGAAGGGCGATTTGAGGATATCGCGCCCCAATTAGATGCTGAGGAGTTGCAGGTATCGCTCAGCCGGTCAGTGACACATATTTGCCAACAATCCTATGTTCAGGTCAAGACAAATCTTAGAAGAAGCTTTGGTCAAGCATTGTGGCCTATTGGCAATGCCATATATGGCTAATTTGAAACATATAACACTATGCCTGTGTTTTTGCAGTCCCCAAACCCTTTAGTGCTCGCACAAGACTGGCCTATTGCTCTGCATCTACTCGGACACATCTACAACGGCAACTTGTGCGATCTCATTTCACAGCTTTTCTATAAAGTCTACTGATTCAATCCAATGCTGAGATTTAAAGTTCCTATTCTCTTGCCTGGATATAAGGTCTTCAGGTTTTCCTTGTTCTGAAGGGAGGATGCAAGGTTTTTGTGGAAGCGAACACCTGCAGCTGTGAAAGAACAGGTGCAGCTTCGATCTCAAAACCCAGGTGCCTTTGACGTACGTTGCCATCACTTTTGCCAAAGTTGAGTAGGCAACTCCTGACGTCGTGCTGCCATCAACATGAACCTGGCTGACTGGAAGACGTTTATTTTTGCAGGATGCAGAGCTGAAGGCAGCCTTCCATCTCCTGCAGATCACGTGGAATAAGGACTACCAGGCAGGACATGTCACCCCCTGACCTCCATACATAGCTCTCTGCCTGAACAATCAGAGCTCGTCTTCCCAGTAATGTGCCTTCATTATGTTTATCACAGCATAAAGCTGTGTCATGTAAGTTTGCTAATCATGACAGACTCTTTTGTGGACGCACTCTCCGGGAAATTGGATAGACACAACTGCCCTGCCTTAGTAGCATATGCCATGGACCTGTGAAAGAAGGGGCCCTTTCTTCATGTGCGGACATGCCGAACCATATGCATGAATGTAGAGGATATGCCTGCAGGCCATCTGGCCCGCACTGGCAGGGCATGCATGGAGTCGGCAGGCGGACAAGCTGGTCGCAGCGCTGCACGCAAAGCTGAGGGCGCACAGCCTGCAGCTGCTCTCTCGCTCCTACTCCACAATATCCCCTGCCAAAGCTGCTACTCTGCTGGGTGCCTCTGAGGCGGAGCTACCGCCACGTGAGCCTCTATCTCCTTCTGTAATTTACCTGGCTGATGTCTCAGCTCGTTATTGTGACTGCACGCGTATCCAGTCCATGAGGATCAGGTGCTGTCTGATCAAAAAGGCAGCTTATGAAAGAGCTGCCTGCCAATATCTTGCAGCTCAAGCAGGAGTCGATCGTCGTTTTACGATCTGGTGTTTTAAAGTTGTTACCAGATCATGCATGCTGAGTCATGGTGCAGGTTAGGATCAGGCACTGTATGCTGACACATTTTACAAATATACTCTACATCTGTGCGTTGCAAGGGTCGCTGGTGTAGCTGATGCCGCTGGTGCATTCCACCTTGCACAGTGCAGGAGCATTTTGCGCGATGGACAGGCGCAAGCATGATGAAGATCGTGCTTTGCTGAAGGTGTTATTTGCTGGCAGCCATGTGGGTTCTGACTTTGCTGTGTCTGGCCAGTGGTGGAGCAGGAGGGATGGAAGCTGGATCCTGCCACCAACATGTTCAAGGTGGGTCCATGTTCTGCTTGCAGAAGTGCCGGGCTGTGCTTCACCGTGGGCTGTAAAATACCATTGCAAGAGTGACTTGGAGCACATCGGGGACCTTCAGATGCTGCATTCTCGAACTCTCAGCTGTGATTTGGATAGCAGAGCTCCCCATGATGGCCTCACCTGGCAGGGCTCATTGCCTGCCCTCTAGACTAAACAGTCAATCAAGCGCTCGGCACAGGAAATTGACCGAGTCGTGTTTGTATCTGGGAAGTTTGATAAGGAGTAGGAGTATCGCCAGCCTTAGGGTGCAGCTACCAGCACAGTCACTCCTTCTCACCCAATAATTTGAGAGTAAAAGCAGAGATGAATCTGTCAATATCACTACTGTGCAGGTTGAGGAGCGTGTTGTGGAGGATGCTGACCGTGCAGATGTGCAGCACTTGGAGCGCCTGTCTCGGTATATGGTGCATCTGGAGACTGGAGCATAGATGGCTTTGGCAATGCTGATAGGATGGATCTGCTGCAAGCTCTGCTGAGGGGACTCGACTTGCTGGGAGCGAATTAAATGCCACTGAATTTGTCCACAACTGACTGTTACTCCGTCTCAGCCGAGTTTGCCTGCAGTGAAAATTGATGGCCTTGAGCACGGTCTGGAGAAGTAGCCCTGCAAGACCATACCTCTGGATGTGTCTGTGTAACACTTATCCTGGTACAGTCCTAGAGTACACAAGTGCTAGAGGGTTACAGAAATCAGATCTGTTTCCGTCAAGAGTACTGACTACTTTACTCTGCAGTGCAAGGCAGCCCTTTCTCCTTACCCCTGGTGCTCGCTTGGCTCTGCTTTCTGCATTCCATTTTCTCTGATTTGTGGAGATGCAATTACATTAATGCTATGACAGTGGGCTGATCTCACCTCGCTTGAAACCGCAAGGAAACACACATGCTGTTAGGGAAGACAAATGGACACCGGTGGTACCTAGGAAGCTGCTGGAACCTGCTCAAGGCAGGCCATGACAGAAACAGATCCCAGGTTCATTCCAAGGTGCATCAATATCTCCTTACGGCACAAGGGCACAATTCGCCTGGCGTCGTTCCTTTCCAGACATCTGCAGATCAGTCCCACTGCCCTGATTATTTTCGAGCGAAGACACTCGTACACGTTTTAGCCTGATTCTGGGCGGCAAACTATACGTCCTTGCGATGCAAAGGGGGCCATTCTTCCAAGGTACATCGGTAAATCTACGCTCGTTGTGACCTCGTGCCATGTCATGCCAGATCCACGCAGGACCTGAGTGGTTGCAGCTGCATCTACTAGATTGAAGTGGAGTCAATCAGTCTCCCAAAGATATTGCTGAGACGACTGATGAGACGCTCCTTCATCATCAACCTTTATTCCTACTGTATTCACTGCAGCTTACACATCTTGTGGTGCACTGTGAAAGAAGTCTTGGACTACCTCACCTTGCCCATGTTCATGTATCAGCGAGAAGGAAGCGATCTTTGTACCCGGAGACCGTCATTGATAGCACGAAAAACCTAGTATTCTTGAGAAATTTCTTTGCCTCGTGTGAGCAGGAGAGGGCCCCTAGGTGACAGGCAAGCTGCAAAGATGAGGTGGCTAATCAACAGCATCCACGTCCTGGCGCTCTTGTGCGCGCTTAGCATCCCTGTAGCCATTTTTAATGGCACGCTCTTCTCATGGCATCCCACCCTGATGGCTCTGGCCTTCCTGGGGTTAATGGCAGAGGGAGTGGTCACATCCATCATGTTCCGCAGCAAGGTACTCGGCCACCTCAACCTGAACTTCCTCCCTCAACGCAATTTCTCATTGCCCAAACGTAAATCTTTGAATATTTAATACTGCCTTGCATGCAATCAATCATATTCCTAGACGAGGTCTCGCGAGCTCCAACCAGTGACATGCATGCATGAACATGCATGAAGCATACTGTATGTGTGATTGTTCAAAGCGGCTCATGCCATGCAGGATGGTCAGGATCGCGTGCATGCAATTCAGAGGCATCTGATCTGGCAAGCACTCGGCTTTGTGTGCCTCTTGGGTGGATTCTATGCCATATACCAGAACAAGGCGCGCCTCTCCATCCTTCCACCTTTCTCTTATGTTCCAGCTAAGACACCTCCTGCATCTCTGAATGACACATGTACTTTGCAGGTTTTGAGGAGCCTTGTTTGTTCTGAATGTGCAAAATCAGGGAAAATATCCACCCTTTGAAACACCTTTGAAAGATGACATGCATTTGTGCTTGCAGACGGTGCATGGCAAGGAGCACTTCAAGTCAGTGCATGCAAAATTTGGGCTGGCGACTTTCATCTTTGGCATCATCGCTCCCCTTGGCGGCCTCATCAGCTTCCGCCGACTGGGGCTGCTGAAGAAATTCCCTGAGAAGTACCAGGCCAGGATAAAATGGGCACACCGCAACGTGAGTCCATTCAGCTCACCTGCAGCACAATGATGGGCAGCTGCTACATTGATCATGTCTTCGCTTCCATTATTAGCTTCATTCTCTTGCAAGCATGTCACCTACCGCATAAATCCATGATTGCGTAGCACAATATTTATACCAATACTTTAATGTGAGAGATTCTTATGCTGATGGTATAGCCCTGTTCAGGTGGGACTGCTGACGTGGCTGCTGGCTGTGGTGACCATCCAGCTGGCGCTGACTCACCCTGCAGTCTGGAAGGTACAGCTTTAAAGCCCGTCACCTCCTCCATGGTTCTGGATTGCATTGCTCAGCTCCAGCTATTCACACAGGTCACGAAAGAAGTGCTATCACTGAAGTAATACATTAACCACTACAAAACCCATCAGGGAAGCTGGCATGAGGAGCTTCTCAAGCACATGCTCGGTACTACATTATAAAAAGGCTGGATCTCTGATCCGTGGGAGCTCAAGGATGATCACCCTCTCTTCTTTTGCTCTGCTCACTGCTTGTTGGCCACCTCTGCAGCATGTTTTGGTGATAGCGTCCGATCTGCTCCGCTGCAGGGGTGGCTGACAAGGGTGTGGCAACTGGGGGTGGCCCTTTTGGGCGCTGCAGTGGTTCTCCTAGCCTGGCTGCAGCCGCGCGCCCGGCCGGTGCCGGCCAGCGCCGAATTCGAACTAGTCATGGAGCCCACCCGGAAACACACCCCCGACCTGCCCAGGGCGCAGGCCGTCTGACGGGGCCGCCAGGCACGGCCAGCCTTGTGAAACTTGGCACTGTCAGGATTGGCTGTGTTCCTGTCGGGCTCAGCTTCAGCCTCTGCAGCTTTTTCTGCCACTGCTGTACAATCAATTAGTCGATGGGCAACCAGCGGTTGAAATAATCCTTCTGTAAATGCTCTTGCTGGCCGTCAAAAGGACACCAAAATGGGCTCACCTGCAGCATTACTCTCAAAGCTGAGGCCGTGTATCCACAAAGCCAGAGGGCTGAAGATCGTAATGGGCATTTCATCATGTCTTGATGCAGCACTGAATTCCTCTGATTGTATCTTTGTGGGGTGCAGGGGGCGCTGAGCAGGTGCTGGCAGGCTGGAGTGGGTTTGCTGGGAGCAGCAATTTTGGCACTGGCGGCGCGCACTCGACAGGGCAAGGGGCGCGGGGGTTCTGTGCTGCCCATGTATGGGATTGTATTTGCAGCGGATGAGACCAAGGCCTCCTGACAGGCAATCTTCTGTAAGCGCTGAGAGCTGTAAGGGGTTTATGTGGTGACCAGAAGAGAATTTGGTGTTCCCCATGTCTGGCATTGTATTTGCAGCCGATGAGACCAATGCCATACATTTGCTGAGAGCTGTAGGAGTTCTTGTGGGTGGCAAAAAAGGGGCTTGGTGCTCCCTATGTCTGGCATTGTTTCTGCAGCCGATAAGACCACCGCCTGCTGAGATGCGAGCCTCCAAGGAAGGGGGGAGAAAAACTGTCTTCTGTCGATGCACACTGTCTAAACCGTGGGGCAGCCCTTTCTTCCTCGTTGGCGCTCGCACTGCCTCTTATATCTGGCATCGTCTTGGTTTATGGCAGGTGAGCTGCGGGTTGTGAAAGCGAATGTTGATGGTGGCAAGATTGCGAAAAGGTATGCATGTTGCACTGCAGGGACAGGAAAGGCATTTTATGACGGCAGGTCAACTAAAGTTCGCCATGCGGCACTTTCAGCCGATAAATGCAGCAATCCGGCTTGCTTTGAGTGTCTTCATATGTGCAATGAAGCCCTCGACACGTGCACCTGTGTGTGCGCGAAATTTTGCAAGGTTTTGTGAAGTTCAAGGGGTTTGTGCAAGTCACCAGCAGGTTGGGTGCAGGTCAGATTTGTGCAAGTCAACTGATCCGGTGACATGCATGCTATGTATATACGGTGATCTTCCCAATTTAGGAAATACATAGCAAAGCTGATAAGGCTCTTCCCAGTGCTGGTGCAAGTGTAATGGACCATTACACCACCAACACTGCTCATCTTCAAGCAGCTAAGCTGTCCTCACCAATTTCATGCTTGGGAAAGGAAGGTAGCTCCGACAGGTTCTGCAGCATCTCATAAGTGCCGACACTAAAATTAACTTATTGCACTCCCCACTATAATTTACTTATTGCCTCGTTCTCTCCCCAAATACTCAACCAGAACACCTATATCTAATATCGGATCGCTGTTCGTGACAATCATCAGGGACGTGTGTGCTGTAGTATTTGGTGAAATAAAGTGATCTGGGCTGCGCAATCTTTGAATTTGTGGCTGATCGCTCCCAAGCTTTCGTAAGGGTCCTATATAATTTAGTTGTATGTGTAATTAAACTAAATGGGCAGTGGTCGTGATAAGAGAAAGAAGGCCAAGGGCAAAGTGCCTGGCCATGGCGATGAGAAGACGGCTCGCAAGACCGAGCTGAATCAGACAAAAGCAGAGAGACGGACGGCAAGACAAATAGAGGTAACACCTTCGATGTCTCACACGCCCATGGCTCCATAAAAGTGTACACAGCAGCCAGTTCTGTGCCTTGCCAACTCACGTCCTCTATGGCGCCATGAAAAGTCACAAGACCGTGACATGCAGGGAGGGGAGGACGATCTGGATGCGCTCCTGAAGCAATTTGAGCTCAACGACAAAAAGTCAAAGGAGATCGTTGTGCTTTCCAATGCCGAACCTCCCTCACCACGCCTCTTCGCTTCCTTCACCCCCGTCCCCAGCGCGGTACGGATCCCAACATCCACACTCATTATATTTTCCAGGCTCTGCGATGATTTCCAATATGTTCTTGAAACCATTTGCTGACAGTCACATGCCTTGTGGCCTGCAGAAGGACCGCACAAACATCCTCATGTTCGGAGGGGAGTACTATGATGGCAAGAAGGACAAGATGCATGTCAACAACGACCTCTTCCTGTACCACCCGGACAAGAACACATGGACCCAAATCATGTCTCCCCATGGGTGAGCGCGCAATGCCCCCTCACAGCTCTCTTTACTAACATCATTACTGATAGACATGCACATTGCTGGAGACAGATTGCAGCTGCATGATGCTTGGGCTCCTTTGCAACTTGTTTACTGCAATAACTGTTTCTGCAGAATTGGCTCTGCCGCAGATGTTACAATGTAGATATGAGTGCATTGACAAAAAAATCATGTTGCAAGTTCGTGGTAATGGCAGGCAAGAGCCAATTGCCATGTGCAGGCCTGCACCCAGGAGTGCACACCAGGCAGTGGTGCACAAGCGCTACCTGTACATCTTTGGAGGAGAGCTGACATCAGCAAACCAGGTAATGACCGCCCTAGCCAGTATTACCTTCTCCTTGATTGCAGCATCGCGAATTTGCAAAGCAACAGGATAACTCTGCTCATCCTGAAGGCCAATTGCTTGTGATCGTCAATCCACTCACTGTTCCTGCCAAATGAGCCTAATGCAGCCGAAGGGGGCCTACCAAGCAGGCTTGACTGGCAGGAAGCATGCGCTTGTATTCCCTCGGCCAGGGTTCCTAAGGACCTCTCAGGCTACCTAAGGCATGGGCAGACCAATTCATCTGAGTCAATGATTGGCGACGGCAATCATGTCAAAATCTTCGGATATTGTCCTTGTTCGGGAGCCAAATTGGCATGTGCCGGCTCCTGGCTGTGCGCAGGAGAAGTTCAAGCACTACAGGGACCTGTGGCGGCTCAACGTGGACACATATGCCTGGGAGCAGCTGCCCGCAAGGGGCGGCCCGAATGCGCGCTCCGGGCATCGCATGGCCGTGCACAAAGACCGCATCGTGCTCTTTGGCGGGTTCCACGACAACGGCAACCAGACGCAGTGCGTCTGCTGATCCATCTTTGACTTTCTTGTGTAGATTCTCATGACAATAGCATCCAGACGCAGTGCGCTGGCTGATCTAGATCGTGTTGTGAAATCAAGGTCCTGGATTTGAACGGCCAGATCCGTCACATTTGACGCCATGTGCGATCAACTCCTTATTGAGTCTATTTCTCTGAGTGTACTATTCACTTGAATCTGAGACAGCCGTAGCTAGATAGCTTTGGTTTCCTTGGGCAAGCTTATTGTTGCTCATGTGCACCCCTGCTGTGGCCATGCAGCCTCAAAACGGTGACATTCGCAGCCCAGAGCATTTTGTGATCGCACATTTGCAGGAGCGCGTGCATTTGTATCCCACCTATTGACCAGGCATTCCCAGCAGCAGCGGCAGTTGCTGGGTGTTGCTCTTCTGGCCTGACAGTTTCTGAGCGCAACCGCCATGGCCTTCTTTATCTAGCGAGTACAAGCCGCAGGGATAAGTGTAAGGTGTTCTTGCTGCAAGCCTGGCAGCCCTTAGAAAAGTGTCAGCTTCCTTGACCTTCCACCATGGCATCCACTAGGAAATGGGAATGTTTGAAGCATGGCTGAGTGGCCTTAACGTTGGATTGTCAAGGAAGCTCATCGTTGCATCTGCTAGATGCCTGATTTAGTGGCGTGAATCGGCTGCATGCATGCAGGTACTACAACGATCTGTGGGTTTATGACACGGAGGAGATGAGCTGGCGATCTGTGGGCAAGGCGGGCAGCAATGGGCCCAGCCCCAGAGGAGGCTCCCAGCTGGCTGTGCATGCAGACAGGTTTGATATTATTATTACTGTTTTAATGACTGCATGCTTGTTCTAGCCCTCAGGGCTTGGTGCGTTGCAGCAACCTCTCAATCATCCCTCTCCAGCCTTCCCTGTCTTGGTACTTTCTTCACCAGCGGCATGTCAGTCCAATGTGACGTTGTCCCTGCCAAATGTGTGCAACCCGCTGGTGAGAATTGGTTTTGTCGTTCAAGCACTGCTGGGCACAGAGCATGCAAGACACAGTCTCCTGATTCTATGCAAGCTGATCGTGGCATCATGCTGAGCTTCATGTGTGTTGGCGGGACATATGTATTGGCTCACCACATGCACACTATTACAGAGATAGACAGCGTTTCAGTGCAAGATTTCCTCGGCAAAATGCAGATCATACTGCCACCTATCGGAGCAAAGCCTCAAGGCTGCATATTGAATACCGAGCCGCCCTACGACTACATTTCACAATGGGTTCTATCTGGTACCTCTTGTACAAGGGGTAGATATCTTACGTGGCAATTTTTTGGTGCCAGGCTGTTCCTATATGGCGGGCACACAGTGATTGTGGACAAGGCTGACAAGAGCGAGCTAGAGCGCGTGCACGACGACCTTTGGGCCCTGGACCTGAAGACCTTCGAGGTGAGGAGATTGATCCAAAAAGCAACGGGGATCTGCGACATCACTTTGAGCGGCGAGACATGCAAGGCACTGAATCCTGTGCATGGTGGTAGATGTGAGAGGGCATTCTAGGAAGGCCCAGAAGGTGCTGCATGCCTCCTGAATTTCAGCTTGCCCTGCATTAGCAGCCTTGCCCCTGTGCATGCCATTCACTTTGAGTTCTCTCCTCATCGGCGTGCCCTGCAATAGCAGCCCTTCCCGCGTACCTGCCAAATACAATGCAAGCCCCCTCCTGTTCAACAGGTCGCAATTGCATGATCGAAATGATATTTTTGGCTGTCGCAGTGGGAGCGCCTGAAGAAGAGCGGCATGGCGCCCAGCAAGCGCGCCAGCTTCGGCATGGTGACTCACCGCGATCGGGCGCTGCTGTTCGGGGGCGTTACCGACCGCGCGGGGGCAGGCGATAAGATGTACTCCGAGCTGCACAACGAGCTCTACCAGCTCGATCTGACCTCGGAGCGGTGGCGGCCTGTGGCCATGAAACTCCCCAAAGCTCCCAAGGTCTGTCAAATCTGCTATGCTTTCTCGTGGGCTGGGAGATGTTTGTTGATGCGCACTGTTTACACCGCTAGGCAGCTCTTCCTCCCTTCTTGGCGCTCGCACCAAGTTTCATACCATTCAAATTGTTGGCTTGATTGCTCTGGGTGTGTCTGCCATCACAGAGAAGACATGCAACAGGCAAAGTGATGAGATTCCAAGGACTTGTCTGAGGAGACAAGCAGCATTAACGGATGCATCAGGCATGCATTGTGCTGCCCCTCTCTGAACATCTCCAATCAAGCAACTCACGGTGATCCGAGAGGTGTAGAGTGGGTTTTGCAATCATGCATGCCTGATGGCTTTTGGTAGCTCCTCAACTAAGGGGTGAGTATGTGTTTGATTGCCTGCAGGGCAGCACGGACACTGCGGCTACAAGCAGCCCAGGGGAAGCCGCTGCATCTGAAAACGCCAAAGCCTCCGGATCCAGTGCAGAGCAAAGCAAGGCAGAGTCTGAAGCAGGTACACTCTTTACTCCCATGACAGGATACCAATCCCCCTTGATTTTATCGTGCGAGCTGCTAGAGGAACCTTGAAAAATGGACTGGAAGTCTACAGGACAGTCGGCACCTGTGATTCGCATGCATGATGAAACGAGCGTCACTGAGAAGGTTTCCATTGGCTCATGTTGTACAGATGGAATCGAAAAATGTTCCTTATCAAGTGCTGTCTTGCAGGATTATTATTTTGTGGTCTTGTGCTGTCCTGATAATAGAAATAAACTTCAACGGCTGATTATAGTCTTGCAGAACACTCTGTTGTGATACTATGGCACTGATGGTAGGGCCAAACATTCATCCTCACACGTGCCACGATTCATGTCCTACCTGTCTATTTTCACCTTTTTCTTGATAATGCTGATCTTGCAGGAGTGTTGCGGCCAGACTTGGCACAATATCTGGCAAAGGGCGGCATAGACAAGAATTCTGCCATCTACAGAGCAGCCACACGCATCCAATCGCGGTATAGGGGCTACGCAGTTCGAAAGGTGCTCGCCTTTCTTGCTTTTCAGCCAATATTGGCTGCAGTTCTGTTCCTATTTTATTTTTAAGGGTTTCAAGGGAGTTTAGGGTGTAGGGGTTTTTGTGGTTTAGGGCTTATACACAGGTTTTGTAATATTGGCTGCAGTTCTGTTCCAAAAGCTTCATGTGCACAGCAACTCTGTAGCCCTGTGTCTCCTGAAATCTGACATGGGCCTCAGCTTGCAAGGGAAATTGCCAGTGCTGTTAATTGAAGTTTTGCCGCAAGGGATGCAGTTCTGTCATGCAATCTTAAGGAGTCTTTGCCTTCAAGGAAAGGTTCTCATCTCCGGTGCTGTTTCACGGCATGCAGATTGGCAGTTGCCCGGTGCTAAACCTGGGATGACTTTGCTCCAGGCATACAAGACATACAAGCTGGGAGGGAACATCAGCGAGCTGCTCTACTCGCCTGCCACCTATGGGATTGACCTGTCCCACAAGGATGTACCCCGCCCACGTGCGTCCCTCTACCTATAGTCAAATGTCGGACAATTATTAAGTTCAAATGACTATTCATGACCGGCAACATACACTGACCATATCCCTCTGTATCTGCCCCAGTGTGTGAATTGAGCATGTGCTGGCATTGCATGTTGGTGGCAATTTTGAACTTCAAGGTCATCATTAGAACAGTAGAAACTCCTTGCTTTGGTTCAGGGCAGGGGTCTTTTTTTTACTCTCTTTAGAGGCCAATCATTCTTGGTCTTTGTGATTTGATGGATAGTGGGCATCTGGTAGTTGTTTTTTGGCGGGAGCAGAGTGTTTTGAGTATTAGAACATCGTGACCATCCCGTTTCGCAGTATTTTTTCCAGTGTATGGACTGTGAGCACTTGCTGCATTGCATGGTGGGATGAGCTCAGGCTATTGTGGTAGGAGGAGTGCAGCTACAGCAGCTGTAGCAAGGGAAGTTGTAACATGTAATACTGTGTGCATGCATGCAGGGGCGCGCGCAAATCCCATGATGGCTGTCGTGGGCAACACGCTGTGGATGCTGGGAGGCGTTGTGGAGGTATTCCTCTCTCCTGTCTGCAACTGGCCTTGATATACTAACGCGCACGCACTGCAATCACTCTCTGTGCCTTACTGTAGCACCACGGGCCGTTTTGGCCATTTCTTTGGAGGCAGCAGCGCTCGATGCAGATCAGAAATGCACATGATCAGCTTGCTGAATGAAGCTTCTGGAAGTTACACTAATTTTCATTCTTGTTGTTACTCGGACATGCCTTTCCATAACTTGAGGATCAGTGCATCTGAAACTTGCAAGCGGAGATTTTGCACTCTTGGCCCTGTCAATGGTGAGCTGCCCTGTTGTCTCCCCCAGATCTGTTTACTCAATGGCTGGTAAGTGTCTTCATACTGTTCTGGACCGAAGCAATCATTTGGCTGGGAATGGTTTTTAAGGAGGAGAAAAGCCCTTGCAACGCAAGTTGGCCAAAACTAGCACTGCATAAAAGTGTGGTCTTTCTTCACCTGCAGGTAGCGCACACGGATGTGACATTGGATGACATGTGGAGCTTGGACCTCACAAAGCTGAACGGCTGGCGCTGCATAAAGGAGAACACAGAGGGCGAGGAGGCATTTGTGGAAGAAGGCTGGGAGACAGACGAAGGGGACAAAGACAGCGAGCAAGAGGAAACAAATGGTGAGGACGAAGATGACGAGTCAGAGGATTGAGTTGTTGGTCAGATGCATGGCTGTTGGTGTGGCGCCATATTAGCAGTGTGCCAAAGCAGCATGCAAAGCAGGCGCATCTTGGATCAGGACATGTTCCAGTCACCAGATGCTTCCAAATAGGCTGCTGCATAGCAGCGCCAGGGTACAAGTTGGCGCAACGCTATGACTGACAATGGTAAGATGATGCTGCATAGAAACGATGGGGTCTGAATAGAGGGCTGGGAGACAGACGAAGGGGACAAGGACAGCACACAAGAGGAAGGAAAGGGTGCCGACGAAGATGATGAGTCAGAGGAGTGAGGTGCTGATCAGATGCATGGCTGCTAGTGTGGCGCCATTGTATCAGAGCACCCATGCAGCATGTGAAGCGGGCCCGGGAGCCTTTGTATTGAAGAGTTGGTTCCAGCTGAATAGAAGCGCCGTACTAGCCAGCTGTATAGCAGTGCCATGATATAAGTTGACCAGGCACTATCAGTGACAGTGTCATGTTGACGCTGCATAGAAAAAGGTGGGGTCTGCGTAAAACGTGATGGAATGTGCGCGCAGTAGCATCAAACTGATGACCTCAGAACTTTTGACACAGCAGTGCGGAATGAGAAACATGAGATGCGTTGAACGCTTGCACATGCTTGCGAATAACGGATGCAATGCTCTGCTGCACAGCATGCTTAGGGTTTGCTTAGCATGTCTTCAGTGAGGTGGACCACAATTATTCTTCATGAGGCCTTGTCCCAGCACCAGTGACCGATCAAACTGTCTGACCTGTGTTACATCGTATGTTGCAAAGATGCATGCTCTACAGATGTCAAATGGAGATGTCATCTGTGGGATCTGGACCGTGTGACACCTGTAGCCAGTGGCACAAAAGTTCACCGGACACCGCAGGCGCCGGCTGCAGCTGGCCGGCCATAAATCTTGGTGAATATAGGGGTCAATCATTGACCGTCAATGTCATTACAATTCCATTTTCTTCACTATCATTTGAGAACATTACAGAGATAAGTTTTATATCGTTGCATGCTATCTTGTGTTTCACCCTTCTCTTCATTTGGAAAACTGCATGAGGGTGACCTGGCTGATGAGGCAACGCCGTCGAGTGGACGCACCTCGATTCTGACTCCGAAACATCGGAGAGGAAATTGTGAATCGCAGCCAGGTGAGCACTAAAACCGACTACCAAAGAACCCTGAACTCCTCTTTCTGGATGTTGAGGACATTGTTGCATCGCGCGATGAGGTTGTAGCAGCCAGGCCCTTTAGACGACGAGCGTGCAGTGATCTGAACGGATGTCACGGGTGATACTGCACTGATCCGCCTCAGCAAGAGCACAGAACATCGGATATCATGGCAGTAACCCAATTGCTTCAGGAGTGGGATCGTGATCAAAGGCTGATCGATCAGACCTTGGACCGATGCTTCCAGGTTGTTGTCTTCACCGTGTCTTGAACATTTCTTTAAGGGCGTTATTATCATGAACTAGCACGTGAAACTGCGGCTTTACAGATATCATATAGCACGAATGCCTTGCGCAGACGTTTGCGTGAGAATATAACGTCGAACCTTTAAGCTTTTTGGTGTGAATATGCACAGGCTCTCCAACGCCAGAAGGCCTTATTGACTTCCAAAAGGCGAGAAAACTTCAAGGTTAGCCTCGATATGCCTTTTCGAGGCTTGCGGAATCTGCTCGATACCCCAATAACTGCACAGTGTAGCCATCTGGTTCAACAGTCGAGTGGGATGCAAGTCTGAAAGCCTTGAAATCTGCTGCAGGTTTTGGGATAGCGCTCACTCAGATACCAGCAGTCCACGTGCAGAGCCCTTTCGTCAGCTGAATGGCTTTCGTCACACTGTGGCACCTAAGATCAGTGCACCTCTGACCCCTGCTGCTCTGGAGTGGCTTTGCACAAATGAGCCTCTGCTCCAAGAAGCAGCAGCAGCCGCCGAAGGTATTTTCACACCCGTCGTTCTTCTATTTCAGCCACACAAATATGCGTCCACTGTGCTTGCTTCTGCCAGATGCTGGCAGAAAGCCGTGCTATGCACAAACTGCAACGTTTGAACCATTGGGCCAAATAGATTTGTATGGTGAATCTTTTGACAAGCTGCAGACACACGGCACCTTTGGGGTACCGAGAGGGGAAGTGAAAGACTGCTCAACAGACCATGAGGCTGAGGTGGCTCTCAAGGGTCTCTCAATGGTGTGATCCAAATGTTTGTGCATGCTCCGCAGTGAAGCAGATGCTCTCTGCGCGGAGAAAACTGAAGCTTGTGTGCGAGCGGTACGGCCTGGACTATGCGGATCTGGCGCAGCACTCGGATGTCCTTGGCCTGGACATTCAGGGCATAGAGCGCGACTGCCAGCGAATCCACGAGGTCAGCTCATGTTCCGACCAAGTCATTAAATGACATTTTCCTGATGCCTTGCATTTTCTGCACATGCAGTGTCCTGAGCTTGGCTTGCATGCGTTGACTTGCTCCTGGAACATATTTGCCCATTACCTGCAACACTAGATCTGCTTATGATATTTGTGCCCTCCTGTGCACTCTTGTGGGGCCCCGAAGAGCGACACCAGAGGGTGGCGTTCCTGCTTCAGCCTGTCACCTTCCAAGAGTATTTCTGCCGAGAACTAAAAGCATTTGTAGATGTGTTTGAACATCAAAGGGTGGTGGTTTGTGCTCAGATGCTGGATGAGCTGTACAACAACAAAGGCTGGACGGTGTCACACGAGTCGGAGGTGAAAGTCACCTACCGGCACATCAAAGGTAAATCCTGCTCACGCCTGATCACACCTTCATTCCTCCGCTCAGCACACTCATCTGCTGCTCTCCTCGCCAACCTTACGTCTGATTCAAAGTCTTGTACACTCCGTTTATGCTGGCAACTCACGAGCCACAACCACCCAGCTTTGCAGCCTTTAAACCCATAGCTGGCCAACTTTACAGCGGTGTACCATCCCTTCATATCTCTGTGTCTGTGCATCCAACCAGAACGCACGCAGGTTTCCAAAGTTTATCGAAATCAATAGAGGTCCTGCAGGGCCATGTTCACATGGCGTAGCTTGTGAACCTGCCCTTGCAATTTCACTGCTTCTGCAATCAGGCATAATGCATGCAATTTGCGAAAGAACTGTTCTATAAACAAGACCGGTGGCCTGCAGGCGAGCCCTATCACAGTGTGAGGCTGGAGGCTGTGTTGGAGGCACCGATAGAGCATGTGCTGGCTCTGGCGGCTGAGTATGACCTGACCAAGATGTGGAACAGCTTCATGAAGGCCAGCGACATCCTGTACGCCGAGTAAGGCCCCTCACTTAAAACTTCCCTCATAATCGCGGGGGGATTTTGGCCTGCCGTCAATGTCTCTGGCTCTGGTGCTAGTCCATTGCAAGCACGAATTCAAGCCGCCAGCTTCTTGACATACCGTAATAGCTCTGAGAATGTATGCCGCTGTCACCTAGGAACCATCTTGCCGCAGAGCATTAGAGGTACACGGGGTTTTTCTTTGCCATGCCATGATGGGAGGAGGTAATAAAGCTTCGATTTACAATGACAAACATAGTGCAAAGTTAAACTTGTTGCTTGCGCTGTCTGATTGATGGCCTGCATGCACAGGTTGCCGTTCTTGACATGCATTTATGGCAGCCTCTGGACGCCCGTCGTGACATTCGATGCCTGTGTCAAGGCAGAGGGATACGACCTTGGAGAGGTAACTTCCCTCACTTTCAATAATGCCCCCAAAAACAACTCCATTGCTCCAAAACAAGAGCCTCTAATTATGCATGGCAGGGAAAGCAAAGCAGAGGGAGTGTGAAGCAGCGAAGGACCGTGTTGGATCATTTAGATTGAAAATTAGAGGTCAGTGCCTCTGATTTGCATCCTACTAAGCAGTTTGCTTATTAAAGTACCTTAATTTCCACTTTTATACTCAAAGTATACCGGCACAAACCCATTGGGCAGCCATTGTGGAAAGTGCTCTTCTTGGCAGGCCTTTGTGTCATGACATGCCCAGAGCTGTGGCAAACCTCCAGCAGCGTTAGTAAGGCATGCATGCTTGAAAGGTTCCAAGGAACATCATCTAGATAATTCCAGGTCAGGTCAGGTCAGAGTGCGAGGAAGCTCTGCAAAAAATGGTCAGGGCGCGAAGAATGTATAGGATTCAAGGATCAGGGTGCAAAGGAGAGCTTTGCTTGTCCTGCACCACTGCTGCTCATTTCAATGCATTGTTGTGCAAGTGCAGGAGGACAGGAGTCTCTTAATAAGCCTGACTAATATGACTGAGGAGGAAATCGCCAGAATAGGCGTCCTGCCGGACGGCCACGAACGCCGTCGTCGTGCGATCATCGGCACCGGCAGCTGCTTCCGTGTCGAGGCGTTGCCTCCCACTGCAGGCACGCCTACCACGTTACTTTTCAGTGAAAAGTTTTCACCTGTTCTGTTGAGTTTTGCTCCAGATTTCTGTACCTCCTGCTAGTGTTGCCAGGGCTTTTATGCTTTCCACGGCTTGCTTTGCATCCAGCCAGATGCAGCTTCTTCTTGATTTACAGAAGGCCAACTTGCCAAAGGACCGATTGCCACACTCTGTGGACACCTTTGATGAGCCCACTTTACTTTGCGTGCATCGGGCAAGAATAACTGTTGGTAGGATTACATTTATGATTACATTTAGAGACCTCTTTGGAGCCGTGAAGCTTATTGGTCCGGCAACAGTCATAATGCAATAGTGCTTTCACAGCACCTCACGGCAGGTGACAATATGATTCCTCTGACAAGCAGGGCAGGCAGAAGTAACCTAGTCTGTGAGGGTTAAAGTTTCTTTGTCCGTCTGCACAGACGGCCGGCCTCGCACAAGGGGAATGGTGATGGGTCATCTCAACCCGCGGCTGCCCTATGTGCCGGCCTTCCTCGTCAACTTCGTGCTCAAGGTGGCCTCACCTGTCATCTTCAAGATGATGAAGAAGGTGACTCATCCCCTGCATTCTCGCACCGCCTTTCAAGAGTGTGCATTCTCCCTGGTTTCCTTCTGCACCAAAGGGCAATCGTGTGACTGTGCAGATCTGCCAAAGTCCCAGGAGACTCTAGATGACTCCATATTCCTCTCCGAGGCTCGCCTGATAAGTGTATCGCGATACTTGCAAAACTCAATCCACTGGTCATGAGCAGATGCAAGTCCGTGCTGCTGTGTGACTCTGAAGCCTGCTGCTTCCTGTCATGTATCAGATGAACCTGCAAGGGCTCCTGCGGCATTGTAGGGCAAATGGGGTCGGCTGCTGGCTGTGCTGAGTGGGGCGCATGCATGCAGCAGAATTACTAAGTGTATACGTAATGATGGGCACAGGCTGTGGCAGAGCTATTCCAGGATCCCAGCGGCCTCTTCTGCCAGAGGATGAAGGCAAAGCCAGAGGTGTACGCTGCCACGCAAGCTCGCACAAAAGCCCTGATGAAGAAGTTTTATGGCGTGGATGACTACGCACCTGCACTGACTCGCAGCTCACCAGCTGGCAAGCTTACTAGTGGTGAAAAGGACTAAATTCTCCTCTGATGCCGTCAAATTATCTGTGCAATTCCCCGAGAGGCCCAAGTCCTGCAACTTTGGCTTTGTTCAAACTGCTAGGTAACATTGCGCATAGCACCTTTTCTCTTTGTTATTCTTTGTCACATGGCACGATTGAAGAGCATGGTTCACAGCGCAAGTTGACAGTGCGGTCTTGGAACTTGACGGTTCATTTTTGACTGAGTCGACATTGTAGACTCATAGATGGGACACACTAGCATGACTGTGTAGGTTGGATTGCCATTGTCAGAGGTGTGCATAATAGGTCTTCCCAGTATTGAGATTTCCAGAGATCCCCATGACCTGTGTACACACAATGTGCAGTGCCTGGCTTGATGCCTGACAATTTGTATCTGGAAAGTGATGTATGGATATTTCAGGACGTTCTGATAACAGCCTGGCTCAAGTTTTTTGGCAGTGCTGCAGTGCAGCATACTTATTGTCGGGCAATTGTGAAATTTGAGCTTGACTTGATCAGGTAGCAGTACTGTATTTTCCTCACGTAAAATTGTCATAGGTGGTGTGTTATAGGGGGTTGTTTACATGAGAGGCCAGGCTCACACGATAAGGGAATTAAATGCCACATCTGCATCGTAAATAGTACAGAGGGCAAGCTGCTACTTGGGGGAAAGTTTCAGTCTGTTACATTTAACCCCGGACCCATAAAAGGGTGCACCACTGGGTAAGCTGTGTAAACTGCTGATTTGTTCTCAGGCCTACGAAGTACCTATGCATGTCTAGCCGGACAAGGCTTTCCCGCGACACCTCAAAGATAGCAGGATGCTTTGATAGGCTCACAATATAATGCTGTATCTTGTCAAAGCACTCTCTGCGGCATTTGCAGGCTTGCGCAGATTCAATGCTTCTGCCATCACCAGCCATGAGAGTTCTCTTGCCACGTCCCAGTGTTGGGGTTGTATGTGCCTGTGCAAAAAAGTACTAGGTGAGGGGGCAACCAAAAGTGTGAGCGTATCATTGTTGTTATTACGCGCCTTTCCTGCCGAAAGGCAAGATCGCCTTGCAGACAAGCTGCAGATAAAGCTTGCCATAACACTACCCCTTGATGGACTCGCCAGATCCAAGCAAGACCCAATCAATACACCTGCTCTACTTACCGCCCCTCGCCAGCCGGAATGGAAAACCTCATGTGAAAAACTGACCAACTGTAAAATACCTTGAAAGCTTTTTTACAGCAAGCTTGCACGGCAATGGGGGCTTCTAGGCTTGTTTATTCCAGGCACCACTTCCACCGCGCGTGGTGAAACTGGTGCCAGAGGTGCCCAATTCACAGCCACGCCATGAGAATTTCGACACCAGAGAGCCTGTGAACGTGGTATGTGTAACAAGAAATCCCTGAGACGTGCGCTGCCAGGACGTACTTACAATGTCCCGAAGCAATAATCATTGCTAATCTGTGTGCAAAAACAGCCACGAAACAACAGCAGTCTCGACAAATCCTGCTGGCGAGCCAAATTGGTATGGAAGATTGTCGAAGATGAGTCTAGGACACATTTTGCTGTGGCTGGCTGCTATCAAAATTGAAATCGGATCCTGGCTGTCTGCTGATCTCAAGGAGTTCATGCTGCGCCAGAGCTCCTTCGTCTTGTCTGGAACGCCGATGTACAGGCGCCAAGAGCTAGTTGACTTTCGGAACACCTCCGAGGGAATTGACGTCGTTACGATGATTATGCGAATTCTGTCCTCCAAGATTTAGATTTGTTCTAGGCCTGATCAAAGGTGTCTGTCAGGCAAATTTTGAGCCAGACTCTTTTGTAGAGCAGGCAGTGATCCCAGGCGTACAAAGGGTTTCAGTGCATCGCCTTGCCACGCGTCCATATGATGAGACCAGCCTGAAGTATGGCTATCGTGGATTTGCTTCAAGATTGGGATCATGACCAGAAGATCATCGATCAGAAGTTGGACGATTGCTTCCAGGTCAGTGCCTGTCTTACAGTTCATCTCGAGTACTCTTAGTTGATGACGCCCTGCTTCCATTGTGAGCAAGCAACTTGGACACATCATATCCGATTCTGACATTTGATCCTTGCATAACAGGCTCTGCAGCACCGGAAAACAGCAGCAAGCCTCAATGGCTCTAGATCTTTTGAGGTAAGTGGATGCAACGAGCCTTTGCATTGCATATGCCAATGCTCAAACGCTTCATATATCGGAAGGTTGCTCATTTGTATTGCAGGGCAATGCCCGAATGTCCCAATCATTCTTCTAGCTCCCTTCTCCATTCTTGTAGGCTGGAAATGAAGCTCAAGCGGAGGCCAGAAGCGACAGCTTGCAAATGCCTGGGCAGCCAAATTACATCAGCCATGTCGTGTCTCCAGACATCCGTGCACCGCTGACTCGAGCTGCACTCAAGTGGCTTCAGAGCAGCGAGCCTCTGCTCCAACATGCAACAGAGGCTGCTGCAGGTAAAAGGCAGGCACCAATTATGCAACTTAGGATGGAATGAGTGTATGCACAACCTTCCTCAGCCGCATGCTGTAGGCTGCCTTGCACAGTGCTTGAGCATGAAATGCAAGGCTTGAGTCAGGTAGATCTCTTGGTCAGAGTGATTATCTTGACACAGTCACGTTTCTGTTGGCGATCCTCCAGCTTTTCTAGTGCGCAATCCAGACGGGACTTTGGCACAGCAGGTGTCTCTAGGCCTTGTTAACACAGGGTTGTGCACTGCGCAGATTCGCAGATGCTGGCTGCGCGAAAGGCGCTGGGCGGTTTGTGTGACAAGCATAGCCTGGAGTTTGCAGAGCTTGCCAGGCATTCTGCCGCCCTGGGCCTGGATGTTCAGAGCATCGATGACCACGCGCGGCACATCCAACAGGTACTGTTCAGAAAGCCGAAGACTTTCATCCCATCCTTCCCCAAATTTTCGGTGTGGATTGTGCATGCACCAGGCAACGCTGTAATACCAGGCCATGCATTTATCTGTCTGGAAGCACTTGGCGATTGCTGCATTCTCTCTGGCACTTTATGTACTATGCTAGACTGGGATTTGAACACAAGAGTAACGCATGCCTGGTGGAGCAATATTGCACCTGCGGTGTGGAAGGTCGCAGCAATAAAAGTGGTCGTGGCTGACAGGAAGGCAAGAAAAGATACTTACTGTACAAGGTGCATATTATGGTCATGAAGCGCATGTGATGAGGAATGGCTTTTCATTCTGGACTCAGATGCTGGAGGGAATATACAGCGATGAAGGCTGGACGATGTCGCACGAGTCTGACCTGAAGGTCCTGTACAAGCACGTGAAAGGTCGGCCCTGCTCACTTGCGATTCAGCTCATCATTACCGTACAACATCTTCCCATTGCTTTGTCTGCCGCCTCGATTGGATGTGGCTTCACTGCCTCAGTCAGGGTGGTGGCCAGTTTTGTGCATGTATCAAACTCACCTGCAACAATATGCCTCCATTGCAGAAATTGAAATCACAAACATGTGCAGCAAACAGATGAGCAGCTACCGCAAGTGTAGCACAGGTTATTTAGTACGTGGGGTCTGAATTTATTTACCAATGTGGTGCAGGTCAGCCGTATCATAGTGTAAGGATGGAGGCTATACTAGATGCTCCAATTGAGCACGCACTGGCGATGGCAGTGGAGTTTGACCTTGTCAAGACCTGGAACCGCTTTGTCACCGATAGTGTGATCCTGCATGCCAAGTGAGTCTTACCATCCTACTTGCAACCTTTCAGCAGGATTATATGATGATGTGGTATGATGATATGGATACTATCAATGTATTTATAGCAGTGAGCGTTCCTGCAGGACATGTACAAAATGCGTGGTGTCACCATGCATGTCTTCTCTGCCCACTCAACCAAGAATATTTTTTTGAAGGACAATAGGCAGGAAGGCATCCCTCTCTGAGGAGCAGCCATTCTTGTCTGGTACTTCAAAGATCCTGGGAATATTTATTTGCATGTACAATGGAGGGCTGACAATAACCTGATCGTGTCCAGGAAGCGCCGGTATCCATTCTTGAGCTATTTCTATGGCAGCATGTGGACGCCCTTTGTGATCTTTGGCGCCTGTGTCAAGGCAGAGGGTTATGACATTGGAGAGGTGCTTTTTTTGCCCTCATAAAAGCATCGGATGGCATCAAGTCATGACTCAACAAAGCCTTAAATTGGTCCATGGCCAAACGGCAGCTGCATGTATTCTGGCGTTTGGTTCAAATGCCATGCTGTATATGAATGCTGTTCATGGAAGAGAGAATGCCCATGGTGGTAGGAAAGACCGGGAAATATGGACTTCAAATCTCATGCTGTTTCTGTTGCAGGAGGACAGGAGCTTGTTAGTAAGCCTTACTAACATGACGGATGATGATATTGCCAAATTTGGCCCGCTGCCAGCCGGACATGAACGCCATAGGCGAGGATTTGTCGGCCCCAACAGCTGCATGCGGCTCGAGGCGTTGCCTCCCTCAGCAGGTGAGCCAACTGGCGCTCTTTGCTTTGGTCAGGGGTGATTACGCGATGAAGCTGGCATCGAGAAGGGATGTTTGTGTGTCCCCGCGCTCTCTGTCATCTGCAGGGGAGGGTGGGTTTAACGCGCACCCAATCTTAAATGGCAGGTGCACTTTAAGCGTGCGAGTCGCACACCCACCCTGTATGCTGATAGATGCATATCTGCTTCTGTCCCTGCCACTAGCACATGCGCACTGCAGGTCATGCAGCCTCAGATTCTTCCGGGGTTTCCAAGCATGCAAAGTGAGCAGCTTTAACTTAATGGGCGCCTGGCATGCCCACGTGGGTTATCAGGCTGGCCACAACTAACATTCCTCAACCTCCTGTGCCAGGAGTGAATTTTTCCTTGAAAGAGTCGGGTTCTTGGGTAGAACAGGTTGAAGATGAGATCTCTGCACATGAGATTGTGAGATCATGCCCTGCTGCAATAGAAAAAAGGTGACACCTCTTACGCATGGTGCGCTGTGGCCGCTTATACCCATCGGACAAGTTTGTATTACCATCAGAACTTACCAGGATCCCCAGCCACAGGAGCGGACCCCTGCCGGGTGTAGGATTCTCAAGTCAGATTTGTGAATAGGAAAGTGCAGATTGAGCAAGAGACACCATTTGTTGAAGTGTGCACGAGGAAAATTTTGGCTGCAAATGAAGGGCTGCGCCCTGTTTGCACAGATGGCAGGCCACGAACAAAGGGAGTTGTGGTGGCGCACCTGGACCCCCAAGTCCCCTTTGTGCCGCCCTTCCTCGTCAACTTTCTCATCAAAGTGGCCTCTCCTTCTGCCTTCAAGATGATGAAAAAGGTACCTACTTACATTCGACTCTCCCTTTTTAACTCAAGGATGATGGCTTGTCAGTCTGCAAAACTCATCAAGAGTGCTCTCTTGCTTTGGGCATATCTATGCGCCCTGCTGGTTGTCTTCAACACTTCCTTGTCTCAGGTCTGCCATGAGTCTTCTCGCTGGATTGTAAAATTCTGCATCACCGATGTCATCTATGCAATGAGCACTTTAGACTATGCATGCACAGAATTGACAATGACAGGGGGGAGGGAAAGGCTTTACATTTAAGTGAAGAGCGGGTGCTGTGAAACCATAATTTGAGCTCAGTGGGTGTCCGATGATAGCTTGCAGATGCCTGGACATGCAGCTCTTTTGGTTACTAGCGGGGATTGTGTGATCGTCTGCTTGTCTGCAGCACTCATCAAGGCGGTTCTCTGGCCTCGAGGCGAATGTATGAACGCTTCGGGCCGGGCACAGGCAAAGAGCTGGTGTGAAGAAGATGGAGGGAGAAGGGAAGCCTTCAGTGAAATAAGGCGCTGTGAAGTACTATATATTGAGCTCAGCTGGGTTGCAGGTGTTGGCGGGGCTCTTCCTCAATCCTGAAGGAGACTACTCGCGGCGAATAGAGGCCAAACCAGAAGTGAACGCTACCATGCGGGCGCGCACCAAAGAGCTTATAAATAAATTCTATGGCGTGAGAGATTATGCGCCCCCTGTACAACAGCAGAAATTGCCAGCCAAGAAGCAGCGTAGAGCCCTTTTGTTCAGCCAGCGCCGCTGATGGATCCCCTTCGTGCGCCCTTTCACATTGAGAGGACTGCCATTTCCGCTTGAATATTCTTTAGGTTTTTTACCAGGACATTTTGCGCAAATCACTCCTGTACTCCCCCTTCCAATTTTGCCACCTGGCGGTACAAATGAAAGCTGATGAGAGAAGTTTTCCTGTACGTTTTTGCTTGGTGTGATCTGCGTACAAGTGTGATCTGCGTACAAGTGTGATACCTTAAAGCACTCGAAGGTATCAGGAGCTCTTGAGTGATGAGAGCAGACATCTTCCAAGTGATGGAATTTTGAAGTATGACAATGTATTAAGCTAATGGCTTGGTGCGGTGTTCTTGTGTGGTCTGCAGTGCTAGCACGTCAGTATCTGCATGGTGTGCTTGCATGCAGACTAATCATCTACCCTTTCAAGATCTCCAGCAGCAGGAGGCTAGCGCCTCTGAGCATGCAGGCTTGCATGTAATGGCAGACTAGCCGTCCCTTCTACAACTTTTCTTACAATATACACCCTTGTACAGATTGGCATGCCACCAATGTCTTTCACTCAGTCTCTCAACAATAGCTCATAGTTACGAATGCGTCGATTCCAGAGCCACGATGCAACCTGCTTTTCTCATTACATGGCATGGACAGGTATGCCCCATAACCATCATAATGGCAGTGACCGCCTTGTATCACAATTAGCACATAGACTCATATCTTGCGCATTGAGTAACAATTGTCAAATCTGCACAGCTGCTGGAACCATTAAGACAGCAGAACAAGGTGCACGAAGCTGCAGAAAAGCCACACAGCTGGGAGAGACAAAATCCACTCACAAGAGACAAGCAAGACTGCTGCATGTCCACGAAATTCTCTCCTCTGCATCTCACATTTTAGAAAGGCTCCACGCCATGTCACCGCTGCTCAAAACCCATCTCTGTCTTAGTGACATGACAAGAGACTGCGTAAAATGCCCAAATGCGGAAATCTGCGGCCTGAAAGTGCCGGGATAAAAGAATTCAGTCCGTGGGTTTCTGTCTAAGCATTACAATGGGTAATCAGAGCTCCCACGCAGTCAGCTTCAATGGAAAGGGGTGCCCCAATGTCTCGAAGGCTACTTGACGCCGCTGCTGCTGCTGCTGCTGCTGCAATAAATGAGTCATCCGCTGTGGGATGAGTCATCCCACAAATGCAGTGGGCGGGTGCACCACTGTTGCCACTTTCCTCTCACGCGCAAGCTCCCTCTCCAGCAGCTTCTCAGCAAGTGCCACGCGTTTCTCCTGAGCACAGCCAATCAGAGGCCGGTAAGGGGACCTGCCTTTGCATGCAAGAATTGGCTGAGCCAAGTTGCCTTTGATGCTGCGATCTTAGTAGGTCCACGTTCCATATTACTGCAACGCGATTGCATGCCTTCTGTTAACCAGCAAAACGGCCTATGCATCAGGTCTTAGCTGCAAGGCCGATCCCTGATGAAGTAGTCCCATGGGTGATGCAGGGTCCAACCATGTGATCAACTCTTAGAATTAAAGGTGTGCTTTTGAGGTGCTGTCGAAGGGTGCAGTACCTGCTTTTCCTTAAGCTTGGCTGGGAATGCCTTCTTCCCCAGGCCAAAAACAGTGAAGTGGCCCACCATCGCTGTGACAACACCTGCACAGGCATCATGATCCTAAAATTCTGCTGTATTGAGTCGCCGCACTCATTGCATACATAATCCCTTGCAGGGCGGATGTCTCGCGATGGTGATATCACCAGTGATAGATCCCTCTCAGCACTTTTGATATCGTGCATACATGGTCCACCCCTTCCAATGTGATATTTACTTCTCGCATTGAAAATGACAACCATACCACCAGACGTAATTACAGGAACAAGGCAATGGTTGTAGAGGGTGAGTCAGATGCCCACCGTAGACTTCTGCAAAGCTCTTCTGTCCAGGCGACACAAGGCGACGATAGTCCGCCACTGCGAGTGATACAGAAACATTATATGTATGTTGCAATCACAGGGTCTGATTCGTGTTGAATTAGAGTGAGTTGAACTGAGAAGTGCCTGGTGAAGACTGCACTCACCGTAAGCGTTGGCTGACTTTTTAAAGTCCTCCAGCTTCGGAACACTATCATCGTTGGTGAGGTCGATGTCTAGAACGTCCTTAATCCTTCCCACCATCTCTGCTGTCCGGTCATAGTACTGCGATGGGCCAACAAGCTCATCATGCCGTCTGAAACCCTGTCACTGAGATTTATCGGCATACGTTGAATCTCAACAACCAACTAGAATCCTTTAGCAATACCTGATCGGCCAGCTGCGAGTTGGACTGCCCGGCTGAGGCCTCGCCCGCGGCCTGAGCAGCTGTCAGAAACAGCCCAAGCGCCAGCAGATTCCGTCTGTGAATATCCTCGTAGGTCTTGCCAGGGGGTGACCCAATGTGATGATCCAGCGGCAAGCTGCGGGTGCGACACATGCGAGGGCACAGGTGCTTCAAGTGCTCCTTGTAGTGCTGGTCATCGTGGCGAGAAAAGACGGTGCCCTGTATTGGGATGGGACCTACGGCGAACACCATTTTGCTAGGCTTTCGTGGCTGAGCACATGTGAACACCGTGGGCGTCGTAACAAGCAAGATACTGCACATGATGAAGACGAGAAATGTAACAGATGGGCTCGCAGATGCTGAAGGAAGTGCACCCCCCGGCAGGAAATATCTTGTAAGCGACACGTCAGCAGGACCTTTTCCGCTAAGGTTTTTTTTGCTCGCCAACCTTTGCAGCTGCAAAATCTCAGAACTATTTAATCACTGCTCACTACAAAGGCCACAGATTGCCTCACTGCTTCCTGCTAGTGAATGAGTTTCCAGGTTCAAGTATTCGAAATCTAAACATACTCTGACCTGGGCGTTCGTATCTTATGGAGCAATATTGACTGAGCTGCAGGGAAGCCCGCTGAATCCATCAGAAGACCCCTAGCAGCTAAGTACAAAAAGATCGTCACAGCGGGCAGGAAGCCGAGGATACCAGTGAACATGGCGGCCCCCGCACTCGCAAACGACGTTATGAAAGCATTGATTGTGGAGATGGTAGGTTGCAATGGCGGATTGCACCATCTTTGACTGCAACACTTACGATGTTTATGATTTTTCAAAAGTGTTTCTTCAACGATTTGGAGGCTGGTGCATGCTCTGGTTTGGCTTGCCATAGCTTTGATTATGAGGAATCTTGGGGTCGCCAGTATTTATATAGTGGTGCAGAGGGAAAACTTACCGTTGCCTTCACCATGGTTACTGTTTTTCACGCCACTAACATTACGGAGATACTATGTTTGCTGAATTCTTTTGAAATGATTGTTCTCCGTGTCTCGAGGAGAAAGCAACCCCTTGGACTTCATCCACGAGGGAGCTGTGTCCTGAAGAAACTGCTGTCAAGCCCAACGACGACGAGGATCGACAGCAGATCCCCCACACTTGCTACATGTGGCGCAAAACTCTGACTCCTGCTTTCTGATCACCAGAAATTTTTTCAGCGCTGCACCGTCTGAGGGGCTGGTGGGAGGTCCACGATCTTGAGCGTTCCCTTCCGCTCCAGCGCATATCGCCCCTTGTGCGCATCCCATAAACCCCTCAGCGCTGCCACATACTTTTCATGCGCCTCCCTCACCGCCCTGCAGCACATCAAGGGCCCATCATCGCAAGCCAGAAACCTCACGTCTGCAGGTATACAGCAGCATGTAACGAGACCAAAAGGGCGCATGCAAGTACGAATGCCGCATGCTGCCCACTCTTGCGCTGATGTGATCAGCCCTTTTCAGCACCAGTCATGATCATTACTGTGGCCACAAAGCCAATGGATGGAGCTACAAAAGGTAGCTGCTGCATTGCCGGCATGAACACTACTTGGCTAAGAAAAGCTCCTTGCTTATGAACTGCTAGACTGAGCTGGCACAGAGTATGCACACAGGGATTCCATGCAGCTCGGTTGCATGCTGCGCTTTGCAGATCTCGGGTGCCGCAGTGAGCGTAATCGAATTCTGTTCTTCATCTCTTTTCCAAAAAATATCTCCTGCTCTGGCAAACAGCATTCAAGAGGCATCAAGCTCACCGTCTCCCTTCATCGCCGTTGATGTCGCCCTCGAATTTTGGCACCTCGAATGGCGCCCCCACCACGACGTAGATGGGCCCCTGATATGGCAGCATCCCTATGGAGCTGAGCATGATGCCTGTCCCGTGGAAGATGGGGAACCCCAGGCCCAGCAGCTTCAGCAAGTTCCTGTAGCAACAAATGATACCCATCAAGTCCAGCCATCATTACCATGTTCTCAGTTTGTGGTGTAACAAAACCAGCTTCAGCAGGTTCTCGGGGCATCCAGGGAACACAAACAAGTCAAGGGCAAGCCAATTCATGCAGTTGATTGATGATCTAGGTAAGCAGCTTCAGCAGGTTCCTGGCGCGATCACAGAAATGCATTTATTCCAAGCGAGTTCCTTCATGCAGTGAATGCGTATGGCTCTGGTCTTCAATGAGAGGAGGGCCTCAAGGTGAAACACCCTACTACAGCATACAGAGTAGGATGCATGAACGGCAGGACTGGGTCAGGCATACAACAGATGCTAGACAAGAGATATTTCTCATGCCATAGGAACCCACAGCGTCAAGCGAGCATGAAGAGGCCCCTTGAGGAGCAGGCTTCAGCGGAGTTGTCTAGATGCCAACAGCCTGTGTTCTGGCAGTGGTCCGATCCTGCCAGAAATGCATATTATGCAGATGGGACAGCTTACTATTGGAGCTGCAAAGAAAGACACCTCTGGAGGCGCGCGGCGAAGGTGCCATCGGCCGGTCTAGCGACTTGGTAGATGTTGTTTTCGCCAAAGCTCAGCACCGGCACCAGCGCAGACCCCGTCCGCACTGCTATCCTCACAAACCCCTGTGGGCGTGGAAATACCATGACTCAGATCATGGGCGCAAAGAATCTTGACAATTCACCAACCCATACCATTGCTGCTCCAATATCACAACCTCCCCCCCCTCCCACAACCACAGTCAACAGAACAGATGTCCTGCACTTTTAAGATGATGTAACGGCAGAATTGCAAGCGGTGCTCAAATGGGGTTTCCCTTGTCCAAACACCCATCAAAAATAAAGAGCCTACAAAATCCTTGAAGACCTTTCAAGACGAGTCCTGATTCAAAATGAACCTCAATCCTTCCAGTAAAGGGAGGCTGAACTCACCAGGCGCTTCCCCAGCACGATCTCAAAATGGTCACGCTGCGCCAGGAGTGCCTCCCTGGCTCCCCCCACACACAGCACGATGGCGCTTCCTTTCGCCCTGCAGTACAAAAAATATCCCCATCACTTCACACACTCAATGACATCTCCAGATTGCTAAAGAAAATAGGGTGTAAATCTTGGGTTCACATCCTGGAGCCTACAACCTCTAGTAGTAAGCTGGTTCATACTAGCAGCCATGCACTCACTGCTAATATAGTGGAGACAAAGTCATCTTCTTCTTCTTGAATCAATTCAGTGCAAAGATCTTGTGTGCAGAGCACAGGGCCACAGTTCCCAGCATGTCTGATAAAACCTCTAGGCACTCAGCTAAGCCACTGAAAGGAGTAGTACTTGGACTATCAAAAGAGGAAGCATGGGGTGACCACGCGATGAGTCACCTGGTGAGCAGGCGCAGGCAGGTGGAGCGCGCGCAATCGCACATGCCATGCGCGAGGACAAAATCGCGAATGAAGGGGATGTAGAAGTTCTGCACCAGGGTCAGCATGTAGAAGCGGATCCCTGCTTCAATCACAGACCCATATTCAAAGAAATGATTTTGACGTGCGTCCATTGAGACCTCACAATACACCTGTTTCCACTGGCACCATCGTTTTTTGACAGTGGCAAGGCTGCTATTAGCCCTCAGCATCTGTGAACACGCCACCACTGCAGTCCTGCAGCCCACAGGTAGGGTGCAGGCATTATAACTTTGAAAAGAATTGACTGTGCATGCATTAAAGCGGCCTCATTCTGTGGAATGACCTGGGAAGGTCTTGGACACATTGAGGGCCTCTGTGGCAAAGCTGATGAAGGCGCTCATGGATATGATGCCATGAGGGTGGAATCCAATCACATACGTCTTCTCCGGGTCCAGCTGAGCTGTTTTCACCAGATGAATTGGGCAGTACTCCGCACATTTCCTCCACACCCAGAGCCTGAGGAGGAGACACAGGGAAATGTTAGCCCTTGCGCAGAGTCGACCTGACAAGCCAACTCGCTCTAGGATGAAAGACAGGAAGCAAAAGAAGGCAGAAGGGCTGCATTCCTAGCAGGAAGCTGTGCGCACCCTCTAAGAAAAGGTTTTGCTGATCCTGTACGTGGGGAAGTGCGGCCAGGCCCGAACCAGATGTATGCACAGTACCTTTCGCAGGAAAGCCAAGAAGTTAGAGATGGCATGGCAGCCATATGGTTCCTAGCAAGGTGCTTTGAGCGAACAGGACTCGCTACGGTGTTTAAAGGTGATAAGTATCCTTACAATGCCAGCACGGTGCGTGTGTAGAAGCCCCCAAAGTACAGAAGGGCGAAAAAGAGAAGCCAACACCATGCGCCTGCTGAAAAAAATAGAACGTAGGACAGCGCGCCAAGCTTCTGAGAGAATGTTGCAGCCATGATTGAATATTTCAAAGAGACATGGATCGTCTGAACAGTTGCTCTGTGCAGGCTATGGCAGAGACGCCATGAGGACTTGTATAGCCAATCTGTTCGCAAGCCTCCTGCTTGGTGATTGAGTGACCCTCGTTATAACAGCTAACTTTCTTTATAGAAAGTTCACAACGTTCAGAAATGAACCGAAAAACGATGGATCGCCGATCTGAGCCCAGATGCAGTACAGCTTCGCATGGCTGAGAAGCCAAGGGGAGCAAATAAATCCGAAAGGGGTTCCGAAACCCCACTTCCTTCTAACGAACGAGATATAGATCTTGATTGCAGGGCTCTGGATGTGAGAGGACACCCATGGCAACAGAGAGCTGCATGTCAACCAGAAATGAGAGTTTTTGAGGATTGCAATGTTTAGGTGGCAAATGCATGCATGCTAGCAGTGCTGCGCACATGTTACTGACGGCGCCGCCGGCAGTGCCATTCAGTGATCTTCAAGAGCAAGTTGCCAACGCCAATGCATCAAGGTTCCTGTGTTCCCAACACCTTTGAAGATTTAAATCCAGATGATCGCATGCAGGATATCAGATGTGTAGCATCAGCTCTTCAAGCCACTGACAATATCAGGTGTGGAACAGAACATCTCCTACCCTCACCCACAAAACCGGGCAGCAGCAGTTGCGCCAAACCAATTCTCAGCTGCAGCTGCGCAGCTTGGCAGAAACGTTCTACAGGCCACTATAAATCTAGCCTACCTATCAGAAAAGTCAATGTGAAATTCAATGTCTGATGGTGTGACAGTCCAAGGGTGTCCAGGAAAATTCACTACAAATCACTGCCCAAGAGCTCATTACACAATTGCGATTCTAAGCTATCAAAGCCTTTACTTCACAGCGTGTTCCTCAGTCTTGAGAATTGCTGCACATCTTTCACGCATCTTCAGGTACGCAAGACAAATTTCAGTATGATACTGCAAACCAGGACCACCTCACAAGCACGCTCAGTTCATAACCTTCAAACTAGCCACTTCACGCAAAGGTTTTCTTCGCCCCCCATATGCCCACCTGACATAACGAAGGGGGCACTCAATTGACTTGCCAAGTAGGATGCTGAAGTTACAGCCACTGCAATCATGGTTGAATATCCTGCAATGCCTCGAGTTGCTTGCCGGACCTTCTCCCACCACTTCATACCCATGTACTCTCCAAACAGAGACCCCTGCACTAGGCACCATGCAAGTGCAGGAGGTTGGAGCGGTCAGGCTTCCTTGTACCCGGGCAGGGAGTGTGCGCGCGCCAGCAGCAGCTGTTTACGGCGCAGCAGATTGTGCACACCGTAAGCCGCAGGTTGCATTGGCAGAAGCCCCTCCACTGCCACCCTGCACTCAGCCCAGCAGAAATTTTCGTTGCAGCAACGATCAATATTATGATCGTTACACGATCTTAATAACAGAGTAAGGTGCGTCCGCAGGCAAGCTGCACTGAAGGCTGTCGTAGTTGCACCCCTTGACAGAATCTCCAGAATCAAGCAAAGGATTGAGGACTGAACATGCACCTGTTGGACAGAACTAGATGTGGATTTTTGTAATGTGAGCCTGGACAGGAAGGTCAGCTTGCATGGTTTCAAAGGCTGCGCGACTGTAATATATTGAATAGGAGTTCTGTTGAGAAGCCATCGGCTTCTTGTCCCCGCTGCCACGTATATGGATTTGACGATGGACAAGAAGTTTGCAGGGCAGTCGTATGCAGCCTTCGGGTGTTTGCCAGGCAGAGCAAAGGGGCTGTACAGGTGGCGCTGTTGAGAGTGTACTACCCTCTCACCTGCGTGAGTGGGCCTTGGTGAACCCCTCTCTCACAAGCAGCTCGTGGTAGGGCCACTGCAGCACTTCCACCGGCTGCAGTGCATCCCCGCTCTCCTCGTCAAACCCCTACAGCACAGCACAGGACATTGATCAGCGATTTTGCCGAACCCTGTAGCACAGGACAGAACAAGGAAAACCAGCAGGTGCACACCATGAGATCCACATGAAATTTCCTTTACAAGGGCAATTGGATGCTTTGCCTAATCAACAGGTGCCTGCCACAGACCCACCTAGAAGTATGTGTGTTTGTTCTCATAGCATTGCTCTATTCGTTATGCAATATTTTTGGTGGCAAAGCAGGGGGCATAGCAGTCAGTGCAGGGATGAGGGTGTTTTTTCAACTCACAGAGAGGATGGAGACGATCATGTGCTCCTGCTGGGTGTCGTTGATGGCTCCGCTGGTGCGAGTGGAGACATAGGACACGCTGGAAATGAGCGCTGTTGTGAAAGCCCACGAAGTTGTGATCGCCGCAGCTCGCAAGCTGCACACGCATCACAGTAACAGCATTGAAGTCTTTCAGCATTGAGGATCAGGGAGGTAAGTCCACTATGTTGGTGTTGGCCGTCTTTAGCCCTTCAGGTATGCCGAGCTTGAAGCACGCAGGCACACATTTGCACCAGGCAGGAGAATCATTATTAGCACACACTGCACACATCAGTTGACCCCAAGACACTTGCACATCGATTGATTATAGGTACTCAGCCTGAGCAAGTCGTTCTTTATAGTTCTATAATTGAGTGGGCGCTCAAGAACAGGGGAAGAAAGTATAGCTGTGTCACCTAGGGGGCAGCCTGGAGAGGATAGGCCCCAGGGCCTTCTTGTCCTTCTCGCTGGACTTGCCACTCTTGCCATTTGAGACGGCATCCAATTTTTCCGAGTCCTGACAACAAGCACAACATTCCCTTGGCGCCATGGAGTGTGCAGTCCAGTGCTGTTTTCATTGGTCATGCAGGTCTAATGCACAGAAAAGGAGTGGACATAATGGCTCCGACTCCCTTTGCTGGTATCTCTCATCATTGGTCACTCGGATGTATCTGACATTGCATGGGTGACTGGTCATGCATGTTGCCATTGCAAGCTACAATAATTGATGAATTGTGCCTTTTGTCATATAATTCTGTCCTCAGGACTCTGGCCAAATGTCAGTAAAATTCTGCACAGAGCCGGTTGATTCTCCCACCTCTTTAGAGGCGGCCTTGGCTTCCCGGAAGGTCTTCCGAAGATTGAAGCGGCTGGTGAACAGCTTCTTGCTGGTGCGCACAGACACTGCCACAGCCTTGGTGGCCCAGAAACTCCTCGATTTTCCAGCAAGCGCCAGCCCCCAGTTCAGAGCTGATCCCCACACGGCTGCCCGGAGCGCTGTGCCCAGGATGCAGCGGATCACATGCGCCGGTGTCGCCCTGCAGCACGCACATCCTCCTATGTACCCATTTATCGGCTGTCTTTTCCCCAAAAAACACAGATATGATCGGTATGTTTCTTGGGAGTCCTCCCTTCATGCCATGTTTGGGGCTTCGATCCGAGATATTTGAGCAGCCATATTGGCTTCGAGCTGAATTATTCAAGAGAATCATTGTATGTCAGGTGCAAGCTGTGCGCTTGATGACGCAGAAATAAGTAAAAACTTCATTGCAGCATTGCGCGCCCCCCTAATCAGCATAGAATTCAAGCAATTTCCCTGTGATCAGCAAGTGTCTTCGGATGTTATCATAGAGAGGGCGCTCACGCTCCGTGGGTGTGCAGCTCCAGGCGCACAAGATGTCCAATGTGGGGCAGAGTGGTATTGATGGGGTTGGGGAAGGTCAGGTAATCCAGAATGTGCTCCCTCCAGTAGGAGTCGTCATGCATCTTCTGCGCGGTCTCCCTCCAGAATTTGGGCAGCCCTGGACTGTCAAAGGTCACCACCCTGCACAGCAACGGAGGCAATCAGACGCTGTGGATGCTGACTCACAGTATGCATGCACTGGCTTGCCAGAGCTGCCTGCAGCAAGTGTAAGTGGGCTTGTAAGTTGACGTTGCATACTTCATTCTGAACACATGAACCCTTGGCAATTGGCGCTCATGTCACATTTCGTGTCCTTTCTTTGTTCCTTCGCTACACTTTTACAACGTGCTGCACCAACCGCCAGATCTTTGACCCTACAATGCTGGTGCGTAGGAGATAGGCTTGCATCAGGTCTTGGCATGCCAATTTGATGACAGAGATTATGCGCACTTGGTGATCTCAGGATCGAGCACCACAGCAACAGCAGTGGCCAGGAAGCCCCCCATGGAGTGGCCAGTGGTGTAGAAGGTCCAGTCCACGTCACTCTTTTGCTTCTTCAGATCCGTAATGGTGTCCCTCACATATCCCACTGCGTCCTTGACGATCTGCATGTCCTCGTCGGGGTCCTGGGACAGCTGAAAATTGGTCCTGCACAGCCGGCTGAAAGGCCTTAGAGGGATTTCCAAAGTATCTGGAAACCCACTGCAACAGCTCCGAAGGCGGTGAAAGAGGTCTCCTTATTTGTTGACCAGGCAGATGGTGTCTGGTCGAAGTGAGCCATCAGTAACATTGACCACCATGGACAAGGTGTAGTGGCATTGGAAGCATGTGCACGGAACCGGATACTCACTTCATCTGTCCCTTCACGAGTTTCGTGCCCTTGCTGGTATCTGTTCCCAGAAACGTGAGCACCACTGCGCCCTTGCCGTCCTGCGAGTTGTTATAGCCATAGTGAGAGCACAACACGCAAAAGAGACAGAAACTAGGCACAATTCCATGCTGCAATCAAGGTGTCCTCATAACAATTGCTCAAGCGTCCGATACATCGCCTAAGTGTGCAATCCATACACGAGATCAAGTGCACATGTGTGCCCACTGGAGCGGGCATTACACCGGCGTATTGCCTGCCCTGCGACAATCGATACGAATTACATTTCAGCTTTTGATGAAATAGAAATACCTGATCTTCCCGGATATATGTGGTTGCTGCCAGCCCGCTTTCCAAGCGCCCACTTTCTGAGAAGACATCGAAGTCTGAAACGGGGCCGTCCGGATCTTGTTCATTGTAGATGATATTGTTAAAGTACGCAAACTGGTAGTCTGTCACATCCCCCATTGCAAGGGACACTGAAAGGAACAATAAAGATCTTGAGCCTAAGGATGGACGTGAGGATGGGCTGCAATGTGGGAAGCTAGGGAGAAGCCAGGTCCCCCATCCTCAGTTCTGTCAGTGCAAGATTGTTCTCAAGGTAGTCTTCTCAGCTTGATAGGTTGTGGTTGTCATCCGTTGATGATAACAACAGATAAAACCGACGAAGAGGTGTGTGATGATATCGATGTCAAACAGCATTGCAGCAACATGCATCAGCTGCACTGCAGATGTTGTGCGATTGCATGCAATAGCTTATCTGCACTGATATTTTTAAATGCTGTCCAAGGTATGCACAGTACCAAATGCAGATCTGCTTCTGGGGATGCTGGGTCTTCTTCACGATCAATGTCACATTAGGGTGCGATATCTGTTACAAATGTGCAGCGAGACATCGGTAGTCATCAGGACTGTGCCTGATCCATGTTGCAGAACCACTACAGTCTGTACAAAAATCCATATGCGTTTGCGCGGTCAGGCATGCATCCAAACAACACTGCATGCAAGCATCATACATTGCGTACAGGCAACAGCACATCAAATTGCGCCAGGATGCAGCACAGTATGCTAGCTGGAAGCTCAAGGTTGCGAATCACAGGATAATCAAAATTGCTGCACAGACGGTGTGCATGGTGGTGTGCATCGAGGGTGCTCAGATGCGGTTCTTGTGCTCCTGGTGCTCAGCAGTGCCTGGGATGTTCTTGGCGATCTGCACAGCCACAACAGATATCTCAGCATACATAACAGCCTAGAATTGCTGACAAGAGGTTGATACATGCTCTTTCCCTTTCAGCAGTAGGCATGGCATACGATAGAAGCTGCCTACCACTGGAGTCCACCACGACCGGACAATCAACATCAGGTTCTGTAACAGTGGCAGGAAACATAAATGCAGAGCTGCCTTGCTAGCAGCAGAAGGTACTGACCACAGGGACAGAAAGGCTTGAACATGGAGAGGTGAATTCACCTTCTCCAAGGGGTTCTCGTTGGCGGTGTGGTGCTCCTTGGTGCCTGGGAGGTGGCGCTTGACCTGCTCCCCGGTACTTTCGGTGGCCTTCTGGTTCTCGTGGGTGCCTGCATACAATCACACTAGATCAGTACATGTCTTTCTTAGCACTTCAAGTAGGTCTATCCAAGTAGGTACAGTCAGAAACCCCGGCTTCTGTGAATGTGAATGGCTGCACGCTGAAGATTGAACGTGGAACTTTGTTGAGGAATTTAGGCTCACCGGGAAGCAGCTCCTTGGCGTTCTCGCCAACGTCCTGGGTGCGGTGCCTGTGGGCGTCGGTGCCTGCAATGGCCGATCAAATCCTCGGATGCTGCTCTTCAAAAGCTAAAGCATGCAAGCGTACAGACACTAAGGAATAAACAGCATGTAACGTCATACATCAGTGCTGGAGTGTGCGTCCTTACCGGGCAGGTGCTCCTTGATGGTCTGCTTCACGCCAGCGAGGCCGGACGGACGGGTGGGGTGGGTCAGGGAGTGCTCATCAGTCCCTGGGACGGACTCCTTCATGTTGTGCTTCTGCGAAAAGAAAGCAATGCTTGTGAGAGAGCAAGTTCCAGCTCAGAAGAGAAGCGTCCGTGTCAGCTGGCAGACAAGAAAACAAGATCTGCCCGAACCCCGAACCTCCAAGCAAAATCTAACCTTGCCTAGTTGAAATTGTGCCAACGAATGTCCCAACACTGTCGACATTTATTCCTAGACAGCAGCGTAGAGGCAGAATCTGTCACGCTCGGCCGAAACCGCCTCTACCTCGGACCCTCATCAAAGCACTCCTATCGCGTGAGGGTGAAAGCACCACAGGCGAGAGCTTGCAAGTCATCACACTTTGTTCACACCAGTTCTCAAGTGCCAACACAGCATTCCACCTAGACCCGAGCACAGCCTGGCCACTTTGCTCGGGATGTGCAAAAGAAACGAAGGGAGGGAGAAGCACTCACGTCTCCGGCAGTCATTTTGTGTTAGTTGTTGGTTGACGTTGGTTGGCGGTTGATAGCTGAAAGTTTGATCGATAGTAGAAGCTCTGAGTTTTGCTGGATGTTTGAGATCTTCCGCAGGGTCCACGAGCGCCTTATCATCGCGCCAATATTCACCAGCTTCCGGCTTCCTCGGGGGTGGCAGCTACCTACCACCTTCCTCTCCCCCTCTGCAGATAGGGTGGGACCTGGTAGCTGGCTGCCACCCCTCGTTGCCCGTGTTCGGTGTGGGAAAGGGAAGAGCAGCTCTTCAAGAGCTTGGGCCATAATGTTGGCATGCATGTGTGGCAAATGGTATAGCATTGGGAATAGCAGAATTAGGTGCAACACTCGACCAAGCATGATTGTCATCGGGTCATATTGAAGCCACTTACCTGCCTGTTGGAGCATATTTTGTAGTAGTACTGCGTGCGGATGCATGGCCTACATATATATCTTGGGTGTATCAAATTAAAGTTCCAATTTGGCACTACCGAAATTCAAATGTCTGCATATGCATGGCAGTGCGCTGGCTGGGGCCTCATGCCATGGCAGTGCCACCCGCAATGGCGGTACATCAACTCGTCAGAGGTCCCACCTTCTGTGCATACTGTCTCCAAACAAGGCCTTCCATTGCAGTGTGTCTAGACTAGCATGTCATGGCAGCAGCCATCCACTGAACGGCAACAGGTTTACAATTTGATCAAAGCTAACACTGCAGCTTGCCACAATTTGCAACCTTGCTGCAGGCACAACCAAAGCTGCTGCAACAACACAAGACAGCGTGGCAGACATCAGAATTATTGCGGTTCATAGTAGCAGGGTGTCAGCGGCTGGATCATGACTGCGGCTGCTCCTCTTCCCTGCCCCAGCCAGGGGGCCACCAGGAGGGCCGATGCGCGCTCAACACCGGCCCCTCTTTGGACCCGGCCCTCAGCGGCTGGCCGCCAAACGCCGCCTGAAGCCGCAGCAGCGCCAGCGCGCGGCCGCCGCCGTCTGATGACACCGCTACTTTGCCGGCTGGCCGCGCTGACCCCTCTGCATACACGTCCATGCCCTCCTCCAAAACCCCTGCACAAAAAGGGGAGACAAGGGTCAGTGCAACATGCAGACCAAAAATTGTGTGCAAGTGCAGGTCACTGCAACAGCAGAAGAATTCTTGGTATGCACATTGCGTTGCTAGGTACCTTGAGACGTATACCAGTATGACTAAGCATGCAGCAAGCTGGAAACTTCGTCAGAATCAAGGCCTACGGCTCTGTCTGGAATTTCAAGTGCCTGCAAACATATCTGGGAGCCAACAAGATAAATTATACGAATTAATCTCACCAGGAGGGTCCTCAGAGGTCACAGGGAGAAGCCGTTTGCGCACGACTCCTCTGAAGTGCGTCCTGGCGATGAGCTCCTGTCCAACGTAGCAGCCCTTGGTGAAAGAGATCGCGTTCAGGCCGTCCAAGTTGTACTCCAGGGGAATTGCCGACCCTGCGCGATTGTCCCCACACTTTCATGTATGTTTATGCAAATAAGCCAGAAGTGTTTGAATCTTTCCACCTGATGGCAAGCCAGCGTTGCATGCCATGTGGGCTCTGAAACCACTCAACAGACCATAGACGTGCTGTTGCAGCAATGCACTTAAAGGCAAACAGAGCTGAGGACTTTTACCCGTAAGAGCACCTCAATAAAGGTACGGGAAATTTTTCTGAATAGAGAGATCAAGTGAATTCAAGGATGTGACATGGCATTGGGTGCGCGCCTGGGGGGATTTCGGAGGGCCCCTCAGCAATGCCCAGGCTGTGGCGCCACTGCCGGTATTCCTCCTGGTCTGCAGCGGGCAGCTCCAGGGCAGCTTCCGCACTCTTTGGCAGGATTGTGCGCTGCCCAAGCTCCGGCGTCCTTGGATCCAAAGGCCAGCCATCTGCAGAAGTCAGAATGCTCAGCGGTCTGCTATCTCCCCTCGGAGGACCAAATTCCGAGGTTAATGAGTCATGCACCAGTGATTGCGCGGGCATCCCTGCATCCTGTCTCTTGCTGCAGGTGCTCTGCATAGCTGCACAGTAGATGGCTTCAAGATGGGAGAAGGAGGCACCTTCCAAAGCTTTGCTGCTGCTTGCACTGCCAAAGCGAGCCCATACATCGAAGCTGTCGGACACATCCCTGACATCCACCTTGGCTCTGAGCTTGTACCTGTGTTTGCAGCAGCCATGTTCTGCTCAGCCAACGGCCACCGCAAGATCATCTATGCTGGAGACATGGTGAGGATTGCAACTCCAGACTGTTGTGCGATCAGAGGTTGACTCACATCCTAAGGAGCCGCAGAAGTGCCGGCATGTGCGCTTTGTCCACATCAGCAAGCATGCCAAACGGCTCGCCTGCGCATGCAGACCAGCACGTTGATGCATGCCATGCCCCTACATCTAGACACACGAGCTGCAAGGCAAATTGGCGACTTTGAATTACTTGTTGTCTTCTGAGATGCTTACCAGTCGCATATAAGAAGGCATCATGCAGAAAACGGCCCTGAGCATTGAGGAAGGCTGTGTAGATCACGTCCTTGCCCCCTTTCTGCAAGAGGTTGGGGTCATTGGTGATGATGCCCTGCACAAGCAACGATGATTTGATGCCGTTCGCATATGTTTGTGAGAAAAGCTCACAAACTGGACCATCTTTGCGCACGTTGAGGAAATGATGGATGTCTTCTCCACCGAGGTGCAGGACGCCTCGAACATCATTGAGGCAAGCGATCTTCGATGTGTCGCCGTTGGCTTCTTGTGAAGAATTTCTAGCTTGGTACATCAACCAATGCCTCCAAGCAGCTGCTGGCAGAGACACTGGTTCTTGTAAGCAAACTGGTGCAAGGTGAGTATGCAAGTTCAGCAGCTTGCTTAGCAGCAAGGCTCTCGTCGATCGCTGCAGAAGGCCTTGCATTACGCTTGCAGGAACCTATAAAATCAATTTTAGTTCGTGCGCCCGTGCAAAGCACTCCAAGTTCAGCGCATTGTTCGCACGTGCGTGCAGGATGTGAGCACGGGACATCTGTATTTCTGGATCGTTTGGCCGTTGCTCGAGACTCTCTAAACTCTTCTAAAGAAATCGAGTGCAGAAGAGAGCATCTGAATCACGACAGACTTGTTAGGCAAGAAGTGCCCAAAAACAATTCCAAAATAGCTTTTTCTGCACTCGTTGATCACTAGACACTCAGAATCGACAAAGAACTAATTCCTATCAATTTGAAAGCTATCAGTCAATTTTGTGGAAGCTGTACAGCGTCCATCGAACACTCCGATGTAGGCTTTTGACATGTAGTGATGCCTCCAGATCCGATCTTTTTGCGTGCCCAGCACCATGTCAGATGCAGACAACGACAGAGAGACACTTCCAAAGGAGGAGATATTCTGCCTGAAAGGCCATGATGGTCCTGTGCTTGCGGTCAGATTCAATAAGGCTGGCACCTACTGCCTGTCTTGTGGGAAGGTGAGCAGGAACATTACCTTCAATTCTTTCTGCCACCCATTCAAAAGAGCTGTGTATAATGCTGACTGTGGTTGCACCGCAGGATCGTTCCATCAGACTTTGGAACCCGCACCGAGGACTCCTGATCAAAACATACGCAGGTGTGATGGTTGCCAACTGTAGACCCGCAATTGCATTAGCAATGTTATTTGCTAGCATGCTGACCTTATCCAAATTTTCGGTTACTAACATTTTTCCTTTGCAGGTCATGGCTATGATGTCAGGGATGCCGTCGTCTGCGCAGACAACAGCAAGTGCGCAAACACTCTTGATTGAACTGTATTTCTATCACCCTGTCTGCAGCTTCATGTGCCTCCAAATTGTGAGGGGCTTACACATACATCTTGCAGATACAAGCCATGCACCCAGAGCACCACACATGCAGGAAACCATAAAGGTTGCAATGACTACTGCATTGTGCATACTTCAGGTTTGCCTCCTGCGGTGGGGACCGGCAGATATTTCTGTGGGATGTGGGGACTGGGCGGACGATCAGGAAGCTCCGAGGCCACGATGGCGTGGTCAACTCGGTGAGCCGATCATTTGGGCAACATCCCACTTGCCATCAGACCTGTGTTCCTACTGGGGACATCACATGTCGCACCCAGCAAATTGGGTTGTGAAGAAGTAAAGCAAGTTCCTGGCAAGCCTTGCCAAGTGGTCGTGTGAAAGCGGTCTGCACACGAGGAGAGTGTAGATCAATATAGGAGTTGGGATACAGGAGGTTTACGGTGGACTGGGTCTGGCTTGGACTTGGCGAGTCCAAAAAGGGGTAGGATTCTGGCAGCCTTCAGCTGTAGCTTGTCTGCAGACGCACCCTGCCTCTTGGCAGGAATGGCGTGTAACGATATCAATAATAGCACAGAAGCTGGACTGCGCATGCAGGTGTGCCTGGGCCCAGGGGAGGCAACGCTGGTGACAGGGGGCTATGATCAGTCAGTGCGCGTGTGGGACATGCGCTCCCGCTCCTTTGATGCCATCCAGACCATCAAGTCCTTTGCTGACTCTGTCACGTCTGTCGCTGTCTCTGCCAAGTGCGCCCCCTCTGTCATGCATGCTGTGCAGCCACCACCCTCTGGTTCAGTGCTTGCTTCTATTGTGAGGCAAGGGCTTCCCGATGGGTATCTCACTAAAAGCATTTTGTATGAAGCATTCAAGCTTCTGTAGCCATGGAAAGTCTTTCATTGCATGCATATCTTACGGATATTCTGCCGGAGGTGGCCCCAGCTGTCATCATCTTTTGACAAGTCCACAGCATGCTCACAGGGGATTGTGACAAATATCCAGATCGAACTTCTGTGAGGGTGATAACCGTCTCTAAACAGCAGCACAAGCTACCACAAATGTCAAGTTGCATGCCGTTCTGAATGATTGTCTCCTGTGTGCATGCTCCAGCGCAGAGATCATGGCGTCCAGCGTGGATGGCACGGTGCGGCGATTTGACGTGCGCGGCGGCTGCGCGTACGTGGACCAGATGCATGCAGCCGTGACTTCGATGGCGCTTTCGAATGACGGCAACTGCGTGCTGGCTTCCTGTCTGGATGCGCGGCTGCGGCTGCTGGACAAGGGCAGTGGCGAACTGCTGGCTGAGTATAAAGGTATGCAGTCTTTGTGTTGTCATGTGATGGTATGTTCCATCGCATGTGCGCAGTCTTGTTGTCATGTGGTCAAATGCCACAGCAACAGCGAAGCCGGTGGCTTAACATTGGCTTCTCTTCAGAGATCCATTGCTGCTGGAAGCGGATCGCTAATGCTTGATTTGCCATTTCAGTGAGGGGGTTGTGACACAACCGTTGTGTGCATGCTGTGGCGCAGGTCACAAGCAAGAGTCAGCCAAGATGGACTGCTCGTTGACGCCATCAGATGCGCATGTGCTGAGCGGCTCTGAAGACGGTATGCAATCTTTCATTCTGCACAGATCGATTACTGCACTTTCCGCGGTGCAGACCTTCAACATCATGAGCCTCGGATAGTCACTAGCAATCTCTCCCGGGACTTTCTCATGTTTGCAATCATTCAGGCTCTGCTGTACAAAAGTAATTTCCCCTGTGATCTCATCCTGCATGTTTGCTGAGTGCAGGCCGGGTGTGCTACTGGGACTTGGTGGAGGAGACAATGGTGGAGTCCTTCCAGGCACACAGCGGCGTTGTATGCTCTCTAGCAATGCACCCTGACGGCAATCTGCTGCTCACATCATCCACAGATGGCACTGTCAAAGTTTGGCAATGAGCTGTGTTCACACAGGTTCTAGCGCTAGTTGGCAGCTGGCACCGTGCTGTGACAGTGTATGCCAATTGGGTGCAAATTGCATTTGAAGACAGTAGCCAAGAAGGGACGTCCAAGGTTCACACTGATTCTGTGTGATTCAATTTGGCTGGAAAGTGCACTTTTGGGAGAGGGGTTGGTTCAGCATTGGCTATTGTTTTCTGCGGTGCTTCATTGTGTCTTACGGTCTTTGGTAATCAATAGTTGGACTGCTCTAGACCTCGCTACTAGCATAACATATACAGCATGGCTTGAAAACTGGCATGTATTTGCATATGTAAGCTCATGATTATCAGGGATGGTCCTTAAATCTGAAAAGCTACTTTCGACTTACTGATTTGGGACTTTATAGCTTTATGTGCAAGAATCAAGACAAACGGAGCTGTCACAGCCTGTGACTCACAGGTGTCAAACGAACAGAGAAGCCCTGCCTCTGAGAGTGTATCCGGCAGCCAAACTTGGACTCGCCTTCGCCTAAACCCAGCTGAGCAAGAGACGCTCGTACGAGTCACTTCGCCAATTCTTGCACTGGTAGAAACTGGGTTGGGCAAAGTGAGGATAGAGGAAGCAGTGGCTTAAAGAGCGGGGCGACGCCTTGGACTTCTGCAGCGAGTGCGTGCTGCTGCAGATCGGTGCCCGCCAAGCCGTGCGTCTCTAAACATCGCTTGGCTACTACTCGCTTGCCATCAATCATCTTTCGACGCTCTGCGTCTTGCAATAAATGCTCCATACCCGATAGTGTCTGCTCCGCTTAGAAAGGGGGAGATTGCCTGGCAGTGCCGAACCTCCGCCGAGGTGTCTAGTGCCCCTGATGAATACCTGGAAAACCTCCTCTCCGTTTTCTGGGTGGCTGAAAGCCCCCAGGCCGTATGATGATCTATCAGAGAGGTGTTGTTGCATATTTGCTCTAATCATCCTAGCCGCCGGCAGGTTGGAGCCGAATTGGCGCGCCAGAGGTTTCAGCAACGGGTGTCAGGAGGGTTCTTTGCCTAGGCCCTGTAAAGCGAGGTGCTGGCGTATTCTGGGATGCTAGGCTGTGAAATTATATATATGCCCACGGTCACTCAAAGTTTTATCGGACGCGCGTTGGCGTCTCTTCTGCTTGACAGCCGGCAGTGATGCACATTGCACGCAGTTGTCCTGTGCCGTCACAGGATTGTCTTGCCATTGGCGTTCTTGTTCATGCCTACAGCCAGCCGTTCAAGCTCCTGAGCTTCTGGATGTTGCATAGCTGTAAATTGGGGCAGCTGTCAGGGGTGGCTGCTTCTGATGGCTTGCTGACTCGAATGGGGGTTTTGTGCTTCTGCAGGCGCCAAGATGGCCGGGGGTGCGCTTCCATTGGCGAGGACAACAGACTACAAGCAGTACGAGGGACATTTAACCTTGTGAGTTGTCCTCTGCAGTGATCTTCTGGTCTCAATTTTAGAATTCCGACCGACATCCGTCAGCCGTTCCCACTCCATATGCAGCTGCCATTGCCACGATCCGGTCTGGTGGAATAAATGCCTTTATATTCCTGCTTTCCCGGAGTCTGGCGCCAATTTGTGTTATTCCGATGTTGAAGCCCCGTCGGTAGCAATCCCAATTGAGTGCCCACTGGTGGAACGTGGCAGTCAGGGCCGTTGCTTCCTCTGATCTGTGAAGTTTACGCGAGTGTGGGCTAAGTTGTGCCTGGCCCTGGTCCGTGTGTACTGACCCAGTCTACTTTTCTTGTAACAGATATGTGGTGCTCGCGACGATCGTGGCTGGGATGGGAGGCCTGCTGTTTGGGTGCGCCCTTCAAATCACTATCAAGTTGCCCTGGCACATGATCCATTAACAGGCTCTGGTCTGCAGGTTCCACCCTTACATTTATTATGCATGTTCGGAAGCCCTGGTGCCCTCACCCATCTTGGAGGCATGCTCAGAGAGTGTGATGTGGTGCTGCAGGTATGATGTGGGTATCACTGGGGGAGTCACAAGCATGGACAGCTTCCTGAAGCGTTTCTTCCCTCACGTGGCAGCCCAGGAAGAGGCCGGCAGTAGTAGTGGAGGCGATGCCTACTGCACTTACAGTGATGTTGGCCTCCAGCTCTTCACCTCCTCCCTGTTCCTGGCTGCAGCCTTTGCTGGCCTTGCAGGCTCCTTCACCACAAGGTGCAGCCCACCTTCTTCGATTGTGGCAGCAGCTCCTCATGCATGTTTTATTATTGCCTGCTTTCCCCAAATTTCATAGTATTCTTGTGCACTTTCAACATTGAAATGTGGGGACACCATGACATGATTGAGGTTCGAGTCAAGCTGAGGTCTTGCCTTCTTGATGAGATGTCTGTGGGATTGCAGGAAGTTTGGGCGCATCAAGACTATGCTGATTGGAGGCATCTGCTTCATGATCGGCGCCGTTCTGACCGCCTCAGCCTTCGAGCTTGGCCAGCTCGTGGTTGGTCGCGTTGTCCTCGGCTTCGGCGTTGGTATGTCCCATATGACATCTCCCTTCTGCACCCCATTTTGGGCTATGTTCCATCAATCGTGCGTGATTCTGCGTGATGTGTCTTGCAAGGAGGGAGGCCTGAGCCTTGCCTCGCGCGCTAGTGTGCATTCTGGACAATATCACAGGAAGGCAACCCATAGTCAGAGGCCATAGGGCATGCACACGGGCTTGAAAAGACTTACATGCAGCGCAACACAAGTGTATTGTTCCCTTTGCAAATATGAGCCGACAATAAACTCAGTGGTGAATCTGCAGGTCTGGCGACCCAGTCTGTACCGGTGTACCTCTCCGAGATGGCGCCTGTGAACGTGCGCGGGCAGCTCAACATCATGTTCCAGCTGTCCATCACCATCGGCATCCTGGTCGCCCAGTTGATCAACCTTGGTGAGGCTCCCTGGCCTGCTCAAGCAATGCTGCATGTTGTTCCCTGACCGCCAGCATGCAATCTTTGTCCCCAGATGCCTCGATGGCCGGTCTTGCAGACAGATCAGCCAGCTCTGTAGGTTTGCAACCAGCTGCTGATGGAAGCCTTTGGCACTGTCGATCTTTGAGAGGGGCTTGAGCTGTGGCAACTCTGCAAATGTGCTCATTCTCCTTCAGCCTTCAAACTGACTGGTGCATTCATGCCTGGATGCATCATAGATTAAGTGCGAGCATTCCAGGAGGCTGTACTGCTGCAGGCACGCAATACATGCCTGGCGACAGTGGCTGGCGCCTCTCCCTGGCGCTGGCAATCGTCCCAGCCATCATTCTGACCCTGGGCGGCATCTTCCTGCCCGAGACCCCCAACTCTCTGCTGGAGCGCGGCCACGACGCCCGCGCGCGCGCCATCCTCGTCAAGATCCGCGGGACCGAGAACGTGGACAACGAGTTTGATGACATCAAAATCGCCGCGCAGATCGCCACGCAGGTCTGCTCCTCCTTCCTTTCGCCTATATTGCCTCGTTGCAGTGGCATGCAATGATGGAATATGCATGCCACATGGGAAACAATGTTGGCCCCTTACTCTGCGCTCACATGCGCTCCCTTTGCTGACAGTTGCCATGGCATGCATGCAATTCTTATGCCCCCTTCTCACTCATGTGCCTGCAATGGCAACCTGTGTTTCGTCCATGGCATGGGTCAGTCAAACGACTGTTGCGTGCGGCAACTTGAGCATGGAGTGCACAGTTGGGATCCAGATGGTCACATGTTTCTGCCTAAAATGGCTGATGTTCTGCACATGTACGTCCTCCGAAGTGGGGCCAGCAACTGCTCACCCTCTTCAAGCTACCTATAGGCCAACGTGGTAGCTACAGGGCTCTCTGTGGGTGACAACCAATTGATGGCACATGCTCCCTTCTCCGGCGGGCTCCGCGCTTGATCTGTTTTATTTGCTAACAAGGGCATGCATGCTGCTGCAGGTCAAGACTCCCTGGAGGAACCTGTGCAAGAAGGACTACCGCCCCGAGCTGGTCATCGCCTTCTTCATCCCCTTCCTCCAGCAGTGGACTGGTGAACCTCGCCTCACCTTCTACCCTCACCTCACCTTCCACCACATTTCTTGGGGACAGTGCTGCATGCTTTCTGCTCAGAGGACTTGAACAAGACACACTGTGTGTCCTGTGGTGTATTCTGAAGGGATGTATGACCTGTGCAGGCATCAACAGTATCATGTTCTACGCACCCATCATCTTCAAGACCATCAACAAGAATGGAGCTCTGCTGGCCACCGTCATCACTGGCGCTGTCAACGTCGGCACCACCTTCGTCTCTGTCGGTGAGATGCTGACCTGGACACTCACTTGAGTGTGTGTGGCTGCCACCAGAGTGCACAGCATCCAGTGAGTGTGTGTGTGTGGCTACATCACAAAAACACATGTCGTGAGGATGTGTGACTTGCTATTTCCACATGTTATGCTGCATGCATGCCAATGTATGTAATTTTGGGGCAGAATTTTGAACACATGTTGTGTATTCTTGCAGCGCTCGTGGACAAGATCGGCCGCAAGGTGTGCACTTTCTTTCTTGCCGTCAACTGTACTAGTCCAAGCAACATTTCTCACCCATTTGTGCTACGCTTCTTGCATTTTGTTTTGCTTTGTATATTGGGGGGCACCGCACATGTGTGCTGCCATTGACAAAGTCGAGAGAGAACGAGTGCATGGGTGTTTCATGTGAAGCAGTCGGAGTGCAACTATGCCAGGAACAGTGTTCCTGAGACATGCTCTTGCCTGTGCAGCCCTTGTTCTACCAAGGTGGAGCGCAGATGATTGCTGCCGAGATCACCATGGGCGTGCTCCTGCACCAGTACTTTGGAGGCAAGGTGGGCGACACCGTGCCATACGGCGTCGGTGTCGGCATCATCGCCGTCGTCTGCATCTTTGTGGCTGGCTTTGCCTGGTCCTGGGGCCCCCTGGCCTGGCTGGTGAGTCACCTCCACCATCACTCGCACATACATGAGGGTGTGGTAATTAATGCAATGTGAGGACAACTAATACTGGGCTGCGGACTTTTGTAGGCCTCGCAGACGTGGCTGCAGACGCCTTGCATGCGTCCCCTTTGGATATGGGTGTGCGTGCATGGAATGTTGAATGATTAAAATAATCGCATGCCTCCACCCTACCGTAGCTAGGAGCCTGTCAATTTCTAAATTTTCTTGCACGCTGCGTTTCAGCAACATTCATGTGCAATGCGTGATCTTGTCTTTGATCACTGTGCAGGTGCCCTCCGAGGTCCTCTCCCTGGAGACCCGCTCGGCCGGCTATGCTCTCACCACCTTCATGAACTTCCTGGTGAGGTTGCTGTCACTGCATGCATGGCGTATACAAGCCTTCGTTCTCTGCACATGCTACTGTCAACCTTGCGGGCAGCTAAATGTACGTTTGATTGTAGAGTCGCTGACCGGGCTGTTTGTCATGTGCAGATGACCTTTGTGGTGGGCCAGAGCTTCCTGTCCATGCTGTGCTCCATGCGGGTGCGATCCTTTCTTGCTTCTGATCTCATCAACACATGACGACCTGCGGTGCATTGGCCTTTTATGTATGGCTCAACTACGCCTGTTGATGTTCAAAGCCGCATATAGCAGAGTATGAAATGGGCTGTGTGCGCAGTGGGGCATCTTCCTCTTCTTCGCCGCCTGGGTGGTTGTCATGTCCCTCTTCATCATCCTGCTCACCCCTGAGACCAAGGGCATCCCCCTGGTGAGCAGAATCTCTCTTTCCTGCCCGACATGAACATTTCTGCCTGCAAATGCAAGACGATCTGTATGAGAATGTCAAGAGCTGCCTTCTGTCACCACATGATACCGCTGTGGCTGCCCAGCCATCTGCTCGACAGCCACATTTGATTGACAGGAGGTTGCATTAGTCGCCGGCCCAATGCTAGGCTGCCAGGTAGCATCAATAGACAGAAGGTGGCAGTCAGGTCTCACTCTTTTGCCCTTGAATGTGCGAAACAGGCCCAAACCATTGGCTAGCACTGTCCCGCAACTAATTGCCGTGCATGGGCCAAAGCTCATGGGTTGCCCACAGCTGAAGCTGGTCAGCCTGTCAGGGATCATGGCACGGGTGCAAATTGCTGTTCCTCCAGGCTGTGTGGTGCTCAAGGCTTGGCAAAGTTTCGTGGTTCCAAATTTTGAACACGTTCTGATCAAATGCTCCATCTCTGCCGCGCAGGAGGAGATGCACCTGGTGTGGAAGGGCCACTGGGCCTGGAAGAAGTGGGCGGCCGACAAGGAGCGGCGCCAGCTAGCCATCGCCAACCAGCCCGGCACCGTGGAGTTCGAGGAGTACAAGGTCACCCAGGAGCACGCCGCAGCCGCCAATGGTGTCAGCAACGACGCCAAGCTGGCCTGATAGCCGCCACCTGGCGCCCTCGCATCAGCCCTGCATGCCACAGACCAGATTTGAAGCCGTCACTGGATACGAAGCTTCGCTGCCGACAGCGCTGCGCTGCATCTGCACCTGAGGGTGCATGGAATGATCGGATGGGTTGTTGCAGCGGTGTTGGCTGCAGCTGAATGCCACACCCCGCAATCGAGTGAGACGGCCGAGCAGGAAACATGCTTGACAAGCAGAGAAACAAGTCGTTGTTTTCAAGACATCAGATATTTTATGGCCAGCAATACACAGGGGAAGGAAGTGCCGCCCCTTGCCAGCTATTGATACCATAGCCGAACGCAGCTGTCTCTTTCCCAGCTTCAAAAGTAAAGGGCCCCTTCATTGTTGTGGATTGCAGCCCCTGGGCTGCTCATTTGTTTTCGGTGTGTTTGCAGCCTGTGTGCTGATTCGCCTCTTGCTGTGATTCTCGGACCCGCCCAGGCTTTTTGAGCTCCCAGGTGTACAGTTGCAGGGCCTTTGGCCATAAAGAGCAGATACCATGCTGAAAAGTATGCGCTGGCTGTTCTGTGGAAAAAGAGTCGCGCAGCTGCCACCCACCTGCCTCTGGGGTTTTGCATTTGATTGTGTTTTTATAATGCGTGCGTAAATGTGAGCCTGAACTAGTCAGATTGCTTCAAGTCGAGTGTGCAGTGCAAATGTGCGCCCTGCCAAAGCCACCCAGGACCTGCAGCTCATCAGTAGGAGGATCTGAGATCTCATTGATTGCCCTGTGCAAATGTGCCTCTTGAGTAGAATGACCTCGCAAACTGTATAACTTTGGTGGCACCACTCTGCAGAGGTTTCGCCAGCATTGGCGCAATTCCCCTTGTGCAGATGAGCCTGACCAGAAGTGTCCGTTCCATTGAGTACCACTAACAGTGGTGCTGCTGCTCTGTGAAGTAGTTAGCTACCATAATCTCCTTGGCTGTGAGAATATGTGAAGCTCCCCTGAAGCTTAAGGCTATATAAAGAACAGCAGCTTAGCCAGATGTGCAGGCGCCACCAGTGTTACTACGGGTGACTTCATTGGGTGAGATGAGAGGTCCTGCTGACAGTTTCTATGGAGGAAGGTTGTGCTTGCAAGTTTGCAGTCATGTGCATATGTGAGTGCTTTCATTGTGGGCACACTTTTCTGCCAGAGTGGTTGTTTGTAAATATGTTCATATACTGTGGCCACGGTTTATGCGCATAAATGCATGCACGGACTATCATCCCACAGGTTATCCAGCTAAGGCATGCTGAGGGCACCATAACCCTACAGTCGCAGCAACCCCATCACCAAGCCTCTGAAAATTTAGATTGATGCATGCGCCTTTTTGAGCTTTTAGGAAAGAAAGCAACTCGATCACCAGATGAGGGCATTCGTTCGTGGGCCACCGTTGTCATTTATGACCTGCCTGGGACATCCTTATTGCAGATTTCTTTACAGTGATATGTACGATTGCACGATGTCGTTCTGATGTGTCTGAAGGCAGCACTATAATCTGGATTCTTTCGAGGATGAATGGATCGCAGCAGATAAGCTGCAGCACTTTGTGAGCTGCGGGCTGATCTCTGCAATCGCCTTCATAACTGCAAGCCTCTTTCGCAGATCGCACCAGTATCGACTAATTCTAGGCGTATTATCAGGCTTTATTGTCGGTATTGCCAAAGAGCTTGGGGATTACCTCCAGGTGAACTAGTCAAATGCTCTGCATCGATGCCTTGATCCTTTGCATGAAGGTATGTGTCAGCCTGAACATGCGTCCGGAAGATTTCGATTAAGATGCACTTGCCATGCAGTGGTGGCCAGGATTGTTGTCTCTGAAGGACGCTGGAGCTGATTTTGCTGGCATCGCAGTCTTTCTTGCAGCCCTTGTAGTGCTGGAGAGCTGCAACGTTCTCCCTCGTGCATTTCACTGGCGCTCAGCTACATCTGCTGAGCAGGCAGCATGAACGCAAGCCAGAGTCCCGCTCGCCTGAGGTTCCTAGCAGCCAGGGGATCTGCCTGAAAGGGGTACCATTGCATAACACCTAGGTGCCAGAAGACATGGCGCTCGTCCCGTTTAGAGTGTCAGGTGCAGCCGCGGATCAGTCTCTGGAGCATCGCATGTTCCAAATTGGTGGCCACACCATCAGAGTCCGGCAGAACCCTGCGGTGCGAATCTGAACCTCCTCTCTGGGCAGCATATCTCCACAAAGCTTCCCCTGCTGATACCAACAGGATCAGCGCAGGCCAGAGCATTCCCACATTCCCAGGTCAGACAACGACCCTGTGAGGATGTGAGGATAATGGCACCCTAGTTGGCAATTTTGCCCCATGCGCTGCCGATCAGATGTGGTGGATGTGTTTGAAGCGCGCCTTGATCACACCGATGCCACTCTGACGGCAGGTGCTACTCTGTATGCTGAGGCCAAATGAGAGGTTTCCTGGACACCCAAATAGGCTAATATAGAAGATTTCTTTGACTGGCAGGGGAGCGGCGCGCACCACCACATAAGGGCGCAGCAGGACGCACAAAGCCGGCAGGATGGGGAAAAGGAAGAGAGCAAGGAGGAGCTGGATAATGTGGGACTGGTAGTGTGGCAGAGTGCGTTTGTGCTGGCCGAGTTTCTGGTGTCCCATGCGCCCATGGGGGACTGGCGCGACGTGCGCACTGTGGATCTCGGCACAGGGACAGGTAAGTGCAGTTATTAGCCTTGAAGCACTGTGCCATCCTTCCTGAAATCTTACCGTTGACAATACACGCTGGGCACATTTTCCTGTAGCCCCTGCATGCTGCGTTATGGCAGTGGCCGAAGGACATGATATGCCAGCAAATGTGATTGATTGTGCCAAGGACACCAGGAAGCCCTAATCTAAATATCTCAATGTGATGTTGCTGTTGCTGCTTCCAGAAGCTGCAGTGAGTGCACTGGCACAATTAGTAGATAGTCTGGTGAACCACCATCAGGCATGATGACAAACTGCAGGCACTGGTTTCAGGACTACTGCTTTGTATCAGGATGGCCTCTTCCCCATTTGAGAGGGCTTTCCACTGCGCATTGCAGAGCACCATGCTGGCAGGATAGCCACAGGACAGGCAGGCCTACACCAGTGTGAGTTGCCATGCAAGAAGTACGTGGTGTGCAGCTCAGTCTGTGCCTGCTTGGTCCAGTGCAGGTGTAGTGGGCATGGTACTGGCACTGGCTGGGGCGGAGGTCACCCTGACAGACCTGCCGCATGTGACATGGCTCGCGCGGGAGAACGTTGCTGCCAACTGCGATTCGCCCCTCATCAGAGCCCAGGTGCAGAGCTTAATATTCTTTTGTGACACCCTCCTGGCTTCTGAACAATCTAGAACAGCATCTGCTTCCCGCTAACTTCTCCACCTGAGAGCTCCGTCAGACGGCCGTCACAACTGTGCGTGTTTGAAGAATGGGTTTGATATGCGGCATGTTGCATCATCTTTCAGTGGCCCCTTCATCCAGAGTTTCAAAGCTGTTGCACCTGCAGTTTGCTGTTCTTCTTCAAATGTGCCCGGCAGGCTCATAAACGTGGCAGCCTGCAGCTTCAGATGGTCTTGTATGCAAAAACAGGTACAATAGATTGATACCCGTGTTCCGCCTATGACGGTGTTGAACTGCACCCTTGAGCTCCAATTTTGGGGAGCTAGCATTTGAAAAAATGTCCAACCTGTGGGGCACTACCACATGTGCAATATCATTTACAATTGGTGTCCGATGGCAGGTGGTGGACTATGCATGGGGCGATGACGTAACGGCGTTGCCCGCATGCCCAGACCTGATCACAGGCGCAGACATCGTGTACCAGGAAGAGCACTTCCCACCGCTGCTGCAGACTCTGAAGCAGCTGGCAGCCCCCCACACCCTCATATTCCTCTCCTTCAGACTGCGAGGTGTGTGATACAATGTTTCCTTATGAGGAGGATTCTTGGTCGCTTGTGAAGCATATGACTTTGGGTTATGACTGTGCCAAGAGTGCTTTATGCCCTGCATTTGCGTGCAGGCAAAATTGTCATTGAGATGTGACCATAACACCTGACGATTATTCAGAGAGCATCTGGGATGCAAGTGCTTGACAGCTGCGGAGATGCCAAATAAAGCAATTTTGTGTCTTTGCAGGTCGTGGAGAGGACAGGTTTGAGTATATGCTAGCAGAGGAAGACTTTGCAGTCATGAGAATACCAGAGCATGCACTGCATGAGGAGTACAGGGATGGGCAGTATCGTGTGCTGAGAGTGTGCAAGCGGGGAGGATGATATCCAGTGCACATGCAAAAGGACAAAACCACAGCACGCGGCATGTTAACAACTACTTCTAAATATTCTACGTGGGAGCACTTCTGCAGTCACAAAAATGGCCTTATGCCCTGCAAGTGCCTGCCAGTGCTTAGCAGCTTGAATATGCTTATCACGGTGTCATGGGTTTTCAAATTGATTGCAGTTCATCCTTGTAAGAGATAGTAACGTAGTAAAGACGGGTCAAACTTGTGCTCTTAGATTGTTCAACAGTACATTTCAGAATAGCAGTTGCTCAAAGCAGCTTATTTACCATCTTTGTCTGTTCTCAGAATTTGCACTCTTTGATGCTCTTACAGTTCCAGTCTCTTGCCATTCTGTTCTTTAAGTACTGCAGGATGGCCACTTTACAAATAATTTACCAGACGCGAATTGTTTTTGCCAGGCTGTATTCTGTAGGTCCCAGTAGCCTTGTCATACAAAGCAATATACTGCAACACACTAGTGTAAGAAGTTCAATCACCTCTCTGTCTTAACTTTTGCACTCTCTATTGGTACAATCAATACTGCACCAAATCCCGAACAGAAATTGCAGCATACTCTAAATTTCAATTCAGAAGGTTAGTAGCTCAAAGCAGCACCTTCGTCATCTCTGCCTGTTCTCAATTATGTTCCCTTTTCAATTCTGCCACTGTTCCTGATTCTTGCCATTCTGCAGCATCCTGATGCTCTTGCGTCCCCTCAACTGATGCAAAATGCCCAGGAACGCTCAGACCATCTTCCTCTGCGCCCTCATCTGATGAAGTCCCAGAAGCAATTAGCTTTTCAACATGCATGCAACGGCCAGACCTCTTCCAACATTGTGAAAATTCTTCGAAAAAAATACTTTTGGAACGTCTACTTGCATTCCATTTGTGTCTGGCACGGAGTGCACCAAGTTGAGGCGTGCTCACCAGGCTTCTTGGCAATCTTTGCAGGCAGGAAGCGAAGCAGGACTGCAAAATACAGAACCGCAAGAGAGTTCACCGCTGTCATGATGACCATGGGAATTGTGTATCCTCCGTATCTTGTCTTGACAGCCCCTATCAGATAAGGCCCCACAATGCCTGCGCATTTACATAGAACTTGATGATCGTCATCTGCTGCATGTAATGTAGGCGCGCTATCGATCAATCATATCCAAAGCACACTACATGTTTACTGTCGCATGAGCGTGTGAGTCTGGACTGGAAACAGCAAAATGTCTTGAAGGCAGGCTAACACTCATGCTATCACTCATTTATACCCAAAGCTGTACCTTTGTCACTGTCACACGCGTGTGAGAATAAACACAAAATCGCAGAAAGAGTTCAGAAGATGCACATGAGATGGGAAAGCAGGGCCACGCACCGCCATAGGCAGAAATACAATTTGCAACAGCCCATCCGGAAGATAGGGCAGGCCCAGAAAGATAGGTTGCAGGGTAGCCCCACTCGAGAGGGTTGGAGGCTTGGCTGGTGCTGCTGAGAATCAGACCGAAGAAAGCAACGTATGAATTGTGGCCCAAAGCCACTGCCAGAACTGCCAGTGCGAGCGCGCCGATTGCCAGGGGCACCAGCAAGTGATAGTACATCTCCCCTGAATCGTCCCATTCAGACTGCTCAGGGCAGGATCGCTGAGCAAGCATCACATGAACAGACCAAAAAGCTATGCATGAGACCCTCAGCATGCTGAAAACTCAAACAGGCATTGCATGAATAAGCGGGCTGTTTGGCTGGCATATGCGATATGCATGTTAGGACACTTCACATTGCAACACAGACCTACTCACGATGACAGAGCATTATGCGCACCTGTGCGCTTGGCATGTCGGGCATTCAAGTACGTGACTAAAGCTGACCAGCTGTAGGGAACACCCGCTAGCAGAGCCGCCACTGCCCCTGCATCACCCAAGACATGAATCACAGTCAACTCTGTTCTTTCAATTACCTCAATCACAGAAAAAGGCACTATCATGAAGACCGAAAGGTAATTTCAGCTGTCAGTAAGGAAGGATCAAGATGCATGTCACACTTTGTAGTCTTATTGCATACGTTTCCTGCCAGAGGCAAGGTGCATATGCAGACAAGCTGCATGTCAAGATTCCATAAATTTCCCCTCTTTCAACTGCGCATGTCCAAGCAAGAACCAAAAAAACACTGTCAGAGCCACACTCTGCACCGATCAAACTGTAAAACTTGGTAAGGAGGCTAGGGAGCCACCTGAGACCTTGACTTGTTCAGGGGTGGCCCCGGAGGCAGCGCTCTTCCCTTTGATGATAGAGAACACAATGAGGGGCGTCCAGTACATGGCCCCGTAACGCATGATACCGGCCCAGCCGCTGCCAAACCCCTGAGCCCACACCTTCCAGCAGCGTATGCCGTCCATTGTGCTCTGCCCTCCGCCCTCCTTCCCCATCCTCTCCTGCAGCGCGCTAACCAGCTCTCCCATCGAGCAAGAGTAATTTTGCAGAGAAGAAAGGCAACCACAAAACCCAGTTAGTGACACGTGAAGCTGCATGCAGCAAAAGGGTTACGATTCCTGCCCCCTGTTTCTACGGAGGGTAAGACACGAGTCCAAGCCTGCAGCTTCTCCTTTTTTAAAATCGAAAGATCCAAATATCAACGAGAAGGGTTTATCAGGGACAGGCTGCTGACGTGGCACACCTTGTTGTGCTTGACTTGCTGGTGCACAGAGTCCTGCTCGGCAGCGGTCAAAAACTTTGCCCCAAGTGGACCGGGCGCCAAAGTCAGCCAGATCTGCACAGATCACAAGAGAAGCTGTGAACTTTTGCCCTGCGTTTTGGCAAGGCATGCAAGCAGGAAAGCCAGGCAACACAGCTTCATTTGCATTCTTGAGTCTCCTGAAATGGGCTTACCCAGACACCCAAACAGATGGTGGGCAATCCTTCCAGAAGAAACAGCCACTGCCAGCCGTGCAGATTCAAGAAGCCGTCAGTCAGCAGCAGCCCAGACGCCACCGGGGCACCAATCACCTGCGCTGTGCAATACTTCAGTTCTTTGCAGCTCTTTGAAGGTAAATACGAGGGACTTCAGGGCTAAAAAGCCAGCATCAAACTTTTTTTGGCCTTTATTTGGCATGCAAAAAGCGCATATAGACAGATCTGAACAGATGACAGCACGCTGGGAGGCTTGATATCTGCTCAGCAACGCATGCCACGCTGCACAATGTCAGGTGCAGGAGCACATGCACCGCAAATGACTAATTTTGTGACTCATGCATGCTCTGTCTCTCAAGCATGTGTGATTGGCAGGAGGCAGCACCTGAGCTAGGGGCTGTGCAGCCCCAATGAAGCCCCAGGCAGCAGCCAGGTCTGGGCCACCCGCATAGAACCTTGTCAGATGCGCCCACATGGCCGGAAATGTGCCCGCCTCAAACGCCCCTGCAAATTGTTAGGCCCATTAAGCAGCCAGACCCGCAGAGCACACTGCCTGCAGTCTGGTTGCCGAGCACTTTGAGGTGTCCTTAAGGGTGTCCCTATTGCTGAATGAGTTTTAAATACACTGCAAGCTGCCGATGTTGGCGCTTCAGCAGATGTGTCAGCCATTGTCACAATCCTGACGCTACGCCTGCCATGTCTGTGTTAACGGTATTTTCATGGGATATCTAGAAAGGAACTCCAGTGCAAGCCCTCATGATCACGTGCCAGAAATTGCAGAATTGAGCAACGCGAGGCCAGAACACACCGAGCAGGAAACGCAGAATGTACAAGTGTGTGGGGCTGTTTGTCAGCCCTGCCATGCATGTCGCCACAATCCCCCAGCCCAGGGTGAGGAAACCGATCCACCTGTTTGTCCCCACCCTCTCTGCTATAAGCTGTGATGGAATCTGCAGGACATCACAGTAGTTTTTGCCCAGGCAGGAGATGAGTCTCTTCATTTTATGCGCACAGCATGCAGGCGGAGCCTCACACAGGCAGATATGGCATCAACGATATCAACAGCAAGGGTCACGGAGGAAGTCACGCCTGGAACAACATGTATCCAAGAAAGAAGATCCCACTGCCGAGACCGTACACAGAGTCTGAAAAATTCAGGTCCACATTGAGCTGAACAGAAGCATACGCCTGCACCAACCAATTGAAGATCACATGTGCGGAAGTGCATGGAGTGATTAATCTACAGCTGAAAAGAGAGCAAGAGCGGGTATAAAGGAATGACAGGAGTCTCCACACCAGATTGGCGCGGTCCATGTGATTGAGGACTGTCAAGAGGCAGAAGCGCAGCATTATGTGCCAGTGCAGCTTCCTGGTGGTTTCATTGCTCACCACTTTGTCCTCCTGAAGCACAGCCGCCATTGTGAGGTCGAAAGTCAGTAGGAACAGTGATGTTGTGAGAAATATCAGAGCAATCTGCCCAGGCCGGTGTGCATGCCTGGGACATGGAAAAACTGCTGAACTCTCGCGCCAGCGGCGTGTGTTCGTCTGTTTCTGCCGACTCGCTCCTCCCCTTGTCAGAAATAGGCTGCGCAGTGCTCACATGCGGCAGCATTGAATAATCGCCTGCATGCATTTGCAGCTCACCTCTCAAGAGCAGTGCTGTGAGTCTATGGAGATCAGGTGGGATCTGGCGTGCACTGCAGTGGTGCGCAGGTGCAATCAAATCAAAAGGTACTGCTTATGAACCGAGTCACTCACTGGATGGGCCCGAGGGAGCTCCTCTGGTCTCTGTAGGGGTGGTCATCCGAGGTCTCAAGGTCCTGATTTGCATCCGTGTGTGACAGTGCGCTTTGAACTCGAAAATTCATGCCCTGAACATAAGCTGAACTACTACCGGAGCCGATACAGCATACAATATTGCGGATCAATCACTTCAATGTGGAATATAGGAATGGGGAAAGAGCAGAAGGATTGGTACACTGCGTCAAATCAATCACACCGATTCCTTAAACTTCTTATGAATGAAATCTGTAATGATCGTAAGGAGATACGGTGACACAAGCGTCAATATGTATAGGTACCTTGCCTTCGTGGCGCGGCAGGCAAAGCAGGCAGTCGGGTCTCGGGTCTGGGCCACGACAGGCGGAAGGATAGATGCTTTTATGTCAGAGACTTCAAGCGGAGGGATTGCTTATATTTCATAGATTCAATAACATAAACTCAGCCCTGCACTACGTCTGAGCAAAAGTCTCTGCTGAGTGAAGTAGCAGGATCAGCCCAAGCATTCCGGCCACCATGGTGTCGACAAATGGAGCTGTCACACAAAACGATGACGATCTAGCAGCTGTTGGTGCGTGATTACCACTGAAAAGGTTTTCTGCAATCGCCTTGTTTGTAGACAACGCAATTTAAAGTCCCAATAGCGGAAAGGAGCAACCCGGAACACATGCCGAACATGAACCGATCAGCACACATTTGACTGATACTGCGACCTAGAGAAATTTGAACTCTCCCTGGATCTCACATTCTGTATATATCAGCTAATACAGAACTGAAACTCCACGGCTGTCCTGCGCAGCCACGGTGTTCCAGGCGATCCAGGGACACTGGTTGACCGCCTGCCTTGGTGTGCTCATGGACCTGAAGATCCCGGAAATTCTCGCGAGCCAGGAGAGCCCCATTCAATTCAAACAGGTCGGTTGACCTTCGTAGCCTCCTGAATACTCTTGCTCACGCCTGGACCTGAAGCCATCATAGTGCCCTTGGATCCTTGACAACGTGGGCCACGCCAAAGCAGCGAAAGAGGCCCAAAGGACACACAGTTGAGAACTTATTGTCTGTCTCAGTGTCATCATCCACTCAGGTACACAGGTGGCAATATTTCCATCTTTTATAGAGGGTGCTTCATGCATGCAAGCTTACGCAATCACCAGCGGCTTGTGACTGTGCAGCAAAAAGACATTATAAACAGCATTACTGTGACTGCGCAGCTGGCAAAGCTGGCAGGCGTGAGCGATGCGGGCTTGGACCATTTTTACAAGGTGCTGCGCGTGTGCGGGCAGTGGAGCCTGCTGGATGAGTCGCGCGAGGGGCGCCACTTCAGCGCCAACTCAGCGACTCGCCAGCTCGTGCGCGGCAAGGACGCCACTCTCGGCCACTTTGTCGACCACCAGGTTTGCACTGCCAAAATTTTCCCCACAAGAGATCCCTTCTTCTGACTGCGCCCTGCTCTTTCATCTGACGCTCTACAATGTTTCATTGATTGACATGCCCTGCATTCTTGCAGCCCTTCAAATTTTCACTTTTGCCCATGGCCACTTTTGCAAGGCTTTCACGGTGTGATTACCATGTTGTATCAGTATCCGAGGCATGGCGTTAAGGCCGCTGTGACAGCTAAAGTTTTAATCTTATGATTGGGAGGAGGCAGGTGGCTGGGGGCACTTTGTCACGAATCCTCCCATGCATGAGCCTGTCCTTTACAATCTTGCATTGCCCCTCATGTGACTGTTGATCTCCTGTGGGGGCATAGCCTGTAACTGCTCTCTTTTTATTTGGGATTGAGAGGCAGGTGACTCGGAGCATCTCAGTACCAGTGCTCCCACTTGCTTGCGCTTGGCGCAATGCATGGAGCTGTGATATGCATGCGCGCCATGCTGCCCTTTGCGGCAAAGATTCTCGCCACTCTGTAACATCCCTATGTTGACTGTGAGTATCTGAGTGCAGATCAACAAGCCGAAATGGGACGCATGGAAGATGCTGCCGGAGGCTGTGCGCAGCGGAGCAGTGCCCTTCGCTCTCGCACATGGCGGCCTCGACATGCACCAGGTACACAGCCACTCAACTTACAGAAAGATGTTCGCGGAATTGAATGACAGAGCGTGGATAGTTTTAACAGACTTCTCTCGTGAGTATTGGCAGCTGTTGACTGGGGACTGAAGGGAGGCTGCCACCTCAATAGCTTTGTATGTGAGCCGAGCCGGCTGACCCTGGGGTTATCTCATTGAAAGCCTTCGGCATCCAAGATACTGTCACGCTACCAAGAAAATGAGACGTTGCGCTGCAATAGAAAGCTGCACGGATCAGCTGATCACCTCTCCAGATGCTTGACTGTCAACAAAGCCGATAAGACATCAAGGGTGCCGATTGCATGCATACCCTTACCCACGAATCCCTAATGATTTTGGCCAGGAGCACTATATTGAGCTTAATCAGGACTCCTGATCAGCTGATCATCTCCCCTGAATCTGGGGTGTATGGCGCGCAGTACGACGAGGTCAAGGGGAATGAGGCGTTCGCAGAGGATTTCCAGCAGGCGATGACCTACTTCACAAAGCTGAGCCTGCGCGGCGGCGAGGTCAGCCTGAAGGATGCGTTTGACTGGAGCAGCGCAAAGTGCATCATGGATGTCGGTGGCGGCCGCGGCGAGTGCCTGTCCCACTGCATGCTGCATGCCGGCCCCGGCTGCAGAGGCGTTCTCATGGACCGGCCCTGGGTGCTCGACAGGTGAGCACTGCTGTACTCACTCTCCATTGTATATAGTGTAACTATATCATAACTTCTATTCCAATCCTGAAGACCATGCACCTTGGGCAACACCTGTATTATGGCTTTCCACTCTTTATGCTTCTAGCGTTCCTCCACCAGCTATAGGCACGACCAATAGCTTCTACATCAGTACCTTCTACATATTTACTGACATACTCTTTCAAATTATGGTATGAGGCATGATCAGGGTGCAGAAACACAGATGTGTGCTCTGCCCCTGTTGCCTTGTTTTGCTGCCGTCTGCAAGCCTGCACCCTGAAAAGAATTCTCTGTTCATTTCAAGTGCCTACCAGCGAGAAGTTGGCAACTATTAAAACTGCGGAGAGCGGGGGATGGCTTCACTCATAAGCATCTGCGAGTCTGCTGGCTGAGAAGACACATGCATGTAGCGTGGACATGAAGGGCACCTTCGAGGCCAAGGGGGTGCACGACGCGGCAAAGCGGCTGAGCTTTGTGTCGGCCGAAGTGCGCGAGCCATTCCCGGCGGCTGTGAGGGAGGCCGGAGTGGACACAATAGTGATGAAGCACTTCCTGTCGGGCTTCTCTGACGCGGATGCAGACATCATCCTGAAGCACTGCAAGGCGGTGCTGCCCCCTGTCGGCAAGATTCTGCTGATGCAGGTGCGTGCAGAAGCTGCAGCTGAGATGTTTTGTGATTTTCCAGACCAGCACAAGCTCCGCAGATGCATGCGCACATCCCTTTTTGCCGTTTCTTGGGTGTCACGGGCTGACACAGCACTCATCCAAATGGCACAAATTTGTACACTGAGAATGCCCCAATTACTGCAATCTTCTCAGCGGTAATTTGGTGTACCTTGAGTTGTGGTTATTTCAACACTGAAAAGGATTGTTCTGATGCAGACTTTGGTGCCAGAGGCGGGCGACAGGGACCACAATGTGTGCAAGGATGGCGTGGCTCCAGGTGATGTCCTGACTGCATCCCTCTCTCTCTCAGTCCCTTCTTCTCAAGCCACATCCAGTACTGATGGCAGACTCTTGACCTCTGGGCCATTTTACAGACATGAAAGCCCTTCAAGCAATTGGCTAGACACTCAATAAGTGTGCCTGCCCTCCCAATGCTGACTGCTGGTTCTGCGCAGGCTTGTTCTCCATCGAGATCCTGGCGATGTGCCCTGGCGGCGGCTGGCGCACACTGAGCGAGTGGAAGGCCATGTTTGCCAAGCACGGCTATGGCCTGGAGGATGTCAAGGCAGTGGGCGCCAACATGAGCCTCATGTGCTGGGGGCTGACACAGAACTGATGACAAATCACATGTGTATGAATGAGCTCATACAAATGAGGTACCCTGCGAACAACGAGGCATTGTAGCACTTGTAGTTCCTAGCATAGGGTGAAGTATGGACTCCAGTGGAGTAGGGCATGCCATGTGCAGCCTATGGTTCATTTAGGCGCATAGGCTGTGCCTGTTCAATAAGTTAACACCAGATGCCATAAGACTGCTGTTCATGATGGACTGCGACAGGCCAAACATTTCAAACAATTATGCCAGGATGCTGCGAACTGACTGGTTGGTTGCTTTCAGTTTCGACATACAGAAAGTTACTTCAAAACGATGTGTTGCAAATTCGATGTGTTGCAAATTCAAATTCAAATTCAAACTCAAACTCAAACTCAACGGCTACAACATCCTTAACATCACAAGTAGTCCCTCTCCTCAAAAAGCTCCTCTGCCCGGTCCCCCCGCCCCGCTCGCAGGCACGCCAGCGCCAGGCTTTCATACTGCGACAACCCCCACCAACCCTTATAAGCCACCCTTGGCCCCGTAAGTCCAGGAGGCTCTATATCTAGCCAGATGTATGGCCCCCTGACAAATCAATACCAACCCTGTTGCCAACGTGGTGAATGTATCCCCCATGCATGGCCAGATTTTTGGCTCAGCACAATTGCCACACAGGGAGTACCCAGTACAAGCTTGTACTGGTCACTCCCTCGCAAAATGTGACCATAGTTTATCCAGTATGTGTTTGCAAGGTGGTCAATAACTACCGTGTCACGGTTGATGGCCACTTCGGATTTCTGCATGTAGTTGAGTAGCTTTAAGCCCTCGTCCAGCATCCCCCCTCGAGCGCATGTGCGCGCGACCATGTTGTAACACCGGCTCCTTGCCTCGGAGTCGCCCTCAGTCCACCTCTGATCCATGTCCTGTAGTATCAAATTCAAGTGAGGCACTGCGAGATCGAACTGCATGCTTAGCACTCCTGCCTTGGCACAAAGACATGCTGGGTTGATTGTTGGCTGCTATCTTGAAGAGCAGACATGAGCTCAGATCTCCACAACTCCACGAATATGGCTGCAAATGCGGAGATGGTCTTTGCTTACGCCTCCAGCTTTGACTACATGGTGGCAGTAGGCAACACTGGATGTCTTAATACATTGTCAGAGGCAAGGTAGTTGCCGTGCCTTCAGCAGCTGCAGGGCGGCCTTGGGCTGACGCTCCCTCAGGAGGGTGGTGAACACAGCGATGGCTGTGGGACCGGAGATGCTGCCCTGTGCTTGCGCCTGCTCGAGGATGCTGACCGCCTTCTGCCACTGCCCGCTCTGGGAGCACAGCCTCACCGCCGGCTCAAAGGCCTCACCAGGAAGCTCCAGCTTCAGAGCGCGCACCTGCGGAACTACAAGGATGCCAGGATCACGCACCGCAGGCCAATCATTGTCAGCGTATTTGGGGCTTCAGATAGGCTGAACGGAATGAAAATGAAAAAGGATAGGGGAGCTTGCCTCTGCCAGCAGCTCCACGGCTTTCAGCCAGTCCCCAGCTGCCTCGCAGGCTTCCAATTGCTTGGCATAGTGTGCGCTGTCTGCAGAGGGCAAATGCCATTCTCAAATCATTATGCTATCAATGCCTCTAAGCCGCTTGAAATTGATAGGCAATTTAATCTAACCATACCATTGGTAAATGCGCTGCATCTAGCCGACCCCATGCGTGGGGAGTTGCACGGTCTTCTACTCCATAGTCTCTGCTTCTGCAGGCTGTTCCTCTTATGTGATGACCGTCGCGTCGTTGCAAGTGCATTACACAATTGGGCATTGGGGTGCAGAGCCGAACATGTATAAGTCGGTGCGCTTGTTTCCATTGCCGCAACTTCTACGACTGCGATGGTGTTTTCCCACCCTTTCTGACAAAAGTGTAGCACTTTAACACCAAATTCAAAGACTCCTAATATTTTTTGTTATTCGAGTTAGATTGCTGTTTAGAAAAAAATTGATCGCCACCTCTCATGCAGTGACGACACAACGACAGGTCAGCTTCCACGTGGCATCAGTAAGATATCTTAGCCTTATCTTTTGTCAAGTTTGCAAAATCCACGCGATCAAATTGTTTCCAGGTATTACGACCTTGTAAACACCTATCTGTTTGTTCTAGAACATTTTTGAAGGCGTGTAAAATTTCTGAAACGCAAAAGGGGGTCCCACCTCGCGCGCAACGATGAGCACTAAACCTGACTCGAAAGAAGCTTCACGAAAGTCGAAGATAGAAACGAAAAACGGGAAGAAGGCGAGCGCGGCTAAAAAGAGTTCAAATTCTGACACCATCTCCCTTCCAAATGGGCAAAAGGTATGACCTTCGAGAGCGGGCATATCCAAGCCTCTCTGTACTACGTCTGAATTATCTAACCGAGAGGTAATCGCCTCTTGTGTAAAGTGCAACTGTTGCTATTTTTGCCTTGCTAAACGTTGCATGTTACGCAGATTCCCGTGGCCGTGCCCCCAAACTTGGATCCTGCGATTGCAAAGCAAGTGATCGAGTACCTGAAGGCCAACCCTGAAGCTGCCCAGCAGTCCTATGAGCAAGCGCACAGGATGCTGCAGGCCCCTGGTATGGCTCAGATGCTGCTTGATGCCAAGGTAAGCAAAGGGACTGGAAGTAATTTGTTGAACGGTTGGCGCATCCGAACTCAAACTCTCCCAAGCTTCCTCCTTGTTCAATTATGTAGACCTACAGCCGTGTGACCATGCAAGTATTCTTATGTTGCTTCATTGAGTGCGCTTTGCAGCAAAATTCCGGCCAGAGGAGTCCAGAGCAGATGTCAAAGATGATGGAGCTGAAGGAGGACCCAGAGCTGAAGCCCATCTTTGATGACATCGAGGCCAACGGAGCGGCCGCCATGGAAAAATACTGGAACGACACAGACCTCATGAGTAAGATCTCCCAAAAGATGTCCGCCATGAACCTCGGGCCGGCCACTCCGCCCAGGAAGCAGGAAAACACGAAGGTGCGCACGTGGTTAAAAAAGATGCATCTGCCTGCTGCAGGAGACTATACACATATTCTGATCAACATCTGCAGTGATTACTAAGAGAGCAAGACCAATATCCTTGGAGAGGACTTGTTCAAGAGAGTGCGAGACACATACCATATTTGTGCCTGAAGTGAGGGGATATGCAGCAGGGATTTTGGTCGAGTTGCTACTGCTGAAGCTTATGCAGTGGCACTTGTCTGTCTCCCGGTACAGGGCCTGTTGATCACGCTGCACGGTGCAAGGGGGTCTGTTCCCAAGAGTCTGGGACATTGTTCCTACTTCTGGCTGCAGCAAAGCCCTCAGCAGTGAGGGCACAGCTGATTTGACACTGGCATGTTTTCGCGGATGAGCCCCTGCTGCAGCACAGCCACAACACATCATGAGTCCGTTCTGATTTGGCTGGGCTTTTCCTGGAATGCAGGGCCTGCCGAGCACGCTGCACGACGCGGCCAAGGTGGGCGACGAGGCGGCGCTGAAGCGCCTGATGGAGGAGGGAGCGGATGTCAACGAGAAGGACGGCCGCGGCATCACGCCGCTCGGAGTTGCCGTCGGATTCAACCGCATCCCATGCGTGAAGGCGCTGCTTGCCGCCGGCGCCGATGTGCACTTGGCCGACGCGCGCGGCAGCACCGTGCTCCACTACGCTGCAGGTACGTAACACTAGTTATAACTACCACTTTAAGACCTGTTGGCAGCTCCATGGGGGTCGTTGGTCTGCCGGGGAGACGCGCACGGTAGCCCCGGGCTCTACTATGCTGCAGGTGCTGCATTGTAGTGTGTTGGAAAGTGGCCTGCTCCAGAAGATCTTTCACTGCATGTCTCCGCCTTCACACTTAGAAATGCAGACGTACTGAAGGGATTTAGTCACTCCCCGTGCCTCACAGAAATTGAGCCGACAATCAAACAACATGTCAAAATGCAAGCTCACTCACAGTAGCATATGCATTTTACACATCAAATACTCAAGCAGAAACAGCAGTCCACCTTTGTGTGGATGCAAGGGAACATCCTGAGTTTTGCCGAGGGTCAGACAGGTTGTCTGAAGGGTTGTTTCACCACTCGCAGGCTACGGCAGGAAGGAGGCTGCGCAGCTGCTGCTGGACGCGGGCGCAAAGACGGACGCGCAGAACGCGGACGGCCAGACGCCGGGCGCAGTGGCAGAGCTCAACAAGGAGCTGCACATGGTCGCCTTCCTGGCAGACCACGTCAGCGCCAGCGGCAAGGCACAGGAGGTCTTCCTCTGAGCGCTGTTGAGAGATGGCTCGCCACAAAAGTAAGCGCGGTGCTTCCTCGTGGAATGATGCTGCGCAAAGCACATTTGATACAATTGGGGATCCTCTCAAGCACTTCAGGCATGCTAGATTATGTGTGGTGCAACAAGTGCAAGGTCATAAGATTCCACACGGTGCACCCACATGGGCTGTTGTGGATGGGGACAAACATTGAGCTCGGCATGCAAGTGATTGTGCCGCTGTTGCTGACAACTTCCCCTCGCGCTAAGTGGGGTTTGGGTCTTGATGGTGCCATGCGCATGTGGATCCAGCTGGTCATGTGCACTTCATCCTAGCAGGTCCCGGCCCGGAGTGGAGAGACTGGTCATGCATGCCACGCTGCATAGGTATCATCCCGTAAGGGGCATGGCAAGCACCTCCTCACTACCCCGGGGTGGTAAAACGCGAGCAATATATTGGGGGGAGCATTATGGAGCACCCAGGGAGTGCAAAATATCAAGGCTTCCTGACCTTGCAAGTGCGCTCGTCAGGCGTTCAAGGGTTGACAATAACAATGTTGATGGTTTTGAAGGGTATAATGAGATATTCAGGCCATGCATATCTTCAGCCATTTTGGACACCCAGAAGAGAACCGGCTAGAAGGGCGGATGTACCATTATTGATTGTCGTTAGCTAGATGGAGATGTGCAGATGTTTGATGGGGAGTGTGGCAAGCCCTCTGCCTGTTGCATGGCTAAGCCTTCGTGCGCCCGTACAGTACATATAGAATAGGTTGACTACTAAGAGTGGCAGGCATGCTTTGGCTTGTAGCAAACAAGATGGCAAATAACCACGAACATGGCATGTGTGAGAGTCTTGCAAGATGCACTTGCTGTGACATGTCGGTAACAATTCAACATTGTTACGATGCAATAGACTGCCGGCAAATGGCCATCAATTACTCGGCATTGATCAATGCATGCACAATCAATGTTGCAACATTTCAACATGGCACACACTTGTTGAACCTAAACAGATGTGAAACACACCGAGCCAATTTATGGATCAGCCCGCTGCCAAATTTTGAACTATGAAGGGCCATCTGATATCTCTTCCGTTGTTGGAGGCTATGCTGCTACTTCAAGAGGCCTCAAGCAGTCACAGTAACTTGCGGCTGGTCTCACTATGAAGAGAAATTCTGACACAATCTGTCTAGGCACTGGCTGCATATAAATCTAGTGCGGAGCAGGTCAGCCTGCGCAGCTGTCACCTCACTTCCTTCGGACCTTCTTTTTCTGCATGCGCATGGAGCTCACCCTGTCTTCCCTCTGCCCCATACTCCTGGCCATGTCAAGATCAGACACAACAGGTGTGTCGCTCTTTCCTGCCTTGGCAGCCTGCAACCTCTCCTCAGCCTCCTTCTGCGGAAAGTAATCCAATGGACTCAATACACAAGCGCCAGAAAGGCCTGACGCTATCAGCTTTAGTCAGGTGCACATAAATAAGGCCAAACAACTTGTTAGGCGCGTGACAAGCATCCAAAGGAAGTACCTGCAATTTTTCAGCGTCAGGATTGAAGCCGCCAAACCCCATGCGCCCCAGCAATGCTCCGGGCGGCGGGTCGGGTTCGTAAACGAGGATGCAACCCCTCTGTGACCCTTCAGCCACCCACTCGGCATCCTCTGGGTTTGGGTCTGCAACCTGTTTATTGACAGACACGTTAGTGCAATCAATCAGCACTGGCACCTGTCATCAGCTTTTGTGGATGTTTTCTGTGCGTCTGGCTCCTGCCTGCCGAGAAGGATCTCTACCTGCTCAAAAACCTCTTCGGCTTTCCGCTTCTCCTGCTTCCGCTGCATGAACTTCATCTGCAGGAGGCGCGAGGAGAATCCCTTCTTCTCAATGCTACCGCCTGGATCCTTCACCCCCATCTTTGCCATTCCTTCTCAGGCTGATGCTCTTTCCAAAGTCACCAGGTAGTGCTGCTTCCCTTGGTGTCCAGTCCTAGCACTATCGCTTCCCACTCAATGAATGCAGCAGAAATCTGTTCTCGATCAATGACACTGCCCTTTTCTATACCCTACAATAGGATACCGTTGTAAGGCATCAACGAGTGTAAAACCGCCTGATCTCATTGCGCATTGCTCACGGGAACCTGCGCCTTGTAAGCCTTGCGATTCATCAAAGTTTGCCTGCTGTGATCTTTGGCTTTATGACTGGATCAAGAACGGTTGCGGGAGGTCTTCAAAGAGATCGAGGCAAGAAGGAGAAGGGAGGATCTCATCTGGTTAGTCATCGCTTCCAAGCAAGATGAAGTTGCTTGCCTAGCGTCCATCAGCTGGCCTCCTTCACTTGGACCCTTTGGCAAGATATCACCACTATACATCCTCACGTTCTGATTTCGATTGCAGACATGTGATATCACAGTCACCTGCTTCACACCTTCTGAGAGCATCCGGACTTGCCTGGATGGTCTTGCAACCCCGCAGTATTGCAGCCTCTCTAGCCGGCAAAGGCACAATTCGTTCTATATCTGCAGCCATACGTGACCCTAGTGCAGTCAAGGTAAGACCATGCCACAGATGCCAAACATGACAAAAATTGCAGAGACATTCAAAGCCACGTTGATGCTATAAGTGTGAAATGCTGCAAGCATATGGGGTGGTTGAACCAGACGTTCACGTGCAGGCACTTGACCTAAGCAGATCTATGGACCTGGTGTGCAACAACCTGATGTGTGAGAAAGTGGGAGAGGCCTGCATCTGCCGCCTCAGCCGTGTACTGGAGCGCCTGTCAGCTCTGGAGTGGCTCAGCCTGGCTAACAACAGGCTACAAAGCCTTCCAGAGAGCTTGTGCAGCTTGCCAAGTTTGCGGCACCTGGATGTTAGCCAAAATGCACTGATGGCCCTGCCAGAACGCATGAACAGTCTGAAACACCTAGAATACTTGGATGTGCGTGAAAACACCTTAGCAAGCCTCCCTGGCAGCTTGCTGGAATTACCGCACCTCAGACATTTTGCTGCAGATGGGAATCCGGGGCTAGCACAGGATAGTATCTCTCGAATGCTGCAAGAACGGCATCGAGTTCACATGCTGTAAAGTATGGCAAAGCCATCAGGCAAATATATTGAGGTTGGCTCTTTACATAAGTTGCAAGCCTGGAGACATTGCAAATTGTTGCATACTTGTGGGCTGGCAAGCTCAGCTTTGCACCATATCGCATTGGGCATTATGTGGCGCCACAGCGGCACGCCACATTGCCGTGGGTAATCGTACAAGTCAGCACGGGCAGATCTTTCACAGACCTCAAGCCGGCGCTTTCTAGATCGCTCATATGGATCAGGGTAGTCTCACAAATCACGCACAGAGTCTCCAACGCTAGCCACTCACAAAAGTCTGATCTGCTGCATCATATTCAAGCGGCAACCTTGGCGTTCGCATTGCAAATTGTGGCAAAGGAGGCTGCCTGCAACGAGGCACCGCCCACCAAGAATCCATCCACATCCTCTTTCCCAGCAAGCTCCGCCGAGTTCTTGTCATTGACCGAGCCACCTGTTGAAATGCAGAGCAGGCAAGCTCAGGTACTGAAAGATGTCTTGAAATACATTCGAACTGTGCACATCACAGCTCTGATCAAATATCCATGATGCAGCAGTACAAATGCAGCTGCTCACCATAGATAATCCTGGTGGCTCCTGCCACCTTTGAGGAAACCTTCTCAGAAAGCCACTTCCTGATGTATGCATGCACTTCCTGTGCCTGGTCTGGTGTTGCCACCTGCATGCATATCCCCACCACGGATTATAAAGCTTCCCTCACTACAGCTAGCACCCAATAAGATGCGCACACACAGCCTTGCAGATCTGCACATACCTTGCCGGTGCCGATAGCCCAGACAGGCTCGTAGGCGACAACGACATTTTCCCAGTCTGCAATGCGGTCCGCGATGCCACTGAGCTGGCCATCAAGTACATCATAAATCTGCGCACCAATAGGCAGGAACCATCAGGAGACTCGCACAATGATGCTTTCCCGTGCTGCAAATTATTTTTTTACAATTGGCTAACGCAAGAAATCTGAAAGCCTACCTGGTCTGACTCCCGCTGCTCAAGAGTCTCACCAATGCAGGCAATGACCTTCAAGCCCTGAGCGAGGGCATTGGCGGTCTTCTCGCCAACAAACTCATTGCTCTCCTTCAGCAGGCTTCGACGCTCTGAATGGCCCAGGATGACCCATTGCAGGCCCAAATCCAGCAGCTGCTCTGGGGCAATCTGCCATAGGAGCACAAGACAAGTCACTCTTGCTTGCCTGTTGCATATTTAAAGCTGGGATGTAGCTGACAACATTGTAATATATGTTCCGAAGACATTCTGTGCGCCCCCTTCTCTCGAAAAATATGGCGATGTGACGATGGATATTGCTTTCTCACCTCCCCAGTGTAGGCTCCTGCCTTGCCCACCCAGCAGTTCTGCGCGCTGACTTGGTAACGAGGATCAATGTTGTCAACAACGTACGGCAAATGGAGGAATGTGGGGGCCACAATGACATCGACATCGCTGGGGAACTTGGAGGAATTCAGATCCTTGACCAACTTGCTGACACTGTCCTTGCTGCCGTTGGACTTCCAGTTACCACCGACAAAGAAGTTTCCTGATGAACCCATTCTCACTACGAGTCTGTAAGGAGACTGGCGTGCTGACGTGACTGAATTGACTGACGTGCTGCAGATGGCGGATGCTTGTCCAAAACGGTGGCCAGCACAATAGCTGCCTGGACACTGCATTGAGACTATTCTTGAAAACATCAAGGAAGAATTCAAGATATTCCTGGAACGTAATGTGTGAAAAATCGCTCACATTTGCCCTTATCTCGGAAGCCCTGGGCTGAGATTGCAGAGGGCCACCAAGTGGTCCACCCCTATTTGCATCTGTACCGCGCTCTGTGCTATGGCTCGTTGATGCCAGACGCATCTTCTGACGTAGTAGTTAAATGGCATTTGTGGAATGGCATTTGTGGAACTCTTATTGATGATTGACGAGCTGAACCTCTTCTGAGACTTCACTTTTCTGACCAGTGGATTAATCTGAGATGTATACAGGACACAGACGAAGTGTGGACGGTGCACACATAAACTTGATTGTAATACGTGCAATATTGCACTCTCACTCACTCATCTTCATAATGCGCAGCACTTCATGAAATTCAGGAATGGTCACCCATCGTGCACACAAATTTCAGGCAAACCAACAGGGCACCATTCAGTGGAGAAGCTGATCTTTTGTTCTCCTAATGAGCAGCTGTAAAGATGACAGATCTCGCTCTGCACCCACAACCGCCTCGTCTATGCTTTCAAGCTGGTCAAGTGTAGGCTCCAATCTGGTCTTCAAATTCTCCAGATCCTGCAAAAGGCAGCACCAGTCTCAGTTGCGATACAGCAGAATAAGAATCTCTGCCATTCGAGATAAAGGGCAGTAATGTCATCGAGCATGATGGACAAATCTGCAATGCGCAGGGCCTCACCCTCTGAGAGCCAATTTCTGCCCTTTTCTGCCAAAGGTGGTAGAAGACTATTGCGAGAATAGTCTCTGTGCTGTGAAGCAGCAAGGTCACCTGCAAGCCAACATGTCAGAAGGGTGTCAAATAGGAGCTTTTGTAAAGTACAGCACAGTGGCAATCCTGTGATGCTCGAGCTCTGCAAGGTGTATGGCATGCAGAGGGAACAACCCACCTCCCTCTCGGCCAGTGCAACCGCCCTGGCCAAAGCAGCTTTGGAGAGCTTTGAGCCAAAAAGTGCAGGGGCTTCCTCCTCTGCTGCAGGCCCTGTGTAAAGCTGCATTGCAAACCAAATCCAAGTCAGCCTACTACAGACACAAGAATGCCATCCTATCTATCACCACATACAGCAGTGGAGCTTTTTATACAGGAATAAGAAATCGACCAAAACACACCTGCAGGGCTGTGCTGGTGCTTGCAGCCACTGGATCATGTGCCCTGCTCAAGGCACTCAGCAGGCTCCGCCGCTGCTCCAGCACGCTGTAGAGGCCGTCACAGGCCTGCGCAGCAGGTTCCAAACACACACTTAATACATGTCCACATTGTCTACACATCCGTTACTGCAATGCCATCAATTCCACTTCAATGCAAGACCCTCGAGAACGTTACAGCGATCCCAAGTGTGCCCTAGGCGGTCTTTGCAAACCAAGTGCCCAAGGTTGGAAAGTCTGAGCAAGCAATGCAAGGTCACCTCTTCTGACACCCCAGAGCAAAAGAGATGAAAGCAAGGATGTGCGTTGCATTGCCTTGAGTAAACATCAGTAATGTTGCAATATGTAAATCACAAAAAGACCGCCCATTCATGGCCCGATGCCATAGTTTAGGTGCCATTAATAGAATTCTGACACCTCAAGCATGATGCTGGAATGTAAGAAACCGGTGTGATGTCGATGGGGCCAGCTCACCTGGACAATGAGGTCCTTCATGAGGAGCAGGGTCGGCGTGGCCCCGTCCTGGAAGCCGGTCTGCTGAGTGATGACAAAAGTGACTGCATCGCTGCTGACTAAGTCCTGCAGATAGCGCGCCAGTGCACACTGCAGCGTGCGGACCTGCATGCAACCACCACACGCTATCACGAAACATGCTTCTTACAATCTCCTTTAAGGAGGCCATCATTTCTCACCAGGAACCTGGATTGCTGGACCCCTTGAAACACCAACCGACCCACCAAGTGCAATCAGGCATTGGCTTTCCCCTTGATCATTGTATATAATCCACTACACCCCTAGGATTCAGCTTGCTCTGCTTAACATTAAAGCATCGGTGGGGAAGCTGAGGGCCAGTGGATTGGAAAAATGCCGGACACAGATAAGAGGCACTTGCGTGGGCAGCAGAGTTGACGAGTCCCAAGTTCAAAATTACATCATGTGAAGGAGGCTTGCCTGGAGGGTGAGCCTGTCTAGGCTCCTGCACTCGGCCAGAGGCATGCTGGGGCGGCCCTCGCGGCCGGCCTCCACGGCGGTCAGCAGCGGGCTCTGCCGCTGCTCGTCCAGTGAGAAGAAACGCACCGCCAGCCTGTGATTGACAGAAACCAAAATATTCGGTATAGATATTGCAAGATCTTTTTAATCTCAATTGACCTTGTCCTCATGCTTACTTGCACCAATCATGTTTTGTATCCGAGGAGATGCACTGAGGTCAAGGATTACACAACCTGTTACCTGACTCTGTCACCTGAACTTGATTCTGTGAGGATTCCTTACTAGCTGTATGCAGGAAAGTAGAGCTCCAGTGTACATGCGACTACGTAGCACTGGTGCATGACCTGAGACGACTTCTGGATTTTTAAGAATTAGCTACTGGGCTTGGGCAAGAGCCCCCGCCCTCCTACGGAACCCCCCCATTGTTCTGTCAACAACTCTGAGTGACAGGCAGTCTGGCAAGGGAAATGGAAGGAATGTCGGGAGCGTACTGGTAGGCCTTGAGGCGCAGGTCTATGGCTGTGCTGGAGGGGTGCTTCTGGTGGTAGGGCACCAGCCGTGCCAGCAGCTGCAGCACAAGCGCGGCAGCTTCCAGCTCAGCTTCGCCCGGCTGCCATCCCTTGGCGCCCGCACTGGCCGCCTCGGTCAACACACGCTCCAGCGTGCGGCCGTGAGCCTCCACAAACCCGGCAGCCGCCTGCCTCACCTGAACACATGCCGCACATATTACTACTGTAATGATGATTCTAGAACCCTGATTAAATAAACTAATTTTGACCCTGCGGATGGTTTACTAACAGCTTACCTGCCTGCGGCGTAATATCATTATACGTTGTCTTCATTTAGCATTAATGCATTTTCCTGCCACAAGGCAAGGTGTGTCTGCAGAAAAGCTGCAGGTGTCACAAACAGTGTGCATCATGCCCACGGTTGATCCGAGCAAGACCAAATCAACCGTGGGCATGATGCACACTATTTATATCCCCCCCCTGCCAGCAAAGACAGCTGGCGGGGCCCACATGTGCTCTGGTCAATATTTGCCACTTCCTAATCTGGTTCGGATGTTTATCCCAAAGTTGCATGTCACGCACGCGGGCAGTGCAAAAATGCAACCCACCAGGAGACATCAATGGGACAATTGCGCTGGCTGCAGCTTTACAGAGTTGCAAGTGAGATGTGAGTCAGACTGCAAGGCGGCCATTAACAGCATTGCATTGTGACCTTGCAGAGGAATCAGTGATTGCAGGCGCATGACAACGTTGGGTCCAGTGGCGGCACCTGCTCGCTGTCAGGCAGACCGGCCACATCGGCTGCAACCACGCGCAGCACTCCTGTGTTGAAGCGGCTGAGCCTCACGCGTAGAGAGGTGGTGTCAGAGTGGCGCTGTCCCGCCCTGGGCTCCTCTGGCTGCAGATCAATGGCCTGTCGCACACATTCACCCCGCTCACACTCAAGTCATTGCACTTTCACTTAGGCTAATTTCGCGTCCAGTAGCCGGGTGATGTGTAGAATATGTCGTGCATGACACAAGACTCACTCCGTCATCTGCAATCAGCATCCCTTGACAGTAATGTAGAAAGCAGGAAAGTGATGCATGGGAAGAAGAGTCACCCCTTCCACTGCAGACAGCTGAGCATTGCTTGTACTACTAAAGATGAAGGCATGTGCTGAAAACAAGAATGGTTGACATCCAAATTTCTCCTCACACGACACCAAATGGCCCTGATTGCAGGCGCAGCAGTGCGCGCACCTGGCAGCGGGTGAGTTGATTGATGATGTCAACGGCAGCCAGCCGGTAGCCGCTGCCGGAGCCGGCACCAGAGGCCTGCAGCGCGCTGCGCAGCAGCCGCAGCAGCAGCGCCAGCTGGGCCTCATGCACATGCAGCGCAGCCCTCGCCTTTGGAGGGACCTGTGCGCAGCCAACCCACCCATAAATGTTGGATTGTTGTGAGTTTGGCACTTACTGGATTCTTCTCCTGCAGGCAGTCAATGGCGGATATTTTGTCGGCGTACACCACTTGCTTGACGTACCAGTCCCCGAGGGCCGGAAAACATGTGATAACAATACAATACAATGATCACTTCTATACATTCATCATAATATCAACCACCAGAAGTTTTCTTGAGCTACTTTCTGGGCACTGTATGCTCCGAATTAAAATGCCAAACTCAACAAATACCACCAAAACAATCTTTCCAGGTGGGGCCAGACTGCGTCCTGATCAGGAGAACCAGACAGGATTGAAACAGATACAATAGATGGGCAGTCAGGGGTGTGCAGAGCAAAAAACTCACCTGGAGCAGGGTGGTGTGCGGGGAGTCCACCAAGTCCATGAGGACGCGGTTGGCCACGCCGGAGCCATAGATGGAGTCCAAGATGACCTCGCCAGGGTCGGCAGCCAGCAGCGCCAGCAGCACTGTCAGCGCCTGTGTGTGCGCCATCTGCACCACACATATCTTCAGATCATTCCATGGCAGACTTCCCCAACAAGTTTAAACTTGGTGTCATTTCACTTTGTCCTAGTGTCAAAGAGCATGCTCCCTGGGTGAGGCCTGTACATGTCTCACTTCTCACATACGCATGTGTCTGCATGGTTTCCAAAATGCGAAGTGTAGCAATTGGACGCCAACAAATAGCATAAAGCGCAAAACTGCACTCGTGCATGATCAGAAGTGTAGTCACTTACCGGGTGCACGGCTGCTGCTGTGGCTTGAGTGGCCAGGAGGGGTATGAGGAAGGCAGCGTCCTGGAGCAGTGCTGCGTTGCCCGCCTCAATCTCTGACTGGGTGTCGTCGAACTGCGCCAGCGCCCCGTTGGCAGATGACTCAGCATCTGCACAGCAGCGCACGCTCCAATCACAAAATCCTAACATCCTTGCTCGCTTACTGGCTGATAAACCTGTCCTTCAAACGCCAGGTGCAAGGTCAACAGCTTGCTTGGAGCTCACAGTTGCGCAGCATGAATGTGGTCTTCTGATGGATACACCCTATCTGCACCTTGTGCACTCAGCAGGAATGCTCTGCATTCCCTCGTCATGTCGCCATTACTAATCTGCCACCTTGTGGTTGTGCTGAGATCTGTCTATCACAGCAGACACGCAACTGCATACACAAAGATAACACACCTTGCAAGAGGGTCTGGAAGAGCGAGGGCGGCGCATGCGCAAGCCTGGGCGCACGCGTGGCCTGCAGGTACGCCAGCAAGGACCCCAGCAGAGGGATGCGCACAGCCTCCATCTTCTGGCCCTCTCGCAGCAGCACGAGCAGCTGGCGCAGGATCGCATGGCTCTGCGCCGGTAGCCTCAGTGCTGCGCAGCGCAACAATTGTGGCAAAGTCAGCACCAAATGCACTATGACATTTAAGTCCGTCTCAATCTATTGTTCCCAAATTTAATCAGATTCAACCTTGAAACATTGCAGAGTAAGTGCAAAGAAGTGTTCCAGTATCAACAAATGAAATCGCACATGACACACTTGGAAACCCCCATAATATGTGATGTCCTGCGGAGTTGCCAGGAGGCAAAATGCGTCTGCAGGCATCCTGCAGATGATAGTCACACATTCTACCCCTTGTTTGACTCGCCAGATACAAGCAAGACCCAATCCGACCATGGGCAGAGTGCTCAGGATGGCCACAATGTGGGCAGCTTTGTGAGCTTGAGATATTGTGAAACTACAACACCCACCTGCACTGGCGTCGGGTGTCAGACCCAGGCCGCTCTGTGCCTCCTGTTGGAGCCTCACCAACAGAGTTTGCACCACCTGCACAGCAAACATGAAGAATAAATATGGCACCGCAATGTCAAGATCGGCCCCAGCTGACGGGGGCTGCTGTAAACACTGAGCATGGTGCCCACGGTTGAATGGGTCTTGCTTTGAGATCTGGCGAGTCTAATGGGTTAAGGGTTATGGCAGCCTCAACCGCAGCTTGTCTGCAGACGCATCATGCCTTTGGCAGAAACAGCATGTAATTAATCATTGCACTCACCTGATCATCAAATTAAGGGGTATGGAAGTTTAGAAGAGGTTGGGTAGAAGAGACATGAGGCACCTTGCAGAGTGGTGGGGCCAGGCGGGCAGCCTCAGTGGGCAGGATACGAGCAACAGTGTCCATGACGGCTTCCAGCGTCTCCTTTGCAACCTCCGCAGCGCCGCTCCGCCTGTTGGGAGACACGCTTTCCAGCAGCTCATACCTGCAGCCAAACATGTGCAATCATCAAGCTCACTTCTGCCAGAAACGCTCTGCTTGGAACAGAGCTTGCTGGCATTCTAGGAAGTTGAGAACTAGCCCTACAATAGATGTGCCGAACGAACATCTAGTCACATCAATGCACTGATGTGTAAAGTGTAGTGCTACACGTCATTCCGACTGCCAATACTCATTCCCTGCCAAATTTGAAAGGACCCCTCCTTCAGGCTTGTACCTTGGGAAGCTACAACCCGTTCATATTAGCGCCATGCAAATGAACTCACCTGCGGGTGAAGGTGATCTCGATGAAGGCCTGCCATGCGTGTATGAGGGCGGCCTGGCCGCCGCACTCCTCCACATAGGCGTTGTACTTTTGTGCATAACGCATTGCCCCCCGGCATGCCTCCCTCAGCTCTTCCAGTGCCCCCGGCCCTGGCCCCCCAGGATACCTCCTGCTGTCCTGCTCCTGCTCCACATACCTGCGGCACACAATGTAAACTTTAAATAGTACACAGCGCAGAGAAGGTTGATTTCTGCCTGGAACAAGAGCCCATTGTGAGGGAATCTGTCTGCGCATTGAGAGCTAGAGACCAGAAACTCTGCGGGGAGCCCGATCCAATTGATCATGCTGCTGGTAATTTAACGCCAGCATGACCCCAAATCTGCTACGATAACCTTTTTGGACTGCAGGGTTGCAGGTTTTACAATCGCCACTATGCTACTCGCTGGTATGGACGCCCCGCCCCACAGTCATGGGCAAGATATCAGAACACAGACTGGGAGGTCCATGAAGGCTGCTTAAAAAGTTCCATGCAAGCAGCAAGGATATGGAGGCTCACTTTAGCTGCAGTGCGCTGGAGAGTGCAGGGATATCGAAGCAGAGGTAGCCGTGCTCTGACAGCGTCCTGACCCCTCCCTCCTCCAATACTCGTGACGTGCTCGCCATCAGCCCATCAATGTCCATCCTCTGTGATAAACCATTGAACCGGTATTAGTCATTTTACCACCTTGGGAAAGTTGAATGCTTGCTTAATGCATGGCCACCATGCCTGAACAAGCGCACGTGACCAAGCATTGAAGCGATGTCAGTCATGCTAGCAACCAGAAAAAAAAAGAATGCTTGCAGACAGATTTGAGTGGCTTCCAACCCTAAACAAGCGCAAGCAGGAGATGTAAAGGGAGTCAAAATGCATTCAGGAAAATCCTGATAAATCCTAAACCCTCACAACTATTGACCAATGTTCGTCACCTGTTGGGAGCGCCGGGCATCAGCGCTGACCTCTGAGTTCAGCTGGGGCTGGGTGAGGGAATATGAGGCGGCCTCAAGGATGGCAAACACGTTGCTCTGGCGCGCTCCGACCATCCCTGACAGCATGCACATGCTCAGACGGCATTGTATACTTCCACACCATCGTCTTACCTACTATCAATTCAAAACGTTGAATCTGTACAACTTCCCATAATCTTGCCAACTCAACTGGAGCCATCGGCATGAGCAGCATTCCAGTGAAGACCACACACGAGCTCTTCAAAAAAAGGGCCATGGACAAAGGCACACCATCGCCATCAGAATCCTGTGGTACGCCAAAGAACGCTTGCAGCAGCGTCTGGCAGTCCTCCCTGTGAGCTGGCAGCGCCATGTCAGCCCTGTGCAGCTGCAGCGCAGCTATGTGCAGCAGCCACGCGCACTGGTGCAGCGCTGCCCCCTTCACCACTGCCTGCAACACACCCAAAACTCTCAAGCACTCTCCTACAGCACACCACACATGTTGCAATTTTGAACGCGGGGAAAAGAAGCAGCAATCAGATGCATGCATGCCTTACTTTAAAAATTGCAACTATCAACGTCAACTATCAGGAACAGGACCATTGGACTGGGAAATGTAGCATGTACCATGCATGGACCAGCAGCATGCTGCGCATCCGGTTCTAGTTCCTTATTCCAAGATGGATGTGTACTTTGCAGGTCCATGAAGCCGGTAGCGTGGAACCATCGGTGAAATAACAATACACATGCCCAAAGTAAGGCTGTTCATGTTCATACCAAACGGGTTGTAACCATCGATACGCTGTGATGATTTGAGCCACAGGCAGTGGTCGTACAACCTGCTGCATACATCGACAAAGCAGAAGGCTACAGGTTCCGTTGCGCGCGCTCCTAGTCCAAGGGTATGCCTTTTGCAGGAACAAGTACCTGATCTGATGACAGGCCGGCGGCGATGGTGTCGAGCTGCAGAGCGACGAGCTGGACCTTGCGGAGGATCGCCAGAGTTGAATCACCGGTGTGGGGCGCAGCCGCGAGCTGGTAAAAGAGCTCGATGAGGTGCTCGTACGCGACCGGGCGCGCAGCCGGCAGGCTTCCGGACTGCGCACCCTTCAGCGCGGCCGTCATGCAGCTGTAGAGCAGCCGCGGGTCCAGCATCGTGTTCACTACCCCTGAAACCCAGCGCATCACGTTCACCACCCTGGAAACTAAAAGCATTGCATTCAAGACCCCAGAACCTTAGCGAGCGGGTATTTATATCTAGGTCTGGTTAGGTATAAATAAATTCCCTGCAGCAAGGGACCTCCATGCATATGACCAATACAGCAGCATTTTAGCATGCATTTTTGCAACGAAGAAAGGTACAGCCTGCACAGCACATGTGCCAAGCTATGGCCCAAGCATTTCAAGCGCAATGAGATTACACCTTCAGGGCCATCTTCTACATCAAAGCCCAGCAGGATGTGCGCCAGGTTTGGCGGTGGAGCATCCAGAGAGTCCAGCAGCAGTTGCAGCACCAGCGTCGCGCGCTCGTCGTCCGCGCCGTCACTGCCGGTGGTTGCTTCCTCAGCGTCGTCGTCGTCGTCTGTGGGATAGAACGCGCCGTGGCTGAAGAGACTCTCCTGGAGGATCGCAGCAAACCCGGCCCGCAGCCGCAGGTACAGCGGCACTTTGCCTGCAGGCGCAACAGAGTCATTATCTGAGTTGTATCAGTGGAAGCTGCCAGCTCGCCATGCAAGCACTCTTGCCCATGATGCCACATTGCGAGGGAGGCAGCAGTCGGCAGATTCTTTATCAGACTACGGTATGAGATGTTGCACTTGGGGAGGACTTCCTTCCAACATTGACTTGTACCCTTGAGTGTCACGCTGCAGGAAAGCCAGCAGATGTCAAGCGCAACTCTTGCATGCCGTACATAGCAATGGATCTCTTTTAAGACTCTAAATGTGAATAACAAGGTATATAAAAGGTAATGTGATTGTATTTCGCGCGGGAGCACCTGCGGCGATGGGTTGCAGGAGCAGGTCTGGCAGCTGCGGCAGGCGCTGGTTGAGGGTGAGGGTGATGTGCACCGCCTGCGCCTGGATGGCGGGGTTGGGCGCGTAGCACACATAGTCCAGCAGCGACGGCAGCCACCGCCTGTCGCGCTTTATTATGCCATCCAGCGTCTCATAGAAGCCTGTACCCACAACTTCCGGATCAGCAACTCTGCGGTTATTGTCACAACAGCGGGTCTTTTCTCAGCATTTCCATGCAGCCGTGCAGCCGACTCATCGTGCAGAAGGTCGATGTGCACCGGCTGAAGCAGTGCAGACAATTCTGCATGTCCAGGTGCAAGGTAAGTGTGGCAGAATTACTGTCTAAATGGCCATAACTGCTAAATAATAGATAAAAGCAAACCAGAGACAACAGTGAGACAGTGACAAAGCTGCTGCACCCGAAAGCTCCGTCTGTCTGAGGGCGGCCACCACAGCTGTGTCGAGTGCGAAGGCCGTCCTAATCAGGCGCAGCGCTGCCAGCACGGCGGCCTCCTTGGCTGCGCCCCAGTCGGTGTCCTGCCGCTCTGCCGCCAGCTGATCCGCACCCCCCGCCAGTATCGTCTCGATTGTCCGCATCGCTTCTCGCTGCCCTGCACAGAGGCAGTGCTCTTTCTTCCATTGCCATTTAGGTTTAGGGTTTCAGGGATACACTTAATTCCAACACAAGCCCACAGCCAAAAGGAACAAGTGGGAGCGCCCGCGGGCGGCCACGAGGTCATACGCGAGCTGGGGGGCAGAACCAGTCGCAGGCCCGTAAAGCCAATCGCCAGGGAGATATTTCGAGATAATCAAGGGCCAAAATGGGGCAATCCCCCTGGAAAGGCCTCTAAACTGCGCCTCGCGTTCCGTTCAACTGCCGTGGCCGCCTGGCGAGCAGCCACATGGCATTAGGAAGGGGCAAAAGATAGAGATTAACCGTACCAGGTTGACCGATCGTAAAGGACATTCGCCTTATGGGGAATGACCAAAAATCACAATTCACATTCATTAGGCACTTGTGGTCATGTTGATTTTGCAGCCTGTGTGTTTCAGCTGCATAGCACGGTGCCCGGGCAACATTCAGAATGAAGATGTGCGGATGATCAGCTGCCGCCACCACTGTTATCTGCGAACCATGCTATTCAACGAGCCTTGTGCAGCTTGGCCACTGTCACTGCATCAATCTTAGTGCCATGGCAGAATGTCCTGTAAAAGGGATCATACCGAGCAGGTCCATCATGACGATGACCCCTGGTGGCCTGGACGCTAGCGCCTGAGGTGCTGCGCTGTCGTAGGAGGTGGCTACTGATGTGGCGCTCAGCGCGCGCAGGCACAGCCTCAGGTGGTCCAGGGACACCTCTGCCAGCTCCCACTTCTGCCTCTGCTGCCTGCACCGCCAGTATTCCATGTGGGGTCACAACTTCTTCTCTTTCCACATACTGCGAAACATTGCAGAAGCAACAACAGCTTGCTCTTTTGCAAGAGGCATGCATCTGTACAACACCATTTGCAGCACACTGTTACTGCAAAATAGTGCAGAAAATCTGCTTGTCCCCCAGTTTCAAGCATTGCTTAGAACATAAGTTTTCTCGTCTTGCACGTTGCTGCATACTGCAGAACCATGAACAGCTTGCTCTTACCAGAGTGGCATGCATAGGGATCAACTTGTTTGCAATTTAGCGCAACTGGAGAAAAGCATAAAATTGGTGGGGGTACCTGTATGCCCTTTGATGGAGCTGGCTGAGGACCTCCGCGCGCACAAACTGCGCCAAGTGGCTGTAGGGCCGGGCCTGAGCAGCAATGTTTGCTCCAGACGCCTTCATGAGCGCATTGAGTAATCTCACGAAGGCCACTGTCTCCGAGTACTCCTCTGCCCGCGACTGCAATCATGGCATGCAATGTTACATCAGAACAATATTTCATTGGCAACACAGCTAAGACTGGTGTCGAAGACACATTTGCACGGAAGTCTGCAGGGAAGGCGGGGCTGTGCATGGCATGAAGATGTTGAGACAGGCTACATTTTTAACCAAGAGAAATTGCAGACATGAAGAATGAGCAAGGGCCATGCAGGGAGGAAGGAGAGCCTCCCAGGTGTATTAGAGTGCACCAACAATGATTCCAACCAACTATTTAAGATATCCAAAAGGGCACACCTCTATCTCATTGAGCTGGTAGCTGATGTCATAGCGTGCGACAGGGCCCATCAAGCTGTCCTCTGCAGAAGCAGGCTGCACGACCACTGCCTGCAGCAGCCGCTCCCACAGAGACGGCGCCAGCTCCGGCCGCCGCGCAAACGCTGCTATGGCGCCGTCCAGCGCGGCCTTAACTTCCTGTCAGCCACACTTGCACTATTGTGCTTTTGCGCAGCAGTGCTAAACCATATCTGTGCTGTACGCAGGGTACGCAGGATGGGACACATAAAACATAATTGGTCTTCTCAACGCCAGGGCATTTGGGTAGGTCTTAGTCTAGAGGATTGTCCACAGTCCATACAACGGAGGCCTACAACAACGCCTTGGGTTTGATAAGGCGATTTTGAGTTGGGATTTTCTGATTTAAGGATGACTGGCCAGAGAGAACCGGTGTACCTGGGGAACAGGGTGACACATGAGCTGGAAGAAGATCTCCCAGAGGGGCACTGCGCCCGTCTCATCCTCCAGAGCGTGTGTCCATGCCAGGGTGTCGGCCGGGGCACCTTCCTGGAACACGCGCCTGCAAGAATTTGACTAAGAGTTGACTAAGAATTCAACTAATTCAGATTGATCGGTGTTGGGTAAACTATTGGCTGTGGTGCAATCCTGCTATTTCCGCCCCCTATGCCTTTTCAATCAACTGCAAAATAATGATGCCGCCTTCATCAATTGTTTCACCGATGCTTGTCACAAGTGTGCCATTTGACAGAATGACGCAACCATGCTGATCCTACATGAGACACCACCATGAGATAGCAAGAAACCCTACGAGTCATTAATTTCACCTGAATAAGCGAAGGTATGCTGACAGACCCTGCGCATCGTTCTCTGGCACAATGGCATCGACAGTGCGCCCGGCCGCTGCTCCATCATCATTTACCCCCTGAATCCAACATCAAATTCAGCAAATATCCCCTCACAACATGCGTGTCTCTGCTCAAACTGTCAGAAAATGGAACAACAGGTGGGGCCACCAAGCTAGATCAGCATAAATATAACACAAATAATCAGCCAGCAAATGCAGGTGGAACAAAAGTCATGGGCCGGGGCGTACCTGTTGGTCTGATGCTGCCGTGTAGCGGGCACAGTACTGTTTCATGACATCAAACAAGAACTTCCATGAGATGGTGCTGTAGGTGTTGCCCGCCCTCAGCTGCTGAAACATGACCTGCACACCAAACCCATTGCACTCGGCATTTCCAGCTGATCCTGAACCCCAGAGTCTGATGAAGCAGTCTTTGACGAACACTAGAAAGAGGTTCTTTGGGCAGCACCTGCGCTCCCTTTGGGCGAGAGGCCAGGGATGTGAGAACGCCCAGGTATGCCACGAGGACAGCTGGCACTTCCCCAACAACTGGGTTGCGCGCTATGTACTCCATGAACTCTCCCAGTACATCATACCTGCGCATCAACGAAGCTTATTACATTTGCACACACCGGATGCTTGGTCAGAAGACTCCACACCATGGCGTCATTTGTAAGTCTGCAGTGTGCACCGTGGACTGCGTGCGGAAAAATGCCACATTGTGGCAAGACACTGGAAACAGGACATCTGGGCTACGTATTGACGCACCGGAGTTCTTGGTCCAGCCAGAGGTCTGGGAAGACATCATAGACGGCAGCAACGGCGTTGAGCAGATCCTCCAGGGCATCATGAGAGGCGCCATTGGCCACCAGGAGTGTGCCCTTGCTATTCATGCGCGCCATGCTCTCAGCAACCAAGGCCCCCACTTCATCCCTGCAGGTAAATACCTTGTTTTCCATGACTCATGAATACAAGAAGTCTTCAAGATTTTCAGCAGAGAAGGAAGGAGGGACACGCCCAACTGAAGAGGTGTGCCATGCAAATCAGCTTGTGCCCCTCTGCACTGCTCCATTGAGTGCAACAGGCAGTGGGCAGACGACTTCTCACCGGCCCGGCTCAGCATCCAGGAAGGTCATGAGCAGCTGGTGCAGCGTCTGCGCATAGAGCTCCTTCTGGAAAGGGAAGTCGTCCTCAAAGGGCACCGACTTGAGGATGCCGGACGTGAGGAAGTGCAGCGCCCCCGACTCGCACGCCTGCTTTATGCTGTTCGCCGCCCTCTCTGCACGTTGCACAGAGAACTTAAATCACACCCTTGCATCCTGCCTGATGACGGTGTGCTCAATGCCACAGTGAAGCACACAGGTCAGTGATTGCATCAGATGAAGGGTGTTTAAAGAAGGATGGCCAGTCTATTTGATGCACTAGTGTTGTCCAGAGAAAGAGTGCGTCCTCTGTGGAGCGTAACAGCAGGGCTCACCCCTTGCAGTGGCTGGGCCATGTTGGGCAAGCAGAAGGCCCCACGCCAGCCTGGCCACAGCCATGAATCCTTCACCCGGAACAGCAGTGCTGTCCAGCCGCTTTGCCACCTCCGGCTCTGCCGCCAGCTCACCTGCAGTGCATTGTTCATGCTGACATCATGCAGGCTATATTTAACACAGCATCCGAAGATAATGCCGGTCAGAAGGACGTTGTGCATTGCAGGGTCTCTGAATCTTACCCAGCAGCTGGTCGTCAGCTTCATCATCCAGACCTCCAGGGATTTCCTTTGGCAGCAGCGTGGAGACAAGCGCCACCAGCACAATGCCCGCCTGCTGCCAGCTGGCCATATCTCCAGCACCACGACCTTCATGACAAACACCACATGCCTCATTTTTGCAAGACTTTCAGAGAACTGAAAAGACCACAGCGCATCTGCTTGGTATCATATAAAGGCGGGACAATGAGGACACTGGTGGGGTCAGGGGTACCTCGAGTGCGCAGCACAAGGTGGTGCAAAAGGTCGATGAGTGAGGCCACATCGGCAGGAGTCAGGCGCGGCTGAATGCGGCAGCTGTACACCAAGCACTGCAGCATAACAATCAAACATTAGAGGAGGACAAAAGCAGCATGCGCACTGGTGAATTATATGTCACTTCCTATGCTGCAAAAAGCATTGTAGAGGAGCAAGTGCGCACCTCGCAGAGGAGAGTGCGCTCTGTGTGCACAACAGCGTGCCTGTCCACCTCGGCCCCCCTTTCATCTGCAATCTTGGCCAGACGACTTCCGGGCTGCGGCTCAAGACTGGTGTCCTGCAGCACAGGATACCCTAATGAATGCTTGTGCTAGCGCCAGCTGGCGTGCCATTCAACGGATTCACGGTGGATCACTCAACACATGGACTACTTGAGAGGAGCCATGAGCGAGACCCACCCCTATGAGCTCAATGAGGCGGCTGACAAGCAGGGAACGGCCGTTTGCTCGCAAAGACAGCAGTCCATTGTTGAAGTTAGCGATCACGGCTGACACATCCTCTGGCGGCTCAGGACCTGGAAGTGCCTGCACCTGCAGGAGCCGGTGCAAAGCCCCCACCAGCCCCCTCCGCTCCTCAAAGTATACCCCGGCCGCAACCTCCGCTGACACCTCCCCCCTCTGCAAGCCGGCAGTTAAATTTGAGTGTCAAGCAATGAAGGCGTCATGTACATCAAAATTCGAGAGCTGCTGGGCCGATGCGTCTTGTGCATTAGCTTCACCTCGTCATGGGCGGTCAGCAGGCAGAGCAGGCTCTCGATTTCATTCAGCTTCAACTCCTCGCTCAACAAAAGCACCTGTGAAATGCAGGATTTTATTAAGCAAGGTCCTTCCATACAGGCAGTGACAATGACTCGATGCCCTTTGCCAGATTCTTACCTCGCGTATGTCCGACGCATCGAGGCGCACAGGCCCCAGGGATGTTGAGGGATTCCCGCTTAGAATCTCATTTCGTGATTCTGTGGAAGGTACCTGTGACAAGCACAATGATGGGTTTGCACTCTCTGCTCAAAGTGGATATCGACCACGTCTGGTGTACATTATTCAGTTTTGCGCTGACTAAAAGATAATTCGCAAATCATTTCACATATCTATACATTGGCAGTCGCTCTCGCGTACCCTGTATCTCAAAAGGTTGATGAAGCTGGGTCTCAATTCTTGTAACCTCAGGGAAATATCCGATGAAGACACCCCAGCAGAGCCGTATGTAATGCTGTCAACATACTCTACAATGTCCCTATAGTTCCAAGCTGGCTCTACCATCGAGTTCTGCGCATCAGAGTATTCTTAAAAAATGTCACACGTGCAGTTGGAGCTCTGAATTGCAGTATAGATTCGCGATAACCAGGAACTACTCTGAATCCTTGTATTCCTGCACGACTTGGCCACTTCTGAATAATTCAGTAGAGTGCATGGCTGCATGCACATGTAAGTCAGTCACGCGGCGTTCCTTTTCGTTTGCACTCGTCAAGCTCCCCTGCCTTGCATGTCGTGCAATAGATTGCCCCACCTAGAGGTCATCTGGTTACGAAAGGCTGTATTGATGTACTGATTTACTAATTGTACCAGTGCACTGTTTACTGTCAATGTCGACATATATGTCTTCGATCAATGCCTGGCAGCTTCATCTTAGACTTATAGAGGACTTTGCCATTTCAAAAAGGGAATAAAGAACATGCTTGTCTTCGTTTAGAACTTCTGGTGACAACTGGAGATGCTGTTGAGAGTTGGGCGCATGCATGGCATGATGGCTGCATGCACAAGGAGGACGATCAGGAGGCGTTCCCTTGATCAACTTCACGAAATTTTCAGCCAAGACTGAGGAAAGCGTCACCCGAAGACAAAAGATTCACATAGGTCAAAGGATCTTAACGCATCATGAGATGTTATCGTGAGATGTGGACGGTATACGTGTGATTCCATCTTTCTGCTGGCATCGTACCCAACAGAGATTGCGCGTATCTCGGATGAAGTGTGATATCTGATAAATGCTTCTGTGATAATAGTGCGATCTAGAAGTGGTGCTCATAAAATTGGACGACGCTGGTTATGGGATCAAATCCAACATGAAGCCATCAGAAAAGAACAAAGTCACTTTTGCAGTTGGAGCGATAGCTGCAACGGCTGCTATGGGATACATGTTATCCAGGCTGTGGAGAAGGTAGAGATAAGATTTTATTTGTGGCTACATTCCATGATTCCTTTTCTCTACCTGCCTGTCAGACGTCATCTTCCAATATTGTGTCATATGGACACCTCTTTTCGTGTCAGATCCAATCCGAGCTTATAACAAAATTGAAGGGGGACACTCTTGAGTGCAGGCCAGCCGTGAAGTGCTGCATTTCCAGGGCCAAGCTCGCTGTTCTGCCATATTTCCAGTATGGGAGGAAGCGCTTCACAACCCCGCCAGTTGCTGTCAAGGGTGACCACCACAAGCCTCTAGCATCCACTCTTCGCATGTACAGACGCTAAGGAATTACAGGCTCACATTGACAAGCAGTAATATTTTCTCACTTTTTTATACACGGTAGTAAGGACCATGTTTCCGGCTTTTGATGTACCAGTCATGCAGAAGGCGCTGCCTGCCTTATTCTTGTGTTGTGCTGTGACCAGGAGCTCCCCAGGGGAACATTTCAGTAACTCCCTCAGAGTATCCGGAGGTGAGGCGGGGTGACACGGTGGAGTCTCTGCATGGCGTGCAGATCACAGACCCCTACCGCTGGCTTGAAGACCCTGACTCACCCGAAACTGTTGCATGTGCGCCGCACCTTGCCACCTGCATGACCTGTGATACCTATCATCTTGGCCACTTTAGCTGCTCACCCAAAATGACCTGCGGAATATATTGAACAAGCCACACAAGAGCATCATATCTGCACTGCTTTCTTGATCTTTGCTGAAGTGGGTCCTGAGCGGCACCACCCTGTTGTGCAGTTGTGGAGGCACAAAATAAGCTGACAGACAGCATCTTGAAGAAGTGTGCCAGCCGTGAAAAGTTTAAGAAGCTGCTGACGCAATTGTACAACTACCCCCGCTTCTCATGCCCCTTCAAGCGGGGATCCAGGTGAGGGGCCTTTCAGTTTAATGCCCAAGAAAAACTTGAACAGAGGTGACTGTTGCTCATGGGGCCTTTGAATGATCTGCCATCCTGTCCATGCGAGACATTTCGTGCTATTCCACTTTGATACTCGCCTATTGCAGCTGTCAGATTGCTGAAGCTAAGACTGACCTCTCCATCTAGACAGCATTGCGGCTCTGGGTGTCTGGAATGAGAAGGTGTTCCGACATGCTCAGGTACTACTACACGCACAACTCGGGGCTGCAGGCGCAGAATGTGATCTACACCCAGGCACACCTGCAAGCTGAGCCCAAAGTGTTCCTGGACCCCAACAAATTCTCTGCCGATGGCACCGTTGCCCTGGACAGCTTTACCTTCAGCGAGGATGGCAACCTTGTGGCCTACAGCACTGGCAGGTGAGCCGCTTGAAATTTAGGGACACTGTATGCTGTCAGTCCCTCAGAATGCCCTTATACTTGCAAGCAGGCTCCCTGCATATGCTTGGGGTAGCAGAATAGACACCAGGGTGTTGGATGTCTAGGAGCTATCTAATGCCCCACAAGTGCTAGTGCACAAGAGATGCTGTAGAGATCCTGAACCTTGACCTGCAAGCCGCAGACCTTCCAAGCTATGCGAGAGGTAGTTAGCTGACCTGTGGCATGCTCCTTTTCCCTCTCAGTGGCGGGTCGGACTGGCGCAAGATAGAGCTGATGCATGTCAATGCTTCTACGGGCGAGGGCAAGAAGCTGGATGATCTGCTGGAGTTTGTCAAGTTCTCCTCCATTGCGTGGACCCATGACAACAAGGTGCGCTATCTCAGCCTGGCAGCCCCCAAGCAGCAACGCCAGTGCCATTGCAATATAATTGCTGTTTTGTCCCGAAGCATGAGGGTAGCTTGCACAGGTTAGCTACCAGTTTCTTGTGACTGCAAAGATTCACCTCTTTTGAAGTAGCCAGCAACCATTAGGCTGCTAGGCTTGCGCTGCCTATCCTCAAAATACTGAAATAGTCTTGACAGTCATCATGTACATGCCACCGGTGCAGGGCTTCTTCTACAACAGATACAAGCCGCCCAGCAAGTCTGCCAAGCTCGGCACAGAGACAGACACAAACGTGGACCAGCAGCTCTGGTACCATGTTGTGGGGACACCTCAGGCGGATGACAAATTTGTGTACGCTGTACCCGAGCACCCAGACTGGTTCATTTCTGCTGAGGTCACCGATGATGGCAGGTGTGCATGCTATCTAAAATCCCTGCGCTCTTTCTGGTCCCTTGTCATTCTTCTTCGCTTTCTTGGAAAAAATACACAGTATTCAACTGGGAATTCCTGTTACTGTTGGGTATTCTTGGTTGACTGAGGTGGTGCACGGTGTTTTAGCTTCTTCCTGGCACTGAGTGGGTTGCATGTCCTGCGCAGGTATCTGCTGCTGTCCATGTCAGCCGGATGCGAGCCCACAAATCGGCTGTACTTCCTGGATCTGAATGCTCTGCCGCGCAACGCATCAACCGGCGCCCTGGACCTTACTTTGTATGACAGGAGGTGACCAGTCTCATGATGCAATGCTGCAGTACCATCTTGCATTCAAGTGTTCTTTGCCTTCATTAGGTCATATGTTGTGAGGTCGATCGACGACTTGACCTAGAAATCTCTTCTATGTTCAACTAGTACCACCTGTGACGAATGCACAGGCGCTTGCACTAGTAGGCACCAAGGCATTTTTTTGAAGTGCACTAGGTTTTAGATGCCTAAGACATGCAAGAAGCAGAGATTGCAATCATTTTGTAAAATGGCTGTCTTTGTTGCCAACTGATTGCCTGCCTGTGCAGTGCTCCTGTGGGCGTGCGGCCGCTGCCACTGACAAAGCTGGTGGATGACTTTGCGGCGCAGTGGGAGTATGTAGCCAATGAGGGCACCAGCTTCACCTTCAAGACCAACCTGTCTGCCCCACGATACAGGTCAGCTGCCGCACCCAATATGACTACTCTGTTTCACGACATTGTTTGGGGTCCTTAAGAAGGCGATGTTCACAAGCAGATTATTGTGTGGTGAAGCTCTGCACATTGCACCTTCAACAGAGTACATCCGCCAAAGGGCTCAGAGCTTTCAGCAAAGAAGGATTTAAAATGTGTTGCAGGTTGGTCAGGACAGATGTGAGTGCGCCAGGGGAACCTCACACCTGGCCAGACGTAATCCCCCAGCACGAGAAGGACCTTCTGCAGTGGGCTTCCGCGCTAAAGGTATCTACTGCAAGTCTTAACTTTCTATCTTCTCTGACCGTCAAGCCCAAATCTCATACTTCGTTGACACGACAGCTGCTAATGCATTGTCACACTTATGCATGTGTCATGATGTTCCTTCTGGAGAAAGTCTCTGCTCTGCAGGAGGATGCCTGATGGCATGGAACTCATGTGTGATGGCTCTTGCCAAGGGGTACAACATACTTTATTACCCTAAGCCCTTACACCCTAAAAAAACAACAAAAACTCTACCCTGAACTAGTGTAGTCTTCAGTACCCCCCTGCTCTTGCTGTCACAGGGGGACGTGCTGGCGATGTGCTGGCTGCACGATGTGGCGTCAGTGCTGCAGCTGCGCTCTCTGACCAGCGGCGAGCTTCTGAAGTCCATCGCCCTGCCTGGCCTGGGCAGCGTGAGGTCCTTCTCTGGCCGGAGAAGCCAGTCAGAGATGTTCTACAGCTACAGTGACTTCACAGACCCTGGTTCAATCTACAGGCAGGCCTCTTAAAGCTGTTTACTTCCTGGCCTTCTGGAGATCAAATGGAGCAATGTATAGGTGTCAAAACTGCACGTAAAGGAATATGTGGACCTGAACTGCAGGCTGGACACAGCTAATGCAATACTTGAACCAGAGCTCTTCCGGAAGACGGAGCTTAATGTGAAGGAGGACCTCACAAAGCTAGAAACAAAGCAGGTGATTTGTTCTGCCGTCCTGCTCATGTGTCCACTGCTGTGACTGTTCAGCGCAGCAGAAAATGTCCAGTTGAGAAATCCTGCTGAGTTGCTTGGTGCTTTCAGCAGTAGCTTGCATCCTTGAGACTAGAGGAAATGTACTGTGCAGGTGTTTGTGGAGAGCAAGGATGGCACAAAGGTGCCCGTGTTCATTGTGGGGAGAAAGGGCCTGCAGCTGGACGGCTCCAATCCCACCCTTCTGTATGGCTATGGAGGTGATCATTTCAATGCCATCCCAGCCAAGTGTCCCATCTTTGTTCCCTCTTAATGTCAGTACCATGAACTTGCCATACCGCGGTTACCTTATCTTTTCTTTCTAGGAGTGTGAAATTGGTCTTGACGGCAGGGTTCAACATCAGCTTGGAGCCAGGTTTTAGCGTCACACGTCTCTGCTGGATGCTAGCATATGGCGGAGTGTACGCGGTAGCAAATCTCAGGTGCGCACCTCTCTTTCCAGGTTTCTGAACAACACCTCCTTGTGTTAAAGGGCCCGGGAAGCAAATTGCATGTTTCACGCATTGCATTTACACGATGAGGCAGTCCTTTCCCCTTTCTTTGGCCCTCGCTCTGCTTTGTGTTCTGCATTCCTCTTTCTCTAAATTGGCGCAGAGTGCTGCAGTCTCCTGCTAGAAAGTCATAAGGCAGAGTACCCCGATTGGGCAACCTTGCGCTGTATGGCAGGGGCGGCGGGGAGTATGGCATCAAGTGGCGTGAGGCTGGGTCGCTGCACAACAAGCAGAACGTGTTCGATGACTTCATTGCATGTGCCGAGCACCTCATCGGTACGGGGTACACCAGCCCTGCAAAATTGGTGACACAGGTGGGCCACCCTCAGCAATTGCTCTTGTCACACTTTGGTGCTTGCAGAAAATTAGGGAGGCCATTTGTCACGGGGATTGTCATGCGCATTAGGGAGTCTGAAGATGGAGTGCATACGCTGATGTTATTTTATGGTTGTTTGTGGTGCAGGGTGGCAGCAATGGCGGTCTTCTGGTGGCAGCCTGTGCTAACCAGGTGGGTCAAAGATTTTCACACATCTGTGAACCAGCTGGCACAGCAAGAGTGCAGGAGTTGTGTTAAGGTCCTGGCATAAAAATTATTGCAGAGCTGTATATGATTTCCGAATTGTTGGACTTGTGGGTCCCGGCTGGCGGGGGTTGTACACATATTGAGCATTTGCCCATGATGGATTGGATCTTGCTTGGATCTGGCAAGGCCAACAAAGGTGTAGGATTTCAGCAGCCTTTATCAGCAGCTTGTCTGCAGCCGCACCTTGCCTTGGGCACCTGCTTCTGAGCTACCACATTGAAGAGTGTGATTGAATAACATGTGTTGTGCGCAGAGGCCGGACCTGTATGGGGCGGTGATAGGGCAGGTGGGCGTGATGGACATGCTGCGATTCCACAAGTTCACCATCGGTCACGCCTGGGTCAGCGACTACGGGTCACCTGACAGCCCAGCCAACTTCCCCTACCTGCTCGCTTACTCACCCTTGCACAACGTGCGCATTCCCCTGGAGGAGCCGCGCCAGTACCCGGCCATGCTTCTCACCACAGGTGTCTTTCCCTGGCACCTGTCTTCTCTTGTCACACCCCCAATCACCCTTCTTCCATCAACCCACAATTCTTGCATGACTCTGCGTGGGGTGTTTTATTGCAAAGTATTTTTGGACCGAGCCAGGACTGCCTTCAGGCATCCCTGCTTTGAATGTCATGTATTAGATTGCCCCACCGAGCTAGAGATAGAGGTCAAGTGTGGCCTTAGGGTCCAGAGGAACACATCTCTGGCAGCTTTGATATGGCCCCCTTGGGATGTCAGTATTCCGAGGTTTGACTCCTCTTTGATGATGTGATAAAAGTCTTGTTGCCACAGGGGATCATGATGATCGCGTGGTTCCTCTGCACACCCATAAGCTGCTGGCCACGCTGCAGCACTGTGCTGCCACTGAGGAGGGCAGCGGTCAGCAGAACCCACTCCTTGCCAGGGTGGAGGTGAGGGCAGGCCACGGCGCAGGCAAGCCCACAGAAAAGATCATCGAGGAGGCAGCTGATATCTATGCCTTCGCGGCGGAGGTTATTGGCGCTAAGTGGGTGGACACGTGACAGGTCCCTGGTCATGTGAGCCAAGTATAGCACTTTCTTGAGTCTTACTGCGTTTACCTGAGGAATTCTGTACATTTCTTGGGGGCTTTTGGTAAATGAGATCTGAAAGCAATAGCATTCCATGACACAGGAGCACCAAAGTAAACTTCATATATATATATGCTGGTTGAAACGGTGGAGGGTTGTTATTCCCCCGAAAGGTGCACTTAGACTGCCGGGCTTTCTCGAAACAGTCTTCATCTCATCTTCAAAGTTTTACAATGAGTTAGTGACTCTTTTTCTCGAACGTGACAAATTGGGCTGTCCTGCCTTGGATCGGGGAGCATGATCGAGTCTACTATACTGGCGTGCAAGAGCTGCAAGTCGATAACGGCTTTGATACGACCACACTGCAGAAAGTATATTTTTATTCGAATCGATACAAGAGCAACCTCATGTAGGCTCTTTACTGACCAAGATTGAAAGTCGAGGGTTCCGTCGGGGAAATAACTTATTAAAATTGTATGAGTTCCCGGACGTCAGATGTGAGACGCCCCTACAACGCATTCCTCTCATGATCACAATTCTGGAAACGTCCACATTGAGAGACAGGAGGACTTAGACGATTTACAGCTTTTAACGTGCCTAAGGCCTGTGGGTATCGAAACTCCAATAGAACTCGCTAGGGGAACGTCGATGGCACTCCGAGGGTGAGATCATACTGAGCCAAACACAACTAAAACAGCGATCGCGAAAGGTAAGGTGGGGATCCCGATGATTGATCATTTATAAAATCGTACTTTGGCCCATCGCCAGCCTTGATATACTTCTCTCTTCAAGACGCCTTTGCGTAGGTCTTCGGCATGCGTGCAAGACGCCCTAAATTAGGGCTGCCCATTCAGGGCGTCTGTCTGAAAACCGATGGAATGTGCAAATATGTATTTACTTCCTATAATACTGGGAATCATTCAATGGGACCGATATCTGAGATCCTGACAGCTCGATATGTGCGTTGCAGCCGATCACGATCAGCTCTCGAGAGACCACCTCAAGGATGGCGGCGTACAGATCCTCAGCCACCCTTCTTTGCGTTCTGGCTACCGTCCTGCTTCTAGACGTGGTCTCGCAGCCTGCAGCGGCGAGGAGGTTGCAAGGTAGCGCACGCTGACTAATGTTGAAAAGCTTGCAAAGTAGAACCTGCATTCTGAGTCATCGTTGACATCCTCTGTGTGGTGACGACAGGAGCGACAGTGGATGATCTTGCTGTGGGCGATCAAGGCAAGCAGATAACGGCCGGCAGCCTACAGCATGATGTTCCTGGTGGCTACAACTACGAGGGACAAGTAAGGATTTCCCTTTCTTTGCCCTGTTCAAGAACACCAAAAGACCTCCAATCTGGACAAGCATTCAAAGAATGAATGCAAGCAGGGCTGCGCCTGAAAGGAGAGTGCAACAGAAAGGATACCCACAGCACAATGCTAGGCATCACAGCAGACTGTACAGGATCATCTTGCACATGAAGTGGTTCTTGCACAGGTGTCCTTCACACACAAGCTTCAGTCGGGCCAGGCGCTGATGCGGGCACGGTTGGACAACACCACTCGGTCTCGCTCGCCCATCACCCACCGCACCGTGCTCATCACCCGCGATGGCCGCCGCTACACAAAGACGTGCGTTACCAAAATCTGGTTGTGCATCTGCTATACTGTGTCATTGAATAACTTCTTCAGCCTTGTCTATCGGAACGGCAAACAGTCCTGATCAGATTGAGATGTCTTTCCACCAGTTGTGCATATTCCAAATTAGCTTGCGCTTGCTCTGTCCCTGCTTTGACCGTGTATGTCCATGGGACAAGCGTCAGATATTCCTGTTCGAATGATTTCACCATTTCGCCGGTTGCACATCTGCTGAGATCTGTCACCTTGTTACGTCTTTTCACCTTGTCTGTCTGCATGGCAGGTGTCAAACATTTATTTCAAATAAGTAAAGCTTATGATATTGTGAGCAGGCTGTCCCTGGATGGCGGCAAGGCGGCCGGCGGCTTTGGCGAGCCACGCATCCCGGAGCCGACGGCCGCTGTCGATGGTGAATCCAGCGAAGCGTCAGCCGGCGGCCGATCCCTGCTGCAGGGAGTGAACACGAATGACTTCACCTGCGTGGGCTGCCCGGCAGGGGGCCCTGACACGCGCACATCCGTGGCGGACACCTCGTCCTTCCCCTACTCCGCCGTCGGGCAGCTCATGGGCCAGGTCACCAGCAACACGTGCGCGCCGCTTCACACTCTTGCCTGGACTACTCCTGTCACACAGCCTACTACAGCTTGCTAACCTTTGTATAGCAGACCAAAAATCTGCTGTGTTGCAATTTGGACACTCCTTGAAAGCGAGGCATGCAAACCTGCCTGGTGCAGAATAAATCTGGTCTGATACGGCCTCCTAACCTCGACTCTGGAACCCTGTCAACCATTTTAGCAGGTTTTTCGGCGCAGGAATCCCTGCAAGAGTTAGAAAGACAATTGCGGTGAGGGTCTGTGCAACACTGAGGCAGTCTGGCTGGCACAGGGCGCTGGAGTGCACTGGGAGCTTGATCGGGACGCGGCACGTGCTGACGGCGGCGCACTGCGTCTTTGACATCCACACGACGCGCAAGATGGTGTCCAGCCTGGACTTCAGCCCCGGCATGAATGGCCCCACGCGGCCCAACGGCGTCGCGCGCTGGCAGAACGTCCGCATCCTCCAGCAGTTCCAGGCCGAGGTGCGCCCCGCCTCTTCAGCCTGGAGTGTCTCCCCTTGCCACCCTTTACTGTCAGCACTGCCAATTTATTAGAAATGTACAAGCCAACATCTGAAGGCCATTGCATGACACAGCATGCCATAGATCTGTGCACAGAAAGCACACCCTGTGGTTGCTTTTGACTGATGTGGGCCTCACCAGCCTCTATGTCTGGGATTGGCAAGCATGGCTCCCACCTTAACCTGTCAGCAAGGCTCTGTCCCATTGCAAGACATGTCACGATCTTGTGGGGGTGATTTATTGTGTGGTGGTTTCCTGAGTAATTTAGTACTCTCCGGCTATGTGCCTGACTTAGCTTGCACAGCTTAATACCCTCATTCATTTGAGCACTTTTGCATATTTGTGGGTTGGCCCTGCACCAGCCGTGTGATCCATACTCTATCAGTAAAAGCAATTTCCTAAGCCATGAGTACCCAGCTGACAGTCTGTCACGCATGCGTGCAGAGGACGTACAGCACGACGGCGATCAACTACGACTTTGCGCTGATCACGCTCAAGGCTGACGTGTCGCCCGGCCTCGGCTACTTTGGCATCCAGCGGGGCACCGGCACATCCACGCTCAACATCGCCAGCGCCGGCTACCCGGCCGATAAACCTTCCGGCTCCATGTGGTCCACCACCTGCCAGAATGTGGAGTACGCGTACGGGCAGAACCAGGGCGTCTTCAAGGAGGTCTCGCAGTGCCAGAACCAGGTGCGCTGCACACCTCCTGCTATGATGGATCAAGTACTGACACATGACACAGTGCAACTGTCAAATGGGAAATTGATTGAGAAAATGGGGTGACCTGAGAGCTATCCTGCTTTCATTGTGAAGGGAGGAACCATAACCATTTGGGAAGCCAAGATTTGTAAGCATTGCAAGCATGCAAAATGAACAAGGCCCATGACTTTTGGGGTATTGACAGTACTGAATGCTGCATCTGCATGCTGCAACACACAGGAGAAGTGCAAAGTGAAACATCCCTTGACAGTGAATGAGAAGATCATGCAGCATGTGTATAGACATGGGACATTGACAAAGGGAAAAGGGTGAAATTGCCATGGCTTAAGCGGAAAGAATATTGCCTTCATTCGAATCGCAGGCATGTTCAAACATTCTCCAGCACAGCTGTGCTGCCAGCGAGGGTCAGTCTGGGGCAAGCATGTGGGACCCAGCCAGCCGCAAAGTACACTCTATCCTGACCGGCAAGGTGTGTCTGAGAGCTTCACATACGCTTCTCGCCAGCAGGCGCCGCCACACCTCCCCCTCTCATTCCCCTCCTCACTGACGGTTTTGTGTGCTTGGTTTTTCTTTTCCAGCAGGTGTACAGGGGAGAACCTACCAGCAGCTGCGGAAGCTAAAAGTCTGGGGGTGGATCTTTTCTTCACGTGTTCTCTGATTTTCTGTTTCTCTCTTTGCGCTGTCCAGGACTGTGGTTGCTGCAACATCCTGCAGCACTCCTGTGCTGCAAGTGAAGGCCAGTCTGGCGCGCCCATGTATGATGGCGACTACAATTTGATGAGCATTCTTACCGGACGAGTAGGCCTTTCTTTTAGTGTTTTTCCAATTTCTTATTTCTATGTCTCTTTTCAGTGTCTTGCATGTAAACCGCATGCGTATGTATGCCAGTCTTTTGCTGTTCATATTGCAGTTCTTTTCTGTTGCTGTAGTCACCAACTTTCTTTATCTTTGTGTTTGCTTCATGATTTGTATTGACCTGTGTCGCTGCATGTCAAATTTGGTGTCAGCAGAATCTTAATTATTATTGTGCAACTGTGCAGCTGAGCACCACGGAGGGCAACTCGTACTACGTGGGCACCAAGATGGACGCCTTTGTGTTTGACACGCTCAACTCATGGTACCAGGAGGACATGGGCATCAACTCGGTGCGTCCTTCATGCCTTCTTTGCATCCTCAACCAATCTTAAGAAGTGGCTTCCCACATCATCAATCGAAGATCTGTTCAATTTTTTATCCCCTATGGTGTGACAGGACAGGGCTGTCTGCTGTCAGTGGAGGTCTACTTGCCTCAATATTGTCAGCTGTGTGAGATCACACTCCCTAGAAAATTTCATGGCGTATAAAGACTCTATACATGTCTGTGTGCAGGCCATCCCGCAGCAGGTGTACTCTGGTGAGGCAGGCAACAATCCCGCAGCCGTGGCGGCAGCGACCGACTCCGGCACCAGCAGCAGCAGCAGCTCTAACGGCGCTTCCTCCAGCGCTACACGTTTCCCCGGCTCTGGCGCAGGTATTGTTCCTCTGCTGCTCACTTTGCTCTGTCCAGTCCTCTCAAATAGGACTGCAAACTTCACCACAGAAGACTACCACTGTTGAGCGCAGCTCTGTGTAGCTTGGTGATGTGTGCCACTTGCTTGAAGGACCTGAGAGCGTGCAGAGGTCTTCGAACAGAAGCTCAAACTGCCACGCCATGGCACAGTACAACTTATTCATTCAAATGGGTATTGTGAAGACAGATGTAGAGAGTCAAACGAGAGTGGTACTGAGAGGGGGCTTGGTCTGTGCAGGCACAGTGACAAGGGCGTCAGGCGGAACCAGCACAGGGTCCACCGCCACCACAGCAGCAGACTCCTCCCAGCAGCAGTCGATATTTAGCCGGCTAACATCTGGCGGCCTTTTTGGCGGCCTGGCAGCTGTGCTCAACACCACAGCTCCCACAGCTTCCACCACCGTAACAGTTTATGCTGACTCACCAGCGGCGGACGCTGGCGCCTCATCCAGTGCTGCAGCATCGGCACCTAATGAGGTGAGTGCTTAAGCAAAAGCTCCCAGGCAATAATTGTCCGTCCATTCTTCTCATCAGTCTTTACAATTTCAAACGCTGGATTGCAGCTGCAACCAAGATAATGATGCTAGCAAAATAAATTGACGCTGCCCTGCACATATTCTCATTGGTGCTTTGTGCTGCGGTGTTCTATCGCCCCAGCTGGCCGGGGGTGGGGGTTGTTAGTGGGCACCGTGCCCAGGCTTGTTTAGTGAGTGCTGATTGCTTGGATCTGGCAACTCGGACAAGGTTTAGGATTTTGGCAGCCTTCAATTGCAGCTTGTCTGCAGATGCACTTTGCCTCTTGGCAGAAAGATCATGTAAAAACATTACTGATTGGGATGATGCTACTGTGCAGGTGGCCAGCACGCAGCCGACCAACTATGTGGAGGCGCTCATCACAACCAACTCAGGAGTGTCATTTGTGTTCGACCCGCTCATCCGCAACCCTCAGCAGGCGGCCGCAGCTGCAGTTGCCAAGGTTGCCTCCACTGTGGCCAGCGGCAGGCACTGAGTTTCACGCTACAGTGCTGAGCTTGACCCTGCAACTCCCCGGTCCAAGATTTTGCAAGGGAATTGATTCGGGTGCTCGAATGCCCCAGGCATGCAGTCGTGCAAGGCAGCCCCGCAGTTTTCAAAGCAGCATCAAGCACGGTGGCAAGCAGGAGCAATTTGCTGGCTGCATTTGCTGGCCACAGCTGCGGGATTTTGTACGCTATCAGCAATGCAGTTGTGTAGATTTCGGCCAGTGAAATTGTTCTGTATTTATCTACAGCAGGATGCAGATGTTCTGGGAGCAGGAACTGCCAATTACATCTATGCCTAATGCGGCAGTGGCAGTTTGCTCAGAGCTCTGCAGCACTAGGTTAGATTCTGTGAGGGCTGCCCAATTTAGCGCTTTCTGAAATGTTGTGCAGTACTCATGCAGGAATTGTCATGCACAGTTGAGCAGCTGATGATGCTGCATGAGTTTGGTGCTTTTGCTGGATTGCTGTATTATTATACATGAGTGCATGTAGGCAGGGAAAACCAAACATGGGAGCCACAGGCCCTCTGAACAAACTTATTGGAACTTAGACGAACAATATGTTTCATGCATACTGACACATTGAGAAACACCCAAAAACCTTCTGTGCAGCTAATTCTAGATTGAGTGAATATTTTGTTGAGCCAGCAGGAAATAATTGCACCTCCTTCACAGTCATGCCTGTGAATCAACGTAGAAAGATTGCAGCGGACTTCCATGTAAATTGATTTTACATGGAGAATAGGCTGTGTAACTGATCTGTCTCAACTTAATGTCTACCAATGCACATGTGCATTGAATAATATACGCGTAAGGTGTATTGAATAAATCTCAAATTGCGTTCAGGCTTGCAAGCTTGGTAGGCACATGTGTCGCTGCAACAAACTGTGGCATGAGGTGACATCTGTGCAATCTGACACTTCTTCTATTGAATATCAGGAGCCAGCGGCTCACAGGCTAAGAACACAAATAGCATACATCCAGCAGGGACCCAGTGCTTCCCAAAATATGACCTGTGGTGGCTTTAATGCCAAGGTGCCTATGGCCCTGTGGCAGAAAAGACTGCACGAGTGGAGCTGTAAGGGGTATTCCCTTTCTGTACTTTTTGTGAGGCCTCAGCGGCGGTTTTGTCTGCCCTGCAGGCATTGAGCTGCTGCCACATTCTCCAACGTATCCATCACTGCCAGGCTTCTTGCCAGGCAATATCTGGGCCATGCATGAGAGGTTTCCTCTGACAGAGGAGACGTTTCCTCTGACATCGCCTCCGCTTGTCAGTATTGGCAGTACTGTATTGCTACTCTGCACTGGTGTGCACTTGCACTTGACCAGAACAAGGAGCTCCTGCCTTAATGCCAGCACCTGCGTGTCCGCAGCAGGACGATGATTTCGCTCCAGCAGAATGAAGGACGATGTCTGATCCCTTGGCATTCACTTATCCTCCGAGATTATGCTTGTCGAAACAGTCTGCAACTTTCCGCCCAAACGTCATGCCCACAACCCAGCAGCACAGAAGCAGCAGTCATACAACCTGATGGAAGTCACTGAACGTATACAACCTTCTCCTCCATTTGAAAGATTGGTTTGCAAGTCATTCGAGCAGCCCAACTTCTCTACCTCGGCCCGCATGAGCACCTTTTCTGTGCGCAGACAGTACGAGTCAGACCTCCCGACTAGCATCATGCTGCACCTGGGCCTATTCAAGAGGAACTCTCTATTCTCTATATAGGAATCCTACAAAACCGATATCATTCACCATCCCGAGCCATGTCCAGAGTCTGAAAGCTCACATAGCCTCTCTTGTGCGTCGATATCGCACCACTCAAGTACGAATGATAGCAATCTCTCCTATTATTTTGTCCGATGTAGAACACCACGGTGCGAGCGAGTGTGCATTCGATTCTCCGCAGCCCTGTTGCTATTGTGTTTTGCTTGTGGTGGATTATGTACAACTAGAAATTGGGAAAAAACACATTACGTTGGCCAAATCGGCCTATTAGGGGACGTAGCTCAAATGGTAGAGCGCGCGCTTCGCATGCGTGAGGTAGGGGGATCGATGCCCCCCGTCTCCAGACCTTTTTCATTTGCTTTTTCTGATATTTGTGTATGTCTGGCCTTATGCTTTTCTAGTGCATCAATCTTCGTAGCAAACATTAACCTTCGTGACGCTATCTCAATCTTTGCAGCAAACTCATCTCTCACTTTCCTCGCATATATTCGCATCACTGTGGATGTGCCTGTCACAGCCTGCCTCCCTCCCCACCTGACAATGCAATGCAATGTGCCCTCGGGCAGCGCCTTGCCTTTGTTTTCAACCATTGCCAATATGCAAGCCCTTCACACTGCGCCATGTCTTCGTACGGGTGCTCGCTGCCACGCAGGCTCTCCACAAGCCGCAGGCACTCTGCGGCCATGGCAGCGTCGCCCCTGCCCTGTGCTTCTCCCAGCAACGTCTCGTATGTCGACTTGAACCAGAATCTTAGGGTCGCTGCCTGCTCCTCCAGGCTGTCACCGGGATTGATGCCCCATGACGCCGGTGTGCTGTCATCCCGGCCTGTCGCAGCATGCAGTGTCCAATGCAGCAGGCAGTTTCCTTCAGGTCACCAGCACATTCCACCGGCCATTCAGACACTTCTTTGCAATGACATGTACAGTTCCGTCCACCATGTCAGTTCAGCATATGCACTTCTCTGCATCCTATCATAACTCACTCCAGCTCTGGGCTTTCCAACTCGCTTGTCTAGTATCGGTCGCTTTCCACTTCTCACTGCCAGATCTATACATCTGTGTGCTTCACAATTCCACACATACCTGCCACCCCGGACTATATTTAGGGTTTAGGGTTTAGGGTTTAGGATTTAGGGTTTAGGGTTCAGGGTTTAGGGTTCAGGGTTTAGGGTTCAGGGTTCAGGGTTCAGGGTTCAGGGTTTAGGGTTTAGGGTGTAGGGTGTAGGGTGTAGGGTGTAGGGTGTAGGGTGTAGGGTGTAGGGTTTAGGGTTTAGGGTTCAGGGGTTAGGGGTTATGGTTTAGGGTTTAGGGTTTAGGGTTTAGGGTTTAGGTTTAGGGTTTAGGGTTTAGGGTTTAGGGTTTAGGGTTTAGGGTTTAGGGTTTAGGGTTTAGGGTTTAGGGTTTAGGGTTTAGGGTTTAGGGTTTAGGGTTTAGGGTTTAGGGTTTAGGGTTTAGGGTTTAGGGTTTAGGG